CTGAGATATTTTTGGACAGAGCTGAGTCAAGGCACTCTGAATAAGCAGGATGGGTCTCCACCGTGTGTTTTAGTAGTTGCCCTGTGGCAGATTGGCCTCCTTCAGCAATCCACTGGTTTGGCAGGATCACGTTCTTGTAAGGACCCCATACTCCTTGAACAAAAATTGGATTGGTCGACATGATCAGATGACAAGTAGATGTCCCTGCCACAGCTGCAAGTCGACGGAAGGCAGTGGATATATCGTTTTGAGAGCTGCCAGAAAGAGATTTCAAATCTGGTTGTGCCCCAACAGTTCCTATCCATCCTGCATAAGCGTCAATAACTCCACTTCCTACAAGAGTCTTTGAGCTCAACCCAAGCTCTTGAGCTGCCTGTTCAGTGATATATCCGACGGGCTCTCCTGCGTAGAGAAAGCGTCCGTTCTGTAGAAATTTGGGTGAGCTTTGAAATCAAATGGTTTTCTAGAAATTAGTGAATGACTTACCGCACCATCCACACCCCCAAGTGGTAGATAATGATTGGAACTGAACTCTTCTAACCCAATGGCTTGGAAGAAATCGTCTTGCCAACCTTTGGTGCCATTGTCAACGCCAATGGGTACATAACCTTGTTTACAAACTGTGCTGCAGAAACTCCGACTGTCTTCTTTCGTTGCCATATATGTGAGAGCATCTGGTAGATCATAGAACTTGCACTGACTGAAAGTTTCCTTCGGCATGTGGTTCTTGAGCCACAGGATTTTGGGGATTTCCATCTCAATGCTCATGCTGCCACCGACGTAGCGAAGCAAGTTGTGATGAGTATCGTTGATCTTTCTCGTCTCCTCCACAGCGCGATGGTCAAGCCAGAGGATGACATTTCGTTCTGGGTCAACAGAGTTCTGAGTCACAGAAATAGGACTCCCATTTTTGATATCAAAAACAGCCAAGGAGCAGGTTGCATCAAAGCTTATTCCGTGAATCAATGTCTTGTCTATCCTGCATTCTGCAAGCGCTTTTCGAATTGCAATTCCGATGCTCTTCCAGATGTCATTCGTGGATTGTTCCTTCATTGAGTCCATGTCAGCTTCAAAGGCGAGCGAGACAGATTGAAAGAACTTACATAGTATCCTGGATGAGGATTCCATGTTTTTATGTCCTGGCTAGCAAGTCCTACAATATCACCAGTTGAGTTCATGATACAGACTCTAGCACCACCGGTTCCAACATCTACCCCGATGAAATGCGCATCTGAGATTTCAGCTCTGGTAGATGACGTGCTCTGGGCTGCCATTGGTATCGAAAGCTTGTACTGAAAGCAGCTGCCTTCCGATGAGTTGGCTCTCTGTTGTGGGAGTGAGAATTTGAAGCCCAGATGAGGCTAGTTGTATAGGAATCAAATCCCGCTCGGCATTTCATTAATGATTCTAGGAAGCCCCCAAGGACACGAAACGTTCCACAGCTGGCATGCACACTGGCGATAAACTACGCATTACTGTGAAATTGGCTAGTCCAGCCTTTCGTGTACTACATATGGGGGCTTGCCTCGTTACGAGGAAAGTTAGTTAGCCTAAATGAGTGGTACAATTCCTGTTGGATGCTCTTTTTCGCTGCTGTCACTCTAATTCGTAGAATAAAAGTAGCAATTTCACCAAAGTGCATATATCAATACTTATTTTTCTTTTCAAATTTTATAGGCCAAGTAGAGCACCTCTAACAACATGATTCAATTGACCTCTCCACAGCCTGTGCTCATTCAGAATAAAAATTTCACCTTTGCGTCCGAAGCAAAAGTTTGCGGCACCGCCATCCAGTAAGATTTTTCCGAGAAGAACTCCACCGGGCGACCAGACGTTTATTCCATCTCCGCATCCACTATAAACATTTCCATTTGAATCGCACTTGATCCCGTCCGGAATACCATTGTCTGCCATTGCAAATAGTCTCCTATTTAGGAGGAATGGTTGGCCATGATATTCTTGCACATCAAAGGCATAACTGTAGGTCGGTCAGGTCAAGAACACAAAAAGAATCTAAGCACTTGCATTGAAGACGGTCTGTGCCCATCCGTGGAGCCATCTCCATGGATCCAATCCGTGTCAGTGACGTACACGATGGTCTGGTCTGGTGAAAAACAAATCCCGTTTGGTCTCCCGAATCCATCTGCCATTGCTCGAATTGATTTTGTCTTCGGATCGTAGCGGTAGACTTGACTAGGGAGCTTTGGCCGAGGACGATAGCCTTGCTCAAACCCATAAATAGGGTCAGTGAACCAGATGCTTCCGTCCTTGTGTATTACAACATCATTTACAGAGTTGAATGGTCGCCCATAAAAGCTGGTGACAACCTCCTCTGTTTTGTATGGAGGAGTTCTCGACATCTTGAACAAACCGCTAGGCGCAGAGCCAGAACCTTGTGCGCAGAAGAGTATTCCATCTTGATAATTGACTCCCCCGTTGGCCATGTGAATTTTTTCGCATTGTATCTCTTCCTGGAAGATGGAACTTCCAAGGGTTATTTTTGATATTTGTACTTTTGAGTTGCCAGCCGCATCATATAATCTGTTGCTTGTGATAAATAACTCATTGCTCTCATCAAAAAATACTCCGGCTTCGTGAGCGAATGGGTACTCCTGGACCTCAAGAAGGATCTCGAGAGTTGGTTGTGCGCCTATAATGTTGTAGAAAGCTTTGTCATAAACTTTCCAGGGAGAATTTGTCTCATGGCCACCAAGTGATTTCATGGTCATGCTCTTACTGAATATGGTTGTTTCACTACATGCAATTGCAGACTTACATATGGTTCGGGAAGAAGGTCGATATAACGAGTCAAGGCGCTTAACAGACAACTTGGAAACGAAAAATAATGATTCAAAATACGCACTACTGAGGACAAATCGGAACGCATTCGATTCTCTGCAACTTACAAGCCAATTTAAATCTGGTTCCCCGCACCCTCGCAACTAGTAAGCGTTGTTAATTGGCGGGTGGCGGCGGGAGGGCATTGGATCTGTTGGTCCAAGTCTCGTCTCGAGGACCACCCCTGGCCGTAACGGAGGACGCCAGTGTGTTTGTGACATATGATATTTTCACAGACGAGATGTACATCGTACTTTTCAGTGAACCGTTACGTTTGCCACTAGACTTAGCATCGCTCCAAAGGCGAGAAAATTAAACGGAAAATTCAAGCCAGTTGCAATCCATAGTTCGCAATGCATCAATACGAACTGACGGAATTCCCGCCAACGAAAGCCTTGCGAGGGCGAAGGAGGACAATCTAGATCAATTAGGACTCGTCGTCCACTGATTCTGAACTCCTGATTCATTTATTCCAATTTATATCTTTTCTTTCTCCCTACGAGGTGGCGCTGGAAGATCTGCTCCAAAGGATGAAGCCACAAGATCAGCAATCTCTGGCGGGAAAGCTTGCTATTGTAACGGGCGCATCTCGAGGTTTGTAATATTCATTCTGTGAGTGTCCCGTATATTGATGATCCTTATTCCAGGAATTGGTGCGGCCATATCTCAGAATCTAGCATCAAAGGGTGCATCTGTTGTGCTAAATTTTGTATCCGATCAATCTAAAGGGGCAGCAGAAAGCCTAAAAAAAAGATTGCATGCCGACTACAATGCAAAATGTGCTGCCATACAAGCTGATGTCAGTTCACCTCAAGGGGTGAAATACTTGATCCAGCAAGTTAAGGAGGAATTCTCATCGCAAAGCTCACCTTTGCGTGTTGACATTTTGGTCAATAATGCAGGGGTTGCAAAGAACGATCACATCCGAGACATTGTTGTTGAAGATTTTGATTGGATGTACCGAATAAATGTACTAGGCCCTCTGCTTATGGTCCAAGCTGTCGAGCCATACCTGCCAAATGATCGAAGTGGTCGAATCATTAACCTTTCTTCAATTTCGTCGACCGAGGGTTTCCATGGTCAGACAGTTTATGGTGGTACAAAGGCAGCGGTTGATTCTATGACACGAACATGGGCTCGTGAACTCTCCGAACGATGTACTGTGAACTCAATAAATGCGGGACCTGTCTTTACAGATATGTGGACTAGAATGCCTATGAGCCACAAAGTTGGTTTGAAGGACTGGATGGCTCATACACCTCTTGCGGCGGTAAGAAAAGGATTCGACAACGAAGAATTGATAAATCAGGCCGTTGATATTGGTGGTAGACCAGCATATACGTCTGAGATTGCTGGCATTGTTGGCATGCTATGCTCCGAGGAGAGTGTGTGGTGTACAGGTCAGGTCATTTGTGCTAATGGAGGAATGCGCATGGCGATATGAACTGAAATCGATGGTCATCTGATTCATTTTAGCTCTAACAAGGTTCTAATGCTGGAACAATTATATATAAATTAGCTATTCTCAAGTCACTCGCATATACTTCTCTCGATCTGACAAAGTACCGTACTATTCGTGAGTCTGAGGTCATTTGAAGTATTTTGAGATTTTCTGAGAGGCTTTTCGGATCTAGAATGTATTTACTGAGCAATATGCAAGATTGCAGAGGCCAGGTCTACCTACAAACATACTTTGAAATGCATCTTATTAGAGAAGTCCCAGAGTCTGCCCGCCAACTTCAAAGAGGAAGGCGTACGATCGTTGCATTAGGACGACAATTCACGGAGAAACATGGTGACAGTTCTGATAGCAAATCCATGAAATAGATAAATTTATCGTGACTACGATCTTGGAGTTTGATTAAGGAAACTTGAAGGGCTTCTTGCCAGAAATAACAACCGTATAAATGGAGAAAGACATGATTGTTACTGCATCGGACGGGTATACCTCAAAGAATTGGTTGAGAACGTATTTCAAACACTCTTCAGCTCATCCAGTACTCTGATTTTTTGGAGACTCCATATATGAATTGATAAATTCAAGTTTTCGAAGAAATATAACGAAGACTGTAATGAGAACATGGCACATCAAAAATGCCGACAAATGCATTCTAGATACGTAAATATTTCAAATACTGATGCCATGATTCGTACAAGTAATGCTAACACAACCAATAAGTACACTCTATTTTCTCAGAATTAACAAACTAACAGTTATGTTAGTATATAATTTCATTGTGCAGATTGATATAGATAAACTTACTACCAATGACCCCGTTGACTGGAATATCAATCGAAGTGGTATAGCTAGCGGCATCGCTAAGAAGATAGACATAAGCGCCCCCAAGTTCCTGAACCTCAGCCAATCTTGGGAATCCACCATAGTACTTGAGTTGTTGCTCCCAGTCAGGCTGTTGAGGTACCCAATATGTCATGGCAGTACGGACAAGACCAGGAGATACACTGTTGACACGGATGCCGTACTTGGCCCATTCCATGGCCAGAGTATGGGCCATATTTCGAACACCAGCTTTGCTAGCACCGTAAGGAGCCGAAGGAACACGCTAAAAGAGTCAGTCTAAATATATTTCATATTGTCTTGGAACGAGGCGTACCTTATTCGGTCGGTAAGAAGCCATAGACGCGGTAAAGACAATTGAACCCTTGATATTCAATCGAATAAAAGCCCTTGCTGCAGCGCGTGCAGTGTAGAAGGCTCCAAAAAGCTTGATTAAAGGTAATCAGCTTGATATAATCGCAGCGAAGACACAAAAACTTACGTTGACAGCAAAGAGGGACTCGACATCTTGCTTAGTAAAGTCAAGAGCGGGTTTATGGTTTGTCATTCCTGCATTCACCACCATTCCATGAATAGCACCTGCCTCTTCGATAATCTTGTCAATAGCAGCTGTAACACTTTCCTCTTGGGTGATGTCGGCGGCTATGGCGCTGAGTTTTCCTGGGAAGCGTTTAAGAAGAGAAGCGTATTCATTACCGGGTTCGGCGACATCGATTGAATAAACTTTTTGCGCCCCATTCTGAAGACAGCATTCAGCTATTCCAAGTCCAATTCCTCGATTCGCCCCGGAAACTAAAGATTTGTGTTAAGGGTAAATTCTAAGAGAAGCTTTTCTGACGTACTCGCAATGACCTTTCCATTGAGAGCAACTTGTGTTTGAGGAGTCACCGTAGTAGCTTCTTCCGGCTCTTCTGGAATGATTGCTGATGGAGTCATTTTTGGAATATCTATTTTGGAAACCCGTATGATCAATTAAATGGCAATTTTAGTAGTTATCTGCTTGGATTTTATACTAGAGAACAAAGAAGGGGACAGAACATGGCAGGACTTTCCGGAGGTAAAAACGGATCTGCCAGGCTGAGAAAATTTCCTGGGGTCTAGCCTCGCAACGCAATAACACTTGCCTTCTGGTGCCATATTCCGGCAATAAGGTAATTGGATCGCATGCACGACTGCTCGCTAGAAGTCCAAAATCAGTTCGATGGCTAGCTTTGATTGTGACTGACCACTACGCCGGGCCTATCAGAGGTAGGGTTTAGATAGCACGGCCTCGTGTCGAGGAACCCTGTGGACGGTTGTATGTCTATCCGGCGACGCTTACAAGAGTGCGGGAAATGCGGAGGCATACGGTGGGGTGGAATACCTGGAATTTGCCTTTATGATCTAAGCCGCTAAAATGGAGAACAATTCGGTTCCAATCAGGCAGAAACGACTCAGAATTAGGTAGCCCTATTTTTCCTCAATTACTCGACCCGAGTCCCACTACAACTTCGCAATGCATTTTCAGAGTTGAGTCTCTAAAAAGCGGGGTTTTTAGCTAATTATTTCTCTGGTTCCCCGATACGAAACTTGTTCGTGTGGTCTGCGAGTGAACTCTGAAGGCAATTAGCGGCTATGAGGACATCGAGCCGACCACTCGGTTTTTGAAGAAACCGTTCTCGAATTCGAAGAGACGACACAGGGAACGTTACCATGTACGATATGCAAATAGATTTGATGTCTCTTAGATTTCACAGTCTAAGTTCGAGGCAATTCTTGAAACCAGGGAAAGAACGTGAAGCTTCAAGCCTTAGAGCAGTGCAATCAAACCATTCTCGTAGACTCAACTTCCTATTGAAGATCACCTTCCTCCTCTAATTCCATCTGACTCTCGAGCATCTCTTACGCAATGGCTCCATCTTCTGTCGCTGTTCATATCCACCCTGTCTCCCGAACCCCTGAAAGTGGGAAAGAAGTCACTGTTGTATCCGCCGTCGCAGTCTCAGGCCCACCTTCTCCAGTTCCAAAATCAACAACGGAGGTTCATTCTGTTCAAGGATTTGGAGAGAAACATACAAAAAGAACCCTAGCATCATTCACGCTGGAAGACCGAGTTGTAGTCATTACTGGTGGAGCTCGAGGCATCGGACTCGTCCTTGGCCAGGCATTGATTACGAGCGGCGCTCATCTGGCAATTGTTGATATTGACAGTAAATAATCCTCTTTGACTACTGAAAAATGTCTTGCTCATGAATCAATTAGTCCAGGAATCAAAGAGACAAGCGGCTCATCTCGAATCTCTTTTTAAAGAGCGCAATCCCAATGGGACAGCGTCAGTACTTTCTAGCTAACTATAAACTCCTTGTATATCGCGTTCTAACATGCTTGGAAATAGGCAAGTAAAAGTCACTGCTCATTTTGCAGATGTCTCAGATCCTGTATCTGTAAATACTGCAATTCAGGAAATCATCGCATCCCACGGCAAGATTGATAATCTTGTCACTTCGGCTGGTTTCACGGAAAACTATAGTGCCGTGGATTATCCATTTGATCGGATGAAGAAGCTCTGGGGAGTAAATGTCGATGGATCTTACCTATTTGCCACCACAGTAGCTAGGCATTTGATGGAGCGTAATGCACCTGGAAGTATTTTATTGATTGGCAGCATGTCTGGAAATGTCATCAATGTGCCACAACAGCAGACTCCATACAATGTCTCTAAGGCGGCCGTTCGACATATGGCTGCTTCGCTTGCTGTTGAGTGGGCACCATTTGGTATTCGAGTAAATTGTTTAAGCCCAGGGTACATGGTAACCGCATTGTAAGTGATATGTTGCTACAGTTTTCAAACTGCTTGTTACTGAACTTTTTATTTAGGACAAAGAAGATTCTGGCCGAGAGACCTGATCTCAAAGAGAAATGGACTTCATTGACTCCACAAGGTAGACTGGGCAAACCAGAGGACTTGATAGGTGCTGCAACTTTCTTGTTATCGGATGCATCTGAGTACGTAACAGGCGCTGATCTTCGAGTTGATGGAGGGTACACACTTATTTGAAAAATCCAAATTTGCATTACCATCTATCAGCTAAATTTAATTGATGAGATGGACATATGTCAACTAGAAATAGAGGAACATAATCTTTATGCTTGATTCGCATGAGACTTGCAATTCTCGGGCTGATTATTATTAATGATGGCTAGAGACTTTTCATTGTCAAGATAAGAAGAACTATTTTCCGTCCTCTCCCTCATACAGATTCCATCTGTAGTACTCACTTGGGTCATTGAATCTTGTTTTGATATCCATGGTCGCAATTTTAGCCATGTCTTCACCATCCAGCTCAAAATCAGCCTCCAAATTTTCCTTTATTTGCCAATCAATGACACTCTTCGGAATAACAGTACGTCCGTTGTTAATTCCCCAGGCCAGAGCGATTTGAATTGGTGACTTGTTATATTTCTTTCCAATCTCGACCAGTACCGGATGATCAATCAAGCGAGGCATATGTGATTCTGATTTGCTCCAATGGACGTCACGATAGAAGTTGTTCATGTTATCAAGAGGGCTGAATTGAATGACGTGGATACCTTTTTCGGCAAGCCATTTGTTGAACCGAGGTTGCTGAAGATATGGATGGACTTCCATTTGATGTACTGCTGGGACCTGCGATGCCATCAGCAATTTTTTTTTTTTCTGTTTGCGGGGGTAGAGAGGGGGTGGGGCTTATTGCAAGACGTACCGTGTCGCTATTATCAATGAGATTCTGAATCTCTTTCTGATTAAAATTAGAGACCCCAATTGCTCTGATCTTGCCAGTTTTGACAAGCTTTTCCATGGCTTTCCAGGTATCGAGATATGTTGTCTCACCCATGATCATGAGGCCATCTTCACCCTTGGGAAAACGATCATTTCCACGAGCAAATGTGCATGGATAGTGCATCAGAAACAAATCAATGTAATCTGTTCCAAGATCGCTCAGAGAAGCATTTAGAGCAGGCTCAATATCGTCAGGATGATAAGAGTTGCGCCATAGCTTGGTAGCAAGGAAAATTTGATCTCGAGGAACTCCACTCTTCTTGATTCCATTACCAACTTGCTTTTCGGTATCGTAGCTTTGCGTTGAGTTAGTCAACATTCTGGTATTTAACTACAAACATACACTCTTGCCGTATCAATGTTTCTAACTCCAAGACGCAAAGCCAATGTAACTGCAGCTTCTTGAGCATCCGGATCTTGGAAAGTTCCAAATCCAATCGCAGGAATCTTTGCGCCGGTGTTCAGAGTATGCTGAGTAGTACGAGTGGAAACTTGACGATGCTGTCGAACGAATAAACGACTGACATTGGAACGAGCTGCAGTCGACGCGAATCTAAACCCAAAAGATGTAGCCATTTTTGAAACTGCTTCGAACTAGACCAAAGGTTGTTCAGGTGCTTTTTCCCATCAAAGCCTGGAGCCGAGCTCTAGATGTACGTCTCCTCATCACACCGAGCCCGGTCGGTGCTTCTAGTGAATCTCCCCGTTGGTTCGTCAAAGTCGGCAGAGATGAGGAAGCTCTGTACATTCTTCAACGTCTGCGTGGTACTTCTGGTGAAGATGCCGGCAAGGCTGAGCACGAACTCGCACAAATCAGAAACGTTGTCGATCTGGAAAAGAGAACTTCTCATGGCACCACATACTTCCACATGCTTTTTGGAATTGGCTCTGGGAAACTGCACACTGCCAGGCGTGTACAGCTCTGTATCTGGCTCCAGATTTTGCAGTGCTGGTCTGGTATTGCTGGCATCACCATGTTCGGCCCTGGTAAGAATTCTAAAGCCAAACTTAGTTTGACAGGTCTAATTCTCTTGGACAGTGATTTTTGGTATCGCTGGATACACAAACTCGAAAGCTCAGTGGATTTCTGGTCTCAATAACATCTTCTACATGTTTTCTACGCTTATTTGTGTCTACACCCTTGACCGCATCGGACGTCGCTGGACTCTTTACTGGGGCTCCGTTGGTCAGTGTATTGCCATGTTTCTCACTGGTGCTTTTTGTCGCCTTGGACTTGACGCAACTTCCCAATCTGAAACTGGAGCTGCTGCTAGATTTGGTGCAGCTGCTGCCTCCATGGTTTTCCTATACACATTCATCTTTGGTGCCACTTGGCTGACAGTACCGTGGTTGTACCCCGCTGAGATCTTCCCACTACAAGTTCGCGCCAAAGGTAATGCATGGGGAGTTGTTGGCTGGAGTATTGGCAATGGGTAAGATTTCAATCGATAATAAGCAGCTCTAGTACTCACATTTCTCGCAGAACTCTTACGCTGGTGTTGCCTTACATTGTGGGCGCTGTCAATGAGAAGACACTTTACGTGTTTGGAGCTGTCAATATTATTGCGATCCCAATTGGTAAGACTTATTCATTTTAATTCAGACCGCAAGGAACCCAGGCTAACGTATCGTTTAGTTTGGGCACTTTATCCCGAATCTAACCAGCGTACTCTCGAAGAGATGGACATGTTATTCGCTTCTGACTCAATTTGGAACTGGGAGGCTGAGAAAACATTCAAAATGCTTAAGGAGCAAAACCCTGACGGAGTTGCTCTCAGCGAAGAGGAGGTGGACTCCAAAGTCTTTTCCAACGTCGTGGAGCATGTTTGAGAAGAAGGCCGTACGCCTGATTAGCGACTGCTAAAAAGTGTTCCATGGCCAACGAGAGAACTGATCTGCGATGATATCTTAACTTCTCAGTCTACAATTCTTGGATTGCAAGCGCCTGCACAGTTTCGTCTATAAACAATAAATGAACATTCTGACCTTCTAAATATTCGCACTTCAAAGAGCTTCATTCTGAAAGTTTTTACTATCACCAATTTGTTTATCCACCTTTAAATTTAATATAAATACGTCACTTTTTTGGGGGATATTGAAAACATATCTGTGTCCTTTATCAGATGAACATTAAAGGACTGGGAGATGGTAGCTGAAATGATTACTGTCATACTTGAGAGCGACACGAAAGCCGTCAAATTAACGGAAAGGTCTGCAGGATAAAAAAAATTCGTTTTCTCATTTATTTTCAGAGCTCGCTTTTACTGAAGATGTACAAAAAGTCCTCCATCGCATAATAACTGAGCTCCAGTACAGTATCGACTCATGTCGCTTGCGAAAAACACTGCCGGCCCGGCCATATCCTCTGGATCTGCTACCCTGCCTAAGGGAATCCGCTCCTCCAAGTACTTCAGCTTGCCTGGCTTCGCAAGATCGCTAACGGCTAATTGGGTTTTCGTTGTTCCTGGCAGTAGTGCATTACATCGAATACCATATTTACCAAGGGCACATGCCTGTGACTGCATCATACTTAGTACGGCAGATTTGGTTGGTGTATAATGCACTTGCTCCTCGCCGCCAACCAGTGCTGAGATTGATGCAATGCCGATTATACTGCCGCCGCGCCCCTGAGAGACCATTTGTTTGGCAGCAGCTTGCGTTGAATAGAAAGTGCCGCGGACATTGACATGGTTGTGAAGTTCGAAAATCTCATCGTCCATACTGGGCATGACAGTAAGCACTGGCAAAAGTAATTGGAGTGTAATAGATAAAATGAAGTCCCTTACTCTAAGAAATCGGCGAAAACGCTGACACCAGCGTTTGCAACGAAGACATCCAGGGATCCAAATGCTTTGACTGCATCTGAAACAAGCTTTTGGCCAGTTTCTTTCTTTCCAATGTCGCCCGATGAAGCAATCAGCTTGTTTTTAGAGTCGTTTGGAACTTGCTTCAACATTTCCTGAAAATGACTCTCTGACGCAGAATCACCAAGATGGTTGACGACAACGGATGCTCCTTGACGTAAATACTCAATGGCGATGGCACGCCCAATGCCAGTAACACCGCCAGTTATAGCACAAACTTTTCCAGCCAAAAGACCAGCCATGACGATAACGAAATATTCTTACTCCGCGTCTTCTTTTCTCTTTGCTTCTCTTTACCGTATAAACGTTGTCGAGGAGAGGTGCACTGATGCAGATACACCCGAAACTTTTGCGTGATTGAGAGCGGGCACCCCGCAAATTGGAGTTGATTGTAAGGATTTCATCTGGAACCCACCTTTAGTCTTAGTGGTAATGGTCCCCGAGACGATGGGGTTTCTGTACCATCGTTCCATACCCTCGATCCGGATCCAGAGCCTATTGGAATTGGCCCCTGTCATTCGAATGTGACGGCTTGGCAAATTCCGGGGTGCGGTAGATTCTCTCGGTAATTTTCAATACACTTGCCAAATGCCCTTGAGTTCGTCTTCCAGCGATTGTACTGGCCAGCCAACTCTGGCCCGGCATGTCCGTAGTAACATGGTGATCTCTTCCCTAGACTGAATATCGTTGATACATGTACCGGCGATGAAGAGACACTGCGAGCTTAGAATGCTAGAAGCTCCATCTGTAAGACCCCTGGCAATGCCACAAATGTAGCTAGCACAAGTTCTCAAATGCTTCTGCTGCTCTATAAACACGTTAATGCCCCCCAAAAGTGGTCGATGAAGATTGAGTAGGATCCTTGCTGCGTAATGAAGTTGCATGGAAACAGCAAATGCAGGCGGATGGATCACAATAGTTTTGAAGACAACATTTTCGTGGTCAGCTGTTGTAGGAAGAGGATCAAAGTCAATGGAAAGGCTATCCTTCCAGTCATCTAGCAATGCTGTTAAGATATTTGCGTTTTCTGTCATTATGCTAAAATCATCAACAGCATGCTCCGGTTTCTGGGCGCAATATCGTACGACCTTTGCGAACAAGAACAGTGATCTTGCAGCAAGCGTCCAAGGATCCATCTGTTTAAAGTGCACTCTCTGGGGCCGCCAGAAAGTAAAGGGCTTCCGTTTATCGCGAAATGCAGCCCAGGAGTCTTGGGCTAGCCATGCCCACCACGTGGCGCCTCGAAGGCCTCCCGAGTCACCGTGGATAACTTGAGATCTCTGTATGCGAAATACGCCCTGCAGATGCCGTTCCCAGTCACGCTGACCGCCGTCGAGCATTTCGTATGCAGAAATTATGAGCGCAGTTGCAAGTAGCTCGTCGCTAGTATTGTAGTCATCGTGTTGCATTGCCTTGTGAACGTACTTAAGGGTAGCATGGTAGTATTGCAATGCCTCGCTGCGGCTGTATACAATTCCATCGCTGAGATGGCGATTTAGAGAAAGATGACGAGTTGAGAGAGCTAGAATGGCGTTGAGAAGGCCAACATTGCGCAAGGCCAGTCGAGGAACCAGGATTGAATAGTGCCGACACTGATCCAGGAGGTCAATCCATGAAGCTACATTGTGGACAAAATGTTCAAAGATTCGGATTTCGTGAGAACTGAGTACGAGCGTCGAATGGGACGTCCAAGGTCTTCCTCCCAAATTCGGGTCAAGGCTTTGTGGTACACCACACTTCCACGAGAAGTCGGCATCATCCACATGCAACTCCGACTGTTGGGCGTCTGGAGGGATTCCTTGATTTTCTTCAAATTGCAGCCTAGCATCTCCAGCGAGAAGATCGAACCAAAGTGCAGTTGCGTCATCAATTCCAGTTCTGGAATAATCCGACGTAACTGAGATGTTGTGCGGACTAGTCTCATTGTATGCAGCGTCACCTAGTGATTCAGCATTTGCTGAGCTGTAGCTGCCCTGATTCTGAAGAGCATGGCGATCTGACTCTGGGCTGGGGTGTGAATATACGGTTAAAGGTGATCTCACAAAGGCCGGCTCTAGAAGCTGTTGCGTTGGTTGCTGTAGTTGTTGCTTCTCTCCTTGTTCCGGAATGCATACAGCAATATCATCTACAAGATTAAGCGTCGTATTATTGGCTGAATGCAAAGCAAAGGATGGTTCATCGTTATTCCTTGGCTCCACAATGCTTTGCTGTTGCTCAGGCCCAATGAGATCGGGATACTCGCAAAGCCGCCCAGCACGTTGACAATAAACACAGATTGGCCGGGTCTCATCGCATTTCAGATGCCTCTTTCGGCATGTTTTACTGCAGATATAGTCAGCAAACTGACTGACCTCATGGAAAGACTAGGTGTATCGCTTACCATCCAGTCTTCGTCCGCAAGCCGCGACTCCGCGACGGCCTTGTGCGAATGCGCTTTGGAGGTGGCATTTCGAACCTGTAAATTCCCCTCGTAACGAGAGCAAAACAATTTTGTTCAGACTAGGAATTGAAATAGAGGCCAAAACGAACAATGTTCTTGCTTGCATCTATGGGCTTGGAGTTTGAAACAGACAAGTCCAACGGGGGAGGAGAACTAGCCCTCGACACGAGGGCTGTGACAAGCCTCGAACTGACTGCAAATCTAGAATTGTGGAGTACGTCCTCTGCTTATAAGCCAGTTTGCCATTTAGCGTTTCGCTAAGCAGTGAAGTGAGCACTGGGTTGCAGAAACTAAACCAGACGGGGCTTAGACCTCAGCGCGTACATTAAAGCTAAAGTATCTAATACAAAAGGTAACACAAATTGTAAAGCAAAGAGTCTATTTAATATAGCATTGTTTACAGAAAAACCTCCTCGAATTGAACTCAACTACATCTCGACCTATTCAAGGTATAGCACTCATGAGATTTGTAATAACTGAAGCACCTCATAAAGATATTTGTGTTACGAAGTAACACGTGATGATTCACATGAAATGTCGCAAGTCACGTGAGAATGACTTAGCAGATATATTAACTTATGTTTTTGATATATATATATATATATATATATATATTTGCCTCGTAGGGGAAGTTTTCCAGCTATACCTTAATCTGCAGTGCTGAGGTCGAGGCACCACTTTTTGGAGCTAGCTCCACATATTTATCACGTAACCTATTTGGTACACACGATACCCTCTACATGAACTCAGCGATAGAAGCCTTTTTCACTTTGACCTCGGACATTATTAATGGGCAATGACCGGTCCTCCAGACGGCAGGACTCCCAGAGTGGGGCAAAACTTTTTGGAAGTAAGAAAAACGAGACTAGGCGACTGGTCCATCATCGCGAAAGCTTAACATGTTGGGAGTGAGCAATGAAGTTGATCTCGAGGTTCCTCAAAGCCGAAAAAAAAAAAAAAAGTCGTCACGGCTATTCTCCGTTCACGGGTCGCGAAAGGCAGAAACCCTCCCGTGCCTCGCCGCGGTGTCTCCTATCTCCCTCCGGGGGGGAAAGAGGTTTGGGTCGCTTGTAACGTTTTGACAGCGTGGTGGTGGTGGTGGTGGTGGTGCGTTAGCTGATGCTGACCGGGGGTTGAGACTTCCGAAAGGGTCTCTCTGGGAGAGTTTGGGACCGTGGCCGAGCGCATTCGTGCGGCGGCGGCGAGCGAGGCAGGCGAACGGCCTTTGCGGTATCTCGGATACCATGGGCTTCGCAAATCGACATGTTTTCTCCAAAACGCACGACAGCAGTGTGACGACTTGTGAACGAAGAAGAGGGCCACCCGGGCTAGGTTATCCGCAGGAAGCAGGAAGAGCGTGTTCTGGAACAAATAGGTCAAAAAAAACATTTCCTATTGCTACAATTGCATTAACCGTTTAGATCAAGGCAAAAATCAATGCGTCGATGTCGTTCCCCCGTCTAAGCCGAAAATCACCTTAGATCTTTCAGCAGCCCACGTGCGCCAACCACGCGCAAAAAACTCCTCCTCGTATCTCTCATCGGGGCACGTTCGAGAGGGGTCATCTATGCCCTTCCCACTTGCCATGAGTTCCACGTACCCAACTAAAGTTTTTCTTTTCATCCGGGGTTTCGACCATGCTTCTTCGCCCGCTGCTCGCGAAAACGAAAAGAGGAACATGAATAACAATATGAATTGGGGATATATATTTATGCTCTTTTTGGCACTTCTTCCCCCGCTTCGTCTTCCACTTCTTTTTCTCCTTCCGACGCTTACACACTGACCTCGACACGGCCCTCGGCGCCCGGAGCACCGGTGTTGAGGTTTGGCAGCAGGTAAGTGATGTCGTCCCAGGGGTGGCTATACCAAACTAGTTAGCGAGTTTCCACAGCGCAGCTGATTGAAGGAGCAAGGCAGCTGGCAAAAGAGCGCAAAAAAAAAAAAAAACATATCGGAATGAGTGGAATACGACATACCGGTACAGACCCGTCCTCAGGCGCTTCTGGTCCAAGAAATGAGCGATCAGACCAATCGACCGTCCCAAGACGAACAGGCCGTTAAGCGTACCCATCTTGAGATAATCCTCAGCCTCCTCCTGGTTAAAGGCGCCGCAGTTGCGCAGCAGGTCCACGAAGCACACAGCAATGCAGCCGTCGACGTTCAGGATGAGATTGTCCTTCTTGGACGTGGTCACGGTCTCTACGGCGAGCGCGTAGTCGAGCAGCTTTGTGGACGGGAAGTGCTTCTTCACGTAGTCCTTCACAAGTTCGACGCGCAAGTCAGGGTTGTTGCGCGACTTGATCCTGTGGCCAATGCCTGGGATGAGCTTGTTTTCCTTGCGCATGGTGTCGACAAAGTCACGTGGAGACAAGCCCTTGTCAAAGGCGCGGGTAAACTCCTCGGCGGCGCCGTCGAGAGCGCCACCAAAGCGCGAACCGATGGTCAGCAGACCGGAGACAAGCGCGGAGATGAGGTCCTTGCCAGCACGGGTGGTGATGATGGTGTTCATGGCACCGGAGACGGCCGGACCGTGGTCGGCCGTCAACATGAGCACCATCTCAAGGAAGCGGCTGGCGTAGTCCGGCAGACGACGGCGGAACCACAACAGTGACATGACACCGCCAATGCCAATGTTTTCCTTGAATACATCCGAGATGGGCATACCGGCGTACAGCAGCTCCTGGCCACGGTCGTCCGAGATGGTGGAGATGAAGGCAGCCGGCTTGCGGATGAGACCCAGCTCCTGGGCCCACGAGTAGTCCATGGGAATCTTGGGAACTGCAGGTTCGGGCTTCGGCTTGATGTTACCGCTCTTGACCTGCTGGGAATAGACGCGGGCGAGCAGCTCCGGAAGCTCCTCGAACGTGTCGGGGACGAAGATGCCAGCCTCACGCATGGCCTTGTTCTTGGCCGCAGCGGTCTCAAGCTGCGAATTGGCGAAGGAGCCGGCATGACCGAACTGCACCTCCGTCTTGAGCATGCCGGCGACGGTGCCGATAGCCCATGCGACGATAGGCTTGTTGATCTGGCCGGACTTGACAGCCTCGATGACGCGGTACTCCTCAACGCCACCAACCTCACCAAGCAGGACGAGGATCTTGCAATTGGGGTCGGCTTGGTAGCGGAGCATGTGGTCAATGAAGGTGGTTCCAGGGTATCTGTCGCCACCAATGGCGACACCCTCGTACACACCGTCGGTAGTGTTAGCGATGATGTTGTTCAGCTCGTTGGACATGCCACCGGACTTGGATACGTATGCGACGGAGCCCGGGCGGTACAGCTTCGACGCGACGATGTTGTCCATCATACCACCCGTGTTGCCGATCTTGAAGGCGCCGGGCTTGATGCCTCCGACCGTGGCGGGGCCAATGATGGTGATGCCTTTCTTCTTGGCAACGTGCAGGATCTCACGGGCGCGGCGCTCGGGAACGCCTTCAGCGATGATGGCGATGGAGCGAATTTGCGGGTACTCCATCAACTCCATTGTCGACTGGTAGACGGAGCGGGACGAGGCGAAGTTGACGACGGTGTCGACGTCACTGTGCTTGGAGAAGGCCTTCTCCACCGACTGGTAGACCGGTAGGAGCGTCTCGCTTGTGCCCCAGTACCTGTAATGTTGTCCACTTAGCTACTGTCCCAAGCATCTACGGCCTGCTCCTTCCCTTTCCGTACGCAAGGCAGAACAAGGGGAAAGAGAGGGCGTTAACGTACATCTTACTGACGAATTGGCCTCCGAACGTGTAGATGATGCCTGCCACTGAAGGGGTCTTGCGCTTGCAGATGAAGTCGAAGTCCAACATGCCCTGAACGGCTCTTGGCTGTAGACCACTGTTTTGCCATTGTCAATTCTTCTGCGCTCATCTTGACATCTGTTGGAGTGCATCTTGGATGTGGGAGCCATTTTATTCCTGCTTCCTTTTTTTTGGTGTTGCTCGGGGGGACTCACTATACGAAGCATCGTGTCTTGTTGTGGAACAACGTGTGCTCTGGCGGCGGGCTGGTCATTCTGCTCGGCGCCTGGAAGCGGCGAATGTTGTCGTTCACGTCGTGGCTCGCGGTCTCGCCGTTGGCAGCGCCGGGCACGTTGAGCGAGGTGCTAGCCCCTGGAGCGCCATTTGTGGTCGCGGGAGGCATGTTTGTTGGGAGAACTGTCAGACGGAGAGTAGGACTAAGCAGGGAGAGAGTATGGCTTTGAAATCTCTATGCTTGGATGACAAGTCAGTCAATTGAGGTTCTGCGCGGGTGGGCAGACGGGGACAAGCTTCGTGAGGAGAGAGAGAGTGTGTGTGCGTGCGGTCGTGGTGGAGTGTGTGGTGTTGGTGCTGCAGAGTCGGACGTGGAAAGCCAGGGTCCGGAGCTGCAAAGCCCAGTACGGTGAAGGACCAACAAGACCACAAAACGCAAAAGATGCTTTCTCGGAGTCTGATGGCCGCAGAGCTAGCTCCTGTTTGTGTTTGATGTACGGTGGGGCAGGGGAAGGAATGAGAAAACTCTGTTAAGAAAAAGTCAGACTCGTATACTTACAGGACAGCTGCTGGGGGGGTTTGCGGAGGGAAGAGGAAGCCGAAGTGCGGATGATTGCAATGGGGGAAGAAGGACGCGACCTTTTTTTTTTTTCCCTTTCTTGACGGGGAGAGAAACAAGAGATGAATTGGGCAGCTTGAAAGGGATTGCGATTGATTATTCGGGCTTGGGAGGGGAATCGGACTGGCAGCAGGACAAGTGTGTTGAATTTGGTGGGTGCTTCGGCGGGCGGTGGTGGTGATCCGGCGTTGAGCGAGCAAAGACACACGACCCTGGTCAGAGAGGGTCGGCCTGGCACTTTTTTTTTGGGGTTGGGGCGATGTGAGATATTGAGCTTTGCGGCTTGTCGTCTGCGAGCGGCCTAGCGCGTCAGATTGGGCGACCAAGTGCAGATCCTAAATTTGGGCCGGTTGAGGCTTGGAGAGTGGTGGCCTGCCGCGTGGTGCGTGATCAGCAGCAATGATCGCAATGGCATCGACGGTTGGCGAAAACAAGAGCAGGACCACGGAAGACGTGCTGCAAGACGGGGGAGCAGGAGTGGTAGCAGCAGCTCGAGCAGCGGCCGAACGTCGTCGGACAGGTCTTCAAGCGAGCAGCCCGTCGGACAACGACTCCTCGGGTTGCGGACGGTGTCTTGTTTGGCGTGCCGGTGCGGATCCCGAGGGGCGATGATGGCGGTGGTTTCTCTGCCAACGCTGACCCCGACGAAGCGAAGGGGCTTTTTTTTTCTTGAATATGGCTCTTGCGTGCTACGCGTCTTTGAAGAGTTAGCTTGGGCGCCGCTTGCTCGTAATGAGGAATAAGCAAAAATGAAAATCATGCAATCGTGTTCTGACCGTCGCGGAGGCGCTGTCTCGTGTGCTGCACAGGCTTTTTGGTGCGCGAGTCGGCGGGCGCGTTGACTGGGGAAACTCAACGGCCCACAAAATTTCTCAACCCGGCTGCAAAAGGCAGCTTTGATTTGTGGCACGTTCTGCGGGCCGCGAGCAACGAGCCGAGGCGACGCGAAGCAGAGCACAGCAAAGCAAAGCAAAGCAAAGCAGTGCAGAGCAGAGCATCGCGGAGCAAGGCCACACGCCGCAGTCGCCCAGCAAAAGCCCGTCACCAGCGCAACGCCGGCGGGCGACCCCTCGCCAGCCTGGAGCGGACAAGGCGGGGGGGCTTGGCCGGCTGCAAATCAGGCACGAAGCCGCCGCCCGGAACGCCGACGGCAGCGCCAGCTCCAGCTCCAGCCAGCGCCGGCTCCAGGCCCAGGGCCACACGCGCAGGACTGCATTTCACTCACCGACTTGCCGCCAGACGCTCACGTAACCCGGCCCAGCAGCGCCAGAACAGCGACTGCCCGTCCAGCGCTCCAGCAACAGCCATCGCCGTCCACAGGCTGCTCGACAACCGACTCTGCCCTGCCCGCGTGCGCGCCGTCATCGCGCGCCCGTTGCTCTGCTGCGTGTGCTACACCGTCTCTTGTCAGCCGTGCAGCATTCCCCGTAGACCTAAAAAAAAAGGCCCTGACCGCCCCCGATCACCAAGGTCAAGAACGACGACTCAACACTGCTTTGCTTACCTGCTGCTCGTTCCCGTTCTATCTTTGGGCTCAACAAAGCCGCAGCGCCCGCCGTCTCCCTCTCTCGCCCAGGTAAGCCTCCGCTCCTTTTTCGGCTTGGCTCCATCGCGCGCCCTGCGTGCGGTCCTCGGGCGCCCCCTCTGTCGCCCCCCGTCCAGCGCACACCCCTGAAAAGTTGTTGATGCGCCCCTCCCGGACCTGGCCAAAGCCCCAAAAATTGTCGTCCCCAGCCAAACTCACCCAACCAAAGCTCATCGCGCCCCAAAGAAAACGCCGTCAACACAATCCGTCGCCAACACGGTGTACCTGTTGCTCATCCCCACGCTCCAAGGCACATCCACGTAGCGCACACACACCTTCTCACATTCACGCCTCGTGCTGATCCGGTACTGTACCGCCCTCAATTCTTTGTCCCCGTAACCAACAAGAACCACCACGGTCAACACCACCACCACCACCATTGCCACTTCCGTCCCTCCAGTTGGCTCCATCTCTTGTCTTCATCCTTTCCTACTCTTTTGCAGCTCCAATCCCTTGATACCCACGTAGTCCTGCTCCTCCCGCCGCCAAGTACATTTCGCATAGCCCGCTGCACAGCTCTTTCTGTCATCCACGTTGAACCTCGACATCGGCCCAGACGACTGTTCCAGAGTCCAATTGCTCACGCATAGCCCCTTAGAATAGTTCGAAAAGCGCTTTAGAACCCCGTCGCCCACAATGTCTGCAAAGGCGATTCTCGAGGCCGATGGCAAGGCCATCCTCAACTACCACCTCACGCGAGCACCCGTCATCAAGCCCTCGCCCCTTCCCCCGCCCACAACCCACAACCCGCCGGCGAAGATGGCCACCATCCACTTCGAGGAGGGCGACGACATCAACGGCGTGCTCGACGCCGCAGAGGCAAAGTACCCCTGGCTGCTGACCCCAGGCATCAAGCTTGTCGCGAAGCCAGACCAGCTGATCAAGCGTCGAGGCAAGAGCGGCTTGCTGGCCCTCAACAAGACGTGGCCAGAGGCGAGGGCGTGGATCGCCGAGAGGGCGAACAAGCTGCAGAGAGTCGAGACCGTTGACGGCTATCTGCGAAATTTCCTCGTCGAGCCCATGGTGCCACACCCACAGGAAACCGAATACTACATCTGCATTCAGTCTGTAAGTTTGCTTCTTGGCCCTCCTTCCCGTCGTCTCCGTGTCTCTTTCAAGGCAGACGAGAGGAACGAGACGTTTGACTGTCGATCCTTGGAATCCAGTGGGACTGACTTTTACATGTTTTTAGGTTCGAGAGGTACGTGTGCGCCTTTTATCGCATAATTTCCCGGCACGCTCGCAAGAGAACCACAAAGGGCGGTCTCAGAAGGAAATGACAAACGGAGAATCAAAAGACTCGAAATTCATCCGAAGAATGTATTCCAGGGGTCGGAGAATTAAAAAAAGGCACAAGAAACTGTGCATCGAATTTGGGTTGAGATTCGTCCGTCTTTCTGTTGCTCAAAAGTTCTGGCTGTTCGGCTTTACCGTCGGGCGGGCGAACGGAGAGGAAACAGTCACCCGAAAAATGCCCACCCCCCTAGCACGCAAACAACAACCCACACCCACACCATGCTGCCCTATGCACGACCACTTCCCGCACACATGGCACCTGCAGCTGGCCGTGAACGTTCCAGCGGGTGCTCCCGTCGTTATCCTTGTTTGCATCGTTCCATCCTATTTCCGCTTTTCCCCCCAGACGTTCTAGAAGCTTTTTGTTTGCTAGAAGGATCATCCAAGCGATGGCCACCTGCACTGGATGCACGCATGCTAACATGTCTGCCAACTAGGGTGACTGGATCTTCTTCACCCACGAGGGTGGTGTAGATGTCGGCGACGTAGACGCGAAGGCCGAGAAGCTGCTCATCCCCGTTGACCTGAAGGAGTACCCGTCGAACGAGGAGTTTGCCGAGACGCTGCTCAAGAAGGTACCCAAGGGTGTGCACAACGTCCTGATCGACTTCATCGCTCGACTGTACGCAGTATACGTCGACTGCCAGTTCACATACCTCGAGATCAACCCTCTCGTCGTCATCCCCAACAAGGCTGGTGACGGTGCAGACGTCTACTTCCTGGACCTGGCAGCTAAGCTCGACCAGACGGCTGAGTTTGAGTGTGGTGTCAAGTGGGCCATTGCTCGCTCCAACACCGCTCTCGGCCTCGCTCCATCCGCACCGACAAGCGGAAAGGTCAACATCGACGCCGGTCCACCGATGGAGTTTCCTGCTCCCTTCGGTCGGGAGCTGAGCAAGGAGGAGGCCTACATCGCCGAGATGGACGCCAAGACCGGTGCTTCGCTGAAACTGACCATCCTCAACGCTGAGGGCCGCGTGTGGACCCTTGTCGCCGGTGGCGGTGCTTCTGTTGTGTACGCCGACGCCATCGCGTCTGCAGGCTTCGCGTCCGAACTCGCCAACTACGGCGAGTACTCTGGTGCGCCCACCGAGACGCAGACCTACCACTATGCACGCACAGTGCTTGACCTCATGCTGCGTGCACCGCAGCGACCAGAGGGCAAGGTGCTCTTCATTGGCGGCGGTATTGCCAACTTCACAAACGTGGCGTCGACGTTCAAGGGTGTCATCCGGGCGCTGAGGGAAGTAGCACCCCTGCTGAACGAGCACAAGGTTCAGATCTGGGTTCGTCGTGCTGGCCCCAACTACCAGGAAGGTCTGAGGAACATCAAGAGTGTCGGTCAGGAACTTGGTTTGAACATTCATGTACGTCTCTCTTTCTTTTTGTCTCGTCTCCCCTCCCCCCCCGTCGGGGCATCGTCACGTAGGCTAACAAGTTGAAAACTAGGTATACGGCCCTGATATGCATGTGTCTGGCATTGTGCCTCTGGCTCTGAATGGCAAGAAGACGGACATTAAGGAGTTCAGCGGTTAAATTGTGTCCGGGCTTTGCTCGAGCGAGCAAAACGAGAAGAAGAGCCAAATGGCGAGAAGGCAAGCTCAAGAGTGACGAGTAGAGAGAATCCACCGATGTAACATGTATCTGAACCCTTTTGTCACGACCGGGTAGAGGATGGCGGGGATAAAGAAAAGGGGAAACCATGAAAGACCCGAAGGCAATCTGTCATACGCAAAAACGTTTTTGAAATGATGACAAGGCGGGAAGGGGTTTCTTTTGAATCTGTCGGAGAGAGAGGTTTGCAATGCATATGTATACATATATGCATATCACACATATATATGTATGTATAATATGCCCACCCTTCTATCTAAAGAAGCCCCCCTTTTTTTTGAGAAAAACAAAAGCGTCGACCTCTGGAAGCATTCGTGTTTTTGCTTCTTCTACCGCTACAGATAACAAAAGAAGGCAGGCGAACGCATTCGCCCGTCCGTCGAGGTGGCGCCTTCTGCAGCCCGTTGTCGCCTGCCGGAAGCGAGAGAGACGACGGACGTAGCGAGTAGTAGAACGGAAGTTTTCCCCGACCCCCCTCCCCAAACCACGCTATCTCGAAGCCCACATCTACTCACTTCTATTCTCTCTCTCTTTTTTTTTTTTTTACAAATAAAATTGAAACAAAAACAAAACCACTCGCTCTTGCTTTCCGAGACGAAGAAGATACCGAAGGCTGAGAGGGGGTCCCGGCCGCAGGGCCATGGGAAACAGCGTTGATTGCAGGAATTGGAGCAAACCTTTTGGGACCGGCTGCACACAACTAACTAATTGCCCATTTCCAGTGTTGTGATTCCCCGCAACCCGCCCCGGTCGGACGAGATGGAAAGGGGGTGGGTTTGTCTGTCAAAAAAAAAAAAAAAAAAAAAAGGTTCGCTCTGTCTTGGAACGCGAGCGTGCAATGATTTTTCGTGTTTTCTTTCTTTTTTTTTTTCGGACGATCTGGCTCGGTGAGGGTGACGATGCTGGGTGATAACCCCCCAATGCGGAAGGACGTGCGAACAGACTCAGCCCCTCGGCGTTGGTGTACCACAGCCTCTACAAAACCCACCCTGGCGTGCCGTGCTCGCAGGGCGTCTTAAGCACGAAAGAAAGAAGGGAAGCATAGCTGTCAGGGGAGTGGAAAGTCGCCGGTACGGTACGTTAACGCTGACGTTTTGCTGGCGATGCTGGAGTGCTGGCGCGGGTAGCCCAAGTTGGGTAGTTTGTGCGAGCGAGACGGCGCGAAGGGGGGTGGGGGGGGGCAAGGGGAAGGGATGCAAGAAGATGGCTCGTAATTGCTGAGAGCTGGCTTACGTACGGGATGGGCCTTTGTCTTCGTTCTCGGCCGGCAGGGACGGGCGAGAGGAGGGCGCGTCTGAGGGGTATAAAGAGCTTGGTTTCGAGGAGCAATGTTTTGAAGGACGCAACTTCACGGGCTCAGGCTCTCTGCTCTTCGTGGAATGAAAGCTAAGCAAGTCGAAGAATAGTAGTCAAACAGCATCTACTTTGCACTCGTTGCGGCTTCGCCCTCCTTCCCTTTCCCCAATCACAGATACACGTACTTACTTGACTCGACCTTGCTCGGCAAGCCCCAGCGTCGGACCATTCATGTTCCTCTTTGCCTACGCCCGCCGTAAGTACAAGAAGCGTCAGCAGGAGAAGGAGGAGCGAGAGGGTCAAGACGAGCACCGACTGCACGCAGCCCGAGCAGACCACTCTCGCTCTCGCGATGACAGAGCAAATACCGGGGCCGCGGGCTCTTCCGATCCTGGGCAACATTCTCGACCTGCGGGATCCTGATGGGGTCAATATCCGGCCCCTTGAGCGCATGATCGACGTGTACGGACCGATCGTCAAGTTCAAGGTGGCCGGACGCGAGACCGTCGTGGTCGGCGGCTACGACCTGTTCGAGGAGTTGTGCGACGAAACCAGGTTCTGGAAGGTGCGGCACGAGATCCTCGTCAGCGGCGAGGATCCGAATGCGGTGTCCGGCCTGTTCGCCCAGGCCAACGAGAAGCTCGTCGACTGGCAGCAGGCGCACCGGATCCTGATGCCGGCGTTCGGCCCCTTGGCCATCGAGAAGATGTTTCCGGGTAAGTCTTGGCAGAGCCCCCCAATCTCTGTGCTTCGAGCATGCTGACCTTTGTGCCAGAAATGGACGACATCGCGACCCAGTTGCTGCTCAAATGGGCGCGACAAGGTCCGGATGCCAAGATCCTGGCGTCGGAAGACTTCTCAAGGCTCACGCTCGACACCATCGCTCTGTGCGCCATGGACTACCGCTTCAACTCGTTCTACACAAACGAAATGCATCCTTTTGTTCAGGCGATGAACCGCGGGCTAGGGGAGAAGAACTCCCGCAACCAGATCGGCAGTCGCATCAAGAGCTTGATGCCCGGCCATAAGGAGCAGATCCAAAAGGACCAGAAGCTCATCTTGCAGACGGGAGCGGATATCGTGGCCCAACGGAGGGCAAATCCGGTTGACAAGAAGGATCTCTTGAACGCAATGTTACACGGAAAGGACCCAAAGACAGGTGAGACTATGCGAGACGAGCTTATCGTCGCGAACATGAGGACGTTCTTGATCGCTGGACACGAGACCACGTCGGGAATGCTGACGTTTGCGTTCGCGGAGATGCTAAAGAATCCGTCGACCTACTTCAAGGCCCAGAAAGAAGTTGACGAAGTGATTGGCAAGGAGAAGGTGAACGTCAAACACCTCGGCAAGCTCAAGTACCTCAACGCTTTGCTCAAGGAGACGCTGCGGTTGCACCCAACGGCTCCGGCATACTTCCGCGCGGTGCGACCGGAGAACAAGGAAGAGAAACCGACGATCGGAGGAGGGAAATATGCCATGCCCGGGACCGCAGGCGTGCTTTGCCTCCTGACGAAGATCCAGGTCGACCCGAAGATCTGGGGTAATGACGCGAACGAATTCCGGCCAGAGCGCATGCTCGACGAAAACTTTGAGAAGCTGCCGCAGGCAGCATGGAAGCCCTTCGGCACCGGCCTGCGGGCATGCATCGGGAGGGCCTTCGCCTGGCAGGAGGCACTGCTCATCTGCGCTTCCATCCTGCAAAATTTCAACATGACCATGGACGATCCAACGTACGAGTTGAAGATCGTGCAGACGCTTACGATCAAGCCAAAGGACTTTTACATGCGCGCGAAACTGCGGCCTGGTCTTACTGCTGCCGGTCTGCAGGAACGTCTTGCCGGCCGTGCAAACGTTGCCGAGGCGAATGGTGCGGGCAATCCTACGGCAGCAGAGGAGGAGATTGTTGGTGATGAGAACCTGAGGATTCTTTACGGTTCCAATACCGGGACATGCGAGACCTTGGCCAGGAAGTTAGCGTCTCAGGCAGGCCAACACGGCTTCAAAGCCGGCGTCGTCGAGCTGGACAACGCGATCGAGCAATTACCGACGGACATGCCTGTGGTCGTCATTACTGCTTCATACGAAGGTCAGCCATGCGATAACGCGGCTAGTTTCGCAGCTTGGTTGGAGGCTCAAAGGGATCCAACTCTGCTCAAAGGTGTGCAGTATGCGGTCTTCGGGGTCGGCCACAGCGACTGGCGCGACACCTTCCAGCGACAGCCTAAGCTCATTAACGACAAGCTCGCTGCTCTGGGTGCTTCAAGGCTTGCCGAACGTGGGGAGACTGACGCTTTGAAGAACAGTCTTTTCACAGATTTCGAAGACTGGGCCGAGAAGACCCTCTGGCCCGCTCTTCCTCAGGCCGAGAGCAAGCGCGTCTCGTCGATCAAGCGCGTTAAATCAAGCTTGAGAATGGACGTCAAGAAGGAAGACCGGGCTGCGCACCTCAACCAAAGGAATCTGCGATGGGCCAAGGTGCTCGACGCTAAGCAGCTCACGGCATTTGGCAGTCCCCAAAAGCGACATATTGAGATCGGCCTCCCAGAGGAAATGTCTTACCAGGTCGGTGACTACCTTGCCATCCTACCGCTGAATCCAGAAGCTAGCATCAAGAGGGTTATGCATCGGTTCAAGATCAACATCGAGAGCATCATCACCATCGCCGACGCTGGGCCTACAAACCTGCCAGCCAATGTGCCCATGCACGTGGATGACCTGCTTAGAGGCTATGTGGAGCTCTCACAGCCCGCTACTCTCCGCGACGTCCATACGCTGTCCGAGGCGGCAACAGGCGTAGACAAGCAAAAGCTCACTGATCTGACCGATCAGACGATGTACGAAGCTAGCATTCTCCAGCATCGCATCAGCATTCTTGACCTCCTCGAGCAGTACCCGAGCGTTGACCTGCCGTTTGACCAATTCCTGACCATGCTTCCGCCACTGCAGACGAGACACTACTCAATCTCATCGTCCTCGCTCGCACAGCCTGACTCGTGCACCTTGACGTACTCTGTCATCGACGCTCCCACCATGTCCGGACTCGGCGACCGCTTCCAGGGCGTGGCTGGTACCTATTTGAAGACGCTCAGGAAGGGAGACGACGTCCTCGTTTCCGTGCGTGCTACAAACAAGCTCTTCCGTCTGCCTGCCGACCAGGCAAACACTCCCCTCATGATGTTCTGCGCCGGAAGTGGCTTGGCACCCTTTCGAGGTTTTATCCAGGAGCGGGCGTACCTGATCAAGGAAGGAAAACGCAAGCTTGCTCCCGCCTTGCTCTTCTTCGGATGCCGGTCCAGGAAAGAGGACGCGCTGTACGAAGAAGAACTCGCCGAGTGGCAGAAGATCGGCGCGGTGGATGTGAGATACGCCTTCAGCAAAAGCCCTGCCGACAGTGCCGGCTGCAAGTACGTGCAGGAACGAATGCTCCACGACAAGGCGGAGGTTGTCGACCTCTTCGAAAGGGGCTCCATGGTCTACGTGTGCGGTAGTAGAGCGGTTGCTACCGAACTGGGCGGTGCCGCGAGGGAGCTCGTCAAGTGGAAGGCTGAGATGGAAGGGAAACAGTTGAGCTCAGAGATGGTTGAAAGTTTCATGAGTGTGATGAAGAACTCGCGGTTTGTCAGTGATGTTTTTACCTAGCGATGTCGCCGGTGTTGCAGGTGCGACGCTATTTTTTTTTTTTCTTTTTGTCCATTGCTAAACGATGTTGGGTTTGTCCATGACTCTGATTTTCCCCCAATCCCCAGTCCATACATTCACTATGGTCTTCGCTGTCAACCTTATGACGGACAATTTTTCCGGCTCTTCATAACACAAAGCACAACCTTTCATAATTCACAATCATGCACAGGATCGGATAGAAATTCTAGGTTCATGACATAAATCCTCGTAGATGTCGTTTCTCATTGCCTTTCTCTCCCGGGTGCCCTTCAAGACGCTGACGTGAAGACGATCGATCAATACTCGAAAAGGAGAAAGGGGAGGTCCACAGCAAACGCGCTCACCCAATGAAGCCATCTAAGAAGCGCAATTAGGCACGTCCGTAGCGTATCCCAGGAAACAGTTTAACTTATACAATTCGTCCGTGGTCGCGCCAAAGGCATTTCGCAATCAGCACGCCCAGCCCCGACGCAATGGAAGAACGCGTTAACGACGCGCACCATGGCTACAAGACCTGAATCGCGCGCAACCAGGTCCTTTTCCTCGGCTGTTCCGCAGCGGCACCCAATCTCTCGCCAAAAACCCTCACAAGGCTCGGGTGTGCAGAGCCCGTCGCTCGGTGAATGGCGACGGCCTATGTCAACTTGACGGGCCATCATACACGCGGACGACCTTGTGGACGCCTGCTAGGAACTGAATGTGATTCAAAGCATTCAGCAAGATATTAAAGCGTAAGCTCCGCGTCTGGCGTCAACCGCGCGAAGTGGATTTGGGCCGTTTCGCATGCGTCATACGCCTTCTCGTGTGAAGCGTTGACGGACTGCAGCCCCCAAGGGCATTTTCTTGAGGTACAAGGGCCGAAGGAAATTTACCCGAAGGGAACCCATCTCTTCGAGAAGGTTGGCACTATTAAAAGGCACTAGAAGAGGAGTTGTTGCAAAGCTTGACAATCTGCACGGCGGCGGTGTGCGTGGAAAGGACGCAGACCCACCAGTACTCAAGAAGCCGAGTCTGAACCTCTCGTGATTGCCTCCGTAGCATGTTGAATACACAAAGATGAAAGACTGAAGCAGCCTATTTCAATTGCGTTTTTGTTACTGTACGTTTCAAAGCACCTACGTCCCAGCTCATGGCAATCCTTTGCCAGAGTTAATGGCATCAGCGACCTGACTTGTGTTTGGGCGGTTCTCTGTGCGAAGTTAGCTACCCGCACACTCTTGAGGTTTTGGTCCAGCTGAAAGCTGAGGCGAAGGAAGGAAAAGAGAAAGAGGGAGCCTCACCGGCGTATCTCTCATAGCTATCAAGATACAATTCATCTCCGCTCGTCGTCGCTTTCACAAATGGGTCTGCTTCAATTGCTACAACCCATTTGCCCCACCTACTGTCCTTGTCTACGTCAGGCCATCCCCTATACGGCTTTAGCACCTTGTTCAGACGTATTACCCATGGAGCCACTTGAACATCTACAAAGGACAGTTCGGGGCCAAGGAAAAATGGGCCTTCTGCATCGGCAGCGTTGACCAATTTCTCGATCTCATTCTTGAGGCCAGCAGCCTCCTCGATCTGCTTAGAAGTTTCCTGAGCAATAAGGTAGGAGTAGAAGCGTGGCACTATTTTACGATTAATGTGATCCGACCACAGGCGAGAGTGTGCGCGCTTTTTAGGGTCAGAGGGTAGAAGAGGTTTGCCTTGGTTGATGTCTTCGAGCTGTGGGGGTCAGTGATCATTACCAAAGAGAGCAAGCTTATATAGGATAATGGGATACAGCATACATATTCCATGAGCACAGTGCTTTCGTAGCAGCACCAATCACCGTCCTGTAGTGTTGGTACTAGTCCCCGAGGATTGAGTTTCAGGTACCAATCGGGTTTTTTATATGGGTCTATTTCTATGTATTGATAATCGAGCTTCTTGTACTCCAGGGCTATCCAAACACGTTGCACGAATGGACTATAGCGAAGATTAGCACCTGTATTAGAGTACAAGGTATTGACCATCAAGCCATACCAGAAACAACTTCCATATAATTTCAGAGGATGGTCCTTTGAATGCTTTTTAACTGTTCCAAGGGCTGGACCCGTAGCTTTCGTGTGATAGGTTTTCTTTTCCTGCTCCGTCTTGCCGTCAGATGAAGTCATGTTTTGTGAAGTAGTGGTGCCAAATCTAGGACAGTCTATGTAATTCGCTGTGAAGAGAACATGTGATCTGTAAACCTTTGAGGTGCAAGAGCGCGAAGACGTAACGATAGGACAAAGGCCTCTCGCAAAATAGTGTGAAGCATTGAAGAGAGGGGGATCGATTCACACAAAATGATGCTGCTTAGGAAGTGATGATGGATGACGAAAGACGCAGATCATGCGAGACCCTTGCTGCAGAACATACGACCGGGGGCTCGAACAGCTCCAGAAAAAAAGACGTACAGAAGATAGGATCAGCTGCGAGGTGGAAACAGTCTCAGAACTTACAGACGGCTTTGCTTTTCTCTTTTCCCTATCTTGCATTGCCAACCAGCGAATAACGCTGTTCTTCTTGATCCGGTCGCTCTCTTCGATCGTATGCTTATGCCTGCCGTTTTCGCCCTCTTTCGCATTAGGCCCCGTGCCATTCACGCGTTGGATTGTATAGAAGCGCTTTGTCACCTGCATAGGTGCACCGGACTGCAGCGACTGCCCAATAGCGCCTTGCACTCGCTGCAGCAATGCCTCAGCATTAATGCCATCACCTCTTGGCTGTTGGCTCAGGTGCGTAGCAATTTCGTCGCGTGTTGCGCCGGGTAGATACTCGGTGATTTTGATCTTTACATCGCATAGATCTCGCTCACGGGCCACGCGTTTCCGTTTCTTCTTATTGGGGTCGTCGGATTTGGGGGTTCCCGCAGGTCGGCCTTTCAACCGACAGTCGTAATAGTGCGAAACGAAAGGCTTTTTCTTGTATTCTTGTGTAGATCGATGGGAGTATACGTTGTCGACGTGTGGAAAGTAGATCTGAAACCTATTTTGATTAGAGAAAACAAGTTAGCCAAAGTTATGCGTCAGGAGGTGCACAAGAAGGTGCGGCTACTTACTCCTCCTCTGTGAGGATCAAAAGTCCTTCCACCTCGAAGAGCCTCTGTCGCCATTCGTCCTTTCCCGGTGGCTCGGGAATGATCCTCAATCCCTTTATATGCTTATCTACTTTGCCATCTTGAGCTGCAGTCGACGACTCGGGTGGAACTGCCTCTTGGGTTTGCACAGGCGCAATCGGAACTTGATTTGGAGGCTGTGGATGCGGCCGCTGTATTGGTACGCCATTATGGACAGGAAGATTGTACTGCTGCTGCTGTGAGTAGCGAAGAGCATTCGGCGGGGCGGTATTGTACTGTGGGGCCGCAGACGTTGGGTGCGTGGTCGTCAAGCCTCGTGGTGCGCCTTGCTGTCCATAGAAAGACGTGTAGGGAACAAAGCCCAAGCCAAAACCTTGGATTGACTGTGGAGGCTGTTGCATAGGATGCGATTGCTGCAGATGGGGTCGCGCATGCTGATAAGAATTTGCATGTGCCTGTCCAACATCCATTGTTGGAGTAATGCGGCTGAATAGATCGTGGAGTGCATGGTCCGCGCTGACGCTGCTTTAACGAGAATCAAAATTCCTTTCACGTTTTTGGCGTAGCGCACAATCTTCTTAACTGGCTGCCTTACCACCTCTTACCGCCGTGTTCACCACAACAATTACTTAAAGAAACTTTTCTGGGAGCCAGTGCTCAAATTTTTCCAGGCGTGTTAGTCGTTGGTTTCGAGGATAAAAGCGTTAGAGCTGTAACAAGAGCCTTCGTACAATCAACAGGCTTCGCGGAGTCTGGACTGTATGTGAATAGACAAGGCTGAAAATTGTCGGCAGATATCCATCCGTTGCAGGCTTCTAGGCCAGGGAAGACGTACTGCGAGGCGTCTCACGGATTGTACCCGCGAAATTACGATGAATGCTGGGAGTAAGTCGCGTGAGATATGCTCGAAGTGCCAGACACACTAAAATCTGGTGCTAGCTCCCCGCCCAGTGTTGTACAGCATCAAGCATACCACCAATAAAGGGCTCGGCGTCTTTGCAACTCAGGAAATCCACAAAGGTACTCGTATCACATGCGAACATGCCTTGCTAACGGTGCCGCGGGAACCTGGAACCATCGACCCATTGGCAGTCTACGAGGCTTTCGAAGCGCTCAAACCACAGGATCAGAGCACGTACCTGGAGCTTTCAGCATCGCAAGTTCAGATCGATCACGCCCTTGCGTGCATTGATGATGACGTTTCTGACGACATTCGCAATCATATCGCGAAGCTGGGAAGTATTTTCGAATGTAACGCATTCAACATCGGAGACGAAGATGAGGAGACGGGCATTGTAAAGGCAGGCATCTTCCCTATTGCAGCTCGCTTCAACCACGACTGTAAACCAAATGTAGCACAGACATGGAATGAAAATCTACAGTGTCTGACTATCCACGCAATAAGGCACATCGACAAGGGAGAGGAGTTATGTGACAGCTATGTACCGCTGTGTCAGCCTTCAGCCGCAAGAAAAGAAGAGCTCAGGGCGTATGGCTTTGAATGCGAATGCTCCGTTTGTGGGTCCCCAAGGGCAGAGTTGCGGAAGAGCGATGAGCAGAGGGCGATGATACGGCGCTTGGGTGAGGACTTGCAATTCTACGCGAATCGAAGACGAGGGTCATGGTTGGGACCTATCTCTCCCTCGCTAGTTAGAGGCGGTCAGGAAGATCCACTCAACGTAGTACGATACATTGAGTATCTTCTTCAGGATGAAGGGCTAGAAGGCCATGATTTGGGACAGTAGTAAGTATTACGCGAGATACCAAGTCCTCGGTGCTGATATGATTCAATCATAAGTTATTCCTTCGCTTCGTGGTACTGCTCTACCCGTAGCACAGGCGATCTAGAAGAATCTATAGAGTGGCAGCAGAAGCTGTTCGACTTCAACAACACTATCAAGGGTGGTGATCATGAGGATACCATCCGGTCAAAAGAACTCCTCGACAATCTCCTTAAGCAGCGCTCCGCCAGTTACGAGTAGGAGAATTTTCATATACAAAACAATTCGATTGCATGTTTCGATGCTAAATCTTCCTCAGCTTCTGGAACTTTTGAGGCAGCGTGTCTTCATATATATGACACTACTTTTTAACCCTAGTATTTGTCACCGGGAGAATATTATCTCTAAATTGGTGAAGGTTCATGTCACACGATTTTATTAATGTCCACACAGTTTTTTAGCCACTAATGACTGCACCCATATTTCATCCCTTATGAGATTCATATTCACTTAAACGCTTCTACCTCGCCTAGAACGTCACAGTGCTCTGCGATGCTCTCTTTGGATTTGAAGAGTTCGTTAAAATACAACAGCTTTGCTCACCTTTCCAGTTCGTTGTTTAATGCGTACAATGTGGTAGAATCTGCTGCACAGCCTGTTCATATTAAGAACCAAAAGTTTTCCACAGCATAGAAGACTAGCGCGGACTGCGTTTTCTTAAAAGGTAAAGTTCTTCATCCCATACACTACATGATGCGCCAAATGTGTCGAGTTTCGCTTTGATGACATGAGTTCTCAGAGGACATAGACATGGATGAGAAATGCTTCCTGCAGTACACGTTGTTCTACAAAACTTGTCATCTCCTAAGCCTCCTCTATAATTTTCCCCTGCTCAAGAACTTGACAGGAATATCGACGTGGCGCGCACGAAGGAACTCTGCAACGTTCTTCGCGAGGAAATCGTACGAGCTTGAACAACTAACGCCTCTGTCCAAATGATCATGTAAAAGGAAATGCACAGCTCGCGCATTTGGAAGCTCAAACCGATCCTGTCGTCTTGTAAGTTTCTATTCGAACAGGCAGATATGCGACAACGCACAATCTTCTTTCCTTGCTTATACTCATCTGCAAGAAGCTCTTTCATTTTATCAACACTCAACAAGGTCCTTAGCCAGTTCCACTGCTCGTCCGTTTTGACCCAGAAGCCCACGTTGGCGTTGCTCCCTTTGTCTCCACTCCTTGCATGTGCGACCCATCCGAGAGGCCCTCTCGTCGTTGCGCCAAAAGTACTCAGATCGACCCCTTGAGTTGTAGTTGGTTGTGATGGTTGCTGCTTATCCCATACCTTCGTAACAGACGGGGGGTCAATTCTGATGGTCTCTCCGCTTTCCAGATGAACCTTGTGATCAACATCAGACTGCGGAATCAAGGTGACGTAGTACTCGAAGGCTGGCTTGGGGAATCCTTGTCTAAAATCGAGATGAGGTGTTGAACCCGGATAGCTGTGCATTATTGAATCCAAACATGGCCGAAGAACTTTAGCCGGCGACACGTCCTGCTCCTCCCTGGCTTGGACGAATATTCTCAAATCGACGGTAGCAGCATTCTGGTTCGTCGGATTTTCCATTGCTGTACCGTTCTTGGTGAACTCGAATTTGATGAATTTCTTGGCGTGGTCTCCAATTGCCTTTCGGATTTGGGCTTCGCACATCCGCGCTTTCGCGTCAATGTCAAGACCAGTCGGGAAGAAGTGGAATTCAACTTGATAGCAAGGACGGGCAGTAAGACCCACTTTCGTGGTAGGAGGAGGCGGCGCAGACTTTACTCCCCTCAGCGCAACTCTATTTTCAGAAAGCTGCTCAAACCAGAGCTCGTCCAAAATTGCGGTAACGTCTGAATTGAAGTACCAGGGACCTTGAATTTCGTACAAAAGCTGCGAAGTGCATGTATCTGTCGTCACTCGGCCCTGGGTGCCTTTCTGCTTCGTAACGATCACCTCACCGGAGGATGAGATTTCTGCAATCGGGAATCCCAAATCATCCCACCCTTCAGCTTCGAGATCTTTAAATCCGGTGAAGTTGCCTCCCGTAACATACGTACTGCATTCCTGTTACACGAGTTAGTCAATAACTTGCTAATGCTCTCATGTACTGACAATCAGATGGCCACAGACGAAGGCGTTCGCCAGCTGATCTAAGTCAGACCGTTTCCAATTATGCCACCAGTAGGCACCTCCTATAACAGGCGACGCGTCCGATACTCGACCTGCAATAACAATATCCGAGCCTCGTCGAAGCGCTTCCGCAATCCCGAGGCCCCCTAAGTAGGCTTGAGCTGAAATTGGCTCGAACTTCCAGTCACGCAAGAGCTCCCCGGTGCAGATATTTTCGAACTTTTCTTCGCCAGACGCCACGCGCGTTTTGATGATGGGAAGCACCTCATCGCCTTCGATCCAAGCCACCTTTAGGTCGAGTCCCTTTTCCTTGACAAGTTTTCGAACAACCTCGCAGAGTCCCATTGGATCGCTAGCGCCTGCGTTGACAGCAAGTTTGATGCCATACTTTGCAAGATATGGCAGTGCTGGAGTGACGGCCTCCAAGAACGTTGGCTCATATGCAATGTCCGTTGGGTCTCCTCGTACTTTCGACCATGCTCGAGCCGTCATATTGCCTTCCGACATCCAGTCGCCGATTATCAAATCAATCGGATCATTTGGGTAATTACACGCTAAGGACAATATGGCATGACGCCTGTCACTTGCGCTGCCGGAAGCCCCAGCAATTCTAATCGGACGAGATGGCATTGGCGATCACTTCTCGTGCTCAGCTGATTCTTGGAGAGGTGGTTTGCAGTTATGAATCATGCAGTTGTTTTTTTTTTCCTAGTAGCTGTAGGAAAGTGTGTATGAATGATCTTACTCTTCTCTAAAAATTCGAGCATATTTCACTTTAATTGGTCGCTGGAAGCAAAAAGTCTATGGGGGAGGAGCAGTAAGCGGAGAACGAAAATGACCGAGGTAACTCTTTTAGTCCGGGTTACCGCCAATAATGCGAGTATCTCCGTATCTCACAACGTCCTCTAGTATTAAGCACCTTGCGAAAATAAAGGTTTGAATATTTCGGGGCGCAACATGTGAAATGTTAAGCCATCGCGGATTCACTGGTAGTCTAGGTAAGATGCATTAGTTCTAGAATAACGTGTCAAAGGCCCGAGCTTCTTCCGCGTTGAGCCTTACGTAGAGTTAATTTTTGTGGATTAATGAAGATGGAATGAATATCGCTTTCAGCTATATTCTCAATTGTTGATTTATGCTATCATTTTTTACCTGTCGAGTTCCATACGCATGTTTTCTTTTGTAGAAAACCGCTGAACGACCATCAGTCATCATCATTATCATCGTTATCGTTCTCATCATTCGTTCTGTCCGTCCCATCCAACCCACATCTCAGATGCCCGCTGAGCTGAAGTCATCTCTCGTAATTGTTCTGAGAATTCGCATGATATTTTGTCTGTACAAGCGACAGACTCTTGTATTAACATTAACCATATTGATTGTATTGAATGCTGCTCATCTTGTTTTCTGTGTTTAGCGTCATGGCGGGAATCACAGGTGGTGATGCGATAGTATTGTAAAGAAGCAGGTTTTCGGTAATCTATTTAGCTCTCTCGAGAACTTAGTGCATCCTGCTCTACCGCAGCTGCGAGGTTGTGAGTATGAGATCATAAAAATGAGGGCAGAGTCGTTAAGAGTAGGAGGATGAGCTGGTATCGGAGTCATCTTTGGTTGCCTTCGATTTTGCCAGAACCGCTTGCACCTGCGCCTGTTGGTACTTGGCACCGCAGTCCGTATTCCAGAAGATGAATGGGCCGGAATACACTTTGCTTCTGTCGATAGGGGTGTTTGGCGACCACCAGCGTCCAACAATGATCTGGTCTCCTGGCAATACGACGCCTTCATAGGCCCAGAGAGCACTCATGTCGATTTGATTGTTGGAATCTGGAAAGTACTTCATCATGACGATGCGCTTGAAACCAGGAATGCCCATTTGGGTTGGTAGCATATTGATAAAACCGGAGCCCCAGAAATTCCTATGAAAGTCCTTTTAGTATTGCGCATGAAGGTAGTTAGGTTCAATCACTCACTCATCATCCCAGCCATGTGCATCGAAGTAGACAGATTTCAGTTGCTGAGCGTCCAAAGGACCAAGGAAGCTGGGAACAGTCGAGCGAGTGTTGCGCATGGCAAAAGGGCCGTTCCATTCGATGTAGGCTTTGCGAAATGCACCCTCTATGAAACTATCACCGTGAAGATGCTTCTCAAAGATCTCTGGCCATACAGTCGGGCGGCCTGGAAAGTTCATCTCTAGCTCCTAACTCTGATTTAGCCGTTGGTTCGTAAGAAAACATGTGAAATATTATACCTGAATGCCTTTTTTGCCAAGATCAACATTGTGGTCCTCGTACACCCTGTTGCCGAAAAATTTGTCCAAGCGGAGCTCCTTGATATCTAATTCGGAAATGTAGGCTTACATGTGTTAGTCGATGCCTTCCCACAAAAATAGAAGATAGGGTAGGGAGCGCACAATAGGAACCCTTCCAGTGAGTGCCAAGTGGAGTGGTACCAGCATTGCTAGACAAGCGCTGCTTCCACATTTGAGGCATTTCGGTGCCCTCATACTTCTCGTCGAGATCTGAGAACGCCGAGTACAGAGTGGCCGGAGTTCTACCAAGAACGTGGAAGCGGAAGAAATTGACGACGTGCAAGGCCCACTCGATGTTGACCTCGAGACCATACTTTCCTCCAAAAAGAGGAGCAGACACCAGATCCATGTAAACGGCGCGCTGAGAGGCTGGAAATGAGTAGACACGGGGATATGGGATGAAGAAGCTCAGGCAGCGAGGGGTCATGATAAGCTGAAAGAGTTGCATAGTAGTCACGTTCCTATTGTCGAAGCCTGATGCGTTACGGGCCTTTTTTGAAATCTTTCTGCCGTACTTGAACGTCACTGCCTTCCCGTTGAACATAATGCGCTGGAAAATCGATTGAAGGATGTTGGTCGTCAAGATGAAGCGGTCCAGGACCTCGAAATTCTTGCAGTCTGGGACGCCGTACTCGTTGATGGAGACTGGGTTCGCGTCTAAACATGTAAGCTCAGATCAGAGAAGAATAAAATCATCAAACTCAGATGATTGGAGAAAGCATTGAGAGCTTTCATGGAGCACTCACCGAGAGCGATGTCGATAAGTTGCTTCATGCATTCATTCTCCTGGGCAGTCCTGCCGGTTCCGAAATGAGGAGCTGAGCGAAGGGCCTTGCGGCGAGCCTGGTAGATGTCTCTGAGGTCTTCAAGGCTGCAGGGATATCGAGGCATGTCGAAGTGTTCACGGAAACGATACATCCAGAAGTGATAAGGGTGAGCGTCAATGGCGGCACGTGCAGCCCTGCAGGATGCACGTAGGCTGGCAAGATCCTGATCGCTCAGATGGCTGGCGATGTTCTGAATTACCTACAAAGGATTGTCAGAAATGCACGTCGACCTAGTCAGCTTGAAAGATCAAGTACCTCATCTGGAGCGCGGCTCAGCGACATCGTGCCTTTGTTCGAACCTAAAATCTGAGGCTTCTATTAGCAACTGTCTCTAGTTTGCTTATAGACTAAGCGAAGCTTAGGGGTTAGCGAACGAGAGCGAGAATGAAGCACAAAACGGTTGATGTTGCCGTGAAGAAGAAAGGTTGAAGGTTAAACGAAGATGACACGGTACTTATAGGCACGTCAACAGCTCTATCAGAACAAGAAGGTGCCGTTTTGAGCCGCTGACTTGTCAAATCCGAGCCCGATGTAGTGTGAAACTCGCAGTGAATGCTCAAAGTTTGTGTGAAGATGGGGTGACCCGACCAAGGGGCTTCGATCAAGTAAGAACCAAGTGAGGGCCCCAGATCTGAGAATGAAACAACTATAAAAAGCGATCCCACGTACTTACAGAGTGTAAAACGTGATAAGCCACCTCATTTCCCTAATGCTGGTCCTCAGTTGACGCTTTGTTTGTCGTCATGCCTTGCTCTTGTTCGGTTATCCGTATTAGGTCTCAGGACCACACCGAATGCGTGCCAGATCCACACAACAGAATCCATTAACTTCACTGGAAAAGCATCTTCCACATTCAGATCTTTGTTTTTTTCATGCACTTAGAGTGTCGAACTAGCGTATAAGGTCATCGTGGCGTGGTTCTGGTCCAGTCTGCGCCATCCGATGTCAGCCGTCAACAGGAGTTACCCGGACACTTCACAATCTGGACAAGGGTTTGAAAACAATGAACATGGGCGACAATAGGCATTCCATTGCCACATCACTGAAGATTTATTTGTTGTAGTTAAGCTGATTTTGAATCAAAAATTGAGAAATTTCTCTTACTGGATCTGGCGGACGTTAATACAGGAATGGCTGCACAATTACGGCACAAGAGTAGCTCAACTCACCACGGTGCCTTAAAATTTTTATCTTTTTTTTTTAAAAAAAAATACAGTAATTGAAGATGATTGATTTTGCCGGTCTCCCCGAGACTATATTACGTCCACTCTACAGGCGTTAATCACATCTTGCTCATATTTCAGGATCATAGCACCAAGACCATCGCAACGGCAGCGCCCAGAAGCAGCGCCCAGCCTGAATTCACGATCAAACCATTTGCAGAGGATGGTTTTGACGTGCTTGTTGCGTTGCCCAGAGCATCTACCGAGCTGCCATCTGCCCTAGTGATGACAAAGATAGCGCCGCTCGAGTCCGCGCTGACGAACAGCCTGCCCTTGCTGTCGAACGCGAGTGAGACGGGGCGGAAGCAGTTATCCGGACAGCCCGAGTTATTCACATTCGACATGATGGGAAGGATGGCGTCCGTGCTGTTCGCTGGATGCGTTGGCTCGCCGTTGGCAAACTCGAGAGCGAAAACGAGATAGCCATCTGGGTTGTCCCTGTTCCAGCTGCCGTGGCTAGTCACGTACGCTACGGAGCCATTGCTGTTGAATTTGATGCTGGTCCTTGTCAGATGGGTTCCTTTGTTCAGATTTGACTACGTACTCTAATGGAGCCCAGTGGGCTGGGAAGGTTAGGCGAGGGGCAACATGGTCATTCTTGCAGACATCGTCGTTCACCGTGTTATTTGGCGTGCCGAGTGCGAACTGCGTTCCTGTCTCTATCCCTTGGTTATCCGGAAGCAAACTGGCATTCCACGCAGCGAAGCAGGTGGGGTATCCGTAATTTCCGCCTTGGCTCGCGTAATGTGTGCCGTTGAGGTATCCGTGGAAGTTCATCTCCTCGCCTGGATTGTTTTCGTGTATGTCCTGACCAAGGCGCTCCGCGTTGTCGACGCTATTTTCTACGCTATAGATACCACCGGTTTCAGGATGCTCTGCTATGCCGACGGAGTTGCGCAAGCCCCAACCAAGCCTTAAGCCCTGAGTTGTGTAATCGTACGTGTCGGAGCTGGTCAGGTTGCTGATATTAAATGCCCTAATCTGTGACCTTCCAGTGGACAGAGAAGCAGCGCCAGCGTCATAATTGTCGGCGCTTCCTCGGCTAACGAGAAGCATTCCGTCTGCCATCTTCGATAGCAAGAGCGTCCTCGTTGAATGGTCCGGGTTGTCCATACCCGTGATAAGCGTCCGTCGATTTGAGGTGGAGTGGTCATCTGGATTATAATCGTAGCTGTACGCTACGTCAGACGTGGATGCGTAAAGTGTCCTCCCATCCCCTGAGAGCTCGATCCCGTGATTTAGCTATGCACACAACAGATTTTAGCCATGACGCGAAGGAGCTACGCTCGTCTCTCCGCTCACCTGGTCGTCATTCACGACAGCGTCCTTGCTTTTGACGCTCAAACAGTCGCCACCATAGTCATTGAAAGTGATGGCTTGAATGCCCAAGGACTGCTCCACGACGAGAAGTCTACCCTTGGTGTCGAATTTGATACCTCGCGGCCGCTGCAGACCACTGGCGACAAGCCGCGCGGCATATCCGGCCGCAAGTGTTGGAGCAGGGTAACTCGCAGTTAACTCCGGCGCCGAGCACGACGATTGGGCGAGGACGGCTGGAACGGTCGCCAGCACGAGCGGGACCAGAGTCGAAATCATGTTCAATGTTTCACCGCCAACGATAATATCCTAAGGGCCAAGAAGAAACAAGAACGGTCTCCTAGGGCAGTCAATACATAAGACGAAGGAAACAACAAAAAAAGACCTAAAAGGAAAACTGCGGCTGTGGTCTCACGCTTTAAGGCTGTGTGCAGGAGATGCGGACCTGGGCGGATAACCAAGCACCGATCAGACGAGGAGGCACTGGACGGACTCTTTGCCGCACTGCGCGCGACGCAGGAACGCTTTATGCATGTTTCGAGGACGTCATCCCTGGCGGTTTTGTTCGAGACAGCTAACGACTAAGAGGTCTGTCTTGGGTGCGCTTGGAGAGAGGCGAAAGTCGTCCGGCCGTCTTGGGTAGGACTTGGCTTGCGACATAGAACCTAGGTCTAGCACACGGGATTCTCGGGCGAAAAGCAAAGGCTTCCGTAGGTCCACCTCCCACATGAATCCTGCAGTTCACCCATTTCAGCCGCCCCAAGGACGAACACCTGATGTCGTCATCGCTGTGAAATAAGCCGCAGACTGCTACGTCGTTGAGCACTGCTTGATAGGTGCGGGTCGCGTGCCTGGGCTGGCGATGTTAGAACTAAGCCCAATGCGTGAGCGGCAAGCAAGCCGCTGCTTCTTGGCCAATGTGCAGCTTACCCAGCAAGAAGGAAAGGCATTCGATGATAACCTCTCAGCCTTCCGCTAGACACGTTCCAACGGGCTCCACTGTGTAGATTAGTGGAACTCCAGCGGTAGCAAGGCGAGGTCTATTCATCGAACCGGCGGACAGGCCGAGTCATCCTCCAATCCCATTGCAACCTCCAAAGAGCCCATACGCAGGCCTAGAGCCTGAACACGAGTACAATAACCCAAGGCCAGCTCATCTTTGGAACGCATTCGGGGCAGCGAGCGCTGCGGGAACTAGAAGAACCACCCTCAGCGGGATTATTGTCATAGTAAAAATTGCTATTCTAACCCGGAACAGATCTTGCGTCGATTGGTGGCAAAATTCCACATGTAATCAGAGAGATTGATGAAGGAAATCAGGGCACTGTTACCTTGGCCTGCTGCATCGTTGGAGAGCTGCATCGCTGGCAACAGAAAGTAGAGAACAGTAATTATTTGCTCCATAGTTTCACACATTTGATAAATTTCATCCGACTTCTGCGAGTCGTTCTTCTTGCACAGTCTCTACCGCGCGTCATACGGGCGTGAGGTCTATGCTCTAGAGTGGGGAGTAATGTGGCTGCTGTACAAAGACAAAAATCCCAAACCATACCATTGTCCACCTGGGGTATTTTTACACGCAGTTCCATATTGTCCTTTTTGCGCCTTGTGTTGCCAATTAAGATGCAAGCCCGACTGTCCGATTATTGCCAACTTATGAACTCCAGAAGCTGCAGCAGCAACGCCCATTGCTTTGAGCGCCGCGCTCAGACCAGCTGTGACAAAAGAAATGAGGATTAAAAGGAAGAGCAATAACGAGGCTCGACCGACAACCCCGTTTTGTTGGTGGGATTCGAGAGCCCCGTGTGAGATTAAATATACAAGTCAAGCTTGAAATCAACCAGTTTTTTCCACCCATGAAGAAGCATCAAGGGAATGCCTCCCCACAAAGTGAAAAGGAAAAAATGAAAAAGGTGATACCTTTGACCAGTAGTGTGATCGACGACAGATGATAACCCAGTTGCAAGATGCAGTGAGGCCTTCGCAGCGATTTACTGAGAGTCCACAGCAGCGACATGGCCCACTAAATCCGAAATCTTGTTCGCCACAGCAGCTGGGTATCCTCTGCCCAGCGCCTCCTGTGCAACTCTGGCCGCTCTCTCCCTCTCGCCTAGGGCAACATACGCGCGAACCATGGCCTCGTACGTGCTAGGCTCCCTCTTTTCGGCAGGCACAGCGTCGTACGCGCTCTCTGCCTTGCCCAGGTTCTTTGCGTTCGCCCATCCGTGGATTAACGCGTTCGCAATATAGGGTGTCATCTCAACGCCTCGTTGCTTCATGAGTTCGAGAACAGGCTCAGAGTCGGCGATGGTGTTGTTGGCTACCATAGATTCGAACAGAGCTTGGAACAGGCAGGGCTGAAGGCGAACCTCCGTTTGTTCGAGGACGGAGTCGAACAGTGCACGGGCACCTTCCATGTTGCGGAGGACACAACCCTTCGCGTGCACGAGCGAGGCGTAGTGAACAGCTTCGGGGATTTCGCCATGCTCCCTAATCTGCTCAAGAACGGCCTCAGCAGCAGCCATATCGATGGGTTCAAGCGTAGCGTGAGTATCAATGAGCAGCTTATACGTGTGAGTAGTGGGCTGGATGCCGCGCTTGCACATGCGCTCGTAATAGTCCAGAACCTTTGACCTATCCCGCTTGGTTGAGAGGAAGAACTGCATCATCGAGTGGTACGGCGCAGGACGAGGCTTGTAATTGGGCATGGACTCCATCTCCTCGAAGAGTTCCTCAGCGAACTTCTCGTCGCTCACGCGACACAAAGCGTTAACGATGGTGCCATAGGTCACACTGGTGGGTCGGATCCCCAGACTGCGCATCTCCTGGAAATAGAACAGACAGTCGTCAATACGACGTGCTTTACCCAATTTACCAATCAGTGCATTGTACAAGAACGATGAGGGCTCGACACCTTCGGCCTTAGCCTGAAGGAAGATCTTTACGGCCTCGCTGGCCTCGTCGAACGTTTTGGTGCTTTCCTTCAGTGTCGTGATGTAGAGGCCAAATGTATTAGCCGATGGAGCGGCACCCATGCTAAGCAGCTCTTGGTGGTATTGCTGAGCGAGATCGCGCCGTCCAGTCGTCAAACATGCGGCAACCATGGCATCCAGAATCGTGACCCATCCATATCGAACAATGCGATACTGAGGGAGGAATGGTACATCCTGCCTTGCAAGGGCAAGCACGTCGTTCGCGAGAGAAAGGCGATTCTCCTTCGCCGCCGCAGAAATGAGTTTCGCGTATGTGAAGAAGCGAGGGTGCCTTCCTGCACGACGGATGTTTTTGAACCTCGCAAGGGCGTCGTTTAGATGGGATGAGAATCGTCCGTGTGTCTTCTCGAGCAGTTCCGTAATCGCGACAGAGCCCTTATTGTCTGTTGTTGCTGCATAAGGATCAAAGGAATCGTCGAAGGCCAGCTGTTGTGCCACTAGCGGTTGGGCGTACGGCACTGGGGTAGTGGTCGAATACTTGTATTGGTGCCAAAGGCTCCAAAGCTGAGGGTTCTCCAGCTTTGTAAGCGTTTTCTCGATAATGTTTTCCGTGGGCGCATCGATTGTGCCTGTGCAAAGAATATGCAGCAGGTGTGCAAATCGAGCTTGGTGAGCAACATCCGCGATGGAGGAAGAACCGTTTATTATCATGCTGCCCTGCACTTGGGCAAGCAGCTGCAGATCTACCCAGGCGAGATGCGAAATCTCCTCAGGACCCAAACCAGCAAGCAGATGATTGGCAACTGATGGTACAAGGCCGTGGTTTTCAACCATAGTCCACAACAGCTCCATAGCTGGACCTGCAGAAAGGAAGATGCCGCGCTTCATCATAAAAGCACCCACGACCTCTATCGCTTCATCAATGCGCTCGGTCAGCGACATCGTATCAGAAGACTCCGCCCTCGCATCTCTGATGCGAGCAAACATTGTCCGCTGAGCACGCAGGGCATTTTCTGCCTGCCCGTTGCCAATAAGTGCCACGGTCCTCATAACCGTTGGCTGGATAAACTCGGTGCGCGCTTTAGCCCTCTCGAGCATGCTCCAAAACGGCTCGCTGGCGTCGAGATTGCCGCTACGGATGTGCATCGCGACCATAGCCACAGCAGGCGAAGCCACGTCAGCCTTACCGGAAAGCTGGCTGAAAGCACGTGCAGCAACCTCGTACGAATTCCTGTCGGCGGCACGAATGCATACGGCCGAGAGACCAATATCGCGAGCAATACCAACGAGTTTAGAGCTCGCATAAGTAAAAGCTTCCTCGAAGTTGTGCATCTTTAGCCATTGGGCCAGATATGAACGCAAAGCCACTGTTTCCTTCAAACTAAGCTGCTTCTCTTCCTCGGCGGTGACAGCAATGAGCTTGTGGAAGAAGCGGTCAGCGCCCTCTTGCTGATTGGTTATTAGGTATGCCTTGATAACAGCTGCATACACGTCTTCATCCTTGCGTGACATGCTGATTTCGCCCTTGTCGTGAGCGATTGCTAGTGCCTTGTATTCGTCGTAGCACTCAACAGCGCTGCGCAAGTCGCCCGACGTGGCAAATGCGTGGATCATATTGACAAACATCTCAGGGCGCGGGATGATGTGGCGAGACTCCATCTGCTGGTAGATACGAACCATGTCCGGAATATTGCCCTTCTCCGCACAGGCAGACACCAAGAGACGATAGGCACGCTCGGTGAAACCCTTGGGGTGTATAGATATAGCTGTGTCAAACATACGGATCGCTAGATCAAGAGAGTCATCCTCGGCGAGCATTTTTGCTTCGTGTTCCTCAGATTTAAGCATGAATTGGTCTTCCTCTTCCAATCCACCAAATCTCGCACGGGAATCTTCAAGAGCGTTCTTGGCGGCCTGAACTTCTAGTGCTCGAGCGGAAAGAAGCTCGATGAGGATGCTATACGTCTGCCGGTCAGGAAGCACTGATCGTTTGAGCATGTCCGAATACACATCCAGTGCCTTGTGCACAACGAGATGGCGAGACTTGGGCAAATGAATTGCCGCCTGAAGAAGTGCATTGTATGCTTGCGAGGTGGGCTGTATGCCAGCATTCAGCATGCCCTCGAAGACGGCGGGAATCTCAGCATAGTTGCGCAATTCGGCTAGACGAGTGAGGTGGTCGCCGTACACATCGATGTCGGACACGGATGTCGATGGCGTAACTTCAGACGCAAAGCTTGATGCGGGTGTAAATTCAGTCGTCGATGCAGACAATGCCGGGCTCGATCGGCGCGGGATCGAAGTCCCCTGCAACGCGGATTCTTCGTCGTGCTGTTGCTGCGCAGCCTTGGAAGCCTCTTCCGCGATAGCTACTTCAACCTTGGCCAGCGCCTCGGCCGCGGCTTCTGGTGTGACAGAGCGCCTGAAGTCATCGACAGCGCTTGTGGAATAAGAGCGATCCAACCTCGGCGCAGTGGCCCGCTGTTCCTCCTCGTCTTCCAGTAGAGCGGACTCGTCTTTAGCCGCGCCATCCTTGCTCTTGCTCTCTGCGAGAAGAGTCTGTGGCCTCCATTCAATACGCTTCGCGAATTGGAACTGCTCCCATTTCTGGCCACCAAGGCTTTGCTGTTTCTGCCAGGCAGAAATGCACGCAGCAAGGCTCGACTCTTTGCTGGTTGCGTGGCCGCCCCGGCGGCTATCACGATCTACAAAAGCATTGTGCTGGGTATGTAGGTTCTGAGTCTTCCCGAGACGAGCTCCGAGATGACCGAAATTGTTGTTGTGCGCAGCGTAGGAGGACTGTGAAGCGGCTACGACCGATTGGACGTAGCCAGGACCGAGAGTCTTGTTGAATACGAGGCGCGCGAAGTTGCTGGCTTTGGGCACGACCATTTAGGAAACGGAACTGCCCTTCAACTTCGAAGGGTGAGACTGGAACAATGGCGTGAGCATGTGGTTTTCGGACAGAGACTAGGGGCGATGACGTTGTGGCGGATGATACGGATCGCGATGAAAGCAGGACGAGGGCATACACACCGTAATTCTCAAGGTGTAGGAGACTTGCAGGTTCATTTAACGACTGTGCAGCCGTTAAACAAACGCGCGGCGTGAAAGTATGTCCTAAAAAGAGAACCCTGAGGAAGCGACGAGGTGATTAAGTAGACAGAGCGAGAGATCCCGACTCAAAGATCTCGACGCCTGGCCGATGAGGAATGATCAGAAGGGATTGGACCGAAGGTGTATGTCGATGAGGAGAGAAAGGCCAACGCCTAGGAGAAAGGATTGGGAGGAGAAGGAGAGGGTCGAATGTTGCGGCCTGAAAAAGAACGTGTAAGTTATGAGCTCACGCAGAAGGAATGAATAATGAAGTGTCCACGCCCTCGGGCCAGATCCGAACGTGCGCTGAAGCGGATGAATCATCACGCCGGGCGGCCTGCCTACTCGACACTGGGCCGGTACTGGGTCGGGCCAGGATTTACTGGGTCGCAGCCCCTGGGCGTGGCTGCGCACCCACTGGGCGGCGGGGACAGCGTGACTCTTCGCGGGCGCTCAGGCGCCCCCATCCAGTAACTGCTAGGCCGCATGGGGGTTAGCCCGCCCGTGCGGCAATTACGCTCCCTCCCCTGTGTTCCCGGTCGTTCTTCGTGCCGCTTCGTCTGCGTTTTTCCAGCGACGATGCACCCCAGATTGACTTCGTGTTCCAGTCCGAATTCTTCCTGCCCGTCTGCGAGTGCTGTAGATGCACTCTATCGCCGGAGACGGCCAGTATCGACATCGTCGCCTCTGCATCGTGCTCGTCTCCTGGGCCGCAATACGAAGCTCTTGATCATCTGCTCTGCTTGAGCTTGCCGTGCTAGAAGAGAGCCCGGGTCGGCCTCCGCGCTGGCATGGGAGAAATCGGATTGCGCTCGCGGCTGCGCCAATAATTTCGACACGGCTTCGTCGACCTTCGCTTGCATTCGCTGGTGGGCCTGGTCTGGTCCGGCAATGACTGTGCAAGTCCCCAGCCCAAGTCAGCGCCGACAACCTCATTCAGAACACCGGACTCCGACCTCAGCCCTACTCCCGCGTGCGTCCGTAGGCAAGTCCGACTCTAGCCCTGTCTCAATCTTCAAGAGGGTGTGTGCGTGTGTACCGTGAAATTGTCGCATAAATCTCACATGATGACGTCGTTCTCGGCCTCCGCTTCGGCGCCGGGCAAGGTCTTCTTGGCTGGTGGCTATCTGGTCCTCGATCGGGAGTATACCGCGCTGGTCTTCGGCCTGGATGCCAGAATACATGCCCACATTGAGCCGCTGAAGACAACCAGTGGCGTGCATCTCGAGGAGATTGTTGTGCGCAGTCCGCAGTTTAGGGAGGCTCACTGGGAGTATGGCTACAGAGCGACCGAGGAAGCCGGCGGCGTGAAGGTGACGCAGTTGAGAGTGTAAGTAAATGCTGGGTTCGTTGAGGAAGATTAGAAAAACACCGCCTAACTCATGATCCAATATCAATGCCTTTCCAATTCTTGTTGGCTCAATTGATTTCCCGTGACTCCAGTGTTTTTTTCTGGCTGGACACTGCTTCAGAGCTGATTTTCTTCGCGATGTAGATCAGCCCAGGACAAGATCAAGAAGAACCCGTTCATAGAGACAACACTCAGCTATGTGCTCACCTACATAGCCTCCGTCACTTCCCCCAACATTCCTCCATCAATCATCACCATCTTGGCAGATGACAGCTATTACACCACCTCTAATCCCTCGGGGTCGTCTTCCACCGGCTCCTCAAAGACTTTCAGCGACTTCGGCGTCAAGCTCTCAGATGCCCACAAGACCGGCCTGGGCTCCTCGGCGGCACTGGTGACTTCTCTGACGGCAGCACTGCTGCTCCACTACTTGCCCAAAGGTAGCTTCTCCCTCGACAACGAGGCCTCGAAGAAAAGGCTGCACAATCTCGCACAGACAGCGCACTGCGCAGCCCAGGGCAAGGTGGGATCCGGCTTCGACATCGCGACTGCAGTGTACGGCTCCTGCTTATACAGGCGCTTCAGTCCTTCCCTGCTCGATGGTTTGGGCAATCCCGCTTCCGCGGGCTTCAGTGCACGGCTCAAGGCCCTCGTCGAGGAGAGCGGTCCGGATTCGACATGGGACGTCGAGGTCTTCAAACAGAAGGTGAAAATCCCGAAGGGTCTGCGGCTGGTCATGTGCGATGTGGACTGCGGCAGCGAGACGCCCGGCATGGTGAAGCAGGTTCTCGCATGGCGAGCGCGGGAGCATGATGAGGCCGACATGCTGTGGGGTGCTTTGCAGACGCGCAACGAAGCGCTTGCCGCCGAGCTGACTCGAATTGCGGCCACAGGCGGGCAGGGTGCAGACTATGCACCGCTGAAGAGCATCATCGCGGAGATTCGGAACTACATCAGGGAAATGTCGCGGCTGTCCGGCGTGCCCATCGAGCCGCCGCCTCAGACGAAGCTCATCGACGCGTGCTCGCAGGTTGAGGGCGTGATTGGCGGCGTGGTACCGGGTGCCGGCGGCTATGATGCGATTGCGCTGTTGATCGAGGATAAGGAAGACGTGCTGCGGCGCCTCGATGCAATGCTCGAGACGTGGCAAGTGGAAGTCTACGCGGAACCCGGAAGCGGGCCTAGCATTGGAAAAGTAACCAGACTTCCTGTGAGGGAGGAAATGGATGGCATTAGGGTCGAGGATGCATCCAAGTACGGGAAGTGGATTCAGTGATGCCATTGTACATGAGCGTCTTTTGAATCCAGGCACATGGGGTGTTCTGCAAATCAAGATAGACAGGTAAAGGGATGGAAATTGTCGTGCTAGCGTCACAAAATTCCACCTTCTTCAGCACTCCTGAAGATATCTTTGAATGAACAGGGCGTGTCTTTTACACCTCAAACTCTTGACTCCAACTTGCATGAATTGACACCGTCATGACCGATGGCCCTAGGTTCCTTGTATCCCGTCCGCACTCTTCACAAAGGCGCTGGATAAGTGCCCTGAAAGATAGATATTCTGTCCTTTGTTTGAGTGCGTGATGGGCTATCCTGCTGACGGCGAAGGAACCGAAGACAGACTCATCTACAACATCAATTCGTCAAATGCAATACATGAACGCAGTGCTACCGTCTGGTGCTGCTAAGCACAAGAGAGTCGCATCTCAAGGGCCCATTTCTAGCAGCCCACACGACTACGCTTTTTCTGCACAGAGCAACCGACAAACAAGACATGCAATCGAGGCCGTATGGAAAGGGATCGATGGAAGCAATCTGTGAGGACCACGAACGTTCATTTCCAGCCCATGACTAGGGACGGACATGTCTGGATACAAAATATTGCACAAACACCATTCAAAGTCGTAGGTGAACGCACAACAATGAGTATGATCCGGTGTATTGGCACGCATTGTCTCAAAAGGCACCGGGCCCGGAAACTGACGCGGTAGCGAACAGTAGGTTTGCCCACATGTCGAAGCTCGGTATAGGGAGCGTATCTCTCAAGGCGGAAGACGAAAGGTTTTACAAGATTCACTGCGAGGATAAAAAAAAGCCTAAAGCGATGTTGACCGAGCACAACGCTTGAGATGAAAGCTTGTAGTTGGTCAGCGCATTGAAATCAGTGCTGCAGAACTTTAAAAACCCCCGGGCACATTCTTCGCTTCTCACAGAGCACAGCGAACTCGGCTTGACTTTATACTATGTTGAGTGTTTGAAATGCAAGGGAGTTGGCGACTGATCGATCTTGATATGAAGCGCCATCAGCGAAACTCGTGAGCGAGGCGCGAAGCCAAGCAAACAGCCAGCCGCAAGACACGATTCAAGCAACAAGAGACGTGCGTATCCGGAGGATACTCCGACGCCGCAGCATACTGCAAGACCCGTAAGAAGTCAATTGTCCGGTCTCACGGTGTGCATGAATGGAACACGCGGCATGTAGTACCCTTTCTGTAAAGGTATAGACCTTGAAACACATGAGCGCTCCTCGTTTTTCGCGCATATTTCGCCTTCCCTTAACCATGACAGATCCAAAACCGGAAACCTGTCACTCCCCAGGTCATCCGAGCCGCAGTTGTCTAGGGGGGCTTGCCGATGATTGGCAAAGGAGCTGGATGTTGAGGGCGAGCATTGCATATGGGTGCCCGTTGGGGATTTCAGGAGAGGGCAAGGAGAGGAAGGAAACGTCTCTGAGATCACTGCCTGTATGTGTGTTGGCTCGACCGCGACGAACGGGTAGTTCTATCTAGTCTTCGTCTCCCATGTGAGAATCGGGGGGCGCGGGCGAACTAGTGGCGCAAACGCGGGCGTCAAGAACAAATAAGAAAAGGAAAAGAGAGGCGGTAAAATAAGCAGCGACTGAGAGTGAATTCTACGGAGCAATTATTCCACACAAGCAGATCGGTCGACCAACAGGCTTGCCAAAAGCAACAAAGGTACCGCCAGAGAACGCAGCAGAGCAAAGGCACAAGCAGCAGTCATAGCGTGGTGTGGCGTGTTGAACGAACCGGTTCCACGCCCTCCTCCACCCTCCACTCCTCCGCTGCTCCAGCCCGCCTGCCACCGCTTCGCTTGTCTATCATCCGTCGGGCCTCGTCCTGCTACTCCACTGCTCTCTCCACATATTGACCCGTCTGGTCTCGCTGCCCTTGGCGCATTCATTGCGCATCTAGCAACGCTACGAGAAAGGAGACGGGTGCCGCGTGCTTCTCAACAACCCATTCGTTCATTACATTTATCTCCGCGCTCGCTCTTCGTCCAGGGAAAACGCTACAGCGATATCGATACTCCATTGTTATATCTGTTACCTACGAGCGGCCGAGGCGCTGCGCGAAAGAATAGCACGGAAGCCAAGCCACCGCCAACCTCCAGGAGGTACGGGTGTATATGAGTGTCTTGGTCATGACGAAGCCCGAATCGAACGAAATGGCTGCACTACCACCTGCTGAGCCGGCCTTGCCTCCGGTCGCGCATACCGCTGCTGCGTCGACGCCAATGCCGTCTGCATCTTCGCAGCACGCAACACCATCCCTATCACACGCCCCATCAAGATCACAGCCTCCAACGACTGCCTCCTCCAGACCCGCGCCGCTCGAAGAAGACATCACCGCCGTGGCGACCACCAACGGCGAATCGGAAGCGGGTCCCTCGGCCACGATGGAGCGCAAAGAGTCGGAAGCGATAGGGCCAGCTACCGACGAGAATAACATCCCCAAGTCAGCCGGGGATACGGAATCTGGCCCTACTGTACTAATCACGCTGCTTCTCACAACGGGCAAGAGACATCCATACAAGATCGATGCGAGGTACCTGCGGAAGCGGAACGTGTCCGTTGAGGAAAATAATCCTTGGAATCTGCCTGTGCAAACGCTCAAGGAACTTATCTTGAGGGATTGGCGAGAGGGTGAGTCTTCCCGTGTGAACGCTTCTGTACGGTGAGAGCGATTTGAGGAATTGGAAGTATTCGCGTGGAAATACATACAATGCGAGACAGACTGCTCCGGGACTAAAGGTGATTGTGCGGGACTACTTATGCTAATCATCGCTCTCTACACAGACTGGGAAGAGAAACCAAATTCTCCATCCGCGATCCGCCTAATATCTATGGGCCTCGAATTGCAAGAGGGCGAACTCCTAAAAGGTACATATACATACCCGGCCCCTAAAACCTCTGTCAGACGATATCACACCCGATGCTGAGCACTGCTGACCAAGCCCCCTGTCCAACAGAGAAACGCTTCAATCAAACCGGCCCCAATATTGTCCACATGGTGATCAAACGAGAACTGCCTGAAGACGAAGAAATCAAGAAGGACAGCAGCCGAAAGGGCGGCAGCGAAGCCGGCAGCCGAAGTCGCTCCGGCTGCTGCGGCTGCGTCATTCTGTGATATGCTGCTTTTTTGGTCCGCCCACCTAGACGCGTATGACCTCCTCTAACCAAGGAGCGTTGTGAGATCTTCGGGCAGGCTTCGAAGTCAACATCGCTAAGCAACGAAGGCGTTGGATTTTGCTTTTTGTCCCCCTTTATTTTTTTTCTTTATCACTGTCGAAGGGAAAGCGGGTTTGAACATACGGAGCATGGAAATTTTTTTGAGGGCCAGTGAAGGGACGGCCCATTGAGATGCACTGGTGGTGTTCTCGTGTTCGGTCTTTTCCAAAGTCTTGTGCGTGGAATGGGGCAGCTCGGAGTGGCAGGGAGCATGTGCCGACGGCTTTTCCGCTTTGTTCATGTCTTTCCATACTAAAAGATGGTCTCGCGCGGCCATCTAAGTTGTCTCTGTGTTTATGATTCATCTGACATAGTCTGCTTCCATACTCTCACATGTTGGTATAGATATTCGCCTAGGAGTTACGGCTACATTGTAATAGTTGGCGCTCCGTCGCACTGTTCTTGGCAGGCGGAAAAAGGCTGTTCTTTGGGTAGCGTCTGCTATCGTCTCATTTCATTCTCCGTTCATATTTGATACCGGATCTTGGCTCTGCTTGGGTCCGTTGCTCGAGGGCTCTCCATACACACACACACACATACTTGAGACCGTAGCTTGTCTATGTTTGCTCTTCTATTACAGTTGGAGCTTCAAGATATCTGTACAGCACCAGCTTCCCGATCACCCAAACACGCCCTTACCAGTTCATCCTCATCCTCGCTTCCATCTCTGTGTGGAAATCTGGCTGTTCCCTGAATTCACTTCCATGGAACACGTCCTCCCAATCAATCTCCGTATCTCGTCCGCTTAAAATATCAGTTGCAATGCCTGCACCACCGCCTACCATGGCAGCTGCAGGCGTCCACTCACCAGCTGCCACAATTTGCAGCTCCATGCCCCTCCGTACGGGCTCCGCAATGCCAAACTGCCGACCGAGCAACGTCATCTTCAGGGTGTCCTGCGTACTGCGCCATTGAGCGAGGCGTGCCTCAAGGGGGTGCGTGGACTGGATTTGGGGAGCAGCCTGAGTGCTGCTTGTGGCCTGCGGTGCTGGGGCTGTGAGGTTGAGATTTGCGCGAAGAGTATCGTGAACGCCCGGTGCAGATGGAGCGCCTGTGTACTGGCCTTGCCTGGTGGAGGAAGGATGCAGCGCCGGGGGAACTATGCGGAGAGACTATGCGTTCCATTAGAAAATTTGACTCCAGTATGGTGTACATTTTCGGCTAACGAACCATGGCGATACTGTGTGCTTGATGCGGCGCCTTTTTAGTGAACGTGAGAAAAGCGATGCGGAGCTCAGGCCTATGGCATGCGACTGGGTCCTATCTGTGCACTCAAAACGCAGTGTTCAAACAATGCTTGAAGAGCGAGAGAAAGAGGGATGGCACGGGTAGAATGTCGGCTTGCGTTTGTCGTGGTGATACTCCCGTCGAGCTGTCAGGCAGAGAGCATGTACGTCGCGTCCGCTTAAAGGCTAGCGTGCGGGAGCGGCTATTTTGGCCGAATTTAGCGCGCGTCTATGTACGTATCTCCAACCCCGGAACATGTGAAGCTGTGAGCGGCGCATTCAACAAGATCAGCTTGGCTCTTCGCATCCCCACACTTTGACCTACTCCGGGCAATCGACTACGCCTTCATCTTCCGAGTCGCCAATGACCAAATAATAGGCCCAGAACATCAAGATATCGGCTACATAACTTTAGGTCTTACTTCTCCTTGGTTCCTGCGCCACGACGTGGAAACAGTTAGGCATCAGTCAATAGGCTCTGCGATTGTGCATTCTACCCACCGTTTGATTCGTCGCTGGTTTGTTTGGCACCACATCTGTGAGGCCATCGTGCCTCTAGTTCCACATCAGGGCACAGTGGCTTCCGTCCGCAGATGTCGCATGAATGCAACCGCTAAACCCATTCCTACGGGCCTTCTTTCGGAGCACTCTTCCCACGCAGTGTTCGCCCGTACAGCACTACGTACATATCCCTCTCCTCTTCTTCCGGAGAATCAATCAACACAGTTGCTGATCATGAATATATGACAGGTCCTCCTCGTACCATCAACGGAACTACTGCTGACCTCCCGCGATCGCGAGACGCATGTTTTATATTCGGACCTCGCAACCAACGAGGAGTTCCTCGCTAGCCATGTCCTCCGAATACCTGGTGGCGTGGCCCCGTCTGGCGCCGCAAAGGACGGCAGCGCGAACTTTAGAGAGACGAGGACAAAGGCGAAGCAGTTTACCACCTTGAATGGCAGGACGGTCATCATTAAAGATTCTTTCGTGTATACGAACAAAGGTATGGTTTTCGTGATGTCCACATAAAGATATATAAGATCGAGAAAGAATGGTTCGCTAAGAGTTTGTCTACTTGCAGGCTTCAAGACTCTAAACCAGGTGCAGTTGCTTAGTGATTCGCTGTATTTTCCGGACTGGATTGATGCGAATCCTTGGCTGGTGTACAGTATTTCAAAGCCACTGATTGGGAATGTGGAAACGATCAAGATCCTTCCTGCTGTACCAGATGAGAAGCTTCCAACTCGCTCCTCATCGCCTTTGGGCCCAAAGCGAAACGGGTCAACATCGGCGAAGAAAAAGGACATCAAGTCATTCGCAGATTTGCTGAACAGTTTCCCCTTGATCGCGCGACAGATGCAGCCAGGACTAGAGAGATTATTCAAAGAGTTCTCTAAAGAGTTTGAGAAACCTCTGCCCGCACTACCAGCTGAAAGATCCACATCGCCTCTGTCAACACGTCGCAGAAGTGGCTCCGGTTCTTCAACCGAAAGTCGCGCAACTTCAACGCACAGCAGCCTTGCCAATGGGCATTACGTGTCCGAGCTTGAAATTAGCGATGAGGAGGAAATGATGCGGCGTGCCCTTGAGACTGCTGTGACCGCCGCGATCGATATGTTCCAAATGGTCGACAAGCAACAGCTCTCGCTCTTGGGCTCGACTACAGATTTGACCGGCACGATGGTCGAGCGCATGATCGAACGCTACGTCACAGAGCAGTTCCACCATCAGATCCTTTTCCCGCGCATGTGTGCCATACGAAAATCCGACGACCAGGAATTGGAAGGTCGAATAAGACAGATGCAGGATATTGATATTTCGCAAGTTGGGCTATCGGTCAATCAAGATCACCATGCAAAGAAGGAGCTGGGCATCCGGTTGTCTAAAGGAGTGGATGTATTCAAGAAGATAGGCGTAGCGTCCAGTCCTCAGGAGATGCTCGAAATCCTGCTTGAGACAGAGAAGGCAATCACAAAACCAGTGCTAGAAAAGCGACAAACAGAGCCTGCGAATGGAGTTGGCTCAGATGCAGCTGACAGAGACTCAGAGAAAACGGATGACTCAATGCTGACTACGAGCGCTGACACGCTGGTCTCTCTACTTCTGGTTGTCGTAATCCGCGCTCCTGTGCGGTATTTGAATGCGCGGCTGTCGTATATGCGACATTTTATATTTATTGACGACGTTGAGAGCGGCGAAGCCGGATATGCGCTAAGCACTTTCGAGGCCGTGCTTTCATATCTGGTTCGCGATTCTGTCGGTATCCGTAGAGCAAGCAGAAGAAACCGCAGGTTGTGGGAGGCGTCCAAGGCCGGAAATGTTGCCGAGATGAAGAGGATTTTAGAACCAGATTCGAACAGCGATGATGGCGCATCGATGCTATTTTCCCCTGACCCTGAAATTGAGCAGCATATGGCGCAATTCAGATTTCCAGGGCCGAGTTCACTCAGTGGTACCACGATCAACGGAGACTCGTCGGAAGCAGCAACTGGGCCACGTGTGCAATTCGCTTATGAAGATATACACGCCTCGCTTGAGCATGTATTCCCGTGGCAGAAGCTTGAAAACGCCGGGAACAGGCCAAAGGTTAAGAAACGAGTATCTTTACAGTCACATAGCACGTCAAGTTCTTCAGCCTATTCAATAACGTCACTGCCCGAGACGATCATGTCGCACACAAGCGGGCTAGAAGCAGATACCTCGATTGAAACGCTTGCCAGAACACAAGGTCCTGATGGCGACTCAGTCATGATGATGGCCGTGGAGGGCGGGCATGATGCTGCTGTCCGGTATCTACTAAGTCTTGAACAATATTTTCCTCTTGAAAGAGTGATTGAAGATGAGAACAATGACGGAACCACATTACTTTCCGCTGCCATCCAGGGCGGTCATCCAAGAGTCATTGATACGATCCTTGACTTCATCATCGATCACACGGATGATCTGGATACGTTACGGGACTACATTGCAAGACAAGATAAAAACGGACGCTGCGCAGCACACTATCTATTCCACTATCCTCGACTCATTGGACGAATTGGCAGTTTGATCCCGTGGAAACTTAAGGACAAAAACGGACAAACCCCTTTGTTCGCGTTGTGCAGGTCTTACGACCACGAAGAGTATACCTGGATGGTGGACACGGCTCTGACGGCCGCAACGGCAGCTCAAGGGGATGGTAAATCTCTTCATCTAGACGATCATGTAGACAATAAGGGCAACACACTTTTGCATATCGTCAATGATCCACAGATGGCATCAAAGCTACTGTATCAATGCGATTCGGATGTAAACGCTGCGAACGATAAGCAATTTACACCACTCATGGTTGCTAGTAAATATGGTCGTACGGATATGGTGCGCACCCTCTTTGGCGACCCGAGGGTGGATTTTCATGCGAAAGATCTACGTGGCCTTACAGCGACAGAACTTGCCAAGGACGATGATGTGCGGAATCGCATTGATGACCTCGTGTTGTTGGCTTCCCCGCCAGGACAAGGCGAGCGCATTACAACCGTGGTTCGCGCATATTTCGTGGAAGATGGTACAGTGCGTTTTATCGTCAAATCTGGGGCCCAAAATCCAAACTCAACAATTACTGTAACGACATCTCGGCGCGGTCTCGCCGACTTCGAGGATTTGGCGCGATGGCTGTCTCTTGAAAATCCGGCCTCGTGGGTTCCTGCCATTGTGAACACCCACTCGCCTTTTTTAATCCCCTCCAAACCTTCCAAGGCAGTAGCACGGGATATGCAACTTCGCTTTGACACATTCCTCAAGACGCTGTTATCACACTCCACATTTGCTACACATGAGATGGTATGGGAGTTTTTTCTCGTGCCTGATATGGATCCTGCTATGCTTGCTGAACGCAGCAGGATGAAAGCGGAGACGCGCGCGGAAATGGTGAAAGATGAATTCGACCCCATCACTGATGTGCGTGAAGTCGAAGTCTTCATCGGCCACGCCAAGGACTCCGTCCGTGGTGTACACCACTCCACCAAATCCGTTCTCCGTCGCGTTAATCGCCTACGCCTAGCGCAGTCTGATATCTACGATGCTTCGAATCTTGCTTCTACTAGTCTGTCAACACTCGCTTTCTTACCTGAAGAACACAAACTTGCCTTCAAACGATACGTTAAGACGCTGGCCCAGCCAGAATTCTCACCTACAGCGGGATTCTACTATTCAATGCACGCCATCAGTACCACCATCACGGCGGTGCTTGCGGCACTTACACGACCCACCGATTTAATCCAGAAGATGAATCTGGCGCAGAAAGCTATCGATCGACAGAACCAATCGCTCCGGCGATCGGACCGCTGGCCAACCTCCCTCTCGCTTCTAGATGAAACTCGCGCCCGCATGCAGCGCGATGCTCTGGACAAATTAGACGCTGCGCAGAGGGAAAAGGATGACTTGGGTAGAGAGTTAAGATATACTCAAGGTGTCGTCGCTGGAGAACTGGCGGCATGGCAAGGCGAACGTCTCAAATGGGGTAAGAATGCCTGCAAAGAGTTCGCGAGACGGATGATTGTTTTAGAGAAAGCTAGACTAGAGGGCATGAGGCGCGCACTAAGGATTGTGGGCGTGGAAGAGGGAACTAGGAGTAGCGGCAGAGTTTTTGGAGCTGCTGCGAGGCAAGCGAGGGTGGAGAGATTGAAGAAGATACCTTTGCCACCTACTGCGGACACCACGGATCTCTGAAATGTAATTTGTTTTTCTTATTTCTTCACTTAGACAGTCCGCTTAGATATCGTATATTCTTGTGTCTAATTCTATACCATACACCACCACTCCCGCTGTAGTCAGCGTCATACATTAGCGTCCAATTTTGTCTGCCTACTTCCCCAACCATAATTCTGGATAATGTGGCCGGGAATTCTCCCGATCCATGTCGTTACTTGCTCAAGCATCCTTGGCATGGCTTTAGCACGCTGTGTAGATACTATCAACAGCATTAAGAGATTGTTTCTTTCAGAAGTCTTTGTCATCTAGGATGGTGTACCAGCAGTCTCCTTGAGGCGGGTGGCCTCAGCAGCACGAACTCCAACAGCCATACCCTTTGAAGTTAAGTGAAATTGTTGGTAATGTTCTGTGATGCTAAATTCCCACGACATCGAATCGGAGTTGGTCTTGTGATGGCGTCGCGGTTTTCATTATAATTGAGCATGCGAGCAGAGCATGGTCATTTGAACGTCTTCACAACGAATATACCTCTTTAATGGCAAGCGTATGGTTGAGTTCTCTAGCGTCTCACAGATAGTCAAGGTCTACCTGCAGCGATAAAATATTCTAGCAACATCTGCAAATGAGCGAGAACATTGGATTTGAGAGAGTGCTTCCGGCCAAAATTTAAGTATATATATATATCAGGCAACACTGCTGTCCAAAGGATTGCACAAGATTTACGCGTATTGCGCATTTTCGATTTTTGTCATTATTTTTGATATTTATAAACGAGTTTTGATATAGGGCTTGCCATAAAGTAGTGGGGTAAAAGTCGTTTGATATGTACAAGCCACATTAGAGATTCAGAGCTGTCTGTCATACGTACCTCACGTTCTCCGCTAGAGATACACTTCGCGACACACCCAAGAGGTATAATCTCACGATCTCGATCGTTCCTACTATTTCATTCTCGTGTAACTCCTCTGGACATTGATTCGTTCACCGCTCAATCTTGTGACCCTCGCTTAACGGCGTCGTCAGCTTTGCCGAGATTGACAAGCACCCCAGGCATTCTCGCTTCTGGTGGTCAAGGTACCAGCACAAACGGTATTGTCCCCTTATCGGTCGTTGCAGGGTACCTGGTGGGCAAGCGAATTCCAGTTACCATAAGTTCAGCTCATTCCCCACGGTGGCAAGGATGGCAACATTAGAGAGTCCGGACCATTCTGGTCCTCATGTGGGCTCGCATCAGAGGACGTCACAAGAGATGACGGATGCATACAAACATGGCATTATCCTGGAGAGCGAATTTCGCGTATTGGAGCTTCTTCCAGGTGAAGAAGAAGATGAGATTATCTGTGAGCTGCGCACTGAGCCGCTACGTATACAGGACCGCAAGGAGGCCAACGTTCATTACGAAGCATTGTCCTACACTTGGGGCTTTCCTGCTCCAACGAGGCAAATTGTCTGCTCTGGGAAGACATTCAATGTCAGACTGAATCTCTACCAAGCATTAAAACGCATCCGTCGCAAGGATAAAAGGCGCCGACTTTGGGTTGATGCTATTTGTATCAACCAGTTCGACATCGTGGAGAGGAACCAGCACGTTCAGCGAATGGACGTTGTATTTGCCAGCGCGGAGAGAGTATTAGTGTGGCTGGGCGAGGAGAATCGCGAGGAAGGGGAGGGAGTGCTGGACGTCCTTCCAACATGGCTGGCAAAGTATCCTCCACACATCGATTGGCATGCAGCCAATATTATGTGGGACGACTCTTCCTTCTCATTCTCGTTCTCATCTCATGGACTGAGTGGAGAAGCTTTCGAGTGGCTATCGTATCAACAGACTAACTTGATGCACCTTTTGCATTTCTTCGCCCGTCGATGGTGGACTCGCAAATGGGTGATTCAGGAGATTGTTCAAGCAAAGGAGGCTCTTTTGATTTGCGGAAAGGAGCAAAAAAGCTGGGCAAGTATCAGCAACTATCTCAACGCTGATCAGGACAAGTTCTCATTATGGCATGACAGCCTTGCTCGAGTCTACAACAACCACCCGGACAAAGCCTTCGTGAATTGCGCGAACGATGGTATTTTCCACTCAAGGCAGTTGGCCCGCATGGCGGCTAATTTTGACGGCCCGGAAGCGCTGAATCTGTGGGACGTGGTGTACGAGACAAATGATTTCAAATGCACAGAGCAGAGAGATAATCTATATTCTCTATTCGCCATTGCCGCAGATGTTCGGAACAGCACAGAAACGGATTTACTGCAGGTTGATTACTCTGACTCCATTTCGACAGTGTCGGTGAACTACTGTTGCTGGCTCATAGAGAATGATCCGTATTCTTTAATTTGCCTTCGCACAGTGCCGGGGAGCAGAGGTTGCAGCGAGGCCGTGCCTTCCTGGACTCCCAACATAGTGCCCGTCGGGTGGATGCAACGGCCTGACTTGCGTCGCCCTCTTTCTACGCTATGTTACAATGCTGGATGTCTAGAGAAGAATTCAAAACCCTCGTGGACTTTGAGACGAGATAACTACCACTTGTTGATCAAAGGCATCATCACAGAGACCATAACGAATGTTCTTCCCCCACCTTATATCGATATCACAAGCTTTGGTTGGCTCCATTTTGGTAAAGGCCACGCTGTTTGGTTAAGGAAATGTCACGACACCATCAAAAGTATCATTACTACACCGGAACAGGTGGATTATCTTATGTATCAGCTTCTCACATGTGGTGGGGAGAGAGCTCATAGCCTTTATACCCGAGACTGGCATTCACCAACAGTCGAGACCTGCCGCCGATGGCTGGATGTCGTATTTGATGAGTCTTCCACTAATGACCCTAATGTTTATGCAGACTCCGATTTGAGTGCTATGACTGCTTCGATTGTTTATGCTAAGTGGCGCCAATTCTGTGTGACCTCCGAGGGCCGCTTTGGTTGGGTCCCAGCAGCCACGCAGATTGGAGACAAAATCTGCGTGCTGCTTGGAGGTAAGGTGCCACTTGCAATTAGCGACTGCGGTCATGGACATCATAATCTTATGGGCGAGGCTTATGTCCATGGGATCATGGATGGCGAGACCATTGGCTCTGGTTTGCCAGTGGAAATGATCGAACTGTGTTAAGTTGCTAAGTCTTCCCTTGCTCTTGTCCTTATATCTTACGACTATTTATGAGAGATTGAATACTATCAAATCAACCTAAAACCGGTATTATTGTTGTTTGCCATCAGTTCGACTAACACACAGTTTGGGAAGAAGAAACGAAGAGCTGCGATCACTACTCGTGTAGAGGCCGAGTCCACTTACTTTAGTAGACTCGAAGAGCACGACATTTGAAATTCATGCCTGGTATGTGGTATGTGCAGCCAACCAGATAATAAGGATTCGGACGAAAAGAATCTTGCAATGCTGAACTAGGTATGTTCATCTTGCGAAACGATAGATTTGAATTATATACGCAATCTACAGTCTCGGGAGCTTCGTTACTTCTACGTTAGAAAATGGCAAGAGCATTCGGAGGGCTTCCGATGCTACCCGGCACATTCAACGGACTACTCGTCAGCAGGAATGTATAGCGCCCGGTCTTCTTGCAGTGCTCGCTCAAGGCCTTCAAATCCCACAGCTCACCAATCGGCATGCCGAACAAAGCCAAAAAGTATTGATGTAAGACAAGGCCGGTGACATCGCCTTCGGTTCCGTCTTCCTTCACAGGAGGAATCGTCTCAAATGCGATCGCGTCGCCTGCCACGGCAGCAAAGTGTTTGTTCCAGAACCATTTCGCACTCTCTGGCGTACCTTCAACACCACAGGTCCGATGAGTGCCTAGAGCCTCGTTCTGCTGCTCTGCACTCATGGCACCGAGAGCCTCTGTGAAACCGGATCTGATGATGAACACATCACCTTGCTTAAACTCAACGCCCTGCTCTTTGGCAATGGTCTCGATTTCTGAGATCTTAATACGATGAGCAGAGAAAGGATCAAATTTGATACCATTCTTGTCAGCCCAGGCCTTGTAATCAATGAAAACACCACGAGCCACAAGCCCACCACGAGAGTGCCAGTCTAGAGCACGACACGTCAGCCGATTGATCGACTTGTTTTTCAGGCAACGTACGGTTCAATGTGGGCAACGTTTGATCCTTGTCTTCGTTACCAAAAGCTTGAGTGAATATCTCCTTGCTTCCCTTTACGCCGTTATATCCCATGCCGGTTGCTTGGTGGTTAAAGTGACACAAACTATCCCATTGCGAACTGCATTGAGTGTTAAACTCGACCTGGCGGCTGTGAGTCGTATGTTCGCATGGCTATGGTCACGTTCTATCTGTACCTCATCGTCGAAGCAGTGACAAGGAATAGGCGACTCCATGAAGTCAATAACCTTATGTACAAGTCCCTTGCGAAAAAATCCAGGCTTTGCTATGGCTCCAATTGGCCAGCTGTTGAACGTGTTAAGCACAGTGAGTGAGCAGTATCTACATTTGACGTACTTCAATGACACTGAAACGCCATCCTTAACTTCTGCAGCGGCAGCTCGTACGACATCCGGTGTCAAGAGGTTCAAAGTGCCGTAAACATCCTTTTTGCCGTCTTTGTCGAAGATACCCCAGGCACAGCCTTGCGGCATTCCTTGCACGGGAGGCAGATCATCGAAATCTGGGATCTTCAAACTCGTCATGACTTGCAGGTGTGTAAATGTGAGCGCTACGGGCGTTTTCGATCGACTGAACTGAATAGGAGATTGTAAGTTCCTTTGGAGAAGAAACAGAAACACCGAGAAACCCCAGGAATCAGGTTAGCTATATCGTTCCTCATTTTCGAGGGTCCTGTCTGGTCATCGGAAGTCATTGTCCAGGAGACAGCCCCACAACGTGAACACACCCCGCAGTGTCTTAAGCGGGGTTTTCGAGCAGACACGGTGATAGTTGCCGATAATCGAGTCAAGATCCGCTTCCGAAATTGCAATAGAGACTATTCTGGTCGAATCGCAAGACATCTGCACCTCGTCGAGTTTCCGTGCTAGGTTAGTGCTTTGGTAAATCCAGTCAACCGCTCCCTGGTGGACCGGAGACTAATCGTTTAGCCTAGAAGTATCTCTATACTGGGACTCTTTAGTGGTTGTTTTTTTTTCTGGAGTCTCTACCGGCACCATGGCACACATCACACCACCCTTGGGGTGTACGGAAGATGCACATGGCAGATGGGAGGTTTTGACCTGCTATTGACATTGAACGTGGTGGTCGATCGCGTTGTACGCAGGTCAGGCACAGCCTCTTGGCTCGAAAGTAGATATAGCTGTCATGTCTCTAAAGGACCTTGAACGGCCTATTTCAAGTGGTCCGAAAAAGGGTGATGTCGGCCACTCAAGCACGTCGGACGAAGCATCAAAGGGACTGTTCGGAAATAACAGCTAACGAAAGGGGAGTACAGCATCTGAAGCTTGGCTTTGTGCGACGTCATAGTCGACTGCAAAGGGGCACGTTCTTCAGAAGAGCCTGGGCGTAGCCTTGGCCCTCTTGACAATTCTTCTTGTGAGAAGGTACTATTGTAAACGCTTCTATTTTGTCGGACAGCGCAATACCTTTTGCTTTGGTTGTGCATGGCCATGATAAAATCGAAACTAGTCAGGAGCCCGATGATTCTTTTCTGGTTGATCCCAAGGAGCAAACAATGGCATCGAGGAAGGCCCGGCTCGAAGTAAAAACATGTGACGCCAACATTCTCACACATAGAACCTACACCGTGGTAAAGAAAGCTACATCGACATTATCAACATCTATGTACGATGTGCTCTGACAGCGACTGTCTGCAAATTAATAAGGGAATGTGCTGCTAGTGGTAATATAACATGCGCTCCATGCTTGTGATTTCCTTACGCCCAGCCTAGCAAATTGGTGTCATGGTGTTCCTAGAAGAGAAAAAAAAAAACAAATAATGAGTATGAAACACACTCGCTCACTCCATGATGCTCGAAATGCGCGCGATCTTCGCATCGCCAATACGGTAAACTCCAAATCTTTTCCACCCATCAATTGACGCTTCGCGCAAAAACCGTACCGGGAACAAAGGAGATGTGTGTATGGTATCAAGACAAGCCTATAACACTGTTTAACAAGCACGCGGCCGCAAATGTGGCGAAACCGCCCCCAATCAAGAATTCCCATTTTTGCTCGGAACGAGCTGCCTTCCTGTTTGCTGATCCAGAAATCCGGCGACGTAGCAAGAAAAGATACCAAGGTAGTTATCAACGGAGGCCGATGACACTCTGGAAGCCACGCGTTAGTTTCGCGATCATTTTGCAGATGCCGATCAGATTTACTCACCATCTCGAGTGTCCAAACGCGTCTGATCCAAACTTTCAGCTTACCCTCCACTCCCTCGACGTTTTCAAGCTCCACCCCTTCCCACCAACATCTTCTCGCAGGCTTCCTCCAGAAGAGCAAGAGCTTCTGGGCCATGCCGACGGCGTTGCTCGAGAGGTCGTTGCCGCGAATGTCGGTCCTCAGGCGCGCAAGTGCAACGCTGCAAATGACGGCCTTGTTAGGTTCGTTCGCACGGTGGCCCCATCGGTCATCATGATTGAAGCCTCTGTTGCGAGATAAGTTAGCTTTGGACCTTCCACCCGCATTTGAAAGGACTATGCTATACCCTGCTGTTAACATCTCAATGAGATGCTGCTCCGTCGTACCTGGCTCGTCACTCTTTCGCAAACCAGAAAAGATGCCGTCTTGTTGTCTCAGCGCACGTCCTGCTGCTCGCTTCACCTCAATCATCTCTGCATGTTCAATGTCCTTGCGAGGAGGGATAACGTAGTAATCCAAGTCTTCTCGAAGAACAATGATTCCTGCGCGGTCCTGCAACATATCACGCGTGCTGGAACCTTGCATTGGCTCGATGGGAACAGTCTCAGGTTGCTGAGAGCTGTCTGCGGTGGGGCTTGGTGGGCCCGTGGGGATTGTCTGCGCAACGTGCCTGAAGAAATCAAGCATGTACTGGAGGCAGAGTGGGTCGTACTGTGACAGGTAACATATGTCAGATAAATACAATGATGGATTTGATAAACCTTGTTGGATCTGAAGCGCCAACGAACGCGGCGTCGTGTCTGCCACGGCAGCATCGTCACCGGCCGTCGCTCGCGCATCGGGTCCTGCAGCTAATTCAACCGCTTGAGTGATGGGAACCTCCGCATCGCTCATGGCTGCAGCTGGCACGAGGGGATAAGAGGAAGAAGGGCTACTGACATCTACTGGGTATATATCTCCGTCGTGGAAGGAGCTCATGTGACCATCGGGAAGAAGGCCATTGGGAAAGAGAGACAAAAGAACAAACTCAGGCAGCGTGAGCAATTCATCCCGCGAAAGCGTGAATCGTGTACCTCTGCACTACAGTTAGCGTTTTCCACACAGCATATAATGCTAGTCTAAGCAGAAAAAAGTGTACCGAAGGTCTAGCGATATGTTCTCGTCTGCACTCCCTGCACAGCAAAGTCAGCTACTAAAAGCGGTCGCACAAGTCTTAGGGATCTTGTCGTACCAGTTGCAAGAGTGTTGATGGGTGCGCCGCCTCCCTGCTGCACCTGAGTGATGATACTCGCTGGGCCACCTGCAGTTGCCATGACGTATGTGAAACTGGGTATCGGGCTCGAGCCTTCACTATATGGCGGTGGTGGTTCCCCGTCGTCGAAGTCTTTGCTTGACGAGCCTTCGCGGTCTTTGGTGTCTCTTGGTAGTGCAGCCTTTGTATCGGCAAGAACACGCTCAGCGGCGGCGGCGCTACTACTCCCGGGGCGTGGTGGGGGAAGCGAGGAGAAAGGAGGAAGCTGTTCGCACTGCGGTGGCGGCTCCGGCGAGTCTGTCCGAACTGCCTTGCCAGCGGCGTCGGTGCAGTCGTTGGGTGGAAAATATAGCGAGGAGAAAGGCGGTGGGTACGGGGAGTCGATCGGGTCGGCCGTGGTGGTGGAGGCTAAGATGGCGCGAGTGACTTCGGCAGAGGAGAGCGCTGGTGGCGAGGCAGCAGCAGTAAGGACCGACTGAGGAGAAGGCGCGGCTTCTCCGCAACTGGAGTGTCGCGAGGCCGTCGTGATGGTGGGCGTGGGAGAGATGATCTTCAAGAGGCGGTGGGGGGGCGCTGCGACGATGCGGAGAACGGGGCGCGCGGGAGGGTGACAGCCGCGAGGTAATCGTGTGGCCTGGGCTATCACGACATGGACCTGGCTTCAATGGGTGGTTTAGCCAGTGTGCTGGGCTTCAATTGAAAAGGTGATATGGTGAGTTTCTGGGGATGGACGCTGGCACGCTTGAGGTTCTTGGTTTTGGCACAGCGCTAAAGGGCGGCAAGCAGGGAGTCAGCCACTGTACGCTCCAGGCGCTGCCAAGATTCCTGCCAGCACGACCTCGTCGCCTTCATGCCCACCGAATGGTGGAGGCCATCTCGTCAATCTCGTCCGTCGATCTCCACGCCGCGTTGTATCACGTGTGAATGCCTTTCTCATCTCGTGCGCGTTGCTTTAAATGCCATTCGGGCACAACTCGACGCTCCTCGTGCCTTGCATACCCTCGCTCATCTCCAGAGAGACCAAAGCTACACGTCATCTACGCCGTAGCCCATGCACGTTATGTGAGATGGGCGCTTCGCTTCACGTCATCAAGATAGTACACGTACTAAGGGGCCCCAGCTGCTCTTCACCAAATCAGTCGGATGACGGCCTGGGACGCCATTGTCAGGGGACGAGTCCAGCTTCATTAAGTCTATGTCTGACGGCCAAACAGAATATTCTGCCAGCTACCATTCTTCCTCCTGTAGCCATTCGAACATGGGTCAATGTCAAACGATGCAATCGTCTTTTGGAATTCCATGCCAGAGGAACCTTGAATCTGGCTGAACCTTAGAAGCAACCCATCCCATACTTCGCACGTGTGTGTGTGCTCGCCCTAGCATGGCTCTACCTGCCAATACTGCCATGAATAGATACTTGACTCTCCCAGTTGCTTTGTGCCTTGTGCTTGCGGCAATGGAGCACCCCGTTCTTCACCAGCACGTTCTCCTTCACGATCTACAGCTTGCTGGACAAATTAGCAGGAAAGACCGTTCACGAGAACGGAACAGTTTCAAGGCGACGGTCTGGTTTTTGGGGTTGCATTGTAATCCGCAGCTTCTTAGACCGAGCTGAATTAGACGTGACATGACTATCGCTTACATTTTCTGTCACTGCTGGTGTATTCAATTCTACTTTTCACTTTAGACAGACATGACCCATCCTCTTATCGTTAACATCTGACACGGTGCGCAGCGTCAGCAAGGACAGGAGCTTGCTCAATGGCTGAACAGCCATGCTACTGCCCAGGCAGCTGATAGTATTGAAGAAAAGACTAGAGAAAATCGAGTTGTTAGATCTCATGGGGTGATTAGGCAGTCTTGCAATTTTTTCAAATGCTTTTGTCTATGTATATCTAATGACGCTGAACCACGCCGGCCTCGTTTGCCTGCGCTGCAATCTTCTTCTTGTAATCGTTGACCGTACCATCGAAGTGGGTGACGGTTCCATTGTCGCAGACCCACAGCGACGTACACACATTCTGCAACATCGTAACATCTGTCACCACATCAGCACATCACGCCACAAGTTAGATAAGAAGATTTGGGAAAAGCTTACCGTGACTGACCATGAGCACACCGCCCTGAAATCTTTGCAGGGCTTCGCTCAGGGCGTCCATGGCCTCGATATCTAAGTGATTACTCGGCTCGTCAAGTACCAAGATGTGGGGGTTTGTCATAGACAAGCACGCAAATGCGACCCTGCTCTTCTGACCGCCAGACAAGAGAGCCATCTTCTGCAAACCTGTCATACCCGTGATGCCGAACGCACCCAGATGCCGTCTGTATTCCTCGTCTGTTTTACCGGGAAATTTTGCCGCCATGAAGCCCACAGCGCTAGCGTTCAAGTCGAGACCGTCCACGTGGTGCTGCGCGAAGAAGCCTATACGGAGACGCGGGTTTTGCGAAATAATACCTGAGGTTGGTTGCAATTGGCCGATGAGCAGTTTCAGTGCCGTCGTCTTGCCGGCACCATTGGGTCCAACGATACCAATACGTGAGTCAAGCTGGACGTCGAGATCGACATTCTTAAGTAGGATTTTATCTGGGCTGTAGCCGAAAGTCACGCCGCTCATTTGGATGATGGGGGGGCTCAGCTTCTCAACATCGGGGAAGTTGAAGTGTACGGTGTATTCCGCTTCTGGAGGCTCGAGAACCGGCATGCGTTCAAGTTTCTTAATTCTGGACTGGGCCTCCGAAGACTTGGCAGCGTTGTATCTGAACTTGTCGATGAAGGCCTGAAGATGAGCACGCTCCGCCATCTGTTTCTCATACTCGCGTTTGGCAGTCTTTCGGCGCTCCTCCTTCGTCGCATAGAAAGAGTCAAAGTTAGCGCCCTTGTAGTAGTCAAGGCGTTCAGAGTGCTGGTGAATAATATCCGTAGCCACTTCGTTGAGGAACGCTCGGTCGTGAGACACGACAAGCACCGTACTTGGATATGATTGCAGGTAGTTGGACAAGAAGGTGATGGAGGGCACATCCAACATGTTTGACGGTTCGTCAAGAAGCAGGAGATCCGGCTCGCAAAACAACGCTCGTGCCAACGCGAGACGCATACGCCAACCTCCGGAGAACGTCTTGGTAGCAAACTGCTGTCGCTCGGGAGAAAATCCCAGGCCGGCTAGGATACTTGCAGCACGAGATTCGGCTTTGTCTGATTCCATTTCGGCGAGCTTGGCATGAATGTCGCTCAGCGTGGTGTCCAGTCCCTCGCGCTCTTTGTCAAGGCGAGCTGCATCGGCAGATGTGTCAGCCATGGACGCTCGCTGTGCTTCTAGCTCTGCAAGTTGCTTGCTGATTTTCTGTACGCAATATTAGTGTCATTATACCCATTTCAAATAAGTTTGGACATACGTCTTGCTCTCGGAGCAAATGCTTTCGCCAGACATCGGCATCAAGCACAGCTTGCAGTGCTGGCGTGTCGTCGCCAGTGATCTAACCGCAGGTTAGCATGATTGGAACTTGAGTGTTCGAAAGATCCGAACCTGCCTCTTGTTCCACATGAAGAATGGAAATGTGTGTTGGAATAGCAACTTCTCTGCGGCTCAGTGCCCGAAGCAACGTGGATTTACCTGGTAAGCAGCAGCTATTAATCAAGGGCCTTCTTGCAGCTTGCTAAGGCAATAACGACAGTCTTAATACATACCTATACCGTTCTGACCGACGAGACCGTATCGTCTGCCATAGGCGAGCGTCAGGCTTGTATCCGTCAGGATGCGCTTGCCACCGATAGAAATGTCAATGCCGTCCACTTTGATATCCTTGCTTTTGTTTGCCGACTCCGAGCCCAACTGGAGGGGATTGACAGCCATGTAGAATTCCTCGTACGACTGTGTCTCGTCCGGCTGGTTAAGCAAGCGAGATGCTTCGTACTCCACGTTCTTCATGACTTTGCGCTCTTGCTTGGCACGGATCTTGCGCTCCGCCTTCTCGAGCTTCTTCCTGTCGACGCGGGACTCCACTTTGCGGCCGGCTGTGGCCTCGAGATCCACGTTTCCACCAGCCAAAGCTAGAGTAGACGATATGTTACGCTGAGAGCCCACATGAATACTCTGGTCAAGACGCTTTGCAGCTGTAGCGAGCTGTCTCTTTTCCGGGTCGATCCCGTTTGCAGCAGTGGCCTTGGAGACCAACTTGACGACGAGATTGCGGAGAGCAGTCTCGTTTGACTCAGTGAAGTCACCAGACGCACTTACGAGCAACGCCGTCAAGCTCTCAACCAGAGCGTTGTCGTCGTGCTCCGGCAAATTCACCGCATGCCCGATGTATCCGGACACATACTTGGAAACCAGAGGGTCAATGCCCTTGACAGAAGCAGAAATCTCAGCCTCCATGCCGTGCTGACAATTTTGGTTGCGTAGCCGTGGTACAGTAACGGGTCAGACGGTCACGTTGTACAGTGGCAACTGTCCCAAAATTCAGAGCATTTCAGCGCGAGCCATATTGACAGGGCATCAAGGCGCCAAGGCATGAGCTGCTCCCGTGGAGCAAGGCCAGTCTTGCCTGAAGTAGCATGCTTGAGCAGCCAACCCGGAGAGATCGGAAGCAATTTTACTGTTACGATAGTGCAAGACCCATGCTGTCCCTTTGTTCTTTTGATCTTCGAGGCGACAACGGTGCACACGCGTGTTGCCCGTGACATCAGCCGTGCAAGGCGTGTAAGGGGGCGGTTTCACGACCGAAGGTACGTCGCCGACTATATACCAAGTTCGCACTGCCCATGCTCCGCCAATGTTAGGTGCCCATGGTGGAATGGATAAATTAATGCTCGGGGTGGCGGCATTATCTTCCAGCCCCCAACGCTTTTACGATTACACTTTTCAGACGGAAAAACACTGGTGCCTGATACTCAGGCTTGACCCCTACCGACTGTTTGATCTTGACGGCAGCGGGCAGGATTACGTTGTGCGATTTGCGATGTCTGCCAGTCGCCTTGCAAGCAAGATGCGAGGCCAGCGAGGAAGGCACCCTGCTATCGGAGGTTTTTTATTTTTCTGGCACGTAGCGCGAAGACTAACAAAGATCCTACGCGATTTGCGGTGAAGGGCACGACATGGAAGTTGCTGGTAAAGTTTGACTCTTGCACGGGAGCATGTCTGCTGCTTTCCAGGTCAAAAGGCGGACAGTTTCGTGAACAGCAGCATCAGGTTCGGAAGCTGGCAAATCAGCATGCGACTTCGGCGCGTGTTCGGCACGCTGCACGGCCTTCATCTTTGTTTTCAACGCTTGTTTACGGAGAAGAAAGGCGGAGATAGAGAGTGGTGTTTCACTACGCTGTCCTAGCAGCAGTGGCTTGAGGGCATGTGCACGCGTTTGGTGTTGCGCAGCCCGAGCATCGAGGCAGCTCCTTTGAACAAAGAAAGAGACGGCGAGAAGGAAAAAAGGATGTCTGTGTGCTCCGAAAGCTGGTGTGACAGTGGGAATCAAACTGCGTCGTCCCGCACCCACCGGAGATATATGTGTGCCGTGCAATAACAATCTAATAACTTATGGTCTCTTCTTGTTGCCTGCCCCGCTGTAAGGGGATCAACTTGGTCGCGGCTCTTGTGGACGGACGCGGATTAAGCTGGCGTTGGCGACGAGAGCCAATGACGACTGCAGCCAAGGAGATTCGGCTGGGACTTCGAGAACGGCGGCTTCGACCTGCTCCAAGCGTGACTTGAGCTCATTGGCATCTGCAATCTGAAGCGTCACAGCCCCATAAAAACGCGACTGTACGCGTTCTGTCCGTCAATCTCGCAGCGGGCAACCCTTGATCCCGGCACTTGCATGAATCAACGCAGCCGATCATCTGGATTTTTGGGCTGGTTTGACGGATTGCCCTCCTTGTGGAACGATGCCCACATCAAGCTTTCCCACTTTCCAAGTCTACGATCCGCTTTACAGCAGCAGTTAGCCCTCGCAAAGAGATGCCGCCGCTCAGCTCCTGTGGGCTGGGCTGTGTGTGGTTGTAGGTGCATATGCGTTCGTGCTTTCGATGTGCGGCCAGCTCCGTGAGCGGATTCTGTACCGTCTCCTCACGTCGATTGTCATGGCATCCCAGGGCTTCTACCAGCTGGTCCTTGTTTCAATCAAATGCTTTTCGACCTCGGACACGACGACTGCCAACGACTGGTGCACACACGCTCAGACTGCCCAGCGGTGCCCGGAGAGCTGTACGTCGGCTTGTGGCGTCGCTGAACATGCCTGACTTCTGCATCCGTTCTGCTGATGGATTCGCCTTGGCCCTGGCCTTTGGTACGCTAGTACGTGCACATTTTCCAAAGCTGAGCGCCTTGTCACTTGTCAAAAGATGAGCCGGAAAGCAGGTTTCTCGTGTTCGCCTGTTTCTGTCGAGCAAAGCTGGGCTCGCGACATTCACCGTAATCGTGCAGCATGCGAGCAGTCGGCTCCCACGGTGCCACTAGTCCAAGGGCGCTGCGGGCCAATCTTAGCTAGGGGGATTCGACGTGTTGGTCTGCTGCGTTGCTCTTGTCGTGCCCGCTGGCTTGTGGTGTTGCTCGAGGCGCCGTGTGCGTGTAACAGGGCTTGTGTACTTTCGCTTTGCCTGAAATAGCCCAGAGCAGAGAGAGGCCGACGGGCCATCCAAGGATGAACACACAGTTCTGGTCGCTTGACGGGAACATGGATTCTGTACGTAGTTGGAATGAGTAAAGCGCCTCGATCCGGTGAAGGGCACCGCACACCAAAACAAACGTATGTCGCATGCAACGCGGGCCAAGTGAGCAGCAATCGACAACATCCTTTCCTTGAAGTTAATCCGCACTATCCTCTTGCACACTTTTGGCTAGTGATGCTCTTTATTTCCTGCATTAAGCTGTCAACCTAAGCATAGCATCACTTCGTCGACACCCGTTATCCGAGCCTACGCGCACACTCCCACAACGCACGTCTGATCTGCCCTTTTAGCATCATCGCGAGCCGTCTGTCTCGTCCAGAAACTCTACTCCTCTTCCTGACTCTGCCCGCTGCCCGTTTAGGTGGAAACTCTGGCCCCATACGTTGCCGCACGTAACTCTAATCCTCGTCTTCACTTAGCTCGTACTGGCCGACGCAAGCCCACACTCGCTCGTCGCTCAAGCTCCGCCAATGCAACATTTCATCAGCATGCCATGAGAAACACCCCATCTTTGGACTTCGCCCGCGTCCTCTCCCCTTCTTCCCGTTCCTTGCTAGAGGCCTTTGGGTCCCATAATGTACAATTGGACTCCGTCGGTAAGTGTGTTCCTCTGTCTCTCACGAATCTCACTGTCCCTAGCCTCTGCTCCTGCGAGTGATTGATGCAGCGCGCAATGCACGCAGCGGGCTCCATAATTAGCTTGTCGCTGAGAGGCCAGCCCTACTGTACCTGCTTCGTCGATTGCCAGCATCATCACCGTCACCAATGACGCGCAAACACATGAGGGCTGTAGTTTTGGAGTTCCTACAGACGAGCAAGAGTGCTGACCGCTGAATTGTGCCCACAGCTTTGTGCCGCAGCTAGCATAACGTCGGCCAGCGTCGTAGGGTTGGGATTCGCTCGACCAGAGCAGCCGCGTCCGGACACGACAGCGTCCCACAATAAGAAGCTGCTCTCGAAAGACGACCCGGCTACGACGATGCCTACACGGCTCCGCTCCTCGTTCACACCTGCCACCCCTCTCAGCACCACGAATACCCCTTCGGTGACAGACGAGCAACACGCCAGGTCGTCACCTTCCGCCACACTCGGCTACGATGGCCGCACACCGTCAAACAAGGTTCAACGTCTCGCTGGTGATGGGTCGGACGCCGCACGGCAGCGACGGAGCGATCACGAAAGAGAGAGGTGCTCGACGTCTGGCAGCGAGGCTCGTGGTCAGACACCGCAGCCTCGGCCACGCCCTGCAACGGTTAGGTCACAGTCGAGGAATTCGTGGATCAAGCGGTTGTCCTTCTCAGACAATAGCAGGTCTTCGTCGCCCTGGCCTGACTCTATTGCGCTATCACCGTCTTCCAATGCTTCAGCTACAATTTCAACCGCGGGCTCGACAATTCCTATGATTGGCTCCGCACCAGTTGCGCTGCCGCCGAACAAACTGGTGAAGAGAACAACTTCACAACGGATGATCAACTCCTCGTCCGGCCGAGTGCCCACTTTGAGGAGGCCTGCAACGAGTCACCAGAGATCAGCCAATTTGCAGAATTGGAGTCTCGCTCACGAGAGGGAATCAAATCCGGTGACTCCCGACCTGCTACCTCCGACAATCAAAGCCCCACCAACGGAGACCAAATGGAAATCCTTTTTTACTGTTAAGATCAATAAGAAGGGCTCGGTCAGCAAAGGCTCAGATGCTCCTTCCCGCGGAATCAAGCGGGTAGTGCCTGAGGAAGGCTGCTATCCATCTTTGGTCACTGCTAAAGCCGTCATTACTTCCACTCTCGACGTCGACGATTTTCCAGAGTACGACGATGACAGCGTCTTCTACGCCAGTCGGCCTCAGTCAGCATTCGGCTTGGAGTCCGCACTCACCTCCAATCGGCAATCGGCCGCCATTGAGCCGGGCCCTCCTCCCACTGATGGCGATGCACAAGATGCGCAAAACGAGCCACGACAATCTATTTCGTCGCTCCTATCTCGCAAACCCTCTCGACGCGAGAGTATCAGAGGGCTAAGCAACAAGCTTACGAAGCGCATCACCGGGAGACGTGTAGTTTCAGCCCCAACCACGACTGACAGCAAACCCCCAACCTTGGGCACAGACACTGAATTCTCAGCGGAAACGAATCATTTTCAAGGCTCTCCCAACTCATGTCAAGCAAACACAACTAGTCGCACAGACCCGAGTTTGGCCAATTCTCCGTTAACATCTCACACATCGGCTATGTTGTCGGATAGTGAGCATGATTCGCCTAAAATGTCCCCCCCGAATCAATCTTGGAAGGACGAGGCTGCCCACGAAGTTTCTGCAGGCATTAACTCAATAAACTCCCGACTATCATATCGCAGCGCAACGCACTCCGATACTGGATCGTCTTTTGGAGAATCTGATGCTGATGTCAGTGAGGTTGAGGCTTCCAAACACAGTCACTATTCCATGATGACAAACGGACGCCCACGGACGAACCGATCGTCAAGGAGTAGAAGAGATAGCGAATCAAGGTTTGAGACGATTATGGACGAATCGCCGCCCAAGTCCCACAAGTCCCCACTGAAGGATATGCTCCCTCATGCTATACGTTACAGGGATGACATGAATATGGACGTCTCAGACACGATAGAGGAGGAAGCCAACATGGGTAGCCCTGACAGGAGGACTATTCGGTCCGACAAGGCGGATAATGGCTCCCCGCTTGCTTCGAAGAACTCTACTTACTCACAGCTCCAACGTACTCCTCATATGTCCTCATCGCCCCCCGGCTTTGCAAAGCCACTAAGCTTGGGCACGCTCGAGTACGATGACCACGTGATGGATGAAGATGAGGAGAGCAGATGGTCTGCTTTTGACGAGCAAGATTCAGTAAGCCATTCTGAGATAGATGACTGGGAGATTCAGGACGATTTCACTACCCCAATTCCTTCTCGCCGGCCCAGTCAGTTACAGACACAGCCCTCAGTAGGGTCAAAGTCTGTCCTTACCAATGAATCGACTACGAATTTCCCTGACAACAATCCTCGGAACGGTCTGAAGGGAACGCTATTCGCGTACTCAGAAACTTCTGTGGAAAAAGCCCCCGGAAGTGGCACTCCACCTCGCCCGAGCACCGTTCATGGTAAAAAGGATGCCGACGGACGTGGTAGTCGTCCCAATAAACGAAGGACGCCCGGTGGTCTTCATATACGAAGTCAAAGCGTTCCCGTCGTTCCAGACTTAACAGGCAAGCGACAGGCTGTAATTACGAACAAGTTTGGTACGTGGGGCGTTGGTAGCAAAGGTGTGACTGAGGATTGGGACGAAGACTTCGACTTTGGCGACAAAGTTTCGCTCAATGCGTCCACAAATGGTTCTGGAGAAAAGAGGACAGACAGTATGCAACCCATTGCGATCCCCCAAAAGATTAAGGACCATCAGATCAGCGTAATGAACAACATCAGTCTAGTTCGCGAGTTCGGCATCATGATTGAGCAATTAAAGCTCTTGAAACCTCGTGCTGCTTCATTGGGTCTGGTTCAAAATTCAAAAGACGATCTGTACGAGCTCGTGGATTCGATGATTGAACTTGCAGATCAAGAGGCAGACATTAATGTGGGACATCAATCTCCCCCGTCTTCACCTAGCTTCGACATGTCCGGCTTTGATGATCCTCCTGTCCGTGCTTCCAAAAAGAATGGCTCCAACACGAACGCTAATGAGCGACACGATACCGTCATTCGAACACCACCGACTGCGAAGACGAAACGTAAGACGGTGCTTCCCGATGAGAACGATGTCTTTACGAGCCCTACCACCCAGGCTGATCAGTCCAAGCCCACCACACCTGCCACAGCCGAGACCGCGCTGCGCCCACGAAAAGATTCTGAGGCCATGGCTCGCTCAGTCATTGAGGCTCTGAAGAAGAAGAAGAGTAACGAGCGGTCTGCTATGTCGCTGCAACCAGTGCCTCCTAATCGACGCGTTCAGTTCGACACGCGAACCTTGCGTCACATCGTACCTTATGTTAGCGGCCTTGTACGCAGGGTCAAAGACCAAATTAGAGAGGCCGAGCGTTTCGACATTGGCTCGGACTCGGACTGGGACGAAGACACGGAGCCTCGCGTACCTCAATTGGCCCACGTATTCCGGGACCCATCTCCAATAGTCGAGTCTCCGTCTTCGCGCAGGAGCCGTGGCCTGCAACCCACCCGAACTCATTCTTTAGAGGGCTCTCCAACTGTCGACAATGTCAACAAGCAACTTAAGATGATGACAGTAATGTAAAACTCAAAAATGCATACGACGCATATGAAGAAGTTGCCGACGCCTAGGTGGTGAACCTCCGCTTATGACGGATATGCAATTAAAGACCCTAATGACCTAGATGCATCGTGACTCCTACGAGCATATCAAAGACTTCCAATTGTACTTCTAGCTTTTTTCTTTTTTGCATGGTATGTGTCGCAGTTTTCCTCAGCATCATGGAGGGCATTAAGCGATCACGGAACGTTTTCCATTTCATTTCTCTTCTTTCACAAACATTCAGCGGCATGGCGGAAAAAGGATCATCGAATGGGGACAAGTGCGACATCGCCAATTGTGTGCTTTCAGTATGTTTCTATGATAAAATTGGAGTACACTATACCGGTACTTCGTCCAGAATGCGCACATGCGCACATACATACAGGACATGGCAGGTTTGGTACGTGTTTTTCTCTTTAATTTCATCCTTTCATCTGGATGATTCCACAGCATATCCACGGAACGGGCTGGATTGCTTTCTGGTGGGTCAGTTTCTTCGACCATAGATTGAGCAAAGCACAAGAGATCGCAGCACTTTTGCATAATCGAACGTCAGGCTTCCGGCCGAAAAGCATAAAGAAACTTCTTTGTACAATTAGCAAGTATCACAGCACAGCGAGGCAACAGGAAGTCAATAAGTTTCATTTTGCAGTTTCTACAAATACAATTTTTCCCGTGTGTGGATGGCAATGGCATAAGATGTATACGACGATCGGCCAATGGAGAAGGAACTGGGCTCTTTGTATCGTCTGGTCGAGATGGTGCTGCTGTGAAACGTCATGAGAAAATGGAAAAAACAATATTCACATGTCATCTCTTGGCTTTCTCCTCGTAAGAGTCGTTACCAATACCTTGTTTATCTTCTCAAGGGTCTAGAACACAGACTTGATTGGGCGGATGGACACTTCAGGGTAAATGCAATCTGAAATTTGGTGGAGTGGGGGGGGGGACTTTGCAACACTGTTTGCATGACACTGGCCCACTTTTGTCCTTCGTGACTGGAGGCGCGGCTCAGAAGATCGTACGAAATGGACTGAAATTGTGGCCTTGATGCTCTACCATCTAATCTTGCGGGGCAGACTGTCAGTTTGTGCTTCGCCCCTACCAGGAAGTGCGAAAGAAACAGTATCCATCCGAAAGATGTCAACTCAAGCCCCAGTATTTTATAATAAGGCAAAAAAATCAGTTATCCCGTCGTTCATTCTACGTTGTTGATTGCGCGTCTTATATTTCTTCGATGATTCCTAGAGCTAGAGCCATTGGCGGGATGCAATAATTGATACTGCACTACTAAGAACAAAATCAGGTCTAAGCATTGGTTTTTCTGTTAAAGAAACTAAAACAATGGCTATATATACAATTTCAAAAAGACCATTTAATGCAACATGCCCGGATGGCACAATTGGTCAGCGCGTGGGACTTTTAATCCCAAGGTTGTGAGTTCAAGCCTCACTTCGGGCGTCTCCTTTTTTCGATTCTGTTATCGAATGAAATTTTTTTTCTCCTCCTCATTAGTTTCTCGATCCCTCTCTCTCTTGAATTTTCCAACTCCTTTTCTTATTTTACTTTAATTACCACGGGGGAACTCGTCTTTTTTTTTTTTTCGACGTATAACCGAACAAAGAAAATGGGCTTTGTTGGCTTTGATCTCTCTTGGGTAAGGATGACTGCATGAGTAAAGACTCAAGCAGATTGGATTGCTATGGAGAAGAACCATTTTAGCAAAGTTAAACAATTCAAAGGGAATGAAATTGAGGGCATTTCAAATCGCCTTTACATTGAAGCGTAACGGATTTGCCTTGTACTGCAATTTCAAACCTCAATCTGGGGCTTTTTTACCAGGGCAATTCAAATGTGACCCGGTACACCAGAAGCAAACCAAGTTCCCTACATTTCAAACAGGTCATCTGGAAAGGAGTGGCTGTTCTATTGTGCCTGAAATTGGAGCTCGTTCGAGTGATCTGAGCAGTTCAGGCTCTTCAGCTAAGATGGTCGATAGCGAACATACTACAAATTCTCCTGATGCTTAGACCCACGCGTAACCCTCTATATAAGTAAGAAACAAGGGAGCATGAGCGTTGGTCAGGGCGACCTGAACCTTGAAGCTCGTCGCTTTTCCTCTCGACATGGCCTCATCTTGAACTAGTTCAGCACGAATTGTTCAAGATCAGGGACTTCATATTATGCCTCGCTGACACAGATCTTGAAAACAGCAGCTTCCGGGTTGAGATACGTGTTCAAGAGTTCTAAATGTTCACATGAATAAAGTCGTCCATGGGATGTGCAGCTGAAACACCTCGAACAAGCCTAGCTAAGGCGGGTGCATGACGAAGATATATGCAAGCGAAGCTTAATGAAGACATACAACCGGCTCTACCTAACTCGCCATTCAGTTGAACGCCGGAAAGATATTCTCACCTATGAGTTGAGAATGGATGATTCTACCGTGGACGGATGCGATTCACTTCTGCGTGTAGAGAACGAAAGGAATGACGCTTTGACTGATGCTTTTCATAGTGCTGCTTCCGTTCCGCGAACGCCAGAGCCAAGCAAGATCAGCGCGCCGAGCTTTATGATGTTCCTCCACCGCGTCATCCAGGAAACCGCTCATGTCAGAGATAGCAAAGATGGTTGGATCTCCATGTCTGGGCATGTCCAGTCAATGCTATATCTCGGGTGGCCGAGTTGGTTCGCTTGATCTTTTTGCGACCGTCCCCATCACCCATTCCCGCCTTTCTCATAATCTGTTTCAACCACATCGTCGTCAGCATTTTGCGAAAGTTCCCAATCAAGCTTACGGCTACATTAATCTGCGGACCTCCGCAGGGCCGGACCGTAAATAATCGAGTAATGAAGGCCTTTCCGTGTTATCATCTGCTGGCAAGCCTTGCAGTAGCTTCCGCTCAGACCTTTCCGGGCTTCACCGTCACTATCACGAACAAACTTGGTGTTACTTATGGCGATATCTCTGTGTCCAATGGACAGCAGCTTCCGCGAGCAGGCAAGGGACTTTCCCAGGTCGTTATTTGCTTCACAGACTGCTGAACATTGCCATTAGATGTCCTCTCTCCGCCCAATATATCATCTTCTGACCACTTCTCTGCCACCGGCAAAGCCGTTCTCATAATGATGGACAGCGACGTCCCTGCGAACAGCACGTCTCGCACTACGCTGCTACACTGGCTCGTGCCTGATATCACAGGCGTGACGGACGGCACAAACTCTACATATCTTACACTGCCTCCGTCCAACGACGGTGTGCCGTATCAACCGCCATCACCACCGCAAGGCGATTATCCACACCGCTACAGCTTCCTTCTGTACGAACAGACGCGCGATTTCAGCATCCCTAGCACCGTCAATGCAAGTTCGAGGCGAGGCTTTGACCTCAAAGGCTTTTTGAACGACACAGGCCTTGTTACATCACTGGCGGCGAACTACATGCTCGTCGCAAATGTAAGTGGGCCAGCGAGCACAAGCTTTCCGCCTGCACTGTACACTGCAAGTAGTACACTAGCGTCTAGCGAAGCCGCTGCTACGGCCACATCCTCTGGAAGCTCTGGAAGCAGTGGATCCTCAGCAAGCACGACTAGCTCAAGTGCGTCGGGCACGGCCGCTACAACAAACTTATCAAACACGGGTGAGGCACAGGCATTACGAGCTGGCTCGGGCGTTGCTTTGCTTGCCGCTATCTTTGGAGTAATTTTGATTTAATGCTTAGGCTTCTGATCATGTACTCTAGTAGCCAAAAGACTCCACAAATAAAGTGTTGCTTCGCCGATATCAAAAGAGCGAGTGGCCAAGATGCAGATAAAATCAACGGCTTCTGCAATGGTCACTTAATTCGTAGTCATAGCGCTATTGGATCAGAAGCAGTTCTGGCTGAGATCAAAATCGTCGAAAGCAGTGGACAATCGACGCACGAAGGCTATCGAATGATTACGTTATCAGTTCTTGCCAATTGAGTACCCTCATGACTTCATTCGAGTCCATTAGCAATCGCTGGTTTTGGCTCTGTTTTTGACGCGAATCGCTGCATCTTCTTAAACGCATGATGCTTTCTCGACTTCCTCGGAGGTCCAATTCGAACTGCGAAGGTTTGGTGAGCGCCATCGCATCCACAAGCCTACCACTGTATGCTTGACGATTCATGCGTGACTTCGTGATTCGTGTTCTCCGTACCGTCGCCGTAATAGTACGACGCATTTTGGGGCCTGAGCTCTTGTTGCTTCACCTAACTTAATATCTTGGAAATGCGACCACTCAGCTCGGTGTGGGAGCTCCCACAACCCTGATACCCCAATCCGAAGGCGCATATGCGATCGCATAGTCTCTTGGACTCCACATTACAACCGGCGTGGGACCCTTGGCTTCGACCTTATACACACTCTCTCCTGTCTCCACGTTTCCAATCTCAAATCCTGTGCCTTCGTCACTGCCACCAGCTATGTACGTGCCATCACAACTAAAGCTGACAGTCTTCACCGGCCCGGCCTGTGCGTCAAACGTCTTGGCTGGTAACCAGCCATCTGTTCTGTACAACGATATGAGGCCATCAGAGGCGCCCGTAGCAACATATGCACCGGCTGGATGGTATGCAACGCAATTACAGGAGCTGTTGTGGGCGGGGAAACGAGCCAATTCATCAAGGGAGGGGTAGTCGAGGATTTTGAAAAATCCGTCTGTGGTGGTAGTGAGAAGAGAGTCGCCAGCCCAATTGAAACACGTCTGGTTGGTTTGGTCTTTCAGTCGAATCGTTGAGATTATCGTCCGTGACTCGCAGTCCACGCGGACTATGTCATCGTTCTGCACAAATCAGTTACGTTAGTCGTTGTACGTAGAAGAAGACAGGATGCGAGAGTTGCAAAACCTTTTTTCCAACCACAAGCTCTTTGCCGTCAGGACTCCAAGCGAGTGTGAAGCACAGCCCTCCCGCCTTAATCTCACCACTTGTCCCCTTGGCCCTCACATCCCAAAACCTAATCATCCCATCCTCGCCAACACTGACAATCTCCGGTTCGCCTCTAGGGTGAAACAGGACCTTCTCCGCCCGCTCTCCCCTCCAAACAAACTCGTGAATGTGAACGCGGGGTTTCTCCGGATCCCATACACGAATTGATTTTGATGCTAGCCCCGTCGCTATCTGGGTACCCAAAGGCGACCACGCGAGGGTTCGGACCTGCTGCGCGGCCACGGCTGAGCTGCCTCGAGGTGGATGTTCGGGATATGCAGTCGTTTTTTGACGCTTGATGTACGTCGGAAAAAGAGTGGTCTTGGGAGGGTGAAATCGAGTGACTGTCGCCGCTGTCGCCGCCGCCGTCGTGACCGCCGCCATGATTCTACTCCAACGTTTGAAAAAGTGCCACTATTTCGAGATCGTTGGTGCGTTAAGTCGGAGCTAGGGAATGTAGAACAGGGTATGAGGATGCGGAAGTTGAATGTTCGAACCGCTAGTCTTAATTTGGACTCAGCCTTGTCGACAATTTGGTGTATGCTGGCGTTGGGTCAGAGTTGAGTTCAAGACCCTCATTGTTCATTCTGCACTTGAACTGTATTGAACATGAGCATTCTAGACTAATGAGAGTGGTGTCAGCTCCTGCAGCTACGGAGAAGTGGCTAATTAAAGTAATCGCCAAAGCATGAAACTCGTCAATCGCACTGCTCTTCTTTCTCCGTCCGCTCAGCAACACGGAGACTAGAAATGCGATATGGTCGTCTTATTAGCCGGAAAACAGATCTTGATTGCTTCAATGAAGCATGGTACATATTTCTATCTCAAGCTATGTCAACTAAAAATTCAGCATCAATGGGTGTGTCTTAATTTTATGGGAGGTCGACGAAGATCGCGACTGTCTATTCAAGGAGAACGGGGCACTACTGTTGCTCAGTCGCTCTTGCAAAGTACGCATAGGAAAGCATTGAACACGTTGCATGAATTCCCAAAGCTCATCGCCTTGTAACTGAAGGCCAACAATAGACAGATCATACAGCATCAGCTTCGTAGGCACAATGTTTGCGGTCATTTTCCTGCTTATTCATGCTTGCTACTGCGGGATTGTGGCGCCGGAAAATACTTCGGACTCCCCTCAAAAGCTCCTTGGACGTGTTTTGAATCAATGGGACGCCAATGAGCACTGGTCACAATCCTCCCTCGTCCTTGCTCGTCGAAACTACGTCTACTCTCTCCACAACTACACTATTGAGCAGTCTGAAACGAAGAGCAGAGTCCGCTGGACCATGAGAGAAGGGAAGGAAATCTTGCCTTGGGGAAAACGTGGTTTCACAGCAAACCATCAAACACAGTAAGAATTTTGCGTTAGAGAAATGCATTTCGTTTTGTTGTACTGATGTTTATTATAGTAAATGGGATGCCAGCAATACATTCGTTGATAACAGGGGCAAGATTTGGATCCAGTTGTGCTATGTTACAGCAGAAGATGCCAAACAATTGGGCCCCTACATTGCCCAGTGCGTGAACAGATGGCACGCAGCATTAGGATGCAACAGCGGAGTCGGATTCTACATCAAGCAAAACTATTGCACCGACCCGCGGCGTGATGTTCACGTTATGGTAGACCAAAATGCTTATCGGGGGAAAGCAACGGTTGGGACTAGGCTCTACCCAAATAGCGGATATCCGCTTCATTGGATCAAGCTGCCTCTTCCAGCTCGCGTCGTTGGACAAGCGTATACACTTCAAGCTATAACTATTCATGAGCTAGGTGCTGCTGAATCACACTCTTTTTCTCAATATCATATTAATACTCCATAGGACACACATTGGTATTTCAATAGCCAAAGTCCTGACAAGGCTTGCACTCGGGAGCTTTTCGATACTTGAGAAGAACTGCCGCTTTGTGATGCCGCAAAATGGCCTAATCGTAACAGAATTGAATTACTGCTTCAGCTAACATTTACTTAGGGGCTATACCACGAGCAGAGCCGACAGGATTGGAGAGCAGCTGGCCTTGATATTGAATTCACCGCAATTCCGGGTTATCAAGCTGCAGTCAACTATGTAAACAATAATATCCTTGTCTGGCCTCAAGGGTCTCTGAAGCAGGGACAGCGGATAACCGTGAATGATATACTAACTTATGGTGAACTCAACCGTGACCCAAGATTCGCTCTCTGCAGGATTTGGGCAGGCAAAACTCATGTCCCATCGTGGGTCAGAGCTGATGGCACAAATTCTCTAGGCAACGTACGTCAGGGGGTGCCGTATGGTGCATTTGATTGGGATTCTATAATGCTATACCCGACAAGACCTGAATGGATATTTTGGAGATTAGTAAATGGCGTGAGACAAGAAATTCCTGGTATGTCCAGTTTCTCGCTTTGTGGAACGTTGGGTTCCATGTGGTAAAAGATCTGACATTCGTTCAGGTCCCCGGCCAGATTGGCCTTCACAAGAAGACATAGCTGCAGTCAAGTTTATGTACCCAGATTTACCGCCTCCGAACCCGTAGACCCTGAGCTATGCTGGTATCTTGCATCGAATGGTATGCGGTCATGAGAATAACGCAGCCATATAAATTTGAAATCAATGCAATACAAGCAGGTTGTATTTTGTGGTGGAAGTAAATGACATAGCAGCGATGATAAGAGAGTGCAAACTTAACGAGAATTGGGCATTGACTTTCTCAATCACAAGCCGCTTCACACTTTGACCTTGATGAGACTGAGTTCATCAGATTTAACCGTGGATCAGTGCATCTCGTGTATGTAGTTCTGAATGATTTCACTATATTAGCATATTTCAATCTCTGGACTTGTGTTCTCCGGATCCGGAGGGAAGGAGTCGAGCCAAGGCAGGTTCAAGCGCTAATGCGTGGATACGCGTATTGGCGGGAATACGAGACCAGGGGGGGATAGAAATGACTCGGAGATTTTACCAAAGTATTCCCTGGCCTGCGGGTGAGATGCCAATATTTAAACGCTGGCCATCTTTATTCCTGAGGGCCATATACTGTTCAGATCAAATGAGTTTTGGACATGATGGCCCAGCTTCTTATTGCGCCTGTAATCATTGCTCCAGCAGCGGGACTGCTCTGGTACAATTCGCGTCAGAACGCGCAGGATGACCAAGTTCCAACCTCTTTTCTACTCAAGACATGGGCCCTATCAGGATTTTTAGGACCTACAATCGCGGCCCCGGTTCAGCTTGCTATTGGCTGGCCTTTTGCCAAATTATTGCTTGGTGATCGATTTGATATATATCTGAAGGAGATGGGACGAACGGAGCAATCGCTCAAGACTTTGGACAGAGAAACTCTAGCTGCACGCCGTGAAATAGCTTTTTCTTTAGCCAACTTCGCAGGAAATGTATTCATGTCAACAATAGCCCCGCTAGTCGAAGAAATCTTGAAGTATGCGGCTTTGCGCATCGTGGAAAAATACTTTCCGGAAAAGGCCAGGACGAAGAGGAATTACGTTTTGATTGCTATGGCTGCCGGACTTGGCTTCGCGCTCGCGGAAAATCTCGCTTTTATTTCCCAAGGCTCGTCGGGAGAAACACAGGCTCGGCTTGCCTTGACCATCATTGAGCGAGGCATAGCTGGCACCTCCGGACACTTTCTCACTGCAGCGCTGACAGGATGCAAATTCGCGGAGTCTCGAGCTTCTGATGGCAGGCGCACAGGCATATGGTCTATCATCAAGGAAAGTCTACTGTACCACGGCTTGGGAAATTTTGGTCTCTTCACAATCAGCACGTTGTATGGTAATGTGGGATGGGTGCATCCGCGGGATCCCGTTGGCATTGGCGCTATGCTTGCGGTTGTACTCAGCGTGAATGCTATGGCAGCATGGAGTTTGGTTCGAAACTTGAACAAGATGGACGATGCGACTAGGAAAAAGTCGTCTTAACTAGAGCGGCGATGTGATTCTTATGTAAGTGACCCAAGCAACGGTTGGAATCCTCGCTGACGCACCAATACAGGGCATGATATTCGTTACAGAATATGTACATTAGTGATCTGACAATGATACCCTTCTCCGGTTCCATTATACCCTTACAGTAGAGCATTCTACTTCAAATGCGGCGACCCTGCCGTGGACCTTCTATGTTCATCCCCATGCGCCTGGTGACAAATATGCCTGGCCGCTTCTATCGGCAATTGAAGACAGAATCGAAGACAGAATCCGAAGTTCAATCCGGACGTCATCGCCCTTTTTTTTCTTTGGTATGTGTGTGTGTGTTGATGGCTGCAAAGACAAATGCAAAACATCAATATCTGACTCTGGTAGGAAACGTATGTAGTTGACCATACATTCATCCTCTTATCCCCACTGCTCGGAGGAGCCACTCGTATCTCCGCCACGACTACCCTGGCGATATATCTCCATGGGTAGAGGCCTCTGTCAGCGATTTAGTAAAGAGTACAGCGATGCAGGTTTGTGTTCAAGGGCAGCGTACCGTTCGGCCATATCCTTTCGCAGTCATCTCAGCGACAAGATTATCTAGGTTCCGCTGACGCAATTCCCTCATGTATCTTAGCTGCTCTTCACTGAAGCTGAAGGTTTCTTGGTTGTCAGGATCGGTGAAGTTTCGCAGCACGGCATATGCGATCAGGACGAGAGCACCCCCGCCCGCCATAACCAGCACGATAACTGCCCAATATTGCATCTTTGCAAGCCTGAGATTCCTCGAGAACGATAGGAAGAGTTCTAGAGTCGCCTCTCGAAACGAACGAAGAGATCCGGATGGTTCCGGCGGTGACTATGAGGTCTCAAATTTCAGGCGTGGTTAGAATTTGGACAGAGCGAAGATCAAAAACTGCCTGGGCTGTAGCAAATATCGATGCGAGCGCATGGGGCTCTTTGGAGCAGGCTAGGTCAGACGTATCACATGAGGCAGATCAGTGAGTGCGGGTTTTATCGGTCACAAAAGGTTGTTTCATGGCCTAAAAAGTCAGCAACTTCAAGAAAGACGAAAGACGCAAGTACGAAAGACCAAGTCTGCACCACCTGGTGCTTTTGTTGAAAGAGGTGGGGTCGAATGCACACGCGTCAGACGCGGGCGTAACCAGCCTCTCGCGAATGGGCAAGTTCCGTTCTCCGAGCTGCAAAACTGTACCAGTCGGGGACATACACGAAAGTGTGTCTGCGTACTTGAGTGCTTTCCATTGGTGCGCGCAAAGCCTGTCGTCAGATCCGGAGGGGTTGCAGTAGGGCTGCAGAAAATAGAAAAACCATTAGTTCATCATCGATTGGGGCGCAGCACCAAGCCCACGCTCCCGTCCCGGAACCGAGGATGCGATGCGAAAGCTTGACTTTCCTCGACCCTGCCGCTAAAGAAGCTTGAGCGGAACAGCCATGCCACCCACGAGAAGTCAGATCTGGGCTTTGCTGCCAAAACGTGTTTCGCAGGTTGCGGTTCAGAATGGTTACCCGCCCTTTTCTTGGCTGAGAACGCCTGATCGGGTGGGCACGACGGCCATGCCAGGCCCGTTTTTTGCTGGCTCGCCGAGATTCGCCACCGTAGATATTCGTGCGGGTTCGACGAGCTTTCTTTAACGTGATCATTGTATCCAACATCCGGGCCGAATGCAGCCGGAGCGGCCCTTGTACGCAACGCATACGGCACACCACACTGTTCAAGTCTCCGTTCGCCCCCATGTTCTGGAAAGGGCGCTAAGCAAATCGATTTTCGGAATTGTTCTCACGCGTCGCAAGATTGGCTTTCTTCAGACTTGTGAGGAGAACGAACTACAAAAGTACTTCTGTCTGACAGGATATGAAGTTGCGATGCACCGGTTTAATTTGAAAGCTAGTACGTCTTTTTGATTAGAATGATTCTCGGGCAAAGTAACACGACACTTGGAAATTTCCATATTGCCAGAGTGCGGAAGGCCTATTATGCCTCTGCATACGTTTGTATCATAATCATATGACATCTGATTTAAGTTATCTGCTCAAAACACTTCATCTTATATACTCACACACGCGCTCGCACACACACACACACATATTCACACGCGTACACACATGTCATTTGGTGAGATGCAAATCAGAGCAAGTTCAACTCAATCCAATCTTTCCGAATCCCACCGCGCCATTCCATGCTACTGTCGCCAAAATAAACCAGACCAGGTTTTCAAGACGCCAACCTATGCCGAAAATAGTTGAACCATTTTTCTCCTCTCGTGCCCATCACGAATAAGAATAACAGGGGTATATAGATATATAATTCGTACGCAATTGATGTACCTTCCAAATGAAAATACTTTTGAGAATATTTGGAGTCAGCTTCGGTAGATCGTCTTTGGCTAATATGCTGGGTTATGTCAGGCGCAAGGATAATACGACGGCGAATAATTTAACCGTGCAGCTGTAGCTGTGCTCCGTGGTTGTCGCCAACGGTATCGCTAAGGTTGATAAGAAGCTGGGCCAGGCATCTCTTTGTAGCAGCATCGTCCCGAAGTACGGCAGAGAACGTTGCATCCCTAAGCGGCTCGGGGAGACATTGCCTCAGCGCCTCTCTTGCTCTTGCATTGTCACTGAGCCGCAAGAAGCAGCGCACCACGTGTTTCAGCAGGCGCACTGTCTGTTGCTCAACGAGCTGATTAACCATGTTGCTGAGCACCGTGCCGACGGCATAGAAGCGCTCATATGTCTGGCAAATGTATGCCAAGCCGACATCATCAAGCAGAATCTTCTGAACAATGAAGATGGCAACCGTTTTGGACAGCTCAGAGCCCGTCTCCATGATACGCAGACAGAGAGGGATGATCTCCGTCGTCAGGAGGAAGTTGATAACCTCGCTGCTGTCATTTTTTACGAGCGCCCCAATTACGCCAAGAGAGGTAAGGCGTAAGTACTCGAAAGGTCTCGACTTTGACGTCGTATTGAGAAATGGGTAAAGAAAGAGCGGAATATGAGCTAGATTGGGTAAGCTTGGTTGCAACCTTTTCCGTAGGAAGTACCTACCAGCTAAGAAAAGCTGTCTCGTCTCCTGGTGAGAAGCTACGCATTGCAGAAGAGCAAGGGCGTTGCAGACTCGATTCGAGGCAGCTGCTGTAAGCTGCGAGGGGCTAAGCAGCGGATATACAGAGATAATCTCCTGCAATAGCGACGTCATAACACCTGTTTCCTGTTGGTAATGTATTCAAACACTTTGCCAAGAAGACAGATAATTACCGAAAGAGTGCCATAATACCAATGCTAATTCAGGTACAGCTTCACGTTTCTTGCTAAGCTCCAAGAGCGCCGTCTCTCGTGTCTGCGGGTTTAGCAGCTGCACGATGAACTCCATCGTCTTTCTTTGGTCCTCGCCGCCAAACTCAGCGGCAAGTCCATCGGCACCCACTCCCGAACCAAGTGTCCTATCTCCACCCATGTTGGCCATGCCCGCGGTAGCTGCTGCCAACGAGTTGGTTGTCAATCTGTCGACGCCTCCACCAAGGGAAAGAGAAGGGTTGGCCGACGATGCGTTACTAGCTGCAGCTAGGCGACCATATTGCTGCATACTGGCGTGTTGTTGCGGGTGAGTTGCATGCTGAGGATGGTGCGGCTGCGGGTTGTATGTCATGAATGGATCTTGCTGGTGGGAGAAGGCATGGCCGCCAAGTGCGTGTTGCATCATCGTTTCTGATTTGCCGCAAGCGGCTTATGGGGCTTTCGGTTCGTAGCGTCGGTGTAGTTCGAAAGGAGATACTTTGGAGAATGTGTTCTTTTCTTCTGGTGTTGTCTGTGGAGTAGAGACGTTTCCGAGGGTTGTGCTGAGACGAGCACAGACAGTTCAAATCGCTTACTTGAAATGGTTAGTGCATGAACAGAGATAGGACGGAGCGTGGAACTCGGATGACAATGATCCAGCGACGTCGCAGCCGATCGATGCATCGTCAACTTCTTGTTCTGAACAAGAGATCTAGATCATTTAGAAAGACGTACCTGCGTGCAAAGAAAAAAAACTTTGCTGTAATTTTCCCGTTTTACGAATTCATCATAATCTTTTACAAGTCACGAAAGCGTGACATCGAGTGACAGTTTAGGACAGAAAGATTAGATTCGCTACCATACCAATCGATTGACAGAGTTTCACCTAGGTAATCAAATGAGCAAATATACATTCTCAATGCAACAAGAATAAGAATGTTTGCGAATATTGAAAGAGCCCATATTCAATAAAGGCTTGTATTGTTAGACAAGGTCACAACATGCCACCAACTATTATTATCAGCCTAATATCGTCAATGACTATCTTCCATTGTTGCTAACTCGTCGGCAGTATAATCTGATTTCGCCTCTCGTAATCTCACAAAGGCTGCCATGATCAGCAGGGCTACTCCTCCGCAAGCCGCTGCAAACCAGAACACATTTTTGTAGCTTTGTCTCACCCCTTGGTCTTCTGTCTCCTTTGATATAAGCGCCCCAAAACCCAGAAAGAGTGCAATTCCAAGTTGCAATAGGCTATTGATCAGTGCGCCTGCTAATCCCTGTCTTTTCAGAGGCATGGACGTAGTTATGAAGATATTCGTGACTGAGAAGGTGATGTCTATTCCGATCGTACAACAAAGACATGAAGTGAATATATAAGCCCAATAGTTTGCGTCAACAGGTATTATCGCAAAAAGCAAAGCAGAAACAACGTATGATGCACCGGCGATAAGTATTAGTACGGTACCAGGAATTTTATGGAGGAAGAAACCTCCGACTGTGGCAATAATGCAGCCACCAGCGGCGAGTGGTCTGGGATAGTCGTCAGTAAGTAATTTTAAGTGGACCAGTCCAACTTACGTATACCAGACAACAAGTTGCATGGGAGTACCGCCCATGACGTCTGTCATGTAGAAGGTTGCATAAAGCAGGTAATTTCCGAGGACTCCATACTGAAATATCAATGCTATGCAAAGTGGTTTCATATACTTGACGCAAAATAGATCGAATGGTAGCAACGGTTGTTCAGCAACCCAGCCTTCGACGTAAAGAGCCACTATGAGACATAGGATACCTGCGATCATTGTCGCATAGATGTACGGCGTCGACCAACCTTTCGGGGCATCTGCGCTATCCGTTATGGCGAACACAATAAGTATCAAACCAGCAGAGATGAGAACTGCACCCCACCAGTCCATTTTGACGTCCATGTTCTTTCGAACACTCCAGTCAGACGGGATAGCCCAAAATGATATGGCCGCCGTAGCAGCGGATATGATGGCCCCAATGAAGAAGTACCATCGCCATGTTGTGTATTGAGCTGTCACGCCGGCAAAGAAGATTCCTACGAAAAAGCCTAAGGGCGCACAAGCTCCATAGACACTGAAGATAATGTTTTTTCTTGGGCCTGGTCTGTATATGCTTCCCAATAGCATCAAGCTTGAAGGAAGATACGCAGCCGGACCAAGGCCTCCAATTGCCCTCGCCAAATCGATCATAATTTCGTTCTGTGCGAATCCGGCGATCAGAGCCCATATGGTCAACCATGACACTCCTCCCACGTACACAACATAGCCCCCATACATGTCAGCCACTCGGCCGAACACGAGTAGAAAGCAGGCTATGACGAGTGAAAAGGCGTTTGCGGGCCATGTCTGCGTTGCAGGGGGAATGTTGAGGTCCTTGGCAATAGTAGGTAGAACCACGTTGAACCCGGAAACGAAATACTCTGTCAAAGCCTGGGACATGGCCACAGAATAGCAAAATCCTAGTTCCGACCATGCTGATTTGAATTTCGATGGTCGTTGGCGGCCCAATCGATTTAGCCGTGCCTCTATGGACTCTTCAACACATATTGCAGGTTTGTTCGTTGGCCGGGGTGGACTGGTAGACATTAGATAAAAGTGAGATGTCCTGGTCCAGGGACGGTTGTTCTGGGCATAAACGAGATGGCCGAGGAACAAAAATCATAACAACAGCCATGAGAGAAGCGATGTATTTGGAAGGACGCATCATAATTACCATATCACCGAACCTTATAGTGTCTTTGAACGCCTTCGGAGTCCACGGATTCCGTGTTGAGATAACAGCGAAAATTGCTTTGCAATGTTCATTATGACGACTGCGAAAGTTATGTGACGACCCCGTGCATTGGCAGAAGATAAAATCCGAGCTGCGCATGCCGGATAATTGTCGTTGGAGTGGCGACTTTACTCAATAGAAAGGCGGCAAAGACTTTGTGAGGCACGATGACGACCACTAAACCGCTTTTGGCTCTGTATTACTAACAGAATTCCTGCCGAAAGGGCGTATGATAATGATCATGTCACTTTTCCGATCTTTGGTTGGCTGCTTCGAAGTCTTGTGAGGACTTAAGTGAGCCTTGGCCTCGTTGATTACCAAAACAGAGTTCAGTTTGGCCCGATTTCTGAAAGGCAGTCTTTATCAATGCTTTGTCCAGGACACGTGTAGGTTCCATATGGTTGTGGAAAAATGGAAAGAAGAGCATATGCTCTTCCTGCCATGTAAGAAAAAATCGAGCAAATGATGATACAAGCTGGCACACAGACTATGCACAGATCGGTAGACGAAAAATATCATCTTTTGCAGACCGAGCTCTGAGATTCTGAAATGATCATGAAATACTTCTACAGTTGTAGGGTATTGAGGAAGCTTGGAATAGCTGGTTAAAAAACATGCGTCTATTCTACCAAGCTCCAGGTTCAAATGCGTTTGAACAAAATTTCAAGCAAATGGGCACCCTCCTCTCCCGCTAGCCATGAGTCTTTCCTTCGTTTGTGCCATCTCGGCCGTACCTTTGCCCTCCAAATGTTTGGGGCCAACATTGGGGACATCGTAGCCCTCTGGCTTGTATTGAGGACCGGGAATTGGCAAGCCTCGCATCCACTTCACCCATGTCTGGAGGCTCAGCCAGCGATTAGTGAAGTTATCTGGATAGTACCAGGGCTCGACTTCGTAGTACATGACGTTGTATTTGCCATACTTGTTGGGCTTTTCGGACGTCACCCGCATCTTCATCGCTTGCGGCCGTGGAAGGAACAGGTACCTGATGATATATTTGCGAATGTGAAGGGCATTGTGAATACAGCTCTGCAGCCACGAAGGAGGCATTTTATACATCATAGCCTCCCGAAGTCGATCGTCCATAAGTGCGGCGACCACATTCTCTCCGATTCCGTGCAGAGGCTTTGGCACGTCATATAGGAGCATTTTAGTGGTTTCAACTGCAGTTTGGTGGTTGTCCTTCGTGGGTAGCATGACTTTCTGCTCGTACATTAGGGCCCAAACTTTGACCTCCTCAAACCATTCGATGCCGTCTTTCCAACCTCGCTTGTAGCTTGGCAATTCCTCGTAAGAGATGCCCATTGCGTCGCCAACCGATTTCCAGAAGGTGCCAGTTGCGCATACTTCTAGCGGGGTCAGCTCACGCCACTCGAACGTATTGACCCATCGCACGGGCTCTACAGCAAAAAGTGAGAGAGTATAAAGCATGTCTTCATTGGATATCTGGCCAGATGCTTGGTATAATGAGTGCAGATAGTTCATTCGCGCAATTGCCGTGTTGGCACGCTCTGAACTTGGGGGCGATCCAAGGAACTCTGCAATCAAAACGGCGGTATCCGTCAATCGCTGAACACGGCATTAGTCACGAGCAAAGTGATTATTTTCATCCTTTCATGTACTGACCCTAGGCGCCAGTTCCTTGGTGGAAAGCTGCTTAGTCTTCACCAAAAGCTTGCTGATCGTCGGAATCCCATATGTTCTGAAAACCACGTCAACCAATTGGCCTTCGCAGATCGAATAAAGCCCTGAATACGCACCTGAAGAGTGCAAACTGCAGGGACTTTTCACCAATGAACGGGAATTCGCATTCAAACACACTGCGCAGAATGGCCTGCGCATCATCCGCTGTCATCTTGGAAAAATCGGCACGTGTTTTGTAGGGGTACTTCTTCGCGATTCTGTCCCTTCTTCGGTACCTGAGCAGGCGCACCAGTGCCAGGTAGCTAATGCCCGCCCCTAAGCCGAGCTTCCATGCCGGGGCATCTTTGATGAGCGCGCGCAACTTGTCCATGGTCGGGAGCTGCTCGAGTGCGGCTGTAGCATAGTTTCGGATGACTTCAGAAGTCATCTCGAAAAGCGCAAAGTACGAAATCAGGACAAGCGATTGCGAGTATGGAATATTGAGTAGTGATGATGATTTAAACTTTTGCGTGCCCCTTAAGAGCGTGGAGCAGCTGACGACGTGATGCGTGCGTGTAATCGTAGGGTTGCGGTTATTCGGCCAAATCGGGTAACCGGGCTATTCCGACACGGCTTAGTTCTAGCGCCTGGCAGGCTATACTCGTGGCGAAGTAACGGTCGAATTGAAAGAGGTAGCTTTTGAACATCTGTTGTAGAAGTACATCTCCAGCGTCCTTATCAACGTAACGTGTCTGAATAACATCTGATCCCAACGCCAGGGTTGAATCAGCATGGTTGATGGCGTCGCAGGATTGTGACACCGAGGATTTTTCCTGATCTGAAGCAATCCTTGCTGACTCGCGTCGGCTGACCCTTGGACAGCGAAGCAGAAAGTACAGAAAATTCTGCAATTTCCATTCACGAAAAGTGGCCTGAAATACGAAGGATTGGCGGCCTCGTTAAGACCGGCAGCCGCACTACAAAACGTGCAGCCCCGTGGAGAGATAACCCCATGGTCCGAGAATCACGCAACGTGGTGTGGGGTCCTTGGAATTGATCCTATCTACCAGATTGATTGTCATCAGCGAGGTTGACTTGTTCTAAGCGCTCATCCGTCCTTGTCAAGTCCTGCTTGTCACTTCGGCAAACTTTTGACTTTCCATGATGCGAGGATCGACACTCGGCTCTTCCGGATGCTGGTCCTTCTAGAAGACGAATAAGATCTACGAATCATTTCGGGTAAATCTGTCGAGGGCAATCATTGTTGGGGTGTTCACTCAATTTTGCACCGCCTCTATATATGAATGTTGACTGTATCGTACGATCGCCTTAGATATCTCGCGTTTGCCCTCGAACTTGACCACGAAGTGTCGATCAAAAAGGCATGCCCTAACCTTGCTTATGCAGTAGATGATTTATTCTGCGTTTCAAATTCCAGGCTTCGCGTAGAACTTTTTTCCCCATTCGTGACGACTCAGTTTCTAACTTACGTTGGCTTGGAAACAGTTATGGAATCAAAGGATTGCATGTCTGATGCAAGCGCTAAAGTAGCGTGATATCTACAACCGCGGCTCGACATCGCTAAGTCGACAACGCAGTGACGAAGCAACCGAGATCCGCTAGGGCGGAAAATTGATAGTGGATAGACTTGATCCACAGCTGATCAATCGATACTGCTTTCACGGTTATTGGTTACTTGCGCGTTTTCATCTGACACGTGTTTCGAAACTTCATCGCGTAGCACAAGCCAGGTTCAGCATCAGTCAAAACATTATCATGCCATCAATTTTTGCTTCTCTAAAGTAAACTCTCGTACTTATCAATGCCATGCTTCTGTCCCATTTGATTTTGGGACTGCATGTTGCCCATCCCGCCAAAAGTATTGCTTGTCGTTGTTTGTTGTTGCTGAGCAGGTGGCGGCGCAATGCTAAAGTTTGAATACGGCGATTTAGGAGGGGGTGGGATCGCAAAGGAACTCGTTTGCTGCTGTGAGAGTGAACTTGTAGAGGCCTGTGACCCCCACGCATTGATACCCGAAGACGTCGTGTAATTCGGGGTCGTCGCGGTTGCGCTATTTGAACCCCATACAGACGCGCTACTCATATTCGCGGCTGAAGACCAGTCAATCGTCCTGCTTGAGGCAGTGGTTGCCTGCGAAGTCGGGCGTAATGGCAGAATGGGCTGCATGGGCTGTATTGTTTGCAAGGGCGTAGTGCTAAAGCTGGACGCGCCTATCGTATTTGTCGACGACGGTGTAGAAGGCTGCAACGTCGTGAAAGCACTTAGAGACTGATCCGGTGTCACGGTTCGAGATACGCTGTTCTGGGCTGGTTTTAATGTGCTCATCGTCTGTGGTTGCGGCGGTGTCGACCACGAAAAGGTTACTGCTGGGCTTGTAGTTCTCGAACCTGAAGGTCTTGGTACGGAAGGCGACGGTTGTGACCAAGAATCTAATGAGCTGTCGAAGACGTTGCTATTGGCTCTGCTCTGCTTATCTCGGCCTAAAACAAGATTTTCAAAGTCATGATTATCCCCAGAAGCGTCATCGAGACCGTTGGTGCGATTCGTCGGCGCCAAACTAGACATGAAATCCGCTCTATTGGCAGTAGTGGCGTTTGTAGCTGAGAGCTCTTGTAATTTCCGCGTGTGTTCTGATTCAATGCGTGATGAGAGCGATTTGATGAGTGCCATGAAGGCTTGGAACTGTTGCAGGTTGAGGAGAGGTCCTAAGCTCATGTTCCAGAGGATGGGTAGTACATCCATGGCTAGAAAATCGGAGTCCGCGATCTTCCCAATCTCTTTGAAGACATCCAGAGCGGCCATCTAACGCGTCCGTTAGTATAGACCTAGTAGACAAGAACAAGGGATTTTTTACCATAACAGCGGGCTCTTTCGTTTTGATAGCTTTCAAGAGTGGCACAACCTTCTCTTGGATAGTATATTTGTCCAAAATAACGCTTTGCTGTTTCTTTTTGCTCTGTTCTTGAGGATCGAACCCGTCCAGCCCATCACCACCATCGGTTTCTCCACCTGGTGTTCCACCACACAGAATTTGTAGTGCCTCTAGCCCACGGATCTTGATACCAAGACTACTAGTCTTACTAAACACAGTTGCGATAACAGGGAAGACGTCATTTTTCACTGTTGAAAAATCAAGAGTCGACAAAATGACAGGCAGCGTGCCAAGCGATGCGTCAACTAGTGAGTGCGTTTGCGACTCCATCGCCAACTGTATGATAGGCCAGATATCGTCTTTGAATACCTTGCCGTTTGTGTTCTCTGCTATGAGCGCCACATTCTCCAGGAGGACCATGAGCCCAGCTTCCTTCGAACTATCGCGTTCTTGAGTCGCGGCGTCTTTCTTATGGCCCCCACCACCACTAGGGAGGAATACTTCGCGCAGCTTTGGCACGACTTTTTCGTTAACCGCACGTTTAGACGAGGGCATAAGCTTTATCATCTTGAACACATTTTGCAGAATGAGGGCGATGAGTTCACGGTCTTTCATCTCTTCCAACAACACTGGCAAGACTTTCTTCTCCAACACCGTCTTAGGGAACTGACTGATGATACGTGGAAGGCCTCTGAGGAATTGGGACTTCTCATTCGGTGTTTTCGCCGGCAAGGATTCCAGGAAGCGGATTGTGGACACGAGGATGTTGTCGAAGTACTCTGCTTCCTGAAATTCACGCGCAGTCATGCGTGCTGCAGGTTTTCTCGTGATGAGCCTTGGGAGCAAATTTAACACTGGGCGTGGCAGCGGTGTGGATGATAGGAAGTTGTTTGCTTGTGTTGGAGTAGTTGAAGAAGAAGCAAAGAGTCGCTTGTATGCGCTTATGCTCATGTTCGTCTCCAACGGACTCTGATGCGGCGAGTTGTACAGAGCCACGATTAACAGCCCCAGCGAGAACATGTCCGCGGGCGCGGAAGCTTTACTGTCCATGACTAGATCCGGAGAAGAGTAGTCTAGATTAAGCTGTACGAACCTGGGGAGTCTCGCATCAAAGTAAAGAATTTCCGAGACCGCTACAGGTGGCGCAGACGTCGCAACCGTTGATCCTTCGCTCTTGCCTGAAAAGCCGAGGCCAGCAATCTTCCAGTCGCCCTTTGCGTTGATGAGGATTGCGTCTGGCGTCAGGTTACAATGCACAAGCCCCGCACTCTCGTGCAGAAATTCCAGTCCCTTCCCGACTTGCAACAGACCCTTCTGAATCTCCAGCTCGTCAATCTCAATGTCTCTCCTCTTTTTGCCTCCGCTCTCTGGGTCGTCGACGACATATCTGCTGCGCCGCCCCCCTACACCTCCTGATTTTTCCTGCTCATCCTTCTCTTTCAGGAGAGATGCAAGGCTTGCTGTCACTGGTTCCGTGGCGAATTGTAGTCCTCCACTCCTCGTGTCCTCCACTGGCTCCACGAGCTCTAGTATGCTGGGATGTCGTAGCCTGGCCAGCGAGGAGGCCTCTCTCTTCAAGCGCTCAACGACAGCATCCTGTGCAGACTTGATGGAGGAAGAGCTGCCTCTGGAGGAGGCCAATCCGCCGGTGTGGGGTTCTAGAGTCTTCCGGTCGAAGACGAAGACCGAAACTGCTTTGCCGGTGCTCCTGTTCTTGGCCTCAAAAATGCGCCAAGGGCCAGCAGTGGAGGCGGGTGTGTCGGCGATCTTGTAGTTGGCGTTTATGTTGGATTGGAATGACTTCAACGCCGAGGACCACATCGTGCTGTTGTCGCGTGGCCAGATCGGTGGTGGTGATGTGTCATTTCTCTTGCCCCGAGGTAACGGTCAGCAATCCATCCAATGGATGCAAGCGACGAATGTCAAGCAAGAGAAGCTCTGGCCGTGCCAAAGTATAACCCGCTCATAGACGAATGACGAGGTCCCGTAAGGGTCTGTATATCAGTCCGCTGTCCAAACGATGGAAAAGACGTTGCAGATGGCGAGAGCGCCAATAGGGATTGGACGGCGTGAATTGCGGGGCTCAGTTGTTCCTACGACGGAGGAGCGAATGAATTTGCCTTGAGTAATTAGTTATCGGAAGAGAAACTCGAACTCAAAGGCGTGGACGAGCTGATTCCATTCCCTCTGCCTAGAGGCCGCCTACCGCAGTGACGGAGATGTTGGCGACTCCGGCATGTGGCGCGCGGGCTGTGGCTCATGCGGTTCACCCGGGCGAGTCATGATCCACCATCATCTTCACGCCGTCAGCGTACGGGGTGAGTCCAAAAAAGTCGCGCCCAGCAAATGACATCCGTAAATAAGCTCCGTTATCCGCACTGCCCACCGACATCGCTCCTCGTTCCTTAGTTTATCAGTCATCTCCCCCTTCTCCTCGTCCTCCTTGGGTATTACGTTAAGTCAATTGGGCCTTTTGCACATCGAGGCACCGCCATGTTCCAACGGAGTACCCGGCGGGCGTTGACTTCGCTTACTCGAACCACACCGTGCACAACATCGACCACGCGACTAGCCCCTGTTTTGGTGCAGAGGGGCCAGCGATGGTACAGCATACATGCCAATCATGCTGCTGAGCGGGGGCTTGATATTGAGCCCTCAAAGCTGTCTATCACCAAGACGACGACGCCGAAGGAGCTGGTGCCGAATAATGAGCTCGTCTTTGGACATTCGTTTACAGGTGCGACTTCAGACATTTCCGTACACAGAATCCGTGCACCCAGCTTATTCTATTTGCTACAGACCACATGCTTTCCATCGAATGGACTGCATCAGAGGGCTGGCTCAATCCGCGGATAACTCCCTACCAAAACCTGTCGTTGGATCCCGCGACGTGCGTCTTTCACTACGCATTCACCTGCTTCGAGGGCATGAAAGCGTACAAAGATGCCAAGGGTCAAATTCGTCTCTTCAGACCAGACAAGAATATGCAACGGTTGAATAAATCCTCCGCCCGCATCGCATTGCCCACCTTTGACGGCGACGCTCTCATCGATTTAATAGGCAAGCTTGTCAAGCTTGACGAGCGCTTCATCCCTAGGTATTGCAACCCTCCACTTCCGGCTCCTCTTACTTATTACGAATGCTGACTTGGCCTGTTTGCCAATAGAGATCCGGGCTACTCCCTGTATCTTCGACCGACAATAATAGGCACACAGCGAACCCTGGGCGTTGGCCCTCCTGGTTCAGCCCTCCTCTTTGTAATCGCATCTCCGGTCGGTCCATACTATCCTACGGGTTTCAAAGCCGTCTCCCTTGAAGCAACAGACTACGCTGTTCGCGCCTGGCCTGGAGGTGTTGGCGACAAAAAGCTGGGTGCTAACTACGCGCCATGCATTGTCCCTCAGATGGCTGCCGCCTCGCGTGGCTTCCACCAGAACCTGTGGCTATTCGGCGAGGAGGAATATGTGACTGAGGTGGGTACGATGAACCTCTTTGCGGCATGGAAGGACAAAGAGACGGGTGTGCCGACGCTTGTGACTGCGCCCTTGGACGGAACCATCTTAGAGGGCGTAACTAGAGATAGTATTCTTGCCCTTGCGCGCGAGCGGTTGGTCCCCAAGGGCTGGAAGGTTGAAGAGAGAAAATACACCATGCAAGAAATTTCCGATGCCGCGGATGAGGGTCGCATGCTCGAGGTGTTCGGTGCTGGAACAGCTGCAGTCGTGTCTCCGGTACGAAGGATCAGTTGGAAGGGTCGGTTGATTAATTGTGGGCTACCAGAAGACCAGGAGGCGGGACCAATTGCTCAGCAGATGAAGGATTGGATTGAAGGGATCCAAAGGGGAGAAGAAGAAGGCCATCCTTGGAGTCATATCGTACACTAGACCGTCTTCTTCTGTTTCTGAGTTCGTCTATTGCGAATTGACCGTGGCGTTTTAACAGAAGCGTTAGAAAAAAGCTGCACTAGCCCTTGGATAGATGAGAAGAGGCCAGTCTGTGTTATCATTTCGAATGTTAAGGGCTGCGAAAGTCGAATCACATGAGGGCTTATATCTTTAGAAGAAGCAGGATCTTTCACATCCTCGTGGCCGTCGGAGAAACTTGGTAGTAAGGATGTTCAATGTCACCTGAGCTGGATAGTTAGTTTCCCAGTGCTTGTTCTTCATTATTTTTCTTCAAAATTCCTTTAATGATGTATTAAGCTGCTTATTTGTCTCTTTTGATGGCCAGAACCGTATGTACTAGCCATGGTTTTCACCAGCTTGAGATATTCTAAACCGCGGCATGGAGTGCTTTAAGCTTAGGATGCATGACGTTGTTTAACATGATCCCTGCATCCGCAGCACAAGCTTTCATCTTTCAACGATTGCGACTCTTGAACTACGTTTTTTCCAAGGCTTCTCAGCATTGATCTATATTATTCACGGTAGCGTAATAATGAAGGAACAAAGGTTGGATTTATTTGGCGGCAAAACGTATGTGCTTTGTTCTTTCCCATGGCGACTAGACGCAGATTGACTTTTCTAAGTAGACCATGGAGAAAATCGGACTGGATAGCATCAGACGACCGTGTCAGGGCAGGAAAATCGCAAGTACATTATCCCTTAGCTACTCCATCTCTCACGGGAGACTGACATGCTTTCTCAGTCTTATCTGGCCGTATCAGATGGAGGAAGTGCGGCTACCTTTGAAGGCACTTTGGATGTCAAAACGCTAGGCGGTGCCGGATTTGCAAGCCAGAGAACGGCTTCCGATGACATCAGCTGGGACCTGAGCGATTATGATGGGATCGAGATGGTGATCGGTAGGGCTGATGGTAGGCCAGCACGTTCTCTCTTACGCGCTCCAGCGCGATATTTTTGGCTGACAGGCTCAGAAATGCGGTACACGCTGACTGTGAAGGACACGCTGTTGCCCCGAGACCCTGATACGGGCCGCGAGCAGTCCACCATCTCATATGAGCACGACTTTAAGGTTTCTCCCAATACAAAGGAACAAGATCACGTATTGTTGTGGATTCCTTGGGACCAATTTCGAGCCACGTATCGGGGGCGCGAGAAGAAAAATGCGCAGCGCCTGAATACGAGACGTGTGAGACGTTTTGGAATCATGTGTCGAAGTTTCTTTGGGGACCAGGAGGGTAAGTTTGAAGTGGTGATTGTGAGGATAAGCGCCGTCAAAAAGCCTACGTTGCACGATGCAACAGCGGAAATGCTAGATTCGGATTTTGAGAAGCTCCCAGCGTGGGATTTGGAGAAGGGTACTGCAGTTAACCACCGCTCAAAAATTCTCAAAGCCTTCTCGTCAAGACGGAAAGCTTTCATCGTAGTTGCAAGTTTGCTATTGGTATCTGTTTGGATCTTTTGCAAAGCGTGTCCTGGAGTGAAGCTCAAGGGTAGCAAATGGCTGGGTGGTAATTACAGCTATATAAAGGCCTATCTGGGTTCTTGAGTACATGTGCTGTGCGAAGACGATGTCTAAATTAACCTATTGTGACACAATTTCTGCCGAAGTTTCTGATCCAACTTTACAAATTCATGATATACTTGCTCGCTTTCTTCAATTGCTTTTGCAGCTGCATTATTGCCAATAAGGCCGCAAGCTTCGAGTATCCCTTCAAACGCTGCAGCGAGTCGAGCACGTACTCTTTCAGACTGAGGCCTTCCTGTCTGGCACGGTACCAGCCAAAGAGGAAAGACATCACACCAATAAACTTGACTAGCCTTGAGAGGACCAACTTTATCAGTCCTTTCCGAGTATAGCTAATTGTCCAATCGCTCCATTTGGGGAATCTGCACTTGTACCAGAACCAAATCTGGTTATAAGGCAGCACGGTCGAGTTCCAGCCAGTTTCGTCGAAATACCACGAATTGCAGCCACCGGTCTGGAAGACTGTCTTCTTAAGCTCCCTTTGTATGTCTTGAGCCCATTTGATTTCGGCTTCCTTCTTGACTTCTACTGTTCTCACATCTCCATTGAGGATCGGCTTAATGAACCTTTTTGCGTGGTTGACCATGTTCTCAATCGCGAGGACCACAGATGAGTGTCCTGTGGTGGTGTTCGGGCCAAAGATGATGAAGAAATTCGGAAAGCCGTCTACAGCAGTGCCGAGATACGCTTGAGGGCCCCCACGTTCTTGCATCGTATCGACGAGATCTTGACCGTGCGTGCCTCGGACTTCAAGAGGAGAGAGCCAGCGGGTCATGTCAAATCCGTTGGCAAGAACAATGATGTCAGCAGGCACTTCCTTAGCCTCGCCCGGTTTAGCATCCTTTGGATATGATACTTCTGGTCCAAGTGTTATGCTACGCTCGTGAATCTCTGTTGGCTTGAGCGTGGTGAGCTCAATGTTCGGTTCGTTGAGACTTGTGAGCCACTCCGCATCGAATATCCGACGCTTGCAGCCAATTGAATAGTCCGGCGTCATGATATCGTGATATTTCTCAGGCACGATCGACTTCATACGCTTAAGTTCGAAAGCTTCAAGCTTCGCTCGTTGCTTCTTGTTCCATTCGCCGTCAGGGAATAGTCGCCAATCGAACTCAGCAACCGATGCGAGAAGAAGTCGCATTGCTCGAAGTGCTCCTGGCACGTACGTGAAAACAACGGGTGCCCATTTCGCCCACCCTTCATCTCCACCTGGTGGCGGAAGTTTGGACACAACCCATGGCGGACTTCGCATGATTTGCGTGACGGACTTTGCATTGAATGGGGCCTTGGTTAAACGAGGAACAAGCTGAGCCGACGAGCAACCTGTCCCAAGAACGACGACATCTTTTCCTTGAAAATCGACACTGTCATCCCACCTTGCAGAATGGAAGCAAACGCCTTTGAACTTTTCGAAGCCCTTTATGTTGCTTGGTGCTCCCTTTGGCTCGACAATGCCGCCGACACCGCTAATCAGGATCTTGCATCGAATTGTCTCTGTGCTGACCCATACACTGTCTTCACCTTCCTCTCTGACTCGTCGGGCCCGCTCTTTCGAGGACAAATCACCCATGCCAGGCTTCATATGTGCCAGTTGGACTTCCCAGCACTCCTCTTGCGGCAGCCATTTGCACACGCGGACATCCGTGTTTAATTCAATCTTGTCAGTGAGGTTGTATTCATCGCAGATATCTTGTAAGTAATTGTAGATCTCCGGGCCTGGAGGGTACATAGACGTCCACTTCGGATTTGGTGCGAACGAGTATGAATAGAACACGGCGGGAACGTCACATGCAACACCGGGATATCTGGAGCACTCAGCACTGCGACTTCATTGCAATTACATGCTACTAACCTATTAATCCACCATGTGCCTCCAACGCCAGATTGCCGCTCGAAAACTCTATATTGGTCAAACTTCAGCTCGACCTGGAGTTTCCAAGCCATGGCAATGCCAGCGAAGCCAGCTCCGACCACAACCACAGGATAGTATGTGTAGCCTTTCTGTCGGTCATAGCCATTGACCCGATGTATCTGCGTCCGCAAGTCTTCTCTTATGGGATGGTAGCCCTTTCCCGCCTCACTTGAAGTCATGGCTGCGGTGGAAATCGCAAGTCCAAGACAAAAATGTCGCGTTGCGCAGGAGATGTTGACGGAGGAACAGAAATAATGCCAACTGTTTGAAGGGGTTCGCCTGCATATGCAGCAATGGCACGACCTCTACTAGCTGCTCGCCTGGAAGAAGGTGTGAAGAAAAGCCCGTACCCGATGCAACGTGAAATAAGTACGCACACTGGGATTCCGAGTAGGCATGTGACGACTCGAAGCAGGATTAGACCAGTGAGTAGCCGGAAAAGTGGTTAGATTTCACCATTTTTGGAGCATCAAAGCTGCCGCACGACGCGTTGTCATTGGGGTGCGGAGAAACACCCTCGGCATACGTCAAAGAGGCCAATCAGATTTCTTGCATGTGCTAGGTCAATCTGAGAGTCCAGAGATAGGGTTTCAAGATAGCATGACGATCCAAGCCTACAGAAAACGGATCTTAGCTAAGGGAGATCGGTCTGGACAAAATAGATGGAATATCCTGGTGTCGATTTTCGCAAATCTCCGAGTCAGGGTGCGAGACACTGCTGTGATTTGCATCAAGGAGGCCGGCGAAAAACTGGGGAGCTTTGATCCGACTATCAAAGTAGAAAAACACTGGGTCCTGTCAACTTACAGCCTTCATTCGCAAAAGACTCTTCTGGATTGGAAGAACGAACCATAGATCAAATCTTTCAGAAACGAGAGGAAGCAAGAGTCGGGGTACATGAGTGGCGTTCTGACTATTCAGTGTTCTCTAGCACTTAGGAGACAGACTGAGCGTACATTCTGACTCGGGCGTTACGAAGTCTTACCTATGCACGTCCAACGGCCGCAATTTGAATCGGCCTTGCATGACTGTTGAGCGAAATCCAAGGTCGGCTGCGAGCTTTGCTCTGGAGGTACATGCAATGTAGAAAGCGAGCAAATGTTAAGCACCTTAGCCAGGCTCCATCGATAAACTTGCAATCTGGAAATAAACTGCGTAGCGTTCCACGGCGGGACGTGTTTACCTCCAACCGTGCATTAAACGATAAGAGATGGGTACTCTTGCTTCACTTCGATCTTAACAAGGAGAGGCATTTGACAAGTAGATACCCAATTTTGCGGAAGGAAACACGGCGAGCCTCAAGATGGTCCGATCGAGGCCCATCCTGACCTTTTCTTTGAATCCAACGGAAATGTAGACGCCGTTGAAAATGTATTGTAACGGTTCAACGCAACCTGACACATGACATCGCTCGATTCTGACCAATACCAATAGGATTACAGATTCTGCAAATGAATCCATGGGTTGATGTCAAATTAACGTTGGCATAGACCATAGCACACAAAAAGGAAATGATATTCACAGCCAAACTTCAAGTATATATAGAACATGAAAAGTTCCTTGAGGTCCCGGTTTGTCGGAATCGCCAAGCCGCGCGCTTCACTCCGTCCGCTGGCGTCATCTGTCCTTCCGCGTCGCCGAGTCGCTCCTCCACGTCCAATCACTCCGAAAACACCCAATCATTAATCCAGAAATCCAAAGCGTTGAATTGCTACCTGATTTCTTTACCTTCTCATTTGTGATGTTTGTCTGAATTATTTCACTTTCATTCTCTCTTTTTACCCTCCCCGCCGTTGAAATCCCCACGTGTACCCGCTCGCCATGGCGCCGAACGATGGCAACAACCACATTGATAAGCTGGACTTTCCATCCTCGCGGGAAGAGAGAAGGCCCTTGCTACATGATAGACCGGATCATTCGCCCGGACCTAGCCATGGGACGAGCAGGAGCGGCAGCGCAGCACCGTCATTCTTTGAACAAGTGGCTGAAGGCATCTATGAACGAGATAGAGCCAAAATGAAGCGCGAAGTTGTGAGATACACTAGCTTTGTGTGTGCTATATTGAGCTGGTACGATATCCATCGCGCACATGCCGAGATCTACAGAGCTAACAGTACAAACAGCCTATGCTGCGGATCCATAACTGCCTTTTCGCTCTATGGACATTTGTTCATGTCGCGTCTCAAATACAGCCAGGCAGCTGTCAACGTAATATCCATAGCAGCGGAACTCGGCCTTTATCTCCCTGTTCCCGCATTCGGCTACTTGTGCGATCGCTATGGCCCACGTCCTCCGGCGGTATTAGCAGGAGCTTTTTTTGGCATCGGCTATCTCGTAGCTGCCTTCGCATATAAGAGCGGGCCTCCAACACAACTAGGCGGAGAAGGATGGCCACTTTGGACCATGATCGTTTCATTCGTACTCATTGGCATGGGCACAAGCTGTATGTACATGGCGTCAACCAGCACATGCGCGAAGAACTTTGGACGGGGCAAGAATAAGGGCATCGCCCTTGCTATGCCCATTGCTTCTTTTGGCTTAAGCGGAATGTGGGTAAGCCAGGTCGGAAGCAAAGCGCTGTATGAGACCAGAGAAGATGGAAGCAGGGGCGATGTGGACGTCTTTCGTTTCTTCCTGTTCTTAGGTTGCACGCTACTCGGCATGGGCATCATCGATGCGTTTGCACTGAAAGTAGTGGACGAGGAAGAAATGATTGAAGAGGCAATAGACGAGCTAGAGCAGAGCGGACTTTTGCATGAAGATGAGTTCTTCAACCGTGCTGCACAACAACACGGTTACGGAACCATCAGCGTTAGGGACATGTCGGATTCACAATTCGACTTCATACAGTCTGAAGCGGAGCTGCTGAAAGCCAAAGAGGCTGAAGAGAAGGCAAGAAAAGACTGGCTCTTGAATGCCGAGACAAAGCGATTCCTCTCGGACTCGACCATGTGGTGGCTCGCGGGTGGATTCTTTCTCGTCACTGGCCCTGGCGAGGCTTTCATCAATAACCTTGGCACAGTCATCGGCACTTTGCATCGGCCTGGCGAACAGACAAACACGTCTCCAGCTACACATGTTTCTATAGTGGCTATCACCTCCACCGTGGCCAGATTGCTCACAGGCACATTAACCGACTTCTTAGCGCCGGCCCATATCCCAAACCCCCACAGACGCGGACCAACATCAATAGCTTCGTCCTTGGCCTCGCTTCCGCCGGCGGATGAGAACCGTTTTAGTATTTCTCGCGTCTGGTTCCTTCTAGCCTTTGCTGTTCTCAACTCACTTGGCCAGATACTTCTCGCCTCGGGCGTGATTCAAAATCATGGTGAACGATTTTGGGCGGTTAGCGCCCTTGTGGGCGCGGGCTACGGCGCCGTGTTCTCTCTCACACCGATCCTTATCAGTGTGGTGTGGGGAGTGGAAAACTTTGGCACGAACTGGGGAATCGTAGCTACCATGCCAGCTCTAGGTGCTGCCATTTGGGGCATCGTCTATTCCACGGTTTATGAATCGGCAGCATCTCATGAAAACCACGACGGTGACTTGCTTTGCTACGGAATGAGGTGCTACGCGCCAACTTTTTGGGCCATGGCCGCTTCGGTGCTCGTCGCTTGCGCGCTGTGGTTTTGGGCGTGGCGAGGTCCAAATGGATGGAAGAGGAGGGGCATCGCGATCTGAAAGCCCATTTGAGTGAGTTCCCTGGCATGATTTGCCTCTTCCCATGCATGCATATATAGCGAGGTGTTCTGGTGTTTTTTTTTTTCGTGATGAGGATATACCTAGAATTACGGCTCAAATTATCATGATCGCGTGATTAGTCCATACAACATATGTACATAGCAATTGTTTCACGTTGCGTACACTACTCTCTTTCGAAATTATTTTCAGTTAACATGCTGTACGTCCTTGTTCGTGGCCAATTCCAAGACGTAAAGTCTCCCCGGGGTCTTGTAGAACAACGGGAGGGTTAGATCCCAAACTGCGTCATGCAAAAGCAAAACGATGATGGGCGTGTTCAGATCTTGAACAGATTCGCTTGGCTTTTACCAGGAGACATTTCGTGATGCAAAGGATGCCATATCATCCTAGGGAATTTGTCAGATGGGCTTGACCTGGAAGGCAGCATTCTTCAACTCCATTGCCCTTGTAGACGCTTACGTCCGTTGAAGCAAAACGAATGGCCACATGGACAGCGAATGTGACTGAGGTCATGACTTCGAGCTGGGATTCGGACAAGCTTGTGCACAAGGTTCTGCTTTTCGAAAGTCGCGGGCGAATCTGACAGGCACGACTGGATCGAGGGCGCCTTTGCTCCCAGGCAAGATTCCACTGGTAAGAGGAGAGCATAGTCGCGGAGTAAGTTTGCAGATTGTTGTCGCCGCACGGTGGTTTCACGAAACACCTTCAGCCAAGCTCGCTGCGTTGATCACCAAGGTTCCAAACTCATCCACCTGCTCCATCCACCAATCAAGCAAGCTGCCTCGGCACGCGTCGATGCTGTCGTGCCTAAGCAGTTCCCCGAAGGTCGGCCTGAGGTCGTTTTTCAAACGGCCGTGTTCTTGCGCCCAAAGCGATCGCGTTCTCGCCGCCCAAAGCTGCCGAGCGCTGGGCAGCAGCGTCTCAGACCAATACTGGACGCTGTCGCACCGGTTTCCGTCCAGCCCGGGCGAGATGTCGAACAGAAACTCGATGATGAACAGTGTGGAGATGGTGCGGCGCAGGGACTCGACCAGAACCCAGGCTTCCCAGCTGGGGACTCCGGTCGATGCTGGGTCGCAGTAACGTTGCGTTATTCCTCTGACTCGCCGCGAGAGTCTTGACATTGTTTGAATCAGTGGAACGTCAAAGTTCGTGTGCTCGTCGTCGTCGTCTGCTGAAATTCGAAGCAGAAGGTATATGGTGATGGCCTGCAGCGCAGCGACAGCGTCCCAGTCGTCGTTCGAGCTGGCGTCGGCCGCCAAACGTTCTTGTTCCATTCGCAGTATCTTCCACAGGTAGCGCGTGTTATTCTCATTCTTCGTCGACCACAGTGCCACGATTCCTGCGCAACTGGTCAGTGGTCCTGGCGAGCTTCTGCTCCTCAAGCGTTTCTCTGCTGCCAAGCACATCGGATGAATGAACAGTGGCAGATCCGAATCGGCTACCATTTTAATAGGATACGTCCGTAAGGTGCTTAGTACGGACTTCCTCACTATGGACAGCTGCCGCCACTTCAGCCCTCTTGGCCAAAAGGCTTTGATGGGTCGTAAAAGCAGGTGATCTGCCCGCGGATCTGGCCCTGCATCAAGGTGATTCAGCCAGGTCATCGAGTTCACATCAACGGAAGAACTAATAAAGGCATTTAACAAATCCCACTCCTCAACAGGTGATAGAGTCAGGGCATCTGAGGATGAATTAGGCCCCTGCGAAGAGGCAGCGCGTTTGGCATTCCACTCTGAAGTCCCGCTTCCTGTGTAGTCTTCAGAATTGGATATCAAAGAGTCTTGCTGGGAGGGCCACGAAGCCGTTGCACTTGGCTCATGGACTCGGAATGTATCGTCCAAAGACCGCATCGTGGCAGACGGCGGAATGTTCACGTTGGAATGCTGCCCGGCTTCATACACGCAGTCTAGACCTCTTTGTAGACATCTGGAACAAGGTGCGGAAAGACTGTCGCAATGCACTTTGGCTTTGATACATCTCAGGCACGATCGCCTCCTCGTCCTAGGAGGCTGTCTGCCTTTACTCTTGCAATATGCTAGGTGCCTAGTCTTTGACTTTTCTGTGTCAATCAGTAAATGTGTTGCATATGCGTATCGATCGTTTGTCCTCACTGTCGTTGAAATATTTACTACACAGTGGACATACGAAAGAGGTATTTGCACTCATGTCGGCTCGCAGCCAACTATGAAAAGGTTCATCCTAGAAAAAGCACACAATTGATAATCACATCTGAGGGTTTGATACTGAACTTCAGGGGTGGCTAGGGGGGAGAGAGTGAGTGGGGGAGAAGTTTGTAAGCAGGCCTACGGAATTCCGTGTCGACAATTCGACATGGCCACAAGAATTGATTGGACAGATCAAGACTCCACAACTGGGCTCGGGTCACACTTGGGTTCAGTTCTTGCGGACAGTACCTCAAACCGCTTTCCTTAACAGAGAAACATGGCCAACGCCGTTGATCTCTATTTCCTACGCTTTGCCGTCAGCAAGACGCGGGAGTCCGTCGCACCACGGGATTAGAAATTCTCGACGCGATGGAGGTCCGCAGAAACCGCCAGGACGGAGCGGTAATATAAATAGCCCCAAGGAATCGAACGGAGAGGCGACAGAGTCCGGACGCGATTCAGAAGCGGTTTTTCTTCGCCGTCGAATCTAGGACTTTTTCTCCAGTTCCCAAAGGGAAACAGAGCGAGACGGACATGGACATCAAGAACGAGGCGGCCTGGCTCGTGGCCGAGAAGGCTCGGCCCTTGCAGGTCAGACCGGCGCCGCCGCCGCCGCCGAACCTGGCAGCGAACGAGGTGGTGATCAAGGTCGCGTTCGCGGCGGTGAACCCGACGGACTACAAGGTGAGCCGCTCTTTGTACGCGGGTGGGGGGCGACAATGCGCTGACGGAGGGTCGACGGCATGCAGATGCAAGACGCGCCGTACTTCAGGGTCGAGTACCCCTTCATCCTGGGCACCGACGTCGCCGGCACCGTCGTTCGGCTTGGCTCCGACGTGACCAGGTTCAGGATCGGCCAGCGCGTGATCGGCCACTGCGACAGCCTGCTGACGCACAAGCCCGCCCGCGCCGGCTACCAGCTGTACACGGTGTGCCGCGAGCGGCTCGTGTGCGCCGTCCCGGACGACCTCCCGCTGGCCAACGCTGCGGTCCTGCCGCTCGGCGTCGACACGGCCGCCGCGGCGCTGTTCCAGAACCTGGCGCTGCCGCTGCCGCTACCGCTGACGCCCGGCCCGCAGCCCACGGGCCGGACGGTCCTGGTGTGGGGAGGAAGCTCGTCCGTGGGCGGCTGCGCCGTGCAGCTGGCCGTCGCCGCGGGCATGCGCGTCGTCACCGCGTGCGGCGCGTCCAACTTCGAGTACGTCAGGAGCCTGGGCGCCTCCGAAGCCTTCGACCACCGAAGTCCGGACGTCGTCGAGCAGATCGCAAAGGTGCTCAAGCACGGCGACTGCGTCGTGGACTGCATCGGCAGCGCGGAAACCCAGCGCGCGTGTGGCAAGCTTCTTGGAGACATCGGAGGTGGCACGCTACCGATTGTGCTGTGGCCGCAGGCTACGTTCCCCTCCAACGTTCAGCCTGTTCTAGGTACGTCCTGCGCTTGATAACGTGCGGAGCATTTTTTTTTTTTGGCTTATGTCATGACCAGTCAACGGACTTGCCCCGGGTTTCACAGAGGACGAGTTGAAAGGGGCTTGGGGCACGGGTGCTCCGGAGATTGGGCAGGCTGTGTGGCACGACTTCATGCCCACTGCCTTGGAGACCGGGAAGTTCCTTGCTAAACCAGACCCGGTCATTCTCCGGGGCGGTCTATCGAAGGTTCAGGACGGCATTGACATGCTGAGGAAGGGTGTGTCGGCGCAGAAAGTCGTGATCGAAATCGCGGGCGAGCCGTGAGATTGCTAACAAGGTACACGCGACAAGACCGCTGTGTGCTGGTCCTAGTGGTAAAAGCTGGTCTATTTTTGAGGGGTGAAAAGTTATATGATCGTCATCAGACTCTTACGTTGTAAGAACTGCTAGAATACATACATCTCGGTAGAGGGGTGTTGCTTTGCCCTTATGATCCCATACGCCGCAAATTAAATCACAATTCTTTTGGTATCATGTGCCCGTGTCCAACCCAAATGTACAATCATTGCGATGCCAATGCATCCTACACAAAAGGGAATTCGTCAACGCGATCCTGATGAGCTCGCCCATGTTAGAGCCATAAGAAAAGGACATGTTTCCACCCGTCCTGCGTTATTTTTGTACAGTTAGTTAGCCGTTGTGAGCGTTGGTAGGATTGCCAGCAAACCGTTCCATATCCTCCATCATCCTGCTCCAATCTGTGTCCGTAGCCATGGGTGTCATTCCCGTTGATATGTTCATGTCGACACCGGACATGTCGAAGTTGTTGATCCCGAAACCAGGAGAAGTGGCGCCCCCGATCGATTGAACGAAAAAATCAGACTGGAAGCTGGTATACGTGTTGCTATCCATCGAATTATTGAAGAACGTGCTTGTACCATACGGTCCCGGGGTCTGGCCCGTGCTTGTGGTATTAGGAGAGGTCGAGGTGCTGATGTTGTTTGGAAGGCTACCAATTGTTTCGTTAAGTCCGGTCGTTGAAGGTGGCGTAAACGAAGTGTGTGACGAGGCATCCTTCGAGGAAGTACTTCGAGAGCTGCCCCGCTCGTTAGCTGGCGATGGAGCATTGTCAGACCCAGACGGTGAAAGTGAGTCGCTGATGCTTGCAACGCGTCCAACGCTGGCAGGCCCAGAAAAGCCTCCTCGCTGTCGATTCGGTAGAGAGTATGATGGAGAATCTGCGTTGTTCATCATGTTGAAATCAACGTTGATGGTATTGGTGGCGTTTGAATCAATGGGCAAGCTGGTGGAATAGGCATTTGGCCTGCTTTGCTGGCGGAAATTTTGGTTGAGGGTTGAATTTTGAGCCTGGGAATCCCTAATTTGGAGCAGGGGGGTGCAATCAAGATTGTCGTTGATCGCGACTTCGCACTTGTCGCATGTTAGTATCAAAAACGAAATAGACAAAGTGATTATATTTCTTTTTTCTTCTAATCTTACCAGACGGTCTTTTGCGGCCTGATCTACCCTCATTCCGACATCGATGTTCATGCCTTCCAGATCGACGTCCAACTGAACCAAGAACGACTCGGTAAGCGGATTCTTTCGCTTCAACGCGTGCATCGCAGCCAGGAGAAATTGCAAAGACGACGTCATCTGCTCGTCCTTGGGTCTGAACTTGAGGTACTGGATAAAGACTCGAGCAGCGACATAGAGGCAGAAGGCAAGGAAGGGATTCATCTGAAATGAAGGTTAGCGATTTGGAAGCCATGCCAAATATGCGGGGGATAAAGAAAAATTACATTGGAGAGATCTAGGTGGCTAAGCATCCGCATAATGCGCGCGATCTCCGCAGCGGCAGCCACGCATCGCACTCGAGACTCCGAGCCGACGTTGGGTGGAAGCTTGTGCCTGTCAGCCTTGAATATAGCAGCTTGGTGCAAGCAAATAGCCGAAGTATGAATTGACATGTTCATGAACACGGCGTTTGGATCCGCAAGACCGGCCGGCAAGCGCAGCCGTTCCGGCAGAGCAAGTGCCGTGTGCGACAGAATGCCTTCTATTCTGCGATGTCGCCTCCAGAACTCGCCGTTTAGATCGTCGTCGTTGTCATCTGGGCTCGGCCTGTGCAGATGAAGGAGGTTACGACCAAACATGCACGATAAGACGATGACGCCTCCGATCGATGAGAGTTTGGAAGCACCATTGGGCTTGAGCGCCTGTTCGAGCGAATACGTCTGTTCGGGATTTCCCGACAGGAACGCTTCCTCGGAAGCGGGCAAGTTTGTCATGATCTGATGATTTCAGTTCAGCTCCCCTCCGTGTTCGAACTGGCCATCTAATACTGATACTTACGTCTCTTTCGTCAATCGTCATCGGCCATCCTGTTCCAACGCTGGCGTATCTGTCCTCGCAGAAGGCCAACCAGAATGTTCGTCTTCGCTCTTCTCGCTCAACCCAGTCCTTCGGAGGAGGTAGACACTGTTTCACGTCCAAGCCAAAGCCGTCGATCCTGTGGAGGCCGAGCATTTGTGCCATTCTGACCGCGCGGCCCGTCGTCTGCCACGCCCTGGGAAAGTACATGTTTTTGAATTCGTAGATGCAAATGATAACCCATGCTTGGCAGTGTTGGAGACTGACGATTCCTTCTCCGTGATTACGCATCTCATCCGCTTGCAAGTACTTGCGAGTGCGCAGGTAGAAATGCTCTGCCAAGCCTTCGTATTTGTCGGAGACCGATGCGGCCATCGTCCACATGGCGTAGCGCAGGGCTACTGGGGGTCGCATTTGATGACTCAGATTACAGGTCGCAAGATATCTTGCGCGGTGGATAATTGGACACGAGGGATGCACCTTCTCGAAGTATATTCGGTGTCTACGAGTGGTCAGCCGGTGTTCAAATGCAGCTTCGTCCAGGACGACGTACAGTTCGTCGATCGTGTCTTGGGCGGGCAAGGGCTCTTCGAGGCCCAAGCCCACCATCTCCCACGGGAAAGATTCGCTGGCAAAATCATTGCCTACGCCGCTATCTTGAAAGGCGATCGTGTCAGTAACAAAGTCGTTGCTGAACGCGCTGCCCCTCGACACGGCCGGCGGCATGGTGAAGTCAGCCATGGTGACAGGCGGCTCGGTACCCAAGCCCATCGACACCGGAGCCGGCACCGGCGCCGTCGCAGCATGGTGGGCGGACGAGGAGGCGGCCGCAGAAGGAGGCGTGGTCACGGCATGGCGCGACTCGGGCTGTTCCTGCGTTTTCAACAGAGTCTCCACTTGTTCTACCGGCTCTGATTAGTGTGGCAGCACACGTCGAAGGGCGGGCGGCGCATACGAAGTCGGGCTTCCAGCAGCTTCACGTAGCCGCGCTTGGGGCCACTTTTCTTGCGCACTTCGTCGTACGCGCAGTCGTGCGACAGTCTCTTGCAAGTGCTGCAGCTGGGTCGCGCGCCATCGCACTTCAGCTTCCGCTTCCTGCACAGCACACACGCTATTCGCTTGGCCTTTGGCTGTGTCTCGTTGAGGGGGCGTCCCTCGTTGCCGCCGTTCTTGGACGCAGCCGGGTCCGCACTCGACTGGTCGGGCAACGGGCGGTGCAATTGATTGAAGTAGTCGGCGTGCGCATCGTCGCCAACCTCGGGAGGAGCCATGAGGGCGCGAACAGCAGAACGCCTCGGGCTTTTGTAGGCCCACTGAGCGGCAGCGGTGCTCCTCGTGTGGGCGATGTCTGCACCGAACAGCCCTACGGCTCGAAGCCACGAGCCCCACGAACGCTGGCACGGTCACGAAGTCTCGACGCTGGCGCGGCGCACAGGATCTGGACGACGAGCTGGAACGGAGGGCGGAGAGTCGAAGCCTGCCGGCCTGGTATCGCCTCAGGTTTGGAGGGGAATCACGACGGTTGAAATGCGTGAAGACGAGAGCGAAACGGAGCGGCGTGCAGAGCAGCACCAGACTAGGCACCACTATTCACGACTCATCCATTCGCCAGGCACTCGGACATGCGTGGACTTCTTGGGGCGGGACGAAGAACGGCGTTCGAAGGGCGCGATGCACCAGAGGCGCTGCCCGCGGGCCTTGATAGGGCCTAGGGGGCCGCTAGCCCGGCGCTGTGTCAGTCGCGGCCTGCGCACCCTGGCCGTTAGTAATCCGACCAACCGCCCTGCCCGTGCTCGTCAACCTCGACCGCGCGCGCAGACGAGCGGTGCGCTCTGCTCCAGCGCAGCGTCTCCTCCGCCTCGTGGGCGACCAAGCCGTGTCCGCACCGCCCTCCGTTCAGTCTGCATCTCGTACGCGGGCCAGCAACTCTGACTCTTCATCCCAGCCCGTTGCCCGTCGACGTCTCGGCTCGCCGCCTTGGCCTCGCGTCCCCTCGCGCCCTCGTGCCCGCTGGCCAGCTTCTCCCGTCGTCAGAACCTCGCTCGGTGTTAAGACGTGGCATTCGGCGCCGACTATACGAGACACCGCCTCGACGCGCACATCCCAGCCGGCAACAAACACAGCTGCTTCTCGCGAGGACCGGCTGGCATGCGAACGGTGGTGGTTTCGGTTGCATGACCTCATCACTCGCCCCAACCACGCTCTGGACCGGGCGTGACAGTCCGTCCATGCACCGCCAATCGTCAAATCCCGTACGACCAGTTCCAGGCCCTGGATGTCTTTTTATCTGATGAGATCCGCGCACACTCGTCTTGATCAAGATAGGACACTGGATCCATCCCCGACTTGTTTGGCGCGAACATCACATGTTCAGCCCTCGACTTCGGTCTATCATGTCTGCTGTCAATGCGGGCCCACTGGGTGTACACTTGCTTCTTGTGCAATTTCTATCGACACTACGCAGGCATAGGGCTGCAGTTTCTCCTTTTTCTGCATACGTGAGAACAGAGGGAAAAAAAAAAAGAAAATTTAACGTCCATGAACTGCCCGATCTATTCCATGCACAAACGCTTGCAACGGAAACAGCACATCCCGATATCTTCACAGTAGCTTCATCACTACACGTGGCATATCCGTGCAGAAATATTCATTACAATCCCCACCCGTAAAGATTCTAGTATGATTAACTCCCTTGTTTTCTTCTCTCACCGCGACGATGCGCTCTCCGTCTCTGCAGGTGCAGTCTGCGTCGCCGTCAACGAGGCGTAGACCGAGGACGCAGTGCTTCCAGTGAGGACACTAGTAGGCGGCTGAGTAGGTGCTGGGACATCGCCCCCTATGGTCGTCGTATCCGTCACCGAGCCTGGCTCGCCGAAGGGATAGCAAAGGTTCGGAAGTTGATGGATCCAAAGACCAACCTCATTGCCGACCAATGTGCTGGTCTCGCCCAAAACCATATTTTGGAGAGCAATGTTCTGAACAATTCCGTACGTCGGGCTTAGATCAACACCATAGTGGCGGGCTGCCGCATCGTTGGCACACGCCGCGCCTGTGGAGGCAATAGCCGCGGCTCTAACCTGGATCATTGGACCAATATTGGCCGTGAGCTTCGCACCAGTTCCTATAAAACAAGTTAGCACCTCCCACCCGCACTCGACCATCTATCCTACCAACTGCTTCTATCTCGAGTGCTGGGCCAACGTTCATGTATGCTCTCGCGGAGCCTTGCAGCCTTGCATCGATAGTGATGTTCTTGGTCGTGACAATTGGATCCCAGCCCGAAGATTGAGTATTTGGATCGAGGATATTTACCATGGCAGTCGCATTATCAGGAATCGCTACCTTAACCCCCCCTCCGATGTTCGTAGCAGCCTGCAGCGGTCCAACAGAAACACCAACCGTAACGGGGACCGAGAGGCCAATGTTGAGAACACCTCCTGGAATGGTGATAGCTTCGAGTGGAATAGCAAACAGTTCAACTTCTTTCTTCAAGGAGGAGGTGAGATCCGCCGAAAGAAAGACGGTAGGATCAATCTCCAAGGACACGCCTTGAGGCTGGAGTCCTACGGTCATGTCTGTTGGAATTCCGAGTATAGTTTCCAAGTGCATCTGGACCAGGAATTCACCGGAGGTAGCGCAATTGGAGCACGCTACACCAAAACTAAGAGGAGGAACTGACAACGAGGTGTAGTTGATTGGAAAATCGTGGTTGAAATCAATGGTGATGTCTTTATCATGGTCTCCGCGCTTCGTGAGGTCTTGTGGATCTGAAAGATGACCGACGTCAAGCGTAAAACTATGGATAGCATCCTGCCAATCTGAGGCATTGGCCGTGAGATGCGCAATATTTGCGTCGTCGTCATACATCATATCATAAATGATGAATGGTTGGCGGGCCGTATTCCATCCACAGTCGCCCGTTCCCGCAACCATCACGAAGCTATGGTTGTCGGCACCATTCACCCAGTCCCACACGCGTTTTGCATAACCAAAGGCCTCGTCATCCTTGAACGCGATGTCCATAGAGGTCTGTGTGCAATTGATGGCGCTTGTCAGATATGTAAAGCGTTCCATGGAGAGGATATTTTCAGAGTCCCCCGGCATGCGCACTTGGAGCTGTCCAAGCACAGCGCTGCTGCTCGAGTCGGCTGCTAGGGTCATTCATCAGTAAGGATCATGTCACATCAAGGTCAAGACGAACCACCCCATATGAAGGTTTCCTCGCTTTGAAGGTCTAAGCAAGAAAGGTCTGTGGAATTACCATATCTGCGAGAGAGTGTCTTTGATCTAGGAGGAGGTGGAAGGTCCTTGAGGTTCACGGCCCGTGTAAACGTGGAGAAACCAGAGATGGCAATAATGAACGTGGAAAGTACAAACATTATGGTCACTCGCAGAAAGAATACATACAACGAACGACTGAAACGGAAAAGAAAAGGGAAAGACAATTATCAAAGGTCAACAAGCGACTATGTTGCTGGTAGAGGAAGGCTTTCAGGGCATTGCGATCGCTCAATTTATATCCCAGAGTCTTGAAGAGCCTCATCGCCGACGGCTCAGAAGAATGTTCCATGCATTAAGGTACCTTGCACCTTCCCGCGCCACGAAGTTCGATGGACGTTCCGCAGTGACCATTCGGATGTCTGCACACGCTTCTGACGGGTAAGCATCTGAACCTGTTTAAATTACCATTAGAAGATCACAGCCTCGAGCTTCGAGCATTCTGCGGGTCTTCCTTGAAACATCGCGCCCTTGGCACTTCGGGACGAACGGTTCAAGCTACGCATACCAGAGAAGGAGCACCTGTTCCACCCCGTAAAGACCGAAAGGGAAAAAAAATCGACGGTGAAAACACTTCTTCAGAATCAGACTTTCATTACGGTCTTTCCTCACGTGGCACGTTTGATTATACGAACAAGTTGATTCCCCCTCAATTCTCTCACCGCGAACTCAAAGCTGGGAGGTCTCAGCAGTCCGGTCCCAGTCCGGTCCCAGTCCTTGAGCCATGTTCTGGCCTCGAACAGGATCCTCGTCTCAAAACGGGGTTGCATGCACAAGGTATGGGAGGGGAACATTCAATGCTACGAAGGAAACGCCGTTCCTGAGGCTCGGTGGAGGGAAGGGGTGGGGGGGATTTTTTTTTTCTTCTGCTGTGCGATCATGCGGACAGGAGCCTCAACGCTCGAACGTTGCGAGGCAGCTTGCCACATAGGGCAGGTCAGTGAGTTTGTGAAACACGGCCAGAATGCAACGTGCACAAAAAGAAAAAGAACTGTTGGTTTCGACGGGCCGGGGGGTGGGGGAGATTGCGACAGACAACCGTGCGAGAGAATCGCACAACCGTCGTCTCGTGCTAAGCTTGCTTTCCTTTCAACGCCCGTCCTGGAAGAGCCCCCTCCCCCCTCTCCCCTTCCCCTCCTCTCTTTCAGCCTGCACGCCCCACGATATTTGGCCCGTGTTTAGCAACGCGAACTTATTATGTTCGATTCCAAAGAGGAACGTGATATTTTGACAAGTGCGAAATGTCCATGTGGGTCTATTTAAGGTTGAGGGTGAACTAGTCTGCCCTCAATTGATTTGTTAAGGACAAAGAGACATTAAGACATTAGATATCCGATCGCATCGCTCTGCATCTCATTCCTCTCGCAGCTCAAGATTCATCCAACCTCAGGTTTTTTCTTGTCTTTGGTACAAAATATTAAACCGTGTAAAGGGTTCCTCCGCCAACTACTCCTTAAACAAAGGACTCCTTCGCTGACTGCGCCGAGGCTCGTAAAAAGGTTCAAGGCCTGGACGGAGCCTAATTCCTGATCTTCACCCTCAGACCTTTGCTTCCGGGTCTGGGGCAGATGGTGATGTAATCGGCGTACATTGCCACGTCTTCTCTGACGGTCTCGAACAGCTCCAGCGTTGGACCTACCTGATCCGTCGCCTCCGGGTCGAAGGCGTCGTACTTCCGGAAGATGCCCGCGGTCAAGCTCTGCAATTCCTGACACGCCAGGTTCATGCCGATGCACGCCCTCCCCCCCTTGGAGAAGCTGAAGTTGTGCCTCGCCAGTCTAGGGTTCTCGAGGTAGCGGTCCGGTCGGAAGACGTCCGGGTCGGGCCCGTACAGGGCCGGGTGCCTGTTGATGGTAGACGGCGACATACCCACCGGAGTGCCAGCTGGGATGACGAACGTGCCGCCGTCGGACGATTCGAGAACGAGGTCTTCGTCTGGGGCGATGCGATCCTGGCGATGCGTGGCGCCGGGATAGAGACGGATCGCCTCCTGAATGATGGCGTTGAGGAACGGGAGCTTGTCCAGCTTCGACGCGTCGGGCAGCTGGTTCGCGTCCGGGAACGCGTCCTCGAGTTCCTTCTTAAGTCGAGCCAGCATCGGTCTGTCGGACAGCAGGTGGTACATGATCGCTGCCAAAGTGGAGGCCGTGGTTTCCGAGCCTGCGATGAGGATGACCATCGCCTCGTCCGCCAGGCGCTTCGTCTCCTTCTCGGAGTCGGGTATGTCGCTCCGTATGATTTCGTGAAAGATCGTCTTGCCTTCCGGATGCTCCTTGGCGTTGCGAATATGTTCGATTTGTGCCGTCAAGTCCTGCTCGTTTGTTTCAGATCGGTTAGCAAGGCCCCGACATATGATCCCGAGCGCGCTGGTTCAACGTACTTGCATGAACTTCGCAAATACGCCAACCCTTGGAAGAAGAGCAATCATCAGGGAGGGCGGCAGGCGTGCCATGATCCACGCCAACCAGTACACATGCGTTCCAAGGTGGCATATGCGCTGTGGAGTCAGGACGTCGAAGAAGGGTGCGTTGCAATCCTACATCAGTAAGAACTTGTCGCCTTCTCCCAAAGCATACGACTACGTGTCCATTAGCGTCGGTAGAAAGACAACAAAAGAAAAGGGATGCGGTGGGGTGGAGGCAACAACAAAGTCCCCTCCCAGCTCACTTGAATGATGTCTTTCGTCGCTGCTCTGAAAGGCACGTTCATGTTCACCACCTCTCCAGCTCGACCCCAGCCCTCCATGCGGAAGAGCAGGTTGGAAAGCGTGTCGTTGATGACCGGCTCCAGCCTTCGCACGCTCTGCTGGGAGAAGTAAGGGTTCAGCACGGCGCGGCGCTTCCGGTGGAGGTCGTGGTCTTTGCTGGCCAGCATCGAACCGGGGGCCTGGAGCGTCTGCAAGATGGTCTTTTATCTCTCCCGTCTCAGTCTCGGATGCTGTGTGTAGATCTTGTCGACGAAGTCCGGGTCGTTGACGGCAAGCACGTCCGGCCGAACCCTCACGACGGGGCCTGCGCAGTTCGCTTCGTCAGATCAGGGAAACCCGCAACGGTTTCTTTTTTTTTTTTCTTTCTTTTTGTGTCACAGTTTGGCGTGACAATGCGTACCGTAGATCCGATGCAATTCCTCCACCACGTGGACGAACTGGCCGCCGACCACCAAGTCGTAATACGCGTTGTACCAGGTGGTGAGGGCGGCCAGCCTCGGGCCAGGAAACTTCGCGAGCGGACTGAAGTACAGGTTGTACACTCCAAGGCCGGCGAGGTAGACTACGTAAGCAACGACCGCGAGGAGGATCCCCTCGCGGCTCAGAAGGCGCACGAAGACGGCGTCCCAGGTCATTTTTCATACCAAATGTCGCGGGACGGGCTGTGCGAAAGGTGTGCGGAGACGGGGCGTCACGCTGAGAAACTGTGAGACTGCCTCTCACCCACACAGCAGATCTGACTCTCCGGGGGCAGATCCAAGCCGAATTCTAAGCCCTGCGCCTCGCCCGGGGGTTGGGGGGTATAAGCCTGAGGGGAGAAGCTTTCTTTTTTTTGTGGCGCATGGATGACATGGATCAGGTGGAACTAACTCAGCGAATCGTGCTCAAAAAGATCGACCGTGTTCGAGCAAACGTCGAGGAGGCGATCGACTCACGTGCGACAAAAATCCGTACGCTCGTGGCAAGAGACCGAATTCCCGTTTTTTCTTTTATTCTTTCTACTCGCCCTAACCCTGCCTCCCCTCCTCCCCACAAACCGCTCTCTTGTCCCTTCTATTTTTTGCACCAGCTTTTTTCACCGGGCCTGGAGCGAACGTGATCCCGGTACGCCAGACGCGCGAAGCCTGGCTCCCCAAATAAAGAAGCCTCGTTTACGCAGAGGACGAGACGGTGGAGGCGGAAGGAAGTGAAGAAGAGGAGGGAGGGAAAAAAAAACTCCCATAAAGTAGAACCACGTTTTCGTTTTCTTGTCAACCGTAGGGGAGGCGAAGGAGGAGGCCAAGTTCACTTTTTTTCCAAAAAAAAAGGGGGGGGGAGGGGTATATATGTATATATAACATGGATATATATAAAAAAAAACGGGATTCCAACGACCCTGCCTCAAGAAGAAGGATGCGTGATCAATACTTTTGTCTCGCCATGCTCGGCCTCCAGTTCAGCGGATGCGTCTCCTCCGTCGCCTCGTCGTCCGGCTTCCAGACCTTGATCGTCTTGTCCGCCTCGCCGCAAATCAGCCTGAGACCGGTCCTGTCGAAGGTGGAGCTCATCAGGCCCGCCTCCGCGTCCAGACTGCCCGGCTGAGCGATGCTGTCCAGCTCCTGGAACTTGTGACCGGTCTTCCAGTCCCAGAAGCACATGGACCCGTTGTCGCCGCCCGAGACGAGCACGTTGTCCTCGTTGACGGCAAGGGTGTTGATGATCGCGTTGTGCCCGTCGAAGTTGTGCATGAAGGCACCCTCCGGCAGCTTCCACTGCTTGATGGAGTTGGTCGAGCCGCTCGCAAAGGTGAACTCTGTCGGGTGGGTGGCCAGCGCCCGAACGCCCTTCTTGTGATGCGTAAGCACGCCCATGGTCTTGCCCGCGGCGAGATCCCACAGCCGCACGGTGGCGTCCAGAGACGCGCTGATGACTTGTGGGTCGGCTTCCTGACACTTGACGTCCGAGACGGTGCCCTTGTGGCCGGAGAGGACGTGGACGTTCTGCCTGGTCCGCATATCCCACACTCTGGCCACGGCGTCGCGTCCGCCGGTGACGAGCACGTCGAGCGTGGGGTGCAGCGCGAGCGTGTAGACGCCGCTCAGATGTCCGTGGTAGTGCCTGATGACCTTGTTCGTCTCCAGATCCCAGCATTTGACCATCTTGTCCTCGCCGCACGAGAAGAGGTACGGATGGCGCGGCGACACGGCCAGCCCTCGCACGGTCGAGATGTGGCCCGTCAGTGTGAGCTTCAGATTGCCAGAGGCCAGGTCCCAGATCTTGATCGTCCTGTCTCCGGCGCCGCTGGCGAACCACTGGTTGTCCGGCTCCACGGCGAGGGCGCGCACCCAGCCCAAGTGCCCAGATATGACGCGCATGAGCTTCCAGGGCGCGTGCCACTCTGGCTTCGGCTGCCGGTACGCCTCCTTGCGCACCAGGCTGGTCGACGGAAGGTCTCTCTGGTTCGTCGGCCCGTTGGCATTAGGCGGCACGGGGCCCTTCCCTCGCACGATCAGAGCACTCGACGCCTCGCTCCTTCGCGCGGCCTCCTCGCGCTCCGAGATGCCCTCGATCATGCTCGCCATCTTCTCATCCGAGGCGCGCTCCGGCGCTGCGGCCTTGGCTTTCTTCGCCCGCCGCGCTGCGGCCGACGCTGCGGCGCCTGCGAACTTCGCAGCGAGTGCAGGAGGCAGCTCTTTGGCGTCCCTGTACTCGTTCCGTATTCTCGACGCGATGTTTGCTTGCTCTGCGACTTGCTGTGGCGGCGCGACCGACGGGGCTATCGAGTATGGTATCGACGGCACGGAGTCCAGTGTGGAGGGTGACGCGAAGTCTTCCGCGAACAGCTCCCTCGTTCTCTTTGCTGAACGTCGAAGTACGGCCTGTCAGTGTACGTGAGCACGGGCTGAATTTAGACCTCAATGGTACTTTGGACGAACCTGTACGTGGGAATTCTCTACTTCGGCCATTTTTGTTTGCAAGTCGGCGGGACGAGCGGGGTCGAGGCCAAAGGCGAAGTTGACGAGTAGGTGCTCGCTGGATTAAGAAATCTTGAGAACCCCAAAGAGGCCGCCTGCCAATGTCGGACAGCGATCTTGACCTCCGCCTTGGCACCTTTCGTCCCAAAACCAGCACAGACCGGATGAATCCAAATAAAGAAAAAAGAGAACAAGCAGCACGACAATAGGAAAAGGAAAAAAAAAATTTAAATCAGAGTTAGCGATTTGTCGTTGACATGTCCATTTCATTTATGCGGTGCTTAAGCTGTAAGAACGTCACACTAAGCTGATCTTCATCACTCTGCGGCCATCTCATGATAACGCAGGTGTGTGTATGTGTATGTCGTATGAAAACATCGAAAATTCCTACTCTTCACTATGCTCGGAACGTATGACCCAAAACACATGCCTATCGAGAGACGACAAACGCCAAGGAAATGCTTTCTTTACGTGCCCTCTTTGGCGCTCCACAGTACCAGCAGGTCCACCGTCCCTCTATCCAATCCAAGATCCAGTTCAAGCGAGCGCGTCTTCTTTTCATTTTCTTTTACTGTCCCACGGACGACACAAAACATACGCAATGAAGCATTTTGTGAACTGATTTTTTGCACACGTGACCAATATCTATACCCCGGCTCTTGAAAGCTATCTCCAAAGATACACAGCAACTTCATAACGCTTTGGACAAGCAGCCGCCCTCGTTTGGTCGCTCCACGGGAAAGATTTAACCGCCACGGAACGCATCGAAGCGCTTGTACGTGTAGCCGATAAAGGGAAGGCTCATCTCCGTGCTGACATCGTCGCCTTGAGCGGCCGTCTGGGCGCGCAAAGCGGCAGACATGTCTGTTTGAGGGATCTCGTCGATTGGGAAGTATTGGGTGTCGACATTTGAGGACAGTTTCGGCTCGAACGGAGCACGGATGCGTCGGAGGCCATCCCACTGGACGCCACGGAAGAAAGGGTGCTGCTTGATTTCGTGAGCACCACCGACGCGGCCAAGACGGTGTTCAGCGTCGTTAATGAGGCTACCACAATGGTCAGAAAACGTGTGCAAAAGGGGGCCAATCAAAAAAAATTTAGAGCCCTCCGGGGGGAGGAGAATGGGGGAAGGGGGGGGGGGTGTGTGTGAGCCTACCTTCGCACGAAATCCTCAGCCTCAGGACCCAGCTGCTGATCAGGTGGAAAATGCAGGTGCCTCGGCCAATCCACAATCTTCCTGTACGTGTCGTGGGCCTCTTCTGCGCAGAATGGCGGCCAACCGATCAGGCATTCAAACATGATTGTTCCCAAGCTCCACCAATCGCAGCTAAAGTCGTAACCCTTGCCTGAAAAGATCTCCGGCGCTATATAGTCGGGGGTTCCGACCGTTGAGTAGGCAAGCTGCCTACGCGACTTGCGCCACGTGTTGATCTGCTGTCGGTTGGAGACGGTCAGCTGGATCTGGTCGAAGTTGATGGAATTGCGGTTGTCGCGGTTGGAACGGTGCTTGCCGCCTGCGAGGAGTTGCTGGTAGTAGGATGCCTCGTGTTCCTTGTGGAAGCCTGTCGACAAGCCAAAGTCGGTGAGCTTGATGTGGCCGCCTCGGTCGAGAAGGATATTGTCCGGCTTGATGTCACTGTTTTGTTAGTCAGCAGAGGTTCAACTCACGCAAGGTCGCGTCGTGGTGGGGACGAAACGCACCGATGGATGAAGCCAAGTTTGTGCACGGCTTCGATGGCCAGCGTGATCTCCGCCATGTAGAATCTGGTGATGTCCTCGGAGAAGATCTCGTACTTGATGAGCATCGTCATCAGATCGCCGCCCGGCAGGAACTCCATGAGCATGTACAAGAAGGTGCTGTCCTGGAACGTCGTGTACAGCTTGACGACCCAAGGGCTGTCCGACTCGGCCAGGATGTCACGCTCGGACCTGACGTGGGCAAGCTGATCCTTCTTGAACATCTCCGACTTGACCAGCGACTTGAGAGCGTAGATCTTGCCGTCGGACTTCTTCTGCACGAGCTTGACCTCGCCAAAGGCTCCCTTGCCGATGATCTTGATGGTGGAGTAGTTCTCGGGGCGTTCCTTTGTGCGCAAGAAGCGCAGGTACTGCGCCTCGGCCCGTCGCTTCTGCTCGATGCGTCTTCGCTTCTGGTCGTCGGTGAGCGAGGCGTCCTTCATGACGGCCTCCGCCTCGAGCGCTCTTGCATTGCGGTCTCGCGCCCTCTGGACGCTGTCCTTGAAGAAGGTGCTCACCGTGCCGATGGACACCTTGGCCTTCCTCTGCACGTTGTCGCTGTACTTGTCCGGGTTCTTCGCCGGCGGCTCCTCCTCCGTCAGAGAGCTGGCCTGCGGCATGGGCGCCTGCGGGGACAGGAAGCTGCCGTACTGCTGCCCCGTGGTCGCACCTGCCGTCCGCGGGCGCTGCTGCTGGGCCGGCGATGGCTGACGGCCATACGGGCTGCCAGATCTCGGCGTGCCACCGCCCAGGTTCTGGTGCGAGAACTGATGGACGAGCCCGTTGGTGCCGTCGTTGTATCCGCCGGCGGAGCGATAGGCGGCCCCTGCCGACTGCGGAGCGCCATTGTTCGCGCCGCCCTGCTGCGAGTAGTTGGCATACGTGTTGCTCATGAAGTAGCTCGTGCCGCCGTAGCCATTGTTGTTCTGCTGGGTGCCCCACACTTCCTGCTGGCCTTGCGAGTTGGGATACAGCGGCTGCGGGAACGTGGAAGGCGTGGTGGGGAACTGGCGGGCGTTCTCTCCACTGCCGTACTGGCCCTGATTGTTGCCGGGCGTGTTGTTTCGATCGAAGCCGAAGTTGAGCTGCAGCCTGTTGGGCTGCTGCTGCGAGTTTGGATTCATGGCGTGCGTGGGCGACCTTTCTCGAGCAACGCACGAGAGTCTCTCCGCAGCAAAGCTCCCGTCGATGCGTGGGTGGGTGCGTGAGGGAGGTCAGGCAGCGGAGCAGTCTGTGCAAAAGCGAGAACGGTATTAGCGCTGTTGGTGCGGTGTTGGGGGGGGGGGGGGCGAGGCTGTCTCGATGTGTCTGCCAAACGTGGGACTGAGCGTGCACCTTTTTGAAACCTGCGTGTTCGAGATCCCCTGAATTCCCGTGGTGTCGATCTGTAATCCTGGATGCCCAGCTCACACGCAGCGATCCAACTTATGGCCCCCAGCAGTCGTAGCTGCTGCACTGAAGGCTGTCCACGGCAGCAAAGGGTCCGTCCACTGCACGAATTGGGCCCAAGACCTGGTCGTGTGGTGCAGTCGACGGGTCAGGTCGTCCCCGGTCCGTCGACGACTCGGCGTGCAACAGTGAAGGGTGGGGGAGAGCAGGAGACGAGCGAACCCGCACGGAAACAGAACGGACAAAGGACGAAAGGGGAGGGAAAGAGGGAGACGTGAGGTCCGGAGAGGAGAGGAGAAGGAATGGTGGAAAAAGGGGGGGGGGAGAGAGAGAGAGCAGCGGTACAGGAGAGCGTTGGAGAGAGAAGCACAAGGTGTTGGGAGACGATTGCTTTGCTGAAGTCAACGTACGGACGGTCTGTTTGTGCAGTCTGCGCTGCCCAGCGGGAGCAAGTGAGGGCGAGGCTCCACGCAGCGAGTCGGCGGGCGAGGACAGGGGAGTCCCCCCCCTCTCCAGGCGGTCGCTAGCTTGGGCGGTGGTTCGCCGCCGACCCGCACCCGCGCTGGCTCGGAACACACACTTGGACGCTCGCTATGCCCCAACCGGCGATCGCGTCTTGCAAAAAAACAAAACCGAAAAAAGCCCACACGCAAACGTGGCCCAAAGGCCGCCCTCGTGTGCGCGAGTCGGCAGCGGCAGCATGCGTGCTCGCAACGACGTGCTGCTCCGTCAGGACCGGCGGTCGAACCGCTGCACGTCCCCAGCCAGCACGAACCTCTCGTGTGCGTCTGCGTCTGCGTCTGCGTCTGCGCTTGGCCTCTTGTCTTGCCTCTCGCCCACACGTCGTTGCCCCGTTCCCCGGCGCCCGCTCGTCGACGACTGTCAGATCGATCCTGCACCAGACGCTGCGCGTGCCATCGTCACCGACTAAAGCTGCTGCTGCTGCTGCTTCTGGTTCGCCCGACCGTGCTGGCTCTTCTCCCCAGGCGCGCTGATCGGGATACCTCACAGGTCGCCCCCAAACCTCGTTCGAAGCTCCCAGAACCGCCCGCCGTGTGATCGGCCGTGCTTGCTCGTCTTCTCTTCCGTCCACCTTCGAATCCTCTTCCGGCAGCCTGGATCCGGCCTCCCATCGCCGTGTGCAGTTGTCTTCTCCCCACAAGCACACACGCACACGCACGCCTCCTCCCGCGCGCACCCACGACGGCCACCAGAAAACAACAGACGGCTCTCTGTTCACGGCACATCGTCTTTTGGAAGCCACGCTCGCCTCTGACGCCCGTTCTGGCGCCTGTCCGCCACACTAAACTAACGACTACAAGTAGAACTTTCACCACGCAAGGTTCAGGGAATGCACCAGCTTGGCTTGCGGGCCGTAGGCGGTTCGGGCAGCCCTTCGCCCCCGGACAGTGTGGAAAAAGGTCACCTATCCTCCTCCACCTCCTTTAACCACCCCCCCTTCTCCCTTTTTTTTTTCCTGCTCACCGCTACATGATGGATGGCGAACCTGTAGCCTCTTGCTCGACGTCCCGGCCCCGACGACGCTAGACGATGTGATTTGACATGTCGCTCCGTTCGTTTTTTTCCCGCCGCACGTGCAAGTCCACCGCACGCAAACGCTTCCCATGATCCGCCGTCTCTCACTCAAAGCGCCCTTCCTCCGCTCGAGGCAGCGGCACGGTGGGGGGCGTTGTCCCAAATCGTCGCATTTCCATGCTTTTCTCGAAGCTTTTCCCTCTTGACATTCGTCAATCCATGAAGGATGAGAACGGGGGGAAAAAAAAATTTCGTGAGAGCGCAGGCGTGATCGATCTGCTTTTCCGTTCCGAGACTCCCAAGATCGCTGAGGAATCACACGTCCAACGGTCAGCACCTCTGACCACTTCTTGAGAAGTCGCTCCCAGCTCTGGCCATGTAGGCTCCTTACCATATACTAGACGGTCTCCGTGCCCACGTCCTTAATATGCCCGCTGTAGAATACCGATCGACGGGAAGAGACAGATTTTGTTCGCGAATTTTTTTTTTTTTAAAAAAAAAAAGATCGGGTATTTAGAGACGTGCTTCAAATTACTGTATACACAGATATAGATACATAAATGTATATGGACAAGTGTATACAAATACTTTACAATTACTGGTATTTTTGTCGTCGCGTCGCATGTCATCCAAGCCTTCCCACCCCCATCCATTTTGTTGCGCCAACTGCGGGAGAACAGCTTCTCTTCTCCCGCCACCTGTGCCCACATACCAAAAAAATAACCAAATGCAGTAGGGCACAATGTTATGCCAAAACGCGCCACAGAACACCGGCTTCATATGCTGGATGGGATACGATCGATGAGTCTCCCTTCGCTTTCCCCGACTTCAGCCCACTGGCATTGTCAAGGAAAGACGAACAGACCCAGCCGCGCTGGGAGCGCGTCCAGGTAGATGCTATGTACAAGTAATTCCACGCTGTCGGTTTTCAGAACGTGTCCGGCTGCAGCATGAGCTGCTGGACCTTCTCGCGCTCCTTGAGATATTCGGCCTGGAGCCGGCGAGATTGCATCATGGCCTCGTCGCTGAGGTGGACCGTCAGCAGCTGTCTGTACGTACCGGGAAGAAGAAAAGAAATTAAAAAAAAAAAAAGGAAGGGGGGGTTGTGCGCCTACCGTTCGGATTGCAGTTCAGCAACTTCGATCTGGGCCCTGTTCATGCGATCGACAACCTCGCTCATCTCCGCCTCCGCATCGTGGAGCGCTTTCTCCAGCTCGCGGACTTTCGATTCGAGAGCGCTGGTCTTCGAAGCTTCGGCCATGCTGACGCGCTTGATCGGGCTCTTCGGCGCGAAGAGACCACTGACAGGGCTGATGGGCCGCGATTCAGTGTTCGGAGGCACCAGGGCGGACGTTGTGCGCTGCAGTTGAGCATTGTGCGCCTCTTTCAGCTCCTTGACCTCTTGCTCGTGCGACGAGATGATGATCTCGCTCTGCTGCTGAGCGGCGACCAGCTTGTCCTCCAGATCACGAAGCCTCGTCTGCATCTCAGAGATCTTGGTGGCCGAGTTCTTCTGCTCCCGCTCGCCCCGCTCGACCGCCTCCGCCAGCTTCTGTCGAAGCAGGGAATTCGACTCAATCTGAGACTGCACCTGGTCGGCAAGGGCGTCCATGCGTTGAGCGGAAGCGTACAGCTCGGCAGCCAGGCTTTGCTCCTTGCTCAGATGATCGAGTTCGGACTTCTGCAAGTTGCGCGCCTGTTCGCGGTATACGGCTGCTTGACTCTGTGCGGCATCCCGTTCAGCTTCGGCATCCGAAATGCTCTGCTTTAGAAGCTCAAGCGTCCTCTCGGCCTCGGAATTGTCCAGTCCGGCGTTCGTCTCCATTTCCTTCAGATGAGCAATAGATAACGCGTGTGTAGTCCGCAGCTCCTTGTACGCCTTGTCAAGGGCTTTGGTGCCGTCCCTCGAGCCGGGCCTTTCTGGTAGAAACATGTCACGCTTCTCGAACAAGGCTCGCAAGGATGCTGTCTCTTCACGCGCTCGATCAAGGTCCATCTTCACTCCGCTGAAGTTCTTTTCAAGCTGCCATTTCTGGTCCAAAGCATCGTCAGCTCGCTTTCTCAAGAACTGGATCTCATCCCGAAGCTGCTTGACCTCGTTGTGAAACACCGTCCGGCGGGGCGTCAAGGTCTGCGCCGTGTGCAGTTCTCTCTCCAGCTGCTTGATCTGCTTCGCATGCTTCTTCTCCTGTATCAAGTGACGTTCCAACAGGCTCTTCAACGCTTTGTGCAACGCGTCCCGCTGTGTCTCGATGTCTTTGACTTTCTGAATGAGAGCTTCTCTCGACTCGTGCGTCTTATTTGAATCCTTCACCGACGTTGCACGAGTCAACGTGCCCGAACCTATAATGCTATTTGTGCGTGAGCTACGGCCGCCACGAACAGCAAACGATTTAGACCTTGACAACCCGCCTAGCGACGGCGAAGATGGCGCAGACGGGTAACCGTCCTCTTCAATCGAGGAGAAGCGAACACTTTGTCGCTGCATCTCCATCTGCAGTCTTCGAGCGTTGACCAAAGTCTGGTTTTCGTTCCGGAGCGCCTGCACCTCCTGTGACAACCGTGTGTGCTCGTAGGTCATGGACTGGTTGTTAGCAGCATCGTTCTCCAGGCCTTCGATGCGTGAGCGCAACTGTGGGACGACCTCGTCCCGGAGATTGTCACGCTCATTTTTTATCTGTTCCAGTTCAAGACGCATTCCGCCCACCAAATCCTGGAAATTTTGACGGAATTGAGACTCTTCACTCAGTTTACGCTTCGTCTCTTCCAGTTGTATTTTCAATTCGGCGGGACTTTGACCGTTCCCGTCTCCAATGCCGGCAGCTTTTAGTCGCTCATACAGAACGATGTTTCTCTCCTCCGCCTCGCGACGTTGGTTGAGTGCATCTTGAAGCCTGTCGCTCATTTGTATCTTGAGTTGCGCCTTCTCTTGCTCAGCAGCACGGCGTAACCGCTCGAGCTGCTCTATCTTTCCATCCCCTTCGCCAGGGAAACGCATCGAACTTGTGCCAGCGTCTGAAAAGTAGTCGCTGGTTCGTCGTTCGGCCGTCAACGTTGCTGAACTCGTTTCAGCACGTAACTTTTCTAGTTCATCTTCAAGCTCCATCTCTCTCCGCAACGAGTTGGCTAATTCGGTGCTCAGCTCCCGCAGCTCTTGCTCGAGGTCGGCCGCATGCGTTGTCGATATCGGAGGGGAAGGCATGCCAGGTGTACCAGGCACATACATTGGCGAGTACAGCGCGTTGGCTTTGGGGACGTCGAGGGCAGCTGGGGCGAGCTTGCCACCAAAGTAGTTGCCATTATTGGGTCCTTGAACGGGCATTGGAGATACTGGCTGTGAGCCACCAGAAACATATGTCGACGGCGAATCAGGGCCTGGGGACTTCCTGAAACCAAAGAAGTTGCTAAGTTTCCGTCCAGGCGGAGATCGCGGTGTCTTTGGTATCGACGCCGCATAATCGTCCACGGGGTCGGATGAGGTTATATTCAGACGCAGTTGCGAGGACTGCGACGAGATAGATGTCATTGCTCCAACAGGAGGTCGAAGTTTGGGATCCCTTGTTTGCGACGTATCAATCGTCTGCTTGCGGTCCGCTAAAGAGTTCTTTGCGGACCTTGTGCTCGCTGTCCTATCATGACTCGGCCTCGAGCGAGTGATTGGTACGGATTTATTACGATTATGTACGGAGCTTGGTCGGGACGCAGCAAGTGGCTCGACGGGCGAAATTAGATTCTGTGAAAATACAGTGGTCGGTAGTGTTGGTCCTGCGTCTTGCGCTTGAACCAAAGGCGTGTTACCGTGAGGGTTTCTTTGGAGGTTCGACAGGTTAGCACGCGTCTGCAAAGCGATACATCACATCTGAAAGCATAAAACGACTTACTTGTCTAGATCTCTGGGTACAAAATCTATCGAGCGCGGACTCGAAATCGGCGTTAGTATGTCGGGAACAGACTGCTGAGGGGCGATAGGTCCTGGGCTGTCAAGAGATGCTGAGCGCTGGGCGTGCACAGGAGAGTTTGCCGGCAGCGGCTTTCGCTTGAGAATGCTCAGACCTTGAAGTGGGATGGTGATGCCAGAGAGTGACAGATTGTTCCGACGCTTTGTGCCAGATCCAACCTCTTCAGAGGTCCCACTATCAGCGGGAGTGCGTGCTGTTGACATCCTCCGAGCTGCGAAATAAGGATAGGCATGGCCCAGAGCAGCGAGAAGGCGTTTGTTGGATGGTGGTAGTTACCAGCGTTGGAGTAGTGGGTGGCTTGAGGCGTTGGGGGATAGATTGCCGCCCAGTAATGGCGCGCGCCTGGAGACGGACACGGTGACAGAGCCCGGCCCTCGAGCTGCTTTCGGTGCACCCTCGTCCAAGGCAGCCTCCGCGTGCGCCGAATCGTTGCCTCGTCACTGCGATATTTTATTATTTCGTTGACAACTGGAAAGGATTTTCAGTCCTGATTGCTTGAAGTTGCTGACCTTCTTTGAAACATAGTCCACCACTCAGCAACCGAGGAAGGGTTAGGGCCGCGAGTCAGGACGGATGCACCCCTGAAGAAGCGAACCATGGATCTTCAGGAACAGGCCAAGTGCGATAATTGTGGCGGCCGGGTGGTCAACCTGAGCGACGGCGTCCCGTGCTTGAAAAGATAAGAAGTAGAAAAGAGGCCGCAGCCGAGCTGAAGCCCTTGGAATGACAAAAATTAACTGGGCCTGGAGGCCCATGATTGTGATGCCTGCCGTACAGGAATGCATGAGCGGAGCCCTTGAACCCTCCTGGTAAGAAGCCGCGTGTATCTCGTGATGGACCTGCAACCAAGCTGCATCATTGCTGCAGCACACAAAACGCAAATCGTCGACAGAGCTATCTTGGCTGGAAACATATTTTGAGACCGCGCAAGCGGATCAGCCCGATGTCATCTGCACTCCCGTTTACCGTGGACAGGAAAGTGAAGCAAAGATCCAGCATTGGGGCGTGAAAGTCTTTCATTTCTGCCGAAATTTGTCGCAATGGACAGGCACATACTCCTTTATTGATGCGGTTGTTTTGACCAAGAATCATCAGGCTATATTGTTTGCATCTCCGTTTGGCTCTGAAACTCGGTTTCATTCATGTAGCTAGTTCACGACTGTGCTGTGCGAAGAGATCAGGCTATCTGTTCATCCCCCAGCTTGGTCGGCTGATGTTTGTGAAGATCAGTTCCCATCGATCCAGCACTTATTGTCTTGGACGGTGCTTGCTGCAAGATCGAGCGTGGATTGCATTGGGCGGCGAGGAACGAAACAATGTTTATGTTTCGCTGACTGAACGGGACAGCATTCCGACCGCTCACAACATGATAGACCAATACCACGCAACAAAAATAGTTGACTCTGGCCGATGTGCCTTCACGGGTTCGTGTCTATGTCGGATTGTTCATGCACATTTCTACTGAGGCTTGATGCATAAAAATAGGCCTGTCACGTTCTGGCTGCTTGCCCAGCCTGTGGTTCGAGAGGTACGGTAGTATGGAGTGCTCCCTGCAGAAACATAATCAGATCAAATGGGGAATGGAGCCCAAGAAGGCAAAAGCTGTCTTAGTCCATTACCCACTTTTGATTAAGCAGCGGAATCCGGCAAAGGGACAGACAAGGAATGGTAATGATCGAGCCGATGAGCACTGGCTGCACGGTTCCTCATCAAACCAGACAGCTGGGCTCTTAGACTGTTTAGACGTTTCTCCAAATAGATAGTTCTCCGAAGAATTGCGGCTGCGAACAACTGTTCAACGTTCCGATGAAGCAATACTTGGCTCTGGATCGCTGGGCTCGTCTAAGCCGTTTGTGGAGAAATGATTGGTTGCGTAAAAGGGGCGGCTGAGGTCGGACAGGGGGACGCGAAAACGCGCTCCACGCGTGCTAAGGATCTTCACTCCATAACGTAGAGCCTCAAGGCCACTAGCCATGCACGTGTTCACCAATACGGCGGGTATCTCACGCTGCGTGTTTTGAAGTGATCACGATTTGCCTGCAGCGCGGCGCGAAGATGGTCCCGAGAAAACCAAAGACGAAGCTGGAAAGAGCGCGGCAGTACCTGAGGACAGGTGGCGTGTACCGTGAGGACTCCGATGATGAGCTGGGAACCGAAGACTTCCCGTGGGAATGGATCTACGAGGACTCAAAGGCCGGCGCAGGCAAGAGCAGATCGAACAAGCGACATGCTGCCGCTCTTGAGGAGAGCAACATCATCGGTGCCCGAATGGGCAAATTCGAATGCTTCCTTGGCGACTGCGTGTTATTGAAGGCAGAGGGGAATGAGGCTTGGGTCGGAATTATTACACACTTTTTCAACGATGACGAAAATGACCAGAAGATGGCGAATCTGATGTGGTTTTCGTCGCCCTGGGAGATTCGGAACAAACTGAAGGCTCGACCAGACGCACATGAAGCATGTACCTCGACATCAAGAAGCAAGGAATGATGACTAACAAGAGTAGCTCGAACTGTACATCACCAAATCATGGGATGACAACCCGTTGGAATCCATCAACGGTAAGGCTCTGATAATGTCACCGGATGCTTTTAAGAAACAGTTCCCAAAGGGTACCGTGCCGCGAAATCATCCACACTTCGGCAAAGTCTTCATCTGCCGGAGGGGTTGCAATACAAGGACAGCTACATATACAGATGAATTTGTCTGGGAGGACGTCTACAAAGGTTATGAATACCTACACGATCTTGAAGACATTATCGAGACACAAACAAAGGCAACCAGAAAACGTGGTCCGAAAGCAAAAGCAAAAGAAACGCGAGACCTCGACGACTTCGTCGTTGGTGATGACGACGAGGACGGCTTGCCAAAAACACCAAAGAAGCGTAGAAGGATTGAAGCTGGCACTCCATCCAAGCGAAAGGACCTCACGCCACGTAAATTTCTAACACCGACACATAAGCGCATAGTGGTCAAGAAACCCCTCGAATTCACTCCACTAGGCACCCGAATCCTGTCTCCAAACGTCCTTTCTTCGCCATACCAGCTTGCACGCTCACATCTACATGTCTCATCTGTGCCAGCTTCTCTGCCCTGCCGCGAAGAGGAGTTCTCAGAAGTCTATAATCATCTCGAGACCGCCATCACCGCCGGTACAGGATCATGTATCTATATCGCTGGCACTCCAGGCACCGGTAAGACGGCAACGGTGCGAGAAGTTGTTGCGCAACTCAACGCCGCCGTCATGGCAGAAGAGCTCGACGACTTTATCTTCGTTGAAATCAATGGCATGAAAGTCACAGATCCTCACCAATCTTATTCGCTGCTCTGGGAAGCCCTTCGAGGAGAACGTGTGAGCCCCTCTCATGCACTTGAACTCCTAGAAAGAGAATTTTCGAGGCCTAGTCCGCGACGAGTACCCGTGGTCGTGCTGATGGACGAACTAGACCAGCTAGTCACCAAGAATCAAAGTGTCATGTATAATTTCTTTAATTGGCCAAATCTACGACACTCACGGTTGATTGTTCTTGCCGTTGCCAATACCATGGATCTGCCCGAGCGAACACTAAGCAATAAGATCAGCTCGAGATTAGGCTTGCACCGCATCACGTTCAAGGGTTATACACACGCACAACTTATTCAGATCATCGAGAGCCGGCTTGCAAATGTTCCGAACGACGTCGTACATCCTGATGCAATTCAGTTCGCCAGTCGAAAGGTTGCAGCTGTTTCCGGCGACGCCCGCCGCTGCCTTGACATATGTCGTCGTGCTGTCGAGATAGCTGAGTCCGAGGCAGGCGTATCAATCGCTGACTATAACAGCAAAAGCGAACCAGGCACGCCCAGTAAAACGGGTAGAGGAGCTAGGCCAGCGGAGTCAGAGGGCGCTGCACCCACGAAGAAACAACACATTGTAACGATAGCCACGATCAAGGCTGCAATTGCGGAGGCAACAAGTTCTCCGCTGCAACAGAGTCTGCGATCGTTACCGCTATCAAGCAAGATTTTCCTCGCCGCGCTCCTGGCGCGCATACGACGCACAGGTGTTGGAGAAGCACTGGTCGGCGACGTCCTAGATGAAGCGCGGAATCTGGCCATGATGGCAGACTCGGCAGCCATTCGTGACGTGCTTCTGCTGCAAAACAAAGAGAATGAGAATGGCATGACTCCAAGGAAAAGCGCCGTCAGAGGCAGAACTGCCATCATAGCGGCGAGGGTACAGGGCTTAGAAGAAGCCGTATTGCGTCTTGCTGAAGGCGGTGTAGTTGGCGTAGAATCTAGAAAGGGTGAGCGGGCGAGGCGTGTTAGACTTGGCGTAAATGACGAAGAGGTTAGGTTGGCACTAAAAGATGACGATGAAGTCAAAGGAATGGGATTTGGTTCGTAATAAAACTATGCTTGCAAATGATGCAACATCACTAGGAATTTACTTGAACGCTTCAACATCCCTTGATCCTTACTTTTGCTGCGTAGATGTGCCTGCTGGAAACGCCTCGGCTCATAGCCTCCGAAGTGATTCTGACCAGATCAACTTTCTGCACCCTGTAACATTTCCAGCGCCTAAACAGCGTGCATCACGACGTATTGAGCCGAGCCTCGTCTCAGCAGCATAGTATGCTTTTCCGTACCATGTTCAGAGAAGTCTACCGAGCCTCGAACTGAACCATTCTACAGCGCCGCACATCAATATATGTCCGCACAAGTCTGTACCTGAAAACCAGCTCACCTATTTGTCCTCTCCTTATACAACACGCGATATCCACAGTCAGTGCAGCGGATGGGATCGCCTCGCTTGAGCACTACCTTGAAGGCGCAGTCACCGCAGATGTACTGGACTGGCTTGTCGACTTCCTGCTGGACGTTGCCGCTTCCTGTGGAGGCTTGACCGTACCCAGACATCTTGGTGTGGCGCTCGTTGTAAGTTTAATGCGACAGGGAGGGCGTGGAATCGGCGACTGTATTGCGTTTCAGAGCTTTGGATTTCCGTAAGGTCACCAACTTTCACCAAAAAAGCTTTTGATACCAGAGATGCGGGAGGTTTCCGCCGACACAGCAGGGACCATGGCGGTGAGGAGCGGCAGTACACATTTCTAATCGACATGTCTGCGATTGGCAAGCGGACCCTCTTTGCCACCAGCCTGGAAAAGTCGCGCTGATGTCGTGTATCTCCGGTCTCGCTTCTTGCATAGCGCAACTACTTTTCGAACATACTTTGACTACTTTTCTCTCACTGTCAGTTCTTGACTCATGATACCCTAGATCCGCCCTCACTCCTTTCCTCAAACCAGACGCCCACCGGCGAAAACCAGCATGAGTGCGATTCTGTCCGCAGAGGACCTCAACGATTTCATTTCCCCGGGCGTAGCATGCATAAAACCGATTGAGACGCTTCCTAAGCAAGAAGCAAACGGAAATGCGTACGAAGTAACCACAGAAGAGAAAGCCGCCGCTCAAAATCCTGCGCCCGCTCAGATCTCGCTCACAGATTGCCTCGCCTGCTCAGGCTGCGTGACCAGCGCTGAGGCCGTTCTGGTCAGCTTGCAGAGTCACGTAGAGGTTTTGAGCACGCTTGACAAGTATAAGAGCTTGACGCCGCCTTGGCTGCACGTCAATGGGAACTACTTGAACGGGGTCAATGGGCACGTGCCTCAAGTTGAGGCAAAGATATTTGTTGCTAGTGTAAGCCCACAAGTCCGAGCAAGTCTCGCTGCGGTATACGGCTGCAATGAAGTTCAGGCGGGGAACATGATCCAGCAATTCCTCAGCGGTCCTGAGGGGCTCGCTGCTGGAGGCGCATATGCCTCGAACTTTCTATGGACGATAGACACGAACAATGTAAGAGACGCCGCGCTGGTCTTGGCTGCTGAAGAGGTAGTGTCCGCATTGGATGGTGCAACCGATATCAAGAAACCCATTTTGACCTCTGCCTGCCCAGGTTGGATCTGCTATGCTGAAAAGACACATCCCTACGTTCTACCGCATCTTTCAAAGCTCAAGTCACCGCAGGCACTCATGGGAACGCTGCTGAAGAGCGTGCTAGCAAAGAAGTATGGAATTTCACCCGACAAAGTATGGCATCTGGCTATCATGCCATGCTTTGACAAGAAATTGGAGGCTTCACGATCAGAGCTTACATCAAGCTCTTGGAGTGGTGAGGAAGGTGTTAGAGATGTAGACTGTGTAATCACAGCCCGGGAACTCATCTCCATGGCGGAGGCGCGAGGCATCGATTTCGGCCGAATGTCCAAAACGCCTCTCCCACGTAAGGCACGTGTCGCGTTCCCCGATGCCACTCTGGATCGTTTCCTGTTCCCTTCCCCACGTCGAAGAGCCCACCTTCAGAAAGAACGACTAGCAGGATCTAGTGGAGGCTACTTATGGCATGTTCTCCAACGTTTTCAGGCGAGGCATCCTGGATCAAGAATAAAAATCGAGCGCGGTAGAAATGCGGACGTAATCGAGTATCTCGTTGTTCGCCACATCAATGGCAGTGGGAAAGAAGAAACTCTTTTCAAAGCAGCACGTTTCTACGGCTTCAGGAACATCCAAAACCTGGTTCGTAGGCTGAAGCCAAAGGCTCAGTCAAAGCTTCTTGCCGCTGCAGCTGCACGAGGTGCGGGTGCAAGAAAGCCTGGTGGTGCTTCCGTCAATGGCGTTGGAGGCACAAATGGTGCTGTCGAATATGCATATGTGGAAGTTATGGCGTGTCCGGGTGGCTGTACAAATGGTGGCGGTCAAATTCGCTTCAACGAAGTGGAAAGAATCCGCACGGGAGATGAGAGCATGGAACCCACAGCGATAGGAGCGAATGAGCAACGCGCTTGGCTTGCTGCCGTAGACGAAGCCTACTTTTCCGGTTCCTGTTCAGAGTCATCTTCCCATGAAGAGAGCGATGAGGAAATGGAAACAGATGACTGCGCGAATGGTATCATGGAAGTTGATACAGATGAGGTAGATGTGGTGGATGGAATTTCGAAGAGTAGGATCTTCGCAATGCTGAGGCATTGGAGTGAAGTTACCGGCGTAGAGCGGAAGAAACTCGTTTTTACAAGCTACAGAGAGGTAGAGAGCGATGTAGGAAAGAAGAAGATCAGCGACGTTGATAGAGTTGCTGGATTGGCTAGCACAATTGGAGGTGGATGGTAACTTTGCATCCAGATGCTCCAGTAACGAACAGGCAAACAGGCACATAGACTTCCAATGCGAATGACAATTTTTTCCCAGTCAATTGTGTATACTTTAGCCATTCTTCCTTCGAAAAGCCCAAAAATGCTCTGTGCAAACTTACTCTACTTTCATACCGCTCATATGTGCCGTTTGTAGGTTTTAAAGCATAGACTAGCAGCTAATTTACCCTGTATGGGTCACTAATTACTGGGTGACCAGTATGTTTTATCCCTCGTGCAAACATATACTTAAAACGGTCCGAAGATTGCTCAGTAGCAGAGACATCACGGTATTTTTTTTTTTTGACACTCAGGTACAAGATGGAGGTGCTAAGCGAAGTTTCGCAGGGCTTTGCCATCCGGTGGCATCTGGATCGCCGATCCATGAACAGCTTGAAGGTTACCCGATGTCATGTGGCTTCTTCCAATCAAAGATCCTCCATGTCCGGTGGAGATAAACCCTGTCACGACCCATTCCCCACGGCTTACTCCTACAATCATCCCTCCATTGGTTCACATCATGGAAACGACCCTGGTCTGTGTTTGGCTTCCCTAACATCCATCGCAATTCAGTTTAGACTGCAACCTCATTTCATTAGTGCTGATAATGCCATACCACTCAAAAGGTCTGGCGTACGGGGAAGCTAGCTAGTACTCGAAGACGGTGCTTTCGCCATTAAAGCGTGTCATTATGGCGAGCTTCGAGAATTTTATGTTTACTTTTTTAGTCATCCAGCAACCTGAGGGAGCAGTCGTAGACTTGAATGCCCCATAAGTGCAGCTACGTGCAGAGCATATCATTCTCCACCCATCTAGCTGCCAATGGAACAGGATCCGCGACTGGCTCCTTAGCTCTTACTCCGCACGTATAGCTCCAGTGCTAGCTCTGGCTTCGGAAGCTGAAAAGAAAAAAAATTAAAGGCTAGAGTGCTCAGAAAATATCCGGTTGTACAAAGGTCGTTGCGACTTGCTGTCTACGTTTTTCTCCTTCACGCCTACCAAAAAATGACAGAGAAGATCTTCAAGCTGCGCGATGCAGGCATCTACCACGGCCTACCAGTGTACGAGCCTTCGGTCAAAGGTTTGACTGCCATCGTGACGGGCGCAAATGGGATTTCTGGATATCACATGGTGCGAGTTCTCGCTGAAAGCCCCGAGCGCTGGTCCAAAATTTACTGCCTGTCAAGACGTCCACCTCAGCTTCCACTGCCTCCAAATGCAGAACACATCCCTCTCGACTTTCTCCAGCAGCCTGAGGCCATCGCTGACGTGCTTAAAGCCAAAGCCGTCAATGCGGATTACGTCTTCTTCTTTTCCTACATTCAGGTGGCACCAAAGGCGGGAGGAACGCTCTGGAGTAACGCTCAGGAGATGTGCAACGTGAACACAAAACTGCTCTCCAATTTTCTTGAGGCATTGCCTCAGGCGAACATCAAACCTAGGCGAATTCTACTTCAAACCGGGGCGAAAAACTATGGAATGCATCTTGGCCATACGATGATCCCACAAGAGGAAGCGGATCCACGGGTAACTCTCGAGCCAAACTTCTACTATGCCCAAGAAGACTATTTGTTTGAATATTGCAAAAAGCATGATATCGGTTGGAACATCTGCATGCCATCATTCATCCTTGGTGCTGTTCCAGACGCTGCAATGAACGTCTGTTTGCCGTTGGCTATCTACGCGTCTGTTACTAAGCACCTTGGCTGGAAGCTTGAATATCCTTCTGATTTGAATGCGTGGGAGTGCCCACAATCACAAAGCTCAAGTATGCTAAATGCATATATGGAAGAATGGAGCGTTCTAACGCCGGAAGCTAAGAATCAGAAATTCAATGCTTTTGATGACAGTGCCTTCACCTGGGGCAAGTTCTGGCCAAAGTTAGCGGCCGTCTACGACGTAGAATACACAAGACCAAACCCTGATGATAAATACATTGAGATTCCTCATCCGTATCCTATGGCTCCGCGAGGGTAATTTCTTCACGCAAGCTTATTTCTTAAAATGCTAACTTTGGAACAGATTTGGGCCCAATCCAGGCAACCGTATGAAATTTACCTTGGTAGACTGGGCAAAGAAACCAGAGGTGCAAGCGGCATGGAAAGAACTCGCCGCCAAACATGACCTCCTAGACAAAGAGCTCCGAGACGTTGATCGCATTTTCTCATTCACAGATGCTGCTCTCTCGTGGAACCAAAGTATCTACTTCAGCTCAGACAAGGCGCGTGCACTAGGATGGCATGGTCATGTGAATTCAACGGAAAGTATCTTCAACGTGCTGAAGGAGTTCGAAGCCATCAAGATGATACCGCCGGTGCCTAAACATGCGTAGAGAAAAATTATAGGTGCTAAGATTACGGTGTCGTATTTTAGCGGTTTGCATTCGTTCGGGACACATTAGCGACGAATGAGGACCACCACTATGTTCAATATACGAAGTTTGAAGACATTCTTTTGCTTGCAATAGTCCAAATCCAAGTCTCCCCAATAGTTCATAACTATCGACGAGACATTAGTTGACATACGACGCATTTGCACATCCGTTTCGGTCCATAAAAGCTCAGTCTACTAGAATACGACTCGTATGTGCACTTGTGACAGAAACTACAATCTGAGGTGTGAATTGGATCTATCGTCTTACCATGACTCGAAGCTATCGAATGGCTAATCCAGGTACGCTTTTGAGGGAACGGTAGCGCGGTTTTCAGGCACGGAATCGTGTCGATCTGGCCATGTCTCATGGACCAGTGATCAAACATTCGTGCTTAGCGTCGGGCTTTCGGCAGCCTATTAACCTTTTTCAAATTCGCCTATCCGCAGAATCTAATCCGTCTTTGCACGTTGCTTTACCGTCTTACCGCTCAATCTGGTCAGCATTCCAGACTCCACCGGAACATAGGGTCAACACAGGTGCGGCCCTGATCTGCAATTGGAATTCAAATACCTTCATAGGATGACATTCAGTGAACATGGAATTTTTCACTATCAATTTCTCTCAATATTTCTGTGCTCCCGGAGTTCACTATGCTAAATCACATCATTGTTAACGCGTACAACTTGTGGGTCGTGGTTTTTGCTGCCATAGGCACAATCTCCACGGCCTATGGCCTTGCCATCATCGGTTCGACCGTGGGACAACCTAATTTTTATTCGTACTTTGGCCTCGCGACTGCAAGCGAGCCCGGATACAGCCACACAACAAATATCATCGCCGCCCTTAATGGCGTCAATTCGGGTGGTGCTATCGTGGGATGCGTCGTAAATGTATGGAGTGCCGAAAAATTTGGTCGTAAATGGACCATGATAGGAGGATGCGTTGTTCTCATCATAGGAGGTGCTCTCTGTTCCGGTTCCGTCAATATTGCCATGTTTATCGTTGGACGTGGGATTGCCGGTCTTGTATGTTTACGCTTTGCTTTTTTTCTGGTCGCAAAGGAAGTTTTCAATGGCTAATGAAGCAAATAGGGTTCTGGTATCCTAGCTTGTGTTGGTGAGTGCCCAGTAAGGAATAATATTTTCTAGGTTACTGACAAATGCTCTAGTACCCATGTATCAAGCAGAAGTCTCGACTCCAGAGACACGCGGAGCGATGGTGTCCGTTACAGGAGTATGTAGCGAGTATATATTTTCCTTGACTTTCTTGCTCACAATTCATTTGCAGATTGCATATGCTCTCGGATACTGCCTTGCTGGCTGGCTTGGATATGCCTGTTCCTTCATGTCAGGATCTGACAAGCATGCTCAATTCGCCTGGAGATTTCCATTATCCTTTCAGTGTTTTTTCCCCCTCCTGTTCCTCATTGGACAAAGGTTTGTCCCGTATTCTCCTCGCTGGCTTCTCTCCCAAGGGCGTCGTGATGAAGCCTTCTCCGTTTTATGCAACTTGCACAAAACCAAAAGTGACCCTCATAATATCCGGGCTCGCGAGGAATTCTATCTCATCGAGAAGCAATATGAAATGGATGCTAGCCTTCCAAACGGCTGGTTCGAACTCTTTCGTACCCCATCAAACAGGAAGCGAGCTCTTATGGGATTTCTTTTAATGTTCGGAAATCAGTTTTTGGGAGTTTACGTGATGGCGAACTATGGGGTACTGATCTATGCACAACTTGGTGAAGGCGGCTCCATCCCTCTTCTGCTGAATGCCTGCTGGACCACACTTACTATGTAAGTTGCAAGATCAATCTATCGAGTAAACTAGCTAACTTTCCAACTGCTTCGGTAATACGTGGACTGCATTCTATATTGACAAATTTGGCCGTCGCACCCTCATGCTTATTGGCTCTATCGGAGTCTTTTGTACCGCCATATTCCTTTGCGCACTTACTGCAACATATCTTGGCACCACGCACGAACCTGGTCTGAAGGCAGCTGTGTTCTTCTGCTTCCTTTACATATTTTGGTGGTGCTTCTTTATTGATGCAACTCAATACGTGTAAGTACAGCAGTCTGTGGTTTGTTAAGACGAAGTTTGACAGATTTAGCTACGTGTCAGAGATTTTCCCCAACCATCTCCGATCTGCTGGTGTTGCTCTCGGTCTAGCATCCTTTTATCTTGCATCTGAGGTCACACTTGTTGCAGCTCCAATTGCCATGAACAAAATTGGATGGAAGTTCTACCTTGTTTTGATCTGTCCCAGCTTCTTCTACATCATCGTAATGTATTTCCTGTTTCCAGAGACTAAAGGAAGGACACTGGAGGAAATTGGAGCATTGTTTGGCGATACACATGTCGCAAACAAGTGGTACGATCTCAGCCCTGAGGAACGGGCCAAGATCCACGAAAAAGCACTGCATCTCAACGAAAGTGGAAAATATGACGATGAGAACGTGGTGTCGGACAACAAAGCTATCGATGATGTTAAAGGATCTGCCGTACAACAGATCGATAGAGCAAACTAGTTAGCATAACCCAAGACTGTCTTTCATTCCGACTCGTTGCAAATCATGTAAGTAGGAAGCTGGATCAGACAGAAGAGAATCAACGCGAACTTTATCACTATCTCACCCAGGGGCATATAATCCGAAATGCCCTTCGATTGCACTCAAAACTCAACATTCAAATATATTGATACTTTATTCAAATAATATCAGAACCAATATTGATTCTTCACTACTCAGTTTTTTATGTCCCTAGAATAAAGCCAAAGCATTTGGGGGGCCTCCAACGTGGCCGAACACATTCAGAGGCGATGATGTGAGTAAGAAGGTGTATCTCCCAGTTTTTGCGCAGTGTTCACTGAGTGCCTTCAAGTCCCAGAGCTCTCCGATAGGTAAGCCGAATAGACTTAAGAAGTATTGGTGAAGCACTGTTTGTACAGATTTTGTTAGCTCGAGGATAGCTATAGAGAAGAATTCCGTTTTACAGGGGGGAAACTGGGCAACTTACCAAGGTCACCAACATCCCCTCGTTTCCCATTTATAAGAGAAGGATATGTCTCAAAAGCAATAGCATCACCGGCAACAGCAGCAAAATGTTTGTTCCAAAACCATCGCGCAGAATCCTCACTGCCTTCGACACCAACTGCTGTATGAGCACTTAATGCCTTAGCTTGGCTTTCCGCATCTAGAGTATCTAAAGCCTCCGTGAAACCTGTGCGAATAATAAATACATCGCCTTGTTTGAACTCAGTGCCCTGAGCCTTTGCGACCTTCTCAATTTCTGCGATAGTGATACGTTTATCCTCGAACGGGCTAAAATCAATACCATTCTGGTCAGCCCAGAGCTTATAATCAATGAGGACGCCGCGTGCAACGATACAGCCTCGTGAGTGCCAATCTATCAAAACCTGGTCAGCTTTCGCCTTCTTAATCATTAGAAGAGCGGGTGAAGTTACGATTTAACGTCGGTATCTTTTGCTCCTTGTCAAAGTGGCCAAAATCTTGGGTGAGTTCCTCTACAGTTGGTTGAACACCATTGTACGCTTTTGCTGTCGGTTGGTGGTTGAAGTGAACTGAAGGTTGGCGTAAGCATATGTATAGTTGCGATGATTTGCACATTCGAACTCACCAAGGCTATCCCATTGAGAGCTGCATTGTGTGTTGAACTCGATCTAGGATATGCTTAGTTGGGAAAGCTGCTTAAATACAAATATGGGAGAACGTATTGATAGATAAGGGAGCAAACTAACCTCTTCGTCGAAGCCGTGGCAATTCAGTGGAGTGTTTGCTAAGGCAATTACTTTGTGCTTTAGTCCCTTACGTAAGAAGCCTGGTGTAGCTATCGCGCCGAGGGACCAGCTGTAAAAGATCAGAGATGGAGAAAGTGTTGCGGATTGCCATCAAGAGAACATGGATAGATTATATAGAATAACATACTTCAACGATATAGAGACGCCGTCCCTTGCTTCCGCGTATGCATCTCGAACAACGTCTTGGGTCAGAAGGTTGATTGTCCCGAAGACATCCTTTTTGCCGTCCTTATCAAATAGTCCCCAAGCACATCCTTGAGGCATTCCATCAATCTTTGGCAGGTCGTCAAAATCAGGAAGCCTTGGAGACGACATGACGACTTAATGCCGAGTAGGTCTACAGCTACGCTCGAATACGTCAAGAAGTCGTTTGGTGAGAGATAAGAATAATATCCTTATGTCCAATACGTAGAGAAAATCAAGAAAATTCCGTAATGAGCCTCCATTTCACGCTGATGACCAAAAATATTTGGAGCTCTGTCCGCGAAACTGCTAGCTTCTGGCGGAATGTCGCTATCTCTTGGGCCATTGTCCATTGCACGGAAATGATTGGCTAGTGATGATGAATGGATTAAATGTTTAGCATCAAACATAACTCCAAACCCTGCTGGAACGGACATCCAAATCGAATTCCCGGTCATCTTTATTCCCATTAAGAGTTTCATGAAGCCATTCCACCGGAGAAGGCATTGGAGCAGCGAAAGGGGAAGCGATTCGTCCGGCAGTGAACAAATGCAAAGAATTAACCGACCCCGCACTTTGCTCACGGGAACGATCACAATTGCCTCACTAATTTGCAGGTCGAATCAACTTCGCGATTATATGAAAACCGAAGCCCCAATCGAAACATGCGTGAGAGACGGCGAGTACTTAGTTGGCCAACAGTCGAGCCAATCGGATGTATGGCAATTCCGGTGGAGTTTGGATTTGGTCATCCGAGAATCTCAACACACCCCATGGGGTTTTGACTTAGAATACTTGGTCTCGGCGTCTTCCTTGACCTGGTTTGATTGTCCAGCCTCTGCCCACAGCAACATGCATAAGTCTAAGCAGCTACAGGGATGCTTTGGATGAACGTGCACATCGGCCATCAACAATAGCTGCAAGCAATAAGTACCTTGACTCTTCGGTAGTCTTCTCCGGGAGGTATATAGCCTCGGTGAACAGTGGTAAAGCAAACAAGCTTTCATAGGCAAAATGTATAGAATTCCGGGAAGAGAAGGGTTGTTCGTTCCTCCCTCCAGTCGAAGCGGAGACAAATTACCAGTTGCTATCGCGGAATATCTTGCCGGTCAAGGAGACGCTTCGACACAATTTTGCAATCTCATTGATGATCGTCATGTGGTAGTAAGCTACTCTTCTCAACTGTTATTCAAGCTTGAGATATAAACGTTAAGACTGGTCAATTGGTGGGGATTTGTGCCTGATAGGAATAAGGAAACAGATTTCCTTTAATCCTCAGGCGAGACCTGTCAACACAGTATATCGTACTGTAGTGTACCTTGTGTGCAAGTTCAATCGGCGAAATCTTGTGATAGGAAGCTCTGTCATACGTTCTGTATAGAATCAAAAATAATCAAATACTCAGTTCATGACAGACGAAAGATTAAAGATGGCAGGAAGAGTAAGCAAATGGCATCTAGGCTGTGGTTCCTCTCGTCTAAATTGCGCCAGGGTAAACTCGTGGAGACGCATTTCCCCGCATTTTCTAGTTCTAGTTGAGAACACCTCACATTTTCCCTGAACCATGCTGGTATATTTCTTGACTGAAAGCACTCCTTTACAGCATATAGTATGGCTAAACAAGGTCTACGCAGCGGTAACTTACGAATGTAAAATACCTCCCTGAATACTGGGCTGTAGATTTGACGGGACTTGCCATCGCGAAACTTCGAATTACCCTGTTAAGTCAACCTTTCAGAAGGAAGCATTCGTGCCCAAAGAATGGAAATCCCATATATTTTTCGATGAGAATATGTAAGCGCATTGCCGATTTCATTCACTTTACGCTTCGTGGTTAACCTTGTCTACCCAGTTACATGTCACCGGTTTCACCAGATTTACGCAGACCATATATTCATCCACCGGATATGCGAACAAGTTACGCGTGTGTCAGGTGCCGCCGGCAAAAGCTGAAGGTGAGAAATGCTGTTCACCTTTAGTGACCATTTACTTCAATATGGCACACCGTCCATTAAGCTGACAAGTTCACTTAGTGTGATGCGGAGAAGCCTTGTTTGCTCTGCCGCAGGGTAGGTGTTGAGTGTGAACCAAGAAGCAGCGCTCGCAGATCAACTGGTTTATCTAAAGCACCCACGTCCAGGAGTTCAAGGAAATCATCCGCTACACAATCCTGTCATTTAGAGCCAAATGCGAATCCCACTGGGCAGACTCATCATGGGCGTGTAGAAACATATTCTGTGTTCAACCTTAGCACTCCCCCAGCTAGTGCATATAGCGAATCAATCACACATCGAACCCAAGTCCAGGATGAGCCAGAAAATCACGAATTCGGCGCCAATAATTCCTCTATTGGTTTCGCCAAAAACCTCTATGGTAAAGAGGCAAGCAATAACCCAAAATGTGCGGCATCCATCCCCACAGAATCTCGTATTAACCAGTCAAGTTCGCGCACGTGGACTCTACATGGCATAAATATGCCGGATGTAGATCTTATGCAGAGTCTAATTGACGAATATTTTCGAAGAACGCATTGGTTCATCTTCGTGTTCCATGAGCCAACTCTTAGAAACCAAGCAAAAGATATCATGGCGAAGTCGTCGTGGGCGACACATGAGCGCGGCACTGTGTTGACTACACTCATGGTTGCTGCTATGGCTCTTCAAGCTGTCTCGAATGACGAGGGATGGCCAAAACATGCTACGTTGAGGCAAAAAGGCTTGGACTGTACTACTTTGATTGATCAACTCGTCACAGAGGTTCGATACCACCTCCTAGATCTCTTGGAGGACGGTCGTATCGAAGCAGTTCAAGTATGCATTCTCCTTGGAACTTTCTATATCTTCCACGGCAATCCAAAATCCGCCTGGTCTGTCCTGGGCATGGCGACTAGGGCAGGATATGCACTTGGTCTTCACTCACAAAATCCGGGTTCGTCGGATCCAGTCCGGACTCAAATACGTCGAAGATGCTGGAATCACTTGAAAGTCGCAGATACGTATGCATCTATGATATTTGGCAGACCGACATCACTCGACCCTGCGTTCGGATCTATGCAACCACTTGAAGACATAGATGACACAATAATATCCACCAAGGATCTGAGCATATCGGTCGATGCACCTTCACTATCTCGACTTGCGTTCTACAGGCTTAAATACCGTATGTACGAAATTATAGCCGAGATTCTGAGTCGCTTCCGTTTGCTCCAGATCCGCTCCTCGCCCAATTCTAGCGACTGGACGTCCTTGCTACAGATAATTCATGAAATAACGGAGAAACTTGACGTGTGGAGGTCGAGCATTCCACTTCATCTTCAGTATGAACACTGGAAAGACATGGGTGTCGATGGCACTGATCCGCACAAACTCGCAGATGATGCAAGCCGATCTCTTTTCATGCAGGCCATGGCAGTTCAATATCTTTACGACTCAACCGTAATTTTGCTGCATCGACCCGTACTGGAGAACACCATCTCGACGTTTCAGAGTTCAGAAACGCCAAAGAGCACCCAGACAGGAGAGCCTTTCAAGACCTCGCTATCCGTCTCTGTTTCTGCAGCGCTTCGAATATCACATGCTCCTATTGAGGTTCTGACGCACCAAACAATCATTTCATATGCATTGATGCACCTCTTCACTGCGGGTGTCATTCTCTGTATACCCCCTCACACATCGCCTTTGAACACCGTTGCGCAAACCTGCAAGAGTGCGGTTGTGCGCATCATCATTTGCTGCAGAAAGTTGCGCGATCACAGCCCTGTTGCCGGTTTAACACAGCAATTATTAAGTGACCTTCTGCGGATCACAATTCAGCGAGAGATGGACGCTGCGTTGCTAGACGAGGGTCGAAATGCTGAGTTGAGCGACGTTCCGGCAGCCACAACCTATGAGCGACGAAACAATGGTGACCAAATGACTCCGATTTATGATATAGCGGCTCGAGAGGTTCCGACATCATCATCATCAAGCGGCCTCATGAATGGATATTCCGCTTCTGGTCTTGGGAGCGATACGTCCGGCTACTGGGCATCGTCAAACACGCCCATCACTCCCCAACAATCCAGTCCGGATGAAAGAAGCATCGCGGAAATCAGCGCATCCATCGACGGCAATAGATATGATCCAGACTCCTCCCTTAGATCGCTCTATTATAATGACTGGCTAGATCCGCCGCATGAAGTTCGTGCAGTCGGCCCAGCTGAATTCATGTGGCCATTCCAGGCATTTGGAAACGGTTCGTTTATCTCTCCACTACTCCGATTTTCGTGCACGTATCCCCCACTAACTTATGTACCCGTGTAGCTATGTTCGGGCTTGGCACGGAACCGCAGTTGCCACTTTGAAAACTTGAGGCTCACAGAGCAATGGCTGGTAGACTGTATGTCTAAAACAGTGCCTTAGTTTCATTCGCTGTTGCATCTTCCTATACATGATGGAGAGATATAAGTTATTAGGCGATGATGCTGTACATGGGAAGGAGAAGATGGACGGCGAAGCATGAACCCAAGGTGGGAGCGATGACGACCAATAGGAATCGAGCTGAAAGAATGGGACGATTACCTAGAAAGGCTAGTCCCAGACTGGCTACCACACGATCCTTGTCGTTGACCTCATCTCGTGTACAATTGGACTGTGACAAAAAGTCAACTCGGATGACTGATCTCAGCGTTTCCCGATCAGACTTTTGCATTAAAAGTCGTTCCGCCATGAGTACCCATCCACCGTCATTGTAGGCCCTCTCCATCGCATATTGAAAGCCGGCAATGGCCGATGCGCCGCTGCGCAATGGCAATGCTTCCGCCGGTTCCAAGAAAGGTGCGCTGCTTGCACACGCCGCTTTCACGGCAGCATTGGAAGGACTGGTTGAACTGACCGTCGTTGTACAGCGTTTCACTTCCTCGCCGGCTTGACGTCGGGCACCTTCACAGCCATCCTCCTGCAGCCGGCGGACCTCCTCAAAACCCGCATCCAACAGTCGTCTCACTCCAACATCCGCAACCCGCTCCTTCACACCATCCGGCAAATCGCCGCCTCGCCTGCGCCAGTCAGACAGTTATGGCGCGGCACCGTCCCCTCCGCCTGGCGGACGGGCCTGGGCAGCGCCTTGTACTTCGGCAGCCTCAACGTCATGCGCAGTAAGCTCGCCGCCGCCGGCATCGGCACCGTCCCGCTCGCGCCGGGGAACAAGTCCAGCAGCGCCTTGCCGAAGCTGTCGAGCACGACGAACCTGCTCACGGGAGCCGTGGCGAGGACGTGGGCCGGATTCGTCATGATGCCCATCACCGTCATCAAGGTTCGCTACGAGTCCTCGTTCTACAACTACACGTCGCTCGCCGCCGCGTCGAGGGACATACTGCGCGCCGAGGGCCTCCGCGGCTTCTTCGCCGGGTTCGGCGCTACGGCTGTCCGTGACGCGCCGTACGCAGGCCTATACGTATTTGGCTACGAGGACTGCAAGAAGCGGCTTTCGAAGCTGACGTCTGGGACGAGCGCGGGGACGAATGCCGTCATCAACTTCACCTCGGGCGTCATCGCCGCCGGGACCGCGACGGCCATCACAAACCCGTTCGATGCCATCAAGACGCGGCTGCAGCTCAAGCCACAGAGATACGGAAACATGTTCCGCGCGGCGAAGATGATGGTGCAGGAGGGAGGCCTGCGAAGCTTGTTCGACGGCTTGGCGTTGCGCATGGCACGAAAAGCCATGAGCTCCGCGTTGGCCTGGACCGTGTATGAGGAACTCATAAGAAGAGCAGAAGTGAGATGGCTGGCAGCCGCAAAGGAAGCAGTGTAGCATTCCACTCTTAACGTGTTTGAGGCAACGACCTCTTGCATGATACTTGCTGTATTGTACTCTACTCAATGTACCAAGATGATCATGGAAGCTTTTTAGGGTGAAAATGTACACATAAATAAGGATGCTTCACGATTTTCACGAAGAATGGACAAACTTCTATTTAGAAACATCGCATTCACGCTAATAATGCAGGTAAGGTGAAAAGCCAGTATAAAACTTCACGAAACAAGATGCGTCGAAAAAGAGTGGACGACAGATGAACCGGAGCACTTCCTGTGTGGTCCGTCGTCCATATCCCATACGTATGCAATGTTGCGCCTGATAATGTGGACCGATTCATTCCGTAGCAGGGTATCAAAGCAGCCGTTCATCCAGGGCTAACAGCCTCCATGCGATTTAGTCACAACTCCAGTCCTCCTGATCCTTCACCCGCGGACGTCGTAATTTCAGAACCTAATTCTGAATTCAACGCTTCGAAATCTCGTGGATCTATCGTGCCAACGAAAGCTCGTTTGACAAACGTGTGCCACACCTTGTTCGCTTTTCGTTTTTTTGGCTTCTTATTACTTTGATTCGTCTCCGTATCGTCAATGCTATCAGCGCCAACACCATCAGTCTCATAATTGTAAGCAGCATCCTCAGCGTGCCCAGAGCTTCCAATAACCTTAGCCAGGTCGATGAAGCTCCGCACAGTTAGGTCCTTGAGACCGTAGATCTTGTCGCTAAAGGTATCGTACTCCACCTCAAACTTGAACTTCCTTGGATGCGGCTTGCCCTTCTTGACTTTACCAGAGTGCTTGCCTTCTTTCCAACGTTGCTCGTCAATATCTTGGACATCTTCACTCTCTACGGACTGTGCAAAATCGTTGTTAATATGAGTCAAGTTCGCGAAGTATTGGGTATACCCAAGCAGTGTAAACGTCTGCGGGGAGTAGGCAGGGCCTGGAGGCGACGACTTCGAAGGAGGTTTGGGAACCTTGAACTTGTACTTCTTGGTCTTCTTTTTCTTTTCCTCATCTACGTCTTTGTCCGATGTCAAATGCGAACGTGCAATATCCTCGGCGAACTCTTCGATGAATGACAATTTGCTCTGGTCATACGACAAGGAGAACTGCTTCGGATGTGCTCGATCGACCGATCCCTTCGACGGTGAAGAAGAGTCGGTGCGCAAGGCGTCTAGATTCAGATCTTCCAAGCCCGTTATGTTGTATTCGAAAACGCGTATGGTCGAGAAGAAATTTGGCACGACGCTGGGCCCCACGAACGACACGCTGTATCTCTCACCAAACTCGCCACCAATCTTGCTGAGAGGATTCTGATCCTTGCCGGAGCCCTTCTTTCCTCTGAACACGCTCAGAACAGTATCAGCCCACGAGACACTGTCCTTCTCTTCATCCTTATCTAGACCGGATCGGAGCACCTCCCCAATCGACGGAATTTTGGAGAAGTAATCGCGCAAGTCGATAAGATAATCCTGAGCCGACATGATGGAGAACTCCTCACCCGCCGCATTCTTCGTCTTGGCTCTACCAAGACTGGCAGGCGCGCGGCCCTTCTTGAAAGTCTTCTTGATGTCCTTGAAATCCTGCAGCATGAAATGATCGATATTCATGTGGCCAAAAATGCTGCCCACGATTACATCTCTGTACTGCTTCTGCCAAAGAGCGTATTTCTGCCAACATGTCTCGTCCCAGCTCATCTTGCTGTCCACGCGCGCTGGCGGTACGTGGCCCATGAGTATCACTTTCATGCCCCGCGAGCGCATGATCTCGAGCTGTATTCGTAGCCATTCAAAATGCTCGTAACCAGGTTGTTTCTTAGACGAGCAACCGTCGACGGCCGAGTTCGAATCGAAAAAATAACTGCAGGAGGTCAGCTGTCGATCAGGACTTTTCGCAAGAGCACCCACAGAGTGTTCAAGCTGATGACAGCCAGCCTATTGGGAATGACCTCGACGAAAAACCAACCACCGCGCGCAAACTGGTGTCTCTGCTCCTCAGGTATGAATTGCCTCCACACGTCCAAGTAAGTCTTGGTCCACTTGTTGGGGCCTTCCAGAAAAATATTGTGGGGGAGGATATCGTTATTGCCTAACGTGGGCACGATAGGTATTATGAAGTCGTTGTAAGGATCCGGGTCATCCACATTGTCCGGCTTGCCAAAGACTTCCCAGAACTTTTGCAGCACTAGCTTGTTCTGTGAGACTACCTGTGTTTCGCTGCGAGGTATACGCTCGTCGTTGTCATGCCGGGCCGAGTCGCCGGTCCAGATGACGAAGTCGATTTCATCGCGGATGTTATCCTTGATCCAGTCAAAAGTTGCGTTCAGCAGCGACACGGGACTGTCGCAGTCGCTCGTCTCCGCGCCGTAATAGCCAGCTGGGCCTTTTCCTCGATGGCAAGCGTCCTCGTCGGCGGTGGATGAGTAGATCTTGTAGAATGGGTCGGGATGGATGTCTACGAGAGCAAAAGTCAAAACGACATGCTTGCAGTTCGGAAATGGTATCTTTTACCAGTGATATGTAAGAACTTGCCCTTTAGTCGCCCTGCACCGTTATCTCGCATCGAAGTCTGGGCATAGACCCTTGGGGTCGATGCAAGAAATGAGGGGTGCGCCACGCAGCTGGATCCAAGGCTGCACAGCAGCGCGAGGTACTGCAGGATACGCTGAGTTCTCATCTCGAAGACAGAGACATGGGATTCTGGAGGAACGCGACACGCAACAGGTTGCAGTTTTGGGCGGAGTATTAAAGGGAGCCCACACACAAGCCTGAGCCAAAATCGATGGGTTTTGGGGATGCACGTCAATGGCGGCGCACGCAGCCTCAAAGCAGTTTGACACTGCGCTCCGGGCCAATCAACGACGGCCCTTGCGTCACGGGCTGGGGTTTGACTTCACCTGTGGACAGTGTTCAGATGGTCCAGCGACAGCGTGTGAACTTGTTCTTGAGCCAGATGACCGTTCCACGCCCAGCACTGGTCTCGTGCGCGTGGGGGACGAGGCCATGCTGGTCCAGTCGTGCTGGAGAGCTGAGCAGAACAGCTGTGAGACAACGACCATCATGGTGTGAACCATCCGCTGGTCTCCCACGCAGAGCAGTCTCGACCTTGCTAGAGACGGCATGGTTGAGCGACAAAAACCATTGATGACGTAAGAACGGCGGTTCTTCCAACGCAAACCGAGCTGCAACGCTGGAGATGCTACGCAATGAGACTGGATACGGTCGTGTGGACGAACGTGCAAGCCATCTGGGCGAGTTGGCTCTATGGCAGATCCGACTACGCCTTCATTTCAAGGACCGCTATGCACGCTTATTCTGTACTACAGATCGACCAGCCGGATCTCGCATCGCCCTAGCCCTGGATCCGATGCTCGACCCCGGACCCAGTCTTGTGGACCGGACCGTCTTCGGCACCTCGTCGCGAGCCTGCCCTCTTATTCCTGTGTCACTCATCTTGACCCGTTATGATCCAAGTGAATTGGCCCACCGGCGGATAAATGGCGTAATGATGGTGATGATGATGACGATGCCGATGATGATGCAATCTGCTGCCCATGTGTCCTCAGACCGGACCAACAGAAAGAGAGAGAGACATTGCCATGGAGCAGAGTAGCTGAGAGTTTCAAACTAAGAGCTAGACATGAAGATTGTTGACGACGTGAAGCAAGCTGCGGTCTCGACACTGATACATGCAAGATGGCAGGCAGAAGATCATGTTTCTTATCTGATTACCTGACGAGACAGCACAAAAATTATCCGCGAGACCATTTATCCATTCGCACTTGCCCTGACCGCCTCCCTTCTCTTTTCTAGGTCTTCCTTCGTCACGTAGCCTCCCATCCTTACGCCCTCTCTTATCAATACATCGAGACCTACTGCCGCGTTGGTCATCTTCCCTCCGAGATACAGCATCAATTCCTCGCTGTCCTTGCACGCAAGCAAGCCTCGCTTGTTGATCTTCAATAGCGCCAGGGCAAAACAGAACATGTACCGGCCGTCGCAGAGGCCAAACAGTATATCCCAGATGCGGTACAGTGGTTCACCGGAAAGACACGCAGCAAACGCCGATATAAACCAACCCGGCGTGAACATGTCCAGATTAACCATGTGCGTCCGAAGGTGCTTATGCAGATTGTTGCCGAGTAGATCCACGACGTAGCTGATGAGCACTTTACCATCCGTGTCAAGAGCTCGACTCGAAACCATCCCGTCCTGGTCGTAGTACTCGGGTGGGAGTATGTTTTCGATAATTGCTGCAAGCAGCCAGAACGCGTCCTCGGCCGAAGGCAGCATTAGCAGCAAATTCGCAGCAATGATGTTCAACCCTTGCGAGTACCCTATTGTCGGATTGTACTGAGCGTACGCGACGAGGACGTCCGTGAGCTTCGTCTTGCCAATGCCGTTGCGGAAGTATACGTTGTTTCCCAATGTTCTCTCCACATCTGCAGCAATCTCGTTCCGAATAGACTGCGCCAATTCCGTTTCTGACAGAAGTGCTTGAAACTTGCCAGGCTCGAGTAGGCTATTGGCTCCGGATCTTTCCATCCACACTTCTCTTCGAAGAGAGATAGGAATCCCGGAAACGATGAGGGTGTTGAACTTCTTCCAAGTTTCTGCCGAAACAGTGCCCTTGCTACAAAGTCGCGAAATGTCGGCCATACCGTAGTCGCTCGAGGCTCGCGCCAACGCCGCCGGTATGTTGGCACGCAGCTGCGTGTGAAACGCCATCCACTCACTCATTCTGATTCTTTGCTGTCTGTCGTGTGCTTCGTTCAGCTTCTCGAGCAAGGCATTCAAAGCTCTTGTGCTCTCTGAAGCTTTTGTGGGCGTAACCATAGTTCCAGAAGCGGATGTTGGAACAATCGTGGCGGTTGATTGTGACAATATCTCCGAGCTTGTGGACCTAGTCATCTCTGCCGTTGGCGTATTAGGCCCTGATACGTCGATGAACATCCTTACACCCCCTGATGGGTTTGAAATGAATCTGACTGCCGGTCCAGAAGGAGCATAGCACAAAAGTTCGCCCGAATTAGAGGCGCCAGTAGATACTAGATATGAGGAAGCGTCATCCTGAGAGTTCGGTGTCTTCAAGGATTCCTCTATGTCGTCGTCGCTGACTGGAAAGCTATTGACCGAAGAGCTCTCAGACAGCTCACCAGGTTGGTAAGGTAAAGCTTCTTGCTGCCGCGTCTCCCTGCTGGCGGTGAAGAAAAACCCAAGGCGATCGATGGGGATGTCATAGGAAGCCCCTTTATCGTCTCTTAGAGCAGGAGGCAAGGTTTCTACTTCGATGGGTGCTCTTAGTTCGAGCGAGTCGGGACGCAGTGAGACGCTGCCCCGGTTGGATCTACTTTCTTTGCGGCCGTCTTTTGATTCTCTCTTGTTGCGCGCTGCAATTGCTTTCAATGAAACACTTGCATCTGCATCTGAGTTAGCAAAAAATATGCCTGACAAGAGGTTTGTAAAACATATACCTTGAGTTGGGGGCTTGTTAAGCAAGTTTTCAACCACATTACTTGATGTTCCCGAGCCCACCGTACGGATGGATGCTGGTTTTGATGACCGGGTGGAAGGCTTTTGGGGCTCGATCATCTCTCCATTTGTGCTATCTAGAATTAAGATCTTAGCATTGAGCCAATAGAATCGTGGCCTTTCGCCTGAGTGCCACTTACCCAAGACATAGTGACCATTCGGACTGTCGACGATTTGGATCTGACCAGGGTACTCCGGGCGCACAAAACGTTTAAAGAGATTCTGCACATTTTTGTACTTGCGATTCTGCTCTTCAAGTTGTAGCTTGAGGAGTTCGTTCTCATCTCGAAGCCTCCTGTTCTGGTCCATCAAATCAAGTTTCATATTCCTTTCTGTCGCAATGCGGGCATTACACTCAGCTAAATCCTTCGAGTACTGGCGCAGGATTGAGATAGGCCCCCCATGATTCTCAATAACCCGTTGCACTTGGTCATCTGAGGCATTTTCGAGAGGGTCTGCCGCATTCCAATCTGGATCCTTGAAAACAGCTCCGGGGGAATCTTCCTGCGCGCTCGAGCGAAATGTGAGACCAGCGAGGATGGATTTGTGCAAACTTGCTGCTCCTCGTAAAGTCTTACCTATCGATGAGGTTTGCTTTCGAGGTTGAACTGGCGTCTCTGGATTGCTGCCTTCCGACGATGTCCTTCTTGAGGGTCCACATGAGCGTGAAGCTGAAGAACGACGATCAAGGTGGCCAACGATGGTCCCATCTACAAGGCTGTTGTTAGATCTTGTTGCTTCACGCGACGAACGTTTGCGTCGCACTGGAGACGCAGAAGAGTCAGGAGATAGTGACGGAAAGGAAGTCAGAACTTTTGGTGACCCTGTGACCGCTTCAGTGCTGGTTCGTCTGCTCGATGCAGAAGCTGCAATATGCGAAGCTGAACGTTTTCCTCGTATGGATTTGGCGCCCTTTGAATCCATACTCGTGAAGCTAGACGCTATGAACGAGGATTATTCGGCATAATCATCAGTCCAGGGGGTTATCTTCTCTACCAGTTCCCAAAGGCCTATTAGAGTGGCTTGATTGGTGATGACCGCATACGACTGATGTCCGAGTTACAGAGCTGGAAAGCTTGCTTCGAAGCACAAAGTCTGTCTATGCAGAGTTAAATGAGAGGCTGGAAATGTGACGGATGTGAAGCGTTGAGAATTACCATGGGTGATTTGGTACCACTCGCAAACCAGCTTACATGAATGATGCGAGTCGTAAAGCTTTCGCGAAGTCCCATGCGATCATCGTTTTAGCGCCCCGCCACAGCCATGACTCGATTGGCAGGCACAATCTGTATGGCTAACGTCCTCTCGTGCCATCTTATCCTGATAGTCAACATTATACTGTGCAGCTCTTGATAACTCGTGAGCCCAAGCAGCTTCGCACGATCTGACCTGCAACAGAAATGCCCATTTTACATACATGCTCCGTCGCCGCGGATGCAGCCAACAACGGATGAAGATGCCGCTTTGGCAGCTATCGCCGCCTTCAGCCAGCTTACCCCCGATCAGCAAGATGCTCAGGCAAAGATTGCTACAATACGTAAGGAAGAGGATGCAAACCCGTTTGTAAACATACATGAACTGTTCGCACTTTACGATGTGCTTTATTTTCGCTCGCTGCTGGTGTCAAAAGTGGACATAAGTTGGTCTTCAAGGCTTACGCTTTGTGCTGGCATGTGTGAAATCAGTAAAGATCAGGAAGGGAAATACACGCGGATCAAACTGAAGATGTCAGAACCATTGTTAAAATACCGAACTCGCTCGGACACTATCAACACGCTTCTCCACGAGGCAATTCATGCATACCTATTCATTACAACCGGATGGCGACATGCAAGAGGAGGCGATGGCACTGGGCATGGAAAAGGGTTTCAACTACTAGCGGATGCTATCAGCAATCACGGAGGCTACGAAGTTACTGTATTTCATAAGTTCCATGAGGAAGTGGATAGCTACCGTACACATATCTGGAAGTGCGACGGTCCGTGTCAGAATCAACCTCCCTTTTTTGGATTTGTTAAGCGTAGTATGAATCGTCCGCCTTCAAAAAATGATCCGTGGTGGGATAAACACCAGGAAGAGTGTGGTGGCAAGTACACCAAGATTGCTGAACCTGCGCCGACAAAGGCACAGCTTAGTAACATGACTGCTAAAGCAAGAGCGGGAAGGCAGAAGAACAAGATCGATAGCTGGGTACGGAAATCGAATTCGGACGAAAAAGAAGAGGCCGAAAAGCCAGGCCGAATACCCAGCAGCATCGAGCATCTCTACAACTCTTTTCTGGTCTCTAACAACGCTGAACACGTGCCGTCTAAGGCCGTCTCTATGTCTAATGTAAAACGAGAACGCACCAAAGATGATCAAGAAGCGCAACCGCGTAAGAAGATGCTAGTCAATTGTCCGATATGCGATGAAAGGATTGATGAAGCCATGATCAATCAGCATCTTGACAACTTGCACGATTTATGAAATTCCTGTGGCACCCATCCTTTGGGCCGTTCATAACCATCTGTTAAATGAAGGTTAAAAATTTATATTTTCACCAAAATGCGAGCCACGCAAAGTATGCTTCGCTTATTTGAGCAAGAGCCTGCGTCGAAATTATGACGATCGCATTTTCATGTTGTTTGGAGATTTGTCCGTGTATGTCATTTGGAAAGTCTAGTCATAAAGGATAGAATACCTCAACAGGACCTCTTCGTAATTTTAGCATCTTGTTTGTGGAAATAGCATTCTTTTGGGGTGCTTCTCAGGCATTACCTCGTTGCTCCGCAGGGCAGGAGGCTCTTTGCTGGTCTTTCCTCCTAGAACGTTACTAGCTCTGGTCGAACAATTTGCACCTACAAATGCTCTGCAGATGTGAAGAATATGTGCTATGTATCCTTAGCTGCATTCTACATCGTTGCTACGTACGGTCAGCTAGTTCAGGCTGATCTTGGTTCAAATACGAAATACGCGCTGCGGACGTGCACAACTTTTCATTCTCACCTGACATCTTTGAAAATTATCTAGGCGAAATTTGATGCAAATAATGTAGCAAAATATACCCAAAAAATTTGAGCAATTCCTCATTCAGAAGTTTATTATACTTAGTCAGACTTCTATCACAATGCAATTCGGCGAACTTGTGAATTGCTGGAGATTTTGCAAAATATTCTAATCTGCTCGCTTGATATTTACGGTGGAATATTTCAGTTGTTCAGCCTTCTTCTGTGCGAATTAGCATATGATGATTTCACCTTTTGAAAAGATGGGCTTGACTTCAGGTCCACCATTTTGCGTAGCATCCAAGAATCCCCAGGATTGACTACTAGCCATTTGTGTATAATGAGCCACTCCCTTTCTCTTCGTTAAGAATTGAGTGCTCTAACACAAATAATAGACCGCAATATCTTGTGCGAGCTCTAATATGTAAAATGCCTACCTTTGTTTTTAGTGCTGATTGATTTCTTTCCGATGGTTGAGCAACCTACCGACACATGCATAGAAATGACAAGTCATATCCGTACTGCCTGATGCTGCACTTCCACTTGACCCCCACAAGATCTTTGGCGAAATTGCATGCCAGCAGAACACTTAGCATATTCGCCGTTGAAACTAGGCGCTCACTGCCATTGTCTCTCGTGGTGCTTCTTTGGGAGCCTTTTGCCAAAGCCGCGTTTTGAAGACTCCCGTTCCACGGCGACAAAACGCGAAGCATGAATATTAGAAGGTCCCGCGAAGCTTTCGTCGGGCCAGGCGGTTACCAGCAAATTTTTGTTCAGCATCGATAAATTATCATCGTGCTTGGGGGCCAGGATGACCCGAATACATGTCATTGTCCATTAGCCCCATAACAAACTGATTTCCTGTGAACCAATCTCCCACGTCGGCACTCAGCTCCGTGTTCATGTCCAGCATCGGATCGCCAGCAAAACCAATTGCATTTAGGTACGGATTAAGTGCATTGAGATCCGCGGTCCCAGAGTAAGGCGTTGATCCAGTAGAGGCCTGGCGGACTACTGGTGATGTCTGATTTTCAACCGGTTGTGCCCTCGCCTTCGCATCGACATAAAGCTTCGCAATCCGATAAAACATCGAGCAAATATGATGCATCTTGCGTGCACCTTCGCAAAAGTCGCTGTCGGCGATGGAGGCGACGAAGTCGCGCAAGCGAACAAGATCCGTGTTGTCCGCCGTTGAGATGACATTCGAAAAGACGACCAAAAATGGAATAAATGGAGCAAACAGGAGAGTCCATGCAAAGTACCATTTCCACATCCCTTTATGCGACTCTTTAAGTCGCAGAGCGGACTGATGAGATTCGAGAGCAGAGCGAGCCGCATCCAAACATTCAGGTCTTAACCCTGACTCGCTATCTGCTGGAATGACGCGATAGCACATGGCGATATTCGTGTAATGTGTAACCTCATCCGAAAGCAGAAAGACGGAGAGAACGCCACGTACGTCGTAGACGTAAGGCGCGTTAGGATCAGGCAAACCAAGGCTTTGCACCAGCTGTTCTGGTCAAGATATTGTTTAATTTGACAAATTCGACACGTACCTTCAGATTTATCTGTCTTATACTATTCAATTGATCAACAAGCATCTGTGCTCGATGAATCCGCGTTTCCGTGTTTTCTCTTAGCGCCCCAGGTGAGTATAGTTGTTCATATATCAAGCCTTGCACGCGAGCGACTTGTATGAACAATCTATATTCCTCGGTACAAGCTCTGCCTAGGTCATCATCGCCAAGCTCAGGGTATGGAAGATCAATATCATAGTCTTGAAAGAAGCTAGCCCGACCAAGACGAAGGCTCAATCCTTTATCAAGAACGTACAAAAAATAGAACATTTTCTCTTGCCTAACTCTTGTGTCCTTGTCAACATCTTTGACAGACTGAGCCCTGTGCCAACCAAGCGTTTGAGCTAAAGTCAATGCAACGGATTTCAGTTTCCAGCTGACATTAAGGCGCGACGTATCGATACCGTGCATAGCCTAATCATGCGTTAGCATCAGCGTCTAAGCGTATTTTGGGTTTGATGTACAGCCATAAGCAACGCCTCGACGTTCTCCGGTGTAGCTGGTAAAAAGATGTCTAATGAGGAGACAGAAGTTTCGAAGTTAGTCCGGCACAAATCAGCGCACTGGCGGAATTCGTTCTTCTCCTGCTCATCCGGAGCGCGCCAACTAAATTCCTCGAAAAGCCAAAAGAGATTCCCAAAGACTATGATCGCAGTAGACGGTGGGTACTCGTCAACAGAAAAGAAGACTGATTTGCAGAAATCCGTTAGGCGAGGTAGCGACATCCAGTTAACCAACAGGTCGAACATTACTGTTCGGTTTTCTATCAATCCATCAATAACTGACATTGGCATACGTGTGCTTGGCTGTACCTTTTGACCGTCGCAAAACATCCAAAACAAGATTCGTCGGCGGAAGCGGGAGCTTGCGATAATCGAAGGAGGAACCACTCCGGGTCACGGGTCTAGATATGCGCTTCCTACCCCCATTGGACATGTCTAGCAGAGATGAGACAGCAGAAGACACTTCAGGGCTGGTGGAAGCGAAGGCACCTTGTCCGAGGACTCTTTCTACCAGGGCGCGGGCCTGTATTGAATGTGCACTGAGGGACGTATCGCCTTCGTAGGCATCACCGTCCGCATCAGGCTGGTCAGCGTCCGAGAATAAAGTTCTGGGTCTTGTAAAATCGCTGGACGATGGCGTCGAGCCTGCCGCGAGAGATTCTCTTCGGCCAAGAATGTCCGTGTGAAGCGGTCTCTGAAGAACCTGATCAAGACTGGCCAGCTTCGCTTCTATCATATCAATTTTGCGCTCACTAGATATATGGCGATTAGTAACCGATATCTTGACGCCAACGATCAGTGCAAACAGACTAATCGTCCGATACATGAATCCTCTTGCGCTTTACACTCTTCTCACGCTCAGACGTCACGCACGATAGATTCGAGGCTCTACAGGCCGAACAGGGCGATTCCTTGTCGCACTTAACCTTTCGGGCGCGGCATGGATCGCACTTTTTGTTCATTAGCACGTTTATCGAGCAAGTCGAACGAGCGAGCTGATGTCCATACTGCCCGTTTGAAGAGCGAGCCCCCGTTAGGCCTCGCGCCAGTATCATCTGACGCCTCATCCATGGCGCGGATGTATCTATTATTACAGCTCAATCGGCTTACGCACTACTTCTGATTGGTAAGTAGGAAATGTGGGTGGGAAGTGGACGCAGGAAAAGAGATTGCGCAGGCCGCGGTGTCCGGCCCGAGTTTATGAGGGTTCTGACCCGAAAGAAAATGTTCCGGACCCTTATCTGAAGCAAAACGACGCTATGGGCAGCTGCTCATCTTCGAGGTGAAGCTCAAGTTGTCAATGGGCCACCCATCCCGCATTGAATTCTTTGAGACGGATTTTCAAACCAGGTCGATACATTTGATTTTGTGCAGTTCAGGTAAGCGTGCCTATCCGCTTCACGATTTGAATCCCGCCTATGGCGGTCAATCTTTCTACTTCTGTTTGAACAGTGTGTCTCCATCAAACTCTAGATTTAATCACTTTGGTCTAGCAGAACCTCGTTTACATCTTCGTCGTCAATGAAGCCCGCGCGTCTCTTCTCGTTAGCGAAAGTTGCCCCTCCTCTATCAACGCCGAGGCCTATTTCACGCTTCCTTTTAGCAAGTTCTGCCATACTCTCCCTAGCCTTCTCCTCATCACTTTTCTTTGGTTGCCTGCCGCCTTGTCCTGATTGTTGGGCAGGACCGGACTCAGGACCCGTTGCAGCTGGAATCGTCGGTGTAACACGTCTACCGTGTCTATCCGAGAGGTACGGTTCTACCTCACTTGCATTTGAGTCTACGCCAGTTAGTATGGTATCGGAATAGCAAAGGAAAACCTCACCAGAAAAACCTCCGGGAGGACCATCACCAAGCCTGAAGGCAATAGGCATAATATGCAACTGGTCCACATGATCCATTAAGCCAGTGACGTCTGGGTAATCATAAGGCTGTATCATCTCAATAACATCACCTGCTTCGTCGATACGCAATATTTCTTGGCCACAATTCAACCATAGACATGTGAATTTACCTTGATCATCTGGCCCGTCATGCTTTTTCTTTACGTGTCGTCGTAGCGTCGCGAGGTTGTGCAGCTGTGCTGTGCAATTCTTCCAGCCACACGAAAATATTGGGAATTTCGGTTCTCTTGCTGGGCTCGTCGTAGGCTTTGCATTCTGTGACGAAGGGGCGTTGCTTGCTGTTCCTCGATTACGCCCATGAATGCTCTTGCGCCAACCTACAGGTCGGCCACGTTTTTTTGTGCCATCGGGAAGAATTTCGCGTGGAAACCCTGAATATCCAGTACCTGCTGCGGGTGTTCCCGCTACAGGACGAACCGTAGAGGAAGGAGTTCCAGGTTGGTTGGCAACCGGAGTCCGAGGGTTGCCACTACTCAATCCTATGGGACGTGGACAGCCGCGAGACCTACCACGGCCGCGAGAACTCATGAATTTTCCAAGACCGAAGGTACTATCTGTGGGAGACACTTCTATGGACTGAACATCGCCTGACAGGCTCCCTTCGGCTACAGCAATAGAATTTGCCGCGTGATGAGAGCTTGAAGACGTTCTGACGGCGAAATGATGGAGTTCCTCATTTTCATCATCAGCGTCATCAATGACTGAATCTTTGTCTTCATGAACCGCACAAGCCAGAGCTTCCGGAACAGGCTCACCAGGATCGAGAATATCCCAACGCAAGGTGGAAAGATCGGAATTCAGGTTTACGGCATTCCCGAACGCGCCGCGAAGAGGTTCAAGGTGAGCATTGAGTGACATTAGATGAGGATGTTTACCGGCGGCAAGCAGTACGTCCCGCGCCAGGGTGCGAATATCATAACGAAATCGGCGTAGGGCAGTTTCGCTCTTGATTGGTTTAGCCAGTTCCATAGCATTGACTTTGTGTGTGAAGGATGCTATTCTTTGTCCTTCAAAGTACGGGGGCTCTGACCCAAGGCGATGAACCGGCCTTCGAGAATGCGGACCAGGAAAACACGCAAAGTTTGGCAAGAATTCTGAGCCTGAGTAGCAGTCTTGGCTTGTTTGCATGGTAGATGGAGGAGTATTGATAATCTGTTTTGAGGGAGGCATGTCGCCGTTTGAGAATCTTGGAACATCAAGTTCGACAAACTTTCTCTTTCGTGCAGCCTCTGCTTTTGAAGTTGATCGAGACATCTCTGACGGATGATCTGATGGTGCTTCCTGCAATTTCGCATTCCTGATATCTGCGGTCTTGTGACTCAGTTCCGCTTCCACCTGCGTTGATCTAGCCACCCCAGAAGGTACAATTACTTGTCCCGTCGAGTCAATCGGATCTTCATAGCTTGCAGCATCTAGTGCATTTTTCTCTAATGAAAACGGAGTGAGAGGCTGAGAAGTTGATGCTTTCATTATGGGGGCAGCTGCTGGGCAGATGGCTGGCTCAGGTATCACAGAACTGGACGGGAGAGCAACTGAGGACATTTGAAGAGGAAGGCCATTAGGCAACTGCGAGAATCCTGTCGACGCTGCTTTCATTCTCGTATCCATCTCTCGGGCAGTTAGGCGCAAAGTTCTTGCTAGGGCCGCTCGATCGAATATGATTCTGTCACGCTCTAGCATTCTACAGAAATCAGTGTAGACTGGGCTATGTTTTAGGATGTCTGCAATCCGAGCAGCTGTGATCGATTTTCCATTGTTGCCGGGGAATGTGCGCAGGCATGTCGCAGCCGCAAATGAAAGTTCATGTAGCTCCTCAGGTCGCCACATTACGCCCCTTGAGTATGTGCTCTCTTTTGATTGCGCAAATTCCACCTGCCCTGTCGATGATACGCCCGAAACCGTTGACGCAGAAGATATTGACGGATGCGCGGTCTTAAGTTGTTCCATCGCAGCCATGGGGCGAGGAAAATCAGGTCTACATATTTGAGACTCGTCGTCTGTAAAACTTGCATCTGTGGACTTATTGGAGGTTCTCAATCGCTTCTGCTCAGACGATATTGCGGAGACATCTTCTGATGGTGCATCTACGGCTGCCAAAGCATCTCTAGCGGTCGTAATAAGATGTTCTTGCATTTTTCCTTCCCACACGTGCGCATAAAGGTCAGGCTGAGCGTTTTCCATTTGATTCATGATTGCCATAGGCCGCCTAGGTCGCGTCCCAGCATCGCTCACATTACAGGCGCCCTTCGTCGAGTCGATAGCTTGCTCGTAGTTTGCTCCATCTGCTGCCATAGTTTCCATGACGGCCTTGCGGTCAAGGCTTGGCCTGGCCGGCGATTTCTTTGTCTGGTTTATACCCCTATCCTCCTCGTTTGATATCAAATTCCTATGCAAACCTTCTACATTCATTTGCCTCTTATCTTTGTTCCTTCTTGTTCCTTCCTCTTCTCTCAGCCTTCCTGCTTCTCCACGATCTCGCTGCTTGTAGGCCACAGGCACAACGACGGCACACTTCTCAGCGTCCTCTTCTGTACCTGCAGCAGGTATCGTTCTTCGATACTTCGCCCATGGATGATGGACAACTGAGGAGCTGACAAAACCTTGCTGGTTCAAATGTGAACTTGATTCTGAAGTCCTGGACTCATTCTGATCTTCTTCTCGCATAACCTGGTTATGGAGATACTGAGAGCTTACAATTTCGTGCGCTTCGTATACAGTCCTTAACATGGGATCTGTTAAGGCCACTGCAGCTGATTGCCCGGAGTTCATGGTAGGTCGATCAGTTTGCTGTCCTTGTCCTTCGGCATGGCCACGTTGTGACGCATTACGGCTTAAAGCTGGGGCAGATGAAACAGCGCCAAAGTTTTGCTGTCCGCCGCAGCTTGAATTACCCATATTCGAGTACTCCCTTGGGGTGTATTCTATGGTTGCGGAATGCCGCTGTCTCGCAGCTGAGCCCGCGCAAAGCAGCATCGGCGCGGCCGTCCTGCCATCTTCGCGAACATCTGGGAAGAAATTCTGTCCATTATGCTGTCGTGAACGGTCATCAGCAAATGATTGCGGGAACGCGTGTGGCCCTAGGCGGTTGGAGGAGGTGCTCCGTCCGGACATGTTGAGAGCGCTGTCCCATTCGTAACAGGTGATTTATGTAGTTATCCCGCGAATTCTGAGCATTAGTGTTCGAGTACTAGTACAAATCTTGGGAATTTGGACTTATTGAAGGTTGCACGGTATGGAGGTGATTATCGAGTGCAGAATGAAGAACAAAGTAGTGAAATACATGAGCTAGTGCTCGGATATCACAAGAAGGAGATATTCTATTCAAAGAGGAGGCCAACTCATTCTTTAAACCTCGTCTTTGAGAGCTTTATGCCAAATTCAAACCCGCGACGATCGGAAATGGGCAAATATCATGATAGCCTCGTTTCTCACCCATGCAACCATGCCCGAAGCCGAGGATTGCATATAAATCACGTGACTTAAACGCACGGACTCCCACTGGAAACGCCAAGCTGCATATTGAAATTGACCTTTGCACTTTTCAGCGACCACTACACATTTTGACACACGTTTTTCCCACACATCGTCGTCAAAATGGCCAAGGTCAACAGTGGTATGGATTGATTCATGGAAATCCATTGAATTCATTATAATTAAAATTGCTAGGTCTTTCATCTTCACGAAGAAAGAGCCGAAAGGCTCACTTCAGCGCTGGCTCCACGCAGCGACGAAAGATCATGAGCGCTCCTCTAAGCAAAGTACGTGCCTCGTACTCATTTGCTCTTGTCAATAACTAACGGCGTTTTCCAGGAGCTCCGCGAAAAGTACAATGTACGTTGAGAACGGCGTTGCGCATAACACATCTGCATTCTCTGTACTGGGTTCAGAATATTGACGTAAGTTGCGACAGGTCAAGTCGCTGCCAGTACGCAAAGACGACGAAGTTCAAGTCATCCGCGGCTCGAACAAAGGCCGTGAGGGAAAGGTCTCCTCTGTATACAGGCTGAAATGTAAGTATTGACTTGTCATGGCAGAACTGAGTAAGGTGCTCACAGATAATAGGGGTGATTCACATCGAACGACTTGTTCGTGAAAAGTCCAACGGCCAGTCCGTTCCTATCGGCGTGGCCCCATCAAAAGTTGTCATCACCAAGCTCAAGCTCGACAAGAACCGAGAAGCGATTCTAGAGAGACTAAAGGCAGGCCGTGAGGCTAAGGCCAAGAGCAAGAAGGAATAGACGAGCATAACTGAAAGTGGTGATACGATTCCATTTGGCGTTCATGATCTCGGAGGCCTTTAATGGACCAACGGTCGGACAGCACGGCATTTGCACGGTTCAGTCAAAAATACCAGGGTGTATCATCGAGCAGATATTCAAATGATAGAACGTCTGCATGATTAATCGTGACAATGCTCTCAAATCAAAGTGAACAAAATGCACGCGCACATTCAGAAAATCCATAAAATTCTGCCCATCGCTAGGTTATCTACTCACGAGCCTTCACCCATGGCTACATGCAGTTATACGACTAGCGGAGACGAAAACTTAGTTGGCATGAAACACTTGCCATTCTCGCCTGCAGACCGGGCCCTACCTTAAGCATGGGGGAAAGCGGTTTGATGGTGAGAGACATGCAATACACATAATCCTGTCCTTATGAACGTGATATTGTACAATTTCTTAACTTCACGCTGCACTTGATTTCTACCATTTCTCCACATATGGCCTGATGTCCACCTCCCAAATCCACGCGGATCTAGGCTGTGTGTGCAAATACCAATACGAATCAGCGATTGCATCTGCGCTGATCTTTGCATCTGGGGGTGCGTCTTTCATCCAGTCCTTTGTTCGCGGAATATCGATCACTCCATCAATGATGGCATGACTTACATGGACCCCTTGAGGGCCAAATTCCTTTGCTAGACTGCTGCTCAACGCTCGAAGAGCAAATTTTCCAGTAGCAAAAGATGACATCATAGCATTTGCTTTAACAGATGCGGTCGCACCAGTGAAAATCAGAGCAGGTGGGTATTTCGGGTTTGAGTGGACGGTCTTAAGGAGCAATGGCAGGAAGGCCGAAGAGAAGTTAAAAGCACCTCGGCCAGAAACTTCAAGACCCGCCATGAACTCATCCTCCGTCAGCTCGAGGAATGGTTTACGGACAAACGAGCCAGATGCATTGAAGATGGCAGCCTGGACATCCAATTTAGTATCAGTCATAGAAGCCCAATGCGACTCTCGAAGGTGGACCTACTGCTGCAGTCACGTCGTCTCCAAATTCCTTCTTGATGGCTTCAGTCGCAGCCTTGATGCTCTTTGCATTCGCAACATCGGCGGAGATTCCCAGAGCTTTTCCGCCGTTGCTGTTGATTTCTCTTGCAAGCGATTCGTAGTTGTCCGGGTTACGTGCAATGAGCACGACGGGATACGACGCGGCAAACTTTCGCGCAACTGCGGCTCCGGTTCCAGCGCCTACACCTGCTATGATCGCGATCGCTTTGGATGCCATGTTCTCACGAAAGGTCTGGGTGGCCAGCTGAGAAAGGCGTGATTGTGCCGCAGAATTCGCCGTTGTGGAAGATCTCAGTTGTCTAGGGACTACGAATATTACGAGCTATCGCAATTAACGGTCGAAGCCTTATCATATATGCAAAAAGCATGTCAATCTACTCTTTGCCTCTTTTATCACGTCAAATGTGATTAGTGATTGTTTGTCCGCTATAATGTGGGGAGCTCCATCATATGCCCGATTTTACATTTTTGATTACTTCAGCACAGAGGGGCTTTCGGGGGTTGAAACGGCCGAAGAATGCGGATAGCATCATCATTCCCCAACATTTAGCTCAACTTTGGATCCATCGTCTGTGTTCGAGATGCCGCCGTCGCACGTGAGACCGGTGCGTTTGTATGCAACTCAATCGGCTGCAAAGAACATCCTATTCTTTGAAGCACGCAGAGAATACGTGCGCTATCCCTGTTTGGGACGCAGAAATTAAATGCTCCCAGGTTTGCGTATGTGCGTTTGTCGCAATGTACAAAGCTGAACTGACGGCCTCCCGTTCACATTCGTTAGCATGAATTGGACGAACCCCTATCTACTCGCTGCCGTCTTTGCTATTCCGACACTGCTGGTCGCAATGGGCCTTTTGAAAAAGAACAAGTTCGTAGTAGAGGGAAGAGTGAGTTCGAGGATTTTGGACTAGCGATCTTAGGGATTGGGCTAATTGATGTTTAGACTGCCCTTTTGACTGGAGCTTCTCAGGGCATGGGGCTTGCCGTTGCCATAAAGCTTGCACAAAAAGGCGCCAATGTCGTCCTGGTTGCTCGTGACGAAAAGAAGCTAGAAGAGGCAAAGAAACAGGTCGCGGCCGCTGCCAAAGATCCTTCGAAACAGCGCTTCACATGGTTCAGCGTCGACGTCACAAATGAAGAGCAGATCGAAAAGCTGGTGCAAGATACGGTGAGATGGAACAATGACAAGCTTCCAGACATTGTATGGCAGCTTGCTGGTTGGGCAGCGCCGGACCTGTTCCTCGACACGCCGGTAGACATTCTAAGAAAACACATGGAGGTGAACTATTGGGGTGCTTGCTATCTTGCGCACTCCGTTCTGCGAGCCTGGACTGGGGAGAAGTCAGCGGAATCGGACGCGAGCAGGGAAGATGCAACGAGAAACAAAAAGCCTCTTCCACGGCATTTCATCTTTACGGCCACAACGGCGGTATACTGCGGTGTGGCAGGTTATATGCCGTACTCGCCTGCGAAGGCAGCGTTACGAAATTTGGCCGATGGCCTCAAGTCGGAGATGAACCTCTACAATGGAGCAAGATACCACGGCTTGCCCTCTGGAGCAACACCTACCAAGCCCGAAATCAAGATCCATCTCATCACCCCAGGAACAATACTCTCCCCAAGCTTCGCAGAGGAAAACAAGACCAAGCACGAAGTTACCCGCATACTTGAAGAAGGCGACCCTCAACAAACACCTGAGCAGGTGGCCGACGTCGCCATCAAGGCACTTGAGAATGGCAACTACATGTCATCCACGAATCTCCTGGGACATGCGATGCGTGCTTCGGCATTGCACGGTTCTCCTAGAAACGGCTTGTTTGGTGTAAGGGATATGCTGTTGAGCTGGGTAGTTAATCTTGCTTGGCTGTTCATCTCTCCGGACATGGAAAAGAAGGTGTATAATTATGGAAAAGATCATGGCGTTCAGCACAGAGATGCGCAGTGAGCAGCTTTTCTACCGTGCTCGCATATGGAGACATCTCTTTAGCGAACCGTGTTATGAAATGCTTAGTTTTCCATCTAGACAATGTCACATACACAAGGTATGTTCCGCATCTAAAATAAAACGATCGCCTTATCTACGCCACACAAAATTCTTTTTCTCGACTTTCCGGTCATTTGGAGAACATCCTGCATATTGCCCTATTGGGCCTCTGGTCTGACGTACTTGATGAATGATTGGACTCGCACTACTTCTAGTACTGCACGAGAAGTTTGGTTTGCATCAACGTTTGCTGATAGGAGAGCAGACACGGGATTGGACCGAATTTTGGAAATACGTTTTCCTCCACTTACAAAATAATAGCCATATCTTATGAGAGGATTCTCCCCTATCCAAGGTAGTCTTCGGCATCACATCCCTACATGTAGCGATCGCTGGATCGACTTCCGGCCGGAGTCTGGCGCCGTACTTCTTGGGTCCGGCCATGGCGAGAGTAACGAGAAATAAGGAGCAGAGTCTGTGTTTGTATTGCCTCTCCAAAGCTTCACGGGCATTGACGACACTGAAAGTTGTGTTTTCCTAAGGTGCAAAGGGCTTCTGGAAATGAGACGTCGGCTGAAAGGCAAGCGCGAACGTTGGGGTCAAGCCGGTGCTTTGAGCTGAGTTTGAGAATATTTCTTTCTTCGAGAAGTTGCCATTTGCGATGCCAAAGGCCTAATAAGAGAATTCTCGCCTTCTCACCACTAATATCTTGCTTTCATGTCCCACTCATCACGAAAAATTTGTAGATTGGCACCCAAGCCTGTCTTCACTCTTTCTCCTTTTTACTGGGCACAAAACGTAAGAACGCATGATGGGCTACCAGGATCCGAGTACGGATCATTAACAGTCGCTATCTATGATGTGCTTTTCTTTCTTTCTTCTTCTTCTTCCTCTTCTTCTTTTTTTTTTTTTTTTTTTTTAACAAGCTCCTCTTCGTGGCGATAATCGGAGCGATATCGATGGAAGGAGGATGACACGTTTCCAGCAACGCGAATACTCCGTTAGCCTCCTCGCCGATGCTAACCAGCCTTTTCCAAGTGCCTTGGAAGAGCGTTTACACACGTCGCCGAAGGGTCAGTCAGAGGTTATGGAGAGGACGGGGGCGCGGTTAGCGGAGCACCCCGATCGCTCACCGATCGAACGCCATCCAGCGCCGTTGCGTGCAACCTATGACCCGTGAAAATGATGTTTGGCAAGCGAGATATGTCTCGTTCAGTTGACCAAGAGTTCGATGGAAGGGCGACGGGCGCGGAAAAGAGGCTTGCCCTGTTCGAAACGCGGCAGTCGAGGAGGCAAACGTCTACAAAGTTCACGAATGTGAAGCTTGCAAAGAAAATATAGAGGTTCAATTGATGCTCGACCTGTCATTGGGCTGCAGGAAAGTAAAATAAAAAAAGGGACAAAGAAGGGTGTACAGCAAATTTCGGCTTCACTACATGCGAAATTTCACCTAGGTGTCCAGCAGTCCAAGTAGTATTTTAGCTCCGGCATTCCCTTTTGCGTTTCCCGTCTCACCCGTCGCAGCCGTTTCCAATTTCGATTTACTCTTCTTCAGTTTCTTCCGTAACTCGTCCTTGTTCTCGAACTCCTTTGCCTCCATGAGGGCCACGACAACAAACGAGCTGTCGCTCGTTGCCCACGCAAGTGCATGCTCCTTGATTCGACCGTAAAGTGCATCTGCGAACTTCAAGTCCGGGGCAGTGACGACAACTTGCTTTTGCTTTGGATCGTAGTGCCCGCCATTGACCAGTGACCGAAGCAATCTTCCTGCGTGGGCCAACTGTGCTGGATGGTCTTCTTCAGTAGGATCTCCGCTCACTTGGTCTACAATCGCTTCCACGGCGGCACTCTTGTCGCCCTGGGCCGATAGCATGACGCTAGCGATGAATTGACATCCGTACGAGTCCTTGATCAAGGTTGAGGCATTCGCAGCCACGGTGGCAATATATGACGGGCTGAGAGGAGTCACAAGCTCCATGCGTCGGGTCTCAGGATCCTTCTTACTGGTCGTCTTACGCAGTTCTCGTATTTTTTTGATAAAGTCTTGCTGCTCCTGCTTTGGTAAGAGCCATTTCTCAGGTCCGACAAACGGAAACAGCAAAGCCACCCTGCCAATGAGGTGGGTTGATAGGCCCAGTATCTTCTCCTGTTGCAAAGCGTGCTTCTCCTCTGTCTTTCCGTAACTCACAAGTTCTGAGAAGATTCTTTGCATGGTTTCCCTGGTGTCGTCAACTACTTCGTAGGCCGTAACGAGTACTTGCCAGCCGTGTTGGTCTCTTGCGACAAGTTCTATGGCGTCCTTGTACGATCGCAGCACCAATTTACGATCTTTTGCTGTGCCATGTGCTAAAACAAGACATACCAGCTCGGCACCGGACTTGGTAAATGCCAAATTTTTCAGAAGGTCTTCTTCCTCCTCCTTTTTGTCTCCGATTATAAGACGCATGCAGTCGTTAAAGTCAGAGGATCCAGGCTCCAGTTGCAAGAAGTATTGCAGCATAGCATCGTGAAGCATAGTGAAACCTGTGAGCTTCTTCTGAATAAGTTGATTGATCAGTTGGTGGAGGTAGTCAAGGATTGGTTTTCGCTTCTCGGGACTCTCTTTCAGGATCTTTGAGAGGTCGGCCGTGATGTTCTCGTCCTTGCCCTTTGTGATAGCAAATTCCGCACCGTACCACTCTCTGAGCATAATGTCTCGCTGCGCTTTGGTAGCCTTGACACGATAAATGTCATCAAGCATCCAGCTTGCTTCGGGCTGGTTGATGAGCCTCTTGACTGAGCCATAAAACTCTGGGATGATCATGTCGCGGATCTCGTCGTCGCCTTTCTCGAGAAGCTTGGCGACCAGATGACGCGAGTACCTTCCCTCGATGAGTTCTTTGTAGCTGCCTTTCAGCTCTCTCGCCACGATCCGCCTCTGCTCCGGTGTGCCGTATTTGATGGCCGCCTGGATAGGACGCACGCTGTCGTGTTTGAAGACGAAATCGTGCACGTGGCCTAGCACGATGTCGAACAGTTCGGCCACCAACTTGACTCGTTCGTCGGCCGCCACTTTGGACTTGATGCGCAGCCGCTCCCACAGCTTCTTCGCACGTTGAATCTCGTCCGCGTACGGCTTTGACGCTTTCCTTTCACGCGCCAACTCTTTCTGCTTCACGTGGGACTCCCGGGACTTCGTGACTGCAGGAAGGATGAGCGTTGTGGAAAAGGGAAAAGTGAAAGATCAAAGAAACGTTTGTTACTCACCGTTCACGCCGTCCGTACTTCCCTTCAACTTAGGCACTCCGGACGGCACATTTCCCGCGTCGCTTTTTATGACTCTCTTCGGCTTTTCGTTTCGGTGCATGCTGCCCGCATCACTCTCCCCATCTTCGTCGGCGTCCATTTGGCCATCGCTGGCTGAGAAGCAGTGGAAATCATTCTCGCCGCGTTCGTCCGAGTCACTCCCGGCCTCCGATTCGGCTTCTTCGACCCTCGCCTTGGACCCATTCGCTTTCGGTTTTTGTTTTTGAGCACCTGAAGAGGCCTTTGCAGACTTCTTCTCCTTCCTGGCCAGCTTCACCGCAAACTTCTTGTCTGCCTTAGTCGCGGATTCAGGTAGCGATTTGACCTTTTTAGAGCCATTGGCCTTCGCGCCATCCTCTTCTGCTCTCTGACGTTTGACACCCGGCATGGTGAATTTCGTATTCTGCTTGTCTTGAGTTTCGCTTGTACCTCTCGAAAGTTTTCTTTAGGTGGGCCGCAACTTTTTTTTTATTGGACCCTACAGAATGCTGCAAAGGTAGTATTATGTAAGCAGGCCTTTTACGGGTCTCTGCAAAGCTCGTCTTCAGCATTGCAGAACATAGTTACATGCGAAGTGTGTGGCGGCATTGAGGACGCAGTCAAAGTCTGTTGTACGCATTAATGCCCATCCGATAATCCATTGGCGCTGTGTACAAGTCGCAGCATTTTGCCTGCATAAAATTTAATTCATTGCTCTGATTATTATTATTACAATCCTGGCTATCATGATGCCAGATAAGTCTCATTCGCACTACTCTTATATGAGAGCGAAAGACCTTGCGTGCCAGAGCGTGTGGGCACGTCAAATCATATGCAGCGAATCTCCACCTTGTAGTCCGTAACCGAGGTAGTAATGGTATTCCCATCATTTTCAATCCTTCCGTGTACTCTTGTCGTAAACATGATGTATAAGGGGAACATAAAAGATTATCAAAAAGGAAAAAAGGCTTCAATTCGCTTCCACGGAAACGGCGTGCGGCATGTTTGCAAGCTCGCTACCCGTCCCACTCTGTCCGCGTTTCCGGCCACCAGTTATGCCGGAAAGGAAACGGGTGCCCGCTGTAGCGGGCTTAGCCTCGCTAGTCACGGGCTCCGTTCTGTCCTCTCCAAACCTGCTGAACAAGCCGCGCTTCTTCTGCTGTTTTGGCTCGTCGTTCAAACCTACGTCTTCGAAGCGGTCCTCGGGCGTGTCGCGCGACTGCTGAAATGACGCCCTCTCGCGATCTTGAAAGGATGGACGGGGGCTGTAAGCATTCAAGTTTCGGCGCGAGTCCAACGACTGCCGTAGCGGGGGCTCATAGGCGGAAACTGGCGACCTGGCGGAAATATCCTGCTCGCTATAAGTCTCTGGTTGTCTACATTGTGAGCATTAGCCATACGAATGATCGCCTGTACGAATCAAAAGACTCTCGTGAGATGTTGAACGGCTCGTTGTCGGAAAGTAAGCTGCGGTGCGAACGTGTGGTCGAGGTAGACGTGCGGCTGAAGAAGGCAGGTTTTTCCTTTGCAGACGGGGAGGGCTTTTCACCACAGTCAGTGTTCTGGTCCTACTGTTGTACGTCGCGCACTGTCAAGGGCGTCTAGACGAGACGGGTGTTTCTTACGGGAAGAAAAACTCCACTGTCATTGATCTCTGCGAAGATGTCAGCGTCTGATCGACGGCGCCATGATTCTACGCAATTGACCGCGCCGCAAAGCAGAGATGCGTACCGCTCAATTTATATTCCGCCTGGTCGCCGATTTCGATCGGCTTCGAGCCTTTGACGTTTGCATCTTTGAAACCCTTATCTGCGGAAGTTCGGATGTTGTTGTTTTGCTCATAGAGATCCTGGGCCGTCTGCGCCTTCTTGAAGGGATAAAAGTTCCTGATGGGCATGATTCCGGTCTCACGCTTCAGTTTGCAAAAAAGAAATATGGTACAGCAACAGAATGGGAGAAGAGAGCGATAGAGCGAAATGGACGAAAGGATGGTGGCTATGTTGGCAAATGGAAGCGTCAGCCAACGACCTTAAGACGTACGCTCGGCAGGGTCTAGTCCAACGAACGCCGTGCAAGTATCTCCGCAGGAACGAGGCGGGTGAGGTTCGATCAACAGCCGACGGCCTGGGAGTTTTTGCACAAGATGGTGGGCACAGCCGTGGAAGCACAGGGTTGCAACAACAAATGATCGGCCTTTGGTTCAGGCAAGACGTTGGTCGGGAGGGCCGGGAGGAATGGCGCTGCGGCCGTAGTCGGCCAGTGGCAGCATCGCATTTGAGAGGAACTCACGCGACGGGTGGGTACGACGCAGCGCGAGAGCGCAGCGCGAGAGAGGTCAGTCCACGGAATGACGTCGGAGCGAGACTGGAATGGAATGCAGCAGCGTGCATAACGTCGTACGTCAAACGCACAAGTAGGAGAGGCTAACGACTAGCGGCTGGCCGAAGACCAACAAACCGAGGAGATTGTTGGCTGTGGCGGCCAAGCTGGGCGAAGACGGTGCCGGCTAGCACCTGGTCCTCGTTGTGCACCGCGCTGTACTGCACAACAATTCGGTTAGTCCAAGATGAGCGTACGTTGGTTGCTGGGCAGCGGGTTTGGAAGTACCAGAGCAAGTCAAGTCAAGGTCAGTGGGCACTCACGTGTGATGTCAGATGCATTGGCGGAAAGACAGGACGAAAGTGAACTTCGTCCGCTTGTCCGTGGTCAGGTTTCGGCGGCGATGGCGCTGGCCGTTCGGGGCCGAGGGAACCGCACGTCTCACGCTCACCCACGCACACACGCACGCACTCCTGCACGCATATACACACACACGCCAACATGCACACAGCATATACAACACGCTCGCACTCGCACACGCACACCTCCACCCACCCCGAGCCCATGTATGCCATCTGTAGCCGGGGCCCCCCATGTCCATGAAAGCAAGCATAGCATCACAATGCCCATCTCCAGAAGGTCCCCCAATCTTGTCCTCCTCTTTCCATCCGCCGTGGCTACCACTCGACGTTCAGGCACCACCTACACGCCCGCCCTTGTGTGATCAGATCCCAGGCCGGCGACTCTGACCTTCAGCGATCCGGCTCTCGACTGCGACATTTCAAATGTCTTCCCACCGTTCTTCTGGTCTCCGTGCGGCCTGCCCGCTCCCGCTATGTTGTCTGCGTAGTGCACATGATCTATGCAAGCCTTCCCGACTGAACGAGTCTGCCAGCAGTAGATTGTGCCCTTCATTCCGCCCCGTATTCTGTGCTCTCCAGGTCCAAAATGAAGCAATCACTGTTCTCACCCGTAGCTGAATGTGCCAGATGGCGAGAACGCCTAGGAGCTGGGCTCGCCATCCCGTCCGCCGCTCCGGGATGAAGCTGTGTAACACGAGAGAAGTGCTGTATCCCAGTTCCCTTGCATCAAGGATCCTGCTGAGCAACACTCGCCGCCAACAAAGACCTCCCATAATTGTTTTCCGTACACTTTTGACAACTGCAGCCTGCGAAGGAGGACGCATTCGCCCTGAGCTGATGCAATCGCCCGTCTCGGCGGCGATGGACATCGCGTCGGTCTTCTGTGTTTTCGACGTCGTCGGCGTTGGAGGCATTTCGAGTGAGTTCAAAGGATCCGAGTCAATAGGATGATTGCTTGATCCCGAATTGCGCCCCTATGCCCGCATTCACGGACAGAACAACCTGTTTCTCTATGTGCAGCAGGAACGACACCAAGTAGGAACGCACTTGCAAGTGGCAATCAGCCCTGCTTGTTTCATGTCACTGTTGGATTCAACTACATCAGCAACAGCAACACCTTTCTTGACCTTTGACCCCCAATATTAGACGAAACTATGCACTCCTTTGCGCCCCAATCATACAACGTCTCATGATCGTTTCCAACCCTTTACGTCATCTCTGAATAGCTGCCCGCCATGACCATCTTCTTTACGCAATGGGCGCTATGGGAGAAGATGACGTTTGTACGTGACGATGAAAAAAAAATTGGTCGACGCGAATGCTGACTTCTCGCATAGTGTCTCGGCCTTGCTATTGTATGTCATGCGTCCATCGGCTTTTCTCAAATGCTGACAGCTCAGGTCTTCGCCATCATTCTTGGCTTCACAAAAAACCTATACGCTAGATGGCGGTTGCGCAGCTACTCAACCGTAGACGCACAAGTTCTTGACCCCTCTCCAAACATGCTCGAATCCCGAATTGCGAGCAGTTGTGCAGCTCCCTTTGGCATTCGAGCGCTCGAAAGCGGAGTAGAGATTGAAGGGGTGTGGATATCTGGTCCAAACACTCCCGTGGCGAGTTGCCCGGGAAGTCCGTTGAGCTCGCCAGCTGGCAGTATCTCTTCGCTATGTATCGACGAGTCGAACACCACTACTTTCGCTGTCGCCGATCTGGCAGGAGCTGCGACAGATAGCATACAATCATCAGTGCAGTCCTGGAGCTCTACCTCAAGGCGAATATCTGATTCTGGTTCGGTAGCGAGCTGGACGATCGATTCGCATGGCATCAAGCAAGCAGAAACGTATCGTCCCCAGCCTTCCTCAACACCTGCAGCCAACATGCCACAAGCTTCATCTCACTCACATGAGCCCAGAAGAAGCAATAGTAGCTCGGCCGATCGAACCCTCAAAAGAAGTAAGATGATGAACGAGAAAAATTTCTTATGCTAGCTAACCAACCTTAGCGTTGACTTCATCGAGTGATGGCAATTACAAGCCACGCTCCTCCTCTACCATGCCCACTAGTCCTACGATCTCGAGATCTAACAGCGAAAGGAAAAGAATATCACAAGATCACTCAAGCGCCTCGACGGAAACGACCAAGGGTTACCTGGTCGAACCCGAGGTGGACCTTCGTCTATTATACAGTCACAGATTATCACATGTTGCCGAGACTGGACAACTTATTCCTCGCACCAAGAAATCACCGGTCGTGAGCGGTGAATGGCCCAGAATGAATGCCACGCGCGACACAAGGTCACGTTATCCGCCAATCAGTATGAACAACCGTCGTGTCTCAAAATCGCTTCCCACAAGTCCGACCTCCGAAAAGCAAGACCCGTTTGACGTCGCTGCCCCCAACCCCTCAATGACCCCCAGCAGCGTGTCTGTGACCAATAACAGGGTTCTAGACTCTCCTACAATGGACACATCGCAAGCAGAACCTCTTTCCGTCCGTGACGATCACGATCCTGTTACTGTGCCAACTCTCCCCCGAGACTTTTACGAACAACACAGTGGAGCTGTAAGCGCCATAGCTATGCTTTCGAAGCCCAAGGCTGCACGCTCGACTTCCACCAACTTCGAGCATGAGAGAGGATCCAAGGTTTTGCGACGCGTGAACGATGACTTTGAGATTCTACGAGCGGGCACTATATCAGACATGCAGCCTGAAGAACGTGTCTCTCGGTCACGGCAGGAGACACTGGAGTCAGGAAAGAAGGGTCCACGACGGCTTTCCAAGGAAAGACCACAGGCCAATCGCGATAAAAATAGCTTCATCGAAGTGTTATACGGTAACGAACGACGACCCCGGTAAGAGGCCGCATATGCGCCGCATTTTGGCACAAGCCACTCCTTTGAATCTTCGTTGCATGTGTGGGGAAATTTCATGCCGTCATTGTTCTACAAAGGCATATAGGTATATAATGGGCGAGCTTGATGTAACAATACAGGACTGGATCGCGGGCTTTTTGGTGCGTTTCGAGAAGAGCAACGACGTGTATCACTATGAACATCAGATAAAGTCTCGAATAAGAAGAAGACGCTGTCAATGGTCTAATTCAGTCTCCAGATTTCCTGCAGAGAAGAGTACAGTTTTCACTCTTATAAGCTATTGTTCTTTGAGTAAAATGGGCTGACGCGAAAAGCCACCTTTAACGTGCAATGATCTCGGGTTTTGAATACGCTTTTAAGAACGTGAACAATTTATTCGGCGCATTTTTGGACGAATTGGTGCAGGGACGCCGTGTCATATGTTACACTTCGGTGCAGAAATTTCAGCTGCATGCTCTCCTCGTCACCGGCCTCGATAAGACGCCTGAATAGGAATCCAAGTTCATCGGAGTACTTCGCGAGGCCGAGAGAGTTCCGCTCCTGTATCTCGGCACGGCTCGACGCAATGCGCCATAACTCGCTCCACCGTTCTAACCCACGGGATAGGACAGACGTGCTATTTTCGAGAGACACTAAGGTTTGGAGATGATGGTGGTGAAATATGACGTGCTGAAAAGCTGGAAACGATCTGGGTTAGCGGTCGCTGGTTTGTCTTGCTATAACACCCAAACCCCCCCACCCCCCCTCTCTCTCTCTCTCTCCTTTTCCTTTGTTCCTTTTTTGGAGAAGCGGGGGAGGGGGGGAATTCGGGCTTAAGAGGAAGCAGTAGAAGCTCACCAAAAATGATTGTGAGGAAGTGTTTGACGTCCAGGAGCCCGTATAAAGCCATTGTGTGTTCAGTCCATTCCTCTCCAAGCAGTCCCGACATGAGCGACTTCAAACACGGGGTGCCGACGGCACCTCCTTCCTGGGACACGACGCGCATGAAGTCCTCCGGACAGTCTGCGTTCCAAAGTTCGTCTCTGCACGGCAGATGGCCGCTCATGTCCAAAAATGTCATTGCGGGAGGGTGGTTAGAGAAGAGAGTGAACCACGCATCGTTAATGAAAACCCAATGCACGAGCCTGATGCACGACTCCTTGTACACGAAAGTGTGCCAACTCTGTTCCGAGCCCGGTGCGCTGTGTCTGGTTCCCGTCATCTTGCGGTTCCGCAACAGATCCACAAGCGTTGGGTGGCACTTTGTGACGAGACGCTGTCGGATGTTGACGTCTTTGACGCAAAATTGCAAGGTCACAACGATGTATGCCGCTTGACATATTTCGAGCGTGCGCTGAGCGTCCGAAGACGCCTCGTAGGTCGAGCCAACCAGTTCTTCGACGCTTTGAAAGACGAACTTTTCGGCGATGGCTCGCAACGTCAACAGAAAAGATGTGAACCCCACGCTGCCTTGTCGGTAATGAAGATATACGGACCCAGCCACGACCACAGCGAGCAAAAGAGTCGGATCTACATGGTTTGGGCGGAACGTCGAGCCATGTATGACAGTAGCCAGAAGCTGTTCCCGTTGGAAGAAGACTTTTATGCAGTCGCGGAAGTTTGGAACCGTGAAGAACTCGTCAAAACATGACGTGTTCACACAACTCTGTAGATGCGTGTCTTGGCCTGCGATTTGATGAAGCTCAAAGGCTAAAATGCTGACCAATTCTTGGAGCTCCTGGTCCGATTTGTCCAGGCTTAATCGGTCTTGCGTCCTCCGCTCAGGAGCATCGTTTAAGTCGTCAAAGTCCAAATCCGTACTGAACGATGGGCCAATGAGGCTCAAGAACAAAACGCGAGGGTCAATCGTGTCAGCTATGGGATTCAAATTCGCTGGAGTATCCAGTATAGGGGCTTGGAATGCCTCATCTTTCGGTTCTCTAGTTATTAATACCTCGTCGACCGGACCGGCACAAGGATCTGTACAGGCGAGCATAAATGACAATCTATTGCGATTTTTGTCTCTGGATAGAAGTTCTTGCCCAATTATACTATTAGCAAGGTGAGTTGGATCGTTGCAAAGTCGTCTGTAAGTGCAATTGAGGTTTCGGGAAGAGCAACGTGTGCAGGGAATCTTTGAGTCGCATGAGACCTTTGTGCGAGAGCATGTGTCACAAGCATGCACTTTCCTTCCACGCTTCATATGTGCTGGTAAAGGCCGGTTACCCCGTAAAGGGCAGCTCTTGACATGTCTCTTGGCACCGTCCACGCGACGAAATACTCGTCCACAAAAACAGCATTCATTATGTTGGGAAAGAATGTTGCGCGAAAACGGCAATCGACATATGCGACACGCTGGGGGTCTAGATGTAGTCATTGCGAAACTAGGATTAGAGCAATTGAGATGTAATGAGCGTATTGTAGCAGCGACTGAGAGACGAGTGTTTTTCCCGAGGCTGAGAGGATTAAGTGGGTCTTGTACTCCATACATATCAGCAGAATCCAATAGTGTCTTCCTTAATAAGATTGCGAAGAAATCATCAAAGAGAATTTTACTGTGGAGAAAGACATTTCTGTCCCTTCTAAGATACGTAATCCATGATTTATTTTAGTATAATCTGAGCTTCTGGATTGTACGAAAAGGAATCTAATAAATGGCCAACAATTTATGGTCTTTGAATCGCAAGACGTTTGTTCATCATCACAATCCAAAGAACTGGGATCTCCTGTTATTTCTAGGCCCAAATACTCAAGACCATGCATGAATATACCAGAAACAGTGATCTTGGTCCGGCTCGGCCATGATACTCGTTAATAATTAGTCGACAGTGCCATGAGTGAATTTACCGAAGCCACGTTCTCGATCAATGGAAGCCTATATATTCTCGCTTCTAGACAATTGGATGGCCAGGTTTGCTTAGATTCTTTCATCATACTCAAAATTTCCACGAGCTTTGACTCCGTCACGTATAATGGCTTGTAAGTGGGCATATTATGATAACGTTCAACAGATTTTCTCGCTAACTGCGGCCATTTAGACCGTCTTTCTCATTCAATATTCTCGAACACAGCGAGAACAACGATCACGCCTCGTAATTTTGCCAACTCCCATTATGCTCAACTCTGCAAGCATGCGACAAGGAAACGCACATCCGGTCTCGGCTTATCGAGAGAGGTTAAGCCAACCGGCGTGATTGACTACGTCCTGTAAGCAAGTCGAGAACCACGGGGACAAAGAATATGGGCTGACAAAATCCCTCACGGTGATAGGACTGATCTAGACTCGATTGTGAGCTGGGCCAAAAACGGCTCAATGTGGCCGCTCTCGTTCGGACTTGCATGCTGCAGCATTGAGATGATGCACGTGTCAATGCCACGATATGACCAAGATCGTCTCGGCATCATTTTCCGGGCTTCTCCTCGCCAAGCAGACGTGATGATTGTTGCCGGTACGGTAACGAACAAAATGGCACCAGCGGTCCGAAAGTGTTACGATCAGATGCCAGATCAAAAATGGGTTATCAGCATGGGCAGCTGCGCCAACAGTGGGGGCTATTATCACTACAGTTACAGTGTTGTAAGAGGAGTCGATCGTATCTTGCCGGTCGATATCTACGTACCAGGTTGTCCACCCACAAGTGAGGCGCTGTTGTTCGGTGTGTTTCAGCTGCAGAAAAAAATTCGGCGCACAAAAACTACCAGACTTTGGTATCGGAAATGATGCCTGCCTGTTTAAAGGGTTGATTTTGACCAAAAAATTCTAAAGGGAAAAGAAAATATCTGGGAGTCGAGCATAGAACAAACATAGTCTCAACAAGGGAGATGACCTTTAAGGCTTGTTGAATAAGGAACGGATATCGACATATCTGTTATAGATTTTCAAAGCTGATGGCTTAGCCTAGATCATCTGAACGAGTTTAATGCATAATATTTCTCTGGAGAAAGTTCTCTGGAGAAATGGGATAGATTACTTTAGCTGGATTAACGAAACATCAAGTCCACAAGACCGTGATGAAAGGGAAATCGTTGTACCTCCGACGCTCGTTCCTATCTGACATTATGTAAGCACGAGGTCACGCGACTTCGCGATTGAACGCACTGGCCATTTGAAACCTGGACGCGTCCGGTCCGTAACAGACTCGCGATCTCGCTTATCACTTGCTGAATTCCTTCACATTGTCCTACCTTCTTTCGAATGTCCCCTTGAATCCTAAGAATCTTCTTGAATCACAATGAGCGCTACAGAAGAACCTCAAGACGGTTACGAAGATGGAATGGCCGGTCCTGGTGCCCCAACATCGCTCACCGCGCTTGAGGTAAGTGTCCTCTATGAACAGCCTAGATGCAAACTCTGACGACATATCAAGGGTGTCAATGGCTTGTCCAGCAGGGACATCAAGTTATTTATCGACGCGGGTTACAATACCGTCGAATCCATAGCGTACACTCCGCGACGGCAACTGGAACAAATCAAAGGTGTATCAGAACAAAAAGCCAACAAGATTCTGCAAGAAGGTATGGTCGTTTCCTCCTAGATAAGATATTCAAGAATTATGCTGATAAAAAACAGCGTCAAAGTTGGTGCCGATGGGGTTCACAACAGCAACAGAGATGCATCAACGACGGAGCGAGCTGATATCGATAACAACCGGTTCCAAACAACTAGACACGCTACTTGCCGGCGGGATCGAAACAGGATCCATAACAGAAATTTTTGGTGAATTCAGAACAGGGAAAAGTCAGATATGCCACACTCTGGCAGTTACATGTCAATTGCCCTTTGATATGGGTGGGGGAGAGGGAAAATGTCTGTACATTGACACGGAAGGAACATTCCGCCCTGTGCGTCTACTGGCAGTGGCCAACCGCTACGGACTCTCAGGAGAAGAAGTACTGGACAACGTTGCATACGCCCGAGCGTATAACTCAGATCATCAATTACAACTGCTTAACCAAGCTGCGCAGATGATGACGGAGACTAGATTCTCACTTCTCATTGTAGATTCAGCAACTTCACTCTATCGCACGGACTTCATGGGACGAGGCGAGTTGTCGTCGAGGCAGACGCATCTCGCCAAATTTATGCGCACGCTGCAACGACTGGCTGACGAGTTCGGTATCGCTGTTGTTATCACCAACCAGGTCGTGGCTCAAGTAGATGGCGGACCAAGCGCGATGTTCAATCCGGACCCCAAGAAGCCCATTGGAGGCAACATCATTGCCCATGCAAGCACAACTAGACTAAGTCTAAAGAAAGGACGAGGTGAGACCAGGATATGCAAGATTTACGACAGTCCGTGTTTGCCGGAAAGTGACTGTATGTTCGCAATCAACGAGGATGGTATCGGAGATCCAAGTCCGAAAGATTTAGAAAAGGATTAAGAAACTACATTCACATTACGCAAGAAATAATGCTTTGAATTGCTTACGAAGATTCACGAAATTTTTGTAGTTCTGAGATTGTCTTTTAATCTGATAAACTTTCTTTTAATGTTGTATTCCGAACACGTCTTGCCCTATGTGAAAGAGAAGAAAAGCTAAAGGCCGATGAAGCTGTGCGGGACAAATGACTTATCGCCGAGGCAACTTCCGGAGACACAGCTACTCAACGAAAGAACTTGACTGCAAGTCGTGCATGGTTTTAACATGAACGCCTGCTGATACGGCTAGAATGTTCAAATGCCAGTTTAAAACTTAGACGCGAGGATCGAAAGCTCTAGACTTCTATACCGTACCAGGGAGCTAAGCAAGCATCAGCGATTCCTTACACTGATGTCCTGTGATTTTCTTTTTGCATACATGCATTTTCCTGAGATCGACATCATTACGCCATTTTACCTAGTACATATGGATGTCCAGCACTCAATCCGCCGCATACAGGTATTGCCTGTCCGTTCACGTAACTACTCTCATCGCTAGCGAGGAAGAGCACCGCCCTCGCAATTTCGTCGGCCACGCCGCCTCTTCTAAGCGGATTGAGCTGACCTATTTTCTTCTCCGTTCCTCGTTTCCGCGCTGCCTCATACATAGCAGATGTCATGCCAGTCTCGATGATACCAGGGCAGACGGCGTTGCACCTGATTCCGGTGCCAGCGAGCTGGTAAGAAATGGTCTGCATGAGGCTGATAACGGCGGCTTTCGAAGCAGAATAGCTGCTCGAGCCCGCATTAGACCGAATGCCAGCGACTGAAGCAGTGCCGATGATTGAGCCTGTGGGATATGGCTTGTTTTGCATCATGGCTTTGGCGGCGTGCTTCGCCGCGAGAAAGACGCTGTTTTGTCCCAATTAGCGGCCAAAATGGACATCGGGCGGTGCAACTGTACCTAAGGGTATTTGTCTTCATCATTTGCATGAACTCTTCAGGCGTGGTCTCCGTGAATATCTTTGAAGCAGCCATTCCGGCGTTGGCGAAGAAGACGTCTAATCTGCCATACTTGTTGAACGCCTCTTCCACGACAGCCTTGACTGCAGCTTCCTCTCCCGCGTCGAACTGTCGTATGTGTATTTCGGTGTTCGGGTACAGGGAGTTCAACTCTCGCTTGTGGGTTTCGAGGAGGTCGTCGACAAAATCACATAGATATACGGCCTTTGCTCCGTTCTGAGCGAACTCGTGCGCAGTGGCCCGACCGATACCCAATGCCGAATTCGCGCCTGAATCCAATAAGCACAACGACGACTTGCCTAGTTCCAATGTGGTATTTACCTGTTATGATGCACACCTTGTCTTTCATACGTCTAATACCTTGTCAAATTCACCGCCGTGTTGTTTGAGGACAGCGAATTGCAACATACGGCTCAGTCGACTCTGGACCTATCTTCCTGACTCTGGGAATATTTTCGAATGTGCCTGGATCAGGAAAGCCTTCCACAAGCACCTTGCTCAAGGCTTGCTCTTTTCTTGGTCTCTCCGCTCCCGACATTGTTTGCAATTCGAGAAGATCTTGCGAGAATGTGACAGATTCAAGTAGTCAAGGAGCGAAAGTGGAAGGAAGTAGCATCTGTACTTAAAAGTGCACGTTGCGAAACTAATATCAACAGATTGGATAGCATGGTTGCCGTATGAGGGGATGTCCTTGGGAGCTTGACAAAATACCGAGGTTGCCTTATATCGCTCAAAACGGAAAACACAGGGTTGGCGCTTTCGCGTCACGGTTTTCAGCTACGTGTTTACTATGTTGTATAGTCAACCTCCCATATTCCCTACATCAGATGTGTATATATGTCTACGCCTTAGATGTTTACTGCCGGGTTTGGTTATTGATTGTTCGTCTTATTCGTCATCCCCAAAGAACACCTTCTCTCCAAGCCACTCATCACCGCACACCTTGAAGCGTTCTGGCATGCTGTCCAGCTGCTTCATTTCTTCGTCCGAGAGCTCCCAACCATCTAAGTCAAAGTTGGCTTCGATGCGCTCCGCCGAGACAGATTTTGGAATAACGCTTGTGCCTCGCTGGAGACCCCACATCAACCTATCAGCTGTCAGAATCAAATGTTTTCGATGACATGCAATTGCGACCTACAGAACTTGCTGAACAGTCTTGCCCTTCTTTTCGGCCAGCTTGATCAAGTCTTGGTTTTTGTACAATGGAGAATTGGTAGACCCTAAGCACGAATACGCCGTGCAGTGAATGCCCTTCTTCTTGCAGTAGTCGAGCAGCTTCGGCGACGGGCAATTTGGATGCAATTCAATCTGATTGACCGCCGGCACGGTGGTAGTTGACTCAGCCGCGAAAAGCCTTTCAAGGTTCCGAATACCGAAGTTGGAGACGCCGATGTTCTTGACACGGCCCGAAGCTGGCAGCTTCTGCATCTCGCGCCATGTATCGATGAAGTTCCAGTCCTTGTACTGGGTTTTCAATGTCGGATCACTGGGGTCCGATGAGGACGGCCAGTGCATGAGATAGAGATCCTAAAGCACTGTGGTAAGGCACGGCTACAGCCACGGTTCTTCGAGTGTGAGCTTACAACATAGTCGACTCCGAGATTCTTCAAAGACGCGTTGATACCTTCTTCAACGCGCTTGTGCCAGGGATTATCGAGCTTGGTCGTGATCCAAATCTCCTCACGTGGTACACCCGAGTCCTTGATTCCCAGGCCGACCTCCTTCTCATTTCCGTAGGCAAAGGCAGTGTCAATGTGTCTGTAACCCTTCTGGAGCGCTATCTTAACGGCTTCTCGAACTTCACCTGGCTTCGATTGCCATGTGCCTATGCAGTTGTTTAGTGGTTCTTTCTCCACACTTCGTAGCCAAGCATTACTAATAGGACACTTGAACGATTTCTCAGGTTCTTGCCCAACACGTGCGCTCGGCATAGAGCATGCACACAATGCGGGCATGGTCAATGGAAGAGCGTAAGCACCTACCAAGCCCAATAGCCGGAATTTCGCTGCCAGTGTTCAGCTTGAACTTCAGCTTCGTGTGATTCAAAGAAGCCATTGCGTTTGCTTGAGAATCTTCAGGTAGGATCGTGGGAACGTCTCAAAGTGGGGTGCGATGGAACGACTGCGAAGCAACGGGAGATAAGTCCAACTTGTAATCGACGGACAACATTGCTCTATAATTTAAGCCTGCCACGCCCCATCCGATGACGGAATTTGAGTAAACATGACATTAAAAAAGCTTGAAGCGGGGGACAATAGCCCGAGCGTACGTGGGTGGAGTTACGAAGAATCTTCCACGACTAGATTCATAGATCATTGCACTTGACGCAACCATGCAACGCCTGCTGGACCGCGGGACCCAGTCCTGGGCGGGAGCATTACTGTACTTCGTAAGGTGGCGTCGCCGGCCAGGGTCCTGTGCGTAGTCGCGTTGTGATTTGCTCGTTGACGTTCACTGAGCTTCAAGCTTTTGTGCTATCGAAAAAGGACCACGACAGCATGTCAACGTCGCGATTCGTCTCCGCGGGCACCGTTGATCGGCCAAGCGACAAGGAAGACGCATGGAAAAAGGCTCAGGTACGGTGGGGATTCGCAGTCCGCAGATATCCACGCCAGGCTGTTGACCTGCTAACCATCTACGTGGAGTAGGAGGCGGTTGAGGCCACCAAGAGACAGAAGGAGGACGCGGTCGCAGGCAGCGGCTTGCAAGAGGGCGGAAAGACGCTCTACGAAGTGTTGCAAGCCAACAAAGGTGACCGGCTGCACGATTTGTACCGTTGCTACAGCGCTGACAGCTTTCGATGAAGCTGCGAAGCAAGAGGCTTTTGAAGAAGTTCGTTGTCCAATGATTATGGCCTTGTGACGACTTGTCTGACGCGGAATCCGACATAGTCACTTCGCCTAAAAACCCAAGCCCAGTTTCTGAACGAAGAAGATGCCGAGTATCTTGAATCACTTTCGAAGAACGAACGCGCACAGAAAGCTGCGTCTGAAAAAAGAGCACGCGAGCAGTTGGAAGAGTTTCGCAAGCAACAAGAGGTTGCAGAGAGACAAGCGTTAGCTAGCAGCCAATTTGGAACGTTGCCCATCGAGACGGAAGCATGGTCTATCAGTGCTAAGAAGCGCAGAAGAGGCAAAGAGCAGGATTTCATCAAGGGTGTGAAGCTTCGGAAAACCTCTACTTCCCACGAAAAAGAAGCAGAAGCTGGATCCAAAGCTGTGGTTTCAAAGCCTGGCAGTGACATGACGGCAGCAGCTGTACCTGAGAAGAAAGAGTTGAAGGATACAAAAGCGCCATCACAACAAGGAAGAGGAGGAAGCCCTGCTCAGGAAAACCCTGCTCCTATATTGCTTGGGCTGGGCTTGAGTGCATACTCTTCGGATGAAGACGACTGATTGTCGAGGTAGGCACGTCCCTTGTTTCCTCACTTCACCCAGGATGGTCGACCTCCTCTCGTGTGCGAAATTCTTGTTGCCGAATCTCCTACCCCCTCGATCTTCTCTTACAAATGAATTGACCTCATGTGGTAGAGTCAAAGCCAGCCCTTTAATTATTTCTATTTTATAGCATATCACACACGTCCCCATACGGTCGGATCCCTCTTTTAAACATCTTAAGTCGTAACTCTGAAGGTAGCTGTGGACTAATCACTTACGTTACAGTCTTTCCGTTGACTTCTGCTTTCACTGACCATTTCAACCTGGGAGACAATTCAGCATATCACGTCGTTCACCAAAAGCTGCAATCGACCATTGCTGGGATCTCTCAATAAAGCGGCCTTAAGTTCGACGGATTATTAGCGATCAATTATGCGAAGGCGAATTAAATCTCGCCGTACTCGGGCGGTAATCAAACGTCCACGGCGAGGTAGCGTTGTCGAAAACCACCCTACGCCTGTCAAAGAAGAGCACAAGTCTGACGCAGTGCCGCCTATTCTCGAACAGATTATCCGTAAGCCACTCAATACTGCGCATATTAGCCGCACACGCAAATCAAGACGCAAGAATAAGGCCCAGCGCAACCAGTTGCTTAGTTTATTTGCTCAACGATTGCAAGCTTCCAATCACTGGAATGGAAAGTTGATACGACCCCACGCCGTTCTCAATTGGCTCGAGAAGACGGAGCCATACAGCGCAGAGTATCTGCTAGAGAACGCCGAATCGATAAGCTATGAGGATGGTGATGATAAATCGGATCCAGTATTCAGCGCAGAGCTTGACTCCATCATCAACAAATTTTCAGTCTCGAAAATTGACAACTCTTCAACAGCACAGGACAGCTTCGAAATTCCAAAGGACTACAGCATGATACTCACCCCTTTTGCAGCGAGCGGGCACGCTGATCATGAAGCAATGATGGTTTTTGAGGATCAAAAGCAGAATTTCATAGAAAGATTGCAGTCCGGAAGGCGTGTCTCGAAAGCTTTGTCAGAAACCGACGATGAAGATGAGGAGATGATAGATGCTTTGACCAAGCAGATCAGGAATAGTCAAAGCCAGCAGAACATGCTAGATACAGTGATTGAGGAGGATTCGGATACATCAGAGGATGCAATACAGTCAACAAAGCAGCACAGCGGGGCTGCCAAAGTCCAAAGAGGCTTTGATGCCGTACAGGTCCTCAAGAAGCATGCGATTAGCTTTGAGAACATCAATATGCCCCACATTTGCAACCTGACTTCACCTATCCATCCAATCTTCCGCGAAGAGAATTTTCACGACTGTCCTCAATATATCTACGATGTTTTGAAGCCCGGTCTACAACTATGCACATTATTGCTGACACATCGTGCTACGGCTTGCTTTTGGCTCACTCTTTGTAACGGAGAACGAACCACAACGGCAAATCATAATGTCAAGCGTATCATCAAGGACGTTACGTGGTCGAAAGCTCTAGCTGATCAGTATGCTTCTCAGCTTCTGCGATTTGCTCGTTCTCTTCACTTCCATTTCGGTCTATTCCCTACTCCGAAGCATACTATGGAGTATAGCTATGCCTCAATGCATCCTATAAAGGATCACCTCGTGGGCTGGCAGCCAAAACCTGGCGAACCATGTCGGAGGAGCCGCATCCGTTTGCACACCGATTTCTACACAACGGCTCGCAAGCTGAGCAAGCTACGTAATCCGGATCACGCTCAAGTTCTTCGCTTCAACTTCTTCTTTGCCGTCAATCTAGCTCACGAGATGGCTCATTTCTTGTGGATGTCTAATTGGAACACGAAGAGGCTTGATATCTACAGCTTCGACACCGAGGTGCTTGCGGTCGATGCAGAGCCTGAACCCTACTTTAATGACCAGGCGTTCAATGAACTTGGCGCTGCCTTTGAAACAAAGATCTTTGGTGGCCGAATTGAGCCAATATCTTGCCGTGTGGATTGTGCTTATGGCTTGACTACGTCGGACCAGCCAAACACAACGGATCCACATCCAACGAGGACATTTTACACAATACCGATGGATTACATCGCCAAAATACAACAGCAGAGTACATGGGAGCAGGTACAGGAAGATGCATGTGATCCCAAAGTTTTTCATATTCCCCGTAATGGAGCTGAAAGCATCAGTGTCCCTTACTTTGACATGACGATTTGGCGAGATGAGGCTACAGATGGGAAAGTCAGTGATATTGGTTTAAAAAAACAAACACCATTCAAGAGGATGGACACTGGCATTATTAGGGCTGATGAACTGGAAAAAACGGCATAATATGACTTTGATTGTATTTAGACAAATCACTCCTCCTTTCGAGATTGGCGAGCTCTGCCTAATAAATAGATCTGTTATGTATGCACCACGACTTTAAATGAATAAATACTAAGATATTGGATGACATTTATCTCCGTGTAAGTAGCTCAATTAGACGATGCAAATCCACGATTCCTTTTCGCAGAACCCCGCATTGCGAAATGATTCAACTGTGTTGTCCCGCTGCCAATGCCGCCTGTTGGAGCCGTGTATGAATAGTTAAAGATGCAAACAGTCAAATCTCGAAATGTGCTCACATTTACTTGTTAGGAGATAATTTTGACGTCTTGTCGCAATGCTAGGATTCAGAGGAACCTCGACCCCAAGGCTGCAGCCTCGTACTACCCGATCTGGACATCGGCTTCAATTTTCGGGCTGTGCCGCAATCACAACCTGAGCTAAACGCCTACTTCATGACATCTGCTATTTCTTCTTGAGTCACTCTTTAATAGACTGCGTTGCGCCTTCTAACCGGTGAAAAATCTTCGTCATTTCTCTTTTACTTTTATAGGATTCGCCTACTGCTGTCTCGTGCAGCCTGCACACTGCATCTTTCGGCTCCCCCACATTTGGAGCTACCTTTGAAAAGTTTCCATACTGCATCTTTCCTCTAGCATACCAACACGCCCACAGAGCGACCGTCGGGACCACTTACATACCGGATACAGTCTACGGGTTCAAATCATGGCGCATCGCGAGTCGGCGCCGTACAAGCCGCAGAACGTCGGCGAAATCTCGTTGATGCTACAAGGTCTTGAAGCACATGAAGGCAAGGGCAAGAAAGGCAAAGGCGGTTTCTCATGCAAGAAAACTACATTCACCCTACCAAATGGGCAAAAGGTAGACTCGTGGCGTATGCAGGACTGGGACTACAAGAAGGACAACCTGCCTACTTACGCGCGGGGTATCTTCACCACCAAGAATTCCCACGGGCAGCCAGAAATCGTGGTGCGAGGTTACGACAAGTTCTTCAACCACGGTGAGATACGGAAGACGGAGTGGCCGAACGTGGAGAAGAACACGAGAGGACCGTATGAGCTGAGCGTCAAAGAAAATGGCTGCATCATTTTCATTGCTGGACTGGAGGATGGCAACTTGATTGTCTGCAGCAAGCACTCTACCGGCGGACGAGACGACACCCCATTAAGCCACGCGCAAGCCGGAGAGAGGTGGGTGGACAAGCATTTGGCGACGGTTGGCAAAACGCGAACAGACCTTGCCCGGCAGCTAAGGGCCATGAATGCGACAGCTGTTGCGGAGTTGTGTGATGATTCATTTGAGGAACACGTGCTTGCATACAACGGCGAGCAAGCAGGTCTCTATCTGCATGGCATAAATCTCAATGTTCCCGAGTTTATTACATATCCTGGCGATCTGGTTGACCGATTCGCAGCTGAGTGGGGATTCAAGAAGACGATGTATGTCATGGAGGATGACATACGCAAAGTGAAGAAGTTCTTGGATGGTGTTGCTGAGACCGGTGTTTACAATGGGCGTGAAACAGAAGGTTTCGTCATTCGCTGTCAAGCCCGGAATACTCCAGATAGCCCATGGGAGGACTGGTTTTTTAAGTACAAGTTTGATGAGCCGTATTTGATGTATCGGCAATGGCGCGAGTGCACCAAGTCAATTATTGCTGGTCACATTCCGAAGATACGCAAGCATAAGAAGATCACAGAGGAGTATCTATTATATGCACGACGGCGGCTTGCAGCAGATCCGAATTTAGGCAAGCTCTACAATCAGAATCACGGTATCATCAAACTTCGGAACGACTTCTTAGACTCGCGAGGACTTAAGGGCGCGGATATCATCAGACAGGAGATTGAGGCAGGAGATGAGGAGGAATCGGTAACTAAGAATGTCGTACTAGTTCCAATCGCGACGATCGGTTGCGGTAAAACCACGGTGGCTCTCGCTCTGTGCAAGATGTTTGGCTGGGGTCACTTCCAGAACGATAATATTCAAGGCTCAAAGAACCGTTCACAGCGTTTTGCTCAGGCGGTCTGCAATGAACTAGCCAGTCATCCAGTTGTTATTGCAGATCGCAACAACCATCAGAAGCGAGAGCGGGAGCAGTTGATCCGTGATATCTCCCAGGTTGTTCCTAATGCGACCTTTGTCGCATTGCACTACGTCCATGACAAATCGGACCATGATCGTTTGGAACAGATACGACAGTCGTTACGCGAACGTGTTCTAGAGCGTGGCGACAATCATCAGACCATCCAGGCTGGCTCGAAGTCTCAGGATGAGATTATCGGTATCATGGAAGGTTTCATTCAACGCTTCCAACCAGTGGACAAAGAAAACTTTCCAGACTCGGATTTCGATCTTGTCATTGACTTGGATCCCACATCAACGTCTCGTGAAAATCTCGAGACTGTTGTTGCGCAACTGAACTCAAACTTTCCCAAGCTATTTGGTAACATGCCTACTGCAAACGATCTTGACGATGCCATCGAAGCCGCAATGACCAGCTACACGGTGGATGTGAAGCATGACCTGAGCGGCACTTTCGGCAAGAAGGCCAACGGCAAGACGAAAGGACAAGGTCCTAAGGCACAGCGGGACCAGCAAGCTAAACAAACAGATAGCGCTACATCAGGTGGCAAGCCGCCGAAGGAGCCAAAGATCGAGTTTTTCGCCGTTCGTCTCCCAGCTCAGCGCGTGACATCCATCCTTGAGACCCTATTTCGTGACAAGGATGCCGAGACAGCTCGCATATATCGACAACTCAAGCAATCCCGTCGCGTGCAACAAGAATTCCATGTCACGCTTATGCACCGTGCTTCTGCGCCTCAGAATGAAAAGTACTGGAACGAACTCTTGAACATGCATTACAAAGAGTTCCATCCCCTATGGGAGAAGGCGGTGGCAGAGGGAACCACCAATGCTCTCCCAGAGCCGGAGCTAGGGAAGTGTCAGGTGTTTCTCGAGCGCGTCGTATGGGATAATAGGATCATGGCCTTCGTTGTCCGCTTGTCAAGCGAAGGAGATTTTGCATTTGAGACAGTGAATAAGGTCGCGCATGTAACAGTTGGCACCGTCAATCCCAACGTAAAACCGAAAGAGAGCAACGATTTACTTGCAAGATGGTTGGAAATTGGCAGCGGCGGGCAGACTGGAATCAATGAGGAGAAGGTACCTGGCGATGTGGTGCTTGATGGCAGTGTTAGAGGAGTTCTTCAGCGTCTGGGCCGATGAAACCCTGATGCGCAAGTTTATGGGGAATTAGTGCACTTATCAAAAGTCATGAAAGCGTTTAAAAAAAAGCAATACAGCGCAACGGCATTTTCAGGCGCCCTAAGATAGTCACGATATGATAGCAAACAGATATAGTTCTGGTAGAAATTGCAGACATATCGCAAGAATTGTGCACCGATGAAGCTACTTTATCGAACATTATATTAGAGCTACAATTCAAACAATTCAAACAATTCAAACAATTCAAACAATTCAAACAATTCAAACAATTCAAACAATTCAAACAATTCTTCAATGGCGAAATCGTGACTTACGAGATTTCAGCAGGCTGAAAGTTATCTATAACCAGGTTGACGCATCGTGCGTTTAACCGCTGCTCTCATTATGTTCCTCAGCACTGCAAACTAAACCTTGTGATGGCACTAATTTTTACCGGAGCCGACGCCCTTATGCGTTGGCCATCCATTCTTATCATATTGTCGTGTTTGAAACTTCTGACTTGTACTCTGCAGCTACGAACTGTCGCTATGGGTATATTTGGGTGTCAAAAAGGGCTTCATAAGCTTAGAATAGCGGTGTCGGCACGTGAAACGGGCCTGAGCTTAACCTCGCTCGAGATTTTGCAAGCTTCAATCCGCAGCACTCATTTTGGTTGCGTCTTTATTTGCTCATCTTTGCGAAGGAATTTCGCATACTTAGACGATGAACTTGCAGGACGAACAGACACGGCTTCAATGTGTGGCCAGTCAGACGTCCTATCATACCTCGTCCGGTCAAGGCAGAGCTCAAAGCGCGAGGACGGGGCAATGGTCTGCTGATGGGACTTGCATCGTCCACGTCAATGCCAATAACTCGATTGAGACGATGGTCCTGTGAGTGGTGTTGGCAGCTTTTACTTAGAGTGCTCACGAACTGGTAGATCTTAAGACCGGAGGATCTTCTCGACAACGAGACGCGCCATGATTTGAAGCCGTACTCAATTTACAACTCAGCTGATCCAATATATGCGACAGCATTATATTCACACTTCGTGTTGAGTGACCCACGTACAACATTGGTGCTTTGTGCCACACGTGACACACCGATTCAGTTACGAAATGCTTTGGACTATAATCGAGGAGTCTATGCAACATACTCGTGGTGCGATCCTAATACAGAAGCCGTGATAACACCGCGTAGCCTCGTGTTCACGGCAGATGCAACTCATTTTGTCGCGGGTGGACAAGCTCAGTTCGCCGTCTACGACGTAAACTTTCCTTCTTCAAAGGCCATCTCTGTTCGGAAGACCAGCAGAAGTCGATACGCCACGAAGGCTTTTGGAGATCCTCGTCTTAATGCTACAGCTCCTTCAAGCCACATAGCAGCTGTAGACATCAGCTCTGAGGATATACTCGCGCTAGGTACAAACACAAGACATGTTGCATTGTACGCCAATCATGGGCTTGGTGACCTGATTACATCATTCAGACTTCCTTCACCACGGTTAGGAACGGCATGTGGTGGTAAGGGCATCACGCAGATTAGGTGGAGCGCAGACGGCACCTACCTTTTCATCGCGGAGCGACAATCCGACACAATCGAACTCTTCGACGTTCGGCAAAGCGGTAAACAGCTTAGTTGGCTGTCCGGACGCCGGGCAGATGTGAACTTTCAATTGTCATTCGACGTCGTGCCCACCCTCCACGGCCTGGAAATTTGGGGCGGCGGAGTTGATGGCCGACTTCGAATGTGGAGCAACCCGGAACAGCAGGAAGGGAACGTGAAATTTACGCAGGAGTGGCATGTTCACGATGGTGCGCGTTGTGCTCATCTTCTATAATTGGTTACTAATGGTCGGGCAGACCCTGTGTGTTCGACGCTTGTTCATGCATCTGGAACCGTTGTTGCAACACTTGCTACGAAAGATCGATACGGCACTCGGTCTCATACAGCGAGCATATTATCGGATGAATCTAATGACAACTCCATGAACGAGGAAGAATCAAGCTCAGATGCACAAAGCGAGAAAGGCAACGACAGCGATGAGATTGAAGCAAAGGAGCGCGTCTCAGAACGACCCGAATCGCGAATGTCAACGGACCAATCAGACCCGATGCTCAAAGTATGGTCAATAACTTGAAATAACCGAATTCCCTTCTGAATCTCCCGAGCGCAGTTCAAATGCAATTAAGCTGGGAGAGCTTAACCTAGTACGTTCTGATCACCTGACCTTTCGCCTCTGAATTGTCGATAGTCGGGCCGAGTAATATGTGATCGTCACGAAGCCCTGCGAGCATCTGCAGCTGAACTTCGTGAGGACAGCATCTAACTGCAAAGGGGCATGGTTGCCCTGCGTCAAGCAACCCATCATGATGCCAGTCTGCCGCTGTTAAAGCCAGGATGCACTGGGGAAGATACAACGAAATAATAGGCTAACTCTGCACATGGAGACGTCTAATCAAGTTGCTCGAAAGCGTACGGCTTTGGTACAGCTTATGTCATCGATTCTACGTTCCAAGACGAAGAAGAATATCATCGTCATGCTTTCTCAACATGTCATCAGCGATGGTAGCAGGACGTAACAGGACATAGACTCGCGGATCGGGCACACGGACTATATATATATTTCGCTCGAGGTTGGTCCGAGAATGAGATGCAAAGATGCACAGGAAGGATATGCTGCTCCAGGCTATTTGGAAGAACTGTGTAGAATTTTTGTAGAAGCTGACATCGTGCAGTGCATGAAGATGCCCGCATGATCTTGTTCTTTTCTTCTTGCATCGTTAACTAGACACCACGTGCCACAAGCACGTCAAGACTCATTAATAATTTTGGGAATTTCATGTTCCCTACCAATTATCCTCGTGGCACCAACATATCAACGATGTTGTTTGCGTTTATTCTTAGCTCGCTGTTGCAAATTGCAGCCGCCCAGAGTCCCAGCGGCTCCGCAACCACGGCTTCTGCAGAGGCATCAAGCACGACCGGATCCGCGTCTTCATACATTCAACCCGATGTGCCGACCGGCACACCTGTTCCAGGAAACTATGGGGGGGCACTACGACCACAGGTCCACTTCAGCCCTCCCGCCGGTTTCATGAACGACCCGAATGGGATGTTTGTGGACGCCAATGGCACTTGGCATCTCTACTATCAGTGTTCGTACTGTATCATTGCAGCAGTTCGGAGGGGCAAAGCTGACGTCGAAAAGACAATCCAACAGCAGCCGTTCCCGGAAACCAACACTGGGGACATGCAACGAGTAGAGACCTGTACCACTGGGAGAATCAACAGATTGCATTGTTTCCGCCCAACAACTACACGTTCGTCTATTCAGGCTCGGCTGTCGTCGATGCGAACAACACGTCCGGATTTTTCCCCAACCAAACAAACGGCGTTGTGGCCGTCTACACGCTGGCCGAATCTTTCCCTGACCGAGCGGGTCCGCAGCAACAGGCCATAGCCTACTCCTTGGACGGAGGCTTCACCTTTATTCCATACGAAGGCAACCCGGTCATACCAAGTAACTCATCGCAGTTCCGCGACCCGAAGGTGATCTGGTACAAAGACCACTGGGTCATGGTGGTCGCGTACTCGCAGGACTTCGCGATCGGAATCTTCACTTCCCCCAATCTCAAAAACTGGACCGCCACCTCGAATTTCTCGTACCACGGGCTGCTTGGAGAGCAGTACGAATGCCCGAACTTGGTGAGCGTGCCGGTCAACGGAACCAACGGCGGGACCAAGTTCGTACTCACAATCTCGATCAACCCGGGGGCGCCGCTCGGCGGGAGCGTCACGCAGTACTTCATTGGGGATTTCAACGGCACCCATTTCGTGGCGATGGATGGCGCTACCAGGCTGACGGATTTTGCGAAGGTACGTTGTCTCAACTGCCCGTTTCCCGTTCTTGAGGTCAGGCTCTCACGTCTCGCCAGGACAATTACGCCGGCCAGTTCTTCTACGGTGTCGGGGCACCAAATTCCGATGCCGTTTCGATGGCTTGGGCAAGCAACTGGCAATACACTGCTTTGGTGCCCACGGCCCAGGAGGGATGGGCGGGGACCATGTCGTTACCGCGTCGCAACTACCTTGCCAACACGACGCGGACGGGACTCAGCCTGTACCAAGAGCCATACGGCCTCGACTCCATTCGCGGGAGCGAGCTGGCAAGTAACGCGTCACTAGGAAATGGCACCGTCGTTGCCGATTTCCAGGGCGTGCCATCGCGGGCTGTGGTCCTCGAGGCCAACGTGACGGGCATCGACACATCCACGGTCAGCGCCTCCGCTACGCTGAACTTTACCTTCTTCAGTCCGGCGACGGGGGAGTCCCTTCGTGGCGGATTCTTCTTCGCAGGTGGGTCAGCAGTTGCCAACCCCCAAAACTACTTGAGGTCTTCCGCTAACTTCTGCCTTTCTAAAAGGAGACAATCCGTTCTTCATTGACCGTGGAAATACCGATGGCTTCGAAAACGTGTTCTTCACCGACAAGTTCTCCACGGCGTCTCCGCTGGGCGACGCGTCGACGTGGTCTATGAGCGCGGTGATTGACCAGTCCATCTTCGAAGTCTTTGTCAATGGCGGTGCCTCGGCGGCAACCGTGAGCTTCTACCCAACGCAGCCTCTAACGTCGCTTGCAGTCTCAGCCGTGGACATCCAGGACAGCATGAGGGTGTCTGTCGGCGTATATGCTTTGGACAGCGCCTGGATGGGCTATGCAGATGAGCAAGGCAACGTGCTTGGAAATGTCACGAATGGCAGTGCAAACTCGGCACCTACAGCGAAAAGGCATATGATCTACGAGGCGAGATTCTAGCAGGTGGGGGGAACCCTGCCAAGTGTAGAGGTAACAATGTCATCTACAGTGTGATCATGCGGTGAGTCCGGCGTGGGCTCGCATGGTATCCTGTCGTTCCATTTGCGTTGGATACGTTGTCAAGCAGAAAAACTAATCCATTTTGTTTCGCCATTTTTCGCCACGTTGACTGTCGTGGCAGCAGCCTGGACGGAATGGCAAGGGGACCGTATGCGCTGAAATGAAGATATGGCAAAAAGGAATGTTAGCATCGAATGGTGAAACACTTGACGTAGAATGAAAATGGCGTTCCTCCGTAGACAATGGCAAATAGAAAGGAAAAAAAAAAAGAAAAAGAAAAAAGAAAACCAGAGCGCAAGAAAAAAGGTTGATCAGCAGAACCATCGGGCAAAAGAGCGATGGTGTTGATGTGCAACGGCTTCGTGCAATCGCGTGCGCCAACCCGAGTTCTCGGAAGTTATTCGCGCGAATCACGTCAAGAGTTAGAGGAGCCCTGGATCGGGCGACGTGAGTGATCGACCGCGTCTACCAACCAGGAATCTGACATAACGCGCGTTCCCACGATGGAGAGAGGTGGCAGATGTAACCTGGCCATGGCAAGGAACAAACAAGTGATCGGGTGGGGGCAGGCAGGACGAAAGACCGAGAAGAGCAGGCTGCGAGCGGAGACAAGTTGGGCGCTATGGGGATTTAACTCGAAAAGGGTGCGCCAGCACGGATTCTGCAGGAGGATATCGAGAGGCGAGGTTCCAGAACAAGAGATGGACAGGTCCGACACTACTCTTGTTTAGGTTTATTTTTCTTTTCTTTTCGCTGGATCGACAAAGCTTGCTGTTGGCTCTGCTGAGGCGGGGGCGGCGATGGGTTGAGTGAGAAGCAAAATCCCTTACGCCACGGGCCGTCGTCAGCCTCTCAGGATCCGGCAGGCATTGGAGGGCCAGAGAGTGTGCGCGGGCATGAGCATGAGCCTGACAGCAGAGCGAGCGCGAGCGCCCGTAAAGTGAGCGTGTGCATGGTGGAGCCGGAGTGGAGGGCAGAGCGTGGCTCAGCCTCTCGAGCGTCAGCGGAAGAGAGGCACGGCTGAGAGCTTTCTTGGTAACGGCGAAGGCGGGCGCTGGACAAGATTAGAATTGTGGAGGCACCAGCGCCGTCGATCAGGCGATTTCTGGTCCACTGTGGTCTCCGGCTGGGGCGTGACGACAAGGCGCTCGAAGGGCAGTTGGGTGTTTGGGAGCGGGCGGCAGAGAGTACGTGCCGTGCTTGTGTGTGTTCGTGGGCTGGACGGCGAGGGCACTGGTCCTGCTTCTCCTCTCGCCGCAGAGGTTCGACGCCGTGCCGGAGCAGCAAAGTGCTGGGGAACCGCCCAGCCATGGGAACACGTCCGCGTGGAGAGTTTGCGGCAGGCGGTCGCCGTGGCCGCTACTTGCCGGACGTGCAGTCCAGCACCGCGTGCAGTACGGGACGGCACAGCGCGGTATATTACAGTACAGCACGGCGCAGCGCTGTGCCGGAGCAGCATCCCATCCATAATGGCAGTCGTCGGCAGTCGTCGCCTGTCGTACATAGCACTGGCAGCGGCATGCTACAGCAGCACGAGCACTGCGTGGACTCGGGGTGCCCTCGACAGGCGTCGTCGAGTGCGCCCGCAACCAGCTGAGCTCCCCTAACTTTCCATGCCGCGCCTGATCGGGGGTCTCCTTCCGCCCCAAGCCCTGCAAGCCCCTCCTAAATCGGATTATCAATCGACCAGGAGGTCGACGGCGAATGCGTATCGTCGCTTAACCGCAAAACGACTGCGCCTACTTTCCGCTCTCAGCAAATTCACTTCCCACCTGCAATTCGACTGCTTGCTACCATCTCCCCGTCGCAACAGCCATCTCCGTTGTCGCCCTGCCACCTGCCGCGCTGTCTGCTGTAGCTGGCCTACAACCCGCTATTTCTCCGCCCGCCGCCATCTGGCTACTCTCGCCGTGTCCACCGCTCGTCTCCCAACCCTCTCGATCAACCCGCCATGGCCTCAGAAGACTGCAGAGCCATCCATTAGATACTCGCCCTCGCTGCCACAGCCGTGCCATTGCACCGCTCATCTGTCATTTGTGACGTTTGGTATCCCTCGTAACCCCAAGACCACGCCAGTGCCTTGCAGGGTCCGGCGTTTTCGGCTGACCATACGTCAATCCCCCAAGCTTCGAACCCTGTGTTGAAGAAGGTTTGGCCCAAACTCTCAACCACACGCCACTCTTTTCATACCCTCACGGTATCTCACCATCCTCGGCCTGCCCCGAGGTCTGCCATGACAATGACGCAGTTATTCAGCTCTGCACCGAGCCACTCGGCCACTACCAAGAGCGAGAAGCGTGCCTTCAGCGGCGTTTCTCTCTCCACCAACAAGAGCGTCACCAACCGCGACGTGGGCCAGCGGATCAAGAACTTCTTCAGAATCAACGGCGACGGGAGCAAGGCGGAGAAGGACAGTGCCTCAGACAGCACCAATTTCTCAAAAAACGACAAGGAGAAGGACAAGGAGAAGTCGAGCTTCAGGCAATCCCGCTTTATACCCCACATTGGCAGGAACAGGTCGACGACGGTCGCGAGCGAGGGCAATGCCCTTGACGATGCCATTTCACCGACTGCCAACGCGAATCCCTACTTTATCCACCAGGGACCGCCTGCTCTCCGCCACCATAATGAGGGCAGCGTTCCCCCTTCTCCACCAGATACCCCCAAGATCGTGACCAGCGCGGCCGACGCAGCCAACGGCGCAGGCGGTCAGGCAACAGTCGCCAGCAAAGAAGAACTGGCGAGGAAGCTGCGACGGGTAGCCTCAGCACCGAATGCGCAGGGCTTGTTCGCCAAGTCGAACGATGAAGAGCGACCATCCACTGCAGAGATGGGCAAGCAGCCGATCATCCAACATGCCAATGCTTCAGCACTCAGCATGGTGGACGCTTCCACAACAGGCGGTGCCTTGCTACCCATACCAAATCCAGACGGCTCCCTACCATCTCCCGGCCAGATCAGAACCTCGGCCGCCTTTAGGCGGACGTACAGCTCGAACTCGATCAAGGTTCGAAACGTGGAGGTCGGACCGTCCAGCTTCGACAAGATCAAGCTAATTGGAAAGGGAGACGTCGGCAAGGTCTACCTCGTGCGTGAAAAGAAATCCGGCCGGTTGTACGCGATGAAAGTTCTTAGCAAAAAGGAGATGATCAAGCGCAACAAGATCAAGCGTGCGCTCGCTGAGCAGGAAATTCTCGCAACAAGCAATCACCCGTTCATTGTTACACTGTACCACTCCTTCCAATCCGAAGAACATTTATACCTATGCATGGAGTACTGCAGTGGAGGAGAGTTCTTCAGAGGTGAGTTTGGAAGCTCGGTCTTCACAATCTACCGTCTGATGCGTTGAGCAGCTCTACAAACCCGACCTAACAAGTGTGTCGATGAGGACGCGGCGCGTTTTTACGCAGCAGAAGTTACCGCAGCTCTAGAATATCTGCACCTGATGGGTTTCATATACCGAGATCTCAAACCAGAAAGTACGTTGACCTGCTTGCCCCCCCCCCCCCCCCCCTTTTTTTTTTCTCCCACCTAAGCTAACAAACCATTAGACATTCTGCTTCATCAGTCAGGCCATATTATGTTGTCTGACTTCGACTTGTCGAAGCAGTCTGACACCGGCGGCCGACCTGGCATTCTCTTTGCGAACCGCAATGGCAACTCGCACAGTATGCCGGCAATAGACACCAAATCGTGTATTGCAAACTTCCGCACAAACTCCTTTGTAGGAACGGAAGAATACATCGCCCCAGAGGTCATCAAGGGATGTGGCCACACAAGCGCGGTAGACTGGTGGACACTGGGAATACTGATCTATGAGATGCTCTTCGGGACCACCCCGTTCAAAGGCAAGAACCGAAACGCGACGTTTGCCAACATTCTAAGAGACGAGGTGCCTTTCCCCGAAGGCTCAGGCGTTCAGCAGATATCTAAGTACGTGTTGGTAGTCATCGTAGTCTGAAGCCAGCTTTACTGACCATACACCAGTCTATGCAAAAATCTTATACGAAAACTTCTTGTCAAGGACGAAACGAAACGCCTGGGTTCTCGTGGCGGCGCTTCTGACATCAAGAATCATCAGTTCTTCAAAACGACTCAGTGGGCTCTGCTTCGGAACATGAAGCCACCAATCATCCCGCATGCTGGCCGTGGCATCGACACTGTCAATTTCAGGAACGTCAAGGAAAGCCAGAGCGTGGACATTAGTGCCACAAAGGCCAAGGGCGTACCATTGGATAGCGGATTGAAGACACCAGGCGAGGAAGCGCCAGATCCGTTTGAGGAGTTCAACAGCGTTACGCTGCATCACGATGGCGATGATGCTCACGATGTCAGCGAGGGACTCTCCATGCGGTAGTTTAAAATGCGTTCGGATGTGTAGAAGGGATATTGTTACGTGTGTGGACTTCGTTTCCCGTCTTTACCTAGTACACACGCTACTACATTGTACGACAGGTGTGCAACTTTTATACATGTGGATGGCGTTCAATGTTCGTTCGTGTTCTTTTTATATGCAGAGGAAATCCTTTTTGAGCGAGGATTGCATGTACGCTATTATGCATCTACGCACTGACTGCAGCTTCCGGTACTCTCCTACAGCTCCTGGGTAGCACCTTCCTTTGGCGATGATAGTGTACAAGAAACAGAGGGCGTTGGGCCGAGAAGATAGGAAGAAATGAATCACATTTTCAAATCCGCAATGTCGCTGTATTCCTCGTTGAATGTGGAACTTTTTTTACTTCAGCGTACACGTGAATGCCAAAGATCTGGTTAAGTCAGGAGCTGGCTGTCGTTTCGACGTGTACAAACGCGTCCCCGCACTGAACACAAACGCGAGAACACTTCCACACAAAAAACACCAAGACATCGACCGCACTTACGCAACATTGTGTGCATAGTAAAGCGTGTCACTTGATCCACAACAAGTTCAATCTAAAATTTGCGCGTCTACCGAACGCAACAGAGAATCCCAAGCATTCGCACATCCCCGCGCTTCCAGACGCAATCACCAGGGAAAAATAACATCCATGGCGTCAACACCGCAGTCTCAACCGCCCGCCCTGTCGACGTCGCAAACCACAGCCTCACCGTCCAGCGCACTCGACAGCCTCAGCCCTCTCGAGCAGCAGGTCTTGGACGAGTACGCACGGCTCCTCAGCAACCTCAACAACCTGAACCAGCTGCTGGCGGAGCTGTCGGAGAACCCATCCGCAGAGATACTGGATTCGTTGCGGGGGCTGGAGCGTAAGACGAGCCTTGTATTCACGTTGCTGAAGGCCAGCGTGTACAGCATCGTGCTGCAGCAGCAGATCGGGGAGGAGGCGCAGAGCGGGCGGGAGAGCGTCACGGGCGGCAGCGTGGGAGGTGGGTGACCTGGGTGGAGACTAGTCGTGAGCGACAAGAGGATGGAGAGGACTGAGATGAGCTCACGGAGCGTGGTGCCGCTGGGCTGCGGTCTGCGTTTCCAGATTCCTGTGAGGAAGAGGGCAGAGGACTTCTAAGGCAAGATAGTCGCCGAGCAGCAATCGAGGAGAGACAGCAGCGAGAAGTGATGGCCATTGAGAATGGGAAGGGGTGGCCCACAGAATGCGGATGGACGTCGAGAACAAGGTTTTGAATTTTTGTTTGGTTGGCCCATCTTATGCTCGGAAAAAGGGGAGGGGGAGGTGAGGAAAAGATGAGGGGCGTACAATGCCAGCGCCGGCCTATGCTTGATGCAATGCACACCCGAGCCATGCGACAAACTACTATGCTTACAGGAAAAGTTCTATGTGTTACACAAAGCATGAGAGGACTGGCCAGCACCAAAGAGCTAGGCCGTTTCTCAGTAAACATTGCCGTCGTAATAGACCTTTCTCACGTCGACCAACTTTCTCCCTCTCGCTCTGGCAATGTCATCCGGCAGCTTCTGGTCGGTCACGGCCTCAAAGAAAGCCTTGACCGTGTTCATAGGGTTTCTCGACCGGCCGATACGGGCGCTGATGTCGTGGATGCCGGCTAGACGACAAAGCTCGAAGATCAGGTGCTGGCAGCGCAGACCAAAGCCTGTTCAATAAAGGAGAGGTTAGCAAGGTGCGCTTTACAGATTCCTTTCAAGCGTGTCGTTGGATGAACGTACCGGGCGGCTTCGCGGTGATCTCCACGGTCGTGCCGCCGACCTTCTTCTTGACCTGGCCGTATATGGTCCGGTTCTCGTATCTGTGTATCGACTTGAGGTTGCGGAACGCGTTCAGCATCGCCTGCCGCCTGGCGTCGCCTGATTCAGCGCCTTTGCCTTCGCCCATGCCAATCAGTCCGTCCTCGTTGCCCACCGCCACCAGGTTGTACATGCTGGGGATCTTGCCCATGCGCGTCTGATTGACGACACGTCGGAAGACAAGCATCTTGACTCGGAATTTGCGCAGGTCCTTAACCTCGAAGCCTATTTCCGCCGCAACGCGGCGAAGGCCCGCTTCTTCAAGAGACTCCTCTTTCGCGGCCGGCCCTCTGGACTTGAGCTCCTCGGCGGCCTCGTTGTACTTGGCAAACTCTTCTTGCCAGTCCTCCTGATCGCCTTCCACGGGGACATAGCGATGCAGGACATCCCGCACGTACATTTCTCGCTCACGGAACTGTTCCGGATTCTTCTTGCACCAGTCTTCGAGCTTGTCGATGAAGGTCTTGACGTCGAGCGCCAAGTTCATCTTTCTTGCTTCCTCAAACAGCTCCTTCGTCTCCCTCGGGTCCTTCAGCCGCCGAACGATCTTTGGTATAAACGCATCGCTCGTGATCTCTCGCAGCTGCTTCGCATATCCCTTGTCCTTCTCCACCAACGGATCAATGTAAGCAAAGTCGTCGAACGTCTGTGGTGCCCAATGGTCCGTCCTCATCCTCGCCTGCGTAACCAGATCCCGTGGGTCAATGGCCTTTTCCGCTTCTCGCATTGCTTCAATTTGTTCAGGAGTGTAATGCCGTTCCATTTCTCCACCTTCTTTGCGGAAAGGAAGAATCTTCGTAACATCTTGGATGTCGTCGAGTTTCTCAGAGGGCAATTGATCGTACACCGGCCGCACCTTGCGCTCCGAATTGCGTTGGCGCAGACATGTTGATGAGAAGGGGCGACTTGCACTAGACGCGGTTGTGCTGGAAGAGGCGGCGAGTATTCTACGGCGAAAGAGACATGTCGCTGAGCGGCACACGCTCATGGCGACTTTAGGGGCAAAATGAAGTGAAAAGGGTGAGATGAGATGAATTTAATCGTTCGCTGAGCTATGAGCGCCGAAGGTAGCATTTGAGGCCAAAAGTTTCGGAGGAAACAGAAAAGTTGACGTGACTAAGCCACCTGAAAGGCGTATGGAAAGTTCGCTTTTGGAAACGGCTAGTATAAATCAAGCATACGGAAGTCCTGTTCGCTTTGGACGCTGCGCGAAGAAATTCCGCGCCGTCTTTTGAAAAGTATTCCAGCATATCATATTGATGCCATTAATCAGAACCATTCCGTCGTTTCTCGCACGTCGAGATTCACTACGCACGCTGAGAAGAATGGCATCCTCCGCCACCACTGCCTCAGCAACTGTCGAAAGCAATGGACACAAGAGACGTCCTTTCGGTCAGAACTTCCGGTTTAAGAACAAAAAACACAAAAAACAGGAGAATGCAGTCAAGCAAGGGTCGCATGACGAAGTCCTGTTGTACGATGTCCAGGCTCTTCTGAAAAGATTTTCAATGAGAGAATCATCGCCGAGCGGGAACCTCGAGCAAAACGGAAACTTGGAAACAGCATCAGCTGCACTACCAGAACCAGACTCGGAAATCGAACTTACCGTAACTGAGCTATCGTCTACTGGTGATGGACTGGCTTACGATCCTAAAACACAGCATACCTATGTTGTGCCCTTCACTGTCCCCGGAGATCGTGTGAGGGCGAAAGTCCTGACGCACCAGAAGCAAGAAGGATATTCCTTCACAGACCTGATCGCGGTCAAGGAGCCATCAGAAAACCGAGATGATTCGTTGATCAAATGCAAGTACTTTTCAAAGTGTTCAGGATGCCAATTCCAGATGATGCCGTACAAGGATCAGCTAGCACACAAGAAAACGATCGTGGAGAAGGCGTACAGGAACTTTTCCGATTTGGACCCGGCTCTAGTGCCTCCTGTGGGCGACACGATCGGTTCGCCGCTGCAGTATGGTTACCGCACGAAACTTACGCCGCACTTTGACGGTCCGCCAGGATGCCGGAGGGACAGAAGACAAGGCATAAAACCCACGTGGCCCGCAGTTCCACCCATTGGCTTCATGCTAAAAGGCACGCGACATACAATTGACATAGAAGACTGTCCAATCGGCACAGACGCAGTCAGGCTGGGGATGAAAAATGAGCGCTCTCGCGTGGCGCGAGAAATCGACACTTACACCCGTGGCGCGACGCTGCTTCTGCGCGAGGACACGACGAGGATACGGAAGTTGGACGCGAACGGGAAGCCCAGCGCCGCGGTCGAGAAAGCCAGAGCAGACCCGAACGTCATCATAGAAGACTACCCGGATCACGTCCACGTGAAGTCGTGCGTCACGGACAGCAACGCCAAGTCGACCGAGTTCGTGGACGACTTCGTGTTCGAGAATCCGGCGGGCTCGTTTTTCCAGAACAACAATTCCATCCTGCCCCCCTTTACCCAGTACATCCGCGATCACGTCCTGCCCAGGGATCCCGACCCAGCCAAGCCGGCGCTCTCGTACCTCATCGACGCCTATTCCGGCTCCGGTCTCTTCACCATAACCCTCTCGCAGATGTTCAAAAAATCTATAGGCATCGACATCTCTCCCCAGTCGATCGAGTTCGCAGGCAGGAACGCCATGCTGAACAAGCTACGCAAGGACCAAGCGTCGTTCATGGCGGCCGACGCGGGCGCGCTCTTCAAGAACGTGACCTTTCCGGCCGACGAGACGGTGGTCGTCATCGATCCGCCCAGGAAAGGGTGCGACGAGAATTTCTTGAGTCAGCTTATGAGATTCGCGCCCGAACGGGTGGTGTATGTCAGTTGTAATGTGCATACGCAGGCGAGGGATGTGGGCATGCTCGTCGGTGGCATGGAGGGCGTCAATGACGGCAAAGGCATGTATGAAATCGAGAGCCTGAGAGGCTTTGACTTCTTCCCGCAGACTGGGCATGTGGAGGGTGTCGCTGTGCTGAAGAAGCGATCGAATGGCAAGTCGGAAACGGTAGAAAAGGTAGAGGATAGCACAAAGACGTGATAGTCGGTAATGGAATCGATTTGTTCTACGGTATAATATCTAGACAGTGAAGAAGAAAAAAAAAGTTTTTCAAGCGCAAAAATCAGCTTCGTCTCTGTCATCAGCTCACCCCTTCGCTCGTACGCTCAAAATCCTATCTAGGCTGCGGTAGGCTCGGCGTCTGGCCCCTCGGGAAAGTGACTAGCAGCAACATTGCACTGTCTAAACAGTCTGACCTCGTTCTCGGCGAAGGCGCCAACAACAGAGTGGAGAACGCCGCGGTTATGGAACAGCACGAAGTCGCCTTCCTCCCAGTCCTGAGCGTAGACGTACTTGGGCGAAATGCCCGGTCTCTGGATGTTGTAGCAGATCTCACGGACCTTTTCCAAATCGTCGATGACGGTGCCATCCTTGAGGTGCAGCTTCCTGACGGCAGAAGGGTGGATCTGGATGGCCAGACGGCCGTCGACCGGGTTCTTCCAGCACATGGGCAGGATTTGAATCTTGTCTTCCTGAATCTCCGGGAGGTCCGAGAGCGGGATCTCGAGACCTTCGGAGAGCATGCCCAAACCCGTCGGCCGGGACTTGGCGCCGGACATCCAGATGTAAGGGTGCGGAGCGTACTCTACTTTGGTAGTGCGCGCAAATTCTTTCTGCTCCTCGGACAGGACGTCGTACATGGTGTATCCGGAGACGAAGGCGGTAGTGCCAAGGGGAACGTCGAGTTCGTCGCCGGTGCCATCGTCATATCGGCAAATCTGGCGACGACCGGCGGGCACCTTGACCGCAAGGAGGGTTGTGACGACGGGCGGCGCGAGGTCATACAGTGCAGCATCTATGTGCCACCTGTAGAAACGAGTGAAGTCCAAGTCATCCTTCTCAGGGATGACGGTCTTGTGGAAGGTCTTATGGTGGGGGTGCTTGAGCTTGATGTCCTTCAGACCTTCATACTGTGGCACAAAACCGTTGCCGATAACTTGCACCTGGGGTTGATGTGGGATGGTTTTCAAATCGGGATGAAGAATGCTACGCTTCGCGTCCAGAGTTTTGCCATGGCCATAGCTGTTCGCCGCTGGGTCGAAGCGTTGAGTGAGCTCGAATTGAGCTTTAGGCGATACGTGGCCTTGGTTCTTGAATACCACAACCTGATGCTTGAAGAGTGCGTCACGAATCACTTCAAACTCGGCATCTGCACACTCCGTCAGTTTGGTTCAAGGCAACATACATGGACGTGGTACTTACGCACAGGAGGTTACCGATTTTACGGGTATTCTCCCTTGTGATACGAATCAAAGCCTCGCGCTGAGCGTCAACGGTTACAACCTACCTGACAAGTTCTCGATATCGACGTTGCTGATGATTGCACCAAAATTAACGCCAGAGCCCTCGGGTACGGCAATCGGCTCGACGGTGATAGGCTGAACGGCCATTTCGTCAATCGTTCTTTACGCAACAGATAAGGGTATACACAAGATCTTCTGGACCTGGCTGGTAGTGACCGTGTACTCAATTCAGTGGCGGAACAGTAACGAGATTGCTCAGGCTTATATGTTTAGTCTCTTGTCAGCGGGGATCGGGACAAGGCGAGGTTGAGTGCAGTCGGAAGTGGCCGACAAAGCCACGGAATCAGCGCAAAGGCGTGATAAGCACAGAGGAATGACGTGTACCAACGTATCGCTGTCCACTTAGGGTCGTTCCAAGAGATCTTATCCATTGCCTCGGAGGTTTGCGCCCGAAAATCTATTCCAAAGTCCAGAGAATTTTCGGATGGAGGGTGCAACAGGGTAGGAAGCAATGAGGGCTAGGAGAAATCCTGCAACATAGAACAAACCATTGACAAAGTTGGACAAAAAGAAAGGAAGAATGGCCAAAAAAGAGTCGACGGCTCAGCCCACAGCGCTTGTCTCCGGCCAGAGATGTACTGGAGCAACGCCACACCATGGGGAGGATCCTCTGCTCAATTGCTTGACTCAAGTGTGTTCCTCTTTCTTAAGGCATCCAAGCATCGTGAGTTACCTGCACGAGTTGGGCTGCCACCATGGTGTTCGAACTCCACACCTTTGGGCCTTAACGCGAGACTAGTGCCGCGGATGGGAACCGCCTTCCCTCGGCCATGACAGCTAAAGTCTTAGATGTGCTGATTTTACATTATACAAGCCTTTGAAATGTTTCAACAAGGCAAGAACCAATCGCTCCCAAGTTTCCTCTTGCCATCTCAGTGGCTTGATTCTTTTAGCCACCTAGTCTCTACTCTCGCGGTTCCATTTGTCCACGTTTTCCAAGAGCAGAATTGGTTCGGCCATGGACACGTGCCGAGCCTCGATGTCTGGCCGTAGAGCGCACAAAAATACAGATAAAGCAAGAACTGTGCAGAGCTTATACTGGAGTTCGAAGATACCTAGAGCTTTATTCGATCGCCTGCGCCAAAACCTATGCTAGCCTTTCTTCATCTAACGCCTGGTCATAAACCTCGCCACAGACATGTTTCCCACCAACGCCACGTCGCTAAAATACACAGATAATTGTGGCAGGCAAAGTCTCCTGGTATTCCACGCCGTTATCGAACATTAAACATACGAAACAAACATACTTTCAAAAACTGGCATTTCCTTCATCATCGGACGAAAAAGCAGGGTCCTCAAAGTCCTTTATGTCCTTACCTGTGCCATTGCTTTGCAACGACACACCTTCCATATCGCCGCGTTCAAGCCAGTCTGTGCCGTTGAGCTCCTTCCAGATTCGTTGGAAATATAACCTCAAGGTGCGAAGCCCACGGAGGTAGCCTCGATCAATACCTTCAGGGTCATGAGGAGGGCAGGGCACATCGGCTGGAGGAGGATCCTCTGCAGTAACGCAATTTGCAAAATCTACAATCTTGAGTTTGATCTCGGCCTTCTTTTTCAGCGCTTCGGCAAGCTTGCTGCGGTCCTTTTTGTCGCTAGCAGTGGCCTTTTCAAGAGCTAGCGTATCTTCACTTGCTGCACGATCGTACAGCATGAGCAAGCTGCTCGCATAGAACCTGTAGCCCGGCAGTCCATGAATCATGGCTTCAAGGCTCGAGATCTTCTCCAAAATGGTTGGGATGTGTTTCAAAGCGGAACTGTAGCCATAGCCGTCGAAGAAGAAGCTCTTAAGAGCCTCTTGGAACTCGCGACCTGCTTTCAGATCACGGCCGTAGTACTTATCCTTGAAAACGACCGACTGGGTTTTAACATTGAAGATCTGCATACCACAGACACGCACGCCTAGCTCCTGCGAGGTTGTAGACTGACACTTTCGCCTTTGCGAGCGCTTCTTCTTTGCATCGGCCTCCACACCGTACTGCCGGGTGCCCATCTTCAGATCCAACACGCAGGGCTTTGACATGCCTGCTGTGAGATCTTCAAGCAATATAAACAGTTGGACGCGTTCATCCTTGTCGACGATTGCTTGTTTTGGGTTGCTAGGTTCGAAAAATTCCTCGTATGTCTGAGTTTCTTGATCACGCGTCTCTGGGGCAGTCAATGAGTGACTTGAACTGGGTTTAGGACTAGGATCACCGGAATTTCCGTTCTGGACATGCTGGGATTGAGCTGCTTGATGTGACGAAGCTAATGGCTGGTCGTCATCGTCCATCAGAAACACTTCCTCTTCTCTGTCGCCACCGTAGCCTTCTTCCTCTTCTTCGTGAAACTCAAGCGATGATCGCTTGTCTGAGTCAATTGCAAACGGCCGTCTTCGTAATCCACCACCGGAATGTCTTCGGCGTGACTTCCGATCTTCGGTCGGCCCAGAGTCTTCGACAGTAGCGTCGGAATAAGAGTCCCGGTTCCGCTCATCTACTGCAGGACCCAGATCGGATACAGCAGCAGAGGTTGTCCGTGTCAAACCATTGCGTGCATGTTCGCCACGTAGAAGCTGACGTCGCAGTGATTCTCCTTCAGTAAAAGATGAATACTTCCCAGTCCTATCTGAACCACCTTTTCGGCTCCCCGAGCCCGATTCAGTGCCATCTGCTTGCTGAGCGTGGAGGTTTTGAGTATTGGAAAGCGAGCGGTGCCGACGGCCACGCCTATGACGATGGATTGGAGGTGCGGCAAAGACTTCACGCAACACTTGTTCTTTGAGTTTTGTGTTTACTGTGGTCGCACCCCAACTAGACTGTTGCTTGATCGGTGGACGTGACGGACTGGTATCTGCAGACATAGATTCTGGATGAGTGAGGTTCTGTTCACTTTGCGACCATCGGCGCATCTGCGAGAGTAGAGACGGATCGCTCGACTGCGGTCGCGGAGTAGAAGGACGGGAGCTTGCACGAAACAGGCTATTAGGGATGATGTGCCTATTGTTCTCAAGAACTACCTGCGGGACCGGTGTTATTTGCTGTGAATGGCTCACGATGCGCGGCTGAGGACCGGGCCGTTCGTTCACACCAGACGCAGGGCCACTAGCGACGGCATCCTGAGTAACGCTTTCTTTACTCATGTCAAGCGAGGATTTTTTCTGTGGCGTAGCTGGGTTAACAGTCTTTCGGCGTTTTATCGCTTTACGATATGTGACATTTAGCACCCCGATGTACCTACTTCAACGTTAGCTCATAGATTCTGTGAATTTGTGGCTCTGCAAGGGTCGAAGCGCTTTGCTGGTTTCAGCATGATAGTCACCAGAAGTGACAGATTGCGTACCTTGGCATGAAGGCTACCAGCTCTGGGTGCCACCTCTCTACGATTTCGTAAAAGATGTTTTCGCGGTTATTTAATTGCTTACAGATGGCCCGCCGAGAGAATCGATAAACCGTGCTGTGTCCACCAACTTGATGATCATATGGCTTAAGCTCTACAGCTCCAAGAGGTGCCGATGTAATATGTTTTCGTGTAGATATGTGCTTCGGTGATGCTTTTGGTGTGGAACCCGCTTCATCAGAACTACTAGTGTCGTAGTATGCAGATCTCATTGATTCATCCTGCGTATCATATTCCGAGCCAGAATACATGAGGTCATTGGACGATGTATAACTTTCATCCTCAATTGGCAGCGTCAATGACGTCGAGAGGTCTCCGTGGAAATACTCTTTGTCGTTGGAAGTCTCCAGTGACAATGCAACCTCGTTCGAAGCGCGTTCGGATGCCTCCTTTAGCCTCTGCTCCGTACTTGGAGTAAGTGGCTCGTCAGAGGCTTTGGCTTCTTCGATTGCACAGGCTACAGCAGCGTCAGATGATTCTCGCTGATAATCTTCTTCATCGTCGGTGACAAGCTGTCGATGCGGAAAGTACAGAGCCTTGGAGATCTGCTCATGCTCAGAAATCTCATCATCCTCGGTTACCGGTGATTTGCCGGTGCTCTCATCACTCTCACGTGGTTCGATGTAGTTAGCATACTCCTTAGTAGGTGTACGGCTTTTGGGTTCAGCCAGACGTGGTCGATCCATACGCTTCGTCTGAAAACTGCATGAAAGAAGTCGCTCACTGTCTGAAGACAACTCTATATCATGCACGTGTTTCATTTCCTCCACAAGACGTGAGGACAAACTCTGTGGTTTCCGAGTAGGAATCGGTAAAGGTGCTTCCGTTTCGAGAGAAAAGTCAGTATTGCTGCGTGGAAGCTTGACAGGAAGTTCCTGGCCTCTTATGTTATGAGGACCGCCATGACTAAGAGCCATATAAGTACCGTATTCGGTGCGAGGACTTGGTTCAAGTTCTTCGGGTTCCGCAGTGAGCTCAACTTGTTTAGCGCTATCATCACGAGGAAATTCATAAGCCAACGGCGACGAAGCTCGAATTTGATCGGTAGTTTGATGTTTCCTTGACGCCTGAGCTTGTTCCTTCGCTCGTTGGTCACGTCTCTGTTTCTGCTCGGCTACATCCTTCTCCTTGAAGAGTCCAAGATACTGGCTGGACTTTCGACTGCGTGAAGATATAGCCGGTGCGTCAATCTTGCGCAGCGTTGCCTCGATGTTCTTATCAACATGGGTATTGTCCCCACTGCGACTCCTTCTCTTCGCCAGTGAGCCAGAGCCTAGCCATGGTGTGTGGCCCTCTCTCCACGAGCGATATCGAGCTCTCTCGGCTTCATCGACGGCATCGAAGATGTAAGCAGGAGACGTCGATGGCCGTTCGGTCGAGGATAAGTACGGCCGTCGGCTGGTTTCAGCTTGGGCACCCTCAATGCCCATCGAGGTACCCTTGTTCGAAGTGGTTTCAATTTGAGTGTCTCGCAGCAGCTCATGCACCTCTGGTTGCTGTGTCTGCACCTTCTTGCTGTCACTGTATCGATGTTCTGTACCAGTCGCAAATGTGACTTGCGCGTGTTTTCGTGAAGCGCGAGGTGATATCTTCACCTTTCCTGAAGTGGCTCCTCCCAAACCTTTGTCAACATTTGCCAACAGATTCCCATTATGCGTGTCTTGAGCGGGTGGAGGGGAGCGCGACTGGACGTAGGTTGTGGCAAAAATGGTATCTCGTTCCGTGAGCTGTGGAGCGTCTCTTGATGAAGCCCACAGACTCGCAGGTATTGTTATCGGCGCAGTTTCCGATCTGCCGACCTTAGATATGTGCTTGAAGGGCTCATCCTCTGCAAGATGAGTGAGATCAGAGGTGGCAGTAAAGGCTTGCTTTTGGAGGTTCTCAGCTTCGGTCCTTAGGTGGGCGGGGGCTGAGGTATTATTCGAATCCGACCGCGCCGATGACATGGAGGACACATTGGATTGGCAGTATGTTAGGCGTGGCTGATCGGTTGGGCAAACTTTGGCCAGGACTGGCGGTGATAATGATCCGAGTCACAAACGCGAGCCCGTTCTGTCACGTTCTCCCTTTCTCCGCCAATACTGTGCCAGGATCGGAGACTCGCGGTACGAAGTTCGAATGCCTGTCAAGCGGACACGTTGGAAGTGCTGTGCGAATTCGTGGGCCGCGGTAGCTGGGTTTGGGCTTGCAGACGCGTGGAGTTTTTGTGGTTGTGGAAACAGCCAATTGATGACGTTGAAGCCCGACCCTAGGTAGTCAAGGCTGAGAGGCGCCGAGAGACCACAACTACCCGAAGATTTTGCCATGTGTTGATTTCTTATGAGAATAATCCTGGTCATTGCCGAACAGGAACGGACCTTTTTGATATTTGGAGCAGAGCAAGCTAAGTCGCAGCCCTCGCCCACGTGCTACTCCGCAGTCTATCTGCCGTCCGCCTTGAAGTCTGATAGTCATTCCATCACACCGATAAAACACAATCTTAACACAGTTGCTCTCCTTTCCCTTCACTCATGCCCATCTGTGCGTACACAACGAATATCTCATCTTTGTGTAGACCCTCACCGCTCCGTTGAGTTCTGCCTTCTCATCCAATCGATCGAGAACGTGCCTTCAACCCTTCGCTGCACGATGCAAGGTGTTCCCTATTGAGGTTAATTGCGAAACTCAGATGCTTCCCTTCCGCGACAGCCACTTGTCATCGATGGAGTCGCTCCTTTCGTGAACTTGCGCAGAGCATGAGAAGCCCCTGAACTTCCCCAGTGCTGGCGAGCCAGGGCGGTCATGCAATCACTCCGTGGAGTCGGCCGACCCAGCCGAGTTTAGATCAGCTCGCACTTAACCACTTTTTGGAAAGCATCGATGTCGTCAGACAGCATCATCCGTCGAAAAGAGGAATTTGAGCCGTGTATATGCTTCCTTGTCTCTGACTTCCACGGTACGAAGCACGTGTTAATCATCGGTCCTAAGGATCAATAAGCCAAACAAGTGACTAGCAGTGAGGGTGTGGCTGAAAAGTAGAATTAGGGTCCACTTATAACCAAGGTCTGTATATAGACGGCATCGAAAGGACGTGTCGCTGGCGCATTGCAAAGCTTGAGGCGATGTGAATGTTGACGTTGTTGACGACCGCCCATCAAGGTGTGCGACTGCACCCCTTTCCCAACCCGGATTTCCTTTCACTTGTTCGACACATACCAAAGCACTGTATAGCAATCACGAATTCGCATCGAGGAATGGAACTTCAGTTTTTTCTCCTTCGGTCCGCAATTGCTGGTCCGGTAGATGAAGATGGCCGGAAATGCTGGATCGATCTCATGGAGACTCATGATTCAACACATGCTAAGGCTTCCAGAGGTGTGAGATCACAATCATGTCTCCTAAATACAGTGCGCTTTGCTTCCGCAGATCGAATCAGGTATTACGCATTCAACTGCAAAGGCCTAGTTCTGCGGTCCGAAGATGGGGCTTATCAGAATTCTGTCGCCTCAGGTACGAAGGCATAAATCCAGCCTTAAAAGGAAAAAAAATTATTGTGCGCTACCAACGGACGATTGGACGTCGTCGCTTAGCGTCGGCTCCCCCCGAGATATCGATTGTCATAGCATCTCATTGTTGTGGAACCAATGTCGCAAAGCTTCCTAGTCAGCCGTTCGTTATTCGCATCGACCGTCCTTTAGACGTTAGAAGGACAAGATCGCATGATCACAACGGACCCTTTGCATTGATTTACCCTAGCCTCCCCCGATCTTACTGCTATCCGCATAAAACCATTGGTCGCCGAGAAAAAAAACTATGTCACACTGAAGAGAGCGCAGCCAGGCCCGTTTCTCCACGAAATGGAAACACAACCCCTGCTCTGCGTATTTCAAGTCCTTGATGTATAGCGAATACATTCTGTGAAGCCGGTTCACACGCCGTGTACGTTCTTCATTTCGCGCTGAGAGTTATCATACGCATAATCTTTCCGTTGGGTCGAAGTCGAGCCGACCTTACCTCGTCCAGTTCACCCAAGCACGCTCCAATATGGTGACTCCAAACGCCACAATGAACGGTGGCTACATCAATGGTACGCCAAATGGTTCTTCGTTGAATGAAACTGATGCCGCTGCGTTGAAGTTGCCGTCAAGCACATCACCAAGTCTAACCCTTGTGGTTGCAACGGAAGCCGAAAGAGAAAAGATCTGGAACAAAAACTCGGGCGAATGGCGCGGCGCTTTATCTCATGAAGCTTATCTACGTAGAGAGAAGCACCTGTCGAACCAGGACTTCACTAAAGATGGAGGCATTACTCTATGGATCCTTGTCGACAGCAATGACCCAAATAGAACGATTCTTTCCTCCTGCGAAACATATCGGAAACGAGCCGTGATCGCTATGGACGGAAAAGTCCAAGACGTGATCTCATATGGCATCGGGAGTGTTTTCTGTCCTCCGGAATGTCGGGGCAACGGCTTGTCTTCACGGATGATGAAGGAGCTTGCCCAAAAGCTCAAATCCGGAAGCGTCCGAGAAGGAGAAAGCGTAGCTTTTTCGATTCTCTTCTCAGATATTGGCAAGAAATTCTACAATAAAATGGGCTGGGAGCCCTTCAACAGCTCAAACATATCCATTCCCACTTTTTGGAAGGGGACGCCTCCCCATGCTTCTCTAGATCTGCCACCATCACGTCCATTGTTCGCGAGCGACCTACCGAGTCTGTGTGCGATCGACGAACAGCTCGTCCGCTCAAGCTTGCTCCACGCTCCTGCCGACAAGACTTTTGTGGCATTGATTCCTGACATCGAAACGATCCGATGGCACCATGCTCGCGAAGACTTCGTTGCTCGAGAGATTCATGGCAAGTCTCCTGATGTCAAGGGAGCAATCGTTGGAACCGAGCCTGGTAAACGAGTTTGGTGCTACTTTACACGAATGTTTTACAACTCAAATCCCAATCAAAGCAATGGTAACACTTTGCACGTGCTTAGGATTGTTGTCGAAGAACGCGGACTGTTTACTTGGGAGCGTGCCAGTGCTGATGCTGACATGTCCGCGTACATTCCGGCCATTTCCTCGCTTTTTGCAGCTGCTCTTTCTGAAGCGCAGAAGTGGAACATGCATGAAGTCGAAATCTGGAATCCAACGGAACCAACTGTGAGGGCTGCACAAGCCTTGTACCCTGGTGCAAAGGTCATTGACAGGGATAACGAAAGCATAGCAAGTCTGATGTGGTATGGTCCGCGAAAAACCACTGGACCAGTTGCGGATGAAGTAGATTGGCTAGGAAATGAGAAGTATGGATGGTGCTGAATTTTCGGCATCTGCAAACTTTGTACAGTCCGTAGATCAAGCTGTACTGCATATAGCATTTATGCCTTCGCAATCTTTTGCAACCTATTTTCGAATGAATACATAGCCATCGGAAATGTTTTATCTTCTTCATTCCAGAAACCATCGCCACGAATCTCGCGCCTCCTGGATCGAGATATGCTCATCTTGATTAATTTTTCCACCTGGTCTCGCTCAGCACTGTGCTTTGGCCACTTCAGGAGCAGAGAATTAAAATCGTCACCAACAAGATATTTCACGCAACGGACCGACCGCAACAGCAGAGACTGATACGCTTCCAAGGTCAAGAATGGAGAGTATATCAATGTTGATTCGTCGACGAGGTGCTCCGCCTCTCCAAGTTCGGAGCCAGATGGCGTCCGAACCACTGCGATTCCAAAAGTAGCCAAGAAGGCTTCATCGAATCGTGAAAATGTTGGATCTTGAGCAAATAATGCAATTGGTGCGTTGGTGATCCATTGCAAAGTGGTCGCGATGCCCAAGAATATGGCGAGCTGCTTCAGGCGTCGCGTTCGACTTTTGATGGGCCCAAAACTTCCAAGGCCTAGCGACAATACCCGAGTTGGAGGTCCTGTTGTCTTTGAGACATTTTTGAGCAGTTTCTCTATCGACCGAGAGATTTCGGAAGTTTCGTATTTGCTCCTAATTTCATCGAAACTCGTCAGCAATTGCTGCAGCTCTTTTGAAGCTAGTCTCGTTTTGTCTTTGCGGGAAGTCCTCGATGAAGGGGATGGGACGTCGTCGCTGTCGTTCATCGTTCTGCGAGGCATCTTCGTTCCTAAAGAGAATGCACTCTATGGATTGCTTACCTCCATGAAGCTTTTTATCATATATGTGCGCCATATTTGTTTTGGTTTAACTTCACGAGTGACAATGTAATCTTGGCTATTGTGACATGAACACTGTGGATGATTAATTCAGTTGCTGAGAAATGCTAGGACAGGCCAAAGTCCGACAAAATTCCGTCATTGCTTGATACGAGATAACCCGAGGCCGGCGGAAAATGTCTTCGATACTGCTCTCAATCACTTCGTGCCATTGCTTCAAAGTAGTTGAAGTATTTCTTAATTTTAGCATTCTGAGAAATGCAAAAGAGGAGGAGACAGCTTTTGGATGTTACTGAGAAGTGCTGGGCTTTGTATAATATCCGGGCCAGACGTTCATGGCAGCCAAGAGCAAACATAAGGACACCAGGATCAGGAGCCGCAACGTCTCTGACTTCGAATTTCTACAGAGTGTAAAAATTTACTCATTAGAAAGAGCAAATAAAAGACAGTTGCATCAAGTTACGAGGTCAAATTTTCGTCAAGTATATTCAAAGCTTAACGTCCAGTAGCAACAACGCGATAAAAGACGGTATCACAATTCAGTCAACAGACTTCTCAATTGAAATAGAAACTGTTACAGCTCATATTATGCCAATTTCGAGCGATATATTAGCTATAACCACTTGTCGAATGCTTGCATTTGGTTGAAAGTCGAAATTGGTGTCCCCTCCGGCTGCTTCGGAAGGTAGATGTTCCTAGAACTTTGTTTTCCAGTTTGCCCAAGACTGACAATGAAGCCATTCTGGCTAATCTCTTTGTCCAGGAGAGTATGATGAACAGATGGCTTCCTCCAAACGCAGACTGTTGAATCAAGAGACAGCCCCATTCGCAATGCCGTACGTTCTCTCAAACGTTGGCATCCGAATATCTATTCTAAGTTTGCCAGATGATTCCAGATTTCAATCCCTCTCTGCTATTATTGGCGATAACGTTCATTCTCATTGGTCTACTTAGTATCATGAATACATTATTTTAACATTTTGAAGGTCTTTTGCTCCCCTGTCTGCTTCAGACAACGCACAGTGACAATTAAGATATGCGCGGGACTAATGAGGCCCTTAAGAGATGTGACCAAAGAACGCGATCAATCTTGATAAACTATACTTCGGCTGGATATTGAACAGGAGCCACAAGTGACAAACACAGTTGGCATGTTGCAATCATTACATTTTTCCTCCTATAGAAAATTCTGAACCTCGTATTTGTTCAAGCGATTTTTAAACGGGAATCTTGTGACCAAGTGACACTTTGTGAGGCTTCAGCTAGTTACCATCACGACATTAATTCAGCTTTTAAACTTTGGTGGGTGAATAAAGAAAAATCGAACATGGTATGTAGCAAATGCTATGATTGAAAATCGTACAACAATTTGTGTCAATATGTTAGTTCGAGGGTGACCCGGATCAGTGAGCGCGAAACGCGTCCGAAATCGCGTTGGCGGCGTTTTCTGCTTCTCGAGCGCAACTATCTCCTCTTGGTCGCCCAGCTCCACGTCTTTGCTGTCGCATGTCAGATCAGATCAATCCTTGTACTTTTAGTGATTCTGATAGTATCGAGCTCAATTTAGGACCCTCCGACTCTATATGAGGGGCCAAATAAATCATGCCTCCACGAAAGAGTAACGTTTCTCAAGTGTCGGAAGATGGAGGAGGTTCGACATCGAAAGATGGCTACGGGGTAGAGGTAAATATTCGACTCTGTAGAGTTGGATCTTCTCTGATAGCTTAAGGATCTTGCACTTCCTCGGACAATGGTGCAGCGCCTTGCGAAGGGTGTACTCCCGCCAAATACACAAATACAGAAAGACGCACTTCTGGCCATATCAAAGTCGGCAACAGTATTCGTCAACTACTTGTCTTCGCAGTAAGTATAACAACCATTTTGAACTGTAGGTTAACTGCAGCTAAAGATAATATAGCGCACAAGAACAAGCACAGCGCATGAATAAGAAGACCATACAACCAAAGGACGTGCTCGATGCAATAGCAGACATTGAGTTCGACATGTTCCTTCCACGTCTCGAGGCCGAACTAGCAAAATACAACTCCGTGCAGTGCGACAAGCGAAATTCATATAGGAGAAAAGTGAGGGAAGAGCAAAAAGCAAAACAAGTAGCAAATACAGAGCAGGCAGGGGAAGCAGACGGGACAGCAACTGCAAAAGCAGCTGCGTCATCTGCTGGAAAAGCCGACGGCGCAAATGGTGCATCGAGACTGGTTTCACCGAAGAGAGATGATGAAGAGCCGAGAACAAAGAAAGTCCGTGGAGAGGATGGGATGGAGATCGATGATGAGGAGGACATGACAGATGAGCCTGATGCAGAAGATGATCAAGATGAGGAGAATGACAATGAGGATGATGACGATGACGACGATGACGAGGGCGAAGACACCTTCGAGGATGCTAAAGAGGAGCTCGCTGAGGATCCCTTAGAAGAGCATGAAGCACGAGACGAGGATATGGAGGACGAAGCACTGGACGAGGGGAATGAGAGCGACTGAATCCTCTAACAAAATGATGGCATAAACTATAACGCTCGCATGGCGATAAGAGCATAACCAGCAATCAGCGCTGGGAGATTTCTGTATTAAAACGTGGTGCTAGGCTATTCTGCTGCATGCATTTGACTAGCTATAATCTCTAAATCCGTGTATGATCATGTTCCTACCACTTTCGCCTTTGGGTTGTATAGCTGATGCCATGAAACTACCCAGGCGTGTAGATAAATCTTCGCAGCTTGGTGCGACCATTCAGGTGGACATCTGTGTCCGCCATATTTAGAGCCTAGCCATGCATCGACTCTCTGCTGAGCGCCCTGTCCAGGAGACCAAGTCGATCTTCGCTTCTGCAACCATCCTTTCAAGTCCTTTGTGCATGTTTTGGGAATCCTCATTATCCCTCATTTGAGCAGTACGTCTCCATACTTGTTTCCAATTTTCCTTTCCTTCTCCATGACCTGAGCCCATGCACGCTGTGCATCCTCCTTAGCCTTCGTGTTCAGCCACGTAAAGCCAGGTGCATCCTCCTCGCGCTCCCACTTATATTCGCCATCATTGTCCTCGCTTTTCTTATCTGCACTAGCGCCATTGCTCTCCCAGTTGCGTTTGCCATTGGCATTCAGTTGGGCTGAGGGCGGCATCTTTTTACTTATGTTGGCACTACTACCTTTAGTGCTGGCTAGTGGCGTGAATGGCGAGGGTGCGTTTGCTGGGTTTTGTGCGTGTAGCTGTTGCGAATCTGGCGGGGAGAGCTCGGTTGCGAAGTGTGTTGACAACTGGCCGGGTGGCGTAGTGGGAGAAGAGGCGGAGGAAGAGTCGTCTTGCATTTGGGAGTCTGTATCTTCTGTGCAGCGGTCAACAAATGGAGTAGAAAGTATGATTATGATAGCGGGAAGGCGTGGTTGCCTGGATGTCTTGCGAGGTTTAATGCATCCAGTAAATCAAGTCTCTATGTAACGTACCTTCATCAACACGTTTTGCAGCCATGCTAAATATTTTCTCTTCCCTTCTCCGATCTCCAAAGAAACGAATGGCACGCTGTGACTGAGATGTAGTAACCGCCCTCGGTCGCGGTGGGGTTCGAAGGATGAGGCTGTTGTGGGTCTGTGACCAAATTCAGCCCCTCTCAACGACATCCTATGCGTGAACCTCCATTGCGCTGTGATCGCTTCGCACAGCGACGTTGATTGTTTCGAACCCCAATGCGCATTTTCTATGTTTTCTCGGGCAAGGATAAAACACCACACATTCATTTTCGAGGTGGAGGATTATCTTTAGCTCTATACTTGATACAAATCAAACAATATGAATAAGAACAAGGCGACAGTTCCCGACGCATGGGATGATGACTGGGAGCGTCAGGCCGATGTACGTCTTATTTCCGCCCCTAACAATCCACTTTATTTAATATGCTGTGTAGAAAATGGCTGCGGAGCCACCATTACCTGAACCCGAAGTCAAACTTTCCAAGGCCGAACGCCTGGCAAAGCACGAAGAAGCCAATCGACAACTCTGGGAGGACGCGTAAGTCTATATTTGATGCTGTACAGAATTACCTGCTTAGCATCGAAAAGGGATGAGGTGAAGGAGAAGCCTTTTTTTCTCCTAGCACGCAATGAACCAGCGTACAAGACTGAGTTCAAGCCTACATTAAAGGTGCTTTCACGTAAGCCGCCGCCGAATGTAGCTAAACGTGGAGATGCCACTAGTGCAATGGCGAATCTTAACCTAGAGAACGAGGAAGACAGCGAAGAGGAAAACCGTAAAAAAGCAGCACTAGAATTTGAAGAACGTAAGGCACGTGCCATCCGTGAACGTGAGGAGAAACAGCGAAGATACCAAGAAGTGCGGGAAAAGCTTTTTGGTACCGATGACTCCAAAACACGACCAAGTTCGTCTTCGGGGGAGGTCAGTAGTAGCAGGAACTCAAGCAGAGGCAAAGGGAGAGGACAGGGAAGACAGCAGGATAAAGACTCGCGAGCAAATGGTTCAAATGACCAATCACCCGCAAGGCCGAGTAGTCAACGCAGGCAGCTCTACGATCCAAACTCCTCTGAGAAGCCCAGCTCCCAGTATGTTCAACGTAGAACAAATGGAGAATCAGGACGATCCACCCCTAATGAGGAACGTCCATCGCGAGCTCCAAGAGGGCCTGATGGAAGTGGAAGGGGCGGATTTGGCTTCGCTCCGAGAGGTGGAAAGATCTCAAATGGCTCATGACTGCAGCAAGCTGGGCACTGAGATGTTTGCATTTGTATCTGTCATGTTCTACCTTGCCGCATGACACAGCATTATTTCATTCTCGGTTGGCCACATTACATCGCTAGTCATACGGGCAGTCAGTCAAACTCGATGCGAATAACGGGACAAAGAACAGCCTTTCACGAATCCGCAAGCTAAAGTCTCGTCCGCTGAAATTTGCACATGGTTAATCGCTAGGAAGTCGACCACTGTAATGAACCTTTAAATCTTGCTTTCGGCCTTTACAATGCATAGCATACATGATTCTCAGAACTGAAGTGTATAGCTGAACGACCTGAATGTTTGAACTGAACAAACCAAACAGGCCTGTAGTGTGTTTCTAGAGCCTGCCTCACAAACGATTGCGAAGTAGTCGAGCAAACAGAATGTGATAAGTGCACATACCATTGAAAACTTGTCGTGCTCTCGGAACGTAATGTCACCAAATGGGGACAATGTCGCACACATTTCGATTAATCTTTGCCTCAAGAAAAATATATGTTACGTCAAGATAGATGTATTTTTACTGCGGTGCAGAAACTCTGATGGAAAAATGATCGACGTCAGGGAAGGTGACTAAGCATCGGGGTTAACGTTCATTTTTCTTCATTGCTTTGCCAAACTCCATGCGTTCACGCAATTCATCTTTCTGATGTCAATGCAAGCTATTTCGCCTCCTTTATGGTGTTGTGAAGTTTTCAATGCTCGGCATGCCTTTTCCTGCTAACATCATAGCAAATTCGATTTTGCGTCACGAATACATGCAAGGATGAGCCAGATTCCAGAATGATTTTGAAAGAAGGTCCCATTCTGCTTAATGTTTGTTGTATTGACATAGTCTGTATGACGTGTCTCGATCCATTCTGTTCAATTTATACCACTAATTTGCATGTTTATTAAGCTAAGTTTTCGCCCCTGGTGGGAAGACTCTCATCCGCAAGAATCATCCCTTTTGTCTCGAAATACTTCAACGTGTTAGTGTCATGATTGCCAATTCGCAAATTTGAACGGAAAGGGAACTAATTGGCGACAACACAGGGTGGATTGCTTTTAACTCTCATTGCGTGAGTTTTCATCACTTGCCCTTTATCAAACACTAGGCACAAAATCGAATTTCGTGCTTGCAAAATAATCAACATATCATATTGATAAATGAGACCCAAAGGACCCGAGCATATATTGCATTGCACTCTTAGGCGCTCTCTTCAATATTCAAACCTCTATGAACCTTGGCGACGAAATTAATACCACAAAGTATGATTCGAATCCCCAGGATATGCACATAGCCACGAAATTAGATAGGCGACCGATGGTGCCGTTCAGACCTTTAAACTCAAAGTTAATTGCCAACCTATCTTATGACTCTGCCTGGTTTAGCACAATCCTCAGCCTAGTCTGCAAGAGGTACCGATATTCGGGAATTCCTTGTGCGCAGGTATATCAGTACATATCAAAGAATTCTGCGCTGTTAAGGGCTTTGGTATTCGACATAATTAGGTTGCTTCCATTTTGCTTCTTATCATTGCTATTTCAAAGTGATTCCCAGATAAAAAGGCCTGCGTTGATGGAACCTTTAATGAATCATTGGCATTATGTAAGGGGCCTTTGACAAAATAGTCCCAAACCAAGCCAGGGCATTGAGTGCAGTGGAGCAACTACCTTTGGATCCGCGCACGGCCCAGTATCAAGGATTAATCATGCTTGCTTCACGCGCATTGTCAGTGATTACCCGGTCCTGCTGAGTAGAGTGATTTTGGTTGGTCAAAGGTTTCTTCTCCTCACACAAGTTTTATGATTGTGAAGGTCAGGCAACCCGTCAAAAAGCAAACCTACGACGTTTCATCCTCAGCACAAGGTTATGTTAGCTACAATGGTCGTGAATAGTTCTGCACCCAAAGCAGATTGTACTACATTCTCACACGAGCTCAGAGTATAAGGTTAGCTTGTCCAAAATCTACGCACTGTAACGACGCCTTTAGGATGGATTTTGCTTTGAAGCAATTGAATGGCTTGCACGCACTAAAACTTCAGCCAAGGTACACCCCAGAGCTTCTCTTGGCAACACCACGTTATTTTCTTCATACGGCTACTTCTCTGAAAATCGTCCAGCCACTAGCATACCTCTCAAGAGCCTTCTGCAGAGCGCTAGTTTTAGCGAAGTTAAAGTCGGTAAACTGACTGCACTGGGGTGCGCTGAGAGGCTGTTAGCCTTGATACTGAGAAGAGTGTCAAGCCCAAACATTGGGAAAGAAGCCAGCAAGATCTGGCCCCCATGGATATGAGCCAGCCAAGAGTGGAAATCTCACGACTATCAAATATTTCGTTTTGGCCACCTGGAAAGGGGCGTTGACCTCGTTGGCTTTGGACCGGCTCAGCGATAACCAGGATTCAAACACAGTCTTACGTATTCATTGGGCATGTAGACCCAAACATCCGGCTTAGATGTATTAGTTTGAAGAATTCGACCTGAGGAAGGATCAATTAAGCTTTTGAAACGAGATGCAAGTCTTTTAGTCGTAATACATTCTAACGAGCTTGGAGTAGATATTTTTCTGGAAAATCGAATCGGACAGTACAGCCCACTAAATAGCGCTTTTCTTGAACGAAAGGCTGGCTCGTGAGAATCTTTTGCTGCGTAATTTCTCCAAGGCAAATCCTCACGAGCTTGGGAGGGTGATCAAATTCCTCCTCCCTACCTTCCTGGTCACGTCTAGGGCCCTGTTAGTCTTGAGTGGAGACTATCCGAATCATGAGCCTCAGCGACAGCAATGTTGAAAAAAGAGCATTGACTCTGTATGAGAAGGATGTGGGAATAGCGATCGGCCTCATGTACATAGACTACCGTTAAGGTCCTGCTCGCTGAACTCTGAGAGTTGGAGTTTGGACGCACTCACTCCCGTGTTTTGTACAGATTCACTCCTTTATCTGTGAAAATGCGTGCCACTCGTTGTTTTCATTTGTATTCCCTACTTTGCGTCACTACTGCTTTGCCCTTTGTTAATCGCGGATTGCTTGATAATATTGTTAGCCCCGTCCTCAACTCCGTGTCGGATTTGTCCAGCCCGCTGTTGGAAGCAGTCCAAACACTTAATCTCCCTGCAGCATCCATACTCAACCCATTGCTATCTACCGTACAAGATGTGCTAAAAGGCGATGGGCTTGTAGAAGGGACTCTAGGTCTGCTTGACGGCGTGCTTGGTCAAGAGCAAGAATTCGACTATGTTGTTATAGGGGGAGGAACTGCTGGCAATGCGATCGGTGTGAGACTGGCCGAGGCTGGATACAAAGTTGCAATAATTGAAGCTGGCTTATACTACGAGATCACGAAGCCCGTCCTTGGAACAGCACCTGTTGGAGATATCATCGGAATTGGCTCCAGTATACTTGACACCGACCCTTTGGATGATTGGGCATTTGTAACCGAGCCCCAGGCTGGAGCGAACAATCGCGAACTGCACTACGCCAGAGGAAAATGTCTTGGAGGCTCATCGGCTCTTAACTTCATGATTCATCACCGAGGATCGACGGGGTCTTACGACCAGTGGGCTGACGAAGTTGGAGACGACAGCTATAAACTAGAGAACCTCATGCCATACTTCAAGAAGAGTGTGACATTCACACCTCCAAATAATGATATTCGTCGAGCGAATGTGTCAACGCAGTATGAACTCTCTGCATTCGATTCAACAGGCGGCGGTCCCGTGCAGGTCGGTTATACCAATTGGGTTGCGATATGGTCTACATGGCTTGAGAAGGGAATGCAAGCTATCGGCATGCAAAGAACGCTCGGCTTCAGCAACGGAGACCTTTTAGGCTACCACTATTCACAGTCCACGATCGATTCAAAGACTCAAACTCGCAGCGCGTCAGACCAGTACATCCACTCATACGACGGCGACAACCTAAAGGTTTATACGCAAACGCTCGCTAAGAAAGTTCTTTTTGATGGAAATAACAAGGCCAATGGCGTTTTGGTGTCTTCCCTTGGCTTGGAGTACACCATCAATGCTACAAAGGAAGTCATCATCTCGGCAGGGACATTCCAATCCCCACAGCTTCTGATGGTGTCCGGCATTGGTCCTCGCGACGCCCTCGATGCTCACTCGATTCCCGTAATCTCTGAGCTCGCTGGTGTAGGCCAAAATATGTGGGATCACATTATGTTCGGACCGGCCTATGAGGTTAACTTCGACACATTAGATCGCGTTCTGCATGACCCTGTCGTTCTAGCGGAGTCCGTTCTTGAGTATACTCAAAATCCGCCAGTGGGGCCTCTCACGTCAAATGTTGTCGAGTTCATTGGCTGGGAGAAGCTGCCTGAGAAGTACCGCGAGAACTGGTCTCAAGAGACAAGAGATGCGATGGCGCAGTTCCCCGACGACTGGCCTGAGGTGGAACACATCAGCGGAAATGGGTACATTGGCAATTTTTGGTTCCCGGTACTGCAGCAACCCCTGGACGGTAAACAGTATGCGACAATATTAGATGCCATGGTCGCGCCGACCAGTCGTGGGAATATCTCCCTTGTATCTGCCGATACAAATGACAAGCCACTCATAAACCCTAATTGGCTGACGACAAAAGCGGATCAAGAGGTGGCCATCAGTATCTTTAAGCGTGCAAGAGAGGTGTGGGATACTGAAACGATGAGCAGTATCGTTATTCCTCAGGCTGACGGGACGCCGGAATACTGGCCAGGAAGAAAAGTTTCGACTGATGATGACATTTTGAATGTCATTAGAGATAGTCTCATGACAGTATGGCATGCAGCAGGAACATGCAAGATGGGAAAAGCCGGCGATCCCATGGCAGTGATTGATTCGCAAGCAAGAGTGTTTGGCGTCGACGGGCTTAGAGTTGTGGATGCAAGTGCGTTGCCGCTACTGCCACCGGGCCATCCGCAGAGTACCATATACGCATTGGCAGAGAAGATTGCAGAGAATATTGTCGCGTCGGAAGCAAATTAGAAAGGCTGGACTTTGTTCAGCAAGAACATATTTAGATTCATCAATCTAGCGGTTTTTAACCAAATTTTTTCTGATTCGCTTTCGGGTTAGCAATCAGAGTAGTCGAAACTTACGAAGTTATAATAGTAAAACAGAGCTTAGCATAAAGTCAGACGGTAATAGTCTCAATTGTCAATCTCATTCCTCAGGAATCCTTCAGGTATGCAGTAACCAAAATGTGAACCAATACTTGACGCTTGCGAAAATGATGCCGAGATGTTTCTCTGTTTTCCATCCTAAGACCTCAGCCATCACTGTAGATTGAATGCTTGCCGATTCACAAATCGCTCTGCCGTATTACACCTTGCCACTTTAATCTTTGCTGCGGAGCAATGGCTGTGATCATTCACACCGGGAGCTCTTTGCTCGGTACATAGATAATGAAAAATTACTCCGAATGATCCAAGCCTTTGAATACGACTGATGATAAGCAGTCTTTTCAGGGCTGAGGAGAATCAAAAGCCAGCAGAAAGTACCCGCTACCAAAAAAAAACTTAGCAAAGTGGTAACAAGGTGGCACTCTTGTTGTGCAGTCAAAGTACTTCCCTACGCTCCGCTCGGCACGCAGGTTGCGGACGGTTATAGTCGGCTATGACACTCATCCGCACGCGACATCGGCAAAGAGACGAACTCCCTCTGGTACATGCTTCCCGACAGTCTCGGCGGCACACAGCACAAGTCCACACAGCCCAAATGCCGACAGGATGAATGTGAATTCATGAGAGTAGAGCAATTACGAACTAGGGTTCTGTTCGCGTGCGTCACAGTGTAAGCCCGCCTCGCGTGTTGCGAGAGGAGAAAGGGCCAGGCGATTTTACCCGCCCTCGCCGCTATCTGACGCCATCGAGCATGGGCTGGACGTTCTCTTCCCGCCTACCCATACCACAATTACCGGCTCCCGTTAAATGCGATCTAGATTTTTCTTGCCCACGCGCGCATCCATACAAACAAAATTGATTACATCCCCGTTCTCCACAGCAGGCTGCCGACACACAGACCGCCTCCACATTGCTTGCCGAGCGCTATCGCTGTCTTTCGTACCCCAATGAAACCGCTTAGCCTTTAGTTCTACATGTCCAGGTGATCCTCCATCGATCCGCCTTTCTGTTGCTGCTCCCCTTTCTTTCCAGACTTTATGCCGGAGCGCATCGCTTTATACAATGAAGCCGAGACCCGAGAGGCGACAGACAACAGCACCCGTTCCTCGCATTCGCAGATGACGACCGAGTTCGCGCCCAGTGTGGCGGTGGGGAGGGCGCGAAGAGATCCGGCGATTTGCCCTACGGACGACGATACAATCGTACCGCGGAAGAGGACTGGAACCCATATGTCTTCGCAAAAGACGTCTAACAAGAAGAGTTGGGAGTATATAATCAAGAGTGGTGTAGCTGGTGGTTTGGCCGGGTGTGCGGTGAGTGTGACCCGGTCGTGACGTCGCACGCTTTTTAAACTTCGGCACGCTGATCGACGTTCTTGCAGGCAAAGTCCGTCGTTGCACCACTCGACCGCGTCAAAATCCTTTTCCAGACCTCAAACCCACAATTTGCAAAGTACTCGGGCTCGTGGAGCGGATTTGCCGTTGCGTTGCGCGCTATATACGGCCAGGATGGCGCGCGGGGGCTGTTCAGAGGTCACTCGGCTACGCTGTTGCGCATCTTCCCCTATGCAGGCATAAAATTCCTGGCATACGAACAGATCCGCGCGTTTATAATACCTGACAAGGCACACGAGACACCCGTACGACGCTTTGCGTCAGGCTCGCTGGCCGGCATGTGTTCTGTTTTTCTCACCTATCCGCTCGAGGTTATCCGAGTGAGACTCGCTTTTGAGACGAGGCAGGACAAACGAAGCACCTTATCCAGCATATGTCGTAAGATATACAATGAAAGACCGAAAGGGTCTTCTGCGCACGCACGGATAAACACATCGTCGATGTCTTCGGCTACGCTATCCGGCGTGGAGGCAACCTCCGCAGCTCTATCCTCTGCTGCTCCGCGATATGGCATCATAAACTTCTACCGTGGATTTACGCCTACGTTATGCGGCATGGTGCCCTACGCAGGCGCGTCGTTTCTGGCGCACGACACTGCGTCAGACCTTCTCCGCCACCGCGCCATCGCAAAGTACACGACTCTTCCAGAAACAGCCGGCAGCGCAAAGATGGATCCACACAAACCGGCGCAGCTGATGGTCTGGGCACAACTCACCGCAGGAGGATTCGCCGGTTTTTTCGCGCAGACAGTATCCTATCCTCTGGAAATCATACGGCGCAGAATGCAAGTCGGTGGCGTGGTGGGAGACGGATCGAGGCTGGGCATGGCCGAAGTGGCCAAGCGGATATGGATGGAAAGGGGTCTTCCAGGTTTCTTTGTCGGACTGGGCATCGGATACATGAAGATTATACCCATGGCCGCGACGAGTTTCTTCGTGTACGAACGGGGCAAGTATTATCTTGGAATATAGGAACCTCGAGCGCAACGCCTTGCACCCGGACTCATTCGAGGTGCAATTATCATTGGAAAGCATGCTGCATTTTTCTTGTGTATGTTGCGATTCTTTTTGTGTTGGTGGCGGCGTTATTGCCTTTATCGTCTCAGCGGACATTACCCGTCATGATATGGCAGCGGGACAACCATAGAGCTTCAAGAATGGAAATCTGCATTCTTACCCTTCCAAGTCCCCATATCTATCTCCAGGCCTACAAAATCATTATCTTAAGAGATTGCTCTGTCGTCAAAGTTGTCTCATTGTGTTCTACACTAAAACACAGCCATCTATCATTCGACAAAACGCCTTGAGTCCGGCAAACGAGTTCGAAACGATCCTCAAAGCATCACCGGCAAGGTGTTGTTCGGCTTCTCTGTACCTTCATTTGATCTAGTTCCAGCAATAGAAGTGGCTCTGTGTCTCATGCTCGTGCCAATTCTTATGCGCGAAGTCTGCGAAGAGCCTCACAACCCACGAGTATGGGAAGAAGGCTTGGCACGACCATTCCGGGAGGAAGAGAAATGTTCCAATGGCTTTTGACATTTTACTTTTTCTACAGAAAGCTTTGGATTCGATCCAATTACAAAAAAAAAGGATCTAAACAGCCTGCTTCGCTCTGATCGATTTCGTCTTTCGGCGTCACGACACACTAGCTCCGTCGTCCGCTCCGGCTTCCACTCCTGCTCGCTCACTCCGGTCACCGAGTCCCGCAGCCGAATCTTGAACGCTGCACAAATGGATGTGCCGACGTTCCTTTTGCTGTCGGGCGCTTCCGCTGAACTACCGCTCCGCCCGTCCCAGAATCGCTGAAAGGATATCTCTCTCGCGCGGCGTCGTGGAACTTGTGCGCCAACTCTCGTTCTGGCATTCGCCCTCCGACGCGACGAGTCTTCCCATATATACAATGGCCGTTTTATGGCAAGATAGTTATCGTCCTGGTCATCCGGCATATGGGATTTGATAGTATAGATCCACATACCAGCTTAGCCATATTGCCACGTTCTCGTTTACCCAGCATAGGGGTTGGACAGTCATCCAGACCTTGCGATACTTTATGATTTACAAGAGTACGTGCCATTACGCAGGGCACAAAGCCCAAAACAGGTTTGCTACAATATGGTAGAATGTTGACGACGAGAGTGGAAAAAAAAATACGCTGTAGTATTTACAGAGGCATTTTATGTCCACTATATTACATTACGCGAGCGCGAATAGAGAGAAGCGCTCGGCCCCAACACATGTGATGCAAAAATGCTATCCAAGTACGACGCATGCAAACGCTTCCAGTACGGGTAAAAAACACTGGTGGAGAATCAACAAAATGGTCACCAAGCTCAAAGGCAAGAACGGGATACATAGCAGGGATGCCAGGATTGAAAGGCCAGTCCGCCGCCGCCGTCTCCCTCTCCGTGTACAATGATGGGTATCTTAGCGCATCAGAAATTGTTAAGAATAGAACCGCCTGCTTTTGCATCCTCTTGACAATGATAGCGAGGATATTGAAAAATGCGAGCAGATCCTCCAGGCGAGAAAGAAGATGCAAGCGAAGAATCAGTGGCAGAAGAAAATTTCAAATAGAACTAGACAAATGCAATTACAGTCCAAACGAGAGATAATGAGATCAAAACAAAACTGCCTTTGCAAGGGGGGTTTTTTTTAAAAAAGAAAATTCAAACAAGCAGAAAAGTAAATGTATATGTAACGACCATAGGGCAGGCATAGGCCGTCACGAATGTATGCATGATATTACATGAGCGAGCATCGGAATGCACGTCTCTTCTTCTTTGTTGATTTGGATGGCTTCCGCCGGACAACCCGAGGCGACGGTGGTCTGAAGACGTCCTGCCCACCGTCTGAGATCCTCCCGCCGCCTCGCCGTCAACTGGAATCGCCGTAACCCTCGTCAGTATGATATCCACTCGCGGCCGTAGCTTCTTGAAGGCGTCCACCTGGATACTTTGGCGAAACCTCCATGGGCCGAGGGTACTTCAGAGGTGTCGACGGAGTCCTACCGCTTGTTGATGGACGTGACGGTCGTTGGGGAGTCGTGGGAATACGATCACGTGGTGATATCTGCGCCGGCGCATCGCGTCGCGGTGTGCTCTGCTTGCTTGTAGAACGCATTGAAGGACTTGGATCTTTCGGTGGAGGTGCTGGAGGAAGATCTGGCGATCTGCGCGCATCTCTAACGGGAGCCATGCCGTCACCAAAGGAAGAAGCTCTGTCCCTGGTGGTTTTGCGGTCTCGGGGTGTCACAGTCTGGCCTGTGCTCTTGCTTCCCGTTCGCGTATGTCTACTCCCTCGACTGCCGCGACGCTCTTGAGCTGGACTGCTAGGAGTTCCACCTGGGGAACCATCAAACCCACTAGGGACAGTCTCCACATCGCGATATACATTCATCTTCTTAGATGGCGTAGCGGGCGTCAGATCGCTGGTCAAAGTAGGCTCCGGTGCGGGCGGAGGGTAGGTCTGGGGAAACGGATCACCGGTAACTGGCTTCGTTGCCGAAGGCGGTTCGGCTGATGGAGGCGATGTTTCTGCGCCAGGTTTCGGCGTGCCTTCCCACGACTTTCTTTTCATCATTCGACCTAATACACCAACCATATCTGCAGCATCATCATACTGCTCGTCCGTTATACCTATATCTTCACCATCGCGCAGAGAGCGAATAGCCCTTCTGGCAAGCGATCGCGACCCACTATGATCATGGACGCAGTCCCAAAGGAACGCAGCATGTTCAATGGCAACGGATAAACGTAGTGGATGAGCCCCAGGAAGCCGTAAGGTTGCTATGTTCGATGCAGCGCGGAAGTACGTTGCCGTGTTCGGCACAAAGTCAATGGCAGGTAGTAAAAACGCCGAAGGCTTTGGGGGTAGCGGCGCAAAACCAGGAGGCATGGATGGAGTCAGCCCAGGAGGCGGTGTCGTTCCCGGCTGTACACCAGCGTACGGATTTGTCAGAAAGGAAGCATCTGATGTTATAGAGTCGATGTTGTCGCGTAACGTCTGTCTCTTTCCCTTTGACTCGCGCGAGCCCCGCTTTGGGGTGTTGTTTTCGCGCTTCTCCTGAGGAGAACCACCACTGCTACCTCGCCTTCGTCGCTGGCCGTTGTCATGCTTCGGCGAGAGAGGTTGCGATGTCGATCGTTTGCTCGAGTACGCGCTGACTGTGGTTATGGGTGGATTGTTGTGAAATAAACAGAATATGTGATGGAACGATGCGCGCAACTTCGTAACGAGAACCTGGCATTCTGCTCCCAGCTCACCATTCCCTGCATAAGGCATAACGGAGAGCTCCAATATGGAGAGTCCCTCGCGAGATAGCCATATGATTTGGTGATAGAGTTGTAGCGATTTGGTGTCGCGTGACGTGTCGAGCTTCCGTAGCTTTCTTGCCCTGTACAGCTTCTTTGCCAGCACGACTGAGAGGCCTAGAAGCTGGTAAAGTGCTTTCGAAACGAGCGGCGCTATCGGGGCTGATGCATCGGCTATGCGACCTAAATACTTTTGGTCTACATCCGATGAAGCCATTGCCAGGAGACCTAGAGACGTGTTAGGTGGGAGCTCCCTCACGTTGAAGTTGTAGCGGAGATGACGCGGCATAGTTGCAATGCAGGAGTCTAAGTGCTCTCCATCCCCGAAGAAAGATATTAAGGATTTGAAGCACGCCAACAGAGACAAGATTGCAGGCGCACGAAACGTCTGCAGCTCGTTGATAAAAATCTGGTCGTGGCCTCTTCGCGATGAAGGAAACACAATGCTTACAAGACGATTGCGACTTCCGCGTCGTCCGGCAAACGGACAGCCGCGGAAAAAAAAAACAAACAGTACGCACAAAGGGCACCAGTAAGTTGAGTGGAAGAAGAAAGAGACCAGGAGATGATGAGACAAGGAGAACAGACGTACCATAGAACAATGGTCGACCTCAGCACTGGAAAGCACGGATGGTGAACAGACTGCGCCAGCCTTGTAATCTGGACCAAGAGGAGGCTGATGATGATGATGAGAGCGCCACCTGTAGCTGGAGCTACCCGGAGCACCAATCACGACGGACGGAGCTGGTGACAGTCAAGGAAGCGCCGTTCCAGGTAGATGTCGGTACAGTTACCAAATGCAATCAAGGAGCCGCCCAAGAATTAGGTCCCAATGGCAAAGAGCGAGAGCGGAGACGCGGATCGGGGCGTCTGATACGGTCTGATGTGGACCCTCGAGAGTAGCGCAGTAGCGGTTCAAGTCGCCGTTGCGCCGTAAAAGATGGCGACGATGGTGTTTTTCAACGGGAACGCCCACGAACAACGGAGTTACGGGCAAAACGAGTGTCCGTCGCGATGGTGCTGGCGCACTGCAGGAGCGGCGGCGCAGTGTCTGGTAGCTGGACCCTACGAGACATGGTCAGTACTAGCAGCGGGTAAAGATGGGTCAGCCCATCAATGAAGCACACCTGTGTGGGCGTATGAGGCAGAGACAGGACGTCGAGGTCTATCACCAACGGCGTCCTATTCGTCGAGAGGGTCTCGGGGTAAGCCAATGGCAGACGGTGTCACGCCCGAAATTGCAACACGAGCCCGGTGTCTCTGCTACAACGTCATTCGAAGCTTGCAATGCCGGCGGGCGAAGAGGCTGGCAGTCGTGCTGGACGACGCATTGCTTTAAACGCGTGATATGATGTTCTCGGCGGACGGGGCCACGCGCGCGCGCGCCAAACGAGAAATAGGGAACGATTGCTTTTTTGCGAGGGCGTTGTGACCGCGGGAAAAAAGAGGTGAACCGTGACGTTGGGCTGCGTCTCAAAAGGCACTGAGCGGGCCAGCGAGCGGCTGTGGCGTTTCTCTTCTGCGCCCACGCTGGTGCTGATGCTGATGCTGATGCTGATGCTGATGCTGATGCTGGTGCTGGTGCTGGTGCTGGTGCTCGAGCTCTCACGAGTCTTCGACGCTCGCCGGAAGACGTCTCTTCGGTCCGCTTGCGTTCGAGCGCGGATGTCGACACGTCTCGTTTCCGTCCCGAAACGCTTTCGTCTCTCGACTTCTGACTCTTCTGTCTTCGTTCGTCGCGGCCGCGGTCTGGCAGGGGACGCACGGGATTGCTGCTCGAGTCGGCTAAAGGGCGCTTGTGCTCCTTCTCGCCCGCGGAACTTGCTCGTGACGATCGCTTGGGCTATGCTGGCCAAGGGCCATCAGTGTGTGGCATGCGCCGGCGTGAGCAGAGTTGCCACGGCGTGTGGGCGAGCGTCAATGGGTCTTTCGTCGACGGTGTGCGCGTGTAGACTGCAGACTCGAATATACATGTGCGTTTTGTGCGCGCGCACTCACCGTGCAGCCGGACGGGGCAAAGACGGAGCAGGCGAACAAACGAAAGATGGAGAATATCGCATGCACAAAATAGAAAAAGCTGCGGCGGCCCAAAGCTGGGGTTATAGCACGCGCATCCCATCTTTCTCGCCCGTCGCTGCAGCTGTCGCTCTCCTGCGTCAGAAGTAGGGAGGGTCTCTACCACGCCCGCTACTCAAGCGCGACCACGTATCACCCGTGTGCATGAAAACCTCCTGTGCTTGCATGCGCCGTCCACTTTTAGCAATGCAGGCCTTTTGATCGTCCGTCTGTGTGGCGTCATCGCCCGCTGCCAGCTGTCTTCATCGTCCTCTGATCAACGACGTTCGCCGAACGAAGTGGCCGCTTTGCCGTGGCAGGGCTGCTCCCGCTCCCACAGACACCAACAACTTTGCTCAGCTGTGCCGGCTCGCACGAGATCAGCCGCTAAGATCTGGCCTGCGGAGATGTCGAGCCTCAATCCGGGCAGCTCAGCCATGCGAGGCCTGCACGTTGCCGCCCGCTGGTGTCCAGCATTCCTCTTCCGCTGCCATGCTGTCCCCGACGTACGACCGAGCCCACGCTCGCAGGTCCGATGATCTCGACGAACAAACATGGCGCACCCACGCTTCCCTCGCGCCGGAACTTCTCGAGCTTCGCGGCCAAAAAGGCGGGACCAGGGTAGCTCCGACACGAACGCAAGCAACAGAGACACGATGAAAAGGACCGACCTTGGGTCTGCCATTTCAAAAGTAGCGCGTGCCCGCAGCAGGATTGCTCGCTCCAAAAGAGGGAAGTAGCGGTGAGAAAGGGTGACGTCTAGAGTGCGACGTGTGCGCCGACCCGTTTGCGCGATGCCGTCGCTCCACGCCCGCCCAGTCGGACTCTGCACTTTAGACGCCTCGCACCCGCATCGTCGTGCCATTTCCTCACGGACTCTTCGTCTCCCTGAACTTCGCAGGCCCGCAAGAGAGCGCCCAGCTGCTTGCATCAAACCATCCCCCGTCCGAAGATCCCCCCCAACGGCGCCGTCGTCACTGACAAGCCCAGACTTTGTTTTGGCCCCAGCCCTCCTTGCGGTCAATTGCGCTTGGGAACTGACTTCTGTCGCACCTGATGACGGTAGCGCTCGCAAAAGCATTTCACAGCTAGCCTTTTGCGGGGCATACGAAATCGATTGGATCAGACGTCCCCATTTCGATCCCAGCCCTCAGCCTGCAGCTGGAATAGTCCGGACTACGTGTTCAACACCGGCACATTCGGCTGATAAACGGCGAGGCTGGGTGGCAGTGAGAGGACATTGGCCTTCAAAGGCATTGGCAGCTGTCCTCGCTGTCATTTCGCAAAGCGTATGTGCCTGTTGTTCACGACCGCGTCCGGTACAGCTCTCGTGGTTGACGAACGGAATCCAGCTGCGGAACCTTGCCATGCTGATGTATTGACGTACCTTGGCGTCCATCGTAGTGAACCGCTGACCTTTCCACATCTTGTTCTAGAGAGACTTGTGACAAAGAGAAGCTCGGAAAACGTATATTAATACACGTAGCAAACGTATGATACACCTCTCCCTTCGTAAAGGCCTCCACGCCCGAACCTTCCGCAAACGCCACGTTTTGACAACTAGGTCCTGAGCGAACATCCATGCAATATATGCCAACTGTGTTCCTTCTTCCCAACATTTCTACGCCTAGACATGCAACTAGTGGACACGTTGGCCGGGTGTCCTAATCAGCCCTTCTTGAGGTGGTTCATCATGGGGGTATCATGACACAAGGACGTGTGGATTCGTTCTACAAGAAGTACTCTCCCCTTGTGCTCCTGCCTGCGGGCACCGCGCGCCGATTATCCGGTACAGCGCTGAAGATGGTGAACTTTGGGTCTAGGTCTTCTTGCAAGCTCATGATAGAGGCGACATTGCCGCAGCGATAGCAGTAATTAGGCGCGGACCACACTGTGACCACGTCCTTGTCTTTGAAGTGGTACTTGTAGCCCTCATTAACAAGCTGATGAGCGCGAGCTATGAGCTGGAGGCCGTTCACGTGGTTGAACTACATATTTTCGCGTTAGCATCTTAAACGATCCTGGCGTAGCTCGGATAAGGAAACCAACCTCCGTGGCAACTTTATCGCCGAATAGCCAACCTGCACCACGAGGACTGATCGCCCAAGTATCTACTTCCTCCGGGTCGCTCCACACAAGATCACAGAAAGCACCTTCGTGTGGTATCTCCTGCGCTCGGGCGACCACGCGGATCTGATCCAAGGTTCGAATTTCGGGACTAAGACCTCCGTGCACGCACAACACTTTTCCATCAATTATCGCCGCCAGGGTCAAAAAGTCAAAGACCTGGCAGCATGCTTTCCACACGGATGCATTCCCGTATTTTGTCTGACACTCCTCGTAGAAGCCGTAAACCTGCGTGATCTGTCTAGACTCGTGATTTCCACGTACTAACGTGACGCGATCAGGGTATCTGCGCAGTCTGTAGTCAGTAATGTGATCATGTACGGCAGTGGTGTTTCTTGTGGAGGAAATAGAACGTACTTGGCCTTCAGACACATCAGAAGTGTGAAAGTTTCCAGGCTAAAATACCCTCTATCCACAAAATCGCCCAAGAATATGTAATTCTGATTCCCATTACCACCCGAGCCACCCACATTTCCTGACCATACATCTTCATCATTCACGTTTTCTTTAGCGTTGCTCACACTCCTGCTTCTGCCACGCTCCTCTTCGTCATCGTCTGCGTCTTCATCATCCTCACCAGGAGGAGGGCCAACGTAATTCTCGTCTCTTTGAAATCGTCTTTTCATCTTGCGCTTTGCCTTAGGGTCCGTAATTGTTGTGGGAGGTTCTATGTCGGCAGCTGATATGGTTTTCACGGAAATGGGAGAAGTCGCAGGCATAGGTTTGTGATCTGGCATGCCACCGGCGACTCTGAATAGCTCAAGTAGATCGTAGAATTGACCGTGAATATCGCCACATACGGTCACTGGAGTCCTGACGGGTTGTATATTGGATTCTGTGATTGGGAGTCTTGTCAGATCAAAATCGCAATAAAATGGCATGCCTCGAGATGTATCTCCAGATCACACAAGTCTGTGAGGCTGCCTCACCTTCCATCAAATACTCTTTAACTATCTCGCATAATCGCTTCATGTCCGCCTCTGGTAGGTATTTGCATTGTTTTGCTTGCTCTAGCCACTCATCAGGCCCAGCTCCTTTCGATAGACGTGCCGGGCCCGGTTGCGGCACGTCGCTATCTCTTGCCATCTTGTTGTGGATCACAGAGTGCAGTCTGTTCGTGTATGCGTTGTTCGAGGGGGCAAGGCTAGAACTAGGGCCGATCGTGTGACTTGGAGCAGACTCAGCAAGAGGAAACAATAAGACTGTATGCGGAGGCAGCTGGTTTTAGGAACACATTATCCTCTGTAGGCGGCTCGAGGTTGAGGATCTATTAGTCTTGTGTAGTGGTGGAGCTCACGAGGGTGAATTACGCTAGATGCAGTAGCTTCGGTGATCTCCGACGTCCGCACTCATGCACCCACGTACATCAAAAGGTAACCCAAGCAAAAGTCACTAATATTGCACGATAAATTGAATATCGGCCCTGCGCGACGAGCTGAGCATTCGAGCAATTCTATCGAACATGCAAACACCATAAGTACGCAGTCATGGCAGCTCCTTCTCAGTCTGTCAATGGAGTCCTTCAAGTGCCTGCCGCCATACTTAAAAAGAATGACACAAAGCCCGCCAACACGCCCAAAGCATCTCGAAAACCTGCAGAAAGGCTCAAGGTGATAATACGACGGCTTCCTCCGGGCCTTACAGCAGACGAATTTGGCACGATTATTGGCGAGGAATGGAAAGTTGGAGCAGGGAAAGTGAATTGGTTCCAGTACAAACCCGGGAAGGTCTCAAAGGATTTTTCGAAGCCGTCTAGACCCGCGCGAGCCTACTTGAATGTCACAGATGAAAGCCACTTGATACCTTTGAAGGACAAAGTGCTGCAGAGCAATTTTATTGATGCAAAGAACACAACCAAAGACCCCGCACTCATAGGACCACCGACATTGGAGTATGCACCATACACTCGTGTACCGCTCGGCAAGAAAAGGACAGACGCACGGCAGGGCACAATAGATCAAGACCCGGAATTCATCGATTTCCTTCAGAGTCTCACGAATCCAGTGATCAAACCAACCTCACTTGACGCAGACCCAGCGCCAAAGAAGGAGGAAATTACGACGACCCCATTAATTGAGCACCTCCGGGAAAAGAAAGCAGCAAAGGAGAAAGCTAGCAAGTCGGGCAAGGGCAAACAAGAATCTAAAGAGACAAAGGGCGAAAAGGCGAACAAGAAAGCTGCTAAGGGTCAGGGTGATTTGCAAGAGAAGCCGAAGAAGCTCACCAAGGCAGAGAAGGCTGCCCAACAAGCTGTTAAAGTACTGAACAAAGAAGCTGCAAGTGGGACAGACAAAGCTGCAACTGTTCAGTCGGCGGCGAAAGGTGCAAGCGAGCGCAAACCTGAACGTGCCGCGAGACCCATTAGTGTCGCAGCAAGAATACAGCAAGATCTTGGGCTATCACCGGCTGTTAAACGAACAAAGCGTGAGGTTAATACCGAAGCTCAAGCAGCAGGTGCGGCAATTTCGGGATCCCAAGACGCTCCTGCTACTCAATCGCCCAAGAAAGGACCAAAGACGCCCAAGTCAGCTAACACGACAGAGAAGTCGACTTCAGAGACAGCCGATGGATCTAAATCAGTGCCTACCAGCTCTGCCCCGCCCACTGTGCTAAAGAAGCCCCCCCAAGGAGCAAAGGCACAGGCAATGGCTCAACCAACCGCACCCAAAGGCCCAAAGGCACAAAAAACTGCACAACCCGCGCAACCTCCGCAGAGCAACTCTTCTCCAGCTGCCTCGTCGTCAGCCGCGGCGGCTACATCCGCAGAACCGGCAGCGCTCCCTCGTCAAGCCTTCCTTAAGCACGCAAACCCATCTCAGGGCATCACGGAAACTCTTATAGCGGACGCCTTGTCCGCTTTTGGTGCCATCGAAAAGGTTGAAATCGACCGCAAAAAGGGCTTTGCATATGTCGACTTCGCCGACAACGAAGGCATGAAGAAGGCCATTGCTGCGAGCCCAGTTAAGGTTGCGCAAGGGGCAGTTCAGGTGCTCGAGAAGCGAGACAAGTCGTCCTCAGCATCAGGAAGAAACCCACCATCCGGACCTGCGCATATGCCAAGGGGAGGATTCCGAGGCGGTCGGGGCGGAAGGGGTGGAAGAGGAGGGGCAAGGGGTGGAGGCAAATCTGCTGGAGGCCCAGCGAGTCCTTCCCCCAGTAATGCTACGCCCGCTGCTCCAAATGCGCCCACTTGAGAATTATCTGAACACTTCTGTGAATAGCATTCCACACATGTCTTACTCCGGGCCCTACGTCTGATTGGACGACTATAATTACGTTTCGGCAACAGTTACAAGCACGTTGCTCAAATTACAGTATCTACCGATCGAGTGAAACGATCAGGGCCCGACAACAAAACGAAGGAAACCTCAAATCCCCAGGTTGCATAGTAGAGGCATACATGAAGGGGGATGAGATACATGGCGAAGTACTCTTTTTCGAGTCGACGAAGGCATGACGAGTACGTGGGTCATGAATAGGAAGTCTGACGAGATGATCCATCTTTCATGATATGTATAGACCCTAGTCATCAGCTTACTTGATCTAATGTGTGCATTTCTTCAGCTTCCTCTGTTCCCAATCCAACCTCCTCATCCCATATGCTTTCAGATCTCGCACCTCACCCCACTTATAAACAATGTCCCTCATTGTCCCCTCATGCTTATAGCCACACTTCATCAACACCTTCTCGCTACCTTTGTTTCCGCCATACACCTGGGCTCCGACCCTTTGCAACTTCTCTCCCGTGATGCCTTGTTCCTGCTCAAATGCCCAATTTGTAAGTGCATCGCACACAAGCGTAGCATATCCTTTACCCCAGAACTCTTCTCCCAGCCAGTACCCTATCTCCGCATTGCGTCTTAGCACGTCGGTGCCTGGCACAAAGCCGCAGCCACCGATTGGGGGACCTTCTGGCGTGAGGGACACGACCCAGGCATACACGTTTGATTTCTTAGGATTGAGCGCTTTGAGCATGAAGTCGACACCGTCCTGTTCGGTGTAAGGGTGTGGAAACCGGTCAGTCATGTTGCAGGCCACCTTTTTGTTGTTCGCCATTCGCGCAATAGCTGGGACGTCTGATGGATGGTAGGGTCTGACAACTAGTTGCGGTAGCGTTATGATGGGTTTTGGCCATGGCAAGTCGGCGGGGAGCTGCATCTTGACGACGCTGTGAGTTTCTACAGTTCCGCCATGATTTGCACTGGGAACGACAGCTTGTTCAGCAACCTGCTGATGGGGCTCCGCGTCGGCCATATCCGTCTGTTGTTCCTCACCCATAGAGTGAAGGGCCGTTGAAGAAATCCCGTCGACGACTTGAGTCGCTCGTCGTACGTCGTACGTGATCATTGCGTCTATTTATGAAATTGAACAGGCCCAATGCAACGTGTGTTATATGTCTAGCAAGTATGACTGTAACCACGAATACGAATCAGCAATCCCAACCCAAGTTCCCTCCCCCCCACATTAAAAAGTGCCATGACTGTTCCCCAGTACCTATGTATATTCCACTGCATATTTTGACAAGGTGCCCCCGAGCCGATTCGACCGCGGCGGATCTTGACTGGATGCAGAAGGTGCTAAAGGTTGCGCAATTGGCTTGACGCAGACGGTGAAACTCAATTCAGGATTCCTAGAAGCCTGTGTCGGACACGTTGCCCATCTTCAAGTTGAAAGAGATGGTCGTATCCCTTCAACTCAAGCACTTCGTCAATGACCTCTCCGTGAGGCATCGAAAGGGAGCCAACCAACCAACCAACCAAACCCGGGCCCCCTCCCAAATTGGCTTGGACCTCGGTGGATTATGCTAAAGGACCAGAAGCCGCGACGTCCCAAGCTAAAAGTCGTGACGCTTGCTTTTCTCCGTCAAACAACAAGCAGTCTGAGAGCAGGCCACGCGCACGAATCCCCGTCATGCAATCCTTGTATAGCTAGCTTTTCTCCGTCTCCTCTGTCTTCGCGGCCACGGACAGCGTGAAAGAAAGAAAGAAAGAAAGAAAGAAAGAAAGAAAAAGATAATGTCGGACCCCGATGGCGGTGTCGACCAGTACCCCGAGGACTGCCCGTTCTGCAACATCGCCAACGCCTATCCGTGCCCGTCGCAAGGCTCGCCAGATCCGTCCTTGTTGTCGTACATACCTGAGAAGGTAGACGTGACGCGGACCGCCCCGTCGTGTTTCCTCGTCCTGGCGGCCCCGACCGTCATGGCGTTTTTGGACATATTGCCCATGACGCCAGGACACCTGCTCGTCGTGGTGCGCGAGCATCGACCCAAGGTCGAGAACATGGACGCCGAAGAAGGCCGTGACGTCGGCTTCTGGCTGCCGCTGCTGGCCAAGGCGGTGAAGAACGTCACGGGGACGAGCGATTACAACATCGTACAGAACAACGGTACGTGGGAACGTTGACCCCTTTTTATTTTGTCCCTCGTACGACGGTGCGCTGAACCGTCGAAAAAGGAGTTCGGGCTGCCCAGGTCGTTCCGCATGTGCACTTTCACATCATCCCAAGACCGTCCCATGTGCCCGAACTGAAAAACAAGTCGTGGACCATGTTTGGGCGCGGCCAGCGAGAAGACTTAGACGACGACGAAGGAGAGGAACTTGCTGCGAAACTACGGGTGGAACTGAGAGCGGAAGTAGGGAGGAGGTCCTCCAACAGCAGATTATGAGAACTCGATTCGAATATGCTGCCCAGTCCAAGCACTTCTGCGATATGTGACAGAACCTGGTATCTACGATGCACAAAGTAATACTTCTAGTTGTTGAAAGAGATTCTGAAACGACTTAATTGAATGCCATGCTTTCTAGATACAAGAATACCATCTCCAGAATTCAGCCCCAGCCCAACAATATATCTCTCGAAGAGACAAAAGAGTGACTATTAATGATACATGAACGGGTAGCCTTAGGTCTCAGAGATGTCGCTGCGAAGCGTGGTCTGTGAAGCTCTCCTTGATTTTTTTTTTCTCGATCATTTTCGTTCGGTGTGTTGGAGAGCTCAAATTTGCGAGACAATACCTTGACGCGCTGGCTCCCAAAAGAACCTCAGAAGAATTAAACATGCAGATTCGCTCGCTCACACCAATCTTTAGCCCTTCATCCTTCAAGGCAATTTATGCAGCCGTTGCATTTGTGAAAAAAAGAATTGAATGTAAGAACAAGTGTGTTATGCTAAAGGGTATCCGGTGACGAACTTAGGATATATGATTATGCGTGAATGGTATCGTGGTGGCCGTAACAATCGTAAGATTTTCAGTGTGTGAAGATAGCGTATGCATTGGGGATGCCTAGCGATGATTTCAATAGTTATAAGATAGTTTAGATCGGCGGTGGTTCAGCGCCAGCCTGGGTCCAGTTGGGTGGCATATTGGCTCGAACTTTGGAAGTCGATCTGGGCGGCGCGGTGGAAGCACCAGCGCGGTCCAAGCCAGCGGCCATCATGGCTTGCTCTTCTCGCTCGCGCATCTGACGGGCAATTTCCTTAGGGTTTCGATAACCCTGGTATGTCGTTGATGGGAGAAGCGCTGGACCAGCTTGGTGACTTTGCTGAGGCGGAGAAGTCACGCGAGCAATTGATTCGTACGGCACAGCTGCACGCATCTGTGGAACGTTGGGCTGACTAGGGCGTCGCTGTGGCTGTATGCTCTCATAGGGCGCATGATTCGTTGGCACTGGTGGTGAGATTACCGGGCGTTGTCTGCTAGCACTCCGGTCACGATGACGATTGCCTCCAAAAGCCCCTCGGATCCTTGAGCCCACACTTTCCGAGATGCTGTTTCTACCCCGTCTGTGCCCGTGGGCTGGGGTTGCAGATGGATCAGGCATAGGAGTTGATTCAATGGGTGGAGTCTCAATCTGTGGAGATACTCGCTGCGTTTGGTCTTCGACAGGAGCACTCATGTTGGCTCCTTCATTCAGAGACGTGGAATGGACTGGAGGAGCTACTGGCGCAGGCGGAGGTGGAGGTGGTGGTGGACCTGCAAGATGTTGCAACTCCGGCAACATTGGCGGAGCAGCTTCTAGCGTCTCGGGTTGCTCGACGATAATCACCTGTGACTCACGAATGGCCTCATCTATGTTACGAGACAACTGCAGAGTACCATTCGCGCCTGGAGATACGACGGTAATGTTGTCCTTCTTGTCATCCCTGGAGTTCTGTCTACTGTGGGCACTCGAGATTCGTCGATGGTGGCCTTGAAACTTCTCTGGTGGAGCAGAAGCAGATCGCGAATGTGGGCCAGTTGGAGGCCTATAGGTGGATGTGGGCAAGAGCGTGAGAACCTCTGGCTGCTCTTGAGATGATGCCGGTGCACTGGGACCGGCATATCCAACAGGAATCTCGGGTACAGCAGGTACAGGTTCGCCTGATCCCGCCATGTCCTTTGGGTGACGCATAGCTCGAGGAGTTGCTGGGAGCCCAATTTGTGCTGAAGAGGTAGAGGTACCAGATCCCTGATTTGTGACCTTACGAAGAGCGTGTGGATCTGCCGTGTGGCCTCGCATTGCCTGAAGATCATTGGCAATTGTGAAGAGAGAGCTGGGGTCGACAGAAGGCTCAATCGCCGACCTGGATCCTAATTCGTCTGGGTGGATGACTGGGGGTGCTGAGGGCTTGCGCAACAGAGAAAGACGTCGAGCCTCAAGCTCCTCGGCAGCTATGTCCTTGCGAGTTCGTGACATAGGGGCACTGTCTGAAAGATTAGTCTGAAGCCTAGGCATCGCTGGCTTTGATGGCCTTCGCATTCCCGTAGCGACAGGCTCAGGCGACTGTTGTCGGCGTTGTTCGGCAGGACGACGGCTCATGCTACGTTCACGAACTCGCTCACCAACCTTCGATCTACTCATAGTAGAACCTGAAGGTGACATTGGGCGGGGTGAAGGTGGAGATCTTGGCGGCGATTCTTCACGGCGAATTGCACTACGTCCACGTCCACTGCGGTCGTGTTCCTCGTAAGCATCTTGCCTTGATGTAGTCGCGCGACTTCGAGATCGAGTCCTTCGACCGTCACGCGACGTTGCTCGTGAACCTGCTCTTCCGCCTGGGTCTCTGCTCAAATCACGCTCCCTGGGTCGCACTGGCTCGTTTGGCTCGGTGAGCTTGTAAAAACTCTCCGCATCAGTGACACTGCTGAGGTCGTAACGGCTAAGTTGAAGAGCCGGGTCGTCCGGAGACATGGAAATTGGTGACGACGGCGAGCGCTTCGCTGGCCGTATATACTTCGTATTGTCTCTGCCATGTCGTTCAGACGGAGCTCTGTGCGCTGTACGACTTCCCGGTCTGTCCGCGTTCCTAGAACGACTTTCCGCGCGAGTTCGCCCTTGAGTGTGAGCATCGTTCAAGCTGTTGATGTACTCATCAATACTGCGAATCTTGGAGTTAACCATGTCGGATGGATTACTCTGCAAGCCCGCGATACCTCGTTGCTGGCTTGTTGCGCCGCTCTGGCTTCCCGCGGCTATCTGCGCGAACTCGCTTGCGGAAGCACCCGTCGGGATGGAGCTTGGAATAGAGGAATCAACTATAACATCCTCGATACGTAGTATCAAACCTTCCTTGTTTCGCTCGCTACCCCCACTTCGTGATGGGGTATGCTTATGAAAACGGTCGAGAGCTGGGGAAGGAAGACCCTCCCGCCCACGGTCATTTTCTTGATAGGTAGATTCTGTCAGAAAAGATCCAGCTTGGCTAGCAGAAACACTGCGGGCGCGAGAAGACACGACAGAACTCACTTCCGAGTGAGTCGTTTTTACGGCTGTATTAGGGTACTCAAATCGACTCGAGTCCACCTGAGGTGTTGTGGTTTCGTAGCCTCTACTGCGAGAAGTCGAAGGAAATCGTCGGCGAGCAAAGCCGCCCGGAGTGGCTGTGCGTGTGGACATTGCAGACATTGGATCGTGTCGCCTGTCTCTGCGCTCGGCAGGGGAGAAGACCATTGGAGTCTTGTCATCGATCGCAGTCGCCAGCTCAGCTGGGCCCGCCTTTTGACTGAAGTTTGTGACAAGCCTCAGGCCGGCCTGATTGGGAAGCAATCGACGAGTTCCAGGAGAAACTGGAGAGGGACCGACGCTAGAAGGTGTGTCCGGAGCTAGAATCTTTTGCTGTAGAGCATAGACCTCATCTTGAGCACGTGGTGAAAACCACGGCTCTGACGACTCCATGCTTGTACATGAGAAGCATCGGACGGCAAGTTCAGGCTGACCCTGAGTCATCACAACTTCACCCCACTTCCGGACCAAGTGTGATATCCTGCCCCAATCCGTTGGGAACAGCAAACACGTGAGCAAGACAGCTTCCATATAGTACTTTCTCGAGACGTAGACCTCAACCGCCTCGTTATACTCTCCAAGGCCGAGCAAGATGGACACGGCAGGGTGGATGTCGCCTTTCTCAAGGAGTCGCTGGACAAAGGCTTCGCCGACCTTCTTTTGCGAGTCTTGGCCCATGGTGCTTAGCGCGAGCAGCATCCAGTCAGACGAAGTCATTGACTCGGATCCAATCATCGAAGCAGCAATGTCAGCTCCAAGATCACCCAACCACTTAGCCAACAGAACAGCGCTGGCAGAGCTTGGTGGGTGATGCGACAGTTCTTCCTTAATCAATTCAACAATGTCATCAGTCCATCCAAACACCACGTCAAGCATTTGGTTCCGAAGGTCGTCCGGTGTACGACGGTTCTGGTCGTATTGAGGAGCTCGGAAGACAACTTCCGCAAGTCGCGCCTTGGTGTACGGGAAGAGGTCCATCAACATAGTGTTCTTAGTCTCCTCTGGACTTCTCAAGACTTCCTGCCGAAGGCGTGAGGTTTTGCTCGACTTCGAGGCAGATGTCGAGGTTGAGAGCAGGGACCTAGTTGAGACGCTTTCCCGCATTGCTCGATGCTGAAAACCACTCCGCATGGAGGTCGTACCCACTGAGAACGTCGTATGCGTGCTGCCGCTATGGGTACTATGCATCCCTGGTGACATTGGCCTTTCGCGATCGCGTTCATAGTCGCGTGGTTCTTTTCTTCGTCTTTGGCCGCCACCTCGTGAGGAACGAGAGGTTGTTGATGCCCTGCTGGACACTGGACTCAATGGACCAAGTTGATCACGACCCTCTTGAAGCTCCTCCTCGCTCATATCTTCGTCGTCCCTATGTTGCGATATCCTCTGCAGAGGAGATTTCATCATCCCTTCTTCTGCATCAGAGCTTTCGATGTCCAGGTACAGGGGCAGATTAGAATTTCGTTGCATTGAAGGTTCGGCGGTGACATAACGTGTGCCCTTGTCATCTTGTCCATCGGATATCGGAGGCGAGGGTGGAAGGGCGCCAGGGACGTGCTGCACATTCTGTACGAGCATTGGACGCGCCATTGGGTTGAGATCGTACTGTTGGACAGTGTGATTGCGGCCAAGCGTGAACAGCTTTGCTCCTGGTCCATGATTTGTGATGCCAATAAGGCCGTCTACAGTCGGTACAGATTCGTATGTAACTCGCTTCGTTCGGACATCCCAAACATATGTTAATCTGATGATAAGTCATCAGCTTTATGATCTTCAAAAAGATGATTCTATTTTTTTTTTCATGGACCTACCCGTTTGAGTACTGCACGATTCTACCCATTTTCGACCAGCCAAACCAACAGGCGCCACCATAGTTCTCATGCTCGGATCTTGAAAGCACGCGGATGATACTTGGCTGGTCAGCGCCTTGCGCCTTGGGAATACTCCAGACTCGCAAGTCGCCATCAATAGTTTGCGCGGCAAGCATATCAGACTTCTGCTTTGAAGATGATCCATGCCAGGCGAGCTTATTAAGTGGCGAGGGCGCTCTGTTGGTACTTAGAGTGTGTAAAATCGTGAACGATGGCTGCAGCGTGGCAATAAGAATAGAGCCATTTAGATAGCCTAAAGCAAATGTTCTGCAGTCTGCAGCAGGTGCCAGCGCAGTGATCGGATCGAATATAGTTCTTGCGGATATATGCTCCGATGTTGAAGGTTCAAAGAGTATCACGTTACCTTGCGAGTTGCCTGAGTGATCGTCAGTACATTTCCAAGCCCGAAGAGGAAACAAAGGGACGTTGGCCAGCTCACCGAAAGCAATATTCGAATTCTTCATCCATGCTGCCGTTCTGATATCCTCATACGAAGCAAACCTCGCTATCTCTTCGCCGGTCATCACATCCCAGACGATCGTGGTCAGGCTGCTGTCGTAGCTCACGACTAACCGGCCATTTCCCCGATCGCTAACGTTATCTGCGACTATCAACTGCACATCTTCGTTGTGCTTTTCGAAGCGTCTGACGATCGCCAGCGAGTCATGCTGAAGGCACAGGATGACGTTTCGCTGAGCATACAAGAAGTATGAGTCGGTCGCGGAGCAAGGCTCGAACACGTTGTCGTTGGAGGGCGTCAACGCCTGTCCGTACGGCGGCTGAGGTATTGAGCCTCCTGAATGGTTCGATCGCGAATGATTTGATTGCGTGTGGGAGCGCCTCGAGCCCCTCGAGGTCACCGACATTGTCTAAGACTTCACGCGACGGTCAGTCGGCACAATCGCAGAGGCCAGAGCGGGCGTCGGTGCTTGAAACTCTTGAGGATGGTTAACCCCACTGAAGCGCATGGTGGGGAGAGGGATGATAATAAGGATTACCAGAAATTGGATTAGGAAATCTATGGAGTACAACCAACCTTTATGCTTGCACAACCAACTATGCAGCTGCTCCTGCGCTTAGAAGAGCTTCCAGGTCAACACCCGGGCATGAAAGGGCGTCGTTCCTGGTGTACTTCTTCGGCGGGAGTCTCGCCTGGCAGGTTTCATGCATGTAACCGCGCGATGGGAGAATAGAACTGGAGGAAGAAGGTGTACAACGGTGAGAACGAGCACGTAGGGCGGCTACACAGCCAGGGATTTCCAGTTGGTCCAACCCAGGCTCTCGGATTGATCGAATGAGAGGCTGGCGCTTATATGCAATGCTGTATCCACACAACGAGCCAATGGTAAAATGCGCTTCTGGAAAAGCAGCACACTGGACAGAAAACGTCGCAAGGTGAGGAAAAGAGGGGAAGGAAGGGCATAAAGGTCTTTTTGAACGCAAGCATGTGCGCTATAGCCGTTGTATATTCTCCATGGTGAGTCGCGTCCTCTGTGGCATGCTGCATTTTGATGCCAGCCAAAGAGAGGCTTTCTCAAGGATCAGGCATGCGGGAAGACTCGCCAAGGGCCGCTTTCAAAGATTGTCACAGTGTGTGGAGAACTAAGCGGTCCAGCAGGCGTCGCCCTAGTGCTCGCTGACACCCAATCAGACGCGCAAGCATCGCTTTCACGGAATAAGAGGCTGAGGACGGCCTCGTGAGTCGTCGGTTGATGAAAAGGCCTGCAAGTCATGGTTGACAGACCTGCAACAGATGCTAAAGTAGCGACGGGTCTGGCTCACTCCTGTTGAACGAAAGATATCGTCGTGCGGGAAGAGTCAAAGATGGCCGAACCCGCACAGCCGGCGAGACGGGCCAGGTTCTTGTCAACTCCTCATACGTTGCACGACATGGACGCCAATCACGGTTCCTCCAGGTACGGACTGCCCAGCCATGCGAGGGGCTCCCGTTTCGACATACAAATCACCGTCCTGGCGAGTACGAATTGGCGCGGGCAACTTCGGTGGTCACGTTGTCTGCGGTAGGCGATGGCACCCTCTGCTGTCGCAAGCTGATTGAGAGGTTCGCCTGGTGATTCGGAAGGTGTTCCATCGGCCCAACTGGCCAATACTGCTCTGTTACATGACACTTTCCTAGGGTTGAGAGTCCCACCGCAGGCGATCGCATGTCCAGCTGGATTATTCGAGCAAGCTCGAAAGCAGCCAGTGAAGGAGTAGCCTGGCGAAAAGTCACACCTGCTAGTCTTGATTGCCGTACCCGACACGCTGGAAAATCAATTTTTATGGTGCTGGGCAGGTCTAGCTAATGTGGTCGTAATCACAGCACCAAGATGAGTACGTGCTATTTCTGGCGGGTGCCGTAACCAGGACTGACCAGCGTGCCGGCGCGGTTTCCAATGATAACGTTGGGACGCTGTCTACGGCGTGTTGCACTCCTTTTTCAGGCCCTGGGGAATCAATGCCCGGAGCAAGCCAACTGAGCTCGACTCGAACGCGCTCATCATATCGAATCCCGTCCTGTGACGGACGATTCGTCGACGGATGCTTGCGCCGTTTGCTCGACCGTGATCACGCTGACTGCCAGACCGCCCCGAACGCGGAAAGCGACGGGTGCCTGGGCAGAGACGCAGAGGATGAATCAAACGACCGAGTCACGGGAACGAAGCGATGACTTTTCGACAGGCGGCAACATTTAAACACGCAGAACACAGGCAGACGGCAGAAACAAGACGAAAAGAAGACGAAGAAAAACAAGGCGACGACGAAGCAGAAGACGTGTTCAGGGCCCCCCTCTGAGCTGGTCACGATCGGTGCGCGGTACCAAGGTTTTCTTTGTTGCCCTTCAGCTTCACTCTGGCCAACATCACTGACGCGTGGGGCTGAACTTGCCAAAGTGCAAGATGCGCTGGCTGCGAGGCGAGAGGACGCCTCCCCTCAACGCAGCGGACGGGCAGGATGGGTCGAGCCGAGTCGCTCTCCACACAGGAATGAGGCATCCTGCACGCGTATCATAGCCTGGTGATCAATGTTTGAGAGTGGCAGCAAGATGGGGGCCTCCCACGCGGGGTCCTTTGGGGGTGAGAGGGGGGTGCTGGCAACACTCCCACGCACGCACGACGCGTGAACACACGCATGCGTAGGGGCGGCGAGACAAAGCACATGCACGCATGTTTCACACTGTCGCACGCTCAGATGATATACTCCGGTGGTCTTAAGAACAAAAAGAAAATGAAGTGTCGAAGATGGTGCTTTGTTTGCATCATGTATGCCTTGGAATTAAAACCTAAATGTACCATAGAGGGCACCAACTGAATGCCTGTGCTGCAGCGCTCTGTCGATCAATGCGTCTTTGCGGCGAGGAGAGCCGCGAATTGGGTATCATGCAAAATGCAGCAAGACGCTTTCCTGCGCCCCATCCCGAAAAAAAAAATAACCAAAAGATGCTGATGCAAGTGTATGCGACCGAAAAAAGTACTGGCCCTCAGAGATGATGCTGTCCGATGTTGTCGCTATGCTCTCCCTTTCAGAAGCGCCGAAAAAAACCAACCACCGCCAGTGTTTCTTTTCTGTGATGGGACAAGCCACGCGGGCTCCAATCACACCGATCGACTGGTGCGGAAGAAGTTCTGGCGCGCCGGTCCGACGCACCACCCAAAACAGCACACAAATGTGACAAGCCCGTTCCGGCCGGAAAATGTCATGAGTCGTGGATGCTCGAGCCCCGCTCCCTTTCCTGCGCGGCGTAATTCGCTGCGCGACGCGACAGTGTCGTGACCGTGTCAGGTCTACTGTGCCCGCACGGTCAGTGCGTGCGGGCAGTTGGGTATCATGATTCATATGCATCGTGTATTCTGGACAAGCCATGTCAGCGGCATGCGCGCAGCTGGGAAAAAAAGCCCTGTGGTGGGCACGGTGCCAACGTACACATTATCCTGTGGAAAAGAAAAAAGTGAAGTCGCCGGCGAGCTCACTCGGACACCTCGGGCGATTCCGAGATGGGAGTGAGCTTGTTTGACGGTCGCTTCTTGGTCTTGGAGGACCTTCGCTTTGACTTCTTCTTTTCCGATGCATAGAGTGGTGGAAGCGGCATGGGCATCGCAGTTGGGAACGGGATGTCCCTCGGCGGAGCGGGGGCCTCCGAGAGCAGCGGGCTGGCACCGTCGAGGAGCTCGTCTGGAAATAGATCCTCGTCGCTGATAAATGCGTTCGGTGTCGCCGACGGTGAGAAGCCAGTCCAGCTTGGATATGCGCAGGTCATGCTTTGTGATGCTGATGTTGCTGACGATGCGCTGCGTGATGAGTAAGAGGTGGCAGACGAGGCTGAGGGCCAGCCGATGGAGATGGGTGGCGATGACGCCGATGGACTGGGTGATGACTTGAAGTCCATGTCGAAATACATGGTCTGGTGCGTGTGCTGTATTCTTTGTTGCTGTTGTTGTCCAGGACGGAGAGAGACGTTTCTCTTGCGCGACGTGGTTGGGGGACGACGCGGGTGTTGAGCTGTTGATATATGGCCGGACTGATATTTACGTGCTGGACGCGTGGGCGGATCACAGGGATGCAGGCCCAAAGTATAATAGCTTATTTGGAGAAAAGGTTTGATGGTGATAAGGGATGAGGCTTGGGGGGTTGGGCACGGTGATATATGAGACACAAAACAAATACTGTCCTCGTGGCGGCGAGAACAGCAAGGTTCTAATAAGAAGAAGAAAAAAATGACTGTTGACTCGATGCGACATGCAAGTGCAGACCGACACATTTGTGTGGGAGGTCTGGTTGGTTTTCCCCGACCGCGGCGAGCAGACCGCCCTTCTTGTGCCGGCCAATGCCCGTGCGTCCCTCGGCCGGTCGCAGGCAAAGAGCAGGCAGGGCTGCCGCTGTAGGCTCCGATGACAACAACCTGTCGACTGTTGGCGGTGCCACCGCTTCACCAGAAAACGCATATCCGGATTTGAGTCCTGCCTGTTGGCCGACTCGTCTTCTGGCCTCTGGCGCGTCATCCGCCAGTCAGTCTGTCCTGCTGGCCGTCTGAATCACACTCCCTTCGTACGTGCCAGCACCACATTCGTGTCCCCGTCCAGGGTGTAGTCACTGCCGCAACCACCATCCGCCCGTGCTGCCTCCTTCCTCCACGCCGCAGCCCCCACGGGCCAGGAGACGCCTTCAGGGCTCCCACGACGCCGGCAGCCACCGTGCCAGTCCTCGGGTTCAGCCATCTTGGACCATCGGGAGAAACCTCCACTTCACCCGGCGATCGCATCCCACCCCACTCTTCCACCCGACTGTCACTTTGGCGCTCCTACTTGTATTATGGCCGATGCAGGGACCCCTTATGCACGATGAGAAGCTCCACCGGCAGTCCGCTCCCGTAAGTCCGTTTGCATCTCGAAAAGAAACCTTCCCGCGCAGGGGGATGGGTGGATCAAACGTTTCATCGCTGCTCACTGTACAGAACTACCTGTGGTATCGCCCAACGCATGCGACTGTACGTATCTAGTACCGCAGCTACTGTTGTCTACACGCGTGCTCAGTATATCAAGCGGAACCCCACTCCCATCTAGAACGGGTTCTGTCGTCTCTGGCCACCACCGGGGCAACATTCACACCTCCTCATCACAGAGTGACGGCTGTACCACACCCGAGGCAGCCCTCGGCCGACGGTTTCCCCAGGTTTTTCGACGCAACGGACAGGAATCATCAACCATGGCACAATCTTCGCGACAAGTCATGCCCGAGACGAGCAAATACACCTGACAGAGGCGGTTCCGAATTTCGCCACCACATGTCCCACCAATCAAAATTTGCGGACAGCCTCCGAGACGCTTCCGCCAATGTTTCTAACTTTTGGTACACCTCTCGTAAAAAGGGTCTCTGTTCGCCTGTACCAGTCTGGGGTAACCACCTTGTGATGACTTTTTCCGGATCATGCTTCTCCTGCTATATACTAAAGTCCCTTGAATGACTCTTTCACAGACGTTCAGCTGCTCGGCCCTTCGTCCGGCTGTCCGCTTGACCTGTCCTCGTGTTAAAGGACGGTGCCCTTCCGTTCATCCCCACGATATCGAGATTTGGCATTAACAGAGAAACGGGGCTGATCTCCTTTTTTTTTCCACCTCCCAAAACCAGATTCCGAGGCCTGCGGTTGAACATTCCGCAGCCTAAGTTTTCGCACCTATCGGTCAGCACAAGCCATCGCAACGCGTGTGCGCGTCTAACAACCGAAAATCCATCGTGCATTGCCGCACCCCCTACATGAGTCGCGAAGCTCAGGGATCACATGTTTGTTCACTTTACCGCAAATTTGTTTTGCCATTTTCTTATTTGATCCTCTCCGAATTTCCCCCATCATGATTTAACCGTCGTAAACAAGACTTCATTCCGCACCTTGCACACTGTCATAGCGTCGGGCATCATTTTACTGTCTTTTCGGCCGTGCGAAATATCCAAACATGTGGGACCGAAATCGATTTTCTACACGTGGAGCCGTCTAGGTCTGTGTGCCTTCCAGAAAGCTTCTGGAGGTTACAACGGATCCACTTGAGTCAAGGCAAAGTCTGATTGTGTTTTGGCCAGATGCAACATGACTCTGGCGGAGCCTCGAGACGAAGCGCACTAGTAACGCTCGGGATAGTAGTCCTCACTATGCTCTTCATAGTGTACATTATCCTCCCCACCACCACTGATGGGACGAGCCATCTTGCTTGAGTTTGATCCTGAGGTGGCTGAAAATTCTGTACACTACTTTGCCATTCGGACGTGACTCCGCAGTCGGCATTGTTGCCGTGCAAACGCAAAGAAATTTTTCTTCTCATGGTTACAGTACGGAGTTACCTCGGTGGGGGATGCTCCGTTGCGGAACTTCTTTGCCATTCACCACACTTTATAGCGTTGGAGCATCTGAAATTAGGTTCCGCCGCATAAGCAAAAAAATTCACAAAGATGTGAGGCTATTGGAGAGACAAACGCTAAAAGCCTGAAAGCCTTACTGCCCGGGTTTTCTCGGGCGCGGTTGAATGACCGGCAAAATCTTTCAGCACACCCGGCAAAGGAGGAGAGTAAGCTCGGGTAAAGGCTGCTTCCTAGGCTGAAATGGACAAATTCTACGATCTGGATGAGATTGCTCATTTAGGAACAGCGGCAGTGAGAACCGAAAATTCGGCTTTACCTAAAATGGCTTACCGCTTAAACACGACAGTGAAAAAGGTCTTCCCATGAAATTGTGTGCTACCAAACGGAGCAGGTCCGATGATTATGCCAGCATTTTATGCGTAATTTTCCTTGCGTCTGTGAAGACGCTAGTCGCATGTCGGATTCTGCCTCCGACATTACTCATTCCATCCAGCTTCTCGAAGAGGGTAGTAAGCATGGCCCGCGCGCAGTATGCCGTATTCAGTTGACGTATGCACGATGGGCTACTCAATCAGCATTTCGGAATTATACGAAACGTTCAGAGATTCTCAGGAAAAAGCCGTCGAGTACGTGGACTTAATCACCTCCAGAATCGGCTAGCTTTTTTGGGAACACCGTCATGAATGAAAAGCCAACACACCATGGGGCTTGATCCGGGAACATTTTGCGAAAGCAACGAGAGAATCTTGCCCATCGTCAAACTTGAGAGTAGTTCGTGTAGCTCTGAACATTGGAACTGTCATGCGCTATCTCTAATCATCTCGTAAGAACACAATCTCGCTTTGCCTGGTCAGTCCATTTTCCAACTCACCCACCCGTCTTTGCTGGGAGTGTTCGCGGAATCCGAAAGTCCACGAATCATATCCGCGAAATGGAAACTTCACCCTCTTTCGGACTATGTGCTCCCATCGCGGGGCATTTTGACGGTAAAACAAGGTATGCGATGTTCTCTAAGAGTAATTACTTGGAAATGGTATACTTTGGGTGTTAAAAAAGACAAATTTGATTCAAGGCTGCCCATTGTCTCTGCGGGTTGTGCCCCACTCAATCAAAACGCAAGGCAAGTATGCATATGGACGTTCGCAGGAAGAGGGTGCTTCCCTGTTAGAAATAGAAATGCAGTTCCATCACTGACGGCGACGTTCATTACTAGCATATAAAAGCCTTCCCAAGGCATGTGGTTTAATATTCTTACAGCTAAGCAGCACTCTATAACCAACACACACAAGCACACACACACATATATATATTCATCATTAGTAGTCACTGCAATTAGTACAAACCTCCGGTCTAATGGTATCATAGCTAGACAAACTGACCGTCTCTTCGAAAGAAGCATCCGGCCGCGTACGATGGCCCCGGTTTCGTCCTCGCTCTCGGTCGTGGCGGTCGATGTCGCGGGTCTGTACAGCCGAGCGCTCACAATCAGCCCCTAGTACAGTCTCTAGAACATGAAGCGTAGCAATCGCAAACGACCCCACGGGAAAAAGCGCAGAAAGGAAGTCGTGCATGTATGAACCGGGTCCAGAATCGTGAGCACGCGACGTCGCGGCCTAGGCCCAAGACCTGTGGCGTCTGGTGTCTCTTAATGAATCGTAGCTTCCATCGTCCGCTGCCTCGCGACTAGCAACCTACTAGACATGACATAGCCTCGTGGTTGGGGGCTTTGCATGCGCGTCAGGTTTACACGCCGTCTACCTAGTGGGAGATGGAGCTCATGTCATGCCGCTCCAGAGTCGCTTTCGCCAGGCCTCGAATGGTGGCGCCGGCGGGTCGAATTCTGGAGTTAGCGGCCGTTCCGGCACTGCTGTTCACGCGCACCAAGTCTTAGCATATATTTCTTTCTTCTTCTGCTTTCTCTTCCTACGAAACATGACCAAGACCAAGCTCTCTTCGATCCCGCGTGGACTTGCGACAAGCGACAGTCGAAACGTTCAGGAATGGAAGAGGAACACTGCAACGAGCAGAAAGACATGTCAGGTTTCCGTTGATCAAATCTGACTTGCTTGCCGTCGCCTCAAGTCTTTCTCTCTTAGGTCACGACGTGAACCTTTCTCACATTTCCGGGAGCAGACCAACCCGTGTGAGAATAGATTGAACGTACTCCGTATTGTCGGTTGACTTTGTCTTGAGGAAAGTGCGATCGCAACTTACCATCTGGTTCCGCGACGCTTCCCTCCACCGCGTCATCTCCAAATCTCCATAGGTCCGAGTCTTGCTCGTCCTCCGGGATACGTACTGGCGTCGAATGCTGATGTTGTGCACTCGGAACAGAATCACCGAGGTCTGCCGGTGGTGATGGTCCGGTGGTACCCGTCTGTCCGAAAACTGTCAGCCTTGTTTGGGAACTCTAGACCCTTGCCCCGCAAGTTTCCTGGCTGTCGGATATACAACTCCAAAACAGAACCAGAAAGACCCTTGCGTTGGACGCGACAAGAAGAGAACTACTGTAAGAAGCTAAATCGATTGTGGAATACACTTTCGCATGTAAGCAACCGCCGTCTTCTCCACAATATACACAAGCCACTACCAGAAGAGGAATTGTCGTGCGTGGCTTTCGACAAGAATTGCGAGATCTTCTGGATGCTCGTGGCTTGTTGGCGCCTGATGCATGAATCAAGCCTAGCCTTTTCGTGGAGTGCACTAGTTTACACCTTGTTCTGGTGGATCTGATATCGACAGCAGAGGATCTTCACTGACCTCGACAAAGTTTTCGCCCTCTACGGTGACCTCCCTGTCCCTCAATCGGCGCATCAGCTGCAGGAATACGCTCGACTGAAACTTCTCAGAAGTATCATGCGAGACACTTTCCAGTAAGCGTCCCGCTGTTCGCGCCAATTCCTCGTCTACGGATCTCGGCGTGTTTGACTCTTGGGTATCTGCCTGCGCTTCTCGTGGCCCCTCATGTATTGGCTCGTGAATGCCAATATCGTCATGGAGATTTTCGTCCAGGTGCGCGTCAGCTGATAGGTTCTCCGCTTGTGCAAATTCTTCATCAACGTCTACAAAGTCTTGCGACAGATCTAGGCCAGTAAGATGATTCGTCTCTTGACGCTCCATCCGCTGGGCCATTTCCTCCTCCGTCTTACGTTGTATTAAGAATTCAATCTCCTCGCTTTCCATTTCGATCTCCCTCGCAATCTCTCGCGCCAGTGCCTCCTCGCTGAGACCGTCATCGTACTGGGCCTCTGCGTAGGCTGCGTCTTGGGTTGCGGCTTCGAAAGCTGCAGCGAATGCCTCGGCATCCCATTGCATGTCTTGTTGTCCCACCGCCTTCTGTTTACCTTCAGAGACTGTCGAGAACGGCTCTTGCTGGCGATACTCCCATGAGACATCAGAGTAGGGTCGGAAGATAGGCTGTGGCTGGCGGAAACCGTTTATTACCGGTTGCTGGCTTTGCATAAAATCTTGATGCCATGACGTTTGTGTGGCTGCTGGCGCTCTCTGCACCGCTGGGGCAGGACTCTGATGTGAAGAAGTGGCGTGTGCGGGGCCAATATGTAGACGCTGAAAATCAGTCGCCCAGTCGGGTAGCGCAGTTTGTGCGGGTGCGGGAGCGAAATGCGACATGTTCTGATGGACAAATGGCCTGGAATCGAACTCAGCAGTAGGAGAGGCTACATGACCAGCCTGGAAAGCTTCGAATTCTGGGTCAAGTATGCCAACATTTGGTCCAGGACTCGATCTAAAGCCCTATTACATGCTGTTAGACGTAATACTATAGGAAGTTCCAGTAAGAGACATGCCTGCGAAGGGCCTTGCCGCAATCTCAATCTGTCCTGCTGTAGCGTTCGGTCGACCTGAGTGTGCTTCTGAAAATTCTGAAGGGCGTTTGACGGCCCGCACAATGTATCGGCCATGGTCAAGAAGGTTGGAAGGTAGATGTAGAGAGGATATCGCCGCAGCGACTTCGTAGGAGCATTTAGAGATGAGATGCAGAAGTCATCCACAATCATGTGCTTTGGCCGCTTGTTTGCGCATTGTATCCGAAGCCGGGAAACCCATTTGGTAGGGAGCCGAGGTCACAAGCCACACATTCACACATGATGTGGCTCAACCCGTCCACAGAATGAGCTTCGCTTAGATTTCCTAATATGGACTAGCCGGCAGCTCCTTGCTGTTCCTGTGCATACCGTGTACTGTGGGAGCGTCAATAATTCCAGACGACACATGTGCAGGGCTTAAGCTCCAGGCTGGCGTCAACAAAATTACTAGCACATTCTAATCGCAACCGCAACCATACCATACAACATGGTGCGTCTTTCCTTGCTTGCAGCAAGCAGTCGCCATGGTCACTGACTAGGAAACAGACGCAAGTGATATCGAATACAGGCCACGATGACATGATTGTAAGCCCATCCCCTTCTGCATTGGTGTAATACTGCCAGCCGAGACATAAGATTTGGAATGCAGCACCCCTCTGTGATCAAGTGCGGCCTTGGAAGGAACTCGAGGCTTCTGGTCGAGCAACTCGCCTTTCCAGAGCAACACGAGTTCAGCTTGTTGGATGTCGATGTTGGTGAGAAGCGATTTGTATCGTGATCGAAACAATCTTAATCCATGCCATAATACTAATCAGACGATATTCTTAACAGCACGATGCCGTCCTAGACTACTATGGCCGCCGCCTCGCGACAAGCTCGTCGGACCGCACAATCAAAATCTTCGAGGTGGACGATGAGTCCCACCGGCTGATTGAGACACTCAAGGGCCATGAAGGCGCTGTCTGGTGCGTTGCCTGGGCGCATCCCAAGTATGGGACTCTGCTTGCCTCGTGCTCATTTGACGGCCGCATCATAATATGGCGTGAAGGCCCACCATGGAGCAAAGCTTTCGATTTTGGCGGCCACAACGCGAGCGTAAATCTGGTTTCGTGGGCGCCACACGAGGCGGGCTGCCTCCTTGCCGGTGCAAGCTCGGATGGTCAGGTCAGCGTACTTGAATTCAAGGACAACCAGTGGACGTCGACGATGTTCCAGGCACATGGTCTTGGATGCAATGCGGTGAGTTGGAGTCCGAGTATTGCCCCAGGTGCTGTGACCAGTGCGACTGGCGGGTACCAGGCACCTCCACTTAGGAGATTCGCGACGGGTGGAAGTGACTGTCTAGTCAAGATATGGGATTTTGCGCCAGATACGCAGACATATACCTGTATAGCCGAACTACCCGGTCATCAGGACTGGGTACGAGATGTGGCGTGGGCACCAACCATCTTAACGAAAAGCTATATTGCGAGTGCGTCCCAGGACAAGACCGTCAAGATTTGGACGACGACCGCAGCAAATCCTACATCTAGTATGATTTTATAACTTCATGGCTAATCTGGCGTACGAATGCTAACAGCTTTAGGCGATTGGACGTCCGCAACACTGTCTTTCGATGCCGTGGCCTGGCGGGTCAGCTGGTCCCTGAGCGGAAATATTCTTGCAGTTAGCACTGGCGATAACAAGGTTAGCTTGTGGAAGGAGCGTTTGGCTGGCGGATGGGAGAATGTGAAGACAATTGAGGAATGAGTATCACCAGTTGAGAAAAGATAATTTGATACGTCGATCGAAGGACGACGGAAAATTCCTAGGGGAATGGAAGACAGGGCTGGACAGAATAGCTGGAAGCCCATGCAACATATGCTTTTCGCGGAAAAATCACCAAATGAACCAAACTTCATCGGTTCATCGAACGTATGGCATGGCGGACAGTAGAATAGGATGATAATAAATCATCAATTAGCTCATACTTGTCGCGAGAGATCTTTCATGCTCGGGCTACGTTGTCTGAAGCTCTTTTTAGGAAAGGCTGACGACAAGGCTGAAGAGATCGAAAAAGCTCTCTAAGTTAGATTCTTTATGCTTTATGAGTTCCATTACTTATTAGTGCAAAGCTCTAGGAATCAGCTAGCGGTCAAACTTCGCGCAGACGTGTGATCTGCTTTGAAAACTTTGCTCCCTTTCAAAGACTTCGGGTTTTTAACTTTGGTGGGGCTGACCGTCGAGGCTATGCAAATGCAACCACGGTGTCTCATATACCCCGCGATCTACGTTGTAAACACCTCTTAATGCTTCTCACCGCCTACCTAGCCAGCCTCACCACGAATACCAACGATTTGTTGTTCATTGTTCGAGATACCCAGATTTTGTAGCTGTCCACTATGGATCCGGAGATGATCAAGCACTACTTAGCTGACAGCCCTCCTACTGTCGTCCCTCTAGCAATCAAACCGCATTTTGAAGCTTTGAATGATCAAGAGAAGCTCTACGCCCACTACATCTCGGTGTATGCATATTTCTAGGCACAACTGCATACATACATGCACACAAGACCTTCGACTGATCACATAAACAGTGCTTGTTTTGCCGGAACACGCATTGTCCTCCGTCAGGTCTCCCCCGAGTCAGAGAGCATTTACGACTTCATTATAACCCTACACAAGGCGTTCAATGGGGACTGGAAGCAAGTCCAAAAGAAGAGCGGTGTCACTGATGAGGAGCTTGCTGCGTTTCTGCATTATGCCGCGCAGTTCTTAGGCAACGTGGGCAACTACAAGTCTTTCGGCGACAGCAAGTTCGGTATGTCCACATTGAAAAGCGGCACATGGAACTACGAAATGCTGATCTAGTGCCCCTAAAGTTCCTAGGATAGGACCCATGGTATTCAAGGCTATTGGTTCCGTCACGCCTGAGACGATCCAGCTGTGGGAGGAGATAAAGGATGGGTTATTTCCAACCGCCCGTGAGACTCAGATGCACTTGGGTTATCCTGACGCCGGCCACATCTCTACGTACTATCCCGATTCTCCGAATATCACCAAGGAGGAGATTTCTATCCTAAGCGAGTTCCTCGAGAGCCAAAAATTGTTGCCGGAGAATACGAGAATCAGAGCCACTCCAGCTGGCTACGAGGTACTTATCGCTTCGGCTCAAGAGTACCCCTCTTCCGGAGCACGAGATGTGCCGCTATCTCAGTGGTCACTTAGCAGCATACGTAATGGCGACAAGCTCAAGGGCCACACCCTTGTTCTCACATATGGTGATCACAGCAAAGAAATGAGCACCATTTCTGACGCTATTACTTCCGCGGCGAAATACGCCCTCAATGACACCGAAAAAGCTATGATGGAGGAGTACGCAAAGTCCTTTACTACAGGCTCGCTGGAAGCATACAAGCAGAGCCAGCGTCTGTGGATCAAGGACAAGAAACCGCAGGTCGAAACCGATCTTGGGTTTGTGGAGACGTACAGAGACCCACATGGCATTCGTGGCGAGTGGGAGGGTTTTGTTGCTATGGTCAACAAAGAACGAACGAAGGCCTTTGGGAAGCTAGTCGACGCCGCGCCCACGCTAATACCCAAGTTACCCTGGGGAAAGGAGTTTGAAAAGGATGAGTTCCTTAGCCCGGACTTCACTTCTCTGGAAGTGTTGACATTTGCGGGCAGTGGAATTCCCGCTGGCATCAATATTCCTAACTACGATGACATCAGGCAGACAGAAGGATTCAAGAACGTGTCTTTGGGCAATGTTCTGTCAGCAAAGGCTCCGGATGAGAAAATACCGTTTATCAAGGATAAAGATCTGGATGTGTATAAAAAGTACCGCGACATCGCGTTTGAGGTGCAGGTTGGTCTACATGAACTTCTTGGCCACGGATGCGGAAAGCTCCTTCAGGAGACAGAAAGAGGAAAATACAACTTTGACATCAACAACCCTCCTGTAAGTCCCTTGACTGGCAAGCCCATCACCACGTACTACAGACCTGGGCAAACGTGGGGGAGTGTTTTTGGCGCTGTGGCCGCAAGCTATGAAGAGTGTCGCGCCGAAGCCGTCGCGATGGCTCTCAGCTGTGACTTCAGCGTCTTGCAGATCTTCGGATTGGGTGACGGCAGCGAAGACATGAGCGGCGAAGCCGGTGACGTGCTGTTCGTTAGCTACTTGTCCATGGCACGCGCTGGCGTCGCGGCGCTTGAGTACTGGGACCCCAAATCAAAGAAATGGGGACAAGCGCACATGCAAGCCCGCTTCTCCATTCTGCGCACCTTCCTCGACGCCGGAGAGGAATTCTGCAGTCTCGAGTACACGACGGATGATCTGTCTGATCTGACAATCAAGCTCGACCGTGGCAAAATCCTCAGCCACGGACGGCCCGCTGTGGAGAAATATCTCCAGAAGCTGCACATCTACAAGAGCACCGCCGACGTAGCTGCGGGAGCGAAGATGTACGCTACAATCACCGAGGTCGACGATTGGTTTGCGACGAAAGTCCGACCAGCCGTTCTAGCACAGAAGATGCCGAGAAAGGTGTTTGTGCAAGCTAACACGTTTTTGGAGGGCGACAAGGTAGTGCTCAAGGAATATGATGCGACTCCCGAGGGAATGATTGCAAGTTATGCGGACAGGACGTATATCTAGTGTTCCCCGTTGACATGAGGAAGAATCTCTAGCATTGATCGAGGCGTTCTATAGAGGACGATTCAACGTGCCTCGAATTCAGAAACCTAAATGAAGCAAACAAATGAAATACACGTTCCCCGAAAACCACGTGACGCATCGAAGAGAACGACTGAGTCCTTTTGTGGAATGCCGTCCTGTCATTGAGATCATAAGCGATTGCGAGCTGTGGCTTTCGCCCAAGCGCAATGCTAGCGTGCTGCCGGCCCTCTCTAGCCGCCGTCGACAGCCCGCGGCGTTTACGCCTCACACGTCCAGAATCCGTCTGATCAGCTGCTCGCCGAAGACGTGTATGCCGCCGCTCTCGACGGCGACCCTGATTCTGTTGCCCGCCCGCTCGTCGAGCCACAAGCCGGCGTCTCCAACCACCTCGACGGGTTCGTCAGAGTTGGGTGCAGACATCTTCTTCCTGTCGCGGTGGTCGACGACGTACATGCCTCTGGTCCACTGGCCGGAAGTCTCGACGCGGATGTCGCGTGGCTCGGAGAGGCTGACGGCGTGGGCGGAGTGGTCCTTGTTGAGAAGGTACCATATGCACAGGGGGTCGTGCAGAGAGAGGCCTACGTTGTCCCCCTCGTGGCCGTGGTGCAGGGACTCCATCTTGCGGAACGTGGACGTCAGGAAGGCGGTCATGAAGGCGGCCAGCGGCGAGCCCTCCAGCGACGGCTCGGCCATCACGGCGCGGAACGTGCCCGCGCGCAACCAGTGGTGGTTCGTGATGTCCAGCGGGAAAAGACTCACCTTTAGCTGGCGCGACAGCTTCTTGGGGTAGGCGGACAGATGTACCGGAGGGGCGTCGGTTGCGGCCTGGTCTACTTGTGGCGGCAGCGGAGGCGTCGGCGGCATGGTGGTCCACGGGAATAGAGATGTCAGCGCGTAGACGCGCGCTGCAGCGACCGAGTCGGCATACGTGTTGAATTCTGGGTGTCGCGTTAGGCTGTCGACCGTAACAGATCGGCTTGTGACGTATGAGTAGGAGAGGGACAGGGCGCACCTGCGACGGGGGTGATCTGGTTGCGTAGATTTAGCGCTGTACGTAAGACATTGGGTGGCTGCTTGATGAGCTTGAAAGGGGGACAGGGGAACTTGGGATTGTGTAGCGGTGGTTGTGGTGGAAGTGGTAATGCTCCTACATTTCCTTCGAAATTGATGGCCCCGCCCATGACAACGAGTTCCTTGACACGGAGGAATGTTTCCGGATCTGCGGCTGCTGCGATGGCGATGTTGGTCAGAGGACCGATGGCCACGATGGTGAAGGTGTCTGGCTCGTTCTCCTTGAGCAGGCGGAGGATCTCCTCGTGAGCCGGCCGTTTCGACGGCGTAAACAAGGTGTCTGTGGTTTGCAGCTCCTCGGCCATGGCTAGCTCTTCAGGGTCACTGGTGGCTTTGTCAAGCTTGAACAGATGCTTCCATGTTTCCGCTGGCGAGAGATGCGGATGGGTCTCATAAATGCCGCCGAGACCATCACGTCCGTGGAAATAATCTGCCATCCGCTTCTGCTCCGCCAAGGGTGAGTCTGCGCCCACAGCAACTGCAACGCAAAGTCAGTCTCGGTGTTGGGTATGAATTTCGGAACCGAGTAACGGCACCAAGCGGCTTCATCTTCTTCAACAGTTCAAACCCTTCCGGTCTACCCACGCTCCTCCGCCACGCCATCTCCTTCTCGACATGGTGAAAAATGGACACGACATTACGAACACAGCTATACCACGGTTAGGACAATTTTCTGCAAGAGGGACGCACTGCAATTCGCGAGGAAGAATGCAGTGCGTGGCTCCAATACCACACACCTTTCGACCTCTACGTTGCCATACGTGACCGATATCAGGTCCAGCTGGAGATCATCGGGATTTGCTGACAGCGCCAACAACAGCGCCAAAGTGTCGTCTACGCCCTGGGTGCAACAGATAAGTTTACGTCATTGATGAACAGCCAACCCCTTGGAGCGGGGCAAATTGAATGAATGAGAAGAAGAACTGACAGGATCGGTATCGATAATGACGCGATGCTTGGGACCCATGACTTGGAAGAAATGCGGCACGCAACAACGCCAACACAACTTCAAAAGAGCGATTCGAAAGAATGTGTCGGAGTTACGCGGTAGGGTTCGGCGCAATGCGAGGTCGCCGCAACCAAAATGCACCAAAGTCAAAACGACAAGGGGAGACCGTATCTGTGGGGGGGGGGGGGGGGGGGGGGGGGGGGGGGGGGGGGGGCGTTCGTTATCAACGGACAAAGGCAAGGAGGAGAAAAGGAATAAATAAGTTATGACCAGGAAAAAAAATTCGACGGCTTCCGAACACTTTCCCCACTAGTGCTGGAAAGGAAGGTATCAGATCATCTTACTGGAGCAGAGAAGAAAAATAAAGAGAATTTTAACGCCCACCAAAGGTTTAAAAGGAAAAAAGAAGGACGCAAACAGCGAAGGCGCGTGGGTATCCTTGCCGCTTCCACAACACAGTAGACACTGTTTGATAGATGACCGAGTGAGTGAACAAACGGGTCGTCAACGGAATACACGCGTTTGCGTTCCCACAGATGCTTACCCGGCGTCCAGACCAAGCTTGGAAGTAGAATGATCACGTGATATTAGAATCATAATAGGACCACACGTTTATCGGTTTTAATGTTCAGCTCATGAGCGGAGATGCATGGGTGGGAGTTTGTGCACGTGCGTTCAATATTTTTTCTTAAGCTACTTCAAGCTGATCCTATCTGGCGAGAAATATTTGGCATCGATCTGACAGAAGCGGACGGCCAATGCTCTGCGTTGAATGTGCAGTCCAAACACGTTGCTGGTTGTCTTTCCATCTCAAGACGTGGCTGAGGAGGCTGACCAATGCATAGTCATGCCTTCTGCGCACATCCACACTCGTATGTCACATCCTATCAATAGCTGCTTCGTTGCAAATTGTCGAAATAAGTAAGGGAAAACGGTGGGGAAAAAAGAGTGAAGCAAATTGAGGAGCGAAGAATATGAAAAATCCCGCTGCGTCTACAGCAACGAACTTTTTGATCGTTATCGATTTGAAACTACTGTCAGCAGCCTGATCCTTGCGCGCGTCAGCTTGCTCCCGTGGACGCGCAGGAGAGAGAGAGAGAGTGTGTGTGTGTGTTTGTCCGCAACTTCTGATTTACAGGAACACTTCATGTACTTCCAAGACCGTGCCGATCTTACAATGGTACAGGCCGTGCGTGTGCCACCCGTGCTCCCGTGCCTTTTCTTTTTTTCCTTCTGCTGGAAAGCGCGTCGGCAAACCGGAACACAAGGTACAGGCGCGCTGCTTCAGTCGAAAAAAAAAGGGGGGGGGGGGGAAACATTTTTGGACAGTCCGAGACGGGCGTTCACGCCTCGAGTAATTGACACAGAATGCCCACTCTGCGTGAATGGTTGATGAGACGCGACAGAACCAGCTTTACGTTGCGGCTCTGATCTTCATCGACTCGGCATGCCGCGGGAATGCTCCATGCCCTACGCAGGCAACCGTTACACCCTTCTCTGGGCCCGTTCCCCAGATTCGACTAGGTTGCGAGCCGTGTGTTGCCCGACGATTTGGTTGGAGGGAAAGGGCCAGGATATTGCAAGAAAGCCTGGGCTGGAAGAGAGAGACAAACGTCGTGTCTGATGCTGGCATGAAGATCGAAGCAGAGAAGGTCCTCGACCGATGCTTCCTTCTCTCGCACAATCAAAGGAAAAAAAAATACATGGGTATGGCCTTACGATGGTTGACCACGATTGCAGCCTCGCCCAGTTACAGTACCGCAGATGCGTCCGCGGCGCGGGAACGAATCAGGAATTTCCACACAAATGCACACATACACACGGCACAAGCGTGCTTTGACTAGGAAACGAGGAAGCCAGTGACGCGAAGACGAGGCCGGCAACGAGTACGGTTTCATATAAACTTCCTTTATTTCATTTTTTTTCCCCCGAGCAAGAGGCCGATGTGAAATCAGGGTGAGGGTCCGGGCACTGTCTTGGATGGAAAGAGGTGACATTGGTGGTTCATGACCAATGACAGGTGGGAAAGGAAGGTTGGGCTGACACCATGTCACGGCAATGCTTCAGAAAGTCCTCACTCATCTCGCGACGCGGAAGGGAGGGGCGCCGAACTTCATTACGCGTTTCCCTTACAGATCGAGATTTGTCGGAGCCGGGAGGAGAGGGGCGCAGCTGAGATAAGATTTGAGTGCGTGTGCGAATGCGCGCGAAGTGGGCGTTTCGCGAGTGGGAGAGGGGAGAATTTGTGGGGCGTAGAGAATTGATTCCGCGACGAGATCGCGCGACGGGCGAGCAGGGAAGCGCGATGACAATGCGAGAATTATGGGAAATAAGTAAGATTAATCAAAGGGCTCGGGATTGGCAAAGGCACGATGAGACCAGTGTGTGATTGTTGCGGGCGACGGACAGGAACTAGCGTCGCGTTCAAGTAGGACGGTGGAGGGTCGTTTCAGGCGCAGAACAATAATCATCCTGTGCAGTTCAGCTGCTGGACCGAAAGGGAAGGCCAACAGCTGTGCGTGATTAGGGGGCAAGTGCGCGAGGCCATTGGACAGGCCCGACGCACGCGCTGCCAACGGGGTACCAAGACGTGCCTCTCGCTTACACTGCCAGGCGCGCGACGATGGCAAAGCGGTAGCTGGGCTCGGCCGCAGCGCAGCCAGTCGTTGTGGTCAAGCAAAGCGTGTTGCAGCAGCACTGAACAGAAGATACGGGACAGTTGAGCCGGTACTGAGGCCGAAGGCAGGTGGGGAGAACGGTTGGAGACGGTCTGGTGATCGACCCACCCAGCTGAAGTGATGGGAGCGAGGAGGGCGGGGGAGAAGAGGCAAAACCTGCTGGAGAACAGCCGTGCAGCCAGCGAAGCCGCAAAGATGAAAGGCTGTGTGATTGATTATTATTCACTCTGTGGATTCGTGGACGGCTGTCGCTTCGGGAAGCGGTCGATCATCCCCACAGCCCGTGCACAGGTGCGCCATTCGTGGCAAAGGAGGAAGGAAGATAGACGTCAGCGGAGGCGGTCGTCTTATACTCTGTTCTGATGCTGGCGTCGGCTTGCTGTGCGCCGGCGCAGGTGCGGGAGAAAGGCACTGCGGTGCCGGACCTGCAAGAGCTGCGGCCAACGCTGCCGGTGATGCTGCAAACTGCTGTGCGCCAGGCCGGCGAGCCTGCGCAAGTCAGCCCTAAGTTTAGTCTCGTAACTTTCCGCGCCGTCCTTGCGCAAGCACGGTTTGCTCGGTAGTGTGGACTCGCCCAGTGGGTGCCCGCTGGCCTGGGGGAGGGACGCCTGCCTAAATCCACCCTCGGCGGCGGAGCTGGAGCTGTCCCGTAACCGCTCTGTCCTGCACTCCGTACGATACTTTACCGTACGTTACTGTTCTGATCTCCGTGCGCAAGCAACGAGAGGCGATGTCAGCCGTGCCTGCGTACGGTTGTTTCCCAGCCCGGACTAGCCTCCACGTAACTTTACGCGCGCGTGCTCTCTCTTGCAGGCCCGCCGAGTTTGCTGCCTCGTCGATGTGTGCGTTTCACCTCTGGCGCTGTCTCTCCACCCCCCAGAACGAAAGTTACACAGCAGCGTTCTCACCTTGCAGTGGACCCTGGCCCGCATCCCCTCGCCCCCCAAAAAGAGCCCACCATCTCCTAAGACAGCGCCTGCAGCGAACCAGCTCCCTTCCCGCCGGGCGGCTCGCCAATCGTCCAACCTTTACATCATTTGCCTTTCCCTTGCCTCAACCCTCTTGCACAACTAAACCCTCAACGACCTTCTCACTGTTCACCCTCCTCAGCCTCTCTCGCAATAGCGTCGCCACAACCTCTGAGTCTTGCGCCAGTGCCCCGAGCCAACCTCAACCGTCTTTCGCCCCCCCGTTACCCGCACCGTGGTTCCACCCCAGTCGATCTTAGGAAAGGCGGCCGCTTCGTTGCTCGAAGAGGCCAGCTGGAATCCGTTCCACTTTATTTCTGTCTACATCCTTTTGGCGCCCATACCTCTCCTTCCCTCTTTTCTACCGCCCTCCACCACGACAATTGGGCCATATACTGCCTCTTTCACCCAACTTCCAGTCGCGCGTCTCTTGCTTTTCACGGCCGACCCTAACGAACGCACCTCGTAACCTCCCTTATTTGCTGTAACCTCATCCGCGAGCGTGCTCTCGAACACTTGTACACCTTCCCGCAAACCGCACCCTCCACGTGGCCGTACCTTGCTAAGCGACACATTTCACGCCCTGCGTACCAATCTGCTAGCTTCACACCCCCAAATCCTTTCCGCCGCCGCCGCACATCTCAGCCACCATGGATCCTTCATACTACACCGTCCTTGGCTGGACGGTCACCATTGTCGGCGGAGGCATTGCCTACTACTATTATTCCAGGCCCGACGGTCGCCACCGAGACTTTAGAGGTCGAGCGCAGCGCAATAACCTGCCGCGACCGGCGACGACGGCGACTCAGGACTCACAGGACGAGGCGAGCAACATTAAGCGGAGAAAACGCGACGAGCGCGCTCGCGCAGCACCTTCGTCGGGCTCCCGCAACAGCCGAGACTCGGAGACAGACTCGGCGCAATTGGCAAACAGCACCTCGAAGCGTGTTGCCCTGGACGATGGCGAGGAAGAGAAGGAGGACGTGTCGTGGGCGCATCAGCTCAATCAGAAGAAGAAGGGCACCACCCTTGCACCTCCCGCTCGAGCAGCAACTCGGCAAAAGACGGTCAAGCAGTCGAACGCAAACAACAGAGCTGCCGAACTTTCGACGGAGGAGTCATCGGCGGCTGGCGATGCGGAGTATGATCTCTCTCCCGCAATTTCACTCACTGCAAATGACAAGACACCTAGCGGCCGTGATGTGTCTGACATGCTCGAACCTGCCGCGCCGGGCCCTTCGATCTTGAAGATCAGCGAGCCGACGAACACGTTCAAAGGCAATAAGTCAAAACAGCAGAAACAAGCTAAGGCGGCACCTCAACAAGAAACGAAGAAGCAGCGACAGAACCGCAAAAAAGCAGAGGAGAGAAAGGCGCAGCGCGAGGCCGACGAAAAGGAGCGCAAAATCCTAGAGGAACAGCAGCGCCGACGCGCACGTATCGAGCGTGGCGAGCCTGCCAAGAATGGTTTGGGCAGCCAGAAGCCAGCTAGCAACGCGTGGAAGGCTGGCAGCGGCCCTGCCACGAGCGGACAGCTCCTGGACACGTTCAACAACGACGACACGACTACGGCGACAGAGTCGACGGCGCCGACAAGCGTGAGCTCCAGTCCTACCCAGGTGACTGCCACTGCCACTGCAGCCGACAAGGAGGACTGGTGGGCTAAGAATACGATCCCAGAGGAGGAACAGACGCGCATGCTGCGGGAGCAGGACGAGGACTCGTGGGTCACCGTCGGCCAAAAAGGGAAGAAGGTCCACAGGCACCCACAGGGCGGCGCCGTGCAGACCGTAGCAGTCGTCTGACCATCATGTCTCCGTTGCTTCAATCTACCATTTTTACCATGTGTACGAAACATACGAGGAGCCTGACTGCCCTCGAGCAGAGCGGTACACTTCTCTCTTTGATTGCCTTTGCACAAGCATTTTTCGCCACACGTACTACTCGCCATGTTATTTTGTTTCTCTCTTTACCTCAGGCGCGGATGCAAAGGACTATTTTGGATGCTATTTTCTTGCTTCATTTTCCTGTACCATCAGTATTCACAGCTGTCGACATCTTGACCAGCACAACAGCAGCAGCTGCGAAAGCAGCAGATGCAGCATTGAGCACGCATTATTGAGAGCTCAAATGGGGATTGTGGTGATTTTTCTTCCATCACGAGCGCGCGTAAAGCGGTCGCCATATATCGGATTCTTAAACCATCGCGGATGTTGCCATACCCATATCAATCTATCCATATATCTACCTTCACCCACTTTGTCTATTCGGTCCTCTTATACGTATCTGGCAGGACAGGCCGCAAAAGCCTTTGTATGTCGTCCTCCTCTCCGTCTATTCTCACTTTTGCAAAACTCCTACCGGCCTTGGACATCTGGGTTGATCTGTTGCACCAATTTCTTTTTCTTTTTCTTTTGAGGAAAGAGGGTGGGATGAAGGAATCTAGGCGCTGTCTTAGTTCCCAACGCTTTGTCCATCCTCATGTCTCCAGATATGAGCCAGGCAAGAACAACATCAACAGCACCAAAGGAGGACAGGACAAAGATTACAAACGAAGAGATCCACGCACAAGAAAAGAGAAAAAAAAATGAGCCATAGGACGGGCATTTGGAGTGAAGTCCACCGCGCGAAGCTTTTGACTTCCGGAACAGAAGTGACTTACATCCAATCCCATGTACGTTTGTTCTTCCGCCACGGTAGTCATGGCAAGGGAATCTATGGGAGGGTTTTTGTAAAGGCTGTTTGTAACTTGAGGAATCACCAAAGAGACAGAGAGAAAGGACCAAAATAAGCGAGTGTTTATGTAAGTTACTCCATACCTGCACATGTATTTTATTGTCCACTCTGGTACACACATGCACAAACGTAGTTCCACACTCGTAAAGGCACGATATGGCCTTTTCACCCCTTTCTCTCCGACTTGCTCTGTGTCTGGAGGAGTCATTGCGAAATTAAGGTATTTCTGTATATCAAATACAAAGCCTGTCCTCTCTACAGGAATGGGGTTTTGATATTATGGTCGACATGCTAGACACGTTTCAAAAATACCTTCTGTGCTTTTTCTAATTCTTCTTCTTATCTTTCTTCTTACTTTTCTGGAAAAACAAAAAGAAATCAAAGTTGATCAAGGAAAAAATTTGAACGGAGGACGAAATCATGTCGTATGTACATGAGAGCTCTACTTTCCTACCGCCGCTGGCCTGCAAGTGAGATATCATCCGCTTCAAGGGGTCTCAGATGCCTTCGCCGGTCGAAATTTCACGAGCTGAACAGGACGCAAGTGTGGAAATGGCGAGGGGACTGGGTTTTATTATTTTCTGCGGCCACGAGCGGGAGTTGCAAGCTAATGTATTTTATCTCCGGCGTGGTCGAGGGAGGATGCCTGTTCAGGTCTGTTGCCCCCAATCACGTGCGGAGATCCGCCGTCCGCTTCTGTCCTGTTCGCACGTTGCGCCTTGGGGCGATCGTGGAGCGAAGACACACGCGATGCACCGAGCAACTGTGCGTGCGTGTGTGTGTGTGTGTGTGTGTGTGTGTGTGTGTGTGTGTGTGTGTGTGTGTGTGTGTGTGTGTAACTGTGTGTGCATGTGTGTTGGTGTGCGCGGATGCGGGCTGAGAGCTCCGACAGGGCAAGAAAGGCTACGAGTTCACATTCTTTTTCCCCCTTTAGGAAGAGGTGTACGGTTCCCCATTTTTAGGGGGAAGGGCAAACAGGTCGGTTTGACAGGAAATAGAGCGCTGCTGGAGCCCGGTGCTGATTGAATTTTTTTGAAATTTTTTTTTTGGGACAGAGCGGGTTTCGGTCTTGATTGATTGGCGAGACCTGTTGCTGAGTGGGATATGGAGGGGAAAAATTGAGAAGGGGAGCGGGGAGGGGGCCGAAGAAAGTTGCGAAAAGGTGACATAAAGCTGTCGAGCAAGTGAAAGTACGGTGGAAGCAAGTCTGGCTGTCTGTTCCTGCGATCTTGTATTTGGTCTCTGCGTACGGAGGACGCGAGCATCTGTACTGTGTAGAAGTACGTGTGTTTTCTTACGAATGTGCGTGCGTTCACGGGCGCCGGCCGAGGGATCGCATCTGCGACAGGGAGGGCCCATGCTTTCTTACTTTGGAACTTATCCTGACCTCACCTCTGGCCGAGAGCGTTAAGGACAGATCAGCTACTCCACAAATCCAGCAAGCTTGGTCTCGACACGCGCATCTGCCCGCCCATTGCTGTCTCTTGTTGCAATCTCTCTTTCTCTCTCGCACACATCATAATCACAAAGGTCTCGACCCTTCTTCTCTTCGTCTCTCTCTCTCTCCCCTTCTCTCTCTCTCCCTCTCTTCCTCTTCTCTACTTTTTTTTGCGATCCCTCACACATCGGATTCGGCTTTCTCCTCTGCCCGCGTTGCGTCCGCAATCCGCCACGTCTCACGTTCGATTCGGGCGTACGGCTTTCTTCAGCTCGATCTGAGATCGATAAAAGAAGAAGTAAAAGAAAAAGCAAAAGAAAGCAGAAGCAGAAGAATAATAAGAATCAGCCCACATGGCGCAATTGCGAGGCGGACACTACCAAATGGGTGGCGGCTACGGCGTTAGCACCAACCCGGCCACGAGCGACCCTTCGCCGCTGGACCAGATCCGGGAGCAGACGAGCAAGATTGAAGACTTCTTCGACACCATCTCTGAGCCAATTAAGCCGTACGTTCTTGACTTACTGCTCATCTTGCGAGAGTTGGGCTCGCAAACCAAAAGAGAACACCATGGCTAACTCGTAGCGTATGTGTGCACAGGTATCTTCCAGCGATCGGCCGCTTCCTTATCGTAGTCACCTTCCTCGAAGACGCTCTCAGGATAATAACGCAGTGGAGTGATCAGCTGCTCTACCTCAAGGAATATAGGCACAGTAAGCGACACGCCTACACCAAGCACCCCCTGAAGCATTGAAGCGGAAGAGGCGGGAAGGAGGGCTAGGAACATTCAAGACAGATCATTGCTAACGAAAGTCTTGCGTAATCAGTCCCATGGGGAATAACACACCTGTTCCTGATTGCCAATGTCATCACCATGTGCGTCTGCTCGACCATGATCATTACTCGCAAGCATTCCGAATATGCCGTCTTCGGCCTTCTCGGCGTTGTCGTCACCCAGGCGCTCGGTTACGGCCTCATCTTTGACCTCAACTTCTTCCTGCGCAACTTGTCCGTCGTCGGCGGTCTCCTCATGGTCTTATCCGACTCGTGGGTCCGGAAGCGATTCGCTCCCGCTGGTCTGCCGCAGATCGACGAGAAAGACCGCAAGATGTATGTCCAGCTCGCCGGTCGCGTCTTGCTCATCTTTCTCTTCCTCGGCTTCATTTTCGCCGGCGAATGGAGCATTTGGCGCGTTATCGTTAGCATCTTCGGCTTCGTGGCCTGCGTTATGGTTGCTGTTGGCTTCAAGGCCAAGATGAGCGCTGTGCTGCTCGTCATGATCCTGAGCATATTCAACGTGATTGTGAACAACTTCTGGACCGTACGTTTGTTTCTCTCCCGCCACAACTTGCTCTCTTTTCGCATCGGCATTGTCCGAATTCAACCTTTCGAGGAATAACAGAACTGACGAAACGATGCACAGCTTCACCCGCACCACCCTCATAAGGATTTCGCCAAGTACGACTTCTTCCAGATCCTTTCCATTGTGTAAGTCGCTGCGCCGCACAGCCTACTGGACTGCACAAACTAACACTTTACCTTCAAGTGGTGGTCTTCTCCTCCTGGTCAACATGGGCCCAGGTCAGGTCAGCTTCGATGAGAAGAAGAAGGTCTACTAAGCTAGCCTGTGCGGTTCCACCGAAATTACCAATTGAGAAATTACAGCCCACCCGCAACGCACTGTTCAGGATAGCGACCATTTCTTTGATCGGCTGGCCAGCCGCACGTAAGCTTACTACACCACAACAATCACCAGAACTCACCAAACACTCATGTACAATATCATTGTATGCAGCGTCATTGGAAACATCTTTAACGTTGGAGAAGAATCACAAAAGGCTGGGGAAAATACTTTATTTGCGACTATTCAGGGCTAGGTTTGGGGTGTGGAGTAATTCTACATGGCGCAATAACTGGATCTAGCGGCGCTCGTATAGTCGCACCTTCCCGGTCTCTTGCCCGGGATAGAGAATGCGCGTGTGTTGGAGAGAAACAGGACGGCAAAAAGTGTGGATGCCTCAGGATTCAATGATGAAGAACATGGTAGCAATTGAGTATCAAGCTTATTATTTTCTTGGAATGAGGAAAAGGTGCCCCAAGTGTGCAGCTTGTTTATCCTCCCTTTTGCACGAACTCTCAGACCCCTATTTTTTAAACTCACTCCACGTCATTCTTACCGAGTATACTTTTTTGCTGACTGTCATTAGTTAAATACTGGGGCGCACTTGGCTCTCCCGACCCTTTTTTCGAAATCATTTTGAAAGCTTATCAATTTAAGCTTTCGTCCGTCATTTGCGGAGTGTCTACCAGATCTGGCTTCCCTCGCATCTGTCTTCCAGCGTGAGTTCGATATCGATATCGATCAGGCCGAGTATGTTGATGTCGATGTCGACCTGTCCAGCGTCAGTGGATGCCCTACGCACGACCACAATTCACGCATCTACGTATGCGCTCCTGTGTGATATCTTCTTCTTGGGGTTGGTTCGGAACCGGACTTACGAAGGGATCGTTCATGCAGCAGTACGCCTTCTTCTTGCAGTAATCTTTCAACGGCTTGTCCCAGTGTTTCTCTGCGATCCAGGCAAACGAGGCATCAGCGAACGGAACTCATTTGAATTGTGTTTATTAAACAAAAAGAGGGAGGGGGGAGGAATAAGGGGGAGTTGGGCTTGCAGCGCTTGCCGTACCTAGCTCATTGCCGCTCCACTTGCCACATGTCTTCGTCTCGTCATCTGCCCAGCACACCCATTCGCCCCTGCCGCTGCCTTGGCAGTCGTCGTACGCATTGCCGCACGTGTATGTGTCGCTGCCGCGAGCGTTAAGCTGCTGCAGCGCCGGGTGTGCCGCTACAGACAGGGCAGAGGTGAGCACGAAGACAGCAGTCTTGAAGAGCATGCTTTTGGATGGTTGTTGGGGTTTGTGCTTTTGAAACTGTGGCAGTATAAATGATCGAGCTGTGTGAAGAACGAAATTCACAGGTAGATGAACGGATGTTCTTATAGACCGCTCAGACATTGACGGTCTTACGAGCGAGATGCGGTTCTACGTAAATGGAGATCTCCTCTGACACTATACCGCGGATTAGCGTCGCTGGTTCTCTGCATGCTCGCATCAGAGAGGCTAGGTATCTCGCCGTCCATTTTTCTGCCAGCCTTTCACTGGTCGTCTGGTCATCTTCGACGGTGAACCTCAACTCTCACGCAGGTAAGAGCGTCCATGATGACACATAGAAATCATTCGATCTGCAAGCGTCGAGACAGAACTGCATTCATGGCCGCAAGGCTGCTGCGGTGGAATTCGCGCTTGTTTCTAGTACACCTGCAGCAAGGGATGTAAACCCAGTTGAGAAGCGCAGCTGAAGATAGCTATGTGATCTCAAAGAAAGTCCGTCCTGGTCTGCGCTGATCGCAAACAGCCGTCGCAGGGCTGAAGACGCACTGATCGGGATATTGAGTGACAGGTAATGTGCGGAGCTAAGCTGATGAGAGTTTGAGGGGTAGGTTTGGACTCAGAATTTGGCGGCTTAGCGTCTGCAGATCTAAGGCGTAAATTCGACGGCGCAAGAAAAGGGTGGTGAGAAGAAAGGCCCAGCGGCGAATGAACATTCACGTTCCCGAATATCAATGCTGTCGTGAAATGCATTTTGGTCGAGCATTCGTCGGCGGCTGGAGAGATTTTAGCAGTGTCCGCTGTGGACAACAACGTCACGATCTTAGCATGTTGTAAAGAATATTTACTTATTTGGTTACGAATTCTTTCCCATTCCCGTAATCTCCAAGGCCACGCTGAGATGTGAATAGGTTAGCAGCGTTGAGATGAGAGAGCCCTCCTGATTAGGCACGCGAGCTTCTGTCACTCTTACAGTGTGATCGTTTCACAAATTTCTCACCATATGAGGGGACGGAAGTAGCCATGTACTCCCCTGCAGTGTGACCTGTGGCCAAATCCGTCTACAGAATCAGCGTCCCGAGTTTTGAACGCGGTGATCATTCCAGTAAAGATGTTCGTGTTGATCTCAAGTTAAAGGCCTAGGTTTTCTAGCTCTCGGTAAATGCAAGAGGGCCCCAATAACACTCCTTCGACTACCTCATTGCGACGTAGCTGATATTGTACATCATGTCTTAACATGCACTTGGCTGAACAGCTGTAAGCCTAGTTGTTACCTGTACGTTGACGGTAGTTTCAAATCCCCTTCGTGCGGATAACCTCGCATAATGACGATTTTCAGCAAGTAAATTGCGGCCTTCATATTTCGGACAAGATAGGCAGGTTAAAATATTCTGCGTGCTTGTGATATGAACCGCCCAGATTGTTCGGCATCAAAAACGCAGTACTGAGTGAACTTTGCCTACAGCATTTAACCCATATGCTCGTAAATCTGCTGATCTGTTGGATAAAGCATGGCTTGAATTCTCTCATATATATGACGATCACAGCGAAGGCCCTTTCGTCTCATAAGTGCTTTCGTGATTGTACTTCAGTACCTCATTGCCCCACGAAGTCCAGCCTTGGACGAGATACCTTGCAAAGACTTCAAGGGCTTGATAGTTCTCCGGTAGAAGAGGTTCAATTAGTGTCTTGATGCATGGTTTTCGTGAATGGAAATCAGGCACGGCCGCAAGAATGCGTCTGGTGACATTTTCCACAGGCCGAGCAAGCTGCAGCCGTGTTTCCGGTGCTCGAGCGAGAAGCAGAACTTCGTATGGTTTTCTCCATAGCCCATCGACCGGCATGACCGGCTCGCCTTTTGCGGTTGTCTTGATCCATATCCACTCTTCAACCAAGCTCACGTTCAATGATTCAAAAATGCCTCCAGCTCCGAGAACGAGTTCACGGTGCGCGGACTTGTTCGTCACCCATATGGCTACAAACCCACCGGGAGCCAAGTAATTTGAAAGATCCATGTTCTCAATCAACGAGTGAACGCTGTTGGTCTCATATGCCGCCCGGCGCTTCGCCGACCGGTTTTCCCACGGGGGATCCAGAAGAATGAAGTTGAAGTTCCGAGGTTTGTTGTATTCTTGTGACATCCAACGAACGAAATTGCGAAACCGATCCGTAGCGATGCAGTCCGCTAAGAGGAACGAGGACTGGGGCGGTATAGAGAAATTAAAGGTTTCCAGACGAACAGTCTGGTCTGTTCTGCTTTTATCACCCGATTTGAGGCCCGAAATGTGCAGCTCGGCGGTCTCATCGCAGTCATTGCAGTAGGTACCATCCCATTGCTTTATAGCAATTGTATCCCGTTGTTCTGTAACTGCGACTCGAAACAGTTTTATATTGTTGACCTTGGAAGCCTCTTGCAACAGTTTACTAATCCTGTGTTCGGGAGAGATATTCTCAGTCTCTTGCATAGATCCTGGCATGCGAAACCAGCGAGGGTAGACCCATGCTCCTTGATGATTGTCTCTAATGTTGCTCAAAGCTGCGTCAACCAAATGTGCATATATTACATCGTGTTCTGATTGTTTTGTCCTAGCGAGCACGTGTTCCTTAGCCCTCTGTGTCTTCGGCTCTGTCGAATGGAAAGGCTCATGACGTGCTTCGCAGGACAGTATGCGTCCTTCGAATCCATGTGCATGACCAATAGAGGCAGGAATGTCAATCAATGTCACGGAAGCATCGCCGTTTTGATAAAGAATCGGATGGCTCAACATGACCCTGAATTTTGCTTTCTGCCGTTGATATCTATAGCTTATCAATACACCAGCAAAGTGGAGATCAATGTTCTCAATGAAAGGAACATTTGCATTCGGTCACATATGATCTTTCGAACAGATTATGAAGACGAAGCTTTGTGCGTGTTAGAATTTTCAAATGCGTTTACGGATGACTTGGGAGTTTCAAATCGTGTTCAAAGACGTCATTGACAAATATTTTACTAGAGTATTGTATTTTACCATCATGGCACGTGCGGCATTCTTTGAAAAACACACTGTTACTGGTCCTTCGATTATCTTGACCACGTCGCAGCAGCAACATAAATGGCTTGTCGATGAATAGCAAACTTTTTTACCCGCCGCCGCATTTCAAGCAATTTGTTCCGCAGAAGTCGGGGCTTCACCGACAAGCAGGTGAGCAGGATTCTAAACCAGATTATCTCCACCCTAATCTCCATACCAAGTATTCGCGCTATATCGCGCCATTCTATCACAATGCGATGCTGCTCCATTTGATGATGCGAGCAAAAATGCCCTCAAGAATATAGCCAGGAATAGATTCCAAGCGAATCGCCACCTACGCGTTCCTCGCCGTCTGAAGCTTTCTTTCTACGCGGGATACAGAGCACTTGACTACTTAGATGATGCCGCGGCAGGAGGCGAAGCGAGTGCTGATCGTATAGCTGGTTATCTGGATAAGGTACCAGATTATCTCAAACAACGCCGGAAAGTCGAACCTCCACCACCGAGACCTGAGGCTCCTCCCTATATCACCCCGCCCGAGCACCAATTCTTCAACGTCTTCCCTCGAGAAAAAGTAGAAGGCATCCGCAAGGTGCCCTCGTTCGTCCGAGCGAACGGATTTCCGATGGTCCGCTGGAAAAAACCCCAGCCTGTCAAATTGAGTAGAACACTTCAAGGGCTAATCAAGTCAAAGCAAGAGAGCATCAATACTCTAGCGGAGTATGAAGATTACCACATCCCAATGGCCCGGAATGAAGATGTGTGGGACCATTTAATCCTTCAAGAGATGAGCGAGGTCAAGGATGCACAAGAGATATCTTGGGAATATAGTGCAGTGGAAGGGGCGCAGTACATCAAGCAGCTAAGCGTGGAGAGGCACAAGAAAACAATGGAAAAAGCGTACAGAATGGTGGAAATTGTTAAGAAGGAGCAGGAACTTGCAGATCAGGAGCGTCAAGCTCGTGAGGCAGCGGCCATCTCAGCCGATCCCGAGAAGAGCTAAAAGAAAATATGTTGATCAAGCCTATGCTACTTTACATTCTCTTGCACCTTTAGATTCCTTTTGGGCCTTAATCATCACCGTTTCTTTCGTTGATATCAGCAGCTAGGTCCGTATCCTTTATCATTTTACTCTTAGTCAGCATCTACCATTCGGAGGACTTCGACGATAATCCCGGATCTCGAAATTGCATCTCTCGAATCAGCACTTAATCTTTTTGATAGTCTCAATTCTTTGCGCTGTTTGAATCGGGAGCACATTATGTTGATCCGGCACAGATCCACGGTTGAGTCTTGCTATCGTGTCTTCCCTTGCTCTTGCAGAAGATGATGTCCCGCTAATAGCGTGCTTGCGTTCAACGTACTGGAAGACTTGACGCTACTCAGCCCACGAAGTGGACTAAAGGTAAGTCATTCATACTATGATCTGTGTGGGGAATTCCTCTCGATCGAATTGTAAAGCTTTTGGCTCTAGTACCTGCATGACGAGGCTGCGTGGCGTTGATGCACGTGCACTGCTTTACTTTCTCCACCTCCAAGAACAACAGAGGCTGAAAACAAAACCATTTCCCCACTAGCTAAAGTTCAGTTGCTCTATTGAACCTTCTCGCATTCGCGTTGTGGACAGACGCAGCATGAAACTTGCTCTTTGAGTTCGAAATAATTGCGCTGTGTTCTAACTCCTTCGAAGGCAGCCCATGCGCACATCTCGCTGCACAAGATGGCGCTGCTTTCCGGGGTTATTGTTCATACCCTAATCATTCTTCTTCTGCTACAAACTGCGTCAGCGAGACATCCAGAATTCAGGCCGCAGCAGGTGATTGGGTTGCAACAGGATGCCTCTTTACAGACCAATGTCACTTGGGATGAACATTCTCTATTTATCAACGGCAACAGAATCCTGATATTCAGTGGAGAATTACATCCGTTCAGGTTACCGGTGCCAACATTATGGCTGGATGTATTACAAAAGATTCGTGCCTTAGGGTTCAGCGCAGTTAGCTTCTATGTGGATTGGGCGCTCGTCGAAGGAACTCCAGGTGAAATCCGTACAGAGGGCGTGTTTGCGCTGGAGCCTTTCTTTGAAGCTGCAAAGCATGCGGGCATCTACTTGATAGCACGACCAGGCCCCTACATCAACGCAGAAGTGTCTGGTGGTGGCTTTCCCGGTTGGTTACAACGTGTTAAGGGACATTTTCGAACGACAGAGGGTGACTTCCTCGAAAAGACGGATCTTTATGTAAGAGCCATCTGTGAAAAAATTGCTAAAGCGCAAATCACAAATGGAGGGCCAGTAATCCTCGTTCAGCCCGAGAATGAATACTCCCATTGGACGAATGGCCAGCAGAATGACCCCAAATATATCGATTACGTCAATCAGCAGTTCAGAAAGGCAGGAATCGTCGTTCCCTTGATATCGAATGATGCTGCTGCTGACGGAAATAATGTTCCTGGAAAACCAGGGGCGTTCGATATTTATGGCCATGACGGATACCCATTGGGATTTGATTGCTCAAATCCAGATCATTGGGATCCGTGGGCCCTGCCAACAGACTGGAGGGACCGCCATGAGTCTCAGAGTCCAACGACGCCATATACGATCCCTGAGGTATGCTCCTCATTCAGAAGTTTTCCATATCATGCTAAAATGCATACGCACAGTTCCAAGGCGGTTCTTTCGATCCTTGGGGTGGTTCAGGCTTTGAGAAATGTGTATCACTGACGGATAGCACCTTTGAGAGAGTTTTCTGGAAGAACTTGTATAGCTTTGGGGTAAGCATATACAATGTCTACATGATCTATGGAGGAACCAATTGGGGGAACATTGGTCACCCCAACGGTTACACAAGCTACGATTACGGAGCTGTGATCAGTGAAGATCGAAGAGTATCCCGCGAGAAATATAGCGAGGCTAAACTTCAGGCAAACTTCCTGGCGGCGTCACCGGCGTATTTGACTGCCATTCCACAAAAGGCTCAAGCAGGAGGATTAGTAAGTACTGATGCACTCACTGTTACTCGTCTTCAAGGCAACAAAACCCAATTTCTAGTGGTCAGACATACAGACTACACGTCACAGGATGAGACATCATATAAACTCGTACTTGATCATACGAGTATCGGACCGCTTACCATCCCATTCAATGGCAAAGGTCTCACTTTGCATGGCCGAGATTCCAAGATCCATGTAATAGATTATGACTTGTTGGGCATCAATATGCTATATTCTACTGCAGAAATCTTTACCGTTCAAAAGTATGGCGACGAGGTCGTGCTAGTTGTTTACGGCGGACCTCAAGAGGAGCATGAAATGGCGATTGCGCTCGGGCGAGAACGAGTGGATGCACAACATATCCGCGGTCAGGGTGTTAGCGTATCTACTGTGGACAGCTATGCTGTCTTCAATTGGCAAACGAGTTTGGGTGATAAGGCATTAAAATGGGGCGCTCTCACGGTGTGGTTTTTGGATCGTCAATCTGCATACAATTGCTGGGTTCTTGGTGTTGTCAATGAGGCTGACGACCAATATCCTTATGCTGGCCAAGCCAGCTTGTCAGTGTTTATCAAAGGCGGGTATTTAATGCGCACGGCAAGCATATCGGGCAGCACGCTGAAAATCACCGGTGACATTAACGCCACAACAACGATAGAGATCATCGCTGGCGCGCCGAAACCACTCTCTGCACTTTACTTCAACGGCGAAAAGGTACCATTCGAGCAGGATCCTTATGGCATTGTGACGGCTAGTCTGCCGTACCGACCTATTGATATTGACCTCCCGAATCTTGCGGCTCAGACTTGGTACTACATTGACTCTTTGCCTGAACTCCAGGATGAATACTCGGATACAGCTTGGGTGAAAGCGGACCTCAAGTGTACCAACAACAGCTATCGCGAGCTGACCACACCAACCAGCTTGTTCGGTAGCGACTATGGTTTCCACACGGGAACATTGATATTTCGAGGACACTTTCAAGCGAATGGACACGAAAGAAAGCTCTCTATTCACGCGCAAGGTGGCAATGGATTCGGATTCTCCGTCTGGCTCAATAGTACATTTCTTGGCAGCCTCAAAGGCGTTGGCTGGTCCGGAGACGACAGGATAAGTTCTCGCTTGCCGAAGTTGGAGCCGAATGCTTCATATGTCATCACTGTTGTAATAGATAGCATGGGATACGATGAGAACTTCATCGTGGGGTTAGACACCATGAGAGCAACTAGAGGCATCTTGGACTACAGCCTCGATGGACAATCGCAAAATGACGTGATGTGGAAAGTCACCGGCAACTTGGGCGGAGAGCAGTACTACGATAAATCAAGGGGACCGCTGAACGAAGGCGGTCTGTGGGCTGAGAGGCATGGATTCCATCTCCCTGGCGCACCAGTCAAGGACAAAGGCTGGAAAGCTGTGCCCAAAGGCCCGGTGGAAGGGATCACGAGGGCTGGAGTGGCCTGGTACGTCACCAGCTTTGATCTCAACGTCCCGCAAGGCTACGACGTGCCTATCGCGATCCAGCTCCCAGACATTGCATCTTCGACAGCTGGCCCTCCTGGGACTTCATTGCCATCTGCCTATCGGGTGCAGCTCTACGTCAACGGTTGGCAGTTCGGAGAGTATGTCCACCATTTAGGACCGCAAACAAAGTACCCGGTGCCCGAGGGCGTCTGGGACTACAACGGAACGAACTGGGTGGCGATCAGCCTGTGGGCAATGGATGGTAGCGGTGCAAGACTGCAGGACATCAAACTGGTCGCCGGGCCTGTGGTTCAAACCGGTTACACGGGGGTCAAGAAAGTGGAAGCGACCTCGTGGACAAAACGACGAGGGGCATACTGAAAGTGCGAAACCGATCTCTTGTTTTCCTTTTCACCCAAGTTGGTGAATTTCATGTTTATCAGACTAGCTAAAGACGAAATCGCACATGAACGTGTCAGGCAACGGCGACGCAGTGCCCTCTCCGAGTCTTTTCAAGCTCACCATCCTGGGCCTTCCCTTGCCAGTTCTTTCGCAACGAAGTAGGGGTGCAGCCATGCGCCGTTTGAATCTACGATCGCATGCAAAAGATAGCCTCGTCCAATTTGTTTCACAGCATTCGGTGCGAGGTCCGTCAACTCCGAGCTTGGGAATTCCCGGTGCGGTTGCTCGTCTTGCCGCGGACCACACGTTCAAAGTCGTCAGTCGTTTATCAACCCTTTCCGCTGTGTGAGAAGGAGAGGTTGCTGTAATTATGGGTCTACGTGGTGAGTCGCACAGCCTAGTCTTGTGCTGGGGGGGAGTAGCGCAAGTCAGCCACACACCGCCGTCTCCACCTCCTTGCGCGCAAGGCGCGCAGCCGTTGGAGAAAAGCCGTGCAAGATCGTTGATGGTACAAATTGGGCCAGTCTTGAGTATCCGTTGTAAGTTACTTATATCGCAGGCCAGTCTCCCCCTCCCCTTCCCTTTAATCGCATCGTCAATAGCGCACTTCCACATTGGAGCTCATCACCATGGACCGACTGGGGCCCAGGTCAGGACTTGCATGCTTTTTGTTTCCATGTCTTACTCGTAACGCATCGCTTCACTGGTAATCGCACTGCGCACGTCCGTGCAGAGCCGAACCCCGATGTCACGCTTGAAAATGCTCCCTGTCGCAGCGTTAGCGCACCATTCCGGAACTGGGTTCCAACATCAGTCGTTCCGTCGGATCGCTATGAGCTCTCGCTGCCACGACCGTTCGTGGTGGAGATACCGAAGTCCTGATCACCACGCGAAAAGAGCACGGTGCCTTTGCTGCGTCCAGTTCGGTTCGCCGGTCCGGAACGCTACAGGCGGACATCCTTGCGCAGTTCGCGATCCTGTACGTTGGGTTCGCGGCCTGTTTAGGGCAAGAACATCAAGTCTCTTAATCCCCAGCCTTTGCTGTAACATCTTCTTTCAAGCTAGTGTACTAGAAGAGGGAATCCAGGCGGACGACTCCCAATAATGTTCCATGCCGTATAGATGGGACTCTGTCCGGAACTTGGCCTTGGGCGATCATGCCACGATGTGCTGTCGAGGAGAAAAAAAAACCAAGTTAACTTCGGTAAACGACACATGCGCATGTCGTAACATATCTACTTCGCAAGACGCCTACACGTTTAATTAGTCAGTGCTCTGAATTCGGATGCTGATGGCGAACCGTTGGCGCACGGAAACGTTACGCGTGCACTGTCTTCTAGAATAGCAATGCACGATAGATTCTGACGTGCTTTATGGTCAAAAAAAGGATCGGTGGCTGTTCTGTTTTGCGTTCTGCATATGCGCAATTCGAGCATCCCTTGCAAGCCTCTTTTTCTTCTCCTGTGCGCGTGTTATTTTTCCTTATTTTTTCATTTTTCTTTTCAAAACATGAGTCTTTCCCCACTTTACGTGTACACTCAGATTGGAAAAGCATGGTAATTTGGTTCGAAGGCCATCGTGCGTACAAAGTCAGTGTACATGAATGTTGCCGCCAAACTTTATCTGATGGGGAACACATTCGAAGAGCAGAGATAGACCGATCCTGCGGGGTTGTGAATCGTAGAGGGTGATGAAACGAAACAATGGGGGTGAGTTGAAAGCCAATGGGATTTGCAGGATGCGCGTGAAGCCGTCTGAGACGTGCCAGCATTCATCCCTGATAGACATGAAGGGCCGGGATCGGAAGATTGTTCAAACACCAACGAACGGGTGAGGGGTTGTCCGGTTTTCTTCAGCGTTATTGATCTCGTTCCCGATTGTCATTAGGATGTAGAGGAAGCCCGTGATCAGTATCGCAGAGGTTTGTCTTTTCCCGAGAGTGAAGATTCTCTGGGCGAACATGGGTTTCACCATACTTTGTAGCACTGGATTTTGTTTTGTAGGCGATGACCTGAGAACCTTGCTCTGCCATGCGGGTGGAGACGAAATCGGCCTGGCAGGAGTGATGTGACCAGTTATGTTCAACACCCGGACTTGCTCTAGGAAGAGATAGTGAGCTCGTACACGGTATCTGCCAGTGCTTAGATCGAGTCGTTGCATGATTAGTACAGCATAGCTATGTCTCACGACACGAAAGGAGAAACGATCCGGCAGTAAAAATTGAATGGCGTGCAACGGACATGTCTTCGCACACGAGTTTGGACTGGCTTCACGGCATTTTGACGGAAGAAATTTCTCCAAGACAAAGAGCATGACGGCCGCCGCTGTGATGGCTCTTTTGATCAACATGTCGCGAGAGCAGTGCGGGACGCGTCGGCATGACGAATGGAGTACCGTCCGGATCTGAGATGTTGACAGAGGGCCAGCACACAGGCTCGTCACGATCAACATCACCGGGCGAGGAGGATAGCGTCGACTGACTGTGTATTCAGTACGTGGCGGAGACAGTCTCCTCGATCTGGCGCAGGAATAATTGCTTTGCTCCTTGCCTTCGGAGAGGTTCCCCACTTTGCAAGCATGTGGAGCGGCGGCAGCGGCAGGAGCAGCAGAGCAGCAGCAGAAGCAGAAAGTACGGAACCGATTATAGTGCGTATTTACGCTGGTCAAAGGCCCCCCGTGTCTTAGTCAGGGCGTATCGTACGTTTGGGTCAGGAACGGCCAACCACTGCCGGCCGAAGACTCCGCTTTGCCACGTTTTCATTGCCCCCGAGAACTTTAGGGAAACGATCAGCTGGGATTGGCTCTCGCACGGCTGCGCTACGGCGTCTACTCCTGCCTTTGCTTTTGAACTCTCTGGCATGTGCTTCTTTGACAGCAGCTTGACAGTCTGGCGGTGGGCTCGCGAAGCGGCAGCAGGAGCCTCTGTGGCGTGGCCGCCTTGTTCCTTGCCTACTGGCCCTTGCGGCCGATCTCGAGCACGAATAGGATCTTGGACCGATCTGAGTGATGGGCGGTGCCAGAATAATGAATGAGGCGGACAAACTGGCATCTGTTTGGGATGATCGGCAGCACTTCAACACGTGCGAGGAGCGACGGAAAGGACGAGGAGCCAGAAGGGCAGAGAGCTCGGGAACTCAGCGTCGGCAGGTGGCTGGCTACAGCTCGCAATGGTGGGACATTTTGGCTGGGCCAGGGTGAAATTAATCACCCTACACAGCTGCAGCACGGCTTCGAAGGGGGAAAAGGGCGAGTAGAGTGGATGAGGCTTGGAGACAACTGTGCCTGGACGAAGGAGCCAAATGAGCGACAGACAAGAAGCGTTGCCGGGGCTGGTCTGTAGTAAATTAATAGCGGGCATTAAGCGCGTGGTAGGGAGGCATCCAGGGCATTGATACGCGTGAATAATGGGAAAAAAACGAAGTTACGGCGCGGGTACGGGCGAAAGCCATGACGGCGATTGCATACGGTACGGTACAGAACCGCAGCGGAACGCACGAATAAAGACTGAGGACGGACGCGCCTTTGGGGGGGAATGGGGGAGGAAAGACCGAAGGGGAGAGGTTTGGCCAGGGCCGAAAGCGTGCTAGGGCGGGCAGCTCGCTTAAAACGGCGTTAGTCGAAAAGGCTGGAGGACGGACCTGCAGCCGCTAGGCACAACTCAGACTCGACTCTGCTGCAGCAACCCCCTATTCTGCTGATTATTATTATTGTTCCCCATTTCCCAAGCCCACGCACGCACACGCACACCCACCATACCCGCCTTGCTTGCACGCGCCCATTCACGCCTTGTCTCGTCGCCTGGCAAAGAGACAAAAAAAAAAAAAAAAAAACACGCGTGCGCCCTGAATCGCCCTCCCTTGCTCCGTACCGTGACCCTCTCCGTCCGCTGGCGTCGTCTCTTGTGCTACCATCCGCTACCCATTCTTCCACCACCACCACTATCCTCACTTCCAGCATCCCCTATCTCTCGCCCGTCGCATTGCTAATCTCCTCCCCCTCGATCTCTCCGAATCTCCTCCGTTGCGAATGCGCGTGCGGCTACCACGCGGAAGACGATCGTCTGCAGCGACACGAGCCTTCTCCTCATCCGCCGCTCACGTCGCGCGAGTCTCCGGGGATCGCTGCCCCAGTTAATCTCGAACACAAAAAAGACGGGGCACCTCGCACTCGCCATCGCCCACGCATTTCGCCGAAGTGGCCCGTTGTGTGTGCGTGCGTGTGCGGTTGTGTGCGCCTGTCGACCATTTTCCTTCGCTGAGCTTCCGACCCATCGTGTAACGACGAGCGCATCGCAACGCGGCAGTCGAGCAGCAGCACCGTCACGCGTGGGCTACCACAATGGCCAGCCCGCCTGGCTCCCCGCCGCATTCTGCGGGAGGCGCTGTCCAGCGGCCCATGAGCATGATGGTTCGTCCGAACAGGAGTTCGAGCAGAATGAGCGTGAGCAGTAAGAACGGCATCGGCAGCAAGTACTCTGACGAGGATGGCAAAACCGCCGTCAAAGTTGGTGAGTTCCTCTCCCCCTTTCCTCTGCCTTTCCAACTCGCCGCCGCCTGCGGTTCTGTCCTTTCGTCCCCTAGGTCACCCGACATCTGTTTCCCCAGCCCCTGACTGACGATGCTTCTTGGTGTAGCCGTTCGAGTCCGACCCCCCCTCCAACCCACAGACCCAGGCTTCGAGCTGGTGCCTCAGCGCTTCCGCTCCTCGATCGCCCACGTCACCTCGCCCACGAGTCTGACAGTGGAGTCCGCTCAGGGGAAGAAGCTGTTCGTCTTCGATCGCGTGTTCCCTCCGGAGACGGACCAGGAAGGTGTGTGGGAGTATCTGAGTGAGAGCGTAAACTCTTTCGTGCAGGGCTACAATGTCTCCATCCTGGCGTACGGCCAGTCCGGCGCAGGAAAGTCGTTCACCATGGGTACATCTGGCCCTGCGGAACAAAACAACCCTCGGATAATGGGTGAGTAAATGCGTTCGGACTTTGCTCTAAGCAGTGCCAGCATGTCTGACGCCCCTGCAGGTGTTGTTCCTCGAGCGGCAGCGGCTTTGTTTGAAAAACTTTGTGGCACTTCACAACGATCGGGTCTCAGGTCGCCGAACAGATATTCCATGACGAACGGTCTGAGCTCGCAAGCGAGGAATCAAGACAAGAACTGGCAGCTTAAAGCCACATATGTAGAGGTAAGTCATTGCCAGGCCAAGCTCTCAATCAGTAGTCTAATGCATAAGCAGATCTATCAGGAGCAGCTTCGCGACTTGCTACTCGACGATACAGTCCCATTCACAGAGCGACCACAGATCGCAATTCGCGAAGACACAAAGGGTCGTATACTGCTGACTGGTCTAAAACAAGTGCCCATCAACTCGATAGACGATCTTCTTGGCGCGTTGAACTTCGGCTCCACGATCCGACAAACGGATGCGACAGCCATTAATGCACGATCTTCGCGTTCACATGCAGTCTTCAGCTTGAATCTTATACAGAAACGATCTGGCACGCCGACTCCACTAAAGGAGAAGCGTAGATCGGTACCGCTCGAGGCCATGTCTGGCAGTTCTGGTGCCGACAGCTGGATCACGGTGGACAGCAAGCTGCATTTTGTCGATCTGGCCGGAAGTGAGAGGCTGAAGAACACAGGGGCCCAAGGCGAGCGAGCGAAGGAAGGCATTTCGATCAACGCCGGTCTTGCGAGCCTGGGCAAAGTCATTGCGCAGTTGTCATCACGCTCGGCTGGATCTCACGTGTCATATCGCGACTCGAAACTCACCCGTCTACTACAGGACTCCCTTGGTGGCAACGCAATCACGTACATGGTCGCGTGCGTCAACCCTGCCGAATTCCACCTGAGCGAAACTCTCAACACGGTCCAGTACGCGCAAAGAGCACGCGCCATCCAGAGCAAACCACAAATTCAAGCCGTGTCGGACGATAGCGACAAGCAGGCTGTCATTGATAGGCTGCGTGCTGAGGTGCAATTCTTGCGCGACCAGATCAGACTGTCCGAGAAGGCCGACAGACGGAACAACGCACCTCAGGAACGTGCCGAGCGTCAGCATGAGCGCGAGTCGGAACTGCAGAACCAATATCTAGACCTGCAGGAGAATTACAACGCTCTCAGCGAGAGGCACTCCAAGTTGATTCAGCAGATAAGCAGGGTTCAGAACGTTGAGACGGATGGCGCAAATGACGACATTCCTGGCGAAACCGCCCTAGAGCGTCAGGAGCGGTCGCGTTCGTTTCAAGGTGCGATCGAGGACATGATCTTGGAGTACGAGAAGACCATTCAATCGCTCGAGACCTCTCTGTCAAACACTCGCGGGTCGCTGTCCGCAACGGAGAGTGCTTTGCTCGAAAAGGAGACGAAAATCGCCTACCTCGAGACGGTTCAGAGTCAGCTGCAGGCGAGACTGCAGAAGTCCATGGATAGAGAGCAGAACGACGAGAATTATCTGCGCGATCTAGAAGCACGGGTGGCCGGAGCGACAACGGGCGAAGAGAAGAGCAACGCGCTAGTGCAGGGCTTGAGGAAGGAGCTTGCGAGAGCCCGTGAAAACGAGGCTAGCTGCGAAGAATACATTTCCACCCTCGAGGAGCGACTCGCGGAAGCCGAACAAGATCACGAGATGATGCAACGCGAGATTGAGCGTCTTGAGCACGTTGTGGAGCGACAGCGTAGCATCAACAAGCTTGACAATTTGCTTTATGAACTCGATTCTATTCGCCATGTCGACGTCAAGGCCAGTGCCGAGCCATACGCCAATGGACATGTCAAGAAAGATAGCGAGATGACCTTCCGGTCGCGAGCCGACTCAGAGTACAGTCGTAGATCTGGATTTGAAGACGCCGCTCAAGAGAATGGTGAACCTGAAGCGGAGACCCTGCAGGCCATTGCAGAACACGAAAAGCCCGATGAGCAAGACGGTCTTGTTCCAACATCTGCTGCATCCAATCGAGAGCTTCGGGTTGATCAACATGACGAACCGACGAGTCCAGCTCAGTCAAAGTTTGTCGCTGACAAACTTGAAACCGTTACGCAGGAGCTGTTCGATCTGCGTATGGAGCATGAAGCCACGGTCAACGACCTCGACGAGCTGCAAAGGAAGTACCAGATGGCTCTCAAGCAGCTAGCCGAGATGCACGAAGCCCGCGAGGTCGATCTGCGCAACAGAGACTCCATCTCGTCGAGGCCATCATCTTTTTTAGCGGACACGGTAGCGAGCACACATGGCGAGGAAGCTGGGCAGCCATCATCTTCGCGCACATTATCCTCGGAGCTGTCCTCGGCTATGGAATTGCCCGCTCAATCGGAAGCCTCTGACGAGACTACCACGAAGGAGACTGTGGACGCCGCCCTTGCAGCAAGAGAGGAGGAGCTCATGCGAGAGATGGAGGAGCTCAGGAAGCTGCACATGGACAAGGAGCTGAGCATGGCCGAATTGGAAGAGCGCCACAATCAGCTGCAGGAACAACATCAAGATACTCTGGACTACGTGGAGGAACTGAAGGCCGAGCTGCAAAAGGCGCAGCTGAATGGCCGTGCCTCGCCAAGTCCTCAGTTTATCCGACGAAAGTCAAGTCAAATCCTGTCCTCACAAGGTGATCGTGCCAACAGAGCCTTTGCCTCGTTGCGAAACCTTGCACTCGAGAATCTTGAGGAGGACACGGACAAGTTGCAGAGCTTCGAGCTCAATCTGAACTCCATCATGGCCGAACTGCAGAGCCGCTCCGAACGTGTGACTGTCCTCGAAGCCGAGACTGTGGCCCTGCGCAAGGAAATGGAGACGAAGATGACGATCATCAACGGTCTGACTCGCGAACGCACCAGTCTGAAGGCCGCGCAACCTCTCGATATGTCCGCAATCGCCTCCATGCATGACAAACTCAAGGAAAGCGAGAGCAGGCAGAAGCAGATGTCGGAGGCCCACTCGGCCAGAGAAAAGGAGCTTCTATCGCAGATCGAAAGCCTCAGGGCCATCGCCACGCCTGTCAGCGCAACTGGCGTGCCTGGCGAATTCCCAGCCACTCCTGCGGATATGGGCAGCCCACGGCAGCTTGGTGATGATGTTGGAGAGCAGCAGCGTCAGCTCGAGAAATTGCAGCGTGAAGTTGCCGACTGGCGATCGAAGCACGATTCCGCCATGGAGTCTATGCGGGAGTCGGAGAAGAGATTCACTGCTACGATCAGCGAGCTCGAGAGCAGCCTCCGACATGCCGAACAGAATTCTCGCTCTGTTTCTCCGGAGATGTCCGCCGCAGGCGGCGCTCAAGAGGAGACGATTGCAAAGCTCAACAAAGAGATTCAGGAATACAAGAGCAAGGCCGAAGCTAGCGCACAGCGTCTAGCTGAGCTTGAGAAGTCGTACAACAGCATTGTCGCTCAGGTCGAAGAGGATTCCCATGCGCAGGAGCTGACCATAAAAGAGCTCCAAACTCATCGTGAGCTTGTCGCTAACCTCGAAACCCAGCTTGAGGAGCACAAGAATGCGGTGCAGAGCCATCAGCTAACATTGGAAGCTCTTCGCTCTGCACACGCTAAGGAAATCGAGGAACTGACTTCCAAAGCCTCCATTAGTGCGGATGAAAAGGTAGCTGCCGCACTAGCAGAGCAGAAGGAAGCCAACGCAGCCCTTCAACAGCAGCTTGACTACGCCCGAGCTGCTAACGAGGAGGCAACCGTGACCATGCAGGCCGAGATTGAGAAGGCTAAGAACGAGCTCAAGGAACTCCTTCAAGACTGCAGCATGGTCTTGAACAAGCCAACCAATGCCAGTAACCTCACTTCTCATATTCTGACACTCGTCAATGCCAAGAAGGACATTGCTACCATGCACGACACCGCTACAGGCGAGCTAAAAGCTCTTCGAGCCGAGGTGGAGGAAACTCGTGCTCGAGCTGCGCAATTCGAGCTGAAGTTTAACGAGATGAAGGCCATCAACGACGAGACCATGAAGGAGCTGGAGAAGGTCAGTGCAAAGGAGCTGAGGAACGCAAGACTTGTGCAGGAGCTTGAAGACCAGCTCAATTCGAACTACGACCAGACCCAGGCCGCAAACAACCGTCTGTCTGCTCTACAGACTGAAAGACAATCGGAGCTTGAGAGGACAGTAAGTCAGCTCCAGGAGGCACAGTCTAAGATCGCTGCGCTAGAGGTAAGTTTTCTAAAGAATGTTGATGGAGATACGCTAATGCCGAAGCAGCAACAACTTGCCGACATGCGTAGGCAATCGAGCCGGAACTCAAATAGCCCTGCCATTGAGCTTGAACGATCGAATTCGGGCTCCAACAATCTACGCAAGAGCGTTTCGGCAGCTTCATTGCCCTCACCTCCGCCTGCTATTCCGCTGCCACCTCTTCCAGGAACTCCAGTTGGCCAGGCTGCCCAGCAAGCGCCTTCGCCACCTCAATCACGTCACCAGAGCAAAGACATTGCTCAAGCTCAACTTGTCGAGGACCAAGAGGCGCGTATCCGAACCATCGAGAAGCACTTGTTCGCAGAGAAACAGCTTACAGCCACTCTCGAGGAGGCACTAACGGATCTCGAGTCTTCGAGCACCAAGATGAAGAGCGAGATGGAGGGATGGCGTAGGAAGTGCGCTACCCTGGAAGAAGAGCTCACGATGCTCCGCAAGGAGAGACAGAGCAGTCGCCTCAGCGTGCAACAGCTCGAGGAGGAGAGGAACAGAATCAAGCGGCTGGAGGCTCAGCGAGCCGAGCTGGAGCAGAGAATGGCGACGATTCAGAAGTCGAAGAAGAAGAAGAGCAGCATCAACTGCTTCTAAGCTTCTTTCACACATATTTGAAGGCCAGAACGTCTCACGTTCGCATCGCCATTTTATTTCTTCTTTGACGTTGGATGCTTGTCTTTTGACAGCCATCACACCTTTTTTTTTTACATTTGTTCTTCATCCTTTGAACAGCTTCATACCCCCATATCATCTGCAACGGCAAATTCTTGCGACCGTCTTGTCTGTCTGTCTGTCTGACCTTCATCTTGATTGCTTATGCTTGTATGTCCCGCTTCACGCGCAACCATGCCGTTCATGTCTTATTACTACTGCTGTCCTGGACAGATTTCACCCACGGAACTCAAGAGCTTACGGGGGTCCTCCTATTTTTTTTATTATTCAACTTCACTTCACAAACATAAGCACCACTTAAAGAATGGGCTTCACAGCAGAGCGTTTGGCGCCGATGGGATACGTACTGAACAGATCAACCGACATCCGTGTATCAACAATCCATCCACTACTCGGACACTCTTTTTATTTTTATTCTTTTCTTGTATCGCTATGTAGTCGCCTTTTTGATCGGGGGCGGATATTCATCTGTCATTAGTTCACGACGAATGTAGTTTAAGTGAATCAGGGCTCTTGGGTAGGATAGCGATCAGATTGAGAAACGGGAGCGATTATCTACCACTTCACTCTTCACACGATGCGGGCTTATCTTAGTTCAGCTTCTGACCCTCGAAATTTTTTTCTTTCTAGTCTTGGCTTTGATATAGCTCCGCTAGCCTTGCGACGAGCCGTGTAGTCCTTGGCTTGAACTACTCGCGTGGCGTCGGCGTTGTGACCCAGAGACGCACCTTAGAGATTTCGCTTGGCAACGGCGAGGCTGAGAGTGTTCGCGATAGAAAGGGGGAGTCATCCGGCCTTGCCACAAAGAGAAATGGTGACAACGGTAAGACAGAGAGGATCATGGCACCTGACGAGCTTGAGCGTTCGCATCACGAAATTTTTTTTTTAAAAAAAAAAGAAGAAGAAGAAAAGAGGAGGAAAGAAATAGATGGGGGCACCGATAATAAAGAAACAATGCTAAGTGATAGTGGGAGAGGGGAACAGGGAACGAGGAAGGCGAGGGGATCACAGAAGGGGAGGCACACGAACTAGAACTGGGTGGCACCGGCGAGAGGAACGGGTGATTGAATACGTCGACTGTTTATCTGGCTATCAGAAGGGTGCTCAGAAGTGCGCTTGCTATGCGCTGGCCTTTTGCTGCTCCTGCGCCTGCTTCCACCTTTGCGCCGCGAGAAGCAGGTTGCTGAGCTTCTTCTCGCTCTCGTTGTCGGCCGGGAACACCCAGTCCATGTACTCCTCGAACGTGTCGTCGTCCAGTCTCCTCCGCTTCTTGACCTTGCTCGGCATCTGCCTTTGGACCTTCTCGAGGTCCTCTGGCGAGCCTTGGGCCTTCTCGAACGACTCCCACGCCCGCAGCAGCGCGACTCGTTCTTCCTTGAGGTCCTGCTCCTTCATCGCCTTGTATCCGCGTTCGAAGACCGCGCGCACACGTCGCTTGGCCGCTTCGCTGAGCTGGTCTTCGTCTGCCGCCGCCGTCTCCGCCGCCTCTTCCTCTTCGTCCGGCACGGACGCTTCGAACTGCGCGTAGGAGATCCAGACCTTGACGTGTGACGTCTTCTGCAGCAACATCTCGTACAGCGCGCGAGCACGCTCATACTCCTCGTTATCCACTTCAAAGTCGATGAATTCCTTCCAAAGCAGCTCTGGCATGTCCAGCACGTCTTCGGAGATAGCTAGTTCGTAGATTGCCCGTGCACGATCGATGTCGGCAAGACCTCGTTCAAGCTCTGCGAACGACTTCCAGGCCTCAGCGTTGCTTGGATCCCACGAAACCCACTTCGTGTAAAGCTGTCTTGCGCGATCAAACTCAAAGAGGCTCTTCTCCAACTCGATGTACTCTCTGAAGAGCTTGTTCTTAGGTGCTTTTCCGATTGCCGTTCCCAACGTTTTCCTTGCGTCCGTCAACCTTCCTTGCCTAATTAAAAAGTATGCAAAATTAAGCCAGACTTTTGCTGATGTCCACTGACTGTGTGGAATCAGCTTCAGACAAGCTCGATAGATCGCTTCAGTTCGTTCCATGTCCCCGCTATTCAACTCTTCCCAGGTGGCATAGAACAAAAACAAGTACAGGTATCGCCTCCAGTGCCTCTTTTCGTTTGATGGAGGTAGTTGGGCGATGGCCCTTTCGTAAACGTCCCTGACGCGATCTTCCTGTCCTGCCCTTTCTTCCAGTCTTGCCAAGTCTAGCCATGCGTCGTAGTTCTTAGGACTCGTTCGTAGCTCATCCTCATAACCAACTCTGCGCTTCTCAAGAACTACGTCTTCCACGCCATCAGAATCGCCAAATTGCTTCTCGAAAGTGGTATACGCTTTGTGGAGATTGACAGATTTCGAGCGAGGCATTCGATCAAGCGCAAACTTGTAGATAGCCCGCGCTCTTTCATGCTCGTGCATCCGAACGGCCTCGAAACGTGCATATTCCATAAAAATCTTTTCGGACATGAAGTCCTCGCCCAATGCCTCGATGGCCTGCGAAAATACATCTCTGACCAGGTCCGGAGTGCCATATTCCATCTCGAATCGCGCCCATTTCAGCCACGTGTTCGGCTCACCATGCACAAACGTAAGGCGTTCATACAAGGCACGAGCATTGTCCACCTCTTGATATCTGAGCTCAAACTTGATAGCAGCATACCAGACTTCTGGTTCGGGCTCCCATTGTAGCCATCTTTGAAAAACTTGTCGAGTTCCAGACACATCAGATAGCAGCTCCAAGCAGTAGACATACTTGAACCATAGTTTGGATACTCGCGGAAGGATTGTGGTTGCTCTATCCAAGAGATTTTTAGCGTGATTAATGTTGCGGCCTTTGAGTTCGCTATCGATGTAACGTAACCAAACCTGGGGCTATAATCTTTGTGAGCCAAATGAGAGGAAAGAAGATGAGATGGTGGAGCGCATACATTCGTTGGATGCACAGCAAGAGCTCTCTCCCATACAGATCTGGCCCGGGTCCACTCTCGCTGCTCTTGCTCCCATTCGGCATACCGGCTCCAGTTATGACTACAAATAATTAGTACAACATATTAAAGCTTGACTCGCTTTCAACTTACATTCTTTCTGGTGCAATGCGAACATATTCTGGAACCTCAGTTAGCAATAGTGTGGGTATCTAGCCGCGGCTTACGAACTCTCAAATTCGCTTCGTTTTCTCGACTGAAACTGTTCATGGAAGTCAGCATGGCAGTAAAGTACTCATTAGGACCTAAACTTATCTTTCAGCTCTTCTAAGTCATGAAATCGGGTTGTCGGTGCTTTCTGGCTAGAGTCAGCACCCCTAGTCTCGCAGTATACATTCGATTCACTTGGCCAGTATCATCAACCCAGCAGTACTCGGAGAATGGAGCAGCATATGATGTCCACCCCATGATTACAGGCTTTGTTGACGACAGGACCGTGATGTGTCTGTATCTTCCAGACGTACTTCTTTAATCATCTGATGCTCCGATGCCTCTTTCAGCAGCATCTCTGCGGTGATTCTAACTAGAAGTTAGCCTCCATTATTCAAATGAAACTGTCGCCTAATGCGTGAACGAAGCTCCATTTTCATTCTCATATCAATCGCCACAATATGGTATACAAAAGGTATGTCTAGGACACTAAGCGTATGGTCATAAAGAGAAGCACATACTGCACCGGCGCGGCGGCCTTGTTTTTTATTCGCGACGCCATTGTTGTAGTCTGTGTTTAGTTCTGGGGAGAATATGCGGAGGTATATGTTCGGTCGGCAGGGCTTCTGGGGCCTACGAGTACACGCGACTCCAAAGGCCTGAGAGAAAACAGGGCGAAGATAATGCGCAGACGCGCGAGTGGTAGACAACGACAAACAATCAATGCGGCAACTCAGTTGCCAGAAGTTCGCACTTCAGATGCGCAAAGACCCTCTTGCCGCTAAGCCGCTTCTGGATCGCGGAGGGCGGGCAGCACTCCATCACGAGCAGTCCAGCAGCAAGCCGCTTGATACACTTGCGCAAATCATCCACCTGGAACAACGTACCGAACTAGAGGTCAGAATGATGGATGACTTCAACACCGAGACAGATAGCGACTACACGAGTTACTGGAGAGACTGGGTAAGTTTGCGGCTTTCGACTCTGAACATGTTAGCGTCATTGGCGGGGAGGCGTTCCATTTCAAAACTCCAGACTTTGCAGCAGACGCGTTAAGAAAAAGCAAGGAGGCCAACAACATGTTCCACCTGGTATTATTTCAACAGCTGCGGCCTAGTTAAGCCGTGAAGCTCTGACCCAGAACTCCCGCCGTCATGGTTTTTACACAAAACCTGTGGGTGAAACGACACACATAGCTCAATCCCCAAAATGAACCTACAGTGTAAATCAAATCGGGACTTTGGGATATATGTCTGAATTTCTTATATCTCTTTCGCTAGCTAATGCTTTTAGCGCTTTGCTTTTCTTTATGCATTTGATGCAATGTACTAACGGCCTGAATAGTTCATATCCTCTAGAGGAAATGAATACTTTTGCGAGATCGATGAGGACTACCTCCTGGATCGGTTCAATTTGACAGGTCTAAATGCAGACGTCCAGTATTATCAGTATGCATTAGACTTGGTTACGGATGTTTTCGATCTCGACTGTGACGACGACATGCGGGAAGCAATCGAGAAGTCGGCGAGGCATCTATATGGTCTCGTTCACGCAAGGTACATCGTCACAACAAGAGGCTTGCAGAAGATGGTTAGACTCATTGAATCCCCTTTTTAATTTGAGAGCAGACTGCTTAACATTGTAACCAGCTCGAAAAATTCAAGAAATGCGAGTTTGGCAAATGCCCACGTGTTATGTGTGGCGGTCAGGCTCTTCTCCCAATGGGTCAACACGATGTATCCAATATATCGGCGGTGAAACTCTACTGCGCACGCTGTGAGGACTTGTACAACCCAAAGTCAACGCGCCATGCCAGCATCGACGGGGCCTATTTTGGGACCTCGTTCCACAACATATTGTTCCAGGTATATCCTAATATGATTCCTCCGAAAAGCATCAAGAGATATGAGCCTAAAGTGTTCGGATTCAAAGTTCACGCTGCGAGTGCGTTGATGCGGTGGCAAGACGTACGGAGAGAGATGGCAATCAAAGAGTTAAGGGCGAATGGGATTGAGACTGGGTTCGTGGAGGATGAAGAGTTCAGTGACGAAATCACAGACGAAGAGGAAGAAGAGGAGGAAGGACTCGAAGATGGAGCTCCAGTCGGCAACCAGATGCAGACATGAAAAACCCTCGTTTTGCCGACAACCGCGCTTACTTCGTAGAAAAGCAGAACTTGCAGATGCTAAACGCTATCTACGGCCGGAACTACGAAGTTCCAAACTACATAGAGCTCATCTCGGATCCTCGTCCTTTCAGGCATACTACATATAACCCGTCAAACCTGGAATTTGAGAGAGTACCTATGGCGTGTATGATCAAAGAAAAACACACCAAACTCCAGAATGGGCACTCAAATCCGGATTTTCAAGGGATTTCAGAAGGTAAGTGTCTCAGAAAGGCGATGCTAAGTGATGGAATTTGTTAAAAGAGCCATCCCCGCTACGTGATTACTTAGTCTCATAGTCTTGGCACCGCCTTGGAACTGAGCGAAAATACGAAATTATCAATGCCATCTCGAAAATCGCTTTTCCGACTATGCAGTCCAGCTAATTAATGTGATTTATTCATTCTTATGCTGACGTTCAATTCTTGTCGCTACATATTCTCGTCCTAGAATTTGTGAGACGCTAGTTCTATGACCTGTGATTGGCTAGCGTAATTTCACATCGCACAACCCACATGTTCACGTCCAAAGTGCGACGACTTCCACAACACCTGTTGAAGTAATACACAGCCGCCAATATGACCGAAGTCGTTCTCCGTGGCGTCCAAGTGGAGGCGCTGGTATGTACAGTTCTCTTAATTCTTTGCGCGCACAACAAACATCAACTAATCCACGTTCGATGAAGGTGGTCATGAAAATCATTAAACACTGCTCACAAGCCTTTCCATCGACTGCAACTGGCGCCCTCGTCGGCATGGAAGTCAACGGGATTCTTGAAGTTACAAACACGTTCCCCTTCCCCACGATTGAAAATTCTCCCAACCAAGCGGACAGCAGCCAATATTCCAACGAGTCTCGAAGCGATGTTGCTGCAGCAGCACCGCGCGCAAAAGCCAACACGGTGTACCAAAATGAGATGATCAAACTGCTGAGAGAGGTTAATATTGATGCGAACAACGTAGGATGGTACACGAGCACAAGCATGGGCAATTTCGTGAACCTTCAGACGATAGAGAATCAGTTTTTTTTTCAAAAAGAGCTGGGCGAGAGTCATGTTGCGCTGGTACATGATGTCAGCAGGAGCAGCGCTGGTACGTTGAGTTTGAGAGCGTTTAGGTTGAGTCCGACGTTTATGGCTGCATATCGGGAAGGCAAATTCACCGTTGAGTCGTGAGTACCGCCATAGCATCGAAACTTACTGTGGGGGAGGAAGGGAAACTAACTATATAACTGAACAGGATCCAGAAGACGAACTTGAAGTACCAAGACATACTTGTCGAGCTGCCTCTAACCATCCACAACTCCCACATCCTAACCTCCCTGCTCCATCAACTGCCTTCATCACCACCGAAATCACCCTTGGATTTTCCACCCTCCCTCGCGGCTCTCAAAAATGATCCACTGCTCACTAGTCAACCGCTGGCGCCAAATTTCGATTCCCTCGACCTATCTATCGATCCTTTCCTCGAGAAAACATGTGATCTGCTTCTCGACTCGATAGAGACGCACCAGAACGAGCTGAATAATCACCAGTACTACCAGCGTAGCCTGGCACGCGAGCAGGCCAAAATTACGGCATGGCAACAAAAGCGAAAGGCGGAGAATCAGGCGAGGATTGCGGCTAAGCAGACACCATTGCCAGAGGACGAGTGGCAGAGACTTTTCAAGCTCCCAACAGAGCCAAGCAGACTAGAGATTCTTCTAAACAGCAGGCAGGTTGAGCAATATACCAGGCAGGTGGACGGTTTCACAGCGAGTGTATCTGGAAAGATGTTCGCCGTGAAGAGTAATTTGTTGCCGGGAGAATGAACAGGGTTGTATAACTGCAAGGGAGGAGAGACCCAACTTGATTATCATGGGAAGAGAAAATGCATAGATGGCGTTCAGGCGGCAATATTAGCGGAACGAAGACATGAGGTATGTCTACCATGCTTTTTTCGCCGTCTCTTTGGGAAAGCGCGTGCTTGATATATTACACGCCACCAAGGGCTGTGAACCAAACAACGAGGCTAGCTTAGGTTAGTCATAGATTATATCGCAGATTTTCGACCTGCTAAAGGAGTGCTCTTGCGTTCTTCAGCATTTCATTTGTAAACTCTAGAGAAGAGGAAGGTTTGAATCTTTGCAGCGCAGCTGCAAGGTCGTCGCACGCTCTTGCTATGAATGCCGTGCATTCCTCTGCCTAGATTTCTCATTTCTGACTTGCTGATGATCCGAATACCTTTTCCGAATTATTGGGCCTCTATTAACGATTATTACTTGTGAGTCCTCTCAGTTGCCGAGCTCTTTAAGCGTAGACATTCGCTACACCGGAATCAACTAGTTATCAGGGCGGCCAAAGTTGCCGGACCTACCTAAAAGTTCGGAATCTCAGATTCGTATACCTCTCCATCGCATCAACAAACTATTGACTGGCAGAGCTGTTGGTCTCAGTGCCGATATAAATCAGTCTACCAATATGTCAACTCTCCCCGTCGAGGTCAGGAATAACACCACCAACAACACGGTCTGGGCGTATGTTTCTGGTTATGACATTGACAATGGCAATAAACTACTTTTCATGGCAGCCGATGGCAAGTCTAAATACTATCCACCGTCTCCTCCAGCCGGACAGACTATTCAACCTGTTCCAGAAGACTGCGCCATTAAGCTGGCCCCCACTGGACAGTCCACCGTGCTCGCAATCCCTCACATTGCCGGCTGCAGAATTTGGTTCTCGACCAACGAAAAGCTAAAGTTCTTTCTTAACCCAGGCCCTTCGCTCGTGGAACCTAGCTGCACAAATATGGAGGATCCAAATATCAATTTGAACTGGGCTTTTTGCGAGCTGACGTATAATGCTGATCAAGTTTTCTGTAACATCTCCATGGTCGACTTCGTGTCGAACCTACCTTGTGCGCTGACTTTAACGACGACGACGGGGCGCACAGATCGTGAGTAGCACGATTTTACCGGACACGTCAGAGTCGATACTAATGTTGTGTTCAATTCCTTAGATGTTAGCGGGATGAGCATCAACGGTCTTGCGAATGTTTGTAGGTCGCTGAAGTGGTACGTTCTGGTCATGTCCCGTTGAACTTGGAGTTTTTACACACCACGGAGCTAAATTGGCAAACCTTAGGCAAGCAGCTCAGGACAAGCAGCCATGGGATAAACTTATCTTCAACGGTCCTGACGGACAGCCACTGCGAGTTCTTAGTCCCAATAACGCCATGGTCAGGGACCCAAGCCTTTTTCGCGGTTACTTTGAGCCGTATGTCAATGCGGTCTATGCTAAGCATACTGGTGGGGTGCAACTGTCGTGCGATACACAAGCTCAATGGGTAAGTCTGCATTTTTGGAGATTTGCATCATTGCTTACCTTTTTTGCTCGAAGGGAGTAGTCCACGGCACTGTAAATGATGATGTACTCTACTTTGATGGCCAGAATATAAAATTTCCAAAGCCGTCAACGCGAGACATCTTCTCGTGCAGCACAGGACCATTTGCAGATGGTTCGCCTGAACAAATGTGCATTGTGCCTCGTCTTGCCGCAGCATTTAATCGTGGCACTCTAGCAATTTCGACCGGCGGAACATCAAGTCAAAGCAGCACCATTCCGGACGCTGCAGGCCCGAGCAGCTACTATCAGTATGAGACATGCAATCATTACGCAAGGATAGTACACGAGCAGTTGTTAGACGGAAGAGGCTACGGCTTTCCATATGATGATGTCTGCCAAACTGGCGGCCCGTACGTATTCTCCTCATGCCTACTCGTTCATTCGTGTTAATACTGAACAGAGACCAATGTGGAGCCGTTTATGATAGTAACCCGAGGCTGCTTACTATCGAAATCGGAGGTAATGGAGCTTATTGCACTCCCGGTGCACCTGGTGCGCCGGCGCAGTAATGAGCGTTCCTTGTATAGAGAGAATTGGAGGAGGTGCTAGGTGAGATAAAGATCGTATCAATCTGGAAAACATATCCAAGCATCAAAACGTCCTTTCAAATCGGACCTCTAGTCAAAAAATACCCTTCTTCTTGCCAAGAGGCAGATGGTCAACACAAGCCTAAGCAGCATGCCAATGGAGAGGTGGACCACCTCTATCGAAGATTCGATGAACCTGGGAACAGACTCCAAAACGCCTAGAATATATCACCCTGGCTTTAGATTCGATGATCACCCGATCTTACGCCAAAGCGAACCGAAGTGATGGCCATACGGCTTTACCGCACAACACAACCACGGGATGGAATGTATTTGGAAACCTGGGTTGAGTGGCAATGGATTGAAATTGAAGCTGGGCTCACAGGTCATGAGACAGCTCCGCAGCTCGATCTCTTATACATCCTCGAATTCTGAAAAGGAGGCGACAAACGAAAAGTAGCTTATAAAACGTATGGGTATGATGATTGGGCTCATCGAATGAAAGCTCGGTGATTACACTTGTTCTTCTTTGCTCTTCGCCTATTTTGACTTATTAGTGTTTCCGATTGGCAATATTCACGCATAGCTTCTCCTTGTCCGTTGCTGTCACGAGTCCTTCAAATGGATGTTTAACAGAGATTTTTCCAATTTCACTCTACAAACCACGAACCCTGGCTTTCCGCAGCCTTATCTCTTAAACACGTCTTCTTCTCGTAGGTCCAAGACGAGCATGTGTCCCGGAAGATGGCCGAGCACAATACCAGAAATCGAATTACCTACCACGGCATTCTGAGGCGTGACCCCACATCCCCAGAACACGGGGACTTCGCGAGAATCTCGTGTGAATGGGGTTCCGTCCGCGCAAACCGGCGCATCTCCGTACTCTGGCTTCGTGATGTCCTTGATCCCGAGTGCTTCTGCGGTTTGCCAGCCCCAGCCCAACGGCTCGCCATGTGTGAGACCGAAGGGACGCGTGACTGCCTTGACAGCCTCGACTTCCCCAAGCTCGTACGGCCGCATGGAGACAACGTAGGATCGCTTCTGAAAACGCCCCGCGTCACACAACGGCATGGTCGTCCGATACATCGACACGTTCCTCCCATGGAGTATATGCTTCACCACCAAGCCTTTCTCCATCAACGCGTTCTCAAACGAGAACGAACATCCAATCAAGAAGGCGATGTGGTCATCTGCCCACCACCTTTCGATATCCAGGCACCCTTTCTGGCCCTTGACTTCGTCGGCATCCTTGTAGACCACGTATCGAGGCGCGTCTTTCCTTAGGTCTAGATCGCTCGCTATTTGCTGCCCCGATATCCCGGGGATGTGAGACTTGAGATTTCTAAAGTCCCCCGGCGAGGCTGACTCCGCAAGCAAAGGGCAAGGTACTGGATTACGTTGGCACAGCTGACGGAAGTCGTCTGCGTAATTGGCGGGAAGTATTATGAGATTTGCCTGCAGATAGCCTGCTGCGAGGCCCGTTGTTGGGGTTGTTAAATCGCCAGAGCGTGCCGCGAGGCGGACGTCGCGGCCGGTTGCTTTTGAGTAATCCTGTATCTCGTTCTTGGTCATTTTTTTTCGGTCTCTCTTGTCAGTGCTCAAAGCTACAGATCACTCTACATATTTGTACAAGACAAAGCAGCGTTCGCGAGGCTCTTGCATGATCGGCCCTCAAATACGATCTTGCATAACGTCTAACCGCATCGAGGAGCAAGGCTGTCTACCCCGATCAAACGCACAGCCTTGCGGAACGTGCATTTTGTAGTGCAGATTGAATACGAACTTGGGATATATTCTTCGGCTCAATCTAGTCATGATCATTAACAGTATATACATTACGTTTCTACATGTATACACAAAAGCCACGCACGCATCGACGCGTGATGAATTCGTTCCATATGCGGTTCTAGGAGAATGGTATCAAGCGCATCTACCCAATGAATCAAAACAAAAAAAAGCAAGCATCCAAACTCCATGCTCAATGCTTTGTTGTCTTTGTCTATCCCTTGTTTCAAGCCCGTAGTCGTGCAAAGCCAAATGTCTTCCCTCTCATCGTCGTCGAAGTCCATGCAAGAGCAGAAAGCCGACTAATCCACCAGCAAGAACGGTGACCAACGTTGAGTCTTTCACGATCCGTTCATTGTGTATGGATGTTGCAGCCGACCGTATGGCAGGGTGCGTCGCACCTAGGTAGTCTGTCGTTACACTTACTGCGATACGCCAAGTTAGCACTGGAAGTCGAAGACTGCAAGGGCAGCCGTTATCAGCAGCGCCAGGAGAACCGCGTTCTTCGCACCTTGTCCAGTGCTCGTAGCCAAGCTAGGCTTCTTGGTCGAAGGAGAAGTGCCGCCCGCTACGGTGACGTCACGAGTGCCAAGCTGGAAGCCTATATTGGCAATAACTGCCTGGCTGTCGCGTACGTAGACCGATGCCGTGCCACTGTTACTAATTGTGATTGTGGAAATCGTTTTATTGACAGTTTTAGGGGTTCCATTGTCGCTGTCCTCGAAGCTGATGCCGTTCCAGGTCGTTCCAGCAGTAGCATCAGCGCCATCTGCAGTGAGTTCAGAAATGTACAGTTCCTGCCCCGCAGGTAGATTTTTCAGCTCAAACGTGACACCGCCTTTGTTCGTCGTCGAAATGTTCGCCTGCATGCCGTTGATGATCACCACGGCGGACAGACTTGAGCCGGTATACGCAGCGTATGAGCGAACGTATGTCGTGTATTCAGACGGCAAGCCGCTTGGAGTCACGGCTGCGATCTGTGTCGTCCCGTTGCCAGAGCCAATGAGCTGTGCCATCGCAGCAAAGGCATAGTAGCTCGGTCGAACTCCTGTAGGACTGTTGGGTCTAGAGATTGGCATCCATGCAGCGGCGTACGAATTGTCCGTCATGTGCATTTCTACAGAAGAAATGTTTAGTGTTGCAGCATAGCAAAAGAAATTAAGTGTCCACAACGCGGCACCAAAAGTATTACTGATGTTTGGAAGACCCGTCGGACCAGCGCTTGCCATTTCACGAAGGTAGTACGGAAGACCGGTTGCGAGTCCTGCAGTGACTTCGGTTACCCAGTATGCAAACTGGGACTCCGTATTGCTCAATTCCATCAGATGGTCGAGTGTCAATCCGTATGTGGACACATCCACAAAGTAGAAATAGTCATGCTGATTCCAACCCGAGACAAGGTTACCGGAACCATTCGTTCCTTTGGTTATACCGTACGAGACCAGGTCATCGATCGTGAAGGTTGTGCCAATCGTCGAGGCAGTGGCTGGTGACTCAAAGAACTGTTCTTTGTAGCCTGCAGGCTTCAACACTTGCTCACTGATGGCTGATGCTCGTTCCAGGAATTCTTGAGTGTAGATCTGCCCGTCCCAAGCTCCTTGTCGAAAGCCATTCTTTGCATACAAGTCGGGCTCGTTGCCAATCTCAAAAGAGTACAGCGTCAGATGCCCGATGTTGTCAAGGACAGCCTGTGCTTCTCGCACGATGTTGGCAATGTAGTCCGACTCTTCATATGCCAAATTGAGTCCGAAGGTGATTGGCGTTCCAGTGGGGAACCTGTTGATTGCTTTGAATAAGGCGTCCCCAAAGGTCAGGTACGATGACGAATAAATGTTGTTACCGTTCGTCTGAAAATCGTAGCTGGTGTAACTTGAGTTGTATACCATGTAGTCGCCAGTATTACCACCGAGGCGAATATGCGGCGGGGCACCAGAGTAGTCAGCTAGATTCTGTAGAAGATTGACGGACAATTCGTTTGCGCTGCTTCCTCCAGTGAAGGAGAATATGTTGGAAGGCTCAATACCGAAGCCGGCAAAGGATGGATCAAGAGGGCCGGAAGCTCCGGCTCCTGACGCCGAAGAGGCTGGAGATATTGTCTGAGCATATGTTGATGTAGCGAAAGACAACAGGATGAGCGCGACGGGTAATCTGAGCTCCATTACGGCCAGGGACACGGGAAAAAAGACAGAAACGACTGCGAACTGTACAGCGACAGTGGGTAGCCCGACAAAGAGGGCAGGAGAAGTGTGGTACGTAGCTACCGGCCCGTAGCGACTTCATAAATGGGCGACGAGACTAGAGGGCTTACCGCAGCCGCCATGATGGAAAACTGGGACAAGCAGCGATCTTCAGTAGGAACCAACGACAATTGCGATCCAGAGAGCATGGGCTCCACACAAGGCCCGGTGAGGCTGGGTGAGGAGCTAATCTCCACCAGTGCAGAATCCCGTCCGCGATGATGTAACCGAGTGTGTCTGGTGAAAGACACTGCGCGCGCGGCCATTGAGCTCCGGCAGAGCAAGCTGTGCATGCTGGAGACGCTTCTGCAACCCGCCTCCCGCCTCTCCGACGAGGTCGCGCGGCGTACGAACGATTGCGAAGGGCCGGCCGCTGCCTTGCTTTTGCGACGTGCATGCAGCGGTGCGTGTACACGCGTGGGTGCCGAGCTGATTTCAGGTGGCGCACCTTGGACGTGACGCTTTGGGCCTGGGCGGTGGTCTAAGGCAAGTTCCTTGCGTCGCCTTCGCAGCGACAGGCAAGATTTCGCCGTGCGCTTTTTGTTTCCCATCCGCTCGGCGCGACGAGTGTTCACGTCATTGCTACGACAGCGGTGCCCAAAGCGCGGACGAGGTCGCTGGATGTCGGTGCCCTGCAGCCGTACAACGAATGTGTGTCGCAATGAGTGTGAGTCGCTGCATCCGCGTCGAATTTTGCCGCGCAACGACTGCAGACGTAAACTGGGAACACGCTGTACACATGGGTAGCTTGCGTGAACTTGCCATCTTGTGCCGCTGACATCAGCTTCTCACTGCCTATCCATTCGCTCGTCTGGTCTCCTTCGCGTCCGTTGCCCTGTCGTTCGTTCCAAGCGCGCGCTCCTCAGCTTAGGCTCTTGAGCTTGTTTGGGGGCTGCGATCAACACAGGGTTACGCGTTGAGCTATCTGTCGAGACGATGCGCCGCCGGACAGCTGATAAGCAATGCGTTGCTTCGACTACGAGTTTCTGAACCACAGCCCCGCCCGTTCTCGCACCTCTTCGTCTTTGGGAGGCCAGGTACGGAGTAGCCCTTCGTAGCATCGGCGATACAATCGTTCATTAGTGCTTGCTACGCGACAAGTATTGTTAGGAGAAAAAAAAAAAGTAAAACCTTCTATCGTCTGGTTTGCATGCTTCTTGCGTGTCCCTGGAAGGTGGTCAGATTATTTTGCGCATAGTTCTAACCAGTCGGTGCGAATCGTCGGAACGCACGCTACGATTGCGGAATCTCACACAACGCGCAGCGATGAAAAGCACCTCAAATCATTCAGAAGTTTCAGCACGGCTAGTAGCTAGAGATCATGGAAGCGAGGCAAATTCAAGCACAACTATCAGTGACTCCGCGCCTGGCCTCTATCCCATGCTTAATAATCTCGTGGAGTTTCACGTTTCACCTTCTCTTATTCTTATGCGCAGCGAAACCCCCAAAGAGCGAAAAAAAATAAAGAACGTCCGCAAGACGCCGCCCAACGTCGTCTTCATGTGGCGTCATGTCTCGACTTGCCCAGTCTATGCGATTGTACATGGACTCTTGGACATTGCATGCTGAACGGGCCACTGACAGCGGATACGTAACCGCAACACTGGATTTGACAAAAGGCATTGGCAATCACGAGGGCAAATTTGTTGTGGGGGATCACTGGAAATCCACAGCACAATGGAGACGCTGGGCTTCAAAGGAACTTCGGGGAACCATCCTGTGTGCCAATCTGCGTGTAGGTGATCTTTCCTGGGGCATCCGTGGGACTTGGGTGCTCGACGAAATTGACTTGAACGAACACGTGTACTGGGCGGGCTTAGAGTTGAAGTTCGGTACCATCTCTGCAGCGGATGCGGATGAGTGCAATGACATTGGCTGTCTCTCAGAAACCGATCGACTCACCGTGCACAACGGCGTGCTGTCCGCAATGGCGATGCAACCCGTCCAGACAATCGATCTGAATAAGAGGTTAGGCAACAGCAACGGCAGATTCGATACCGACGGCAGAAATTTCTCAATGAGTTCAAAAGACACCTTTGTCAGTGGGACAATTTTGAGCGGACAGCTTCGTCAAATCAATGGTAACTGGGCACAAGATCAGATTGATTTACGAGATTTGGTGCAGTGGCGAAATGGCACCCTACAGTTTTCAACTCAGAAAATCGTAGCGCAGCCAGTCGTTCCTTTGGATTGCAACTACTGCCGGCCTATGTTTCGACATGGACGATTCTTTCTACCCATAAACGAAGCGCCCATCAGTCTCAAGCCACCGTTGGGTGCTTCAGCGTGTCCAATGTGCCACCTTCTCCGTCTCATTGTTCGGAAAGAGTGCAATTCGGAAGACAACTTCACAGAGCTTATTTTGATGCCCTCTTTTTACAAATCGTACAGGCAGGCAGTGGTCGAAGTGCGGTACAACATCGAGAGTTCAACAAACGTGTTTGTTCCCGTGGCCAACAGGTACGTAATATATAACCGTGCAGGTATGGACGTCCTCGAACCATGTTTTCACGTTGATTCTTGACATATTTTTGTTCAGCCAATCTGTCAAAGACAAGTAGGACGTTTCACGCTGTCCCCAGAAGCCCTTTGCATGATGCGTTCTTTGAGCCCGACCGTCGCTGGGCCCGAGTTCATGGATGGATCATGAACTGCTCTCAAAATCACGACGGAGAGTGCCAAAAGGAGGCTTGGCCTGCCCTTCCGGCTCGTGTCCTTGATCTCGAAAGTGTAAATCAAGGTGTTGTCCGTGTTAAGGTCACGAACGGGGAGTGCGAGCGCTATGCATGTGCAAGCTACCGCTGGGGCGTCGAAGCTCCCATCACTTTAACAACAGGAAATGCTGAAGAATGCGAGAAAAACGGGATTTCGCTGAATATCTTGCCCCGAACCATAGTAGATGTCGTCCACGTTTGCGTAAACCTTGGCCTGAGGTACTTGTGGGTCGACTCTTTATGCATCCACCAAGATTCTGAACGTGATTGGCAAGTGGAGTCATTAAAGATGGCATCCTACTATGGAAATTGTTTCATTTCTATTGCAGCTACCTCGTCTCCCACTTCTGCAGCTGGCTGGCGCCTACGCTCCCGACCATGTGCAGTGAAATTAACCGGCTCTGGCCCCGATGGATCACCTTTCAGGCTGCTTGCCTATCCGTTGAAAGAAGTCGAGGCGTTTGACGAACAAAAACACTTTACTCAATTGTCCGAGATAGATTTGGCTAAATCCTTCCAATTGCTCAAGAGGGGCTGGGTCTACCAAGAGCGCCGGCTTGCTGCACGAGTGCTACATCTGTGTGAACATGAAGTAATCTTCGAGTGTGCGACGGACACTATTTGCGAATGTGGGCACTCCAAATCATATCAGATGAATTGGACGAAGTCATTACCTGAGCCCCCTCTTCGTTTGTACAACGTTATGAACGACACACCAGAGCCCGAAGGTCCGACCGATCGAACTCTCGCACACGCATGGAGATCTGCGTGTGCTGCCTATAGTACTCTGGACCTGACATTCGCGCACGACAAATTGCCTGCCATCTCTGGTTTGGCGAAATCAATGCAGTCTCTCGGGCGGTATTTGGCGGGTGTGTGGGAAAACCATCTTCCCGCCGACTTGTGCTGGTATGTAGGGCCCGACCTTGTCCTTGATGATCCCCGCATCACTCGGCAAATTTCAATAAGAGAAACAGAGCGTCAACTCGCGGTACATCGGCGCCCGGAGATCTATATCGCACCTTCCTGGTCGTGGGCGTCTGCACAAGAGCCGGTCAGCTTCCTACCCAGTTCCAGCCCCCTCGAGCCTACGACGTACACAAAACTACTAAATTCTGTCGTTGTTCCTCATTCAAACGACCCAATGGGCCGCGTGACTGCCGGCAGTCATCTAAAATTGAAGGCCAAACTCATCGAGACTGCGTGGACGTGCAGCCTGGAAGGAGAAGCTACCGATCACTGGTACAAGCTTTGCGATGTAAAGGGAATGCAAGGTCAATTCACACTATATGGATTCCTGGGGAGAAGCAAGAATAACTTGGTGGCTCCCGGCGACGCTGATGATTTTAACCCCGAGCCCGTACGTTTCCTTCCTGACTATGGGCTGGCGACGTCTACATCCAATACGATTACCACAGACAAACATCTTCATGTGATGCCGCTACAATCTGAGACGGCTTTTCTTCATGTCTCTCGGCTCAAGCACGAAATCAATCGAGCTCTGGTTGTCATAGGACTCAATGGCGCTGAGTACGCCCCGTCAAACTATGCAAGGATAAGCGCTCTAGTCTTGCGACGCGTTTTTGAGCACGATCTAGAGAAAAAGAACTCGCTGCCCGTGTTTGAAAGAGTAGGATTCACGTGGTTTTTCGCTAGAAAGCCATTGGCGATCGAATCATCCGCGCACGAGGAGACAGATTTAATTCTTGTTTAACAGTACAAAAGCCTACAAAGTCTGCATGCTGCGTCCGTTCGGAAGTCTCTTTTGCACGCAAATTTGTGATTACAGCATCGCACGACACATTTGAGGTAGTCACCAATCGATATATGCCGTATTGAAAAGTAAAGTATGAAACATTTGAGTCTTCGTCCTTGAGATCGTAGCTGAACATGCATTCGTTTCTTCAGTCCCCGGTTTGAAACCAGAGCATTCGCCGCCGGCACTAAACGTTGACGCAACATATTAACACAATATAATGAATAACATCAGCCGCATTTCTCATCACGTCGGTCGCCTGAATGGGTGGGCCTCGGTGTTCAGCACGTATTCATCAAGACTAATCAGATCGGGTTCGCTGAAGATAAGGTAAAAGTACTTCAGCGTCTCCGCCATCCAGAAGCTCTCCATCCTGTCCTGCTTCGGCGGGTCTCTAGAGACAAGGACATCATCAAGGCCGGCATTGCCCTTGCCCGTTTTCGTAAATCTCTCGATGGCAGAGAACATATACCAGGCTGCGTCCAGGAGCTTGCGGTCTCCCGTGATCCGGTAGAGGACGAACACGCTTTCAATGGCCTCAGGTCTCAAGACGTAGCGCTTGTCACGGACGGCGGTGAAGCCCTTGGGGAGCGCCATTCTTTTGATCTCGCGGTCGAGGATCTCACCTCCAAAGGGAATCTCGTTCTCACGCATGACCGCTTCCTTCCACTTCTCCTCGCTCCAAGCACAGCTGGAGCTAGGCGGGCACGGTTGCATCGAAAAAGTCTCAGGCATCAAGCCTAGGGGAGAATGTTGATACAGCCAAACGCATCCGTGAGTAAGCTTCTCGCCAACCTCCACGTGATGTTCGTTGTCAGTGAGCTTGCCACCGAGAGCGAACATTGCCCCAGTATAACAGCCTAGATGCTCGCCGTTCAGCCGTGGGTAGAATTTGCCATCCTCATCCACGTATATCTCTCCTGGGATGAGAATGTCGGCATTATTCGGTGTGTATGGTTTGAACAGTGTATGTTTGATGGCAGGACGAGCTGCAGAGTCGTACAGATCTCTCATCATGCTCGACGAGCCGCCCAAAAGAGCATACACTTTGGGGAAATACTCGTATCTAGCGCCAAATTAGCCTTCGGCTCATGGAACTCGGCATGAAGACAGCTCGAAGAGTTCGAAGGATCGTTAGCCATGAATCTTGGCCAGGAAGAACACGTACAAGGAATCTATCATAGCTCCCAACTTGAATACCCCTCTTTTGTCGAACGTCATGTTCCTGGCGTTGAATACCAAAGGAAACATTCCAGGCACATATGTCTCGCTCTGCGCTTCGTGGAGCTTAGTTGCGATTCTGTTCGCAGCATCGAACCACTTGGGATTGCCAGTCAGCTGACTGAGTCTCGTAAATTCAAGGCCAAATGAGCCGATTTCAGCAGCGAGCACAGCTTCATCCGCACGTTGCGGCCTGCCACGGAGCCTGGCCTTTACGTTCCATCGCGTGATCGGCATTCGATTTGGCGTGTCGAATGCGGCGTACAACATGTGTCCAAGTTCTACGGCCTTTTCCAGCAATCGCTTGTCGCCGCTTAGGTCATATGCGCCTATGAGCCCACCGAGATGCCTGATGTTCGTCTCGAACACATTAACGATTTCGATAGTACCAGTTCCGGCGGAGAAGTCGACATTCGTGACAGCAGCCACGGCTTCTTCGAATTCAGATTTCATACCCATGATCCACAAGGTGTCCAAGCTGTCAATAAGCGTCGCGGCCCATCCGCCATACCAGTCGTTACCTTTCCCGCTCAGTGGCATTAATTCGTCTCTCATCCATGCGTACTTCTTGTAAGATGACCAGCACCTTTCGAATGCTTTAGTCACCGCCGCTCGGCGCTTCAGTCGAGTCTGAATTTGATCCTCTGTCTCTGCAGGGAAGTCGTATTGGACCTTTGGCAGCATGCCAGGTCGTCCATTTGGGGGATAGACAAAATTCTCGACCGGATATTGCTCTCTGTAGTATTCCCATGGTCGTCTCTCGGTGTTGCGTGAGGAATCTTGCTGTTCACTCAGCCGACCCGAAGCCGCATCGTTCGCGACGACTGCTTGGGGCGGCTCCGGTACGGTTCTGGTGTTGGCGCGTGATTGCGCATGGGTATTTTGCGCTGCCAAAGAATGGAATTTCTGCCCCTGAAAATGCAGAAGCAGCAGAACGACGGTCAGGCCCGCAAGGAGAAGCAAGCCACGGCGCCGCGGGGCCATCATGCTGGGCTAAAGGAAGGACTGAAGACAAGATGAGGTAAATGAGAGAGAGACTGTTGCCACTGACATGACAGTGAGGGAGTCACAGTTGTCTCTCCAAACTTTCTCGAGCCAGTCGACTTTTGGCAGAGGGCAACAGTGCCTGCTGCGGTTTTGGCGGGCGCCTGTCCACAAGCGATCGATCTACGACATGGATGTGGATGCCGCGGTGGAATCAGCAGGAAAGTCTGACGAGAAGGGAGACCCGTCCAGCGGCTTGGAATAGCTAGAAGCCCATGGGGTCGCAGCCAATTTTGGCAATGCTCATTTCAACACTGGGCTTATTGGGCACGTGTCGACACGACGGGCACAGCTCTCGCAGATCGCAGTGGGAGAGATGGAGTGCGGGAGTTTGTGCTTCGTCGGGCACAGAACTCGCTCATGCGGGCGAGTCCTGCACGGCACACGGCCTGCTCTGACGACGTCGACAGCAGCTGCGACAACGGCTTACGGCTCCATCAATCTAGCTCGTCACGAATGCTCGCAACGTAGTCAGGCACGGCGAGGAGACTGCAGACGCTCCTGCGCAGAGCAGTGTGTGGACGCGGGTTCGGCCAATGACGCTAATCTGCTCACGCGGTTTCGGTTTGATGCTGGCCCGGTTTGGAGCGCCCAATCACCAACGCTCACTCTCCACCGCGTCGCCTGTTTCTTCGAGACTGACCATCCGGCAGATCTACCTTCCGCTCTTTGTTTCATGCGCTTGCGCTAACTCACCTATCATCGCAATGTCGGTCGCATGTCTTCCGCACGCTTTGGTGCAATGTGCCTTTGTCGGAAACTGAACGTTCCTTGGATCGTCGAATCATGACCACCGTGTATATGTATCCAGCGTTGGCATGCGCTCACACAGATGCCCATCACCTTCGCCGCCTCTGCAATTCACCGCCCGTATTTCTCGAAGGGCTTCTGTGCGCGTACACCTTGCGCTCGCGTTCTGATTTTCTCCGTTTCGAGCTTCGTGATTGTCCACCGTGAACTTCACGATGCGTCTCCTTCCAGCTTCGCTATTGGCACTTCTGAACACAGCGCTTGGATATGATTCAGAACCGTCATGCAGAACGTCCTCGCTACCGAACCCAATTGCGGCACAGTACTATGCAAACATCACTGGCACGCTCAACGGCACGCTCGCAGTGCTGCCAATTCCCTTGTCGATGGCACGTCGCATCATCCCGTCTCAGTATGAGATCTTGACAGAGCAGTATCGTGCCTTGATGCCAGACCTTCCACGCGACATGTACCCTGCTCTTCTCCAAGCAGTCTTTGACCATGACATTCGATACATGGAATATAGCATGCCCGACTTCTCGGTACTGTGCCTTCTTCCTCGACAGTCTTGACATTGGTCTAACGTGAGCCCAGCGCGCAAGCATAGAGTTTCCATTTGTGCGCTACTACAAAGATGCGAACACCCCATTCCGGTACAACCCAGACATGTTCATGACGTCGACAAACCAGATGGGCATCAACGCGAGTCGGGAGTACGGTGGCGAGGTGTACCCGGCGGAATTCGAGCCCGCCTGCGACGCATACGCGCACGCGGAGGATGGCATCACTAGCTATAAAGCCCGCGCCCGCGACGCATACCTGGACACGACATGGCAGCACATGGCCGACTCATCGCCGCCGAGTTCGCTCATGACCTTCATCATGCACACCACGAACCAGCCTCTCTTTGGCGTGGACGGGATGTGCAACCTGCAGAAACGCATGTTCGGCACTTCGCTCTCGACCGGCGCCCACGCCCCGCGCAGCGTCGTCGGAGCCGTTCGCGCAAACATACCAAGCGTTTCAAAGTCGGACATGATGTGGAGCGACGTGGCCGGCGTGCAGGTGAACACGGCGTTCATCGAGAAACACATGATACCTTGCGAAGAGGTGCGCTCCTGGACCTACGACGAAGCTGAAACGTTGAAGGACCCAGCCGGCGGAAGCGGCAGCGGCAGCCTCGAACTGTGAGCGCACACTACGCCCCCCCGCCATCAGCCTGCCCAAAGAGCTTTTTCCTACATGTGCAGCGGGCGTTTGACTCGAAGTCACGCTTTCCCGATGGAAAGCATAAAACACGTCGGACCGCCGTCGAGAGACGCTTGGTCCTCTTTCGTTCCGCTGGCGGACACGCCCGTTTCCGGGTTGCATTTGTATCGTTAGTAGATCGCCATAATGGAACGGCTGAGTTAAACAGCCGTTCCCTTTGTATATATTAGAAATGGCCTGGCACGGCACAATAATGAAAGCGTGAGACGCACTATGCCGTTCGCATCTTTCTCAATCTACCTGCTTCTCACTTCTCTGTCCATCGTGATCAATCCCGAGAGTGCATTGAAAAGAGCGGGAACACGATCTTTCGAGCTTTAGATGAACATGCAAGAGAGACAAAAAAGAGGATAAGGGAGGGAAAACAAGACCATTCATTATTTGCAGTTCCAATACCTGCCGCGCTTAAACATGTCCGTAGACTTCGTATGATCCCACCAAAAAAAACCCTCCCACTCAGTACAGACGCCATGATACCATTTATCCCTCGTCCGGCGGAGGTCATCAAGCAGGCCTCGCTAAATAGTCCTACCATACGCCAAACCGTGTTCTCCCAAATATAGCGTGGAAAAGCATGTGACACATCAGGTCCGATCAAATTTCAGAGGTAGCCCCAAATAAGTCGTAGGGACAGTGCGAAGAAGCTGCCACCACGATGGACGCAGAGCCTCGACACTGCAAAAGCATTAAAAGAAATGCCCTCTAAAGCCACTCATGCGAACAGAAAGACATTAAAGCCATGTCCATGTCCCTCAGCTCTTTGTAGAATAGCGAAAGGTTGTCTGAGGGCTACCATCATGCCTTGCCCTCGATGACGTCGAAGATACCACCCATGACAAACATGTTCTGTGGCCTCGGCTCTAGCAAGTTCAGTTCCTGTGGGTGAGAGCGTAGCTCCTCCTGCAGCTGCAGATCCGTGACGCTCGGCTTGTGGTGCTTCATAAGCAAAGCCCTAAGGCGAACAGACGCCGAGAAGTTGGATGCACGAGTGTCGGTTGAGCTAGCGGAGAAGAAGGACCCGGGAGAGAACTCGTCGCTGTCCCGCCTCGAGAGCGGCGACGTGGTTCCCGTGGAGGAGCTGCTGGAAGCATAAGCACCTCGTGGGGTGAAAGCAGTCTTGAGGCGAAGGCGGAACGAAGACTGCTGTGGCGCGGGTGAGAGTGACTGAAACATTTTGGGCACTGGGATCATCAACAGAGGTCTTGGGTCCAGGTTGGTTGTCGTACGAGTCGAGCAGCGTGGGTTTTTGGTCGGGCAAGAAATGCAAAAGTATCAGAACAGACAGCTCAGTTAAGAGTGCCGGTGTGAGACGAAGAGGTTAAGCTGAGAGCGGGAAGGAGTACCTGTTGTATACGACGAACAGGCAAACTCAAGTTTGTAGCGGTGGGCCTGCCGAAAGCTTGACTTTTGTTCCCGAGTTCCAGAGAGACCGTTCGTAGGATCAACGAATGTGTGACGAAAGATTGAGGAGCCTTCTTAAAGAACGAGTGATGTAGAAATGATCGTGATGGACCCGGTCCCGACGTCGAGGTCGTACGACAGAGGGCTTGGGTCGGTACGGAGCAAAGGGCCACGTAGGAAAAGACTCGAAAGGACGCTGCAAAGGACTGGCCGGCGTGGACGGGCACTCTGAACAGGAAAAGACAGAGTAAGCCTTGTCGAGGTTGAACCCTGTAGGAGGAGAGCCGGAGTGCTTTAAAGACACAAATGAACGGACAGTCAGGTGCAGGGCGCACGAGGCTTCTGGAAAGACCGAAAGAGTGACGAGAGAGCTTGCGCGGACCCTTTCGCAAGGCGGGAACAACGGAACGAATTAATAGCGTCGAGCGGGTGCGGTACTGCAGCGCATGGGACCGCTAGGGCATCAATGCGGTGCAGGTGAGTCGTCTTGCGATGTGTAACGAAGGGCGAGGATTGCGGCACTCTGGCACAGCCAGCAGCAGACAGGTCGAAGGAAGAGAGGAGCAGCAGCGGAAGAAGCGAACGAAGAGCGCGGAGACAGGCTCGCTTTCTTTTTCAGTCCGCGTGGACAGACGGGGCCCGGCGAGGAGGAGCAGGCTTGCCAAACGGCTTATACTTGACACAGGTCAGCGGACGCGAGACACGAGCCCGGCGCGGTCCAGCTCGCCTCTCGGCCATGTCGCATCGTCTCGTCTCAAGCAGGCAAAAGCGAAGGCGAGCGGAGGATGGTGAGGCAAGCCAAAGCAGCGCACACGCGGCCCGATCTGGCAACGCTGCTGCTTGGGCGCCCGGCGCAGACGGACGCCGTGAACGGCCGCGGGCCAATGACGAGGCCGTCGTTCACGTTTGGAACGGCCGTGGAAGGCGACGATTGGCATCTCGCGTTGCCTGATGCATTGCTGGGCGTGCCGGCCAAATGCGATCCTCGCCCGGCCCTCCAAACGTCGCATGCGGACGTGAAACCTGACACCAGCAGCTCCTCTGTTTCAGGCCATTCCTGCGCCGGCTAAGCTGCACTCCTCCCGTCCACGCTGGTCGTCTTGCCCGTTGATTCTTCGCCTTTTCCTTCTCTCGCGCCCGCTCTCTTGCTTTCGTTGCTGGTGCGTGCCCGCCAGACACTTGGCTCCGTCTCTTATCCTTCCCAGTCCCGGCTGCCAAAGAAATAAAAGGCTACCGTTGACTGGGTGCGCGGTCAGCCGCTCCGTAGCCTAATCTTTAGCTGCAAACTAAACGCCGTCATCCGGTCCACAGGTACAGCATCATGCTTTAAAAATATCGTTTGCTTGTGCACAGTCCTCTCCCCATCGTTCGTCGTAGACGTGGAAGCGTTCGTGTGCTGCGTCAGAATCGGCAGGGACGCATGTGCACCACTGTGGACCAAGAAAACCAAAAGGATTGGCACTCTGTCCTTGACCGTGACCGCATTACGATGCGTTGTATTGGCATGTTTCTATCGCTTGGATGAGTCGCCGCTTGCATCGCCACATGCAATTTAAGCACTCCAGACACGATGTGAAAACAGGACGCTCTTCATTTCACGCAGGTGTCCGCGAGAAATTAATTCCAATACAGACAGCTGCCCTGTTGTCTTCAGGATGGAGATGCCTTCCGTACCAACCTGATGGACGAGCACTGCCTCATGCAGGTACGGGCAACCCTCAACGGGGGGCCAGCATCAAGACCTTCCTTGTCTTAGCCACACGTAAGACCGCTCGATTTGGATTGCGAAGCTTCCAGCTTCGTTATGCGCTTTGCCTGGCCCTCTCCGGCATATGCCCTAATCACCAAATGCCCGCTGCAATCGCATCGATGCCTGCGCCATGATCAGCAGACCCAAGCCGGAGATGGGCCAAGCCGCACAAAACTCCCTCTCTCCGCCAAGGAGCTTTCTCCGGCAAAGACCGAACGGTTTTTAAGCCAAGTCGACTGGTCATTATGCTGTAGCGTGCATTGATATGAAGAGCTGCGCGCACCCCTCCTGTTTGCGATCTCTGTCACGTCTGCTCCTCTGATGGTTATATTCCCTGCATTCAAATCTCAAGTAAATCAATCCATCCATCCTCTCGCCGCGGGAATACCACGTGAGACCAGATGCGCTCGACAGCTTGATAGATCAGACGGTATATTCCAGCATGATCGACATCACTGAATTTGGATGGCTGTATCACAATTGAGTCAATCTCAACGTACGGCTACCAAACGATGACAGTCCGAGACCTTTCTCATCACGAAATATCTTTGTAATGCTTCTGGTCATACTCTTCTGATCACAAACTTTAAAATTTTGGCCCCGTCCTCCCTTCTGAAGTTAACCAGTTTCTGTTCCGAGCTTCCAAAGCCACCCCCAAACGGATTAAGCTCCGCATCAACCTTCCAGTTCGTGCCTGTGGCCTCCCCAACTTCGTCCCAAAACTCCGTCCACGACTTGATGTTGTGACGATACCTTTGCCGTTCCCCCGTATAACCGCTGGAAGTGTACAGCCCAGGATTCTCATTCCCTACTTGACGGCCACAGATGAGGACGCCGGGTTCCGGTTTGAGAAGGGACACGACTCGCTTCGCGATGTCGAATTGCTCTTCCCAATTGAAGAGATGGAAGAAGGATCCCGTGTAAATGATTGAAATCTGGTTCTTTATGCTACTGAGACTCGAATCGTCGTCGAAGATGTTTCCCACGAGCCAGTTGATCTTTGAACCCTGTCTGTCGCGATCTTGGAACAGATCGAAGCCTAAATCGATGAACTCCTGTCGCAGGTCGGAACCGTAGCAGTTCTCTGGTCGCGCCCCCTCAACGATGAGGTTCCGGATCTCTTGACCAAAACAACACCCTAGATCAAGAAATGTCTCCCCTTTCCTGACACGCTCAAGGACCTCCTCGTAGACAGGGCTTTGAGGAAGCCCAAGGTTGAGAAAGCGGTACATGCCTATACATGGATATGGAAAGATTCTGAATGCTTTTTCACGTATTGTATCAACATGCTGGTTGATTTCTTCCGGCGGAATTCCAGCATACGTTGTCAACAGTTCTTTCGAAGAATTTGGGATTGAAGAAGCATCAAGGCCGTAGAAGTCCAGGCTTCGTGCATTGGTGGGAAGATTCTCAAGCTCAGCTGACATGTTTATATCACAATTATAGATATATTTATGTTGAACCACGCTTCGGTTTTCTGGACAGTTGTTTGCTCGCTGCGCTAGAGACAGTGATGATTTTATAACAGTCTTCAAGCAGTGGCATCTACGTATCGTGACGCTTGACATCTTTATGCTGAGATCTCCTCCATGTCGTATCTGGCCAATCACCTTTCAACTGCGTCGTACGTACCTCTGCTCAGCCTGAAGTTTTACCACAGCGGCCCGATAACGGCAAGAATCGCTTGCGCCCTAAAATTTCTCACACACACGCGACTCGGTTTTCGCTCGGCGACAAGGCAGTTAGGTACATCGGAGTTTTCGAATGTATATCTGTACGCGAAAAAGGTCTAATCAATCGGGGCGTAGAGAAAGAAAACCAAGCCAGGAAGCGCATTGTCCCGTTCCGTTTACGCTTCTCCCCTACATCACACAGGAGAGAGTCATGGATATTGGAACGGAGATTTCGCTCAACGAAGCCGGGAACGGAGGAGAGACCCATGGCGAATCAATGGTAACCCTCAGCATGCCTCCGAAGAGGAGCTTCGCTTGTTTACTGATGTTAATGTAGATAAAGAAGAAAAGAAGAGGAGCGTAAGGAGGAGAAGGCGAGTTTTGGCATGCTCAAAATCTTGGCGTTACGCTAACTATTTTGGGACGTACGGCACATGGCACATTTTCTCTGCGTGCAACTTGACCCATGAAGGGATACGAATCGGGTGACTCAGCTCAGGTGAGTGTTGTGATTTTTTGTGACTATCTGAGCTCTGCTGTACTACTTCCACCGCAAAGATTGCTTCGTATATTCCTCATTTTCTCCCGTGCACATGCTCTTCCACTCAGAGACAACCAAGCTCTGAGAAAATGCCAAGCATGTTGTGCGCGCAATACGCAGGAATTTAGTACAGACGCTTAGGCGGCGACATGGTGGCCTTGATAGTCAGGGAACCAACGTTCTGCCAACCCTTCTTCAGCAGTGAGACAAGGTAGTTGATGGACAACATGATGTTGCCAATCAATTCGTCCTCAGTCATGCCGACGTTGCCGACAGCAGTGCCCATGCATAGAACTTTCTTCAGCTGGAACTTGATGGTGCTCTTGACCTCAGTGACCTTGTTGGCAAGATCTTCGTTATGAGACACGGGAGTTGGGAACTTGCCGGCCTTGGAGAGACCGGGACCGAGGAGACGAGGAATCTGCTTGATCAGGGAGTCTGAGGCGACAAAGGCGTCGTACTTGCGTGCCAACTTCTTGATCAACTTCTTGTTCTTGTTGCTAATTATCGGGTAAGCTCCAGAAAAACCTTTGTTCGAGTTTCGGCTTGACTCACAGCTTCTTCAAGTCGTCAGCGCTCATGGCATCAATACCGTGGTGCTTCGCACGATCGATGTCATGCTGATCACCAAGAACGCAGATAGACATGCCCGGGCGAGGGACATTTGGGAGCTTGATGGTACCAGAGAAACGCTTGTCACGCTGGGGATCGTAGTTCTTGAGGCCGATCTGCAACTCGACGGTCTCGAGGAAGTTTCGCTTCTTTGTGTTCTGGGAGTAGTCGAGCAACTCCTTCACGTTCTGTCGAACGCCGGCGACCGTGACTTTCGACATTTTGACGGTCTTCCTGAAGACTTTCGCGAGAGACGGTAGTCTTTAGGTGAGGCTTTGTCGACGACTTTTCGATGTGTTCAGGTAATTTAATTTTGGAGTTTGGAGTTTTTCGTGAGGGGGGAAATTTCTTAGTGGCGATTTGGTTACTAAGCGTCTTGGCGTTGTCCGTACCGCGAACCTAACTTGGAACAGAAACTTGTTGAGCACAGACTACAGCACTTGACACTTCTGATCATCCAAAGCTGGTACTTATTGTGTATCCATGACTGACGACCTCAGTGCGGTGAGTTGTCAGATTCCGCCACGAAAGCGCATTCTCTCCGAACTATGCTCCCCGGATATTGCTATATTCACGTGATTGCTAAAGTACCAGGTATCCAGCTCGAGCGTAAACGGCATTTTGTCTCTCGTATGAGGACCAGAAATGGATTAAATGATGCTTTTGGAGATGCAGGATTTTTATGCTGGCCACGAATATAAGATAAATCTGTCTCTTTGTTGCTTGAAAAGATAGAAAATTCGCGTGATCCAACTATCATAAAGGTACATCTGGAGGCAGACAAATCACACAAACCACTCCAGTGAGGTATGAAGCAAGATCGGATGATTATGAATTCGTGCCATATATTTTTGAATCAGCCTTTCAGCTCTTACATGCTCTAGCACATTCATGATCTGAATGTTGTTCTGGCTCATACGTTGGTTAAATGAGACGTATCATTTTATTTGAAGATGAGAGGTGGGCCAGGTACAAGCGGGTAAACCAAAGCAATAGGAATCTCTACTGAACGTTAAGGCTTTAAATTTCAAGGAAATTCTTCAAGGTATTAAAATTTGTCACATTTTACGGTGGAAATGGTACAAAAGATATCCTACATGCAGCATTGAGATATTCTATCGGAGAAAGCTCTCTGTTCGTGTCCAATTTCACTCGTTCCAAAGCGCGGCCGAATTGACAAGGAATTCACAAAAAAGCCTTCTGGGCAATATATGTCCAGTAATGACGGTCATACGTCTCACTTGTACCTTTTCCACAAGATTCTTGCCTGGAATCTCTCTGCGTCACGAATCCTACACTTGTATTCGCGACGGGACTGGGATACTTGAGCGACGAATGAACGAAGCTTGTCGTTTCTATACATTAGCAGCGATCGAACTTTGCGTCTGACAGCTTCCCTCATTCTAAAGCCACGCATGCCGGTATCTTTAGAAAAGCTATTGCCGCTCAATACCTTTGTGTTGGAACTACCCCAGATGAATGTCTGTCGCGTCACTAGTCGCGTACCAGTGGCGACTGGAGGTGTCTCGACTTCGAGTCTGGCAAGGCAGCTCGGAAACACGCGATCCACGTGCATATGATTTGAATCTCCATATCCTCGATGAAATAGAACGTCTTTCAACATGTCAAATATGGCGTGCGAGCAGCTGTAGGAGCAGCGTTCAGGCTCACAGTTTCATGTTGACTCCTCCGCGTTGAAGCTCAATGCCCAAAAGCGCTTAGCGCCGGTGGGCTGGTGACCGGGCAACGGAGGACGCGCAAAGGAAAACCTCGCTGTTGCACTCGAAATCCCGAGAATATTTTAACTCGAGGAATTCACTCTGCAATCTGTGGCTATCGTAGGAGATCTTGCAAGTTTTTTCGACACCCTTGCGGTGATTGCGGGTCCTCGTCACGTTCGCGGTCGCGATACCGTGACGTGAAGGTGTGTCGCCAAAAGAGTTCGACGCGGCTAGCAGAGAGCGACCGTGCACGACGAGTCTGCCAAGTCCAAAACACCAGTGCCTTTACCTTGTCTTTCCTCACAACACCTGCCCAACTAACCTTTCGTTTCTCACCTCGCACTGCCCTTTCCTCGCTCCATTGGGCTCTCTTTACCTGCAGCTTCCATTCTCAAGCTCTATCGCAGTGCTCTATCGGCGTCTCCCCCCAGTTTGCTGTCACCACATCACCACCTTAGCCGCGAGCATCAGGTACATGGGCATACTTTGACATCAGCAACTCTACACCCATTACACCTTTCATCTGCTTCATTTCACTTGGAGCATCTCTTCATTACCTTGCCCCGCAGTTTGTAGAGCTTTACGGGCCACAATATGCCTCCAGTAAGTCAATATCAAAACCCAAAACAATGCCCGGACGCGGTCACGCCAGCACCCATTTCCACCTCGCAGCATTCTTGACACTGACCCTGTGGGCAGAAAACAACCGCTCGAAGGACAGTTACCAACGAGAACGACGAAAATGCAGCAAACGTTCGACTCACGCGTGCACAAGCCGCGGCTCTTGGCGCGAGTGGTGCAGCCGACGGTTTGAAGAAACCGCTCCAAAGATCAAAGTCGACTGTCAATGTCAACGCGCAACCCAAGAAGCGAGCAGCACTGGGCGACAAGTCTAACATCGGAGTGCCGGCAGAAACCGGAGAAGGCAAGACGCTGAAGAAACCGCTGGCCAGTAAGCCAGGTGCCGTCTCAAAGGCTGCTCAGCCCACAGGTGTTCAGAAGCTATCACGGAGCCAATCGACGCGCTCAATACTTGGCCCGAAAGATAAGAATGTCTCCAATGTGTCTGATCTGAAGAGACCTGCCAGTGGTTCTGGCGTCACGGGTCATGTTTCGAAGAAACGCCACACTGGTTCATCAACAAGCAGTAAGTCGATTGGGGAGGAGGAATACCAGCACGATGAAAACACTGCTCCAAATGGTCAGACCGTCAAGGTCGAAGTTGAGAAAACCATTACCACCACCAAGGTCGAGGTCATTGAGCAGATCCCTGTCGTGTCAACAACGCCACAAGAGACGACACGCGTTCTTCCAGAGGGAGTGCAGGATCTGGACGACGAGGATGCTGGTGATCCACTGATGGTCTCCGAATATGTCCACGAAATTTTCGATTATCTGCGCGAGATTGAACCCGAAACGATGGCAAACAAAGACTACATGGACAGTCAACCAGACCTCGAATGGAAGATGCGGGGCATACTTGTCGATTGGCTGCTCGAGGTGCACACACGCTTTCGACTTTTGCCTGAGACTCTTTTCCTTGCGGTTAACATTATCGATCGCTTTCTCTCCACCAAAATCGTACAGCTTGACCGACTACAGCTCGTTGGCGTCACTGCCATGTTTATCGCGTCAAAGTATGAAGAGGTCTTATCTCCACACGTACAGAACTTCCGTCATGTCGCAGATGATGGCTTCACTGAGGAAGAGATCTTGTCTGCAGAGCGATTTGTTCTTCAGGCACTCAATTATGACCTTCGTTATCCTAACCCAATGAACTTCCTCCGTCGCATATCTAAAGCGGATAACTACGATGTGCAGACGCGTACAGTTGGCAAATACTTGCTTGAGATCAGTTGTCTTGACCATCGTTTCTTGGAGTTCCCACCTAGTCAGGTCGCTGCTGCTGCCATGTTCTTGGCGCGTCTCGTTCTCGACAGTGGTGAATGGGTATGTCGACGCGTTATTTCTTCACTGAAATGAGGAACTAATATCTACTGCAGGATGCTACTCTGGCATACTATGCTGGCTACACTGAGGAGGAGATAGAACCAGTCTTCCTGCTCATGATCGACTACTTATATGGCCCTGTCCAGCACGACGCTTTCTTTAAGAAGTACGCGAGCAAGAAGTTCCTTAAAGGTAAAAACGCCCATGCCACAAACATCGTTAGTCTTCATTCTGATCAGTTTGTGCAGCTTCCATGGTCGTTCGCCAATGGTGTAAAGAAAACGGCAAGGCCATTCTCGAGGCTCTCCCGTCCTCACATCCCCTCAACCCAAAGAACCGTGCAGATCGCCAGCGGTAACACCTGTGACTAGGTGTGACTCGACACATAACACGAATCCATATACAGCATTTTTACAGGCGTTGTGAGCTTTAGGCTAATGGAAACCACGGTTTGCATTCGTTAGCTATATTATTGTTTCTTGGTGATCGAGGGTATGATACCTCTTCTCCTCAGCACATACTGATGAGATGGCTTGCCCATTGCTAAGAGACGACGCGTGTTACCGCGGATTCGCTTGAGAAAGCCTTGCACGTATCAAGGCATGGTAATGGCACTCTTGGAAGTCTTCGTGCGATTTTTGAGGGTTTTTTCGCGTAACCGCAAGTAGCCTGCGGAGGTGCTGTGTACCTACAATTGCAGAGCTTAGTCGCGGTGCTCTTTGAAGCGACATGTGTTTGAATGAGAAGTGCTTTTGGCGTTTAACTGGGCGCGATGAATGGACTTTGGATTGGGGAGTAAAGTGAGATTACGTTAGCCCCTAAAACGAAATGCGAAGACATTCTAAAGATCCTCAATTGCTTCTACATGTCTGCGAGATTGACGAAACACACAAACTACCCACGCACTTATACACACGATATTGTATACAAAGAGATCTGTCAGAGAGATGATGTGCTAGCCCTGCTTGTTTCTCCTCCTGCCTTGGTTTCTAGGCCTCTCATGCACCAGGAACTTGTTAATCCTCCGCTTCGGTCTGGTCTTGTATCCGCTCTTTGCAGGTGTGCCCCAAGGACTTACGGGAATCCTTTTACCCTTGCTCTTACCTCTGCCACCTCCGTGCGGATGATCGCACGCATTCATGGCCATACCACGCACAGTCGGGCGTATGTTCAACCATCTACTCCTGCCGGCTTTTCCGAGCATCCTAAACTGCCAGTGTGGGTTTGACGCCACGCCGATTGTAGCGCACGCGTCCTTGTGCACGCGACGCACCTCGCCAGACTGTAGCTTGATCTGCACCCAGCGGTAGGGCTTCACTGTACCGTCTTCGTCGGTGATGCCTTCTTCTTTCGCAACCACGATCGCGCTTGTCCCTGCCGAGCGGCAGAACACAGCCGGACCATTGGGCTGTATACCAACATTAAAGACCTGCGTGCCCGTGGGCACGAGATGCAGAGGCAGGCAGTTTCCGCGGAACGCGGTTTTCGCAGCGAGCATACCCGGATCGATGACGCCTCCCATCTCATCGATGAGAGACTGTGGGATGCCTGCACGGAAGGACTGGACCCTGTCGCCAGCGCGCATGCCCTCTGCCGCAATCACGTAAGAGTACTGTGTCGAGACTTCCTTGGCATGGCGGCCCTTGCCTACTTTGAAGATGTTCGCTGGGCTGTTTGGGTCGACAGGCTTGAGGAGGGCCAGGTGAGCGGAGCGGTTAGGATCGTATTCGATGCGGACGACTTCGTGCTCACCGGGCCTCATGCGGTAAAAGTCCACGGTGCGAATGCGTCGTCTGTGACCGCCTCCGCGGTGACGAACACACACCCTGCCTGTGTTGTTGCGGCCGCCTTTGCCAATGCCCATCTTCGGAAAGGTCAACTCACGCAACGGCTTGCCCTTGTGCAGATGCAGGTTGATAGGACGTTGAAGCCATCGCAGGCCAGGTGTACGGGGCGTGTACTTCCACATGGTGCCATTCTCGGTGAATTTCGGTGGTGGTTTAGACTTGGATTTGGTATCCTTGGTTCTGATCGTCGGCATGATGGGAGGGCGAGAGATCAGGCCAGTTTGAGCGGAAGTTGCTGCGGTGGCATAGCAGCGGCGGCTACATAGTGCTGGTGAGCGACTGAGCAGCCGCGGTTGCACCATTGCTACGGATTTTGTAGCAATTGATGCAATGGTAGTGTTGCAGTTGATCGATGGTGACTGAGAATACGAGATCAACGAGAGCTTCAACTTTGAGTGTTGCACTTTTTTGGACACAAGTGGTCTGTGCTTTGATATCATTACTCTCACTTGAGTGAGTCCCGTCTCCAAAGTCTCCGCCTTTGGACAGATCGTATTCCTTCACAAGTACACATCACTAATTCAATGAGTAATCTTTCCTGTTAATCCTGTGGACGTTGTTTTAGTTTATGACGGAAGTTGAGCATCGATCTGTTGTTCATCTACATGCCAACTATGTTGCCCATATTTGCCGAGGTTTTGTTTCCTGATCCCCTCTACCACTTGCTTCTCTGACTCGTAATTTATTCTCGAACTGTATATCGTATTTTTTCACAACTTCTTGAATTAATTAGAATGTATTTTTGATCTTGACAATTCAGTTTACGACCATAGATTGGCCCTATACGGAAGATGGGAGAAGCTGTTCAGATCAAAGCGCAACGGACAGATGTCATACCCAAAGATACAATCGATCACTTCAAAACGGTGCCCATAGCACATTCCACGCTCCAAGATCCAGAATTCAAATGCCTATATGCTTCAAGAACGGTCACAGATGGTGGGAAAGGCCACACTCTGATGGGTAAAACATGGGCAACAGAAACTACTATACCACATCTCCTATCGCTGTACCGGAGGGATCCATCGTCAACGCTCGACTCGCCAAATGTGGAGATTCGGCGCTTCTATACTCTTGGAATTGACTTGAGCGCCCATCCAAACCTGCTTCATGGTGGCGTCATATCAACGATCTTGGACAGCACTCTGGGAAGCGCTGTTGGCATCGCCATGAAGACAGAGAAGATGAAGTCCATGTACACTGTGCAACTGAATGTAAAGTATGAGAAGCCAGTGCAGATACCAGGGACCATCTGTTCAAAGGCATGGGTGAGAAACATCGACGTCAGTGGGAAGAATTACAAGGTCTGGGCCGAAGGGCGAATCGAGAGCCTGGGAAAAGATGGTGAAGTTGTGATACATGCGAAGGCAGAGGGAATCTGGGTGGGGAAGAAGGTGGAAGGCAGGTTGTGATCCTTTCGATTTCTTTTTTAGGAGTGTATAAGCCTCTACGTATTTCAAAGTTATTGGATTATGCCTCTCTCTCAATTCGTAGAGTAAATGCTTTCAGATCTTATCATACATTGTCCTACACGGTATTTTAATCACTTGATCGTACATTTATTCCAAAATTAAGCATTCTTGAGTTTCTCATCTTCTGAGAATTGCAACTTCATCATTTTGAGCACTTCCTTCGATGTTCTCTGCGATTCTAGCTTCTTGCGTACAATTTCTGTCCTGAGTGCCTGTTATAAGAGGGACTTAGTTTAACAGATTTGCTACGACAATTTCTACTATAAGCTTCCGCACAAAATAAAGCAGACTTTTTTGGACGACATTGGGCCGTCTTTTCAAGCACGAGATTTCATGTGCATTATGCAGATGCTGAGATTGTGGCTTATCCATGCATTGCAATTCAGTGCTCTCATAAAAATAATGTGGTAAGTGGTGTAGTAAAAATCATCGCCACACATTATGACTATATAATGCACACATCTAGCGTTAAGCACGTATCTGTATGGGCGTAAAGCTCACAGTGGTAAGTTGTTGATTCAAAGCACAAAAAAAAGTTGACAAGAGTGGGACTCGAACCCACGCCAGTTTCCTGACCAGAATGCGAGTAAGCTGTGCTTACAATTTACTTGCTATTCTAGTGTTAGTTTGATTTGGCGCAATGGTTCCTACAGAGAGTACGTACAGTCTGGCGCCTACAAAACGTTACTATAACTGTGTTTGTTTGCGCAGTGGCATGACACCAACCTTAACCGCTCGGCCATCTTGCCTTCCATTGCAAAATCTTGGGAAAAGAAACTCAAGAAGAATCAATTTTTTTTCTTTTTCAAGGATATTTCCTGCTTGTACTATGTTTGCTGAAAGTAGGGATCAGAGTCTTTGCTTGACGTGCATTTACTTCATTTTCAAAGCCGACTTCTCATCGGGAATGCATGAAAAATGGAGTTATGAGAGGAGACTCCATTTGAGGGCACAACTAGAAGTGGAATGAAAGACAGAATTTAAGAACTTTACAATCTTCCTTCAGCAGGACGTGTTTTCGAACTTTTCATTGCATGGGCAGCTTTTGGGCACTTCTCAACCCATCAGAGAGTTGATTTGAACGAATCCAATTACTTACTATTTACGGAATGGTTTGTTTGAGTAATGATAGGGTGAATTATTAGTAGCGCGGAGCCAAATAAGACTCATCTCGCGGTGATTAGATACAAGAGTCCTCCAACATCCATCTTTCAAGCGCCAGGATCCGTCTCCATCAATGCAAATGGTATCAAACGATCGACAAACAAGGCAAGTCGCATACAACGAGTGTGTAAGCATTGTCAACAGGAAAAATGAAGTGGGACATTTCCAATTTGTTGGTATACAGCAAGACTGAACGCACGACAAGACCATTGTCTAGCTAAACAGAACTTGAAAGAAGCGCTGGGGTGTTGTGGTATCATGCAGTCTGTAATGGCGCTCAGAAAAGTACGATGAAAGAGCAGTCGTCAAATCGCTCTAGCGCGTCGCATGACCAAACCTAGTGATGTGTAAAAGAAAATGAAGTAAACATAGGAAAATGTGGCTGCTCGATTTAGCAACCGTCTCAATCTTTTTTTCATCGCTCAATCTCAAGGCCGAAAGGTTCCAGAGATCGCATGCGTTCTGCTTTCGGGGTACCTTCGACCGTACTCTCTTCGTCATCATAATAACCAGTTGTGCTCTCCTCCGCATCTTCGTCGTAATCCCCAGCTTTTAGAAAAGGTGGCGTTGATGGGCCGGCTGAAATTTCAGACTCACGGCTCATGCGTCGCTTCTCGAAACCCTTTGAACCAAGCGGTCGTGGCTCGCTGGTGTGTGTGTTAAGCGGCCGTGGTCGAGACGAACCAAGGCCTGGATCTGGTGAAGGAGTCTTTCTCAAGTTCGATGCTGGTGGTGTCATGAGCCCGTTGAGGAAACTTTGTGCTGTACTCGCAGGCTTGGATGGCGTCTCTGTCCGGCTACTACTCGAACTGGAAATGGATTGTGCCAATCCACTTGGAGCTATGCCACCACCACCTCGCCGCCAATTGCCGATTGCAGCTGCGAGTTGGGCAGCTTTTGGTGAAGCAAAGCTCTGTATGCTTGCAAGAGTTGGGAAGCTTGTCGTACCATTGATCTGGCGCTCTTTGGCATCCTGTTCCATTTGAATGCTTGCTCTAATGCGTATGGCAGCGTTACGAACGGCCTCACGGTCGAAGTCTGGACGGCCTAAGACATTGATCAGGTCGGTTAGGTCATCAACCCGTACACCGATAAGTTCACGCAACCACCCAATTTCGGTGTCCTTTGCTTTGAGCTTGGCTGGAGCCTCCTTGTCCACCTCCGAGAGTTCTTGCTCGAGGTTCTCAATGCGATTTTCACGCTCTTGTAATTGTTCCTGTAAGACAGCGATGGACTCCCGTAGCGCTTGCGGTGAGATCTTTTCGGGTAAGCGGGATTGTGCAGGAGCGGAAGCCACCGCTGATGTTTGAGCAGCGACGGGCGATATCGCCGACTGCGCAGCCTGAGCAGCGGCATGAGCAGCCGTCTTGGCCATCTCAAGCTTCTCCTCTAAATGAACAATCTTGTCTTGAAGATGCTCGATTTTCGAATTTGCCAAGTTAAGACGATCATTCAGTTGTGACACTGTGAAATCCTTCTCATTTATAACTTGTTCCATGGCACGCTCGTGATGGTCTTGCAAATCTTGTAACACTTGAGAGTGGGTATCTTTGAGAAAGGCCTCGGATTGATTCTTGTTCTCGATAGTGTGGTCGAGATCTCTGCGATGTTGCTTGCGAAGCTCTTCTAGACGCTCTTCATAGGTGCTTCGAAGTTCTTCGAATACAGCATCCTTTGCATCCTGAAGTTGCTTGAGCGCATCGCGCTTGGCATCTTCAGCTTGCTCAAGGTCAAGTTCATGCTTAGCACGAAGTGTGTCTGCCTCTAATCTTGCGTTATCAAGATCCACTCGCAAGCGAGAATTTTCAGCTTCAAGCTCGGAACGAATGATATTGACTTGGTGGTTAGCATTCTCAATGTCAATCTGCATAAGACTACGCGTTCGATCAACTTCGAGTCGAGCAGCTTCCCGAGCCTCTCTAAATTCTCGAGCATATTGATCAGCAGTCTTTTGATGCTCCAAGCTTTCGGCCTTGAGTTGTTCAACAAGGTCCTCAAGACGACTGTTCTCTTTTTGAGTTTGAACCAGCTCAAGCTTAACAGAATGGAGCTCCTGAAGTGAACTTGCCAAGCGCTCGCATTCCTTATCAAGCTTGACGTTCTCTTTTTGCTCGTGCTCCAGAGCTGCCTTCAATTTGTAAGATTCCCGCTCTTGAGTCTCCAAGCGCTCAAGCTCGCGCTCAAAGCGTTCCCTTGTACGTGCCTCAGCTTCAGCGCGAGCAGCAAGAATCTCATAGCGCGTGCGGTGCTCAGCATCTGATCTGGCCCACTTCGCTCGCTCTGCAGCGACCTGTCCAACAGCATTGTTCATATCGTCTTGCAACTTCTCAATGCGGATGCGCATCGTGTCGCGAATGCGGAGTGCTTCTTCGGACTGAATCTTAAGTGCACCAAATGCAGCGTGAATCTTCTCTCTCTCTGCTTGGGCTTGTTCAAGATCACGTCGCCATTTCTCGCTCGATAGCCGATATTCATCCAATGTTTCCTTGAGATTATCGTTCTCCAAAGCAAGATCCATGAGCTTCTTGGAGAGGTCTGCATGCGCACCTGCTTTGTCGTTGTCTGCAGTACGAGCCTTCTCTGTGGCCTCCTCAAGTGCACGGAGCTTAGCAGTCTCTTCTTGAGCAGCTTCCTTGACTAGAGCCAATTCTTCTTCGGTAAGTTTAAGCAAACGATTAGTCTCTGCTTCCCTACGTTCGGCCTCGCTGCGAGCTTCAATTTCAGCGGCGATTCTTGTCGCAGCTTCCTTGAGCTTTTCGGAAAACTCATGAAACCGCTCCTCATCTTCGGTTTTGATGGCTTCCTCTCGCCGTTTGATCAGAGCTTCGTTCTGATGAGCTACGGTCTCCTCGACAATTGCCTTTATGTCTTCAATGCCTGGAACTGTCACTGCAGAAGGCTCGGGTCTCTGTCTAATGAATTCTTGAATCTCTGATATCGTTTTCTGGAGGTCTTCGAAGTGATAAAGGCCTTGCGGTGTGCGAGGACGTTGCGATGAGAGAACTTCCTGTAACATACTTCTATACTTCTCCATGCGCCGATCACGCTTCGGCGAAAAGCCTCGAGAATATGCATCTGTCTCCACTTCTTCGTCTTCATCATCAGCATCGCTATCAACTGTAACTCTTGATCGAGTTCGGCGTAATTGTGGCCTATTGTTCGCGATTTGCTGATCCATCAGAGCACTGAAACGCTTCTCCAGAGCCGAGAAGTGATGGTCCATGGTATTCCTGATGACGTTTGAAACATGTGGACCAAAAAATTCTGCCTTCTGTCTAAACTCGTCCTCTTGTCCTGAAGAGATCACATCATCCCAGTCACTAACAGGAATGTCTTCGCTGCCGTTCATGCGACGTACTGGCGAATCATAGCCTGGTACAGCACGGCCATCACTGAAGGGGTCTTGAGTAACAGATGCGGAGTCAACATTGAGTGTCTTCGTGATCATTGGGCGACGAGGACTAGGGCTTGGGGCGTCGCTTCTTAGAGGCATCTGGAAGGCATGTGGCTGCGGTGAGCTTGGGAGAGGCGAAACATCGTATCTTGGACTTGAAGAGTTTGGCCAAGAAGGCTCCTCTCGCTCAATGCCACCGTCCGAGCCGTCCTCGTTGAGCTGTCGCATAACTGCATCGATCTCCTGGAATGATGGCTGATCTTGGTCATCGAAGTAACGTACCGACGAAGGCAGGCGGTCTCTTGTGTCCTCAAAGGGCTCTCTATGATTACTTGGTGGTTCATCGGCAGCTGTTCTGGAAAGCGACGACCCAGACCTTGGAGTCGTGGCTTCAATCGAAGATTGCTTCACCTTGTCCTTTGAGACCGCATGGAGATGATTGACCATACGATTCTTTAGACCTTCATCAATCTCAAAATTGGGCTTGAATTCAAATGGAGCTGCAGATGCCGACAACGCACTAGAGTTTGAGAAGACACGGCTTGTGTCACCAGACTTGGTCTCTTTTGTCGATGAAACTAGGTCGTCTCCTGCAGTCTTTTCTTGTTCACTGCTTGCTGGAGACGCGGGACTAGCCTTGATCTCCAGTTCTGTTTCTGGCAGCTCAACAATTGATGAGAAAGATATTTCGTTTGGTAGCTCGCTTTCGCCATCGGCCGGTAATTCATCCGGCTTTGCACTTGTTGGAGCATCAATTGCCTTAATCTCTTCGGCAACCACAGCATTGACCTCTTCCGAAGTCGCGTTGCTTGCGAGCGTTGTAGGCATTGGAGCGAACAGAGGCTCTTTCTCCTCGTCAGAGTCCACAGTCTTGGCTCTCTTCTGTCGCTCGTCGCTTTGAGCAACACGTCCATCTTCACCCAACACAACGAGGTCACGCGTGGGTGTGAGCGTTTCGGGGTCAATGATAGGTATAGCTTTTGATTTTTTCACCTTCTTCCCTTCGCCGGCTACATTGATTTTGCCAAATATCGATTGTTTGAAATCAGCTGATGAGGGATCATCCGAAAAGCCTGTGGACGGAGATATCTGGAATACGGGTGTGGCAGGGTTGAATGAAGGTCCATTGGAAGTGAAGCTGAATTCAGACTTGCTTGGAGTAAAGGAAGCAGTACTATTCCCAAACACACCGAAGTTACCAGGACTGAAGGAAGCTGCTTGGGGATTAAACGCGGGAGCAGCTGCACTCAGACTGCTAAAAGAGCTCTTCAGGGTTTGCTGTGGTGATGGTGAGACAGATTTTCTGGTATTCCCTCCAACATGCTTTGAAGTTGATTTTGCTGGCGTGAAGGAGAACGCTGAAGCCGAAAAGATCCCAGGATTGAAGTTTGCACTGGGGTTGCCGCTCTGACCGAAACTGAATCCAGTTGGACTGAATTCTTTTGCTGCCACATTAAGACCCGAGAGTGATGACTTGGACGAATGGTGGGAGAGATGGGCAGGCCTCGAGCTCGAGGCTGGCTTTGGTTTGCTGAAAAAGGTTGGATCGTTAGCCCAAGGATTAGCTGCCTCCGCGCCACCTGCTTTTTCAAACGGTGGTGCGTCGTTCTCTTTGTCCTGTGTCTCTTCAGGTATTGTCGGTGCAGGGAGGTTCTGTTTTGCATCCGAGGAAGGTGTAAGGACTCCCCCATTCGCCTTTACAACCCCGTTGTTCCCGCGAAGTGACGTCGTGCGCGGCGGAAGCTGCTTCGACTTTGACTGTGCTGAATCCTTTGTCTCTAACCCATCGTCCATTTCTCGGTCTATTGATTTCTCCAGATGGTAGTCTGAGTTGTTGATACCTTCTTCAAGCTTGACACTTATGTTATGGCGGTGGCTTGGCTTCGGATTTACAATTTCTGGTGCTTCGCCTTGTCTGCTTCGAAGTTGCGGTCTCCCGAACTCGTCTTCATCGTCTACTTCGGGAACCTCCTGAAGAGTTGAAGCTGGCCGTGCAGAAGAGGTGTTGTTAAGCATCTGCTGCATAGCTGCTTGCTGTTGCAAATGCATCGCAAGTTGTTGCTCCTTCTGACGTTGCATCTGAGCCAAAAGCTCATTGCGTTGTCCGAATGGGAACGCCTGGCCGGTTTGCTGGGACAAAAGAGGCGAAACAGACCCGCGTCTGCCGTGCATCTCCGGTCCTGGTGAGCCAGTTGTCAAGGCTTGTATGAGCTGTGGTGACAAGTTCTGCAAGCCTGGCGGAGTCATAGACTGAGATGAAAGAGTAGGTGGAGAAAACATCGATTGGCGATGCATATGGCCAAATGCACCTAGAGGAGACGCAATTGATCGAGTTGGGCCATGTCCCTGAGAAGATACGGGGAATTGGAAGACGCTTGCGCGATGACCATGGCGTTGGCTCCCAGCAGACGAAGTCGGAATGGGCGGGGAAAATGGCAAACCTTGGGAGAACTGTGACGTGGAAGCCTGCCTTGAGAGTGGGGATTCAAGAGTTTCCGAGCCTCCGAGACTAACACCAAGCATTCGTAGCTTCTCCTCCCGTAGGAAGGCAACATATTCGTCCCAAAGAGCGATGTTGGGAACGTGAACCTTAAATATCTTCTTACGTCTCGCGTCAACATCCTCTGCGGGATCTGGATGGATCTCGCGATTTTGATACCTAGATAGGCTCACGGTGGAATCCACGTCATTCCATTTGTCGAAACCTCGGGTATCATAGCCAGCCTTTTCGAATTCCTGCAGCCTGGCATCGACTTGTTCCTTGGTCCAAGGAATAACACCAACATTGCGTGTGGGAATATTGATATGCACATTCTTCCCTCTATACTTGACGGTTTTCTTAACCCTTCCACTTGAAGACGATTCGGTTCGTTGGAGTGGCGCTGAGGGAGAGATGCGATCTCCTGTCGACGGGGCCGCCGGTTCTGTTGCAGGGAGAACAGACGCATCGGGCTTGGCTTCCTCCATCCCTTCCGACTTAGCGTTATCGTTCTTCTTTGGCGTGTCTTTGGGCGGAGGCGGCGGAGCAGTCGCTTGTGGTTCAGCGACCGCGTAGCGAGAAGCGTACATCCTCGACCTGTCAATAGCTTCTTGTATATTGAACTTTGACCTTTCGTGCACAGAGAATTTGGGAAGGAAATCGTCTTGCGTCAACGTCAAGTTACTATCCCTTGACTTGTGACCTTTAACTCGGAGCCTATCCGTTCGAGCAAGTGTGTCTGCAGTACCGTCAAGCTGAAATGGGTCGATATTTCGCTCAGAATCTACAGCCAAGGCGGGAGGAGAAGACACTAGCTCTAGTTCCTTGTTGCTCTCTGTCTGGCCCCACCAACCACTACGCAAATTCCAGCCCGAGTTCGAGCCCTTGCGTTCGTGTCCCTCGGCGGGTCTCGAAGGAGTGGTAAAGAACTGCCTAAGCGATTTCGCAGAACTTGCGAGATACGGGAATCTAGTGGGGGATTGCGGCGGACTCCCAGGCGAAGGAGTGCTCGGTCGTGTAGGTGCAAGGCGATTGACGGGTGGTAACCGTGACGGGACAAGATGGGAAAGCCCAAACTTGGGGTTCGGTGAGTCCTCGTCGACCTCGCTGCTCGCAGAAGGAGACCGTTCGCGTACAGAATCGAGATTGGACGCTATGGAACGGGGCGGAGGATGTTGGTAAGGTGAACCCCAGCTCGCGGTGAAGTAGCTGGTGTCCGACGCGCTGGCGGTAGACGCAGCTTCTGCAGGATAACGACCAAGCGGAGGAAGCTCTGGCAGTGGCGGAAGTGTTGGTAGCTCTGGGCTCGAATGGCCAAGCGTTGCCGTTGGCGAAAGCGCTGTCGGTGAACTTCCCGCTCCCTCGGGCAGCGCGATGACGTGCGGCGACGAGGGCTGATCGTTCGACAGCCTTTCGACCTCTTTACCGTTGCTCATTCATTAACAATCGATGGCTAGGACCATCTTCTGCGCAGCAAACTTGTAGAGCTTGAGCCGGACGCGTGATTATATGGTCGCGATAGATGAATACAGCTGGAAAGGCACGGTGCGAACGAAGCGTCGAACGTGGCAGCGTGCAAAAGACTGGACAAAAGGAATGTAACAAGGAGCGAATGAGAGTGAGCTCAAAAGCCGTCGATCGCGAGCATAGTAGGAGTGGTTGGGAGAGGAAGAGGGGGTGGAGAGCGGTAGGTGAGGACAGAGGATACCTGGATCTTTGAAGGTTCGCGTCGACGTTTCAACCGTCTTTTTTTCTCGAAGCCAGGACCACCCAACTGCTCTCATCAGGGGGCTTGCACTTGCGCCTGTTCGCTGGCCAGCGGAGACGGCAATTTGTGGGCCCGATACCCCTGCGGCTTCTGCAGCCTCAGGCACACAAGAGGCAGCACCTCCGCCCGAACCGGCGCCGGCATTAACTCGTCTTATTACGCGCTGTCATGGATTTGCTGGACTCGCTCGCTTGCTCCTCTCGGGCCGGCTAGCGGCAGATCACTCATGATTCTCTAAGGTCCAAATCGGGAGCGCCTCTTGCGACCTGGACGTTGGCCGACGAGCAGACTCTGGTCGATCGCCACGCACTGCCAAGGCCACTCGCTGGAGTCACAAAGCAACGTACGCTTTGCGCATCCGGCGTCCGCAAACCCCCACGTGATCGCCGGGGACGAGACTTGTAGGAACTAGGAACGATAGATGAATTATTCTTCCGTCGGCGGAATACCGTTGCTCTTTCTATTAAGACGGCATCCGTGCTTGTCTACGTTGGCCAGATACAGCCTCCGGTGTATTTGTCTTATGCTGCAAGCGGAATTCTGATCCTCTTGTGTGGATGTTGCCATGGTGCTCGTGGTTCGTCTCTGAGAACTTCAATATGCAAGCCTAAAGCATTGATGTGCTTGCCCACTTTTATTGATATCAATAGCTGTGTTACGGGCAGAAGTGGTTGTTTGCCTTATGTGCCGTGTCCAGAACATTGCCTGGTTGGGGCCCTTGGATGAAAGGCATACACGTTTATGACAGGACAACGGTACGCATTCACGAGGGGATACAGTGAGTTGAGGGGGGAAGTGGCTTTGTTAAACGTTGCAGCACTCGTTGAGCCCGAGATGAAAGCATCCACTTCCCCGAAATAGGCTCCTATTAAATTTGTGGTGTTGCGCCGCTCCGCAGCGACGCATCGACGCTTCATTCGCTACTACGCGTTCCTGCTTGATCTACAAAGCGTTGGTTTTGCTCACTCCGTAGCATAATACCTCATAATAGTCACTTTTGTCACTCAAGCGTATTGAGACCGAGAATGTTTTACAAGAGCGGAGATCCGGAACGGGCCGTTACCCACCATCCTGGGCCATAGCTGAGAACCTCAAAGCATCCGGCTTCTGGAAGCTCAAAAGAGCTTCTAAAACACTGCACAAACATGTGTCTCCGAAAATGCGTCATAATTCCACCTCAATCCCTCCGAACCCGAGCCTTGTAGCTATCCTTCTCGTCACACGTTCGCGAACGGGCCCTCGCCTCGTCTTCCACTATCCCGCCATCCCCACTGCGAACACGTATAGCACCAAGCGAGATCCAAGTTGGTATGGCACGCCGGGCACTGCAACTGAAGATAGCGCCGCTAGCTCTGATGACTGGGACTCATCTTCCTCTGAGAGCACAGCTGCGGGAGACAGTGGCGATGATGACGACACCAGCTCGCGTGCAGGAAGTGGAACAGGCAGTCGCGGAAGCAAAGTGAGGAGCGGAAAGACAAAATCGACAAGAGATGGTTTAAGCGGCCATGAGGTTGATGAAGAGACTATTGAGAGCAATGAGCGTGGTGATGGTGATGGCAATGCGAAGGATGATTTAAAAAAGAAGGAACAGTACGAGATTGAGTGGGAGCGCCTGCTGGGCTTTTCGGCGGATGGATTGAGTCACCTCCTAAGCCCTTCCAAAGCCTTCAACAAAAGGAAATTCGAGGTTGGGATAGAGCAGTATGTTTTCTTGGGCGCTCCAATGTTTCAGCGTGATGATGGCTATTGGAAGAAGCGCAAACGACACCGAAAGAAAGAAAGTGTGGACGTTACGAATAGTCCACGCTCGACTGAGGTCGACAAAAGCGACCACAAAGACATGCCTGGCGACGTTTCCAATTTCGAACCCAAGTTATCCACGTCAACGGATGCGGATCTCTTTCGGGTACCTGGCTTCGATGCAGCTTATGGCCACGGTTTGGTCTCCGGGGCAGCATCTGAATTCGAATCAGATACTAGGAGCACATCAACAGCAGCAGATGAAAGAGAAATGATCATGTTCAATATCGTGTTTGTTATGAACCCTTTGCCACAAGAACATCATCTGCGCATCGACGAGATGTACGATTTCGTTGTCAAACGTTTTGCAAAGGTGTTGAAGGTTGAACAAGCCCAGAGCAATTACGTTGCTGCAGAATCGCGCGTGATCAACGCAATGAAAGAGAAGGGACGAGAAAACAAGGCTCCGATCGCGACGCTGTGGCCGAATATTATTGCTACCTCGTCGTTAGCAAGGTCAATATCCATAATATTTGACACCATATCTGCGAACAAGATTGCACATATCGAACTCAACGGCTTTGATATGTCCTTCCAAATACCGCAAGCCATTTCAACACCTTTTGCACCCACAGCAACTGAGCCACAAATGCCAGGTCTTTGGTTGACCACAGCCACGCTGATGGATGATGAGGATCTCGAATCCAGCTTGAGCCCTCATGCTGCACTCCTTCTCCTCGAAGATGAAGACACACTACTCAAGGAAGTAATGAGCGACGGCAAGGAATTGGGCGGCCCACTTTCGTTCTTCATCCGTAATTTAACACCCACTAAATCACTGCTAAAGCTCTCGCAGCGTCACTCAATGCCCCTCAAAGATGTCCAGTTCCTAGCTCGGCACCTCATCTACTGGCGACGTGCAAGAGCCATACCTCCATTACACTATAGAGATACCTATGTAGTTTCTCCTAATGCCGATATGCGAGCTCTCGCAGCTGCAGTACCAGCTTTCGCGGCGAGATTCCCAACGTTACCTCCGCTCATTAAAATTTTGCAACTACTGTCTGGACCACCAAAGCAGTATAGAATGCTCATGCCCAGTCCCGATCACAGAACTGCTTATATGGAAATCTTGGCTTGGCTCATGCGAGGAGGTTGGGTTACTCAGCTGCGAACTTTTGCATGGATTCGTGTCTCGAGAGAGGTGAAAGCTGCAGTTGCTGCGAAGCAGAACCGAGAGTTCAGGAATTCTATTGTGACTAACCCTGTCATTGAGAGTTTATCGGATGAAGGCAGAGACCACACGCACGCAAGAGAGAATTCGCAGACATCAAGCATGTACTATCCACAGATACAACGGTCACCAGAAGGCCGTTCAGCTGCAGAAGCGGGGAATTCGCATACCTCGCCTCTTTTGTCGCCATTCAGATATCCAGCCGGGCCACCCTCGGATGCTGGAAGCACCAGTAGCTCTCGAACAGCTATGCAATCAAACGTTTCCGCATTGTCACCTATTCCACGGCCTGAAAGTCGCACGTTTCATCGCCCATCGCCGTTACATATTAATCAATCCGCCTCTCCGAGTTCAGCGGAAGATACCCCCACGTCACCGGTGACCGCCCATCGCGCAACCTCATCACGTGGCGACGGTGAAAACATGCATACACTCGAATCGGCAATTACAAAGTCGGAAGATCCTAAAGATTATGAGCCCAGTCTTGTTCATTCACCTCAACGAGCAACGAACGAAGAGAGTGCGTGGATTGAATACATCGGGGCGCAGGTTGCCGAGCTTTTCAAAAATGATTCCGCTACAGTGAACGGTGCAAGCCAGGAGCCAGGACCAGAACCTAAAGATCTGTGGCCACAATTGTTAAAGTATTTCGACGGGCGATACGCCTTGGAGGAAATAAGTGCGAGAGAGGGTTTCAAGAAGAAAAAAGTGCGAGAGTTTTTGGGGCGTCTTGTCAGAGAAGGAATATTAATTACTGTCAGGCATTGGTAAATGCTAATGATATGACACAAAATACCTAATTGTTTAGATTAGTTCTTCCAATCTCTCCACATATTAAATATTGCGCATGGTTCCTACGAAATGAGCTCATCGTTACCTTCAACTCTATCCTATGCAGGCTGCACTTGCCTTTCTTGCAGCTACCAATCAAGTAGAGCACTGCTGCCTAAATATTTCTAGTTCTTTTCGATTTGTCTTACAATTTTCACATCTTCTCTAATCCGGATTACGATGGCACCAGCGTCTTCAAGCACCACAATGTCGGCTAATGGACAGGATGCGAACCGTAGGAGAGGACGAAAGCGGAGCAAGTACGATGGTGGCTTCTGGAGAGAACGAACGGGATCGGTACTGAAGAGCTCAAGTTTCGAACACTCATCCTCACGAGTATCATCATTGAAACGTCCTGCCACACCTACAACATCTCGGAACAGATCAAGAATAGCAGCAGCATCGTCGCCATCGACGCGTCAGCAGTACTCAAGGCCAAGTTTGAGCCCTGTGCAGATAAGTCAATTGGCGAGTTCTCCCACGAGTTCAAGACCCACACAATCAATCTGTGGCATTGATGAAGAGGTGTGTGATGAGAATCACGATGCATTAAATGAGGTGGTTATGGCCATTGATGTCAAAGACCACGGCACAGTAGGATGTGCCTACTACGCTGCACGTGAAGAGAATTTATATTTCATGGAAGACGCGAAGCTGGGCGACGACCAGATGATAGAATTGCGTACGTAATTTGTCAAGTGAGTCGCTTATCTAATATTCTCTGAAACTTCTATAGTCAAAATCCACATTGAACCTACGATTGTTCTCGTGCCGTCGCGACTCGGTGATGAAATAATGGGCCAACTAGATCCTGAGTCCGGACAACGCGATCCATCTGCTGCAGACAATGGTAGGTAGAACTTGACGAGAGGGTTTGGACTAACGAGGACTATAGCTGATCGATTACGTTTCTCTTATTTGGTAGAAGCGAGACCTAGTATTGAATTTGGGGCTGATGCCGCAAGAAAGAAATTATTTAGCCTCAATCTACGATCAGATGATGGACCACGTGCTAAATTAATCACGCCTGGAGATGCTCTGGATGTCGACATCGTAGACTCACAAGGGAACCTTGTCGGACAGCATGAACAGTTGCTAAGACTTTCTGGTTGGATTAACCTCGAGAGTAACATTAGTGTAATATCGATGGTTCTGATTCAACTAGTAACATCTACGCTAAACACTTTCACAGATAGGCTGTGCAGGTGCTATAATATCGTATTTGCAGAGACGTCGAGCAGCACACTCTATAAGTGGTTCAAATCGCTTTCAAACTCTCTTCGGCATCTCTCATCTGAAAATGTTTTCCCTGGAGAATGCAATGTTCATCAACACGAATACTCTGCAATCGTTACAAATAATCGAAACGGAGTTCCATCCAAATTCACAAAAGCAAGGACCGCGCTCAACGGGATCCAAAGAAGGTCTTTCAGTTTATGGAATTTTCTGCAGTCACACAAGAACACCACAAGGCAAGCGTTGTTTGCGCCAGTGGTTTTTGCGGCCTACTATGGACTTGACAATTTTGCGAGAGAGACAGCGGAGCATCAACACTTTCATCAGACCAGAAAATTCTATACAGATAGAAGAATTACGTCAAAGCCTAAGCTCGATGCCACATATGAGAGCTCATATACTCAAACTTCGCAAAGGGCTAAGCCCAGGCTTGCTCGTGAAGGCTACAGCGACGAGACCAGTATGGTCTACGATCCGTTCTTTTGCTTTCCATGCCCTCAAAATACGGGACCTCATTTGTGAAATAATAGGTGGAGAGTGCCTCAAAATTCGCGATCTCATCCTTGACAAGTTCAAGACCTGGTGTCTTGCACAAATCGGTCGGCAAATTAGCGACATCGTTGATTTCGAACAGACCGCTTTGCAACGCCGCACTGTTGTGAGATCAGGGATTGATGATGATCTAGACCAAATCAAGCGTAGTTATGATGGGCTTGACCATCTGCTCACGGAAGTAAGCAAAGTAATAGCTAACCAGATGCCAAGAAGTAATGCTGTTCTGAACATTATCTACTTCCCACAGATTGGATTCTTGATCGCATGTCGACATGACTCGGAAGGAGGTTCGACAAGCTTTGGCGGAGAGCTGATTGAAAGCTGGGATCGTATTTTCACGAATGGAGAAACAGCATACTACAAAAGTCCAGAGATGAACGAAATGGATCAAAAATTCGGCGACCTCTACAGTATGATATGCGATCGCGAAATTGAGATCTTGCACGATCTTGCCCAGAGAATTCTCCAATACGACGATCTTCTTATGACGGTTTCTGATATATGCGGTGAACTAGACTGTCTGCTTGCGCTTGCTAATGGCGCGAAGCAGTATCAGCTGGTGCAGCCAGAAATAACCAAGGAAAACATTATAAATATCTCCAGAGGAAGACACATCTTGCAAGAGCTAACTGTTGGCTCTTTTGTAGCGAACGATACTCTTATTGTTGGTGGAGAAGGCAATGAACGTCAAATAGAGATAAATTCCCCAGCTACGTCCGAAGACAAACAATCTTTCGAGTCCACTTGTTCCATCACGGGTGTCAGCAAACCAAGCACTGGACCCGCAATGCTAATTATGACTGGACCAAACTTCTCTGGAAAGAGCGTATATCTCAAGCAAGTGGCTTTAATAGTGTATATGGCGCATATTGGATGCTTTGTTCCTGCCGATAGAGCTATCATCGGTCTTACTGATAAAATTCTCACACGGATAAGCACGGGGGAATCGGTTTCAAGGGTGCAGAGCGCATTCATGATCGATCTCCAGCAAGTTTCCCTTGCCTTGAACCTAGCAACAAATCGTAGCCTTCTTGTTATTGATGAGTTTGGGAAGGGCACACATGCCCACGGTGAGTGAATTCAAATTCGTAGAAGGTTTTGCTCATGATAAACAGACGGAGCTGGCTTGGCTTATGGCGTTCTCTATTATTTGCTAAGTCTTCAAAATCTCTGTCCCAAGGTTGTTGCAGCGACGCACTTCCATGGTAAGAAGTACTTAGTTTTGTGATTTGATGACTCTGATGGAAAGCAGAGATATTTGAAAATGACTTGTTCCCAACCTCCGGGCAGTTGATGTTTGCCAACATGGAGGTTCGGGTGAATCCAGAGGCAACAGATATCGAGAACCAGATCACATACTTGTACAATTTGCGATTAGGTCGAAGTGTCTCCAGCTTTGGCACACTGTACTGATCAAAGTCCACCTTGACTGAACTCTTGCTAATTTTGGGCAATCAAGATGTGCTTCTATGAACGGAATCACAAAGGAAATCATTAAACGTGCCGAAGAATTAATCGTGCTTGAAGCTCAAGGCGAGGATTTGGTCGCGGCATGCTCGACCCTACCTGAGGACGAGGCCGCAGAATTAGCAGAAGCAGCACGTTTTGCGCAGAAGGATGTGTCCCATGCTAACAAATATCCAGGAGCAAATTGCTCGAAATTTTCTCGCCATTGATATTAGCAACGACGCGCGCAAAATCCTTGATAATTTATTGGCACCTTGGACCCGGGCAACATCGTCGTCTCGATGATCCTATGACGACTGCTAGATGTATCGTAGGCAATTCGTGCGCCCTTCGAAGCTCAATGAAAATATGGGACTACAAATGAGGTGGATTTGTTCTTCGTCATCTGCCGTCCCAAATTAAATATCAGAATTTTGCGCGGCCTGTGGAGCCTCCTGTACACAAAGACAATGCCATTCTGAGATCGATGCACTTCGATCTTTCTCGAAGCCTCGGTGATACCGCATTCGGAGAAAATTGTAGCCGCATCTCAGCTGGACTGGTTCACAACTTGATAATTGCTGTGGCTATGATAATTTGATCAACAAAAACCATGTTGCTGCGTGAAGAGAGTGTATTTGCTAGCTCAACTGCGTGTATAGGGTATTGCTTTGCTTTTCAGCGTCATCCGGAGCATCTGAACGTAATTTGGTTTGTCGAAGGTCGTGTGATGCCGTGCCGTGCTCCCGAGCCCCGATTCCGTTTCGACTTAGACTGAGCAAGGATTAGTTCTAGTTCTAAGCTTCGTGGCTTGCTTGGTCATCACTCTCCATCTAACGTCATAGACCGAAACGCTGTTTTCGGGCTTTTCAGAAGAGCGGTACGAAAACGAGGAGCGACGGGGGTTGGAAGAGCTTTGCTGGTTGGTTTGTGATAGAAATTTAAGTCCTCTTTCTCTCCGTGTTAAAGCGAGCCTCGTCTGTAAAAAGTTTTTGTTGCCACAGGCGAAAATTTCTCCGTCATCTTTGCCATTTTTTGCACGCCGCACAGAGCTATAAACCCTTTTGACCCAAGAAGTCGGTGCGAGTTAGCTACTGCTCCATGACCTACCTCACTTTTCCGTCCTCGTTCTGAATAGGAGCTTCAGGAAACTATCTGACATATCCAATTCTCGACTGCACTGTACACAATTGCGCTCAGTTCTTGACAAGTGTGTTTAAGCTACTCCACGAGAAAGCTTTACACTGGTCTTTTCAGTCGCAAGGCAGTAGATATGGTTCTCAACGAAGCAGACAGGGAAGTAGTGCGCAATGAACGCGACGCAAGTCCGACTATGTTTCAGGAATACACAGAAACAGGCGAAGCTATTGAACGCGCGGAAACACGAGCTTCTTCTGAATCTTCGTCCTCAGATGGCTCAGCTCGGCAAAGGCAAGCATCGCTAGGCATGTCGCGCCTACCTACCGAGTCTATTATTCCAGGCGACATGCAGCGTAACGAAACTGCTATGAGTCGCATTCAGACACAGCGCTCGCAACATTCCAATACAGTCGGCGCGAGCGTGAAGAGTAGGGTTAGCAAGAAGCCACTTCCACCTATGGGCGCAGGAAAGCCATATCCGCCTGCTTTGCCGGAACGGGAGGAATACGTTGTCGAATTTGACGGCGCAGATGATCCTTTGCACGCGCAGAATTGGACTATGAAGAGAAAGCTGCTGACGGGGGCTATGCTCGGCTATTTCACGTTTCTCGCTGCATTTGGGAGCAGCATCTTCTCCGCAGCAACAAGGGTCGTTGCGAAGTACTTCGGTGTTAGCGCTGAAGTGGGTACTTTGGGTGTTTCTTTGTATGTCCTTGGGTTCGCAACCGGTCCAATTATTTGGGCTCCATTCTCAGAACTGAGAGGACGCAAGCTGCCTCTAGTGATTGGATCCTTTGGGTTCATGCTCTTTCAATTTGCAGTTGCTACGGCCAAAGATCTGCAGACTGTTTTGATATGCAGGTTCTGGGGGGGATTTTTCGGGGCTTGTCCTCTCACCGTCGTTGCTGCTGTTTTTTCCGATATGTTTAACAACAGAACAAGAGGTCTAGCGGTAAGCTTTTGCCAATTCTTAAATAGGATCGAGGCATAGGCAAGCACTAACGATTCTTAGATAACTGTGTTCTCTATTATGGTCTTCTCCGGTCCTCTTATGGCCCCCTTCATTGGTGGCTTCATTACAATGTCCTATCTTGGTTGTAAGTAGTTCGAACGCGGATCCCAACACTCCAATATGGCCTAACACAACTTTCAAGGGCGATGGACTGAGTATCTCGTTGGAATTATGGCCGCTGTCGCATTTGTTTTGATCCTATTCTTCCTTGAGGAGACCTACCCGCCAGTCATACTCATCAACAAAGCCGAGGAGCTACGGCGCCGAACGAAGAATTGGGGGATCCACGCCAAGCAAGAAGAAATCGAAATCGACCTACGTGAGCTTGTTGAGAAGAACTTCACTCGTCCATTGAGAATGCTGGCCACCGAGCCCATTGTACTCCTCATTAGTGTTTATATGGCATTCATCTATGGATTACTGTACTTGTTCCTGACAGCATATCCGCTTGTCTTCCAGGGCGTACACCACATGAATCCGGGTCTAGGCGGGCTTCCATTTTTTGGAATGATCATTGGCGAGCTTTTGGCAGGTAGGTTTGGTCAATGTAGCGGTGGATTGCCAACAGCTTGATTGACAAGGCGATAGGTATTACTATTGCGCTACGCCAGCCAGGCTACAACAAAAAACTCGCTGCGAACGGTGGCTTTCCCGTGCCAGAATGGCGCCTTCCGGAAGTAATTGCAGGCGGCGTTGCATTTAGCGCTGGCCTTTTTTGGTTTGGCTGGACAGGAAACTACGAGAGCGTGCACTGGATCGTCCCTACTTTATCTGGTCTTCTCTCTGGCTTCGGGATCATGAGCATCTTTCTTCAATCGCTGAACTACCTCGTGGACGCCTATCTAATGTTTGCTGCTTCAGCCATCGCCGCGAACACATTTCTACGATCCCTTTGTGGAGCCGGCTTCCCACTATTTGCAACATATATGTTTAATGGAATGGGGATCAACTGGGCAAGCACTCTTTTGGGCTGTGTTGCGGCTATACTAGTGCCCGTTCCGATTTGGTTCTACCTGAGGGGTGGAAAGATCAGGGAGAAGAGTGCATTTGCACCAACTCACATTGGCCCCAAACCGCCAGCTCAGGAGAGCACTGATGAAGAGAAAGGAAGCGATAAGTTGGATTAAGTCAGGGAAGAACGGGTAAAGAACCATTTGTTAAAAAAAAACCTCTTTACTGTTATGATATCCGTAAACTTTGCAAGTATCAGCAAAAGAAGGCATCATAGCGTTTCGACCAAGCAAATTGCATGTTGCTATCTTGGTTGTGTTTCTCCATCGCACGTTCAAGTTGCTGCTGCGATATTTTGTTTGATCTGAGGATGGACCCGATTAATATCCTAATGAACTATTTAATTCTTTCTAATCAATCGTTGGGTTGGATTCAACGTGGCTAAACAATCTCCTTATCGTAATCCGACCTTTGATCTGCCGTGAAAATGCTCGCGTTGAATCCTTTGCTGTCGCCAAGTGAGTTGTTCATGGAGAACAAGACCCGAGAACATTCTTTCTTATCCCGGCGTTCGGGCATGTGGTTCGGAGTCATACAAGATGGCATTCCTTGAACAACGCAAGGGATAGAACTAGTTTCGACACCACAGTCCTCGCGGTATACCTTTGCAGGAATGTCTCGGAGACTTAAAGGAGAGGATTTCTTGTAATGCAGATTTCGATAAGCATTTTCGAAGTATGGATAAGGTTTGGCGAGGACTACTGGATCAAAGAACCTTGCAGCTTGTAAAAGAAGAAAGACGACCGCCCGAAGCGGCTTGGAGCGGCAAGTCATCAACTCACAGAGTCTACCTAGATCATGGAGTCCGAGAGATTAAACTAATTCGCCGCGTATTCCTCCGGTTTTTATGATTCCTTTATTTAATGCACCCTGAATTGATTTTAACCGTGCCATCGTACGAGGGCAGCTTCTCCATCGACCGGACTGGCAGCGCAGCCGAAGTAAGCTCAGCTCCATTCAGCGTGGACACGACAGCACTGGAGATATGATCCGAACAACTTAACGGATTCGTATGGTCGGATTTTTGCTGAAAACTACAAGTAGATCACATGACTAAACCACGTGACACACATTCCTGAACATCACGCAGTTTCACTTAATGCTGCCTGGCGCTGATTTTTGCGCCGCTTGTGCTTGTTAAAAAAAATGTATTGTCAGCGCCATCCGGTACCTGGCAGATCTTTTTTTCCTCGATTTTCGATGCCGACAAATACATTTAATTAGCACGACACCGGGCTTGGTCTCGTAAAGCCGAGCTCGTCGAGGCGCGCAGCAAGGTCTGGCAGATTAACCCTCCGGTTGTGGCGCTAGCTCGTCCGGAGCGTTCGCCATGTGCTTCAGGCAAAAGCAGGCTTGATGCACTTGTGCGCGACCAAGATTCTCGTAGCTTTTCTTTTCCGTGTCCATCTTTTCATCTTGTCGTGCACAATCTCGACAGACGCCACGCTAACTCTCATTCGAAAAGAGAAGGCCATATCTATCTGTTTTTTGCGCATCTAGAATCTGAGGACTCTCCGGCCTTTGCCACGCCCTCTGCCACTTTGTTTGCCGATCGTCGGATCCCTGCCCCGGATATCCCATCATCGCCAGAAACAGACCTTCGACTTTCTTGCTGATTGTCTCGTCGATTCCTCGATCGCGTACAGCCCCAAACCCCCGCCCTTTACGGGCATTTATCCACTGGAGCACGCTCCTGTATCGGCATTTAGGCCTTGGTCGTCGCGATGAGCGCCGAACCGCCGGCTTCGTCGAGAGGAGTTCGTTTCAGCGAAGCCCCCCCGACGCCGCCGCAGGACACCACGTCTTCGTCTGTTGAATTAAATCAGGACGACAGCATTGCTGGCTCACCAGGTCTCAAGACTTCGACACCCCCGGACTTGGCAAGAAAAGAGTCTTCAGGGTCGGCAAGCTCGCAGGGATCAGACCTTCATCAGAGTTCGGACGATGACAATGATGGGCAGATTCTGAACTTCACACCTGCTGTTGCAACCACTCCCCTGGATGAAGTCCCGCCTTTGACTTGGTCTTCACAGCCTCAAGGACGAGGGAGGGGTGGAAGCGCGGGCTCGAGTGCTCTCCATCCAGACTCGACCGCGCAACCAGCGACCATGACGAATAGTATCAACGGTCGTTCGCCGCGACCAACTGCCGTGAGAACGCCCTCGAATGCGTACGCGCCAAACAATGCTCGAAGGCCTACCCAATACTCGCTTAATTCCACGGGAAGACATCGAACCAACTCTATGACTCGTAATCGCCGCAATCCCAACGCGGACTATAGAGCCCAGGAGAAGGCGTATGTGCAGCGCATACGGCAGGACGTACCCGATCCGGATGACTATTTTGATAATGAACTACGCACCCCTAGCTTAGACTTTAGCGACACAACAAGCTCAGACGGAGAATCTCCCAATACCACAGACTATATCGATGATTCGTTTGACCAGGAGACGTTGCTATGGCAGGACAACGATAATATCACGCCTTCTGTGGAAGAGCTGAAGATTCCGGAAAATAGGGAGCGACTCGAATGGCACTCAATGCTCGCTAGTGTTCTTACTGGCGACGTTGTTAAACAAGAGAAGAAACGTCTTATTGGCAGCAGTGACCAGTCCGCTGATGAAACCATGAAGAGCGAGATCTGGGTGGGAATACGGGCGAGATGCTGTGGCCGCATGCTTCAGACTCAGAGGCGTATTGTCGAAGAGGGGCGTGCAAAGGCGAACACCACTATCGACAAGATCATCAATTTTGAAATCAGAGGAGAAGCAGAGGCTGGCCAGACGGCTGCCGAGCAAGTCCATGCAATTGTGAAGGAACTGGAGACCCTGGAATATCTCTATCCAACACGGGCGCAGTTCGAGGCTGCTCATACTCGTGCAGCACAAGACAATTTCAAGGACGCATGTGATGCTATTATAGCGTGGTATAACGCTAATGAGATGATCAATACTGAACTGACGGTGTTGCGAAAATGGGTTGGCAACGATGAGCTTGATTTTTCGAAACCCAATCAGCGCCATGAAAATGACAGATTGTCTGACGAGTCGACGTTTATCGAGCGATTATTAAAAGAAGACGGCCTGAAGTCGCTACAAGGCGAGAGGAGTCTACTCTTAAGTTTGAATAATGTCATTCTCAAAGCCAAGGAAACCTATATCGAGAATGCTTCACGCTTCGCCACGAGACACCTGCCTCCATACATCGAAGAGTTGCAGATACTAATCAATTTCCCATCGCGGCTCGTTCAAGAAATCATTAAATTACGTTTGTCGTACGCGAAGAAAATGAAAGACCCGTCACAGCAAGGTCTGATGATGACGGAGCAGATGATTGACCAGTTCAAGATCTTACTGAATCTTGCTGTGCGAATTCGAGAGGCATACAACATCATCTCGCAACCGGAGCATGGCTGGGACCCACCAGAATGTATTGAGGAAAACTTCGACGCTACGGTGCTTGAAGCACTGAGGTTCTATTTCAAGTTGTTGAATTGGAAGCTTAGTTCGAATAAGAACGCGTTCAAGGAAGCCGAAATATTGGAGCAAGAATGGGATTTCTCTAATAAGCTAGGCAGGCACCTGGAAGGCGGTGATGTCGAGGTTGCGGAGCAGTTCTGGTAAGTCTGACAGACGCTAGATACTTGATACATGGTCTGATATTTGCAGCTCTTTGACCTCAAAGTCACTTTGGCGGCTGAGTCAAGCCTTCGAACGTGAACTTGGTCGCCGACCTGATGAAGTTGCTGGCGCAGAAATGGACAGAAGATATAAGAGCATCCTCGATTCTGTACGCATTCGTCAGCGAAAATTGTTTCGTTTCTCCAGGCTGCTCACCCAGCGATTTGAAAATTGCGCCGAGTATAATATCAATCTTGAACCCACGCAGCTCCTCGAGTTCTACGATACGTTGGTGTATTCTGGGCACTTTTTGGTAGTAACTCAGAATATGGATTCTAACACATACATCATCGCTTGTCCTGCATTGGCAAACCGGCCGAATGAAATTCAGTCGTTACTCGGCTCATGTTACCATGCCGAAGATAATCCAGAGGATCCCTCAAACCCTTACGTTCTGATTCTGCGACCAGAGGAGCCACTTGTGTGGGCCGGCCAGCGGTTTGAAGCCCCAAATATACGTCAGCCCTCTCTTGAATTACAAGTTAGTAGGATGCGTCTGGTGGCCGATGGCTCACAGCAACGCCTAGCAAATGCAAAGGTTGCTTTCCAGCACGTCACCGGATTGGATCTAACTGTCCTCAATGAGCAACGTGCCAACCTGCCACGGGTCAATTTTGAGCTGAAGAAGATCAAAAGAACGGCGTTCAAACTCTCGAACACAATAATGGAAAGCGTCGAGATCATTAGGAAACAGACTGCTGGCTTGGAATGCCAGGAACTTATTCAGACATGTTTTGCTTTTGCTACAGAATTTGGTCAACGCTCTCTGCTCTACATGGACCCGAATCGTCGTGCTATGAACAACATGAAGTTAATGAAACTTGCGTTGGACTGGGTCAGTTTTATTTGCGACGACTGCGTGGCTTCCGATCGCAAAACTTTTCGATGGGCTGTCGTAGCTCTTGAGTTTGCTATGTTGATGACCCGGGGGCAGAACATTCTGTCCATCAGCAATGAAGAGTATGGGAAGCTGCGTGCTAAGGTAGCCGGCTGCATGTCACTTCTGATTTCGCACTTCGATATCATGGGTGCCCGATCCACAATGGCTGCACAGGCCGAAAAGGCTAGGCTTGACGCGGTATCAGGTAGAAACAGACCTGATTTAAGTATGATGAAGGATGACGAGGAATCTTGCAGAATCGTGCAGGAGCAATGGGCAGAGCAGCTCGCTGAGATTGATCAAATGAGGATTCAACGCGAATCAGAAATCAAGGCCTTAGGTCGTGTGCTGGAGGAGTCAAACGAAGCTGATCGAGCTTTGACGTACCTGTCTTCCTCAGCTACAAACGTCACACTGCGATGGCAACAAGGCCATTATGTTGGCGGTGGCACGTTTGGATCTGTTTATGCAGCGCTTAATCTTGATTCTGGTCAGATGATGGCTGTGAAGGAGATTCGTCTGCAGGACCCGCAACTCATTCCTACCATCGTTTCACAGATCAGAGATGAGATGGGCGTCTTGCAAGTGCTCGACCATCCCAACATTGTTCAATACTACGGTATCGAGCCCCACCGAGATAAAGTTTACATTTTTATGGAATATTGCGATGGTGGTTCGCTGGCTGGACTCCTTGAACATGGTCGCATTGAAGATGAAACCGTTATCATGGTCTACGCTTTGCAAATGTTGGAAGGTCTTGCGTACCTGCACGAGCGTCGCGTCATGCATAGGGATATTAAGCCTGAGAATATTCTCCTTGACCATGACGGCGTCATCAAGTTCGTGGACTTTGGCGCTGCAAAAGTAATTGCAAGACAAGGCAAGACTCTCGCAGCTGAACACGCAGGGGCAAGACAAGGTCATCAGAACAGCTTGCCTGCTGGCACTCCCATGTATATGTCCCCCGAAGTGATTCGCGGGCACGCAACCGGCCGCCTTGGTGCTGTGGATATTTGGTCGCTAGGCTGCGTGATTCTCGAAATGGCTACCGGCCGTCGACCATGGGCGTCGCTAGACAACGAATGGGCCATCATGTTCAACATTGCCCAAGGAAACCCTCCGCAGCTCCCCACCCCTGACCAGCTGAGCCCACAGGGCATCGACTTTCTTCAGAAATGCTTCGAGAGGGATCCCGTCAAGCGAGCTTCAGCTGCAGAACTCTTACAGCACGAGTGGATCGTTGCAATCAAAAGCCAGTGGAATATTGAACCACAAACTCCGCAGACGCCTGCAAGCGAGTCAAGCAGCTTCAGTACTGCAAGTGGTCGACAGAGCTAAAATTTACTTTGAGTACAATGAGGTTTGTGTTGTGAAGGATATCACGAAGTGCTTTTTTAATACCATTTTGAGTCATTTTGGCGGACCTGATAGTCTCGCTGTGTCTTGAGACGCAGTGTTAAGTTTTTTGTTCTGATTCGTACGCTCCTGTGCGTCACCGAGGCAATGATTGTTGGGGCTGGGATTTTATCCTTAATATCATAGCACACGGCACAGTACACAGCATCAGCGAATGGCGTTATGGTCGTGAGGATCTTTCTGTGACAATGAAAGTGACTGCTTCTTACCAACTATTGATATTGAATTTACAAATTTCGTTCCTTTAGAGCCCTTTTTGTGCTTTCCTCTGCACCTTACAATCTGAACTTGAGGCCTCGCTTGTGGATAGATCCGTTTTCCCGTCCTCTTTTCAGTTTTACAGACGCCTCACGCTGTCGTCACCAGGAAGTGCTGCTGCCGTCTCTGCTACCAAACGGACTACAGAGAATAACTGTTGAATACAAGGATTCCTCGAGACGGAATTTTTGGTAGAGCGCTCTGAATCAGTCAAATGACCAGGTCCTAAAGCGCTACGCGGCTTGACTTGAGCGTCGGTGAGGCCGCAAGAGAAAACTCGCTTGGACGAAGTTCGACTGAGGCTGAGATACCGATGAAGGCTTGATTTACGGGCAAACCAATAGGGGAATGACTTTGGTACGCACGTTGAGTTTAGATCCGGCGGGAAATGGTTGATTCACGGCCTTCAGCCGCACGACACTAAAATTTTCCGTCTAGAACCACCGACTGGCCGCTCGGGAAAGCTTCGCGACGATATCTTTGTCAAAACATCTCCGTGGGTCGAATTCCACGACTCTCAAGTAAGCGTCGATCAAGAGCAGATGCGAACATGTGTTACGATTTAAAACAGGAGCATAGGTGTTTACAGTGAACGGATACAGCCAAAGCGCCTGAAAATCCCTGGCTCGCTCATGTTCCACAGGACTTGGCCATTGTAGGACCTCGTCAGTACTTTGTTCCGCCCTGGCTGCGCCTAACCACTACTCGCCAGCTACTTACTATCCTAAATCGGTCCCACTCGTTTACTAGATATCATAAGGTTAGAATGAACTTGGTCAGTACGTCTCGTTCAGCTCCGAAGATCAAGGTGGGACCAGCTAAACGCGGATGAACGTCAGCGTCGCTGCCACAAGTCGTCGACAACTACGCTGCCTTTGGCTCATCTTCCTCCTGTCCAGCTGTTGAGTCGACAAAATCACTTCCAGCTTCTTCGACTCGGCATCCCACATTGAGAAGTAGGTCGATCGAGGTTGATTTTTCGCAACGCACAGCACTTTGCTTTCCACATACGATAACAACAATGAATCCTTCCAGGAGTGGGTCCCAAATCCTACCGCCCTGTGGCTCTCTAAGAGGCTACGTGAGTGCTTGACCGGACTACATGCAGCCCTGTTGCATTATCGGTAAAATGCGCCCTGCCGTGATGTCCATCTTTTTCTCTAGTCCCATGCCGGAATCAAAAGCGGATTTGCCTCCCTTGACGCGTCACAAGGCATTTCGCAGGCTGAAACCCCCAGCAGCCGCAGTGCTTGGAGGAGGAGGAGGAAAGGGCTTGGTTTGAACCAATTACTGGTCGCGGCGCTCAAAAGAACGATCATGCAAGTCGGAGGATTGTGCTTCTTTTGATGGAAACCGCACTTCTCGCCCAGTCTGTTGCTCCCTTCAGAACGCCTTGTTGACAGCACTAGCGACGCAGTCCACCATGTAAACTCTTTCTTATTCCCCCCACCCTTTCTTAGTCTTCAATTTCTTACGTTTTTTTTTACAAGAGCAGCTGTTTGATACTTGAAGCAGATGATGCTATGCCGATTACAACATATCAATTCCAGCGCAGTATTATTGTGTGTAGTGAAGTTTCTACTACCTTTCCTCCACCACATGCAAAGAGGGCAAATAGTCACCAGGGAATTCAATCTGAAAATGTCCCGTAAGCCTTTTCGGGTCTCTAGCCTGCAGAAACGTTGGTTCGAACGAAACCACGTTGCTCTCTGTCAGCCAGTCATGCTTATGCTGAAGCGAGAATTCCGGTGCAGTAACCTATCACATCTCCACTGTCTCCACCTCAGCCTCATCAGCCGCTCCCGCAACATGTCCAGCGTTCACCTAGTTTAGGACTCCGAACTGTAATACCGTATATAAGCATAGGTAAGATTCTCTCTGCTCAATTGAAATTTGTGATCCTATCGTTCAAATTCGTGTCATATCATGATCATGGCTGAATCTAAGATCAGAGACTCTGGACTGTCAGGATCGACCGTGAGGGTCATGAAGGATGAAGAAGCCGCGCACGCACCGGAGCCGGAATGGAGGCCTACAATACATGAGTTGGCAATTATGCTTACAATGTCCGTCACATCGCTCATGATTGCTTTGGACGCGACAATTGTGGTCACTACCATCGAGGTAAGATAACTTTGCTTGACAGGTACCGCGCTAACTGGTGATCAGACCATCGTCACGGATTTAAACGGCTCCGCAACGGAGGGATTCTGGATAGGAACTTCGTACCTACTCACATGCGCGGTCTGCATGCCCTTCATCGCGTCTTTAAGCGACATATTTGGCCGACCGATCTGCCTTCTCGCGTCCCTGGCCATATTCGCGATTGGGACTCTTATCTGCTGCTTGGCTCGTGGTATTGCAACGCTCATTGGCGGCCGATGTGTCCAAGGTATTGGCGGCGGAGGTCTGATCATCCTTGGATTGGTCATCTTCACAGACATTGTGCCGTTGAGGTTCCGTTCAAAGTACTACGGGATCATCCAGGGTGCTTGGGCTATCGGCACATGCATTGGACCTCTCGTCGGGGGGGCGTTCGTCGAGCACACTACGTGGAGGTGGATTTTCTACATCATGTTCCCCTTCATTGGTATTGCTTTCGCCACAATACCATTTGTGCTGACGCTCAAACCAAGAACCGAGTCATTCGGAACCAAACTTGCACGAGTGGACTGGATTGGAGGCTTCCTGTTCATTTCGTCATCAACCAGCTTACTGATCGCGATCTCGTGGGGTGGAACACAAGAACCTTGGAGCAGCTGGCGGACGATTGTTCCACTGGTGCTTGGGGCATTTGGCTTGGTTGCAACAGGCCTGTTCGAGACCTATCTCGCAAAAGAGCCCATATTCGGTCGCAACATATTCCACTGCCGTGATTCATTCGCGGCATACGCCGGTGCAACTTTGCAAGGCTTCCTGGTAGGTAACACTGTTAATCGTGAATTCGAGACACCTGTTTACGGTTGGTCTAGCTCTATGGAATTCTCTATTATGGAGAACTATATTTCCTGGCTGTAAAAGGCTATGGTCCTGTGCACGCCGGCTCCGCAGCCCTTCCAACAACCTTATCCCTCGTTCCCGGCTCCGTTGTGGTAGGCATCCTCATTACGAAATTCGGGTCATTTAGGTGGGCTATATGGAGCGGATGGGCGCTAAGCACATTGGCAAACGGCCTCCTCGTCCTTTGGGATGTCGATACACATGTTTCAGTTTGCACAGTCATTCTCATCCTCATTGGCATCGGACACGGCTTGGTGCTCAACGCACAGAACTTTGCGACGCAGGCCATTGCTTTGACAGGCGATGAGGCACAAGCGGCGGCTATGTATGCATTCCTTCGCTCGTTCGGGATGGCCCTTGGAGTAGGCATCGGCGGCAGCGTCTTCCAAAATGTCATGATGATCAAGCTGAACTCATTCGGTCTGCCTAACAGCATCGCCCGCTACGCCGAGGCATACATTCGGATTTTGTGGTCATCTCCACCAACGGAGCAGACGGACCAAATCCTCCAAGCTTATGCGTATGGCCTCAGGGGCACGTACGGTCTGTTTTGCGCCATTGCTGGCACAGCCGGCATCGCGAGCATCTTTATCCAAAAATTCGACCTGAACAAAGAGCTTAGGACAGAGCACACCTTGGGCGAAAACAGAATCACAAGGAAACTCGAGGATGTGTCGCGGCCTGTGTCATATTTTTCTACCTCGCGAGCTGAGTCTTGCAACGCGTCAAAATTACATGTCGATGTGGAAGTTAATTCCAGACCGTCCTCGACAGACGAACGTACAGTCGGCGCCATGTCACGTCCAGTTTCCGATGTGAGAGCATCCTATCTTACTGTCCCTGGTATGAGAACATGACGGATTGAAGGCTCATTGTTAGTGTTCCTTTTTCCATAGTTGCTTGTCACGATTGAGACGAGCAAAGAATATACAGCAGATGAATGCCCATTTGGGAGGATACAACAAGGCTTGGCCTAGAAATGTGAATGAAAAATCGAATTATTAGCGAATTACTTCTTCCACGAGGGGATCTTGCTTAGTCCTGCAATCTTCATAGCAATCAACGCTAAAATGCACCTACACACCTATCACAAGTTTTTGCTCCTCAATCGCTATGCTGAAAATTGACTGATTCCCCCAGACGTGTTAATGCATAGTGTATCATACTGCATCTTCTCCGCGTGGCTCTTTGTCCTCGCTGGTAGCATCTCGAACATCATCTGCTCGACGAGCTGATGTCGTTGGCCTTCCCTTGCTAGTCCAGCCTTCCGGGCCAACATAGCCTGGAACACCAACACCGATAGCAAAAGCACGGTCTCTGCTTCTCGCGCCCCAAGACCACCCAGCTCCCTGGCTGATAGGAAGATGGTAGAATCTGAAGGCAAAGTACGCGCTCAGTACACCGATCAAAGACCCCACGATGATGTCGAAGCCGTGGTGGTAGAACTGGAAGTAGCGTGTTGACGTGATATAAATTGCCGCACAGATTGGGACGAGTGGCAGAGCGAGCAAGTATACCGGTGGCGCAGCAGCTTGGTTGCGTGGCGGAATGTTTGATCGAACTGCCGCGCGCCCAGAGGCTTCGGCGGACCCATTTTTCAACTCGTCTTCCGATCCAAGGTACGAATCAAGTTCGGCTGGGCTTTCGGTGGTCAGGCGCTTGGGTGGCAGGAAGGGTATTCCTATAGCGAACTTTGACGCAAGGAACAACGCTAAGTAGAGCAGGCCAGACCAAGAGACTTGAAAGACGTCGGTCAGTCTGCACCGAATTCTTGAGCGTAAGCAAGTTCAGACTCACAAGATGCATGGCCGCTGGGAAAGCTTCTAAACCCATCGTTGAGTGTGCTACTGTCTTGCTGCTGGCAAATTCCCGCGCCGACCAAGACCCATTCGCGATTAAAGCCGGTGGCATAGCCGCCCAGAGCGTTTCGCGCGATACTCTGAACGCTGAGATCGGGCTGGCAGCGAGCAAGAAGATTGGGGCGGGGCTTGCCAAATAAGTTCTTCATGCCTTGAGTGAACATGAAAGCTAGGGCAAGGCTGAGACCAAGACCCATCCAGCTAGCTTCGACTTGAGTTAGCCTTTCGTACCTGAACGTGAGTTCTACTGCCCAACATACTGTTCCATTCCCACAATTTTCTCCGCCATACTAAAGGCCGGGGTGTTTTCTTCGATATCGTCGGGCCAGGCACAAACGCGAGGCAAACAATGAATATAATGACGGCAGGTGCAACCAAAGCTACCACAACAAGTAGCCAGATAGGAATGATCTGATGTCGAACGTATGGGTACTGAATGGAGAGATCGACAAGTGAGAAGGGCCGCTTATACGGGGTGCTAACTGCAAAGGCGCCTCCTATTCCCGCTATGACGCTGCGTTCGAAATCAGCTCCGCGCATTCCTGGTGCTGAATGAAGGTTTCCAGTCGAGAGGCTTGACAAAGACGGGACGAAGGCGACATTGAGTGGGATTCAATCTTGGCGCAAAGGCCATGGGAGGACACTTACAAGATGACAATCCAATCAAACACATACGACAATACCAGCCTTTTGGCCGGATTCCAACTCAAGATGCGCATTGCGCGGCGGAATGAAACCCAACGTCGTCGCAGCAGGAGACTGAGATTGTGGCTACCTTAACGTATTCGATGGAAGGGAGGCGTTGTTAAGAGGAAGTATTGCAATGACGGTGCTACGTCAGCAACTCGCACTTTCAGCAGGACTACACAGAGCACTCTTTAGTCTGATACACGTCGAAAGCGCCAGAAAGTCGTAAAGCCGTACTAGTCTGAGGAGAGCGCGCTCAAGCACCTTTTCCGTTGGCCAATTATAGCCGGAATATTAGTCAAAGCCACCCGTCTGCCAATGTTGCATGCGACAACTTCCCACGATTGGCAAAGCCCACGGCTTGGCCCAGCGACGGGACGCTCAGAAAAGAAGCAAGAACAAAGATTTGAGAAAAGGAGCAAATGGAAAGCGCTTACGCTCTATGTAGCTTCGATCAAATGAGGCAGAGCGCTTGCGAATGCTGCCTGCGCCTCGTTGCTCTTACAGCATTGGCAATGACCGCCAGTGCTCTCTCGATGGTTGCAGATCGTAATCCTCATCGGCGTTTTTGCTCGCAACTTCGATAATCGAGGCTTGGCCCGAACATCCCGATGGCGACAAACTGGACTCCCGTCCACCTGAGTTATTTTTACGGAGTTTGAAAAGCAACGAGTCGGAGTGACGTCCCGTAACCATCCATCATAATTTCCTTCGCGGCGTGTCGGCTGCTCCACAACCCAATTGCGATTCATATTCTTGTTGTATACACACATCTGGTGCGAAGTCAGTTGATTTTCTTTTCTTAGCTCAATAAATCTGCAGCCATTCTCTCCAGGTCCTCCAGCGTCTCCGGTTCATGCACTTCAGCCGTCTTCTTGTCAGTCTTCCTCTTCTTCTTCTTCCTCCTCTGCCTGCCTGGATCTTCGCCATCGTCCGATTCGCTGTCTTGGAACCACTTTTTCTCCCGCTTGACTTCTCTTGACCCTTCATCCTTCTCCTCCTCGCTCTCGACAAAGCCTTCCGCATCAGCCAGAAAGTTGGCAACGACGTCTTCGCCGTTCTCATTACCTCCCACAGTCACTCCACCGTAGTCATCGTCATATATCTCGGCATCAGCCCCCCTCATGGCTTCCATCCTCTCCCTCTCCTTTGCCTTGGCCCTCTTCTCCCTTCTCTTGTTCTTCGCAATCTGCTTATCCTCGATGTCTTCTACTTCAACTCTCTTTCGTTCGTTCTCAACAAACTTCCTGCGCTGCTCCTCCGGTAGTCCATTCTCGGCGAAGTCTTTCTCATCCTTCAATTCATATAGCGGCCGTGCATTCCCATCGTCGTCGAAGATCAACTTCGTCCCTTTCTCCTTGTATTTGAGTAGTGCTTTCTTAGACGAAAGTCTCTTTTCGGCGCGCTTGGAATCGATTAGGATGGGTTCCTTAGCGCCTTCAATGTGCACAAGCCGCTTAGGTCGCTTATCGGGGATGTCAGTTGGGGAAAAATCTTCGTTCGCATCATCCAGAGGAATGCGCCTCTTGACGGAGAGGAACTCATCATCGTCCTCATTGCCTCCATTGAGCTCTCCAGGCTGACCAGGCTGTTTTTCGCTCTTTGTCTCATTCTCGTCATGTATCAATTTCGTGTAATGATTTGTAAGAATATCTTGGTTGACACGCTCAAACATCTTGTCATATTTTGTGCGAATAGCATTCTTCTTCTTCTCCTTCGTCTTTGGCTCCTTTTGACCATCCTCATCGCTTGTGTCGCTCTCGTCAGACATGTAAAGTTGTCTTGGTGCATTCTTCCTCGCTTTCGCATCATCACCTTTCATGAATTTGATCCTCGGCGCACCTGGTAAACCCAGACTCGCGGCAAACTCTTCGAGAGGTAGCTTAGTAAGCTGAAATATCTCTTTGTCCTTCTGGATGTAGATAGACTTTACGTAGGAAGTGAACGCCTTCTGCGCCAGGTACTTTAGTTGCGGGTCTTTGAAGCAGAGGTTTGCTAGCTGGTTTGTTATACTCTGTTTCTTATTCTGCCGAACGTTGATGCGTTCGATGGGAACTTTTTTATGGGCCAAACGTGTGAGCATGCCAGGTTCTTCACTCGGGTCAAGAAGTAGCACCGCACGTCCCTCTCGGTTATATCGTGCTGTCCGTCCAACACGGTGGATGTAGGTGTCCGCGTCTTCGGGACAATCGACTTGTACGACCCAATCTACAGCGGGGAAGTCGAGACCTCGCGCAGCAACGTCCGTGGCAAACAGGCAGGAGGCACGTGCGGATGCAAACCTGGACGTAATATCCAGACGCGCGGTTTGTTTTTGGCGCCCATGGAGGTGGAGGAGTGGTATACCTGGCTGCATTTTGCGGAAAGCCTCATAAACAAAGCGAACTTGTTTCGCTGAGGAGAGAAAGACAAGAATCTTAGACTTTTTAGCACTCTGTAGGAAGCTCCATAGAGTATCCAATTTTTCGTTGAGAGGAGTGAGAGTGTAGTTTTGCTGCAGATTCACAGGCGTTGCATTCGAAGCTGCCTCATGCACAGAGATGTACTCAGGATCCTGCAAGCTAAGTCGTGCCAAATCAGACACCCTTTTTGTTTGTGTGGCACTAAACAACATTGTCTGCCTTTCCTTTGGTAGGTACTCCACAATGGCGTCCACATCTCGCTGGAATCCCATGTCCAAAATCCTGTCTGCCTCGTCTAGGACCAGGATTTTCAAATTGTCCACATTGAAAGCTGCCGTCTGTGAAAGATGCTGAAGCATCCGCCCGGGGGTACAGACTACAATATTCATCCTCGTGAGGGCATCTTGCTCCTCTTTTAGGCTCTTGCCACCTATTACTAGGCCTGCTGCGAACATGTGGCCCTTACGCCCGATTTTATATAAGACTTCGAAGATCTGTATAGCGAGCTCGCGAGTGGGAGAGATGATCATAGCGCCGAGGCCAGCGTCTGGGCCGACACATTGTTCGCGATATAGGTTCTCCAGTACAGGTATGAGGAACGCAAGTGTCTTGCCGCTGCCTGTTTTTGCTGCACCTAAGATATCTGCACCCTTCAAAGCAACCGGAATGGCCTTGGCTTGTATGTCCGTTAGAGTCGTGAAATGGGCAGCCTTCAGTCCAGCTTTCGTAGGTTCGGATAGTGGAAGATCATCGAAATCCTTGAAGGTGCTGCTTGAAACGTCTAATTCTTCCACTTTCTTTTCAAGCTCCTCAATGTTGAGCGTCTCTCGCTTCCGCTTCAGCGCATGATTCTGCTTCTTCGTTTTGGTCGGGCGCCGTCGCCCAGTAATCTCTGCCCGCGGGACCATTACGATTGGTTTCGTGAGCTAGTCATGCATGATCGAAGTGTTTGATGTGACTCAAAATCGAGATCAAAATTCAGATCTTTTTATCAGCAAGTTGAGTACTATGATCCTTGAGTCGAGGGTAATGAGTTCGAAAGGAAAAAAGTGTACAAGATGCGCTCAGATACCGCCAAAACTTTCCTTCCGACTTATCGATAAGGCCTCCTAGGTAATTTATCCCGAGCGCGACAACTTTTTCTTCTGGAGTCGCTAGCTACAACCTTTGTTTCGTGTATACAACATTGTAACCACGTTCTCAATGCCTCTCCGAGCTGTTTCACCGGCAGCAAGTGAGAACGAATATGATATCTCAGGCGCTCTGGTTGGCGCTGGCGCCGATCTTAGCGATGAGTTCATTGACGACATAGCATCTCATGTACCAATGCCTGATAGAGCCATAGACGTTCTCAATGACGCAGACGACGCAGAGAGCGACGATGACGAGGCTTTTATCGCACATGAACAATCCTCAGCAAATAAGCGAGGTGTCACACTGCAAGGAAAGAAGGTGAAAGGAGGCAGTTTTCAGTCCATGGGCTTGGATGCAAAGCTTCTTAAGGCGATCACACGAAAAGGCTTCTCTGTACCGACACCGATTCAACGAAAAGCGATTCCAATCATTCTGGACGGGCAGGATGTTGTTGCCAGTGCACGAACGGGATCCGGAAAGACTGCCGCTTTCGTGGTACCAATGATACAGAAACTAAAGGCACACAAGACCCAGGTAGGGGCAAGGGCACTGATACTTAGCCCAAGTCGAGAATTGGCTCTACAGACAATAAAGGTCACAAATGAGCTGGGAAAGGGTACTGATTTGAGGTCAATGCTGGTGGTTGGAGGCGACTCTATGGAAGACCAGTTCAAGGCGATGGCGAGCAATCCGGATATCATCATCGCCACACCAGGACGATTCCTACATCTACAAATTGAAATGGGCCTCGATCTGTCGTCCATAAGATACGTCGTGTTTGACGAGGCAGACCGCCTCTTTGAGATGGGATTTGCAGCCCAGTTGAGCGAAATATTACACGCACTTCCTGCCTCACGACAAACATTACTATTCTCCGCGACGTTACCGAAATCACTCGTCGAATTTGCTAGAGCAGGACTTTCAGAACCTAAACTTGTTCGCTTGGACGCAGAAACAAAAGTCTCAACTGAGCTGGAAAACGCGTTCTTCTACGTGAAAAGCGCCGAGAAAGAGGCGGCCTTGCTTCACATCCTTAACGATGTTATCAAAATGCCAACTGGCCCAACAGCAGCCGCAGATGCCGCCGTAGACCAGCCTGGCAATATAAACAACACAAAGAAGCGGAAGCGAGGCGCCCTGCAGGGCGTCGAGAGAGTAGCTGACAAGGCAACCATCATCTTCACAGCGACGAAACATCATGTAGAATACATTACTACTCTCTTACGCACGTCCGGCTTCGCAGTCTCCTACCTGTACAGCTCACTCGATCAAACAGCGCGAAAGATCAACATCAACATGTTTCGTTCGGGGCGAACAAGTATCCTTGTTGTGACAGACATTGCAGCACGTGGAGTCGATATCCCCGTTTTGAGCAACGTGATCAATTATGATTTCGCTTCGAGCGCGAAACTATGGGTCCACCGAGTCGGGCGCACTGCAAGAGCTGGTCGAAAGGGTTGGAGCTACAATCTGATTACGATGAAGGATTTGCCCTACATGCTTGATCTACAATTGTTTCTCAGCAAACGACTCGTGCTAGGCCGTTCTACCGCTTCTGGCGGAAACTTACAGAGTGTTAGCTTTGCAGACGATCTGGTCATGGGCACAATGCCAAGGACTCGCCTCGAAAGCTACTCTGAGACAGTAAATAAATTGCTCGACGAGGACGAGGACCTCGCAGCACAACGAACGGTCGCTGCAAAGGGCGAGAAACTATACACGAAGACACGTAACTCAGCCTCGTCCGAAAGTGTCAAAAGAAGCAAGGATATTTTAGCTAGCGCTACTGGGATTAATGAGGTCAATCTCTTTTTTGGCCACGCAGTCGATATCGAAGACGACAAGGGCAATGAGGATCGGGAAAATCTCCTCAGGCGAATACGGGGGTTTAGGCCAGAGGAAACAATATTCGAAGTCGGCAAACGAGGTGCAGGCAATGAGACAGCAGACATGGTTCGGAAGGCCAGGGAACGTATGGAGCCTCGAAGGCGTAAGACTCAAATAGAAAGCGAAGAGCGGATGGAAAAATTGCGAGGGGATGACGCGGAGCGAACCGTCGCTACTGGGACGCCCTCATCGCGAAGTGCGGCGAGGAGGACCTCGGATAATTTGTTCCCTGCTCGCCATGCCGCTACCGATGCTGTTGTTGATGATCTGCTGGGGCCAACACAAAATTCCCGCGCTGACGGCGAGGTTTCGGATTTGACGGAGGAAATGTCCGGCGTTGGCGCAGGGGATGGGAGTCATCCAAGGGTCAGCGCAGGGGCAGGGTCAGGGGGAACAGCGACCGTCGACATGGAGTCTGCATCGGAGGACGAGCTCGAAGTCACGTTTTCGAATGGAAACAGAAAATCCGGCACTGCACCACGCTCCCGACTTTCCGGAAAATTGAGTCGTGGTCCTGACATTGCTGATGGTGGCTGGGAAGATGCGGAGCACTTCATGAGCTACACGCCGAGGTCCACGAGCCTCGCGGAAGACCGCGCGCTTAGTGTACACAAAGGATCTGGAAACGCCGCTGATTTCTTGATGGAGGCCAGGGGTGCCACAATGGATATAGTCAATGACGAAAACAGCGGCTTCAAAGAGGCGAGCCGTGCTCGCGGCGGAAGTGGTATGCGCTGGGACAAGAAGAGTAAAAAGTACGTCAGACGCGCCAACGATCTCGACGGCTCCCGCGAGGGCCATGTGAAATATATCAAGGGCGAATCTGGACAGAAAATTGCGGCTTCATTCCGGTCTGGACGTTTCGACGAGTGGAAAAAGCGTGAGCGAATTGACAGATTGCCTAGAGTCGGAGAGCGTGAGATTTCCGGTGCGGCCAATCTTGCTCTTGCAAGAAGATTCAAGCACAAGCAGGAGAAGGCACCAAAAGAAGCGGACAAGTGGAGAGATGACTACCGTGTGAGGAAGAGGAGGATAGCAGAGGCAAAGGAGAAGAGAATTGGAAGGTTCAAGGAAGGCGTGGGGAAGAATGAGCTGAAGGGTGTCGAGGATATTGCCAAGGAAAGGAGGGCGAAGGAAAGGAGAAGGGAGAAGACGGGGAGACCGAGTAAGAAAGGAAAGAAATGACTTTAGTTGCTAGAAACCTTTGTCTTTGGTAAATCTAGAATGCAACTCTGGGTCCTGAAGTCGGCGATGCTATCTGTTACGTGTTTTCGTTGCTTATCGCCAGTTCGATCATGACTTCTCTTGTGCACTATCGTCTGTGCTGCAACCACTATCCCAAGGCCGATATCTGTAGATTGCATTTTGCATCTGATAGATCCGTTCGAGCAGAGTCGCGCTGACAGGAAGCCACGATAGGACGCTCTACTTGCCGATTATCGTAACACCACAATACGAACACGAGAGGCCACTCCGATGTATTGTTGATGTAGTCGTCGATCCTTAAGACCTGCACAAGGATAATGCGCGTATTACGTTTGATGCATGCGCAGCAGCTTTCTTGGTGTTAGAATGTTGAGACCGTTGTACAAAGCTCCTTCGGTCCGATTGCTCTAACATCAGCCTTCGTAGGATTTATGCACACAACAAGTTATATCCTTGTCGAAGCACATTCCGTGCAAAAGCAAATCCTGTAATGTGATCAGATACTTATACCGACCGAGCAATAACACTGCACATGACAGGTCAATTTCCTTGTTGGATAGCCTGCAATGGTCTGAGTCTTGGGAGGCTCTGTAATTCACAAGCACTATTTGGAAAGAGATCGACCAGACTGCGTAGTACTGCGTCCTCGATAAAAATTCTAATTCTCAGAGAGCTGACGCAGACGGTAACTTACGACGAACCTCTCTGCCGCCTTTTGATCGGATGCCTGCTTTGCCACATACACCTCAGCTGGTATCGTCCGCCAGTGCAGGAGTCTAGGCCTTGTACAAGGCCAGTGACTCCTGTCATTGAGATGGGTCGTGCCGCTCAGCTTGTTCGGACCATGTCTGCCATGACTCGTTGATCATGTCGGAGTGTATGTTTGAAGCTGAGTGTCGCCTTCGATAGGTACTTTCGACTATTGGATTGACTTTGATGAGGCGGTGTGGATCGTGCATAGGAGATACAGCGAGATAGTCCCTTGACAACTGGGGGGTTTCGCTTGGCAGATCGGTTGCGAAAAATATAGATGTTTTTTTGGGGGGAAACAAGGAGTACAGTGAATTTGAACGACCATGTCTGTGGCGGCGCAAACTAGCCTGCACGGATGAGAGAAAGTGTACAGAAATCTGGAAAGAGTTCCGCGTTGCTGGAGGTTGCGCGCCAAGATCGATCTGAGATTGAGCCGGCATCAGACGTGCAGAATCTGTGGCCCTCGCTCTTGCCTTGCGAGCAGGAGCCCTCTGTGTTACGATCGTGCTTGCCAACTGGAGCAAGTCGCAAATGCGGATGGATCTGAGTACAGTAGAGATCATCGTGACATGGTTCGTGCCCATCTACATGTAACGACTAGCATGCCGTTCTTACCAGCGCCTCACTATGGTGACATGATTGGTGATGCCCGCTTGATCTCGCCGTGAGGTGGTCGTTATGCAACCTTTCAATGAAGGATCGGCGGGGTTGACTCCGGCTGGCGTTTCATCTTACCAAAAAGTCTCAGTCTTGAACGGCACTTGCAAGCTGTGACTAATATTCCTTACTACGAGGTTGCTCAAGAAAGCTGCCTTGAAAAAGCACAAGCAAAGCGCAGAGGCGGAATCAGCTATGTGTTGCTGTCATCGCCTCAGGATCACTCAGACCTAAAACTTCTACTGGACAGAAAGAGCGTCGTTATAACGAACAGACCATGGGATCCGTGGAGGGCTAACATATGCAATAGTTCTCCTCTCTATTACCAGTGACTGTGCAACATTTGATGCGTACGTGCATGAGTCTGTCCACAGATGCATGATCAGATGCATCAAAAGGTCCTGGCTGTGAAGAACTCCGAGCTCTATGCACTAGCTTCGTTGGAAATGGACGTTGCACAAAGGAGGTCCTTTCAGTTGCTTACTTGCTCTCCGCTTGTGTACAGTTGCAACATAGTGCCGCTGAACCGCGCCCACAGCGATCGACTCTTCAAGTGTATTGAAGACCCATGCCGAGACACGGGTCGGCATTTTCAACTATGACGCGATGTCGGCGACGTGATGAGCTAATTTATTGTTCGATGGAGGATTGGCTTCTTGCTGTGTCAAAGATCACACCAGTTCCTTGGATGCTGTCAACATAAACCTGGGTCGCGAGCAATCTTGATTCGCTGGCATTACAACAGCCTGTCTCTTAGAAGCACGACGCTGAAGATTTCCTGTTCTCCGAGTGGCCGTACGAGTTCCCATATGACCATTTCGTGCATCGTAAGTTCATAATAGTGCTTCACGCATGCATGAGCAGACAGGAAAGCACCTGCAAGATGCACGCACGTTGTGGATCGATCGCAGCTGTCAATCGGACTACCCCCGCTGATCTGCGGCCTAGGTTATGTCTGTTCAATTCCCAGCAACTCGTTCGCTGTAACAAATCTGTTCCGAAACCTCGCATCGGATTTTGCCTTGTTGTTGAACCAAAGCCAAAATAACCCTTTCAAGAGAGGTTGGGCGCGTGGACTTCCGCCATAGTGTACCGTGGAATCTGACCACCTTGTGCGCATTTCGCAAACCGTAGACCCCGGCTACCGTCTGCTGAGGACTGTGTATCGTTGGCGGCTGCGGGAAGTGCACGGAGCCTGGCGTTGCGGCAAGATAGACGCTCTCCTCGTCGTCAGCCTCGTGTGTATTCTGCCACCGGTAAAAGCGCTGAACATGAGACCTTATAGCCTGGTTCTAGTAGATGACACAGAGCGGCCATCTTCGCGTATTCTGCGCAGTTTGCAAAATCATTAGTGCAACGTCTCCCACCAAGCGCTTGTGGCGCCTGAACGCTTAACCTGCGCTTTACTCGAACTGCGGGCTATCGCTGTGCCACTTTACCAGATCTGGTAAGAATCGATAACAGCCATAGCACACATTCCGTTTGGCGGGTCGAACTGACTCTGCGGCCATGTCCGGCGATGGGTGCGGACTGAGAGCACTGGCAATTAAGGCAGGACGAACAGTCTCCCCTTTTCGCATGGTTTCAATAGCAATATGCAACCCCCCATCCCTTCTCAAACCTGGAGAGAATCAAGCAGCTCGTCCCCGGGAACATGTAGCCCAGGACAGCGGGAGAAGACGGTTTGACAAGCCAGAAAAATCTCCGAAGGCTGGAGATCTAGCAATAAAAACTACTGTAGCTGCTAGCCACAGCAACCGCACCAATGTTGTTTAGTGGTAGAAGGCCACGGTTTTGCGGCGGGAGCATGGATGTGTGGTACCGGAACGGGGAATTTGAGATTTCTTTCATCACTACGGAGTCCTGACGTTCGCACTACTACCGCACTTCATTTTTTGGCGTTGTGCCCATGGCTTTTTGACGAAAAAGTAAAGGCGGAATGTGAGATACACGTCCAGCGCCGATATGTTTGCCGAACAACGACTAGACCATCCGCCAAGCTATGGGTAGACGTAATTTATTGAAGGAGTGGGTGGGAGAAACAACAAAAACCGTTTATGTGCCGGCCCCAGCGGCGAGCGAGACACCTGTTGTAAACCCATGTTACGCGGTTGATGAAGCGTCTTGAATCAGAATCAATTTTGGGCTTTCAAGGCATCTTGACTCGGCAGCGACACCATCAATAATTTTGATTACACATCTTGATCCGTGAGTAGTGAAGGGCGACTTCTTAGTCAGGTTTACATGCTGTCGATCGAGAGAGATGGTACTCCGTGTCGACTGTCTTTGCCCAATGACGGCCCACGACTCTCTCACCCTGACCAGCAACTCCAAAGGCATACTACTGTTCTTACCTATTTTCATTGTTATTGTGTGTTTACCAGACACCTTGTACGTTCACATTTAAATGGTTCGCGGCAGCCATGCGGACATGGCTTGCAAGGCGCGTTTAAGAAAACGCCACGGTCTGAAGCTGGCCAGGGCGATCCTTTTCCTGCGATCTTCGAGCACGACTTCCGCAATAACAATAATCAGCGAAGGAGTCGTGTGTCAGGCTGTTGCGCTGGGACTCAAAGGGCTCGCTAATCGGGATGAAATCCTCCTTGCTTCCATAACGTTCGTAGCGCATCAGTAGTCGACCTCTAAACGAGACTAGTCAGTACACCTCTCGCAACTCTCCGACGCCCTTGAAGCAGGCAAGTGTGTTGCACAAGTGGATGCTGCGTCGAGCCGTTTTTAAATTCTTCAAACCAAGGGCCGCGAATCACCATACGAGTGAGTTAACTCTTCTTGTCTGCCCATCGGTGATGCACTGCACGACATCAGCCTATGTCGTGAGCTACTGATGACTCCCGGAAAAATTGGAGCAGGAGCTCGAAGTCTATACTCTAAATCGACAGTTGCAGAGATCTCGAGGTTTCATCGTCAATTCAACTTTTCTGATCGTGAATTGCCAAGTCCGGGTACGGGGTTACCTTTCTTTTTTTCAAAAAAAAAAAAATAATAAAAATAAAATAAGGCGAAAACCGTCGTTAGCCATACCGACACTGGAGACTGACAGCATCCCCTGCTTAGCTGGGGCATGGATCTTCTATTCGGAAAATATAGCGGGAAGTCTCCGCCAGGCCGTCCGTATATTCCTGAGAAAATTCCATTGTGGCGTCGTAAAATTCCACAAAAACAGCCAGCAGCCGATCCCAAAGGACCAGCACAAATGGATGAAGGGAGCTCCATGTTCGCTAAACGTGTTATTTCTTGGTTTCGCAGTGGCGACTAGTCACCATCGAAACCACAACTTCGAAGAAACACATCTATTGACGGAATCTGAAGCGCTGGCTTTGTTGAGAACCACACCAAAACAATTACCAGTTTTTTTTCGTTTTAGCTCGCCAAAAAATCCTTTCCCTCCGGCCCCCCCACACTGTATCCGTCCTTTGGATACTCACATTTCCACGACGTAGCCATCCCGTGAAATCGAGAAATCCTAGTGATCGAACGTGTGTTACGAACAATGTCCTCTTGATCTAGATCATACCATATGCAGCCAACACGCAGCTGGCTTCACCAAGGGACGACATCGTCCTAAATCTCCTAAGCCGCGGTACAGCGGAAAAAGTCCAAGCAAGCTCGCCAAAAAATCCTTTCCCTCCGGCCCCCCCACACTGTATCCGTCCTTTGGATACTCACATTTCCACGACGTAGCCATCCCGTGAAATCGAGAAATCCTAGTGATCGAACGTGTGTTACGAACAATGTCCTCTTGATCTAGATCATACCATATGCAGCCAACACGCAGCTGGCTTCACCAAGGGACGACATCGTCCTAAATCTCCTAAGCCGCGGTACAGCGGAAAAAGTCCAAGCAAGCTCGCCAAAAAATCCTTTCCCTCCGGCCCCCCCACACTGTATCCGTCCTTTGGATACTCACATTTCCACGACGTAGCCATCCCGTGAAATCGAGAAATCCTAGTGATCGAACGTGTGTTACGAACAATGTCCTCTTGATCTAGATCATACCATATGCAGCCAACACGCAGCTGGCTTCACCAAGGGACGACATCGTCCTAAATCTCCTAAGCCGCGGTACAGCGGAAAAAGTCCAAGCACGCTCGCCAAAGGTGGGTGTTTTTCGGGGGTGCATGGGGACACTTTCTCGAACACCATACTGGCCCAGGCGTTTCAGGGATGCCGCTGTCATGCACGTCACTAAGCCTCGAAAGGGACTCGACAGATGCCACCAAAGAATGGGAGAGTGACTGCCGACGGCTTCTGCTGTAGGGGTAGCATGCGCTCCCGCAGATCGGAAGAAGGGGGGCGTCCTTCCTGGAGTGCAGCCATCCATGGGAGCACATACCACAGTGGTCCGATCGCACATCTTTTATTGTAGAGCAATTGCCTCGTGTGGAGTTTTGGAAGGGAGCTTTTGGCTGCCTGTCAATATGAAATGATCAACGTGTCCTTCCAAAAAAGGCGTGAGGGTATTATGAAGCACGAAACGGATCCTCCCAAGCTGGCTAGCGACCATCGTTATCGAGTGCTTCCCACCTGACGGCACTGGAAGCCCATGACAAAAGTGAGCCACAGTGCGGAGGAATTGGGCGCACCCAAGGAGCGCCATGGTTGATAGCCTTGTTCTAGTGGCAAGCCCAAACTAGCTGTCAAAACGCAGCCACAATTCGCAATTCTTCCAATCCTTGCCGCTGGGCCAACCTTAATCGCGGCGGCCGAGTGCAAAGGGACGGTCGGAGCAGTCCCAAAACCTAACTGGGCTACCAAAGCGCAACAGAGTCCTTGCTCGCGCTGGGCTCGCTTTGCCTGATTGGCACGTCATGTCCCGATAGTTCGACTGTCAATCCTAGCCGGACATACCGTAGGCCGCCTCGTTTCCCCTGTATTGTTCCTTTCATTACGCGACGACTGTCTTCTCTACCTATTGGCAAAGATTGGCAAGCATCAAGCCATCACCAGGCCTGCCTGCAACTCCACTACTAGCCACGCCCATCAAAGAACGTCTTCTTGCAATCCCCTCCCGTGTTGACCATGCCTTGACGCATATCACAGACGTGGCGTGGCGAAGTCCTGTTCTCATTATTGTTGCAATTACTCTTGTTTATCAGATGATGGGCAGGCACTGATCCGGTGGGCTGGGTCCAGGCTAAACAAAAGTTTTGACCTTACCACAATTGCTTATGCTTTGCTCGCAGCAATGGCTGTTCTTCTATGACCTGACCTGCATCTCTCGACCTCGACTTACGAAGGCAAGCAGATCGACCTAGCGTGAAAATCCCCCCCTTGATGGTCTTAACGCCTCGATCTGTACTTGTTCTTTTTGCCCACTCGGCGGCGCATTATCGATTCTTCACCTTCTTCCGTGAGCGCTTGTTGGCAATTGCACGTATCCTCACGCCCCACACATCAACACTTTCAGAGGTGTATGTGTGGTATCTGGTCTCCTTGATTGACTTCCAGGACTTCGGTGCCTCGAGTGCGAACTGCAGTGAAAGATTCGGATAGCCATAACGAATGGCTGCATGACAAATTGAACGACTCAAAGGTGGGTGCTTTTTTTCCTTAAGAGTTCGGCACGGGACCCTGTTGGATGCGTAGAAATCTTCGTGCATATGCGCCATAGCCAATATGCTTAGGTGCTTCTTCGACCGTTCTTGATCCCGCACATACTGAGCACTAGGCGCAGGGACTCCGTTGAAGCCTCAAAGGAGACATCCGCCACTAGATTCGATACTTTGGTACGTCTTGTTCTGCTTTTCGTCAACTCTTCTTTGCTCCCGTACCAACCTCTACAATCTCAGCTCAGTTCTGGGCCTGGATTTGGTGTCGAACCTTTGGCTGCCTCCTGTCAACACTATTCGGCCAATATAGCGCTATGTATAGTCAATTTCGTCAACCGCACTCTACCAGCAGTACGTCGGCAGCGCGACAGCGGCCAGATTTGACCCTGACCAAGTCTCCGCGTTGGTCGTACTCCCATAGCCTCGAGCAAGCATATCCTTCTCCGCCCATGTCAGATACTCCCACCTCTCCACGAAGGTCATCCCTGTACCTAGAGACCACTTCTAGCTCCGCTTATCCAGGCTCGTATTCTACTTCGCACGGTCGACAGGCCTATCCACTGCCAGCTACCGACATGGAAGGAACAATGTTGGCGTCCTCAGCATCATATCAGCAACCGCCGTACGGCCATGATTCCAGAGGGTACTATCCACCTCAGCAGCGTCCTGAGTTGCAACCTAGGCCGATGTCTCATCTTCCTTATCCATCGCAGACTTACGATCAATATCTTTCCGCCACGCCATCATCTATGCCAATGATTCATACTGGCCAGCACCCAATGGTAGGTGGTCCGACGTACCCACAGGGCCCTACCTCTCTTTCAAGCTCGTCTGCCCCAAGGGCCCAGAGAACGACACGAAGAACGAAAGCACACGTTGCCAAGGCATGCCAGAATTGTAAGAAGGCACATCTCAGCTGTGACGAGGCTCGTCCTTGTGCCCGATGTGTGGCTTCTGGCAAGCAGGTGAGCTGTTCTCGTCATATCCATTATCGTTCAATTCTTAAACAGAAGCATCTAGGCAACCTGCATTGACGTAGAACACAAAAAACGAGGCCGCCCCAGACTTCGCGATGATCGAGAGCAGAGGCTTGAGCAAGCAGCTGCGGCGGCTGTTGCGGCGACTCAAACGGGTCCTCAGAGTGCTGACTTAGACCGTGGGCATCGTCGACGAGACTCTTTGCGAGTCTTACGCACGCAAGCATACGGTAGCGGCTCGGAAGATTCGCGTCCAAGTACTTCGCATGGTATGCCTGCTTCTGCGTTATATGGCTCTACTTCTGCAAGTGTCGCGTATACTTCAATGTACACGTCAAGATCAAGTAATGCGCAGCTTTCGGCATTTCTCAACCTTGATCTGCAGATCTTGAAAGCCAGCGAGCCTCTAAGGGCTCTTTTAGGTGGTAACCATGACATAGTCGATCGACCGCTGTCAGATTTTGTCACCGCCCAGTATGAAGGCCCCTTGCAGCGCATCCAGAACGAGCTCCGGGACGAGAGAGCCAGACGTGAGCCGACATACTTGCCAGCAATATACCCTGAGCAGCAAGAACGCGCTGCGGTACGCGACCATGACCCGGAGAATTCTGCATCCCTCAGCGGAGACTTTCAGGATCGGCAAGATGTGTACACCTTTCGTGTTACGGGCGGTTCAACAGAGCAGTTTCAAGTGCGTATCCGCCTGGCAAGGACGACGACGTTTTTCGCCACAATGATCTTGTATCGTCTTCAGCCACCAGCTCCTCAAGTTGTTCCAAGCCCCTACGTACTTGGGAGCCATTACGTGGTCGGTGATCCTTCAAGCCCAGCGCGCTCCCCATATCAAGTGTCCAACCCTGAGTCGCCGTTTTCTTCAATGCAACCGGCATTGATAACGACACTCCATCCCCCATCCTCAATCCCCCCATCTTACGTTTACTCGTCTCCCGAACAGGGACATTTTGGTCGAGCACCACCAGGAATGCAACCTCCGCCGTCGCTTGGTCCATTTGCCGCGACACCCGAACGACGCCCGCCCACATCAATGGGGCAACGAGGGCGACCGGGGCTCGGTGAATCGGTCCAATTACCACCTATCGTGAGTAGCGACCCTACTACGCCCACAAGTCAGTACATTGAGACGGGAATTGTAGGGAGCTCTTCGCGACGTCGCACTCCGGAACGAAGCTCTGACGACGAGGAGGATACACGCAAACGTCGAAGACTGAATATCCGGGATATTGTTGAGAAGTGATTATGAAAGTCCCCATGTCAGGTTGGTCGATTTTCCTAGAGATATGGGAGAGTGTATGTCTGGTGAATCTTCAATTGTATATCCTATACACATCTTGGTCGGGTTGTTGTGATCATTCTGGGAGGATGCACCTTTGATCATTGGAGTCGGAACGGAAGCACTGTATTCATCTCTTGGGTCCGGAATGGCTGCATGAGGCTATGGGACGGGAACCATCGCGAACTATTTTTTCTAGGTTGGGTTTTCGAGCGTTGAGTATCCGAGTGGTCAACATGTTTACAATGGATTTGATGCTAGACAGCGACGGAAGCAGTGATGGGTCCACCGGCGGGAAAATAGCAAACAACTGGGCGGTCACGGATGTTGTTCAACCTGAGGAAGAGATTTTGCTCTTAACAGATACCCAATAGCACTGCACTGCACCTTTGTTTATTGGAGATTTCAAGTTCAGTTCAGACTCAAAGCGAAAAGTGTAAGCCTCAAGAGTATTCGTTGAGCCACGAATGGGCAGTTAAAGTAATCCGCAGTTGGTCATGCCCGCATCGGATGGTTGACATCAAGGGGGGAAAAAAGGCCAGGGAACTGAGAGATTAATAGGAAAAATGCTGGAGTTCCAGGGCACGAGCCAGCGCATAGACGAGACAGAGTGAAGGGCACAGTCCAAGAAAGCATGCACCGGGAAGACAGCGAGAAGGCTAGGTGGGAAGGCATCGAAAAGATCTAGAATAGCCTAGAGGATCGTCGCCGGCATGTGGGAATGTCGCAAGGCCCAGTGAGGTACGTTTCAATTGGGAGACACCAATCGCGCGCCTCGAGACCTGCATCAAGTCGCGATCGGAGAATTTTTTTTTTCTTCCCTCTTTCTCCAGCAAAAACTTCCCTGCGTCGTCGTGAGCGGGAATAAAAATAAGAGGCAGCCGTGGTCTGCACGCATGAGACACTTCTGCAGGCCGCACGCAGACATGCAGCTAGCCAGCAATCCACGCGGAGCCAACATGCCATCTCAGACGTGGTGTGATTCTGTTATTTGGCCTTCCGATGAGATCTGGGTTTTAACTTTTCACACCGAGCCGTCGGGCAAGGATTGTCCTGGTCACATCAGAACGGGCAGAAAGGCTGGCTTCGATGGCTCGGCCCACTCCGACCTTCGCCGCGCTTTGCGCTTCGCTGGGCAGTGGTGATGCATCCCCTTTAGGCTGTGTCGCTCGGTTGTCGGTGGGCATGCAGGACGGTTCCGTTCAGGTGTGACGCAGGTGGAGCCTTGTGCATGCGGAGGACGGCGAGACAGCTTCAGCGCCTGGGCGAAAACTGTCTCGACCACGCCAGTCAAGCTCCGCTTTGCATGAGTGATCCGGCAGAGATAATCTTCAGGCAATTGTATCACTCTGCCTTGTGATTCAGCGAGTGGCACATCAATACCGCACATGGACCGACAAAGACAACAGCTGCAGTCGCTTTGATCTACATAAAGCTCATGGTCGGACCGAATGTGTGGTGTGATCATTGATGTCTAGCTGATGGCATTCTTTCATATTGGGGAGTCATTATTTGTCCCATTGCAAACATCTACGAGTGTGCAAAGGATACTCATACCGTATACGCTTCAAAGCTGGAAGCTCGATGCCAGGAAGTTTTCCTTCGTTCACATGCGTGCATGCAATTCCCAAAGCCAAACTGTGCAGATGGTCTCATTTCATAAACCGTTGTCCTTCTTTCCAGATGTCTTAGTACCCATTACCCATCTCCAGAATCTGCCAAGTAGAATCATCGACAGTTGTGTATATCAAACCAGCATTTAGCAATTCATCACCGCCTTTCGCAACATCAGCGTACTCTAGGCCTGTCCTCGAAGCAATATCTTGCACATGAAGACCTTCGTTGCCGCTTGGTGTGGTCTTGAGTATTTTGTAGATGGCTCTGGCTGCATTTGACAAGCCCGCTGGTAGTGTGTCGCCAACAGCTCCTTTGGCTGCCACGCCGCCCTTGCCAGCTTCGCCGGGCGGACCGCTCGTGCATTGAAGATGCACTAAGGTGGCCTCGAGCAGATGGTAGTTAATCTCATTCAGGTCCTGAAGTGGCCGGATGAAATGTGCGCCCAGATGTCGCTTGTTGCTGAAGGCCTTCAGCCGGCCCCATGTGCGTACATATGTGTTCTCTGTGATCTGCGGTCGGTTCACATCGTAAGCCTCTGGGTCGATCCAGACCTTGACCTCGAGCACTCCAGTTCCGTCATCAAGCCGATACGTAATGTTTGTCGTCTGCGTGGAAATATTGCGCACTTGACCGATTATTGTAACCTTCAACATGTAAGCTCGAACATTGTGGTTGGCTTAAGTGCTACTGACCTGGTGAATTTGCGAACCGTCGATCTTGAACTCGGAGCCATCTGGTTCGGCTTCTAGGAGCTGCTTGATAGTAACAGGCCGCAGACTCTCGTTTTTGAATCCCTACTCTGTCGTTAGCCAGATTTCTCTCATGTGTGTAAAACATGTCGCACTCCGCCTCCGCTTGGACTTGTTTGAGAGCCTCCAGGCATGAATCCACCGCCGCCTGCTTCCCCGCCGGAGTTGTACGTGGTAGTCGAGTAGTTGCCATAGTTGCCGTAGTTTCCCTCTGCAAATCATTAGTGGCGCATAAATCTCTTATGGGCCGCCTCATACACTTACCCATGGCGCTGTTCCAAGGTGACAATTTTGCGATGTCGAACACTGGGACGTGTTTAGGCGCGTTCAAGTGACGCGTGATACACGTGACTTAAATCGGACCCTGGAACTTGCAGTTATTCTAAGGCTTAGCGTGGTCGATTACCTCTTATCGATTCCATTACACTTGTGCCTGACCTCGCCTTCAAACGACTCCATCCCACCACTCTATTTGTGCTTCAGTTCACTTGACTTGGCCTAGCCTTACCCTTACTTGCTTTATATTCCAGAGCAGTGGTTGAAGGGTGAGTACTTAGAAACATGTCATCCTCGAATGACGATGCGAAGGTCGATCAGGATGTCCTCGACATTCTTGAAAAAGAAGCCAAAGAATTTGACAAGGTATTCTCAGCGATCGTGTGCAAGTCTTTTCGCAATACTAATCCGACCGGCAGGATCAAGAGATAGACCGTACGCATTCTATAGAGCGTCTTCTGCTCCACACAATTGTTAACAGTATTATCTAGGCATCCTCAATGAGTTCCGACTCAACGCTTACGCTGTGCTTGACTTGCAACCGGGAGTACCAGAGTCTGACATCATAAAGACATATCGCAAAAAGTCACTCCTTATTCATCCGGACAAGACAAAGAACCCCAAAGCGCCCGATGCCTTTGATCGACTCAAGAAGGCGCATAGCGAGCTTACAGATGAGAAAACACGCGAGCGCCTCGATGAAGCGATAGCAGATGCCCGCATGCTCCTAATCCGTGAGAAGAAGTGGGATGTCAACAAGCACAGCGAGGAGCTCCAGAGCGACGAATTCAAGGAGGAGTGGAAGGAGAAGGTCAAGTGGGTGCTTATGGACAATGAGAAGCGACGACAACGACAACTGAAGGCGCAGATGCAAGAGGAGGGCAGACAGCAGCGCAAGGAGGAAGAGGAGATGAACGAACGCAAACGTAAGAGGGAGTTTGAGCAAAATTGGGAGAGGACACGAGACGAGCGCATCGGCAGCTGGAGAGAATTCCAAGCGAAGAAGGCGGGCGCTGAGGAGGCGAAGAAGAAAAAGAAGAAGATGAAGCCGCTCGCGTGATTCATGAAAAATCCACACTTGCTACAATTACATATGATAGATGATCACAGCTCTTCGCTGATCCCTAGTGGCGTGTACGCTATCTGCAGTCGTGTCAACTTCATGTCCGAAATCGAAGACATCTGATAACGTTTGTAAAGGCACAAATGTGGAATGTATGGTCGCTCTAATCATTTTACTCACGAATATGTTGACTTGCAATCCGTCCACTTTTTAACCCCAGCTCGGGATTTCTTTATAGGATCCACCATCCACTATGCTCACACCCGATCTACGTTTTCTAAGCGGTCTTTGTCGTTCTGCCTCATGCCTTCCGGCTAATGCGAAAAGCGCGAAAATTTTCACTCAAGAAAACACGAAAAGACAGAGAATCCTCTTTCCGAGTGAACATCTGCCTTTCTTATTCAAAGACACCACAGCCGAGGGGGGGGGGGGGGGGCAGATTCGTTCCAAAAGCATCAAAGATCTGAGATGTAGTGAACAATCGCGTTCTCATACCAAATAGCCACTACTCAGCGAGATAACTATGTATAGTAACGCAATATCTTAACTAGGAGCCGCGCGCAGTGAGTAGCGTTTAAAGGGAACGGGGTCCGCGGCACGAAAATCGTTCCGCGATTAATCGGCCTCTCAGCAAACGAAGGGATCGGTCTCCCGAATGCTTTTGTTCAACATGTATCTTCGGCCAGAAATGCGGTGATGAACATTCCACGGACGAAATCTCAACGTCAGGACGATGAGAGTAATAGATCTGCCGTCGTTCGGCCTGAGTCGATCAAGATGAAAAGTGACAGTTCGGCACAAAAATGAGGGTCCCTGGCAAAATCTCGCCACGACGCTGTCTCGTTGGGTCGTGTTAAAGCATCGCAATAGAAATTTCTCCCACAAGGTGCACACCCGGCGGAAGTGAAAACATATCGAGACTGTCAAGGGGAAATTTGTGTGAACGCTTGGCTGGACCAGAAGAAAAAATAGCCGGACAAAATTGATATATGCGCCTAACAGTACGGAACAGTCATCAATTGAGTCTCATTGACCCGGGTTTTCAAAACTACAAGCTATATGATTACACACGAGGGGAGAACTTGCGAAGTATCGCTCTAGATGCTCAGATGGTTGCTTGTGATAAACTCCCAACCACGAGCCATTAGTACAGACCAAAAGCACGCGTCGCCTACGCTGTCGCGGCCGGCTCGAACAGGTAATATGTACAGTGAAGATTGCAGGCTCCAAAATGCAACTTTTTCAGACCAGACCGTCCTCAAACGCCGCAGCAATGCTTTGTCTGCTTCAAACGTCGCCTTCTACGCCACAGATGTATATACATCAGGCGTGAGTCTGCTGAGATTGCGTCATGAAATTTGGAGTGTAATTGTTGTCTCCAAGATCATATGTAATCTCTGGCACTCTTTTGCAGCTCGATGAGACGCCAGCCCCTCGTCTCTGGGTTATTGACATCCTCTGGAATCCTCGTCACGCCAATTGCATACGTGACAAGCTGGACTTTGTCATCCATACCAGCCATCAGATTGTTAGTCTTGATATCCCTATACACGTGCACTTCCTGCGTCCGGCACGTGATGATAAACACTGGGATCTCATTTTCCAGAAGCCTTGCATTCAAAATGTCCACGTGTCGGATGTCTAGGATTTTGCCGTCACTCTTCAGGCCTGCAGTAGTGTATTGCTTCATCAGTGCCTCATAAACTTGGTACTGCGGCGTGCTCAGCCACAGTTTTAGCGTTTCGGTGTCGCCTTTAACATATGCGTCTAACACCTCTGGCAGGATGTACTCTCGCAGTTCTTGAAGGAAGGGTTCGATCTGAAAGGATGGATCCATCTCCCGGAACTTTTTGATCACCATGGCCGTTTCGTTCTCGGCGAAAAAACCAGCAACCCGATCGCTAATGCTGCGGGCCGTGCTAATGAGTGGATTCTCGGACTCATTATAGGTATTTTTCATTTCAAAGAAGCGCTGTGCAATGGGAGAGTTGTCTCGGAACTCACGCCACTTCTCCTTCCACGCAGCATCCTTATGGACCGTGACGTTGGTCCCGGCACTGGAGAGTTTGTCAGTCTGCTGTTTGAATGATGCCAAGTGATTGTGAAAATACATACTTTGGATCCTCTACAGCTGGTTCTATCCGTTTGCTGCCGCTCTTGGCGAGCAGCTTTGCTTCCCTCAACTCTCTTTTGCGCCTTCGCTCATCCTTATCAGACCAACCCCCATATCTCGATGAGCTGCCATCATCGATAGTCTCCTTGACGCTCTTGAAGGCTTCTGTTTCTCTTACTGGTCGTGTAGCTTTTTCCAAGCCACTGCCAACAACGTTGGCACCCTTTCTGATGCCTCGGACCACACTGGTGTCCCAGGTCCAAGCAGCACTTGAGCCAATGGCGCTAGCTGTCTTCTTAAGAGCAGAACCAGCAGTACCGGTCACAACCTCTGAACTCTTCTGAAATGCGGATTGCGCAGCCTTCAAGTTTGGGTTCTGTGTGAAGTCCTGATAGCCAGCTGCAATCTGCTTGGTAGATTCATTCCATTCCTTAGAAGCCTTGAACTCGTTACGCAAAGTTTCGGTAAAGACTTGCCACGGCGTTTTGTCCCCGTGAGGAGGTGGAGGCGCCTCTTCCTTCTGCTTGGATTCTTCTTTACCTGGCTCCCCAGCTTTACCCTCCGAAGATTTTTCGTCCTCAGCTCCTGATTCAGAGGCAGATTTCTTTGCCTCCTGCTCAGAAGTAGGTGAATCTTCTCTTACATCATCCTTAGATCTAGCTGTTTGTTGCTGCAGCCTTGATTGTGATGAAAACTGCCGGATGTAGCTTGCCGTGGTTCTAGAGAGGACGGCTGATGGAGAGAGTGACGAATGCAGGAGAGGGGTGATCGTAGACGGAGAAGGGCATTGGATGCTGGACAAGAAAGTGCTTTGCGATCGTGACGCATTGCTCGTTATTCTCCTGTACGCCGCTGTTCTGCCATACCCAGCCGTCGGCGTCGCAACGAAAGTTCGAGCCGGAACGCGTGAGCGCGCCAACGCAGCGCCCTTGGTAAGACTCCTCCTCATGCTATGCGAATGACGTGTCGGCTCGTTTAAAGAGTCTTTTCAGGAACAAATAGCAGAAATAAAGACTGGACGCTGATGGAAGACGTGATGATGGCAAAATCCAAAAAGATTCTTTGGGATTCCGCTTTCCGCCCCGAGCGAAAACGCCGAGAGCGGACCTCAGAAACGGATGACTGTCCCCTGCTCATCACAACTTTCGTGACCATCCTTTTTTGGTGCCCACTGGCTATTGCATCAATTGACAGCTACAATGCCACCAAATCCGTCATTATCTCGCCTCTTTAGGCCGTCGATATGTTCATCATGCCGACAGTCAATGCGCAAAGGCCCGCAGGCCACTTTTTCGACTTCCGCCTACCGCTCCGCCGAGCAAGATAGGCCAGATCGGTTGACAACAGATCAGAGCAACTCATCATCAGCTACCAACCCTGACGCTGAGAGCAAAGAACGCGCCTACAAAGAACTGAGAGCCCTAGCAGAGGGCATCGATGTGGAGCATACGAACGTCGATAGGCGAACAAGCTCAGCGAACATGATGGCCAACATCGAACGAGCGCAGTTCGATGTGCCTGCATATAGACCGGGACAGGAACCCGCTGTTATGGCGCTTCTAGCGAAAGCAAGACGCGAGCCTCACCATTTGCACGTTTACTCGCACAAACACAACACGCATATTGTCCTTACGCGTCCAAATCGCGAACCCATCCTTTCGTTCTCAACGGGCAACATCGGCTTCCGGAAGGGCCAGCGAGGCTCTTTTGACGCAGCTTTCCAGCTCTCCGCGTATGTCATGAGGACCATTGCAGACAAAGGCCTCCTGCGTTCTGCGAGAGACAGCCAGTTTGCCGAAGGCACCACCAGCACAAGAAGGATAGAGGCTCCTATCAAGGAATTGGAGGTTGTGTTGAAAGGGTTTGGCAAAGGTCGTGATGCTGTGATTAAGGCGCTCTTAGGTACTGAGGGGAGGCTGCTGAGGGAGAGAATTGTTATGATAAGTGACGATACAAAGGTGAAGTTTGGAGGCCCAAGAGGTATGAATCCAAGAAGGTTGGGCTAAGCTGGTAGTAAAACCTGACATATATTGTGCACGTCCACGCCATATCACGACAACTCGTTTTATCTTACATGTCAGAAGGCTGGCATGTTTCTGCCTTCACACATCGAGGGATATGGCTGTGGTGAAAGCTGTAGATTTAGCGTTACGCCCTGGGCATTGAAATATGTATCTAGTGTATCTGATGTTTGAAATACAACCTGGACTGCATCCTCAAACATGCGGACTGTATCCAATGCCTTGACCGATAGAGAATGTATCTTCCGACAAACTGAACAATCGTTTTGTTCTAAAGGAACGAGGTTCGATGCTGGTCACATCGCACTCAAGAGGACAAAATCAGAGTATATCGACGTCTTAAAAATTAGGAGATGCCTCCTCTCAGACAACATGTCGAAACCCTTGGGCTTGTTCATTCCTATCGAAGGTAGCTTATCAGTTGCAGTTCAATGACGTTCGTTGCTGACGAGGACAAAAACGCGGACATTCCTACGATGCGATTGCTGTTGTGTTCTCCACCAATTGCTGCGCCTCGCTCTCGAAATATTGACCATACTAGGTTTAGCGCGGCCGCGTCGGCGCCGAAATGAGCATTTGCAGGTTGGCTATCAAAATCCTAGGCATCAACCTATCTCGGGGATGTCATACGAGAAATTTGCAACTAGAATAGTATATAATGGGGTAGCTTCATTGCAAATCTCGTGGAGAGCCATGTTCAAGAAAACTCTACACACTGCCCAAACTTAAGACACCAGTAGTCAACATGCCCACATTCAAAATTGCAATTATTGGTGCCGGTCCGTCGGGCTGTACTCTTGCTCGCCTTTTGCTCCACAGAAATGTCGACGTTGATGTCACCATTTTCGAGAGTGAGAAGGCAATAAATTCCCGAACCCAAGGCGGCACGCTTGACCTTCACACAGCCAGCGGAATCAAAGCTCTCCAACAATGCGGACTGTACGACGAGTTCTTGAAGTTGGCCAGGTTTGATGCAGAAGGTAGATTGAAAGCTCCGGTGGTGAATCCAAGACGGTGTGCTAATTGAGTTCCAGCTTTCCGGCTATGCAATAAGCATATGCAATCCTTCGTTCACTTCAAAGGTACCAAGGACGCCAAAAACACGCGAGGACGACCCGAGATCGACCGAATCCAATTACGGCAATTGCTATTGGATGCACTACCTCATGATATTATACGATGGAACCACCACCTGAAATCTGTCGAAGAAATCAACGGAAGATACCATCTGCACTTCCGAGATCGACCTTCCGAAACTGGTTTTGACCTAGTGGTTGGAGGAGATGGTTGCTGGAGCCATGTACGCAGCCTTCTGACCGATGAAAAGCCGTACTATTCAGGAATCTCAGGCGTAACCTTTCTAATATCAAATCCAAAGGATATGCATCCGGACCTGTACGAACTTGTTGACCGGGGTTCGCTGTTCGCGATTGCCGACCACAGGAGCGTTATGGCCCAGCAACTGGGCTCTGGCTCCATAACTGTCTCATACTGGAGCGTCCACCCTGAGGATTGGGTCAAACAATTCGAGTCTAGAATAGAAGACGTCGAATTCGTTAAGCAGATTGTGCTTAAGGATCTGGAGGGCTGGGACCCTAGACTGCGACAGTTTATCGAAAGTGCCGATGGCGGTGTCGTGCCGCGGAATCTGTATATGCTGCCTGTGGGAAACAGGTGGAAGAACAGGCTCGGCATCACACTTCTCGGTGACGCTGCCCATGTCATGACCCCATTCGCTGGAGAGGGCGTCAACTTAGCGATGACTGATGCGATGAAGCTGGCTGGGTTTATCGAAACTGCGGCAACAGCAGGCACGACGGAAGCTCTAATAACCAGTATTAAAGCTTATGAAGAAGACATGTTCGAGCGGGCGAAGATTGTCCAGAAACAAACCTATGACATGATGAGCGCGTCATTTCTTGATGATGGAGGCTTGGACAAGAACATCGAGCAGTATGTCACGACTGCGGCAGCAGATGAGATACCGGGTTTCTTAAAGCCCGTGTTCAGGATGGCGGCGAAATGCTACTTCAAAGTCTGGAGATGGCGAAATCCCAATCCGGAGGCGACATCGTAGACACTATCTCTGCGAAAAAAAATGGGCGTCGTAGAAAAGGAAAGTAGCGCTTTAAGGACTCGGTATTCAACTAGGCATTGGTGAAAATACCCAATGTAGATATTACCTAAAGCAAGGGCTCATAATCATATACGCTTTTCGTTTTTCAGCGCCTCCATTTACTTCTAGATTTCATGGTCTTGTATTCGCACCTTGACAGCACCACGTTGAAGTCTTCTCGACCCGACTCTGCTTTGTGTAGCTGATTTGAGTACGTTTTCTGCTGATAGGATCGACCATATGTGGACCACTTTCAATAGCTCAAAATAGCGGTTTTAGAGGGTAGATTTTTATGGCCATCGCCGTGAAAATTTCCTGCGGTCCTCAAGCAGAGCTTGAATGAGGTTCGATGCGGCTTTTCTCTTTTCGAGCTGGGCCTTACAATGGTTGGACGGCATAAGTGTTCCCGTCCACGCTAGTGCACTTCCTTGCATCCTCGGCTTCCAACCAGCGCAAAGCCGTCACGACTTTTAGATCTCGACCGCCATCATCAATCGCGGACGTCTCGCATCGGTGACGAGAGCGGGAAAGAGATCGAAACGAAATGTCTCAGCAGCTATGGCAGAGAATTGCTAAGCGCTGTATGTTGGTATTCTTATTTTTCCCTCCCCCAAACCTCGGAGTGCACGTGGTTTCAACTCACTGCTGACCAAAGAAACCCAGCTGCTCTCAGGCCATGGCAAAGCAATCAAGTTTTGCACGGACCGAACCGTGAATCATTCATTGTTAAAAGGGTGCTCAGCTCGAGCAGCTCGCAGAAGGGTGGCTACGCTGCGGACGCAGGCCAGACCCTAGTCCAGCAACGCCTTCGGCGCCCCGTGTCACCTCACCTGTCCATATATGGCTTCCAAGTTAACTACATCGGCTCCGGACTCAACCGCATCACAGGTGTCCTTCTTAGCGGAGGCTTCTACCTCACCTTCATGGGCTACGCGCTCGGCATGCCCCTTTCTTCCTCGGCAATGGCTGCTTCCGTGGCTGCCTGGCCAGTTGCAGCAAAGGTTTTGACGAAGGTATTGATCGCGTTTCCATTCACTTATCACTCGCTTGCGGGTGTCAGGCATTTGTATTTGGATTTTGCTCTTGGCTTTGCAAACAAGCAGTACATCAAAAGCATGTGGGCTGTCTTCGCTGTGAGCGGGCTTAGTGCGCTCTATTTCGCTTTCGGGTACTAGATCTTTCAAGAAACTACGGTTCCGAAGGTACTCTGAGGCGGTTCCGGCTACAATAGGACATGGTGAATCAGCCTCCTATTTTGAGGCTGCTCTACATCGGGTATACCTGAGGTCATAGCCGGCATCAGCATCATTGTATATACAAGAATGTGTCATTAATTATATCTTGCATTCCATATCTTACGCTTAAGTCTGCACACATCAAGATAAATCAGTACATATAACTGAAATCGGTAGAAAATATTGCTGTATTTTACCGAGACATAGCGTTTCCGTCACGATTTAAGAGCCTTCGACAAACAGATACCTTGAAATTGCCGTCGATGTGCGCAAAGTGTGGCTGACTCGTCTGAAATGTCACCATTTCACTGTCCATACCATTGTTTTGAACCCGAAGGTTCTTGATAAAGACGCCAAAACTTTGATATAGGAAGTATGAGCCCTTACACATAGTCGTGCCTTAATTTCTTGCCAGGATCGAAGGCACCATCTGCGCAGGACATAGATCTAGGGGCCTCAAACGAAGCGTCCCGAAAAGAAGCACAGGTTAGGATCAGACTTGAAAGGACTCCACGCTCGGTGGCCTTTTTATATCAAACGAACTTCAACCCGGACGCCCTGTTATAACTCCTCTAGGAACAGGAAAATAGAGAGTAAAAGAGTAGGAGAGTAACGTATACTGTATGAAATCTTTTTAAACATGTATCTGCACGATTCAATGACCACGCAGGCTCAGACTGAAAATAATTTTTATAACGTTTGAATTGTTGGCAGGAGTTGGTTGCAAATTTCTTTTGGTTCGTATCACACAAAACTTAGTGCTAGGACATATGTAAGTAATCGCTTGCAGTACGGCGTCCTTTACTATCACCCAGGCTTTTACATAAACACCCCCGCCCCCCCTCTATGTTTTTAAATTGAGGCACTTGATACCTTTCACAAATACGAAGATGGTCGTGACCATAAACCATTTCTATCTGCGGTAGTGATGCTGCCATCTTGCTCAGGCGGTATAGGGTGATAGGTGTAGATTGAATACTTCAAAGGGCGTCATGCTCAAATCCTTCCATCGCTGATCACAATCGATAACTCTCACGCGATCTGAGTCCGCCAACTGTGCATCGAGCACATGTCTTAGAGATTTCTGAGAGTTTGGTGCACTTGGCGAAAACATCATGGTTGGAGATGTAGAAAGCAAGAAATCACAATGCACAAGACTATACCTCTTCCCTCTGGAAAAAGCAGCTCGCATGAGAGCTGCTACTGCGTAGTTGAAACATCTAATTTTATGGATTTAGACATTTCATTGATGCTAGAGACCACGTCAATCGCGAGGTTCTGGTTGAAAGAGTTATCCTCTATGCAGCGCTCAAGAGCTGCCCATAGACAATCTAATAATAATGCTTCATGGGATTGGAGAGGCCTGGCTTTAGTTAGATCTAATTACCAGAAATATGCGCCATTAATTTCCCTTAGGACCTGTTTTCGTCGAGCTGCAAGATCTGTGAACCAAGTAGACGTCCGAATATAGTGAGAATTTTCTGCGAACCTACTGCTCGACTGGAAAGGATCAGATAGCTGGGAAAGATTATTTGTAGGGCACATAGCAAAAGCGTTCCGTTGACCATGGGTGCTGATGCGGTCTCCATCATGGTTGGAATCTATCAATTTCACATCCCTGGAGCTGTTGTTCCGCCCTTGTTTTGCAGGCAGTGAAGTCGTTCTGTAGACGCTGTGTTCATCTTTGACAAATGGTGAGCCATTGCTGGAGGTAGGAATTAACTGCTGCGACATTTTGCACACCGTTGGTCTAACCAGAGTGACTTCGTTCACTCGTTTGCGCTCTCCATTCTTCGTTACATGTTCAGGCGTCTTTGGCTTCGCTGGAAATGAAGATGCTGATGCAGACGGAGAAAGTATTTGCGAGAATAGTGAATTGTTTCTCATGTGATCCTCCTTCCATCTTCGAAGATAAGTCCAAATGATAGACCGGAGATCTTCAGCTGCCCATCGGTGCATGTTTTTGATGACTTCGCGTAATTGTATCACACCCCAAGCAGTTAGAATTGATGTTTCCCAGATTCGAACCATTCTCTAAAATCATGTTAGTTTGAAAATCGATTGGAAACCCAGGCATGATGCCCAACTCACGTATTAGGAGCTTCCATCATCATCCTTCGCACAGTACCCTATCCAAAGTTTAACTTTTTCACCGATGGTCGTAAATGCAATGACAGGGGGTATCTGGTAATCTCCTACCAGATATTCGTCAAGCATCAAGCTTTCAAACATCTTCAAGGCAACAGCTGCAGCATTAGCTGCTTGGCAATTACAATATTTTTCAGCTGTATTTGATTTCTTACTCTCAACAACAGCCCACGGAAAACAGGTCAAATACCATGTGCGGTCTGCATTCCCAAGTGTCCTCAATATATCCCCGCTTGGAGAATATATCAGCTGTCTTGGACTTGCTGCGCAAAGGGCCTGAAGTACCTCAAGCGAGAAATTCCGTGTTATTTCAGACTTCCAGACCTTTTTTCTCACATCTTGCCATGTCAATGATCTTAAACGTGTACGTGAAGTTGGGCTTCGGCTTAGTTAGTCCACGCGTCTTCCACGGCTGAAGCTTCTCCGCCGAGCTCCATGTCGCATTTTATGCCTCCTCTATTGTGAGCTTGTTTGTTTCCGTGTAGCTAACAATAACTTACATAGCATAACCTTTCGAGAGTGATCTAAACAAAATACCTATTAGCGCAAGAGGAATCTGATATATTGATTGTCATGCCCTTACTCATAACTGAACTTGACGAAGCCATGTGTGTTGTAAAACTCCTTGAAAATTGATTCATGAAGGAGCGACACCCAGAAGTCTTCCGAGACTCGATTCTGTATCAAGAATCTCGCTTCGACTGCCATTTTTCGCGCTTTTGCAATTTCGCGCAGACTCAAGGCTTTCTGGAGCTCGAATCCTTCAATGAAATTTCGGTACTTGTTCTCGTAAGCCGATTCTGGTGGCACGGCATCGTTGTGCTCCGCATCCAACGTCTCAACTTTTAGCAGTGTTTTATTAGTATTAGCTTGGATCTCTATGCGTTTATTTATTGCTTCAATAGCTGCCTTCTCGTCCTTAAAATCAGTTTCAGTTTCACTCGGCAGTACATGGTCAAAGGAAAGCAGAATATCCCGTAGCTGCTCAACATGTGGAGGAAGCTCAGCTTGACCGTAAAGATTCCTGTCGAAACTGATTCCATAAGCTTTGAGCGTATTCTGAGTTAACTTCGTCTTCTTTATTTTCGTGTTTGGTGGATGATTTCAAATGAAAAAGCCATGCAGAATCTTAAAGGAAATCGTGCAATAATCAATTGTATCTGATATTTGTGGTAGCAAAGACGGAGGCTTGTCGTTCTCCACGCCTGAAGCTAGGATTCGGATGATCGGCACAATGCAACGTTATGCTGAGGGTTTGTTAGTCCCAGTAGAGGTTCCATACAGATTGCAAACCAAGTAACTCGACGCAGCGGCCAGGAAAATGGGTTCTGGGCTGATAGAGTCTGAAGCAAGTCCAAGGGCTTGAATCCTACGCGGGATAGAATCCACGTCCACTGTGTGCAAAGCACATTCCTTAGTCAAAAAGCGCCTTCTCTTACGCTTGACTGCCAATATATAGCAGCAAGGCGTAGTTTTGACTTTTCTCTAATGCAGCTTGTCGGATACGTTTTCAATGTCGAGTTCCCTCCCCACAGTTCCGATGAGAGAATGCAAATCATCGCGCACTCAACTTGGCACCTCCCGGACTGATCTTTAAAGTTAGCCGTGGACAAGTGCTACCTGTAATTCCGATGACATTTTCTTACTTGCAGAGGTTTTTCTCATGCATCCTTGTCAGAAGACGCCGCTTGACTAGTCCCGTTATGGATTTTCAGATAACCAAGACCAAAGTTTTTTGAACATTGAAACGCACAAGGCTGCGTGTGGAGCTACAAGTGCAAGACAGCGGACCGAACCGCAACGAATCAAATTTTGCCGCTTCTAGCATAGAAACTTTCTCTCCACGTCCATGAACAAGATTCAAAGGACTACATCCTAGATTTACATATCAGTTCCAGAAGCATATGTCTGGCAGGTTGCGTCCTACCTACCTTTATCGTAACAAAGCCCAGCGTCTTCTCTCATCATGGCGACATCGTCCTCAGATGAACCCGTAGCTATCGTCTGCGTCGGCATGGCTGGCAGCGGCAAAACGACATTTATGCAGCGCATCACCTCGTATCTGCACCAGAAAAAGGACATTCCCTACGTCGTGAACCTCGATCCGGCCGTCCTCAACGTACCCTTTGAATCCAATATCGACATACGCGACTCGATAAACTACAAGGAAGTTATGAAGCAGTATAACCTTGGTCCTAATGGTGGCATTCTCACCTCACTCAACCTCTTTGCAACGAAGATAGATCAAGTGCTTGGACTGCTGGAGAAGCGCACAGCGCCGCCTGAGGAAGGCAGCACGAAGAAGAGGGTCAGTAAGGTGCTTATTGATACACCTGGGCAGATCGAGGTGTTTGTATGGAGTGCGAGCGGTGATATTCTGCTGGGAAGTCTGGCAAGCAGTTTCCCGACGGTGATTGCCTATGTGATCGACACACCTAGGACAAGTTCGACAAGCACATTCATGAGCAACATGCTGTATGCATGTAGCATACTCTACAAGACAAAGCTACCCATGATTCTGGTGTTCAATAAGACCGACGTCAAAGACGCTCAGTTTGCGAAGGAGTGGATGACGGACTTTGAGGCTTTCCAAGCGGCACTCAACGGTGAGGAAGAGGGAGGTTCATTTGGTGGGCAAGACGGCCAAGGCGTCGGCAGCGGGTACATGTCCAGTTTATTGCACAGCATGAGTCTTGTCTTGGAGGAATTCTACAACCACCTGCAGGTTGTTGGCGTGAGCGCAATGACGGGTGCTGGTATTGATGAGTTCTTCGCTGCTGTAGAGGAGAAGCGCAAGGAATTTAACAGAGACTACAAGCCGGAGCTAGAGAAGCGGCGCGCGCAGAGAGAGAAGGAGAAAAAAGAGAAGCGTGATAAGGAGCTGAACAAAATGTTGAGGGACATGAGCATTGAGCCAACATCCGACTCTTCGAGAAGAAGGCCGAAAACGAAAGAGGAACCGGAGACGGTGAGTGATGCCGAGGACATGGATGAGTATGAAGAAGAAGGTGGGTGGGTGGAGCGGGATGAAGACGAAGAGGACGCGGATCTTGATGACGACGACGACGAAAGAGATGCTGGTCTGAGGCAGAGATACAAGCAAGCCATGGAAGACAGTAAGAAGGGGTCAACGCAGGATGAGATGAGCTTCGTCAAGTACATTCACACAGCAAATGTTGGATGAAGTGAAACTACCGACGCAGTCGAGCAGTTGAATCAAGCAAATTAACGAACATGGTGCGATAGAGCACGACGCAGCTGAAGACAAAAAGTCGTTCACTAGCACAGAGCTAGCACAGCTTGCGGTTTTATGGCATTAGTATGCGTCTCTATGACTATCTATGTCAATCGAGGCATGAAGAAATAAAGAAAAAAAAAAAGATGCCTGCAGCTATGCCATCGCATTATACATGCTATATAGACAAAAGGGAGATGAGCTGAGAACGCTCAGGTCGCTAGTCCGGAGACAGACGCTATCGTTGCTAATGTTACATTTTTTTTGTGTACCGTGATCATAGCCATACTTCCACTTGAGTGCAGAATAGTCATCCTATCTCCGCTCAGTTGTTTTCTCAAAGCTGTCGAGCACCTCGCTAGCGACCTCGCTTGACCCAGGAGATCCTGAGCCAACAGAATTATTTGCATGGATTTCGCTGCTCTTTCCGCTCTCATCCATCACCAGCTTCCGAGCCAACTGCTTGGCTTGACCTTCGCTGACTTTCCCGTAGACACTCATGGCCGTGGCTATCATCGAACCAATATCGCCAACATTACCCGGCACAACCACTGCCGTGCCTTCTTTGGCCAGTTTCCCAAACGCATCCACATACTTCTCTGCAACTCTCAAGTTTATGGCACCCTGAGCCGCATCTTCGCCCTGCTGTAGCGACCTGGCTACCGCATTTATACCTTCAGCCGTGGCTTGCGCCTTCAACAGTATAGCCTCCGCTTCACCAGTTGCACGGTTGATTTGCTCCGCCTTCAAAGCCTCTGACGCGAGGATTACAGATTGCTTTTTGCCCTCCGCGATGTTGATAGCAGACTGCCTCTGACCTTCTGAATCTAGGATTTCGGCACGCTTGGAGCGTTCAGCTGTCACCTGACGGTGCATGGCTTCAACAACAGGGGCCGGAGCGTGGATGTCTCGAATCTCGTAACGCAGACATACGACACCCCAGTCTTGAGCGGCTTCATTAATGGCAGCTGTGATGTTGGCGTTGAGGTTGGCACGCTCCTTGAGGACATGATCCAGAGTAAGTTGACCAATCTCTGAGCGCATAGTTGTTTGCGCAAGTTGGGAGATGGCATATTCGGCATCTTCCACTCCATATCTGGTTCATCTGTTAGCACATAGGACTTGATCTCTATAAGTGAAAGCCATACGAAGCTTTGTAAGCATCAAAAACCCTTGTGTACAGTACACCGTCTAGTTCAAGTGTCACATTGTCTGCCGTGATGGCGCTCTGGCTTGGGATCTCAATAGCCGCTTCCTTGAGGCTTTTGACGTATGCAATGCGATCGATAAAGGGTATTAAGATGGCCAGCCCAGGCTGGAGTATCCGATTGAACTTTCCCATCCGCTCCACGATCCATGCCGTCTGCTGCGGAACAAAGCGAATAATAGTGTTCGCAGGGAGCGAGGGTTTCTGGAAATACGACGGCGTGGAAGATGAGCCTGACGGTGAGAACCCAAGTCCTAGGAGGGAAGGTGAATTTGAGGATGGAGCGTACGATGGCCGCGACGAGTTATAGCTGCGGAGTTGCGGAAGTGCTGCAAGGGTCTGGACGAACGGTGAGAAGGCAGATCGTCCCGTGGCATGTGTGATGCCTCTCGAACTGGCTCTCGCCAGCCTGACGGCCGAGGACACCATTGCTGGATGGTTTGTATCGAGGTGAATTGCGGGTGCAGTTGATATACTTTCGGTTCAACCTTCAGCGGAGCAGAAAAGTGATGATGAACATGGGGGAGGTGCGGTCATGGTGGTCTGAGCTTCAGAACTTTCTGCGAAGTCGACTGAGACAATTCCGAACAGCGGCATCGTCTAGCTATCACTGCGAACAAGAGGAGAAAGATAGCAAATAGTATTCACTACCCTCATATTGTAATACGATCTATTTCGCAAGCGCAAAAGGCCTTCTAGACTTCCAGCGCCACTTCCAGGGGGTTTCCTCACCCGAGAGCCACAAGATATATTGTAGTACCTTCGCATAGAATGGCAGAGTACTGGAAGTCCACACCTAAATACTGGTGCAAGTTCTGTAAAGTGTTCGTAAAGGACACGAAGCTAGAGCGGCAACAGCACGATGCGACACCCCGTCACCAAGGCAATATTCAGAAGTCCCTTCGCGGTCTGCACAAGGAAAAGGAACAAGAGGAACGGCAAAAGCAACGGGCCAAAGATGAAGTTGCGCGGTTGAATGGCGTAGTAGGTGGCGGGTCGTCTTCGACGTCAAATTCAACAACGGCGCCCTCAAAGGCATCTGGTTTCAAGGAAGCGCCGAGGCAAGCGACGTTGGAGGAACGCAAACGCCAGATGCAGCAGCTCGCGGACATGGGTGTCGCCATACCGGAAGAATTCAGGAGAGAAATGGCCATGGCGGGCGACTGGCAGACTATCAAGGTCACCCGTATTGAGCAAGCAAAACCTAAAGAGAATGGTTCAGAGGATACAAAAGAGGGCGTGGCCTTTGGGATTCGGAAGCGCAGGTTCGAGGACCAGGAGGAGGAAGAAGCTATATTGGGCACAGGAGATGCAGCAGCGCCGAGAAAAAATCGCAATTGGGGAAACAGAATGAAGGCATTTCCCGGTAGCAAGAAGGTTGATGATGAGGATATAGATGCGCTACTAGGCAGTGTAACTGTGAAGAGAGACTTGAAGAAGGAGGCTGACGAGGCCGACGATGCTTCTGCTACAGTGGCAGCAGATCCAAAGGGGGTCAAAGTCGAAGTGACCGAGGAGAAGAAGACAGAAATGCCAGAATTAAAGAAGTCGGAATCGAACGAGGAGTTAGAGGCTGCTGCAAAGCTTCAAGCTGCGTCGGCTCCCGAAGACACATCAGCAAAGGCGATCAACACACCGGGGACTGGCATCGTCTTCAAGAAGCGGAAAAAGATTGTGAAATGAGGCCAGGTCCTGCTATGGATAACTTCGTCTCCGCACAAGAGTGTGGACAAGTGATAAACTAACATGCTCTCGTGCCACTTCGGCCGATCAAGGATGACTCGCTTGACGAACGCCGGACGGAGTAGAGGCCTGCATCTTCGTCTGTCGTTCTGTCCAAGGTCATGATTCAACGGTTCCGTGAATGCTTGCTCAAAGCGGAAACGCACGCAACTTTGCCGAGCTAAGAAAAGAAAGAGTCGTCCTTGGTAAATCGCCATCAGATATTAGACCTGCCACATAAAGAACAGGCCGATCGTATTTACACATTCGTTCAGAAGTTCTTGATCCTTTCTTTGGTTTCAGTGACTGGCACGACACTCTGCCTCCCGTCAAACCCAAACCGACGTCCGCAAAAAGGTTCTAGACACAGACAGACAGACAGACAGACACAGTTACACTCCCCCGTTACAAAGTCGCGCTCTAGCACGGACGTGAGGGTTTGCACCCGCGGCCCGTGCAGAAGGTCATTCCGGCTATCTTCCAAGCTGTGTATGGAGTCAATCCAGGCCCGTAAGGTCGGTTGAAATACCAGAGGACTCAACGTCCGCTCACGAATCAGCCGCTCATCTCCGTATCCTCCTTCTTCGAGCCTTCGTCAAGCCCTGAGATCCACAGCACGTTGTTGCACCGGATCAGCACCTCCCCCAGCACGCCCTTCGACTTCCCCGCGATGAATTCCTCCGTGTTGCGTAACTGGATGTTCATGTAGCTGTCGACGCTGACGAGGTCGCCGTGGTACTCCGTCTCGCCCCACTTCAGCCGGATGTTGACCTTGCTGCCGACGAGGTTCTGGATGAATGGTTTTGGATTGATGGGCACAATCTGCGGCATGCGTAGTGTTTAGAAGCAGCGGCACCCAACGGCAAGGGACTGCGTGATAGGGGGGCAAGAACATACCGTCGACATTTTTGGGTCTCACACAGTTATCCTGGTGGGGACCAAAAAAAAAGAATTCGCAGTGAACTTGTTTTCGAGGATGCGGTTGTTTTGGCGGGATTTCTCTCGCTCTCTTTATTCGTCCCCCTAGGCTCCAAGCGAACGCCGTGATTCTTTCACGCTTGCGCTGATAAGGGAACGTGTCGAAGTTTCGTCACGGTCGAGAGTGAATCCTGCTAAGCGCTGGCTGTGTTCTGTCGCTCGTCGCAATGCGCTCTCTCCCCTGGTTGGTATGCTTTGAGGTCGCAGAAAAGAGAAAGCTCGGACCACTCGAGGTCGAAATTTCGACTGGAAAAAAAAAGCGACTTGTCACGTGCAAGGCTGGCGAGGCTGAACGAGCTCTCCACCTTTGCGCTGCTAGACGACAAAAAAAAAAAATTGAAGCTGGCCGCCTGGGAACTCGGAATCGGGCATCCGAGATGGCACGGCTATGGGCCCTCGACTTTTGCTCTGAAGCGACGCACGCCATGGTTACCATGCTCACAACATGGTTGGGTTTTCTACACAGCATTAACATTCTTCCGAATTTGAAAAGCTCGCGTCTTCTGACTGAGACCAAACAGCTGACTCGTGATAAGAACAGGCGCGAACACGTAGTTGCTACGTCCTTGGAAATCAGGCCATGCATCTACTTTGCGCTCCAGCTTCCGAGTTCTGAAATTTATCTTGGATTTTGGTTTCCCAGGTTGATTGGCGTCGAGCATTTCAGCCATACCGCGGGGCAAAACCCCAGGCCGGAGAGACGTAACATGACCTTGGGGGCTTCTCTCTGTAGATCCAGTGTCGGGATATAGTGTGGGTTCACGGCAATGCTGAGCTACCCTAGCGCTAGTGTGTATTTGCTTTTCAACACAGCGGTGAACCATGGGTGATAATCAGGCACAACCTTGGAGATCATCGCCCCACCAAGAAGAAAGATTCGGAAACGTGGATTACTTCAACTGTAACTACGAAACAAAAAGCATAGGAGTCGGAAAATTTATCGTAGCTCTATTTCCCAGCTAGCACATGATCGACACGTCGTCAGAATGTGTAGGATCGAAACCTTTACTTCCTCCCTCAATCTGCTGTTCTAAGCACGACGATCGCGTCAACATCTCGATATCACAAGTTGACGCTCAATTTTCGAACGTTGTGGAGAACGATAAGCTTTGGCTGAAATACCTTATACCATCCTACCGCGTTTACCGAATGATTGACGTCATATCTATTCCTGGTTACAAAGGTCACTCAGCCCCGACCTCGTTGGCGATCAGGAGAACTCATAATGAATACTTGTGTATGGTCGTTGGACTATTCGTTTCAAAGGTTGAACACCAAAAGAAATGACTTATCAAGAGCGCGCGCCCCTGTCCGCGATTGGTGGTCCTCTTTATAGAAGAGCCGCAAGCTGCGTACATGACTGACCAACCATACTCCCTTGTTTAACGTCTGCTTGAGTGCAACAACGGCATTGTGGGTTCGTGACAGGTCGCCGTATTAACCTAGACATCGTTTGCAGAAGACATATTTTTTGGTATTGTGGGCAATATACTCGTTAGGAATTGGTCGACTGGCGATCAATCGTGAGGTGTTCTGCATGCGCCCCGATTTGAGTAGAATAGCAGGACGGAAATCGAATCCATAGCCAAGCTCTCGCGCGAATTTCTGATGTGTGTCAGTGAACGTTAAACATGAGCAGCAAATAGTGCGAGCTATCTAAGCGGAAAGTTCTCCTTGTGCTCCTGACGAGGTCCAACAAGACGGTGCTACTGTTGATCGTTGAGCCTCAACAAGGTATTGCAAATCAAATCCGTTCCCCGCTAATCGGGGAAACTTGGGGCCGGAGATACTGATTTGGGATGAAGTAATTAGGTTTTGCAGATCAACAGTCGAAAGTAGGGCCGAGTAGTCGATGGTTTCGGAACGGTTAAACAAAACGTCAAGATGGCGGGCAGGGTGCCTATATCGAGCGTAGTTTGGTTTGGCAACAAACATTTAAGCTTCAGCTGAACCAATCATCTTTCGACTTCGCCCCCGAAGGGCCATGTCTGCTGTGATGTTTAGACAGATTGCGCCGAAAGTCAAACGGATAATCTGTTCACTAGCCCTCACTAGAGGCACACTCATCGAGTTGACAACGCCCACTAACCGTAATACGAAGGTCCAGAATGTTATGATGAGCACGTCGAGCAATCTTAGCAGCAGGGCGGCAGAATTCAAACTTGCCGCGCAAGGCCCCTGGAGACGAATGGTCAATTGTACTTTGCTTTCCTGTATGGAATACAGCTGAGTTATTAAGAAGTGAACAATCGAAGAGGAATGCAGGAACGAGTGGGATGAAAGAGGAAGTCCTCGGGGCTGCCTCCGATCAATGATCATTTCTGGGGTGTCCATCTCCGATGGCAGGCGACACGCCAGTCAAGGAGCGAGTCCAAATTCGGGAACACATTAGTGCGCCGTGTGAAAAGGCCTAGGGTACGCCTAGCTGAAGTCGGGTCGTGAACGACTGACAAGGTAGTAGCCAACTTTTCTGCGCGCGCTGTGGAAGTCTGGCGTACAGGGCCGGCTTTGGACCTGTATGGACATTGCTCTGGTCCGAAGGCAGACGCAGATTTGATTTCGTCAAACATGTCACTTTTTATTGGCCACACGAGGCGTTTATACAGTGTGCTCTTCGAATCTTCGAATCGAATGAGCCACCTCTGTGGCTTCTACGTACAGCACACACAGCACAGGACAAGTAGGCGACCGTCCGTGAGCAAGAGGGCGAGCGTCGGAGTTAGAAGCGAATGATCGGCAGGTGCTGAATTCGATTGTTATTCCAGAACGGCCTGGACGGGATGCGAGTGCTAAGGACGGGCAGCGCTCAGAAGGCCAAACTCTAACAGCTCCACAGTGACGTCGAGGCCTTGCACGTGGGAAAGCGTGGCTTTAATGGTCCGGGAGCCCTGCATGAAGCTTTCACAACCCGGCACACAGCAGAAAGGATGGCCAAAAAAGGGGCGCAACCGGGAAATCGAAATTCGCATGTCGCACCGTTTCTCTTGCGAGGGCCCCATGTCTGGCGTATCGCCAACTCATACAGTGCACATGGCATTCTCGTCGAATACCTGCTTTGGTCGCGAGGAGGGGACGACCTGGCCATGGTCAAGCATGATCCAGCGCAGCTGACCTAGTTTTTGCTGCGGCCTTGGATCGAGATCGAAGGGGAATCTTTGGGCAATCTTGACTGCCGAAGTATCACATTGGCCAGTCTAAAGACGACAATCTAAGCCGCGCTTGTGCCTATTCTCGCCGCACACGTCCCTTTGCGGGCTGGATTGGCCGGCGCTGGCAGCAGGATAGGGAAGCACGGATAAGGATCTGGGCTTGGTACGGCGTCGTGAGGAAGCAATGACACTATTGGAGAGACGGGCCGACTGCTGGATGTGCAGGTGCAGGTGGCGGCGGTGCGAGAGCAGCGGCAGCGGGGACCGCTCGAGGGAGGAGTGTGGGAAGGAACGAAGGGGCCTTGATGTGGCGTGTTCTTACATTTGGGCCTTGGGATCGAGAATTAGCAGGCCATCGAGCCTTCATGCAGGTCATCTGCAGGGCTTTGCGGCCCTACGTCACTGGCGGCTCACAGCACAAGGCGATCCGCCTGCACGGTAACGGGGCCGAGGAGGCAGAGGGGAGCGGCGGGCAAGAAGCGCCAACAACGTTGGAGTTGGCCCACTCTGTCACGCTGCTCGTCTGCTGCTGCGCTGCTGCCCCTACACAGCACGGCAGAGCATTCATTCCCTCGCGCCTGGGCTCCACCTCCAAGGCTAGCGCTAAACCTTCCTGCCGCTTGTGCAGGCGGCAGTCCGTCCTTTCTCGCTCCCATTCTTGGAACCATGCTTGACCCCTGTTGCGAAACGCGAACAGCCACAGACAGATGAGGAGATCCACGACACGATGACGCACACGCACACAACTGCGCGATCACTGAGGCGTTGGTTGCTCGCGAGCAACCGCGCAGCCCAAGCACCGATGCGTCCAGCGCAAAGCCCGTCGTGGTGTGGTTGAACGGTGCAGGTCGGCATTGCATCTCCTCCTTGTGTATCCCATCTGTTCGATTTTGTTGGCCTGGCGTTCACATTGACATGTCGCTGCTTTCATCGTGAAAAGAACGATCCAGCCTGTATCTACGATTGCGATGGAAGCGCCCGGAGGTACTGTACCATGCTGCGCTGGGTGAACGAATGAAAGGAATTATGGGACGAGAAGGGATAAAACCCTTTGTGGCAAGACCTGTGGTGGGGCCGCTGACTGTCAACCATTCAAAGAGCGCAAAAAATGAGGGTGCCGGTGGTCAGATTCACCTTTCGATCTCGATCGATGCGCAAATGCCAAATTTACTAGGCCCGGGGAGGTCCAAACAAGGCTCGCCCGCGGAGCAAGGCCGGGAATACTCACAGTGGTCGAGTTAGGTAGGTCGGCCTGAGGGCCAAAACGGAGGCTGGCCCATCTGGGACTCATGTCCAATGTCCAAGAAAGACATATAGGTTCTTGATGCACAGACGCGGAGTAGTGAATGACGGCATAGCTTCACGACAAAGCGACAGGTAACGATGGTCAGTCTCCTGGAGCAACCGCAGCAGCTGGCAGAGGTGCTGGCGGTGGTATTGGTCAGTTGAAACAAGAAGCGATATCAGCGCAGCAGATGGGGCGCTCAACGTGTAATCGCGGCGGATTCGGGGAATTCGAGATCAAGGTCGACAGGACCCGCCCACGGTGTGGATAGCAAAGGCGCAGTGAAGAAATCCATGCACACCGTTGTACTCCGTAAACGTGATGCAGCGACAAACGAGGGCGCGCGAGTGTGTGGGTGTGTGTATGTGCAGAGCCTAAGAGACGCGGCGTGTGTGTGGTGGACTGGAACGGGGATAGTCATCAACACTACTGTAGCTGGGTTCGTTGCAGCAGGCTTTGGGCCAGGATATGGGTGCAGGGGTCGCTGTTTCGGTTCGGAAGCTGATGGTATTGTGAGGACGTGCGAATTCCCATCCTGCAACCTTGATCGGAGCCCTGTCGTGTTCTTCCCTGCTCGCCGTCCCTGATGCTTGGTGCTTGGTGCTTGCACGAAGGCGACACGGTTTGTAAGCCTGGGCGCATCTCCGGCAGGCGTCGCTGGGCCTTGTGTAGTTCCACGCCTTTATACTTTCTCACGGCGGTGCTTCCAGTCCTTCCATCACGATTACTTGAATCTTCGCTCATCTACACCGGCCCTGTTCCCGGCCTTGTCCTTCATCTGTCTGCCTCGAGCCATAAAAACCTACTGGCTTCTACCTGTACCGCTCACCTGCGAGCTGAATCGGTAAACTTGCCAGCAGACGACCGCGGACGACGAAGCAGCGAACACACGTCTGCTCCAACAGCCGTTCCCAGCGCGCGCGCGAGCTCAAAGAAAGCAAATTTGGCTATTTACTAGCTGACTGTTTGTCTTCTCCCCACGACCTCCTCTCACTGGGACAGTCTGGTGAACAACTCTCGCTCTGGGCTGGTGGTCATCTTCAAGCAATCGAGCGTCATTTCAGCCGCGCCAGTGGATTCTCTGTTGCCCCCTCTCGTGCGGTCCGATCAGATCCAGTGACCCAAAAGCCAGCGGCGCCACAGGCCAACTGCGAACAGCTTGAACAGCGCAAGCAGCCCGCCTGCAGCAGCAGCAGCAGCAGCACCGGCGGCAGCAGACGCAGGAAGCAGCCGTTCTGGCTCGTCAAAGAATTGACAGCACTGTCTTTTGTTGCGCACAGTCTCGACTCGGACAGACCATGGACGGGAGAAATGCATTAGGGCGGCGGATTTCACTTCTCAACGAACCTGTCGAGAGTCTCGACGCAGCAGACGTGCCCGGCCGACCGGCTCGGCTGACCTCATTGGCTTTTCGACACTCTCGCACCTCCAGCTTCGCGTCCTCACCAAACTCTTCACCACCCACCCCCGAGCTTGTTCGCAGCGATTCATCCGACTCTTCAGCTATGAATCGCACGCCGTCGCCAACCACGCCGAATTACATCGACTACAGCGGCCTGCAGCCGACGAGCAAGTCGAGCGAGGCCGCGTTTCAAGCGACGACGTCCGCTTTTTTCAACCCGCAAGTAGACCCTTCCGTGGCCAACTACCCGCCGATCCCACCACAGCATGCAGCGCAGTTCACCTACCCAGCACCGCCCGCCATAGCACCCCAGCCTCAGGGTAGCAGCAGTAGTAGTCAGGGCCCTCACCCTCACCCTCACCCTCACCCTCACGCCCAGGGCCCTGCCTCGCTATCCGACGCCGCCTCGTCGTCCACTTCCAAGGGGCCCGCCAAGCAAGCGACGAAGAAAAATTCGTACCCTTGCCCTCTGGCGAAGCAGTTCAACTGCAACGACCACTTCACCACCTCCGGCCATGCTGCCCGGCACGCCAAGAAGCACACCGGCAAGAAGGATGCCTTCTGTCCGGAGTGTAACAAGGCCTTTACGCGAAAGGATAACATGGAGCAGCACCGTCGCACCCATCAGAACGGTCGGAACGCTGCCAAGTCGACGGGGGAGAGCGCCGCCAAGAGACAGAAGACGTCGAAACGCGCAAACTCCTCCACCACCACGACGCACAACGCCGCCGCCGCTTCCGACAAGCACTCGTCGGCTTCCCTTGCGCAATCCACGCACACCACGATGACGGCCGCACCTGGCATGCTGGATCCAAGCCTGCCCCACAGCCCTGCCTCGAGTTTCGGCTTTCCTGAGCCTACCTTTTCGGGTGCTCTCAATCCATCCATCATGCATCAGTATCCGGACCCGATGATGCCCTTCAGCGCTCCTTTCCCAGGCAGCCCCACCATGCTCGTCGACCCTGCTCTTGGGGGTCAGATGCCAAACGGCATGGCTAATGGCCTCGACACCCTCGCTATGGCTGCAGCAAAGCGCGACGAGCACTACTGAAGCGTCAACGGACTCGTCACTCAGATGTGTCACATCAACCAATCATTTCGCGCCAGAAGCCACTTGCTCCCCGGTTTTTCTTTTTCTTTTTTTTTTTAATGTGTGCTACTACTACTACTACTACTACTACTCCGCGATGAGTACTACTACTGTTCCCTCTCACATATGCGTGGCGTTCCGGATTACCGAATTGGGACTAATCATCTGGGTGGACTGTTCATCTCGACGAATATAGACACCTAAGCTGTCATGGCTATGATGCGCGGGAGGGCGCACCAACTGCTACTTGGGAGGGAATGGATTCCGTTGGTTTGAGATACACATATCGGTTAAGGATGGATGGATGGACGGCACAATGGAAGCATGGTCTATCTGGGATCTGTGTAGCATACTGTCCGCCAAGGATATGCATGCTTCTAATGAACAGGACGCTATGTTTTTTTTATTGGCAAATCGAACTTGCTTCGAGCGGTTGGGTTGGAACTGGTATTCACCCTATCCCGCTCTCGTTACCACGTTATGCAGCTTGAATGATCATGAGCTCTTACCTGTCCAGCTCGAAGGGACGCTGTTCTCATCCACATGTCTGTCTCGATCCCGTCCTAGACCGCCACCACAAAAAGTCTTCGCTTGCGAGCCGAGATCGTTCGTCCACGGATCTCGTACAAACGTAAAAACGCCCTGCCGACCCCTCGTCCCTGCACGACCCTTGTGTCACACTCTATCCAGTGTTACTCCATATTCGCCCTGCGTGCACCTCGACGAAAGGGACCGAAGCGGATGTTCAGAGAGCCAAAACACGGCAGGGCTTTGCCACATTTCGTGCATCTACCCCTCACGGTGACGCCTCTCATCCACAGGTGCGCGTCGGAATCAGCTCCACGGACGCCTTCGCCGTGCGCTTTATTATTTGACGCTTTTTCACGACCAGAAACGTTAAATCCAGCCTCTACGCTGTGATAAGCTCCTCTCATCTCTGCAGGGTCTCCCCTCCACTAAGTCGCCATGGGACTTTCCCACTTTCTGGGCCGCCGTCAACTTTCGTTCATCATTTGTTTGTTGTGTCTTCTTTGATTGTTTTTCCTTTTTGCCACCGCCACATCCTTGCTTGAACCCGACCCGTCTGCCTGAAGACGGCTTAGATAGCCCGACCCTTTTGCTCGCTCACCCAAAGGTGACGGCACGAAAAGCCAGCCCCCCCCTCCTCGAGTTCAAGAGTTTAGACCCCGCTTTTCATACGTTTATTCTTCTGTCTCGTGACAGGAATGGATGGGATTCACCGAACAAACGAAAGCAAAAACCCAAAAAAAAGCGAGGATTTGTTTTGGACGGTAGAGACTATTCCCTCTTCTGCTCCTCTTTCCTCAGCCCTCTTCCCCCCGGCGTTCTCTCAAGCTCTGGATTCCTCCCTTGTCCGCGGATACCGAAGCATGGACGTCTTGGCCGCGATTGTTCGGATCGACATCTGAGGAACAAATATGCGGTTGGAGGCTGGCGATCGCAACCAAGATACCGCGCACGCTATCTTGCTCCCCGTCGTCTTACGCCTTGTTTAAGCCAAAGCGCAAATGCCCCCCGTTGCTTTTCTTCATCCTTTGTTTGGCTCTAGCGCTTACAAATCGGGCAATCGCTGAACTCATGCGCATTCACAACTTGAGTTAAAACACAGGCTTTCCGGTTTTCGTCCTTCGTCGGCAACCTCGCTCTTCTTTCCCAATTGAGATGATTGAGCAGAAGGAAAAGAAGAGGACGGCAGTCGCATTTTGTCGCGTCGACGTACGGCAGTGCACGGTATCTACAAAGACAACATGCAGAGGGCAAAGAGGAAGCCACAGAGCGCACTAAAGCCCCAAGGCTGCGGCGGGGTTCGACCTCGCGGCGCTGACTCCGTTCACGCGTCTGTATAAAGACCGTGAAAAAACGGGGTTTCGAAAGAGCAAACGAAAAGATGACAGGGTGGTGCGCCAGCATCCACGATTCGCCACGGCCTGAACGGCCGCGCAAAGATCGTCCCTCAAAGCACGCGGGTTGGCTGGCCACATGGGCTGTTTCAGCTCCGTCTTTCACGCTCGCATTGCATAGGGACGACGCACGACAAGTTCCGCTGCGTAGATTTTAGGCAGGGCCCCTTCAACGCGAGGCCCCCGCGCCGCAAAAGCTGTAACCCGCCCTACCGACAGCACCTTTTCTGTCGTCTTCCATTCTTCTCTTTGTTTCCCATCCTTTGCTCACGTGGTCCGTCTGTTGACCGATGGCTTTTTTTTTTTTTTTTCCCTTGCGTAACGACGCGGCACCCCCCCCGGCTTTCAGTCAGGCCATCACGCCCCCAAATCACCAGAAGATCCACCGAGAAGAGGCTCGCGAAGGTTCTTCCCCCCCGCGCCCACCGCTTTCCAGGGTCCCTGCAAAATCCTCGGATCTACTTGCGGCGCTATCCTGAGGCCTAGATCTACGTCGTTCCTTTGTGTGTTTGTTTTGGCTTCGGCTCTGGTCTTCGACGACTCTTTTGCATATGCCATGCACGCTTGCCCACGTTAGCAAGATAGCATTAAGTTTGGTGGTGAACCGTGTGATCTGTAGCCTCTCGCCCTCGTTCGCAGGCTTCCAGCTAGCTGCGCGCCATTAAGCAGGTAGCTCCACCTGCTGGAGCAAACAACGTCCTCTCCGAAGTGTCTTTCCGCGGACGCTATGCTCGAACTAATGACGGCTTTGGACCTTTCCCCCCGTCTCTACTGCCACGGAAACCTTTGCAGCTTCAGGGTTCCAGCATCTTTGACGAACACAAAGAGAAAAGCGGGGGACCGCACGTTTTTGACTTGCATCACCCTGCGCAGATACGTCGAAGATTACCGCCCAGCTCCAACCTTTTTATCGGATAGCGTTTTCAACCTATGACGGTACGTCGTGGGACGAGTGACGCAAGCAGATTGAGAGCTTCAGCACACGGGGCACCTTTGGTTGGTGATGCAGATAAAGCTTTGATGGCTTTGCAGCTCGTTGATTTTCCTTCCCTGAACATGGGAACCCCCCGATGGTCTGGAATACCTGATCGGTGGGAATAGCAGTGCCCAACACGAGCGGTGCCTTTGACTTCAGGAGCGTGGAAACGCGAGCCCGGTTGGACGACTCTGTGGCAGTCTCGTCGTCCGCCCCTCTACTTGCATTCTCTTATCGAATCCTGAAACGACGTGCCCACCCCCCTTCCTCTTTCTTCTTCTTCTTCTTCCTTCTGCCGCTTCCGTCTGCTAAAGCCCGGGAATGACGGCTTGCGTTCGTCTACTGCCTTTGTCGTCGCCCTGTGCTTTGCTTCCTGCCAAATGTCACTAAGTGGTTGCCTGATGCGGTCAAAAAGATTGTTTCATACACGGACGTTTGCTCTGATTCGGACGGAGTCGACGTCAAATCTTCAAATAGCCATGGCTAAGTTATTGAATCACGTTTGGAGAGGGATTGAGGATAGTGAGCGCACAGTTCAAAGCTCCAAGTCCCAAAAATCCACGCTTTTCCAATACGATATGCTGGATTGACTTCATCTAGATCTCGCTATGCATTTTCTTTTTGGAAATCTACATCACGCAAAAAGCGTCTCCCCTTTTTTTTTGGTGGTTCTTGTGTCTCCCCCATATACATAACAAACACGTCCCCCGTCAAGGTGGACGTGTAATGCCGATAGTTTACAGGGCTTCACCTCATTTGAAGGTGCTGGCTTGTGGCCACTTCGCCTTCGCCTTGCTGATGTAGTCCTCCTTGACCTTCGCATCGCTGTTCCACTGCTTCAGCGTCTCCAACCCTTCAATTGCCTCCTTCATGTCCGCTTTCTCCACCAGGGCGATAAGATCCTTTTCATTCTGCGCTTTGGAGGAAGGGTCGAGCAATTGTCGCACTCTGAGCCCGGCTCGCGTTTTCCGCGCGCAGTCCTTGTGTTTCGCCATGTACGCGTTGTTGAACGACTTCAAGTCTTTCGTTTCGGGCACAATACTTAGGTTAGCCTTGAGCACCTGATCAGCCTTTGCACTCTTCGACTCGGAGTCTGCGTCGACTAGAAGTTCAGCGTCAGTCACAACAAGCTCATTAAGATCCAGATGCTTTGGAGGGAACGTACGAGCTTGTCTGAAGCGCACCAACTGCTCATGTAGGGTAGCCTGCTCCGCATCCAATGCGTGCGCCGCAATCAGGCACCGCAGCGCGAGCAGATACCTTTTCCGGCGCAGATACACTTCAAATCCAGCATTTTGCCCGTCAATATTTTTCGGGCTCAGTTCTAGTAACGGCTGTAAATACTTGACCGCCTCGTCCAGAGGTGCCTTCGTCTCTAAAAGTTTCAGACCTTGTGGGTCAGGATCCTCCTTCTTGGGCTCTCCGTCAGCGCCCGTGCCTGGTTTCTTGCCCTTGTTGGCTGCTTCGCGCTTCTCCGCCTCCTCTTGGGCTTTCTTCTCTGCCTCCTTTTTCGCCTTCTTGAGCGCCTTCTGCTTTTCTTTGGGGTCAAGGCCTTCTAGATTCACGCCATTTGCCAGACCTGTATTCGCCAGATCCGGATTGTCATGTAGCATAACGTAGATTTTGATCGCCTGTAGAGCAGCCCTTGTATAGAAAGGGTGTTCTCTCAACTTGTCTTCCCAACGCATCATCTCTACGTAGGCACGTATTTGACCCTTCCGTATTGAGAATTGGTGGAAATCAAACTGATCTTCCTGCCAGACGTCGAAGATATCATAGATGGCTTTGAAGCGTTTCAATGCCAGACTCAGCTTGCCTTGTCGCAAGTATGACTCGCCATCTTCGGTAATATACCACATACACTGCATATCAAGTAGGTCGCCAAGTGCACCCCCTACTGTTTCATTGCGTGTGAACTTGCTCATGGTCGCAATAGCAGCCTCATTGTCATCCCTTCGTAATTGGTACTTGGCACACTTCGTGTTGATATATCGATCCTTTTCATCAAGCTCTCGTGCTTGATTCATGACCTCAGCAGCTTTCACTAGATCCCCGGTATGCTTGATGATCCTTGCTTTGGTCATGGTATAAAAGACAGACTTCGGGTCCAATGAAATCGCCTTCTCGACGTAGTCCATCGCCTTTTTCAAATCTCGAGAGCGGAAGTAGTCGTAGTGATGAGCAAGGAAGTAGTAGCAAGCTTGCTCGAAGCGCGTTGATTTGTCACCGTTTGCTAGAGTTGCATCCCCATTTGCAAGCGTTAGATTTGCGGTATATCCCTCGACAAGGTCCTGTATGGTTGCAAGTTTGTCTGCTGACGTGTAGAGGGCCTTGATGTTGGCGAATGTCGATGGAACGCCCTTCGCAAGCATCCGCTTCAGATACCTATCTGCGGCAACTTTGAATTCCTCCCCTAATCCACGTCAGCACATCCATCACTCTATTCGCAATGAGGGCTTTCACCTTCCAAAAAGTCAAGCGGTATCCTTAGAGGCGCATCCACCCTCTCGTTCTGCTCTGCAAATTTCTCGTACAGTTCAGCCACCTTCTTTGAATCCGTCTTGCGATCCAATCCCATAGCTTCTTCCAACTTCTCATAATACGTCCTGTACTCGTTATTTCTGCACAGCAAAGCCCTATAAGATGCCTCCGCCTCCTTTTTCATTCCTAGCTGCAGCTGATATTGCGCCCTCATCTCCATGACCGCTGTGCGATCCAAATTGTTTTTCGCTATCGATTCAAGGTGCTCCAGCGCCCGCTGTGTCTCACCCATCTCAGCGATGATGGTATTTCGGTACAGCGCCGCCTCAGAATGCTCATAGTCCGTCCTAGGAGGAGGTTGTTTAAGTGTATCTTCATACGTTTTCAGAAGCTTCTCAGCCGTTGCCAGATTACCGGCCAGATGATGCGCGACCGCCAGCGCCGTCCAGTTCTGCCGTAGACCAGACCGTTGCTGCAAGATCGCCTTTCGACTCTCGATATAGCCAGCGTAGTCACGCATTTGAATTTGCAGGAAGGCGAGATCTCGCTGGATCTGCTGCGACTCCGGCTCTAGCTTGAGTGCAAATTTATACGCCTTGATCGCCTCGTCGAGCTGCTTGGTCGAACGGTACAGCAAACCATACACGTGCCAGCAAATGTGCGACTTCATGTCTGCCTGCAGAGCCTGCTTGGCTAACGCAAAGGCTGTCAATTAGGAGTGGTCGTCAGCCCACTCAATTTAAGGTGCCGTCCAGGACAAGTAAAACACACACCTTCGTCCGTTTGACCCATTGCATTCAGAGTCAGAGCTTTCATAGCCATGGTGTCTCCATGGTTGGGATTTTTCTTCAAAATGCCATCGGCTGTCTTGATGGCCTTCTTGTGCTGTTTGGCCTCGTAGAGCTTGACGAGCTGCCGGAAGGATGCGCCATCCTTGCTATTCAATGGCTGAGGCATTTTTGAGGCGGATAAGGAGCGAACGAAAGCTCTCTGAATGCGCGCATGCGAGCTATGCGATGAGATGCGAAAAGGCGGTGCCCAGCGAAACCGTGTGGTGAAATGGGGTCCGGCGTCGGGAACGGACACAAGCACGAAACGGGTAGTATGCTGACCTTGTGTGGGGTGGCCTCAGCATCCAGGGACTTCACACAGTGTCACTAAAACGAGCGAAGACGTGTCTTTGGAAACGAAACCTTGTTGTAACGATATAATTTGCAGAGAGAATGACGACTTTCCTTAATAATACATAGGAGATTTGATCACAACTGAGTGATTGATAGTCATGATCTGTTGCTACATCGATGAGATCAAGTAATCCACGCTAAATGTTAAAATCAGCAATCTCACGAGGCCAAAGCAAGTCACGCTGATAAACCCCTTCGCTCGGCGGCATCTAATTGCTGCATAAAATGATAAATTCCCTCGATACCTTGATATTCCAACGGTGTCGACGCGCCCGATCTCTCCTTCCCATGCAGCCTTGGAGAGTCAAGTTCACTGCTTCGAATGGTCTCGTAGCCGCTAGGAGACGATACCCAAGGATTGCCACTGAGAATGTCGTCCGGAATACCCTCAAGCTCAAGGCCAACATCAGACATAGCTGAAAAATCGGGCGTAGGTAAGTTGCCGAGAACCGGAGACGGGGGGGTTTCTTGTATGACGGCGGGGTCATCCCACCAGAGCTTGTCGACTTTACGATGCATCACCGGTTTCTCAAAAAAAGAGCACTCGGATGGGCTCTTACTAGGAGCATATGGAAACAAAAGAGCGATTTCGGTTCCATTGTATGCATCGAAATCGGGATCCTGCTTGATGATGCCACGCTGTAGACCTAGTTCGAGCGCCAGTCGTTCAACAGTGTCTGCGTCGCAGCCAGGGAAATGCACCCGAAGGCAGGAATTTTGATATGTGATCGGCAGGTCACCCAGAGTCGACAGCTTCTTCAGGTCACTGAGAATCATGGCAAGGTCCTTCAAAGCACGCGAAAAGTCAATAGACAAGACGTCAAGAAGGCCCTCAGTGTTCAGATGGTCCATTTTTGGATGTTCAGTCTCCTGAAAACCGGAGACGGTGCCAAACGGTGTGAGGGCAGTGATCGTTGGATTAACGGCAAAATCGATGTATGATCCAGGCGTGGCCTTTGGAATGGCGGATATTTTCTTCGACGCCTCGCTTTGAAGCTCAGTGACTTCACGATATCGCTTTTCGCCGGTATATGGATTGACGCCGGAAAATTGTGCCTTCTTGCCGCCAATCATGAATGCACGGATTGCTTGATTGACATTTTGAACGACCTGTGCTGGTGCTGCAGGTCCATGCGAGAAGTATCTTGCACCGCCGATACGTCCACCTCCAGCGGCGTACCCGCCTGCGGTACGGCCAAGAGTGCCACCGGTTAAATTAGGACGGAGTGTGTGCGCGAAGGGGGCCCGGCCGGTGGAAGAGTTGACAGCATTGCCGGTACGTGACTTGGGGAATGAGGCACGGTTATATTTGATGTTCTTCGCTCCCGAACTGAACTCGCGAGCAATTGTCTTAAACGCCTGATTGGAAAACCATCGTTTACTCTGCTTAAGGAAAGCCGCTGGGTGAATGGGCTGACGCGGTGCAAGACGGGCGAACGCAGGTTGCAATTCGGACGCAGGTCGTACAGATGCATACACTTGGTTTTGAATAAGCTTGGACGTATGTTTGATGGCGAGCCTAGGGATCAATTAGATCGCCGAATGAATATACTGCATCGAGGAAACGAGACTTACCGAAGGACCTTGAGGTTCTTGGCCACCAAGACGTGAAATGAGCCCGCAGAAAGGGGCGCCATCCTTTGATGTTCACCAGTGCGTGAAGGTGAAGGTTGGAGAAGGCAGCAACGTCAACCTGCGGGGTGTCACAGGCTAAAGCATGTTCGCCACTGTAGGGCTGTGGCTGTGTTTTGGTCCGACAGAATAGGCGAACTCGCTTCTGCCTCAGGCATCACTCTAAATGTCTTCGCCCGTCACGTGCAGTCGTTGCTTTGTTCACATTGTGAAATGGATTGTGGATTCATGCCTTTCGCCTCCCTTGTAGTATACTATTTCGTCTGTTTAGAGTAGCTTAATCATGGGTCTGCAATATGTCAGCCTAAGTAGAAATAACGGGTCAATGAAGAGTATTTCATCATCTTCTAATATGGCGTGGGCTCAAGCCTCACTTGAGCAACGAAGGACGAAGCTTTAATTAGCCTCTGAATAGAGCAGAAGCAAAGATACTGTTTACATATCGATTTATGTATTAAGCATGGAGCGAACACGAAAAAAAGGAACGGGCCAGCGAGCAGAGTCAACTGTGATCGACATCGGCAACATGTATCCGATGACGATTCTTGTCGACCGTTGGTGACGATATCGGAACATACAAGATGGCGAAGGTCTGAGTTCTAGAAGCGTAACCTCTTGTGTTGCATATGCGCTGCAGTGTTCACGTCCTTTATTACTTCAATTTCATCGGCATTCGGTGTTAGGCACTTCTCAGCCTTGCCAACAGCCTTGCCAACAGCCTTGCCGCGACAATGGAACCGCACGAACGAATTGACATGCATGCCCACGTTATGCCACCGAACTGGCGTGCGGCATGTCAAGAACACCAAAACGCAAAGCCGAATGGGGGAACCAGGGATCCAGTATTGATCTCTACCTCGTAATTGGACTGCAACTAACGGCAGAGACAGCCTTGGAGCATAGATTCTCATCTAGCATTTATGGATCGAAATAACATCCGCAAGACCGTGATTAGCATATCGGCACCAGGAACACACCTTGTGCACGGTAACGATACCCTTGGAGCCCAGGTGACTCGCGACGCAAACGAGTACATGTCCAGTGTTGTTAGGCGGAATCCAACTCGATTTGCATTCTTTGCTTCGCTGCCGCTTCCAGCAGTGCAGGAGTCGCTTGCTGAAATTGACTACTCATTAGACGAGCTTGGGGCTGCTGGCTTTGCTCTTGTCACGAACATCCATGGCAAATATCCAGGGGACCCAAGCATGGACGCCGTGTTCGAGCGGCTGAACAGCTTAAGTGCGATTGTGTTCATCCACCCTACGAATTGTCATCATACTCCACTAGACGGCTCGACACCTCGAATTGTAGCTCCGTTGAGCTTGCCCGGCGGTGTGCTTGAGTATGTTTTCGACACTGTGCGTTGTATCACAAACCTGATTCTGTCTGGCACCGTCGCACGCTACACCAACATTCGGTGGGTGATTCCCCACTGTGGTTCCGCGTTAGGTTCGCTACTGGAGCGAATCGCTGGCTTTTCGACGAAGATCTTGAAAAAGGAGCATTCTTTGTCTAGCGAGGAAATCAAGAGGGTGTTTAACGAGAGGTTCTGGTTCGACCTCGCAGGTTTCCCGTTCCCAGATCAGATTGTGGGTATGTTGAGGATTGTACGTCCAGATAGGCTAATGTATGGCACGGACTTTCCGTATCTCAATGGCGATCTGTGCACTGAGTTGAGAGAGACGATGGACAACGGATTGAAAGAACTGTTCGATGACGCAATGATCCGAAACATTCTGATCGGAACCGCGGAGGAACTTTTGGCAAACAAGTAGTTGAGCTCAGAATCCTCAAATTAGATATACACAAGCGCCACAGCGTGCGAATGGGTTAGCGTAGCCATATCATTGCTTCGACGATGCTATCAATTTGGCAAACTCTTCGCCCGCTTTTCTCAAATCCGCACTCAGATCGTGCTCCCAGATCCACAGCCATCGCTGGTTGAGATTGCCCACCACTTTCTGCCGATCAGCGCCGGCTTCAGGATCACCAAGCACATACACGATACCGCACTCTGCGCTTGTTTCAACAACTTTTTGGGCCCTAGGCCGTCGTATAGAGTCGAAAACTTGAAAAGCCTTGGATAGATCTTCTGGCGATTGTACCAGGCCAAGCACGTGCGAAAGAATCAGGCTGTCCTCAAGGGCTTGACCAGCGTTGGCTGCCTGGTGAGGCAGGCTTGAGTGGGCAGCATCGCCGATGATACAGATGTTGCCGTTGAAATAGGTCGATGTCTTTAGATGGTGGTGCAGTGACCATTGGATCGGCTTCGCCCACTAAGAAAGCGTTAGGCGTCGATGAGATTGTGATCGGGAGCACTCACATCGAGCAGTTTAATAAGCCGATCATCGACGTAGCCCTTGAAATCAGCAATCATCTCTTCTCTTGAGACCTCCTTCGTCCACTGCTTCTCGTTCCACTCCTTATTTTCAAAAACAAAAGCAATCACGTTTGCCTCTTTACCGTGCGAGATTGGATATGACAGAAAGTGCCGGACCGGGCCCAGGAAGATCTTGGAGTCGCCAGCCATACCCTTGCCCAGAATAGCCTCAGCTTGCTCGGTGGGCACAATAGATCGATACACGTATTTTCCCGAATACGTCGGCAGGACCTCATCTGGATACCTCTCGCCCAGAACGGCGGGTCGCGTGACGCCTCGATTTCCACCGTCTGCTCCAACAACCGCGTCTGAGACGACTACCTCGCCGTCTTCGAATGTGACCTGGACCTTGCCACCGATCTGCTTAACGCTTGTCGCCTTCTTGTTGAACTTGACCGTCTCAATTGGAATCAGAGAGGTCATGATATCAAGCAAATCCTTCCGATGAGCACTCGTCCGGTCGTAGATCGGGGCACCGATGTGATCTCCCCAGCCCTCGTCAAGCCCAAATCCAGGCTTTGCAAGGAGCGTGTCGAAGATGACATGATCCTTGCCCGGCGTCACATTGCCCGTCGAGATCTCGTCATACAGGGCCTTGAACTTTGGCTCCAGCATGTCCATGGCGCGGAGAGCATTTGGACCCAAACCGACGCCAGCACCGACGACACTGTATTGCGGAGCGCTCTCATAGATAGTGTAGGGCACATTCTGGCGCAGCAACCCAATAGCCAGCGCAAGCCCTCCTATGCCGGACCCGATAATGGCTACGTGGAAAGGTTTTTCCTGAATCGCCATGTTCATCTGACTAATGCTGATGATGTGCTTTGAAGTGAATCTTCGTATTTAAGCAGATAAACATACAATCAGCCTCGTTGTATGAAAGATTTACCATCATTCATAATTTTGAGCCGATATTCCACGGATATAACGGGACGCAATTATGTATCGCCCCGGCCGATAACCCACAAAATACAGATATACTGCCTGCGCGCCATCAGCTTCCCCATTCTGTACGAGAGGTCGCATGCATGAAGCCGATCCGTAAACAGTATGGATTAAAATGCCGACATCGGATGCTGCACGTGTTTTTGGAGAACTTTCACGCGGATCATTCACAGCACCACATTCAGGAATGATCATAGATTCCAGTTTGGAGGAGTCAAATTCCTTACGAACTCAACAGAAGAAAGATGCGACATCGATTTTCATACAGGTTTGTTTTGTCTAATCATGCCCAATCGGGGTATCAACAGATTCCTTCTCCGTGCCCAAATGATCAGAAAGCACTCGAAACAACACCACAGGAGAGCAGACGGTTAAGAAGGTCATCCATGTATAAGGTCCTTGACGCTCATGCTCCGGCCGCTACGTCGATTCTCAGACGGGCCGCTCCAGCTCCTTCTGTCGGTGTTGAGCATCAACAGTGCCGCTGTGGCTTCATGATCGTCCTTTTCCATCGGTTTCGCATTCTCGCCTTGAGGGCCTAATGCAGGGCTCGTCAGGGGGGCAAAATTGCTATAGGCCTGCCCAGAGGTCTGCACCTGGCCTTCAAAGGCAGGAGATGGTAAAGCAGATGAGCGGCCAGAGTGGTAGACATAGCCGTACTTGGAAGGTTTGCTGATGATCTCAGGAGATGTCTGAGCACTGGGGAGTATTGCAGGCGAGATGGAAGGCTGGTGTGACCTGACGCTGCTCGCCGCCGCTGACTGAGGGCGCGGGAATTGCGGCGACGTTGCTTCTGACATCTCCTCGTCCGAGTCAGCGGCATGATTCGCTCCAGTTGGCATGGTCTCGCTACGGCGCTCCACATGTGAGAATGGCGGAAGTTTCGGTCGATTTGTTTCATGCGGTGAGGCGCGACACTGAGAGTGTGCCGATTTGAGATCTGCCAGGCACTGTTCCAGATAGCGCATATACTCGATGCTAGCCTGGAGAACTGTTCTTTGTTAGCAGATGCTCTGGAGTTCAGCGAACAGACTGCATCTCACTGGCGAGCTTGTGCATTTCTTGTCCCGCACATGCAGGTATCATGTCTTTCAACACACCGAACTCTTCGTTCATCTTCGACCGTCGTCTCCGTTCGATCAGACTGTGGGCTGTTTTTCGCGCGATCTTGCGACTCGCAGCGGTCGCTCCGCCGCCTCCTTGTTTTCGCTTCGTCCCCGCCGCCGCCGGTGCCGTCTTCGACGCGGTGGGCTGCGAAGCCGTGGAAGTTGCTACAGGCGCCGCCGGATTTCCGGCAGGAGCGATTGCTTGCTCCTGCGTGTCCCGTGACTGCGGTTTCATCTGAATTATCTTCCGCGTTCTCGTAGGCGGCGGAGGAAGCGTGTATGCGGCCTGATTCGCCACACCATGGTTCTGTTGCGCGGGGTTGCTGCCCTTCCGACGTGAAGTACCAGTCTTTGGAGTGACGTTTGAAGGAGGGGACAGCGGCCGGTAAGACGAGTCGGAATTGACAGGCGATGGGGTAGTGAAGGACGCACTGTCGCTGGCATGTCCAGCCATGGCAGCTGGTGGGAGCGTGAAACTGCCGTCATTCAGACTGCCTCGTTTGCCCGGCAAGATTTCAGTCGACGGCTGCGGAGTAGGCAAAGTGTGGGGGGACATGTTTGATTCTGCACAGGACATGGCTGTGTTGCTAGCAGACAAAGTCTAGGCTGGTTCAGCCTGGCCAAAGGGAAAGAGAGCGCACAATTGTATGAAAGGTTACAGGAGTGTCATATCGAGAGGAGAGATGTGCGGCAGGGCGAGAGGGCAGTGAAGAGGGCGCCATTTGGGAGCGAATGCGCACGCCGTTTGGTGCGGCCAAAGAGTGCTCGCGTGTTGCAGTTGTGGTTCAAGAGCACGCGACAGCGTCTGGAGCTGTGATTGGGCCGCTCACGGACGTGGTCGATAGGCTGGACCATGTGCGTTTCGCCGCATCGTGATTCGTCCGCCTTGGTCGTCCTCTCCCAGCGTCCGTCAACACCTCAGAAGCAAGCAACAGAGCACGCGAGCTGTTTGCCACTCCTTTCTGGCTCCCCAATGTGCCCGGCTTGCGGCTAAATTCGTCCAGAGTGTGTCCAAATCGATGCCCATGTGCTCGTCAGACGACCAGAAGGCCGACGTTCATGTTGCATTTCATGTTTTGCGACGACCGTAGCATGCCTCTGCTGCCCCGCGGCGCAGTTAGAACTAGGACGTCACGTGTATCCGGTGCCCTCCTTTCTGCTTTAAGTTAGTGTATCTGACCCAGCAATCACCACCGCATGGTCAAACATCGCTGCTGGTTTTACGCTTGAAGCCCTTCCGGTTCCAGCTTCTGCCGAGTTGCATCACACGTAGCACTATATGCCGAAACACGTCACAGCAAATCCCAAAAATTCCAGGTGAAAACAAAGACTTGTGTGAATTGCATTTGATGGTACATTTGTCATCGGCTATGCGCCCGGCGTCTACTTCTGCGCTTTCATATTGGCCGGTGTGCACAAGCATGATTCCGTCCTACTCGTGAAGGCTAATATCGAGCAGCCACTAGCTTGGCCTGCTTGCTTTCCGTGGCATTCTACTATTCAACCATATGCGTTTCCAGCCTCATACCTCGTTGCTGAGATACTCCACTTTAGTTGTTGCATTGAACTCTTCCTTTATGCTGCGCATGCTCACAAATCGCGCCAACAAGTTCGCACTGCCAGCTTTGCTGAAGGATAAGTTAGAACACGCCAAGTCTTGAAAAGGGCAGTGAATAGATCACTCACTCATTCGTTCCGCTCGCCCTTGCTCCTCCGAACGGCTGTTGCCCAACCACAGCACCTGTACTCTTGCAATTCAAGTAGAAGTTGCCAGCGCTATTCCTCAACGCATCCTCAGCATATCGCAATGCAGCCCTGTCTTGTGCAAACACAGCACCAGTTAGAGCGTATTCCGTGGTGGAGTCAATCTTCTTGCAGATGTCCTGGAATGCTTTTGCAGGATCCGCGGTGTCATCGTATACGTAGACAACCATGATGGGCCCGAAAAGCTCTCTCGAGAAGAGCTCGTGGTCCGGGGTCTTGCTTTCGTAGATGGTAGGGTGAATATAGAAGCCTTTCGATCCGTCGTAAGAACCGCCAACAAGAAGCTCAAGGTTGCCGTCGTTCTTGGCATCGTCAATGACCTTGCTTAGCTTGTCGAATGACGCTTTGTGGATGACAGGTCCAATGAAGTTGTCGAACTGGTCTGGCGGGCCAACCTTTAGGGCTTTTGTCGCAGTTACCAGTTTTTCCTTGAATTGAGGCCACAGTGATTTGGGCACGTATGTTCTTGAGGTCGCAGAGCATTTCTGACCTTGATACTCGAATGCGCCGCGTACGGTCTGCACCACCGCATTTGTGACGTCGGCGGATGAATGGATAAGATGGAAGTTCTTGCCTCCAGTCTCGCCCACAATACGTGGGTACCCAAGGTACTTGCCATCTGCAACTCCGAGGGCAATTTGTCCGTACAACTTTCGGAAAACCGCTGTCGAACCGGTGTAGTGTAGTGCTGCGAATTGTTTGTGCGCCAACACAGCTTTTGTGACCTCTTCCGCATCACCAGGCACAAATTGAATCACGTCCTTCGGCAAACCCGCCTCAACCAGAATGTTGTAGACAAGCCAGTTTGAGGCGATTGCGGAGGGAGAAGGCTTCCAAATGACAACATTGCCCATCAGTGCGGGTGCACCGGGCAGATTGCCTGCGATAGCGGTGAAGTTGAACGGCGTGATGGCGTACACGAAGCCTTCCAAAGGTCTGTATTCTACTCTGTTCCACACACCCGGAGAATTGTGGGCTGGCTGCTGGGAATACAGTTCCTCCGCATATTGCACATTGAATCGGAAGAAGTCACACAGCTCAGCTGCCGCGTCGATCTCAGCCTGCCATGCGTTCTTGCCTTGACCAACCATGGTCGCTGCCATGATATCATAGCGATATTTCGTGCTTATCAAGTCCGCAGCCTTGAGGAACACCGCGGCGCGGTCACTGAACGGCAGAAGCTCCCATGATTCCTTTGCCTTCAATGCAGACTCTATCGCGGCGTTGACTTCGGCAGCAGTCGCATTGGAGTACGACGCTATGGTTGTGGCATGGGACGAAGGGTCTTGCTGTGTAAGGATGGAGGAGCCTCTGATCTGCGCGACCCGTCTAGTCAATTGGGAGCTCGAAGCAACATGAACCCAGACGAACGAACCTCTTTCCCACCAACTACGAGGGGTACTTCTAAAGGCGCTTTGCTTTTCAAGGCTGCAACAGCATCCGCAAGCTTTTGCCTGTCTTCTGAGCCTTTTGCATAGTGTTTCTATAACATTTCCATAGTCAGCCTGAGCACAAGGCAAGAATGATTAAAGACTCATACATTTGGCTCATTCGACACCTTCGGGACTTTAAAAGCAGCCTGGGTAGCCATTCTAACGAAATCTTTTGCGACGAACGATGACGGTGATCTCGAATTGGGGACAAGGAACGGCGAATGCGAGCAGTTGGAGAGGACGGGAAGACGTCGCAAGGGGCCCATTTGCAACCTGGAAGCGGAGAAGCAAAAGCTTTTAAATCACTCTTACCACATTTCTACGCCACCTCGATTGGAACACGCAATGCTATTTAATGAAGCTCTTAACTGGCACAGACGCCCGTTGTCGCAAGGGTAAGCTGTTTGCTGGTGGACACAGCGGCTAGCGACGGCCATCGAGGCTGCAGCTGTGCCCCACAGCGGGGATGCGACTTGCGATCTCGGACACGATCTCTGTTAAGCCGGCACTCGCGCTGGGAAAGTCAAACGCTGGTGCTTGCGGCTCTCAGCGGCATAAGATATCCAAAATGATTATCCTAACCCCTTCAACGATGCCAACGCGTCGACGGCAATCGTCTCTGCTTGCCTAATAAGGCGTTCGTTTGCTGATAACGCCAAGGTCCTGGCCCCGTCGCTAACCTCGACCGTGCTCAATTGCTTGAGCACGCTATTATGCTTATTGACAAACTGCTGATTCTACTTTACACACCCTCGCGTCATCAGTTCTGGATCTATGAGTACCTGACTCTTTTATTTTTTATTTTTTTGATCGAAACGCCATGTGGTCAAGCACAAGGAGTGGTTCCAGCATAGCCAGGCTCCAAACAGTCACAGTTCTGTATCAATCGCCGGGCTTGAAGCGATTTGGAGTAAAAGAAAGAATCAAGAACATCAGATAAAGCCTCTTTTGAGGATGTTGGAAGAGAAAAGAAGATTTGAGAACCACCGGCGATCTGGCGCTGCTGGCTTTCTGGACCATGAAATTGACATCGAGAGACCGAAAAAAGCAGTCGTCATCATACAGCATGTCTACAATTTGGTCGCAGCAAGACTTTGATGCCGAAATGCTTTGATCATGTCGAATAAGAGTAGAATCTCACGTGGAGTCGTCCCAAATTGGCAGTTTCCAATATAGGCGAAATGGAGATAGGCCGGCGTTAAGCTAAGGAGAGGTCGTTAAACGACCAAACGACGCCCTGGCATCGTCGATTGGACCCAACATTCGTGAACTAGCCCTGGGACGCGGACTTAGCATTTGAGCACCGAGAGTTTACGATATTGAAGCTATGTAGAATTTACTGTATAATAATACAAAGATGCCGCTTCGCCAAGGTCTCAGGGTCTGTCAATATTATATTCAAGCTGGAGAAGAAAGTTACGAGACACTTTTCAACCTAAGTTGGTTTCGAGGATCAGAATATGGCATCACAATATCCCATCAGCATTACGGGTCTCAGTCCCCGCGACGCAGTCATTGATGCGCTGCATCGCAGCATCCTAGCGATCGATTCTGGGGACGTCGCTTTGTTTCAAACATGCATGTTCAACTCTCCCGAGACGACCTTCAAGATCGTCGGCGGCAGGACTGTCCAGGGTTCGAAGGCTATCGAAGAGCACATGGTGAATACAATCTTGCCGTTGTCCACGCTGCATTCGGTCACAAATATACGCGTCTCTTTTCCAAATTCGAATCCTGAGGAAGCCAAAGAAGCACGTTTGACAGCTAACGCAATTGCGTACCATTATCGTCCAGAAGATGCTTTCAAGCCTGAACACCTGAGCTTCACAACGGGAGGCATGTATGATATCGAGATGTTGAAAGACGAAAGCGATGGCTTATGGAAAGCTAAGACCTGGACATTGAAGCTCAATTGGACAGAAGGGGATCGAGCGGCAATCTTTGGCTAGGCAGTATTTTACTGTATTATGACCAAGAACATTAAGCGCTCTCATATAAGATAAGTAGTTGAGTCGATTCTGAAAAACAGTTATTAGCATTTCAACTTCTCTCTCAAGTTCCATCACTTGATGCTGAAATATTTGCTTCGTCAATTCTACGCTTAGGCTGAATGGCACGAGCACGTCCCTTAAGGAGTCCTGTTTGATGAAGAGGAGAAGCTTGTGAATGTGTATGTCTGTGGAGCACTCATTAGAGATAATATGGAATTACGGCTGCGTGATGGCAAGGGCGCAAACAATTGACTCAAGATTCGCATGAGGATGGGACGTTCGTTCTATGTACTGGTCACGTTAGCTACGCCAAGAAGCTTCCCCCTAGAGCTAATATGTTGACTGACTGGTCAATAGCCTCGATGAACCCCCGTACATCGACTGCCATCAATGTAGTCGAGGCCATAGGAAGGTAGTTGATTTAGATAGCATCGCAGATGACCAAACAAAGGGAACTGCGTATCTGTCCTTTTTCTACCGCCTAAGCAGGTACAAGAACGATCTCGTTTGAGGCGTCTTCCCTGTTGGGAAAGTCGCTTTCGCCAAGTTCAAACTTATGCTCCGGAGTCGTCGGGGCCAGCTTGCCTTCTAGTTTTTGGGACAGAGCGGTGGAATAGTTGATCTTGGTATTGACTATATTGGCAAATGGTCAACGAACGCTGATCTCGTGAAAATGAAGGTACAGCATGTGATCTCATCATAATTGTACGTGCACGAACAGGGAAACATATACCAAAGAATAAATGGTACGTTTGCTTACAAAACGACATCTCAATGGGTTTGTCTATCATCCGATGCGCGCATAAGCTTGGTGGCAGCCTCAGCCTTGTCTGAGGAGCTTTTGGAATCCACCAAGTCCAAGTAAGGCTAGCCATAATATTGGTCAAGCTTTACGCCAAGGCGCTGTGAAGCAGCCTAACATAGTGGGTGAATAAGCCTTAAATGCCTCCGCGGAGGCATTGAGGACTAGCGCTGATGATTACTGGCGCCATATGCTTTTCTGTTCATCCGATCGGCTAGTCGTTCTTACAAATTGCGCGTTTGTCAGCATTTATTTCTAGTTACGATATGCCTCCGCGGAGGTTGTAAAACGAACTCAACTTCGTCGACGACTCGTGCGCGGTGAAGTGAAGACAATCTCGAAAATAGCGCAAGTGAAGTCATTGTATGCGCCATTATCAGGCTTGGTCAATATCTTTTAGAATGATGATGGAAGGCTCGAAGACTACTCGAAAGGTATATATAGGCTAGGAACCCTACTCGTCGCGAAGAACCGTCAGCTAAGACAGACGCAGTCATGCGACTTCTGCTATCGACGCAAGATGAGGTGCGATGGGCAGAAGCCTCACTGCTCACATTGTACCGCATATGAAGTTGAATGTACCTACTCGGCGCCCAGCCGCAAGTCTGTACCCAGAAATCGACGAAACTACTCAAGCTCCGACAATGGGATTGACAACACACAAAACCGTTTGAAAAGGCTAGAAGATCTTGTAAAACAGGTAACTGAGCGTTTACAAGCCGCTGAAAGGGGAAAACAAGCTCGGAATCCCAACCAGCGAGAGTATGTCCCAGAGACTATACCGTCGATGAGCTCTGTCAGGGAATGCGAGAACAGTGCTTCAAAGTCGATGACTCTTCCCCCTCTACAGCAGGTCCTGCCAATTGTGCAAATCTACCTCGACGGGTTTAACTCAGTATTACCACTCTTTCATGCTGAGACTCTGCTGCAGTTAGTCCATGATTGGTATTGTGTTAAGACCGTACAACAAGACCCCGTAGCATGGGCTGCCATAAATGTTGTGCTTGCCCTCGCACAAAGGCACAACACTGGGGCTGATCACGAAGGCCCGTCTTCAGCTACGTATCTTAATAGGGTAGAATCTGTTCTACCAATGGTGGTGTTGGGCGATATTCAGCTCCTCAATGTTCAGGTTTTAGTAGGTATGGTAACACTGCTCCAAAACTCGCAAGATCTTCAGCCTGCGCTCATCCTACTCGCCACAACGATGCGTCTGGCCCATGCAATTGGCTTGCATGATCGTATTTACTCGGCGGACTTGGATACAAATCATGAAAGACAGCGCGCATATGTGTTCTGGCTGGCATATATCCTCGTCAAAGACCTTAGCATGCGCTCAAAACAGCCGTCGATCCAAAATGATGACGATATCAACCTTGACTTACCCTTACCAACAATAATGGACTACCACGAAGATAGGGGTAAGATCAGCATCATCGGCAGCGGTGGGGGTGTTATTTCCACAATGGATGGATCTCTCAAAATGAACTACTTTACGGCTCGCATTCAATTAGCTGCTATTGAAGGTGGTGTATATGATTATATTTTCTCGACACGCGCACGGAAACGCAGTCCAGCAGAGCGTTCCCATGCTTTAAAGAGTGTAGCTGACGCACTTGAGCGATGGAAAGCGTCTATTCCATCTGTATTCAAAACTTCTGCGGGCTTAAAAATGATATCATATCATGTGTTACGCTTTCTTGGAGCCTTGCATTCGACGAGTCTGGCTTGCGCAACTCTTATCAATCAAGCCCACGCTTGGGACGATGAATGGGTCGGAAGCATACGCAGATATAGTAGATTGGGCGTTGGGCTACTTCTACCACCAAAGTGGGAGGCACTGGTGAACGAAGCAAGATATTTGCTGGTCTTGTCTGAGGAAATAGGGACAAAAAATCGCCAGAACTGGTGGTGAGTATCAAACCTTCAATGAAAGCCCGCAAGATAGTCATGGATCTTGTCTATTCTCTTTGTACTCTGCTTTTCCAAGAAACTGACTAATGGCACTCTATAACAGGGCAATGGGGTGTCCGTAAATGTCGGCTATGGTGATTTTGACAGCTAATACCATGCATAACCCGAAACACGACAAACGGACCTTGGATGGCCAACTCGTTGAAGCTGGTCTACGAACAGTGGATAAAATAGCAGAAGAAACCGATGCTGAAAACTTACGCTCATTTCGGGATACTTGCACCGAGTTGCATCAGCACACAATGAGGATGGGTTAAAACAGCAACCGTGGCCGGCAATGTTGCTTATTCTTCGTGTTTTACAAATGCAAAAGCATCGATTTGAAGGAATTAGAATTTCTAAATTAAGTACGCAAGGACAATTTGCAGAAATTTAGATTAATGAAATAAGGAAGGTACTTGAGATGATATCAGAAATTATCAGTCCATCTTCATAATTATGGCATAAACTTCATCCGTACATTTGCGCCGAGAACGTGCACAATGCCGTGATTTAATAAGCAAAAGGCCGCGGAAGGATCTTTCTGCTTACATCTATAGTGAATGATATGTGCAGCATTTTCCTCACGTTCTTGATAAGCCATTGCAAGTAAATGTCTCACAAGAGAGGCTTTAGTAAGCTTTCGTCGTCCGCGGAACCTCCATAAGTTAACATGATCAGACCTACAAACCAGAGAATAATGGAATGGATTTGTCATAGCTTGGTATCGTTGCAGAAGTATATCCGAGAAGGGTATTTCAGCATTAGGTATATAATGAACCCCATATGTTGCCAAAACGAGCAACTTATATTCTCTCTATTAGGACGACAAAACAGAATTTCCAACCCCTCGATCATTCTATATTGCCTATTACCATCCCTCAAATTGTCGATTGCTGCAAATACTCGACGACTGATCGATCTGACGTGTATCGGCTAGAAAAAAAGATGTCTACCTACGACGGACCGTATGAGGGAAATGAAATGTTTCAATCCTTCACAAGGACTTGGCACAGCAAGCCTTATCCATCAATCTCGCCTTCTCGGCCAGAGCTCAGTGCTTCTGGAAAGGTTGTCTTCATTACTGGAGGAGGCACCGGCATTGGCAAAGCCACGGCCATTGCCTTCGCGCAGGCTGGTGCCAAAGCCATTGCCATCTTCGGACGCCGCGTGGAAAAATTGAAGCTGGCTGCAGACGAAATCAGCAAAGCCAATCCCAAAGGCACCACTGCCGTGGTCACTGCGAGTGTTGATATCACCCAAGGTCTGGCTTTGGAAGCCGCCTTTGCCAACGCTGTCAAGTCGGCAGGAGGGACAAAAGTTGATATTTTGGTCAGCAACGCCGGTAGCTTGAAACCGCCGACTCCTCTTACTGCTTACGACGAGAAGGAATTGCGTGAAAGCATCGAGGGTAACCTGATCGGTTCGTTCAATGTCGTCAAGGCAATGGCACCTTTGCTGGCGACCAACGCCAAGATCCTGAACATCAGCTCCGGCATTGCGCATATCAATCCATTACCTGGATTCTGGGCCTATGCAGCCCTCAAACAGGCAATCGCTAAAATGTTCGACTACCTCCAGGCAGAGAACTCGAGCCTCCACGTCTTCAACGTCCAGCCTGGCGTGGTTGTAACGGAAATCAATCAAGTTTCCGGTTTCGGAGGTCAAGATGAAGGTAAGCCCGACTGTCCTTTTTATTTTCGGATCCGCCTGTGTCCATGGATCCATCCGTTTGATCGCTTTGACATGTTGCGATGGCTGATTCGTATACCAGTCGAGCTCCCAGCTCACTTCCACGTTTGGCTTGCGTCTCCCGAAGCCGAATTTCTCAAGGGAAAATTCGTCTGGGTCAACTGGGATGTGGATGAACTAAAGGCGCACGCCAAAGAGATTCAAGACTCAATGCTGTTGAGGATTGTTTTGAATGGCGTGCCGATGTAGGATGGAGCTGGAAAAGGAAACCTGAACTACCGATCACCGCTATCCTGTCGCTAGTCTCATGAGGCCAACGTAGCAAAAACTCATGTAAACGATGCGCCACTTATGAATTCGCCAATCTCTTCTTGAAGCTTGGCCCGTCAATGTTTCACCTTCACCAAGTCCTCTGCCCTAGATCCTCATGCCGAATTCATGATGCCAACAGTAAGATCCTTCACTCTTAGACGCGTGTGTGTAGGGCATCTATCCTGCAAAGCACCACAAGATCTGGAAGGTCTCTATTCAGTCTGGAATAGCAGCCGTTTGGTCCTGCGGAAGACATGATAGCGGTTTAAAAACTCCAGGACTGCTTTCAAACTTCTTCAAACTACCAATATCATTGTCACGCAACGAATTTGGACAACAATACGATGGAGGCGGGCCACGCAAATATCTTTGGCTTGTACTGGAGAGAATACATAGTCCAATATGCAAGTTCATTCGTGAGTAGTCAGTGCGATATTTGAGCGGCGAAGGAGATGCCTCGAGTTGCTGACACATACGCGAAGCCGTCGGGAGCATCTACTCGGAGAAGTTCAAGCAAATGGTAAACATTTAAACCGATGAAAGGCAGACTAGAAAAAAATCCATTTGGCTGTCCAGTTAAATCGATCGAATAGTCATGGTTCCAGGTATCTTCCAAGTGGATTTCTGTACGGACATTTCTCACCCACCCTCATGATGGTGGTCATCATGATCTTGATTCCGTGTTTGATGTGTTGAGAGTTTCGAAATATACCGAAGGAGATGAGAGGGAGGCGCAAGCGATGGGTTGATAGCATCAGCACTAATCTGATGAACTTCTTTCTTCCAATAAAACGAAATAAAAAAAATAAATAAAAATAAAAATTAAAACTCTGTTGGTTGAAGTCTACAACCAAAAGTGTTTAGGGGTTTCGGTAACATCCCAGAAACGTCTACGCAACAAACTCCGAACTCTTCGTTGACCCAAAAAAAAAGCCATGCATGCGTTTCTAAACTGCGAAGGCGCTTCAGAAATGTTCGTATTGCATTCGCCATTTTCCGTTCCTACGATTCTGTGTTGAAATTGTGCTGAACTTCGTGACCCTGCTCGAGCGGCTTGACAATGGAAAATCCCGCGTCATTTGGTGACTTCCGAGAAAGAGTATTAACCCTCGCATATTCTACGCCTTGCGACGGAGACACTCGTCGTCCTGCGTCCGTCGATAATCAGCAACCTGCTGTGGAACGAGGCTGAAGATCTCTCGTCATTCGGGTAATGCCCTGAAAAGTGCGTCTCGCTGTGATGGATGACTAGACCGTGCACCCGGAGGATTTGCCCTCCTTTTACACCGCTCATTTGGATTTTTTTTTGAGAAGGGCTGAAAAAAAGTCATCTGAATCAATGAGCTATCTTTGGTCTCATGACTCCATAGAAACATCCACGCCATTTTCAGCTCCTCCCCATAGCCCCTCCAGCTTGAATTCTTCGGCCCACTCTTTCACAATCTTGACATGATCCACTCCGTCCATATTCATATCCACATCTTCGGTCACGACTTGTCGTACAGGCGGATCAGCCCACCCTTGGATCCTACCATCTCTCCAGTCCGTGATGACACACTGTGCAGCGCTATGTAGGTTTGGTATGCCTCCCCTACCCAGCCTACCTCGCTTCCTGGCAACCTGGACGAGGAAGTCTGTCGTAATGTCACCTCCAGTTGACATGAGCGGTGGAAGATCATAGACGTTGAGAAGTTTGTCCATCATCTCCTGCGAGGCTGACATTCGCTTCAGAAGCAGTGTCACCGCCGGTACAGGATCTTCAATATCCTTTGGTGGCACGGCATTAAGAAGAATCAGGCGTGCATGTTCTTCTGACTTCGTCATCTTATTCCCAGTTGCGGTTGGGAAGACAATTCCTGGAGAATCAAGGAGCTTCAGCTTGTTGTCAAGCTTGACTTCCCTCAAACTTGTGGTCACGCCTGCTTCTGCTCCTACCGGGGCAGCGGCTCCTTTGCCCATTCGTGACGTAAGGGCGTTGATGACGGACGACTTGCCGACATTCGGGTAGCCAATGATGCCGACCGATATGGATCGCTTGAGCGATTTGGACTGAGCGTAGGTTTTGAGAGCCTTGAACAAAGCTTCCGAGGTGCCTTTCACACTTAGTTGCTTGTGGTCAAAAGTCCGTGCATTTGGAGCGGGCATCGACGCTCGAAGTGGCAGAGTAGGAAAATATTTTCGCAGATGCGTGAGCCAACCTTTGAGAACATTTGGCGGCACCAAATCAATCTTGTTCAGGATAAGAATCAAACGTTTGTTGCCACCATCTGCAGCCAAAATCTGCCGCTCTACCTCCCTTGAGCGTGTTCCTTCCGGATCTCTCGCATCCAAGACGTACAGTATGACGTCGGCCGACTCGATGACTTGCTTGAAGATTCTGTCAAAGGCTTTTCTCGATGAGTCGCCCTTGGCAGCTGACGTCGTCGTGTATGTTACTTCGTCTTCGAAGCCGCCGAAATCGTCCTCATCGTCTTCGTCCATGGCGTCTAGGGATGCCCCAGCTTGATCATATTCGACAGCTCTTGCTTTTGCAGATGCCAGCAACGCAGCCATTGGATTCTTGCTGTCGTCCACCATGTCCATGTCTCCCTCGTCGTCACTGGCGCTTTCGCCGTCATACAGCTCCTCAGCATCTTCCCCATCCACGTCAAGGTCCTCACCATCGACATCTGCATCGACAGGATCGCCATTCGTCTTGAGAGCCTTTAGCTCCTCTCTCTTTCTTCGCGCTTCCTCTTCCTTCAACCTCTTCTTCTCCTCAATTTCTTGTAAAAGCTTTTCTTTGTAGGGGAAAAGATTGGGAATACCAGGGTCCTTCTTCAACCTCGTTCGCCATGTGGGATCTTTCTTAGCAAGTTTGCGATTCTTGCGGTGTTTCGCAGCGCTTGCTTTCTCGATCTTGTGCCTTAGTCGCACGGGCTGGCGCTTAGATTTTGGCTCTAAAATGAGTCAGTACAGTCCAAACAGCCAGGAGCAAAGTTCTGCACATACTGCCGACCTTCATTGCGGATGTTGTGCAGCGTTGTCTTCACTTCTCCATCACCATCAATAATTTTCGTGAGAACTTTCTTGCCAAGATTTCACTGGACCCTGATAGTTCTTTTGCACTAATCTGGTTTTGGTTGTTGGCGGATGCGATACCGAATTCAGTAATCCAGCAGTGCAGCGTAACCTTTTTGTCATCCATTGCCAAAATTTCCTCAATTTGCCGTCACGACAATAACAAGGGAAAAGAATCCTTTGACTCTGTCATTCACTGAATTTTGCTACGCAGTCGCTCAAGGTTTCAAGTTCATCCAATCATGCCTCACTCAGAGGAGAGTCTAGCCTTCACTGCGCCTCCGGAGGTGCATTCTTTTGAGGGGCTGGTAGGTGTACCGCGTATGGCTGATTTAACCAGCACTCATTCTAACAGCTTTCTGTACAGCTTTTTGACATGGACGGAACAATAATAGATTCAACTGCCGCAAGTATGATTTCCCCCGTAGCCACCGCGATATTTTGTCGTGGCGATAGCTAATGCGGAGTTTTTTTTTTCGGATTCGCAGTCGTTAAGCATTGGGAAGAGTAAGCCGTATCTCAAGATTGTTCCCGCTTTGCCCGAAAGTCTCCAGTCAGCTGACAAGAGCACTTGTATTTCTCAAAACCAAGAAACTAACGTGAGACAAGAATTGGTAGAGAGATTGGCGTAGATCCTGCTGTCATTTTGGCCACGAGTCATGGCCGACGTTCCATTGACGTTCTACGGGAATACGATTCATCAAAGGCAAACATGGAATGTAAGCACGCACCCATCGGGTGTAAGTACCAGTACCAGGTACACACCTACCATTCCCCCCCTAGTTCCACGTGCTTATAAGCGTCTCCTAGACGTCTCACAGATGGAAGGTCAGATTCCCGTAAAGTATGGTCAGGATGCCGTAGAGATTCCTGGTTCACGAGCGCTCTTGGATGACCTGCAAAAAGCCGGCGCAAAATGGACAATTGTCACGAGTGGTACCCGTCCACTTGTCACCGGGTGGTTAGACATCATGAAGCTTGCACATCCTGAGAATCTCGTCACCGCAGAGGATGTCAAGAATGGGAAGCCAGACCCCGAAGGATATCTTCTTGGATATCGGAGGCTGGGCCTGCCAGTCGAGGGAAAGCCCACGGCAAACACTGTGGTATTTGAAGATGCGCCGGCAGGAGTACGCGCTGGCAAGGCCGCCGGGTTCAAAGTGGTGGGATTAGCTACGACTCACGCCGTCCAGCAGCTGAGAGACGCTGGAGCGGATTGGATCGTGCGAGACATGACAAGCGTCAGTCTAAAAAGCGTCGACAAGAAGACTGGCCAGGTGAGTCTAGAGATCTTCGACGCGTTGGTGTGAGTTGGTAGGAGAATTATTCGGCGCACGGGGTGCGATGTGGTACCTAGCTAGGAAAGGAACAGACGAACAATAGACACTGGGGGTTGTGTTTGCATCACGCGGGAGGTGTAGTCTAGCACTCTTGGGGTTTCTAGAAGCGTTGCATCGCGTTGAGGGCCGCTGGAGAAATATCCTGATGTAGACTCGTTTAGATTAACCAATTCATTGTTTCATGCCCGCGCGATTATCGTTACGCTCCCGGTAGCGCAGGCGACAATGTCCAAATCGTGTTGGCAAGATAGGGCCAGACGTGAAGTCAAAAGAAAAAAACGGTTAGTGGAAGGTAATTTGCTAGGTAGACGCTTGGGCCGAGCTGGCAGTTACGTGAAGTGGCACCAAGCCAGGCTCGTCCATCTCCAGCACCCTGTGATCCAAGGCTGCTTCCGAGTCGTGGACAGAAATGATCAGCATTCGCCCAGTCGCGCCGAAATGAGCGACATGGTGGAGAGATAGCCGGCATTGCGAAGTGAGCGGAGATGGTCCGCTGACTGCTGTGCAAGTGCTGGAGGCGAACAAGCGAGCAAGCAACGAGCAACAGAGGCACCAAAATCTAAGTTTGGAAGCGCGTTCGAAGGCGTTGAGCATGGTTGGCGAACGGGATGGGTTTCTGAGGAGTCATTGGCGCGTATTTCTGGACGACGGGTGCATCCACCTTTCCGACGACAGAGGGGCGAATGGCAGCACGCAACGACGACATTCAGAATCACAGGAGAGACGGTTCTTGGCAGGTACACCCAAAAGCGCTACTCGCACGCCATCTCCCAGAGCACCCATGTACAAGGTGCCGGAGTTGCGCTGTGGAGAAACGCCAGCGACGGGCGATGCAGTGCGATTCGATCGTGGTTTCTCGGGCACCCTGCCGAGCAGAAATCGCAAATTGCAAATGCATTCGTTTTGATGGCGAAATGCGTCGATCTTCAGGCGCATCCCGCGCGGTGGAAAGGGGTCCGGGCGTCACGTTCCGGGGACGGCGGATGTGGGCAAGGAGAGCTCGGATGAAGAATGAGGCCTTCCAGCAAAGTCTTGTCGTGCAGACCAAGCCGACTCACAAACACGCTGCCGACTCAGCAAGCGTGCTCCGTACAATGCCTGAAACGACGGTGGGGGCTAGCACGTCTGCAAGGCACGAGTTTCTGGGCTGGAGAGAAGGGGGGCGGGGATAAGCCGTGAGCGTGCAGGTGAGTTGCGCTGGGCGAGGGTGACGAAAGACTTTTGCAGGTGAACGTCCCCTGCATAGAGCAAGCACGACTTGGGACTAGTCGTCTTCGCCCGAACCTCGACAGCAAAAAGGATCGCCCTGCAAATTTAAAGGAAAAAAAAAGCAAGGCCCTGGGGCCAAGGGACGGCCGCTGTGCGGGCGCTGTGCGGAACGCGAGGGAGGTGGACGTGCCGCTGGCGTCGTGTCGTGTCGTTTCGTTCCGTTTCGTTTCGATTTGGGCTGCCCTGTGGGCGTGCACGACAGCGCAGAACGTGATCGGCTTTGACGTGCCTCTGCAGATTCCTGAGAGGACGAGGCGGTGCACCAGCGCCGTCGTGCACCGCTACGCAATCGCCATCCTCCGCCCGGCCGCGACGGCCAAACAGCGTGCTCCGCTTGGCTGCGTTGTGTCGTGCGCCGTCCTTACGCGCTGGGGCGACGGCCCCTGGAGCCCTTCGGCGCACAGTCGCGACGTTCCACGCCGAGCCAGCAGCACAACAGCCGCAAGGGCGGCGATGACGGCACACCACCATCAGCGTCAAACCCTATCCGCCCGTCGGCCGCGCGCCCACTAGCTGGCAGCCTGTTGGCGCCAGTGCCGTCGCGGTCGTGCCGCCATGGAGATTTTCCTCCGAGCACCGGGCAGCCGTCGTTCTTCCGCGCCCAGGCCCGGCGAGGGCACAGCAGCTGAGCAGCAGCAGGAGGCGAACAAGTCGGACACGCGCTCATGACGCCGGGGAGACGATCCAGACCGAGTTGAGGCAAGCCGCTGCGTTGCCCCGGACGGACGGCTTGCCAAGCAGCCAATGGGCCGCGCTGACGCTGGTCTCCTTTCCTCAAGCCTCATCCGGGCCCGCGCTGTCAAGCCTAGATTCGACATGCCAATGGCGTCGACGAGATGATTCGCGACGGGTCGCTCCTCGAGCCTGCTGGCGGGCACGCAGCGATCGGAAGCGCGACACCGTCCAAAGCGCGCGTCGCCGGCGAGAGAGGAGCGGCGGCACTGTGCGGGCAACGCCAAGCTCTTGTGCACGCCGCTAAAAATAGCGACCAGGACGCACGACGACGCTGCGTTTTGCTCCCACGCAGCGGTCGCCGCCAGCGAGGCTTGGAGCTGGACGTGCCCCAATCGGGCGCCGCGACATGGGAGCGCTGCCGGGGCAGGGAACGGGTGGGCGAGCACGGAGTCGCGCGAGGTGGACGAGACAAGCCCTCGCCGGCCATGCGCGTCGCTGATCGCCCCTGTGGGCTTGTTCGCCCTCTCCGCTCGAGCCACACCGTCCGCCCGGATGCGCTGGGTGGGCGAGCAGCAGTGCTGGTGCTGGTGCTGGCAGCAGCAGCGGCCGTGGACGGCGCGAGACGCAGCGGCAGACGGCCCAGCCTGACTTGCTGGCTGGTGCCGCTGCTGGAGCCGGAGCTGGAGCTGGTGCTGTGCGTGCGTCCGTCAGCTCGTTGCCGGCGTGACTTTTTACTTCCCGCCCAGCCCACCGGCTGACCCTCTGGCACTCTTCCACTCCTCCCCGTCCCACACTGCCTGGCTCACCTGGCTCACCACACCACCGTCTCCTCCGTCCTCCCTTTCTCGCCGTCTCGTCAGTCACTCGCTACTGCTTTCGAGACGCGTTCTTCACCTTCGCTTTGATGTGTTTTTACAACCCTCTTCAATGACCTTCGCTTGACCCTCGCCGTCTTTCGCTACGCCTCGTTTCCAACACTCGCTTGCCCTCCACATCGCTGCAGCGCTGCACACCGGACCCAGCGGACCCACGACCCCGACGCGCATCGAGCCTTCTCATCTGCCTGCCTTCGACTGCGACTCCTCTTGCCTGTCTCCATCGGTTCCGTCCGTGATCCACCTCGCCTGGGCTGGAACGCTGTCGCAGCCTGCCCAAGGAGTTCTTTGCCCGGCGAAACTGCGGTTCCGATGTCTGCTTCGGGCACCATACTACCGTGGACTACTCACGCTACAGATCTTGACCATCGCGCGCAATCAGCAGGAGGCTTCAGTATGAACGGCAGACCCATCTCGCAGCCGGCGGGGCCTCGACCCACGACCACCGTTGTACAGGTCTGCGCTGACGTGAAACCGCGCCTGACAAAGGACCAGCACGAAATCCTCGAGCGACACTTTCAGGCCCAGCCAAAGCCGAGCACATCGGTTAAAAAGGGATTTGCTGACGCCCTCGGCGTTCCTCTCGACAAGATCAATGTACGAGCGCGTCCCCTGATCGCAGAGCTCGAGAGAGGGCTAACCTATATCCGTAGAATTGGTTTCAGAACAGACGAGCCAAAGTCAAGCAGGACGCTAAGAAGCAACTGAATGCTCTTCAGCTCTTCCAGGCCACGTTCGGCCAGCAGTCTCAGCAGTACTTCGCGCATCCTCCCCAACTTGCTCAGCAACTGCCTTATCATTACGGTCCACTACCTGTCGTGCCGTCCAACACCGAGCCGGCTGCCGAATCATCTGCACCACCACAGCCAGTCATCGCCGCAGTGACCACAGACGCAATGCAGAACGCAATCTCAGCTCCCGAAGGCAATTTCGCTACCGCTCCGGAGTTCTCTATGCAGGCGCCCCTTATGACTTCCGCGCCCCACGGCATGGCCTTCGAGGCACAGCCGTTCACGCCTGACATGAACGGCCAGCCAATGTTTTTGCAGGATGTCAACTTCGGACCTTCATTTTCACAAGACTTCATGGCCATGCCAGGCAACTACGACCTCTTCATGCAACAGGCTGGTGCTGTCAGTGCAGTTCCCGTGACCATGGACACGATTCCTGCCAACGTCGTGCCGACACCACCTGCTGAGAGTGCGAGTCCCAACGCGGTGTCTTCGTTGACATCGCCATACGTTCATCAAAGCCAAACTGAGGATGAAAAGCCACATTTGATTGTGGATAGTCCCCAGGAGGTTGTTGAACTTTCGGCCGCCACCGGCCATCCAACTCCGGCCGATTCAACCACGACTTGGTCCTCGGCTGCTCCAGGACAAGAGTTCTACGAACAGCAAAATGCTTCTGCCCCGGTGCTTGCCGTCAACGAGCAATCTCCAGCGTCTGTCGATTCTGTCGAGCGCCACGAGTCGTCCGGCTTGACTGAGTCCATGAACAAGGTCGGCATCGATCAGCCATCTTCCGACAGCGAATCCAGCTTCAAGGCACCTTCTGAGATCTCCGGCCTTGCTGCTCGACGGCAGAAGCCGAGGCCTGCGAATTTGATGTCCACAGCGCTCCGCAGCACCTCTTACACCGCTGGCGTACCTGGGTCCCCGGGTGCGAATCCTAACAATCAGGACCAGCTGCGTCGCATCAGATCGCACGGCGTAGGGGTGAACAATGGTCGGATCACGAAACCTTCCGGTCCACAAAAATCGCCAATGCACGCAAACTTTGATGCAGCTGCCATAGCTTCGCCCAAATTCGCTCGACATGCCTCCAATTACTCGGTTTCCACAATCAACTCCAGCGGCCCACTGACCGCCACCACAATGCCAAATAGCCTCGCCCCACCAACCCCAATCACACCAAACGAGCTCACAAGATTTCCCATTGGACAGGCGCCTGGCTTTGGCTTTCCAAATGGCTCGCCTGGCGGCTTTGGCTGCGAAGACCCTATCTATCTTGATACCTCGTCTCCCATGGCGAAGCTCGACATGCAGCAAATGGAGCAGTACCGAGCCAACCTTATGGCTCGGCATGAAGCGTCACTTTTCAACACCCCTCCTCAGTCTGCGCCTGCGAGCCAGCAACATTTCGGCTTCACTCCGCCGAACATGGCTCCTCGCATGATCAACGGGCACAGCGGGCTTGGTCACGTTCGAAGACCCTCATTACCGGGCCATACTAACCAGGAGCTGAACGGACAGCTCCAGGCTCCACTGCTGCTACAATCGGGGCAAGGAACACAGCCTCCATACAACCCTCACCTTGCTGAGGCTTTCAAAGGTGACTCGAATGCATTCGTAATGCCGCAGGGCCTGCCAACGGGTGACACGTTCTTCCAATTCATGGCACCTCCACATATGAACATGAACGACTCGAAACTACCTGTCCATTTTCACAACCAGACGCCAGAGGACTTCCAGAACACCGTGCGACCAAAATGAGGGACATCTCGCGACCACTGAAAGTCGCACATTGATTCGCAACACAAATGTGCACGTACCACTCTTAACATATTGACGATACCCCGGAACCTTTTCCATCTATATGCTGGCTGTATCTTTATTCGATTGGCACTTGCGAGTTCAGTCGTCTGGTCGACATTTTCAACCCACGGTGTCCAACGAAAATCCTCTCATGAGCATCTTTCAGCGTCGGCGTTTTAAACTTGGATAATGGGTCGTTTCTTTCCCCTTGTTCTGCGGCAATCGACCCTGCGCTACATGACACAGTGGTTGCAGGTTCACTAATCCCTAATCCAACCTTTATTTTCCTCTTGCCACTCTAATGACTTTTTTATTTATTTATTTATTTTTTTATAAACTGGGCAATTTTGGGAGAGGGCCACTTGCAGCCCTCATGATGGCAACGCAATTCAGGCTTGGAAATCTTACAAAAATGCAGCGACGCAGATGGGAGGCTCTCCTTACGAAATTTTATCTGTACTCTACCTGAAAGGGATACAATTTTGTGATCTTTTTTTTTTATTTGAATTTCATGATGACCTTTCTACAGAAAATTATCCTTTGAACACTGCAGCCATTCTTTCTTGTTTTTCTTTGTCATTCTTTGGATCAATTCGTTGTCTTATCCTTTTAATGTTACTTACGTGGTCATTTGGGTACTGTCTTGTTTGGATCTTGGCCTCTGAATTAGTGTGAGTGCATTTGGGATTATAAGTTGTATTCTTTGTGTAACTCAGGGCAGAAGAGTGCCGCTAAACAAAAATGATACTTAGAGTTCATGCTCCTAATACAACCCGTGCTGAGTTATGCACAGCTTAATTACATAGGTGCTCACTTCCTCCCAAATCATGAGTGTACTGAGACCTTTATGAGCTCGACTATCGCCATTTCAGTCTAACGTACGAAACTGGAACGTAGCCAAGATATGGGGCGATCCTGTGTTTCGTGATGAAGATTCCGAACATGGTGCGAGCCTGTACATGCTCCATTCTAAGCCGAGCTCAAGCCGGTGTAAGATGTCAAAGTGTCTTTTCTTTGCCTTCAGCATCAACTGTAGTGTTATACTCTTGTCATGAATACACATGCAACGTTCAGCGATCGATCGAAGGCTCCAGGTGCGCACTAGCTGGCATCCCCTCGCCGGTTTTAGCGGTCTGATGGTTCCGCGTTTCGAGATCGCCAGCCGAGGCTCAAGCCTAGGCATGTCCAGCAAGGAGCACATGCTTCGTCTGGCAGATTTAAGAAAAGAAAAAAAGATGAGGAAGAAAAAAAAAACCCCCCCCTCTCCTATAAAAAAAAAAAAAAGAGAGAGGCATCTGGGACCCTCGAACTGCGATCCTTGACATTGCAAGGAAAAGGGCACGGAGAACTTTCCCGCTTTGAAAGAAACCTTTGCCGAACAGGCGACGAAAAGAAGAAAACGGTTTTTTTCTTTCCTACTCTATCTTTTCCATTTTTCTTTCCTGTTTGGGCGAATAATAATAAATAAATAAAAAATAGGGACCCAAAAATAAAAATAATACATGGCTAGTAAAGTTTTCGAAAGGGTGGTCAGCCTCCAGAGCTTGGTCTTTGCAAGCGTTGCGGAGTCCCTCCTTGTGGTCAGGTGGTTACCCAGCTACGTACCGCAGGACGGCCCGCTCGCATGGGCGCTGCTTAGGGCTCTGGCGGCCAACTTTGCGCTGTACTGCGTCTTCTGGGGGCTCGTGTATCCGTACTTTGTATCTCCTTTAAGGCACTTCCCGACCGTCAAGGTACGTTCTTGCAGCAGAAGCAGCGGAACAGAGAGAGAGAGAGAGGGGGGGGGTTTAGATTGCGATGTCCATCTCTAACTCACGACGGTCCAGGATCGAGGGTCGCAATGGGCGTATCTGAGGGGCGCGACGAGACGACCTCCGGGCCAGCACCTGCTGGACTGGTCCGAGCAAAGCGAGAACGACGGCCTCCTGCTGCTGCGGAGCCCGTTTCACAGGAGCAGGCTCTTGGTCACGAAGCCCAAGGCGCTGTCTGACCTGCTCGTCACGAACGCGTACGACTTCGTCAAGCCGAAGAAGATTGCAAACTTTTTGCGGAAAGTGCTCGGCGACGGGCTCATCCTTGTCGAAGGCGACGTGCACAGGTTCCAGCGCAAGCGAGCCATGCCGGCGTTTTCTTTCCGGCACATAAAGGACCTGTACCCGATGATGTTCCGCAAGGCCGTCGCTCTGACGGCCGCGATCACCGCCGAGTTGGCGGAGCAGCCGCAGCGGGATGACGGCTACGGCAACGACGTCGTCGCCGGCACGACGGAGATCAACTCGTGGGCGAGCAAGGTCACGCTCGACATCATTGGCATTGCGGGGATGGGGAAAGAGCTGAACGTGCTCAGAAACTCGGACGACCCTCTGGTGCGCAACTACGACGAGTTGCTTGAGCCCACCAAGGAAAAGCTGATGTACTTCCTTCTGTCGGCTTTCTTGTCTCCGGGCCTGGTGAAGCTGCTTCCCTGGAGGATGAACGAGGTCTTCGAGCGTTGCACCACGGGTCTGGGTCAGATATGCGTGGAGAACGTGCGGGAGCGCCGCGAGGCGATCAAGTTGAAAGGAGACGACCACTTCGACATTTTGAGCCTTTTGATCAAGACGAACGACTTCTCCGATGCCGAACTCGTCGACCAGCTGCTAACCTTCCTAGCTGCGGGCCACGAGACGACATCGAGCGCCCTGACGTGGACGTGCTTTCTGCTTGCCAAGCATCTCGACTACCAGGAGAAGCTCCGCGACGAGATCAAAGAGAATCTTCCGCCTCACGTCTTGTCGGACCCTTCGTTTGACCTTGCCACCGTTCTCGAGAGACTCCCGCTCTTGAACGGTGTCTGCAACGAGACGCTCCGGCTGTACCCAACCGTTCCCATCACCATGCGGATTGCTAAACGAGATACGCGTCTTTTAGGCTCCTTCATTCCTAAGGGAACGGAGATAATGATTGCGCCGTGGGCTGTCAATCGATCCAGAGAATTATGGGTGTATGACTCCACTCCCAAGTCTGCTTCAGGAGCTCCCCACCCTTGCTGACGCGCTGTACAGATGTGCTCTTGTTTGTTTGTTTGTTTTGACAGACCATGCTAAGAAAATATTGTTGTAGGGGGAAGATGCCTGTGTGTTCAGGCCCGAGAGGTGGATCGACGCGGATACGGGCAGGCCCAACAACACTGGAGGAGCCGACAGCAACTACAGCTTACTCACGTTCTTGCACGGTCCTCGCTCTTGCATCGGACAAGGGTTTGCGAAAGCAGAGCTTCGCTGCTTGGTTGCGGCCTTTACATGGGCGTTCGAATGGCGGCTGAACATGCGTGAGGAAGATGTTGTGCCTGCGGGCGTCATCACAATAAAGCCAGAACATGGTCTTCACCTAAAACTACGGGCTATTGGCAGGTGGGGGTAAAATTTGGGATGTAGCCTGTGTGTACTACTATGCCGTTTGTTGCGCTGAAATCTTGAGCCGCACATACGAGTCGGTTTGATCAAGCGAAGGCAGGAGTCGTTTCCGCAGTCATATGCAGAGCCGAAGAAAAAAACCGGTACATGAAAACTTTGTGCCATGGAAGGGAACCCTTCCAGCGAGAATTCTTAGGAATCATGACAAAGAGAGAGAGAGAGAGAGAGAGCGTATCAGCCTTGTCAGACGAGACATCCTGGTAAGCGATGTAGGGCTGCGCCCCAGACCAAGGCAAGGGCTTTTCTCGGCGCAGACATTTGAGATCTTGCGTTCTGTCCCAAGACAGATCCATTTCATCACGGGTCAAGCCGTTCGTTCCAGCTTCTTCAGAAGCAGTAAGCAATTCTTGCTGGTTGAATTTCTAGCATTGCCGGCACACCCTCACAAGCCGCATGCGACACTCCGCGATAGCATCACATGGCCACTGTTTCGGGAGTCGGCACTCACGGAGCACAGCGGGTTGTTGCGCAACCATTGCACCTCACATGCGCACCTAGCGTGTGCGGAACAGAGTCGTACAACCGCGCAAGAATTCATGAGAGCCCTTTTATCGCGCGCCCAGGGGGAGCGAGAGTCGTCATTTGTAAGGCCATGTCGTGTGCTGACAGCCGTTAGTATCGCACAGATGCACCTGAATGGCGTGGCAACCGTTGAGCAGAGCAACCAAGGCCAAAAAAAAAGGAAATCACAACATGAGTTGGCAGCATGCGAGCCAAGTGACACACATGCGCGATCAACAAAAACATGAAGCCATCGTGCCAAAGACAGAGGGAAGATGACTCCAGCGACTACATTTTCAGGGAAATTCGTCTACGTACGCCATTTGGCGGCCCAAGGAGGAAGGGATACGCATGCTGGCAAGTGCCGATCATTCCTGACACGAGCACGAAGCCTGGGGTTGGCTTGGTAGCCAAACGGAACCAAGCGCACATCTGCATGAGATCCAGACTTTTTCGCAGGCTGAGTCAAGGTGACCAAACGTGCTTTGGGAGGAAAACAGATCAGCACTGTCAGGCGATGAGAAAATATCAACTTATATTGCATGAGCGTGTCTGCAACCGTCTCTTGACTCTCATTCCTCCTCCTTCCTGTCGCCGAAACGGAGCCAAGCTATCCCGTTGCAGCGCCGTCTCGAGGCCCAGATCTGAGAATAGATCCGAGTGCAAAGACATCAGTCTGCCTTTGCTTATCAACAGGCTCCCGAGCCCGTGAGAAACTGAGCGTCGAGCCAAGACCCTGAAATCCAGTACGCTGTCAGTCACGTGCTCAACTGAGCTCATCACGATGCGGTGGTAAGTGGATCTTATGCATGTTCGGATGGACGCATGGCCAACGAAGAAAAATGGCAGGCGATTGAAGGACGCAATTTGGCGAACGTCGTCCACATTTAGCCGCAAGGACTCAAAATCCTCTGCCGACGCGCCTTCACAACCGTCGCAACCGCTCGCGAGAACGACAATCTCAGATTGTGCGGTAAAGACCGTGTTTAAGACGCCCGAGCTGCTAGAACTCATCCTGGTGCATCTTGACCAGCAAGAGCTGTTGCGTGCGCAGCGAGTCTGCCGACGCTGGAAGGACATCATCTGCTCTTCGCTACCTCTCCGGCAAAAGCTCTATCTCTCGCCCGCCGCCAAGATCGACGAGAGCATTCCAGTCGACAACGCGTGGCTGAAGAGCAGGTTTCCCGATCTTGAAACGTATCTTCTGCAGGGCAATCCCAAATGGAGACCGAAGTTCATCAAGGCGCTAGGCGCGCAGGACTTTGACAGGCTTGGAGCAGACTTCTTCCTTGACTCCAATGCCTCCTGGAAGAACATGCTTCTGACTCAGCCTCCGATAAAAGAGGTCGTTGTCTACTCGAATATCGGGGACATGTCAAGGCCCGCATCAAAGCAGAGTCGGCGAGGCGCCGGCCTGCAACTCGAGAAGCAGCGCCAGCCTGATATGCCGAGCATGGAGGAGCTGATAAAGGCATCTGTCACGGTGAAGAGCGCGACCGGCGTCACAATGGGGATGGTGATAGACGCTGGCATAGAGGCCCGAAGACGCGGAGCCGCTGCGGCAAAGAGGCGTATGTCCGATCGAAAGGACAGCGGCTACATCTCACTAGATGAAAATCGCGCGGAGGAGATCGAGGTTTCGGTGGTCGAGGTCACTGACTAGGAGACCTTCTGCCGGATGAGAAAAGCTACACTTGCATATCCCGTTCTTCCATGTTCCGTTTCACACGAGCATTAAAATTTGGAAGTTCAGTTCCTCAAGGCTGAACCTTGCTTAGCCTGCCTCGCGCTACGAATGTGTATATATTTATAGTCTTGTCTAGAGTCAAGCTTTCATAGAGTCCCAATAAAAAAAATTTATCCGTTATCTCATTTCGCATCCTGCCACTGCGAGCTTTGGACTTTTGAGTTGGTACGGTGAATTCCAAGTTTAAAAGCACCCTCCAAACAGGTGGAAATACTGGTAACGTCATGGCACAAGACAAGGTGGCCAAACTCAAATCTCCAAGCACCGTACATGCCTCAACTTTTAAGACTGCATACATAACTGAATTGGTGTAATTGGGGGCTCTACTGATTTCTCCCTTCTGGGCCATCCTGTCGGGTAAAATAGGTAGACCATGTGATGACGGAGTAGGGAAGCAGCTGGGCGACGTAGGGTTGATGTTGGTGTCGTGATAACGTGGAAGTACTCGGAACTAATGCTGAGGATTAATCTTGGCGTGAGAAAACTCGAGGTCACGCTCCAGCTACAGTAGCTCCTCAACGTTCTCCTCCAAGTCGCATGGCTTTCCTCAAGCAGGCCTATGTTAAGCATGAGATCGAAAGCGTGAAATGTGAGACGTCGAGCCTTACTTATAAACGCTTTGTATTGTCATTAGCACAAATCTTCAAGCGCAAAGTTTTTTAATATTTTTTCTATTTTTTTTTTTTTAATTTTATTTGGAGTTGCAATGGAATGCGGGGGGTGGGAGATTGTGTCCCCACATTTTACTCCTCAAGAGACTGGGCTTCGTATTATTCATCCCCTTGGTGACTCAGAACAAGATCTAGCAAATCATATGCGATTTAGCATAGCGCAAGCCGCTGTTCTTCCTGTTGTCCAATGCGAAGCTGTATATGGCTTGCATCTCTCGAAAGGCTTCGCAACAATGTTTGCCAAATGAAATTGCTTCCACAAGGACTCACTTGAGACATCATTATCATCATGTCCGCAGCAGCTAAGGCAGGATTCTCGCGCAAGCCTTATGTTGGATCATGCCATTGCGGTACGATCAAGTACATTGCGTATATCACGCTTCCTGCCTCCCCAGATGAGGTGAGCACGACGGAGTTCTACGAGGAGTCCGGTGTACGGCTGTACAAATGCAACTGCAATACCTGTCAAAAAATGTACCGTACCATGCCCTTTGGCCACATGACGACACATGGCTAAATCGTCGCGCAGGGGTATTTTTCACCTGAGGCTCAAGTCTCCTGGCGACGATTTCGTTCTGCTGTCGCCGCTAGACCCCCATGCAGACGACAGCGGGATGACAAAGTACATGACTCCCGCGAAAAGAAGTAGCTGGTGGTTCTGCAAGACCTGTGGAGTCAGATGCTTTACGATTCGAGGTCCGACCGAACAGGCCGAGGTCGAGGTGCCAGCGAAGAGCCTGGAGGCACTGGGCATCAAAGCTGCCGACGTCAGGTCTGACAGCACGGTGAAGGTCAAGGCGTGGAAGCCCAAAGACGAGTTTGTAGAAAAGGCGGGAGGCGGTGACTACTTGAGCATCAACGCCGTCACGCTCAACCCACAGCAGGAAGGTCTCGACCTGGCACTCTTCCACGAGAAGCAGTGGGTCGCGTACGTGGACTCCTTGAACCGAAAGGCGGAGTCCAGATTTGGCAAGCCTCATCCGGGTGGCATATACTAAGTTTGGGCAGTTGCGAGCACAGTAGGGTAGGTCGAATCTTCAACTCGCGGTCATCCAGCCTCAACGCGTAGCCATGGGTTAAGGGGCTTGTCTTGTGGGGGAACATGTCCCGGTATCATATGCTTAGCAGCGCCAGAGGGGCACGATTTCAATAATTGAACAACATATGGAACCTAATCAGGGAGGCTTTGAACTGAATCATAAACATGATAGAATGATCCCTTACTTGGACGACTCGTCCATGGGTACTCATAAGCTCGGTCGATAACGATCTGGCTAGTCAACATTATGGACGCAGTTGTTGTCACGTAGATGTGAAGGACAGCAAATTAGGAGACGCCGGACCCGCACGACCAGAGCGGTTTATCAAAGTGATGATTTCCTGGTGATTTTACCTGTCGCACGCGAGTGATGTGAGATAATCGTACATAATGGTACAGCGGACAGCACGAGATGACTGTCACCTAATGTCTTGCAGCTCACTTGCCGATAGCTCACCGGAAGTTTGACGGACTAACTCGTCTTCCGCTCTCTCGGCTTCAAGTCGTTTTCTCAACACCCATCCAATGAAAGCTCCAGCAGACACGCCTCCCAAATGGGTCAAATAGTCGGTACCACCATTTACTCCATCGATGACAAACCTGTTCATCCTCCAACGTACTAGCTCCCACACAATGATTGTCGCGAGTGGCAGCCAGCTAGAGTATTCGATCTCGCCTCCCATAAACTTCGGAAGATTGAGTTTGCGGGTCTCCGAGATGGTAAAATAAGCGCCGACAAGACCGAAGATAGCCGCAGAAGCGCCCAGGGTGGCGCTGAGATAGGATTTTGTGAGGACATTGAAGGTTAGGCTGGTAAGATAGCCTAGGACTCCGGAAGATAGATATATGGAGAGGAAGGCGCCGCGACCGACTTCCTCGTGCACTGTACAAGATTCGGTTAGAACGAAAATTTTAGTAAAGGCCATGCGGGGACCACTCACAAGGAATGCCAATGACATAGAGCATACTCATGTTCCACATCCAATGGGAAAATTGCTGATGGCTGAACAGGCTGCCTACGATGCTGAATGCGTGAGGATGTCCAGGTGAGAGAAGGAAGTTCCGATTCATCATTTTCCAAGCACTCGGATGACGCCAGAGCACCACAAGAGCGAGATTTATGCCTGCGAGAGTGAAGATAGTCGCTGCAGCTGGAGATATGGATGGGAAGATACGCATCGAGCTCTTCGGTGGCTCGTAAGACTCTGCATATGCCCAAGATAATCCTACCACAGTAAGCCCCAGAAGCGTAGGTGCCCAAAGACGACTAAAGGCTGAGCGATCCGCGAATAGATCCTCTTCTTTGAGTTCAGCCTCTTGCTTGAGTTTCTCCCAACGCTCGTGCTTCTTCTTGCTGGCATCCGCTTGTCGATTGTTAGCATGTACGACAACAGAGAGCAGAAAAACGTACCGATTGCCGTCTGCTTCGCGAGAACCAGCGCCTGTCCTTTGTATGCTTCAGGGGGCTTTTCTCCTCGCGCTTCCCTCTCCGCAGCCTCTTTCTCGGCTTCTATCTTGGCCTTCTTGCGTGACGCTTCGACATACTCCTTGCGCGCCATCAAAGCGCTTTCGCTAGTTATATCCCTGGTCTGATCTTCCCGCAGCGGTATCTTATCATAATGCTCATCAATGTAGATGTCTTCTTGTTCTTTGGACTCCTCTGCCTCTGCATCAACCTTCTTGTACAAACGCAAGCTCCTTGCCCGCTCCTCAAGTTCCTTCCGCAATGCTTCGGCCAACTCTTCCGCATATTCTGCCGCTGCAGCTTCTTCATCGACAGGATATGTATCTCGTAGCCATTCCAATGCCCTAGTGCAGTGATCACGCGTGAACTCCGATCTACCGGGAAAGTCAATGCCTTTGTCCGACAGTGAACCCGTAACTCTACGATACTGAAGCTCTTGCAACAACTCCATGCCCTGATCGAATGTTAAGCCTGGACCAAGAATACTGGCGACCTGTGTTTGTGAAAGATGAACCTGTGCCTTCTCTCTTTCTTGGGCCGGCTTGCCAGAAGGAGATTCAGCGGGTTTCGATGTAGGCGGAAGCGACGCGGAAGCATTCTTTTCGAGCGACGGTCGGGGTTCTTCACGCCGCGGTTTGACATTTCTTTTGCCAAACTTCGCAAATCGAGATGGTACGGTTGAAAAGTTTCTGCTTAGCCATTGCTGTTGCTGCCGAGCAATGGATGTACTGATGGCGTTACTGCAGACGGTATGTTCTCCAAGGATTAGGAACGACCTTGGCCATTGAAAAGCTGCAATAGATCTTGGCCCTTTACAGGGCAATCTGATTGCTATCGACCATGCATTGTTCATTTCTGGTGGATGGACCTCAGCATTGTGCGACGGCACGATATATCGATTGGAATTTGATCTGTCGATGAGCTGCAAGAAAAGGACGGCGAAGCCTGCAGTAGGGCTCGGATGAGCTAGCCCACTTGCGCCCAGAGCGCCACACATTACAATACATGCGCGGGGAGATCAAACACTCCGACTTTGTCACACATTCTCGCTTAAATCTCACAAGCAAATACAGCTTTGCATTGATCACAGTACTGCCTCTGTAAATTTCTAATTCCTTCTTTTCAGAGGTTATTGAATGCCGCTGAATGCACCACAAGTCGCCGTGAACTATGTCCAGTGAGTCGCGTCCAATAAGTCCGACTCGTTTTCGCGCTGCAATTCAAGATCTTCCTTTGGGCAACCTCTACGCCAAAGCCGCAGAGCTTCGGAATTCGATAGATCATCTTAAGCGCTCGAATAATGATCTCGCCGAGTTTGCGGAGGACTCTGATTGCAAGCTGGCTATAACGGAAAATCTGGAAGTAATTCAAAGAATGGAGGACAGAATATTGATGTTGCAGCAAGAGGTTGAGAGAAGAGGCATGAGATGGGCAGAAGGTGATAACTACAAAGAAGGAATGCTTGAACCAGGTGAAAACGTGGTTATGAATGGGATGGACAGCCCGACCCCAGAAATCAATGGCAACCCCAGCGAATCGACGGAGAGAGGCAACACCTCTACGTCAAGAGGAAGACTCACAGATGAGCAGCTGAGACGTCTCATTTCCGAAAGAATAGAGCAGTCCGAGAACGAGGATGAAGGGGTGCATCTGTAAGCCACCAGGGCTGCCCACTTGGACAGCACATTCAATTTTTGAACATGCAAATGGGCCGAGGACTGCAGATTTTCCGTGCTCGTTGTACGGCATCATGACATTGCGGAATTACAGGCTCCTGCATGCTTTCGGTCAGGTTTTGCTCGTGTAGAATCATTGTATCAACACAGGCCGATTCTATAGAGTGCGAACTCTCGTCTTTCAGTCGGAGCACGTCGTTTCCTCGGCAGACATCACAAACAATAAACTGCAGTATTCCAGTAGCAGAGGTGTAGGTAAGACAACTTAAGTCTTTTCTTCTGTCTGGCCGTTCACTTTGGACATTCAAAAGTGCAACTTTCTTTTGGAAATATTTTCTAAATATGTCATCAGATGCTCGAGCTCATTGAATCTAATACCAATTTTACTATACTTCAAGCAGACTCTTTCCATATATGAGAAAGTTCTGCATGAGTAGAAAGAGTATGCTTCTAGGTGTGTTCCAAATGAATGCATATCTTGGGCCGGGGGGACCTGGACGGATCCCTGCATATGTTCACTCAACCTTGCTTTCAAGTATCATTTTACCTGATTGTGACGTATGAGCAAGAACGTTTTTATTTCAGAAAACACAGATCAGATCTGAAATTCTCAAACGATCAAAAGGAAATCGAAGCAAACTTGAAACATATCGAAACAAGTCTGCAAGTCCGGTAATATTAACGAAATGGTTAAAGTCTTAGAGAATAAGCTTGTCGATCTCGATCTCATGCCTGGGCAAGAGCAGATCGACCTGAAACGCAAGTTTCGCGAGCAGATGAAAACTGGGCAAGCGACAATTGGAGATTCAGACGAAGGCAAGGAGATAGAGCTGCCCGAAGGCGCGAGGATCGTGCAAGGTGAAGAGGGCGCCAGGCTGGCAAATCAACAAGGGTTACAAGTTCCGAAAGAAATTCTCTCTGACAGCTTGAGCGCCGAACAGAAGCAGCGAGCAAGTGGATTTGGAGGCGTTATCATTGATAGCGGTGGAAAGGTTATTTCTGGACTGACGGGAACGGTAGGCGGGGTATTGAAGGGAGTTGGTGATACCGCGGGAAATGCTGTGAGCCTTGAGGTCCCACCATCCTGCAATACGCTGGTTGTGCTAACTCACAAAAGGTATTTGGGTTAGGCAAGACGGGCACAGGTCTTGTAACCGGGCTTGCAGATACGGCAAAGGCGCCATTTGCCGCTTCAAATACCGCTGCAATCCAGCAAGTTGGGGCCCCTAGCACAGGCGCACAAGAAGACGGCGACGCATCTGCAAGTGCCCAAGATGGCCAATCACTGTCCGGTTCTCAGGAAGAGTCAACAAAGATTGAACTACGCGGTGACGGCGGGCTGTCCGACGGTGAGCCCGAAGATGCTTGAATATTGCGAGAGCAAGATGAATGATATAGTTTCTACTGATTGTTGGATGAGATGAATTTCGTCGCAATGGGATCAGATCCTTATCCTGGTCACGAGATTTCCTACTCCTTTTCATACAGACTAAGGCCAAGGCTTAGCGAGATGCTGGATCTGCCTTGAGCTTTTTTAATTCCGTATTTGTCAATCATGGCGCATGTCTAACGCCACTATTTCGAACTTGTTCAGGGCTTAACCGAGGATTTCGACGACTGAATACTATGTTGCATTCGCTTACAATGAATAGAATTGTGGGACGTAGAGGAAGGGAGTCAGCCTGGCGCGAACTGATCAGCAAACCTATACCCGTTTTAGGGAAGGCGCGTCGATGCAGGGCAGATTTGGGCTGCACGTGGGGTACAAGCGAAGCTTTCGGCCAAAGCTTGAAGTGGCAGTGCCTGGCGACATGATGCATGATGGCCCTTCTGGAAGACTTCTCAATCTGCCATAAGAACCTCTCCATACCTGCTAGATTTCTCTTCTTCGATCAGCCTTGTCTTGGGATTTCATCTTAGCGCACTCCTAACAGGATCGGCAAAGATCCCGCATCTCCCCAATTTCCTCATACATTTTTCAGTCGCCACTTCATAAATCCATATAACCTTTGACGATTGCCACTTCCATAGCCTTGGCATAGGGTTAGCACACTCGCCGGACTGAACTATGGCGCAGGCGATCACTTCGGATGCAAATCTTTCATCACAGCCACAAGATGACTTACCTGGCTACTCTGTTGAACCGCCTGTAAATGTTCCGCGGGAGTTGCCTCCAGATCTTAGCGAACGATTAGTAAATCTGAAGCTTGATCCGCTTACTGGAGTAAATGGCGAATCTGTGTTCATGTCTTGTTCAATCACCGCTAACTACTCGCCTAGAATGGTGTGAACGTGTCGCCCGATCACTGCATCGCGCACTTGAAGTTTCTCGAAGCCTTGTACCAACTGAAGGAAACTGTTGGAAATACAAAGGACCTTTTTGGAATCTTAGATCCGATTGAAAGTAGCGAGACTCCGGCCACTCCTGGCAACGATCAGAATGCTCTTGCTGAGATCCGGGTACGCGAAAAGCGATGGGCTGTGTATGTGGCGCGTGCGGCACATCGCTTTGAGCAATGGTGGGGGAAATGCGTTTTCGCGACACGAGAGACAAAACTCACGACAAAAGAGCTCACGACCGAGAAGGGAATTGAGAAAGCTGCTTATCAGGGTGAACCTATCAAGACTTTGCAGTCAACAGACCGATTGCCCCCCCTTGGTACATTGACTGGATCCCAATGAAGCGTAGCACGAACCACTGACGGCGTTTAGATGTACTAATGGTTTGGCACTCCTACTTGCTTAATCCTCGTTGCTTCTTCGAGGATTGCTTCCGTTATCAGAAACTCGACTTCTTCGCGACGCCATTCCCTCTGGCGGCAATCGATAGGTGCATCGACCTTGTTACCTTTGAATTCAAACCTACTGAACAAGCTGTCGCCAACTTCATTTCGAAAACGGGCCTCAACTGGGACAATTTAGAGGATCCGTCCACTTTGGCGGTCATGTGCGGAGCCTGCAAGAAATCCTCAGAGGTGCCATGGACCTTCGATTCTCAATGGTCAGCTTCAAGCAAAGAGATGACCAGGGGAAGTGGATTCGCCGATGCGTCCTTCATGACGACATGTGAAAATTGCAAGACTCCTCTTGACCACGATCATCTCAGAGTTGTCAAGTTTTTGAATGACATGGATCTTTTAGTGATGTCAGATGTTCCAATGCCCGGTACTTTATTGACGCCTGATGGCGTTCCAGAAGCTCCAACAGGGACATCTTTCAACCTTGGCAAACCGTACAACAACTTCCCCAACACATTGATCAAAGCAGGCCTCCAGAAAGATTTGCAGAGCAAGATTATGAAGAGTCCTAAATGGAATGTGGAAGATATAAGGCATGCCATCGAGGAGGCTCTCAAAGATCAAGGTTTGATACGTTCGACGATGGGTTACCGCACACGCGTGTTAATGCAAGAAAGAAATGCAATACGTAAAATGATGAGTCGCTATTGGTATAACTCTTCACCGTTTGCACTTGACCTAACTGGCGCTGTAATTCGTCAGGGCTCATTCATTAACAAAATGCATGACATCGACTGGCTGCATTCTCCAGCCCTCAAGGGAACAATGGGACGATTGCTAGAGAAGTATAAGCGGTTTTTCCAAATCATGGCAAGCAATCCCAAAAACATGGCTGTACCGACCCTAGACGTGGATCTCGGCTGGCATACGCATCAGCTTAACTCTTCCGAGTACTATCGATTCTCGGTAGAATATGCGCGCCGATTTATTGACCATGATGACAAGGTCGAGGAAACTAAGCTTAGCGAATCGTTTGCGTGGACCTCGAAGAAGTACTCTGAGCTCTATGGTGAGCCATACAGCGAATGCCGCTGCTGGTACTGCGAGGCAGTTCGAGAAGCCAACTCCTCCAAACTCGATAGTCTCTTCAAGCCAAAGAAGAAGGAAGCAACCGCAAGACTGCACGAGGTAAACAACGAGACCGATCCGCTCAAGTCAGCCCATATTTCTGCCCACAATGCTGTTCGCGATATTGACGGGGAAGCCAAAGCCAGTGTTCACGCTGCAAAACTTGACAAAGCATATCAGAAGGCATGCGCAAAGGCTCGAAAGAAGGGCCAGAAGGAGCCAGCACGTGATGATTATTACGCTGCTTACTATTGGGGCTACCCAGTATACTTTCCGATATACTACCCATACGCAGCTCCAGTGGGTTTTGGAACTGGAGATTGCTATCCGGGTGCACCATATGCGTATTCCAGTAGCGCAGGCGCATATGGAAACTGTGCGGCTGGAACGTGCGGGGGGATGGCTGCCGCTGGTGGCTCGTGTGGTGCTGCTGGTTGTGGCGGAACAGGAGGTTGTGGTAAGCTTTCCTCAGAGCGCTTCGGCATGCTGAAATTTTAACCTATTGAGTAGGTGGCGTTTCCGGCGGAGGATGCGGTAGTTCAGGGTGCGGAGGTGAGCATTTCCATCCACTCATAATCAAAGGCGCACAATAACGAGGTTTCAGGTGGCTGTGGTGGCTCATGAAATCAATCTCTCTCAATCAGCCTAGACACACTGAATTGAGAACAACAGGTGGTCTTGAACGTCAAGCGTTTTAGTGGTGCAGTATCTATGCATCAGGGAGTTCACTGATAGTTCTACCTGAAACTTCAACCGTCCATCGTATCAATTCCATTAAGACTGCAATGTTTGTTCATATCTCAACTCGTGGGAAGCCGTCTTGATTCAGTATCTTAACTCAATACGGACAATAATTAATGACAGACTCTACGACATTTGATGAAACTTGTTAGGATTTAACTCATAGCTTAAATTCCAATGACTGTTCATAATTTGATCTAGAAACTCGTTCGCCCTACGTGCGTAAAAAAATCAAAACCGCAATTACGACTAATTGGCAACGTATGCATCAAATCAATTGAGATTGGTCTCTCCCATTGACCTTAATCCTCTCAACAAAGAGCCAAGTTTCGCTGCCACGTCACATGTCAAGCTATTGGCAGGCTCAGCGAAACACCCAAGCGAAAGAGCAAATGCCTCAGCTTGGCCATTGAATCGTACCGATTCATGTTAATATTACAGCAATTAAAGTGATCTCGTACGAAATGCTTCGACTAAAACGTGAAACTGAACAAGGTGGTGGCAACCGAAAAAGAAACTTGGCCCTTGTCGTCCCGTGCAGATGCGCTGGCAATCTGGCTTGTAAACGTTATCAACCATTGTCTGCGTCTTTTAAGTACCGAGATTCCGGTCTACGACATTATTCACGCCACAGGTTCTGTAGCCTTTGTGAAAGATGGGCCAATGCTGAAACTGTCTTCAATCTTTGCGAAAATATGATCGGATTCTGCGTGATCTCACACGAAAGACATGACAGCTGCGACTGCAGGTCTTTTTGGAAGTTTGCAAAAGAGATTCAGCCAGTGAGATTAAGCCCATCGGGAGTCCAACAGCTTAAGTCAATTTACAAGAGCTTTTGAGAAGCAGGATACGAATCGGAATATCTTGCTTTTTTTCACGCATGTGTTGTAGGGTCGCGCTCTGGGAATCATGTTTTTTTTTTTTAAACCGGTCGGCCTTCCTGCTTTTGACAGTTGGGCTTCAGCTGGGAAAGAAGTTCAGCTGAAAGACGCTGACCAGTCACATCGCAAACGTCTCCTCATCACGCGCATAGAATCTACGACATGCGCCTAGTTCTACAGCCTTAAGTCATTTAAGTGAAGTTGAGCGTTTTGAAAAAAAAAAAAAAAAAAAAAAAGGAGAGAGAGAAAAATCGTTGTTTCTCTTTCTCTCATGGCTGTTTGGATAACTGAGTCAATTGACCTGACTGCGTATTTTCATACCGCCTCGGGCCTTCGGGACATGCAAAGTGCCATCGCAATGACGTGAAGCCGATATCAGAACCCATTTAAATACGATGAGCCTCGACATTCCGTGAAGTTGTCAATATTTCCAACGATGAGCGAAAAGGTGGGGGACAGAGTAATCCATCCTAGTGATTCTCAGGCGAGTATGTCTCATGCCGGCCCTGCCATGCCTGCAGATTCTCCAGCCCCATGGACGCTTAAGTGCGAGGCATATGGAATACCATTCCGGCTTAACCCAAAGGAGCTTCCTCCCGGCCTGTATCATGACCTGGACACTCCTCCTCTTGGTAAAGGAAATGACGACTTCAGAGGTGGATATGGTAAGTGCCCCATTTCCTGATAATACCTCTTCATGACTCTGCCATATGCAAAAACTTCCCATTCGATGTCGTTTTCGTACTTTTTTTATGAGTTTTCGGAGTAAAAGAGAGAGAAAGTGATAAGGTTAACACTGACATCCTTCTATGCATGATTCAGATCGTACGATACCATTCCACACCCGTTGGCCCATACGATGAACTGCTTATCATACCGGGCTATTATGGCGTCCCAGGCGGAAAATATAAGGGAAGAAAGCAATTGAGAGCAACTAGGTTCTACGTCAGTCAGAGAGAGACAACATATAATGGAAGAAAGGTACTTTGTTTAAACGAAAAAAAATCTGTGGATAGTGGGGAGTATTGACAGAAGAACAGAATTGGAACATTCCGAAACAACTTGCACGCTTCGAATTCTCCGCTCCTCCAGCTTCTGAAACAAACAAAGTGCCGAAGGAACTCCAAGTTAAGGTCTTTCCGTATGGATCAGACTCAAAGACTCCGCCTTTCTTCTCTTGCACGCTATCGCCGCTACAGATCCTACCAGGCTTGCCAGCAACCACGAAGCTCCTACCAAAGAAGCCTTACTTGGTGCAACCTCCTGTTGGACAAGGAAAAGGTAAAGGGGAAGATCCCCTGCTGTATGAGACCGATCGGTGGTGCGGCATTCCCATCACTTCCAGCAGTCGTCGCATGCGTTTGATGAAGGTTAAGATCGACGAGCCGCCTGAGGAGGAGCGCAAGAACGGGACCCACTGGCCTGTAGTGAAGACATGGAGTTTTGGCCTGTGGCTTGAAGACGTGACTCTTGAGTTTCCGGTTGCCGAGGAATTCAGGCTATGAAGATGTCAGCTCTAACTTTCGCAACGCTCGCCCACACAGGTTGTTTCGCAAGGTCGAGTTCCTTCGGCTTCTAGGAACTTCGACCTCATGCGGCATTCTCAAAGGTTGTGTTCGCATCCCATTTCCACAACACCAACTTCGTTACTTTCAGGTTTGCGTCCGTCGACGGGTATCATTTGGCCTTAATGTTTAAGAATATTATATATGCTGAGCATCCCTTTCCCATTCACGAATTTGTGCAACACGACTGGGCCAGGAATTTATATCTTCTAGGTTGTCAGGGTCCACATGATCCTTTCCAGCAGAGAAGAGGAATGCGCCACATTGCGTGTGTTTTCCGAGCGTGCGCTTCACTTTACCAATCCTCGTACATTCACCATATCCACTAGTGATGGCTCCCTATCAGCAACGAACTCGCCGCCGCATCGGTGAGAAACCAGGCAACGTACCGCACAAAGTCAGCAATTGGGGACCCGCAAAGCGTGTTATTCCAAATCTCTACACCGAGTCTGACAACGAAGGTACTAAAGCTTGGCGTGAGGGCAAACCCGCCGACTCTCGTTATGACCTTCCAAATGGCTTCGATCCTGCCAGCAGCGTCGGCGTGCTCGAGATGTTTCGCTATATTGAGGATGCTACCAATACGCGCCTTCAGTTGCAGAAGTGCAAGAACTTCGCCGTATCAAAAGTTTACAATGTGAAAATATGGGGCGGAACACCAGAGAATGTTAGACAAGCATTGAGCCAACTAAGGAACTACTTTGCCCAGAAAAGCGGCCAAGACAAAAAACCAGCAAAGTTCTCAAAGATCGAATCAGACAGAGGATGGGAACGTCACCTTGCTCTTCACAAAAAAATGCAGCGAGATGAGAAGCGCGACAAGTTTCGAAAAAAACTCACAGAGAATGAAATTGCAGAGAAGCGATTTCAGTACTCTCTTGTTGTCCCTTGGAGAGAGGAACATTGGCGAATCGAGGATGTATTAGGACAGCAGCTCGAAGCCATCGATGAGGTTCGCATGGACGGATTGTGTTACATCACTTTCTCGCGTATTCTGAACGAGGCAAACTTTGTTCTCTTGGGCAATCACAGAGAAAAGATGTTAAGAGCAGCTGAGCGTCTTCAAACAATTCCATACTGCGTGGCTTCTCACGCCCTCTCGCCGTCACAACTCTTCCTCTTCAAACCGGTAAAAGTGCCATTCGACTACAGTGCTTTCGTTATCAAGCAAGTTGACTACTTCAAGCCAAAGTACCTCCTCATTCGACAAGAGGGTTCATCTTCAAAGGAAGAAGAAAAGCAGGGAAAGTTCCTTTTGCTACAGCCTACTGGCGTTAGCCACGAAGAATTTCTAACCGACGAAGTCTCCGCGGTCTCATCTCTTGAAGACCTCGAGGTACTTGGTCCGATTTGGCTAGGTATCCAACGTACAGCTGAAATCAACGCGCAATACCTGCATCGCTGGACTACAGCGGCTTTAAAGCACCTGACGATATACAGAGGGTACTTGCAAATGCAGGTCACAGTAGGCAAATGTGTTTTTCGACGTCATCGACACGATTCTGAGCTGAAGCCGTCAGTAGTTGAGGATATGCTTCTAGACGCAAACAATCAAGACCGGAATTTGGATGCATTCATAGCTGCTAGGTATAGTCTAAGCGCAAAGTGGAGAAATACTACGCCATGATCCAAAGCTCAGTCGGCACTAACACCATAGATACAGTGCAGACACAGTTAACGGCAGTAAACTGCTTGAGCGATTTATAAGCAGTGGGTCTTTACTTACCTTCTACGACTGTCCACTCCTACCAAATTGGACACCTGAAAAGCGTCTTTCAACCTGCTACCCACGATTAAGGGCGGCCTTTGTCTTCGGGAAAAGTCCCTCTGAAAATATTCGCCTCGAGGTTGAGTACAAGACAAGCTGCGAGGGCGGTTATGAAGAAGTATCGCGACGTTGGTTGCTCTTAGAGGATGGCGGCACAGTACCTCCATACTTCTTAGACGTCAACATGCTTGACCTTCAGAACCCGTAAGCATACCTTTCGAGAGCATTGTGTCTTTGCAGAACATAAAGATGCGTCGGCTTCGGACCATTATATGATCAATTTCTCTTCAGGTCCACTCAGCGAATGAATACTTGAAGACTGACGTGCAAAACTATGTAGTAATTTATCAAATAACTTAAGGATCTCCCGGTGCGAGATTTTGAAAGAGCTACAGAGTCAAAAAATCAAAGATATCCATCGCCAGTTCGCGAACAACATTAAACCGAACCCAAAGATAAAAGATTTTAACTACGCGGAAAATACGAGTCTTTTCCAATTTCAGGAAGATGCCAACACGTGTGCTCTATTGGATTTGAAGTTCTACGAGCAATCTCGCTCCTGGCTATTTTCTATAGGTATGACAGGGTATTTCGCCGAACTTTACGCCTCTGGGACGATGGAGATGAAAAAAAGCAGAAAGATGCTACGCAATCAATTGCGCGAAGCATGGCCACGTAAGGAATGCTGGGCGATTCGGGTGATTCATGAGCGATGGGGCAGTTTATTTAAGGAGAACGAAGATCTCGGAATTGGGAAGAAAACAAACTGGCAGCCAACAGAGGCCCAGTTCTTTCCCTCTGAGAATTACATCGATACTGAGGGTATGGAAGGGACAGAGGCTGAAGCTGGTGCAGGCTTTCTAAAACTGCAGAATATTGTGAAGATTGTGGAAGACATCATCGAAGCTGATGAGCTACGGGAGCGTAAGGTCGAAAGCTGCAACTTGGAGTCGACCTTTATTCCCAGCTTGAATCCTGACCAAGGGAAGCAAAATTCAACATATGATGCAGCAAAAACCGATCAGATTTGTCTGCTGGACTGATAGATGTCTCTCAAACTACATAGGATGGTCAAGATCGCGAGACAAAAAATCTAAAAACGACAAACTTAATACCTAGCCTTTCAGGGCAAAGCAACTATGTTAATGCACTCATCTAAGCTTCTCCAATTCACCAAATTAAGCCAGTAAAACGATACTCAGCTCAGCTTTAGCTAGATTCAGCTCATGCTGAACAAGTTCTTTTCAAGCTGGCTTTTCATATAGGTCCCGTTTTAGTCTTGGTACATCAGGCCACATTTTCTCAGCAGCCTACTTGCGTCTCATTATTTTTCTCTTGGAGTTTGTTCTCTTAATGCGCGCAAAATTTTGATCCTCGTGCCACGGATTATCCGTGGCATTCTTTTTAATTTGTTAGCTCCTAAAGAGAATTGAGCATGCACTTTTGATTCCTTGCAATCTTACAAACTTTTGCAGTAAAGGTGCCTCTGAAGCTTCATTAACTGAGAAGTAGTTAAAAACAGTGATCAACTCCTTAAAATTTATACGTAGCAGAATATCTAATATTGCTATTGTGATATAACTAGCGGAAGACGTTTTAAAATTGTGGTTTCCCCCAAGGTTATAGAGCTGCTACGCTCATCTTGGTCTATTTCTTGCCAACTTTTACAATGAGAATCGTTGCACGAAGCCTTTCCATAGCTACAATCTGAACTCTTAAGATTCAGTCAAAACGACCGACAGTTGACGCGTGTTATACTTAAATCACACTATACAGGTAGCGTTCTCAATGAGAATGTTGCCCTTCTGCTCTTTTCAGAGGGAGGGTCCACTACAGGAGCAGATTAAGAGTGGAAGAGCAGGCCATAGTAGAACATACGGCTGAATTTAAATCATATTTGCTGTGGAAAGAAAGAGATTCAGTGCCTCGGGGAGGTCTTTTCCAAACCTTGACCTTTCACTGCGCTGATGAAAGATGTGGGTGAATTTCTCAAGATGTTGGCACCGTATCCACAGCTGCTACTATTCCAAAGGTCGCGTGATCATGATCAGAATAGTACAGAGACAGATTTCGATTCCAGATCACAGAGGCAGTGTTTAAGTCAAAGTAATTTGAAGAAAACCTTGGAGCAGATAAACGTTGCAAACCACGCCTCGCGCGTCTCTACAGACATCTCAACTACAACGTAAAGACTATTTACTGTAATTTCGGACTGTTCGCTTAATGGCGCGAGCTTGAGCTATTTCACCATAAAATTTACGAGATGCTGACAGACTCTCTAGCGCTGAGGAGAAGTCGAAATGAATCAATTCACTCGATGTTGTACGTTCGAAGTTTATACGCACATCGACCCATAAAAAAGGGCTCAGATACCCATTTGCGGACTTCTCGTCAAGCTATCTCGTAGCATTATTCATGACGTAGCAATTACTAACGTGCTAGACAGCGAGTGTGGAATCCTGATAGCAGATAGTGTCTTCACAACTCACGATAGGTTCACATTCCTTTGCGGACAGAGGCCTAGTCGCAGGTATCAAAAGGCCCAAGAAGATGGTTGAGGAGTGCTCAGATGCAGACTTTTAAACTGGCATCAAGTTTGGAGATATTCACCCAGTTACTGTGCAGTCTTACTTCACGTACCCGAGCCCATGACCTTGGTTTAGAGTTATGCACCCTTCACTCACACGGGAGGACAGTCGAATACGTATGGCATGGCATTCTAGACTTCAGTAATCCCACATTGGCCAGAGGCCCGTGAACACTGAGGCGATACGACTCCGCGTTTCCGTGCTAATAATCTTTGCCTTTATTGGCCGCTGCTTGAGAAGGGCTTCGTATCAGCAGTCAACAGGAGGGTGAAGATTAAAGACCATAGAGACCTTATCCCGGACCACGGAAGAATTGCGGACCGGTACAACTCCAACTCGTGATTGCGACTCTAGCTTTCCAATACTGTTGCGCATATTCGCGTACTTCAGGATCAAGCCCTGATCGCGTGAAGGACACAGCCGTATCAGGGACACGTCTGGACGGACAGTTCTAAGTTGCTCGAGGCACGGCGAAGATCCTCAGACATGTCGGCGTAAGTACTTCTTGGTCGGCGACGTCTTGGGCGGCAGAAATCACGGATAGGAAGTTGAAATACAGCGGGGGTCGTTGCTCATTGTCTGTGTAAAACTGGCTGACGACGTTGTAGGTCTTCGGTAATGCGCACAGTTTGAGAGCGGAGCAGCGGCTGCCAAGCTGGGGCACAGGCTGAATTTAATTGCAACTAGGCCATTACAACATCGCAAGGCGACATGAACAAGCAAGGATACTCGGGTTCTCCTCGCTTTCTAGCCGACTCAGTCTGGGGAAGCTGAGGTGATCTCGGCTCCAGCGAATCACACGTCTACCAACAAGCGACTCAGATCATGGGGGGCTTCCGGAACAAACTAGTTCCGGATCCTAGCGTGTGAGCAGAGTCCTAGGTAGGGCCTTCTGTGGGCGACTTGCTTCCCGAGGAAAGACGCGCCGATTGAGATCTCGAGATAGAAAAATACGGTTGTTTCCTGTCGAGCAATGAAACAATCCGCAGAACGAACTTCCTGGCCTCAGAAACACGCGTCGGGATCGCCATCAGCGCGCTTAATTAGCTTGCTGACGTGGCCCAGACAGGATTAGCGTTCCGGGGAGAGCCGTCCAAGGTGTCGAGTGGATCCCATTGACTTGGCCATGGTGTCTGAACGCGACGAAACAGGAGATGAAAGCCAAACTCCCACGGTAGCTGAGGAGAAGGAAGAAGCCGCGCGGACTGTGCAAGACTCGGAGAAGGATGAAAGTGGACCCGCCACCCCGACGGGATCACAGACACCAGAGAAGCAAGAAGCGTCTTCTGCGAACGACGAGAGCCACGAGCCTGCAGCCGCCGCGACCGCCGAATCAACGCCCGCCGTGAAACAAGACGTCTCGACCGCAACGATCGAGAAGCGTAGCAGCTCAGTCGCAGAACAAGATGCACAATCCGCGCCCGAGGACAATGCGGCTCACCACGTGCATGGCATTGCCCGCATCATACTGGTGTTTGGGCTTTGCGCAACCACCTTTATCATCGGTCTGGATCAAATGATCATAGCCACTGCTATACCCAAGATCACAACCTTGTTCAAAAGCTTAGACGAGTACGTATACGTTCGTCGATGGTTGCCGCGATTGGCATGCTAACGGACCAATCTAGTGTCGGCTGGTATGGCTCAGGTACGTGTTGAATCTGTCGATTCCATGTGTTCCAGTGCTCAAGCGTGTTTAGCTTACTTGCTTTGTATCACTGCTCTGCAGCCAAGCTTCGGAAAAGTGTATACATACTTCGATGTCAAATGGACGTTCGTCACGGCCCTCGTCATCTTCGAAGTGGGCTCGACCATCTGCGCCGCTGCTACGAGCTCTCACATGCTGATTGTCGGCCGCGCAATTGCTGGAACCGGAGGCGCTGGGCTGTATTCAGGAGGCATGACTATGCTGGCCTACGCGATCCCCCTCAGCCAGCGAGCCATCTATCTTGCCTGCCTCAGCTCCATGTTCGGCATCGCCTCCATCGTCGGGCCGATTTTGGGAGGAGTCTTCACCGATCAGCTGACTTGGCGTTGGTGCTTCTGGATCAATTTGCCATTTGGTGGACTGACCATTGTGACCGTCGCTGGATTCTTTAAGAGCCCAAAGCGAGACTTTAGTCACATCACCTTCAAGCAGAAGATCAAAGAAATGGATCTCATTGGCGCCTTTTTTCTGATTGGAGCCATTGTGTGCCTTCTCCTGGCGCTTCAGTGGGGAGGCATCACATATCCTTGGAAGGACAGCAAAGTATGGGGCTGTCTTCTCGGATTTTGCCTGTAAACCTCTCGAATCTTCCGGCGTGATCTGGAGAGTTGACTTATCTCGCAGTTTGATTCTGATCTTCATTGGAATCCAAGTCAGAAGAAAAGAACATGCAACCATCCCCGTGCATATCATGAAAAGAAGGACAATCATTGCGTGTGCGCTGGTACTCTCGCTCTTGTCCATGGGTGTTTATACTCATGTTTACTGGTTTGTATTCCCAAAACCCAACAAATTCGTTCGCGTTCTAAATTCGTTGCAGTGAGTCTTGTGCGCCCAACTAAGCCGACACACCCTGAGCGGATAGTGAATTACTTACTCTCTTTTGACTTACACACGTGATTCCTTGTTTAGCGCAATAGCTGACATCGGCGTAGATCTTCCATTCTACTTCCAAGCCGTCAAAGGCGTGACAGCTGAGCAGAGTGGCATCCGCTGCATTCCGTATCTGATCTCAAATACCATCGGTAGCATTTTCGTATGTAAAATTCTTCCAAATTCGCGAAACTTTACTAATTTGTACCACCTAGATTGGCGGACTTGTTACGATAATAGGCTACTACACTCCGTTCATTTATATAGGATGTTGTCTATTCACCATTGGCTCTGGCCTGATATATACCTTGAAGGTCCAATCTCCAGCAGGACGGTGGATTGGCTACCAGATATTAGCAGGGTTTGGAGCAGGCGGTTCCATCCAGCTGCCCTTCATAGCAACGCAAGTCGTACTTCCAGCAAAAGACATGCCGACTGGAAATTCTCTCGCCATCTTCTTCAATTCTTTAGGAGGAGCAATCGCTATTTCTATTGCAGAGAACATATTTTCCAATACATTGGTCAAGGAGCTCCCTAAAGTTGGGCTTGGAGATTACACGGCGCTCATCATCGCCTCAGTAAGTCAAACATGAATTTCTTTCAATCGTGAATACTAAGATCTTTTAGGGTGCTCAAGGCTTCCGGTCGGTCGTACCCAAGAATCTCCTCGGAGCGGCTCTTCAGGCATACAACGATGCGATCACTACAGCGTTCATTTTGCCTATTGCTGTTGGCGGACTCGCATTCCTGGGCAGTCTCCTCTTTGAATGGAAGAGCGTGAAGGGCAAGAACTTGCTAGCAGGCGGGCCAGCATAAGCTCGAGGCTCACGTGATTCTCTCAATTCTTGTCATTGCTAACTTTCTGGAAAAAAGAGGTGATTGATAAGCAAAGAGCATGTGAGGAGTATTAAATTTTAGAAGGATCGTGCTAGTATAAATCACTAGACTGAAAGATCAACAGGCGAAATTCGTCACTAATGTTGTTCCTTGGCGAAGGCGTCGTCGACCAAATCAGCAAGCTCCGCGAGTGTGTTGAATTTCCACGCATACTGAGCATCGTCCGCCGAGCCCATAGCTCCTTGGCGATCGATCCATGCAGATGTAAGACCAATCTTCTTTGCGGGTGCATGGTCATGATACAAACTTTGTGCAACATGCAAGATGTCGTCTTTCTCAACACCAAACTTTTCCTTCACGTGCGAAAGAAGGTACTCGAAGTTTCGCAGGTCGGGCTTGTACGACCCGATCTCTGTGGCCAGATAGTAAGCTGAGAATTCAAACCCCTTGAAGGGGCCCTTCAAGCTGGCCCCAAAGGTGTCGGGAGACGAGTTTGTAAGGGGCACAAGGTAGTAGTGCTTCTTAAGCCGGTTAAGTGCTTCTAGCGTGTCCGGAAAACAAGGCCAGGCGCCGACCGAGTTTCCAAAAGACTCGGCACCCTCAGCAACGCCTCCGGCCGCCTCAAGCTTGTAGTCGGACACGAGTCGCTTGTAGGCTTCGGATAACACCAAGGCATATTCCGCAGAAGGGTTCGCGACTTGTACGGCGCGCTCCCGCTTCTCGGCTTCCTTGAGAAGCGTCTTTCGATCTCTGAGCTCGTGACCGGCCGGCAACGTTGCGAAGGGCTGCGTCGCCATCAACGCGCGGTATATTCCCTCTTCCCAATCAATGAGAGTCCCATACACATCGAACGAGAGGAGCTTGAAACTCGTCAAGGGCTTGTCTGAAGGCACGAGCTGCGCGGGCATGATGTGAGTAAATGAAGAGACGAGGGTGCTTCAAAAGTTCTAGTCAAACTTTGTCTGTCGAAGTGACGACGGTAAGGTTGCTAAGAAGACATGTGTATCTTGGATCTTCTGTTATAGCTGTTCTGGGGCCCATGTATCCACTTGTCATGCGCCTTATGATCAAGATTTTTTCCTGCGCGCCTTACAGTCAAACGCGCTGCAACCGTATCCTTATTCTATGTACCAAAAATCTCCAAATATTAAAACAAAACCTTCTAGTGACAGAAAGAAGTCCGAGCTTGGAGCATTACCAAAGAAGTAATTCAGACTCGTTGATTGACCCGTGGTGCTTGACGTAAGCTCGGTTACGACACCTTGATCGCCATTTTCGATCGGAGCCGATGTCGGAAACAGTTTGGACCGCGGAAACAGGCGACATTTGAACTTCGGGCATCATTTACAAGAAATGCCAAGCTGTGAGACGAGTAAAGGAGAATGTCATTGGCGCATTGGAACTTTGTGGGGTTAGGAAAACCATTAGATGAAAAAAAAAAAAAAAAAAAAAAACGAAACCTGAAAGAAGAAAGGAGACAGCACGATGGGGGCAAAAACGAACGCCACAGCTCGCACCACGAGCTCTCCCAGGCGTTAAGTCGTCTGAAAACCTCTATCAGTGCAATTGTTCGCATCAGGACCTTTCATACACTCGAGAGGGCAACATCGATGTCTACTTCTGTAGCCAACAGGATACCGTGCACGTCCACCCAAGCGTGCCACTTATGAAAGCGGTCGCAGCTTTTTCGCCTCCGTGTCGGCTGTCATTGAGGCGAACCTCCGCTTGCTCTTGCTCCGAGCGTCATCCGACCTGCACTGCCGATCTGATCCAAGGCCATTTCTTACCTAATTACGTGCGTCTGACTTTTCGCTGTGTTCATCCCAATGGACTCCCGTGCATGAGCCAGCGGTTAGGAATCTTCGGCTAGCGGGTTCTGTTTCGGCACCGGAGTTATCTCCAGGATTGCGACATTTTCGGCATGTTTTCTTATTCTTCTGAGGGGAGCCGAGCAGGCATTCCCTGATCAGCATCAAGGCCTCTTTTCTTTTCTCGTACCGACGCGGAGGTTTTGGCCACTCAGTTTGTGGCGATCCACGAATCGACCATGGGAGACCGGTTTCTGGTGTCTTCGCGGAACACGCTCCTGGCCCGATCTCATTGGCTTCGAGGCAGCGCCCTAGGGTTTTTGCAGACGATCCCTTCAGTCTGTATAGCTTTGGAGCGATCAAGTAGTCTGCAATCAATCTTCCGAAATTCTCTCAAGAAATTTGAATGTGCCCTACCATAACGCAAGGCCCTTGGTTAGATATGCGGAACATACCTAGCGCAACTGCAGCGAATACACTTTCCACACAAGCTTGACCAGTCTTTTATTGCGGACCTTCAACCGATCTGAGACTCAGAGCCTTCACTCTTGTTCGATCTAAGGCTCACCGCATCCTTTTGAATACCTGTCGCACGCGAGAGTTTTGGGGCTGAGTTGAACGTGTCTTGCCAAATTTCCACCTGCATTTCTCGTGCTGTTCGCGTAAGCTTCATCCGCTCAAAGCATTTAGTTGCATGTGATGACTTTTTCTTTAAAAATTTGGGCCAGAATCCCTCGCGAAGAGTGCAAATCTAGAACTGCGTACATGTTTCAGAAGCACTCCGGGCAAATGTCAATATTGCCATTCTCGCTTGACGTTCAAACACACTGCGTCGGAAGCATCTCCGGACCTGAAGTTGTAGATTTTACACGGGGCAAGAGTCAAACACATCTTGCGACTTTCGGCGAAATTAGTGCGCGTCCCGTCCCTCTGCCCTTCCAGCAGAACTACTCTCGTCATCCTCGTGGTTCGAGTTAGCACCATGTCAAACAGATACCAGCAACAGCACCGGGCAAATAAACCTTTGCTTCCTGCAACAGATCCCAGGGATCCTGAATATGGCGACGAAGGGTCTAGTTCTGCTGGAGGGGCAGCAGGAAGACAGCCTAAGCGCTCAAAGGTCACTGCTGTCGCCTGTCAACCATGCCAAAAGAGGAAGAGCAAGGTATGTCAACGGCACCGAGATGCGTGCTGGAAATACTAGACTGACACCGCAGAGTGCGATGGACTACGGCCCATATGTTCCTCGTGCCAACAGAAAGGTCGAACCGATTGCGTCTACGATTCCTCCAGCGACCTACGAAGAACCTCGGCTTTGAAGCAGAGAATAGAAAATCTTCAACAAGAGGTTTCGGACCTCAAAGACATCCTCCTGGCCTTGTGTACGGCGTACAGTTCGGGTGCCGGTGATAGTCTCCTCGCTCTCGTCCATCAGAATATTGGTGGGGGTGACTTCTCACGCGTTCCAGAGCTAGCACAGCTGCTTCGGGCAAGTGAGAGTCTGAACTCCACCAGCCGGCTTCATATGGCGCATGGAAGCTTTGGACAAACAAACACTTCGTTTGACCGTTTTCAACAGGAGCCCCAGGGGTTCGATGTCGAATACCACGGCATCGTGCAGGGTAACGTTCAGCAGTCCAGTGCGATAGACGGACAACATGACTGGGATGCGCACAAAGCTTCGCAACAAGTTGAATCCAATCCTCAAGATTATCGCCCAGGATATATGTACCATCCATGAGGCGAGACAACTAGTGCATCTTGACAATGCACAGATGCTGCGATGGCGACCCTGCCTAATGTTAGCTGGTCAACGCTCTACCTTCAAACCGCACACCCTTCTACTGACTCCATCGCGGAGGGCTGTACGCTAGGGTAAGCTATCATGGTGATGAATGGGTACGATAATCAAGTCGACATTCGAAGTCCGCATACTGTTCGTCGCTATAGTGATGGCACTAGCTTTACTCCTGGTAGCTGGCCTCAACTTCAGAATTTCGCCTGAATAAAGCAGACTCACTTTGATATTGTCTCATCTCAAGTGATTGCCGTGTACTTCATAATCGAGAGCAGCTACTCATGCTGTTGCTACGAAGTGGCGACGGCTTCTTCAGATCTGCGAAAAAAAAGGGAGAGGAGTCTGGAATGGATGACCTTTCATATGGAGCGCTTGAGGGTATGCAACCGACATAGAAAGGTCGACTTTTCACAATAGGCCCATACAAAAGGGGGTTTCCAGCAAATTCAGCCACTGGTGAGGGCGAGCAGAGGGGATCTGCGCAAGGCAGGGAGAGAATTTTCGGAGGAGCAAAATGAACACAAAGGAGCCAAGCACGGCGTTGCGAATAAGTACGCAACGGCTCATACGCTCTAGTAACTACAAAAGCGTACGAAATGAAGAAGTGGCGAAACTTTGGCCTCAAACGCTCCATTCCGTCGAACCTTAACTGACCAGCGTGACGCCAAGCAGACCCTGTCACACGGCGTATTGTCTAGCACTACTAGTTAGACTTCGAACCTAACTAAACTTACAGAACCTCCGTCTGCCTACTAAATTCTTTAAGCTAGTCGCAATCTTTCGAAGCCTAAAGCCGCACCGGAGCCTCATTTGTTCAGCCGTTCTCCTCCATGTTCTCGCGGGCTGTTCAGTCGTCGAACGAATATGACGTCTAGTCCTGAACAGATAGCAGTAGCTGACTCGACCAATGTCATGATGTCGGAGACGACAGGCTTCGCAACACGCTCTAGGCAGGAAGATGACTGGCACGGTGTACTCGACCGCAAAAAGAGGAAGCAGATACAAGATCGACTCGCCCAGCGAGCCAGAAGTAAACCGTCCCGGCGGGAGCCCAGGTAACGAGACGCTTCTGATCGATGTTGGCAGGACGACGTCTCGCCGAAGCCAGGCCTTCCGAGAACGCGAGCGCGTGGAAGACGACGCGATCAAAACAACGCTCACGCATTAGGAAGGACAATCCTTCGCCCAGTGCTTCGTCTGACGTTGGAACACGCGGTAATGCTTCGACAATATCAACACTACAACCCTCGTTGGAGGGGCTGTATTCATGCCGGCCTGTTTCAGCAAGTGAGGGCCAAACGTTTCTGTCCGCACTCTTCGAGAACGGTAACATACTAGGCATAGCCTGCGGTGCTAGTTTCCCTTCAAAAAGCAAGCTAGCCGGGCCCGATGTGCCGCCTTCGTTGCGGCCTACGCTTTTGCAGCTGTCAACGGTCCACTGGCAGTGGATCGATCGCCTGCCCTTCCCGGAAGCACGAGACGAGATCATCATACAGAGCAGCAATTTCAATGAAGAAGAGTTTCTCTGGGATATATTCAACATGCCGACCTTTACACTGACGCCTGGCTTGCGAGCCTGGGACCCCAACGCCTACAGGATGCATCCTCAATTCAAGTCCAAGTGGGGATTCTTGTTTCCTAACTTCACTTAGGGCTAAATGGATTGTCCAGGGCAAAATGAAACTTTCAGAGCATGTAGCATGTCCACTTTCTTTTTCTCATTTGAACGCGCGCACGAAAGAAGAGTCAAGCCAGGAAATTACTGCCAAAGGGAGGGGGGAAGGGGGGGCTCCAGCATTTCCCATTGCCAATGAACTGCTCGGGCTCAAATTGCTTCCATTGGGAGCCCCGAAATCTCTCGTTCAAACTCAGTAAGAATTCATAAGCGTCCATAAGTTCATGATAACGTTGATATCCTACATTGCCTTTGAAACTCTGATCCAGTGAAATCCTCAACTATACTTCTTCACGGCGAGTCACGCGCTGCGCTTGTTCAACGGCTTTTTCCTTCTCGTACTGACCGGTTTAGTAAAGTCGTGAAAGTCGCCCGTGTCGATATCAAATCGCTCAGTGCCCATTGTGATGAACTTGACTCGGTTTCCGAATCCAACAGCGACGCTGCTTTGACCCAAGCGTACGATAGGACCTGGCGCAGCCACAAGAAGCTCATCCTCGCCGACTGATTGTGCATGGTCTGTTTCTGAGGCAGAGTGCAGAGGCTCGGCATAAAAGTCGCCGTTTGGTGACAGGCTCCATACCTCCCAGTCATCTCTGTCACTCTGCAAGCCTTGACCACTCTTTTCAAGGTTCAAAAAGCCACCCAATCTAGATTGCCCATCAGCTGCGCTACGCTTTTTAAGTGTGTCAAATGCCTGGATGTTAAAGCGCGGAGCTTCGAAGCCGGAGGTCGTCGAACTAGTTGACAGAGGCGTATCGGCCCCCGACGACTTGAGTTTCAGGCCAATCAGTGTCCGAGAACCCGTCGCTTCCCAGCTGCCGGGATGCTCTACAACAGAGATATGCTCCTTTGCATTCAAAAGCCCACAGCACGCATAGCTCCTTCCCGCCAATCTGGGACGAAGACAAACTAAGTCGCTAGGTTCTTCGGATATAGCGTAGCGGCGCATAACCACAGACTGAGATTCAAAGTCAGTGTACGCAAGACTGAGGCTGTGGACAGCAATTCCGTCACATGTTTTACACCGTCGAGGAGGTGTGTGCAGAACACGTAGAGAGTGACCGCGCACGAGAATGGCTGGGAAGGAGTGGATCAGTGTCTTTGACTTGACATCGATGAGGTCAACGACTCGCAAGCGGACAGCAGCCATTAGACTTATTGCGGGAGCTACTGCAACAGACTTGATGACACCTTCCTGGCTAGCCGGTGAAAGTCTTGAATCGAGTTTTTCAATGGCAACGCAAGACCAATTGTTTTTGCTTTGTTGCGTCGCCATTCGAATCTTGCCGCTCTTGGTCAATGTAACAATGCTCGCGCCAAGTCTCGATCGGAATGCCGTTGCAAGCGTGATCCTCTCGCTACTAACGGTGACCAGGGTTGTTTGCGCATCTGGGGTTTGTGGATCTATGATACTTACGGACCCACTTGCAGTGCCAACGATAAGGAACAAATGGCTTTCGTCATCGCGTTGTAAAGCCAAGAAGGTGAGGAGCAATATACGCTCATCTTTGAGGTCAATCTGAGTGGTGTGGACGGGTCGTCGCTCGGCCATGCTCCAGAAGACCACGTTACCTTTTGAACCACAAATGGCAGCCAACTGACCATTTTCATCGATAGCCAGGCCTATGATCGGCCAGACGGGAGGGGTCATAGCCGTTGCAAGAGCAGAGCTCAGAGAATACGTCTGGGTCCGTGGATCGAAGAGTGAGAATGTAATCAGCTTATCCAGGCTTACAGAAATCAAGTGGCCCTTGTTGCAAGCATTGAGCTGTATGATGTCAAGCCTATGTGACTTTGGTAATGTCTCAACTTTTAGACTGGACGAAATCGATGCTTCACCAACTGCATCTTCTTCTTCTTCTGGAAGCTCATTCCACAGTAGATACTGCATCAAAAGCGTGACAAAAGCAACCGAGAATATGGCCACTAATAAAAATGGGTATAGGTGTTTCCGAAACAGACTCCATAGCAATGCAAGGAAAGAAGCTTCTTGTACTGGCTCTCCTCGTCGATTCGATCCCTTGAGCACAATAACTAGGGGGTCGTAGACACGTGCCACAATGGCGTTCGCAGAGGGCTTCACATACTTGAGAACTTCTTGCGCGTAGCGGTAGTCCTGAATACGGAGCCACATCGCGGGCGTCCTTGCTTGATTGATGGGGGGAGCGAAATATTGAGGATCGTGACGACTTGAGTCAGAGACGACCATAGACCTTAGGGAAGTAAGTAGGGAATGTAAACTGCTGCTGGACTCGTAGAAGTGCGTATTCAGCCCCAATATGAAGCAAATTGAAATTGCTGATCCAGCAATCCGACTACTGAAAGGCAAACGGCCTTGCAAAAGTGCGTAGAACCAGTATTGTCGTTCTTGTCGCGCTGTGCTGGACTTCCGCCTGGGATTCGTGTTCTTCATACGATCTATGGAATCTTGAAGCTCCATTCGACGTACATCGACGCTAAGCACAGCGAGGAAGAACGTAAGGTGGAAGGCAAAATCAAAGACAAGTGCAATGGCCGCAAACACGCAGAAAGGAGCGATACCAGACGCAATCTTGGCCAAAACCCAGAGTATAAAGAGCATCTGCGCAGCTGTTGCAAGAGAAAGATGGCCGACTTCACTGAGCGCGGCGGCAATACGCTGTGCAACAGGAAGTTCGGGTTTTTGTGACAGGACGGCGTTGATCAGCCGAAACATGTTCTCAAGACCCATGACAAGGACGACGAATGGATACGCCGCATCTGGTATTCGAGCCAGATCGATCTTGAGGAATCCACAGACGGAAAAGCTTGCAGTTATGGAAATGGCAAGCTCGAACATGACGGCGACGAGTAGACCAGCCCAGCTTTTCACAGCCCGCAGTTTGCCCAAGCTCACTATGACGTACAAGGCCATGAGAAAATAGGCGCTCAGCAAGAAGAAATTGTCCTGGATACTGAGAGGCTTCTGCTGAAACTCATATAAACGGCTTTGATGAACACGGCCATCCCGAGGGTAAAGCGAATTATCCCGTTCGATGGAATCCGCGTACAGTTGATTGATGCGCTGGTCCCATTCCCGCGACGAGCCACTCGCGGAGCGGTCGAAAAAGGTCAGAACAAGTGCGTCCGCGGCGACTACTTTGTCCTTGACGAAGGATTTGCCCGCGAGGACGGATGTAGGTCGCAATGTGAGGTTGAGATAACTTTTCCTATTCGCCTGCGCATTGATGGTGTTGAGCACGTCGTCGTCATCCCGAATGGCCACTGCTGAGCAGTTCCAGAACATGAGGGGAGAATGAAGGCCCCAGTGCTCGGGTCCAGCGTTGTTCACTGCGCAAAAATCACGACGCCGGTCGGCCTGCGTAGGTGTGATGCTTACGTCCTCCGACTCTTCATCCATCGCTTCTCCACTCTTCAAGGGTCCAGAGGACTGCCGCACCATGATATCCTGCACCCGTAGAGCCTCCAACAAGACTCTCTTGTGAAGCGCGCCCATGTAGTCTCCGTGCAGCCATACTTGTCGAACAACGACGTCCGGTTCGACATTTGGTGCTCCATCGTAACGCCTTGCTGAAGTCCAAACATGCAGCGGGAGCTTGGAGAAGCCCGAGGTCGGGTTCTCGTACAGGAAGAAGACGGGATAGCAGAGAAAAACCGCTACCGTGATGGAAAGAAGGATGGAGGTGAGCCAATGCCGTGCGACGGCGTAGCCATAGCGAAAGAAAGCGCGGCGTAACGGATGGTCGACAGAGAGGACAGGCGGTTCAGTCGTACTGTGTGCGCGTGTCAGTTGCAGTGTCTTGCCAAAAGCAGCCTTCCCAGCATCGAGCTCATAACCAGGCAATATCCTCGCGGCTAAAAGAGCAGTCCGCGAGCGATGCACAGCATTGCATTGACGTCTCGCAATGGCCGAGAGCAAGACGGCACCTTGTGAGGGCGCGAGTGGAGGGAGCGGAACTTACCCTCGAAAGGGATACAACAGGTACCAAATCATCCGTGAAGGATCCGTTGCTGCACTCCGACACCGTCATTGAAGAAGTACGATTCTGCTTTCACACGCCGGTGAACATTTGTACTGAACTCTCAAGCGGGGGGGACGGGAGCGGGAGGTGAAGGGGAGTCACAAAAATGGTGCTCGAGGGCCGAAGGTCGTGGCGTACATGTACGCACACGCATCTGTCTACGTGCGTGCTAAGGCCACGAACGACGACGGCCGGGCCTTGGAGCACAGGAATGGACATCCAAGAGCTGCAGGCGGCGAGCAGGTCAAGCAGCCAGCCTCTTTTCAGTCTGGGTTCGCCCGTCCGACGGCCCCGATCGTCGATTCCCGGCCTTGCCTAGCTCTGCGGAGAGTCGTGCTGTGCGCCGCCGCCGTCTATGCTTCGCCCACCCTGTCCCCGCTTCCGGCCGCTATTTGCTCCTCCTTTGGCTTCATCCTGCCACTCGTCCACCACCCCGGAGCAGCCCGCGTCTGGCTGGCTCCAGTCCGTGTGGATCTCAACCTGCAGCATCTGAATTGGACAGAAGCGGTCACTTCCGGTTTGGGGTCGCCGGAGAGGGGCGTTCCAGAAGAGAAAAAGAAACGAGCGTCGAGGGGCTCTCAGCTCCGGGCCCGTCGTTGAGTGCCTTGACGGAGGTCTGCCAACTGTCGACCCACGCGGGGGCTTGTCGATGGGATCGAAGGGGCTTTTCGAGCGTGATCAAGATGGGATCGAGTGGAGACGCCTCCAAGTAAAGAGCAAAGGTGCTTAGGCAGCAGGCTACGGGCGCAAAAAAAAAAGGCAACAGTCCATCTCCCTTCGGTTTTGCCCTCTCAAACCTTCGTCTGTACCCAGTAGCATTGCATTCACGTCGCGGTTTTCTAACTCTCTCCCACTTGATTCGTGTGGGCGCCCTTCCGGTACGACGCCATACTGCACAGGACGACCAAATCTAAAACAACAAACCAAAGGTTCCAACGCCTCCTGCATGAATACACCTCGCCATTGAGAGTCTTGCACCGCACTTTACCTTTGTCGCCTACTATCGCAAACAAAAGCTGGCGTTGGCCATAATTCAGCGCATGCCTTCCCAGCAATACACTCAGCTTTCTGTCATTTCCTCATCTTCGTCCTCGTCATCCTCAGCGTCTTCCCAGTCATCATCATCGTCCTCTCCCTCGTCCTCGTTGGGCTCGCCTAGAATCTCATTCAGTCCCTGCACCAACTCCATGGCATGGTCGCGTAATCGCTCGTCTTCGTACTGAATTGCCTGATACAGTTTCAGGCTTTCGGTGAGCCACGCCCTAGACCTCCTAAGTAGCTCTTCTTCCTCGTCCGCGCCGTCAGCAGCTGCAGGCTGCGTTGGCGCCGCTTTCTCCTTTTTTGCCAGAAGATGCAAGCACCATCCGCCCAAGTACCACGCCTCCACACTTTGATCGTCTTCCCTCACCAATCTCTCGAGAACCTCGATCGCTTCATTTTCCATCTCAGCCTCCATCAACAGTCTGGACAGGCTGATGCGAGTCGCGTAGTCGGGCACGTCAGGATCCTCGGGGTCTAGGTCTTTCCACAGGTCCAGACTGGCGCGCAGTAATTGTCTCGCATCGTCCTTGCGAAGCTGTGATATCCGCACCGACGCCGCCGTTTGCAGCGTCGTCGGCTGATCGGGTGCTACGGATAGTGCCTCCTCGACCGCTCTGTTGCACTGCCGTTCTGCCTCTGCGTCATCGTATGACAGATCGGTCATATAGACCTCTGCGATTCCGCATAGTGCATTCGCAAGTTTGACTCGCTTCTCGTGAAGCGACGGGTCATCTTCTATATCTTCGTCGTCCCCCGCCTCTGCGATCTTGGACGCGATTTGTTTACGTAGCACATCCGCTCCCCTCGAATACCATCGGACGCTGTCGAGACCGCCCTCTTCGCTTAGCTGTGCAAGCCAGAAAAATTTTTCTGGGCCGCCACCTCGCTCCTCAGGGATCTCTCCGTCTTGATCAATTTGAGCCGCTTCCAGGAAATAAGATCGTGCCGAGTCAATGTCCCCAAGTTCAACGCTCGTCTCACCCAGCAGAGTAAGAGCTGGGAGACGTTCCGTAGCATTGGCCGTCTGTCTCAATTGCTTCAGCGCCTTGAGTTCCAAGCGGAGCGCCTCCTGTGGCTCTGATATCTCCAGCAATGCCGTGGCTTCGGCCAACAACTGGGTTGGGCTTTTTGAGGACTTTCCATCTGGAGCGGACTTCTTGCGCTTGTTGCGCTCCGGCGGTCTTGTTTTTCCCATGGCCACGATGTTATGAGCTCGGCTGCATTTACTTCTGTTGTCTGGTATAGCGGCTGTATGGTGGTCTGGTCCGAACCTATTTTTCTCTCACGTGCGTGCAAAGGGCCATGGAAGGTAAAAAAAAAACTTTCATCTGCTAGAGGGCGAATTGCATGCAGGTGGAGACTCTCCACCACGGTCTAGTCTAGCTGTGGGGAGCGCACGGACCCTCAGTGTCGCCCGACCGCAGAGAGCGGGCGGTGGTGACCATCTAGAAGCCAACCCATACATGTATTATTGACGCTCGACGAGACGCAGAAGCGCGTCACTCATGTCCTAATCTCTGCTTACTTTCGATTCATTGTATTGCTGTTCCGTCAATTGCTTTTCTGCCACTCTTAAATACCGGGCCTATGTTTTCGGACCATAGCTCGTCGCAGCTCTGAACCTGTCGTCATGCCCACCCAGCGACCGGAAACCGTTCCCGTCGACTTGAGGCATCGCTGTCTTGAAGAAAACTCGCATTCTTTCTTCTCGGCCAATGGAGTCCGGCGACAGGTGACCCCGCCGGAGGATGACGAGTGCGACAAGACACCGACGCCGAGACCCGCGGAGCCGAGCGTAGATGGCCCAGCACGAGACATACCAACACCTGTTAGTACGAGCGATGACACAACCAGCGAGACGGAGCAAAGACTGTCCCAGAGTATCTCGTCGTCTTCTGCGTCTCTGCACTTGAATGAAGGCAACCTTACTGGCACGCTGAGCTCGCCGTGGCCCAAGACCCGCTTCGTTCCAAACTCGTCGTCCTCGAATTTACAGCCGGGCTCTGTTTTTCGAGGAACGCAACAATCCGATCGTCAGGTATATGAGGTCGAGGTACAATTGCAGCATGTAGACATGGCAGAATCATTTCTGTGTGGCTACCTCAAGATACAGGGACTGACGGATGATCATCCAACCTTGACAACCTACTTCGAAGGCGAGATTATCGGATCAAAATACACGTTTCAGACAAAACATCCGGAATGGGGCTCAACGGATAAAGTAGACATGCAACATTGGGGTAGATTTCCTGCCTGGCGGCCGCTGGCAAAGCAGGCAAAGACTCAGCAAGACTTTACGACAAAGAACTTTGCGCAGCGCGAAAACATATTTATGCGCTGGAAGGAGCATTTCCTCGTGCCAGACCATCGCGTCAGGACCATATCGGGCGCGAGCTTTGAAGGATTTTATTACATTTGTTTCAACCAGGTCACTGGCTGTATCAGTGGAATCTACTTCCATGCGAAGAGCGAAAAGTATGTTTGTCTCTCTTCCAGCTGTCCGCTCAACGTAGATGCTAACATAGACCGCGCAGATATCAGCAACTGGAGCTGAAACATGTAGAAGACCACGGATGCACGCCTGCTTTTGAGTTTCGATGATTTTACGATTCACGACTTTGCATTCGCTGTGTCTGCGTGGTGCCACAGTTTGTTCTTAAATGTATTCTCTTTCTCGATAACGTCGGAACTTTGTTGTGCACACGTAGTTGCAGAGCTGTCGCATAAACACTTTTTGACTTCTTCAGTGGTGTGTTCATAAAGATGGTGGTGCCCTCTATAAGGGTCGGAACCGAGCGTTACTATACTTTGGATAAGGATAACGCACGCGTCTTCCGCCTTGGCTCTTTGATACAGTCATTCCAGCTAAGCAAGAATTCTCCCTAGCTTCAGCCCAGTCCCAAGATAGCTCACGTTCGAATTGCCTTGGCCTGACGCTTCCTTTCTCTTCTCTCGCCACCATTGCCAGTTCATGTGAAATCATTTGAGAATTCCAGACATTCAAGACTCCTTGCGATCATATCTGAACCCTCTTGCCATCTACAAAAATCCATTCCTGAGATTGATCGAAGGGCATCGGATTAGTAGAAAGCATCAATCAGATCCAGGGCATAAAGACTCTACATCATTTAGCCATGATCATTATGTAGCCATTGCCATTCTCCCAATCGTGTGGTCGTGAGTAAACATACTGAATAGTTGTGGAGTGGATGTGCTCTCCACATCAACCCGTTCAGATTACGGGTCTGAAGCGAAAGTGCTCGCCTTGCCGTCAACGCCGTCCCATTGTAGCATGCCAAAGACGGCTCTATGTTGGACTATCACGGTCCCCCAAGTCCAGATATACATGTAGAGGTAGCCAAGTACACGAGCAAAACACTATGCTCGACATCATGAAAAAATGCTTTTTGCGTGAAGAGTCAATTCTAGGAGTTGTTCCCTGCGTAAACATTGGTTCTCCTGATGCTAGCCTTATCAACCTATTTTTTTTTTTTTTTGATTTTTCCATTCCCAGAGGGGATTTTCCTGTAATTGTTGAACGTGTCCTGTTGGTTCAAGACGTCTTTGCTGAGATAATACGTTTGGCCATTCTTATACCAGAGGTTTTTATTCTTTCAACGTCCGAAAGCCTGCAAACCTAAGACTGTAGGATTTTAAAAGGACAAGCAAGGTTTCAGTCGGCTGAGAAATCGACTACGCTTATGTGCATGCAATGCCTCGTATCTTGCAACAATCTCATGGCCACTATCGTCCTTCAAAGTGTCATGGCAATGTGAAATGCACGCTGAATCCATCACGCCTAGAGTGTATCTAATGCCTCTTGTCCCATCGAATAAAGAATTTCAGCTTGACGAGATCAGATCATGTCAAAGTAAATTTGCACGACTATTCTGAGCGTATAGTTCCAGCATAATGTAATAGATGCAACCTTTAACACCACGTAAGGCGACTAGATCATGAACGAGCTTAGTTAACTAGCTTGTTTTCCTTCGTTTTTGCTCCGAAGGTGATGATTTGGTGACCTATGGCTTTAATTAAGGAGAGTCAAGAACATTTATCACATTGGTAACTGTCAGCTGCAACGAGGAGGGTAGGAGAAGGAAACCTCGGTGGTGAGGCTTAAATCCGACCCCGAAGATACGAATCTCTTCTTACTAATGCAGAAAGCATGAGCAAGCTTAAATCTGAACCTCATTTGCTCCCTGCTCAGAGATTATGTCTGACAGACTGGCATGGTTCGGTATGTCGTCAAGTGTCTGGTCCGGTTATCTCCAGTAATCCACGATTTTAGCGGTAGAATATAACACAACCGCAGTTTCGCCCGATCAGAAGTCCAGTTAAGGCACATTGTCCTGCCATATCTTGCCACATTTAGAATGTCCAAATTCTTCGCTACCAGCCTTGACATGGTGAATTGCTTTTATTTCTTCTGATTTTCACTCATCCCAGACTGGTCTTTTTGAACAGACTCGTAGCCAAAACCATGGCAGGCCTAAAGATAGTATTTGGTGCAGCTTCCTTCAATCCAGGCGGGAACTTCCCAACTCTCGACGACGCTAGATCCGTCTTGAATATCCTTGAACAAAACGACGTCCGAAATTTGGACACTGCACAGCTTTACGGCGAAAGTGAATCAATCCTGGGCCAACTTAATGCAGGAGATCGATTTGTCATCGACACGAAATCGAAGGGGGGATGGGACGCTGGCAACTCCCTGCAACCCGATAATCTGTACAGGTTGACCCACGAGTCATTGGAAAAGTTGAAGGTTAAGCAAGTCGACGTATTCTACATCCATGTCCCAGACGATACCGTTCCTCCCTCAACGTGGGTTCCTACCATGGACAGACTGCACAAAGAAGGTGTTTTCAAGCGCTTCGGCGTCTCCAACTTCACTGGCGAAGAGGTAAAGCAGGTCTACGAGTTCGCAAAGGCGAATAACTACGTACTCCCGAGCGTGTACCAAGGGAACTACAGCGCGGTCACGCGGCGTTCTGAGACCGAACTGTTCCCCATTCTGCGCGAGTATAAAATGGCATTTTACGCCTACTCGCCGATTGCTGGCGGATTCCTTTCAAAGACAAAGGCAGCCGTGCTTGATGGTACTAGTGCTGGCCGTTTCACCGCGGATGGGAAACCAATGAGCAGAATGTATCGCAGTTTATACATGAAGCCTAGCTTACTTGAAGCGTTGGATGAATGGGCCGTTGCGGCGGACGAGGAAGGTGTGTCAAAGGCTGAGCTCGCCTACCGATGGGTCAACTATCATTCATACCTTAAGCCAGAATACGGAGACGCGATCATCATTGGCTCACGAAACACCCAACAGTTAGTGGAAACAGTTCAAGGTTTAAAGAAGGGCCCCTTGAGTGATGGCGTGGTCGAGAAGATTGAAAAAATATGGGAGAAAGTCAAGCATGAAGCGCCACTGGATAATTTCAACTCCTTCCTCAGGCTTCAGTAAGTCATGCATAGATATATGAGTTTAATTAAAATTAGAGCATTGTCTCTAAGCAACGCTCTTTTTATTTAAGGATCGTGCGGGTATCGTCCCTTCTTCCTTTGTGCACTTGCACTATCATATTCCTATGAACGCCGTGAATGTGCCATGTATTGATAACGAGAATGAAAATCAAGCAGAACGAAGGGAAAATATACAATACAAGATTTGGGAACCTCACGAAACTAAGTCATGAGCTCACTAGATCAGACTAAGCCCCAGAAGGCAACAAAACATGCTAAGAGTTTCCAAGCCGATACCTTTTCAGGTTGCGAAGCATCGTTGGTGCCGACTGTCTCAGGAAGACCAGACGATGTGGATGTCGATGCGACCGAATTTGTCTTCGTACCTGCAAGGGAGGTCGCGTTGGCCGAAGCAGTGCTGATCGAGGAGACAGCTTCTGACAGGACTGAGGTAGCATTTGCAGCAACTGTAGACGAAGCTGCTGCGGATGCGGACCCATATCCTCCAGGCAAGCTTGTTTCGCTGAGTGCTGAGAAATTTCCGCATGCGATGCGCGAGGTGTTCGCGAAGTGAAGGACGAACGAGCGATTGCCGAAGAACGCGCCCACCCCTTCTTTCAGCGACACGTACGGATCCGTAAATGAAGCATTGAAGCTCGTACCATTGGCAGTACCATGTTTGCCGCTGAGATCACCGACCTGGCATGTCTCAGGAAGATTTGGGTCGCAGGGCGGAGTCTCTCCTCGAATATATGGATCAAGATGTGCAAGCGTCGAGCTGCAGTTGCCATTTGACGAGACCGGCATCGCGTGAATATGGTAAACTGAATGGGTCAGCAGCGAGCCTGTGGAGCAAGTTCTTTGCACATACGAAAAGGACCGCCTTCAGCGGGCAAATTGTCGAACTGAACGGCAAATTCTGTGCCGCTCTCTCCAGCTGATACAGCCGTGATCATAGCAGTGATGTTGTACGGGTTCTCGGTGGCTATAGCTCGATACGCTGCGCCCTGAGGATTATCTACATATCGCAGTGCATCGCCAAGTTGGCCAGTAGTGAAATTAGTGGTTTGAGCATAAATTGTCGTCGCGCTAACGAACAGTATAGCGTGTATGCGCATGGTGACTGATGTAATTTGTGCAAGTCCAGACTTGAAAGAAAAGAATTATTTTTAGTAGAATATGCAACGCTACAAGACGATGGCGGAAGGTCGGAGGGCAGGTCTCGAGGTTTTAAGTAGTTATCTGCGCAGCACGAATAGCGATTGAGCAGTGGAAAGTCTAAGGAGGATATCTGGAGCGTCTCGAACTTCACATAGCTCGATACATATAAAATGACTCAATTTCCGGAGAGACACATGTCCGCCGAAGAGACACACCGTTTAGACGCGACACTATCGCTAGGCGGGTGTTTTACTCCAGGACGGAAATATCCCAGCACATGTTGTCGTCCGGGTAGCTCTACCGCCAAGCTCTGACAAGCCTTTCGGAAAGCTATTTTAGTCGTTTCAGATATGGCTGAAATACCTGGGGGCTTGGGCAGAACCGATGATTGGAAACCAGATCTGGAAACCAGTGTTGCAGATTGTGTCGCGCCGAACGCATTCCTGCAGATAGAGGCTGTGCACAACGCTGCTTGGTACTTAACTGCTCGCGCGCGGAAAATGAGCTCAAAGAAATTACTTTGAGTCACAAAGAAGTCACAACGGTAGGCCGGTCGACGAAAGATGACGGGTGTTTGCGCTTGATTTGCTGGCCGACGGCATCTCTTGAGAGCTGTCGCCCAATCAGTCGCCAGCCCTGCTGCACCGTGAACCCAACGAGGCTGAGGAGTCGTTTCATCTCGATAGAAGCCCCGTGCGCGAACTTCGAATAGCTCGTTTCGTTGTTTCTGTCATCTTCGCCGGGATCTCCAAGCGGCAGAAGACCTATCCGGGCTTCCTTCGCTCGGAAACAGAAAGTACATGTAGCTGTCTGCCCTCGCCATGTGCGACTAGCTCGTCGACTGGGCTTAAACACGGGTATATGTCACTCCAGCGTCTCAGGCTTGGCGCAGATTGCCATTTCGCGATGCCTTCCGTACGTAGACATGTAGAGTGACACTCGCTGTTTGATGAGGATTCTCACTGCGGTGCAGTTTTAAAATTGTGTAGTGACATCCCCTTATGACCAAAGATGCTCTTTCTGTAGCTAGCACACCGGCACAACCCTTTGATTCGAAAGTATCTCTCCTTGGGGGAAGACTTAAAATGATGGCTGAATGTCCCCATGCCGAAGCGGTCTCAGAGTCTGCATCTGATTAGCGAGGTCTAGCTTGCCACAACAAAGACCAGCTAGAGGAACGTCTCGTCGCAAAGATTATTGCTGAATTACACAGACTTCATTGGAAGTATAAGCTGTTGGAAATTCTACTGTTTGCAAATTTGAAGTGAAGCTGTATGCGAAGAGCTATTTCATGTATAGAAGACAGCTTGCTCAGAAATCAGTGCCCGCTGAGTGTGGCACCGTCACTTCAAACGCAGCGCTTCGTTAATGGTGTAAATGGAGTCAGGAGTTGTCCTACAGCATCCACCAACCAGCCGAGCGCCTAGCTTGTACCAATTTTGAGCCTTGTCTTTCAGGTCCGCACCTTGACTGTGCTGCCCGCCCCAAGTCTTTGTCGTTGCATCATACACCTCCCCAGAATTGGGGTACGCCACCAGGGCTTTGGACGTAAGACTACGGAGCGTTCTGAGTGCACCAACCACCAGATGCTCCGGCACACAGTTTACGCCTATTGCTACCACCTGTTCACTGTTGCCGATCAAGTCTACCACTTTGTGGAGTGGCGTGCCGTCGCTGATATGGTCTTCGTTTTTGAGTGTGAATGAAAACCAAGCACACGTGTCAGCATGCATTTTCAATAGCTGCAGGAGCACAGCAGCTTCTTCGTAGGAGGGTATGGTCTCAAAGGCCAGAACATCCACACCAGCAGCGACCAGAGCACTGATGCGAGGACGATGGAAATCCGCCATGGCCTGATCTCCTAGACTGTAGTCACCGCGGTATTCGCTTCCGTCTGCGAGATATGCGCCATATGGACCCACTGAGCCGGCTATATAAAGATCCCTCGATACTCCTCCATCTTTTGCGGCGATTCTGGCATTGTTTGCAAGATTCACACTGTCCTGTATCAATTCCAACGCCTTTGCTTGAGTCATGGAAGGATCGTGTTCAAGAAGTCCCAAAGCAGAGGCCTGGTAGCTTGCGGTGATTGCCACGTCGGCTCCTGCATTGTAATAACTCAAATGGACATCTTGAATCAATGTGGGCTTGTTGATGAGGACTTCTGCGGACCACAATTTTGAGCTGATATCGCAACCCTTCCGTTCCAGTTCCGTGGCCAGGCCTCCGTCTAGCACCACAACTGCATCAGTTTCCGTGAGGATTTTTCGAAGTGTGTTCGAATGCGCCATGCTCTTTGTGCTGCACTTTGATCATGCAAAGAAGAATAGCTGTTCAAGCAACAAGGGTCGTGATTTTAATTCGACTCTTGGCTTTCCGTGGGTGCACGAGTCTGTGCATTTGACAATCAAGTTCGCGCTGCCTCTCTGCATTTTGCTCCTTTCTTATATGTTCAAATGGAGTCATACATATCGCCGAGACACTTCAGAATCGAATCGGGTTTGTAATGGAGAGTAATATCACGAACAGCGTTCTGACCAGAACGGGCCGATTCTGCCTTTGAACCTCATCATTTATGTCCGATCAAGCCATTCTTCAAGATTAACAAAATCTTCACACGAGTCTTCGCATGATGTTTACCTGTTCTTCTAAGTGGAAAGGAGACGAGGAAAAATGATGAGCAAGGCGATGAAAGTTATTCTCTACCTTTTTGCCAAAGAGCGAAAATAATATGAAAGAGGACGCGGCTGGATGCGGATAATCATGTTTTGCAGTACATCTCAGTCTCAAATCTCGCGTTGTCTCTTTTGAAGAGCTTTCCTGACCGGAGACTATGCTCTAACCTCATCCCAGCGAGCCGGATAAGGCTCAATTCGATTTAGAGATCTGCTATGCCGCCGACGTGATTCTTACAAACTTCTCTTAGGAATGGTCGAGCGTATCGGTACATTCACTGTTGGATCCACTCTGGCATCAAAAGGAAAGTGACTATTCATAACACGATATCTCTTCTTCCTATCCATGATTCCCATCTCACAAATCTTGTCTCCATTTATCCCATGTCAAGCTTGCAGGAATCAAAAATCACTTGGCTGAACTGGCATAGTCACGAGTACGTACTACACCCACCCGAGCTCGACGGTGACCTCAATTTCATATTCCCACGGTATTAGATATGGAAGGAACCTCTACTTCCCTTGAGTTGCGACTCATCGTGTACAATGGTCACTTCGTCGTTGTCAGCTCGACACCAAACCTCACCTACAAACGTTTTCGTTCATTTTCTGTCGAGAAAACAAAGAAATATTCAAGACTTATCAGCGAGACATATACAGGTGCCGAAGAGGTTCCAGTGATCGAGGGTGGCAAAGACGACGCCCTCAAAATTGCACACGTTCTGAAACATGCGAAAGCGACAGATATACACTGCACCACCACGATCGCGAACCCAATGTGGCGTCGTGTGTTCTTCTGGGAGCTTGAATTCGAGGGGATAGCTCGTCCAGCTCTTGATGAGCCGTTCCGAGAGCTGCTAGGAATGCTCGAGGGGTTAAATGACAAGATTGAGAGCGGAGAGTCACATTTCGATCATATTGCACTCCCCAAGATTGACGGTATTACGTGCAACGTTTCGATTCTTAAGCTTTCACGGCTGTTTTGGGCTGCGAAGCACCTTCGATTCCAAGCTCCTCTCCTCTGGGAGGATGAACTACGTGTTGCCCTTATGCAGGCTATCAATACAATTGATATCTCGAATTTGGCGAGCAAGACCCCAGCCTTCCGCGCTGTCGATTTCTGGTACATTTGGGGTGCGTTCCGTGGCTTGGACGATGACCTAGTTGAAGCGATGGTTGCCAAACTAGCCGATGCGAAAACCCATGGTACCGATCCAAAAGACCTCGAATTTCTCAACACGGAGATTAAGGAACTTAACACCTGGCTCACCAGAGTAGAGCAAAAGAAGCCAAAAACTGCGTGGGTACAGCACACTGTCGGCGGGATGGGTGGCCGTCGCGCGAACACTCCAGCTCCCCTCATGCTATCCAGCTCATTCGGCGCAATGTCGAACGCTTCAAAGACAGCAACCTACATCCCGCCACTGGGCCGCAACGCACCCAAGCACCAGGACATCGCTGCGCCACTGAATACAGCCTATACTCCTCCGCGTAGGGTCATGCTGCGTGAAAGCGCAGCTATAGAGCTATCTGCCAGTACCAGAGCTGAGGACGAGAAAGGCGAGGCGGGGACGTCTACAACGCCTACCGCAATGGCGTCGCCAACTCGCGCGACCAAAGGTACCATGCGGAACGGCAAGAAGAAGAACCATAGCCTTGACGGCAAGTAGTGATGGGGAGTCGTTGAAACGCGCTTGACCGCAGTTACATCGCCAGGACAGCCTCGCAGCGCCAGGTACGCAACAATCCGAAATATGGTTCTTAGGCGAATGAAAGCTCACGCGAGCATGTTGAAAACACCTATACACGTTCGATTTGATCCATAGCTTCCTCAAAAGGGTATCTCCAATCCGGTCAGACTACGTCTTATCATCACCAAAAGTGAGACATAGTGGCAGAGTCGTGAAAGCCAGATAAAGTTTGTTTCATTTTTTGGTGTCGCTTCGGCACAGTTTGTAAGCACAGAAGTAGAACCGAATTGATTTTGCATTCGTACAAAGTTCCCCATATTTTCTATGACACCAATTATACTTTGTCGGCATTGAAGCTGTGGGAAAGAGAGAAAGCATATCTTTGATCTTACAGCTGTGCCACCAACGCCGTATTTTATGCACTCGTCATAGCACACCAAAGCGTTGCACCCCGAAAAGATAAAAGAATTGAACTTTTCCTCCCCAATCTACCCTTAGCCATGAGGAGGCAGCCTCTCAGGGGCCGGCCACAACATATCCCATATCAGGCTTGGTAGTCAGTAAAGGCACAATGGCGTGATGCTGAAACCAGCCGCAGAGGTACATCAAGCAAGACATAGACATAAAGACAGCTTTTCGGGCATATAGGACGACGTCAAGCAGCATGAAAATCAAAACACAAAGAGGTCGTTTCCATCAAATGCATTTGTTGGAATCCTTTTGATGTTTATCATTTCAAGTAGCAAGAGTACGTTCCCCCCGGTCCAAGCACCAATGATGAACGGACCTCTAGCACCAGGATCCCCCTAAGTCTACGCACATTTGGCTGTCAGTCATCTTCCCTGCGTCTCAGCAAAATCTGTAATGTGTAAATTTATGCAACCATTGATTGCACTAGGCGCCAAGTGCACAAATTTTCGGGTATCAGCATATTTACCCATCTAAGGCCGTTTATGATCGCCATCCCGCTCGTTCTCACACTTGAGCAAGGGACTCGTCAGTGGCGACATGCCCTTTAGCCTCTCAACGAACATGCAAAGCAATATCAAGCCGCACTGAGCAGCTCAATAACGGAAAGCGCGTCTTATCGTTGCCGAGCACCACCAGCCATGAGGCCGACATTGTATGGGCTCTGTCCAAGCGGTTGTGACATGGAAACATCCTATCAACTCCCGTGTCAGTATTGAACCCCATAATATCGATTGCAAGAGCGAGAAAGAAACATCGAACCAAAGCAAAAACGGTTGAAGTTGAGGAACGGATGCCTCCAGCCGAAGACAACCTTGGCATGTGCACACCGTACAACACTCTCCCGTCCTCTCTTTTAATTCGTTGTCATCTCGCACTATTCTTGTTGGGGGAGATCTGAGGGCTACCTTGCGGGCCTTCTTAGCCATCACCGAGGACGCACGCTCCACGTCATCAAATGTGTCGTTGTACCCGGCAAAAGACGATTCGTCATAGTTCCGCTTCGCACCAGCTCTTTGTACCCTTCCGCTGGTGGGATTTAAGCGCGGGCTAGGCTTTGCGGAAACTGCAGCACCTGGTGCCTTCAACGAAGAAGAGACAGGCGTCACAAGTTTCTTTTTCGTCTCATCATCGCCAAGCAGCTTCCTCCATTTTTCCCCGTCAGGCAGAGGCCCCGGCGCCATCTGCATGGCGGTGCCCAGCTTGCCCAGCAAGGCCTGAGCGGCCTGTTTCGAGACGGGCTTTATGTCAACCTTCCAGCGCTCCTCATACCGCGGGACCTGCTGTCCATCAACCACGTCGAATCCGGTTTCGACCGTCTGCTTATCCATGATGCCCTGAGGGTCATACGGATTCACCGTGTCAATCCACTGGCCCGGAGTAGGAACCTCTTTATTAGAGCCTGCCAGATGCAGGTTCTTGACGATGCCAACGTAGCTCTTGCGCAGCTTGTTTATTTTCTCACCAGTCACCGGATCCACCCTGCGGACTCGATTGTGCACGGCGTCTAGGCCGTAGTCGGATATCAGATTTTGCGTCACATGAGGTCGGGATCTCTTTAGCGGCTGCTTGGGCAGGAAGTAGAATTGCCGGTCGTGGTCGGTTCGAGTGGGCTGCGAAGTAGAAGTTGCAGAGAAAGAAGAGGAGGCGGACTGTTCGCCTTCGGTGGCAGTGTTGGTGGCCGCCATGTCGGCCGCGGTTCTGTCGTCGGTCATGATCACATCTCCGTCGCTTGTCGCCATGGTTGCGCGGCCGGGCCGTGGGAAGGCTAACGGAGGAGCTATCGCAGCGAAGAGAATGCGCGCATCGAGATGTGGAAAGCACCAGTGCGCACGTTTCTGGTCGTCTGTTGTGCACGTTGAGGATGGAGAGGGCGTGAGGGTTGGATTGTCCGCGCGAGCAGAAGCGACGGGCATGTGGTGATGACCTTGAATGGGGCGAACCCGACAGTAGAACAATGACACCTGATTTGTGAGGCAAACATGTGAGGCATGGGGGGCTATTCCAGATTGAGTAACGAGAGTGGTCACGCCCGCACGCGTTGTCCGCCGCCTCTTGGCGCTTCCTCTTCGACAAGGCCATCTCAAGCGGGACGTTGGCTCTTTGTTGCGTTATACCCTAATGCCTCAAGAAACCTTGCGATTGTCTGCTACAGAGCAACGTCCTCCTTAGTGCGCCAGTCAATGCAAAAGTACGGCCGGAAATGACACCTGTTGAGGACAACCCTCCACCCCGCTCGACGACGCCCATCACTTCCAATCGACGCGTTTTTCAACCAGCTGCCCGTCCTGCCCAAGACTCCATCAGCGGGGTTACAGGTCGAGGCGTGCAGCAACTGAAGCCAAACGCGCTTCCTGCCCGTCACTCGGCGTCCAACATACTTGTTTCCAACCGTCAGCATGGCAATCCGGTCCTCAAGGAGATCAAGTCGCAGGCGTGGGAGTTCGCTGATATCCCAGCCGACTATGTGCTTGGCGCCACAACGTGCGCACTGTACTTAAGTCTAAAGTATCACCGTTTACACCCACATTACATCTACAACCGTATACGCGATCTCGCTGGAAAGTATAACCTGCGTATTCTGCTCGTCATGGTAGATGTAACCAACCACGAGGAGCATCTCAAGGAGCTGAGCAAGACAAGCTTAGTCAACAACATCACGCTGATATTATGCTGGTCGGCCGCGGAGGCTGGGCGGTATTTGGAACTCTACAAGACTTACGAGCATGCGCCTGCGACAATGATCAAAGCGCCTGTATCCACGTCACATGGAGACAGAGTGGTAGACTTTATCACAACGCCAAGAAGCATTAACAAGACGGATGCGATGAGCCTGGTGGGAAATTTTGGAAGCATCAGGACGGCAGTAAATGCACGTCCTGAAGAGTTGTCTATGATCGGAGGTTGGGGCCCAACAAAAGTTAAGCAGTGGCATGCTGCGGTTACAGAGCCCTTTAGAAATAGAAAGGCCGCGAAACGGGGGCCTGAACCCTCTAGCTCTCGAGCCATCTCCTCGAATACATCACCGGCGGAGGGAGACGTAACATCATCGGCGTCTAGTGCTCGACCGCGCAGTCCCGCAGGTGCAGAGCCGCCGTACATGGATAGAAGACCACCAAAACGACCGGCCGAGGGCGATGAAGGAATTGACAGTGATGAAGAAGACGTCATGCGCGAAATGATCGATCAGGGGCTTAGCAAACAATCTGTGAGCGTGAACGCTCCGCCTGGCACACGCATAGCCAAGCCAGCACCAAGTAAGAAGCCGGAGGAACCTGGAGTAGACGACGGGGTCATGGCTGCGCTTGCAAGGCTCAGAGAAGCTGGTGGAAGATAGATCTTGTGTTCGGACCGCGGAATTGTGTTGAAACAGACAATTTCTGTCGTGAAGACTACATATTACCCTTGAGAATTGGACCTTTCCCCATAAACAGGCGCTACGTCGGGTTATCCACGGCAAGTCTACAAATGACGCTTGTGCAGAACATCAAGCTCCGGCGCTAGATGTAGGACCGAGAAGGAAGATCCTAAAGGACGACCAGAAGGTATCAGCCGATATCGCAGTCCCAACCGCAAAGCAGACGCGATTTCCGGCTTCCGCGGCGTTGGGCTGCACTAACCATCTTTGGATCCAGGACGACGCATTGCGAAAGTTACCCTGCAGATCCCATCCTGGACCCTGAGATTGCAACGCGGATCCGGACCGCTCCAAGTAACGGCAATCTTTGGGAATGGCATCCAACACGATTGCGCTGCCACGTCGCTGATCAAAGGTCCAGGCGTCTGCTTCTGCGACAAAAGATGCGCACCTGTCTTTCCTCTCGTGGCCAGCGCAGATGATGCCGAGGGTTTCTGGACGAGGGGCACTTCTCCCTTACCCCTGTATCAGGACAATTTGGTCTGGAGCGGTCTAATCTCCGTTTTGACGTGCTGACGAGGAAGAGCACACGACGAATGGCTGTTGCGGGATAAGAGATCCGTGTGGGATGTGGTGTTGTCGGAGCTTTGTTTTTTTAAGCAACCCTGCATCCACCTCGCATGTTCCGGCATTCTTATCGTTGCTCTAATTTTGCACTTGATCTGTCTCTGTTCGTGTCGCTCTCTTAACAGACCCTCCCTCGCCGTCTGCTTCAAAGACGCTCCGTAGCCTTGTTGGGCTATCATCCCAGCCCATTCTGAGGCGATCTCTCAGTCGTTTTGCTCAATCGGTGCACGATGTCCGGCAAGTCGCCATTGGGCAATCTATGCTGCCTCCCATTGGAGGTCCGGGAGATCATCTACGGCTACCTCATTCCTCCCTCTCGGCTTCCTACGATACTGCGATCCCGGCATCTCGGAGTTTCAAGCATATCACATCGCCCTCCTCCGCTAGATCTGCTGCTCATTTGCAGCCAACTATACGTAGAGGCGCTCGATTTGTTCTACAGAAAATGTGTCTTCAAATTTGACGGCCTGCTAGATCCGGCGAACATTTGGCCCTTGTGGCAAGTTGAGGAGGTGCTGGGCGGCAGCGAACTGGGCTTGGTCACGCTCGCGAACATGCGCAAAGTCGAGCTGAACCTGTTTTGGCACCGTCTACCAGATGGTGGCGTCGCGAACAGAGCGTTGGCGAACAGCGGAAGCGATTATAGGACCGTTTTCAAATCCGAGATTGACAAGAGAGTGGAGCGACTGGGACGGGCCGTGCAGGTCCTAAAGAGAGCGGAGCAGCTTCGAACTGTCGTGTTGACCTGGAAGGAGATACCATCTCGCAGTGGCGAAGAGCCGGCGGACTGGCCACTGAAAGAGAAGGTTCTGAGGACTCTTGGAGCTCTGCGGGGTCCTAAGTTCGTTATCGGAGACCTTGTGGCTTCTGCTATAGTCGAGAGATCGATCCTAGCACTTATTGCCGAATGGAACGCCACAGATCCAGAGTCAGTGGATCGGTTGTCGCCCCAACCGTCGGGATGCGTGCGGCAGAGGGAATACGTAAGTGCCGTCTTGCAGACGACATCAATACCAATGCCAGAAGACGCGCATGTGCTGACCACAGCCTCAGCTGGACCTTGTCGAGCAGCAACAGTCGCTTGCGAAATTCAACAACCAATCAAGCAAACACAGATCATATTTTGAATAGATGTGAAGTTAAGGTACATTTGCTTTTACCTCATCCAGATATCATGTGGTTCCAGAAGTTTTGAGGCGGAAAACATAAGAATTTAGAGGTTACTCAAGAGTCCGTATTCAGTTGGATATAAGATTTTAGAGCTTATTCAAGAGTCTCTATTCAGTTGAATTACGATACTACCGGTCATGAACATACTACGCATTGCTTAGAAACTTTGAGCTAGATGCCTGCAGTCAAAAGAGAGACGGGTTCTTTTTTATACGATAGAGTAGATGCTTGATGTATATTCTCATGTAGAGTTTGTTACTGGATTTTTTTTCTAGCGAAAAAATACTTGCATACTATAATGTCATTACATATGTAGTCCATGTACGTCTTAGCTTTGGTAGAAACGTGAAGTCGTGTATTCAGCATAATCTCCTAACTCATGAAACCCTTCTTGCCGTCGCCATCAGCATCCTTCCTCGGATCTAGTTTATCCTTCAGGGACGGCTTCGTTGCGGTTGTTGAACCTGACATGCCGCTGGTACCAGCCCCTCCAGCGCTTGTAGTGGAGGAGGGGTGATGTAGATCGTACTTTTCGGCACCCTGCTTCGCTGTGACGTGATCGTGTGTACCAGGTACAGATTGGCTCGTGGTGCCAGCAACAGAACTTCCACTCTGTCCAAGAGTATGCTCGATGCTCCTCGGCTCGCCGTCAAAATGATCGACTCTTTCGCCGCGGCCGGTCAAAGGCCCGCCGTGCTTCTTGAAGTCCGAAATTGTGATTTCCGGCAGAGTCGAGGCAGCATGGTGCTGCGCAGTATTGTGGTGTACCTCGTGAACGGGCACGGTCGTGTGAACGACATGAGGCTCGATAGTCTCCTTCTGAATGACGGGTTGTATCGTCTCGTGGATATGATGGTGTACGTGCTCACCGACAACCGCAGGTGCATTCGACGTGGTATGATGTGTTGGTTTCCTCACAAGCTCGTCCTTGAATTCAGCAGCATTCATCTTCAGGCGATTTTCCGTCTCTTGGGTATTTCGATGATCGTGGGTACGATGCTCAACAGGAACCACATTGTGATGGTGTTGCTCAGGAAGCACTTCACGATCCTTAATTGGTTGTACTGATGTGTGATAATGATCTTGATGAACTTCTCGATCGGTGACCACTTGACGTTCTTCCCTCTGTTCAGGAGATACTGTTGTATGTTGAACACTGGGAGCAACGCGTTCGTGCACAGTGGTATCGTGGTGTCCGGCCTTCTTCACGAAGTCGGAAACGGCTGCTTTGGCTTTCTCCATTTTCAATAAATGTCGACCTTGAAAATGAAACTGATATTAATACAAAGACGTGAGTATGAACTTGCTGAGGGCTTGAATGTGGACATGAAAGAGCTGATAACTTATAGTTGAGCCTCTTTGTCATCTCTTCTTTGCTAAGCTCTCAAAAATGGGAAGCTACGTAATATTGAGCATGAGCCTCATGGCATCATCATCATTATTACGCGCTTGATGATAACGGTCCAGAACAGGATCTGCTGGGCTACGCAAGCACCATGTTAGCGGCCCCTAATGCATTTCGGCAAAGTAGCACAGATCCAATGGCCCAGATCTTCTGTGTACTGTTACGTGACAAAGGTCTTCTCATTCGCACACCCAGATCAGCGTCTCCCACACAATTGTTGCACACACGGTTGAAACACCAAACCAACAAAGTATGCTTAGTCGCTGGAGAGAGCACCTGCGTCTAATCGTGAGATGGCCTCATACGTAAGGAGCTTGTTCGTCAAGGCGTCGTTGTTGCTGCAGGGATCGTGGTGGCAAGGACCGAAAACTACGCGAGCCCTTGTGCATCGCTGTGGAGAATCCTAGCGAAGATCAGCGGCAAGATCTCACTAAATCTACTCTTGATGTAAGCCTAGTTCTAGTGTTCAAGGCTCCCGAAAGGTTGAATCGGAGCTGTCAGTTTGATGATAGTACCGCAATCATTGAGTTTGTGTCGTCATCATTGCAGACTTTCCTTTTCGGACTCGCTATGCTTGATTTCATCAGCCATCCATAAGGAGCCCCAGATGTTCCTGCGTAATAATGAATTAGCTCCTGCAGCGACAATCTTGTCTGCGTCACAGTATCGTATGGAGTCTATTGCGACTCTCTTTGAAATGCAAACGATTGCGGCGTGGTATTGGAGTGGGGTAAAAATGTCGGTGTCACTTTGCTTCTTTCTAATCCATTACGGAAGAGGGAATTCGCATCGAGCGGCGACCGAGGCCTCGTCCTCATTAGCGTGATTCTTCAGTGTGGCGTCCCTTTGTTCAATGTGGATCCAACTTCTCCCGTTGGCAATGTTCTTGACGTTATCCATGCCCTGTTTGTTGGTGCAATGGAGCAAAAACAGCCCTTTTATTACCGGTTCAGGTGGAAAAGCCGCAAGGAGAGTCGGCCAGACCAAAAACATCGCCAGTTAGAAGCCACGACAATCATTAATCATTCGTCTCTCAAATTGCCTGAGCCCGGTACAGCACGTGGGCGTTTCACGGTGCCCTCTCGCCCCCAGACTTCATATGGTCAGATCAAGACTCAGTGGCAAACGGCAATCAACACCAGGCTGAATCAACGCAGACGAGTGACAACCATGATACCATCCACGAGCGACGGTACCGCACCGAAGTCTTGGCCTTGCCGTTTAGATTTAGAGTCTCATGAGCCTACGCTCCATTTAAACAAGGTTGACTTCAACTTGTCCGATGAACTTAGACATTTGACCTTGCCAAGTAACGAACGGTCGGAGACGCGTTCGAACCGAGTGAGATTTAGCGAAGATGTGGCGGATCGCAACTTGAAGACAGTTCGGCCAGACGGTCTAATGCCAACGAACGGTCGAAGTACAGATGTTTTGGATTTTGATCTTCCCTTCTACCCTCGTGTCGTTGTCGAGAAGAGCAGATACTCCGAAGATGTAGCCGACCGCAACATGAGTATAGGGGTTCTCTCAGGCTTATCCAATAAGACCTATAATCCAAAGCTTGCCAAACATCGAAAATCAGAAGAGCTCTTACATCCGAAATCTCAATCGTGCAGCAAGAATATTATTCGCACGGATGTTGCACAAGATCCTCCTGTTGATGTAAGCCAAGTCAAACAGCCGTCTAAAGATTCCGGAAGTTCTACGACAAAGTCAACAACGGGGAGAACGATGGACAATTCGCCTGCATCTTCATTTGACACGTATTCGAGCAAGGAGGTGGAGGAACAAGTTGATTTTCATACAACGATTTTGGAAGACGCCAAGGAAGCCAGGCCCAGAGCAGTCAATGCACAAAGCAAACCAAACGCCGATGCATCATCTCTATGTCTGAATGAGGTTCCAGATGGGAGGCTCGAGGGTAAAATGCCACTCATTTCGGATTGCTCAGTGCCGAAGGTGACGACGACGCGAATGGATAGATCAACGGTCGCGGACGAGCGCGGTGAGAACGTGGGCACTGAAAGGGAACTCCCGCCCAGCTCAACGGGCCTCGATCTGAACCGGAAGACCGACACTGAGATTGTCACCAAGTACGAACCCCCCGTGAAAAAGGAGACCGTCCAGCCGATCGTGCACCACGTACGAGAGGAGCAAATCACGCGCGAGATCCACCACCACGACGTTTTCCACCGCATCCTGCCTATCAGGGAGATCGAGGTGCTACCCGCCAAACACTTCAGACGTGCAGCGAATGGGGAGCTGGAAGAGCTCCCCGCAGGTGCGATGCCAGGAAGGGCGAATGAAGTCCTGTCGCGACTGGCCGTAGAGAATACCTCGCAGAGGGAGAGCACCTCCCTGGGTCCGCGAACCTTCACCGCGAGCTCGCTGGATTATCTCCCCCAAGACTACGAAGAGAGGGTCGATGCAGATGGCGTACGTCGCTCGCACACAACGTGGATACATGCACCCGTGCTTGAAGATGGAGGCAGACGAACGGGCCAGACCCAACCATTGGAGATTGCAAGTCGTTGACTATATGAGGCAGTGACTGGATTCCATCTGGGCATGTGGCGTATGGTCGTTGCAGTTCCGACTTTGTTGTTCGTGATCATGCGATATCGAGCGTTCAGAACAATACAGGAAAACCAAGGATGTCGGTGGCGATTTCATATTCCTACTTCAATGTCAACGGCGAAATCCAACGAGAAGCCGTTGGCTCTGATAGTTGGCACGCGTGCGAGCTGTTTTTTTTTTTGTTAGCTTACATCGTGATGCATGAAGGTCACAAAGTTTTGAAGGAAATTACGATTTCGGGTCGCATTTGATTTTCATCATGGTTACCGCATGTCTTGACGTTGAAGGTAGAAGACCAGCACCTCCTACAGATTGACTTTGAATATTAAGTTCGTATTAGCGTGTAATAAATCTAACATCTTGTATCTATTCAATCATCGTTGTAATTCTGAGAGGACTTGAGACAAAGATAGATTCCAGAGCCATGAGGCCCCAACAATGGCAAGTGCGCTCATCGTCGCGGCCATGAGCAGATTAACGCCGTTGTTGCTCAGAATATCCATTCCCGTGGCTACTTTCCTGCTTTCATGGTGCTCCTTGTCCTTGAACGCCGTCTCGCTTTGCTTCAGCTTCATGGATCCTGTGCTGCGGACAAGCACTTTTGCGCCTCCTTCTCCCTCGATGACCTTGCCCGTTCGGATGTCTATGACGCTGGCCTGGAAGACGGCGCCCAGAAGTGAGTCAAAGAGCGAGCCACCGACACCGATGGCCGTCATCGCTAGCATGAAATTCAGTCGCTCATGAGTCGTCCAACCGCTTGACGAAAAATCTTGCGAAAGAACGCTCGAGCCTTCTTCACAGAAGGGCATCAAAGCCGTGGCTGTCGCTGCAACAATGAAGGAGCCCAAAAAGCCAGCAAGTATGCCCGTTACGGTGACGCCCCCGTTCGTCCCCGGCGCTACTTTCTTCCACGGAGCGGTGATGAGTCTAGGCTGTGCTTTTGCGAGAATACCAAGCTCGGAGGAGAACGTGTCCGCGGCGACGGCCGTGTAATTACTGTAAGATAGTTAGGTGCCCGCTTAAAAAATCCTTGTTCCGGTATGAACGTACGCTACGATGCCTGCCACGAGCACGTCGGCTGCTCTTTGGTACGGCTTATTGTGCCAACACAGCTCCAACGCGCCATCCTTCTTCAGCACCCACGCGTGGGCGAGGATCAAGACGCTCGCAACGACAGAGTTTGCGAGTACTTGAACATGTGTGCGCGGCCCTTCTCCGCCGGGCGATCCAGAACTCGAATGGGTCAGTTTCGCCTTGACGTCGTGCTTTACCTGATGGTAGGCACGTCAGCATGCCGTCCTGTCCAGACACGTACTTTACAAGTCATACCTTGGTCACGGTCGTGCCCGATAGAAAAAAAACGACGAGAAGCGCAAAAAATACACTCCAAGGGTGCACGGCATGTGCTACGGCCGTCAGCGCTGCAACAAAGATGCCCAGTGGCGTGAGCGAGTTTCGCGACCACGCTCTGTACACCAATGCGAGCGTGGCCGGCACGGCAATCCACGGCTTCATGCTGGACAATCGTGAGAGGGAAAACCAAGAGTTGTGAGGATGTGTTCGAGAGAAAAAAAAAATAAGGGAAGGTTGCGTTAGAGCTGCTGCAAGGCTGACGGGAGCTGATGTCACCCGCGCGGGACACATGGCACATCCATGAGACCCACACCAACCTCGACTGTCACGGCACTCTCGAACACCACCATTCAGGACCAAACATCATGTTCTTGAATCTGACAAGGCTATCCAAAGACATTTTGTAAGCAATTCAGACCAACTGTGGCCAATCCTACTAGCCACACCAGGGAAGCACACGTGTAGAATGCTCATCTCCAGTTATCATGCACGCAGCACGGTAAACAACGCCAACCACAACCCAATTCACGAGTAAGTTTTCACATGCTACTTAGCCAACTCAACCGAAGCCCATTATGGCCCGTCCATATTTGAACCTCAAGCGAAAGTCTTCCAAACATCCTCTGGATCACGTATCAGCGTTCCCCGCCCGTCCTCCTCGGCTACGGTTCGAGTGATTGTGCACCCCTCTCTTGAACACCTGGTTTGGTCAATCGGTGCAGACAACGTGTAGCCTCGATGCCCAAGATGAAAAGAAAATCACCGAACAACGCCTTCGAGGAATTAAAGGCGTGCATCCCACACCGTCCATCCACCCGCTTGCAAAAAAAATAGCTTCGCCTTTGGAAGATTCTTTTTGAGCGGCTCGGTGCTAGAATACGCAATCACCTTTTCCAGGCGCGAAGTTTGAGGCCTAGAGAGAGGGAGAGAGAGAGAGAGAGACAGAGAGAGTGTGTGCGTAAAGAGAGGACGACGTTTGCACCGACCGGGAGCCAGATTTCACCTATCCTTTTGCAAGTGCCAAGAAAGTACGTGGAAGAAGCGAAGGAGGAAAGGAAGCAGAAACAGAAAGATCCGGACGGGAAAGGAAAGGAAAGGAAAGCAAAGCAAGGACCCGAGCATCTACCGCCATGAAGCTGATCTATCATCCCTTCTCGCCCTTCTCCCGGAAGGTGTACATGCTCGCCCTGGAGCTGAACCTCGCCTCGTCGATCACGCTGCAGAAGGTCGTCGTGGCGCCCGTCTTCTACCCAGGCTGGTCGGACAACAACCTGGACGTGTCGGCGGCGGGCAACCCGCTGGGCAAGATCCCCGTGCTGGTGGTGGACGACTTCGCCGATGACGACGGCGACGGCGACGGCAACGAAGGCGACGAGGGCAAGAAACCGGTCGGCATCTTCGACTCCAAGTTCATATGCGAGTACTTGCTGTCGCGGGCCGGGCGGGACGACGGGCAGGGCAAGTCGGCGCGGACGCGGTGGCTGGAGAAGAGCGTGCACGGCGCGTGCGACGGCATGGCCGACGCCGAGATCCTCGTCGCGTACGAGCAGCGCCTGCGCGCCGACAAGGGCCTGCTGTACCAGGCCTGGGTCGACGGCCAGCGCGAGAAGGTCACGCGCGGCTTCCGCTTCCTCGACGCCGTCGCCGCCGCCGCCACCGCCACCGCCAGCGGCCTCCTGCGCCCCGCCCGCCCGGACCGCCCCGCCAGCGTTGCGGAGATCGCCGCCGCGACCACCTGTGCCTTCTTCGACCTGCGCGACTTCCCATGGAGACCCCTCGCGCCCAGCCTCGAGGCCTGGTTCGAGCAGTGGAAGTCCCGGCCCAGCTTCGAGCTCACCCCGCCCACCGCGCAGCATTGGTTTCCGCCACCGGCCGCCGAGCGCCTGTAGTCGCTGCTCCGCCCTCTCTCTCCGTTCTTCCATCTCGACAGCTGCGCCAGGGACGAACTTCTTTCTCTCCTCTTAATTCCTGATCGGTGATCCCTGTGCAGTGGAAGCTTCTGCTCATCGCATATTCTCATACCAACTGTTTTTCCCCAAGCTCTTCAGCTCGTCCGTTCATCTGACCTAATTGTCATCTTTTGACATCCTCACCCCAAGGTACTCTTCACTTCGCAGCCACCCCCAAAAGAAGAAAGGAAGAAAAAAAAAAGGAAAAGGAAAAGGAGAAAGCAATATCCTCCACGGACGCAAAGAAGAGAGGACAAAGGGCGTGGTATCCACAAGGTACTGTTATTACGTCTGGGCAATGGTATCGTAAGCTATCTACAAATAAAGGCTAGAAGAGTAGTGGATTGTGGCTTGGTGTGTTAAGAGTATGCGGTGTTAAAACCTAGAAGTGCCGCTTCGCGCGCTCCCGTCTCTCACTGTTTCTCTCTCTCGCTCTCCCAGCTCCCCCTTGCTACGTTCTTTCCCGCTCACTTTCTCTCCATTCATACTCTCCTCAAATGGCAGTTGTTAAATGTACTCCGTTTAATAAGAAGTGAAATCAAAAACGCGAAGAATCAAACGCCGTCGTTCGTGGGCCGACATTACAACTTTGCTTTGTTGGGTATCCAGAGATTCAGGGGGGAAGGAGGCCATGTACGAGCGTGAGCGCGTGCGAGCTCGCTTCGCTGCACACACACGCGCTCACAAAAGACAAGTGGAAACCTCCCCCGCAACATGCAGTATGTGCAGAAAACTTCGTGGAAACGATGGAGAGGGACGGTGACTTGCGTTGGCTCAATCAGCTGAATGACGGCCAGGACGCCACCGCGAGGCGCGCTCAGGGAGTACCTGAGGGCGGGCCGCCCATGCCCCCACCAGGACCGTCGCTGTCCACGATTTTCCTCCAGTGCTGCGGAAGGCACACGCACACCAAGGGGAACGCCTTGATCTCGGTTTCGCCGTTGTCGTCCGTGGGCGGGGCCCTTGATCCGTTGCTCACACCGCTGTCTCTGTTCTCGTTTCTCGCCGACCAGTCCTCCGCCCGTTCGTTGAGCTTGATACCCGTCGCCCAGCCGTCGTCCCAGATGCCGATGACCTTGATCATGTCTCCTCTTTCCAGCTCCCACTCGTCCTGCGCCCGCGGCTGGTATGCCCACAACGTTGCGACAGCGTCGCCAGAGCGTATATCATCTTGAGAGTAGTAATCTTTGAAATGTGACAAAGCCTCCGAGTCGCCGCTAACGGCGCCTTCCGGGCTGGAAAAGTCTCCCGTGTTGGGAGAGCTTCCGTCTGCAGAAAGTGAGCCGCCGCGTTTACTTATTGCGGCAACGCCCAGACCGGTTCTCTGCGACTCGGGGGTGATGTCGTACGCTCCCTTGCCCATGCCTGCAGCAGCGAGGGGGCTCGCATCGGTAGCCTCGAGAGCACTGAGCTGGTGCACACGGGCTCCGACGGGCAGGTTGTCTTGATGCGTTCGCGGGCTCGCGTAGGTCATGGATGTTGCAGGGGGTCCGTGTCGTGACGGTGACGGTTGATTCAGTGTGCTGCCTATCTTGCTGTTCCTTCGCCGCCGGATGAGGATGCAGCATCCAATTATGAGGGCTAGAAGAAGCAAGGCGCCGACGATGGATCCGATCACAATGCCGGCGATGGCACCGCCGCTTAGTCCCGAGCCATGGGAGCTACCTGCAGCAGCTCCCGCGCTGCTCGATGCGGTCGCACTGGCCACGGACGAGGTGATGGCGCCCATGGAAGCAGTGATGGGCAGTTTGACGTTCGTGCATCGCGTCTCCGTTTGCGCGTTGACGCAGCACGAGTCGGTAGAGTTGGGCGAGCTCGATGCGCAGTATGAACATAGGCTCGGTAGGTTGTCGGCGAAGCCGCAGTTGTCCGGTTCGTTGGTGACGCCCTGGATGCATTGGTCGCTGTTCAGCGAGTTGTCCGGTAGAGCGCACGTCGTGAAGTCGGCGCGGATCTGGCTGATGGCGTTGTCACCGGTGGTGCCGCACAGGTCCTTGGTGGATGCGATCTGCTCTTCGCTCGTGGCGAACTCGGCCTGTCACAGCTGTTAGCACAATGCACGTAACCGTCTTGTCTTTTCGTGTGACCCGTACGCATGTTTCGGCGCAAACCGGTCGAGCTGCGGCTCCAGTGAGCTTGCACGGGTTGACGGAATTCTGGACGACGGCATTGCAGAGGAAGGTGGTCGTGTATCGCGCGTACAAATCGGTCGTGTTTGTGAGGGAGACGTTGGAGCAGCCGAGCAGGGTCTGGTATCTGTTCGTCAGGACAAAAAAGTCAGCGCGGCGAACCAGGGGTGACGAGACAAGCGCAGAACACGGCAAGGGATGGGTGCGTACTTTAGCTGCGCATATGTGGTGGCGATGTACGACTTGAGCTGTTCGTCGAAGGAAGCGGTGTCGTCGACGTATTTCAGAAACGGACTGTAGCAGAGGGAAAGGCCAACGTCAGCATTCAATGGCTCGATTGAGAGGGGGGCGTCGCGACGGAGTCGACGGCGAGTACGTACAACAGGCCTCGAAGCGTGTCGTCGGTCGATACGGAGGAAGCATTAAAGGCTGGACAGGCGGTCGAGCCGCGCAGTGATATGCAAGAAGCCATTCGTCGTCAGGACGTCCTCAGACACGAGCGTCAGACGGCCGGACGCAGGAACAGTTGCAATGGCTTTTCGTGTTTTTTCTCGAAATATTAGTTACGTTATGCAGTAGAGTCGATGGCAGCGTTCGAAGCGAAAAAGGCCATTGTGCGACGGAAAATGGTACGGATGAAGGAAAAAGAGCGACTGGCGAGTTGGTCCTGGGCGGCACAAAGGCGTTCCCTCCGATTGCGCCTGCGGAGGAGAAGGCGAAGGAGCGTACGTGCAGAGATTGGTTGGGTGGGAGAGGAGAAGCAAGAGTGAAGGAACGAGGAAGCAGGTACACGCTTGGGTCGGCTGGGCGGGTTTGGGCGGAGAAGCGAGAGCGGGCGGGGGGGGGGGGGGAGAGGGCCGCAGAGCCAGCAGCAGCAGCAGTAGCAGCTGCGGCGGCGGCAGCGGGCGACAGCAGCCAGAGCACGAGAACTCACCAGCTCCAGCGCGAGCACCAGCACCAGCACGGCCCCTCCCAGCCGAAACCCCCCCCAACAGCAGAGGCAGCACTTAGTGGCAACGTTAGCGGTAAAGCCCCCGGCCGCAAAAGGGACGGCGCAAAAAAGCAATGGCTACAGAGGTGCAGTGCAATCACAGGCGGTAGAGCTGGGCGGTAGTAGGCGGTGCGTGCCAAAGGCCGCATACCAAACGCTGCATCGCACTACCATCAGCCTTTTGCTGGCCACGCACACTAACTGCAGAGCGTGGCCCCAGCCAAGCCACCGGGGGGGGCCCCCCAAAAGCCGCTCCCCAGGCGAGAGCGTCTAGCCGCGTCTGGGCTAGACCAAGGCCGGGGACCACCGCCAATTGGCAGCCCCCTCGCTGCCTTCGCCGTCCTCCATTGGCTGGCAGGGCTTCTTTCCCTGCCCAAGGAGATTGCATCTCCGTTAGACGCAGCCTCGTTGAAGAATGACCCTCTGCTCTGAAGAAAACCTTCCTCGCTCCGATCCACAGGACTGGTGATTGCTATCATCATTCGTATTGCGCCCTGTGCAATTCTTCACCTGCGAATCAGAGGCTTCCGTCGCAAGCTCATCTTTCGCGCTATCGTCGGGCTCCTCGCACAACTGCACAAGGAGGAAGGCATCCTCGTCGATGCTACGGCGTCGAGATGAAAAAAAAAGGGCCACATCAAGAGCGTTTCATCCTTACCCATGAGTTGAGGCATGTGTTGGAATGTCCGACACACAAACGCGCCTGGGTTTCCTTCAATGCCATTCTTGTACCTGCTTCATTGCAGACAAGGGACCTTGTTTACCTTTTCCTGACACGACCCAGCTTTGCTCCTGCGTGCCCATCAACTCCAACAAAAACGGCACCGCCCGCGAGGAGGTACTGTCTGATTAGCATAGTTCTGCAGTAGTGCTAGTGCTGCGATGTACCATGTATCGTCATCGGACCAATTTTCTGATGATTCGTGCTGTCATTATTGCTCTTATTATTAGCCCGTCTGCCAGCCCATGGCTCCGCTTCCCTTCCCTTCATCAGCCATCCCACCATCCCCGGCCGGCCTACTGCGCGGCTCTTGATTACTTCTGCATCGCTTCCCTGGCCATTTGTAATCTCTGCTGCATGAACAATGTCTGAAATTTGTCACGCTGCTTCGGCAGTGGTTGTATTCTTTGACTACAGCTCACATTCTTGGATTTGCACTCGCCAAAACGAGACGCAGTGATAAGCTACGACCAATCTGTCCCAGGCGACTGCGTTTCATCGGAAGACAATCAGCCCGCGAGGAAACACCACCCTTCCCTTTTCTCTCGACCAGAAACGAATGCTTGTGCTGTTTTGAACTTGGCACATGCAATACACTACACGTACACGTCCCACTGTCAATACAACGCTGTCTTACATTCTTTAACGCGGCCATATGTGAGCCTTTCACGTCCAGATCATGCTACCTATCCGCAAACATCAGCATGCGGCCAAGAAAATGTCAAATATCGCCCATGACTAAGTGCTCGGGGGGACACCATCAGTTCTCCAAGGTGAAATAAAAATGAGTTAACTCTTCAGCGTGACACTCGGGAAGAACGCAGCGAACTCAATGTGGTTCATCATTTAGGAATTGATCCATGTGGGACTGTGGACTTCACTCACCGTTCTTGCAGTCCGAAACGTGCTGAGCGCGCCTCGATACATTTCAATCTGCAGATAAGCCGGTCAGCCTTTGCTCACGTCGGGAAACTCAAGTTGCGACAGTGCATCCTAGGTCGACCATTGAACCATCCAAATCAGGCTGTGCCATTGTTAGCTGAATGTTTTGATAACAGACTGTCGCGTTGCATACCTCATTAAATCAGAATTTTCAGTGATATACATCACGTCGACAAGCTGTCGTTTACACAGCAAATCGATCAAACAGTGTGAATATTTGATCATCATATAGAAAGATGGCTCAAAGATGCAACAAAGACGGAGTATCAAAGTAGTTACCTGCACGCGTACGTCATTAGCCTTTCTATCCCAGCAACGGGCGCCAACGAAGGGACTGCAGGAAATTGAAAATCAGATGAACAATATTTCAACAAGTATGCCATCGACCAACACCCGCGGGGTTGTACGGCCCGCTGTTTATGGATGCAGCCGACGGACTACATGGTCTGTCCGCCTGTCGCTGTTCAAGGGTTTTCGTCATAAGGAGGGTCAAGAGTGCTGGATGCAAAGTGTAGAGGCAATAACGAGAGTATCTGTGTACCTAGAGTGTCAAAATTGGCCACTGCCATGTACTTAAACATTTATGCGAATCTTCACGGGCTCGAGTGCTTCGATCAGACAAGGCTGAAACTTGATTATATACGGAATCAACATGAGCGTTCAGGACGAGGAATGCCTGATCCGTGTCTTTTTATCATCACCGAAACAGATGAGCCAACGAAAAACTTCTGTTTGAGCATACCTTTAGGAATCAAGCAGGGCAGTAAGTCCCATGACTGACGTTGCTAGCCAGACCATGTTGCTCGACAACAGATGCAACTGCGGCGAAGCTACAACAAAGACCGACGTATGAAGCGAGTCAGACATGCTGATCGCCCGTCACCAGCTGAAGTATGCCAGCTACGGGCACTACGACCAGCAGGTTACGTCCCGCGTTACACCTACATGCTCAACGAACAAAAGGTCAAAAGAAGAACCTGGTGAAGCTATCAATTAGCACATCTGCAACCATTGCATCCAGGCGTGGATTGAATGTTAGAAAGCAACGACTCAGTGTAATTCTAGAGTTATTTTAAGTCCTTCACGACGCATTAGGAGTTGGATTGTTCGTGATAGAATTTTCATCAGCGAAGCTAGCAAGCCGGCCCGCGGATGCAAGCCAGAACAGGGAAACAAAAGAGGACAGCAATGCTTACCGCGTCATACTAGGCGGACGAGCACACGAGCGGCTGCCATTGCAGCGTTGCGTGTAGTGTTGAGAAACATGTTGATGAGTGGTGGAGAGCTAAGGAATTTTTTTTTCTCCGAGAGACTGACAGACCGCGAGCGCACGAGCCTCGAAATCCGGACTTGGGTGCCTGAGGATTAAGCTCCGGTACTATCTATAGCGGAGTGCGAGGGGAAAGCGGCACGTTCGAATTGTTGCAAGAACGACGACACCGAGTAACTCAACTCGCAGAAACCTCATGATTTGATATATCCAGCTGAATTTCTGCGTGCCGAGTGTCGAATATGATAATGCTACAGTCTATGTACAACGTGTTCTGACTTCATAGCGCTCAAGTCACCATCGCCTTCCACTTGACCGTACGTCGTCGAAATCCTTACCCTGACGCTCACGCTCGACTCTGGCGTCGAATTCTTGCTGTGCTTCTGATTTTGCAAGTTGCCGATCTTCTTCCCGCTCGTCAAACGTGAAGCTGTCGGTCAGAGGCACACTGTTGCGTGGCGGCGGCCATTGGCTAGATGGCACAGAGGATGGCTCGCCTGATCCACTTGCTTGTCGCCTTACACGTTCCCATGCGGACTCTGTCTGTCCGGCTTGCCTCCTAACTCTGTCCCAAGCTGAGCCCGCGGTGCTAATTTGCGCTCTCTGTTGCTCTGGTGTTCCGAGCGGAGGCAGCTCACCTTGGCGTTGGTCCTGGTATCTGCCTTGATCGATCTGTGGTCTTCCAATCACAGGCTCCGATGACATATTCGTAGAACTTGGCTGCACATAATCGTTCGAAGGCCGTCGCACGGTATCGTAGCTACTGTTCAATGTGGCGTCAGATCCAAATTGTGGGCTCATGTCTTCTACGTCGTGCACTTGTCCATCCGACTGTTGAACGGGATCCGTAGGCAGTCCTTGCTGACGTCTATGCACTACTTCGCCCAGTCTTCTCTTCGCAATATCACTCTGCATGTCGCGGTGGAATTGCTTCAATCTTTCGTCCGACATCTGCTTCTGTGCCATCATAACCTGTCCAGCAACTCCGCCGATAACATACGCAGGCAAGCCATACCACGCCAACCACAGCGTGGTTCTGACCGCGTTCCATGCAGCACTTGAGAGCGGACCCTTCAGCGGCCCGAAGCTGTTGAAGTCGATAGACATGCTCTTGAAAGCCTTTTTCATAGGAAATTCCATAGCTGCTCTCGTCGACTGTGCTCGGAGACCGCCCAGTATCAAGCCATTGCAGTAGATCCATGAATGTACCTGTTGATACTTCGATACCGAGGCGACTACTGCATCCACCTCCTCCTGAGTGAGAGGTCGCTGTATTATACGCGGTGCACTACGGACGATGTCCGCGGTCATCTTGAGCAGTTGCCGATTACCGAAGCCCGTCAGCGGCCCCAGAATCGGGAACGGCCGCGAGGCCTTGGACAAGTCAATCTGCACGGCATTCGATGCCTGAGATGATCCGCTACCAGAGCTGTATGTGTCGAAATCGCTAGAAGGCGAAGCGTCGTCGAAGGCAGCTTCAAGGACCATGTTGTGCGAGGTATGCACCCACAAGCAACGGCTGCAAGGTAATCACTGTGCAGGCGACGGGATGTGGTAAAAACCTTTGTATAATAGGCTCTGGCTTGTAAGATGCTGGAGAATCCAACGGTAAAATGTGAAGTATCAAGTCTGGCATGTACTGACTGACGTCGATGGAGCTTTGAGCCCTCAAAATCGATCGGCACGGCAGCTCCATCCCTGCACAGTGCACGCGAGATTTCGACGTCAGCACCTGGCCGTCCCCTCAAGAGACTCTGGCTACAACACTTTGCAACCTGCCCATTCGGGGAGGGCAAAAACCTACCGCCTTAGTCTTCAGCAGTAAACCGTTGTATGCAACGAAAGACACTGCGAAGGATATGTGCATCACAAGCGAAGTGCCTATACGACGCCTCTCACGCGAGGGTTGTTTCTTTGGTCTCCACCTTGCGAGCCAATCTTCCTATGGATAGATAGCAAAAACATGATATTTTTGAAAAAGAAAGAAAAGAAAGAAAGAAAAGGGAAGGGAAGGAAAGAAAAGAAAAAAGAAAAACCCAGGCAACGATGTCCATTAGAGCCATGAGTTATGCTGTTCCGGTACACTGAGACTAAGCCAGACGCCAACATTTGGCATTGTTTCACAGTCGACGACGTGGACGGGTCATTTCCCCTTCACAAAGCATTTGTGACCTCTACAAACTTTTCGAGACTTTTCAACGCCGCTCCGCTTTCAATGCACCACCTTGCTCGTCTAACGCCCTCCTTCCACCTTCCACCTCCCGGTCCGACCTCTTTGATGACCTTTCCATCATCTCCGGGCCCCATGTTACTCTCGTCTGCGTCGCATATTCCGCTGACCACGAACAATGCCGCGCAATTGATCAGTACGAAATGCATGACTGGGGAATCAGCCGGCATCTCCCCTTTCAAGATCTTCATAAGGATCGCTGCGTTCTCGTGCGGCTCCTTCCCCGGTCCAACTTCTTTCAGCGAGTGACGTGGGAACCCAAAGTCCTCGGGCGTGAGGATGAAGTGCTCGATTTTGGAGATGTACCTCGGCGGCGCTTCGTCATCTGAGGTTGTATAATCGTCATCGTCAGGATCTGCAGAGCCTTTGAACTCCGGGTTTGGCGTCTCCTTGACTTTCCAACAATGCGTCGGACCAGCACAGCTCAGCTCGTCAAGGTCCTCTTCGCCGCAGACGACCATGACTTTGCGAGCTCCTGATAGGACAAACGACTGTGCAAACGCTTCGCCCAGGCTCTTTCGAGCAACCCCTATCAGTCTGGCCTCGATGAGTGATTGAGCGGTGTGCGAATCATCCGCAGAGCTTGTACTATCTACAGGATTCGAGAGCGGGCCCATAAGATTGAAAATGGTTCTCCAGCCTAGCTGCTTTCGGATGGGTATCACGTAGCGCATTCCGGGGTGGAATGTGGGCGCGAACAAGAAAGCATAGTTCGTGCTCTCATAGAGCGTTGGAAGGTTTTCAGGTGTGATTTTTGCTAACGCTGGAGCCTTGGGTGGTATATTCTGCAGCAAGTCCGCCGATCCAGACTTCGAAGTTGAGGCCCGATTCCCATGCTTAGCAATCAGAAGCAGTGAAGATGCTACAATTGAGGCTGTAGTGCTGATGTTGAAAGTGTTGTGGGAGTCTCCGCCCGTGCCCACCACGTCACACTGGTGATTAAACATAAGCATAACGCAAAGGAATCAGCATCTGGTGTACATACTAAACCCCCCTTGTACGAGCCCTCTATCCTTCCTCGTTTTCGAATAATATCTCTTATAGCCTTCTTATCAATGCGCGCCGCAGCGTTTCGCATTGCTTGCGAACATTTGGACAGAACATCTGCTCGTGTATCCAGTCCAGTAAAGTGGAGAGCCGTCAAAAGAGCTCCTGTCTGCACAGGCGTCAGGCTGTTGGTGAAGATATGTGATATAGCCGAAGCTACTTCGCTGGCAGTCACGTTCTCGTCCGAAGGCGAGGGCCAAAGGCGCTTGAGCAAGGGCGTGATGTACACCACTTTCTCGTCTTCTTCTGGCGCAGACATGGTAGCTTAATTTTCGGACTGTTGGAATTGCAAACCCCCAGAGCAATTGAGTCTTTGAATTTCCATATATTTGTGACTGTTCTGGTTTCCTGAACGAGATCGGGGAACAGCTTGGCGCTAGCCTTTTTAAGAAAATCTCAATTGCGAACATCTGCTTTCGATGGCCGTCACACATTCTCCTCAGCACGACCAATGTCTCCGCGTTTGCGCATACCCACGCGCCAATGGCGCTGTCTAAACTCGAATAAAAATCTCGCCATTAAGTTTCAATGTCGATATGCATCGGTGGCCACAACGCCGGCGCCTGCGATCCACGAGAACTCCGATGTCGACCCTCCACATATTCAACGCTTCCCTCCTACGCAGCCGCCCTCACACAAGCCGCCGTACATGCGGAAGACGCAATTGCATCGACAGTATCAGTCTCTGTTGAAGACAACGCCGTTGATGCTGATATTCCAACACAACAATCTCACCTCGAGCGAGCTAAACGGCATCAGGCGTGAGCTTGCAGCTGCTTTGAGGAAGGTCGACGAGGCAGAGGGCAAGGCATTCGCGGATTCCATCAAGCTGCAAGTCATTCAGACGGGTCTATTCGAATCAGCGCTGCAGGTTGTCGAGTTTTACGACCCTGCGAACCCAATCAAGCACACCAAACCTCCTCCAACCGAAATTCCAAACTCGAAGCAGTACAAGAAGAACGGCCCCGTGCCAAGCAAGTTCGACCCCCAGTTCAATCATGGACTGTCGGAAATGGCGTACCAGACGGCCAGGAATGCAAGGAAGAACAAGCGCCAGCTGAGCGAACTTGCACCGCTCCTGAAAGGACCGCTCATGCTTCTGACGTTGCCGACGATGTCGCCTGCGTACCTTAAAGCGGCGCTTACGATCCTTTCCCCTTCAGAAAAATTCCCAGCCCCGAAGAGGAAGGTGAAGCCGACACTGTACGAACCTGCTGTGCAGAGTGGAATTCAGAAATTGATGCTCTTGGCGGCTAGAGCAGAAGGGCGAGTGTTCGATAGTGACGGTGCCAAATGGATAGGCGGCATCGAGGGCGGCTTGACGGGATTGAGGTCACAGCTCGTAGCGTTGTTGCAACACTTTGGCATAGGTGTTACAAGCACATTAGAAGCTGCTAGCAAGAGTTTATATTTCTCTTTGGAAAGCAGGAGGGGAATGTTGGAAGACGCAGAAAATCCAAAGCCAAAAGAGGAGTCATCAAGTCAGTAGAATATGTAGAACCAATCATGTATAAACATTTTGCTCTTTCCAACATCAAATTCATAATAGACTAGTAAGACAATCATGCTGCACCTCCTTCAAATCTTACATCTAGTGTGTAGAAACAATCCTGTTTGCTTGCGGATATTCAGTAGCAGGTAAACTATGAGGAAAATCAGTAAATCGAGTTCAGTTGACTTCGTTATTAGGTGTCCTTGACAGCTTTCTAAGGGTATCTATATTGAATACAGCGCATGCTCAACCACAGCTTCTGAGCGGTTTGCCAGTCAACCACGCAACTAGCCAACCTTCTTCTTCTTTTGTGCCCTCATGCTTACAAGAGTACCCTCCTTGCTTTGGACCCGACCGACCTCCACTACAATCATCCGAATGAAATCCCTACTGGTCCAATAGCTGCTGTGCGCTCCCAGCATGGTCAGATACTGGATCTCCAGTGGTCCACCGCCGTATCTCAAAAAGTAGTCGATTTGTCCGTTGTCATTGAGTAGATACGCACGCTTCTCAGCTATCTCTTCACGTGTGAAATTATGCGTTTCGAGTTCCACGTTAGACGGAAGTCGTGCGATGAGTGCAGGTTTGGCATCAGCTGCACGGGCCTGGTTGGAAGACGCACGCGAAAATACGCTGAGCCAACCTGCTTGCGAAGAGGGCACCCATGCTTGCTTAAGGGAAGCAGCATAGTCTACGTCTACCGCTGCATTGAGACAATATGCAACGGGATCGTATGGGTTCACCACATTGTAAATGTTGTCCACTGCCAAACAACCATATGTACCTTGTTCGCCAGCAACGCCAGGCGTGCTGGAGGCATCAGACTTGTCGCTATCTCGCCGTGGCAGTAATGACCCTTTACGCAGAAGTAAGAAGAACCCAGACGGAGAACCACACGTGAACAGTGAACGGGTGTTAAAGAGAAAGTGATCCGTAGGTAGGGCATCTGGTTGTCCGACGGGTATATGGCTCAGATCAGATGAAACACGAGTTGGCTGGTTTGAAAGTACATCGAGAGCCATGACACTACCAAGTGAGTGTGCAATAAGATGTACTCGACCCCATTCTGAGAAACCTGGGTTATTGGCGCACCACAGCCTATAGATCCTGTTCGCCTCCCGAATGACTGCCTCAAGCATGGTTTTGCTGTGTTGGGCAGAAAGATAATAAGGAATGTCCAACATAACGTCAGACACAATATTGCGGACACTTGGAAGAGTCTCTGGCGTGATATCTTTTAACGTAAAGACGTTGAGGGCCGGATCCTCTTCGAAATCATCCGGTCGATAGCCTCCTTCTTCAAATGATAAAGTTAACCGCCAGTTAACTGGTAGCACCATGATTCCTCCCATTCCAGGTCTGAGATGTGCTTTGACGGCATCTGATCCAAGTTCAACATTGACGTCTCTACGGAACGTGTTCATCGCGTGTGTGAAGTGGTAGCTCTCCATCCGTTCCGACAGCTTCTGCCCTATGCCATGAATTACAAGCACCAAATCTGTGACATGGGGCCTTAGTGATTCAGATAAGGTAGCATCCTGTTGTTGTCTTTGCTCAGGATCGATTCCTGATGCTGCGGAAGAAACGCCCTCTCGAGCTTTGGTACCGGCAGTATGTTTCTTTGGTGGATGTAATTTATCCCACGCCTGTTGGTCGAAGCCACGGACAACGCGAAGACCAATCTTATGACCTTTGCGAATGTAATTGGCAAGTGGTCGACGTCCGTAGTAATCAGATGGCTGAAGGGATTGGCGCAAAATGTAGGCTTCCTTTTCGTTTGCGTATATGACGCCAGCGCTGAGATACTTTCGAGTCGTTCCGTCTCTCCCGTACGGCGCCGAACCAGCCGCTTTATGATCTAACTCATCGGACCCAACAGCAATATCAATCAAGTCTCCGGCGCTGGCTGCGATTTCCTCTCGCTCTTTCTCAGGGTCGTGATCTTGTGCATCAATAGCCCCAAGAGCCTGGCCAGTATCAGGTGTTCTCGAGGTGCTGGGCCGGCTGGTCGGCACCTTGGGCTTTTCGGGCCACAGCTTATGCAAGATCTTCATCTCGCCCAACGCTCCAACCTCAACGGCACTATCAAGTTCATCCTTCCACGTCTGACTCCATGCTCGAAGTTGTACATAACCCGCTTCCAACATGTTTGCAACATCTACTTCGACCGGGAGCATGTTGTCGGCGTAGAACCACGTCCCACGAACCACAGACGCCACGTCGTTCACAGGAGACCAATAGATCGGCTCCATTCTACAGATATATTAGCGGCAGTGCAGCAAAAATTTGATTCTCACTCACTTTAGATCTGGAATTATGACCTCATGTAACCTTGAGACACCAACGGGAACTTTGGCGGTGGGTCCAGTCGACCTGTTTTGCACAGTGTCTGAGCGTCTCGTAGACTGGTCTCTGGAGGATCCGTTTGCAGCAATGTCGACACCGTCTGACCAGTCGTAGCTGTCCATCTTTTGTGAAAGAGGCCGCACCGACGTGCTGCGCGACCTTGACGAGGATCCCACATCTTTCTTCGAAGGAGCCCTGATGAACGGGTTCCCAGTGACGGTAGACGTGTCTATAGCCGCACCAAAGCCCGAGCTCTCCTGATTGCGCAGGGAGCTTGGCCTACTTCCATCTGAGGGCCGTTGGTCTAGGGTTCCCGCCCTTGATCTCGCTTGTGCGGATAAGAGGTCGGTTGATGGCATTCTCTGTGGACGATTTTTGGGACTTGGAGGAGCTGCACAGGATCCGACAGAGCCTACAATGGATCGTCTCTTTGTCTCTGCGGTCGAGGAATTTGTCGCACTTCCACGCCCAACATCTTGAGCTCGCACATCAAGGTCCTTGGACAATCTCTTCTCGCTGTTGCATTTTTCATCGAGCTTCAATCGCTTCTGCCGAATATCTTTCCAGGCTTTGTCAAGGGCAGCATTATCAAACTGAGAAAACGGGCGCGGCGCGACTTTGTACGAAGCTGTGGCTGAAGCCGAAGGTGGTGGTAGTGGGGAGAGCGGATCGTCTATGGCGAGCGGCGACGTATAGAAGTAGCGAACGGCTATCGGCGGCGGGCGGTCAACTCGTTCTAGTGCACGACGAGTAGATCCAGCAAATGCTGGTTCTCGCGTGGTCATCTTACCATATTCGAAGCTGTAGACTTAGCCAGCTTTCAACGCGAGCTTTCCAGGGAATGTAGGAAAAGTTTGTAGTCTGAACCAGGCAACTGTAGAACGTGGATAAGATGTTGACAAGGCACGAGCTCTTATTTGCGCCGTGTGACGTCGACCTTGAGTGTTCCAGAACTAATCCCTAATCGGATCAACCCTTCGACCTCAACCAATCGAGATCAAATACTTCCGGAACGTGGCCAGCGAAATACTGCACTACCTTGGCCCATCCAAGAACTTTTCACTCGCACGGAAACGTTAGACTTTGTATTTCACTGAAGGAGAGTTGCTTGGAGACGGCTTTTTGGTCATTCCGCTAGAAGCCAGTCCGCAGTGCATGAATGCGACTAGTCCCATCTTGAACGACGGCTGTATAGCTTACCCGTAAGTTTGCCAAGGACATGCTTGTCTGACTGGCCCGTCAACTACCAAATCGACGAGAATGTCGAGGATGTTTTGATTTCATGAAAATACGTGGGTTCATGCTCATTGCTTCATTTCGGCCCTGCTAAATATCCGTTTCGATAGAGAACTATATACATCCTTAATGCTTGAAGTCAGAGCACATATGAATTTATTTTGTGCCACTGGTAGATCAATACAAAGCTCTTGCATTAGCTTTTTAAGCAATTTTTGTTTGGAACGAATTCGAGAAAGGGAGTAGTTAAGGGTTGCGAGTTCTTGAACGTGTGACGTTCGAAAAAAACCCTAAAAAGTTCGATGAAAAGTTCGTCTTCCGCCTCTTCTTCAAAAATCTATTCCTCTTGGAATTATAGTTCGGGAAACGTACGATGGAGCATCATTTATACATAAGCAGGTAATGCACGGCTAGAGCGAGTAACCATCATGTCTCAATGTTTGAATTACATACATCAGGACGGGCTTTTCAGCGAGTAGGGCGTCAAGATAGATACTACGTGCACAGTTGCATCATTGCAAAGATTCATGGCCTTAGATCGAAGCAATTCGTCACATATTTCTTCAGCTACAAGTTTGCTAAGCCCGGTTCTCTATACTGTTAAAAATTGTAGCATCGAGCCTTTTTTGGCCGCTCGATATGTCCGCGATATCCTGCTATGAATTACCATTTGCAATGATTTGGGAAGTGGAGACAAGGAGGGGAGAAATCGATTAGCGCTATTGCTGAAGCTTTTGTAGCTACTCCAAGAACAAACGCTGTTTACCCGTGAGACCCTCCTGTAACTGTGGATCTATTAATATCAGGAATACACTTGGACGGCAAAATTCCAAAGAGCGACAAACTTGGAGATGTGGTCGCTATTTCTGCTGTCAAGAGTCTACAACGGCTCACCAGATCCCAAACCATTTTTTTACTTTCCGTCTTTCGCCATCGAAGCCCCGTACTTCGTCAGCATCTAGAATCTCCTGCTCCCGAGCCCTTTGCGCTCTCAAAGACCTCACCAGCTCTTCACGAGCCTGTTCTTCTAAAGACAAGTGTTCCCTTTCCTCTTCCATCTTCTTCCTGTATTCATCACCCTCGACCGTACCTAGGCCGTAGGGCCCTTCGTGTTCGATGCCGTGAGCACGCATGTACTCCCTCCGTTTGCGTACTTCGTCCTGCTTACGCTGTCTTTTCTTAAGATTCTCAGCAGCTTCCTCCTGCTTGTGCATCTTGTACACCTGCGCGTATTGGGACATATACTCTATTGGATGCGACCAAAGCAGCGAAGCGGGCGGTAATAAATCGGGGTATTTATTCTTGCTGTGAAAGTCTATGTAGAATGTTGCACCAGCCAGGGCAACAAGTATACTCTGCGTACGTGTCAGACGCTAGACTTTGAGACAATTCTATTGTCAGGTTTGCTTTACCGTCGCAAACCAAGCGTGGAATCTCCTAGCCGTTAGCAGAGCGTACTTAAAGCTCCCTTCGGGCGGCATCATGCTCGGATACTGTTTCGTCTTCTGCGCAGCGATTTCTTCATCTGTCAATCTCGGTCCGAAACTTCGACGAGGTGCTGGCTTTCGTGAAGGATGTGATGGAGGTCGAAATTTATCCGGTTTCTCCAGGACCAATGGACGTAGGTTTGATTTGTCGGCAGATTCAGAAGCATAGCTGCGAACCTGGCGCGGACCATACGGTCGTATTCTAGGACTAGGAAAGGCTTTATTGTTCTTTGAAAAGGAAAATGTCCTTGACAAATGTTTTGACGACATTATTCGGAAATGTTATGGAGACAATGGGCGACGGAAGACGTAGGGAACCATGCGCTTTTGATCTTGTCTTCAACACCAGTGGTCCAAGCTCAATCTGAACATCGCGTGACCCGATTCGGCGAATCTCTGCTCATACTTATATCACCGCCTCTGCTATCTTCTGAGAGCAGACATCTCTTTGACAAGAGAAAAAAATTTTTAAAAAAAAAATTGCCATGCCGAATATCACTCCTGAAGAACACCGGCTAATCGCAGAGCCTTATGTTCCAAAGTACAGTCCATTTCGAGGCAAGCCCGTCCTAGTCAAGCAGTATGACCATCCTTCAGCAATAATTAAATTTGTGGATCAGAAAGTCAGCTAAGACTTGCAGACGCCATGACAACCCCGAAGCGGTCTTTCTAAAGCGTCCGTGGCATGGACCACTGCTTTTCGATAACAACACCTCTGATGCCCGCGATCATTGTGCGAACGAAAGAAGTATGTTTCTCCTTTGGTATAACATGTACCACTTATTCAAATTTTACACGCAGCATTCCTCTCGTGGCTGCGGCTCGCAGTGTATATGGCCGTCGTGTCTGTCGCTATCATGGTATCATTTCATCTCAAACATCAACCTACCCAAACAGAAAAACGCTTAGCTCTGCCCTTCGGTATCATTTTCTGGTTCCTGAGTCTTTGTTGTCTCATCGCAGGAGTTTCGAACTACATCAGGACCGTGTCGCGATATTCGAGACAAGCTGCCTTGGTTCAAAGTGGCTGGAAGACAGAAGTGGTATGCACGAGAATACTATTATACTGCATGCTCTCAGTGCATTCTAACATGAGCTTCGCCACTTAGGTCTTCACAGTTGTAGCCACTGCTATAGTAGCTGCATGTGTGCTGTTCCTTGCAACTAATGCCAGTACTCGAACGCAGTCGGTGATGGACATGTTGATCTCGCAATGAACAAACAGGAAACGATGTCTAATTGAAATTAATCGAAACGTTATCCGAGGTGAACAAGACTTAAGCCTTAAGTCTAGAGTTGCGATCTCGCATATGGAGCTCCAGCTCGAGCTCTGCTAAATTCATTACCAAGGTGAGCTTATGTGGCCTTTATTGATTTTGATTCCTCCTAATAGCCTTTGCCGTGCCTCCGAAGCAAAAGATGTACGCTTGATGTTGGAGAAGGCTCAAATGAAAGCCGATAATCAGAAGATCTAGCTGAAGATATAAATACATGACGACGCAGGTCATACGACAAGGGTAGAATTTATTTGCATCTAGGAATATCCTATACGCCTGGACTTGATAGCTTGACTAGAGTACTCGATTCATGCAAAATTTAATAGTCTTGTTCGTGTCATCGAACTGATTTTAGCAGCCAGTGAGAATACCCGACGGAGACTTTTTTGTATTGTATATTTCTTAATTCTTAAGCTTCGTACAATGCACTTGAGTCCGCTTTTACAGCCGCTAAAATTTCCTCGATGCTGCCAACGATGACCGAAACATGTAACCAAAATTTTTTCTCTTTCATTCTCTGGCGAATTCTACTGTTAGCCCGCAATAAATTCACCTAGTTCGAATCTTTTTTGGTACGTACAGCGGAATTGGCCAGCGAAAATGTCGCCGCGAAGTAAGATAGATATACTGTTAAATTTGGTGCCGGATTCACCAGCATCCATCATACAACACTTGGAAAATGAACCTGGGCTTGCAGCTGCTCAAGATTCCCATGGATATTCACTGCTACATGCTGCAGCTTCGTATGGGCAGCTTGATCTGCTGAGAACCCTCATCGGAAAATTCAAGGTCCCGGCAAATATTACAGATGAAGACAGTGAAACTCCGCTTTTCTATGCTGAGAAGGTAGAAGTCGCAGAGGCACTGCTAGAGCTCGGTGCGGATCTGTCACACAAGAACCAAGATGGGCAGACCGCCGAGGAGAAAATTGATAATGAAGAAGAATTCCCACTCGTTGCTGCTTTCTTGCGACGAAAATGCGCGGATTTGAATGGCCATCCTAATAGGGGAGTTGATGGATCGTCTTCTGATGGGTCAATGTCCCATCCACCACCTTTACCGGAAGGTATCAAGGTGAATATTGGGACGATGTCGGAGCCAGAAGGTGAAGCACCAGATCCGGAGTTTCGACGAAGGATAGAAGAGCTTGCTTCGAGAGAAGACTTCCAAAGCGAAGAGGGCCAAAGGAAGCTACGAGAGTTGGTCACTGAGGCAGTCACAGGTCTCCGAGAGGGTGCTGGCCAAGACGAGCGAGCGGCGACAAGAAGACGAGTCGAGGAGTAAATTCGGCCTCTCGGCCAGGTTCTGACGAACGGAATCATAAAGCCATCATTGCCTACTTCAGGTGGATACGAATGAAAAAAATGAAAGGGCTGAGTTGTGTGTCACATATGTCAGACCATTCAGGAATGACTGATGAGAGACGATTACACTGAAAACCGAATTGGCCTACTTAGCAACTACAACATTTCAGTGCCCTTACACAATGTCATATCGCTCAACTGCTGCAGAAGGCCTTACACAAGAACTGCAAGAGTTCAAAAGACTCGAAAGTCAAGGCTACAAGTGTCCAATGAGGCATATGAAACAGTAGTGCAATGTCGAAGTGGAACACGGAAGTACAGATGAGCTTCCGAAGAACTAGAAGAAAATGAATGGTCTAAATTTTATCATTATCGTGACTGTGATTATCAGTCATGAAACAGTCGGTTCACATCTTGATTAGATCTAATTCGAACTTAAGTATTGATTTAGCCGACTGGTTGCTCCATGAGAAGAAAAACACGCAGTGATTATTGATATACGCTAGTACTTTGCTGTTCCAGGCAGCGGTACCGCCATAGCAAAGGTTCATATTCACTACATACGAGCGAAACTTTACACGTGGCATTTTTTTCGTTCAGGGAAGAGATCGAAAGAACAAGAGAATGTCAAATTCTATTTGCGTTAACGCAACGGAGGCCATTCATTTCAAAAACGTATTGCACTCATACAAGGGCAGTAGTTGAAGAAATGTGAAGGTTCTAATAGGACCTGTGAGACCACATATCTATTTGGTGGCTGAAGATAATATGGTTCACCATCAAGTGCCATGAACGGAAGGACATTTAAAGGTTCGAACAAAGGATGGCAAATAACTTATTTTCATAATGTCATCAGATTGATTAAGTATGCGCAATCATAGCTCATTAGTGGGTATCAAAAATGCGTCATGAGTTTCTCAGAATTCTCTCCCTCGCGGCGTGCCAGAGCAATGGTGATACAACACAAAATGTCTTGTAAATAGCTTAATTGCGATAGAATCGCAATTTAAAACAGAGCTACTTCCTTGTTATCTTCAGGAGAGGAGCAATTCGTGCACGTCTACTAAGTCCGACGCGATACAGTACTTTACCTCTATTGAGAGGTGAGTGACTTGAAGATTTCACCGTCAATGATTTGCTCTCTGGCGTCTTGACGTGATCGCTAACCTGTTGCTCAGCTAGCTCATGACTTCGAATTGATGGAGCTGGCGGTGTCTCTTCACCAGAAATTTTTAATACAATGCTACTGTGGTCAGAGTTGGTTTCTGAATACTTCAGCTTTTCTGAAAAGCTCGCAGTTTTGATCTCGTGATTCTTCTCGCCGGACTCATATTTGCTTGTTTCTTGATCATGGTATTCTGCATCGGCAGCTGCTAAATCTGTTGCATTCACTTGGCGTGAACAGCCAACTTTTCGTTTGCTCCGTGTCGCTTGGGGGTTCCCCAACATGGAAGCCGCATCAGGAGCTTTGGTTGAGAGGCCAAAATTAGTCGCAGATGCCTTTACAGGAGAGAGTTCTATCTCCGATTCGTCGGAGTCGACGACGCTTTTGCGCTGGGAGTGGACTGGAATTGCAATTGTATGGCTTCTGCCTGCTTTGGCCTTTCTATAACTTGCAACTGTAGGCGAAAGTGTTGGATGTAATGATGAAGCTGGGGTAGTTGTAGTAGCGTTGGGTATCAACTCATCTATCTGAGCGGTATGCCTGTCGGTTCCATTTGTAGGAGCGACAGGAACCTCAACGAATGGAGACCTTGAATTTGATTTAGAGATCTTGGAGGCTTCTGCGGGGCGATATTGTGTCGAAGGAGAATGGTTCTCCTTGTCTGCTATCACATGAATCTCGTCTATTTTATTGGGCTGACTCGGATAAATTGTAGCTCTTTCGAGGGTCTCATAACGGCTGGCCAACGGTAGAACTGAAGAAGAACTTTCAAGGTGTTGAGTGCTCGTCCAAAAGGTTTCGTGGGTGGTCTTCCTTCGTTTAGTCCTTGGACCTAGTGCCTCTTCCTCAGTTCTCAGTTGGTCATTCTCAGTCGCAACTGTCGACTTTGATCTGAGAGCACGAAACTTGGATTGTTCTCTAGGTATATCAAGACATAGCTCATCAGCTTCAAGTTCCAATGCTTCCGTGTCGAAAGTCTTGATATTTTTGGACTTCATGCTGTCTGTCTTGGATTCATCGGCCTTTCCTCGAGAGTCTGCATTCGGCTGATCATACGTTGCCTGAGAAGGTCGCTGAACCAAATTTGGATCTATTTCTCTAGTTTTTGGACTTGCGGCCATCATCACTTGATTTTCTTGAGAGGGAACTTTGGACTCGTGAACCGATGTATTCGCATTGAAGACTCCCTCATCTTGTGATTTACATAACGCGGGCTTAGAATCACTTCCACAGACGTCGACAGTCTGAGATCGCCGCTTCGAGCTTGAAGTAGATTGGACAACTGATGGGATGCTTGAGCTGCTTCGCTTTTCAGGTGATGAAGCTTGAGTCTTCTTGGGGCTGTCTTTATAGGCTGACCACGGAATAGAGGAATCGCTGTTTTGTGTGGGATTTTTCTTGTCCTGTGTGAGAAATTCCGGAGGCATATTCGCCACCAAAGCTTGCTGAATCATGCGCTGTTGGCTCATGGTGTTGTCAGGGATTGTACTTGATTGCTCCGAGAACAAGACAGTTGGATTGTGTTCAACAAAGTCATGTTGAAGGGTCGAGGGTAGCCAGTCGTCTTTAATTTCACGACGAATGTGGGAATTCTCGTATCTCAGTGCCTCGACACATTCTGAATTTTCGGATGCCAGTGTTTCTGAATATTTGCAAGAACTGTTGGAGATTTTCTTTGCCTGTTCTCGCCTGCTGGAGCTCATTAGGATGCCCATTCTCTCTCCCGGCATATCTCCCGTATTGCCAATCTTTGACGCTTTCGTAGATGTGGCCAGCTCATTCTGAGCTGCTTGGATTCCTCGCAGAAGCTCAACTGAAGAATTAAGCATGTGTGAATCTTCGGTGTCATATGAAATACCTGAAGAGCTTTTCAATTCAACGTTCTTTTCCCCACCGGATATGTCCTCTCGTTGAGCAAGAGGGCTTGGAAGCTCATTCTCATCATCCGAATCTTGAATAACGCGTCCCATGTTGTTCGAGTCATCTCATCGCTGTTGTGAAGCCGTGTACGGAGTAATTAAAGCTGATCGTCCACAAACGACGCGTCAATCACGCGTACTGAACAGCTTCACCTCACGGTGGCTCCGATATCGGAGCCCTGTAATCTCATCCGGCGCATTGCATCTTCCAAAATGCACGATATTTTTATTATTCATACTCTCCGTCGCACGGGAGAATTGGGATTCTACAACAGGAAATACACAAATGCAAGCTTTGGCTATTGTGATTGGAGCTTCTGCGGGGCCGGTGTTGTTCGGCTACCTCGGCTCAAACGCTTGCAACTTCCAACCATCTGAGCAACCGTAGGATGAAAGATGAAGAACGGTGCTAATATTATGAGTAAGACTTAGGTTCATCCCTCTCATAGATACTCTCATGCTTTGGCGAACGGTTTTGTTTGTCCCCTGTTTGTCGATCTACACTCTTCGAGCTACTGTTGTGAGCAACCTGAGTTCGTTACACAATTCCCCACGCCACGCTGGTTGTCAAATATAGCTACGGTGTTTGGAGCCTCGGTTTGCAGAAACATGAATTCGTTCTCTCAAATTGCATCTCATCCAGATTTTCAAACGCCATGGTGCCAAAAGATTCTCTCAGACCCCGAGATACAGTGGATTAAGGAGGTCCCCAAGCACTACCAGAATAAGACTGTGACAAACTCAATGTTCGAATACACGCTGTACACTGAGCGTGGAATCAAGGCACATCTGTCCTTTTATCGTCCATGCAAGGAGCCAGATGCCTTTCTGGGGGTCGAAAACTGCTTTCTGCTGTCTATCGGTGATGGCTTGGATGGAAAGGCTGGGAGATGTCACGGTGGTTTCAATTCTCTGGTGCTGGATCAAGTCTGTGGATCTTGCGCTCACCATTCAAAACCTGATCCACTACCTCCTGCAACGGCAACTATGACAGTGGACTTCAAGGCACCAATCAACACTCCATGCGTGATCCTGGCTCGAGCTTGGATGACAGAGATCACGGGACGTAAGATGTGGGTTAAAGGCGTGATAGAAGACCAAAATGGAACCATATGTGCAACGGCGAAGACATTGTTCGTTGCAGCTAAGAATCAGCCCGCGTCGCTGTAATGTCTCCATGATCATCAGCCCGCGAATTGGGACAAGCGTATGTTTGAGAATCATGCGCCAAGCATACAGTTGGGCTTGGATGTCAAGTTATCTTCAAGCTTCAGTCAAAACCATAGAGCAGATAGACAAAAGACGTCTTTCGAATATTCTTGCTATCTTTTAAATGACTACGAAGAGCAGAATCGATTGAAGAGTTGTCGATTATGCGCTCGTGTATCAACAGCTAATTCGTTCAAGCTCATACTCAGACATCCGATTTGGAGTAGTTAAGAACTAGAACTCAATTCCTTACGCATAGTGGAGGCGCAGAACAAGGTTCAAGATTCAAGATCGAACATGTCATGTTTGACGATACATGCAATGCCTACTAGAACATCGATCTCGTGGATGAGTCTGTCTTGAATTACGTTTGACATTTCGCGGGGCAGTTGTTGTACATAAATGATCCTCATCTTGAGGTGGGAATGTACTTCAGTTCGTTGTGCATGGCAGCAACGGAATCAATATTCAAAATCATCATCGACACCAGTCTTCTTCTCTTTGCCAATCGCTTCCTGAGCATTATACATCTCAGCAATTTGTCGTGCTGAAGTGGCCATTTCCGGCCTTTTATCATCTCGTTCCTTGATAAACCTAGGAAACCGTAGGCTAACACCCTTGCCATCACGATCCACAATATTAGCCGCTGCCCTGTATCTCGGACTGATGGTCAGATCTGCCGTCTTGACTTCCCAAACATATTTTGGCTCAAACCACACATCTGGCTGGTCTTTATTGCCCGAGGAATGCTCATAGAATGGTTTGGGCCGCTCGATAACTATATCCGAGAGTTTTTGATGAAATTCGGCAAGAATCTCTTCAGAAAACCCGGTGCCAATGTTACACACGGTTTCGTACGTCTGATTGCTCGGATTGTAACATGCAAGTAAGAAAGCCCCATACCAACTGGTGCGTTTGCCACGGCCGTAGTACGCACCAAGAACCACCAAGTCTAAGGAGTCTCCGACGCCGGCAAGGTAGTCTTTCTTGACCTTGAGCCAATTCTGTGAGCGCTTCGAAGGTTCATACGATGATTCGGGGCCATCAAGCATTTTAACCATAAGACCTTCGCAAGATGCTTTGACGGAATCTTCAAGAAGTGTTTGTATTGTTTCCAGCTCGTTGGTGTCGCCATATTTGGCAAAGGCAAACTCGCCCTCGACTTCATGGAACGCACCATGCAACTTTTCCCGACGCTTACGGAACGGTTGGTTGACCAGAGGCTCGCCATTGAGGAATAGTAAGTCGAATGCGAAGACACAGACTTTGACTTTAATGTCTTCGACTTTGACGTCCTTCCGCTTTCGTGTCATGAGCTGCTGGAATGGAAGCACCTTCTTCTCCTGCACATCCCAAGCCACAGCCTCGCAGTCGAGCACGAAGGAACTGGTACCTTCTTTGACCCAACGCGGTAGGGCAGCAAGGATGTCGGGGTATTTCTTGGACAGGTCTTCCGAATTGCGAGAGAAGACATTGGCGATTCCCTTGTCGCTTTTGCCAGCCTGCGGAGCTGCAGTAGCATACTGTGACTTTGAATCATGTGCCACAAAGTGAATCTGCGCACGCTCTCCGTCATATTTATATTCGCAGGTGAATTCTTTCTGATCGAAGCGGTCGAGCACTTCGGTGATAGACTTAGTCGGTTTAGCCAACATAGGTTTCAGTGGCACACCAGGTTGAAGTTTGCAGTTTTCGCGTAAATTGTCAAGGCCGTGCTCCAGAACTGCAGGAATAATGACTTCATAGCTCGGAAGCTCACTGGAGAATGTCAGCTTCTGCAAAAGGACATGGATTTGAACAGAAATACCTGTAGACAGACTTTAAGATCGCTTCTCCTTTAGCTAGTTGATCCGCACTTGGAATCTTGCCCTTCTGCGCGGCCTCGTGGAATACAAGCGCCTGAGCTAGAGCTACTAGCACAGATTTTTCTGCCAAGCCTAATCTAAGCTTGCCTTCCAAGGTTCTCACTATGAACTTCGCTTCACTGGGACCTCCTTTGTCCTTCGTAATGTCAACTTTGCCTTTCCCAGCCAGAGCAACGTCAGCAGCAGAGAGCAGCTTCTTGATACCAGACACTTTAAGTCCCTGAGCACCTTGTCCTTGCATGGTAGCTATATCCATAAGACCTTTGTGTACGCCACGTACGGTCAAAGCCTTGGGCTTCATCATGGTTGGCTGGTTCGATCGGCTCTTTGCAGCCACCAAACCCAGGTCTCCAATCTGCTTCTGGTCCGCTTTTATGACTTGAAGAGAGCGACCAGTAGACTCACCAATGGCTTTCATAATTAGTGATTCGCCGATGCCCAGCTCAATGCCTGCATAGTCCGCTGCGAGCTTGTTGATCATGAGCAATACAGTTGGCAGCAAGTCTTCAGGTGTCAGCCGCATCACCTGTCGAAGAAATCGGGAGCAGTGAGCAGCAATTTCCAATCGCTTTGTCGTTAACTCGATTTTCGAGAATGTTGTGCACAAAGCAGCATATGGTACGGGCTGACCTGGTTCCCAGTCCGGGTATGGATCTTTCCCGTCAGCCTTCAACGTTGCTTGGACCTTCTCGCGTTGCTTGGCAGCTAACTCTGGCTTCTCATCGTCGTCGTCGCTTTGAGATTCTTCGGCTTCTTCATTCGATGTTGAACTTTCCGTCTCCTCTGCATCATCCTCTGGTAATTTGATGTCCTTCTGAAGCTTCATCGCTGCTGGCGCAGATGCTTTTTCCCCGTCTTCCTCATCCTCTTCGATGATCTTGCGCTTTCCCTGCAACTTGCCTTGCCTAGCTACGGTTTGTGTTTGTTTCTCTTGTTGGACTCTTGCAGTGAATTTCGTGGAAGGACTTTGACTCTCAACCGTGGTAACTAAATCGTTCCTTGTGTCTTCTGTTTTTATTTTAGCTTTTTTCGTAGGTGGTCCCAAGTCAGCTGTATTCGAGCTTTCTTCATTCTCTTCAACTACTCGCTTCTTCATTTTGGAAGCGACATCAGTTTCTGGCTGTTGATCATTCCTTTCCTTCCCGTTGCACATTGCTATATGGTCCCCGTTATCTTTTGCATCATAGTCGATATCCTCGCTAGAAGAAGTGGGTTCATTTTCTTTCTCGGCGTCCTTCTTGATCGTTGATTTAGTTGAGAAAGCCAATTTAGACTGTTGAGGGGCTGCTGGTTTTGCTCCATTCGGCTTGCCGAAAAACTTGCTACATAAACTCAGCATGCAAATAGATCATACTACAAGGCGCTGTATCGCACCCCAGAGTCTGCTGAGAGAGAACGTACTTGAGAGTGCCTTGCTTTTGGTTCGACATTTGGATGAGCGGAGAGGGCTGTCGGGTAGCACCCTTTGAGCAGTGGCACTTCCAGCACAGGTTGAAATTTATTTGTTGAACAATGGATTTGTGTCTTGTCACACGAAAAAGTAGACAGGCATTTCGAAATTGCATTTGTTGGTACTCAGGCTGTGGTGTAGTGGAAGTGGTTCACGCGACAAGACGTGACGACAGTTCCACTTTCGCGACAAGGCTGCCACATGACCTTACGTAAGCATACCATATCAATCCAGATGAGCTTCTCCAGCATTCCATATTCTCTTCCTGACATCTTTACCTCTTCGACGGAGCTGGGCGTCAGTACCCAGCAATTACCAAAACGGCTTCCTTCTTCTGGAAAAGGACGCCCGATTCGACATCATCTCCAGCTTCGCAACTTCCGAAACGGAAGAGTTTCCTCGACATGCCAACTAAGTCCTACGATCCTCCTGCATTAACACCACAGTTCTGCTTCAACTCTACGCTACTACGAGATTTCCTTCGCCTCTCACGCTCAACCATAGATGATTCAATCACGCAAAACCTTAACTCCCTATTCACGCCCGGCGAAATGCCTTGGGATCCGACGTCAGTGAATTCACGGCAAATCAACATCCCCCCAGGGAGCAAAAGGCTGATAGATCCGCAATCATGCCGGAATTTCAAGGAAAGGGTTCTATTCCCTTCATGGCAGTCAAGGTCGGATGTCTTGAACTACTGTGCTAGCGTAGCAACATCTCCAGACCCAGATGATCCTGATCAACTGCTCCGAGAAGTTGAGAGCGAAAGACGGAGAGAAGTTGTTGTAGATGAGAGGTTGGATCCGTATTCTGCCCGCTATTTTCCACGCGAACCACGAACAGAATATTTGGCGGAGAATATACGGCGGGAAAGAGCTGTTGAGGACATAATACGTAGCCGGACGTGGCAGCTTGTGAGCGAAAGATGTACTGGCACAGAACAAAGTTGGCAACAAGAACTTGATGAGTGGAGAAAACGTAGAGAGGAGAGGAGGTGACAATGGCGTCTGTGTCAACTGTATATACAACTTCAAAAAAAATGGAAACGCGCCTCTCTCAATTATACAGATTCTGCTCTCTCCGACATACTTGACCGGCTATACGCTCATATACTGACTTAGCAGGCTGGTCGTGGACGAATGATATCCACAAAAATTCAGTCATAACGCTTCGCACGTCTTGCCAAGTCTGAACACCACAGAGTCTCATATTCATCAGGAAAAGCGGTCTCACCCAATGGTCATGCCCTTGATCCAACAATGATATTGCACCGATCATTACCATCCATAAAATTAGCCTCGGTGACATCTCGATGTTAGAAACTAGCTTCATATGCTTCAAAAATGTCTTGGTAAGTTGTTCGTAACGCAGTCCAATAGTTTTCCACTGGAGAAAGATGCTAGAGGAGAAAACTATAAGCCCCAGGCGAACCAGCTCGTTGTGAGCACCAAAACAGCTCTGCATGGCTAGGAGCTGATACATAACTGATGTCATCACATGGAGGAATGTATGTGTCGAGATTTTTTGCTCAGTGTCTGCCGCGAAGTTGATAAGCGTGCAAAAATTTGCTAACACTGTCCAAGCCTGAATCAATTTGTGCTCCACATCCTTGAGATAAACAAAGTTTGTAGCTGCAACAGGTAGATTGCGTGGCTCAAGGAATGATTTCAGATCCGGAAATTGTAGTAATGCTTCCTCTGGGGACATAATTTTCAGGAACATCGGGCTTGTTCCCTTAGCCAGCGCAAGACCGAGATCATTCCTGTGGAATCGTCATCATTATGATCCACGGGGAAGGGGGATGAACTAGTTACCTTAATATCTCCAACAGCAATTTTTCGCTGCCTTTAAATGATGCGGTGCCGCCTCTCATTCTCACAATACGACAAAGGGCTTCCACGTGCTTCCGCGCAAAATTGACGTCGTCTATGATCAGAGCATAAGCAGAAAGTCCCATAATCGCAGCAGCTGTTGAATTTGCTACGATCATCTGATTGCTTTTATCGCTCAAGCGATTCTGCAACAAGCTCAGAGCTTTGAAAAAATGTGGCACCGTCTGGCGATTAACCGGCACGTTGTTTCCAAAACGTCCGATAGACAAAGCGTCGAAGTAGTATTGCGAAGTGAATATCAGGCAGTGCATATACACCGGGTCGGTGGTGAGAGGACTGATCCATTCTTCAGCACGTCGCTCAAAAAATATGCATGGCTCAAGAACAAACAGCAAGTTCTTAGCTATTGCTGAGAACCGCAAGACTGGGTTCAATTCATGATAATCAGTGCTTGGATCAGCCGGACCTAATGTCGAAAGGCAGTTGCCGAAGCGTAGAGATGCAGAAGATAGACATTCTTCAGCCTCATCAGGCGTGTTCATGAAGCTGCCACTTGAATTATGCGAGAACTTCGGTGCATTTTCTGGTAGTGCCTTTTTCTTCCGCCGATCTGGTAGAGTTCGACCGACATTCTTGCCTACCATAACATGGCTACGGATGAACTTGCGCATCTGCATATCAGGCTTCTCCATATTAGTCGACACAATGAAAGCCAGTGCACCTAGATATCACGTTTGAGCCACACTTTAGGAGATTGTTGTCTACGTTAGGAAACGCACCTGTCGACAGCGGTGGCGCCTTCTTACGCGGCATTTCGGAGAGTTAGGTTTGATTACGGTCTAAGGTCTACGGTCAAAATATTATTCAAATGGGAAGTTAAGACAGGTGGTTGGCAAATATGTTTTGAAGATTTAACTAATTATCGGGCGACCCGTAATCAGATGCCTTGCCCCTTGAGACTGTATACTGTAAATGTCTTAGCGCAGTGACCCGGACCAATGATGACGAGGTCGTTAAGGGAACATTGTTTGCCAAAAACGGTCAAGATCAACGACATCGTGCTTTACTAGCGTGGTATCACTATTGGAGCTTGCGTTAAATATATCCGAAGCGATGTACATGTGTTGGGGATTTTACTTTTCAAGTAATGCTTATTTATTGAAAGAGTCCCGATGTAAAGTACTCAATCGACTTTTTTTTGGAAAGTCTTTCTCATTTCCCATTCATCTCTCATTTCCGAAATGGTTGGGTCCAAGGATCTGCCACCGTCGACACAAGGTTTTGGATCGGTGTTTTATTACAACCAGTTCCGAGCAAGGCCAAACTGGCCTGCGCGAGACACTTCCTTAGATGGCAAGACTGCTATCATCACAGGTAGCAATACAGGATTGGGCTATGAGACGGCCCGTCAATTGCTCAATCTCAAACTTTCTCGCCTGATCCTCGCCGTGAGGTCAATAGAAAAAGGGACGACAGCGGCACAGAATCTCTATGATTCTACCAAAACAACGGCTAAGATCGAAGTATGGAAGCTTGACATGGGTTCATACAGTTCGATTCAAGAATTCGTGCGCAAGGTGGAGCAAAACTTGGATCGCGTCGATTTTACACTGCTCAACGCAGGTATTATGAATCTTTCCTATCGCAAGAACGAAATAACAGGGCACGAAGAGATCTTTCAGGTCAATTACCTTTCCACGGCGCTGCTCACCATTCTTCTCCTTCCAGTCCTCAAGGCGAAGCATTCGTCCAGGAAGGATGACACAGATACTTCACCACCGCACATCTCAATCGTCTCTGCTGCCCTTACACTTGCCGCCAAATTCCCAAATCGCAATTTCGACCCTCTCTTTCCGTCTTTCGATGACCCTAAGCAATTCAATCAGCAGCAAGCATACAACTCTTCAAAGTTGCTGGCACAAATGTTCTTGTGGAAGCTTGTGGATTATGTTTCCGCCGATGATGTGATCGTCAATCTCGCAGATCCAGCCTGGGTGCGTGGAACTAACTTAGCCAGAGAAGCCGCAGGCATCGTAAAACTTGGACTAAAGGCGTTTGAGATACTAGGTCGCACGCCGGAGGTTGGTTCAAGCTGCCTGGTTGATGCTCTAGTTAACAAGGGCAAAGAAAGCCATGGATGCTTTTTGATGAGCTGGAAAATCCATCCGTGAGTCTTTATTCTCTCGAAATACCGTCTTGATTCTAAATTCAAAATTTAGTTTTCCTGCTTTACTGTACGGCCCAGACGGCGAAAAGCTGATTGAAAAGGTGTGGAAAGAGACTTTGGACGAATTTTCTTCTGTCGGCGTATATTCAATCTTGGAATCTATGAAGACCTAGTTTGGTCGACTTCTTAGTGGTTCTGTTTTGACTTTCCTTATTTTTTATGTCCAATCGAACCGTTGCACTATCAATTGCATCTGGATTATAATAGTCAAGGAAGCTTCAACATTCCGTCCACCGATCTTCATGCTTGTGTAGTCTACTACAAGGCATTAGCCAAACACCTTGCGGCCACCGAACCAAGTTTGTTCCACTCTTGTGTTGACTAAGGTGTCCGGATTCTCGAAATCCATGTCAACCACAACAAAATCCGCCAACTGTCCAGGTCTCAGGGTGCCAAGTCGGTCATCAGCGAATGTCGAGTAAGCCACACCTGCGGTTGCGCCTGCAATTGCATCATAGATGCCAAGCGCAAAATTTGGATTTACAGGCTCATCGTTCTTCTCAGGCTCCTTGGCAGACTTTCTTGTTGTGGCAACATAAAGATTAGGGAACGGCAAGTGCGGTGCGGTGGGTGTATCTGTACCAATCGCTAGAGGGGCACCGTGATCATGAAACTCCTTGTACGCAAATGCTCGTTTCAAGCGTTCAGGACCTAGAATGTGAGACCATGCTCGAAGGATTGCAGGATCTGAATGCACTGGCTGAATTGATGCGATGATTCCCAGTTTACCCAGTCGCTTTGCATCTTCTGGAGAAGAGAGTTCGAGATGCTCGATTCGATGCCGTCGACCCGGAGTGCCATACTTCTCTATTGCATTTATAGCTATAGAGATGGCAAGATCTCCAATTGCATGGATCGCACATTGTATTCCTGCCTCATCAGCTTTCTTGACTATGGCTTCTACTACCTCCGGCTTCCACAGTGGTTCAGGAAGCCCGCCGTTGCTGGAATATGGTTGGCTGACTGCCGCTCTACATGCATCGATGACGCCATCCAGAATCAATTTGATACCTAAGATACGTGCGTTTGGTGATTTACTGGTGTCAAACTCTTTTGTCATTTGAATCGCCTTCTCTAGTTCTATAAATGCTTCCGTGATGTCGTCAGTTGGGGCAATAAACCAATATGCCGAAATTCGCATCGGCGTTTCTGGCTGTTTTTTGAAGAGAGTCATGATCGCGTCCCATGCGTTGATATCCATTGCCATGTCGGTCAAACCGGTGTAACCTGCTCTGGTGTACACATCGATCGCGGCCTTCAGGGCTGCAGTCTTCTCTTCCATGCTAGCGACCCGAGCAAGATGTGGCCAGACATGGGTAAGTACACATGCTTCTCCAATTAATCCAGACGGTTTGCCTTGTTCGTCCCGTTCAACGAGACCTCCTGGCGGTACAACCATGGAGTCGACATCCATTTCCTTTAATGCAGCTGTGTTACACCAGACAGAATGCAAATCCCGTGAGTCGATGAAAATTGGCCTTTCATCCAGATCATCCAACATGCTGGCCTTGGCCTCACCATTTGTCATGAAGTTCATCCAGCCACCGCACATGATGCGGGGCAAATTCGGGTGTTTGGCTGCATATTCTTTGATTCGGCCACGAATATCAGCAAAATTCTGACAGCCCCAGAGATCGAGCTTCTGTAAGGATTGGCCGAGAAGCAACAGGTGAAGATGTCCGTCAATAAAACCGGGAAGGATTGTTTTAGCTGACAAATCATGGTATTGAGAAACATTCTGTTTGATGTCATTCAATCTGGCGTCGGAATCATGCCCTATATCCTTAATGATACCATCCTCCACGAGCATCCAGTCATAAAATGATGGCTCTCCCTTCTGCCGTGCCGCATTGAAAACTCTTCCGTTAGTAAACAAAGTTGTCGAAGCTTGCATTGCCATTGACATGATAGGATCAAGAGGTCGTTTTATGATTGAATCAGATCGTCCTTGCAACTGACATGGCGTTTGACCAGAGAAATAATTATGCCAGGCCCGATGTCGGTCATCCGGTAGAACTTGGCGAAAGGACGGCAGTTTTTGTTGTCTAACTCATAGCTCTCATGATGCAATCACAGATATTGTTTTTTTAGCGAATAATCTCTTGAGCGCTGTCTATGATGTGGTGTGCTAAATTGCGATCACAAAGTTGTGCGGGACTCTCGCTGGTCCCCTTAACATGGCTGTCTGCCGTTTCTCAGTCTATACGAACAAGTCCAGAGCTAAGTCGATCTCGAAGCTATGCCTATGTAGAGACGGAGTTTGCCATTCGATAGTATTCCTACGGTTTTTTCGAAACATACCAAAAATGATATATGTTGTCATGGCATCTCGATGTGGGGTATATGCTCTTTTGCTGCCAAATCAAAGGCAAACGTTTTTCAATTTTGAATAAATGGCAAACTCGCGATAAAATCGCAGCAATTGAGCTCAGGCCGTCATTCTAAACTTCAACAAGTTCTTGGTAAGAATATCCTCCTTTCGCCTCTCGAGTTCATCGGTATCCCATCGTGCGTCAACCCATCGGCCGCTCAGCCACTCTCTTCTCTCTTTGGTAAGCCATACACACAACGCACCGCCCAAATTCACGTTATCGATCAAGACTACGCTTGTCACTACCCACAAATCTAAAGCAAAATACGCAATGACTTACTTTTTTCCCATCCTTTACCCTCCGGTAACTGATATTTGCTCATATCTGTCATGACGCTACCCGGCTGTATGCCAAAAGTCGTCACGCCCTTGTCCTTATGTGCTTCATGCACATACTCCACAAATCTAGCAGCTGCGAACTTACTCAATGAGTAACCCATTGCCATGAATTTAGGATCATAATGGTGAATTGAGCTGCTTGTAATCCATATAATACTCTTCGGGCTACCGGACGCTGCAGCTTGAATTAAAGGGATGAAGTACTTTATGGCCACAACGCCTGAAAAGAAGTTTACTTCGAAGGTCTGCCTGAAATCGGATAGATCCAAGGCACTTGCATCGTGTGGCCAGTCCATGTTGCCATCTGCATCTCTCACCAGCCCATTTGCTTTGCCTGCATTGAGAATAAGTGCGTCTAGTTTTCCATATTTCGCTTGTATATAATTAGCAATGGACCTGGTGTCTTCTTCTGAGCAGACGTCGCACGCGAATGTCTCTACTTGCATGCCTTGCACCTTATCTACAAGGGCTGCAGTCTCCAATACTTGCTTTTTTGCAGAGTTCAGGGCGTCCTTGTTGCGGCCAGTGAGCATTATTGCCGAAGCACCGGCTTTCGCATATGCGATCGCCGTTGCGAGACCAATTCCACGCGATGAACCCGTAATGAGGACAACAAATCCAGGACTGAGCGTAACATTGATAGGATTATTTGATGGCGATACATTTCGATGGACGGGTGGGCACCAGTTGATCGTTTGATTTGCGCTTGCGATAGACATTTTGAGCTTAATGATTAGTAGCAATGGTCATCCAGCAAGAGCCAAAAGGTATAGCTCACATTTAAAGGAGAAGAAAAATATGTAGAAGTGGATCTACGGAAAAAAGCTCCAGAAAGAGGGAAAAGGGAGGAGTTGTGAAATCATGTGACAGCTTTCTCGGAAAAGCAGTCCCTTTGGAGGATGAGACCAGCTAGCTCTTTGCGTGAACCACTGTCGCAAAAGGAACGGTTGTTCGGATGAGATAGACATCAGCCAGTAAAATAAACAAAAAGCTATGTATGCCGGATAGATGAACCAAGACCAAAAATGCCCTCTCCTGACGTTCTAACACCATGCAGATGCAAATGATGCCGCACACATCATTCAACCACACGGAATCTTTGACTATTTCATATTTCGCTCGTTCCGTCGTCGTCAGGTTCGTTACGAGTATTTAAACAAACCTACCCGCCGTCATTCACAACTTCCATGGGGCTCCCTCCGTTTCTCGAGCCCGAAGTACCATTGAGCCGTAATCTTCCTTTCCGTGCGGCCTTCATTCTTTTGGCTTTTTGAGTCATTGTATCTGATGCTATCGCTGCGTCATCGCCCTCTGCAGCATCTCCTTCCAATTCTTCGTGATACCATCGCGCCTCGTCCAGCTCGTTGATATCCGTGGGCTTTTCTCTAAGCCATCTCATTCGCGGGCCACTGCGTGCTCTAGTGCTAACCTTAAAGCCATAAATCCTTGGTTCATATATCCTTCCTTCTCCAAGACCTGGCGCTAGGTTTTCTGTTGCAATTCCATTAATGTTTGTGGGCTGTGGTGGGAGTCTTTTGCTCGTCCCTGATGTGTTAACCGAGATAGTTGCGACGCTCGCAGACTCTGTTTTTGATGACTCTGAGTTCGCGTTCGCTGTAGATGATTCCGCTGCTGGATTTTTTGGAATGCTAATGTCGAGTTCCGGGAAGGTCATAAAGAAGAGACACCCAAACGTTGTACCGAAAAAGGCACCGTCTACAGTTTGAAACCGCGAATTCGGTGGCGTATAAATGTCGAGACAACTAGGGCAGAACAGTTTTACTGTATCCTGGCCAGGGGTGTCGCTCAAGCCAACAGGCAGGACTTTGGCGCCACAGCAGTTTACGCGAGGGCAGTGGCCGAAATGCTGCAACTCATATTTCTCCAACATCTGTTGGATGCCCGGTCTGCTTGTGATGTACCTTTGGTGTATCAAACCATAGAGCAGTTCGGCGCTGCTCTCGATGACGCTAGCATCGCTGGCCATCCGCATATGCCTAGTACTTCTCCTGTAAGCCCTGCCATCATCGTCCTCTGAGATCTCTTCATCTTCTTCTTCCACGTCCTCTTCATCCTCTTCCGGCTCAACATCGAGGATAAGTTCGAGTGCTTCCTTGTACATAGGCACTTGCGCAGGCAGGCCAGTGAGGTTGAAATCATCTTCAATGAAGTCTTCCGAGACCTCTGCAAAGTATTCATGGCCAAGCAGGGAGCAGAACTGCGAGATCCAGGTCTCAGCAATTTGGGAGGATGACGACATGTTGTCGAATGTTCGCGCCTGCCGTAGCAAGCGGGAGCTGAGAGTAGAACTGCGAAGCGCTGCAGGCCTGTAGCTAACCTTAAAGCTTCACTATGTGTCCTTTCCGGAGTCGCAAATGAGATGTTGCGAAATCTTGCAGCTGCGGCGACGGAGACGATGGCGGGGATGCGGGGCAAGCTCGACAACAAAGGTCTTCTGAGTCAAGAGAGAACTGGGCTGATGATGTGGAGATTGATCTATGATGGCTGTTGAAGATGTCTAGGCCCTCATTAGACCAGAAGTCATTGTGTCGTCGTTGCTTGGTGCAGCCTCCTTCCGGTGAATGCGAGCTTGAAGTGATATTGCGCCTGGCTGGCTGGGCTGTGCGATCAGCGTATGATCGGTTGCTCAAGGGGAGAGGGGTACGCGTTCGTGTAGTGCTTGTGGGAGAGAGGATATAGTGCTGTTTGGGAACGCGATACACAAGATCAGCTCTTCCCTGTAATCCGTGGCCGGGATTTCTATGAAATCTGACAGTGTCATTAGTGTCGTGGTCCTTTTGCCAATGATTAAGCGATCGCGGCGTGGTTCCACTTAAGGAAGTTGACCAGGGCTTGGCAGTCACGTGACAGATAACTTTATCTAACACCTCTCTCTGACGTTAACTTACCCAGATGTCCTTTGACAGAACATCCTTGCGCGACCTAGCACGACTTGCAAAGATCTTTGCTGAAATACAAGAACCGTATGCGACTATTTACAAGCTCAAGATCTCCATTTCCTAAGTTCTCTTTCCAATTTCCTTTCTCTCCGAAGTTCTTCGTGAATTGCTTGCCCCTTCGACGTTTAGTTATTGGTGCTGATTTTGTTGCGTTTCACATATACATGCTCAGGATTTGGTGTCAAGAAGAAGCACTCCAAGTTGAATTTGATGTAAATTGATCCTCTGAACGTGTAGCTGAAGTGCAGTCATCGATTAATGTCTTGGTATTGTACGCACTTAGCGAAGAAGAGTCGAAACTGATGCTATTTTGCTTGAGTTACTGTGTCTACTGAAAGTAGACTTCACACAACCGACTTAAGGCTAGTCTTAAGGTCGTTCTGTACATCCGCAGATTATATGGAGATTAACTCTGGTCGATTCCACCTAATTCATCCTCAAAGGGATCCATCATGTTATTCTAGAGATCGAACTTTCGAAGCAGTACTGGATAATTAATATTGTATCTGAGCTTTATAGTCGTATTTGCACCGAAGTCGACCGCCGTAGTGCTGTTCTAACCAGCAATTCTGGTCCACAACTTCAATATCATTCTCTATTCTCAATTCAAGTATTAGACTACCTCGGACTTTCTCCATTTTCGGGGCTGGATGAACCAGGACTTCCTAGCGCCATGGGGATAGAAGAGGATTTAATGCGAGGTACCACTTAGCGATATCTCAACGGCGATATCAAATTTTCTAAAACATCCGAAGATAGACCTGTGCGACAGGAATATCATTCAGAGAGGGTGGTAAGGAAGACTAGGACTTTAAATTAGACGTTGCTGTGTACCCGCTATGGTAAATCACTACGCAGGCATAATTCAATTTTTCAGATTAGTTCCGTCGTCGGACTTGATTGTCATCTTGAAGTTGCATCAATCGCATCATGCAGCACCTGAAAGCCATCAGCGGTTGAACGCCATGGATGAAATGTCTTGTGGGCCAACCGCACTGCTTCAAAACTGTACACTCATATATGCATGTGCTTGCATAGAAAATTTCAGGATAATTTGTTCCGCCACCTACTTTGTGGCGGAACTGAACCGTCAGAACAAGTCCCTCAATATTTTAGACAATTCATCCTGATGCCCAAATGCACTTGCCAAACCCTCCCCACCATTTCCGCTTACTTCGCTGTATCCATTTCCTATTAGTCCACTACCATAATTACCAGCAGCTTCAAAAAGGTTGGTCAAGTCGTTAGCCATCCCATTAGGACTATCGTTCAGACCATTCTGACCCGCAAATAATGAAATTTCGTCCATTGGATTGCCAGCAAGACCAACCATAGCCACTGCAGCAGAAGAGTGAGGATCTGCCGAGTCAACAGCTGGGTTGCGCATATTCAAACCGAGCTTGGGACCTATTTCCTTGAGACCACGGATTGTTTTCCACAAGCGCTTCGAGACGTAAGAGTGTGCTGTCATGCCCCTCACAAGGTCAAGAGCCATGTAGAACTCATCCCTGCACCGACTGCTGAACTGTGCTGGTGCATGTGCTACAGCTAAGAAGAGCACGGCAAGCGCCTGAACGAGAAAGTAGTTAAACATGACTTGCTGGCTGCGATACAGATCTGTTGTTTCATCCATGCGTTTCACGACTCGAATGGTGTCCTTCGCCACCTCAACAGCTTGTTGTGCTTCGCGCATGTTTTCGCTAATTGAGGTTGCAGAATGTAGAACTGGCCTGTAAATGAGGATGCGCATTTGGTTCATGCGGCAGTACATGTTAATGCGCAGACGTTGATCGCTACGACTAAGATGGCTCTCATTGAGCGCAGTACCAGGTGCTATGTATGTAAGTGATTCTGGTAGCGTGCGATGCCACTGCATAATTTGATAATCGAGATAGCCCATTTCCTCGCTGCTCAGCGGTGCTCTGTTAGCGTCATTGTTGGCCACACGTTGCCAGACTTTGGAGCCTAGCTGGCTATAGGCAACCATAGCCATGAGGTAGGGCGTAGGTGCGTCTGGCTTCTGGAGAAGAGGGTCTATGTCAGCATCCTGAAGAGCGAAAGGCATGCCAGTACCAAAGCTCCAGCGACGATCTAGAACATAGATGGACCAGAAGAGAATCGTAGCTGCATTACGTTCTGCGTCTGTACTGAAAATTGTCGTATAAGTCTCATGCCTATGCAGACCAAGTTCCATGGCCATACGTGCGGCATTGCCTGTTAACCTCCATGCTAAACTTTCGTCATCACAGTGGAAGTGATACATCGCCTATTGTATGATGAGCCTTTCTTTCGCGCCAATCAAGCAAAAAGTCTTACCGCAAGCACGAGCATCTGTAAACCTTTGACATCCGGAGGATTAAAGCTAATCGTCTCAATTGACGCCTTCACACAGTCCCATAATCTTCTACCTAAATCACTTTTTCCACTTCCTTCCAGTGTGAGTGCGATGGCGACAATGAGTTTTAAACAATTTGTTTGGTCGTCATGAATAGCATCTGCACCGGGGAGGCTGGCTTCCATGAGTCCGCTTCGTCTGGCGGCTTCCATGAAAGTAAACAAGAGATGTGTGTGGCGGATCAGACGGTCAATATCAACAATTGGATACATGGTACCCATTTCATCTTGCCAAACGTGAATCAACCTCACGGCCTCGTCTTTGTTCAACGACCATATGGCATCTTTATCCGCATGCAGACTCTTTGGAAGATCCGGTTGTATCATAGGAGGTGGTGTTGCTGACGGCGTGACATCTTGCGTCGTCAAGCCTTCTTCCGGTCCATCCTCACCACCAGTAATGCCCATATGCTGAAGGCTGCTCTTTGCTACGCCCAAATTAAAAACCGCGCTCGTTGGTCCCCTGAATTCAGGGTGCTTTGGTAGTTGTCGGCCGGGTTGTGCAAAGCTACCACCTGATCCTATGGACATGGGACGCTGATATGGCGTATGTTGGCTGTAAGGGCTACTTGCCATGGGAGGCATGCCCTGCATGTCGATCTGATTCCGAAGAGAACTCAAGTTCGAATACAGCGTGTCAACCTGCTGCTGCAGTGACTGTAGATGAGCTGACATTTGCTTGAACTCCTCGGAGTCCTTGAAGCCATTGCAGCAGTTAGGCGCGTACACGCACTCGAGGCTGAGGTTGCCGCATCGATGACAAGGAGTTTGGCCATTGCACTTGATTTTCCTTCTCTTACATTCATTGCATGCGATGGAGATATCTATATGCACAACCGTCGTCAGAATTGACTCATGAATAGAATAGATAGCATTCGATTGGAGGCTTACATCTGCTTCGCTTTTTAACCTGTTGATGTGGATTCTCGTTCGCGGAGCCCTTCCGCTTATGGCCCGCACTCTGCGGACTGGTTGCGCTGTCGCTCAGTTCGCCGTTCATCCTTGAGTGCGGAATTGCTCAATGTGGCGGCCTCTTTCTCTTGAGCTTTCTTCGCTGTACAATACCCAGAGAATGCAAGGGAACGTTGAGGTTGTAAGGTGCAAGGAGAAAGATGGGCAGGAAAATTCCCAACCCCGCAAATTTGAGGTTGAGCCCTGCTTACATAATGTCACTTAAGTCTGGAGAACCAGCCACTTCACGAAAAGGAGATGTAGAGAGTGCAGTGAAAGAAAAGATTGCTGGTGCCGTAAATATCAGGGATTTCCACGTTATTTTTCTGCTTCTTAAGTTGAGGAACAGACCTCTAACATTTACTCATCGTAGCCAACTCCTCAAAGCTTCATCCGGCCTCCCCAGGTTTGAAATTCTATATATGCCTTGTCTCGACTTCTGTGCTGATACGCCACTCTAGCGGTAGCTTGTTGTCGATGTAGGCACAAAAATAATTTCCGATAAGGAATGAGAACCCACTTAGAGCTGAGAGTATTCTCACGAAGCAACCTTGAAAGCAGGCCGTCCAATCCAGTGAAAAAATATCTCAGCAGGGCAAAACCTGAGCACCTGATGAATCGAATAATCGATACCAGCGTGAGCATATAATCCAAAATAGTTCATCCACCGCGCCCGCGGCCTCTACCGCGACCGCGACCTCGGCCACGACCCCCAGAACCTTCGCCATGGTCAGCAGCACCACTAACACGTCCACCTCTACTTCCCCGACCTCCTCTGGAACCACGACCTCCTCCGCGACCACGAAACGATGGCTCAGGTCGCGGGCCAGCTTTCTGCCTCGCATTTGCTTCTTTGGAACTAATATTGAAGGGGTTGGGTATCTTGAGCATGTCACAAAAGCGTGCCGTCTGTGGATTGGGATACTCCTTCGGTTGACCAGGAACCTATGGAACACGAACGTCAGCTTTTCTATAGCCTGTTCAGGGGTTGGAGACCGGGTCTTTCTCCAATAGATTTGGAAAATCCATTGGCATATCTGTATCAAATTATTTCCCCTACCTTATCACCCTTCTTTGGGTCAAAAACCGGTGCAGTTTGCTCAAAATTTTCCGGTATGAAGAGGTCCACATCAGGATTCTCAATGATATTTTCTTTGACCCACTCTGAAGCATCAGCTATGAGTGGCTGATATACAGCCTCTCCCTTGTCTCGTGGAACTTGCGCCGTAGGGTCACCCAAAACTAATGGCTCCGTAATAGCAAATGTACGAGTTATAGCAAGCCATTCGGGATCGTACTCCAGTCGAAATGGTCGCCGCATAGGAGTCTCGCTAGGGAGTAGCGGTTCAACCTGGAGTAACTGCAAAAAATCGCGGTCCTTCATTGGTTTATCCAATGCCAGAAATCGAGTTACTCGGTTTGTGATTGCTTCAGGAAACGGAAGTTTCATAGTATCGTGCTTAGACTTGAAAAACGATTCTGGAAGCTGCGATCTCAAGTCTTCGGGTATTGAGGATTCGCTCACGAGAGATCGTGAGCGCTTGGTGCCTCGGGTCTCCATTCCGTTTGTGCTCTGCTCTGCTCGTGTCTCTTCATCGTCTTCGTCCAAGCCTAAATCGATCTCGTCTTCATTCTTTGCTGGCACAGAAGGCCCAGCGTCTTCAAACATGTTGAGGTCAATTTCATCGTCGTTTTTACCTAGTGAAGGTGTTTGATTTTCTTGTTCATGTCGTTCCTGTGCGTTCGCCTTTTCTGGCAGAATTGGATCGGGATGATTGACTATGGCTGCAAACTTTACGTGCATATGAGCACTGAACCAATACGGGGGACGAAGTCGATCAAGCACATATTTCGCAGCAGGACTGCCCAACTGGCCCTGCAACGAGTCTTCCTTGAAGTGTGACTTCTTTTTGAAGAGCGTTTCGTGATCACCAGCATATTCAATTTTAAGCGGCCAATCGTGACTCAACCCAATGTCGACTTGTGATCTGATCTGCAACAGTTTACGAACGTCCATTTCGCGCTGATGGTAGAAGCTCTTTATGTCTCCATCGGTGAAAGGCAATCGCTCATAGTGTGGTTTGCGGTAGTCAAAGCCTTTCCATATTCCACTCATCCCAGCTATTCTCAGCGGACCAAGTCGAAGCACATTGGCAGCTCCCATATAGTATATGTTCGGTGCGACCCAACCACCGTAGAACAACTCAAATTGGAAGTTCGAGGCTTCGTGGTTACCTCCACAGTATATTGTAAGGTATGGGGCTTTGCGAATACCGGCGTAGTATTCATGGAAATCATGCATTTCCCGGTACTTCGGTGGCATGGAAATAACGTTGAGGTCTTGCGCATTCCGAATGGCCTGGACGAGAAGTCAGAGATACTCAGCTGTTAGGATTCGACCATGGGGTTACCTGAAAATCTCCTCCTATGATGACCAGATCAACACTGTCCCAGCCTTTGAGCTCGGCGGACGCGGCCACTGACGCATAGATGGAATTAAGGACTCCATGGCCCTAAAGTGCTGTTAGCAGCCGCTTTACACGAGAAAGACGGTTAACAAAAGAAAAAGACCACGCATAATATGCGCTAGAAAAGCAATCGCGCACAAGATTCTGGTTTGAGTTCGGGTTGGCCGGGACCTTACACAACCGACGACAGCAATTCTCACACCTTGTGTTTCTGACAGTGTGGTGGCCATCTCCAGGTCTTTAATCTTCACCGTTGCCAGCACATAGTATTCTGGCGGCTAGATATGTGGAAGCGAGAGAGATTTGAACAAGTCAAACAGCAGGAATGGCTGGATGTAAAAATGCAAAGTGAGGCAATGGACTGTCTGCTCGATGGTCAGAGCTCCAGAACCTTATGCGGAGATCAACCACTAAAAACAGCCACAAGCGGGACCCGACAGAACGTTAGCGTCCGTTGCTTGTCGTGAAATTTCCTGCATCTCTTGCATCTTTTGGGACAATACTTAAAACCAGGCCTTCGCTTCCATTACTAGACTAACGACGAACGTTGTCTTGCCATTCATCAAATATGACGGGAATGGCCTTTGCCCGGGTGAAGTACCTCGATGACGCTGCACAGTTGGTCTCATCAGCTTCTCCATCGACGTCCGCTTTTCTTCAAGCTCGTATTGATGGACTGGTGAGTGGACGTATAAGCTCGAACGCTGCTCAAGAATTGAGCAATGATGAAAAGGCTCACTATACGACACTATCGATTCCCAAGGATAGACACTTGGACGTATGTGCTTCATGCGGCTTCCCCTCTTTGGCCACCTCGTTGAGGGTCGAGAGTAGGAGACGCTCAAAGTCTAAGCAGACACGCATTTCTTCCACGGCAGAGAAACGCGTCTTTGTTGAATGCCCAAGCTGTGGTGCGAAGGCATTCCACACCCTACCAAATCAGCCGAAGAAGCGGAAGTCTGGGGCGGAGCCAACATCTGCGGACGAAGCCTCAATGCGGAAAGCACTCTCATCAAAACCTGAGCAGGCAGAGGCAGAGCTCTCAAAATCGTCTGAGACTCCAAGGACAAGCAATCGAAAAAGGACGAAGAGCGGAAAGGGTAATAGCCTGTCGGCTATTCTAGCTAGAAGCAAGCAACAAGCTGCTCATTCGAGCCAAGGATTTGGACTCGATCTCATGGATCTCATGAAAAGCATCTAAGCTTGTGCCGACAACTTGAGCGGTTTTCCCTAGACTGATGGCAAACGATCAAGCACTGGCAAGCGATAGGGCTGAGAACGGCAGGGATCAGGGTTTAGGTGGGCAGCAAAATAGACCCTTCCAGCGTCATCTCAAAATTTCGACTCACGAAACTCAACTTTGTGCACGCTCGCAGTGCTGTCGTTCTTTTTGACATGGGCCTCTTATAAACTCGTATACAAGTCTGCGCGCGACAAAACTTTGCACGGCTCACTCGATATCTTTGCACCAACATGGCGAATCCACAGCTACGCTCTGCGAAAGACCTCTTTGAGGATATGGGCGCAAAAGTCGCCTCCGCTTCACAAAACATCGGCGACGACGAAACCAAGGTCGTAGATGAGATCGAATCTCTGTGCATGAACTGCCATGAGGACGGCATCACGAAACTTCTTCTCACACGAATACCTTTTTTCCGCGAGATCATCATCATGTCCTTTGAGTGCCCGCACTGTGGGCTACGAAACTCGGAGGTCCAGCCAGCTGGCGAAATTCAACAACAAGGCCACAAGTACATATTCAAGCCAGACACACAAGAGGACTTGAACAGGCAAATCGTCAAGAGCGACACGTGTATCTTCAGGGTTGAGGATATGGACTTGGAGATCCCTCCTGGTCGGGGCCAGTTGACCAACATCGAAGGCATACTTAGCATGATTGCTCAGGATCTGGAAGAGGGCCAAGAAGATCGTAAGGGGGTGGCACCAGCCATGTTTGAGCGCATCAACGAGATCATTGTTGATCTCAAGGCCATGGCTGCCGGCGAGAAGCTGCCTTTCACAATCTCGATCGATGACCCCGCAGGCAACTCTTGGATCGAGCCGTCTACATCAGACAAGTCAGGAAAATACGTTCGCCGCGACTACAACCGCACGCCTGCACAGAACGAGGCTCTTGGTCTCGGATCGGGCGATCAGTCTGCTCCAGCCAACGCTAATGGTGAGGTCAACGGCGTATCAATGCGTCCGGAATATCACCCACAAGCCATGTATCCCCCCATGCCAACCGACACAACACAACTCGACCAAGATACAGTGGACGACGACATCGTCGAGAACCAGGTTTATTCCTTCCCCGCCACTTGCCCGGGCTGTACAAAACCGTGCGCGACCAACATGAAGATGGTGAACATTCCGCACTTCAAGCAAGTCGTCCTGATGTCCACCGTCTGCGACCACTGCGGCTACCGCAGCAACGAGGTCAAGACGGGCGGCGAAATACCCGAAAAGGGACGAAGGATCACGGTGAGCGTGAAGACGAAGGAGGACCTGTCGCGGGACATCCTGAAGAGCGAGAGCTGCGCGATGAAATGCCCGGAACTGGAATTATCCGTCGAGCCTGGTACCCTCGGCGGCCGATTCACCACCATCGAAGGCTTATTGACCCAGGTACGTGATGACCTGAAGTCCAGCATCTTCGACGCCGATGCCGGAGGCGGAGACTCCATGCCTGTGGACGAGAAGACAAGGTGGGATGCGTTTTTTGGAAAGCTGGACAGCGCTATCGACGGCGACGTGCCGTTCTCTATCATGCTGCAGGATCCTCTTGCAAGCAGCTACGTCCAGAGCTTCACGGCGCCGGAACCGGATCCGCAGATTGCTGTTGAGGATTATGAGAGGACGGAGGAAGAGGAGGAAGACCTGGGCTTGAAAGATATCAAGGTCGAAGGGTACGAGGAGCCGACGGATGAAATGGACAAGGCCAAGAGGTTCCTTGAAAAGACCACTGGCGCGCACTTGGACGGTGACAAGAGTGGTGCAAAAGCTACTTCATGACGCTAGTTATTCCAGAGGGTATACATAGACAGATTGCTTCGTTGATTCGACAGATTCTATGCAAACCTCACTTTCCCGCTTTCCTCTCCCACCAACACGAACCCCTCTCAACTTTTAAGAAAAAGTACGTGCAGAGGATGCTCGCCCCCTGTTCCAATGCCTCACCCCCCGCTCGTCTTCCGAACGACGGATGCCGAGAATTTGGTCTCACTTCGTCTTGAGATTTTGTTTTTTGAACAGGAAAAGAACAAGGGATGCTCCACTTCAGAGAAGGTTAAAAAAGAAAAAACAAATTTTTTTTTAAAAAAAAAAGAAGAAAGAAAGAAAGAAACTCCATGCCGTGTATTTCCCCGGCCCCTCTCATTGAATTCGCGCTGTGGTATCATGCGGTATGTATCCCGGATCCCTGAAATGACTCCAGCGAATATGCCAATCTGTTTCCACGCGTGGTGTAACCGCACCTCAGTTGATCCGATTCGAGATGTCGCGTCGGGATACGTGAGGCTATGCTTGAGCCTTATGAGAGGCTATTACAGGCTCTCGGCTTCAACAAAGTTCCATGACCTGGTCCAGACTTAAGAGGCCCGATTCGGCCCATGGAGAAGGCATAGGTATTTGTGCATTTCCTTTGTGTGTGTGTGTGTGTTTGTGTGTGTGTGTGTGTGCGTGTGTAGAGCGATGTGTCCCTCGTACGTTCCAGGTGCTATTTCTCACTCAATCAAGATCTTTCTCTCGGAGCCGACCATGGTCAAGCCCAACATCCTGAGGCCAGCTGGATCGTGCGCACGTATCACCGTTGGCTTCGGTAGATTCGGGTTGTCTGGGCTGATATTCACGGCGTCTTTCGCAGCCTGTTCTATGGCTTCCATCTCCTCTCGACAGCTGGCGTGGTCGAAGGGGCATACCACGATCGGTTGTTTGAGCGTGATGTCTTTAGCGTTACTTAGGATGGCCTGCAAGATGCGATCAGTCTTAGGACACATTTCTCTACAGCTGATTCAACTGTACCTTCACCGTCAGGTAATACTCGATCTTATACAGCGTGCCCGTCGTGGTGAAGCCGCTGGTAGCGTACATTGGAAATTCGCGCTTCCCTCGCGGGATTATGCCATCCGAGTCTCTAAGGTCTTTGGCCGGAAACACGAGACCTAAGTTTGTAAAATAGCCGGCTTCAGGCATCTTAACGCCCACAGACTGTGTTTGTTTTGCCAACGTCTTCGTTTTACGTGTTGGTTCGTCTCCCTCGTGATTGTAGATTGTTTCCTCGTCTATGCTGATCATGATGCTCTTGATCGTGACCTTTTTGGCCTTGGACATCCAGTCAGGGTTCGGGCTAAGCTTGATGTATACGCTTACGGGGTCGAGAGGACCGTATGACCACCGTGGCAACGATATTCCCAGTGTGACGAGGTGATCGGATACTCGTTCCGCGGACTCAGGTCGGTTGTACATGCCGAACGTGCTGAGCGTGTCGTACCTCGAAATGGGCACCGGGCTCGAGAACTTCCTTTGTTCTGCGTGGCCCTGCTGCAGGCTTACCACAAGCTCGTACCACGTTTCTGCCGTCCTACTTGGCAGTTGCAAGCTTGCCGGAGGGACTCTGCGCGCCACTTCTTCGCCGCCGCGGCCAAATGGGATGAGTATGACGAAAGGAAGGTCCATAGCCAATACGCTTTCGAACTCCACGCCCGCTCTGCACCGATACAACATCAATTCCTTCCCTACTATGTCCGTGATCTCTTTGCGTGGGGCGGCCAGGTGCTTCTTGATGTTGTCGGCGGAGGGATGAATCGTTTCGCGGCGGTAAAGTGCTATGGTGACGAGGGACACTTTGACGGGAGCAGAGAATCCTGACGCAGGTCTTATCTCGACCTTGCCTTCTATTCTGGGCTGTGCGATGTGCTGTTAGCCTTGGGGCTGTCGACAGACATACAGCTGACGCCTTACCAGGGTTGCGGATATGCCTGGGTACCCGACCAAAAAGTTACTGTTTGGCGGGCCGCAGATGCGCACAAAGGCTGGGACGTGCGATCTGTCTGCCTGCGCCATGGTGCTCAGAGGTAGAGGGCGGACTATGAGGGCAGGCGGGCATTCAGCCGTGACGTCCACATTGGCAGGTATGTGTAGGAGCAAGGCGCAAGTCGCAGGGTGGCCTTGGCGGGAGGAGCTTGTCTAGCAAAGCGATACTTTGAAGCTATGTGCGTGGCGAACCCGAGGATCGGTCTGGGCCACAGCGATATATGACTGCGGCGTGGACGCCGGGCTCTGTCAGAGGGCAGGCGGTGCTTGGTAGATGCGAAGCGCAAGCTACTAGTACGTGCAGCCGTGACGAAGGCGCAATCGCACAAGCACAACAAGGCACGCCTGTGACGGCCGAAAAGGGGAGCAAATGCGAGTAAGACAGGCGGGGGATATGCAATCGACGGGTTAGGCGAGCAAGACATCCAAGACGGGGAGGAATAGCTGGTCGCCAGCGGAGCAGCGAGCGTCTGTCAGCGTCGGGAATCTTGCTCGTCGGCACCCCGGTCGTGCACTGCTCTTGGGGGAGCGAGGGAGGGTTTGTCACGTCGAGGCCGGCGATGGGCTGGCTGGGCGGGCTGGAAAATCACAGGCGGGGCCACACCGTTGGCTCGCTCCAGGACTACGAAAAGCGAGCGCCGTGCGAAGCGCCCAGGAACAGAGATGTCAGACGCCGGCGCGGAGCGCTAGAGCTGGCTGGTCAGCCCTACGCCCGGCTCGTCCAAGTTCGTTGCTGGCGCAACACCGCCCGCGCGCGAGTCCCGCGCCGTACGGTACTGTACGACAGGTACGGTACTGTATCTACGCAACGGCGCGGTACGGTAATCTTCAGTTCCGGACCGTACACAGACGACGGTCCCGGAATCGTGCGCCGGTTCGAAACCTGAGCTCGGCGATCTTGGGCCTTTTGCCGGCGCCGCGCACACGGACAACACCGCTTCACTGTCGGGACGCAGTCGTGAATTCGCCGTCCACACCGAGAACGACAGGCTGTTTGTTGTGCAGGGCTGAGCGGGTGTTCTTGCGGCACGGGCGCCAGCCCTTTGTCGTTTTGCTTACTTGTACCTCCGTACGGCGTCCACAACCCTGCCGGTTTTCTTTGGGGGCGGTCCGTGTCGGCGGGTGGGCGGCGTGGGACCGCGGCTGGTGACGAGAACGAGGGCGGGGAGCCGTCCCCGGCGTCTGTCGCGTCTGCCGCGTCTGTCGCGCCTACACATGCACGCTCCTCGCGATGCTAAACACTTTTGTGCACACGGTTCACTTTGCACGATCCGACTGCAAATGGCACATGGCGGTCTTGGCATTTTTCTGGTAGCATCTCTCACCTTTCATATTATGTCGTTGATTTTGTTCCCACGGGGGAGTGGGAAGGGGAGGGGCCCCAGCTTCGTCTCCTCGAGACCATATGGCATTGCCTTCCTTACGTATTTCCTCGTCCTAACCCGTCCAACAATCCATTGCTAGGTTTTCAAACATTCCACGTTATTACAGGGGGGTTTCTTCGCTGATAACTTTGCTTTTCCCCGCGTGTTCTGCGCTGTACTGTCATCCCTTGTCGCACCTCTTCGCGTGGTCCAACACCAAAGCCCAAGCCACCTGAGATGTAGAAATGACACTCTTCTTCAAGTGCTCGAGTCCTATAACGTACGCTAAGACACGAATGCAACGTTCGAGCATTCTCTCATACTTTGGATTCATCCATCCATTCCGGATCAAATCTAATTTCAATTCCTTCTTCCCTGATCCGGGCTATGTCCTGAAGAAGGGTTGGAATTCGGAAAAGCGTCTGCAGGGACAACTTTCCAGTCACGAGGAGCTTCGGTCGCTGTCGCTGAGCCGTGATCTTAAGATACGTGCAAATGAAGATAATCAGATTAGAAATCTGAGACTCGCACATGCTGAACATTCTATTTGCAACAGCTGGATGGCTCACCGCCATAGTGATCGAATAATCGCTCTCGTCTCGACAGGAATGAGGAATGGGCGTGAGGTCAACAGTGATTTGTTTGAGGCCCGACTTTGGGAAAGCGCTGCGCGCTGCTCCAAGTGCAAAGTTCCACTGATACAGCAGATCTCCAATTTCTGAACTCGAAACAGATGAGCTGGTTGCCCCCGTCATGGCCTCCAATGTGGCCGCTGAGAAGATTTCCAATGTGACGCACTCGATCGGACTCATCGCCGGACGTCGTGATTTCAAACAGCAGAGATGACTCGGTTCCACGACAAGGTACTCGGGGCTAAACTTCTTCGCAATTTCTTCTACGTCTTGTTTTACGACCTTGCAGATAAGCAACAATCTTGTCATCGGGTGCACTTCGGCGGGCGAAACCGTGATCTTTTCCGGCAGGGCGGAGAGCAAGATCTCCTGCCGTATCTCTGCAGGAAGCTCAAGAAATTGACCCATTTGCTGTAGATTTACCGCTGTAGGTTCGACATAGGTTAAACAGATGCGAGCGGACGCGCTTGGACAACCGATGGGTGTTAACAGTCATGAAAGCGAGATTCGCGACAGAAGTCCGAACAAGAATCTCACAAGGTGAACTTGCTCTGCCTGCCAAGTCAAAAACACATAAACTACATACGTTTGTCGCTTCGACCTCTTGACACACTTTCTCCATCACACACAATGGGCAGCATACCATTTTGTTGAAATGTAGACAAGATCTTCCCGTCGAGATTAGCTGATATCCTGATGAATTGGCTGATTTCCCTAACCAATGACGCCACAGGTATGCATTGCGCATCATGATTCTGTACATTGCATCGGTTGGGATTTCTAAAGACACTTTGAACAACACCCCCAAATCCCTTTCAACTTACGAAACAAAAAGGACGTAAAACGAGGGGTGATTCTTCCACTACGCTCGCTTTCTGGTTGTACTCCCGAGCTGCAAGGAGGGGGCATAAAGGCTTGCGTAACTGCAGAATTGTTGGGCCCAGAAGTTGATGTCGAACTCGGAGCGTGCCGCTTTAACATCAACGCCAGAAACGGGCATGGCATGCTATACACCAGCATCGTTTACAAGCATATTAAGCGTTTCATTTCACAGTTTGGCTTCGGCGAGGCAGATTTTCGCCGATGTTTTGGATGTAACTTCCAGCACTAGTTTGTCAACACTTGAGGGTGGCTAGTCGCTTTGACAGTGACTTGTGTGAACTGGCGGCATTGTTACCGGGAGTGCCTGAAGAAGAAATTGCATTCAGATCAAGACATCTGACCGCATATCTGCTTACAAGGAGCCGTGGTAGACCATTCATAAATAGATGGCGAAACATGCACGAGTGGAGCGCTTGATAAATAGATCCGCAATTTCCATTTTCAGACTAGCGTCATCGTCAAAGTAAATGGGGACGGGACTAAGGTTGTGCAAAGAAGCACCTTTTTTATGGCAGTTCCAGAGCAAATATGGGCATTGCTTTAGCCACCTTTCGCCATGTCGGTCACAGTTAGTTACCTGGAAATGCTTGCATGCGACGTCGCTCACACGAATCGCAGCTTCATACCACATTAGGTGACCTCAAATTCGAGATCTTCTGCGAGTCCACGCCCAAAACGGCAGAGAACTTCCTCGCCCTCTGTGCATCCGGCAGATACGACGGCAGCCCGTTCCACAGGATCATCAAGACATTCATCTGCCAGGCTGGATCGCCCGCCTCGGACACCAAGCACAAGACGTCGCCGTCAATCTACGACGGTGAACCGTTCGAGGATGAGATCAGACCGACGCTGAGACACAATGCGAGAGGGATACTGAGCATGGCGAACAAGGGCCCGAATACGAACGGCAGTCAGTTCTTCATCACTTTCGCCGCTCAGCCGACTCTGGACGGCAAGAACACCGTTTTCGGGAAGCTGCTTGAGGGAGAGGAGGTGCTGGATGCTATAGAAGACCTTGAGGTAGACAAAAAGGGCCGGGCGATCAACGGAATGCCAAAGATCACGAAAGTGACGATTCATGCCAACCCTCTTGCTGGCTGAGAGCCCGTACACGCGGACGCCGGAATCTAGCGGTCTGAAAACGATAAAACTGGCGAGTTCTACAAAAGACATTTCATCTGGATCAAGAATGCAAAAGCTTGGATTACAGATGATGAAATATGGTGGCTCCGTCTACGAATTACCGAGCAGGGGCACCGACGTCGTAGATTATTATCAAATTATAGATACTGGATGCGAGCTGAGCCGGCTTGCCTTGCTTTATATTTTGTGGCAGCTGAATCAAATCCGAGATATCACTATTGACAGGCATCATTCGTAAAGATGGCCCTATACCCCTTGAACGCCTATCGCAATGCAACACGCTTCATAAATGCCAAGTGCTGAAAAATAAGCCTACCCGAGTCACTTTTGCGCCTAAGCCTAGGTGTGAATTGTCCGACTACAAGATTTTAGACCAAGTTAGCCTTTGTGGCAATAACTTTGATTGATGGAACAGTCGTTGCTCCAGGAGCTGGAGTAAAGGTAGCACCTGTTGCGCGGCTGGTCCGGTGCTCCTGTCTAGACCCTGTGTGTTGTTTCGTGTCCGCAGCGCGCTCTGAGACAAGCGCAGGTAATACACTCGAACTCTCAATTGTTGGAGTTTTGCCGCTAGCGAGGCCCGAAAGATCATGGCCTGAATGTCTGTCGTATGCAAAAGCATGGGGCAATCGTGAACTCGACGACGGATCGACGTCAAAGTTGGATGCGTCAGAATGGTGTAGTGCATTAGGGTCCCAGGTGGAACTTTGCTTAGCTTTGCTCTGGCCTTGGGGATCATAGCACTCGAGAGGCCTAGGCGACGAGTCCGCTGTCGAGATGTTTGATGTTACCACAGGAATTTCGGCTACTTCGGAAGTAGGTTTACTCTTCAAAGCAGGGTTGAGAGTGTAGAGAGACAAGGGAAGATCTACACTTGGGTAAGTGCTGCTGTTGTTGCACGCGTTCAATGGCGCTTTTCGGTTGAATTCTCGGCTAGTTCTGGCCATATCTGGCTTTGCTAGGCCTGTAGGGTCATTGATTAGAGTGATGAAAGTATCACATAACTCGAACATACCTAAAGCTGCACCTCTGATGTCAAAATTTCGTTTCTCAGACTTGTACGCAGTCGCTTCAGAGCGACGTTGACGGCGTGTTCTGAATTTCCTTCTTCTATAGCAGAAAAAAACTGTCGATATGAGAGCAGCAAGTACAAGGGCACCAACGGTAGCTCCAACTATGGCAGGAACATCGCTGCCGCTGGATGACGATTCGTTGCCATCATCGACGATCAAATTTATGAGCGTCTGAGTTGATGGATCTTTCGAGACATTATCGGGGCTTGTATCCCCGCCAAGCGCAGTTGATGAGGACCAGATCGATGTTGTCTTGGCAGCGCTGGGCGGGCGTGTTACGGTGTTTGCCGCAGAAATTGTAGAGTCAGTAGCCAGACCGGGCGTTGATTCCACCGCCCGTGGTTTCATATTTGCTGAAATCGAGGCAGTAGGGAATGATTGAGTAGCTGCTTTGGTAAGCCTTGCTATTCACACCGGCCTCAACGCTCATCATCAGTACCTACCAGCTCTATTCCTTGCCGTTGCCTGTGAGTCTGCCGGACATCCTGTGTTGCATGGATCCAACAAGCAGCAACCCGTCCAGACTACTCGAGAGTTATTACACGTGTAGAATGAATATCCAAAAGGGCATTGATCAAGGGCCACAGTCTGCTGCTTGGTTGCTACAAGTAGCATCATGAGAAAACCGAGGGCGGGTAGGTATAGCAGACATCAAAAATTCCTTGAAGAAAATTGCGGATGAGTGGCGGACGACAAAAGGTAGATGAAAGTTTGAGGGCCATGAAAGCAGAGACATAGTTTTCAGGTGCTTTCTCAAACTGTACAGCCGAGAAGTCTGGTGACGAGCGTTGGCTCTGGGCACGCAAACCGGCCGAGCGATATAGCGACGGCGCGGCAATCCGTGCTTCTCGACCTTGCGACCCGTTGCAGGGGGCAAATTTTTGAAGGAGAAGAATTCTACTGCATGAGCCGTATTGTCAGACAGGAATTTGAGCATCAAGATTACTGTGTTTCAATGCCGCAAACAAACTGGATTCGCACTGTAACGTAGGGATTTTCTCAAGTACCAAGACGGACAAGGGCGCGGCGTCTAGGCACGGCTACACAACCCGTTTGCTTCGTGCACATGGCGGCAAGAAGCGGTCAAAAAGTGATTGCCTGATCGTGTTGTGGGCATCTGGAGCCGGTCGAGTGGATTAAAGGGCGCTTGATCTTCTTATCATAGATAGATCACATCTGGTATGATCGAGAGGTACCCGGATGGCGTTGAATTTAGATTTGTTTCAAAGCTTGGCAAGTACACACCCTTGTTTTCGCAGTACTTCACACGCAGTGAATTTCTGATATATAAACCTTTCGCTCTCCGGTATGTTACTCTTTATATCAAAACTAGGCTTCATCATCCTCCCAAACCAATTACTCTTTAAGAGGCCAGAATCAATGTCCAAAAAATGGCTATGTAAAGTTAGATTGCAGTCTTGGGGAAATTCCTAGCAAATTATGCGTTACCACAGTGCTACTATCCGCCCTTAGCACCCCTATCATGTTAGTGGCTCTCATAGATTTCAAGCACTGGAGTGTTCAAATGTCGATCTCATGTTCGACGGATAATTAACCAGCCGACCGAGACGTTCCAACTTTATCTCCAAACAATCCCAGGTATTCGTCCTTGATACCAGTCAATGTCGAGGCATTGTTAACTCCAAACCAATACTTCCACCAACTGGTCTTCAAGTGACTGCTGAGCCCCACTTGCTTCAACAACCGATCACAGTATCCTACCATATCATAATTGATAGCAGCACCATCTTGGCCAAGGAAAGGATATCGTCGCTTTGAAAACGCGTTCATCTTTGCAATGTCTTTAATACGCTCTTCACGGCTGGGCAGAGATATCTTCTTATCGAGGTATGCTGTTGCCCATACAGACTGACATTCGGCAGTATAGAAAGCGTTAAGGACACCGAGATATCCCAAAAACACCACAGAGTCGTCGTCGAGTGGCGCTATCAAGTTGTAAAGTCTGTATGCAGTAGCTGGACTTGGACGGCATGGAGGAGGATTGGCAAGCTCGGGGAAGGTCTGAACAATCGCTTCATCCGCCTCCTTTTCGAACTTTTCCCATTCAACAGTTGCCTTCGTCGCAGACTTCAGAGGCACTGGTAAACCAAGATCCATTGCGGAAGGGCTTTCGAATAGAGCGAAAGATCGACTAAATCCGGTGCCGCACAGGATAGCATCAGCAACAATAGACGTTCCATCTCGGAGCTCAATACGGTCTGAATTGACGTTTGCTATATCGCTTCTGTGCACATCGACATTCTCGGCGATTGTTTGCCAGAAGTCATGTTGCTGCACCATGCCCACAAAACCGTTTAACCAAAATAAACTATATAATATCAGTTCAGATATGCACAAATCACCACCTTGACGGCTTACTTCGGTGTGCATTCAAGCTTTTCAAAACCAGGTCGCGCACCTACTCTGTTGCGAAAGTTGCCCAGTGCGAGAATGTCCCGATCTGCTGAGACGAAAAGGGTCTTCATCAGAGACCGTCCTCTTGCTGTGCTATGACATAACTTAAATATGAAATTCTGTGGAGTGTAGATTGACGGTGTAAACAGGCTTGTCAAGCGAGTTGTTGCAATCTCCGGAGTATTCTTATACCACAGCTTGCCTTTCGGCTGAGTAAAAGTGGCAGCACCTGATCCATTTTCACGTAGCACCCAAGATACTGATTTTCCAGCCTTGACACTTGCATAGGCAATATCACCAGCTGACTTGGCGCCTCCCAGGACTACTACATTTTTGACGTTCGGGTCCTCTAGGACTTTTGATCGTCCAAAATCGATTTGATGGACAATTTTGCCCAGGAAAACCTCAATGTTCGGCAGCTCGGGCATGTTCGGTAATGTGTAAAGACCTGATGCCATGACCAATTTCGAAGTGCGGTATATGTTCTCCTCACTGCCAGTAACGGCACGTATATGCCATACATTCTCAACTTTTCTTATAGCTCGGACCTCGCAATTGAAAGTAATACGTTCCCGCAAAGACGTCCCATCATAGACATGGTTGTCGCAATAGTTCTCGAGGTACTCCGTTACTAAAGAAGCTTCAGGCAGGTGATGAAGAAGCTTTGCTCCTTTAGGAACAGACATTGGACGGTCAGAGAATTCGGTCATACCCAAACCTGTTTGAGACCAGAAACCAGGATATGCTCGAGCTGAATTCGTCTCAGCCTCCAGGTAAAAATACAGGAGATTTCACAGACCTCGACTCCATACTCCACCCGGTCCGTCCTCTCTCTCGAGAATATGGAGACTGCATTTTGGGTGAACGTCCAGATAGAACCGTGCAAATGCCAAGCCAGATATTCCTTATCCCGTAAGATGGAATATTGTGAAACGCTTTGTCTTTTCTTACCTGCTCCTACGACAATTACTTCATAAGTATTGTCATCCATTACTTCGCAGCTAGTATTGACAGAGAGGTCCTTTTAAAAAGTACGCTTTCAAAGACACATTCTTCTCGACCTATCACCGCAGTCTGCTGGAAGGCCAAAAAGATTTTCAGTCGTTTGGATTGATTCAGTAATGACTCAAGTTGGCGGCGTCGCAAAATCTTACTCAAAGAACAATTCCTGGTGATTCAGCATTGAAGGTTCATGTAGTTCAACGGGACGCTTGGACAGATCAGGCAACGTTTGTCAGCTGAATTATCTTGCAACATCAGCGTAGCTGAATCTATGGAAGCTATCTTCCCACTCGAAATCTTGACATCGTTCCTTGCCTAAAAATATCCCTTTTCTGTAGCCGCTGTCAGAAGCATCCAAGTTGTTCGTTCATCTCACCCCTCAAGAATCAAATAGAGACTCATAACCCGTTTGTTGGCCACGCGCGACTTTCGGCAGCACGAAGTTTTTCTTTTCTCATCTTCACTACTGCACTTCGGTGAATGAAGAAAAGACGCCTCGAGTAAAGTCATCTGCTTGCAAAGTTCGGAATGATTTACATGGTGCATGGCAAAGATCATATTCCCAAGGCACTTAATTTCTAATGCTTCTTCCACCAGGCATTGCCGCACACTTTCTTCATTACTTATTGCAAATGGCCTGATCTGACGAGCAGTATTGAGGAGATTCAGCCACTTAAGAGAGCGATACATAGTTTAAAAAAAGATTCATGTCGAATCCAAGCTAGGCAATCATGAATGGATCACAAAACACATCCCTTATCGGTCCAGTTTTGAGAACGGGACTGCATGAGCTTAGAGAAGTTAAAGATTTCCGTGCTTTGAAACAGAAGCGACGTGGTCCTTCAAAGTTAGACCCACAATACATGTATATTCTTCGTACAAGTAGAGATCTGAATTCCACGTAGCGCACGAAGAAGTTTCCACATTGTTTAAGGCTCCGAATCGAGAATGCTAGAGAGTCGGAAAGAGCGTATAGTATGAAGAATGAGGTCTACTTGGGCACCCGGAGATGGCGTGCTTCTAGCGCTTTGCTTTGTTATTCGACCAAGAAGAGAAATATGCGAACCGTAGGTAGAGGAAATGTCCGGTGTTTGATAGACAGCGAACTCAGAGCGGTCTTCCCGAGTTCATTAGAAGAAAGCTGGACTTCAAGAAAGCAAAAACATTTTACTGTTTCTAGTTATGAAATGTATTGCGTTGTCTTAGTTTTCCGTGGGACCTGGTTTCGCGTGATTCACATGATCACGCGCGTGCTAATTTCCGACTCCACCTACGAATCGCGCTCATCCTGTCGCGTGAATTTACCATAACCCCCTCGTTGATCATGAACAAAGCCGTAGAACAAGACCTGCTGAGCCTTCTACCATCAATAACACTTCCGCTGCCACGAGAACTTCTTGAGCTCGCAGTGTCATTGTTATCTCAGTCGCGAAGTAAAGCCGGCAGTTTGAAACAAGATGAAGAGATAGCGCGTGGATATGTTTGTGCAAATATTGCTTGCGATAGGTGAGATGTCAAGCTCATATACTCTGATCCTGCCTCCTAATACTCTTTAGATTGAAAACTAAGTTAAATTTACCTACGATCGTGGTGCGACCGCCTGTGGCTCCCAAGGTATATAAGAAGGTCTACGCATACCTTGACTCCGCATTGACTGCTGGTACGCCACGTAAGCATCAAAAGAATAGCATACGGGGGCAAAATGAGCCGTCCACGCCTTCAAAGTCCCGGCGACAGTTAGCCGATGATACCCCCACAAGAACCCCTGCAAGAACCTCTAAAGCGAAAGCAGCTGTCCACATGCTGTCGAGCACGAAGCGAAAGCATGCTAATTCTGACGGTGACAATGCTATTGCGAGCTGGACAATGCCGGCGATCAGGCTGTTATGCAAGGCCTTTGAGATTCCTAACGCCGCGCCGCATATCTACGTTGGAGTTTGTTCGATAGTGAGAGTGATACAAGAACAACAAGGAGAAGGGCTTGGGACTCCAACCAAGAAGCGAGCAAGGAAGTCTGCAAATAATGACATTCAATCTGAAGTCATCGCCGCTTTCGATGAAAAGTATATTCCGGCCCTCATCATTGTAGTAACGTTCTTCACCAGGGCTCGCATGGTAGGGGCTCCTGAGCCAGATGAATATGCAAAACAACGCCAAACCGCAATGGAGACTATTGGAAAGGCCATACCAGACGGATTGAAGACAGATGAAGGCAACATGATCAGTATGATCGAGAATCTGCTAAGAGAAGCAGAGAAAAGGTGGCTGGACATGGAATGGTATTACAACCTACCTGAGGCAAACATGGGTGGTGATGAGTCAAGTCCTGATATGACTTCAGAAACAGGAGCTCATTTCGAAGTTGATAAAAGATCTATGCAGGTGTTTGAAGTGCCGAAGAGAGGCTTCGGGAGCATGATGACAGATGCCACGGATTGGCTAAGCGAGGATCGAAATGCGGAATATAAGATTTGGAAAACTGAAATCATGCAGAAGATTTCCGATATGGAAAATACGGCGAATTGAAAGAGCCTACGTCACATCGAAGACGTAGGCCTTTGACTTGTTTTTGTCTGCACTTTTACGCGCTCGAGGGCATTGGTAAACTAGCTAGGGGATGACCTCATAGATGGGCTTGATCAAAAGTCTATGCCTCCAGCTTAAATTCGAGCCATCGTTTGTGACACGAATTATGTCTAACAGAGATGGCTGGTATTAACTCTATACTACAGGCTATCGTACAGGATATCTTAACCAATGTTAAGCATATATCTACTCAAAATAAGTAGAATCTTGTGTTCGGACGGCAGAGCTAGAAGGAAAGAATAAGGAGTCCAATCCCTCTTCAAGTACGGCCACTGAATTGTGAACCTATATTGTGATTTTGCGATGCGAGTAATCTCTCGAGCTCGTAAATCTTAAGAAGATGCGTTCTCGAATGACCTTCATATCATACGGCAGACTCAGCTTCGGCTTCGTGAATTTTGGCATCTTTGTCTGGTTCTGTAACTGCAGTCTCAAATTCTCAACTACGTGCTGTTCTCACAGTCTGTCTCCTGTCAGTCGAGTTTGGCCTATACGAGTCTTCTCTTGTAGGCGCCGTGATACTACGGATCTAGATCTTTGCTCCACGCTCGTCGTGTGTGTGATGACGATATTTGTGTTGGTTTTGCTCACCTTTCTTTCACTAAATATTGTGGTTCCGAAGGTCTCGGCTCTTTCTCAGCACTGACCTCTAGTATATCCTCTGGGACATACGTAGGGTGCTGCACGGCAGCTGCTTTCTCGAGCCCATGAGCTTCATGGTTAGCTAGATATTGATTCGAGTTTTTTGCTTCGGGGTTCAAGGAGTTCAGAATCCCGAGAAGCGAATCCACTAAATACTTCGACGTGATCGAGAGTGAAGGGTTAAACCTGCATTTGATTTCGTACTCCCCAGTCTCCCGCCATTTGCGACCCAAGACGATAGTGATTGGATATCCCACAAGATCAGCATCTTTCAATTTCCAGGCGAACGATCGGTTCCTATCATCCACCCAAGCTGTAAACGGAAAAACGCTCTTCAGTCTTTTATGCTGAATATTGTGAATAGCATTGTATATGCTGCTTAGTCCTGGAACTTCATTGGCAGGGCCGTCAATGATAATCATGGCTCCGATCGGGTGGAAGTGGAGTGGCCACCGAAGACCTTTGCTATCAGAATATAACGTAGCAGTCGCCCCAAGTAGACGGGAAACGCCAATGCCATGACAACCCATCTGCAAGGGTACTCGCTTTGTCTTGCGTACGGATTGGGACCCTTCTATATCGGATTCTGAGGCTTGTACTTCCATTGGAACTTCTACGACAGCTCCAAGTGGCTCACTATAACGAGTCCCTAGATGGAATGTATGTCCGACTTCAATCGCATTGTGAGCTGACATCGACTTCGAACTGCATTGAGGACAGCTATAGTCTTCAATCGGAGACCCAGATGGCTTCATAGTGACTTCTTCATTCTCGGCGAACCCACAAGACCGACAGATGTGCAGAGTATCTTCTCCGGATTCAGAAAGGATGTGAAATTCGTGACTTAGATTACCACCCATGTCTCCAGACGACGCTTTTGCCTCGATAACGGGTAGACCTAGACGTCGGAAGAAGGTACGATAAGTTTCTCGCACGTCTTCATATGTCTTCATTGCAGCCGTCTCGTCAAGGTCAAACGTGTAAAGATCCTTCATCATGAATTCTTTCGTCCGGAGAAGACCATGACGTGGTCGAAGTTCATCTCGATATTTCCGGTCTTTTTTAAGTCAGATTCCATTGATTATGGCTACGGTAATGAAGGTACACACTGATTTGATAGAGCCGCAGTGGAAAATCGTGATAAGATTTCGCATCATTTGCAACAAGCGTAGTTATCTCTTCCTCATGTGTGGGAGAGAGAATCATATGAGATTTCTTACGGTCGTTGACAGTAAGAAACTACGAGAAGGTCAGAGATTGACTAATCCGATAGTATAATAGCAACAAACCTGATGTTGCACAGTCGAAAGACTCTCTTTCCCGATTCGGCCACTTCGTCGCCAGAGATCTTCTGATGATAGAGCAGAAAGAGAAACTCGAGAAGCATCTCTTTCACCATTAGTTGAGGGACTTTAGAAAATAAGCAAATACAATGAGATCAGAATTACTTAGCATTACTTCGAGATGCCACGCTAATTTTTGTTGTAGCATGTCTTCAAGATGGCTCGCCATGGGCAGATAATGAAATATACCAGATTGAGTCTAATTGAAGATCAGTCTGAATATTATAGAAAAAATATACTCAGGAGCACATACTTGACGAATGTAGCCTGCCTGGACTAACAAAGCCGTCGCGTCACCTGAGCGATTGATAAGCAGAAAGGTTTTGAGGCCATAATGACTTGTTTACCTTGCTTTGTCTCGCTTGTCATAACCCCTCCTGTCGGCGTCCATAACCGACTGAGTCTTCTGTTGTGCCATGGTCCGAAACTCTTCTGCGATGAAGGCGCGCCTATATCGGTCGCGGTTGACAATGGCTTGATTTGGCGGTACGAACGAGATATCCTGACGCCAGAAGTTGGCCATCGAAGCTGAATAATTCCTGAACGTCCCAACATAGGTATTTCATCAGAGATAACCTGACACTTATACGAAAGATGATTGATGAGAACTTAGAACGGGCAATGGAAAGTTTCATTGATTGCGGATTCTAGCCAAAGGCTGCGAGTTCACGAGCGCACTGCAATGTGATTGGTTCGGAGCGCCAAGATTTCCTTCAAAAGAAAAAAAGCTCCCAGGAAATTCTCAGCCTTTTTGCATCACTTTCCCGGCCGACAGCATGGGCAAGAAGAGGCAGGCCGCTGAAGGCCATGCTGACGGTAAAAGGCAAAAGAAGCAGAAGAAGGAAGAGGAGACCAATGGGAAGGCTAAAGCTACAGAACCGTCGGTAGGTGTCTGTCACTCTTAACGTCCTATCGCAAGCTGAACGACCTTGATAGCAAATATTTCAACCACGTCCAGATTGGCATGCAGCAGAACTTCCGCCGCTTCCTGCGGTGGAAGATCCAAAGCCTCCAAATCCTGATGTTGTCCAGGCATTGCACGACCATGCCAATACACTGCTTGAGCGGGAATGCTCTCGTTACGCCGCAGCGAACGCGGAAAAGAACTCGTCCGCCAAGTTCATGAAAGAACTCATGAACACAGGTACTTTGGAAGACAAGGTGTCGGCATTGACGCTTGTGATACAAGAATCTCCACTGCACAACGTAAAAGCCTTCGAGAGTCTGTTGAGTCTTGCCGGAAAGAGGAGCAGGAACCACGCAATTATGGCGTTGAGTGCACTGAAAGATTTACTTGGTGCAGGCGTAGTGCTTCCACCGGAGCGCAAACTTCGTTACTTTGGTCGTCAGCCAGGTCTTATCGCTGCCCTGCAGGGTAAAGGTGCAAATTGGAAGATTGGGGACAAGCTTCCTGGAGAGATTCAAGAGGGCCATTTGATATCATGGGCATACGAAGACTGGCTCAAACGAACATACTTCGAGGTGCTCAAGCTTCTCGAGAGCTGGGGCAACGACGAGATCGAATACACTCGAAGTCGGGCCATTACTTTCATCTGGGAGTTATTGAAGGAGAAGCCAGAGCAAGAAGACAATTTGCTGCGCCTGCTTGTCAATAAATTGGGAGATAGGGAGAAGAAAGTAGCATCTCGTGCTTCACATCTACTTCTCCAGTTGATGATAGCCCATCCAGCTATGAAGAGCATCATCATTGGAACAATAGAATCTGACCTGATTTTCAGACCAGGGCAAACGATGCACGCCAAATATTATGCTATAATCACGCTGAACCAGACGATCTTGTCAATGAAAGAGCCGGAGGTCGCTGCCAAGCTACTGGATATTTACTTCAGCATTTTTGTCAGCCTGCTCAAAGACGAAAAAACTGGGAACCCGCATGAGAGTAGTAGGAAAGAGAAAATTCAAGGAGGTGGAGGCAAGGCTGGCAAAACAGCACTGCGGAAACAAAGACGAATGCAGAAGCAGCAGGAAGCCGCAGCAGAGCAAGAACTCCAGCTACGAGAGCGCCTAATTGCACAACTCCTTTCTGGCGTCAACCGAGCATATCCATTTGCAGATTCTGAGAGCAAAACCATTGAGGAGCATCTTAACACCTTATATCGCGTCACGCATTCTTCAAACTTCAACACAGGCATACAAGCTCTTATACTCATTCAACAGATATCAACAACCAAGCATCGCTCCGCAGATCGATACTACAGAACCCTCTACGAATCTCTGCTGGATCCTCGTCTTATTTCTTCATCAAAACATATCATGTATCTGAACCTGTTGTATAAGTCTCTGAAAGCTGACCTGAACGTTAAGCGGGTTCAGGCCTTTGCCAAGCGTTTATTGCAGATTGTCACTCTGCACGAGCCGCCTTTCGTTTGCGGCGTATTATACTTACTCCATGAGTTGCAGAAGACATTTCCAAGCATCAAGTCTATGCTTACAGAACCGGAATCATCATTTGACGACGAGGAGGAGACATATGTGGATGTTCCTGAAGGTGATGAATCTCCTTCGAAGGATACACAAAGCGCGCTGCCCAAACCTGGCCAGTCATACAATCCTCGAAAACGGGATCCCGAGTTTGCCAATGCAGATAAAAGCTGTCTATGGGAGCTGATACCCATCGTTGCACATTATCATCCTTCAGTATCACTCTTTGCTTCGCGCCTGCTTCAATGTGAGCCATTCGATCAAAACAAGCCTGACCCGACGACATTCTCTCTAATCCACTTTCTCGACCGATTTATTTATCGTAATGCTCGGACAAAAGCATCTGGTCTTAGAGGCTCAAGTATCATGCAACCCCTTGCAGGATCTACTACTTCGGATCTCCTTATCAAGGACCGCGCTGAAGGTTTCCGAGAGGATGCGCTCAATAAGGAAGCCTTCTGGTCGAAGAAGCGAGATGAAGTGCCGGCAGACGAAGTGTTCTTCCACGAGTACTTCGATAAAGCCGGTAAGGCACAAAAGAAATCAAGAGCCGAGAAGAGAGCCAGCAAAGCCAATAAGCAAGCTGGAGATTCAACGGATGAAGAGGACGAGGACCAGATTTGGAAAGCTCTTGTTGGCAGTCGGCCAGAGATTGAGGGCGCCGAAGGGGACATTGACGAGGATCAAGATGATCTGGATATTGCAGAGTTAATGGGAGAAGATGACGACAATGAAAACACGGCGGATGAAGATGGTGATGAGAACGGGGTTTCATTAGAGGGCATGGGCGACGTTGATTTCCATGGCTTTGAAGAGGATGGCCACGAGGACCAAGACATGAAAGATGCTTCAGAGGCGTCCGACGAGGACGACTTCGACGTCACAGTGCTAGAAGATGACGACGAAGCTATCTTTGAAAGCGACGAAGAACTGCCCGAGGGCATTGAACTTCCAGGTAAGGCGCTGGAAGAAGTGGCGAAAGACCTCAAAAGCAAAGACAAGAAGAAGCGGAAGAAGAGCATCAAGTCCTTGCCCATTTTTGCAACGGCTGAGGACTACGCGAAGCTACTTGGTGATGACGACGACGATGGAATGTACTAATCCCAGGCGGTCAGCATATCTTGTAGATTTTCTTGCCCTAATTTAGAGCTCTAACTATGTATATCCATACTGCACTGAACATGCAGGCTTGAGAATTTTCACACATGGTTGGACGCCCACAAAGAATTCGAGCTTACAAAATCGCGATGCCATTCTAAAGAAGCGAGCACAATTCTTGAATCAACATGTCATTAAAGCTTCCTAGGTCCATCGTGCCTTACCAGCGATGGGCGTTCCCATTTACGATACACACGCCGTCTTGATATATCTGCCCCCCAGTGGCGTCGATCCTGCTCAATCATATGGGGGGCCTCTCGCTAGAGAACTTTGGTGCGTGCAACGAGGACAACAAATACCAAGCCCAGCTAAGAAATCTAACAGTGAACTCAAACGATCGAACAGTGAAAACACACCAGTGAGAATGCGGGAGAACAAAATAAATGGGAGGGGGTATATATCTGGGGAAAGGCCAACCCAAGCTCGAAACTTACGTGCTGTCCCAAAATCCTCCCAACTAAATGACTTGTGTAGCCAACTGCTCCACCCTACTCACCAGCTCCTTGGGGTCGTCAAAGACAGTCCACACCTCCCTTGGTACATCTTTGAACGCTTTTTCAAATCGTTCCGGTTTGTTCTTCTCTGACTCATCCATGGGCTCGACGTCGACAACTTTCCTGATGAAAATTGCACCAATCCAGCCAGGGAAGCTTCTGAACATCTCGCCATATGCCTCCGGGTCACTCTGCGTGCTGTCACCTATGCACAAGAACTTGCGGAGTGGCCAACAGGCCTGCAGCTTCTTCATGCGGTCGACTTTGTAGGCCTCGGTTCCTTGGGTTAGGGACGTCAGGAAGCCAGCGAGATTCATCCAAGACGCTTCTCGGAGAATCAGCGTGCCCGGAGGGTAGTACGCCGAACGAAACTCGCGTAAGAAAGGATAGAGATTGTAAGGAGAAGCGGACAAATACCAAAAAGGAGGATTGTTGAGGGCGACACTGATTTGCTTGTACAGCTCTGGCATGCCTGTAATAGGTGTTGGCTCTTCGACGAAGGTTGTGCGCAGAATGCCGATCGGCGAGGCCGTCATGGTCTTCTTGATGGTGTCGTCGATGTCACTGATCACGGCCCAGCCTGTTTGAGCGGCAAAGGTGGTTGTGAGCGGCATGGCCGTCTTGATTCCGACCGCGTTCGAGGTTAAAGTTTCACCGTCCTTGAAATCGCCCTTGAAGGTGACGATGTCGTTGCTTATGCCATCCCTATCGCCCGGTCCAAGCTTGCGCAGGTCGTTCTTGTCGCCCCCGATCGAGATCTTGACCGTGTGCGATGGCAAGACAGTGTCCAACATAGGGCGTAGTCTCCGTTCCAACGTCTCCTTTGCCTCCTCATCTTCAGTTATTCCCAGGATGGAAGCCAAAGTCGCGATGACGTGGCTTTCGTCTCTGCCCGAGTTTTTCACAAAGAAGCTCGAGACTACTTCTGCATTCCATGCCCCGGACCCTTTTTCTTGATATGCGGTGTTGTCAAACAGCCATACAACATGTCGATTTGCGTCCACCGGGCTCGCGAAGGGGTTGCCCTTCCCAAAGTAACTGGTAAAGCTGTCCACGAAGGTGCTCTTGCGTTTCGTTCCTATCGACGGCATTTTGCTTTCTATTTCGTGGAAGCCAGCGAGCTTGCGAAAAGCCTTCTCTTCATCCGTCTCTTGCCATCTTTGCTTGCCGGCGTGATAGGCGCCTTCTAAGGTCGGCTGGTCTTTCATCGTGAATGGCGCACTAGATAGTGTGACCTCTGTATGCGGCGCATGTACTTAGATGCCTTATGTGCTCCAAGACAAGACAAGAAATGAGGGTCAGCAGCTCAGTCAGGTGGTTCAGCGCTCCCCGTCTTCAGGATGGCGGCTGAGCGCTGCGCCTTTGTATGTACTTGCGGCAAGATCACTAGCATCATTGCGGCACGACGGCTGCAGCGGTCGTCTTAGTTTCTCAACTAGGCCAAACATGAGCTGTTGCGGTGAGACGTGAGCAGTTGCGTAGCAGCGAGTCGGATTGGATGCATGACAGTGTTGATCCTTGACGTGCCAAGGGCCTGAGGTTTCTCTCGTCTCTGTCACCCTCAGACTTCAGCCACTTTCGTCAACGCCGAGACAAGTCACGAGACAGCACCGCCCTTCGATGATCACAGGTTGCTCAACGTGGGGGAAAACACACGTCTCCAAAAGCAAGGCGCCTGAAAGGCATGAATTGGTATTTTCGAGGCCTAACCGCCCGTTTATCGACCATATGGACCGGTGACCTTCTCTGCTGCACCACTCTCGCCTTTGGCAATTTTGAGGGTGGACGTCAAGTAGGCAGGTAAGGCGATCATATCAGCTGCGATGCTCACCATGTTGAAGCCTTTCTCTGCGAAGTGCCTGGACTGCTCTCCACTCGTGCAGTAGATGCCTGTTCGTTTTCCATGCTTCGTGGCAGCCTCTAGAATCCTGTCGATAGCTCGCACGAGATATGTGTGCATGGTCCCGTCAAGTATCGGGTATCCAATGTTGTTCCCCAGATCGAACGGCCCAACAAGGAGCACGTCGACACCGTCAATAGCCGCTATGGCATCTACATTCTCCAACGCTTCTTTTGTCTCTATCTGTACAATGGTGATAAGGGCATCGTTTGCCTGTTGCAGATACTCCGCGGTGGTAAGCGAAGGATCAAACTTCTCCATGGGGAAGGGACTTCCAAATCCCCGATTGCCCCGTGGTGGGAATTTAGCAGATGCCACCAATCTCGAGACATCCGCTGGAGTATATATCAATGGAACAACAATGCCGTGAGCTCCAGAATCTAGTGCTCCTGAGCGGATTTAGTACTCGAAAGAGTATGCACGGTGATCAACATTGGGACGCACGCTTTACCATCCAGCCTTCGTTGGCAGCGATGCGCACGACAGGAGAAACACCGCATGCTGCAATGGCGGCCACGGCCTCATGCATTTGACCGTCTGGCATTGGGTTGAGAAAATGTTACGCACGCAAAGAAGCTTTCAGGATGCCATACCGTCAACATTTCCGTGCTCTGTGTCTACAACTATCCAGTCGATGCCTGTCCTCGCCATAGCGCGTGAATTGTTTGAGCCCGGTAGCATCTGCGAGTACATAAGATTGTGCGCCCGCGTCCTACCTAGTTGTTCAGTCGCGCACCTGCCAGGCTCCAAAGGTTGGGCCTCCTTTTTTCAAAGCTTGCCACAATCGGTTGGCAGCCTGCATGGTGGACATCTTCACGGATCGATCTTGGTCCATGAATTATTCTTCCAGACTTCGCGATGTTTGGACGCAGAATGTAACAACGTTAGAGAAATGGTGATGAGATTGACAAATAAAGGGTGCGGTACGGAGGTACTCCGTCCAGGACGAGGGCCACTACAGCGGTACCAACCAAGCAGCCTGAATCGGAGCTCTTGCATTCAATACTAAGCGGGGTAGTTTACAAGGTTCCAGTCTCTGAAATTCCGCACGTCAAAAGGTGGACTTGGCAAAAAGGGAAATCTTAAGAGCCGCCCTTTTCGACTTTATCCATCAATTGGTGGATTTGATCAGGCATGATTTTGTGCATGGTCTTGAGGGAAAAGGTAGTCGTCTGGCACCGGAATGCTTTATCAACATGAACCTAGGCAGGCGATCAGACGTCTTTGTGCCGACGGGTGGATGTTTGCCTACAACAGGAGTATCGAACTCATAAACATTCTTCCATTCTTCTTGACCGGGCGCCATCACGTTGATCTCCTGGTAGTCGAACGGTCGTACGTCCCAGACCTTGGATAGCACGACTTTGGCGTCGTCGCACAACGAACAATTTGGTCTCGTAAACAGCGTGACCCGGCACGTGTTCAGCAGACGCATTGAAGGCTTCATGCTGCGCAAAGAATAACGGAACAACGAGCGAGAGCGAGAGCGAGAGGAGTACGCAGGGAGTTTGCGGGAAACAGAGAGCAGGACTACGCGGGGAAATGCGATGTGATTGGCTGAAAATGTTCAGCCTTGAATGCGGCATAACTTCCATCTTGAGTTTCTAGAAAGTTCAAACCGCTACGCCCAGTGAGCACAACAAGGCCAGATCTCCCCCTTCTAAAGCCGTAGTCGAAATCTGCTGTTTCGTGCAGTCGCTTGGATCTAAGATCGCACTGCGTCCTACCATACTTTCCTACCCCATTGGCTTGAAATTGTCTTGCGCGTCTGGACACTCTAGTCTCCTACCCGTTTACTTCCACAATCCGCGTAGTGTATCACTCTCAGCAGCAAAATGACCGGAAAATGTGTCCACAAAGGCTGTGGAAAGGTTTTCACAGACCCGGACGAGCCCTGTGTCTATCACCCTGGCCCAGCTGTATTTCACGAGGGGCAGAAGGGTAATACTGAGTCCATGGAAGCGTCGCCATTTTCGCCGCACACTAACTCGATGTGTAGGCTATCAATGCTGCAAGCCTCGAGTGTTGACGTTTGACGAGTTTTTGTCCATCCCTCCGTGCACCACTGGCAAACACAGCACAACAGATGAGGGTCCACTGATCTACGAGAAGCCGAGAGAAGACCTCAACGCGACACTCTCTCAGACTGCTCCCGCAGACACACAGTTCACGCAGCCAGCGGTTCCACGGCTCCCACAGTCGTCAGCAAGAGCTTCGCCATCACCTGCGCCACCTCCAGAATCAGAGGACGACGATCCAGACACCCCGGTGCCAGACGGTGCAACATGCAGGAGGAGGGGGTGTGGACAGACATACAAAGCAGGCTCAGACAGAAGTGGAGAGCAGTGCGTGCACCATCCGGGGGCACCTCTCTTTCACGAGGGTAGCAAAGGTTACACTTGTTGCAAGAGACGGGTTCTAGAGTTCGACCAATTTCTTAAGATTGAAGGCTGCAAAACGAAAGACCGGCATCTGTTCGTCGGTGCGAAGAAAAAGCCTGGCCACGAGGAGAAGCTCGATACCGTGAGGTATTTTTGCTAGTATCCGTGGGAAGAACGAAGACTGACACGCCCGATTTAGACATGACTTCTATCAGACGGCAACGACGGTGAATGCGTCGCTGTACCTCAAGAAGATTGACAAAGAAAAGTCGACTGTCAAGTTTGTTTCAGAGACGCAGCTTGATCTTGACCTAGTCACCTTGGATAACAAGCGCTTCCAAAGGACGTTCGAGCTCTTTGGTCCCATCGATCCCGGGAAAAGCACGTTCAAGATTCTGAGTACCAAGCTAGAACTGACGCTGCAAAAGGCGGATGGCCAGGGTTGGCCTGTCCTCAAAGCAGACGATCCGCAGACGGGCGAGATCATCCAAGCTGGTCGTGCGGGTAGGGTGTGAGCAGCCGCGAAGTCACGAAGGAACGATATAGGAAAATCGGCGAACTAAAACCATGAAGCGGGCGAATGCCATAGAGATTTAGACAGAATCAGTCTAGACCGAGCTTCGAGCTCTTAATGCGGAGAGAAAAAAAAAAGCCCGATATACGATTCTCTGATGTTCTTCATGTGCAAAAATTGATGCCCCCTTCTCCAACATCTGTCAAGCTTACATGATTGATACTCGCAGTAGACCATGGACTACAGGTGCGCAGTCGCCGCTTCACTCTCCTTGATCCACCTCTCCAGTTGTTCTCTGTTCCGTATCCTAAACCCTACCTTGAACGGTTTGGGTTCCATTGTCAAGCTCGTGGGGATGGCGTTTGCCTTCAAGCAGTCCATTTCCGGTTCATCCATCTTGTTCTTCGGCGGCAAGATCTCGAACGCCGAGATCAGCCGCACGAACGCGACGTACAATTCCCGGTTGGCGAGATGGCTTCCGGCGCACATTCTACTACCTGCGCCGTACGCGTAGTGGGAGACACCTCCCGTCTTTTCGTCCGATCCGTCGAGGTACCGTTCCGGGATGAAAGAGTAAGGATCTTTGAAGTGCGCCTCATCGTAGTCTGCGGCGTAAGCGTTCATGTAGAACGTGGTCCCAGCCGGGATCACTGCGCCATTGTATTCGATATCTTTGATACTGACTCTTGGCAGGCAAATGGGAATGACGGTCCAATAACGGAGTACTTCTTTGTAAAAAGCCGTGACGTAAGCTACCTTCTCTTCATCTAGACAAGCATGCCATGCATTTCCGTCTGGATAGGCCTCGTTGATGGCTGCGTACGCTTTCTCCTGAATTTTTTGGCCGTTCGGTGTTGAAAGATACGCGAGGCCCATTATAAGGTTTCCAGGTATCGTATCTAAACCAGCAGATACCATAGTGAGGCCGATGGAATCGATCTCCTCTGATTCGAATCAGTACTCGATATCAACTAAATCAAACTAGGCTTGACATACTGTCGTTAAGTTTGGCTTCAGGGTCCTTGAGAATATTTCCTGTGATGCATGGCTTGTCTTCACCCTTTTCGATCTTTTCTTTGAGCATATTGAGAAGTTGACTCATGTAGCGTGCTCTTCGTCTGGATAGTTTGTTAGAACTCAATGAATCTGAACGCAGCGCGCTCTATATCAAATAATACTTACTCTTTGAACTCAAGAGGACTAGCCTTCTTACCAGGTAACAATCTCAACATCGGCACGTAATCCTCCCAGTTGTTACTCGTGCTCCGGAAGTTGCTAATTCCACGTTCGACATCACATATCTCCCTCAGCATATCATCGTTGATGTTCCCTTCTATTCTATATCCGTAATTCAAAGTTAAGCTCGTATTAAGTGCATATCGTTGAAAATAGCCAATGGGGTTGATGTCAACAGTGCCGTATTTTGAATCTTTAATCATTTCTTTGATTGAGGTCGTGGCCTCCAGGTCGACAATAGGCATGTAACCACGAACCGAAACAACGTTCAATGCAGTCGCCGCAGCTTTTCGGCGGCGTTTGCACGACTCATCCCAAGGACTCGTCCCAATGGTGAAGTTTGAGCTGTCTGAGACTACAGTGTGAAATGTGTGCAGAGTTGGTCTGGAAATCAGCGCGGATTGGTGAGTTACCCAAAAGTGACGGACGGAATCGAAAGAATTGGCGAAAACAATTCTCTGCAAGCCAAGGGGAAAACTTAGTAAATTCCAAGGCCAATATGTCTCGTGCAAAAAGCAGTGCTCACCTTGTTTCCCAACCTTACTTGAAAAACCGGTCCGTATTTCTTCGCCCAACGTTGAGCTACTCTAGCATGTACATCTCCTAATTCAAACAGACTGCCAAATATGGGCCATCCAGGAATTTCCGGTATCCCCTTGATCTTTGGTTTGTCGGTCGAGTTCGCCCATCTCCATAGCACGAAGAGCACGAATAGAACAGCGACGCTGACGACAGGCGACGCCATCTTAACGGATTGTCGTAAGCCCTTTAAGGACGAGTGGGAAAAGCGAGACCGTACAATGGGCTCTAGAACAGAAACTTCCCAACGGATGATGTTTTTTTTTAATCAGACGAGAAAGTGAAGATTGATAACACGTAAGATTTATCGTTGCTTAAAAAATGCTTCCTTAATCGGCGTCTTCATGTGCTGTGGAGAGCAGAGTTCCAGTCAGCGTCTTATATCGAGAGGTAAAAAGGCAGGACGTTTGTGAAGTCACAATTAATGGCGCTCTTCCGATCCCCACAGCGGAGGGCGTGCGCTGCGGTGCCATCGCGGCATGTCACCGAATTTGTGTTATGACCGACGTAGACACATGTTTTGCGGGGATGTTGATGTGGGGTTGAGAGACACAAGCCGTGCGGAATTTATTCCATGTCCATCCCATGATCCTCACGCCCTTTTCCTTTTCAAGAACTCGATGCTGTATCGTTTCCAAGGGGTGAAGCGGAAACGTTGCCTTACGTCTGTATTCATATCTAGACAAGGTTTTGATAGCCGAGTTCGTGGCTATACTGCGTCGAGTAACCGGGGACAGAAGGCGCGTTATCAAAGACAGAAGACGAATCAGGCTGGCATTCAACTGTGCAGAGGGAATCTCCACGATCTAGATTTTTTTTTTAAAAACATTCGATTCTTGGATACCGCGAAACTATCGCGAGAAGTACGCCTGATCGAAGTTGAACGCTGGCTGGATAGTGCCTGAACATTCGCCAAAGCCAACCAGATTGCCTGAACCATTGTCGCAAACGCCTCGGAATGTGACCGTGTCTCCGTCCAAGAGGAAAGTCCTTTCTTCCCCATTGTTTAGTTTGAGTGATACTTTTCCATTCTCCGTCTGCTCGAGCAAAGCCCCAAAGGTGGATGGATCGCCCTTGCCAGAAATGGTTCCCGATCCTATCAGGTCACCCGTGTTGAAGGGACATCCTCCGACGGTGTGATGAGCAAGCATCTGCTCGAAAGAGAAGAGCAGGTTTCTGGAACTAGTTTCCGTGACCTTGAGCTTTCCTCCTTTGGCAGCTGTGTAGGCGTACATTATCAGCATGGTTGGGGCATCGTCGCGGAGGATTAAACTCACTCTGCAGATCCACCGTCAAATGGATGTCATAGACAGTCTTGTCGGTATTCTGCCGCAGATACGGCAAGATCGACTGATCGTTTTCGATCCCAGCCGTCCGAAACGGCTCCAAGGCTTCCATGGTAACCACCCAAGGACTTATGGTGGTGCCAAAATTCTTTGCGTTGAAGGGTCCAAGGGGAGCCATTTCCCATGCCTGTATATCTCTGGCTGACCAATCGTTCATCATGACGACGCCGAACAGGTGATCCAAGGCCTCGTCGATATTAATAGGACGGCCCATTTCATTAGGCTTGCAGATAAAACAGCCCAATTCAAGCTCAAAATCCAACTTCCTGCAGTGCGAGAAAATGGGAAGCTGGTCTCCCGGCTTTTCCAGTATCTGGCCTGACGGCCGCTGAATCGGCGTTCCCGACACCACAACCGACGACGCGCGCCCGTGATATCCCACAGGCAATTGTCTGTAGTTCGGATTCAGAGAGCCAATGCCTCGCATGATCCTGGAGCAGTTCTCGGCGTGGTTCAGGCCAACGTAAAAATCGGTGTAGTCGCCGATCTTGAAAGGAAGATGATTCCTGACCTTGTCAAGCCGGATCAGACTCTTCTTCTGCAGCGCCTCGTTCTTCTCGAGAACGTCTGGAAACGGCCCATCTTTCGCCAGCACGCTCTGCAGGTACCTGCGCACGGCGCTGTGGATGGGTTTACCCAAGCTGCCGAACGCGTTCAGAACGGGTTCAGAAAATACCGCCTGATGCGGCTGGATCGTCGACAGCCCAGAGAAGCCATTCCCTGCCGCGAATGCCTCCAAATCCAAGGCATAATCCCCGATAGCAGTGGCCGGTCGAGGCTTTGGATTGTCTTCCGTTGAGATGATGCCGAAGGGGATGTTCTCGATGGAAAAGTGCGAGTCCTTCGCGACAGATACCCAGGACGAGAGAGCCATGTTCTTGAGGCTCGTCTGAAACAAGCCCAAAATAAACAAAAGCGACCTTGCTTGCTCTCACACTCGACTGTATTGCCTGCTCGCGGACAGCCTGGCGGTGTGGCCGGCTATATGAGGTTAGCGTCGGTGGCCGCATCAGCCGCTTGTGGACGGGTCACGGTAGACGGAACAGTGCCGCAGACCCTTGGCAGCGCACCTTCCTCGACGTTCTCCGCACTTGATTTGCATTCCGCTGCTGAGCGCGAGGTCGTGATCCTATCGTAGGATGAGCTCTCCACAGGTGCCCCCGGATGGCGCAGCCGTTGCGAGCGAGCGCGTCGTACTGGACCCGAATAAAATCCTCCCAGAGCCTGTGCCTGGGCGGCTCAAGAGAGCGTTCGTAAAGTTGACTGACAAGGTCACCAACTCCAAGCAGCCGCTGCCGCCGTCCACTGTACGACTGACGGAGAGAAATCTTACTGAGTTCTTCAATCCCTACTACAGCGACGAGCACGATGCCTTCCACAAAGTTCAAGGTCCCAGAAAGATATCGATACCAGAATGGATTCAATTGCTACCATGAGTACGACCCGTATTCCCAGCATGAAACCGGTGTCTCAGCTAAACTCGGCGTGTAGAACTGAAGCAATAGAGGGTGCCCTGCCCATTGGGCAGAACTCTCCCCAAGTGCCCCCGTACGGCCTCTACGCTGAGAAGCTTTCGGGTACGGCGTTTACCGCGCCTCGCCACGAGAACCAACAGACGTGGCTGTATCGCATACTTCCGGCGTCCGCACATTCCAACTTCGAGCCGCGCGAATCTGCAACGTTCAACACGAACCCCGAGAACAAGCCGTGGGAAAAGATCTTTCAGATCCCAAACCAGCTGCGGTGGGATCCCTTCGACATAGACGAGACGGTGGACTGGGTGCATTCGCTGCATCTAGTGGCAGGATGTGGTGATCCGACCAAGAAGCAAGGCGTAGGCTACTACATCTTCGCCGCCGGAAAGGACATGGATGCGCGGAGCGCGTTCTACTCGGCGGACGGAGATTTTTTGATCGTCCTGCAGCACGGCGTGCTCGACATCCGCACCGAGCTTGGCAAAATTCTTGTCAGACCCAACGAGATCTGCGTGATACCGCGTGGCGTACGATACCAGGTCAGCCTGCCGGAAGGGCCGGTCCGTGGCTACATCCTCGAGCTGTATCAAGGCCACTTCGCCCTGCCAGAGCTCGGCCCGATTGGCAGCAACTGCTTGGCGAATCCGCGGGACTTCCAAGCGCCGATTGCGCACTTTGACGAAGACACGGAGAATGAGTACACGATCCTCGCCAAATTTGCCGGCCACCTGTTCGCGGCGAAGCAACGGCATACGCCGTTTGATGTCGTCGCTTGGCACGGGAATTACTACCCGTACAAGTATGACCTCGGTCGCTTCAACACCATCGGCTCCATATCGTTCGACCATCCGGACCCCAGCATATTCACCGTACTGACGGCGCAGTCCGACCATCCGGGGACTGCGATCGCAGACTTTGTCATCTTCCCACCGCGATGGCTCGTCGCGGAAGACACCTTCCGCCCGCCATGGTACCATCGCAACACCATGAGTGAATTCATGGGCCTGATCGGCGGCGAGTATGACGCCAAGGCGGGTGGGAAAGGTGGCTTCCAGCCCGCCGGCGCCAGTCTGCACAACGTCATGAGCGCACACGGTCCCGACGCCGGCACTTTGGAGAAGGCAAGCACGGCAGAGCTGAAGCCCCAGAAAGTGGGCGAAGGGAGCATGGCGTTCATGTTCGAAAGCTGTTTGATGGTCGGCGTGACCGAATGGGGTCTAAGCAAGTGCAAGAAGGTTCAAGAAGGCTACAATGCTGAGAGCTGGGTGCCCCTGAAGCCTAGATTCAAGAGGCCCGAGAAGAAAGCGTCAGGGCCTCAAGCCCCAATTAGCTGAGCGAAGAGCAGTAATATTTATCCCCCACACCCTTCTTCCAGCCCTTCCCTGAAGCTTGCCAGAACCTGAAAGGCCAGATATACCAAGGTGTCATTCACCGTGTTTTACCATAACTCGGGTCCAAAAAAAAAAAAAAAAAAAACCCACAATGTTTCTGAGCACTTGCGACTCGGTCTCGCACCTCATCCGTTCACCTGTCTTATAATGTGCCCTCCTTAGTACGTGCTTTGAAGCTGTCCAACTCAGCCTCCGTTCGTAACTAGCACAATGCCGTCACAGTATGCACCTAGCTTTGCTTACCAGTCCAAGCACCTACCCAGCGACTGATATCCCGTTAGCGCCCTCCCGCCTAGCCTGTAGAGCACACGGCCCCCTATGAAAACGTACCGTCTTCTTTTCTCTCCCGACAGACCGGCCCCCTGCTTCACGTCCCTAAGGGACCGACCCTTCGCTGGAATCGTAGGCCGCACGGGACAACGAAGGGTGGGGTCGCGCTCTCGCTCAGAAACACTGAATGCAACGCCTCAGCACGCTGCCCCCCGTCAGCCGGGGGAGTCAGCGACACGCACACGCACTCTCTCCCTGTGTGCCCTTTCGCACTTCGACTGAGACCCTGCCCCGCAACGCGGTTCTGTCGTTCAGCCGTCTTCCTCGTCGTCCAAGTCCGGCAGGGGAATGGGAATCATGAAATGATGGGAGAGGCCCAGGGACGACAGGGAGCCCGGGGCGACGACGTTGCATCGGATGTTCCAGCGCGCACACCACACGGACAGGTGCTTCATCAGGTGCGCGAGCGCGGCCTTTGAGCTGCCGTAGGCGAAGCTGGCGGCCTTGAGCCGGGCGCAGCCGGGGACGGCGCTCACGGCGACGACCTGCGAGGCGACCCCGTCGCGGAACTGGTTGTGGGCGCGGTTGCCCCTGTCGAGCAGCCGCAGGAAGGCGAGGACGGAGTAGTGGACGGCCGCGACGTTGACGTCGAAGGCGCGGACGAAGTCGCTCGCGGGCGTGCTCCAGGCGCGCTCGACGAAGTCGTCGATCGAGCCCGTGGCCGGGTCGAGAGCGGGACGGATCTTCGGGCCCGTGATGCCGGCGTTGGCCACGAGCAGGTGGACGTACCCGGCGTCGTCCTCGACCTGGCGCGCAATTTCGGCGAGCGACTCCTTGGAGGTGACCTCGCCCACGAGCGGGACGACGTTGCCGTCGACGGCGAGCTCCTCGGCGGCGGCCTCCAGCTTCTCCCTCCGCCGGCCGACGATGTACACTCTCTTTGCTCCGTTCTGAGCAAGCGCTTTCGTGATCGCAAGACCGATGCCTGTTGGGTGGAAAAAAAAAAGGGAAGGCGGCTCAGATTAGGTTCACAAAGACACACGGACGAGATGTATCGGATCCGGTGGGCTCGCTGGAGAGAACGTGACGGGGCAAGGCTGAGGCGAATCGACCCGTCGACGAAACACGCCAGAGGCTCGAACTCGCCAGGTCGGCAACAGGAGTGGACAGATTCAAAAATGGGGAGAGAGGGTAGGGTGAAGAAATACAAAAAGAAAAAAAAAATTAATAGAAGAGGGAATTCAAAAAAAGAACATACTCGTACTGCCCCCGGTCACAACGGCCACGAGCCCATTCACGTTGTAGAGGTCTGCCGCCTTGGGCGACATGCTCGGCTTGCTCGCCATTCGCGGGTCGAAGACCTTTTCTTAATTTTTATTTCTTTCCCTTTTCTCCTGGCCCAGAGCAAATCCGTTCAGGCCTTTCTCTCTTGCCTTTCTTGAGGGAAGGGGGGAATTCCCAGATGGAAATTTTAAAAAGAAGAAGACGAAGAAGAAGAAAAAAAGATCGGTTAAGCACCTCTTCCTGCTCCAAAGAAAAATAAAAAGAAACTTGGCTTGAAGCAGGCTAGTCGAGGAATATATCTCGACGAGCAATTGCACTGTTTATTCCGATGTCGCGGCGAGTCGGATTCCGGCACCCAGCACAGTTGTCACGATGCAGCTACTGGCAATATGGGAAAAATTCGCGTATTGGAGCCGAAATACCTGTCGACCTACACGGATGATTTTAATCGTCCTTCAGATCTAGTGAATCAATTGAAATGTCAGCGTCGGGATCAGAGAAGCGCTGTGCATGTTGCACATCTGTCAGCGTCTTTGGAACTACCCTTGCTGGGCATATTGCCCTGACAATCTGAGCGTCGCAAATTCTAGAGCGTCGAGGACCCATGGCAAAAGCTTCGAGGGGCGCATCATGACTGGGATGTATGACAGCACCAGATGATGCCGTCTTACAGAACGTGGGCGGCGGTGCAGTTGCAGGATTCCACGCGCAGACAAAAGCAAAACAAAGTCAACCAATGAGTAGCATTTCAGAGTTCAAATGGCTAAGCAGACAAAAGTCCAACGCCGGTGTTTGTAAGCCCTTTCAAAATGTATGTTTCAAAAAGCGACACCCACAAAACACACACTTTGCACCTCCCTGTGCCCGCTTAAATCTTTGCACAAAGCTTTCGCAAACCCGTTGGAGGCATTGTCATGGCGGTTTTAATGGATAAGGTACTCTTTGCGAGTCATTTCGGAAGGACGGTTCTAATTGGGAGTTTCAAATTGGAGGATATGGTGGATTGGGACGGAGGGGCGGTCGTCGTAAAAAAGGGTGGGACACTTCGTTGACGCATTTACGAATGGCCGGCCTTCTTGAGGGCGTTCGCGAGCCACTGCGTGGCATTGGGTTAGCGGCAAAGGCGACGTTTACATCCCAGAGACACCGGCTTCACTCACCTCAAGACCTTCGTAGAGACCGTCACCAGTGGTAGCGCAAGTGGATTGGATGTACTGTTTCCCCCTCAAAGTCAGCAGCCAGCACACCAGGCTCGTGCGGCAAAAACGCTTACCCAGGCACGTTGTCGGAGCGAGTGGAGACCAAGCTTATCGGTGACTTCGGCGGCGTTCATGGCATTCTACAGTGGCATGTTAGTTCTCGGTCACAAGAGGCGAAAGGGGCGGATAGATAGGAGGGTCAGCACGAACCGGCAGATCCTGCTTGTTAGCAAAGACCAGAAGAAGAGCGTCACGAAGCTCATCCTCGTTCAGCATGCGCTGCAGCTCCTCGCGGGCCTCGACGATACGGTCGCGATCGTTGCTGTCGACGACGAAGATGATACCCTGGGTGTTTTGGAAGTAATGCCTCCACAGAGGTCGGATCTTGTCCTGTCCACCGACGTCCCAGACGGTGAATTGGATGTTCTTGTACTCGACAGTTTCGACGTTGAAGCCTAGATTGGGCACCTGTGGTCAGCACATCGCCTACCATCGTGGGGCCCAGGCACAGCGAGGCGGGTGAGCAGGCGCATACCGATCGTGGGGATGGTGGTGACAATTTCACCCAGCTTGAGCTTGTACAGGATGGTCGTCTTTCCGGCGGCGTCCAAGCCAACCATCAAGATGCGCATCTCCTTCTTGCCCCATAGTCTGTCGAATAGCTTCGAGAACGTGAGACCCATGTTTGCGATGTTGTGTCGCGGTCGTAGACGGTCGTTAGAGTCGTGTGGTTGGTTGGGGGGCGAAGGGAAGAGTCGGTGAGAAATGTGGACGCCTGCTGCGAGGGCACAAGGGTAACGTGTCAGTAAAAAAAAACCTCTCAACGCTATTGGTGTCGCAACACAGACGGAGCACGCACTCGGGTGGATCGTGCGGCTCTGGAGGTGGAGTGGTGTTTGTTGATGATGCGATAAGCACGAGAACTGCCGTGGGTTGCAAAAAGCGGCAGCAAGTTGGAAAGTGCAAGGTTGTCGATGCCGCACCGGATCTGGAGGGGCACCCACTGGCCACACGAGCGCTACGGGGGCGGAGGGAGTGGACTTACTCGGCCGAAGCAAGAGACGCAATCGAGCGAGAGATCTATGCCGGTCGCTATGCGAGGAAGGGGGACGGGGGCGAGGTGGTTGCCGTGGACTGTGCGGTAGTGGTTGTGCAGGAGGTTGTTGGTGTTGCAAAAAGCTCCTTTTGACGCTTTTTGTGTTGAACGTCGATCTGTCAATTGGAGAGTCGAGCCGTGGACGGGCTCTTGGGAGTCGGTCACGTGCCTCGGCTTCAGGCCTGGCGGTTCAAGAGTACTTCGACTGAGGCGTAGCAGCAGCAACAACAGCAGCAGCAGCAGCAGCGACGAGATGCGTGTGCGCTTGGGGCGATCAGAGCAAACGACGCTGCGACAGAAACCCATCTCTCGCGAGCCATCCCGCTTTTAAAACCGCGTCCGCCCATCAGGACACGTTTGGCATTTCCACTTTTCCCCTTCGCTGGGAGAATTCGGTCGCCTGGCACAACAGCCACACGGGGGGTGTGCTTCAGCGACAAGCCTCCAGGCGACAGCAAAATGCACGCTGCTAAAGGATTCAAACGTGGAGAATTGATTCTCTGGCTAACTTGACTCGTGCTTTTTATGGTCATGACGTCTATTTTCTCACGTTCCCCTGCCGGCTGTCCCAAAGAGAAAGAAACACATGTTCTCCAAAGTCCCCCGCTGCGTTTCCTCCCCTCACATTCCATGAATAAGCCGCGCCGGGACTCGATGATGCCTTTACCAGAGTAAGAGATGCCTTGTAGATCTCCTCGCGTCCTCTGCAACTCCGCCTGATGCCGCGGTGCCCCCGCAAAATTCCGACAAAGATGCTGTGCAAATCATGCTTTACGATGAGAATTCTGCTTTGCAATCCACAATGAGAATGTAACACGCTTCATATTGCGATCAAGACGCCGTGCCTATCGCCGGAGTCGCCGCCGCAGCTGGCTCCTGTCTCGCGGGCGTTGCCTGGCTGGCGGGTGCTGTGGGAAGCAGGCCCTTCGCAGTCCATATGTCAATCAGCGGCTGCATTGGCTCCATCTCCTTGTCGCCGAGCAGGCCAAACACCTTGCCGACGTTGACGAAGTGGATAAAGCACGTGTTCAGTTCCTTGTAGGCATTGATGTGCCAGAAGGGGTCAAGCCAGTGGCCGTGATAGATGTGGGCGTAACATCGCATCATTTGTCTGTAGATGCTTCGAATGTCCGTCTCAAAGCTCTCGGGAAAGCCAGCAGCCTTGCCGAGCCAATCTCGTCCGGCAAGCGTCGACAGCGGCGCACTGCTCGTGGTCGGTCCAGCTGGGATGGGCGTATTTGATCCGGGTGTAGACACCCCGCCGGAGGCGTACTGACCGGGACCGGACATGTCTGTTGGGAAGATGTTCGGATCATTGATCTTACCGACGATCCATTTCTGGACCAGCTGGATGTACTGGTGGGCCGGGATCTTGATCGGACGTTTGTTGTTGTCCAGCCAGGTGTACGTGTGGCCGGCGGCGGACATGGTGGGGCAGCTGTCCATGTTACAGATGGGCAGGCCCGTCTTTTCGTCAACGGTGCGAATGATCTGGATCATGCCGTCCAGAAGGCGGAACTGCTCGACGACTGCGGGCGACCTGTGAGCGCGCTGATCATGTGGCCGGACGAGTGCGCGTTGAAATGGAGAAACCCACCTTGGTGCGCAAGCCATTCTCCCTCGTCCACGAGCACGGGCTTGGCGGCGAGGGTCATGAAATTGCCCTTGACGATGAGGTTCGAATATTCCTCTCTGAAGAAGAAGGGTGGACGCCGCTGCAGCGACGGCTGGCTGTCGGCGGCGGGGATGTTCTCGTACGACATTGTTGAGCTTAAGCCTGGTGAGTGCGGGACAGATGGAAGGGACGGCGCTAGCGAGGAACTTGGACTGGACAGAGTGGTGGGCGACGAAACGCCCTGCCCATTGCCTTTGCCCGCTTGGCTCTTATTGTTTCTGCCTGCAAAACCCTGGCGCCTGGTATGGTGAGCAAAGAGGGAAGGGTTAGCAAAGGTTCAAACGGTTAGCCAGCAAAGGGAAAGAAAGGAAACGAGTTGGAGCGCGGCGATCCTGTTCTGAAACCGAAATGCAGGTCACTGGGTTGCTGGAGCGGCGGAGAACGGTGGCGATGGGGGGGAGGGCGTGTGCCAGTGCGGATCCTAGGCGGGCGAGGAGCACCAAAGTGCAGCATCACACGCCGGCCGAGATCTAGTCCTGACCGCCCTGCAACACGCGCCGCCCATCTGCAGCGAGATTCAGACGGTTGCAGTAGCTGGCTGGACTCGACTTAAGGCGGGAGGGTGTGCGGGCCACGTGCAACGGGAGCTGGGGGGGTTGGGCCAGCGAGAACGTCCAGGGGAACAATGGCCTCGCCCAGCAGCTGGCCGGGTGCGAGTCGGGCTGTGACGGTGCGGGATCATGGCCAGAGGCAGGAGACAAAGGGGAGGATGGTGGTGATGACAGCGATGGGGATGGCGATGGGGATGCTGCCCGTGACAGCAGCAGTCGTGGTCGTCGCCGTGACGGCACAGGCGGTCACGGCGAGCAGGCAGCGGGCAGACGGGCCAGGCAGAACGAGAACCTGTTGAGCGCTGGAGGGGGCGAGGAGAGGGCAGCGCGTTGGGGCTGACTTACAATCCATTGAAGAAGTTCGCCATCTGGGGGCAAAGGACGGCAACGCTGGGACTCGGATTCGGGCGTCAGAGACAGCGCGTCTGGATGGAACAAGATGGGACTCGTGCTGAGGCGGACGCGCTGGGAGAAGCGAGCCAAAGTCACATGGAGAGCTGGGAGCGAGCGGCCAGGCGTGCTAGGAAGGGAGAAGAGAGCCCGACGACGTGCGAGTGAGAGTCGGGATCCGAAGGTCTGCACGGGTCGACGAGACCTGGACGTCGCTCTGAAAGGCTTCTGACGTGTCTGGCGGACGGGCGGACGCTGGCCGTCTTTGGCGGTCGAAGAAGCGTCGACGCCTCGAATCGTTCTGCTCCAGCCTGAAGCTTCACCTCGCCTTAGGGGGGAACCCACGCCCCAGCAGCGGGACGCACTGGCGACCCTTGCGCTTGCTGCCAGGAATCTTTGACGTCCTGATTTTTTTTTTTTTTTTTTTTTTTTTAATTTTTCTTTTGCTAGTGCTTTATCTTGTTTTCTGCCCCTTCTTTGTTTAGGCGCCGCGGATTGGCCCAGCGCGCCCAGTTCGCTCGCGTGTTTCGTGTCTAGTCTCCAGTCTCTGCCGCTCTAGTCTCTACCCATCGGCGCCTTCGTTGGCAACCCGCGCGACGACTGCCGCTGCACACTGCGACCGCCGCTGCACCTCCACCTTGCTCGACCCGGCCCTAGCACAGTACCGTGTGCTTGTGTGCGTTCGTGCGCGTGTGCGTGTCCTGCTCCGTTGCCCATCCACTTTCCATCTTCGTCCTTCCGCGTCTCGCCAAACCCAGAGCTTCTGCAGGCTTGTTGGCGGACTCGCATTCGCACGCAGCTCCTGCTCGCCATGTCGTCCGCATCGGAAGACGAGCGCAATGGCGACGCCGACCAGGATCTCAACGAGGACATGGACGACCTGTTTGATGACGGCATAGACGACGAGGCTGAGACAAGAGCGTACGTTTGACTGCTCGCTGCGCGACCCCCCCCATCTGCACATCCCCGTTGCTAACAACCTCTTCTGCAGCCAGCGTCGCCAACTCGACGATGAAGAGCTGGACTCCGGCGACGACGAAGGCCGCTATGACAGGGCTCCGGCTGACGAGGATGAGAACGACGGCGGCGACGTCGAGCAGGTCATGCAGGACGTAAACATCATGGAAGTCGACCTGGCCCGCCATCCGGTGCCCGAGCCCAGCGACGGCGAAGGCTACCTGCTCAAGATACCAGAGTTCCTATCTATCGACCCCGTCAATTTCTCCCTCGAAGGCTTCACGCCACCAACGACAGATCACCACTCGACTTCCGCCTCCTCCAACTTCTCCGCCTACAAGACTGCGCAGACCACCATTCGCTGGCGCCATTCCCCCTCGAATCCGGCCGAGCTGCAGTCCAATGCACGGATATTGCGCTGGTCGGACGGATCTCTAACCCTTCAGCTGGCCTCGGACCCGACCGTGCAGTACGAGATATCGCACAGAGCGCTGGCACCACCTCAGCACAACCCCACGAAGCCCACGCCGCTCAGCAAGCCGGGCCAGAGCATCAAGCCATGGTCCGAGAAGCAAGAACAGTTCACCTACCTCGCCTCCGCCTCCCAAGAGGCCTTCATCGTTCGCACCACAAACAAGATCACTGCTGCCCTGCAGGTCAACACCGTGGGCGACAATGAGGACGAGGCTCTGGAACGTCTGCAACGCAAGATGGCCGCCGCGCGGGCCGCAAACCACGTCGTCGTGAACCTGAGCACCAACATGGAAGACCCGGAGCTGCAGCGCAAAAAGGCGGAGCAGGCGGAGAGAGACATGCTGCGCGCGCAACGCCGCCTCGAGGCTCAGCAGCTACGCGAGCGCGAGAAGTCTGGTCGCGGCTACGGCCGGTCCGGCGGTCGCGCGGGCGGGCTGTCCGTGGCGGATCTGGAAGGCGACGGCGGCGGCTCCCGACGAAACGCCAAGAGGGCGCCTCGGCGCAGACGCAACAACGACGAGTACAGCGACGAGGAAGAGCAGTTCGGATCGGGCTACAGGGGCAGCCGGGACGAATACAACGAGGAGGACGACTTCATCGCCCGCAGCGACGAGGAAGAGGACGCCGAGGGCGACGACGAAATCGACGACTTGGACGCCATGATCGAGCGGAGGGAGCAAGAGCAGCAGCGCGAACGGGCAGAGCGCACGGGCACGCCCAAGAGAGACCGAGACACCGACGAGGACGCCGACGCGGAGGCCGACGAGGACGAAGACACGAGAGAGAGCCCCGTCAGCAGGCAGAAGAGGAGAAGACTGGTCGTCGATGACGACGACGACGAATGAAGGCTACTGCCCATCCACCCCACACCTCCCCGCGTCGACTGATCGTGCCGTACGTCTTGAGGCAGATGCAAAAATAAAAAGAAGAAAATATGGTGCTTGCCCGTCGCCTGCGTCGCCCCCGCGAAGTCATGTATTCATTTATATTTTAATTGTTTTTTTTCTTTCCAAAAAAAAGATCTCCTTTTTCGCTGTGCGCATGCTACAAAGCTGGCGAAGGGCATGAACGATCTCTGCGACGCAGCCATCGGGTCGCGGTGTGTTGCAGACAGTCCGATGAAGAGCGAGCCTCGCCTGCGCTTCCGTCCGAAAACAGAAAAGGAGGGCATCGTTACAGGTACGGGCCGGAACGTGAGGGGGTTGGGGGAAAAAAAAAAGGAAGGCTATAATGCCCCGTGGAAACAAAAGTTAGATCACTTCACAATTCCACAAGCGTCATCCAGAAGTGTTTCGCTCCTTGATTTTTTTTTCTTCTCAGCAGACTACATAAACTTACTAGATGTAAGCACGGTTCAAGACCAAAGTTGAGAGTGGTCTCACAATGCTCTCGCCGTCTGATGCCCTGTTCGTCTTTCATTTCATCCTCCCCAAAAGGAAGCAAGAGTTGTATTTGCCACCCCAGTATTACGATCGCCTCCGTTCCGTTGACAAGAGGCTCCATGGCCAAATCCCAGATGTTGGTTGAGCATAACTAATATACGGGCAAGTAAACAAAAAAAGAGAAATATGACTTCGTTATAAACGCCATCCCAATGCCGTTGAGGACATTTCGTGGTATCATTTTCCGATCATGACTCCGTAAATGTTGAAAAGTTCAGCCTAAAACTTTTTTTCTTCTCTTTTTAAACAATCTCTCTCGAAAGCCAAAGAAAGAGATTTCGCACACTAGTACCTGTAAATCTCCGACTTGAAGGGACCTTCGATCGGCACGCCCAGGTAGTCAGCCTGCTTCTCGGTGAGCTTGGTCAGCTTGGCGTTGACGTGATCAAGGTGCAGCAGTGCGACCTGCTCGTCGAGGATCTTGGGCAGGGTATATACGCCGATGTCAAGCTTTCCGGTCTTGCCAAACTCGACGTACTTCTCGCCAAAGGCCTTGTCGCCAGCCTTGTACAACATGATCTGGGCAAGGACCTGGTTGGTGAAAGAGCAGGACATGACGAAGGATGAGTGACCAGTTGCGCAGCCAAGGTTGACAAGACGGCCCTCTGCGAGAAGGATGATGTGGTTACCGTTCGGCATGAGGAAGCGGTCGACCTGTGGCTTGATGTTGACCACACTCTTGGCGTTGGCCTTCAACCAGGCAACGTCGATCTCAATGTCGAAGTGGCCGATGTTGCAGACGATGGCATCGTTCTTCATGACGGAGAAGTGGGCTCCGGTAATAATGTCGCGGCAGCCGGTCGTGGTGACGAAGATCTGACCAATGGGAGCGGCCTCCTCCATGGTGGTGACCTGATAGCCAGAGACAGCCGCCTGGAGAGCATTGATAGGATCCACCTCGGTGACAATGACGCGAGCACCCATTGAGTGCAGCGCCTGGGCGCAACCCTTGCCAACGTCACCGTAGCCAGCCACAACGGCGACCTTACCGGCAATCATAACGTCGGTGGCGCGCTTGATGCCGTCGACGAGCGATTCTCTGCAGCCGTACAGGTTGTCGAATTTCGACTTTGTGACTGAGTCGTTCACGTTGATAGCCGGGCAGAGGAGACCGGGGCCACCGTCCTTGTTCTTCAGCATACGGTATAGGTGGTGCACACCGGTGGTCGTCTCCTCTGAGATACCATAGCAGTCCTTGAGCATCTCGGGGTACTTCTTGTGTACGAGCGCAGTAAGGTCACCGCCGTCGTCGAGGATGAGGTTGAGCTTCTTGCCATCCTTGAAGGCGGTGAGCTGCTGCTCGAGGCACCAGTTGTACTCCTCCTCCGTCTCGCCCTTCCAGGCGAAGCTGTGCAGATTTAGCATGTTTTCCAAGCGTTCTGAAATATGGGGACGTACACTGGCGTGCCGCCAGCAGCGATGGCTGCCGCTGCATGGTCTTGAGTTGAGAAGATGTTGCAGCTAGTCCATGTAACCTCAGCGCCCAAGGCCGTCAGAGTCTCGATGAGCACAGCGGTCTGAATGGCTACGAACATGTTAGACAGCACGAAGCAAAGAACAAAGAGAACGCATACTCATGTGCAAGCAGCCGGCAATACGTGCGCCGGCCAATGGCTGGTCTGCAGCATACTTCTGTCGGGTGGCCATGAGGCCAGGCATCTCATTCTCAGCGAGCTCGATCTCCCTCCTGCCAAATGCAGCGAGGGAGATATCGGCAACCTTGAATTTGTGAGCTGGGGCAGACATGTTTCCTGTGCCTCGTGGGGTTGTTTGACAGTGTGCAGACGCGGAAGGTTAAGGTTGAAGGTTTGTAGAAAAGCGTTTTGCTGGCCATGGCGGGGTGAGATTTTTGAGGCTGGCTTTTTTCAACTGCCGGGATCCACTTGGGCGTCGGAGACGCAGACGAGCCTCCGATGCTAAACCACATTGCGACAAAATTTGTAAACCTGCACGGCCATTCCCGCCCTTCATCCACGTCTATTCCTTTCTTGCTCGTTATCAGCGTATTTTACTGTCTTCCCCATGTTGACCACATTGTAGTGACTGACGATTATGGTTCGACTCAGGGAGGCACACTGGTTTCGCTGCAGTGCAAACTTGAATCCAACAGATGTCAATTATCAAAGCTCAGCATTGGCATCAAAGGCTCATTGCTATACTCACATCCGAGCTAGTGATCGAGACTGCCCCTTCTCGGACGTCGTAAACTTCTCAAGAAAACATTGGCATGCCACACTTCGACTGTGCTTGAAGTCGACACGTATCAATCTTCCACGGATTCTAACGAACTCTACGGCGAAGGCCAGGATCGACGAGAGCATAGCCATGACCAGGGCGTTTTCAAATGGAATGCCAAAGGCGAGCAAGAGCCCGATAGCAACTCAGAAGACAGCCTGCTGCTGCCAAGTCATTGTATTTCATTCGTGTGACCAACGATGAATTAGCAGCAAGACCACTCAAAACCAATTTGACTGTCATCATTGGGAACTGAATCAACTCTGTTCTACATCTATATGCTTATGTGACGGCTCGTCTCTAGTGTCGCTTGCTTAGACTCAGAGACACGTACTTGACGCCTGAGTTCGCTTCTTCTGAAGCGAAAGAATAACGCTAAACATCAATGAAGATGACGTTCGGCGACTGTAGTTTTCAAAAGGGAGGTCTTACATCAAACGTAGAGCTCGGTATGAGATGCCAGGTGACCTAACAAGTCTGTGCTACGATATCTGTTTCCGACTCCTTCGCGAGCCTGGAGTTTTCGCTTGTTGACCTTTTATTCCGCTCACGGCCTCCGCGCCGTCCTTACTCTTCCTCTCGACCGCTCTCCTCATCGCACTTTCTGTTTCAAAAAACGTTACCATCTTGTCACTCTCTTCCCAGAGGACTTTCTGAAAGTTCTCATCCTCTACCTCGGGCTTTAGCACTCGTCTTGGCCGACACTCTTTGATGAAGACGCCACCATCTGTTTGCAGGAGAGTCTCCTCCATTGCGGCAAACAGGAAGCTCTGGGCGCCTTGGTAGGGACTCTTGAGCACCAGCCACCAGAATGGCCACATGATAAGGTAGATCCCGAGGCCCCAAAGACTGCCAGCAGTCAGATAGCGCAGCATACCTGGTGTGCGTGTCCATCCTGGGTCGACTATAAACACTCGGGCGTTGTTAGGCTGCTTATCCGGGCGCTGATAGGCAGTTAGATGCTTTTGGAACGCATTGACGAACGTGAACAGCGCGAATTTGGAATTTGCGAACGCGCTGCCGGACCGAAACGGTGCGATGTCTGTTGGAAGTGCTGTCTTCGCTGGCTTGGCGGTCTTCTTCTTGTTCTTTTCACCACTGGCATTTCCCAGCATGGATGAAAGCTCGTCGAGCGATCCTCCCATGTACGAACTGCACATGCCCACCAAAATTCTCACGTCTCGGTCCGGTGGCTGCGCTCGGATAGCAGGCGACAGAATGCTGAGTAAATGAAAATTGGCTATGTAGTTGATACCCCAGCTCGATTCCATGCCATCCTCCGTGGTAGTTGGTTCTCCGCCTGGTGGCGTTTGAGTGTTGGCGCACAAGATGATCATGTCAAGTCGACGAGGCGGAGCATTATCTATCCACTTCGTTGCAAATAGACGTATGCTGTGTAGCGACGACAAATCCACATGCTCCGCAGTGATCAATTCATTACTCGTCGAGGCTCGTAGATCCATGATAAAGTCCACAAGAAACGGATCCGCCAACGGAGCATGCGTGAGAAGCACGATCTGAGCTCCCCGCATCGCCAATTCCCTCGCCACGATCGCACCTATGCCGGATGTTCCTCCCTGTCGTTTTGTTAGAGAGCCAACAAGGCACATTCGTCCAAGGGAGGAGCTCACGGTTATCATCACGACTTTCGATCGCATCAGTCTCTCTGAACGGTTAGAGGCACCACCGAAGTATGTCTTCAAGGCATAAATGGCGATCAGCCATGGCACAACCTTGATGACCGTCCATAACCACGGTATGGAATCAACTCCATCGGTAAGAACCTTTGAAATGATCGGAATCGGCATTTTGATGCCTGCTTGCAAGTTCTAAGGAATCAAGCCACTTTTCGCAACGTAGGCGGCTCACAACCGAAAGAGGCAAGGGGCAAAATTATGACAGGGGCGCTACGAAGAACCCGATTGTGAGAACTGTAAAGGAATCTAGTACGATCTCAGCACCATGTGATCACGCGTGTCTTAACGGCTTCCTCTACGGATGGTTGTTGATCTTGTTGGCTCCGAAATCACATTTTTGAATTTGATCGCAAAAGAGGTCTTGGTGCGTTCGATAGAGGCACAAGCTGAACTGTCTCAAGAATCCCATTGTCGAACAATACAGTCAACCCATTTCCTTTTTGAAATTATCTTCTCATCGTACAGCGATTCTATCCATCAACCTATCTGATTCTATGTGTTTATTTATACACCTTTGGATCTCCAGCAGGCGATATGCAACTGACGATACTAAAACATGACTACAATGTGGCATCGAAAGCAAGTAGGCGAGGAACGTCACCTGTAGACGCCTAATCTGCATTAGATGTCCCTCTGGCTGCTCATGCGATGTCAGGTGTCCATTAAATCTCAACTAACGAGACCTTAAATTGGAAAGGAGCTTGGATGTCCAGTCAAGTCTAGCTCCTAAACATAAGACCAGCTCTGGACGGATTACAAGACCGGCCGAAGCAAACGTGTATCTCGTCTCTCAGGATTTGGGATTGTAGGCTCACCAGGCCCTAAGTGGATGCCATCAAAATACAAAGCCGTCAACGCATGCTACGGAAAGAGCACCGCCTCCTTGCCCATAGTATCTAATAGTTGCGAAAGAATACGAAACTTTCGTTTCGCCAACAAGCCTCGCGCAGCACGACGTCGGTGGTTGGGTGGTCTTCAGATATTTTCTTCAGTGCTCCAATGCAGGTGCGTAGAGCAGCGGCAGCTTGGATACAAAGCTCGTGCGTGGTGCGATTGGCGACAAGTCACGGTGATACGCCATCTTCGACTTCGATATCCTTCCACTCGTTGGCTTAGTAGTGCTCTTTGCAGGTTGCACCAGAGAATGAGGTGATCACGTGTAGTGATGGGATTTTTTATGGCTTCTCAGAGCCTTGGTGCCGAAGCCTGCCGAAGCCTTAGTTCTGCGCCATCTGTATCCATTCTAGGGTGTTCCCTTCTACTGGTCAGGCGTTCTAGAAGCCGAAGCCTGCTTCTCCACACAACTAGCTCTAAATTCGACCGTGGGCGGACGAGAAAACTCGCTGTCGTTGAACTTGGCGAGAATTCGCAGCTTGCAAAAGATTATTCTAGGTGTGACGTAGTCTCCGTGCCATCCACCCGAATACAGTGGAGTCAACACCTTGGGCGGTGATGATTTGCTCAGGTATTGAGCTCCAAACTAGACAACTTGAGGGCATATCTCCTTGTGGAGCCTTTGATGCTTGACACTCATGTCTCATCAATGCGTCAACTTCGTCACAATATTGCAAATCCAGCAACTTATTGCCAGCAAAGAACGCGTCCAGTTTTTGTTCCTGTAAAGACTTCTGCCAGACGGTGTGATGGAGACGGATAAAGCGTGGGTCTTGGATGAGATGGCCGCCAGCGATCTACTCCATCTAGAATCCAGCGTAGTCCATACTTAAGTGCTATCGCTTGGGAAAATTCAAAGCGAAAAACTGCGACATGGTTGTCTCTGCTGTTTTCGGATGCGATGGGTCGGTTGCATAAGAATGTCCACCGAAACAGTAGAACAAAGCGTAGCTGCTCACAAAGCTCATCTTACACACATGCCCTGATAAATGATTACTCCTGATTTATCTTCGGTGATGAACGTTCCGCGGTAACATATACCTATTCGAGATCACCTGCTGGTCTGTGAACTGATCAATTAAATGCGAGGCGGAGGGGTTCTTCGACAACCCAAGTAAGGATCCACCAGCTTGGGCCGGACTAAGCTCGGAGTTAGCCAAATTGCAAGGCCATCTTCTGTGAACCTGAACGACAGTTGCAACTGCTTCACCACGACAAGCTGTACGTGGACGTGCCCGAATCCTTGAAGAAGCATCATGGCCGAAGATTCAGATGACGAGTACACGATTCCCCTTGCTGGTCCAGCACCGTATGGTTCGGGCTTGAAAAAAAAAGGCATCAAGTTCGTCTCTGCAGGCACTCTTGAGACATCAAACCATGCTCAAATGCGTTCAGGGGAAGACATCGCAAACTCGTACCTCGCGCTAGTACTAGATAAGCCCCCCACTCCACTGGAAGACGCTGCCACCCATGAACACAAACAAGGCCAGCAGGCCGCCAGATGCGACACTTGCAATCTGCCGTTGGAAGATGCGCAGAGTGTTGAGCACCACACAAGTCTGGCACATCAAGCTGCGCTAGCACACATTCATCCCCCGAGTTCTATCGACCGTTCGAGAAAGGGTCTCGCATATCTCGAGTCTCAAGGCTGGGATCCGGACAGTAGAAAGGGACTTGGCATGCAAGGGGAAGGCATCTTACAGCCTCTTCGTGCTCTAGAGAAAAAGGACAAGGCAGGCATAGGCGACAGAAGTAGGAGCGTGACGCCGAAAGGTTCCAGCGCAAAAGTACAGAAGGGCCCTCAGGGCTTAGACCCGAAAGCGCTGAGAAAGCTACACGAAGAGGGCGAGAGGCGTACCAAAAGATTGCATGAAATATTCTATACTGACGATCGCGTTGCGAAGTATTTGGGGGAACAAACTTGATGCCCTACGGGCCGGATTTGCTCCCGCACTAATTTGGGGTATGGCTATCAAATTGAATCTGGCAGACGGCGTTGGCATTTGCGTCTACATTCGAGTTCTATTTTCGTACGCTTCCATCGCGCAGAGATGACATGTCCACAACAAGCTTTGAAGCCTGTAGGTTGCAACTGGCATATATGCTTGCAATTCTCGTCTAACCTTAGCCGAAGCAACAACGCTCACAATCTCCTCCCAAAATGCGGTCGCTCAGATCTTATTGGTAGTGTGGCTGAAGTCTGTCGTTACCATGATGCGGTGGTCTACCTTGCCGTAGTTGTCGGAAAGATCAAAATCTCCGTTCGTGTGGCTACTCGTCACGCGGAATTCGAATCCGTGGTCAGGCCGTAGCTTCACGTTCGCAGGTGGAACTAAACTCTCGGAGTCTTGGTCCTCCAGCCAGCTGCTGGCATTGTCCTTCTTTGTCAATGATCGGCTCAATTCCACGTCTGTGCCTGTCCCCGATCGCTTCGACGAATGTCTTTTCGACGATTTAGACATACCAGGTAAAGGATTGCTCAGAAACATAGAACCGTCCAGGCCGAGTTTTTTGGCAACAAATTGAATTATCGGTCGCATAACAGGAAGACATGCGGAGACAATGCCTGCGGACATTTCAATAGACGTCCAGCCGACAGTCGGGGCGAGCGTATAGGTCGGGTCCTTTGAAGTGTATGAGAAGAGAACTGAGAATCTGTACGCCGAGGCAAAAACCACACTAGAGATTGGTTAGCACTTGAGATGATACGTTAGGAGTCGCTGGAAAGTGAGGATGCGTACAAAAAGCCCAGACTGAACGTCAGTGTCAAGGCAACCTTCTCGAACTTCTTAAGCTGCAGCTTCCACAGCTCTCGAATTGGCAATAGCAAGATGATCAGGTCCGTCAAGATCGTGGACGTTGCGTTCGCGACCCAAGTGCCAACTTGATTGACGCAGTGACCTGGCAATTGGGGGTACCAGATCTTCTGCACCGGTACACAGATGAAAATAAACAGGAAAGTGATGGTGATTCCCCATATGATAACGAACCCGCCAACTCCGTAGGCCATACGCTTGAAGAAACTGAAGTGAAAGATTCGGTAGTACATGAGCAATACGGCGATCTTGGTCCAGCACAGATTCCATGCGTAAAGGATCTCTGCAACAAGCAGCCATTTTGCCATCATGACAATATCGTTCATGGGCACTTGACTAGCGTGAATTCCCATGCCACTGTAGTACATGGCGAATATGAACCCAACCACGCAGTAGTTCCAGAGCTACAAGAAGACAGCATGTAAGCAGCGGAAAGAAACGTAAGAGCCAGCCGTTCTGCATACCAATGAAAACAAAACCATCCCATCATCCCACCACAGCGGTGCCCGTTTGAGATATCGACTGCAGAACCTCAAAAGAACGGCGGTCGTTGCCAAAGCGGTCATGGACGCAACCACTCTGACAGTCCATGGCTGAAGGTTTTCTTCGTTCGCTCTTCTCGCAAGCGTCTGGTGAAGTGAAATCATGGCCGCGAGACGTCGGCTCTGAGCATTTTTCGACGGTAGCAGTCTCGTTAACGAAAACGACGGTGGCGACGCTGAGTGAATATATCCAGTAGCAGCTTCTTCACGGACAATATTCGCTCTCAAAGGTGAAACGCATCTGTCCAGGACCCTCGCTGGCCGCTTATTCGTTGTGCCCAGTGCAAAAGTGGAGCGTTGCCGTGAAGATCGTCTGAAATTGATGTTTAACGTACATGGCGGGCCGGGGTGCGACGAAGATCTTTTAAGAGCCGGCTCCGAGCCGAACGACAAAGCCTAGTGTGCATGCTTCGGTCATGCCTAACCACAAGTGAGAAACGAGTCATGGATTTCTTTGGCCAGGCATGCAGACGGCGTTGGTGGACTCCGTAAACGGCCGGGCTAGACAGCGTCCACCCGCTCCCGATGGACGCTATCCGAGGCGAGCTATCTAGCGCAGCTCTGCTTTGCATGGGGTCCCCCCTTATTGCGCGGAAACCGCCTTTCTTCATTACCAAATCGCGAGACAGGCTCTTTCGGTGAACTGGGCGTTTTGTTCTACTGCGCCGAACGAAGAACACCACGGTCCACCTGCGTGCATCACGTCCCTCCCCCCTTAGCGTTTGAGACGACAGAAACAAGGACCTGCAGATCGCACGAGCCATAAAGGGAGCTTGTTATCACCGTGTAGTCGGTACTTACAGTCGAGAATTTCGCGACGATCTAAATCACTCGCTTTCTTTGACATCTTGTTTTGAGGACTACTCGTTCATCCATTCGCCATGGCAGCTTCTCACACCGTCGAGGTTCCGCATCTTGGTGGAATCAAAGCTGGATATCGACTTTCTGAGCCCTTCGATCCCGCAAAGCCCACCTTCGTGCTTATCAATTCCATGTGCATGACCGTCTCCTTGTACAATGACCAATTCGATAGTAAACCCATTGCGAATGCCGTGAACTTGTTAGCTATCGAACCCTTGGGCCATGGCGCCACCAGCTGTCCCACCGAGCACTTCACCTATTGGGATTCGGCAATCATGGCCTTGCAGGTGATGGAAAAATTGGGGATAGAGAAGGCGTTTGCATTGGGGACAAGCCAGGGTGGCTGGATCGTAACTCGCATGGCCCTGCTCGCGCCCAAAAAAGTAAGCCCAAGTATATGTGTCTTTGTTGTCTGCGATCGGTACCGCAAATTTCCCACCGTGTGGCTGTATTAATGTTTACATCTTTAGATTCTCGGCCTGCTCTTGCTTGGCACCTCGTTGGACTACGAGTCTTCTGATTCTCGAACCAAAGGATGTTGGGACCCTAAGCCAATGCTAACCCCTTTTCTTGAGAAATGGTTCGTTCCGGACCCAAACTTCGTCATCGACGACGTCTGGTGCGGTATGGTAAGTAGCATGGGCTTTGCTGGCGGGGTAACTGAAGAGACAACTCAATTCTGGAACAATACTCTCAAGAGCGTTTATCAAGGCGACGCTGGTCGGAAGAAGGCAAAGATGGCACTCCTTTGTCTTTTGGAAAGGGACGGGCTGCTTGGCCGACTTCCCGACGTTGAATGTCCTGTGTACTGGCTTCAGGTTTGTTTACCAAACCTCCGCCTTGAAAGTGGTTTGCTGATTTGAGTTATTTAGGGAACCAAGGATGTGCCATACGGTACCCAGGTGCCTGGGGAGCAACTGAAGCTGTTCAAGAACTCCAGGGAAACGAAGTTACGAATCTTAGAAAACGGTGGTCACTACTTGAACGCAACAAATCCCGCTGAGGTCGAAGAGGCTTTGCTGGAGATGGCGACCAAATATAAATGATAGGAAGAGAAATAACGGGTCTATCCCTGTGTCTGAATACGAATGAATATATTGCTAAGTTCTGGCTTAAAGCATGAACTCCTGACCAACAGCCTCAAGCACGGCTCGTAATTCCTCCAGCAACTCTTCATCCGGCTTGGCTCGTCGCCCTTCAACTTCTATCGCCTTCACTACTAGTGGATATATGCGAACTAAGTGCCGCTTGCTCTGTGTTTTCAGACTTTCCGTTTCCGGAATTGCCTTGGGCTCACTGTCCAGTTCTCGTACCTTTTTCAATATGAATAGTAGCTCCTGCCTTTGACTTGAGGGAAGAGGCATATAGCGACCGCGTAAAGGATGATCAGCAATGTATAGGCGCAGGGGGATTGCTGTGCGAAGAATAAGGTAAGGCGCAGCAGCTTGCGCGAGTTTGATGTGCTCAGGGCTGGAGTCTTTCGCGGAGACCAATGAAATGAGATCGCCCAAGCACCGATAGGCCATTGTTTGTCGCTGTGTAGCTTCTGGATTGTATGTTCGTCCGAAGCGAACATGATAAAGATCCTTGAGAGGCTCACTCTCAAGGTCTAGAAATTCATCGAATTCGGGTGGGTGGATTATGGAGCTGCTGAATAAAGCTCGAGCGAACATTCGGCGTTTGGAATCTGGAATTTGGTTGGATCCAAGGGCAGGAATGATGATCTTGGTCAATCTCTGCAATGCGTCCACATCAAACTCCTCGTCTTCAAAGATCAGAGCATTTTCCGAGACTTCTTCGAGCCGAGCAGACACTATGCCCTTGCCGATTGCTATAGCCACATCCCAATATTTCTGGAACTGCTCTTCTCCCACGCCAGCAGTTCCAAGTCGTGGAATAACAATTTCGAGTATACTCAGAGCCGTGGATGTTGCTTTTTGCCACAGCACGGGTTTTTTGCCCTGTAGATCCCAAGAATACTTGAGTCGAATGGGAGTCTCCAGGGCTATCAGCAAATTTAGTAGTTCTCGTCTGAACAGTTCTTTTCTTTCAATATTCTCTGATGCAAAAACCGAAGCATGGTCCATCGACGCCTTTGCAAGGGCAATAAAAGTTGGTCGACCCTTGCCAGAAGCGTAGTCGCTAAATGGCAAGGCGATGAAACTGGTGTAAAGTGAAATGATGCAGGACGGTGCGCCATCAAGGTCTGTGCGGAGTAGACGAACTACATCCAAGACTTCTTTCTGCAGTTTTGTCATCGAGTCCTTATCACTGGTATACAGAGAGGACCCTGATGTTTGAATTATATGCCGAAGCTTGCCAACAATTCCTGTAATTACTTCAGCAGTGACTGTTTGGGCGCTGAGTCTATATATGTGACGTAGAGAACGCACATATGATTGAAAAGCATCTTGGTTTGAGTCTCCAGGAGCGTCATCTGTCGGACTGTAGCCCGCCCAAATACACGTTACCTGTTGAATACCTTGGCCTCCTATTTTCTCAGACATGTTAACTGCAGCCAAAACGGTGGTGATAGCGTCAAACACGGCTTGGTCGACCGCAAAATGCCCATGCAATAGGTAACAAGAAAGAGAGCTGGTAATTGAGGTCCAAATGGCTAAGAAATTGGGGCAGGTCGCAATGGCATCTATATAGCTGTATTTCATTAGCTTAGAAATACCTTCCAAAATGATGGTCACGTTTCCCAGGAAAAGACGCTTATATTAGAAGATGGAAAGAATATGTATATACGGAAAGTGCGTATTGACTTACGTGGAAACCAACTTTGCAACGCCTTCAAGAACCAATTTTGATGTAGCAACTCTTCCGTTTACTTCGGCAACCTCACTCCGGGAAAACTTAGTGAAAGATCTTGCGTCATTCTCGACTACTTGGAGCAATATCGATTGAAGTACAAGCTGCCAGGCGTTTGCTGACAAGTCATCGCCATGGTTGTCAAAGATTCGAATCAGTGTGGAAATCGCTCCCGTTCGTACTTCTTCACGTGAATCTCCAGCAGCTAAGGAGATGCGTGATAAGAGATGAATCCATAATGAGGGTAATGTGCTTGTACTCGCACGAGAAATTGCGCTGCTGTTGGTGGAACCAGCCACCCTCGCAAATTCATCCAAGCTTTTAACATCCAAGCGATTGTAAAGTAGATCTGAAATGTTCCAGAACAAAGTCGCCGCCTGCAGTTGTCAGCGGCTGGCGAAAATCGGGCGTCTGACTTACCGTCAAAGACATGTTCAAATCTAGGTGCTGCGCAGCAAAACGGTGGATGGTATCAATCAAAGTGAGCAGACTGGAATCAGGTACTGAACTTAAAAAATCCGAACATATGAGTTGAACAGAACCGAATGCTGATCTTCCTAAGGCTATTGTTTTCATCTCTGGGGTATTCTGAACAGAAATGTTCGAACCAGACACCTCAGCTTGAGTCGATTGAGTAAACGCTGTGCAAATGATCTCAAAAACAATGTCCCAGCCGCTGATCAGATTCTCGCCGATTTGTTCAACAATGGCTCGAAGGGTTTCCAATACGATTGAATGGACTTCGTTGCTCGTGTCATCCCTAGTTCCCGAAGTCTCGGCAAGCCCATCAAGCTCGACGCAAACATTCGATAACGCAGAGAGCGCTCTTAAGCGGATCTCATCTCGATGTTCCAGTTCCTCATCATTGACGACAGAGATAATGTCTCGCGTTAAACGGCTTAGGAGCTCCGCAGCTAGCAGACGTGCTGTGCTTGGATTCTCCGAATGTGTCGCTACTGTTCTGATGGTTGAAACAAAAAGCTGCAAGCCACTCTCTGCAGGTGGATAGTTGATGAATCTATCAATATTGGCGGTGACCAACTCTCTTATTTTCGAAAGAGCGAAAACAAAATCTTTTTCCACAGTATCCAATCTGGTCGATACACCCGCAAAACTCGAGACTCGCCTGTGCCCACCGCTCGGAGTTGGCGGTGGTGATCTTGTATCGCTGGAAGGGTCCTGCTGTGGATCCACGAAGATACACAAGGCTTTGAGGAGGTGCATAAAATTTTCATTGGGAAAATCAGCGGTGCTGTCGAACAGCCGCGAGACAGCAGCTTGGATTGCCGCTATTTCAGATGAGATGACTTGGGATTGAACTGACGAAACATCAACTTGAGACTGCGCCTGTCCTTGTAGATTAGAACGAGCATCTCGTGACATTGGCCGAAGGTTTATAGTTGAGATTATTTTATCTGCTTGTTGAAGAGTTTCAAAGATGATACTCCATGCCCCATCAAGCGTCGGTCCTAAAGCGATAGCAAGATTAAGTAGAGCACGGAGACACAACAAATTTCTTGAGCTGAGCGCGTTTTCCATGCCGTCGAGTGATGACCGACGTCCACGATCAGGCAAAAGGGTTGATGCTTGGTTGACCAAATTTTCCACATTGAGCAAGCCTGTCGCTGATCTCAGAAGGCTGGGGCTTTGTGTTGATGTCGCGGTTGTCGCAGTAAAGAGGGTCGCTACAACGTGGGCAGGAACAGCAGCCTTGCCAAGGGTAGTCAAAAAAGCATCCCTCGGCGTTGACATTCTAAGTAGACCTGCTACTTGTGCAAATTTCTGAAAAGAGCGAACAAGTGCTCGGTAGTGGTCCGAATCTAAGGCTGCGTAAAAGAAAGTGGAGCAAGTAGCGAGAATTGCGGGCCAGCACTGATCTATCAGAGCCGCCGCTGATTTGATGTCTTTGCGAGCATAGTGTGAGTCAACCTCTAAAGGGTTTACAGGGACGTTGCGTTTCTTCAATGATGGTGTTCTTTGAACGCTGTGACTTTCTGTTTCGCCACTGATTCTCGACTTTGCGAATCCGGCTTCGCCATCGGTCGGTTTCTGCTTGCTGCGTTTTTTTGATTTCCCGCTGTGTTGAACAGTCAGCGGTAGTACGAACTTTGCAAGACTATCTGAGAGATTGTTGAGACAGAGAAGCACGAGGCTATAGGGATATGTATCGGGTATTGTAGGAGGATCAGTCTTATCAAGTTGGTCTATGAATGGTGATCGAACCGAACTCCACTGATTGCTGATACCCGGTACTGCTGAGCTGCTGACTCCAGCCGTGCCTTCAACGTCTGCTCCGGTTCCAGATGTATCGCCTGATAAGTCATTTGCTGAATCTCGTTGGAAATAGTTTCCTATTGGAATTGTGGACTGCTGGCTGAGGCCAATAAGTGCTGGCTTTTCAGACGCCAAGCGGACGAAGCTGGCGGTACAAGATCGAAAAATGGGTTTTCCATTCGGCTGTTCATCGCAAATGGAGTATAGATGCAGCACCAATGATGGTTCCGTAAATATTCCTCGATAAATCTCAAGAGATATTACACGCTTCCAACTGCCTTGCGCCTCGTTCTGGTCTAGCAAGTGATTGAAGCATTCTAAAATCCGCCCACATTCTTCAGGAAACAAGTGATTATGGTTTCTCACAACCATGTATAACAGACGACTAATCCTTACAGTGACGGCGAAAGGGCGTTTCTCCTGGAAAGCATTGATAAGATAAGGAAGCAAGACGGACTTCAGCACATAGGCCAATTCTGTATGGGCAGACACCACTTCAGAATAGTTGGCCAAGATCGACTCAACGAGTTCGAGGCTGCTGGTCTCTGGTAATGGAGACAACCGAATGGTGGTAGGTTTGCCGCCTTCCGCAAGTAAACACAAATCCTGTAGTACGCGCACGGCGTCATGCGCCACGGGACGAAGCTGTGCTACGCCTTCCAAGCCTGGAGCTTCTGCTGAAATGGGTGTCTCCACTAATTTCAGGTCTTCTCGTTGGAGCTCTTCGAAGAGTGCGGAAAGAACTTGCTGGAAAGTTGCCGCAGCCGTGCTACTTACGGCTGTGGTCTTTGAACTCTGCAAAGTAGAACATGTTTGAAGCAGACTAAAAAGCAATTCGCCTCGTACGTCTTCAGCATAGTTCTGCAGTATAGTGGGCAAAATTTGCAAGATCTTCAATTGAACATCTTGCGCCAGATTACTGCAGTCTTGGATAGCATCAAGCACTTCCCTTAAACGAGTCTTGGGCAGGGCACTCAGAACAGCCAGCCGTTGCAGAGAGCTCACGCCTGTAGCAGCGAATTTGGAGTTCTTGGACCTGCATGCTGCTAAGAACGGCTCAATGAAATGGGGGCGTCGAGAGAGGTCAGCAGCTAATTGACTATCCGACGTTGTTGGCAGAGCCTTTAAATCAGAAAGTGACTTTTCGGCAGCCTACACACGAATCAATTACAGCTCTGCTCCTTTGTGAAGGTCTAAAAATTGGCGAATGTTTAAGAGGCTTGGGTTGGTAATCTCATCTCACATACCTGGCGCAAGTCCGGCAGCTTTCGTTTGCTGTCAGATATAAGACTATTCAAATCTGCAACCAGGAGCTGAGCAGACATTTTCGCAACTACTTTGCATAGTCGTCTCAAAGATCAAATATCATGATTTAAGCGAAGTTTATTGCATTCCGCATCCCAATACTTAAAGAACGCGTGTCGGGTTCTGGACAGAAGCAATGGACAGCCTATCAGCCTTGTAGCCTAAGGTGAAAAAAGCTTACATAATTGATCATACTCAATGCACCAGGTGCAATCTAATGAACGTACGGCAATTACTTCCTGCACTGTTGAGAATTTCTCCTTCGGCTTGTGGCCGTTCTCAAGAGCATAGACTAGAACTTCACTCATAAAATCGAGTACTCCTCTTCCCGGCTTCACGTGAAAAACATGGGCGCCAAAGTGCCCCGCAACTTCAGATTGCTCGAAGAGCTGGAGAAAGGCGAGAAAGGCTTGGGTGCTGGTATGTGAGAAACATGCTCATATAAATGTATCGTGGAATCTAACAAGAAACAGAGGCTTGTTCCTATGGCCTAGATGACGGTGACGACCTGCTTATGACAAACTGGAATGGCACAATTCTTGGTCCTCCTCACGTACGCTCCCCTCATCCGCTATATGAGAGTATGATCCTGAAAAAAGAGATACAGAGCGCACACGAGAACCGTATCTACAGTTTGCGAATACACTGTGGTGACAATTACCCAGACGTTCCTCCTGAAGTTACCTTTATAACTAAAATCAATCTCCCATGTGTCGACAGCAAGACCGGCAAGGTATGAGGGTTTTCTTTGGCAGTACCGCAACACGTTTATCTGTGAAATATGTCCAACTGGCCTGTGTTTATGAAAGCAGGTTAGGTAGCTTGACAGGAGGCGCCAATAACTTCCTCTTGACCATGTTCCCCACCCTCCGACTACTATGCTAGGCGGCTCTTGCTACTATATTCATTCACGTGCACAGCGAGGTTAAAGTCTAATGCACATGCTAGGTTGACCCAACAAAACTTCCGTGTCTAGTCCAGTGGAAGAGAGATTTCACAATGGAGACTATATTGATCGAGTTGCGAAGGTTTGTCTGCACTCAAATTAACACATTAGTCTTCCAACTCACGAATTAACCAGATATATGGCACTGCCCCAGCACAAGAAGCTCCCACAGCCACCAGAAGGAACCACCTTCTGATCAAGAGTTTCCTTGTCAGAATTCTGGCCGAAATGGGCTCGTGTTGTGGTGGGACATCATGCTCTACGAGTTCATGTCAGCAACTAACAGTTCATCGTGACTTTGTAACATGTGCTGAACAAGCAGATGCTCAATATTGCACACTGAGAGGCATGAGAAATGGATAGCTTCAGCACGCAACTCCTTGTAAAATGCGATAAGCCTAAGTTCTGTAGCTAATTACTACGCTGACATTCCGGATGAAGTAAAGACGATCAACCAGTGATTGTTGTCCCAACGTCTCGCGAAAGATATACATTTCGCATTCTTAGGATGGATGAAGTCAAGGTGCTGGAGCAACTCTTTTAGACCCTAGTTGACATAGGTGGGGCAAGTTTAGCCTATCGATAGAGCACAAGATGGAATGTGGCTCTAGCTTCGAAGTTCATGAAGCTTCGAGCGTGTTCATGCCATTTCCGTATTTTGTCTTCTGGCTCTGCCCACATATATACTTGCCGCAGCCATGTATCTTCTGTCACCATAACCAATAAAGCAGAATGATTTCATCGAAAGCTCGCATAGCTACTCGGCGGATAGCATCCTCCGTCTGTGTTGCGCGGACACATTCAGCAAGACTGATCGTCCCTCAAGCAAGACTCGCCTCGCCATCGATCAATGTTTTCCGGCCGTTGATCGCTCTGAGGCACTACGCCAATGGGCGACCGCATCCTCCGGGCGGTACACATCGTATGAATCTTGGGGGTGAACCTGAAAAGCCCGCCCTTGAAGAGTTCGGTGTAGATCTCACACAACGTGCACGAGATGGAAAGTTAGACCCCGTCATCGGCAGAGATTCTGAGATTCAGCGCACGATACAAGTCCTTTCACGGCGCACGAAGAATAACCCTGTGCTCATTGGCCAGGCTGGTACTGGCAAGACCGCTATTCTCGAAGGTCTAGCGCAGCGGATCGTTCGAGGTGATGTTCCGGACTCGATCAAAGATAAGCGTGTCATTTCGCTAGATCTTGGATCGTTGATTGCAGGAGCCAAGTTTAGAGGTGATTTCGAGGAACGTTTGAAAAGGGTTTTGAAAGAGGTTGAAGATGCGAAAGGAGGCGTAATTCTCTTTGTGGACGAGCTTCATACACTGCTTGGGCTGGGCAAGGCCGAGGGCAGCATTGATGCAAGTAACCTTCTCAAGCCTGCTCTTTCGCGTGGAGAGCTACAGTGCTGTGGTGCTACAACGTTGAACGAGTACAGGCAGATCGAGAAAGATGTCGCACTAGCAAGAAGGTTTCAGCCAATTCTAGTCGGTGAGCCGTCAGTGCAGGACACGATCAGCATTCTTCGTGGCATCAAGGAGAGATACGAGGTCCACCATGGAGTACGAATTACTGATGGAGCTCTCGTTGCCGCCGCTACGTATAGCAATCGCTACATCAGCGATCGCTTTCTACCAGATAAAGCCATTGATCTGATGGATGAAGCCGCATCAGCACTCCGACTTCAACAAGAGAGCAAACCAGATGCCATACAAGAGTTGGACAGGCAGATTATGACCATCCAGATCGAACTTGAGTCACTTCGGAAAGAGACTGATATTGTGAGCAAGGAGCGACGCGAAAAGCTGGAGGAGACGCTCAAGAAAAAACAAAGCGAAGCCAGTGTCCTCATGGAGAAATGGGAGAAAGAACGTCAAGAGATTGAAGAAATCAAGGAGGTAAAGGCCAAGATTGAAAAGGCCCGATTCGACCTTGAGCAAGCTCGTCGTGAAGGCGACTTTGCCAAAGCTGGTGAACTGCAGTATCAAACAATACCCGAGTTGCAGAAGAGGCTCCCTAAGGACGGCGAGCGGACATCGGATTCGCTGCTTCATGATAGTGTAACGGCCGATGATATTGCTGCGGTGGTCAGTCGCACGACTGGCATTCCCGTGACCAAGCTTATGAGTGGTGAAATCGAAAAGCTCGTCAACATGGAAGAGACGCTTCGTCAATCCATTCGAGGCCAAGACGAAGCACTGACAGCAGTTGCTAATGCTGTGCGGATGCAGCGCGCAGGCTTGAGCGGTGAAAATCGGCCACTTGCTAGTTTCATGTTCCTTGGTCCTACTGGTGTGGGAAAGACGGAGTTGTGCAAAAAGATGGCGAATTTCTTGTTCTCTACAGAGCAAGCAGTCATTAGATTCGATATGAGCGAGTTTCAGGAGAAGCACACCGTGTCGAGGTTGATCGGCTCTCCCGCTGGCTACGTCGGCTACGAAGACGCAGGCCAACTTACTGAAGCAGTCCGGCGTAAGCCCTATGCAGTCATACTTTTCGACGAATTTGAAAAGGGTCATAGGGATATATCTGCGCTGCTGCTCCAAGTTTTGGACGAAGGATTCCTCACAGACGCGCAGGGCCACAAGGTGGATTTCAGGAACACTATTATCGTCCTCACTTCGAACCTGGGCGCGGACGTCATCCTTGGTGAGGATCAGCTGCATACCAGTCACGAAGTTAGCACATCAGATGGGCAAATCGCGCCGCATATCAAGCAAAGCGTCATGGACATTGTCCATCGCTCATACCCACCCGAATTTTTGAATCGCATAGACGAATTCATCATCTTCAACCGTCTGAGCAAGACTGCGCTTAGAGATATTGTTGACATCAGGCTCAGGGAGCTGCAGAGCAGGCTAGATGATCGCAGGATCACCCTTGAGGTTCCAGACGAGGTCAAGACTTGGCTGTGCGACCGAGGCTACGACCCAAGATTCGGTGCTAGACCGTTAAACCGACTGATCAGCAAGGAGATTGGAAACAGTCTTGCTGACAGCATCATTAGGGGAAAGGTGAAGAGTGGTGATACCGCCTTGGTCAAAATAAAAGAGGACGGCAACGGCTTGGAAGTTCAGTTAAAGTGACTTAATGATTTTAATATGTGAAATCTTCTGTGTATATTACATAGGATGTGATATTGGCTCAGGATGGCTAGTCTCTCCTATCTACGAATGTATAAATAAACTCCTATTCATACGGCAGTGTTCTTCGATGATAAGCATATTAAAGTGATTGGCGTACAATTCGATGCCTAGTCTCGTCAAAAGACGAAACGTAGCTTAAAAGATCTTTTCCTCGTCTTCAACTTCGTGGAACTTTTTCCTGATCGTCCAATCGTGGACCTTTTCTCGGATTTTGGCACCAAGCGGTTTCACCAGCATCTTCGTCTGCAACTTGCCGCTGGCCAGACTGAAAATCGCCAGCCCAACGACGCTGGCGGCGAAGATTCCGGCGAACCATTTCCAGTAACTGGCGACAGTGAAGTGCGCATCAACAAACTGGCACCCGAAGTAGGCGCTCATCAAGCTGACAGGCATGAAGAGCATGGTGATCTTCGCTAACAAGAGGGTGACCTCCGTAAGTCGTTCCACTGAGAAGGCCTCTTTGATAGCGATGAGGTTGAAGTTCATCAAGACGAGTGACTCCTTCTGGTCGAGGCATTCGTTGATCTCGTTTAGGGCATACAGACGGATGCGATGCTTGAGTCTCGCAAAGCGAGCACGCGCCGCAGAGCTAATAGATACACCTAGCAAATGGTGCTCATCAAGCTGGGCCACCGTTGGCCGGAGTGTGTCCGACTGCTCCATAGACTGCAATCCGCTTATGACTTTCGAATTTTTGAGCGATGCTAGACTGGCCTCTTGTTTTTCTAAAACTCGGTCGATAATCATGTCGTAGGACTGGTAGACTCGTCTAAGAACCGCCAGTTGCCTGCCGATATGATGCAGCCTTTCAATATGTGCGAGCATGGCTCTGTTGAGCATCTGAAGACGTAGTGCATTCAATTCTCGAGCATATCTATGTTCTTTTCGTGCAATTAGACTGTACGTGTTCAACCAGTCGTCAAATAGATAATAAAAGAGCATGCCCGGAACTTCAGTGGCGCGATGTATAGCCTCTTCTTCGCTATCACCCAAACGCTTGCGAAGCGGAAGCTGCATTTGAGCCGGATCGCTGCTGCTATCTCGCGCCTTGGAAAGCTGACGGAAGGTATTGATGAGATTCCGTCGGATTATGTTGAGAGACACTTGTTGATGTTGAGTAAGCATCCCATTACGCGTGGGATATGGATCTTCGCTAATTGAGATAACAGTGCGGTCTTCACAGAGCACAAGCCAGTTCCAGACGCGTTTGCCGTATGGTCGGTCCTCGTGTGAGGGTTCGTCATCAGCTGGCTCTGTTCGACCTTTGCTCGGAACGTTATGTATGGTGTTATATCCGATACACAGATCTACAATTATCATTTAGCTAAATCCGTTGCATAGATGTTGTGATGACTTACATTTTCGCCCCCAATCCACGGAAGAGTAATGCCAAAGCTCGTTGGCAAGAAAGTATGGATTCAGATTGTCACTAAAATCCGAGCTTGTTGACGCACCACTAGAATACACCATTCCAATAAGCTCCTTAGAATTCAACCCTGGGTCAAGAATCGAATTAAGCGTGCTTGACCTGTCAAGTGGCTTTTCGTCCGAAGCTGGTGATTCAGCCGAGTTTCTCGAGCGATGGAAAAATGAGGAGAGGCTAGTTTTAGTGCTATTGGTTAGGGAACGAGGCTGTTTTAACGGTGCTGATTGCATGAATCCCAGTAAACGAGGGGTGAAGTCGTAATGCTTGGCTAGAACCTCGAGGACATCTTTTTGCTCATGAGGAAGCCAAATGTTGATCCATCGTGTATTTAGCTCTGGTGGGCGCTCCGATTTCAACAAGGAGGATATTGCTTCAGCATCCAGGTCAAAGCCACACCACGCGTGGTCGTCGTCGAAGTCGAGAACGAAATTGCGGCTCCTAGCGCTCATGACCGCCCTGGCAAGCTCATCATAGTTCTCAGGGTCATCAAAGTCTTTCATTCCTTCGCTCAGCGACCACTGGTCTAAGCCGCGATAGTATTCCGCGGGACGTGAGTTATCCATTTTGTAGAGCAGAGCTAGGCTCTAGTCTGTTTTGCCGCATACAGTGAGGGAGGTAGGAGCATTTAGGCAGTAACGGATTCTGTAGCAGATGCCTGTAGCGACAGTTGGAAACACTCAATATACGAAAAGAGAACACAGCTTCTGCAGGTCTTATGTTGAAGGAAACGTTGGACGTGCTGAAAACGAGGACTGGGTACGCGAAGCCATAAAAGCCAGACATATCGAAGTAGAAGTCACAAGGGCCAGGTTCAGCCTCAAGATGCTGCCGTGCCAGCTGCAAATCACAAGGACAATGGTACGTGATGCTGGATGTCTCAGTGTTCAGTGCATTCCGCGAAGCGCAGACATAACCGCAAGGCTTTACAATTACCCGTTGCGGCTTAGCGTCTATGCGACACTTGAAAAGGCATCTATCACAGCGCGCGGCGTGTGATGAGTCAACGAATCCAGTAGTATTGCTCGCGTTAGAGAGAAATGATAGCATCACCATCTGCGCATTTGGCTTCTTCACACGGTGACACAGGATCTTGAGTTAGAAGTCATCGAGACAGAAAATTTTTTTGACGTGATACACCGCGCCTGACCTGGTCAGCCGAGCACCCGGCCATGGAGTTCACGAGCTTGCCAAACACCGACTTCATCGTCATCCCAAAATCTTGCCGTGACGCAAGTTTATGGAGTCTTTTGGTCGAAAAATCTAAAAGGTTCCGCCTAAATTCCCTGAAAGAGTCTCCAGAAGCCTTTGCTTCCACGTATGAGAGAGAAAAGGCATTTGAAGACAGTGTTTGGGCCGATAGACTGTCCAGCCTCCGTGCAACTACAGTTGTAGGCGTTGAGAGATTCAGTGGTATGGAGGTCAAAAACAAAGACGATGATTCTGCCATGATCCGAGCACTTGTCGAATCAAGCTGGCAGTCAACGACGGTGGTGGTGGAGCCTCCGGAGGAGGCGCTTGCGAGCCTCTCAGCCTCCCGCTCACCTTGGCACGCGATCACAACCACAACGGACGCAAGCGTCGAGCCCGGCCCATCGAAGAAGATCACATTTGTTCTGAATGGCGTATACGTGGCGCCTGCCTTTCGCGAGCAGGGAATAGGGAAGGCAACTTTGCACGCGGCGGTTTCTGTGGGCCGGTCCATAGCGGCTGCACGAGGTCGACATCTGGTACACTTTCAGGTCCGTGTTGACACAGCAAACACAGCAGCATCGAGTCTCTACGAGAAAGCTGGGTTCCACGAGGTCCGTAGAGAGCATTTAAATATGGGGACCGTGGTAAGAGACGGCCTCGTGCGTCAACGTGAAGCCGTCGTCGCAGTGCTGGACCGGGTTGACTCCCTCGACGACACGTAGACAGAGAAGAAGGATTTATATGAAAACATGCTCTGGCACGTCCAGCTGCGCAGGTGTTTGGATCATTTATACGTTAGAGAGGACGGAATACGCTTTATCGATAGCTTTGCGACAATAGAGTGCAATGACAAGCTTTGCGCCGTGGTCCCAATGCTGAGAGACTGCTGCAGACGATATCGAAATCATGCCTACTCGTTGTCAACCGAGCGTTGCTAGACTGGAAGATCAATTCCCTTACAGACCGGAAGGGATACGATTCGCCGTGAACCGGACACGAACACTGTCGACCACGGAAGATGTCGCCGAGGCAGAGGCTGGCAGCCCAGATCGTGGTAAATAAGAGCCTCGTTGCCCTGCGCTGCCCCGCCATGCCGCCTGACGTCGCCCACCACTAGAGCTCCCAGCAGCAGAGATGCCCCCAACAAAAGCAACCATTCTGGGCATTGGAGCTGGTGCTGCCACAATTGCTTCATTGGCCTACCTATACAGATCGCCGTACGTGCTAAAATCGCTCACAGAAAATTTTTGACACAGTCATTGTGTCATTCGCATCTCCATTCCGTCTATACATTCCGCTGCCCTTGACGGATTTGCTGCTAACCACAAAATCAGTCGACAACAACCCGCACCCTTAGCCCCCACCAAAATGTCTCTCTCAAACAAGCTTTCGATAACGGACGTCGACGTCAAGGGGAAGAGGGTGTTAATGCGTGTTGACTTCAACGTGCCATTGGATGCCGATAAGAAGATTACCAACAATCAGCGGTAAGTTTCTGCAACCGCAGGCATGACCAGTGGGCTCACTGCGTTGGACAGCATCGTGGGTGCCCTTCCCAGCATCAAATACCTCATCGAGCATGGCGCATCTGTCGTGACTTTGATGTCACACCTTGGACGGCCAGACGGGAAAGTGAACGAGAAGTACTCGCTCAAGCCTGTCGTGCCCGAACTGGAAAAGCTTCTGGGGAGAAAGGTGATTTTCTGCAACGACTGCGTCGGTCCTGAGGTCGAAAAGACCGTCAATGAGGCAAAAGATGGACAGGTCATTCTGCTGGAGAACTTGCGATTCCACCCCGAGGAAGAAGGCAGTAGCAAAGATGCTGAAGGAAAGAAGGTCAAGGCCGATAAAGCAGCCGTCGATGCCTTCAGAAAAGGTCTCACTGCTCTCGCCGATGTGTACATCAGTAAGTCCGAGGAAATTTCAGCCTGGAACCTCCACTGATCTTGCCAAAGACGACGCGTTCGGAACTGCCCACCGAGCCCACAGCTCCATGGTCGGAATTGATGTTCCCCAGAAAGCATCCGGTTTCCTTGTCAAGAAAGAACTCGACTACTTCGCGCAGGCCCTTGAAAATCCTAAACGCCCGTTCCTCGCCATTCTCGGCGGTGCTAAGGTTTCTGATAAGATTCAACTCATCGACAATCTGCTCGGTAAGGTGGACAGCTTGATCATCTGCGGCGGAATGGCATTCACATTCAAGAAGACACTCGAAAATGTCAAGATCGGCAACAGCTTGTTCGACGAGGCGGGCAGCAAGACTGTGGCAGATCTGGTTAAGAAGGCAAAGGAAAACAACGTCAAGATTGTCCTGCCTGTGGACTACGTGACTGCGGATAAGTTCGACAAGGACGCTGCTACTGGTTATGCGACCGACGAGGAGGGCATCCCAGATGGCTGGATGGGCTTGGATTGCGGAGAGAAGAGTGTCAAGCTGTTCAAAGAGACTATTGATGAGGCACAGACCATTCTGTGGAACGGTCCTCCAGGCGTGTTCGAATTTGACAAATTTGCCAACGGCACAAAGGCTACTATGGATGCAGCGGTGGCTGCTGCTGCAAAGGGTAAGATCGTCATCATAGGTGGTGGTGACACTGCAACCGTGGCCGCCAAGTATGGCGTCGAGGACAAGCTGAGCCACGTCTCCACAGGCGGCGGTGCCTCGTTGGAGCTTCTCGAGGGCAAGGAACTGCCAGGTATTTCTGCCCTGTCCAATAAGTCGTGAATGCGAGAACTAGGACAGAAATGAAATAGATACAAACTTTGCAGGCCGATGTACTCTTCGCGTGACAGGACATACACATATATATATATACATATATAACGCTATCGTCTTTAGATTGGTAGGAATACCATCCTTTTTTTCACCTCACGATTGCCGTGTCTGTCTGCCAGTATGTCTTCTGTTGGACCTGATTTCCTCGTCTCCGACTTCGAGGCAGGATGTTGCAGTCATGGTGTTTGTTGATGCATTCATTGTCTCACGCTTTTTATGGTCTATATTCATTTTCCGGAACCGACCTTCTTCAACTCCTCTCTGATACGGGTTAGTACATCTCTCAGATTGGAGAAGATGAGGGCGTGTACTTCAGCTGCTTTGAGAAATCGTCATTCTGCTCGTCGTCGTCCCAGCTCTCTTCCCACAGGTGTAAGTTGCCGCTTGGTAACTCCGTGTCTTCTTCCGCCCAGTCTACTGTGCAGTCAGATCAAGTCCTTTAGTGGCGCAGAGTGGAAAACTCGCAGACCTTCTGCCGGAAAGTCCTCAAACTCATCGTCCTCTTCTAATGCGGCGGTGGGCTTCTTCTGTTCCGGTGCTGGCGTTTCATTCGACGTGGCCTTATTGTCCTTTGCTGCTGAAGACGACATCTTTACCGTAAAGCGTATCGCTTCTAACTCGTGCCGCTCAAAACTTTGCGCGTTGCTGTCGATGGTCGAGTTGTCGAGCCTGCTCAGAGCTGTTTCGACGATGCTCAGGTGGCTGACATAATGGAAAGTGTCAAGCCACACCTGGCCCGAAAGCGGAAAGATTTATGAGCAGGTCCGACGCTTGAAAGTCCTTCCGAGCCTTAGACGTTGACGGCTTCGTAATGACGATCCCTGCGCCTCCTCTCATGCTTCATGAGCTTTCGGCAAGCATATGTAAAGTTCGTCGGTCATGCGCGGAAGTCGGACTTCGCTCTTCACAATCCTGATCATCCTCCTTTGTATATTTGAGATATGAGTACGCGAAGCGGCACGTTTCAGACTGCACGATAAGGTAGTAGCTTGCCCTGCTGTAACCCTTAGCTAAGACGGTTTCTTGCATGGACTAGCTCCTCATACGCTGCTTACAACTCTCGATTTGTTCCTTGGCTCCAGCTGATCTCATTCAACAATCATCACGATCAGTCAAGATGTTCCGCAGCATTTTCGGGAACAGGTCTACGAGCTCGGTCTCGTCCCTGAGCGCCTTGGACGAGACCAAGGCTCTCGAAGATGCTATGTATGCCACGTCGTTCATGATGGACGACAATATAGAACGCGCCGAGGAAGAGCTCTCCAAAGGAAATTCCGTTTTCCACAAGCATGGCAAGGCTGTTGTTGTGTTCCTCCGCGCCGTTCTCGGGTTTGAGCGAGAAATCATGAAGGAGGCGCAGGAACGCATCAGCGAAGCGGAATCTGCGGCGAGTCAAGCCCAATCTCACGCCCAGAGGGACCCAACGACGTCTTCGGCTTCTGCGTATTCTGCTGGGACTGAATATGCATTGATTCTTGCGGAACTCCGTTTGATGAGCGCGATTACTGGCGTGTTAACTGAAAGTGTGACGGAAGCTATCAAGAGCTTTTATAAGCTTAGACAATCATATCTCATACTTGATGCCATCCAACAGGAAGAAAAGCGATACTTTGAAAAGACAGGTTTTTCTCCTCCCACAATCGATACAATAAGCGATACGGTGTCTAGCAGTGCTTCAACGTCCAGTCAGGATCTCGAGAAAGAGAAACAGGCTTCTTCTGAAGTTTCTTCGGACCCAGATCGCGAAGATTCCGATGTTGATTTTGTCGATGCAACGGAAGTCTGCGAGGAACCCGCGACGCAGAAGTATCTTGGAAGACTGTCAACGGATGAAGGCATTGAGAATGAACTTGACAGGGTAACGATCAAAGACTCGCCTGGTGCAGCCCTTGCGGAACTGCGGCGCCGCTCATCTACTTTTCAAGATGGTCCTGGATTGGATGCATTTGGGGACAACATCGTTGATTGTTTCATTCATTCCGGCTCGAATATGTGCTTTGGTATGATTCAGATTCTGTTATCTATGCTGCCACCAGCGTTCAGTACTCTAGTCAAGATTGCTGGCTTCAAGGGTGACCGTGTACGAGGCTTGGCTCTTCTGTGGCAAGCCAGCAAGTTCAAGAATATCAATGGTGCTTTTGCGGGTCTGGTCCTTTTAGGATACTACAATGGCTTTGTGGGGTTCTGTGATATCCTGCCCACGCGTGGGCGGGGAGCTTATCCCAAAACTCGGTGTGCAACCCTGCTGCAGAGCTTCCGCACCCAATATCCGAACGTAAGGCTCTATAACACACATTTCATGGGTTTCACTGATTTCATGCAGAGCAGATTATGGATTCTTGAGGAGTCTCGAATGTTATCGAGCAACAAGGAGCTTGAAAAAGCGATTCAACTACTTGAAGAGACCCCAGATGCAAATCTGAAGCAAGTACGTGCTTTGCAGACGTTTGAGAAGAGCTTGAGTTTTATGTCTTCGCACCAATATGAACCATGTTCAGAAGGTTTTCAGAAGTGCGTAAAGTTGAACAACTGGTCTCACGGTCTTTATTATTTCGTTGCCGGTGCTGCTTACGTTGAACAATACCGGGAAATGAAAGACGTAGACGTCGAGAAGGCGAGCACTGCCAAAGAAAAGGCAGAAGAGCTATTGAGAAAAGTTCCCGAGCATATTGGCAAACGAAAGATGATGGGTCGTCAACTACCTTTTGATGCGTTCGTGAGTCGTAAGCTGCAAAAATGGGAACAGCGAGCGACCGATTGGCACTGTGACCTTGTTGATGCAGTCGGAGTGTCACCATTAGAAGAGATGATATATTTCTGGAACGGCTATAAACGTATGTCTCCCAAGCATCTTGAAGTATCGATGAGAAGGTTAGATTGGTCGACGAGCGAAGCAAACCCATTTTCAGTACAAGAAACACTAGACGAACATTCGATCCGTCATTTGCTGAGAGCGACTGTGTTGCGAAACATGGAAAAGCGGGAACAAGCGCGAGAAGTGCTTAAAGAGGTTATGGGTCATCCACATCACGAGTTTAAAGGCGGTCTGAAAGATAATTGGACACAGCCGGCGGCACACTATGAATTGGCTGTCACCTATTGGAAAGAGTACTGTGAGAATGGTAGTACTGATGCGCTTCATGAAGCCAAAACATTGCTTGACAAGGTCGCTGCATGGGAATCTTACGATCTAGATGCTCGGTAAGTACTAGCGATGCACCTTTTGCCTAGTTGAACAGGAGCTAAGTAAGACGATTAGTATAGGTATGAGGGTTAAAACAGGCAGTGAAACCATCAGGAAGGAAATGGAGGCTATATCGACCTCGACATCCTAGACTGATAACATAGAAAGGAGGGATCCAATGCAAATTTCCGAGCATTAATCTGGGCATGCTACGCGAGTATTGCTGAGGAAAAAGGCGTACTATAGATTCTTTCTACCTGCATGTCCTTTATAAATAGAGAACCATTGTTATGTCGGATGATCTTTTTTCACATCCTTGCGATAATAACCGCTGTGCATCGAAGAGCACCATACAGTACGTCCTGGAGCTCTAGTACAGTATGCAGAGGCGGTGCAGCATGAACGAACATGTGGCTGCAGCAACTGCGCCATGCTTAGTAAAGACCAAGGATGTATCTGCAACACGCACCCTAAAAGAATATAAACGCAAACGGCATTCGGGATCAGAAATATTGCCCTCGTCGATCACATCTATTCGTTGCCTAAACTTGCTCCACTCATTTACGATGTATCTTATCAGGACCGATGGATCATACAGGCTTGATCGGATAGATCCGCGCGAGTGGTGGTCAGATTCTTTGAAGAAGTATGGGATATTATCACACACGTGGGCAAGAGACAACGCCGAGGAAGTTTCATTCCAGGACATGTCGAACTTGGCAGCTGCGAAACAGAAGTCTGGTTTCGAGAAGCTAGAAGAAACGTGCAAGAAAGCAGCCAGGGATGGGATTTCGCACATCTGGATCGACACGTGCTGCATTGACAAGAGCGGACCGCACGATCAAATACAGAGTGAAATTAACTCCATGTTCCAATACTACTCACAGGCCGAAGTGTGCTATGTGTACTTAGCAGACGTGCCTGGGAGCTGTCCTCAGTTGAGGGATGGCGATAGACTAAAGGAGACCTTCCCTAAGACGAAGTTGACGTGGAAGCAGCACATCGAGCGCAGCCGATGGTTCACACGCGGCTGGACTCTGCAAGAACTCATTGCTCCCAAGAAAGTTGAATTCTACAACCGCAGGTGGAGGTGGATTGGCTCGTTGCGCGGTGCGCTGATGGAAACGGTCTCGACCGCTACCAGAATACCGCATGGCGTGCTGAAAAAGGACCCTAGTTCCTCGCTAGAGGAATATACGATCGCGGAACGGATGGGATGGGCTGCGACAAGGAGGACAACGAAAGAAGAAGACATGGCATACTGTCTTTTGGGCATCTTCAACATCACAATGGCGACTATCCCGGGCGAAGGGCTTAGAGCCTTTGAAAGGCTCCAGCTTGAGATTCTGCGGCGATCTGCAGACCATTCCATTTTCGCGTGGAATTGGCGATCCGGCTTCAAGCGCAAACATGGCGGGAATGAGTCGCTGCTTGCACCACAGCCAGTCTATTTCCTTGCCAGCGAACCCATCGTGCCTATACGCGAAACACGGGCCAAGACGGTACGCGGCGAGCATCCGTTCGAGATGACGAATCGAGGATTAGAGATCCGGCTGCCAGTGCTGAGGGATGCGACGAAACCTGCTGGCAGCAAATCGAGGCTCGCCCTCTTGAACTGCGCCTATCTAAACAAGAAGGGAAAGAAGGAACGTATAGCCTTGCTTGTGAAGGAAATCGACGACGGCAAAGCCAGAGACAAAGCACCGGAATATGAGGTGTACTTTGAGCCGTACGGGAAGAAATCCGCCCAAGGCGAGACGGAATACACAAGGCTGATCCGAATGGCGCCAGGATCAGCGGAGCCAAATGTAAAGCAAGCGGATAGAACTATTATCTTGCTGAGTGGCTATCTATAATGGAAAGGTGAAGAGTTTCCAGCGGTCATCGCGGTGTAAAACGCCGTCGGTTCCAGAGGGGAAACAAGTAATTGTGCTTCTAGCCAGGCCGAAGCTTTCATATGGATTCTCCGGGGTGCTTGAGATTTGATATCGAGCGGATTTGTCTCTCAAACTTAAAGTGAAATGATTGGAAGGCAAGGAAGTTTCACGTGAATCAAGACTGGCTTGCGCTCTGGCCAGGGCGGCGTGCTGCCAGGACACCACCACAAAGAGACGCCAGTTCACAGTTTAGAGCTACCTGGAAGCCGTTTGCGACATATTCCAAGCAGCGAGAGACAATGTAGTCTTCGTACGATGAAAGCCATGGTGCAACGTTACGAGAAGGTGGACGAAACTTGATGTGTTGGAGCGAGCTAAGACCGTTGTAGCGGTCAATAGCACTCGATCCAGCTAGTGCGCGGTAAATATGTGGACAATAAAGGGCACCTGCCTGAGGGGTCACCGCAAATTGATGGGGTCGCTCCCGCCGCCACGCCGCCTAGGAAGCGCCTGTGCCCGTCTGCATACGCGCATTTCACTCCGCAGTGACTTTGTGACAGCACGCAATTCAACATCCTCTCTCTTCGTTGACGGGGACGAACGATGATCCTACGATTCTTCCTCTGCTGCCGCTATCTGCTTTGCTTGAACCGCTGTTGCTACGACGAGTAATCTGGACGCGACCCCGCACACCCAGACGACCTCTCGAGGCTGCGCCGATTACGCCTCAACGACCATTTGCCTAGCGGAGGAGAAGAGACGTGGAGCGCGACATGCCTTTTCGATCAGCTCCGGAGAACGCTAAGACTGCCAAACCGCTACGCTCGTCGAAAACAGACAGTAACCGCGCACAACTCTCCACTAGAAAAACGGAGATCAAGATCAATGTTTATGACCTACTCCCCCCTGGCAGGCTTTCGACTATCCTCTGGATAATAGGCTCTGGGCTATTACACTCTGGCGTGGTCATTGGCGACCGCGAATACGCATATGGCGGTCACGATCGAAAGGGGCTGACAGGTGTCTACTACACCAAGCCTCGACATCTCCCACCCGGCGGCACTTGGAGGGTGGAGATACTCCAAGGCTTTACACTTTGCAGCCCCAGCGAGCTCGAAAATGTCATACGAGAAGCTTCGGACGTTTTCCAGGGCACATCCTACAACTTGCTTACCAAGAACTGCAATCATTTCACTTCGTACCTCTGCGAGAAACTGACGGGTCGGCCTGCACCGAAGTGGTTGAACCGTGCTGCCGGCATAGGTGTTGCCCTACCTTGTGTTGTGCCACGTGACTGGATAACTCCCCCAGAGTGCGACAACATGGATGGGGATCTTCTTGAAGACGACGACGATGATGAGAGCGAGGATTTTGGCGAGAGGTCGCAAATGTTAGGGTCTGGTCAAGAGCGAAGACTGCAACGAAAAGCCTCTGCAGCTTCGGAAGAGGAATGGTATAATGAAATTGAGAGAATCGGAAGAGCCAGCATGGGAAGTGCCGATGGCTCCACTGGGCCGTCGAGAAGCAGATATATCGATGAAGAACGCGCACGCCCGGTAATATCGAAGGATTCAAATGGCAGTGACATGGCATCTTTCAATAGGGCACCATTGTCACGCACAAAGCGGTAGAGATATATTTTAAGCGAGTACTTCTTATTTTTGGAGTTGGCGTTTCGCGACTTGCGGAAAACTGCCGGAATGGCATGTATAATAAACACATGTAGTAGCTCGATGGCCGCTTGCTCTTGCTAGTTCCTTGATTCATCAGATGCGAACACATTGGGGAATAGATCTTGCTTGCGAACTACTAAGCTCGATCATCCACTCCACTGCTGAATTTGACAGCAATTCTTAAAATTATGTAATGCCGCACATGGATTCAGAGGACTCAGGCAGACCGGTTGACGCGATTTCAAGAATTCAACCATCGTTGAAATGCTCTTGCTTAAGATCATGACTCGGTGCCATGTATCATGTGTCTGTCCTGTAGCACGTCTTTTCAAGCCCTTTTGAGACAAAGTTGGATCAGTACGAGCTAGCAGGTTCACAATTCAGAGCTCCGTGCCAATACGGAATTACGAAATTCTCACTGAATAGACCGCATAAATGTACACGCTGAGTGATATGCTTCACCGTAATAGCCAAAGTTTTAGATTTGCGGAGCGAATGGAGCAAGAGGCTCAGTATGGCGGCAACAGAAGGGGCTGGAGAAGCCCGGAATCTCGTCATATATGGGTCGTGTCGCGGAAGTGCAAGCTACCGAGATATCGGCGGGTTGCTGATGCAGTTATAATCTTGTTTCGCTGAGGACAATGATTAATCGACTTTTCACAGATAGACCGACGAACATCAATCTGGCAAAACTATACTTGTGATCATGGCGTTTTAGGAGACGACAATTGCGAAGAAGTAAACTGCACATTGCTAGATGTGAGACTGATCCAATGGCCAATACAGTAAGAGAATGCTTCACGCCATGTCGTCGAGAATGTCGATGTTCGCTATGCCTTGGGCTGCACGTTGCTAGTTGCCGTCGGTAACGGGATTTCCGACGGGATTCTCTCCTGAGAAACTTAATGTAAAATAACCTGTAAGAGCTAGTGGTAGAGATGGCAATGAACTGTGTGCCGCAGTTCGGTGTCTAAGGTTGAAGCACATGCCGAGCGTGCTTGTGGTCCTTGCCCTTAAACTTGTGGCGCAAAACTAACTTAGCCAGAAGAGACGTGGTGCTCGAACCTCTGTGCCTGGCTGTCCTCGTCGACGTTTGCATGCCATTCAATCGACAGCAAACTCTCGCTGCAACGAAGGCTTCTAAGTCATCATAGGAGCCTCGAACTCAAAGAATTTCATGCGAGGCGCTTCCCAATTCTGGCATGGATTCGCGCAAATGCTGTTAAGGAGCCATGTATTGGCCGATCGGGGCCCCGAGGACATATGCTGCGACCAAGCACGAGCTGCGCAGGCAACATAAAACAGCTGTTACCAACGATGGCTTGCAAGACGTCATCGGAGAAGAGGAGCCGGAAAATGAGACAACTTCTCCCACTCGGGCTGTTGAGACTAGCAATGGCAGGGCCAGAGCGAGAAGCGAGGACACAATTCGGCCTGGGGATTTGAATGGTTCGTTCACGGACGGGGTGCCGGAAGGCATAGGAGATGCCATTGTGGACATGGCGAGTTCGCGGAACGGCCAATTGTTTGTTACGGCGACAAGCACCACCGTGTCTGTATGGCAGGCGAAACCCACAACTCTTGTGGCATCGGTTGTACGATCAACACACTCGCTGCAATCATACGGACCGAACCAACATGTCATGCTCAGACCGGACTCAGCCATCGTGGTCATACAAACCGCCATGGACTTTCTGATCACATACTCTCTTGTGATAGATCCCTCTACGCAAGTATACAAATTCACATACCCAGACCATGGCAGCGGCCATGCGCGACATAAAAGCCTAAGTGGGCAGGCTGTGCGGCAAGGCGAAGATCCGCACTGGGGGCCTGGCGAAGGTCATGGAGTGCGTGAGATCAGCATGCAGTTCAAAATGGTTATCAAGCTCGAGTCTGGCATATCCAAAGTGCTTGCCTTGGACGATGAGCTGATTGTAGCAACGAACAAGCCAGCTGCGATGCAGTGTATACTTTGGACGCCAGACAAGTCTGGCTCACAACATAGCACGCATCTGCTCAAGAACATACCGTGGATAGCGAAGGACGTCTTCGTCACTGACATGGTTTTCGATCGGCCGATGAATCTATCCACCTGGATCACGAGTGATGGCCACGCATACGCAGTTCAAAGGACAAAAGCACGTCGGAGATCGGATGGGAGTCTTGGGCAGCGAGCATTTCAAGGGTATGCTTTCCATACTCCGGACTCCGAAGCGACCAAAGCCGTGAAAGCTGCTATCAATGCTCGGTTCTCTCTCGTTACTGTGGGTTGCGCGAATGGGCAAATTTTGGTGTACAATGCAAAGGACTATACTGGAAACATAACTCTTTCACATACCGTCAAGCCACCACCTGCCGCGAGCTCGGGCCACGGCTGTCTGACATTTTTGAGCTATTCCCCGGACGGATATTGTTTGTTCGCCGGCTACGAGAGAGGATGGGCCACTTGGAGCGTATATGGCAAGCCAGGAGCATGCAGCTTTACTGCCGAGAGAACTATTTCGGAGGCGAACTCAGAGCAATGGCTTCTAGGGATCAAAGAAGGCATCTGGCTTGGCGGTGGATCGCAAATTGTGCTCCATGGGCAGGAAGACAACGAGCTGTGGATTCTCGACATGGCTCGAAGTGCAATAGTCGGCAATTTTTCGCCAGCGAATGTGTCACGGTCTCTGCTTCAGACCAATGCTGGACTCATGCTTTATCGTGGGCATGACCTTCCCACGTTAACTGCAGTTTCGACAGAGTCTGGGTTCTGGCATCATGTCGAAGTACCAATCACATATCTTGCTCGACAATGGCCAATTCGTAGTGCCGTAATTTCGAATGATGGACGTTATGTGGCTGTTGCCGGTCGACGAGGTTTGGCACACTACAGTGTTAACAGCGGAAGATGGAAGACGTTCGAAGATCAAGGCGCTGAGAACGATTTCACAGTTAGAGGAGGGATGTGCTGGCTGCAGCACGTTCTCGTTGCCGCTGTTGAAACCAGCTACGACACTTTCGAGCTCCGGGTTTACTCTAGAGAATCGACGTTAGACAACAACAACATCATGCACGTTGAGCAATTAGACTCTGCAGTTGTCATTATCGCGCCTTCAGGATCGGACTCGTTGCTTGTCTATACGTACAGCAACCTCTTACTGCACTACATAATTACCGCCAACAATTCTTCCGTGAAGCTATTGCAAGTTGGACAGATTGCATTGAACGGTATAATACGTGCACCACCGAGAGTGCGAGCACTTAGCTGGATTTTGCCTGAAGAACAACTTGAGAACGGCGATCCCTCTCAAGACGTCGCGCTTGCAACCATTTTATTCCTGGTCGACGGGAAATTAGTTTCACTACAGCCTGCTACGAAAGAGACGGGGGAGTTAAAATACGAGATGCGCATCATCGCGCAGAATGTCGAATACTACGCTTTGATGCGTGAACGACAGAACTCCAGTCCAAGTCTACAAGCCCCTGCAAATGGTGCGGCAACCATTCTCTCAAGGGAGCCAGAAGTGCCGCTATACTACCAAAACGACTTGCGAGACTCGTTGTGGATTTTTGACGGTACAGATATGCGGGTTTGGACTGATGTGCAGGACGTACTCGCGTCAGCTTCACCCGAGCTGGCGAGAGAATTACCGGAGCCTGTCAAAATTCCGGTCGACTTTTACCCATTGTCAACCGTGCTGGACAAGGGAGTGCTATTTGGTGTGGAATCTGAAATGGTGCAAAGACGTGATACCAATTTTGCGTACATTCGCAACGTGATTCGAGTAATCTATCTCTCCTCCTATTAAAATGCTCAGGTGCTAATTGGAATCTGTAGACACACCTCTTCCTACCGCAAGTACTGCGCTATCACATTGGACAGTACAACACGCCTTCTGCACTTTACCTTTCACACCGATATCAGCACTTACCGTACTTCATGCATGCCCTCGAGGTACTCCTCCACGATGTCCTCGACGAAGAGGTCGACAACCCACCTCCAGAAGACCATGCTCTTCTACCGAGTGTACTTTCCTTTTTATCCTCGTTCCCTTCATTTTTGGCTATAATTCTCCAATGCACTCGCAAAACAGAAGTACGATCCTGGAGAACGCTTTTCGCACACCTGCCGTCACCGCAGGAGCTCTTTGCCCAGAGTCTAGAGAGAGGGGATCTGAAAACAGCGGGCGGCTATCTTCTTGTGTTACACACACTTGAAGACGAGGCCGGGGCTAAGAGCAGCTCGAAACAGGTTGTCGAGCTCCTAAAGCGCGCTAAAGATGAAGGAGAGTGGGAGCTATGCAAAGAACTTGCGCGTTTCCTTCGTGCGCTGGACGAAGATGGCTCAACGCTTCAACGCGCGCTTGAAGATGTAGGTCTGGCAAGTCCGCGTAGGGATGGAATGACGCTGCGTACATCGCGACTTAGCATCAGCAGCGGCAATGTCAGGCCCAGTTCAATGAATGGTCTGACCGCCGAGGCTGAACTGTTGAACTTGCATCGCAATGTTATTGATGATGATGACAAGAGCGACAAGCAAGAATACTTCTCCTAGAGAGACTGCTCAGGCGGAGTAGCATTTTGAAGTTTGCAATCGAAGACGAAAAATTTCTCTTGATGTAGCAACCAATTCGTGTGTTTAAACTCATCCCAACGCCAAGAGGGTGACTTGCAGAGTTCCGGCGGGCAGCTGAGTTCTCAGAGATATAGGCAGATTAGCCGTTAATTCTTTACCACTCAGGTAATCTCGTTGGACTTTGTTCTTATAGTTAAGCGATAGTAAAAGCAGCTATGAAATCTCCACGGTGCATTCCGAAAAGTCATCGACTTCGGTACCATGAAGCAGCCAAGAATATATTAAGGGGCGAGAGGGTTAAACGAGGCATCAAATACGAAATTAGAGGTTCACAAGAAAGCCCGTGTGCAAAATCGATCAGTCGCCTTGGTATCAAGAGAATTTGTGGAATTGGGTATCAGCTCCAAACCGCATCAACTTTCGTTTGAGAGCCAATGCAGTGTATCTATCGTGATATCTTTCATCTGTCTGAATCACTCGCCCTTGCTCTTTCTTGTTCTAGCGCTTCCAAAGTTCTATGCTCTAGCCGTGTGTGACCTTGCTTACAGTGCCGTCGTCACCAATGTGAATGTTAAGTCTGTATAAATCGCGTAAGCCCGTCGGAACCGCGGAGTGGGGAATAGATAAGCACTCACCTATCTGGCTTGTGGTCCATGGTCATCATGTCGCCCTCTTTGACGATGCGATGCTCGGACGGCAAATCTTTCCTCGCAAACGTGATTTCGTCGTTCGTCTCGCCGATCTTCTTGCCCATCAACTTGTTCATCCAGTCGGACGTCTTGCTTCCATCCTTGGACTGCAGTCCGGGTACAACAAGAGGCATGATTGACGTTGGATTAGTCGGGCAATGAAGAGCTCTAAATTTACTGATTTTCTGCACCTTTTGATTTTTTTCGGTAGGATATTCGTATTTTTGAAGAAAGAGAAGAAGAAGAAACATGGACATGGGGCTGAGCTGGTTATAACCATGCCAGGAAAGCATACGGGTCTTTTGGGAGCTTGGGTCGATGACGTAACGGCGGTTGGCTCCGTTCGTACTAAGGAATCGTAGGCAACAGCAATAGTACTAGCAGTTTCTTTTTATCTCCCGTAGCGGCTGAAGGCTATCCCAGTCAACTCATGCTCCACTTTAGGGAGCGTCGTCTTTCGCTGTCATTGAATCGGCTGTGCTCACAGAAACAAGTGTCACGCACGAAAGTACTGACACGTCTGTACAAGGGAGCATATTGATCATTCTTGCAAACAAGAAAGTGATGCACGATGGATTGGTATGCAGCGCCGCCGTCGACGCAGATGAATCAACTGGAACTCCAGGAATTCCAGTGCTGATCAGACTTTCTTCTCAATGCGGAAGCGCAAGTCAGCGATTTCTGATCACGCTTGCTCGTCGTCTTTTGCTCTGTGACGATTCGCTAGGCTCCATATTCCTTCCCAGTTGCCTAGGATGCTTTTGAGCGGATCAGTTGATTCTTTGCACTTCTAACGTTTCGTACTATAATTTGATTCTTCCCTTCGAGTCAAGACTTGACTGCCAGTCTCCCAATATGCAGCTCTGAAAGCCGAGCTTGGAAAGCTCATCTGAGGTGTTCCGACACGCATGTTAAGAGATAGAGCATCCAGTTATGCTTCATAAATTCACTGCCATCAGACCAAAGCTAAGCGATGGCTTGGATCGAGATGGTTTTTGAGACGCACCTTTAATCTGGAGATGATTTAACTCTTGCTACATATGTACGTTAGCGAGGGCTAGAGTTGAGCGATTGTCGAGATTCAATTCCTCTTTGATACCTCAGCGTTTGAATGACGAAAGTAGGACATATGCGTTCTCATTCAGTTCGTAATATATTGAATATGTGTATATACATCATAGCATCAATCCGCTTGGCTGGTTCTGTACGATCCATACTGACAGTGTAGAAGGGTATCATCATTCGCTCATATCTTCCACGATTTTCAGGCATACCTTTTTTGAGAAAGTCCAATCCCATATACGATCTTGTGACGGCGTCAACGGATTTACGCGATATATCCTAAGCCCATGCTGTAAGAACCAAATGCCTTCTCAAACCTCCGGCGTCGGTGTTCGCTTCGTTCTGAACCCCAAGATCGATGTCGTCGGAGTACCGTTGATTTCGTATACAGCCGCAACAGAACCGTCAGGAAGCTGAGTAAACGTCGCGTCCGAGATTACCTGCGGTGTCCTCTTTGCGTGTCCAAGCACCGATGTTGTTGGCGTGCCATCGATCTTATAGACTGCAGCAACTGAGCCGTCTGGTAACTGGGTGAACGTAGCGTCCGAAATAACCTGTGGTGTTCTTTTCGCAAACCCAAGTACTGATGTCGTAGGTGTGCCATTGATGTCGTAGACTGCGGCTACTGACCCATCTGGAAGCTGAGTAAATGTCGCGTCTGAGATTACCTGCGGTGTCCTCTTTGCGTGTCCAAGCACCGATGTTGTTGGCGTGCCATCGATCTTATAGACCGCAGCTACTGAGCCGTCTGGCAGCTGAGTGAACGTAGCGTCCGAAATGACCTGCGGCGTCCTTTTCGCAAAACCAAGCACTGACGTGGTCGGCGTGCCGTTGATGTCGTATACCGCAGCGACCGAGCCATCTGCTAATTGAGCGAATGTCGCGTCGGAAATCACCTGAGGCGTCCTCTTGGCGAAGCTTAGGACGGATGTTGTTGGGGTACCGTCGATTTCGTAAACAGCAGCAACCGAGCCATTTGGCAGCTGGGTAAAAAAAGCGTCCGTGATTTCTTGGGGACTACGTTGAACAGGAGTTCCTGAACAGCATCAGCATGAATGAAATGGAGAGCTTCCGTGGAAGAGTTTACCTGGGATGGCGACGGCTAGCTCAGCGAGCACCGAGGCAAAGAAGATAGAGGCACGCATAGCCACTTGTAGGAAAGAAACTAGATCGTGTACGTGGATTGGTTGATCGACTTGATCAGACAGATGTTTGGAGATAAGATCTGTTTCGTTTTCTCAAAACAATTGCGGCTCCTGCAGGTACAAATACTGTCGCTTCTGAATCGTCCCGAAGATCCCAATCTTCACATATATACTCCACCTAGCACAGACGCAGATGGGAAAGATGCGCAGCAAGGAACGCAAGAGACGGCCCACAAGCCGAAGTAGACCTTCCCTACTAGAGCGGAATGACACTCTTGGGCAGGTGTTGGCACATGTCACCTTACAAATCTGATTCGGACTGCCGGGTGCGAACTGCCGAGCGACGTGATCGCTGGCACAAAGAGCTCGCGATTCAGGATTCGAGTCGCGGCTGACTCGATTTCACGACTGATTTGCGAGCCAATAAATGCCCGAATCACGGAGACTCAGGGCAAAGCCCCGCTGTGATTTGTCGCAGATCAAGATGCAAGGCTGAGCCCATTACGCAGGGCTTCGACTCGGCAGCCGTCATACTCGCCGCTCTCAATCCTGTGTGAACTTTGACACAGTTGCTGTCGGCTCCCTGCTTGCACGGACGGAGAGCCGGCGACAACGTGGCTCGCATCTGTCCGCGTCCTAAGTGGCCATTCATCATTGTGTCCAGAGTACGTTGTGTGAGATCATTGCAAAGTGCGAAATATGATGAGGCAGCCAAGGCCTGAGCGATTGCGTATGCACTCGCTTGGCTCTCTGCAAACTCTTGGCCCTCAATGGCTACTCAGTCTTTGCTCGAGCACGCTACGAAATTTAATTCTTGTCATGAATTTGCTTGGCTCATTGCAGGATGCTGACATGAAGCCAGTTCCGCCAAAGTCAATTATTGAAAGGGTCATAGTTCGCGAGCCAAGGCCTTTTATGAAGCAACGACAGCATTCAAGAGGGTGACAACGAGACGAATGAATGATGTGGAATGACTTTGACTTTCAACTTCGGTATGTTCGTGGCTTTTGTTTTGTTTCGACCAACCGTCTAGTGCCTGTCAACAGAGCTTGTTGTGCGAACTATCAGCAAGAGCAGCAGCAGCATCGTCATCGTCACGCATGCATACACTTGCAGACGAGGCTCCTCTCTAGATTCGCCTGTCTACTACCTCATAACTCATGAACCCATATCAACCATGCGTGTTCTCATCATCAGAGGATTGAAGCTGTCTGAAGCTCGCTTGCTCACAATTTCTGCATGGCAGCGATATCAGTGGACTGCACGTGTTCCTCGTCCTCGGCAATCTGCTCCTGGAGCTCATCAAGCGACACCTTCTCATCCTCGACAACCAAGTTGATCTGAAGCTTGCTAACGCCATATCCGACTGGGACGAGTTTGGAGGCACCCCAAACGAGACCGTCCTTCTCAATAGCGCGGACATTGGCCTCTAGCTGCTTCATGTCGGTCTCATCATCTAATGACATGTGTGAGTTATCACCGCCGCAGATTCATTCGCGTGGACACATACCCCAAGGCTTCACATCAAGAGTAACAATGGACTTGGCTGCAGGCTTGGCCTTTCCAGCCTTCTTCCTGTTGTACTCAGCCAAACGTTCCTCGCGGATCCTGGCAGCTTCTGCGTCCTCCTCTTCGTCATCGGAACCGAAGAGATCAACTTCCTCCTCCTCTTCCTCCTTCTCTGGAGCCTTAGTGGATATCGGAAGCTCTGACACCTCTGGGCCGTAGGCAGTGTACTCCTTGGATGGGTCACCCGGCAGCGAGGAGAACTCAGACTCAAAGCTGCTGATGTGTTTGTACCAACGGAAGGCGTATGGGTACTTCTCGGCAGCTGGCTGGCTCTTGATGGCCTGGAAAGTCTTGACGTCGGCCTGGGTTGGGTTGTGGCTTTGAACATGTTAGCAATAGATAACACCGTGAAAGTCGTACTGCCAAAAGATATGATGTGCAAGAATAATCAGAAGTGCGTAAAACGCTTTGGATGGAGTCATACGGCGGGGTCTTACGCCGCCTCTTAAACACGGACCAAATGTTCTTCATCATTTTGCACAAAAGCTATGTGAGTTGATATATTAGTAAGGAGAGGTCACTATACATACCCAACAATGTAACTCCTGGTCTTGAGCCAGTTGTTGAGGACTACAGAGCTTTTTAGTGTGTTGCCAAACTTTGCGACGACGTGAAGAAGCACGTACTGGTCAGCCCAGCATCGGAGACGAGATCCGTGAAGCCCATGGCTGCAGGTTTTGCGTTAAAAAAATGGCCTCAAGTAGAAAAGAAAGAAAAAGGGTTGGGTATCAGGAGAGAATTGTGAGAAGCTGTGTGTTTTGCGATCCAGACCCGCCAAAGAAAAAATGCGTGTTCCACTAGAGGGATTATTACAGCCTTGTGGCCTAAAGTTCACAGGCCATTGGTGCAAGGCATCAAAATGCCAAGAGCCACACCGAAATATTGATTGCAGAATTTCGACACCAAAGAAAAGTACGCACGAGACGTCAACTTTCCGCACGACAATTTACCGCACAACTCCGCCATTTTCTAAAGACGTGAAAAGATGTCGACCGGAAAAGTCAAGGCTGCCCAGCTGTGGGGCAAGAACAAGGACGAGCTGCGCAAGCAGCTCGACGAGTTGAAGCAGGAATTGGTGCAGCTGCGCACACAGAAGATCGCTGGTGGTGCCTCGTCCAAGCTCAACAAGATGTATGGATTTTGTCCCCAATGGAGACCGTAACGAGCGGGTCAGAATAACAAGGTAATGCTAACAATTGAGCTGTGCAGCCATGATGTGCGCAAGTCCATCGCCAGGACTCTGACCGTTATCACTGCCAACCAGCGCCAACAACTCCGCCTCTTCTACAAGAACAAGAAATACGTCCCGCTCGACCTCCGACCTAAGCAGACGCGTGCTATGCGCCGCCGGTTAACGAAGTACGAGGCCGGTCTCATCACCGAGAAGCAGAAGAAGAAGCAGTCGCAGTTCCCACAGCGGGTGTACGCCGTGAAGGTATGACGGTGCTGACCTCTTCCCATCCACTGTACCTGATTTGTGGTGCAATGTCGGATCTGACAATGAATTGCAGGCCTCGGCATAAAAAGTTACTCACTTGCACATCACACGGCATGGGTCACGCATGGAGTCTAGGCAAATGACATATTTTCTTCCAAAGGCGGCATAGCATAAGTCGAGTAGACGACAACAACTACCCAGCGTTGTCCGCTACTGAGAGTCGATCCGGTTCAGCGGTGTACTTTAGTCACAATAAAAGGGGCTTGTCCGGTCGAGTTGGGATGGTGGATAGACAAGCATCGCTATGCGAGATGAATAGCACGCTTTCTTCCTATTCGCAAAATCCAAATTTCTCGTAGTGTCATATTTTCCGACGTAAAAAATATCCTTAAAAGCTTATCTGTGTGCCTTCAGTAATCAAGACAAAGACCAGCTTGGTGATCAGCTCTTCAACGTTTAGGGGTAGTTCAAGAGTCACATTTATCAGACTTCAACATATGCATCATACGCATACGTCACTATGGTGGATGTGTTTTTGGTATTGTTAGCTTTGATGCATTTCTTCATCGTGTCAAGCTCAAGTTTCCAGAAGCTTGCCCATCCACCGAAACTCCCACGCATTCTCGTCAATCGCATCATACGGATTGTCCCGTGCACGTTGTAAACTATCCGCCTCAACATCAATCGCCTCGAACCAGTCCCTGACGACCTCGTTTTCATCCTGCACCTTGATTTTGCCACCACGCACTGTATATTCAGGCAGGACCTTTCTCAATCGCAACATGCTGGAAAGCAAGTCACTAAATCGCTCACCCTGTTGCCAGTAGTGATTTGGAGAATTTTCCAACGGCCAGGCATCTGCGCCGTATAATTCGTCCTTCCTCGTTCCATTGGAGGACGCATCGACAAGGTGGTCATAGCCCTTGTACATGTAGCTCACCATTTCGACACAGCGGAGCAAGATTGTTGTGCCTAAGAACGTCTCAAAATTATCGGCCTGCCTACGCTGAATGAGCGACTTCTCAAGTTCCGTCATGATGGCTTTGAAGTGTGTGTCGCATGCTCGTTCAAGCTTTCGCCGCAGCTGGATGTAGATGTAGTGCGTGCCTGTGCTCCTTTGCGTAGCGTTGTGCGCCAAATCCACAGGCAAGTTCGAAGGTGGGAGATGTGGCTCATGCGTTGCGATAAGATCTTGTCGTGGTTTTGTCAGGAATGTCACACAGATCCATAGGTCAAGGGCGCGAGCGATGAGTACGCAGTTCTGCATAACCATCGCCTGCCTGATAGCGTGCGACATAAAATGAGACATATTTGTAAACATCATGTGTCCATCGACTGTGTCGAAGTGCGTTGAGAGCGCTCTATGTCCGTAATGATGAATCTTATTTTCAAACGTTGATCCAATTCCCACGCCTTCGTCATCATTGTCAATGATATCCCGCGACTGACCTTCGTCATCATTTGACGCCCGAAGGCCGGCGAAGGTCATAAAAAGGCTGTCATTGGGGAAATAGCTTATTTCTAATCTCCCAGGTAGGTTCGTAAACGTAGTTGTTCTCCGTAGTTGCTCGGTTGTCTTGTGAGCGATATTCATAAAAAGGGTTGAGCTGAACACGTTAAAGATTTGCGAGAGACGTATGCGTAAACATTGACCTTTCCACATGCGAGCATTCTCGAGTTTCGCACATTCTTTGCAAGGATCGTCAGAGTCGCACGCCTTTTTCAGCATACGGCAGCGAAGGCAGGCTCCCTTCTTGCGAACCTCCTTAACAGCGGCTCGACGATCTAATGCAAACGCGCCACGGACTTTTTTGGGTACAGCAGGCGTTTTCCCCCCAGGATGCCATATTTGAAATTGAGCCTGTGCGTCGAAGACATGTTGCGTTTGAAAGGCAGGCGCGTCTATCCCACTGGCTGGAGGCATTGAGGAGACTGGTAAATCCATATCGTGATCGGTATGGATATCTCCATCAGCAACATATCCAGCGACCAATTTCATGTGGTCGTGATCATCGCAGCTTTGGGAATCTTGCGTGCCGCTCAACAAAGGGTCTAAGGTGCGATGCGTGCTCTCTGTGGACTTATCTTTCGATGAAGGAGACTTATGGTGACGACTATAATGCTCATCTACGATGGGTGCTTGACCATGACCGTAGTCGACAAGGTCATCTGCTGCTCCAGGGCTATCTCCCGCGCTGTCTATTACGTGCGCTGGTCCATGACGAGAATAGTTCACACCGATAATGGGAGCCTCTCCATGGCTATAATCGACAAGCGCGTCGTCATTGTCGATGGTTCGTTCCAAATAGTTTGTCCGAGGTGGCACCAAAGCTCGCAATGCTGCAATTCGAAGTTCATCAGAATGTTCAACATCCTGTCTGACGGTAGTGGGTATCAATAATGAATTTGAAGCGGATGTGGTGTGAAATGGTAATGTGTTCGAAGCACGAGCAAGCAAATTCTGGTTGTTCACGTCACTGCGACCCATGAAATCGGATGATTGCGCGATAAGGTCGTTTTGCAATGACTGCTGGCCATGATGCCGAGATACTTCAGCCAACGCTTCCAGACCTGAGAGTTCAGGTAATGCATGGGGTAGTTCTGAAGAAATAATTGTCGTTTTCGTCTTTGCTGCTTGTTTCTTTGCAGAAACTTCAGCGAGAAATCGCTCTCGCTCCTGAGAATTCACGCCTCGACAACTCTTTGCAACATGGGCAATAAGGGCTTCTTGTCTGCCCTTTTCGAACTACATCGAATTTTAGCAGGCTATCTTGGACCATCCACCTGGGATGTAAGGCACACCTTCTCACCGCAGCGTCTGCATGTTTGTTGATATCTGTTACTATTGTCATTTAGTTTGGGCCCACGCTCAAAGAAATGCCTGATTGCTTGATTAGGCTTTCTTCCCATTTGTAGAAGATAGATAATATCATGCCGTTGGCGGTGGAGGAAGCGGTTACAGATCTCGCGGCAGAATTTGCTGTGAGCCTTGACAAAAACGAACTCGCTGTTTTGAGTCCAGCATACGATCTTGTGTCCTACGTCCTCTCTTTTCGACCAGCTGTTTCTCTCCCATCCCCATCCACACCCGCGCAAAACCACCTTGAGGTGCTTTATCAGCGCGAGTACAATGGGTTTGTTTTCCAAAGCTCTCAACGTAATAGGGCTTTTGCTCCTCACACATGCGTTCGTCATCTACGTAAGCCGCCTATTATACAGCGTGTCTAATTGACCCACAGCGTGTATTCGTCATACGAGCATTCCGTAACACATTCGACACCTTCCAGCACATCAGAGTCTCTGTACATTTTGCCCACCGATATCGTACTCGAAACTCTATTCAGCACCACGTTGCTTTGCGTTGGCATTGTGTTAGGCTCGCCTTCGTTACGGCCGATTGAATGGAACAAATGGGCGAAGGAGGTGACGCTCGACGACAGACGGCCGCCAGGCAAGAGGAAATTCGAAAGGCAGGGCGACGGTACAACTGTTGGCAACCCATTCCGATTCCTTGAAGACGGCGAAAGGAGAGGTTTCGCGGATGTGATGGGTCAAAGGAAGGAGTTTGCAAAATGGGTCCGAGAAGGAAGCAAAGCGGAAGCGTCATGATATGAGGACCCTAACTCCTTATTTCAACCGGTACGTCTTGGATGTACTCTGGAATACGTGAATGAAGTGCTAGAATTGGAATAAAAGGAACCAACACGTTGATTTGAACTTTTGCCTAATCTGACAGTCAATTTAGATTCAGTCTTTGCGCTTCACATGAGTCTCCCTCTCAGTAAATTAGTACGTATGACATTCTGTAACCCATTCGACGCCGATCCATGTACGCAGCCATTCCTCAAGTCTCCATCTAGCCTGTGGATCCGCGTATGAACACGGGCACTGGGCATGCCTCTGGCCGCTTGAACTCCTTTGTTTGCTCTTCAATTTCTGCGTCGGAAAGAGGCTCTTCTTGAAATCCCTCGCCAAATTTCCCGTCCACATCGACCCCACCGATCCACCAACATGCCGCTGCAACGATTTTGCGCACAATTTCCGTTTCTTCTTCGGTTCTTGGCGCATATACCATAACGAAGCCTTGAGGCACGAAGCGTGCAAGCCATCCTCCGCTGCTCAGCGGATGTCTCTCACCCCAGCCACGTAGAACAACAATGGCAGCATCTGCAGGATGGAGTGTGAGGTGCATAGAGCCATCGCTGGGGTGTGCATGGCATATCTCACCACTGCAATGCCTTGACTTGTTTATGGGTTGGAGAGCGAAGAGACCTGGTCCATGCTTTTCAAGGCAAGAAGTTCCGTGGCGTAGCCTTCGTGGCCATCGATCACCCATCCCCTCAATCTCTTTCCTCAATTTCGCAAAAATCTGGCTAGATGGTCTCTGGTCCAATTGTCGGTGGGGTGCTATTCCTCGAACGACAGGTCGACTGCCTTTGCGTTTGGGCAATTCTTTCTTAGTCAGATAAGCAACTCTATTCAGATAGATCTCTGGAGGGATTGCTGGTGGCATGTACGGATCGTGAATTGCGAACAGTCCCAGGAACTTAATTTTCAGATAGCCCAACCACGTCGACGGTGTGCCACCCGGGCCCAGTGACTTGAATCTAAGATAGTCTTGATGGATCAGGTATGCACTCGCAGTGACTGCGGTCATCAATGCGAAGGATATACAGACCGACATATATCGAGAAAAGATCTGATCCTGCATTGTGATATCTCCAACGATTGAGCCCGAAAGCATGGCGGCAGCAAAATTCAGTGTCTCCATGCTTTCCTGGCTTTCAACTAAGACGAGATCGCCTAGAATTTTGTCAGACTATTTCTCAGTCAAAACTCGGTAAGCCTCACGAATGGCTAGCCTTCAAAGTATTTATTGAACATCTAGGAGCAAATGCAAGGCAAAGGTACAGCTTAATGAAACAACTTTTTAATATATTATAGCTGAATATTGAGTTTCAATACAAGGTTGATAATTCAGAGATATGAGTTCAGAGCTGAGAGGGAGACATGAAGCATTTTGTAGGTCACGTTGACAAGCATCGTGACTCCTACGCCGCACTCAGCAACTGCTGGACCGCAGGTAAGCATCTCATGGAATACGGAATTTTGTCGCTAGCCAGTCAATTCTACCGTCGGAACTACGGTTCACTTCCAGGACATGCAGGTCCTTTGATCTGAGAGTTCAATCACAAAACGCAAGGGTTCGTGGAGAGCTGCGATTGGCGCTGACCATGCGTCAGTGGGGTTCCCAGGACGGTGTGGTCTGTCTCCAAGCTTCGTCGTGCCTGACTTATTCGTATCCAGCCTTTACAGCTAAGTGACTATCACAAGTCTCGAACTGCTGGACAAGACCTAGGGCAGAGGGGAGGGGATTGTGTTGTGACGTCGTTGGCTGTAAGGTGATCGCACATGAAAAAACTAAACCGTTGTTGTCCTTTGCCCAGCGTATTCAACTCCTCAGAAACCAGCGGTCAGCGTCTACACAGCTAAAGAACGAATCGGCGATTGAGAATTGCGGATTGCGGAGCTAAAGGAACAACTGTTGCATGTATTGAATGACCCCCCAGTGAGTGGACTAGTCAGTTCTCATGGGAGGGGCTGTGGTTGGCGAAGCGCGTGACAGGAAGATCTTGGCCGATAAGCGTCCAGCAGCTGAATACATCTCTTGGAACGCAAGCTTCGGTGATGGATGGTTTGGGACGACCTTCTCATCAAGCATCAAAATGCTGATACGGAGTACATGTGTGGGTTTACTCCTAACATTCGCCTCTACGGCCAGTCTACTAGTGATGCATACTCATTGCATCACTTTCGTAAGACGGCCGGCTATGTTCAAATCATCATGCATAACATCGCAAAGGAGCCGCCGTTAGGGGGGGCCCGCTCTCACAATAGTTGATTCGTTGTGACGTAGTTATTCAAACGAGCGGCCGTGAAAGGAGGCTTGGGGCTATTCACTTAGAACAGAAGAGGTATAGTGTTTTTTTCTGAGCCTTTTCCGCCAAACACGTACGGATCGATCAAAAACTAACTTCCTGGCATCTTTTCTTTTTTCTCATCGGTATTGCATTGCTGAACAACGTTTGATTCGAGATGGCGCCTTTCCTTCCCAAGCAGAAATATAGCACGTCCTCGGATTGTCCAAAATTTCTCCAGACACGTATTATGAATAGCGAAAAGAGTCGATATTTCACTACAACCTATCAATCCTTGTCCTATAAATGATCCGCTGATTACTTGTGATGTCAAAGGCTTGAAGCTGTGTCAGCCATGCAATGCTATAAAATTAGCCTGAAGATTTCAATCGTGATATACAGCCGAGCCCAGGGCCGAGTGAAACACTTTCGCAAGGAGCTCTCCACATAGCACTATCTATCGTAAGCACCGGGGCCCAACTAAATTGGCGTGGAGAAGATACAGTAAGTGCCAAATGCTTTACAGGAATCATGTTTCTCCTTGCAAAGATGTGCAATCATGCACACCATATAACGATGTAGTAGTGTGAACAGTCCGTAATCCAAATTGTAACACCTGCCCACTCAGGACCTGCAAGTTTTTGTCATAAATTTGCAGAAAGCGTTGCTGAGAAGATTTCCCGGACAGGGAACCGCTGTGCGGCGAGATCTACACAAAGACCTTCGTTGGGGGAGAGATCGTCTGGATCATGTACTATAAGGCCTGGTAAATATAGTCGCCATCGGGACTGGGCCGTCCGCCAGTTCAACGACGAAATTTCCAAGCTAAATCTTGATTTTTGATTGATCGAAATAGATTTGTGCCGGTTTGAGTCCGAATCGTTGGGTATAATCGCCCGTCAAAGTCACGCGGCAGGTTCTCTTACAATCTAGACGCACAAAAACATCACAGTGATGCAGGTGCAGATCATTCGGAGCCAGCTCCGGAGGAGACATCTCTGACTGGATGTGCTGTTCAGCTGCAGGCTTGCGTGATGAACCGCACGCGCGTTATCGGGGTTTGCCTTCAATGGGTGTGAAAGCTTTGCGTTCCGTAGCATTCTAATTTACTTTTCGGTTGTACACGGCTGATCATCTCAGAATTGTAGAACATAACATCGCAAAGACGACTATCATGGAAGGTCGCTACGCTCGGGTTTTACCGGCGTCATCACCAACGCTAACATCGTCATATCGAAGGTCCTCTGAAGAAATAACGCCCAAGAAGCGATCGGCCGTGATTGCTGCCTGTGATTCCTGTCGACACAAGAAAATCAGAGTAAGGATGAACTTGTTTTCACAGTCAAGTGTTTCGTCTCGTAGCTGATCGCGTCGATAGTGTGATGGCAAACGCCCTGAGTGCGCCTCGTGTGTTCGACATAGAATAGATTGTCGTTATGCAACAGTCAAGGGCGAGAGTCGATCAGCAGCCTTGAAGAGAAAGTACAATGACTACGAGCAGGAAAATAGTCAGCTGAAGCAGGTCTTGGAGGCTATGCGCACGAAGCCTTACAAGGAAGCGATTGCGATCCTGAACCTGGTGCGGTCAACGTCCCACCTCATGGAGGTGCTTGACCATATTACCTCTCTCGACTTGACCTCCTTCACACAAGACGACCTATCGCTTGACGATAGGCATTCTGTAGCCCAAGAAGGCAAGGCCCAAGAGTTGCAAGGTCGAGGCACAACGCGACCATGGGAGCTTTCAGCCTAAAGGCGGACTCACTCAGTATCTCAGCAAGTCTGTGATCCAAATGCCAGTTCTAGGAATACTTTTACTACACGTTCCTACCGTGACTGTCCAAAACCAGGCAAAGATACTCTTCCGCAGTGCTCGGTAACGACAAGGAATTTCGGATAGCAGGACTTTCGAAATCATAATTAAGCTGTTAGAAGGACGAGTTTATGATCATTCAAGATAATCCAATATATTTTCATCATTTGTATTGTAAAGGGAAACTGTGAGTTTAGGATTAGAATTGTAGTTTATGTGTTTGCCGAGTGCCGACCAAATACGTCGATCGTGGAGCACCATTCTGACACCTGGGCATTCGCAAGAATACATGTTAAACAACTAATTTCCGCCGAACTCCATCAAAAACTAGTCAAGAGGTGAATATTTTTTAATCCTAGCAGCTCGAACATTCGGGCTCGAGGCTCATAAGATTTGTCAGTTCTTTCAATAACTCCGCCCTGAATGTGGGCACGAGATCCAGCTGCGTAAAGGCTGGTGAGTGAGATTTTCGTGCCAGCTAACCGTTATGTCTGTTAAAATTCTCCACGGCTTGGTAACGATCAAACAGCTTTATCATCTCTTTGATGTTCAGAATTTAGTCTAAAAATCTAGAGGTGATCAAATCATGCTTGTTGGCATTTCGAATGCGATTGAACCGCGGATGCGGGGATAGCCATTCAACATGCGAAAGACGACGATAATGCTGATTTGATAGCAAACGATTCAAATGTCCGTGCCTGATGATCACGAGCTCGCAAAACATTAACGTAGAATATGACCACCAGGAGTCCTCTTGTCACGATAAATCGAGTGGCTTTCTTCTTTTACAGTATGTGATCCCAATGTATTTCAAACCCAAGTAGACCTGCTTTTTTCTGCATCTTTGCTATGATTCGACTGAAGTTCATCTTGATTTATTGGTGGCTCTAACTAAGAAGTTGAGTGTTTCCAGGAAGTCAGCATAGCCGAGGTGGCTATATACAGGTAAAGAAACCAGGCGCAAATTTGAAGGTGCATACCTTTCGAAACAATGACATGAAAGAAGAAAAAGATATATGAAACAGCTGATCGAAGAACAAAGTCTTGAGTCCAAAGTAGCCCCTCGTTTGCACTAGTCATTCATAATCACAGTCATCATCACACTTGATCTGTATCCACGGAATGGAAAGCTATCTTCGGTATGATGACAGAAAAACGGGCAATCGAAAATTCAAGGCACCAAAGTTCTTCGCTTTGGTGAAGTCTTTGACTTCTGTCTTGTCGTGGATGTTCTAGAGGATCATGGCTTCGTCGACTCTGTTATGGATACCTTATTGTATGTTACATGAGCCACGCAACAGTGGTCGACCGGCTTAGTACCTTCAACATAACCAAAATTTCACCGCTCATCTACGTAATAAACCTAGGCCAGTCAAGCAATTGTGATTAGCTTAGTTGTGTAGTTAGACGTTCAAGCATGAGTCCGGTGACGTTGTAGATGCGCGAAAGGCGTCCTAGATTAAGATCACGCAGGTACAAACTAATACTCGAGAAAAAGAAAAAAGTACCCAAACCCTGCTTGTGATGAATCGCTGATCAAATCACGTTCACGGTGAAGCCCAAGTTTGTTCCAATAAAAATTGTCAGAGGCAAGATTTGTTTGAGCCCGCCAGTCCTTGTGGATTGACTATTGGTAGCAGTGCGGAGGCATGACTGGTACGCCCTTCTAATGTTAGGGTTCACTCAAAAAGCAATTGACTTTACCATAGTGTCGCCAATCGCTTGATAAGTTGATAACACATTCGTCTGGCGTATCCGTATACACTAACCCACAATTTGAAGTTCAATAGGGAAAGTCCACGCGGTCCTTCGTGGATCCCGGAGATCGCTTTTGGAAAATAGAACGCACTCATTGGCTCATACCTTACATGCTATGATCAAGCTCACGCTACGCCGAACCAAGATCTTAGGACTGGTTTCCTCTGGCAGATGTGGAAGTTATGCTAGCGCAACCAGGTCGTCCATTGTTGTGAGTCAGCAGTATGCCTGCGAGGTCATTATCCCTTGAAGGATAAATACGAAGCTGAATGACTTTGGAACATAGTCAAAGCCGTCATAAGTAACGAACGTAAAAAATGGAAAACGCCGGCTACGAAAGAGATGCTCGATCCACGGTCGTCCGATTGAAAGAACGAGGTTAGAAAGTCGACAACATTTCTTTAGTTGAGCTTAACGTTATATAGGGCAGTACGACTATGCCACGATACATCGACTCATCGACACGACGGCAGTGTTGCATGTATCTTTCCCCCCATCTGGCGATGATCCTTTTCCAGCGATCTTGCCGATGCTGGGTTGCACAGGTGTATTTGATCCGGACGGAAAGAAGCCGGAACCGCACGCAGCCGCACCAGGCTCGTTCCCAGAAGACGAGGACGAGGAAGACTATTCGACGGGCCCTCGTTGCATTTACTTGCACGGCCACGCAGCGTCTCGCTTGTTCAAAGCTCCTTTGCCGGACAGACTACCCGTTTGCGTTGCAGCAACTACCATGCAAGGTGTTGTGCTTGCCTTGACTCCGTTCCATAACAGTTGCAATTATGCAAGTGCAGTCGTACATGGCTACGCATCAGTTGTGACAAACGAAGCGGAGAGAATGTATGCCTTGACGCGTATTACAGACAATCTCGTGGTACGTCTTAGTGCGGTGTCCTTAAATTCATATTTAGGAACGAGAACAATGAAGCCCTCTATTTCACGAGGGCGTTCCTTATTCACCTAGACTGACACAAGACTAGGCACATCGATGGGATAACAGTAGGAACCCGCCAACCAAGGCGGAGATGACCACCACCGGCGTGCTGAGAATCGATATTGTCAGCGCAAGTGCAAAAGTACGAGTCGGTGGGCCAGGAGACGACAGGCACGACATGAAGAACGAGTCTGTCATCAACAATGTGTGGACCGGCGTTGTACCGACTTACACAGTATACGGGGAGCCAATTCCCAGTGATTACAACAGAGTAGGGAAAGTCCCTAGCTATATGAAGCATTGGATTGAGCGTGAGAACATGCGAAGCAAAGAGGAAGCGCTCTCTGCGGTTGCCAAGGATAAGAAGTGAAATTTGAAGCTAATAGTCATAGAAGGACGTCGATAGAACGATTTGCTACCAATCTGCAAGTGATAGACAATTTCTTCGCTCGCTTTTTTTTCATCTATGAAGAAAGTGTAAGCTTCATTTAAGGTGCAGATTAACAACCGATGCAAATATATATCGCACACAGTATTTCTGTCAACGTGGATTCAAGAATATTTACCTCGGCCATAATTTTGGGCGTACTTATCACTTCATACGTCCATCCTAGAGAAATATTGGTTAAGAAACGATTAGAAATATGTGCTGTCGAGAGAAGAAAAGGAGGGAAAAAAAAAACCACGCAGTGATCGCTAGTCAATCTTTGGCTGGATGCAATCTTGCGACCATATGAACACCAGACAGAATACGTCAAGATTTTACAACCTGTGGGCAAGAACCAAGCTCTTTTGTTAACTTGCAAAGGTCAACGCCAGGTTTTAGATTCCTGACGCAAAGGCGATTCCTAATCGCATCAAAACAGTGTAGATGCAGATGAACAAACTTTGGATTTGAAAATATTTTCTTGGCTTGAATAGTAGCGAGCTAGTTCCAGGCTTATCTCAATGATCGGTCAGTCTTTACAGCAGACGCAGTGTTTGACAATATATTCCAACCTCCTGCTTTGTTTAGAGATACTAGCACAGCACCCTTCTTTAGAAAAAGAACGACTCAAATCACTTGGGTTTGCTTCTTGTGTTTCCATGAAGCTGCAATGCCACAAGTTCATACTTATTCCAGAGCACAAACGTTAACGTAAATATGAACTCGTCATTCTCTACTTTCAAATCCTAGTATTTGTTGACTGTCTTGCCAATGGGAGAACACCAATAAACCACGTAACGAGCCGACAACTGGCTTAACAAGGCTGAATCTCGCCGTGCTTTGTCCATTTCAGGTCAAATAGAACATATTGAGTATTTCTTGGTTTGATCCAAACGCTCCTTCACACCACAGAAGATTGCTTGTCTCTTTAGCTCTTATCTCCCCAGAGCCTAAACGTCACACTACGCCCAGCACTTTCTGCAAGCACCGAAATGAATAAAGTGCTAGGAGTCAGTCTCTTAATGCTGAGAAACGTATGGCTAGTCAATTGTAGGGACTCTATCCGATCGATGGTACATAATGTAACAGGCTATGCCTACACTAGGGCTGCGCCACTATGCACTACAAGGGGGGGGGGGGGGTTAGCTCTAATGCGGACTAGTGCTTAAAGAACCTTAAGACTCATAGGATTGAGTCTTTTTCCTTCCTTCTCTCTCCTCATCTTGGTTGTAGATAGCACCTGGACTAGATAGCTGGAATCCAGTTACTATAGGCCGCTCACACATAAAATGCGTATGGCTCAGCATTCAGGGTTTAGTAGAATGAGATCAGAGTTTCCAGAGTTCATTACTAGATTGGTACTTTGGAATCGTGTCCGTCGATATCTCCATAATTCAATATATGGAGCGCAGCGTTAGTGATATGAATTGACTGGGTCAATCCGGGGCCATGGGAACTTGTTACATCCCGAAAGTTTTCATACATAACTTGGTGAAACTCATCATCTTCCGTACGGAGTATTCGATTCGCCCTCTGTCGAGGAGTCATTTAAAATTCGGAATCCTTATCAGTGCTATCAAGGTTATGAGCCTACTGAACTCACCCATTGGTATCAAACAGAGCTACAAAATGTAGTGAGGACGAAATGCTCCAGTTACAACGCTAATTACGGAGCCTAAAACATCTCTAGTCTTCCTCCTGATTGACCTCTGCCTCCTTCTTCTCTATTCTTCCATCCCCGCTTCTAGACGACGTCCTGGATCCTTCAATGAAGGGGCATTTGCAGCAGCTCTGAGTGTCTCGGCCTGGTGATACGTGACATTTGTGACAAACAAATTTCACCACATATCCACGATCTTCTTGTAGTAGGCAGAGGCTAGGAATCTCAGTAATTCTGAAAAAAGCATCTTTCATTATTACAGGAGTTTCACATAGGATACACAGGGATGTGCATGACTTCGATGAAGAAGACTTTCCAATCCAGAGACGGTAGCTACTTCACAAAACGACTTGGATAAAATACACATGTCGTCCCCGTGATGCCTCTGGAAGAGCCAGCTTCAAGAACACCAATAATCTCAATGTAGTAAACTGTAGCTTGTTCAACACCAGCTAAACCTCTCAGATTCTCGAAATACCAAATCGTATTGGTTGCCAAGAAGTAGACGAGGCCGAGCCGGCTCAGCCTCAATCAAGCAGAGTTTTTAGACTATGCATGTTTACGCTGGCAGATGGATTGCTAAGGTAGGCTATTCAGGCAATCTCTAAGACTACTCCAGGTGAAAGGACGCAAGCTATTGATGTTGGCGCCAGGCTTGCCGCAGGTATGTCTTCGACTATGTACACGACAAGCAAGTTAGCGGGGTCATTATGCCGTGCAAGGATGGAGTGCAGGATGTGCACCGGTACGTTTAATCGAAGTGTCTCAATAGCGAAGTGGAATGTGCTAGATGAGGTTGGAAATAATTCATGCGCATCTGAACGGCTGATATGTCTGCTGGCCGTTTTGATTGATATCTTTTACTATTCGTGACCGCAGGCTTGAAATCTGTCGAAATTAGATAACATGATCTCATCATCGCGGCTGGAGTCTTCGGAGAAATTTTTTTTTCAAGACTCGGTCGAGCTCCAATTCAGAAGACCTAAGAATAGAGACTGAACGACATGAACTCCTCGAGCGAAAGAAGAACGCATGCATGATTCTGAGACAGTTACCACGTAATTCAGTAGCATTACTTGCGAATGATCTCCTGTGGGCAAGCAATACAGGCTTGTGAGTGGCATGGTGAACCGCACTAAGCAGGATTGCAGAAGCTCATGATCCCAAGGCTGTGGATCCAGGCGTCCTCTCATCCGGCAAGACTTTCGGCACGTCCACGCTGTTGCCAGTCATGTCATCAGCCTTTTTTTTTTAGACGTAACGGCTATAATTGCTTTTTGAATAGATTGCGGTTGAAGGCGTGTTCACGACATACAGGTAGGGTGATTTGAATACACGACAGATGGCGATTCGGCATAGGAAATCGAATCAGCGAGGCCAAACGTGGCTGAAATGACCTGGTTCGGATGATGTATACCTCTTAAGGAGGTCGTTCGAACGAGCCTTGACTCCCGACGCAGTATTACGTGGCAGTGGACCAAAGAGAGGTCCATCCTTGAGCTGGGGCACATGCAACCAGTCGGAAAATTTTGCCTCAATATATTGGGATCGTTCAGTGGTCGCGCTGGCTGGGGGAGCAGAGAATTCCTGTTTGGCCAATTGCCACCAGGCCAACGGCCGAGTCTGCATTGCCGCAGTGGTTGACCATCCATTCAGTAGGCCTGGTTCACGAAGCTACCCAGGAAACGTTTCATCCCTGCTCCTTACAGGTCGATGCGACTTGCAGAGCAGCCAGAACGCGGCACGCGCCAGCGTTGTGAAAGACCGCGGGTGCAGAATGCGTCGAGGGATGTCTGGCTCGTCCCCGGCGGTCCAAAGCGTAGCGAGGTCGTTGATGGCGCACCGCGAGGACGATCAAGGTCCAACCGGTCACGATCGCTGGCGAGAACTTTCTCGAACTGCGCAGAGGCCAGTTGAACGCGCAACGGGGCTCAGCAAAGCCAGACATGAATCGCAGGGATGAGGAATGGTCTGCATTATCGATAACAGCGGCGGCAAGTGATTGGAGCGCAGGGCTGAAAATAGCACCAGCAGAGCCAAACGTGCAGCAGAAAGAGGCTTAGTGCGTAAACAAAAAAGTTTCGAACGTCCTGAGCCTAACGTCGTCGTGCATGGCAAACAGAGGGGGGTTTCTCGCATTTTTTGTTGAAGAGGGGTGTGTTGGATGGTGGGCGACGATCGGGTATACAAAGGCCCAGTCGCCTCCTGCGCCGAACGCTGATTCTGTTCTGCCTTCATTCCTGTCTCCCGTTTTTTTCAAGCTCGACAGCGCTTCCCTTCGTCGCTACGTCTTGTCAGCCGTCACAGCCTTGCTTTAGGACACGTCCATACACTTCTCTCGCTTCGAACCCAACACGATCGCTACCGCACCATGCAGCTCTTCACTCTGCTCCCACTCGCCCTCGCGGCCCTCGTGTCTGCCCAAGATGCTAACACCACCACTGTCTCGGTGTCCTACTCCAACCCAGCGACCACCCTCCTCACCCAGACCAATTCCCTTGGCGTAGTGACCGGCCAGCCTACCCAGCCAGCACTCGTCACCTCGCAAGCGTCAGCTGCAATCGTACCAGCCGGCTTCACTTCGGGAACCACCACCGCCACGTACGGCAATCAGACATTCACAATCGCGGTCAACAGTGGCGTCACCAGCATTATCAGCAACACGCCCACACCAACCACTCAGACCACCGCAGCACAGTCTGGAACAAGCGCTTCGGGTTCGTCTACAAGCCCGTCGACTTCCAGCAGTTCTGGCGCGGCCGCTCACATCAAGGCTGGCGCCGGAGCCTTGGCCGCTGCTGGTGGCTTCTTCGCCGTCTTCATGTGAAACACACAGCTGAACATTCCTTTTTCAAAAAAAAAAAGGCATATTCCTGGGATCATTGCATCTTTTTCTTCTTCGGCATGGTTGGGAGAGGAGAAGTTCCAAGGCATTTGAGATCCAGCCTAGCTTAGCATTTAATCCGATGACATGTTGCATTGCTTTCTGGAGTTCTGGCAAGCAGCATGCGCAATACGTCGACCCGCTAATATGTAGTAATATCTGTAAATGAACTTAATGAGACAGAGCCAACCTTCGAAACCTCAAGATCTAGCTGTGCTTCCCCAACATTTGTAATACTTTCCGCTGAGCATTGAACTATTTAGTGGTGCTGGAAAGGCTGCACGCACTGACGTCAGTGACAGCAGCTCCGAAACAGCTTTTGAAACTACAACTTTGTTGCTTCGTTCAAGCACTGAGAAATAAAGAAACTCGCTCTTCGTGACTACTATCAGAGGTCTTAGAATTGCCCGATCCAGACTTCTTCAGATGTCGCATTGCATATACAGAGTCTTGGGTATCTAGCATTTCTGTGACGCTGTAATGAACTCGAAATGGAAACTGTTGGACTTCACAACTGCAAGAGCCCACAATCTATGCTTCCAATGACGGCCATTTTGCTGGCCAATCCCAGTCATCAAAGAGGTAGCGGATCGTGATTTATGGATGGATGCTTCAGCTGCCTTTGCTGAATACATTCTCCTTTTGTCTTTCGACATATGCTTGTGTATCTCCGCTTCAAAATTACCTCTCCACGTCTTGTTTAGTGCAAGTTCATCTGTTTCTTGCAATTCTCATACACCACCCAAGTTATTGAGACTGCAGGTACTACTTTCAGAAGGTTTGGCGTCAGACCTTTGAATAGTCCACGAACACCTTCACCCTGTATAGTTTGCTGGAACACATCCCTGATTCCAGAATACGTTCTTGGATGCAGCACAGTCCCCTGACTCTGCAGCCTTGTCCGCAGAAGGTTGAGTGGGTATACTACACTCGCACCCAACGCTCCACTAAACCCTCCAACACATGCGGTCGTGAAACTGCTTGGTTGTGCATCGTCTTCGTGACACCCCCGTTTCCTTGCGTTTCTGACTGCGATTTGACGTTTAAGGTACTCGAATGTGCCCATGTCGATTGCGGCGTAGGGAAATATGCCGATGAGGCCCATTGGCAGACCACGATAAAAGGCTACGATGCCGTTACTGCGCCACATTTTTTGTGCGGTTTGTATTATGAGTGCATTGCCGTGAAGACCGTTTGCTACGGTCTCGCACTGCATTCGGAACTTGAGGGTGTCGAGTGGGTACACAGCGAATTGGGAGACCATGCCAGCAACGCCCTGAGCATGTTAGAAATTTCCTACGCCTGCGCAAAATACGAAGGAAAATAACGTACGCCGCCCACAAACTGCGCAGAACTTGAAGATTTGTCGACACCCAGGCGACCGTAGACTCGTTTTATAGCCTTTATTACTCCTCAGTGCATATTAAAAGCATCGAAGTGCGGTAAACAAACCTCAAATGTTCCGAACTTGATAGCCGACTCTGGCATGACCTTCACGATGTTTATACCGTTCCCTACGTATGTCAGCTATCACAATCTTCTCGGAGACATCGGGTCGCGCGCGTACCTGCGAAGAGGGAACGCATGCCACCTGCAGCCCACAGATCCTTCATAGCGTTTGCTGAGGTCCGCCATGCACCACGCAAGGCTGCCAATGGAGCGCCAGACTTTGCTGCGTTTAGGGTTTGTTCGGCATTTTTTGTCTGCGCGATTAGGTAGACCTTCAATCGATCGAGGGGCGCCGTTGTCGTACGCGAGACAATGCCACTGATGCCTCCCTAGTCACTAAGTCAGTACGAGGATAATGTGTGCATATAATCAGCTGTGCTTACCGCAACGAAGTAGCCTGGATGAGGGATCACAGCAATCAGCAGAGGTACTTCCTCGTGTCTGCCTTCTTCTTCAGGTACTATAGTTGGCTCTCCTCTATGTCGGAGCACACCGTCGTCCGCCATGACATCTTCCTGCCAAAAGAAGTCCGCATCAAGAGCTTGATCGGTTGAAAATCCGTGATGACGCTCCGTTCGATGGGGAGGCTCATAAATCGAGACCAAAGCAGAAGTGAATGTTGCAAAAAAAGGATGTAAGAAGCAAGCAAGAGCATTACCTAGTCCCTGGACGAGGTCGTCACTTATAAGGACGTCACCTTCAGGGTTGACTTTCAGTGAGGCGGAGAAGTATGATATCACTTCTTTAAGGCCAGGTTCGGTTGAGGGGATGAAAAGGAGGAAGTCTCTGTTGTTGTATCATTAAATATGCCATTTATCTTGTGCTGCCTTGTGCACTCATGGGCATCAAGGGATACTGTACCTCCACTCTTCGAAGCTGAGAGAGCCGTCGTTGTTGGAATCCACCTCTGCGAAGAAGCGATCCAACCTAGCCTTTGACACGGCAACCCCAGAGTTTGAAAATGCACTGGCAAGCTCGTCCTTATCTAAATGACCGTCCTTGTTGCGATCAATGTTTTTGAATAGTTCCCAAAGCTCATTCTCAGTTTGTCTAACGAAGGTATGAAATTCTGTAGAAACGTGTTAGCTTTTCACGCCTTTCCAATCAGACGGCGGGCACACCAAAGTACGAGATGCGGCCATCGCGGTTCGTATCTATTGTGTTAAAAATATCCTGCAAAAGGGAATCGGCGTATTTGAGAGCTTTATCGGCATCAGCATCACGTCGCATCAACGACGGAAAGAGTACGTACGATGATCCATCTTCTTCAGACCCTTCTTGAGACCATGGAGGTCTAAGTATCCTCTTTCGGCGGCATCCAGCTTCCGCCATAGCGATTCGACGCGAGCGTCAAACTGATTAGCCGTCTCGCCGTTTAACATGGTTAGACAGAGCCGATGCTATGAAGCTCGGCTCATTGTAGGATTTTCATCTCCAAGAAAATTGATGGTAGTGAAGAACTAAAGGCCCGGCGATTGCGCACAGCTTGCCGAAAAGGTGCGGCGGCCAATGCGTGCTCCTGGCGATTATCAGCGGGGAAATTTGCCGACAGAATGAAGTAGCAAGCTTGGAGGTTTGAGCTTGCTTTGATCAGCGGAATGACGAAACCGTGGTTGGTTGGAGCAACTCTTTTATCGCCTTGCGGCCTTAAAACCATTTGAAAGTGCTTCGAACAACCTTGACCTTGTACAGTAGTCTTCACCTTCCAAGCGCAGACCTTCTTGCGATTGTCGAAACGTTGCAAGGTCGGCCAACAGACTTAAGGATTCCATATTTTCTTAAAGAGAAGCTATTCGCCTGCAGATCTGACTGCGCGCATTCCTAAAGCGACGGCACTTGACCAAAGCATGGCGACTCTTGCAGATGAGTTGCAGGCAGATTTTCTAGACGCTGAATCTGACGAGGAAGAGCAAGATGAGGACGAGGAGAATGGGGAGCAGAACGTAAACGGAAACGCTGAAGATGGCGACATAGCCATGGGAGAGGACGGCAATTCAGACGAGGATGATGAAGGAGGTAACCAGGAGGATCGCGTCAACCGCGCTATTGATGGGGCTGAAGACAATGAAGAGGCAAAAGCGAGGATAGAGAAGATCTCTCTCAAAGGTGTTCGCGACTTTGCTTCGGTTGCAAATCTGATGTCACGACTGATGCCAGTACTTCAGGTAAGAGAAACCCCGATGCTAAGTTTGTCAAGCACCCCGGGAATGCTTAATGAATGCATAGTCCTAACCGCATCAATCCAGCAAATCGATGAATATCAATCGTTATCTTCTGAAGAGCAAGCGAAGAGAAATCTTGGGAAAACGGACTCTCCAGCCTATAAACTCATGAATGAGGCCAATAATCTGTCGATACACATTGATTCTGAGATCATAGTACTGCACAAATGGCTCCGTGATCATTACAGTGCATTTTTCCCTGGCCTAGAAAGGCTAGTGGAGAATCCTGTTCAGTACGCAAAAGCGGTGGCCATCATCGGCAATGGTCCTATGGACGTCAAGGCGGTTGGTGCTTCTGCAGATAATGTTGTTGGTCAATCACTGGACAAGGTACTTGATAAAGCTCTTCTCATGTCTGTTCGGATGGAAGCTGCCACCACACAAGCAAAGCCGCTTCCTGAGGCAGAAATCACCATGATTACCAAGGCTTGCCAAATGGTACTTTCGCTGGATGAAGCAAAAGACAAGATTCGAGCTTTTGTGGAATCTAGAATGAACGCCTTCGCTCCCAACCTGTCAACACTGATTGGACCTGAAACAGCTGCTCTTCTCGTGCAAGCTAAAGGATCACTCATCGGCCTGGCGAATACGCCGAGCAACAATTGGGCGAACGTTGGCTGGCGCCCATCGCGAACTGGTGGTGCATCAAATGCTTACGGAGGAGGTGCAAGGCAGAAGGGACACCTATTCTACTCACCCATCATCAAGAATGTACCAATCGATCATCGTACGCAAGCGTTGCGAATCGTCGCTGCAAAGGCGGCCCTGGCAGCGCGTACGGATGCTGTAGCAAAGACGACAGACAATACTATCGGTCGACAGTTGGCCGACCAGGTTGCCAGAAGACTTGATGTCCTAACCGAGGCTGCACCAAATCGGGGGCCGAGAGCTTTACCAGCTCCTGACGATAAGCCAAGTAGAAAGCGCGGAGGGAAGCGAGCAAGGGCAGCGAAGGTATGCACACCCATGTTCTGTTTGTCATGGTAGAGTTGATGAGTTTGCTAATCTAAAATCAGGCGCGGATGCAACAGACGGAACTCCAAAGGATGCAGAACCGAATGGCTTTCAATCAAGCTGAGGCAGAAGCAGGTTACGGCACCGGCGACAGCACCATCGGCCTAGGAATGATTGGTCAGGAGACTGGAAAGATTCGACAGACAACAATTGACAAGCGCACGCAAGCACGCCTGTCCAAACGATCTCAAGCACTGCTAGGCACCACTGGTGGAGGTGCTAGCGGTCTTGCGACGTCACTGAGAGGCTTCGGCCAAGGCGGGGGCACTGTCACTGGTCTCCGCACGTCAGGTGTAGGCACAAGCTTAGGGGGAGGAGCTGGTACAGCATCGGTCATCGCCTTCACTGATAAGGGCTTTGGCCTCGAACTAGCGGATCCTCGCAATAGGGATGAAGCCGAGCGCAAACGCAAGGCTGAGGAGGACAAGTACTTCAGCACAGGTACGTTCACCAACGTTGGCGGTGGAACGGCGTCCATGGTTCCTCAGGAGACGAGGACGGACGCTGGAGGCTTCAAAGTGCCGGCTCTACCGGCACTGAAAAGAGTCAAGAAAACCGGCTAAGGACATTTGTGGGTTTGAATTGAACAGTGAGGAAAATCGAATTTCATGCATGGCGTGGCGCTTGGGAAGGGCTTTGATAATCAGGTCATTTGCGTCGTACAACGGACGACGATGATTCCCGGTGACAGAGTTAGCACAGGGCATGTGGAACATGGGCAAGTTATTTCATTTGCCCCAAAACATAGTAGGAACTCGACATGAAGAAATCTATTATTCATCTCATGCTGTTCCATAGGGTCGGGGTATGTCACGTGGCTTTGGTTCACATCCTTCCTTCGGGTCGTGACATCCGATCCAGCCATCTAGATGAACTTTTGCGTGCACGAAATTGTGCTTGTCGCGCTCATATTGCAGTTGCACTGATGCGAAGCTTTATTTCTTCGCTTTCGGAGAGCTTGTTACGAGATAGTCCATGGGTCCACGACTCCAGCGTGTCAGCCACTGTGTCACCGAGGAAACCTGTTTCAAAACGGCCGCCACGGCGACAGTGAATTTACTGTGGTGGCTTCTCTGCAGACGTGAACGGAAATCTCAGAGACGTGTGAACGAGGCCGAAAAGTCGTCGAAGAGCGTTGAAAGCTTGGGAGACAAGTGTCAAGGCGACGTGCGTGGGATGGTTACAAGACTGCGATTCTAAGGAACGCAGCCACGCGAGCGCAATTTGAAAGACGTCGAGAAGAGCGAGGTCTTCTGCACCGGCGGAACGTCGACGAACCGAGCCAAGAACTCGATGAGCCAGCGGCATAAGCATCCAAGTGCTCGTCGTTCAAAAGAGCAGCGGGCCTTGTTATCATTTGTCTGATCACATCGTCTCCCGGAAGGCAATGTTTTGCCGCGTTTCAAAACCAGGCCCGGCAAAGCAGCACTCCGAGACTGGATCTCGAGGCAAGAGAGGCCAACCGGCCGGGGGCCCAGGACTTGGGTCAGGACTTGACAAGCAAGCACGGCGAGAAAGAAAAGGTAGAGCGACGGGTGCACAGCGCCGTGCGCTCTTGTCGACGCAGAAGAGCAAAGCAAAGCAAAGCAATAGCGCAGGGTGGTCAGGGAACAATGGGCGGCGGCTCCACCAGCCAAAGGTCGAGATCGTTGTTCCTGCATGAGCGCGCAGATCGCTTCCGATTGGAGCTTCAGCGCGAGTATCGAGGCGCGGCCGCACAACCTTCAACTGCCACCCAGGAGCAGGACGTCGCACGTTTCGAGTTTCAACACTTTGCACCCTCTGACATTCGCGAAATGTTTCCGTCCGCATGCCTCCCTCCTTTGCCCATGTTAATTCTTTCTTTTCCTTGGTCCTGAATGCCATTGCGTGGGGTCTGCTAGCGGGGATGGACAGCCTCCCAGGCGCATCACTTATCCCGGCAGGCTTTTCCTCTTTGCTCCCGCGACTGTTCGTTTCTTAACTCTCTCTTCCCTTCGTTTTGCGATTGTCGACGTAAGCCAGGCGAGAAGCGTCCTTTCTCGCTTTCGTGCCCTTTTTCTGTCCCATTCCTTTTGTGCCGGTCATCTTCATTCTCTTCTTCATCGACCCTGGTGGCGCTTCTTCTTCTTCTTCTTCTTCTTCTCACCTGTTTGCTGGCAAATAACTCCGCTCTTTTGGAATCGCAACGCTTCTCTCGCACTGAAGGTCGAGTTGCTGAGCATTCGACTTCTTTGTTCGCTTTACTTTGAACAGTGAAAACACAAAGACGAAGAGGAGGGGCAATCACGATGAAATACACTAGCGTAATCGCTTTGACGCTCGGCGCTCTTCCCTTCTCGATAGCGCAAGGAACCACTATCACCGAGTCGGTCTCTGGGGCAGGAGTTGCCCAAGCCGCAGCAGCATCGGGATCGTCTTCGTTAACCGCGCAAGCAAGTGGTGGTGGACAGGGAACAACCATTACGGAATCCGTCGCCGGAGCTGCAGCAACAGGAGGGTCCTCGTTAACTGCGCAAGCAAATGGCGGTGGAATGGGAACAACCATCACAGAATCAGTCGCCGGAGCTGCGGCGACGAGCGGTGCGTCTGCCGCTACTGCACAAGCTGGTGCAGCCAGACCGTCCACCATCACCATAACCACAGGTGCTGCAGGCGCAGCAGCGGCCTCGGGCCAAGCACTTGGAACTGGATCTGCCGCAGCGCAGGCCGGCAGCGGCGGCAAGGGGACCACCTACACGATCAATTTGGGAGGCGCCGGCGCGCAAGCGACCGGCGCGTCTGCAGGGAACTCAACCGGTAGCAGCGGAGGCGGACTGGTAGCGCAAGGCGCACCCGCGGGCAACGCCACGATGCCGACAATCACCATCAACGTCGCAGGCCAAGGCCAGGCTGCGTCGACAACGCTGCAGACCGCCGCGTCCACAGGAGGAACCGCAGCTGCTGCGTCCGCGGCTTCGAAGCAGAGTTTCAGCCTGGGTGCGTCGGCCGCCGCCGCCTCGTCCGGTCCGGCTCAAGCGACGACGAATCCCGCACCAAAACTACACGTCGACAGCATATCTGGCGGTCTTCTGGCGTTGGCTCTGGGCTTCGCAGTGGCGTAATGAGGAGGTCGCTTTTGTTTCTAGTCGCCGGTTGGGTTCAAAGGCGAGGTGTGCTATGTTTGATGCCTGCTGTGTATATTGCATAAAGTCGTTTCAACCCTGTTTGGTTTTCTTTTTTCTTCCTCTTCCCTTCGTACGTCTCTTCTAGAAGACCAGACTTGGGGAGGGTTGCACGCACCCAAAGTCCGAAAGCAAATATTCACCCAAGTCTATATATCTACGTAGCTCTAAACTCGGACTTTGTTTCTTTTACCAGACCAAGGAAGACGAAGGAAAACAAAAAAAAAATCCTAAAAATTTCCCTCCCAAAATAAAAACCTAAAATATCCCACATCAAGACAGACCTTTTTTTGATAAATTTATATATATATATATATATACATATTTCTTCCCGTTGTCGCTTTATGCGCCTTCGGAAGTGGAAAGGACGTCCGCGCTTGCGCAAGCACACCGCTCCTTGGCTCTCTGGACGGGTGCGATAAGGGCAGCGATGCGCGATGGCAACAGGTTGCGTCCAGTCACGTGTGTCCTGGAGGCTTGCCAGCCTCGTCGAGGAGCAAGATGCGACGACGATGCTTAGTTCAGAGGCCAGCAGTTCCAGTTGGCGATTGGGAGCCAGCCGCAGATTCGCTACTCCCGAACCAGAATGTCCTGAAAGAAAGACGAAGGTACGCAAAGGAAACGAAAAAGCGAAAGAATTCATCGTCTTTTAACGGGGTTTGCTAAGCACTCGTCTCCAGTGTTTACCAGATCACTATACACAGAGTAGCCCAGATGCATATGCACTGCAGCACTCGTCCCTGGCGAGCTTTTTCCAGCCCACCCAAGTTCCAGGGAGATGGAGATGGTGAGAGTAAGGAACAAAGCCCTTTATCAGCCCTGCTACAAAACAATGTTCCCTCCAATCTCATATTGGCCCCGGCCTCAGGCAATGACAATGACAAATGAGGATGAAAATTTGAATATCAAGGAAAAACCGTGACAGTCCAGCCAGCTAGCTCGTTCCATTATACCCTATGCACACAAGGAAAGGTGGGAGTTGTGGTATCTTCTTTTGATGCTTCTCTTTTTTCGCGCCACCCGTCAGCTCTCCTCTCTACTATATATTCCCTTCCCAGAAGTTAGGAAGAGGTAAAAGACCAGTAAACAAGCAACAAAAAAAAAGAGACAATGTTCGCAGTGCTCGCTCTGATACAATTACAGACGCATGTCTCGGCACTAAAACGTACCGCACGAGCTGCTCCCTCACAGCCTCTTCTCTGCAGCCTCAAGATACCGTCTCAAGCCCACTGAGGAGCGAGACGAAAGTATTAATAAAAACAAAAGACGCGGAGGGAACGTGATCGCAATATGTACATTCAAACACTAGGTTCTTAGCTCCAATGCAAATAACGTTCATTCCCAGGTGTATATGTATGATGCCTGTACCCAGGAATCGAAGCGTAAAGCCGTGTGAGAGTTGGCGACTGAAAAGCGCCACAAAAGTAATAATATGACATGATCTAGAGGCGTATCACAGAGATGTAGGTGTGACGAGCGGAGGGAGAGATATAAAAAGATTCCAGACGCCATGAAGCCCAGTTTTCGGTTTAGAGAAGATAAAGGACGTCTGTGGTATCTGGTTCGTGAGGATCCTCCCAAGTGCGGCAATGGCAGCCAAAGTCGATAGAAATATGCCGTACATGAAAGATCCAGCCGTCAAGGAATCCATGAGCAGGAAATGAGTGACTGAAAATGTGGGCAAGGGAGGAACAGGCGCGATCAGCTGCTTGGTTTAGAAGGCTTTGTCAGCATCCAAGTTCAGCCAGGCCATCTCCTGGGGCGCCGACATTTTGCGTCCGCCCGCAGCGCTCCTTCCGTTGGACGAGGACTGGGGCACAATGCTTGACGCGCCTAAATTCGAAGATGGTGTGGAGGCAGGCGCGCCTGGGAAGACCGTCACGTCACTGGCTCCGCTATCACGATGCTGAACACCACCAAACACATTCCGCGGTGGCGCAAAGTAATCCGCTGATCCTGAGCCACCTGATCCAGCGACGTTGGTGTTTGTTCCGTAGCTCTTCGCCCCAAACGTATTTGACTTGGGCGAGTCAATGCCACTTGGGAACACGGTCACGGCACTTGCCTGGCTGTCTCTCGATGCATCGCCGTAGTTGCGGAAATTTAGCTGTGGAAGCGCAGGCGCCCCGATACTTCCTTTTCTGGGTCGTGAATTGTACTCGCTGCTCGCGCCAAAGAACGGGTTGCTGCCAGAGTAATTACTACTGATGGACCTAGTATCAGCCCGTCGGTCTCGGTCCAACGTAGACATGGGCGTGTACGTCGTCTGAGTAGCCGGAGCAGGCTTGCTCGACGACAGCTCGAACCCGTCTGTCGATCCTCGCGAACTTGTTGAACCTGCTCGACGGATCTCCGCCTGCAAGCCCTCTTGGATGTCCTCCGTCGACCGGCCCATGGTCGGACTGCCCTTATTGACCGCGCTCAACCTCTGGCCTTCAAACTTGGGACCTAGATTCAGCTCCAGCGGTGGTATCGCTTGTCCGCGCTCCATCGACCTGACGTCACTGTAATCTGAGGACTTTGAGATCTCACTGATTTCTGTGTTGTACGTGTTGCGGGCACCGCCTTGGATGGAGGCAAGATTAGTCACGTCATTGTTCGCAAAGTAACGACTCCAGCCATGACTTCGCGTGCGGCCATCCTTGGAGTCCTTAACACCGGCAGTAGCAGTCGCTGGCAAGAGCGTCGAGCTCTTTGGTGGAGAGTTCGCCAACTCCGATTTCTCGTAGTCGAGCGAGCGCGAAGTGAATGTCTCCGACGAGCGCTGGCTCATCTGTGACATCTCCAGCGGCTCGCTCACACCCAGCGGACTCTTGTTCTTCGAAAGCGGCGCGTGGCTCGCATCGCTGGGCATCGCCTTTCGGTGCCCGATGGTTTTGTTCTGGAAGATCTGCAACGAATTTAATGAGCTGGCTGCGGACTTGGAACCCGAGAAACCACGGCCTCGGGTACCGCCAGCCTCCTTCATAAAGTCCGCACCCTGATCCGCGAAGCTGAGGCGGTCTTGATCCTTCTCGTTCACACCACGGCCGGACCTCTTCTGTTGCAACTTCTTATAACGTAGGAGAAGAAGTATTATAATTAGAATAGCGGCAAGACCTAGGATGGCACCTAACGTGGCACCGAGCGTCGTGAGAACCTTCGATTTTGACTGGCCTGTGCCGAGAACACCGCTGGAGGCCGATGTGGGAACCGACGAACTTGTGGACGAGAAGGCCGCTGTAGACGTGGCTGCAGCCGAGGATGAAAGTGATGAGGTTGCCGTTGTAAGGGGAACTTGTTCCTTGACGAAAAAGCTTGTTGCGTTCTGCCACGAGTTTGTGGTCTGGTTAAACAGAGCAATCGGGTCGTCATTGTTGCCGCCACTGATTACTGCTAAGCCGTCGACGTCTTCGGCCAGGGAAAAGCCGCTGCGTGTTGTGGTTGGCGCGAGCGTACTATTGTAAGCGGGCCAGTTGGCAATCGTGAGGTCACGTTTCGTTCGCAACCGCCTTCTCGACGCTGAAGTCGTCGCGCTAGGGGGGGCTACCTCATCACCTACCGGCGCCGGCGATCCGTTGACAAGCAGAGCATATCGAGTCACGACATTAGGTGAGACTCCCATGTCATACACCTCCAACACCCTGCTGCCGTCAGTGCCCGCCACTACGGTACACATCTTCGTCGGCGAGTCCAGGTCCAGCCCCGAAGGCAAAGACGTTCCCAGATTTGTCCAACCTGGTATTGCGCCAAATAGCCAGACCTGTGTGTTGTCTGCAGAACCGCCAATCAGAACAAGTTGGTCAGCAGACCAAGGCATGAGCATGGGCGAAGTCAAGGCCGGAGCTCCTTGCGAGTTGTAGGAGGTTACGTCGTAAGGTGCGGATGTCGAGATGGCGAAGGTTTCCTGACCCAGACCACTCGCGTTAGGATCCTGGGTTCCGGCATAGACGACGATGGAGCCAGTGTTCGCAATGAAAGCGGCGCCATGCTTGACACGATTCTGCGTGACGGTAGAAGCTGGAGTGATTGTTTCCCACGTGCCAGCGTTAAAGTCGTAACGCTGCAAGCCCGGGTAGTTGGTCAGCGCGGCGGAACCGTTAGTCGTGCCGCCAACAATATACAGCGCCTCGCTGCCGGTAATCATGGCGGGCACGCATTGCCCGCCCGTTACGGAAATGCCCGGGTCGAGAGTCTGCCATTGGGCATCCTGCTCAAGAGGGAGCGATGCAAAGCCTTGTGGCGAGTAGACATACAGCGTTTGGTTCCAGACGGCGGAGCAGTGATTTACGAGCTCGAAGGGAGGCTTAGGCATGGACATGGTTTCAGGAGGCCGACCTCAGGAAGAGAGAGAAGTAACGTCACCACGTCGTTCCGAGGATCGGCTCCGACAAGAGAGGTAAGGGACAACAATAAAGCAAGATCTGATGGAATCCAAGAATCCAAAGGCGGGCGACAATATCCGGCTGTTCAGTGGAGTTCGCGCTCGGAGGTCATCATATCGATTGCAATGGGCAGCGTCTTCCGCGATGGTTAGGCGAAGGGGGGGAAGGAAAGCCACTGTCGTTCAAGTGCCACGGCCCTGGGTAACGCAGAGACCAAAGATGGATGGGACTCTTTCTCGGTCCAAGGCTTTGTGCAATCAAGAATATCGTGCTCTTTACACAAGGATGTATCCCGTTTCCTGCATGCGTCGGTCGGCAGGAGTACGGTATTTCGACAGCGGAAAAGGGAACCGGCTATCTGGGTTTGTGGTTGGCGGACAGTCGAGGTGTAGCTTGGGACAATGCGTGACGGAGCCAAGGTCCAGACGCAAGGTTGGGAAAATGGAGGGATTCTCAACAATCAATGTCTTTTGTGTTTCAAGGCCAGCGGATGCTTCTGGAGCAGACCGGTTTGTGGATCGAACAGACGAAGTCGAATTTCTTTCCTTCCGGGGAGGGCGTTGTAGAGAGCTGAAAGCTAGGACGAGCTGAAGGAAGGAGAAGAGCGGTGCCAGGGACGCGCAGAAAAGAACGACTGTGGACTGCCGATCGAGTCCAGAGAAAAATCAAGGAACAGATATCCGTGCGAAGGGAAGGCGAAAGGAGGGGAAACGACTGTGGTGCGACAAAGGATCGCGGTGGTGAGGGTGGTCGTGCGGACGTGGTGGAGGAGAAGGAGGTGATGGGTGGTGCGTGAGGAAAGGGAAGATGTGGTAGCGACGGTGCAGCGGGCGTAGGCCTGAACGGGACGAAGAGAGACAGAAGAGAGCGAGTGAGCTTCTGAACTCCTACCAAGCCAGTAAGGAACGGGAGGGAAGGGGTGGAGAGGAAGAGAGGCACATTACGCCTGTGCCGGTAGGGGGGGGTGGGAGGGCTGACGAAGAGAGGCGGGCTAGTAAGGCGGAGCAAGAGGAAAGCAAAGCTGGCGGTGGTGAGCCTTGCGCCAGGGGATAGGGGACAGGGAAAGGGAGCCAATGCGCGTGCGCAGGACGCAGCAGCGCAGTTCTGAACGCCAGTAGCGCAGCAGTGAGTACGGCACGGCAGCCGTGTGTACTGTATTGGCGACAGTGGCGGCGGTGGTGGTGACGGTAGTGAGTCGCTCACGACACTGTACTGTGTTAGCGACGAACAAGAACCAGCGGGTGCCAAAGGCGGCCGGTGGCAGAGCGCATCAAACGCGGTGCCTGGTCCCTGACAGGCCTGCGAGGGCGTGCCCGGCGTGCGCAACGAGGCTGGCGGCCAAGACTAGGCCACAACCGGCCGTGCCAGGCAGGGGCATCCACCAGTGACAAGCCGTGCCGGCAGGTGCCATCGCCGCCGTGGCCAATCATCGCCCGAGCGTGGGTTTCCTCCTCATTTCCAAGGGGAAGGCGCCGTTCAGCCCCTTCCCGCGCCGGTCGTGCATTCCCCTTGCACCTTCGGGCTGAAAGAAGAGAACCCGCGGCTGCATCTTCGCGCCCCCTGCACCGTCGCTCCAGCCGTCCTCGCTCCTCGCCGCCAGTCGCGTCTTCCTGCCTGTGCCGCGGCGTCGCCAAAGAGGGAGAGGAGCCATAAGTAGACGGCAACAAACGGAGACGACATGGACAACCGCAGATCTCGCGTGAGGGGGCGACGGTCACGGCAGAGCTGAAAAAAACATGCCTTTTCTTCAGCACGCGTTCGGTGGCGCCCAAGCAGACTCGACGTGTATGCGCCTCCCCAGCGGCGCGGTTTCCAAGCCCATCGTCACACGTTCCAAATTCGCACCCATGCGGCGGAAAGAGTGGGAATTTCCTTTTTTTTTGAAAAAAGGGGGTGCGCGTCGATCGGGGCGTTGCAAAGGTCGGCTTCTTCGTTCCAACGGTGGGGCCTTGTGAGCAGAGCGAGCGTGGCCCACCCGCTCCGTGCACGACCACGGGCACGCAGCGTAGAAAACATGCACGTACTCTGTCTTGTACACACCGGCAGCAGTGGTTGGAGCAATCCTCATGGCAGTGGCAAGAAGGCCGATGAAAACACCCGCAGAAGGACAACTGCCAACAACAACGGAGTCGCTCCAGCAGCTCTGCCCTGGCTGTGCAGTAGCTGGACGTGTTCGCGGCAAGCGTGTTTGCTGGAAATAGAACCGCCCCGCATGGCTTCCAGGGCAGGACACGGATCGAATGCAAGTGCGCCTGCAGCCGCATCACCGACCTTGAAGCTGCTCGCTGGGATTTCTTTGAATTCAAGAGCATTCGTCCTTCTGGCACGGCTGAGCCTTTCGATGCTCGCCCTGGAAAAGTGGAACGCCCGCTACCATCTGCGTGAGCTCCGCTTTGGGTTGTCTCTTTCGCCGCCTTCTTCTGCTCCTCCTCCTCCTCCGGGCTCTTCGCTCTCGCTATTTCACACACTCGTTTCCCCGTCTCTACACACACGCACACACACACACACACACACACACACACACACACACACACACACACACAGACACAAACAAACACCCACCCGTACGCACGCACGCACGCACGCACGTACGTCTCATTTCACCTGTTCCTGTACAGCCAGTCTCTCACTGATCGCCCACCACTCGCCATCTCGATCACACGCCTCCAGACCCGGCCAACCGCTGCTCGTGAGAAAGCAAAATGCCGATGTGCGCGGACTGGACAGGGGACCGCGCCTGTTGCGTGAGATTCTGCTCAACTCGCCCAATTTTATTTTGCTTGTTTCGGGGCGGAAAATGATCAGATCCTCATTTGTAAACTCGACAGCGGCCTCATTCCTGGTGACCTCATTCCGCATGTCACAGGCACGTACACACACATACTCTCTCACTCACTCACTCTCTCTCTCTCTCTCGTGCGCGCACCCATGCGACCGTGTTTTGATTCCTGCCCTGACGTTTCCGCTCTGACGGCTACGAAAATCTCTCCGCCGTAGTAAAACAACGATGACCTCCGCACCCCTCGTAGATCCTCTTTTTCCGCGAATGAGGGGCAACGGCGAGGCGAGCCTGGTTTCGACGACCCTGCGGCTCAAGCAATAATACTTTCTCCATTATTGTTGTTCGTCGTCGTCGTCCATGATTATTTTTCTTTTTCCCTTCATTGGTACTGTGGGCTGTCGGTGGTACCCTGGCCGCAGTACGAATTCGACCACGCTTCTCTCTTCTCTCTCTGTCTCTCTCTCTCTCTCTCCACCGTCTGTCTTTGTGGGCCGCCATACACGCATGCCTCTTGCTTCAGACCGAGTGGGCTGTTGCTCGTCTTGTCGCTGTCGCTGCCGCCGCCGCGTCACTCTCGACCCTTCATTTCCCAGCGCCGCGTGGTGCTTTTCCTCAAAAGTCGTTCGTGCTTGACTCGCACCGCGTACCCAGCCAAGACGCGTTGGAAGCGGCATGCACCGAAGAAGAAAAAGCAGCACAATCGCCGTGAACATCCCATCCCGTTCCCACCCCCCAGCATTTCGTTATCTTCCCGTCGGCTGGCCGATGTGCATTCTCATTATCAATCGCTACGGCCTGCCACGACCCGTCATCCTGACCCGATCGTCGCCAGCCTGACGGCCAGCGTACGCATCATCCGCTCCGCGATTACGTACTCCGCCCTGCACAGGCACTTTTGTCGCGCTCGTCACGTTGTCTCGGCACGAGCCTCGCAAATCTCCCCTCCGCCCGTTTTCGCAGCAGGCGGCGTGTGCGCTTCAGTTTCAGAGACGAGGGCGAGCAAAATTGCTACCTGCCCAAACCGCCCAACCGCGTCTGCTCGTTCTGAAACACGACGCAACGACCCAGCCAACGATTAATAAGATTGACGCTTCAACCTTGCCGACTACCGTCAGACATCAATCTGCCTACCCGCCCAAACGAAAACGTCCCCTTTGATGCCCGCGTAAATTGCCCCCGAAGACCATCATAATCTTCGCCGCACGAGATCGAAACGAGAAATGTTATCAAGGCCGCTCTTCCTAATCACTGCCTATACTATCCTCGTTCGGAGCTTCTCCGAGCCTGTGCTTTCTTTTCAATAAATTGCGATCCTTCTTTTTTTTTTTCCTGCATTGAACGCAAGCTTCCTCACCCCACCCTCTGTTCTCAGACACGCCAAATTGAATGACATCGTGTGACACCTTTACGGAACGAATTTCCACCGGAACATCGTTCATCGACATTAGACCTTGCCCGTAAGCGATTGTGCATCATTGAGCGCGGCAGGATCATTCTGAGCGGCGATGTCCCTGTGCGAGTGGAGGAAGGGAGAAGAGGACGACGGGAATAATACAACAATGAGACTCTTTTTTTTTTTCTGGTCTCACCTATCCATGATCAATAATAAGTGTTCGAACCTCCCCTGTCGTCTCAACGATACTTGACTCTGAAAATAAATAAAAATAAAAATAAAATAAAAAAAATTACGTGCTTCGTTTTTGGCGTCATCAGATGGCCCAGCTAACAAAAACGGGGGTTTTGCAGGGGAGCCACGCGGCAAAGCCGTTGCGCGCAAAGGCATAGGGAAAAGGGAAAGGAAAAGGGAACGGAGAGAGGGTCGTGATGGTCTTCTTTCTTCACGTGGGCGCCCGCGGCGTGCCACTTTCGGTCTTTTGCACCGCTCGTCCCCTCCTCGTGCAGACCAACAGGGCGAACAGTCGTCGCGCATCAAGGGAAAAAGAGAGGCACCTCCCGCTGGTCTTCCGATCCGTGATGTCAATTCTTTCCCACCCCCTTTTTTTTTTTTTTCCGGCGGTCTCTCTCCCCTGCTCCTTCTTTGCCTATGCTACGAATGTGCCTCGTAATCAGCACGCAATGTTCAGCAAGCAGCGATGACGGTGCGTTCATTGTCGTCGCTGTCGTAAAAAGTGCCGCCTTTCTTTCGGTTTACGGGAGGATTAAGGTGGTTGAGCCGTTCATATTTGGCAAACAAAAAGACATTACGCTACTATTCATTGCCGCAAATTGGTGTTGTGTGTACAAAGAACAGTTGCCCAAAGGAACTCTTCCGCTGGCCCTCCAGCATATGCTTATGCCCATCCTAGAGCTTTGTCGGTGTGATTTCAAGAGTCTCTGGCGCGCGCTCGATCTTCTCCTGCTCCGTCTTTCCGTCCGTCACCGTGTTTCGTCGGCTCTCAACGATCAAGTCAGCGCCCTTGTCCACGTGGTTTGCTCCTCCAAACAACGTGTCAATCTCCTCCAGTGGCACACCTGATTGAAACAGTCAGCTAAATGCTCTACAAGTGTAGCCAGTGATGGCTTTATGATTTTGCAGGAGAAACACGAACCTTTGGTCTCCGGCACGACGAAGAAGACAAATACGACCAGCAGGAAGTTTATTCCAGCGAACATGTAGAATGCGTAGAAGCCCTTGTGGTTGAGGAAGGTTGGGAAGAACTGTTGGCAGATGAGGTTGGCGACGTTCTGAATTTGGGATGCCATGCCGATGGCCTGCGTGCGAACGTTCATGCTGAAGACTTCCGAGGTCCAGATCCATGTTGTCGCACCCCACGATGGTTTGTACTGAAAGCATTCCAAGGTTAGCACGCGAACATCACCGTAGGCACAAACGTATGAAAGTCACGGGTACTTACAAAGAATGCAAAGAGGAAGAACAAGAACACAATCGCCGCACCAACTCCTTCAGACTTCACTCCGTCCGGTAGAGTGGCAGTCCGGGAACCTGGGACAGCGGGCGTCTGCGTGTAGACGGTTGCGACGATGAGCATGCAGACCCCCATGCCCAAGCCACCGATGATGAACAGAAACTTGCGTCCAAATCGGTCGACCGTCCAGGTAGCGTTTAGGGTGAATAGGATAGCCAACGTAGCATTCAATGCGTTGATCAAGAAGATCGTGTTCGCGTTCTTGAACACCTTGCTGTACACGATGGTGCTGTACGTATTGAGCGAACCCTGTCCCGTGACCTGCTGACCAGCGTTGAGCGCGAAGGCGATGAGCAGTCGCTTCCGGATCGAGCGGTCCTTGAACAGCGCCCAGTAGTTGCCGGAGATAGCTTCCTTCTCGAACTCGATGGCCTCGCGGATGGCCATAAGCTCCGCCTCAATTTCTTCCTCGGTATCACGGACACGACGAAGTGTCGCCCGCGCCTTGTCGATGCGGTTGCCGCGCTGAATGTACCACCTAGGCGTTTCGGGCAGGGTCATGATAACGCAGACGATGAAGAGGGGTACAAGCAGTTGGAAGATAACAACCATCTTCCAGTCCCACTCGCCAAGGCTCTTTGTGTGCTTGGAACAGGCGTAGCCAACCTTGAAAAATCTGCGTCAGCGGAAGTCCATTGACGGCATGAAGAGAATTAATTTGGCCAGACGCACCCAATACGCAATGAAACTTCCCACGGAATAGTTCATTTGCCAAAAGCTCATGACCTTTCCTCGGATATCTGCAGGAGTGATCTCGTTGATGTATGCTGGACCGGCAGTGAGGCAGACACCCTGTCCCATACCGACGATAACTCTACCACCAATGAAGACACCGAGATTGCCGCGGGGAGCAAAGGCCTGCATGAACGTTGCGACACACACGAGAGCCGCTCCAATGACCATACCAACCCGGCGGCCAAAGAAGTCAGCGATAGGCCCACCGGCGAACCAACCCGTCGCAATGGCACCGACATAGTACGCTGTGTTCAATGAAGCATAGAGATTAGACTTTGACGGATCGGATTTCTACAGTCGTTTTGTTTATGTCAGTCTCGCATCACGGCACGTGAATGCATCAGGGGGGGGGATGACGAACGATATGGTTGAAGTACGCATCCCAGTGCTTTGATCCAGAGATGGCGTTGAACGTCGATGCGTCGTAGCCGTACAGAACCATACAGGAGGCCGCACAGAGGGCAGCGTACCTAAGTGAACGTGAGCACTTCGCTAACAAGGGCAGCGAGATCATTGCAGGCATACCAGTTATAAAGTCGCTTCCTGCTCATCCTCCATTTCGCAGGCCCGGATGCTTCGATGTCCGACATGATTGCAACTGCGTCCAAGGAAATGCAGGACCCTCGACCTCTTGAACAAGATGAGTGAAGTAGCGAGAAGTGAAAGCAAAAGGCCCTCTGATCCAACGACGCATACCTGGGGTGTCACTGTATAATATACCAAAAGCTCTCCGCAACCCCCATGATCCCACCCCCATGCTTAACATGGCGGGAGCGCGCCCCCGGAGGTCCAAGCATCTCGCATCACGCTTCTAGAATACCCATGAGACTAGTACGCGATGAGCAAAAGGACCCAAATCCTGCTGGAGTTTCTGCACCAATGACAACGAGCAACGCGCAGTCGGCTACCCCAGATCTCTCACGCCCGCGTATATCGTCTGACTGTGGAGTGCAGGTCGGCTACGCGTTGTTCTAAAGCCGCAAGAGGAATCGTTCATCGAGCCTTTTCGTGCCTGCTGTTGCTTGGGACAGGCCTCGCACGTCGCCGACCCACTTTGTGGACGGAGAAATTGGTTTCCAGCAATGAGGGCGGAGAAGAGCGGGGGGTGGGTGCGCTGACCCGGCCGAGGCTGCGGGATCGTTCAGCAGCACGGACGCCCATGTGGAGGAGCTGGCGCCAAGTCGGCGGTCGTTGGCCCAGATGCGCATTTGTTGGAACGGTCGACCTTTCGCTTGAACCGCATGGTTTGTGTTTTGGGAGACGTGCAACTTTGTGTGCAAATGGGCTGCAGAAAGGTCGGCCGTCGCTTGGTACACTGGCGGCCAAGTCAAATCTTCCGTCGACCTGATTTGTTTTTTCGAGCCGGTTTGATTCACGGAAGAAAACAAAATTTATTGCTGGGCCGACCAGAAGATTGGCTGTCTGTGGCTGGGGCTTCGGTGCGTAGCCTCGATTGGGTTTAATCGGCGTACAATGCACAGTCAGGTGGCTCAATGATCGGTGAATGGCAGCCATCGTTATGAGCTCGAGGTCAGTGAGCATGGGATCGGACTCGTTGCAGAGCAGAGCAAACACGTACATTTCCATCTCTGTTGCAGAATCCCGACGGCCATTGGGGCCGTACCGGGGGACACACACTTGAAAACGCAGTGGAAGCCCACAGGCAAAGATGGATATTACGAGATTTGTCTGATCTATATGGTCACCTCGTCGGTTTCCTAATTGAAACGCCTGGCCCTATGCATTCACCTCATGACGCCGTCGCCAAACACTATCTGTACAATCTCATCCAACAATGTGAAAACGAGATGAGTCCTGCGATCTTGTCGTTAGTCATCTCGGAATTGACGAAGGATATACGCATGGCCGTAACTCACAGCAATCTTTGATTGTTGACTACAGCCAGTATCCTCCGAGCCGCCGCCTGAGCATTCGCTCGTCCGACAACACTACCCACAAACTCTGGAATTAGACTGGCAAGAACGACTGCAGCCTCCTGCCTACTCCTCGTCTTCTCGGTTTGTGTACGCGGCACACCTTCGGCCCTCTTCACGCCACCAGGCCACATCGCGTCGATCACCATGTTGATATACTTCGCCACACCTTCATCGCTGAGATAGCCTTTCGCGCTCTCACGGACTTTGCGCTCAATCGTTCCGCCGAGGAGTTGTTGTAGAACAATGACGACCGCGCGACCGCGGAGCCAGTTGTTCTCACGGTTCAACTCGAAGGTCTCGAGGAAGAGGTCACAGATGGGCTTGACGAAGGGCTCCAGCTCGCGCGTCTCGAAGGCACGGAGTTCAGCTTCTGCCTCGGCAGACGCGGCTAGTTCTTCTGAAGCTGGACTGCTATGAGTCGCTGGCGATGGGTTCGCTTGTGTAGCGCTAAGCTGGGTGGTCGCTGCGGAGATGAGGTTCTGGCCCGCTAAGGAGAGCTGGTCTAGAACAGGTATATTTCCCAGAAACTCTTCCATTCCGTCCGTCACGCTGCTGTATATTCGTGAGACAAAGTCCTTTTGATCAACCTGAGTACTGGCAGGGCTTGCGGAGGGCAGAGCGTGCTGCGACAGGAAAGCCCGAAATTCGCGACTGCGACATATTGCAGGGACCTTCAGTAGCTCTTGCATATATTTCTCTAGCGCTGCCCTTCGTTTCTGTAGGAAATCACGCTGTAGCTTGAGACCTATCTGTCGCCTCGGAAACTCAAGATTTCGGACCATGGGGAACCGTGATCGTAACCGCTTATTCAGTTCATGAAACTCACTGTATCGCCTCGTAACCACCCACGAGGCGGCCGGCATCTGGTCACCAGCTTGCCTTCTTACTTCAATGACGTATACCGCGTATTCTTTGCCATCTTCGTCTTTGCCTACCATGACAGATTGTATAGCAATGGTTGCGCGGCCGTACAAGCTATTGTCGCTCTCTTGGATAATGAATTGCTGCCGCTGTAACTCTTTACGATTGATTTCGCGCTGCAAACTAGCTTTGGACTTGCGTAAGATACGTAATTCCGCAGCGTTATTGGTAAGCTCAGCCTTTTTAGTAAGCGAGTCGACAATGGATTCCTGAGTGACAAGCTTTTCGATGTCTAGTGTCAAAGCATCAATCGCTTCTGCCAGACCGAGATCTCCTGGGGCAGCCTCCACGATCGCATCTTCGTCATCTTTCTCGCTGCCAGCGGAATCTTCATGCTCGTCTTCTATGAACTTTGGTTGCTCTTCTGCAAACAGATCCTCGTCAAAAACACCTTTCTTACCCGGTGTTCCTAACAAGCCTAACGACGCAACGCTAGGTTTGCCTTTCTTCGGAGGGTTAACGGCGGGTGAAGCAGGTCTAGTAATTTCCATCGAGCTGCGCATTGAATCTGTCTCCAAAGGTGACTTCATACTAGGTTCCGAGAAAATTGAATCCTTATCCAAAGGCTCGTCCATGATATCATTCAGTGCTTCTTGCATGGCATCGATGATTTGAGCGTTATCGCCATTCTGTACAGCGGGTTCGTGGTCGGAGTCAAGGCTTGCAATTGAGTTGGCCAAGGGATCTGAATCAAGATCGTCATCAAAGAGCGGTTTCCGCCCGTTATCAAGAGACTTGCGAACCGGCGACTCTCCGTCCGAGTCGGCTTTAACATATCCTTTGAGATCTGATGCAGATGCGACCTGACGCCGAAGATCAGGAGCTTTCACCTTAGATGGTGCTGCGAGTAGCCTTGAAGACTTGGCTGCACGTTCTCCATCCAGTGATCGTCTGCCGCCCTGAGCTGTTGGCGCCTGTGTAGAAAACTGTTGGCGTGAAGGCACGCTGGCAGCTTCTTCGGCAGCAAGCAATTTGTACCATAGATCTGATTTCTTAAAATTAGAGAAATGGGGTTCCAGCATATCCTCATAAGCAGCAGTCTGTGCGCGTAGAATTGCCTTTCGTGCGGCATAATACTGCGCATTCGTTGCCTGAGAGCCACTCTTGAGAAAGTTCCTAATCGCCTCTCGAGAGAGAGGAGAAATTTTGATCTCGGGCAGTGATAAATATGCCTCATTAATCTGAGCAATATCATTTCGCTCAGAATCAGTCCACACCCGTGCAGAATCGGTGACCTCGATCGACTCATCTGCATCATCTTCGAGAGGGTTGCGAAAGCCATCCACCACGATCCAAAATTGTACAAGCTTCATAAGATGAACACGGTCCATGTATTCCATGAAATACGACAATCCGGTAGCACTGTACAGCACTTCACGCAGCGTCATAGTCTCCGCCCGTGATGCTGAGAATCTAAACGAGTCTTCGGACGGTGGTAGAGCTCCACGAGCTGGCTTCACATTGCCACTTGCGCCAAGCTGTGCAATGCGCTGGTCGAGCGCCCGCTTCCCTGTTTCTAGTCTGCGCAAATAGATGGGATCCTGACCTGCCACGGCGGATTCCCGGTGCAGTTGACTTGCAACTTCACTTCTGAACCGCCTTGCATCAGCAATCGTGTTGCACTTTCGGATTGCGCGTATAAAGCGTTCAAACATTCGTTCGCTATCTCCTGGCGCCAATCTAGGAAACGGTACGGTCCTGACGGTCTTAGGTGAGGTACTCGCATGCTCATCTAAAGCTGCCCGTAACTTTTTCACCGTCTTGCGCTCTTGCAGAATTGTTCGACCAGAATTGGCGATCAGCTGATTCCAGGTATCTGGATCAGCCAGAATTGTAACTACTGGAAACAGAACAGCGCATGTAACGATCTCTTGTATCAGAACCATTACCGCTCGACTCGTGGTCATACTCGGCGGGAGTACTTTTGGCAATAAACGAACGACCACACTGCGCAGGTAGCCTTGCTGCGCCATCTTGGTATCCGAGAAGGCTAGAGATGCAGCGGGATGTAGTTTCCCTTCCCTGTACTTGCCCGCAATTGCTAAGTCCAACTCCTCGCTCTCTGTGAGGCTCTTGCTCAACTTCCTGCCCCTCACAGTGCGCTCCGCCTCGTAGAACTCCCTCATATGCGCGGTCACGATTGGCACGACCCGCGACACGCCAACACCCACAAAATCCAGGTTTATGGTCCTATCCAAAATATTGCTCAAAGCCGCACGGATTGTTCTGTCCACCTCATTCGTAAAGGTTGGCCGCTTGCTGATAGCTCCATACCAGCTATTCACAAAGTCTCTCAATATCAACCCAATCAACTTGTCTATGCTCTGAGTGACCACTGGGCTTTCCATGTATAGCGGTTCGCTGATGTACTGGCTCCGCTTCGCCAACTCTGCCTTCTCCTGCTTCCATGTTTGCGGCTTGATAAAAGCGACATTGCGGGTCGGATAGGGCTTGATATGACCTCTGCGTTCCCTCTTACGTGAAAACGAGAAGAATAGAAAGGCCTGAAACGCGACTGAAGCGAGAATTCCGGTTAGAAAAGCGTACGGCAGAAAGCGTAAAGAGGGTATCCAGTGGGTTACGTAGCCCCACGCGACGAAGACGGCGAGGGCGGCGAGGATTACATCGCGCCGTTTTAGTTCCATAGTATGGCCGCCGACGAGTCCATATAGTGTGTCTGCAAAGCGTGCATGTCGCGCAAAAACTGGGTGGGACTAAGGCGATGTTAATGTGTTGCACGGTGTTCACAAGTTCGGAGCTTTTTTTGAGCGGCGCGGACCTCGTCCGTGATGCTACCGTAAGAGCTTTGACTTGTGACGTACTACAGAGCAGCTTCGTTAAGACCTTCGATCTTTCTAAGAACATCCCAAATGTTCTTCATTTACTGACTTCGCATAATATCGTAAAGACGATCGATGAAGATATCTGCTCCGATATGCATCTATCTATCTCTTAACAATTCTCGGCCTTAGAATACTGCTGTTCCCCACCTCGATTTTGCAATACCCTATCTCTTTTTTCGTATATACTTGGCAGCAGATAACACACCTTGACTTTTTGCTGTCTGATGTTGAGGTTAATTTGTTTCTAGCTCCGTTTGATTGATATATTACAATAGCCTTTCTGTAACTACAATGTTACGAAGTGAAATGCTTTGGGCCCCGTTAATGTTCCATAGTACTCCGAAAGTATGAACCACGTAATTCTTCTTTGCTTGATATAACATTATTTCATTGCAGTTCGAAAGGCAAGTCCATGCTTAAAATTCAGACCCATGACTCAGTTTTGCTCAGCTTGAATTTCTCACACATATTGACTTCCCTTGGAAAGGGAAAGTTTTATCCCATGCAAATATTTACACCTTTACCCTTAATCTTCTCAGTTTAGTACGACCGCATTTGTCTCACCGTTCAAAGATCAGTGCTCGCCGTTGCTCAGCAATGTGATTCTCAACCATGTGCGCGCGATTATTGTAGGAGAGTATTAGACTTCAGATAAATTTCTGGACATTTTTTTAGCCCATGTGTTTTCTCGGCCCTCCGAAAAAGCGTTGTCTAAACACCAATATGTAAGGGATATTCTGGCTGACCTACGTTTTCAATTCTCAAGAAGAAGCAATATCGTAATGAGTGTGACTTTGATTGCTGGTCTTTGACGATAATTTGAGCAACACGGATAAGTTCGCTGATGAGATCTTAATCAACTGATTGTGAAACATGTAGGCCCAACAAACTATTATAGTCCCGAAACTTCTAAGTCACACGACTCGTCCTAAGTATCCAGACTTTCAAGTCGTATTAAACAGTCCCTGAGACTCTTACGTCTCTCCTCTGCAGCTTCTTTCTTACGCCGGCGGTCATCGGAGCCAGGATCGTGTGTGACACGCCTGTACACGTTCTCGTCCTCCATCCAATCCTGCTCGAAGAGATTACGCAATTTGGAAAGAAGACAGCGTTCCACAACTTGAATAATAACATTGTCGATATATCTGGCTCGCGCAATCTGTTGATCAGATTAACATGAAGACGTTTGATGATTTCTCTTTTCCACACTCACTCGGTAGTATATCAACATCTCCTCAATCATTTGCAGTGCAGCTTCTTGCCGCTTGCTCTCGGGTTCTTCAAGTGAAATCACATTCACGACTTCAGGAGTCGGGGAATTACTATCTTTTGACGTTTTCTCGACTCGTCGAGAAAGTCGAATCGTGAAGCGTTTGGAAGACTCCATCAGAAACCGCATATCTTCAGTGATAACATTACCTTGACGATCCTGCTCAATCTCTCTGAGCTGAGCATCTGCTTGCTTTTTGAGTTCCTCAAGACGATCTTCGAGAACATATTGCCGAAGCTTGATCGCTATTTCCGGCAAATCCTTCCCGAGCTTTTCGGACACGACAATTTTGACAAACTCCCTGGCGTGATTGTATGCACGATCCAAATAGTCTTGCGCAATATTCTGCCACGGTTTGGAATAATGAATGAAGAGAAGTGTTGTCCTTTGCGGATCGAAATTTCCAGGAAGTTCTGTACCAAGTGACTCTTTCAAGAAATGGTGAAACTTATCAACTTCTGGGAATTCTTTGGGCGTTGGTTCGTCCGGTCCCCAAGCATAGCCTTTTCTGTGACCTTTCAGATTCATTGTCTGATTAAAAAATTCGCTTTCCGTGCGGATCCTTCCACGGAGATATCGAGCAGGTCCATTGTTTGACTCGAATTGGTCGACCCCGAAGAACTCGGCATCGCGATTGGTACCGTCAACACCTTGGACAGTTGTGGTTAACATATTGCCGCTTTTCTTTGAAAGGACCTTGCGAAGCTCCTTCTGATCAAGAATACCCAAGCTGAGACGATTTATTTCGGCATTATATTCAGCTATACGTTTGTTGATATCCCTCCGAATAGTCGAAATCTGCTTTCGGGTATGGAGAAATAGCAATTGGGTCAAACGCGGCCGCAGATTCTTTACCCCCCAGTTACGTGTACGAAAGAGTTCGTGCCAACGATTGATTTTTCCTGCATTTCTTCCAGAGTTCGGTCCCCACTTTTCGGACTGGAAAAATTCCTCTTCATTGAGATCTCTGGCGTCGGACGGCGTTCGTTCTTTGGTGTCATGCCCGTTTCGATTGACCATTACGTGGCATCCTTTTCCAAATTTAAAGAACGCGTTATCGTTTTGGAAAGCCAGGTTTAACCAGTCGGTCTCATTTTCCAAACCGGCTTCTAGTCTGTCAGGCTTTGTGATGATTCCGAATGTCCTCTCGCCGTTGGGATCAACGAGCCGTGCTTTTTCAAGGATGCTGTGGTCATTCACGTTGCCTTCTGCGTTGACGACAGCGAGTATTATAGTTCTTTCATCTTTGATATATGAATCCGTAATGGATTCCACCATCTTAATGTCATCTTTCTTTCCCTTGTTTGCACTAATTAACCCAGGCAAATCAACTAGCGAGATACGTTGGCAATGTGGGCCTTTGATTTCGACGCACAGAGTATCTTGAGAAAATTGAAACATTTCATCCATTTCGTCTTCGAGAATTCCCATCGCACTAGCAGCTCTGGTGAAAAGAGCTTCAAATCCATCCGGTGTACACGTTTCGTCAAATTTTTTCAGGACCTGGGCGTCAATCTCATTTCTATTCAAACCTGGCCGAATTGTTACTGAGACAGTGGTGCTTGAAAGTTCAGCGTCGCGAATCATTCGAATTCTCCATGCCCATTAGTGTCTAATCTCTAGAAAACAGCAACTGAACTTACTCTGTCACAAAGCGTGTACAGGTGGTGTCACCTCTTGGAAATGGTAGCCTCGTGATAGCTTCTAATACAGAGCTTTTCCCTGAAGATTGTTTACCACACACTACCAAACGAGGTAAGCTCAGTTCACGCTCCAGTCCGTGTTTGCGCATCTCATCCACCAGATCGAGGAACTGATTCTCTTTCTCGTCATGGAGTGAAAGGTCGCTAATGATCTTCTCCCACGCCAAGCCTTCGTCTCCTCTTCTTACCGACGGCCTTAAGGTACGGGCTGGGGGTATCTTCGGGGTAGATGGATTACCAAATAACGCCTCGTGGTTGCTCGACCTTGTGGCAGCAGAGGGTGAAGGGCTCGGTGTGTCTGGAACCTCGAACGAGGGGCGATTGAATGTGACTTCTGGGTTTTGTGATACATGAACAGGTTTCCTATCACTCAAAGATTTCTTACGCGCCGAAGACGGCGGTGTTGGAGGGGTTTGTTCTAGGTATGAAGGCCCCCCAACGTTGCTATTAAAATAACCAGGCGTTGCAGAACGAGCGCTAGTGCCAACATTTTCTTGTGGTGCTCGGTAAGCGTAAAATGTGGGATCTTGGGTAGTTTGAAAGCTTCCTGGCATTTGATCTAGGCGGTTTTGATGAGGCATCTCAGCTGTGTGATAATCATGATTTGGCACCGTGGAGGTCTTTGACGTAAAAACGTCGGCTTCGTTGATTTCAACCTGTGACCGATTCTGATACCGACGTTCTCGATCTTTACCTGGTTTGAACATGGCTTATATTTGAGTATATATTAGGAGAAGGCAATGGTTGCAAAGACTTTTTTGAGAATAAGGAATGACGGCGTGAATTTATGAATAACAAGGCTAGGTAACGAGCAGAGACAGACGATATAAGTACTAGAAAATGAAGCATAGATCTACAAGGCGGTGTTGATGACTCGCTCCTGTCCAAAGATGGTGTTGGCGAAATGCAGCAAACAGGCTGTGAAATGCAGCCAAGCCCTTGGAATTGAAGGTCAAAGCCTCCGGTAGAACGACAACTTTGATATCTTTTAGCAAGTCTAGATTAGGCTTTGTATCAGGCCGAATCGAGGAATAACCTCTTTGTGCATGTCAACTATATTAAACCTCTGTAGAAAGGCGTGTCCAAGGCAGCCTGAAGCAACACCAAGAAGATGAACCAGATCATGGCGTCAATGGCAGAATCCAATTGGTGCGTGCTTGATGTCCGTGACCCACAATCACGCCACAGTGTACAACTTACACCAGTGGCCACATCTCAATCTGCTGCTAATTGGCTCCTTTCAAAAGCAATGTAGACATCCATCACGACTATGACAGTGCCGGGGAGGCGAATTTGGGACCCTTTATTTTTTTATTTTTATTTTTATTTTTTCGAACAGATGCTTCGATTCTTTCCAATAGTCAGAGGTTCAGGCTGGAAATACAGCAGAGAAGACGAATACGAAGAGATCCCAACCGGTGCTTCTTACAGCCTCAGCCTGATCAACTCGCGTCTCTTCTTTACATATAGTCTCTGCATCAGTATTATTATTATCCATATGATCACTTCCCCTGCCACACAGCTGGCTTCAAATATGAGTCAACATCCGCCATCCGGTCAGCGCGACGCCTCCTCTTGCCTTGGCAATATTGCCTCCTCAAATGAAGTTGTTGACTGATGAAAGCCCTTCGCATGATTTTCAAACCGCTTGGGGCAGTGTTGCGCCACGCTGCCTTCAATGCGATAGGATGCACAAACTAGCGGTGAGTGTAGACTAATCCTCCAGAAGGTAGCCAGATCTGTATCTCAGGCTTGCTCCGTCAAATCAAAGCCATAGCGAACATCGTGAGGGTTAGCCACAAATTTGTCATCGCATGGCAACCAATCATCCTCAACCAAGAAATGCCAATGCAGTCACCAATGATAACGCAAGGATGAGAAGTCCCTTCACGTTTAAAACCAATCTCGAATCACTGGTAATACCTCCTCCAGTCAGGTATCGGTCTGTCTGAAATGCAGTGGTCTTGAGATCAATCGCACTTCCGTTGACTCTGCAGACCAAGCCTTCGAGTTCAGAACCTGTCCCGTTCCCTTTCTGCAGCATACATGTCTTGAAGCTTCCTAAGATCTGGTCATCCGTTAGGTTCCGGGAGTCACTTAGGCCGCGAAACGCATTTCCTCGGGGTAGGTAGCAGTACTCGTAGCAATGAACAACACTCCACTTGACCGGGGCGGGCTGGCAACACGCCTCAAGCGCGAGGTGGTTTGAATTGTTAGGCAGTGTCCCACATGCTGCCCACGGGTCATTGACAGAGATCAGGGTCTGAGGGTCTTCCGTTGCGCAGAACTTCTCGGCGCTGAAGGTGCTGGTTGGCGCCGACGAGCTGTCTGTTGAAATGCTGTTAGGGGAAGTAATGGCGTGTGCCTGCGTCAGTCGGCACCAAAGCGGCCCTATGGTTTCTCCAGTCTGGTTCAAGCAGCTCCTCATGTAATCTAGCAAGTCAAAGCCCTCGGTATCGATCTCATCGTTCATCGACGCTGGCATATCGCACCACGAATAGCATTTATCTTCGTCAAAGCTATGTACTTTTTCTGGCGCACAGCACTTCTGTGCCAATGTGTAGTTTGATAAAAATGCACACGCATAGTAGCTATCGCTGCCAATAGTGCCAGTTAAGTTCATCTGAAGAATGCCATTGTAAGAAACGGTGTCAGCGCACGTGACGTCCATTGCGTGGATATTGTATGTTAAGCTTATATTTGACGAGGAAAACAGGACGATATCATCGGTTGTGCGTTTCTCTTGCTATTAGGTCTATAGCTCCGACGGGAAATGAGTGTATGCAGAGTACAAGACGGTTTACAAGCGCAAGATTTTCCTGTGTCTCGTCATGAAGGATCGACAGGTACAATTTCCTTTTTGGCATGGGATGCTGCTTTTTTGGGGGATCCTTAATTTCCCTGGCTTAGTTAACCATTGAAATTCGTCAATCCCTGCTTACGCCCTTAACTTGGATACCTTTGTTTCTCGTTGACTAAAAATACCAAAGCTACCTGACACAATCAGCATGTTGAGAGTATACAGTCTTATTCACGTACCAAACCTCAGCATCTCTCAGAAGCTTCGTTCTGATCAAGGATCACTGCGAACGTCTCTCGTTTGTTGTAATGTTCGTAGGAGTTGTTGATGTTCACCGAAAACTTGACCACATAAGTGCCGCACAAACCTAAATATGTTGCTTCTCCACTTAACGCCATTCAATATGCAATGAGAGATCTTGCGGCTCTCTGTCTAGCCTTGGAAGCATCTGAAGATGTTGTCTCACACCATCCTCTCCGATGTTCAACAGAATAGCTTTCTACAGTATTGCTGCCTTGTGTAGCCAATGACATTCGCGATGCAGGTGGCTAAACATAGCCAAAATATGACCCCTTTTCGGAGGTAGGCAAAGTCCCACCGGCCGCTTCATTCTCGCTCATACCTTTCATTACCATCCCCCAATATCCTAACGTGAATCGAGCCAGTCACGCACTGGCAAGAGGTGTCCATCATGGCGCACCTAGACTACCTCGTGTTCCAGCGGATCTCAATATGGTTTTTTCAGTACTTTTCATCGCCGTGCATATAGATGCCGATCAAATGAGTAAAGAGAGAAGTGACATCAGACAAAGAAGAGATACCCACCTTGCTTGCTTTGCTTTGCTTTGCTTTATCAGATGAGTACTTGTATTCTTTCTCTTCACAATATACCAAGTTTTATGTCTTGCCTAAGTGAACCGCTATCCCTTCAGCCAGTCTCCATCCTTATTTATACCTGAGAGGAGATCCCGTTTCCCAAAATCTTTACGAGTGGCCGTGGCATCGAGAGTCTTAGATTCCATAGAGGCGGTCAGCCCAAAACCTTGACACAAGATAGCCGGGCTCTCTCATAGAGAGATACCCGTTGAATTGTATATGAAATAATTGCGTCTTGTAAGGAGTATTCTAGTGTCTTTTGTCAATTTACGCTGTGTATGTTCACTTCGCCAAGCAGTTGGTGCGGCAACAGCGTGATAGTAATTTTTGCGTGTAAGAAGTCTTAGAAGGAATAATTATTGTGTATAGTTAATATTAAAGAATAGAAGGACAAGATTATTTGCTGTAGGAAGGTTGACGCAAAGATAAAGTAGCTATGGTTTGTCCCGTTTTGGTCTGTGTCCCATGATCCTGGGACCAACATTACTTGCTCTGGCTTGCATTTTGTGCCCTCCTGCTCATGATGCATCGCTGTTCGATGACCATTCGCATCAATCTACTTGAGTAACTCATTTTTCGAGTTCTGGGACCATCAACGGAAACCTTTCTTTCAAGTCAGCAAAATGGAAAGTAAATATTGTCTTCTTGATTACTCATATGTCCTTCACGTATCCTTAATCTTGTATCGACGTAAAACACGGCCACCTGCGCAGCTCTAGCAGTAGCTTTGACTAGAGGCTTCGCACTCCAGCTGGACTGCATCGTCCAACAAAGATGGTTGTTCACACAACTTAAGTTCGCCACCAAGCAGTCCAGATCGCTTGGCGTACTAACAATGCATTCACAGTTGGCAATTGTACCTGGCGGTGAGACTTCATGGCTTGCTTCAGAAAATTTTAGGTCGATACTAACTATTTGGCTGTCCAATAGATCAATGTTTGACTCGTGCGGATGCTCGATGCGAGAATCTTCGGGACTAGAAACAATGGATATGATCCGTGCAAGTGCGAACATCACACAGGTTCCTGAATGGCCTGGACCTTATACTAAAGAAACAAAGATGAGCGAATACGAATGTGCAGGCGCATTATTGAAAGTCAAAATGCGGTGATGAACTCGATGATTGGGGCGGCAGGTGCCGCAAATGTTTCGGATCGCGGCCGAGCATGACTCTGATAGTGTCCTCGTCCTTACTACGCCTCAAGCCGAGATCTGCAAATTCTCAGACGATGCACTTTCTTTACGAAGGCACAGACTCCATATGTGCTCTCAAGAATGAATATCTTCAATGCTAGCAGTGCGAGGCGTTTGGCAGACTCCTTTCGAGGTGCTCTTCTCGAACGCCAACAATATGCTAATTATCCTCGACTCAGACCATTTGTCTTGTGTATTGCCAACTTCGATATAATGGACAGTAGGCAATCATAGCATCTTGTTAATTTGATATCCTTTCCTTTGGAGCCCTTATTCGAAGCATTACGCTGTCTTTTGAATTTCAGACGTTATTTCTAAAGTAGAAGAAACTTTGGGCATCTACAAGATGCCAGCTTCGAATTCAGATCCACGATCAACTGCTTCAGACCAACAGGTTCCGACTCTAGGACAGACTCCTAGTTTGGAAATCGCCTCTATCTTCTTCGGTACCTTCATAGGTCTTTTCTTTTTCACGGTTACAAAGGTCGCACGTCAAAGCTTTGGTATAATCAAGCGAACTGCGAGCGTTCGCAATGGCTACCTTTGGATGATGTGGATGGAAGCTGTTGTGAATATGGTCTTCGCCCTCACTACCTACCTATTCATTCGTGGTAACATCAAACCCAGGTGAGAGACTTTTACTTGTGTTTTCCATTCTGCTAACAAATATTTTGAAGTCTGGCTTACTACATCGGCGCTGGTGCGATATACATCCGTTCTATGGCCGTTTTGGCTTCAAATAGCTAACAATGGACAGTTTTCCTGTGGACTCTGCAAACTCAACTTCTCCTGCAGATAATTGCTAATCGCGTCGGCCTGATGTTGGTAAACAAGCGCAAGACTCGCGTCATGCAATGGACTCTACTGGTTGTCATTGGGACGGTCAACATCTCAGTATTTTGCATATGGATCCCAGCACAAATGAACGTCAATGAAATGTTCATACATCTTAATCATATTTGGGAGCGAATTGAGAAGAGCATTTTCCTTGTTGTGGACTTGAGCTTGAACCTTTACTTTCTCCACACTGTTCGGTCACAACTCATCCTAAAAGGACTTACAAAATACTGGCGCGTATTCAATTTTAACGCTGCCATCGTGGTCCTATCAGTGGCTATGGATCTCCTGCTTTTAGGACTTCTGAGCTTAAAAAACCCCTTTGAGTAAGTCTCGCTACGTTTGAATCTCTCTACTGAGGAACAAAACATTAATCAATCCGGCACTGCCTTAGCTACGTCCAGTTCGCCCCGGTGGCGTATATTGTCAAGTTGAACATTGAGCTTACAATGGCCGCGCTGATCACAAGTGTCGTCCGAGGAGGTGTCCGAGTCGAAGAATACGGTTCAAGAACGGAGATGGCTCCCAGTAGCACTCATTCTCGCGGAGTCAATTACGATGCAAAGGATCAAGCGCAGGGTTACTTCCCTGGGCGAGATCTTGAAAGTTCTCGGGAATCAAACGGCGGAATGGTTGAAAATACTTCCATTGCCTCGAAAGCAAAAGACTATGAGGGCCCTGGTATTGTAAAAACGGTTACTATGTTTTTTAATGAGGAGGACGACTAGGTTCTCTTCGGGAATACTAATACTGAATCCTGTTGGTTCACAAAAATCAGCGTTCTTAATCTCCAATACTTAATTTCACTTGACTCCAGTGTCAAATTTTTGGAAGCCTCGGATCTGAGACTAGAATTTTCTATTCTAATGTTGTGCTGTTATCCTCAGCCTTACGTGAAATTCACTACCACGGCCTTGAATAAACGCGAAATGGCTGTGATATTGTTTGGTCTTTGTATTGAGATGAATAAAGTTTACGAGAGGAAAAAAGTGTTGCCCTGTCTATCAGTTCTCTTTGCAGTCCTGTAATCCTTCGTTGGATCAAACTCCTGCCAGATACTTGCGGGGTAAATATGTTTGTGCTTCTCATACCATCTCCTATCAACTAATTTTGTCGAGGTCGGATCATCATAAAACCCTTCAAGTTGTTCATCAGGGACAACAGATTTGGATATTCCTTTTGTCCTCTGTTTGGCTAATGGATCATATGTCGCAGGATTGATCTCTTCTTCCTCATCGTCCCCATCTGGTGGTGTCCCGGCAGTGCGATCCGCTGAGATGTTGAATAAAGGGCCACTGTAGCCTTCTGTCTTGTTTGCGGCAAAGTAGTAAAACTCGTAGTGCTGCTCTGGGATCAGAAAAGCACAGTACAAGAAAGCAGGCACAATAGACTTACATGTGGCAGTATGATGTCGTCTTTGACCATCATGAGATCATCCACACTGACTCTAGCCCAGTTACTACTCGCCTTATCACCACCAACTCCCAACTCAGCGCCCATCTTGCGCGCCTTGTCGAGGAATAACCAGACATGGTCACCCTTCTTGACCTTAACCTTTCCACCTGGTGTTATCGCACCGTCGTAGAATACGAATGGAACCATAATCTCTGTCTTTCTCACAGCCTCCCGTGTCGCGATGAACTCTTTGCGTAGCTGCTCTGCCTTTTCAGCCTCTTGCTGTAACGTCGCTTTTGTCCTTGCTTTGGGCGTAAAACCTATACCCACTCGAGCCCCTAGTTTTTTCTTTGCAACACTGAGGTCCCCTCCCACAGGGTCTTCGCGAAGATCCGGTGTGCGCGGCAATGATCGTGGGCTAGAAACCGCGCTTGTGCCATCCTCTTCGTCATCTTCTGCGTCAAATGACAGCTTTGCCTTTCCAATCTTTTTCAACTTTTTCTTTAGCGGATCGGTCGTTGATACTCTATTCTTTGACGTTCAGCTGCAGTCAGGTTTTTTCTAAGATGATAAGAACTTACCCATCTCTTGGAGAGTTTGCGCCCGAAGGCACTGCACTGTTCCTGCCGGATTCATTGAGTTCAACAGCTTCACGCCGCCTTTTCCGGTAGTCTGATAGCGACACTAGGCCCTCCGTTTGCGATTTTAGCACATCCTCAGCAGTTGCACGGGAGCTCTGAAAACGGCCGTTGCCAGGACCAGGTGTATGGTCGCGCGAAGGGACGGATGACCCAGGGTTCGACATTGAGGTCGTAACGGAGCAAGTGGGGAATTGGAGAAGGGAACTATTTCTCATCAATGGCGAATGCCCATGTTCGCGCTATTTTAGCAATCAGAAAGCCTTGGCTTCGCCTTTGAGACTGCCTCAAGAGCGTGTAGAAACAGCAAATGTGTTTTGGGTAGCTCAGATTCGTCAAAATGACGGGATGCGAGCTCGAATGGTCCAGGGTCCAGTCGTCAACCCCAGAAACGTCTTTCGCCCGAGGCCGCCAACAGCACCTCAACCATGCACATTCAGCACAGTTTAATCTAGATACTGGTGGAAAGTTTCGCTGCTAGATGAGATCGAGAATGTCCATGAATGCTAAATCCAACATTTGTGAGCCATCTTCTAACAAATATCTTCAAGTGGTGTGTTGCGAACTACTCCTAGCGACGGCTTCGAATACTCCCTTGTTGTAAATGGTGACCGGGTAATTCGTTGAAGTGTACGCAAACATTTATGTATATGCTCTTCGCTTCGGCCAGCGCGCTATCTCCTGGTAACGCTGAATTCGTTAGACAGTTTTCTACGACTTACTTTGGAGAGAGATGGGGTTTGACTTTCTCTTTGGAGGTTCTTCGCCTGCCTCTCCGTCTGACAAAACTCAAGGCTAGCTTCGTAATGCTAGCCTCGAAGTGCGGCTTTCGTCGCGAATCGAGCCGATAAAGTCGAAGTCTCGGCCAATGTGGAATTTGATTCTCCATCGCTTTCAAGTACGCGGACTCGCTGCCCACGCAATGATCCTTCCTCCGTATGTGCAATCCCGTCTGGCACCTTCCTTACGTATATCGCAGCCAAGCAACAAGAGGGAGCAGCTTACGGCTACTCCTTGATCACATCCGAACTCCCAACGTGCCATAGATTCTTACGAGGTCCTACATACTATTTTCCAGTGCAGCTCATCACAATGGAGTTCACATTTAGATGCAACATCACAAAATGTCGTGTTGAGCTTCAGCATCAGGCTGTGGTTACCACATGCAGGTTCGAAGCCCTGGTGACGAGTTAGCACGTTGGAATTCCTGTTGACCCCTTAGACTAGTCACATTTTCTGCGTCCAATGCGCCTCCAACTCGGGTCTGGCGAACGCTGTTGGAGGCGTGCGTGTCTGTCCAGCATGCAAAACACAGCTGATAAACAAAGATGATGCTGTCATAACCCAGCTAGATCCATCAGAGGATTACAAAACCTCGGTTCTGAGTGGCTTTACGCCGACCCTGATCATGGAGTGTGCAGGTCGCGCTCTAAACTTCTACAACTATCAGGCCGTTCACGAAGTGTAAGGTTGGATGTTGCATTTACTCCAGAATACACTAATACGATGTCATGTAGAACATACCAGGAGTTTCTAGCTCGAAGACTCACGGAGAAGGTCACAGGACTCAAGACACAGTTGGACGAAACAGTTAGCAACGCAAACGGCCATATCCATAAGCTGCAAGAAGCGCTTAGAGGTCCACTTACTAGACCATTCATATTTGATTTACTAACTTTTTCTAGAATATCAAAGTCGTATTGCTGACATGGAGAATAAGAATTTAGAGCTCCAAAATGCGTTCAAGCAGAAGGCTAAAGCTCTTAAGGAAACTACAAGAAAGTATGATCTGCTAAAGAGTGAAAAGATGGCTGCGCAAACCATGAACGCTGCTTCGGATGAAGCAGAACAAGTTATCCAAAGCTTTGCGGGCGTTAATCGCCTCTCCAAACACTACAACCCTAGCTTTGGCAATTCTTACCGACGACCGGCCAATGACAGCCTGGATGGGCCTCCACAGCGCAGTTCCATTCGTGCACTTCACTCCATTCAGCGTCATCCATCGCAAACCCGTTATTCTTGCCACAGATACGGAGACTGTAGGTCTAGTTGGCGGAAATTTTGACTTCACTGACGAGGCAACAAAGCAGACGTCACGGGCACTAATCCACTATTTATGACACCGCGTACTCAGCGCCATGCATTACATGCTGCAGATATTCCGAACTGTAGTCCCCGCGCAGATGGCCATCGCTTGCCATTGGGAGATCTACCTGTTAACAGCTACATGCGTCCGCCGAACAGCCCGTATGGCATAAGCGTTGGGGCCAAGGCTAGCAAACAACCTTTCCCAGCGGCCAGTGCGACACCAAAATAAAAACCAACGCAGAAAGGTCTAATCTTGCTTCGCGCTGGTTGTAGCACGTGTAAAACTTATTCCAGGTTGAGCTTGCCAGTTTTCCATTGCTCAATATGTTTTGCAACTCCATTGGTCTTGTGTTGCTAAGATTCATCAAGCAGTCCTGGTTATAAATGATATTATGTAGCGTATCAAATTGTCACTTGAGAAACATTCAAGTTAAGCCGAATGAAATATGCTTAGCTTCTGCCTTATATTCAATGTTTCACAGCAATGCATCTCGAGTCGTGAGAAATTCTTTGTACCTAGCAAGTGTTTGTCGCCGAAACGTCTTGCCCCAAATCATCATGGGCACTGAAGTCATGATGAAAATGAAGCTTAGAGCACCAATGATACACATGACACCAGTAACAGACTGTACTGCAAACCATGGACCCGTTCCGAAGGTGAAAATCATAGCAATGGTGTTGTTAATTACCGCAACACCGACCATACCTTCAAGCCTGTTATTTTTGCGTTAACAGATTAAACTTTTCAACGCTTTAAAATCAAACTTACACCATGTCAGGATAGCAGTCCATAAGATAGGCCATAGACAGATCACCAGCACAGCCCCATCCAAAGCCAATAAACCCAAGACCCACATATGGCACTGGCCATGACCATCCATTGTTTGTACCAACACCGAACAAAATCAATCCAATTGGGCTGATGATGGCTGCAGGAAACATGAACCACAATCGATGTTCTGCCTCAGCTATCCCACCATTTCGCTTCGCCATCCACCGAACAAAGAGATCAGAGCAGTAACCACCCCAGATACAGCCAATAAATGAGCCAATTATACAAGGCACGTTCATGATAGCGTCCTGAGCGTCGGTGTAATTCCAGGGGGGGCCGTACCAATTGTCTTCTTCGAGGGTGAGATAAAATGTCAACCACGCATCCTGAGCACCCCATTGCAAGCCCGCAAAAAGGACAGCGGGGAATGTGAATACACGGAGCATGTGAAACAAGCGTTGCCCATATTGTTTGAAGCCCCATCCTTTTAGATTCGGTGCTGGCGTAATCAGGGCGATCCTTTTCCAGTACGGCTTGCTAGCTTTTAACGATTCCAACTCTCCAGCATGTATGATTGAAGGGCGATGTTCATGCGTCATCACCTTCTTTTCGGGATCACCGTCCTCTTCAGTTGCAGTTGAGGACTCCACTGGCGCGCCATTGAGAATGTGACGACGGTCGAAAGTAGTTTCTTCAAAGCCGAAGTAGAAGATGACAAAGGTTGCGCCAGAGATTATAACGGCAAACCAACCTACCCAGCGCCATCCAAGGTCACTATCGGCTATGTAGCCTCCGATCAAAGGACTGTATGACGACTGACGTTAGAAGAACAGTTCACGTGACACGAACATATAATACCAGTTTGGAATAATATATCACGTCTCATAAAAGGACGTCGGCTAATTGAGCCATGAAGATACAGTGCAAAGTATTCGGAACGAGATCTGACATACCCAAGATATGTTCCCAGATTAGTCGCTAAAACGTAAAAGCCAAGCACTGTGCCGCGCTGGTGCTGAAAGAAGATGTCAGAGAGTGAGGTTTGCACCGCAGCCTCTGCACAGGACTCAGAAGCTCCTACGAAGAACTGACTTCCAATCGAATCACCGCTGGTTTGGATCCGAGCGAACCAGATGCTGCCACCAAGGCCCATGAGGATGGAGATGAGGTAATTCAATCTGCGACCGTACAGTGTGACCGTTGGTGCAAGAAGCAACGTCATGTAGCCAATCGCGATGAAGAGGACACCAGCGGCAATGTTGATCTGATTGTACGTGATTCCAAGCTCTTCATTCTGTTGATCGGCAGCGGAACCAGCGTCATTGGATGTAGCAGCTGTCAAGCCTGCGATGAAGCAGCACAATACCGCATGCCAATACCTGCGCGCCTTCGACCACCGCAGTGGATCGTCCGGACTGTTCGTTGGCTGCGGCACGAGCGTGATTTCTGCGTCTAACAATTGACCGTCTTCCCCAACGTCGAACAGGCGGACAGTGCCAGGCAGACTCGTCTCATCGCCCATCGCGGTGACTTTGCTGGACAACTGAGGAAGAGCAATTGGCAGCAGAATCACTCGCAACAGTTTGTCTGAGCGGGACACTAGCCAGTTTAACAAGGATAGCAAGATAAGAAGTGGTCTGGGCGGCAGCATAAGGAAAAAGCTTCGCTAACTTAGCGATAGGCTGGGGTTGCCGGGCGCGCCGTTTGCAGCGGGATGTAACCTAGCTCCTCTGATTTTCGAGAGCTAAGCAGTGCTCCTGCAACACCAACCGCTTTGCGTATGTGCAAGCGAAATCCGCGTTGAAAGCTGCACACGACACCCTTTGCCCTTGCCCTTGCCCATTTTCTTGATAAAACTTATCTGTGATATTTTTTGTTTACGTCGACAAAATGCACCCTGGAATATCGAGGTGAAAGCCTGTCCTTAGCGCCCAAACCCCTTCCTATCCAGTTGAGATTGATCGACCGTTCCAGCTGATCACTCGTTGATCAGCCTGACAGCTCAGAACCTGTGTCAGCGAGGATAGCCCCCTGCGTGCCGCAATGATGGCAGGTATACTAGGAACCAAGCTCTCTCCAGCCTTGAGTGATTACATTCAAGGCATCGATGTGCAGGCACTCTCGCGGATTGGTGCTGATCGCCTTTCAGAGAGGGCTATTCCCAACATCGGACTCATAGAGCTTGTCAGTGCGAGAGACTTCGCAAGCAGATATGACGCGTTGTACATCAAGGAGTTTCCAAAACAAGCCGAACGGGAGCGTACCGATCTCATCATTTCACGATTGACTGCCCAATTTGCCGGCCAAAGAGTCGGGCTTGCGCCTTATCACGTCGTAGGCATCCGTGATAGCAAAGGTGATGCTATAGGTGCAGCTCAATTTTCCGTCTTGCCTGTCAAGGACAGTTCATTTGCAGTGCCGTATTTGCAATACATATATGTTCGGAGGGAGAATAGGCGTCAGGACATGAGCGAGGTTCTTCACACCATGACGCTTGCAATTACGCTCGCGGATGCCAAGAAAATGGGTAACAGAACAGTTCCTTTTACACTGTTTGAGACCGAGCCTCCCGGTTATGGAGATGATGAAGAGAGCAGAGCGTTCAGTCGAATGCGGGCGCAAGTCCATAGCAAAGGTGGTGCAACTGCCGTTGTTCTTATGAAAGAAGGGCAACAGATTAGCCCACACGTACAGCCGGGTTTAGAGGTTGGTGATCCGCCATTGAGCCTCGTCTGGGCGATCAGAAAGAGCCCCTCACCAGGCCATGAGTGGAACATATCAGATATCGGCGACAAACTCATGGCTGCATACTATCAAAGTCTAAGAGATGAAGGGTTTCCAGAAGAAAACATACGGCTCGCGGAAAGCATCGTGAAAGAGAGGTGTAAAGGCTCGACTTGGATTCTAATCCCCCTGGACGAGGTGACTTTCCATATTGTTTGAATGTATGATACAATTTTGATAGGTAAAAAGCTTTTGAGCTCCATATAACTAAAAATCATGTCTCTTCAACCACCTTACCACTTCAACTAGACAGAATTTGGGTTTGTACGAAACACATTGCAAAAGGTTAGTCCGGTGCATGTGCGAACAACCGAGACAGATATTGGGCAATCGCGCATGACTTTCAACAGATAGCCGGATATTGACCAGACATTAGATCACGCTAACAGAATTGGTGCAAAGATAGCTGGGAGAGAAATCTTTTCACTGAACTGTAAAGCAGATTGCGTGATCGGGTCACTTGAATCACTCAAACGCGAGCGATCCTGCTCCGAAATCTCTCTTCAAAGGGAGATTTCTAAACAAATCCTCCACTTTTACCTTACGGCTAGAATATTTTAAGACTTCGAAACAGGAGTTTTTCTACTTCTACGGAAAAAAAAAAAAAAATAAAATTTGCACACGGATGGAGACTGAGAACACTTACCTAATCGGTACCTGTAGATTGACTTCTAGCTCCAGTGCCTTCAAACGAGAAAATCTACAACGGAAGCTTAATCATGCAGATGAAATTGACTATCTTAGCAATCCGATTCTAATGTCGATGCTAAACTTACACATTTACGTACAATACTAAGTTCCAATCTATTTCAAGTATAGAGAACTACTGGTTGACGAGAGAATTGCTGGGTATATATGAACTTTCTGGTCAGAACATGAAATTTTACCGACTCAATCACATTTTCCGAAGCTGTGTGTCGATTTCGAAGGCATTTATAACCTATATTCACGAAAAATGAAAGAAGAATGAGCAAGTGATGAATTCTACCCTACGTTTATGTTGGAAAAATTTATACTGCCTTGAGGAGAGAAAAGTCAAGTACGTGGAATGAACATAAATTATGAAAATTAGCAAGCTTAATAAAAGCATCACAGGAATACGCATCGGAATCTGGTTTGCTCTGCACAAGTCCTGTGATTTTGCAGCTGCCCTGCGACTCTACTTTGAAGCATTTCCGGATTGTTTCGGTATGTCTCACCACGACAATGATATTTGAAGACCAGCTAAATAATGAAGCAAGTTGCAAGCGGCAATGCCTGTGTAATCATCTTTATTTACTTACGGAGGAGATTCGAGATGGTGGATGAGCGGGCGTACTTGAAGATGCAGTCCAATAGGCGGAAAGGAATGCACTTCAATTCGTTATCTCCGCCAAAACAATAGTTTCATGATAAATTATTATTAATGATACATGCTATCGATAATCATGCCGGACTTCTTATACCCAAATAGAGCAGACTTTCAACATGATATGACGATATTGTGAGCTAGGCTCCGAGAATACAAGTGGCGTTTTTCTTTTGAATTTACACAACATATAGATTGAGCGACATGGTCAATAGTGATAGAAAAGATATTAACAACAAATTCATACCAACAACTGCCATTGGTAAATAATTTGGGCACGAATTTTACGTGTATCAAACGCTTTCGGGGAGTCTTCAACTTATTACAGCCGCTGAAAGCAGCAAGAAAATTCCAATGTAGTTCTGCTATTGTCAAACCATAGTTGTCATCCAGATTTCATACGGAAAATTACTATGCAATGGCCAAGTTGTGAGTCTTACGAGAAGATTCAAAGTGATAAGATTGAGTTCAATGAAAGAATTACACTCAAGATGTGAGCAACTTTCCTATGATTTGGCAACATTATGCCAAGAGATCTAATCTAATCTAATCTATGTCACTTTCAACTTCCCCGTCATCCGATAGTGCTCTATGGAGTCTACCCCAGATTCACCGCGCCGGCAACTGCACGTTCATCCTTGATATCCCCTTTCCCTCCACTCTCTCACTAATCTAATCGCGCTGGATTCACGCATCTTGCGATATTGATAGCCATCATGGATGAATCCAACAACCCGACGGAGAATTCCACCGCCGAAACTCGAGACGAAGAGCTCGATGCCTCAATAGAGGCAGACATCTCGCAAGAGCCCCTCCATCCGGACCCTATGCAAATAGATTCGAATGCGAATGAAGCGATACCAACAGCGCAGAACGAAATACCTGCGTCAACAGAGCCTCGCATACCGGCCAAGAAAGATGCCAGCTTACGCGAATTTCTGGCAAAGATGGACGACTATGCGCCAATTGTACGAGCCTCCCTTCACGAGTGAGCGTACGCGCGCATGCGCGCGCATGCACATATTCATAAGCGACCAGAGTTTTCTATTCACAGAATACTGACGCGTCTACTTGCTAGATCCCCGACGCAGTGACGAATTACTACCTTACGCTCGCGGGGCTTCCGCCTCCACCCCAAACCCCGATACAACTGACCCGTCTTCTTTCGCTTGCAACTCAGAAATTCATTGCTGATATCGCCGCGGACGCCTACCAATATGCACGTATCCGCTCCTCAAACACGTCGTCGACAAATCCGATGGGCGCCACTGGCGCGGCTGGGTTCCCAGCTGTTCCGGGGGCCGGGCCAAGCGGCACAGGAGGCACTGGCAAAGAGGGCGAAAAGAACAAGAATCTAGGCGTGCAGAGGCCCGGTTACGGCGGAGGTGGTCAGGGTGGCAGCGGACAAGGCCGAACGGTCCTGACCATGGAGGACCTGGGCATGGCCGTCGGAGAATACGGGGTCAATGTCAAGAGAAGCGAATTCTACCGATGATTATAGCCTGGAAAGGTGTTTTTGCCAGGAACTGTCAAATGCGAGAATGAGAAGTCTTGATTGACAGGACAATATAATGACGGGGAATAGGAACTGCAGCTCTCCGATTGCAAGAGCTGATGACTGTTCCTCAAATGTCAAAATTATCTGCTGAGCTCTTCACTGATGAGCCGGCTGGGCGACTGGATCGTTGACATGCTTTTGATACATTAGATTCGGGTCGCGAGCAGTGGATGGTACTCGAAATCACGAGATATTTAGATAGCAACGATGGGCAAACAGGCGCAAGTGCAGTATATTGTATTAAAAACTTCTGGAAGCATATTACACACAAATATGTTTAATCCGTCCTGGAAACACCGCCTAGCGTGAAATATTGCGTCGTCAGACGTCCAAGGGTCTATTTGTGCTCCTATGAAGTGGCTGGCCGAGTCAGCCTTGACTCCAAGTACACGACAAAAGAGTGATAGTTGTGTCGGGGAGAAGTTTGACAGTAAAGTCGATGACTTCGAGTAGACTACAGTAAAATCTCGCGTTCATCGATTACTTTGATCACGGGGATATCACTAATTCATATGGCGAAGGTAGGCTTTTTGACGTCGAAAAGAAATAGAAAGTAAAAGAGCACCTGGAAAGGCATAATGAATGCTATGTCATAGGTAATTTAAGCAAATTCATGGTCTCATATGACAACTACTATCGAAGCTGAAAACCCCGAATCAAAAGAAATCCAATCGCTCCCGATACTGCAATGAATGAAGTGACTGGGCTAAAATCCGTAAAGCCGTTGGCATTATTTCAGCCCAAGTCAGAGAGAAACAAAAACACATACATGTCAAGAATCCCAAAAGAAAAAAAAATGATGTTCCTGGTGGGAGCTACGAACAGAATTTAGATTGAGATCTCAAGAATTTCGTTCAAGGAGACTTACTCGAACCCACGACTTCCGCATGCCTTATGGCCATACAAGTTACCTTACGGCCTACAAGTACTTCGACACGGTTAGTCCAGGGACCATCACCAGCAGACAAGAAGTGCTTACTAAGAACGGCGTGTTAACCACTGCACTACAGGAACATATTTTCGTCGAGCTTTCGCGGCTTTTTTCTACTTATTGACGTATATTATTTCCTAGCAAGGCATAAAATTTTTCTCTTGCCCACGAGCAGCATAGCAACTGCAGGTTTAAAAATTCTAAACACGAAAAGTAAAAATTCCGAATTCTTCACCCGTTTAAAAGATTTTTTTTTGGCTCGGCTGTTTGAGTAACTTGATTTCCACCTCGCCTCACTCGGTTGACAAAAAGCTGTTGGGGTACATGCGAAAAAGGATGCGATGGAACTTGTCAATACCTAATTTCAGCCGGCTCAGTAGCTACGCCAAAAATAATACAGCTGTGTTTTCAGATGCTATCGTCAAGATTCTTCTGCCTTCTTGATTTTGCAAACTGTCGCTTGCTAAAAGTTGCCCAGCGCCATGCAACCAAGGTGGAATAGCTTCACGGTGAACAGAGATGCGCGCTAGTTCGATCGTCAAGACGACCAAGAAAATTCGTGCAGACGACGACGAAAGCACGAGAAGAAGTGGAATCCCGAAGCTTTTGGGCTGCACAGTTGCAAAACACTTTTGCCACAAACATGGATGCTGTTGGAGAATGCCCTTCGCAGCACGCTTCGTAGCCTCGATGCTTAGGTAGCGCGGAGAAATCGTCGTCCGGCTTGCTGTGCATTGCCGTGGAGCAACATGGCAATGTTGTCTTCTTTCCAGGACTTGAAGCAAGATCCTCGCGTGCTGGCGCTGACGGAAACTAGGAATGCGAGGACGAGGATCAGCAGGACATCAGGCATGGAGATCCAGTCCCAGTCCACCTTCACGAAGGTCTGCCTAAGGGCCCCTACGGTGATGTCAAAATTCGGCGAGCGGTCTCGCGATTTGGTAACGGAGCCACTTGAGCTGGCCCAGGCCCTCGGTGACGGAGACCATGAGTGTAAAGGCGGCAAACGTCGACAGGGGCGACGCGATTGTGTCGATCGTGATCCCGTACTTTCCACGCGGGCACCAATCCGCCGTCAAAGACTCGAGGCAGCGCAACGACGGCCAAAACGCACAGCAGGCCGAACAGCCAGTGCGATGAGGACAGCCGGCCTCGGCCGTTGCCAGTTTCCATTGCACAAACGAGCAGCTTGCTTCTCGCCCGCATCTTGTCCAGAATCCCGCGACCGTTTTCCCCAACGACAACGACGACGACGAAGGCTCCTCTGCACTCCGAGGTGCTCCTAAGGGTGCCAAGCCTGCCTGCTGCTCGCCAGAAGATATTCAAGTCGTCGCGCTCGTTTTGAACGCGGACGCTTATGAACGGCACGGTAGGATTGGATCTAAGTACGAACGTCGGCATGGTCCTAATGACTGATGGCGAGTCCAGCGCAATGTTCCACCGCCTTATTTAAACTCACCTCTGCCTTTCTTCTGCTACGCTGCTAAGCCTATGGACCATGAACCTTGCCAATCGTTTGAGAGGTCTAAATGCTGTCCCAACTCCATCGTCAAGGGCCGACCAGGCCACACACACACACACACGCCTAACGCGGCGCCATTGTTATAATGGGACGTCGTAGCGGCTGAGTGAGCAGAAAGGCTGTCGTTCGGGAAAATTCACTGAAAGCATGTTCATTTCTGTGCTTGGAAACTGCTTAATTTGGACAGTATGGCCCTGGCCATGCACCATGTCTTTGTTTCACCGCTTGTCGCGTCAAGAAGGCAAGCAAATATGTGTCCCGAAGTAGGCGAGGAAATTATTCAGTAAACTGAAGTCGAGTCATTTTGGGACGAGTGCATGTAACTTCATCTGCGTATGAGGACTTGCGAACGTGAGCAGAAGAAACTTGCGTAGTTATTGTGGATTATGAATTTGTAATTTCATCAGGGTCGTTAAGGTAGATGTCATCGTCATGTTATTCTAACAAAATTCCAAGTCATCCATTTCCGAATCAAGACCAAAAAAAGACTCCTTATCACGTTGCCTTCTCGCGAATGAGCCATGAGCCATAAACAATGCCTCATGATCATGAGGTGTCACTTTCCGTTCCCAACCGTTCAAAAACTCTCGTCCTGATTTGTATCCGTGTAAGGCGACAGAATCAAATGTCGCCGTGTAATATCGATATGGAGTTCTTCCAGGCCATGCTCTTCGTACAGCTCCATTCCAGTTTCATGCACGTTTCGTACCGCCTTGCTAGGTATATGAGAAAGTGATCAAAAGACAGGGTGGGGAACGACAATATAAGGAAAAACTTTAAGTGAAAAAGGGGATCGGTCGTCTCATCATCGATACGGCGCTGCACCCATTGGGGGAGGCGGTAGATTGCTAGCCCCAGCATACGGGTTACCGTCGGCATAGCTTATGGGACTGGGGCCATATGGTCCTGGATAGTCGTAAGCAGAGTTCGCAAAGGCTGCGCGCCTGGCCTCGCGATCGCGCTTCTCGCGCATCTTCTGGCGCTTTCTGCGCTTTTCTTCAAGCTCCTTGACTTCATGCCTGTGCTCGTTCATCTCCTTCCACTCTGAGAAAGCGGATTTGATACCGAGTGCGGCGATGCCGATAGCGGCCGCATCCTGCAGCATGTTCTTGGACTTGCGTTTGCGCGCCTCCTCGGGTGACATTTCGCCCTCCATAACAAGTTTATGTCGCTTTTCTGAAGCAACCATGGACGAGTACACGCCGTGAGCGGCGTGAATGGTGGCAACGGTCGCGAGGCCGGCAGTGAGAAGCTCCTTACCTCTCATCTTCTTTCGCTTCTTCTCCATATCTGTCGTCGAAATGGACTCGCTGCTGCTGTTGTGACCGCGAATCTTTTCTAGTTCGCCGCCCCTAGTTGCGGCGCCTTTGCCTTCCATGGGAAGCGGAGGGGGACCGCGAGACGGATCGCGGGAATCTGGGGGGAAGGGACCACGGTCAGCTCCGTATCGTTGACGGCGGGCTGGAACGTACGATTCTTGAGATGAGACGGACGCAGAGCGTGCACGTCCACGCGACTTGGACCGCACCCGGTCGTAAATTGCTTTTCCTGCCGCTGCAATGCCACCAGCAGCCACCAGCTCCTTGAGGCCACGGCTCTTGGACCTAGGTCTGCGCTCCGGACTGCCATATGAGTCGTACGACGCAGAACGAGAACGACCCCGCCCGCGACTGAGGCTACGGAAGAGCGAGCGCGAGCGCTCGCGCAGACCACCACCGACGCTTCGAGAGCGAGAGCGTGATCGGCCGCGCGAGCCTGAACGGCTGCGAGGACCATTGGCGAGACGATTGGCAGCCAGACCACCGACGACAGACTCAATGATATGCCGCTTTGCATGCTTGTTTGGGTCCTTATCGAGTAGCCCGTCGACTCCAGCAGCACCGAGCGCTGCCGTGGCGATCCGCTGACCTTTGGCTCCGGTCCAACCGCCGGGCTCGTTTCGGCTGCGCACAGCCTCGATGACGCCGGTCAAAACGGCAGCCTTGGCAGCCTGTTGCCACTTCTTTCGCGTTTCACGACTCTTGGAGCGCGGGCCACGACGACTGTCGTAGTCGCCGTAGTCGGAATCGCGTTCGTGGCGACCACGAGACTTGCTGCGCGACCTGCCGAGCAGAGCACCCACCGCACCACCGATGCCAAGGTCTTCTAATGTCTTCTCGATTGTTGACTTGCGACGCTCGTGGCGCGGGCGGCCGTAGTCGTCTGAGTAATAATCATCGTCGTAGTACTCGCTGCGACGTCGGGGGGGGCCGCGTCTGCTTCGCGCGTAACCAGCACCGCCCGAGGCGCCGTAGTCGGAGTAGTAGTCGTCGTCATCATCATAGCGTGAGCCCCGCGAACGGCGTGGAGGATATTCGTCACGGATGCGCGTACGACGGTACTCTGCGGTGGGTGGAAAGTCGCGCGGGATGTCCTCGATGCTGTCCTCGCGATAGACCAAGTCTTGAGAGGGACGGCCACTACCACGGTGGACAAAGGTCGTCTCGGACACGTACTCGGGCTCACGGTAGCGGGTACGATCAGAGCCACGGCGGCTCTCGTAATCGTACTCAGACATGGTCTCTAAACGGCCAGCGGCCAGCCAGCACTCGACGCTAAACTAGGCCTTCGCCTTCGCTCGCACGCGCTCTGGGTGACTTGTCTTCACTGGACCAAGAGTCAGCACATGTGCGCCTCAGTGCGATCAAGAAATCAGACATAGACAAGCAAGAAGCGAAAAGGCTGCGCAAAAACCGCTTCAGGCTGCTGGGTGACTCACCGGGAAGATCTCGACCGAGTGGCGAGGTGTGCTTGTCAAGGCACGGGTAGGATTTCGCAGGTGGTGCGCAAACGAGTATTGACGGTAGAAAATGCTGGGTATGCAAACGAGCCGATCAGAAACCAAGGGCAAGGGGAAGCAGGTTGGTCAGAGCCTCTTGGTTCTATCCGCGGGCGACAGAGGAGTTGGGTATGAATATGTATGTGGTCGACAGGCAGCCAAGAGAGGCTGGCAAGGATGACGGTGGTGTTACGGTATTTAGCGGTGCTGCTGGAGCCCGCTTCCTGCCGGTCCGGTGAGAGTTCGGCGATGCTTGAGAGTATTATGCGCAGGAGTGGCCTCCAAGATTCAAGCACAGAGCTGCGGCCGCGAGCTTTGTGGGGCTGAGCAAAGACGAGCTGAGCGTGTACTTCGATGCCGATGGTGGGATGGAGACGATCTGTCTGGAGGTTTGCTGAGGGTTGAGAGGAACTTTGGCGAGTTTGCTGGTGGTCAAGTCAATCAGTCCGACCGTCCGGCGTCAGTCAGTCAGTCATTCTGTTTAAGGTAGCGGGGCAAAGCTGGTTGGGGCCAGCAGGACTGGGAAGGTCGGGCAGCGCAGGCCCAGTGTCGCAGGCGGGAATGGCGTCATAGGCCGGGGGCACCGCAGCCCAGAGCCCGGGGGGAGCGCCCTGTGCTGGCGGCGCCCGCCGTGTGTTTGTGCCTTGTGCTGCGGTGATGCGTCGGGGCTGTGGCCTCGAGTCTGCGTGACTTGCTCGCCGTCAAGTAGACGCAAGACGAGCAGCAAAATCAGAGTCAAAGCAACGAATGAACAGCGTCGGCTATGGCAACCCTCTCAGCCCCCCAGTCCCCATCGACCTGCTCGACGCGGCAGCGGTATCATGGTTTGCCTTGTCAAGCCCACACCGAGTGCTTTTGCTACGCCGCCGGTCTGACACTCGTTCCAAGGCTTGAATCCACCACACACACATCGACAAGCAGAGTAGGAAAAGAAGACCTGGCCCTACTGGTCTTTCGCGCCCATCTTGCGCTTGTCGAAACGTTTCTGACCTGCGTCGCTTCGTGTGTTGCTAAATCGACTCTGCAGACCCACCTTTTCCTCGACGTAATGCTCGCTTGCTCGTACACAGCAACCGCCTTTGCTTTTTCCCTGTGGTCCCCTCCACAAAACATGCCACGCCGTCACTGATCTGTATGGCCGTGCCCATCCGCTAGCTTCATTGACTTGTCCGGGTCCAAACGTGCTCCTCCTTCAGATGCGTGGTGCTGGAGCTCTTCGGGCCGCGACCAAGAAAGCCGGGTACCTGATGACGGCGCCGTTTCTTGTTAGGTTCTGACGGGAGCCCGACTGTGCCATCGAATCCCTGATGCGTAATCCCTGCCGATGACGAAGTAGCCAGCCCTGAATCGTTCCCATTCTGCTCTCGTGGCAGCAGGAAAGTGGAGAACTGCCCTGATCACGTGACAAAGGAGGATCTCCACCCCCGCTACGCCGGTCGGCCAGCTGCTTCTGTTTTGGTCTGCTCTCCGCTAATCCAAGTGAACTTTGTCGATTTGTCGACATGCCGTTGGCAGTAAGTTAGAAAATCGCATCAATTTTTTTGTTACAGAATCATCTACTTTGCTCTGGATCTCAGCTGCTGCTCACACAATCTTCGGCTATCAACGATGTTGGGCTTCTTCAGCACCACCATTCCTGCATGAGTTGCGACAGAAGACGGTTATCGCAAGATTTTTGGAGCAGGGAGCCTGCACAGCCAGTCTTCCAGACCATCTGACGTTCATGGTAGCCCTGCTAACGAACCCTCTAGAATGAATGTACCATGCTGTATCTCTCCTTTCGTCAGTTGCTCTCAAGCAGATGGCACTATTGCCGTCATACCCCTATATCTCATGCATATTAGCAGTTTATCTGAACAGACCTTGCCGCACATCAACCCCTTCGAGTCGAAACGGTATATGCTCTCGCTTCTAACACACCAGACTTTCATGTGCCATATGGCACCACCATCACGGGACGCATGGAGAAACTGTGCTCACCACGCCGACGTCGGAACCAACCGCACACTCTTATCAATCTGATAATCGCTTGACCTTTTTTTGCTGACATTTTCCGCCCTCTGACATCACCATCTGCTCGCTGTGCTCATAGTCGGGTTCGACTCCGACTCCACGCATTTGCTTTTTGACGACACATTCTCATACCGAGCCTTTGCGCGTCCCATCTTCACGATCCCTCAGAAAGACAAGCTGCGAAGTCTCGCAGATGTCCGGCAACTCCAATGCCGACATATGGATTGTGAGCTGCGCCCTCCTTATGCCCGCTCTAACAAGCATCTTCATCTTCCTCGTCCTTCAGGCATGCATACGGAAAGAAATACTTACGCGCGACATTGCGGACGTGTCTAGGCTGGCGCTTTTGCTGCATTCACCGTCGACCTCCTGGTTTATCCGCTAGACACGCTGAAGACGAGACTGCAATCACCTAACTACAAGGCTCGCTACACAAATGGTGCTGCGAACACCGTCAACAAGGCCGCTTTGTTCCGCGGCCTGTACCAGGGCGTCGGCAGCGTAATTCTAGCCACTCTTCCTTCATGTACGTGAAATGCCTCCCCGCCGTTTGTTACACAATGTGCTGAGGCTCGTCTCTATTTCTCTTCAGCCGGTGCCTTCTTCACCACATATGAAGGCGTCAAGCACGTCCTCTCCACGCATAACCCAACGCTTCCTGGACGTGAAACGCATCTAATCGCCCAACCGATTATCCACGCGACGGCCTCCGCGCTCGCCGAGCTGGTCTCGTGCGCAATCCTCACCCCCGCCGAGGTCATCAAGCAGAACGCCCAGATGGTCGATGCTTCCTCGCCCGCTGGTGCCACGGCACAGACACTGCGCAAGTTTCGCGGCAATCCGCTCGCTCTTTGGCGTGGATATACCGCGCTTGCAGGCCGGAACCTGCCCTTCACCGCGCTACAGTTCCCCATGTTCGAGCGCCTCAAGTCGGCCCTCTTCGCCTACCGCGATAGCAACGGCACAAGGACCAACACTGTGCTCGAAGGCGGCGTAATCACGGCTGCAAGCGCTGGTGCTGCAGGTAGCGTCGCGGCCGTACTCACCACCCCCGTTGACGTCGTCAAGACCCGCATCATGCTAGCCGCCGCAGACGTCACCCCGAGGGAGTCGACGGCCGGCCTCGTCGACGCGATGGGCGCTACCGCCGGCACGACGCAGGCTTCCAGGAAGAACAGCATCCAGATTGCGAGGGAGATTGTTGCAGAAAACGGAGTCAAGGGCCTGTGGCGCGGTGGCGCCCTCCGCGCTGTGTGGACCTTCGTTGGGAGCGGTCTGTACTTGGGTGTGTACGAGAGCGGAAAGACGTACCTCGCCCACCGAAGGGGCGAGCGACTGCGTGAACAAGATATACTGTGAAAAGTCGCATCCCATCCTGCATTCTCTCCGCATAAGTGTACGTACGTGTGTGTGTTTGTGTGTGACACCCTAGAATAGAGCCGGGCCTCTCGCCTCAAAGCATTCCTCCCTCGTTTTCCGTGTTCTCTCTGTGGATTCTCGTCCAGCTGAGGCCAAAAACTCGTCCCTGTTTGCAAGAAACCTTTTCCGCCATCTCCGATCGATGCGCGCTCCCACGCCTCTCGAAGCCCCCGCACTCGCGTGAGTCTCCTTCCCCAGCAAGCGCAAAAACTGGACGCGACCTTTTTTTTTTTTTTTTTTTTTTTTTTTTTTTTTTTGGTCTGCTCGCCCCTGCGCGTTTCGCATCGAAGGTCTCGCAATTCGCCTTCGAGCGCTGGCGGCCATTCGCGGCTGCTACAACTTTGCAAAGGTGGAGAAGGGGGTGGATGGAAGGCCGGAGAGACGAAAGGCATCGGGTGTCGCTATTGCAGGACGCGGACGAGCTTGCGAACGAGTGAGGCGGCCAAAAAAAAAAAAAAAAAAAAAAAAAAGAACAAAACGAATGAGGGTATCTGGGATTTTGGCACATTTCACGACGACAGAGTTGTGCAATGAGGATAAGGCGTCGGCACCGGAGAGGGCATTTTGGAAAGAAAGTTGAAGAGGCAAGACAAATCGTTTGCTGTTCCTAAGCGGCTCAATTCTGACCCTGTAAGAAGAAAAGGTCTCTTATGTACGGGAGCGAAGGTAAGCAAGGCCTGCGAGTGAAGAATGGGTGTGAATGCTATTGTGCAGAAGAAGGCTTCTGTTCGCTTTGGGGGAGAGGGCTCGCTTTTGTTAACCTCCAGACTACGAGCCTGTGATGGTCCAGCAGCTGGCACGGAGAGACGGACGAGGACAAAGGGTACTTGGCTACTGGCGCAGTAAAGGCCCTTGTGTGGCGAGCGAAAAGGCCTACATATGCATATGCCATATCGGCGTCGCTGATGCTGACGCTAGTCTTCGTCCTCGTCGTCACTGCCAAAGATAGCTTTGAACACCGCGTCACCCGGCCTCTCGGCCTCGAGCGCCTCATTCCTCTCCGCATCGACCCTCTCGGGCGACGGTGTATTGTCCGCCGGTGCCTGCGGCACGACTTGAGCGGCCTGACCGCTATGAACGTCGTCAGAGCCCCCTTCGAACCCACTGCTCGTGAACCGCCGAAGAGCCGCATCTTGCATCATGCGTTCGATCGCTTTCCTGGGGACCATCTCCTGCGCAGTAGCGTCCGCAGTCTGCTCAGACGAGGGGTCTAGCTGCACATTTGTGGGAGGACGCACGCCAAACCGCTTGCAAAGGAGCCGCGTGGGATAAAATGGCAGGACAGTCCGTGTCATGTGCCCATACATGCCAATCTTTGCGGCCGCCTCGGCTGGATCCTCAGGCTTCGCAGCGGGCTTGCTCAGAAGCGGCCCTTTTGCGTCCTTGGCCGCGTCACCGCCGCTGTCGTCAGTGTTTTGTAGTGTCCCTTCAAATGCTCGCGACGATGAAGTGAAGCGTGAGGCCATGGCTCCAGTGATTGGGCGGAAGACCTCGGCTGCTTGTGCGAACTCACGTAGCTCGTTCCTCCAGTCGTCGGTGCTCATACCTTTTGCGCGTTCGGGAAGTATGTTCGCGTCGCGGATGCCGGCTTTGAGCTCGAGGAAGGCCCGGTACCGTGCGCGCTTCGCTTCGTCGTCCGCGTAAGGCATCCAGCCGCTAGCACCACGCTGGAGCGCTTCGAGCGCAATGCTTCTGCTGAGAGTTGGCACTGAATTCCACATCTGCTTTTGTTTATCCTCTTCCGTGAGTCTATAGCCCTCGGGTGCATCTTCGCCGCGTCCCTGCGGAAGATCCGAACGCCCAGCTACAGCAGCAAGTTTGTCTCGTGCCGCGGACGATATATAGTCGAAGATGGATTTGCCAGGCAGCATCTCTTCACCCAGCGCTGCGGCTCGGGCCTTGGGGTCAAGGCTTGACGTTTTGGCCATGTCCGCGGTAGATTTGTGCTCTTCGGCCGGTGCGACGTCCCACCGCGAGCGTTTCGGTTTCCATCCGTCTGGAATCTTAGGCGGAGGGTACTTGTTGATCGGCGATATGTCTAGAGCCTGCATCGCGAGAACAAACCCGTCCAATGGGAGCCTACCGTCGTGACATTTTCTGAAGCCAGAGGCTGCAGCCTTTCCCGCAGGAGCGTTCTTCTTGGACACGAAGACGGGTCGCGATGCGAGGAGTGGGTTCGCGCCACCGACTACGGTCTTCTTCTTTGTGGGCTTCTTGTCGCCCCCAATGGTACGATTGTAAGAGATCTTGGGGCCTATCTCATACGGATCTTCGTCGTCGGAGCCCGTGTCATTAAGTACGCCAACGCCAAAGCTTGGTTTCTTCGTCTTGGATGGTCGGAGCTTCTTCAGCTTGGCCGCATTGGCAGCACGGTTCCACGCAGCTGCGCTGTCATCGTCGTCGTCGTCACTGTCTAGTTTGGAATTGTTTTCGATCGTGCGGTGCAGCGAGAGTTCACCCGCATATCCTAGTCCCTTGCAATCGCTCTTCTTCTCAAAGGCAATCATCTTGCTGTCCTCTGGTGCGAACAGATGTGTTTCGCCTTCCACATCATCGTTCCCATCGTCCTCGTCATATCTTGCCTTCCTCTTCACCTTGGGCCCAATGCCCTGTCCTTCTCTCCACCCCATTCTTCGCAGCAGCATCGCTCCTTTACTATCCGCACCACCAACTCTCATAATGTCTAGCAAAGCATTTCCGCTCAGACTCCCGTCGACGCCAACGGCTGCGCCTCCTAGGCCGCTGTACCCCGCCGCGGTGTGTAGGCGTTTCGCGTCCTCGGCATCAGCCAAATCTTCCTCGTCCATGAAGTCTTCGGGGCGCTGTTGCATACTGGCGCGGTTGCTCCGCGACGAAACGAAGGACTGCGGCGTCCATCCTTCTTTGGAACCAACTGTGTTAAAGTATCTGCGGTTTCAGCTGCTAGCATCAGTGCGTCTTTTATCTCTTGGCAACAGAAAAGCATGCGCAATGGGGGCAGGAAGATTTGAATTTCCAAAAGCAGCGACTGTACAAACGAAACTGGCCCAAGGTTCTGTGTACACAAAGCGCATAACCAGACACGTCTCACCCGATTCAAATACAATCATTGGGACTGATCAATGTATATTGTTGTGTTGCATATCAAAGTCTAAAGGGAGCGAAGTTTATACATACCCAGCACTGAAGCCGCCTGTGAAAGCGCCGTGTAGACGCTTCCTGCCACGCTCATCCCTCACCTCTTGCTGCCACACGGGGACGTAGGAGCCGTCATCTCGTACGCCTGCGTCGAGGGGTGGCAGCGGGGTTCCAAAAAAGGCGTAGGGACTCGCTCTTGCTCGGAGATCGTCCTCGAATGCAGCGCGCGAACGCTTGGCCGCGGACATTGACTTTACCTGGAGATATTTATTTCCGCTGCGACTGCTCCTTGCTAATCAAGGTTGTGTGCTTGGTGTGGTGTCAGGAGTGGGCCATGCATTAGGCGTGCCTTGCGCTGTGCACGCGTATCGGGACGCGAGGGATGTCGTCTGCGTCGGGTCGCGGTCGTGGTTGCGGCGGCGAGAGTAGTAATGACGAAGAGGACGGGATTGATCGCAAGGCAGGACGTAGCTTCAGCCAGCGGAGCTCTGGTCGGGAGGAAAAATGGCTCTGAGGCTCTTGCGGAGGGACGGAGTGGACGTGCCAAGAGCACGGAGGATTTGCGCCGGCACACGGTGGGGCGGAGCGGGAATGGGACAGGCGACGCTTTGTGCTGCGGATCGTCACTTGTTACATCACCAAACAACACCGTCTCATCCACGTTAGCTTCAGCCGTAGAACCGGTGATACGACTACCTCGTCGCAGTCATCGCCTTGAACACGCAGAAGCAGTGCGAAACTGCAAGCCGCAGGCTTGATGGCTAAAAATCACGTGCGACTCGTCGTTTGACTCTCCGTCAACAGCCCCTTCCAGAGGGCGCAAGTGTAGGACCAATCTCCTAAACCGACGACTTCTTGCTCGTCTAGACTTCTTGCCCATTCGTCTTGTTTTATGTTTTCCATTGTTCACCGCACGCCACCTCTTCCATGTCTGTAGGGCGGCCTTGTACCATCCTCGTACCACCGCTCCCAAAAAAGGGGGTCTCACAAAGGCATCGTTCCGATGCTGCAGTACTACCGAAAGGCTCGTACATGACCCTTTGATTGAGCCCTGGTGCAGACCGTCTAATGTATCCGGCCTCGGTGCGGCAAATTCGCAACCTCGGGGCACAGGGTTGGCAGTTCTTTGTGTGTGCATTGCATGGCCTGATCGGGGGATGTGTGACAGTGAGGCCAGCAAGAGCGGCGGGATCGCGAGGCTTAGTGCGCGCTACATTGAGTCTAACTAATGTCAAATACATTCGCGACCGTTCAGTCTTGTTTTGCTTCCTGTCTTTCTTTTCTTTTTTATCTTACCCGTCTGTGTCTTCGACGTCTTTGTCGGTGTTCGTGGCTGTAGGCATACGTGTCTGTGCCTCACGGGTAAGACAACAAGGCAAGGCGTCCCTTGTTTACTGACCGCAGCGAGAAAAATAGCAACGAATCCGTACGGAGAGCGTCAGGCGAGTAAGGGGAGCTGCGCTTGGTCCGTGCTAGTTTTGTGTCTTATCGATTTTCTTCACTGCTGTGCATGAATGTGGGCGCGAGAGCGTGCGCGCAGGTGTGCGTGTGAGCAGCAGCGTAAGCAGAAGCAAGTAGTAGCGTGGAGCGGGTAGGGAGTCCTGGAGCATATGCTGCGCTCTGCTGCTCACACCACTGCATCGTCACTGCTCAGATGGCCTACCGTGTCGCCGTCATTGCTTTCGCTCCTTCGCACGACGGCGACGCCTGACGCGTCCTGGATCTCGCTCGCTCCGTTCCGTCTCCACCCCTAGCTCACGCTCTCCAGCTGCTCCACTGCTCACAAGAGCACGTCGAGTGCTTTCTGGCCTGCTGGCGGCCCACCGCCGGTCAGTTGTGTTCGACCATTGATCAGAGGCGACAGCCAGCAGCCGACGAAGCAGACCGACGTCACCAGGACCTGCCCATCTGATCGGCAATGGTAGTTTTCTCTTTTTTTTTCGCCTCGGAGATCCACCCTGTCAACTTTAAATGGGGGGACGGCCTGGCGTGCACAGAGAGACGATCGGCGATTTCGCTTTTTCCGCTGCTGCTTCGTGTCCATCACCCGGCCTGTTCTGCGCCCGAGCACGGCGGGCCTTCCCCCCAAATTCAGCCCTTCTCCATCCCCTATCGCGTCACCCCAGCCGGCCACGTTCGCAAGCCGCCAGCTTCTTGCGCCCGGCTGATGCTCCCTCCCCCCTAAAGGGCCCCAACGTACCCTCTACTGCTGATGTCCTCGACGCCGCTGCAGCCCTCTACCTCCCTACCATCCGCCCTCCATCTCCCCTCCAGCCTGCGCTCTGGCCGACCCTCCTCGGCGGCCTTGCACTACTGTTCCCTGGACCTGCAGCCTCTGGACCCCAGGCCAAAAAGGGCTCCTTGACCCCAAACCAAGGGCGCACAATACCGCCCCCTGTATCGGGCACTAGACCGCGCTACCAAGACCGCCTGCGCCCGCCGTCATCATCACCATCGCCCTCGAACAACTACCGCGCCTACTACTACTATCACTTACCTCCACCGTCACCGGCACCACCATCGTCTTCCCCGCCCTCCGCTGCTCTTTCCCCCCTGTTCCGTCTGTCTTGATCCAGGTCTCCAGACGCATCAACACAACGCTCTGAAAAGAAAGAGGTGAGTAAGCCGGAGAGCTTGAGCTCTGCCTTCGTCGCGACTGTCTTGATCCCGTTAACCGCCTGTACCCCCGTTGCGCCGCCCGTTGCACACTTGGCATGGCTCTTCCTCGCTGTTGTCTGCTCGAGATCCGAGAAAGCCGTTCGGTTGACGTGCAGCGAGTCGTCATCTCAAGCATCACCGCTTGCCTTCCCCTATCCTGTCGTCCTTGTTGCTTCGTACATCTTCTCTGCTGCTCAAATACCTCGACGCGCGAAACTTGTCGAGATGCGAGCAAGGGCCGGGGATCCCCAAAAAGTTTCACAAACCAATCCTACTCTGCACCATTGAAAACCTTACCATTCCTCTGCTTCATCTTCCCTGGCCCATCCTTTCATGCTTTCGTTCTTGATGAACTAGTTCTGGTGCTGCTGCTGTACTTGCTGTTGCTGCCCCGCCCCCTGACTGTGTTCACGTTACCTCGCTTGTGCTGCTTGTGTTGGCCATCCTCACCCGCGTCAGCTTCTTCGTCACCTGGCACTCACGTCGAACACTGGACTGACCATTTCGATCTCAGCTTGCAGCGGACTGTCCTCTCTTTCCTCGCCGATCCCCCCTCGCTCTCCAACGTCACTTTGCGACGCCTCACCGACATATTCAGCCGAAGGCCTATCCGAGACGACACACGAACGAGTGCGTGACCAGGGGGCTACGCCCTCGACAATTTCGCGCAACGAACCGACCGTGCGCGGTATACACCATTTGAGGGCTGGAGCTGAGCCAGCAAAAAGAGTCGGGACTCGAACAAGGCCAACGGCTGGTACTCTTCGTACTGCACGTGTGACTTGGTGCACACGGTGCAACATCAGCTGGTCACCCGCTCACGCCCAACCCTTCCATAGCCCGACGGCCGATCGACATACATCATGTCGAGTGCAGCACCGACTGCTCCGGTAGCGCGAAGCAATTCGCAGCGTGTTCCTCAGCCCTCGGACACAGTTCATCGTCCACATCGGTCGCAGTCAACCCGTGTCCCCGGCTCGACCTCGCCCCGCGCTCATCATACGCAGCGGCCAAGTGGATCGGCAGCTCCTCAAGCTGCCGATAACGTGGCACAACGAGACTACGAGTCGTCACAGACGCAGCCGCCCTCGTCGTCGGGCAGAGGCAGCTCTCGCGACCATGATCGATCCCAATACCCCACAAGAACCGATTCAATGCGAAATAGCGTCAACAATAACAACAACAACCAAGCGCAGCAGCCGCCACGCACCTCGTCTTCACGGGGTGCAGGCGGCAACCAGGATCGCTACGCATCCATGGACGCCGCGGCGCGAAGTCAGCCTCCCACGAATGGTATGGTGAACGACGGTTCAATGAGGCATGCGCCGACAGCAGGCAGGCGACGGACCACTCTCGATACACAGACGGGTAGGTGGGGCCTAGGAAAGACAATCGGAGCTGGCAGCATGGGCAAGGTGAAGCTGGCACGCAATCTCGAGACAGGGGAGCAAGTCGCAATCAAGATCGTGCCGCGCCAGTCGACAGACGAGCACCGCAGCCAGGCTGACCGGGAGCGCGCAGAGCACTCCAAGGAGATACGCACCGCACGCGAGGCCGCCATCGTCAGCCTCGTCAACCATCCGTACATTTGTGGGATGCGCGACGTCGTGCGAACGTCGCACCACTGGTACATGTTGTTCGAATATGTCAACGGCGGCCAGATGCTTGACTACATCATCTCACACGGCCGGCTAAAAGAGAAGCAGGCGCGAAAGTTTGCGCGCCAAATCTGCTCCGCACTCGACTACTGCCACCGCAACTCGATCGTCCACCGTGACCTCAAGATCGAGAACATACTCATCTCCAAGACGGGCGATATCAAAATCATAGACTTTGGGCTCAGCAACCTCTTCTCGCCCCACAGCACTTTGAAGACGTTTTGTGGGAGTCTATATTTTGCCGCACCGGAGCTGCTGCAGGCTAAGCAATACACGGGGCCCGAAGTCGACGTCTGGAGCTTTGGTATCGTGCTATACGTGCTTGTATGTGGGAAAGTTCCGTTTGATGACCAGAGCATGCCGCAGCTGCATGCAAAGATAAAGAAGGGTTACGTCGAGTATCCCCCGTGGCTTTCAGCCGGTTAGTTGTCTTCTTCCTATCAAGTTAAACTGAAACTGCGCTAACGATGCCTTCCCTCCTACGCAGAATGCAAGAACCTCATCTCCCGGATGCTCGTCACAGACCCGAAATCCCGCGCCAGTCTCGGCGAGATAGCAAACCATCCATGGATGACCAAGGGTTTCAGCGGCCCTCCAGAGAACTTTCTGCCCCACCGCGAACCAATACAGCTTCCTCTCGATCAAGATGTCATCAAGAGGATGACAGGATTTGACTTTGGCTCACCCGAGTACATTAACATGCAACTGACAAAGATCATCAACTCGGAGGATTACCAGCGTGCGGTCCGCAACGCGAATCGCAAGCAGCAAAATCCAGGTAGCGCTCCCGATCCGGAGCGCAAACGAGGAGTCTTCGACTTTTATAAGCGGCGTAACTCGGCGAGTCGTGACACGCTGACAAATTTGTCAAACGAGGCCGTGCAATATGGTGACGACCCCGTCAATGCATATGCGCCCATGCTGTCCATATACTACCTTGTCCGCGAGAAGATGGAGCGTGAGCGCCGCGAGATGAATCCCGGGGCGCTGGAGACTCCCTCGGACAAGCCGCTAAAGTTACCGGATCTGCCAGCGCCACCAGAGTCTGCATACACCAACTACAACGCATATGAGAGTCCGGGAGAGGCTCCCACTGGCGGCAGGACAAGACCGCGAGCTCGTACGCACGGCGAGGATGAGGTTGCAGAGCAGATGGAGAAGTTAAAGTTGCAGCAGGCCGATGCGCCACCCGCCATTGTTGCGCCGGCAGAGACGCCGGCTCGCAAAGAGAGCACTGCAGCGGGTCTTTTCAGGCGCTTCAGCACACGCAAGAGACAACCGCAAGGCCAGACGAACGAACATGCCAATTCTGCACACGCTGGGCCCACGCTAAACGTTTCGAGTCCGACGGACACGCTACAAGGCACGCCGCGGAAGAGTTTCAGCGTCAGGAGACCTCGACCTGGCGAGACGAAGGAGAACACGCCGTCGTCTGCGTCCCTGCACGTCACAGGCAGTCAGAGGCACCAGCCTGAGTTGCTGACACCACCATCTGGCGGCGACGGTATCAAGCGCTTCATGAGCCTGCGGAGATCTACAAGCGTGGACCGTAGACGGCTGGGCAAGAGAAACGCCTCAGAGGTTGGAAATAATGCAACGGAGCCGCCTCCCACAAGCGGATCCGATAACTCGAGCTACGGGGGCAAGAAGCCTGCTGCCGTCAGCGGTGCTGGTGATGCGGCAGGAATGGGAGAAGACGCTCAGGCACCTGCATCTGTGACTGTCTCAAGATCAGCAGGCACGTCGCGAGCGAAGTCGCTAGGCCATGCGCGTAGGGAGAGCATCCAGGCGCGGCGTATGAAGCGTGCGCAACAGAATCAAGAGAACCAGCTCAATGTGCCGGAGGAGACGGAAGCAGAAGTCGCTCGCGCTGAAGCATACCAAGACACCGATCCAGAGCCGACCGTGCAGCCTGTTATCCTGAAAGGCTTGTTCAGCGTGTCCACTACATCATCGAAGCCTCTCTCTTTCATCCAAAAGGATCTCGTGCGTGTGCTGCAGCAGCGCGGACTCGAGTACGAGGAGATCAAAGGGGGGTTTCTTTGCACACACAACCCGAGCCTGGATCGCGCCGCCGGTGGCACCCAGAAGCACAATATGCCGGATAATCCACTGCCTGTGCCGGAAAAGGGCCAGGAAAATCTGAGCCCACCGCTTTCGGCGAATCTGAGCGTGGAGACGCCGCAAAATTCTCCTGGAGTGCCATCGAAGGAGAGAACGCACCGCCGCAAGATCAGCTTCAACGCATTGATGGGAAACTCGACGGAGAAGGACCGTGAGGAGTTTTTGCGTGCGCAGCAGGCGCAGAAGTCGCCACGCTCACCTGGTGACGTCCTTGACTCCGAAGCACCCTCGGCTGTGGATGATGGTACCGATCTGTCGGACGAAGACCGTCTCAACGGCGGTCGATATCGTGGACCAAAAGTATCGGCATATGGCCGTGCACGCAATCCAGGCGAAACGAGCACGCACGTCAGGGACGACGTAGGCGAGAACATGGTGCTCAAATTCGAGATCTTCATCGTCAAAATTCCCATCATCGGCCTGTATGGCATTCAATTCAAGAAAGTGGCTGGCAACATGATGCACTACAAAAACATGGCGCAGGAGATTTTAAAGAACTTGAGGTTGTAGCGGATGAATTCAAGTTGCGGGCTGGGAGTGGAACAGAGGCGGCACTTTTCGTTTGATCTTTGAAGGGAAAACGTTACACATATTCGCTATTCAGCTTTCAACCCCCCTCCTCGTCACGGTTGTGTTGGGGATTATTGTAGCAACGGAAGGGCAAGGCGCGGCGATATTTACCCTCTATCCCGACGTGGTTTTTTTTTTCTTCTTTTTCCGTATTCACGAGCGTTGTGCGATGTGATACAAATGCGATGCGATGCATGAGTATGATGTCTAACGCCAGCATTATCCCTAGAAGCACATGACGTATTCTTCATATACATATTTTAATCATTGTTCTCCAGAGAGGTAGTGACAAAACCAACACGGAATGGACAGTGGTGCACATGATCTGCGTCTTTACTGCTTACTTTTTGCGGCTTCAGCGAAGAGTTTGGGCGTATCGGGATGGTACTTGGTGGCCGTCATGGATATGGAGCCAATTTCCAGGACTAAGATACATTGATACGTGTAATGGAGACTTTGGTGCACGATGAACAAACTTCTAATGCCCCTTTGCAAGCGTGAGTCAGTACTGTAACATGGGCCGCGATTTGTAGCAACTCCTGCTACGTTCCTACGATCCCGAGCAGGTATCTGAGCAAAAAAAAAAAAAGCATCTGCAATGGTGCGAACACCTAACCTAGCTGTCCTGGCAGCAAGTGTGCTTCTGAGCCGTTCTTTACTGTAAGTCACCCGTTGTTGGTTCGGGGATAACGTGGTGGATAAATTCAGCGCCAACGCTCTAGGCTGATATTCCAGATAAGAACAGTTGGCATCAAGGCCAGAGCCAAAGACGTTATGTGACGCTATTGATTCGAATCGACCCTATCTGGTTGTTTCCGCTCCATTTGGCTACCCAGCGCTTTGTCATATCAAGTGTTTACAGAAGGCTTAAGAGGTACGACAGATGGCGGGGGCGGCAAATATCGGCTTTGCGATGCAAGAGGGCTTCGGAACGAGGTCGCTGCGGCATGGCCGACGAGAGTACGACAGTAGATTTCCACATTCTTCAGCTAACAGGTTTCCCCGGAAACGTTGCAGAGTAGCGCGGCCGGAAGCTTGCCTTGATATATGCACAGAGAGAGATATCCTTTGAACGGCGGTCCATTCCGTCGCTATGCTAGCTAATTGTACACATGAAAAACAAGAAGGCGGCCCAACGCCAGGTCCTGTCAATCATACTGGGCCTGCGCGGCCAGCGCGTTCCATCGGTTACAAAGGTTGAGCAAAAGTCACCAAAAGAAGAGTGGCCATCACCTCGCCTTGCTCGACGTCTTCCTGCTCCAGAACTCCTCCCTCCCCATGGCCATGCTCGTGCTCTGCCACTTCTCTTCGCCGCTCAGCAGACGCCTCGCCTGCTCCTCCAGCTTCTCCCTGTGCTCCCTCTTGGGCTTCATCTTGTCTCTGATGCGTCTAAGCGTCCGGTCGTAGTTGATGACGGTCTCGTCGCCCCGCTCGGCCTCCTCGCTCGCTTCCTGCATGCCTCTCTGGAAGCCGTCCCAGTCCTCCTCGGCGATTCCTTGCTTGACCCACGGCTCCTCCGGCCACACGAACGGCTCCAGCAACTGCGCCGTCATGTATTTGGTCGCAGGGCCGCGCACCAGCCGCTGGTGCTCGTTCTTGAATGCCTTGCCCTGGATGATGGCCGAGCGGATGTGCAGCGTCCGCACATTGTACACGTGGAACAGGTAGTCTCGGAGGTCGAGCTTGTTGAAGGAGAGCGGCACGATGAAGCGTGCGTAGTTGGGAGGCAGAGCGGATTTTATCATCGTCACTGTGAACTTGGGGCTGTTTTGTCAGCGCGCGAGCGCATCTTCGTTAGCAATTGCTGCACTCTGTTGGGAGAAACAACGAAGGGAGGGGCGGCCGAAGGTAGACCTATGTCCAGCAAGATTGGTGGATGGAGACGACGTACAATGAGATTTGCCGCTTGCCGACGGGGAAGTGCGGCTTCAATGCATTGGCTGCCATCGCGAGATGTGTTTATGTAGACGCACCGCCAAATTCGTTCGACTCGGACGTCTGACAGTTCGGTCTTGAACCAAACTCAGCTTTTTTGGGTCGTTTTCGAGAGACTTTTGTACGGAGGATGGTCCGTGCCGCGCGTCGGAGGTGATGCGGAATTCACGTCTGCTGTCTCCTCCCATGCCCGTCGCATTCCCCGTGTCCCTCTCGATCTACCCATTTCGATACCGAAGCAGAGTCGCGTGGTCCTGTACAGACCCGCGGTCGTGACGTTTCGATTGCTCGCCTTGCCTTCGTCGCTGAAACGTGGGCCGGAAGTCGTCCTCGCGGAGGATCGCGTTCATTTCAAAGGGAGCTGCGGCTACACGAGTTTACTCTCCAGGGATAAGCGACTACAACTGGCGACATCGTCATTGGCGCTATCCCGACATTGAAGCGCCGCAATTTGCTCATCGGGGAATAAAATCATAGAGGAAAATGGAGTCACCGGGCTCGCCCCTCTCCGAGCATAGTGAGGATGAGTTCCAGTATAATGATGATACCTACCATACGAGGTTCGGCGGTTCCCCTTCTCCAAGCACAGAAATGGGCTCCTCAGCTCGGCCCTCAAAACGGCAAAAGACAGGTCCGAATACGCACCGAGAAACTTCTGGCATTCCGTCATCAAGCCACCACCTAGCTCCGAGTTCCGGCGCGTTTGACGTCCTTCCAACGGCAGCGGCCGTCCCAGACGAAGACGAAGACATCTCCTCCGACACCGACGGCTCCGTCCCCGGGTCGCCACACTTGGCTTCGGCCGCCGCGTTGCCGGGGGACGACGACGATGGCGGATTCGGTCACAAGGGCGAGCAGATCAGCTTCTGTCGGTGGGAGGGCTGCGAAGCAGGCGAAATGGGCAACATGGACTTGCTGGTGCAGCACCTCCACGACGAGCACATCCACGCCCGGCAGAAGAAGTACAGCTGTGAATGGGCCGATTGCTCGAGAAAGGGGATTCCGCACGCGAGCGGCTACGCGCTCAGAGCACACATGAGAAGTCATACGCGAGAGAAGCCGTTCTACTGCACCCTTCCTGGTACGTCGTCAAACCCCCCCCGTTCATTGGCTCTAGTGGCATTCTTCACGGTTAAATGAATAGTTGCTAACTCGACAATTGTGCAGAATGCGACAGGTCCTTCACCCGCTCGGACGCGCTGGCGAAACACATGCGCACCGTCCACGAGACGGAGGCTCTGCGTCCTTCTGATCCAGTCCCCAAACACCACTCTTCGAACCCTCAAAACAAGAACCAGAAGCTGCGCCTCACATTCAAAGCGATCGGCAGCAATGGCGTCTCCGGTGCGGGAGGCCCAGGCTCGGACGCTGGTAGCAAATCTGCGGTAGGCTCCGTCCCCGCCAGCCCAATGGCGGCTCCCAGTAATTCGGCCACCGTGGACGAGGAGTACGAACATAACAACGTGATCTTCACTCCGGCAACTGGGTCTGCCGCAGGCAAAGGGGCAGTGGAGCGGCAATTTCCAGCCGCCATAGACTTCACTGAAGAGGAACTTGCGTTGCCGCCCGGTGAGCTTTACAAGGTGCTCATGGCGCAAATCAAGTGGGCGAGCGAAGAGGGCGAGAAGCTGCGGCGGGAGGTAGGCGAGTTGGATCAGAGGAGGAAGAGAGAGTGGAATGCGAAGGAGCTCGCGCTCGAGAATGTCATGGAGGCCGAGGCAGCAGACATGGAGAGGAGGCTGGGGAGGAAAGGAAGAGAGGTGGTACCGGACGAGGCGGCACTTATGAAGATTGTAGGCGCGGACGTCACGAGACTGGATATTCCTCCTAGAGACGGCAAAACGCTTTGGTGGAGGGAGGAGAGAAAAGAGACAGCAGAAGCCATGGAGGGAATCGAGGAAGCCAAGGTTTAGCCCTCCTTTCCTTCCTCCTATCCTGCTGAACATGCATGACGAACAAGATGAACGTGTGGAGGGTTGAAAGACAGCAGTGAAGAAATCAACTGTTCAAGACGATACTAATCAATTACGGGAAGAAATCCCGTGACTGGAGCTTTCCATGTGAGCCCGGCCTGATTGACTCTCATGGTACACCATATGAATGTCACTCCCTCATCCCTCCGTCGTCCCATCTGTCGGACATGCAATCAACGTTACCAGGCCTTCCAGAATGGAGCCAGCCTACCAGCAGCATTGTGATGCATTCGCAGGTCATGTGCCGTTACCACCACCATGGTTGTGGATTGGATGGATGTGACCGTTTCGATATTCACGTGCAACCCATCTGCCGTCCACATCATTGTCGTTGAATCAGAAGGCGGGTCCGTGGTTGCTGTTCTTAACGCATCACCCTCACAAGCTCCTGCCATCGGCGTTGGTGTGGATGTCGCGCTCCTCGTTCGGGTCAAGGTGAGAGCAGCCGCATCACCATCGGCGGTAATAGACTCTGCCATCTCGACGAGAAATGTTGGCTGCGTCTCGGCAAGGGAGCCTGTGAATGATCCTAAGGGGACATTAGCGTGAGTTTCGAGATGGAAACCGAGTCCTGAAGAAGCTGAGTGCTTAGCTTGTGCGGAGGCCGCGAGGCCGAGTGCCAGGACGAGGCAGGGGATGAATTGACGGGCCATGGCTGCACGGCTGCTCGAAATGCAGAAATTGAATGGGGTAAAATTGTCGTGCTTGAGATGATGCTGCGTTAAAATCTGATTCCTTTTCCACGGTCGGACTGGTTCGTTGTCAAGACGAGGAGAGTGTGCAGAGCTTGAGTATGGCACAGAACTGAACAATGGGAAAGCGCCTATCCTGCAGTCATTAATGGAGGCGCGATGGAGAGTGCGTAACATGAGCAACTCATCGAGGTAGGAGCAAAAGGAACATCATCAGAACAAGCATCATCTACACATTCCAGCATCACCTAGGAAGCATAAAGAGTCCTTGTTACCCTTCGCGATTCTCGTACCATTCCATAAACGTGACAATATAAGATACTCAAGCTTTCCTCTCTGATCTTGCACCACTCGTCGTAAGTCATAGAAGACAAGTCGCTAATACCGAAACCTCGTCAACTTTCCAGATGCCGCTGGTGGGAAACCGACAATCCTACTCTATCAGAACCGGTGCTGAAATGCTAGTGGCCTGAGGGTATAACGTATGCATCCCCTAACCGTACTCCGCTTCAATGCTCGCTTGTCGTGCAATTAAGATGAAACAGGCGATATTCTAAGCTGCAACCTCCGTTTTCTGGAGCGAATCCGCTTCCTTGGGCTCTTCCTTCCCGGACGACACAGCTGTCACCACGTACGTGTGTTCGAGTGTCTCATGGGGAGAAATCTTAACTTTCAAATCGCTGGGTATCATGTTGTGCTTCAGATCCCAGCCCGCTCGCTCGCATAGAGCCGCGACGATGGTGTCGCAGTCGCCCAGCAAATTGATATCGAAATTGATGTGATATACAGGCTAGCAAATTCAGTAAATGTACATACATGTCAGTAGCAGGTCCGTTTAAGAAACTCACATCTCTTGAAATGTAGATCTGTGGCACGTTTGCCGGTAGGTAGTTTGGAATTTCAGATACTGGTGCAACCTTCATGCTAGTGCCCATCACAATGACAAGATCTACTTCGTTTCGGTCATGTTGCTGTAGCGTGTCGAAGAATAAATCTGGAAGCTTTTCGCCAAAGAACGTGATATCGGGCTAATTGAGTTAGCATAGATTTTATAGGAAGTATACATGTAAAAGGTAGCATCTCACTTTCATAACACCAGGCTCCGGTATGTCGTACTGCCCATCGGAATCATCGTCATCGCTAGGATCACCTCGCTTCTTCGGCTTGTCAAAGCTGTTCGGAGTACGCTTGCGTTTTATGCCACCAGGTGCTCGTAATGTCTGCTCACATCTCTTGCATGTCGCAACCTCCTTGGCTCTGATGTTCTCGAAGATCTCCTCTCCGGGAACTTTGTATCCGCATTTCCGGCACGTGGCGTGTGCCCAAGAGCCGTGGCACTGGATGAGTTTCGAAGGCAGAATTCCAGCGTGGCTCTCAATGTTGTCGATGTTTTGCGTGTAGTTGCGCAACAACTTTCCCTTGTCCTGAATGATCCGTATAAACTGATGGGTAGGGGTCCATTTGTTCAGGTCTGGAAGGATGTCTCCTGCAAGCGAATAGAACAACGATGGGTCTTCGTCAAAGGTCTGGAGGTCAAACACTTCTTCCGGTTCTTGAAACCCACGTGCTTGCAACTTGGAATAGAAACCTGTGGACTTTGATCGGAAATCTGGAATGCCAAGACTTGTCGAGACACCCGCTCCTGTAACGACCATAATTTTCTTGGACGCATTAAGTAGCTTTGCAGCATCGTCGATCGTCTGGTATTCTGGGAGCCTCTGACGCTTCTGCAGCTCTCTCACCATCGCCATTCCAAGAACACGGTAACAGAGCTCCGGTGGCGAGTCGGCTACCCATTGTGGAATGCGAACGCCAAACGCTGTCATGAGCTTCTGTACGCTGACCGTCTCCTTGCCCAGGGTTTCTGATACGAATGCTTCAAGGCCAACTTCGCGTAGCCTTTGGCGGAACTGCTTTGCCTCCTCAGGTGTGCACACATCCTGGGCTGGAGAATTTTGTTAGGTCCTTAAAGCGTAGGCTCGAACTTTCAACTCACCTCGAACATGATCATAAGGCTCATCTTCTGCATCTAGAAGTCCTTCATACAGGGAAAGGCTATCTTCTTCATCGTCATCTTCATCCAGTCCACCAAGATCATGTTGAGGTGATGGTGTGCTCTCTGTAAGAATCACGCCCTCCTTGGACTCCTCATCTGCGACAGGATCGATCTGTTCGACCTTTGTCAATACTTCCGGTTCCATATTGGGCCTGCGAAAGCACTCCGGATAAAGTGGCATGATATTACGATACGAAACATAATGCTGGGAGAGCCGAGCTTTGCACCTTAGGCAGTAAGGCATAAGTACTATTCGTCAGCCAGCAGCTTAATTAAGCGGGCATCACCACCGATCTATAGCATTGCGTGTGCGAACTATTGCGGTGGCTGTAAATCCTAATGGATAGTTGAAAACGATGGGAATAGTCTTTAACGTTTTTGCTCCGTCTAAAGCTCAGCTACAAGTATCCATTGTCAAGCCTTTTCCTCACACATTGTCATTTCAAAACATAAGTTACGTACGATATGCTGTGAAAATATAAGTTTGCTGGACTATCAAACCCTCATTGTGTAGATTTAAGGAGATAATGCAATATTCACTATTATCTGCTAGTGAGTTTCGAGGTCCAAAAGCAACAAAGGACTCGTCCTCACCATAAGGCCAAACAATGGGACTCACAATCGGCTATCATGATATGGAATCGCACATGGATATATAAACACCAATGAATGATTGTCTTTTCTCATGTTACATACCTGTGCTCATTTTCTGTCCTAAATGAAGGTTGGACCTCAACGTCTAGATAGACATCGAATGGCAATGGTCTTCGATTTGTTGCTTCTAAAGAAACAGCCGATGGCATGGGGAAATTGGAATCCAGAACATCAGATAGAAATGCCATTGCGTTTGCATAGCGATAATATGACCTTGGCTCAAAAGCTCCGCAGATCAATATATTAGCAATTACTCGAGATCAAGGCTAGATCAGAAAGGATCCCAAAGACCAGACAAGAGCAACGCGTTTCACTCTTCATCGCTCGGGTTTGTTCCTGTGCTGGTCAAGGTGCATCGTGATTACCGTAGCTTTGAGATTGAGACGTACAGATAAAGTTACCCGGACCTACTCCAAACTTTAAATTACAGGAGTCAAACGCATAAGGAGAATATGCAGGTATTTGCACGAATTAGCGTCTAAACGTGGACCCGACTACTAGTCTAAGATATGTTAGGATCCGATGTCACACAAACAGCGCACCGTCGCTTCCTCCAGCGCAAAGATACTTTGACATGTGATGAGCCGCATTGAATTGTTCATAAATCTGAACTTTCCGCAGCGGATCATATTCACGTGAGGGGGGCTCGCAATCTCAGTGTAAGAACAAAGAGCATAGACGGTGTCACGATGGGAATCAGCACAAATGGCCGGTACGTACTGTCCGTTCTTAGCATGCTGACAGCCATGCATTTCTATGCTGTTCCCTTCTGCAGATATTTGAAACGACAGACTAGGGTATGGTCTTTGCATTCGTCTACGAAGAACGGAGGGCATCGTTTCGGTGGTAGGTTACGACGCACTGTCTTCTCTGGCCCTCGCTTTCACATTACATTTCGTAAGTTATCCTCGGATCCAGCCAACGGACGACGCCTGTTCGGGTGGCCTTGGTTGCTCGCCACACGGTTCATAATTCAATACGCCATTACCCCAGATTCAAGAAGGGCCTTTTCCCGGACAGGACATGTCACAGCGTCTAGTCATTTCCGGGTCGCCTAGTTTCCGTACTGGGTTCGTCCTCGTCGTCGTCGTCCTTCTGGTCTGAACACAGAGACTGCAGGCTCGATCTAGTTCATGCAAACGGACGCTAACAAAGCTTCGTATTGATCAGAATAAAAGCCTCTTGCTCGATTCCGCCTGATTGCGTGCGCGCGACGTTGAATGCCGACGTAAGCTGCAGCATAGCCCTGCCTGGCTCAGCGTTTCGATGGGTCGATCCACCCCGAAGGATCCAGGCCATTCAATGCTCCCATGCATCACGGCCTTGACCAAAAGGGGGCGTAGCGCGGTTCGAATCTCGCCGGTCCACCAACCACAGGGCTGGGGGCGGGAACAGCACGCCTGGCCTGGACCACAAGCAGGGCCCAAGCTTCCATTGGGTCTTTGCGCGGAAAACCCCTTGGGCAACGCGTATATAACTTGTGAAATCTGTGCTCGCGGCGGCCGCACTCCCTCTTCCAAGGTGGAACATCTACACGTACGGCTCATCTGTCTTCGGTTTCGACACTTGCCAATTGTACCCATCCGCTCCCATTCCGCGTGGAATCCGTCGATCGAAAGCAAAAATGAAGACCGCAGCTGTTCTCGCACTTGCTGGCGCTGTTGCTGCTTCGCCAAACCTTCAAAAGCGTGAGGCTTCGGTTGATCCGTACGTGTTTGTCCGCTCCCAGCTAGTTTCTGATCGCTGACCTTTACTCTAGCCTCTCCGCGTCTCTCGCGGTCTTCTCGGTCTTGCCCTCTTCCCTCCAGGCCATTGCAATCACGAACCCTGCGGCCGTTGCCAGCGAAGTCTCCTCTGAGTTCTTGACTGGCACCCCGGCTTGGTTTTCATCCCTCCCAACCGACGTTCAGAGCTACTTCATCTCGGCTGGTGAAGCTGGCAACGTAGTGGCTACCTCGGTTGCGTCCACCAACGCGACCGTGACAGGCTCGTCCAACTCAACTGCTAAGATCACTAGCGCTGCCGCTTCAACGACATTGACGGAGAGTTCAAGCGAGTCATCTACCACCAGCGCTAGCGCTTCGTCGCAGTCCGCCGCCCACGCAACAAGCTCCTCGTCCTCGGGTCTGGCAGCTCTTCCAACTCAGGTCGTAGCTGGTGGACTTGCTGGTGTGGCTGGTTTGATGGCCGTCCTCGCTCTCTGATTGAACATTGCAACTTCCTTGTTGGAAATTCAAGGCTTGTATGATCTAAAAATCTTGGGGTTGCAGAACATAAGTCTATGAAAAGGTGTACTCTATCAGCAGCTCAAGGCAAAACGTATCTGCACTAGCACGTAATACCTAATATCTAACTCATTACTTCTTGAGCTTTGAACTTTGTTCGACTGCATTTCCACGTTTTGTAAGCTCCAGCACTCCCCCCCAAAACCGCGTGAGGAAGCCATAAAGCCATGCCTTGTATGGTGCGACCAGGCTGAGGTGTAATCAACCCAGCCGTGTGGGCTCGCAAAGTCTGCGGTCTCAGCTAAGCCCTCCTGGGGCTGTACTTTGTAATCTTGGTCTTGTGTGGCTTCAGTGTGGATACCACCGTTCCCCACTGACTCCACCTTTACAAGCATCGGGAGGCGTTGGTTCGAACCGTAAGGCTCCATCAACATTCGATCAGTTTCGTCGACATTTATGCCTGTGGCCTTGGATGCTTTCATGTGCCTCAAATATGAGATTCAAGATGAGTGTATTTTTCTAACTTGACGTACGGGAGACCATTGTGAGGTTTCAGTCACTTTTACCCAAAGACGAAAGGCTAGCTGTGTGTGCAGTGGGAGTCAAGGTCGAGCAAAGTCACATCCGACCTACACCTAAATATGCGGTCAGGCAGGTTAGGTGTGTTCTTTAAAACATGTTGAGCAGATAGCGAAGTGGCTGTGTGGTGTAGAACAGCTCTGAACGGAAGAGGACACGTACACTTGCATCACGATATCATGTCGCCAAGATGTCCTTCGGGATTTGACAAACGATAGTGTGTACGTCAGATTTGCTTATTCGAAATTGGAGGAGCTACCTCAGCTTGCTTTCACCCTATCCCTGCCAATTCTTGTAGAAACCGAAGACATCTTAGTATAAACAACCCAAACTGATGCCGTGCCATGTAGAAAGAGCAAACGCCAATCATCGGCAACCTTGGCTACGAGGTCACACGTCAAGAGCAGGCAACATTGTTGCCCCGCCGATGTCAAGCTTGTCGACGTAGCAATTTTCAGTCCTAACGAGTTCATGATGCTAGCAGCTCTCTGCTTTTTTGGAGCAGAAGAGTAAAAGGACGTTTTCTTGCGTTTGCATCGTGAATTACACAGATCTCAGGAAACTTGCACAACGCGTGAGAAGTTAAAACCCACCAAACGTCTACTCGAGCCTGAGCTCGAATATTTCTATCTGGCCACAGTAGGCAACAACATGGACGTTCCTTCAACAGCCCATCATGGTGCTAACAATAGTACTCATCTCTCTGCAGTTGCCCCTAAAGTGGGGCAAGGCGAACTTTGCGAGAGCTGCCGCTCATTTTTTGATAGTCATTTAGACAGTGAAAAGCGAAGAGATTCAGCGCCTTGGATTCGAAACAAAGAAGAGTTAGATTTGTGTGCGTCGCTGGGGTGTCTATTTTGCTCTCTTATTTGGCACAAAGCCTTGAAAGCAGGTGCTCGAAAGTCATGGACCAAGGTGTCCATTTTGCGATCATGGGAGATCCAGCACCCAATTCACAAATCAAACCCAAACCGGCACGAGTCCGACCTATACATCATTGCTTCGGACCTAGAATTTTCTTCAGCAAACAGACCCCAGGGTCCTGTAGGCGACCCCAAGCTGATTTGTTTCGAGCCCGTCACATGTAAGACACTCCTTCCCCTCCATCGAGCTTCTTTAACCCGCGGCAGCATATCAAGAGAAAATTGATTTTAAACCACTTACAAGTCACAACACGAGATCTGAAGAGACCTTCAAGAAGATAACGGCGTGGCTGCTTCAATGTGGCAACCACCTAACATGCAACATATGGCCTTCGTTAACAGGAGCTGCCCAAGAACTTCCATCGCGTTTGCTCAAGATATCAAATTGTAATGATGATCCCAATGTCTGCTTAATTAATACGTCCACTACTCTGCGCGGATGTAGATATGCAACCCTCAGTCACTGCTGGGGGGGAAGGCCGCTGCTGCAACTATTACGGAGCAATGTATCCAATTATGAGAAGCGAATATCCTGGCAAGATCTACCCTTGACTTTCCAGAATGCAATAGAAGTCACTTTAAGACTTGGTCTGGAGTACATCTGGATAGATGCGCTGTGCATAATACAGGACAGCGAAGAAGACTGGCTGCGAGAGTCTGCGAAAATGGCTCAAATATATACCAATTGTTACATCAATATCTCGGCAGACGCGTCGCAAAACGGTGCTGGCGGTCTCTTCCGCGACAGAGACGCGGCTGCGTATCACCACTTCAGAATGCGAGGCCCAGAAAGAACAGGGTACCAAGAGTATCTTTGCTTTTCTCCTTCGTGGCTCGACGAGGTCGAACTTGCACCCCTGAAAAAGCGCGCCTGGGTCGTGCAAGAGCGATTTCTTGCCCCCAGGGTCATCCACTTCAGCGAGAGCCAAGTCCATTGGGAATGCGCAGAGCTCATAACGTCGGAGAGCGTCCCAGACAACCTCTATATATCGCCTCGAACAACCCTAACCTTCCGCAAATCACCAGCTTGCAAGTCTATTGGTGGGCAACCAGCTGATATAATCGGTCGTTTTCGCCTGTGGACCCGACTTGTCGGCTCATATTCGAGAGCCATGCTCACGTTTGTGACAGATCGACCGGTCGCAATCGCCGGCTTAGCTCGTGCAGTCTGTCATCTGACGAACCTGGGGCCTCATGAATATGTTTGTGGGCACTGGCGTCCACATTTCATTCCCGACATAATGTGGTTCACGAAAACTTCGCTTAGGCGGCTTAAGAACAATTTTCCGTCTTGGTCATGGCTCTCTGTTGATGGGGACTTCACGAATCTCTGCTTTTGGAATTATGGCGAAGGGAAATGGGCCAGTCTTGCTGAACTTGAACGAGTAGACGTGATACAAGATGCTAGGAATGATGGCTTCGTGTCCATAGAATCCGCTAGCGCAAATATATGGGCTTCATTGTGCCGCGGAATACTCTCAACTAGCAAATATATTGCCCGGCCATCTGACACTGGGCAATTTGACTCGCTTCTGGTTCTTAGCATTGGTCAGCACGTCTTGCGCTGTGGCAATCAGGTAGTGATGACCTTTGACGATGGTGGCAGCGGCATCTCCGCAAATATGACCAAAAGGGAAATCTATCTTCTGCTTGCCGGACACGATGTCAGGCAAACTGAGGCTCGAGATCAGAAATCGACAACAATCAACATCAGCCTCTCGACATCGAACAAGCCAGCTACGCAATCGTTTAAAAATATACAGCTATCGGCGGGAACCAACGTGCATTGTCTAATCATTACGCCAACCGGAAAAACAGGTACCTTTCAGAGGATAGGTTTTCTAGAGTTTGTTGGGGAAGCATGCCCGCCAAACCTTCTCGAGGTCTTTTGCGGGACAAACATTGATGCAGAACTGTACGAAGATTTGGACGATCGGGAAAGATATCTTTTCACGTTAGTGTAGGAGCATTTGCTCGATGACTTGCAGTACTTGGCGCAGTTGACGTGTAAATTGCCATGTCGTGGAAGACGAACACATTTCACTTCCCAAGGCTTCACCAGCCTACGGCAGTCAGAAACATCGAAGTTGAAGGACAGGTGGCGCTTCCCCGTTATACTTCATAGAACTTGTTTCGATCTTGATAACTGGCTCTGCTAAGGACCCTGGTGTGCTCAAAAGCATGACTCCATGCTCTGGGGGATTGACCCAACACCGAGATCATCACAGGATTTGGCATCGTGGGAGGGTCCAGCGCTGCAGAACGAGCATCTGAACGGGCGACTAATTGCTGCAGGCTGCGAGGATTCTACCGGATAGTACGGCAGATCCACGAGGCAAATACGCGAGTCAAGCATTTGCCAATGTGGTTGGCCAACAAGGGACCAGAGGCAAAAGAGAAAATTTACGATGATGCATGCATTTTTAAGAATACGATGACATAACTTTGGCCATCTACGCATCGCTTTTTCCGTTGAACAAGGCCTTGACGGGGCGACGCCGAGAGACTAGGAGAAATCTTTTCGCCCCTAACAGCTATAGTAGCAGTACCGTGAAGACATGGGCTAGGGAAGGCCTACATGGAGGGATTTAAGAGATGGCAAGAGATTCTCAGCCGCTTGCTTGTCTTGAGAAAAGGTGCGGTCATCGTGCAGATCGTGCAGGGCTAAAGCGACAAGCGTAGGAATAAACCCCGCCTTGAACTCTGTTCTCCTGACCCATTCGACGAGCGAGCCGCATTGCCCCGGACCTTGGACTGTGCGAATGACAATGCCTGGTAGTAATCACCGTAATCAGTCAAACTCTGGTACATTTACTCCTGACCAGCACGTTTGCCGGTCGCGCGTGGATCCTAGCACGCAATTCTCGACCGCGGGAGTGGATCACCTACATCATCGCCAAATGTAGACTGCCGAACATGCTTGCAACCTCCGTGACATGCTGGGCAAACACTTGCGGGAGCACTGCACAACCGACGATCACTTGGACGCTACTCTAAGCTCTCTCTAGGTTGCCATCGACTTTCTTTAAAAGGCGTTCATGCACCCTGTAAATCCTTTCCATCTCACCATCTTCCGAAGGTGCGTTCTCTCCGCTTGGAACAGACTTTCGTGATTATTCCTCAGCCTTGCATCTCGTCACGAAGGAATCCAAAGCAGCTTGATGCAGACAGTCATTCGCCGTCGTCCTCACTACTATTTTTGTCCCTTCATTCAGTTCCTGCGCTCAATAAAATGGCGTTGAGCAACATTGCCCAGCGCATGACGCAGACCTCCGTCGAGAAAGACCCCATCGATGGCACTTCTCCTCAGATGTATGGAGAAGAGAAAAAGGACGTTGATGGCGACGTTGAAATGGGTGGTGATCCTCCTCGTCGTATGAGCAGAATTGACGGGAAGTCCCATGCCGCCTCGGACACTGATTCGACCGTGAGCATTGGGCAACAAATCGAGATGGAGAAGGATAATGCGATCAAGTACCGTACTTGTAGCTGGCAGAAAGTAAGATTTAGTGAACCCAGTCCTCCTTGTGCTCCTGCTCTATGCTTGAGATATCATGAGATTCGCGCTTATTGTATATCAATCCACATCTAATGCCATCCTAGACTGCTTTTTTGCTCTTCTCTGAGTACATATGCTTGGCTATCATGTCGTTTCCCTGGTCTTACTCAGTCCTGGGACTAGTTCCGGGGTTAATCTTGACTGTGGTTGTAGCTGGTCTGGTGCTATACACTTCCCTGATTCTGTGGGAATTTTGCTTGAGACATCCTGAGGTCAAGGATGCTTGTGACATTGGTCAAATGCTTTTCTGGAACCACAAATGGGCCTGGTACTTTACCGCGGTCATGTTCTGCTTGAACAACACTTTCATTCAAGGTGAGATCGAGTCTCTCCCTCACGTTGTTATGCCACACAACTTACATGGGACAAGGCTTTCATTGCCTAGTCGGCGCCAAGTATCTCAACACCATCACAAGTCACAGCGTTTGCACCGTTGGCTTCTCCGCCATCATGGCTCTCATCTCGTGGGTGTGCTCACTTCCTAGGACATTTTCAGCCCTTGCCAAACTCGCGCTTTTTTCGGCTTTATTCACTTTCATTTCAGTGCTTCTCGCAACCATCTTCGCTGGCATCGAAGATCACCCGACCGGATATCCAGACGCTGGCGAAATCCAAGTCCTTGCCATACCTCTAGCCGGAACAAGCTTCGTTAGTGGCTTGAATGCGTTCATGAACATTAGTTACACCTTCATCGGGCAGATTACGCTTCCGTCGTTCATCGCCGAGATGAAGAACCCACGAGATTTTCCAAAGGCTTTGTGGGCCGTTACCATCTGCGAAGTAATTGTCTTTGGGCTTGTTGGCGCCGTCATTTATGCGTACACCGGCACAAATTACATGACCGCTCCCGCCTTCGGCTCTCTTGGCAACGAAGTCTACAAGAAGGTGTCGTTCAGCTTCATGATCCCAACTCTTATCTTCTTGGGAGTCCTATACGCATCAGTAACCGCTCGATTCGTGTTCTTCAACATCTTCAAAGGCTCTAGGCACATGAGCGATCACACAGTTCTCGGTTGGGGTGCTTGGGCGGGCATTCTGGCCGTGACCTGGGTTGTTGCGTTCATCATCGCTGAGGTTATTCCCTTCTTCTCCGACCTCCTTTCACTAATGAGTGCGCTTTTCGATTCCTTCTTCGGCTTCATCTTCTGGGGCGTAGCGTATATTCGCATGCGACAGGCAGACTTTGGCAAAGGATTCTACAAGGCAAGGGGCATCCGAGGTTGGCTCGGTTTCGCCTTCAATGTAGGGCTCATTGGCATCGGGCTCTTCTTTCTAGGACCTGGCACCTATGCGTCAGTTCAGGCCATAGTCGACGGGTATCATGCAGGAAGCTTCGGTGGTGCTTTCTCATGCCAAACAAACGGATTGTAGTGAATTCTACACGAGTTTGATGGATTTGGGGAACGAAATGCTAACAAACTACGATCGAGACACGTCAAAGGAATGATCTACGATGCATTTTCACAAGACGTAACGTCTATACGGCAAAGGGCAACAACGAGCATACTTCGCTTTTGAAATACCTCTGTACACGAGAGGAAAACGACGAGTACATGACGATGCAGAGATCACAGCTCTTCTAATTTCACCCGTTATCGAGATGGCATGAGGTTCAGTATATGTTAACGAACCAAATTATCCTAAAACTGAATATATTGCGGCTACTCTGCCCTAGATCAAATCGCCATGTCAATCTTATAATTGATTTCTTGATATGGCTGAGTAGGTGAAGCTGCGATAGAATGAAAGTGAACAGCCTGCAGATATTGGGGACCTTCGCATGCGGCTGTGGCTGCCCTTTGTTCAGCTTTATTCTCGGCGTACATTAAAACATCTATTCGTGGATAAACGTTTAGGGTCTATTGCCTCCATATAGCCTCGTCGAATGCGACCAATTTTTTAACGGCAATTTCTGTCCCTGGCGAGCAACAAGCATGGAGCATGTATAATTATATCGTTCGAACTTTGAAGAACCATAATATAAACAGCAAAGGGATAAATATATTAACTCCTTTCTCGTCGTTCGCGTAGAGAACATTTTGATAAGATTATAAGTGTTCGTCATATAAAGCCCAGAGGAGAAAAGATATTATGGATTGTTCTTCTTGTACCTTGTATGATATTTTCGTGAGCTGATATTATCCGAGTCAGTTTTTGCATGTTTCATTACAGGGCTATCGAGACCATAATCCATTCTCCAGAACATACGTTCGACGGAGGAAGGCCAAAAGGTGTCTAGAACAGTGTTTTCAGGAAGAGGAATCGGACGTTCTTGCAGATATCTCAAGCATCATTTGGAATAGATGAAAAAGTATGTACACGCTTTCGTAAAACACACGAAAGTTTGTCGCAAACCACGAGGCCAGCCAACTCGTCCTTTTACCTTCAAAGAATCTCAACAGATTCCCATAAGCTTGCTTTGATGAAATTTCGATAGTTGAGTCGTATAGGCTGGAGTGACATGCGACCATGTGTCCGTCCAACGATCAATTCTGTAGGTGTGATGATCATCGACTACTCGATTGGGAGTGGATTCTGGTGGTGATAACAGCAACTGCTTTCTTGCGAAGCAAAAAACTCATACTACGAGTTCAACTGTGTAGTCCTCCTAGAGTCTGTTCCTGCATTGTTCGAAATTGGGTTTCACAATATCATTATGAACAGATGTACGATCTTTTCCAGCTAAACGGGAACGACGTACTACCCTCCGCTATCAGGTGTGCTGTCTGGCCATTTCCGCATGCTTCTGTCTTTTCGGTGATGAAACGCTGAAACGGCTGAATATCTTGCCCGTCGTTTTGACTTGATCAACTGTGCTAGGGCCATCTTCGTCCATGCAGATATGCTCGATCTGAAAGATGATGCTCGTTTAGCATTGGCATTGTATCGCATCGCACCGGTGTTCCATCGTTAATAGATGTAGTCAGGCTCTGAACCATTATCTCTCGAGCCGATGCCTAGAAATACTTCTTGTCATCCTACCAAAGGTTTAATAACACTTGAAAAACCCTTGGAGAGAAACACAATTCTTTCATCGAATCTGTGCCCCATTGCTCATGATATATTATAGATGGAGAATGCAAATTTCCTCTTTTGCCCCTACGTGTCGGTACCTGTAGCAAGGTCTATGGAAAGATATGTAGCCAGGTGTGCTTATGGGGGTGGAGTGTTGTAAAGTGGGTCCAGCACGTGCAAATTCGTGACATCAGAACTTGTGAGCCTGGGGAACAACCGACTTTCTCTCCTTTCGCGCTGCGCATCGATGAGGTTCTAGCGTTCATCGATCTGCACAAAAATTGTTTACAATGGCATCCGAATTACTAAGTTATGTCGACTTGAGCAAGCAGAGTCTATGGGGTAAGATGGTGCTGTCGATGTCGCAATCCGGATGTGCTGAGCTTTCGGCTAGTTGCTGCAGGAGCCATTGCATTCAACCCGACATTTTGGAAGTATATTCAACACGATCGTGGCATTTTTGTGCGTATGCTAAATGTCTTGCAGTATTGCAGCTAGACAAGGTGACAGCTTAAGCAGCTTTGGCGACTTTCGGAAGTATCTAATGGAATTCAGAGTATCACAACAAGGTCATCACGAGGCTTTTTGGAGGCAACGCATATTACGGTTGTTATGCCCTAGCGGTGACGATCTTCTCAATCGGTATATTCCGTGACACACTGTCTGAACCACTCTCCACCTAATTTGCGGCGCCGCTCATATATTGATAGCTTCGAACGCGCTCTGCGCGACCAACCTTCGCTCCCGCTCCTCACAGAATCGCCACTTACAAAGCCTCTTGCTGGTGCCCTATTTGCTAGTGGCAATGTCCTTGTCCTCAGCAGCATGTGGGCTCTCGGTGTCACGGGTACTTATCTTGGCGACTACTTCGGCATATTGATGGATGAAATGGTGACAGGTTTCCCTTTCAACGTTACCAAGTCACCAATGTACTGGGGTAGTACAATGAGCTTCTTGGGTACAGCCTTGTGGTTCGGCAAGCCCGCAGGAATATTGTTGACATTGGAGGTGTTTGTCGCATACTGGATCGCCCTGAAGTTTGAAGACCCGTTCACTGCGGAAATTTATGCCAAGAGAGAGAGGGAACGTGCGAAAGGAAAAAAGGGCAACTAGAATAGAAGGAATTATGCTAGCAGATCATTGTGGGTGAGTCACATATACGATCTGATGTGGTTCTCAACGAAGTAAAATACCCGTACATTGCGTGGATCATTCCGCATTCAACATTTAGCGGCGGCGTTGGTGGAGTTCAAAATATATGCTAAGGCCTTTGGATACAGACGTGGTAGACGCTATAAGGACTCCAACATCTTCACATCGGCCACAGCGTAGTTGATACATTTGCGACTTCATGCCAAGGCTTGTTTAGATTCTTGTGTTTTGAAGACCTCATCATATAAAATTTGAATTTTTACATTTTGCAACGTAATACAAAAATGCCACACAATTCTTATTCAAGAAGAATATTTCTATTCGAATGTATTTGATTGGTGCCAGTGCAGCAAAGTTCAAAAGCTGAAGCACACAACGCTTTGAGCATAATCACATTCATTATTTGGCTAAAGAAACAATGAAAGAACTTTAAGCCCTCTCTAATGCATTTGATTGCTCTGCCGCGTACAATGGCTCTGTAATGAAACCATTTTCAGCCTGCTCGTCAGCCTCATAATGGGGCCTTCCTCTTTAGGTTTGGCGGACCTGTCGCGCAAACCTCGTTGCACTGATTCTTTCGAGTGTCGCTCAATATTCTTCAAACGAGACCTAGGCGCCATGAAGATCACAAAAGATAAAGAACGTCTACCGAGATGTTATTTTTCATATTGTGCCCTTTCAAACTACAAAGATCAGGATCGTCTACCAACCAAGCAGCAGCCCTTCAAAGCGATAAATCATTACACACCAGCGCACACTGTAAGTCATTTGCCTCCGTAGCTCATGATCGGAAAAAGAAAAGGAAACCCTTAAAATGGCATGCTAACAGCGACCAAGACCGATCTTATGCTCCCGGAAGAATTGTATGCACTGGTGGAAGGAAAGTTGTTTGGAAAGCTTTTCAGTTATGCGCGAGTATACATGTCATTGCTCGACATTGTTAGTGGCGACTTCTTCAACCAATATGTCAAAGCCGGTAAGGTCTATGTTACATGAGCTTTAGTTCTTTTTTTGTTGATGAAAGCCCTTTAGGCAATGTCCTCATGCTGTCAGAAGGCCAACAAGGTGTTCAAAACACGTTCTTACTAAAGGACGGCATCCTACGTCTCGATGTCGACAAGGCCACATATGAACGCTGCGGCCTTGTCGGAGTCGCAGCACCGCATCCAGGACGAAAGCACGTCAAATCGAGATTTAGAATCGACCTGGATTTAAAGCAGGCATCGATGCAGCATGGCAAGAAGGGATTCGAACGTATCAAGTGGGCGTTCAAGACTGTGCTCGTCGAGTCACTTGCTTGGCTCTTTGTGGATCTCGAGAACGAGGATGTATGTTCAGGTACGTTTGCCAGCCACGAGACACGCGTGGTCCATAGCTTACATATTCTCATTCAGGGCCGATTGCTGCGCTTCATCCACAGGTTGTAGAACTGAGGCCTACTGTAACACGGCTGAAGCATTTGGTACCTCCATTCGTCTATGATGAGGAAGCCATTCGAGATGCATTATACGAAGAACAGTTATTGGAATGGCTTGGCATGGTGATGCTCGAGTCACCACGCATCAGCCAAAAAGATACTATCGACAGTTATCTGTGTAAATATACCCTGCCTGAAGAGTTTGTCCAGACCGAGGAGTCCGCGCGACAGGAGCAGGAAGTTGTGCACGTACGTTGGCACGGATTCACTTCGGCAGCCTTCTTGAGACATGTTTGGCTTACTCTAAGGGCGGCAACCGCCGAAAAGAGTGAATTGTGGTTCTCAGTGGGGGCGAGCACGTTTGACGGCACGAGTTTCACGCTTCTGTGCAATGACGGGCGGAACGTCATGCTCTGGGAATGTGATTAGGACGGCATCTTCAAGCGGTCACTAATTATGCGCGAAGACCGCGTGATTTGACGCTTCGAACGAGACCCCCCGTCTCCTGTCCGAACGAGTGGTAGCGACACATGAAAATGGTCATTTCAAGTCCTCAACAGTTTTGGCTTCAACTTGAACCATCGTGGTTGAAAATTGCGAGCTAGATTGCGCGAGCCTACGCCACATGGTTCATGGAATATGCCATTGTCAAATCACAAGGCAATAAAGATGCAGCATGTTCTCTGAGTGAGCCGACGTGCGGATGAGGGGTAGACAAGGCTGCATGCAGCATTTCGTTGGTCAGCCCTGTGGTGCGATGTGTGATGAACGTGGCCAAACGCCTGCGTCTACGGTTGTTGCGACATCCTCAACTTTTTCACATCAGGTGCCAATACTTACTTCGACAGATCAGCTCCCTTTTCATGAAGGTATTGGCTCCTTCAAGGTTGCTATGCAGCGCGTGTGGAGCCAGCCTATGGGTTTGCAAGGTTTCATCTGAAATTTTTTGTCGACCATGCGGGCCGCAGCCGCATACCCCGTCGTCATTCTGGACCGTCCGTACGCTATCACAAACAGGCTTCGGAACTTAGCGTCCACCTTTCCCTTGGAGCTTCGTCGGCGTGTTGTTATCCACTTCCTGTAGTTCGCATCAAATGTATCTGTACCTGTGACATATCAATGGTCTGCCGAAGACCGATACCTCCTCTTCGCCGTTTCGTGCTGTTCCCTGGCGCATGACGTCGGGATTTTGACTTTCGAAAGTTACGCTAATTAATTGCTATTTTTTAACCTCTCTTCCTATTATTTTTTCCCTTCAGCATCGCCTTCGTTCCCCGAGACTGGCCGGCTCCAATGTCCGGTCGCTGGTTGCGTCGCGGAAACACGGCTGGGAGTTTGCAACAGCGCTTGCCATTCACTAATCCAGAGGCAAGCGACGCAGAGGAGGTGAACTCGGAGATGACGGGCTCGATACGCGGACGTCCAGTACCAGGGGCCAGATCACAGTCTACCACGGGCGGTTATCTATCTTCATCGGTAGGACAACGGCAACCTACCAGATCATTCTTTCACTATGCCTCCCACGGCCATACTGAGCCTCCTCAATACGCGTCGCCTGGCGTGAGGGAACAAACGCAAGAGCTTGCAAATTGGGCATTGGACGATTCTGCTAACCCCCGGGCCTTATCTACAGGCTTCGATGATGGATGGGGTACTGGCTCAGCGAGACGTGGAAGGAAGAGAACAGGCTCATTCTTTAGCGAAACGGACTCGGCTGAGGCAAGAACTTCTACCGAGTCTACGCGACCCGGGGCAATTGAAGAGGTGTCCGAACCAGTCTCTCCAGAAGACCACGACGATACGACCAGAACGGAAGAGACGAACAACACGTCTGCTTTGTCAAGCTTGCTTCGTGACGGCGAGGCACGGAAAAGGCGTTACTTGTCGTTTGGCTCGGGCGGGCGAGATCAGGACAATGACGGAAGAAGCGAAGTCAGCATCGTGGTCGACGACTACGAAACCGGCGAGATTACGGAGACATCTGCCCTACTCCCACGAGAACGACTCCCTGCTTCGAAGCGAGTGCCGCTCTACAGACATACCGATCCTAATTTTGCGGAGCAGCAACGCACATTTCCGAACAAGAGATGGAGCTGGCTGAAATTTACGCTTAGGGAAGCTTGGGAGAAAGCCGCACACCCTCGCAGCTGGAACGTTCGGCAGGCGTCACACATGGCTGTTGGCGCATTTGCCGCCGTGTTTCTAGGCCTTCTGCTCAACATTCTAGATGCGTTATCGTACGGAATGATTCTTTTCCCGCTTGGCGAGGAAATCTTCGCGAAGACGGGCCCAGATGGTATCTCGATGTTCTATGTCAGCTGCATCGTCTCTCAGCTTGTATATTCGCTTGGCGGATCAAGGTTCCAAGGCGGCGTTGGCTCAGAGATGATCGAGGTAGTGCCCTTCTTCCACAAGATGGCGTACATGATCTTGGCCAAGGTGGGTGATGACAAGCCTGACGCGACCATGGCGACTGTCATTACCTCTTACGCCTTGAGCTCCATCCTCACTGGCTTCATCTTCCTGCTTCTAGGCCTGCTTAGGCTCGGTGACCTCGTAAGCTTTTTCCCACGCAGCATTCTGCTTGGCTGTATCGGTGGCGTAGGTGTCTTCCTTATTCTCACGGGCGTTGAGGTCTCTGCGGGATTGGACTCGAACATGGACTGGAATTTGGATGTCCTACAGCGGCTAATGGTGCCATCTACACTCGTCCTCTGGATTCTCCCACTCGTTCTATCCATCCTGCTTATGGTTATACGGCATTACCTGAGCCACCCTACGGTCATGCCTGCTTTTTTCATCATTGTCGTTGCTATATTTTACATTGTTGTCGCAGCGTTGCCGAATGTGTCTCTTCTTGATCTACAGCAGCACGGATGGGTATTTGAAGCGCCGGAGGCCGGCGTGCCTTTCTACAATTTCTACACGTACTATAGTAGGTCTAACAATATGAACGCAGTGGAGCAAATATGCTAAGTAAACTAGATTTCAAACTTGTGGATTGGGAAGCGATCGCTGCGACCCTACCGACGATGTTTGCTCTCTCGTTCTTTGGAATCATACATGTTCCAATCAATGTCCCTGCACTGGGCCTTGCAGTGCAGCAGGATGATGTCAACATCAACCGCGAGCTGTTCGGCCACGGCCTGTCCAATGCACTCTCAGGGTTCGTCGGCAGCATACAGAACTACTTGGTATTCGCCAACAGTCGCTTGTTTATACAGAATGGTGGCAACAGCAGAGCAGCGGGCGTGTTGCTCGCTTTTGCTACGTTCGGCGTATGGGTTGCTGGGCCTGCCATGATTGGATACATACCAGTTCTGGTAGTTGGCACGTTGATATTCATGCTTGGCATTGAAATGGTCCAAGAAGCGCTTTGGGACACGTTTGGAAAACTACACAGACTTGAATATCTGATGGTCCTTGCCATCACATTGGTCATGGGGTTCCACGATTTCGTCGTCGGCATCGTCCTAGGCATTGTTCTCGCCTGTCTTATCTTCGTCGTCCAAACGTCACGGGTCTCGGCTATTCGTGCTACGTATTCTGGTGTAATTGCAGAGTCTACGGTACGAAGACATCCGGTTCAACGTCGGTTTCTACACGCTGTAGGATCGCAGATCAAGGTCACCAAGCTGTCCGGCTATCTTTTCTTTGGTACCATTGTGGCTGTAGAGCGAAGCATCAAGGCGATGATAGATGAAGAAGCTTTCTCAAAGCAGCCCATTCGATACTTGATTCTGGACTTCGCTCATGTCGATGGCCTCGATTTTTCAGCCGCCGAAGCCTTTGTACGCATGAACCGAATACTGAGAGCCAAAGGCGTGGAGATGGTGCTTTCGGGCGTTTCTCTGGCTGGAGAAACCGGAGAGAGCTTGGCTATGGTGGGCTTGCTGGAAGACAACGATGAGAAGAGGCCACCGCCGAGGATTTTTGAAACGCTTAATCAAGCTCTTGAAGCATGCGAGAACGGGCTGTTGGTCGCATTCAAGAAGCAAAGCGAGAATATGACACAACAGAAGATGAAGGATATCACGTCAATCAGCATTCCGAGGACGAACTCCCCTGGTGCGGGCGAGACGATGTACGGTACGCCTAGAAAGCATCACATCGAACAGGCCGCGGCAACTGCATTACAAGAGAGCGGGACAATGGCAGTGCCCAAGTGGCAGAACTTTGCCCAGCCTTTGCCCCTGATCATGCAGACGTTCAAAGACCTCACGGAGAAGGACATCGATTTCTGGCACCGCGTCTCGCCCTATTTTGTGCGCCGAGAGTTTCCCGCAGGCTCGATCCTGTATTCGCGCGGCGACGAGCCGGACGGCTTCTACGTCCTCGAAGAGGGCATCTTGCGAGCAGACTACGACCTCGAGCAGGGCCGGTTCTATGAGAGCATTGTCGCGGGGACGACGTGTGGCGAACTGCCGTTCTTCGCCGAATCTGAGCGTACGGGCACCGTAGTGGCGGAGAAAGACTGCGTCGCGTGGCTCCTGACGAAGCAGAAGTGGAGAGAGATCGAGGAGAAACTACCAGACGTCGCAAACGAGCTGCTCAAGATTGGGTTGAAATTGACAAACGAGAGGATGAACACCATCACGTCGTAAGTTCTCCATTTGGATTTTCTCTTTTCATTTTTTGTGCTTTGGCCACCGGGTCCAGGCAGCCGGATCGACTCTGCGGTCTGCTTAGGCGAGCAAGTAACTGACCAGACTGCGAACAGATACGTGCTGGTGACTGCCAGCTAGTTAGCTTGCGACGCTCACACGCACGGGCGAACGTGCTTGCACTCGCACTCATTGATCGCTTCCGTTCATCAGCATGTGCACGAACAGGAGTAAAGTCGGGGATGCGCATGGAGATACCGTGGGCACATGGGAAAATATGAGTCTTGGCAGGAAGCTACAGAGGGACAGCGCTGAAGGGGTGTTGGGAAGGGAACAAAGTTCAGTGCGGCGAACGCGTGGAAAAAGCTACCAGGGTCTTTTTGTACACATATTGCTTGATGGGTGTAGCGCCGATCAACGACGTGGATTCGACGGCGTCGGTTAGAGACAGGGCGGGAAACGCCATGTATTGATCATCGTCCACATATCGGAGAAAAGAAGCGGTCAGTGTGTGTTTGTCGCTCGACTGTGAAGGGGGGGGGGAGGGGGATGAGGGTGAGCATTCGCATCTCGTAAACGGGCGCTGTTGAGAGGAAGAGTCAGTCCGCCCCTCCCATCTGGCCCCCCCTCCCGGAAGTGATCCGTTCCAAGCTCTCAAGCGCAAAACAGAGCGAGCGGGTGAGCTGGAGGGTTTGGCGGCACGGCGATGATAGCAAGAGTTGCCAATCAAAGAGGATGGGGCGAATCAGCACCCGTGTGCGAGCTTGCACGATGTTGATTTGATCGTCTCACATGCAGCTCGAACCTCGACCAGAGTGGAGCAGAGCGTTGACGCCATGCTGGAAGCGGGTTGGCGGCGAGACCCACTGCGCGCTGGAAGGGGTCCGGGATGAGCAGCGAGGCCCTGCGAAACCCTGGCGCGAGTGTCTTTCTGTGGCGTGCTGTTTTAATTTTTTTCTTGCTGTCCTGCTCTCTGCGCCCTTGGCCGCTGCCGACACAGTTGTTCTGTGCTGTCGCCGCAGCGGCCGTGGTGGGACGCTCCTCGCCTGCCCGATGGGTCTTTGCCGGGTCTGTGGCGGAGGCGCTGGCCGCGAAATTTGACGGTGGTTGGCGTCGCCCGCTACGGCGACGACTGCTCAAACGCAGCGACCCAGAACCGCTGCCACCGCCTGTGTGGGAGAGCGTGTGCGCGCCGGTTCTTGCGCCCATCGGCCGCGTAAGATACTGGCCGGCGCTGCCAACACCCTCTAAACCAAAGCCTCGTTGCTGACCTGTCTGTATCGTTCCGTCCGGCGCCCTTGCGGCTTCGCGCGGACAGTCGAGATCCAGAGAGCGACGGCAGGCAGCCCGTCGCCAGCAGATGTCGTGAGATTTGAGAGACCCACAGTCCTCAGCAACCACCACTCATCTCCCGCTTGACGGAACGTAGGCTGCGTCACTGTGCAGGGCAGCCTGCTTGGACAGCTGCAGCATCTGGCGCGGGAGCATCAGTAGCGCGACTGAGACGACCGCAGAGCTCAGTGCAAATGGTTGGCAGCGGCCATCACACGACCACCAGACCACTCCGGCATCCTGGATGGGCCTGGGTCCTTCGCTGCCTCTTTGGTGATCTGTACGCCGTACCAGACCCTTTGATAATGTAACTTGAGAATGATAATTACCAGCGTAATCCCGTGATTCGCCGGTATTTAGGGTGAAAGCCTCCCGCCAAAAGTGCAATTAAACCGTGTAGACTACCTATTGATCCAAGCGCTTCGTCCCCCTTCTCTTTGGAATTCAAAACCGCTTCTATCCAACACCGTCCACCACAGATTCTTTCTTCACTCGCACACCTCTTCAAGCTTTCCTTTTGCAACACTCGAATAAGATACCCCCTTCCCCTCCTCCTTCTCCTTCCCCCCCCCGTTTCTGAGCGTCGCGAGACTGCAAGACAGCTTCTCAAAACCAAGTATCGCTTTGTAATTAACCCAGAGCCCGCTGTACGTCTGCAAGCTTTGCTTGGCCACAACAGCCCGTCCTTTCATCACTCGAGATACCCATCTGCGTTTTTCCATCACACACCACAATGTCTGCCGAAGAAGCAAAGACCGCGCCTGTCGCCGAGACTCCGGCCGCTGAGCCCACTCCAGCACCCGCTGTCGAAACCCCGGCCGTCGAGGAGACCAAGGCCGAGGAAGCCAAGCCAGCGGAGGAGGCACCAGCTGCTCCTGCTGCTGAAGCCGCCACCGAAGCAGCTGCTGAAGAGACCGCCGAGGCTGCGAAGGAGGAGGCCAAGCCGATCGAGCCAAAGGAAGAAGGCCACATCCTCTACCACGCGCCAGGTGGCTTCCTGAAGTAAGTCCTGCACCTTTTCTGGACGGCTACATGGAAATCCTGCTTGACGTGTCGCTGACATTCACTTTCACAGGGAGTTCCTTCCAATCCCACCAAAGAAGGTCTTCTTCTGGTTCAGCGAGGAGCCCGTCGAATCCTCGCAGCTCAAGGCCTACCTTGCCAAGGGCAAAGAGGCCGCTGCCTCGACTGCGGCATGGGCTAGCCAGACCGGAAAAGGTCTGCTGTTCTTCAACAAGCACGGCGAGGACAAGGCTGCGCCGTCTGGTGCCCTGAATTTGGTATGTTTTAACACTCTAGGCAACACTTTTATTGGATTACGTAACTAATCAAAAATTCATCACAGGCCGATGCTGAAGACATCAAGGAGGCTGGTACTACCGAGTTCACCTTCAAGCTTCACAACCACAAGCACAAGTTTGACGCGCAGACACCTGCAGAGCGCGACAGCTGGGTCTTGGCCGTCAAGAAAGTTGCTGAGGAAGCTAAGGCCAAGAAGGATGAAATTCTCAACAGCGAGGGCTACAAGGAGGCGCTTGCCAAGCTCAGTAAGTTTTTTTTTGGCCCTCGCATGACAAAAAAAATTCATCGATCCTTCTCATCAACTCGACGCGTTTGTTTAGACGTTCCTTGTTGGGAAATGGGTCGGTGCTCGCCTTAGCGTAGATCTAGTTCGCTAACCATGCCCCAAACAGAGCCAGCCCCAGTCGCTGCCGTGACGGCGCCAAAGGTCAGCGAGGAGACCCCTAAGAAGAGCATGGACACTCCTGCCGAAGGCGAGGACGCGAAGAAGGCTGCCAAGAGCCGCTCCCGCTCCCGTGGCCCACTTGGTTTCCTGAAGAGCAAGAAGGAGGAAGCTAAAGAGGAAGCTAAGGGCGAGGACAAGAAGGAAGAGACTGCTGCTGAGTCCGCTACCGCGGCTGAGGCTGCACCTGCTGGTAAGTGCATCCCACTATGCCTTAAGCTCACAATCTTAACGGATCGCTAACTAAGTGAGCAACAGTCGAGCCAACGGTTGAAGGTGGAGCCGCTCCCGCTGCCGAAAGTGCACCGGCTGAGGAAGCCAAAGAAGAGGCCGCTGGTGAGGCCAAGGAGGCTCCAAAGGAGGAGCCCAAGAAGGAGGGCCGTCGCCTTTCTCGCTTTGAATCTTTCTTCAAAGGCAAGCCCAAGGAAGCTAAGAAGGAAGAGAAGAAGGAGGAAGCCCCAGTTGCGGAGGAGCCAGCTAAGGCTGCTGAGGAACCAGCTACTGCTGAGGAGACCCCAGCTGCTGAGCCTGCTGCGGAGACCGCGGCTGTCGAGGAGGCTCCCAAAGAAGAGGCCAAGGAAGAGGAGAAAAAGAAGGAGGAAACTACTCCAGTCAAGGAGCACCGCAAGTCCTCCTTTTTGACCGGCCTGAAGGGTTTCACTCAGAAGGTCCGCTCTCCATCCTCCGAGCACCCTCCAGCTGTCCCAGCCAAGGATGACGCAGCTGAGGCTAGCACCGATGCCGCAGCCGCTACTGAAGCCGCTACTGATGCTCCTGCCACTGAGGCCACTACTGCTGAGGAGCCAGCTACTAACGGCGAGACCAAGACCGAGAAGCGCCGCAGCTCTTTCTTCAACTTCGGAACCGTCAACAAGAAGAAGGCTGAGCCTGCGCCAGCCGCCGATGAGGCTGCTAAGACGGAAGCCGCCGAGGAGGCTGCCAAGCCAGCTGAAGAGGAAGCAGCTGCCACCGAAACCGAGAAGCCAGAGGCTTCGCCCAAGGAGCACAAGGAGTCTCCATTTGCTTCCATCGGCCGCCGTGTCAGCAAGGCCATCCGAGGTGGTGAGAAGCCAAAGAAGGAGGCCAAGGCTGCGGCTGCCGTTGGTGAGACCAAGGAGGAGACCAAGCCAGAGGAAACTGCGGCTCCTACTGCCACCCTCCCGGAGCCACTCAAGGCCGATGAGAACGTCAAGCCTGCTGCCATTGGTGATGTTGTCCCAGAGGCTGTCACCGTTGGCACTGCTCCCACCGTGTCCGCCACCGCATAAGCTGCCTTCATAAACTTGAATGCAATTTTATGCTAACGGACACAGTATGGAACGCTATGAGCCTGCATAAAAAGCAATGATCGTCATGCCTTGCGATACCCCAGAAAAAAATTTTGTCGTTTTGGATTTAAACAGCAACAACTCCGCATAACCTCAACAATGAATGCCCAGCCAACTACTGCGAAGACAAGGCCACTCTCCTTCTGGGCAGAAACGTACACGTCACAGACCTCATGCGACGAATCATACTTTTGAGGGAGAAACAGCGTGCTGGGGAAAGGATGTGCAAGGATATACCCCGGATGGTGTCTGGATACTCGCATTTTTCGCGTTCTCTACCTGAGATGGTTCTGCGCGGAGGCTCTACTGCTTTTCATTTCCCGTCCTCTCGCTCATCCTAGATTGATACCACTGATTTTTGTTTTGAGTGTTCTGGCATCATGTACTGGCTTGGCTTTGTGCTGCTGCTCGGTCCACTGCTATTTTTGTGTTTTCGTTGAATACCCCTCCCCCATTTATCATCTATATACCCCAACTTGATACCCAATTGTACCGGCCCTTATCAGGTGTCCGTATTGTACAAGAGCGGCCATTGGGCTCAAACTTCCACACGTAGCTAATATCTAATCACAACTCGTTTGGTTCTTGTCTCTAGAGATGAGTCATCTGTTCTCTTTTTTAAGCCTGGATTATTCCTATCTTCTGATTGTGCGCCATCTATGATGCTTTGTGCAGACTAGGTGATTCTGTTCTAACAAACAAATGGCATTGTGCATAATCATGCGAGTGGGTATTTTGCCATGCTAGAGCGCTTGGCCGACGTGGCTGTCGTTTATGCCCACTACAAACAGCGTACTGGCGCTGTTTCGAAACGAAATTCTATTTCAGATCAAGGCTGGCTTAGATGGGTCGGCCTGCTAGCTTTGATGCGTTCGTGCTGGGGGAATCCTGGAGGACAAAGCAACAATTGTGCTGGCCTTGCGGAGCGTTGCCATGGGTTCCCCTTCTTTAGGGTCACCCCATATTTGTCTTAACTACGCATCACAGATCCTGTTTGCGGCCCTGTGCTACGGCGACGACAGTATCGTACGCGTTGTGCATTGGGCGTGAAACTTTTGGTCATGGCCACATCGCTGGCGTCGTGCTGTGATTGTCAGGACGAGAATCAGGCCCCCTCTTTCGCCCTTCCCTTCACCGGCTGCCTGGTTTGTTTGCTTGCTTGCAATGAGCTCCGCTGTTGGAGCACGTCCTCTTTCCACGCATCGAACGAGTGACGTACCCGTAAGTCACGGAGCTGCCAGACAGAAGCACGGGCTGGCTCGAAAGGATGGCGGCGTGCAATACGCAACTGCCTGTCGACAATATCAGTGGGTTCGAGCTGGATACCTGGCCTCCCGCCTTCCCAGCCATTTGACGACGAACGACGGCACAGTCGACGGCGTCGTTCGAGCAGCAGCGAATGGAACGTGGGCTCGATCAATCACTCGAGGACAGGGTTGACACTGACGGCCCCCTGGTGAATTGTTCGTGCGTGTCACCGACGAAAACCCGTGCGACGGGAGGCGGATCCTGCTCCTACGATCCTGTCGCACTCGACTTTCGCAGCTCCGTCGTCTTGCCTCGGGACCTCCGAGAGAGATCGTGGGGACGGGTCTTTTTCTCAGCAAGGGCCAGCAAAGCGCTGGCCGAAGAGGGACGTTTCGTGCGCGCTACACGCGAGGAGAGCAGCAGCGGGGAGGAGGGGCGGACGCATTTTTTTTCTGGCGGAGATCCGCAGGATCGTCTTTACTTTGGCACCGGCGGCGCCGGGCGCGAGAGCGCTGTGTGAGTGAGTTAATCGGAGCTCTTGACTTTTGCCTTCTTGGAAGCTTGTCCTTGTCTGTCTGGCAGGCGCCAAACAGCGGGAACAAACCCCCCCCCCCCTTTAAAAAAAGTTTTAAAGGAAAAGAATAAAAGGACGAGAGACAAGAAGGAGGTGCCAATTACGCTGCTTCTGGTGTTGTTATCTTCGTACATATTACGTGATGAGCGGCAGCCTAGACCGAACATCAAGACATCATATTCGATAATAGACATAGACATCATACCTTTGAAAGATAGGGGCGTTGGAAGTATCGCTTCATTCAAATCTCCTATGTCGTTTCACAGCAGAGCCTTCAGCTTGACGTTGCCTTCCTCGTACTTCAAACCAAGGATATCCAACAAGCCCTTCTTCTCAAGCTGTAGCTCATCATTGACCTTGCGCCAGACTCTCTGTCTGCAATCCGCGTCTTTCGTATGCGGCATCGGCGTCGCTTCCCAGATCCTGTTGAAGTACCGCCCACCGCCCTTCCCGCCGACCTCACCCACACCTTGTGTGTCGGGATCAGGCCCTGCCACAGGCTGAGTCGCTGCGTTGATGATGGCCAGAGAGCCTTGCTGCGGGTCGATTGCCAAGAGCCACGCCGCTGTTTTCACGACGAGCTCCTTAAGCCAGGAGAACCAGCTGAGGCGGTTGTTCAAGTTCCAGATGCCGGAGTTGACGTAGCCCGGGTGCACGCCCTGCACCGTTATGTGCCTGTACTGCGGATGCTGCAGAAGCCTGCGCTGCAGCTCCGTGAGCCACACTTGAAACCAGAGCTTGTTGTTCTGGTAGTACTGGACGCCTTCGGTTCCGGATTGGCCCAGCTCGCCGTTGCAGTTGCGCAGGTCGAAGCGGCCAAGGTAGTGGAAGCATGACGTTGTGCAAACGACGCGCGGAGCGGGCGCCTTGGCCAGAGAGGGCAGCAGGCGCAGCGTCAGGAGGACGTGGGAGAGGAAGTTGACCTGGTGGATGATCTCGAAGCCGTCCACGGTTCTGAACACAGAGCCGCCTCCCGGGCTGGATCCCATGCCTGGCGTCTTCGTCAGCAATGTCCAAACACAGTCGTCTCTCTCGAACAGGTCAAATACCGGCATTGTTGCACAGCACGTCCAACGCCCTGCCCGTATCCAACCACCGCCTCGCGAAGGCCTCAACGCTGTCCAGCCTGGCACAGTCCAACACCCACCATTCTATCGTGGTGTCCGCATGTCCCGCCTCCTTCGCTCTCGCCTTGCACTCCTCCACCGCCGTCGTCGGGTGAGTCTCGTGAGGTGGAGGATCTCGGCATGCTAGGATCAAGTTGGCTCCCCAAGCGGCGAACTGTAGCGCGGCCTCTCGACCTATTCCGTTGTTCGCCCCGCTGATTATGATCCATTTGCCAGCCAGATCGACGGCAGGCAACGTCTCCCTGGTTCTGACGGCACCCTTGCGGCTTTGGGCGGAGCACCACGCACGGCTGGGCTCCTCAAAGGAGAGCGGGGCATCGTAAGGAATGGTGTTGATATCGACCTCAGCTTGCGGAGCAGCCATTGGAGCTTGAACGATACGCCTTTTAGGTTTTGGCTTCCGTAGACGTCTGACGATCGTTTTTGATTCCAGCGGTTTGTGCTTTTGAGGCGCAGAGCGAGCTCAAGAGGCCAACCCAAGACACAAACACACACGCACACACACAAACATGCACACGCGTAGGACAGCTTTTACACCCCGTCTAGAACTTTGTCCCTTGATATAGGCACGGCCTCTGCACGTCAATCTCTACTTTCGTGCGTATGGCCCAACCCCGGGCGTCGATCCCTTCTGTCGGCGCCGGAAAGCAAGTCCAAGACGGACGGGGCTGTCCCGTGTCCGAGCCTGGATTTTGTCCAGATCTCTGCTGTTGCGAGTGCCGCGGCAATGCCGTTTGCGGTTCGCGTTGCGCAGGTGTGCGCCTTCTGGAAGCAGCCAAATTTCTTTCTTGCGGCGAAGGCGTATGCAGGCGACGTTCTGCCGTACGTGAGGTCTCGAGTCTTCAATTGACCCCTATCAATGCACAGCGCTGAACAATTCTGACACGACGTTGGGATGGTGGATGGCTTTGGGAGTAACTTCGTCATATGACGTCTTTTGATCAAGGTATGAATGAATCTTCTTACCACTTGCGTCCTAGCCAAGCACTTGTTGACTACGAGCAACAAGTGCTGAAAGCATTTTCAATCCTATTATTTTTGTTTCACCTCGCACATTGAAGTCATTTCGGAGTTCGACAGTTGTATTTTTTTTAAGCTTTGATGTATACTCACTCTATAGAGGTCTCAAAAAAAGGGTGGCAATGCTCTAGACGCTCATGAGCCAACAACACCAGGCTTTGCAGGTAGTAAAATGCTGTGCTCTGCTCTAAAAATCAGTTGATACAGCCCAACATTCCCCAGTTGGTACGAAGCTTTCCACGTGTCCTGAGCGTCTTTGCGAACAGGACCTTCTATAGCAGCACATTTTTACAGGATATCTTCTATGGCCCACCCCAACTATCTATTCACCACGGATCTTGCGGAAGAAATCCATGACGCCAGTGAAGACGACAAGCAAGATACCACCACCTGGACCCAATCTCAACACCTTGGGTAGGAAGCCCTTGTACAGAGCGGCGAAACCCTCCTCCTTATATACCAGGCCGAGAGCGGGCCACGCCCAGTTGTACTTGCGGACCGATCCTGCAACCTTGGGAGAGTTCTGTATTCGTGATTTCACCACGTCCATCGGCGTGTTCAGCACAGTGCCGACCGTGCCGCCGATAGCGCCGGAAACCAGATCGTTCGTGATCTGGCCCTTCTTGTCCTTCGCCTGCGGCATCAGAGTGCGTACTTGGAAAATGCAGCCAAAGTAGCCAGCGTTCCACATGACGTGTCTCCAGATCGTGCTTTCGAGGCCTTGGTACAACGCCAGTACGCCTTCCTGAGAGACGACTTTGCGCACGCAGTCTACAATTCCGTTATACTTGTGCGCCTGTGCCTTATCCTGCATGCGGATCTTGACGAGCTCGAAAGGCACGACGACGAACGCTTCCGTCGCTCCGGCGGAAGCACCGGTGAGAATGGAAAGGGATTGGTTCATCTTAGGCATGCCAAAGAGATTGCGGTAGATTTTGCCCCATTCATCGTTGGCCGCGAATTTGGTGGCACTGTCGGAGATTGGGTTAGACTGGTGCTTAGATAGGATGGTGGAACATGTACTGACCGTTTGGGGGCTTCCATCATGATCGGGGCGGTGATACCACGGTATAATCTACTGGCGCTGGAGTTGTTGTCAGCAAGGCCGAGGGATAGCGAAGCAAGCAAATCGCCGCTAGCTCACCCTTCATTCTTGATGATCTTGCGGAAGCAATCCAGCATGCCACTGTACGCATCCTCGCCAACGCCCTTGCCTGTTTGCAATTGACTGTGGTCGAGGTGATGTTAGCGCATGTTCTGCAATTAAAATCGCGCAACTCCGATGGTGCTGCGGAGGGTGGTGTGCTCACACTCGAGTCTTCACCACGTCCAATGGGTACATGACCAGAATCTCCGATACACCGGCCACCGCACCGGCGGCGAACTGATATATGAAGGGGAGGGGCTTGTCTGAAGACATTGCGACTATGAGTCAAGATCGAATGGCGGTAAGGAAGGTAAGTCCGAAAAAATGTTCCCGTGGAATTTGAAAGAAAGCGGGCAAGCTCGTTTAGGGTAGCGAGTGAATTGTCACACCCGGGATAAGACTGAGCGACGACGATACGGGGCGCGTGTAAAGGAGGACGGACTGGCGGTGTTGTTGGCGAAGGGGATACGTGCGATGCGGAGAAGTGTGAGCGCACGAGCTATGGCGGGACTTTTGCTTTTTCCCTGCCACCCCAGGCGGAGGATGGAAGCTTTTGCGGTGCGGCCGTGCGGAGCCAGATGATGGGCTTCGGCTGGCCTCCACCGCCGCCGGTCATCGGTCCGAGCACGAACGCCGCTATCCGCTCTGGGGCTAGCGTGCTTTCGCTCGCTCAAAATGGTTCTGCGGCGCGTCGACAGACGACAACCGACGCGTTGTTTGCTTGTCCGGACCCCACGCCTTGGAAGAAAAAGGCGTCGTCGCCCGGGATTCCGCCATTGATGCGGCTATGCTATGGCGTCGAGACAGAAGTCCCTCCTTGACCAAGACAATGGCAAGGCGAATGTACGTTCTGCTTGAATTTCTTCATCCGGATTCATACCCCATCGCTTGAGTGAAGCGTTGACGCGATGGATGGTGTTCAGAAGCCAGGTCGACCGTGTCAGCAACGGACGAGAAGCGCAAACGATGTCTCGCATGACAGCCACTGTTCACCCTCGAAGCCGACTACATCTAGACCCAACATCACCCCGAACGCGCGGAACAAAACGAAGCCCAAGGCGTTTCAGTTCATCGATGGTCGACCGTCCAGTCAACAGACTAGCGAGCTTGAGAAAGAGAATTATGACCTCGCCGGCCAAGACGTCGTCCTACACCAGCAGGCTAGCCAGACCCCCTTGAAGAGCTCCTCTCAGCCGGAGCCGGTCGACAGGAAGCTTCCACCTTCGACCCCGGCTCCTCGACTCCCGCTGGCCGACCTGCTGGGCAACGCAGACGAGAAAAGAAGGGCTGTGGCATCCAACGTCACGCCGGAAGAACATGTGTTATGGGCCCACGTACAAACCCCAGGAAGCTCTCAACGCGCCATAACGCCCGCACGAAAGCGAAAACGTGCGAAAAGCAGCTCACCTGCGCCATCCTCTCAGCAGGAACAGCTCTCGAATTCCTGCAATGACAACCATGGTGCGGCCAATTTAGATCGACTGCAGCTTTCGCTTGCAACTCCGCATGTAGATCCAGCGGCAGATCTGTGGCAGCGGTACGCAAACGGTCCCGAGGGCGCAGTTGCGGACAAATCTGCTGCATTTGCCTACTTGATTCGCGATCCCTCGCCTAAATCACCAGCGTCAGCGGGTAGTGTTGGCGGTCTAAGGAGATGGGCCAGTTGTGGTGTTGAATGGCCACAGTCTGCGACGAAGAGGCGGAGAATAGCACGTCGTACGGAGGAGCTCCCGCAACACAAAGAGGAGAATGAAGGTGGAAAGAAGGGGTCAAGAGTGGGAGCGCTACTGGAGCGCATGAAAGAGACTCTGACAAAATCTGTTCAAGCACCTCTTGAGTGCCCGTCAAGCTCATCGCCTTTGCCTGATCGCGTGCTGAGGCAGGACGAGCTCCCGTTCCAGCAGCACTTGTCACCGGTACAAGAGCAGATCGGAGACCGAAGTCCCAGTCCGACGAAGCAAAAGTCTCCAGAACCTGTCCATAAGTACGCTTCCTCGGACTGTGGTGACGATAAGGCGGATGCGGATATGATCGATGCCTTTAGCACTACGAAAAATGTGCATCCTGCTCGCCTCAACACCAAGCCGCTTGAACGCAGGATACAGCCCCGGTCCAAGAGAAACACTCCTGTTCCCTCGTCGGCACGCGTGCGCAAGCCTTTCGTACCGCCCAAAATGATAAAGCAACCTTCGGCGTCGGTAGCATCTGTAAAGTCGCCGGTTGCGGATACGGTTGTGTCGAGACAGCAGTCACAGTCTGATGACTTTTTCGACGATGATGATGACGACGATCTTCTAGAAGTTGATCTTGATAAAATCACAGCTGAGTTTAACAGTCAGCAACGCACCGTTCAAGCGTCAACTTCAAAGGCGCAGGTCGCATCGCAACCTAGCTCACGTCCCCCCATACCTGAGGCTAGTGAAGCTAAAGTAGAGAAACCGGCAGAAATTATCCAAGTCATTTCGGACGACGAGTTTGGAGACGATGATATAGATGAAGAGCAATTTGCGGCAGTGGAAGCCGCCGCAACGCAGGCTTTTCAAGTTAATGATCGATCAACCCACGCCGTAGGTCTAGTGATCAGATAGAGAGATTTGTATATAGATTATGCTAATTTATGCGGCAAGAATTGTGAAGTACCGAGTGTAAGGACGATCCAACGATATCACATCACCGCCATACACGAAGCCCCATATCTTGACGAGCATGGTCGCCAACAGCTTCAGAAGGTCAGCTTTTCTTTGCCCTATCCTTTCTCTGGTTTGAGCAAATTTACTAAGTGTAAACCAGGTGCTTCGTGTTGATGAGCCACGAGCGGATCAAACACGGACCATATTGCTTCGGCAGTCGTGGTTCGAAACACCTGCCACCGTGGGTTCGTATGTGCATGTCATTGGCGAATTTGATGCAGTTGGACAGTGTATAGTCGACAACACCTCCAATATTCTTATCCTGCATCCTGACCACTTAATTTCCGCCACCGTTGTAGCGGACTCGTTTGGCTGCGTACGACGAGCCGTTCTCCAAGATCGAGTCAAAGTTACAAGCGAGGCAACTCCCCCGATGATGTACGGCCACATCCTTCATGAATTGTTTCAGGAAGCCATGAAAGCCAATGAATGGACCGATGATTCATTTGAGAAATATATGAGAGTGATACTTCCGCGTCACTATGATACTATGGTCGAAATCGGACTCAATCTCAACCAAGTACATGAGTACCTTCGGAGTAAATTTCCCGAAATGCGTGCCTGGGCTGAACTTTTCGTCTGCTCTTCGCCTCGACGAGATGCTGTTATTAAGGGCAGGAACGGACAGCAGGCCATTATGAGCATCAACAAGCTCCTTGATGTCGAAGAACATATATGGTCCCCGAATTACGGCTTGAAGGGCAATGTTGATGCAACAGTGCAGGCAACCATCAGGGATGGTGGTAGCTCGAGAGTACTTACCGTACCCTTCGAACTAAAAACTGGAAAGAGAGTCAACGAGAACCATGTTGCCCAAACAGCATTGTATACACTTCTCACGTCTGATCGATACGATGTCGAAATTACCGAAGGTATTCTGTATTACCTTGAGAGCTCGCATATCATGCGTGTACAAGCTATACGGCACGAGCTGATACATTTGATCATGAAGCGCAACGAGCTTGCGTGCTATGTACGTGAGCGGTTAAAATTGCCGCCTATGCTTCCAGAGTCGAAGCAGCGTCTGTGCAACAATTGCTATGCTCAGACCACGTGCTTTCTTTACCACAAGCTTGCAGAGGACGGTACAAGCCAAACGATCGCTAACAAGGGCAGATTCGAGGAGCTTGTAAGATATCTCAAGCCAGTGGATCAAATTTTCTTCCAGAAATGGGATCAACTGCTCACAAAGGAGGAGACGGAGATGAAGAGATTCACTCGTGAACTGTGGACTATGCTCAGCCACGAACGGGAGAAAAAGGGGCGATGTTTTGGCGAAGTAATCATCGAGCCAGGTACGGCTATTGAGCTGCCTGAGGCGATGAAGATCAACCGGTTTCAGTACACGTTTATTAAGAAGAAGAACGTTTCTGGATTCAGCTTCACGGAGTCACAGATTACAGTTGGAGAGCCCATTGTGATTTCGGACGAAAAAGGGCACTATGCCCTCGCTAATGGCTATGTCACCCACGTGCATAAGAATCGTATCACTGTTGCAGTGGATAGAAGGTTACATAATGCGAGGACAAGAAGACCAGGATTTCACTCGCAAACTAACCAGGACTTCACCGGTGTGATGGAGGTACTTGCTACTCAGGAAACTGACGGTACAGAACCGGCACTCTACCGAATTGATAAAGACGAGTTCTCAAACGGGATGGCAACTGCACGAAACAACATGCTCCAGATCATGGATGATACCATCTACAGAGCTTCTGATATACGAGCCATGATCGTACAAGACAGGCCACCTACATTTAAATTGCCAGCTAGCGCGATTCCGCTTCAAAGCGAAACCTGGCAGGCCGAGATGAATAGCGATCAGAGGGCAGCTATCGAACAGGTCATGGCGGCGCAAGACTACGCTTTAGTGCTCGGTATGCCAGGAACCGGCAAGACGACGACGATTGCGCAGATCATCCGGGCGTTAGTGGCGAAGGGGAAGAGCGTGCTTCTCACAAGCTACACACATACTGCTGTTGACAACATTCTGCTTAAGTTGAGGGATGCTGGTTTTGATGTGTTGAGATTGGGTGTGCTGGCCAAAGTGCACCCTCAGGTAAGGGAATTTGTCATACTCGATGCACAGCAAAAAGAATCTCTGGAGGACGTGCAGAATGCGTGGTACAATCCGGCCGTTGTCGCTACGACGTGTCTCGGTGTCAATCATCCCATTTTTCATAAACGCACATTCGACTACTGCATTGTGGATGAAGCATCTCAGATTACGTTGCCCGTTTGTTTGGGTCCTATTCGGATGGCAAAAACTTTCATCTTGGTCGGCGATCATTTCCAGCTTCCCCCCCTGGTCCAGAATAAGGAAGCTCTGGAAGGCGGTCTTGATATGAGCTTGTTTAGGCTGCTGTCTGAGAGACACCCAGAGGCTGTCGTTAACCTGGAGCACCAGTATCGCATGTGTGCTGATATAATGTACTTGTCCAACACTTTGATCTACAATGGTCGTTTGAAGTGCGGTACACCAGCGGTCGCACAGCAGAGCCTTCAAGTGCCGTATCCGGAGCAGTCATTAAGGATACATCACTTCCCGATCAAGCAACAAACGCTCAGTGCTGAAAGTCCATGTGTGGGCCCATCCTCCACGTGCCATCTTCACCTCGCACTTCAACCTCAGAGCAAAATTCTTTTCTTCAACACTGACAACCTTCTGCCAGCTTCTTCGGAGGTTTTGAGTGGTACTCGAATTACCAATCCATTTGAGGCCGTTTTAACCTCTCAATTTGTCCTTACTCTGCTCGACGCGGGCATTAACGCCGCGGACATCGGTGTTATTACGTTTTACCGGTCCCAACTTGCTGAACTTCGGCACATATTACGCTCTCAACCTTCCATCGAACTCCACACGGCGGACAAGTTCCAAGGCCGTGACAAGGAGGCTGTGGTGATCAGCTTTGTACGCAGTAATCAAGACGAGAACGTCGGTGAGCTACTCAAAGATTGGAGGCGAATCAATGTTGCAATCACAAGGGCAAGGACGAAACTCATACTCGTTGGAAGCAAGAAAACACTATCAAATGGTGGGGAAGTTCTAAAGGGACTTCTCGACATCTGCGAGCAGAAAGGTTGGATGCATAATCTCGTCGCTGGAGAGCATTGCTTCCCAGAGCTAGCGACGCAAGTTTCGGGGATCACGCAAGGAAGTCCGTTGAGGAAGTCGAATACGACACCGCGCAAACAGCTAGGTAGAGAAGTGCTCGGAGAATTGAACGTAAACAAGCTTAATCAGGGAAATAGAAAGGCACCGGAAAAGAGGGGACGGATCAATGAGAAAGGCATTTTTGGCTCGAGACCGGTTATGAAGGATATTGCAAACGACATTCTGGATGGAATACCATGATGGACAGCATCCTGTTGGTTATACGAGAGTCTAAGATAGAGGGTTGCAAATACAGTAAAGAACAAATGCAGTCCCATGAGTACGCACAGCGCAGAACTTGGTTTTAAATCGTTGACAAGTACGAACGCAAGAATACTTTCGTTTTGCTGCTTGATCTGACTGCAATAACTCAGTAACCAAGCATGAACAATGATTTTGAAAACTTTGGAACGAATATGTCGATCGGAACACATTTCAATTACTCATCTCCCCAGCGTGAACATCGAGTCGATAGCAGCCCACGGGATATTGTGCACCCCCAGTCAAAGCAAAGCTCCATGAATAAACGACTTTCATAATGCCAATCTCGATTTAGGATGGACCTTGATCTTCATGTCAAGCCCGTAATGGACGTTCCGTTTTGCAGTCCAGCTGCTGTCAACGAGCTTGAGATGGGTAGAATTGATGCCAAATACCTTTTATTCACAATTTTACTAGTCTAGACCAGTGGTAGATATCTGTGCTCAACCGCCTGTCACTTGGATCTCGTACACAGCAGTCAAGATACCCTTAAGAACAGTCTCGGTTGAACCTTTTCGACAGCTACGGCGCAGAGGACATATCTACACTCTGCATGGTTTCCTATGTATTAGCATAGGCGTTTGGGAGTTGATGAGCAATTCGTTATCCAGTCAACTGGGTATTGATGCATGTGTTTGAATCTGGGGCTTATATACCAATAAACAGGTTTTTCCAGATGCAGATAGGTTATAGGATAAGAAACTGCACAGATCAAATAAATTCAACTCGGACTTTGCGGTGGGATATCTCTGGGAATTGCTTAAACACCAAACCCATGCGAACGTTACAAAGGGCGACGATATTGTTCTCATCCATTCTGTGCTTACCTGAACCAAAGCAGCATCAGGAAGCAGAATGCAATGAAAGAAGCCATAATGATGCCATCTCTTCTCTTCTTGCTTGATATTCTGCTCATCAATGTGTTGATGCCCGGCATCTGGCTGGCAGCTCCAACTATCCTTCGGTTGATACTTGCTAGTGTCTCCCTCTGCGCACTGAACTGGTCATTGATAGCGTAGGCCTGCGCTAGCACAGTATCTGCAACTCCATGACTCCGCTCTATCCGTGCTCGCTCACCGAGCATGTACTCTGCTTCGGCGTCTGCTGGATTCTGGGAGCGGTGGTACGCCTCGATGTCGTCACGTACGTTGCTCAGAAGATTCGATTGCTGCCTCTTGGCTGAGATTTGAGATTTTATTCGCAGATACTCGTCTTTATGCTGGGACAGTATCTCCCTGTGCCGGGCGAGATTAGATTGTTTCAAGGCAGACTGTGTGAGAGCGGATTCGGAATCAAGGAGGCGAGACAGCTGCGAGACGAGTTGTTCGCGCTTTGAAAGGAGGTCATTGATTTGATTTTCTAGCCTTATCTCTTCTTCTGATGGTTTCGGTGACAGTGTATTCAGATTTGCATATTGCGAGAAACTGTGGAAGAGCGAGTCTGTCTAGTAGGCAACTGTGTAAGCATGCGCCGCGGCTTTGTCGGGGGACACTACATACTTGCGATTCAAGATTTCGTGCTTGGGCTCGTAGCTGTGTCCAGCCGCCCGTAGTCGAGGTCGTCATGACTATGAAGCTCTAGATATGTCAGTTCTCGGTTGATGTAGTCGTCGATGTCGTTACGGAGACCAATGCCCTGCCACAAAAGGACAAGCGTCATCATCTGTCCGCAGAATACACGTGACGTAACATTAGCCGAGTATCCACGTTCAGTCATTACCCTTATTGACAGGGCCGTGATAACATTATTATGATGTGGGAAATGATAATCCGCAACCTACGCTCGCTTCAATATTTCAACGTTATCAGCCAGTAAAGATTACTCGGCCTCTAGCAATCTATTTCTTTGCTCAAATGAGTGATTCGTCTCTTTTAATCAGGTTGGCCTATTGCCACTCTCAGTTTTAACTCTAACTTGTGAAGATTTTACTGTGAAAATATATCCAACTCCTTTGCTTATGATTGGAATATCTTTTTTTATCTTCCTCAATTGAGCACAATGAGGTATTTGATATATATATCTATTGCTGTCTCGCCCAACTCTGACGTTTGATGAAGAAAACGAACATTGACATCATGATTCACCATTTCCAGATTCCAATTCTCAATTGGCTGTTTATGCTACTGTACTGCATGTATTAATTTGTATAATTTAACACGCCTGAACGGCTGTTCTAAGCAGTCGAGCCTACACCAGCTGTTCTTAAGACTTTGAATATTACTATGTAAAAATGGGAAAAAGATATATTTGAACGTTCGGCAGCCTTTAAGATTGTAATCTCACAGCGTGCCTAGCATAATTACGAGAAAAAGATGCGTAATATTTATGAGTTGGAGGAGCATGAATACCGAGGCATAAAGAGGCACACCCAAGTGGCAACAAATCTACTTCAAGTCCGTTTTGTGATCTCCGTATCACAGTGGTGCAGAGATTACTTCGAGCTACTCGAAACTGAGAAAGACAACCTCGGACGCGCTGACAACAATAGATGGCCCCTTAAGTGATTCCACGTCCTCCTCGCCTGAAGGTCTACCATCTGCTGTCTCGAAAGACTGGCCAGCCCAAGTTCTAGGTACAACATATTTAGCTTCAATTTGAATAATAGGTGAGATCACGATCAACTTACATTCCTTCTGTTGCAGTAGTGTATGGAATATCCAGGCGTTTTACGCTTTTAGTGTTTTTCCATGTAACCACCGCTGAGGATGACGTTAAGAGCAGGCCTATTAATTGTTGTCTGGTCGTAGACTTCGGAATTTATAACCGCCAATCTTGCTAATTTACCATGGTCCCACACTCCATAAGAAGCAATGTTCTCGTTGGCATTCTCGATTTCTGCAATTTTTGAAGTTCCGCTTGTGCCCACCATCTCATTTACAACCAGCAAACCGTTATACGTCGGCATGATATGCGGTCGCTCGATTCCAGTCCCATTCGTAAATCCCCACCCAGGTTGGAAGACAGAAAAAAGCCTGTTGGGGGTGCTATGGAGGTACACGCGCTCAATACCCATCGAAGCCGCGTGTAGCATATAGTCCACAGTCCATATCGCCGACTCTGCCGTGTTAGACTGTCCAAAAATTGCTTCACTATTTCAATTGCTCGTCAGATAAAGTAAATTCATGCTGTTTCATATATCAAGTCCTTGAATAAGAACTTACGCAGCATAGGTATTGGCTTCTCCCTACATGTCGTCCATATTAGCTCACAGGTTGTGTATTCAGATGAGCTAACTTACCAGCCAATATGACTTGCCATAGCTCTCTGAATTTAGCATTCCTTCGTAGAACGCCGAGAGATTGCTCCGGATAGATCTCTTGTTCATGAGCGTTCCTGGCGGGGGACCACTGGAACTGCCCCAATTGTCATCGCGCCGGAATATTGATGCTCTTCGAGAATATATGTACGGCTGTTGATATTCTGGTTTTCAAGGATTCCTGCTTCAAGAGTTCCTGTCAAGGTAAAACCTCCGAACCCGAAAGCATCGGAGCCAATCCAGAACGTTGGATATTCTTCACCACCCATTTTAATGTTTTTCATAACGGTTTCGGCAAGGGGAATCCAATGAGCTACATATTCTGCAGCTGTCGGAAAATAAAAATTCGGTTCATTTCCCACTTGAATGAATTTCAGCGATACGTTCTTGGTAATGTTGGCTCCTGAGCCATAGAAAGCATCAGCCAGCATTTTTGTCTGAGTGGCAACTTCGGATTCATTGTATAGATTGAGACCGAAGGTAAATTCTGTCCCGGCAGGCAAATCCCCTGCAATCTTGTACCAGTCTCTTCCAATAGATGTATTAGAACGCTGAGTGAATGGTCCAAACACTTCTTGGATTTGACTTGAATTCCATAATTGAAACGAAGTGTCCACGTAAGCAGTATTCTCACTAGTTCCTGCTCATAATTGTGAGTGCTAGTATACAACAAGGACACGACAGTTGATATGTGTCTCATGTCTACACAATTGAGCATACCTCCAACTCGGATAGCTGGGGACTTTCCCACTCTCTGACCCAAATTCGCCAGTAGCTGATTTACGTATTCATTTGGATGACCCGTGGCGTTGCCAGCATATTTTGGCCAGTATTGAAACTCAAGAGAGAAAGAAGCCAACAGCGGGTCTAGAGCTTTTGAAAATGGAGGTTCCGAACTTGGGACGGTGATTAATTTGTTGCCCGTAATATTAATACTTGCCGCACGAGCAGCGAGGTTCACTAAAGACGTCGAGAGCTTCATGGTTGCGGAATCAAACCAACAACAGTGTCTGACTTGCAAGAATTAAATACAGATTTCCTTTCAAGCAACCCCATGGGGAAACGTGCTCTTGCAAGTAAAAACCAAAATATGGCTCTTAAAATATGCTCCGGAATGATACATAGCTCTCCGAGCGACCATAAAGTGCAAGATCATTTCTTCATAAAGGGCAAAGTCCTTGCCGAGCATTTTCAAAATTAGCGGAGAGGAAAGGAGGAAACCGCGTAACAGCAGCCGAAGCTCTCTGAGAAATGTCACTGGAAGGCCGAGCGTCGCCTATAGATCCAATAGTGGAGAATGGTGGTAAATGCATACGAATGCGCACTTAGAAAAGGTTTAGCCTCTAGGCTCCCCTCGCTCGGAGCATGAGACTCTCCTCGGAAGGCGTTCGGGTTAGAACTAGTTCTAACCAGCAGCCAGACTTCGGAGAATAGAAGTCTTATTCTTAGCGTCACTCGTATAACACTTGAGATTTGTACGGCATTCAAGAGCTTGAGAAAAATATAATGCACAGATTGCGAATTTTTTTTCCCTGAATATGTGTCATACTTCTCGTGCAATAGTTTGTGGCGATGACGTTTTCGAAGGAAATGTCATTCGAGAAATGTACTAAAACATCTCTTCTATGCTTAGCCGTATTACCGCTTGCTTGACTAGAACCGCAATCCTTGGTATATCTGGCTTTTACAAACAAGCACTTGGAAATGCGCCTGCCTTTGCACCCATCCATGATTTCTGTAGTTCAATCTCATCTTCCCAGAGTTCTGGTGCCTGATCCTTGGGCAATCCATTTTCGATGGCTGCATTGCCCCACACGATTCCACATTCAGAGACATACTCATCCCAAAGTGCTAGCATTTCTTTCAATTTTTCTGGTTCGGCCTGTGAAAGGTCTTTGGTTTCACCAGGATCTTCAACGACGTTGAACAGCTCCCAGCCTTCGTCTCCCTCACCAACTCCACCCTCTGCTTTGGCAAAGTGAACAATTTTCCAAGGTCCTTGCCGTAGAGCGGCTCGCGCGAACAATTCCCAGCCAACTGGCTCTTCAGAGGAATGTATGGCCCACAATTCGTCTTTTTCAACTCTTTCACCACGAACAAAGAACGGTAGCCATGATTTTCCTCGGATAGCGTGTACTTTTCGTCCTCTGAATGTTGTTGTCTTCCGAATAGAAGTCCTCTTGCCGTTGCTGTCCATTACTCTCAGAACTCTAGTAGGCGGTAAGGACACCCCGGCTAGCTCCAGAAATGTAGGAGCTATGTCCATGACGGTAGAAAATGATCTATTTAATGAGCCGGGTTTGATGGAGGAGAGGAAGGAATTTTTTGGTGGTTTGATGATACAGGGAACGAGAATGCCACCTTGTGAAGGAAAGCACTTGAATAACCTGGAAGGAGCCGTTGATGCTTGAGCCCACAGAGGACCAAGCCTGATCTCTTAGAATTTATCTGGTACTGCTAATGGATGCTGAGACCTACCAGGTAAAAGAGTTCCATGAGCCAATATTCTCATACGAATTGTCGTAATACTTATATATGGTTCGCACTATATTTTCTCCCATTACCGCTTAAACTCGTCAGTCAGCCTTTGCATGTAAGAACTGAAGACGGCCTTTGGTTACTTACGGGAAGCTTCCAAGCTTAAGCTTAGGTTAGCACTCATACGAAAAAAGGTGCGCGTACTTGAACTTACGCAGCACCTTCAGCACCATTGTCACTCATAAACACTATGAAAGTATTGTCGTACTCCCCAGTTCTTCTCAAATACTCTACTGCTTTACCAACATTAAGATCTATCGAGTCAACCATGCCGGCATAAACTTCCATTGCGCGACTTGACAGTTTTTTTTCTTCAGGACTGAGATCGTCCCATTCCCCAACCCCTTGTGTAGTTGTCTCAACTTTATGAGGGATTACAGTGCCAGAGATAATGCCCAACGCAGTTAAACGTTTTAATCGTCGCTCGCGCAACGCGTAGGGTCCGTCATTGTACACCCCCTTGTACCTATAGTGAATATATCAGCAACTTCTCCAGAAATGGCAAGTAGGAAAAATCAGAAATCGAACTCTCCTCAAAATCAGAGCTTTTTTTTTCGTGAAGGAATCAATGTTAAGGTAGTGAGGGGAAATTCACTAATCACGCTGTGCTCTTGAGCATTGCAATGGCCAGTGAGGAGCAGTGAACGGCAGGTATGCGAAAAAAGGCTTTTCTTTCTCTTCATCAGATCGATCTTCGAAGAACTTGATTAATTGATCAGTGTAATAGTCGGTCGAATAAAAGCCTTTTGGATCTTCTGTCTTATTTGGCGGTCTGGAATATTGTTAACGTGGAAGGTCCCCTACTCCATCCTGAATGGTTTAGATCTAGGTCGATAGTTGCTTACATATTGACCTTCCCGTTTGAATTGGCATGAATTGGTCGACCGCCGATCGGAAATCTTTCCTGGACTGGTTCCCAGCCATAGTGGTTACAGCAGCCCGGAAGCATGGCCAAAGACTTCTGAAAGCCACGGTTCCATGGTCCTTGGGAAGCGCGAATACCAAGATGCCACTATTTTTTGTCATTACTATTCTGGATATTGCTGCTCATAATAAAGCCTGGCTCCAATAGATGTTAAAGGCGCTGGGCGCTGGATCTGACAGAGAACCGACCTTGCCTGACATCACCGTGAAATATCCGTTATCTCCCAGTATCTCAGGTAGAGTTGCAACCTCTTTGTTCAGATAGCCTTCGTAGCCTGCTTTCCCGGACCATCTTTTGACCCCTTTTCGCTCAATTTATATTCGATCAATACGCCAAGTCCGCCGAGATGTGCATCCGTGCCACTCATCAGCATTGCACAAGTTGGAGAACAAGCAGCAGCTGCGTGGTGATTAAGCATGCGAACACCCTCCAAGGCCAGGTTGTCGATATTAGGTGTTTGAATTTGCGAGCCATAGCAACCAACATCCGAGAATCCGAGGTCATCAGCGAGAATAAGAGAAAGTTGGGCCGTTTTTGATTCTCTTGGTTTGTGCCGCTCATGGTGGGAGTTTGGTTTTTTTATTTCGAGATATTGAGTTACACGATTCTCAACCCCAGCAGGAGACGTAGAATTTCTTTGAGGTGATAAGTCGAGACAAATTCTTGACTTTAGCCAGCGACCTCTAGTTGGAAAGAGCCTCGCAATCTAATTAAAATTTGATTTCGTATAGCAACGCTATTGTCAGTGGAATTGATGAGTAAGATAGGTAGCACGCTCTATAAAGTGTTAAAGATTCATTTTTACTTTTCTATCGCGTCTTATGCGCGTATTTGAGGCAGAACCCTGCTTGTCAATGGGTCTTGAGACGGATACGACATCGGATCATGCCTCGCGGCGCAGGAAGATTATTGCAGACCCGAAGACTACCGGACCGAAGCAAGGTTGGAATCGCCGTAAATCTACTAAGTGAAGAGCATCACTAGCTGCTTGCTCGGAACGATGATCCATCTCCTTTGACCCTGACCAAGCTTAGGGGCGTCCCGCTCCGAGCGAGAAAACATTAACTTTGCTTCGCTCGGAGAACCCAGAAGAAATGGGGTTCCCAGAATCTATCCACAAAGCATGACTGCTAGCTGTTCCAGAATCAGGCGTCGGGAGGCCGGTCCAGTAGTTATATATACCCAATGCTCGAATTGACGATGCATTAATCTCATCGACCATTTTACGAACAGTTTACCCGTCAAAACAGGGCCAACTTTGTTAGCATAATGCCAACCCCAACTTCCAAAACCCATTCAACATGGGCTTTGGTGACCCCAATGCTCTTGTACTCGTGTTTCTGCCTGCTCGTGGGGGACATGTTGTTCGGGTACGATACTGCGAGCTTCGGTGGCGTACTGGCAAATCCTGTGAGTCCTAACTGGGGTACATTTCAACTCACATTAAACCATTCGAAAAGGGCTTCGTGCGTCAATTTGGGAACATACATAATGCAAAAGCCGACTCCTACAGGTTTGATTCCAGGCATACATCGCTCGTATCTTCTCTTGCCTTTATCGGCAAATTCATAGGCTGTTTAATTGCCGGTCCAGCAATTGAGAAATTTGGTCATCGAATGGTCTTCTTTGGCCTATCGATTATATCCTACGTTGGCGTTATACGTAAGTCTCACGCAAGTACAGGGGATTTCTCCAATCTAAAATCATCTCATTAGTTGAAATAACGGCAGCGGGGACAAGCGCAGGGAGCGGAAGATTTGCACAATTCATAATCGGCCGTATCATTGTCTACATTTCAGTCGGTCTAGTTGAGGTTGATATTACGTGAGATAACATGTTCAAAACATGATTGACTAGAAGACATTAACGCGATGCTTTAGAACCTATCAATCTGAAATTGTACCACCAGCATTTCGCGGACTAGTTGTTGTTTCTCTCCAGCTCTTCCTCAATTCCGGCACACTTCTTGCGACTGGAGTGAACAAAGCCCTTTCAACTAGAACAGACAGCGTGGGCTGGAAAACAATCACAGGCATTCAATTCATCTTTCCGTCCCGTCAGTCTCTGAGATCACTTTGAATTGTGGGAATGGTGCTAACGTCACTTGCAGTCACGCTCTTTATCCCAAGTTCACCTCGCTGGCTACTGTCAAAAGATCGTGAAGACGAAGCTATTGCCTCCTTGCGCCGACTTAGACCCAAATCCCACAGAGACAACGGTAGCTGTGAAGCCGAAATCCAGGCAATAAAAGAGGCTTTACAGGAACAGGTACACAAAGCTCCGTGGTGGAATCTAGTTCGAGGACGCAACTTGCGACGAACACTTATTGTTATCGTATTCTATTTCTTTCAGCAGGCAGGTTTTGCAGTGTTTTCTTTCTCACTGAATGAAAAACTGACGAGCCAATAATAGGTTACTGGGCAGGCTTTTGTTTCCACGTACCAGACAAGCTTCTACAAGACAAATGGCTATGCTAATCAAGCTTTCACCTATCCCGTCATTACTGCTGTTTTACAGTGGCTCGCAGTTATTCCATGCATGTATCTTGTTGATAACATAAAATCTTCTAGGACAACTATATTTTGCATCCAGAACTAAGTTACTTTTAGGCGCCGATGGTCATTAATGATCAGCTTCTTCTTCCAAGGCTTCTGGATGTTTATGCTTGCGGGATTAGGCGGGCTTCCAAAGAAGACTTCGACTGAGAAAAACACAATCGTCGCATCCTTTATGCTCTACGCGTTCTCCTATAATGTGAGTTAAACCCCATAATCTAAATGGTAATTCAACGGTTAACTAATGTTCTCCTCTAGTTGGCTGGTGCATCAGTGCCTTACTTGCTTGGCTCCGAAATTCCCAACTCTGCTCTTCGTGAAAAAACACAGTCACTTGGAACCGCATGGAATGTTCTTTGGGCATTCGCAACAAATTACAGCATTCCATATCTAATTGCAGACCTGACCTTTGGTGTTGGGTGGATTTTTGGCGGTCTCGCTGTGCTCGCATTTGTTTTTACCTTCTTCTTCTTACCAGAAACGAAAGTAAGCTTTATGTATTATCCATTGCGGATTTTCCACAAGCTGACATTAAGGGCAGGACCTCGCACTTGAGCAAATCGATGCTGTGTTTGCCGAGACGTTTAATCCTTTCCAACCGAAACAAATAAAGTATTCGGATGCTGAACGAGTGGTTGGCGAGCTTGAAGGCCATAGAAAATTTGTAATAAGCCGTGCGTCGGACAATGACGACGATACTGTCCAGGATTCTAAGCAAGTCGTGACATACACGAAGTAAATCAGATGGTGACACCTATTAAATGGTTTCGCGTGATACAAGTCCTGACACGGATTTGAATTTGCATACTCCGGTGTGGGACTTTCGGCAGATATGTAAATATTTGATTGATGACAACATGCTGACCCATGAGTCCAAAGGGACTATTCATGGACTTCGGGATATACAGGATGGTCAAGCGTGGAGTGGCAACTAAGAAGCCTCGTAATTTCTTCCTTAATTTTCGTTTTTTGTTTCAACCCCACTCTCAATCAATCGTGAGGACCAAAGCCGGCACAACGGATCATATATGTTCAAGTTGGTTCCAGAACGCTGTTGGGTCACCACTCTGCTGGCCTGGATGTGCAGATTCACCAAGCAGCCATGCCCAGTCAAGTGGAAAATCTTGAGCTGAGTTATTAAATGCATCAAAAGCCTCTAGCGATTGTGTACTCTGCAAAATGTTAGTCATTACAAAATTCGGTTGATCATGGATGCTAAGCGGGTCGCTGCCAATAGAAGAGTCGGTCGGTTGGTCTGAAGATATGCTTTGTTGTAGGCTGACGTCAAGTGCATCCAAACGCGGTGAAGAAATAGCTGAAGGAGCAGCTGTCTCGGCATCCATCTTAAATTCAAGAAGCGATTCGTCACGTGCAATGTTGACGATTGATTTCGCTCCTCGCCGTAATCTTTCGAGTTTCGCCCACCGAAAATCACGGAAATCATACTCCGCAGGCTCTTGACCAACAAGACGATATTCGCTCCGGAAAGCATCCATGTCGCCTTTTGTCAATATGCTAGAGCAACCACAGCGAAGAAGACGATGAACAGCTTCAACGTGCTTCATCACATGTAAGAAAGTGACTTAATTTCATGCTAAGGTCGACTCACTAGTTGCGTTACGAATTCTGATCTTCCTGCAATGCTGCGTATCACAGTGAGTAAATGCGGAATAGCATCCATCAACTCAGACGAATTCGAATCAAATAGCGGATCTTGTTGGGCTAATCGGCGCGGTTCGAATAGGAGTACTTGGGACAATTAGTCGAACTATGTTTGATAAGTAGAATAAATAGATACCCACTCTCAAGTGCAACGTATGCGTGGACGCCAACCTGGGGATCGAAACAGATGTTTGACTTGAGGACTTCCAAAATCAGACCGGCCACAGGAAGGGCATGTGAAATTCTATTGCGTCGAACCTGAGGGATAAGGTTTGCCTTCGAATAATCACGTGCATATATCTGCAATTCTGCACGACCGATTATGATAAACAGATTATGTCGTAGGATGTGCAAGAGCAAGAACGTAGTAAGTCGATCTCTGTGTAGCGTCATATTGCCGGAGTTAAATTGATATCGCCTTGGCAATAAAGATATCACTTCTTCGATGTCACGCCTTAAGCTTGCTAATTCATCCAATAGGTCTTCGGTGGACTGCTCCGCATGAGATGCCCGAAAAGCAAAGTGCAAGGCCCGACGACGTGCGGCTGCAGTCTGAATGAGATACGCGGACATGTCGAGATTCGTACATTCCACGCGGTTATTTCTCTTTGAGGAGATGTGAAAAAGATACTCCGTCGCGACATTTTCATTGCCTAGAAAAAACGCTTGTTCGCAGGGTAGTTGAAGGCGGTAGCCTTTCTCATCGACGGTGTGGAAGCCATACCGACCTCCATCAATTATGGTATCAGTATAGAAAGTGGACCAAGCCACACGGCGTAGAGCCTCGCAGGAGCGGGGATAGCTTCAACTGAGAGGAGATTTGCGGGGAGTAAGTGCGGTCGAATGTTTGCAGTGACATCATTTGCATCATCCTCGTACAGTTGGCTCCTAGAAGCCAAGCGGAAGAAAAGTTTCCACGATTGAGATCATAGTGCTGTGCAAGTAGGAGGACCATGAGCTGGATAGCACCAAATCCTTGATAAATTCGAGGCAGGACTGCTGCTATTGCTTAATCTGCCCACGAGTCGTCTTTTGCCAGGTTCTCTGGTGTTACTTTTTCAGCAAAACGCATCGCATTTGCGATCATCATGAGAGTCAGTTCGCGTGGAGCTCTGCCATTTCTGAGGAGGCGCTTGAAATGGAGCTCGTGAACAAACGCAAAGTATCCGAAATGATGAACAGAAGTGAAGTAAAGATCGACTAGAGCCTTGAGCTCTTCTCCTTCTGGCAGGTCTCCAGACCGATTTGATTCATGCAACGCCCGAGCAGCTGGCGACGCAGTTGCATTTGTTGAAGGGCTGTCCAATAGCGAAGTCTGCTCTTCAATAACCTCAGAGTCCTCCATATGCGAGTTTGCTTCAAGATATGGTGTACCATGGGACAGCGCTGTCGATGAATTTGCGCATCTTGCGGTTGTTTCAGCTGCGAGTTGGCCTTGAAGGGGACTCAGTGCTGACGATGCGCGACTATCACGTTGTCGTACGCATACGATCCCAGAGGTGGAGCACTTTTCGCATGACGTTTCCACGCTTCCAACGCATCTGAGCTTCTTTGCTCTACAGGCATTGCACGCCGTGGCATTTGCTCTCCTTGTGATTGAGCGTCGCTTGTCTTGAATAGCCGACCATTCACAAGTTCTGTTTGCTCTCTGGCACTGGGCACAGACAGGTTTTTCCTCGCTGCATTTCACCTTTCTCGATCTGCTGGTGCGACACCCCGTTCGCGTGCGATTTATTTTCGATGGAATCACTGATTCTGCATCGTCGAAAGCCACCGTATGTCTTGCTGATGAATGGGCGCTTGGCGATGAAGTGGAACGCTCATCATAAATCATCTCAAGAATCCCGTGGATGTTCGCAAGCTAGGAATCCATGAGATATATGCCGGATCCGCGCCGAGGATTGGTACGTCTGAGAGAAACCAATTTGGATTAGAGGATATGATCTTGACACTGCCTAGTCACGAGAGAGTCCGATGTAACGTACATTACCTGATATGCGGGGATACATCAGATGCGGAGAAAACCACCAGTTCGGAAGCTGAGGAAAATGCTTTCCTCTAACCAGGCGGGCACGTGATGGACCAGAACTTTGAGAATTATAATGCAATCTGTAAAACTTAGCAAGGCGATATTCGCCATATTTCATAATTTTGACGTTTGCAGTGGAATTATTTGAGGAAATCGCCATTCCTTGACTCTCTTGCATCTGTATCGCCTCGTCCTTCGTTATGTCGAACGGTTTAATGGTCGGCTCATTCCCATGCATCTTCACGACGTCCATATATAGTTCGGCATGCTCCAATTGACCCGACCACATTCCTCTTCGTTCCTCTTCCTTCGTCTCAGTAATTTTTGCGGAGAAATCTACTTTCCTGAAGCCTTGAATATCACTCTTAACGATATCCCTCATATCATGCTGTGCAACACTAATTAAGGTGCGAACAGGAAATCTTAAGCACGTTCGAGATTCCTTGCTTTTTGTTTTCATATAGTAGAGTTTGTTTCAACAAAATCTCGTGCCGAAGAAGCGTTCAATGGAGAACAGTTAAAAGAAGAAAAATGGAACAGAAGCACCTTTCCGAGGCTGGCTTGGTGTGAGTACGAGCATTTATAAGTACTAAAGCAGAGCGAGTAAATCGAATTTAAGGCAAGGCGAATCACGATTTTCGCTTAACCGAACATGGATTCTGATAATACAAAGAACTCTGCTACGGAACGAAAAGCATCGTCTGGGGATACATTTTCTAATCACAAGTAAAATGCCTATACGCACACGGTGATAAACACATTATAGGATTCAAATGCTTCTTGAAATCATCACCCGCTTTTGGTTTGGCTAGATTAACGTCCCAATGCTGTTGCTGCGAGATGATCAGTCAATCTGAATACCTCGTCACCTTATTTTCGTCTCGTTACTGGCTGGTATTTTAGAGATTAACAAGGCATTTCTTATGCTATCTGCCGCACTACAGTCCGAACTTTAGCGTGGCCTCCAAGCTCTCGAACAATGTGTGCCCTCAATCCCGCCAATCGGTTGCTTGCAAAGACTGCAAGAATCGAGATGGCCATGGAGATGATCGCGTGCACACTTTTCCGCCCCTGTCAGCAACAAGAGGTCGCCTCTGCTCGGCAAGTCGTGAGTTTGCATGTGAAATGGCGGCTGTCTGGAACAACGGCATTGTGCCGACTCATGAATCCTGCTCCGATCAAGACGAGGGCGTGAACGGCTTGATTTTAGCCTGGACGAGACGCGTGGCAAGATCAAGCCCTCACAATGCCTCTATTCTTGCTCTCTTGATATTCGGAACAGTACTGCAGAGGCTGCAATGGACGCATACGCAGGCACATTGCTGGAGACCTATTTTGGGGCTTTCGTCCAAACATTTTGACTTATATAAGGCTATTCCAGCTGCAGGCATGTGGGTGAGTTCGCCCCAGCCGCCGCACGCTAGCGCAGGTCCACAAAAAACGCCCAGGCCACTTTATGTCCACTATCAATGCAGAATCCAAAACATCCGGGATAAATGACGTTGACACTGAAGGGATTGTGGTTGCCCTCCGTATCTCATCAGACTGATCGTCCATTCTCGAGCAATCAATATGATGGAAATTAAATCCCCATGGGCAGGTCAGTGGGGATGATCTCTGACGAGTGGCGTGAAGAATGCTTTATATAACCTACTCCGGCCGCGCCTCTTGTTCCTGGCCATATGCTATCTATTCTTCAACTTTGGTCGTTCTCCAACCAGTTCTAAAATAGCAGTTGTTTCTTTGACATTTTGAAAGATTTTACATTTGCCATCTCCGTCAACATGCGTTTCTCAACCTTCTCAGCTATTACAACCCTTGCCGCTGCCGTCTTCGCACAAGATCTCTCCCAGCTACCGTCATGCGGAGTATGTTTTAGAAAGAAAAACCCCACCAACTTTCCATATAGACAGAACTAAGAAATCTACAGTACAGTTGCATTAGTGTCGGTGTCAGTGGTTCTGGCTGCAGCACAACGGACATTGCGTGTCTTTGCAAGTCGTCTTCGTGGATTTCGGAGCTAGCCTGCTGCGTTTCCAAATCCTGCGACGCAGCTGATCAGCAGTGTATGATTGCGTCGTCATACCACTCTGTCCATATATGCTAACGAGAGCCTGCAGCTATCGCCTCCATTGCTGAGGGCTACTGCTCGTCAGCAGGAGTTACCACAACTCTGCAAGCAACCTGCGCAAGCTCAGCAACATCCGCGGCAACAAACACCGCCGCAAGCGTTACTGCTACCGCGTCTTCAGCAGCTTCATCACTCAACTCTGTGGTTAATTCCGTCGTATCATCCGTGAGTAGTGCTGCAAGCACTGCTGCGACTGCTACCACCAACGCTGCCCCAGCTCCAACTCGTGCTCTTGGTATGGGAATGGGTGTTGCCGCAGCGGCCGCAGGACTCTTCGCCGCTGCTTTATAAACGACTCCTGAGCATCTGCTGTACAACATGGTTGACAATTTAGTCTAAGAAATGGCGGTGTCGAACCAAAAACATCTATGAAGTGGGAATTGCAATTTTTCCAGTCTTACCATCCCCTTTACATTGCTCTCAATAGTACAAGATGACTCATCCTACTATAGTTGCCTTATGCTCATGATATCACTATGCTAGAACTAGTATGTCGACGGGTGTAATCATTTTCATCGCTCTGTGCATGTTTCTGCAGCCTCTTTGCAAATAAATAAATAAATACAGACAAATCGGCTGCTAACACGCTGTTTCATGCGAGTCCAGCTTAAAGAAATGATCACTAGCCAAGGTATATATGAACATTCATCCTATTCCAGGAAGGAGCTCAAATGGCCATGACTTTCAATGATATACCCCATAATCTTTCTGTCCTATTTGGAGCAGACAGCAGACACGACGAGAACAAAATTCTTCCCACGCACACGGTCAAGGTCCTCCTAGTTCCACTTTCCAGCTTCTTTAACGAGCTTCTAAGACTTGAAGCCATCCCCAAGGTTCTACACCCGAGTACCCATTCGTAAGACAAATCAGACGGGTGATGCTAGGATTTATCCGGCACTGCCATAGCGAGCAACGTCTCACCTGGGTTCAATGTTTGGAAGCCAATGCATGGCCTTTAACGAGTCACCAGGGGTTGGAGAGCATTTATCACAGGAATGGAAAGGCTTGTGCGGTAAATTGAGGAACTACATGTCATAGCAATAATAAATGTACTATGCAGGCTGAGGTCGAAGGCGGAATGAAGATCTAGATATTGCTGTGTATATCTCCAGGCACTAACTGACGGTGATTGTTTTATCCTCACGACGGGAACTTATGTAGAAGGGCCTCAGCTGGCGGCGTCGTCCATAAATTCGATGACACGTTATGGAGCTGAGGGTGTGTAGGAGTAGTATCGAGTGCCAAGCTAGCTTTTGGGGGATCGGCGGACTAAGCCTTGTTGTACATCACAATCTTTTGCGTAACGGTCATTCGGATTGCACATCTGAGAATCAGAAGATCTAAGATGGAATATAAATACAGGCAAATGTTCATTATTCATGCTGTGTATGCCTTTTTACTTTGCTAAAATGCTTTCACCAACGCCAGCCAAACCGACACGGATGCTTATTGAAGAGCAAATTAGGGCCAAAAAAAGCTTGTTTGTATGTACGACCTGCGAGAGTAACAATTTGAGATCGTGGTGCGGGTAAAAATTCATGGAATCAAGCCTTCAACCTCATCTCTTCGCAGGCAGGGCAATATGGATCCGTCCCCCCTGGCCTGATGAAGTACCTTCCATCGTCAAAGCGGCCGTTGCATTCCTAAGAATCCAATTAGATATTAAATCATCTTGCGTGTCATAGCCTTAACGTACCGTGCAGCGGAAGCATTCCTCGTGCCATTCTGCGTCCAGCGCTTTCACGACCATATCTGTGACTGGTTTCCGGCACTTCTTGCACTTGGTTGAATAGCGATTTGTGTGGCAGTTTACACACCAAGCGTACCCATCTCTCTCAACAAACGGAGTTTTGTCATCAAATGGCTATATCGTTTGTTAGCTTGCTATTACTAAATGATCTCGAAATTACTTACGTCACCACACTGGGCGCAGAAGAAATGGCCAACATGCCATTCAGCGCCACAAGCAACTACAACTTCTCCCTCGATAGGCGTTTTGCAGCTCTTACATCTAGGGCTGAAAAATTCGTGGTAGTCAAGGTGACAGTAGAATCTCAGTGACTCATCACCATCCTCCTCTGGAGAGCCACCAACATCGTAGCCTGCCATGCGATCGCGAATTCTGTTTATTCGATCAAGGCGATGTGATTCAGGCTCGGGATAGAAGGCGACACATTCAAGACCTTCGTTACAGTGATGGCATCGGAAGCATTCTGGATGGAAGCGGACCCCTGCAGCAGATACAATGCGGCCTGCGATTGGAAGAGCGCAGTTCGCGCAAAGGGCACCAGTGCTACGTGGATGGAACCGACCAGTTGGCGTAATGTGCGAGTTTCGGATGGCACTCCCGGCCGGGGCTGATGCAGCATGTCGTGGGCTCGGCCGTCCACCGGGAACTGGAAGAGGTCGAGTAGAAGAGCCAGAAATAGGAGGTCCGCTGACTGATATCGATGGAGCAGTCACCGCAATAGATGGAGCATCGTTTATCGCAATTGTTGGAGCAGCACGTGAGTTATTGACAACTGCGGGACGTTCAGGTCGTGATTCACCGACTGCAATGGAGGGTAGAGGTGAAGATCTTGGAGCTTTTGGTGTTGAAAGTGGATTTGAGTTATTAATAGCAATCGTTGGAACTGAGGCTGCATCATTTGTGACAGCAATAACAGGTACTGGTGGTGCTGAACTGACAGATATTGCCGGGACAGAAGGAGCACCGTTGTGGTTGTTCCCAGGAAATGAAGGTTCTTGAGGCGGCGGTACCAATGGTGCTGGAGGTGGGCTAGTTCTTTCTCGTTCCCGACCAGGTACTTGCATGGAACCTGATGTTGATGGTGCAGAACCCTTCTTTTCCACTATACGTAATGGCTTTTCGGAAGCTGTTTTGCTATATGACTCCGCTGCCACAGATGCTGGAGGTGGTTGCTCGGTATCGGGTCTGGTATGAGTATTTGGCTTTGTCGTAGCAGATGAAACTTCCTCCTTTAACTCCACCTCCTTTGGCTTCCATCCTTTCTGAAAACTTACAATGGGTCGTTCGGGGCAGTCAGATACCACAGTTGGCATAGGTAATTTTTGACTGCGATCTTTTAATGACGCACTCGTAGCCTTCCGAATATCATCACTTCTGATCTCCTTTCCATCTTTCATCTTCACTCCGTCCTCTGAGGATGCTGGCTGCATACAGGTTTCAACATTGTTCGTAGTGTAGATCGGATTCCGTGACTGCGAGGGTGGATTACGCTGAATTTCAAACCTGTCAAAAGGTTTGGTGGCTGGCATCGGCTCAGTGTTTATACGGCTAAGCTTGCCTTTCGACTCTCTTGCACGGGAGAATGGGTTACGAAAGTGTGCTGGCATAGCATTCGACGCCATGCGCGCGGCAACGGAAATGCTGGAAACTCGGCTCTGTCCCTGTTCTTGTGTCTCCTCCTTTTTTTCTTCTCCTTTCATTTGTGGTTGTATCGCTTTCGAAGGGCTAGGGGTACGACTTCGAATAAGCTTCCTCAGTCCCGTCTTTGGTTGCTGAGGCGCAGGCTCATCCCCTGATGTCGAGGTGGGCTCCACAAACTGGACTGAGCGTTTTCGTGGCTGACGCTCATTATTCACAGTTTCTTCTTCAGGCGGTTTTAAGGGGCTCTCAGGGACTTTCAAAGACCCATCACTAGGCGCGCGACTATTCGGCGCACTGCTTTCCTTGCTCCCACCACTGATAGACCGACTGGCGCTGGATTCTCTACTTCGACGCTTCATTTGTTTTGCCTGAATATCCTGCGCTGCTTGAGCCCAACTTGCTGTTCTGGCATGTGTACTTCCTTTTCTAAGATGTTCACGATAGCTGCTCGGCTGAATGTCTGGATTCCTGAATGGGACATTGGGATTTTGATGCTTCCAGACCAGTTCGGCTGCTTCATCTCGGGCAGCGTCGAATATTTTCTTCTCTTCTTTTAGATCCATGTCTTCGAGTGCTCGACGCAGTGAATGTGCTTCCTGCCTTTCTAACCATCTTTGACCTCGTTCCAAGTAAGGAAGCTCGTCCATCGGCCCCTCAACATCGCCTTGAGCGGATTCAGACTTTGGCTCTCGAGCAACCGGCCTGCCGGCCATAGGTTTTGATATCGATGCATTAGAAGCATGTCTCGTTTCCGACCCTGTTGCAGAGAAGGCAGGCTTGTAGAAAGACTGTGCACTTGAGCACCTCGGCGGCGCATCCACCGAAATGTCCTCGTTCTTTTTGAACTGATCGATTGCAGATGGCACTTGAGATAGATTCGATGTAGAGTACCGTTTTGATACAAATGAAGACGGAGGCGGACGAGCTCCAGTAGGACGAGATGGCCGGTTGTTACGTAAATCGTTAAGATACTCACCTAAGCAAGGTCATGATCAGATAGGCTCGACTGAAGTGTGAGTATGCAAAAGAAGCCCTTCATTACTTACCCATTTGACGATTACTCATGTACATGCCGCTACTACCTCCTATGCGGTCTTTGCTCTTAGAGCGCAGCATTGTGAATAGTGAAACCGCACCTCAGTTCCGTTTGTTTAGGTATTTGTTTACTGCACCAAAATTGTGGATATGCCAAAGATGAATAGGTATATCTCAAACAAATTCGACGATATCAGGCCAATATCATTCGACTACTGGCATTGCAATGTTCATGGGGACAAAACTGGTAATTGTTATGCCATGGAAATGTGCTCTTAAGACTTGAGGAACCGTTGGTGTTGTGAAAGTCGGAGGCGTAGTGCCATGACAACAACCGAGAGTTAGTCTTCGCTAAATCCACCAATGACATCACAGCACGCTCAAGTCTCAGGTCAACATCAAACTCTGTCCTGGAGCACGCCAGTCACCCGACTGACCAGATAACGTTAAAGCGTGTTGATGACCTCTTGCTGCAGACCTTCTACGATCCAATGCTCAGTAAAATTGTAGCGTACTTAGACAATGCGGATGATTAATGCACAAGAGGAAACAGTGGGGTTACACTGAACGGCGTTTACAACTGGCTGGACGAATACTTGGTCACAGGATCCTGCAGTTTCAATATTTAGTCCAGAGAGCATTCAAAGTGATACTCTTTTCATTAATGCTCAGCTCTAATTTGTCGTTGAACCGCATCTGACAGGCTGGCGCACAATAAACGAATTAAATGCCGGTCCTGAGATTTACAGAAATGAGCACTACACATTTAGTGAATCACGTATCTTCCATTGCAAATATTGGTATTTATCTTTACTAGCAGAAGCTATAGGCAAAAAAGAGAACATGGAACGCTACAGTGAGAGGAGCATCCATTATGTGTAATCACCAATAAGTAAACCACCATCGTCCACATCTCATGCTCCCCAAGAAAGGCGAACATGAAACATATCTGAACGTTTTGACCATTGCAACTTCCTTAAGAGCAGGTTCTGCGCAAGAGCAACTAGGCCAACTGACCTGACGCGCGTTTACTCCTCCGGTTCAATAGGAGCCTCCTCGTCATACTCCTCCTCACCTTCGGATACGGAGGCCTCCTGGTACTGCTGGTACTCAGAAACCAGATCGTTCATGTTTGACTCAGCCTCGGTGAACTCCATCTCATCCATACCCTCGCCGGTGTACCAGTGCAAGAAAGCCTTGCGTCTGAACATGGCAGTGAACTGGTCACCGACACGCTTGAAGAGCTCCTGAATGGAGGTGCTGTTACCAATGAAGGTGGAGGACATCTTGAGCCCGCGTGGTGGGATAGAGCAGAGAGCGGTCTGAACGTTGTTGGGGATCCACTCAACGAAGTAGCTAGAGTTCTTGTTCTGAACGTTGCGCATCTGGTCCTCAACCTCCTTCATAGAGACTTTGCCACGGAAGATAGCAGAGCAGGTGAGGTAGCGGCCGTTGCGGAAGTCAGAAGCCGCCATCATATTCTTCGGGTCGAACATCTGCTGAGTGAGCTCAGGAACTGTGACGGCGCGGAAGGAGTGAGCGCCACGGCTAGTGAGAGGAGCGAAGCCAACCATGAAAAAGTGAAGTCGGGGGAATGGAACCATGTTGACAGCCAGCTTGCGGAGATCAGAGTTCAGTTGACCGGGGAAGCGCAAACACGTAGTGACGCCAGACATGACGGCAGACACGAGATGGTTGAGATCGCCATAAGATGGGTTGTTGAGCTTCAAAGTACGCATGCAGATGTCATAGAGAGCCTCGTTGTCAATGCAGAAGGTCTCGTCAGAGTTCTCGACAAGCTGGTGCACAGATAGAGTAGCGTTGTACGGCTCGACGACGGTATCAGAGACCTTTGGAGATGGCATCACAGAGAAAGTGGCCATCATACGATCGGGGAACTCCTCGCGGATCTTGGAGATAAGGAGAGTGCCCATACCAGCACCGGTACCACCACCAAGTGAGTGGGTAATTTGGAAACCTTGGAGGCAGTCGCAACCCTCAGCCTCGCGACGGACTACGTCCAAGACCTGGTCGACCAACTCAGCACCCTCAGTGTAATGACCCTTAGCCCAGTTGTTGCCAGCACCAGACTGGCCGAAAACGAAGTTATCTGGGCGGAAAAGCTGACCGAATGGGCCAGCACGAACTGCGTCCATGGTACCAGGCTCAAGATCGACGAGGACAGCACGGGGCACGAACTTGTTACCGGAAGCCTAACATGAGCATATCAGTTGAGGCCTTGCAGTTTTGGTGCTACGTTTCATTCACCTCGTTGAAGTAAACATTCATGCGCTCGAGCTGAAGATCAGAGGTGCCATTGTACCTGCGTTTCATTTAGTCCCTGCTTTTGGTGTGCACCTGAAGCAACTGGAACTTACACGCCCGAACCATCAAGGCCATGCTCGCCAGAAACCGTTTGCCTATGATTTTTTGCCCAGTCAGTCGTGGCCTGTCAAGCTGATGTTGTGCTGAGGTTCGAGGATGGAACGCACCAGAAGGCGGCACCAATTTGGTTACCCTACATAGGGTCAGATGGGTTCGAAGTTTCATTGAGAAGTAAGCACTTACGCATTGGCCGGTCTGAAGATGAACCTAAATTCGCAAGTATGTCAGCCAACAGTTCAGTGTGATGTTTCTCGCCCAAATATTGCTGCCTCCCTGAACAGAACGCGGGGCAGTAAATAAGGGGAAACGCGCGTGAAAAACATGAAAATATAGAAGAACACGGCACGTACAATCTCGCGCATGTTGGCAGTGGGATGGCTCTTCCGGGTTTATTGAACACGTAGAAGTAGTTATCGAAGTTACCGAACGAAGTTGAGAGGTGGTTGAGTGGTAGTTGTTGGTGCTGTGAAGAGTCGGTGTGCGGGTTTGAATGTTTGGCGGCAGATGCTAGGTGGTCAATGCTGCAGGGGATCACGCTAGGCCGAGATCAGACGCGTTAACGTAGGCACCACACGTGACATCAACAACCACAAGCGCTCGAAAAGAGACTTGTAACTTATATGATATTCTGCACCATAGGCATCTTCTCGTGCAGATTAATCCCTCTCAAATTGGATAGATCTGATGTGAAGAGTCCAAGAAAGATAATCAGAACCTTCCTGCTGTGATTTCCGTCAATATCGTCACAACACCCCATCGATTAACTTTGCAATTCTCTCACGAATCCGCCGAACTTCTTGAATAACTAGTTACTCTACATCTCATCTTAGCTTTCTAGCCTGCATCTCTTACATCATGACTCTGCATTCTTGACCTCATGCGTCATGAAGTGGAAGCTGAGCTTCGCTAACTTCGTTTAAAATAGCAAAGTTGTAAAGCAATTTCAGCACGCATCATTGAACGTCATGCGGATACTGGGCTCTCTGAGATCTTATCCTGTGCTATATTCTATCCTTTTTGCATACTTTAGACGACCTTTAGTTTGCAGTGGCGAACAATTCTACAGAATCAACACTTAGCGACAATGAAGCTGCAACTGGTCAGCTTTCCGATTATGTTGTTCATGGCTAATTTATAAAGTTGGCCTTGTTTACGTGTGACTCATAAGATGACTGTTGTAGCGTCCATTGCAGTAACAGATTCCTGCGTTGTATGCTGTGTGATCCTCACGTTCTTAGAGTGGGCTGGTGTTTTGTGATCGGGAGGATCACAAATTCGCATCGAGGCACGCTTTCTGTGTTCCATTACGATGCATGCCGTTATACGCTCAACTCTCATATCGATTGGGTCTTGTATTCTGCTTTACGGCCAGAGTTGGCTGCCGTTGGTCATGAGGATTCCTTCCGTATTTGGCGTTAATAGTAGACTGCGTTACAACAAGGTAATGCTGGAGATTATAAAAGATGGCGTGTATATATGGCATTCAATTTCGAACTCTTCATCGGAATGAAATAGTTGTTGGCCCATTGCAGAAAACGTTAATGCAGATATCATGTTCTCAAGATCAAGATATCTTGATGAGGACGGTGAATTGCGACCACCTATGTCCCCAACCGAGAAATTTGGATACCTAATCCATATGGGGACTCGTTGACACGGTTGCATTATGTACCGCGTATAATATCTTCAAATCCAGTATTGTCGCCGCATATAGTTTTGTTGTGAGTTTCTGTTATCAGCTCGAGCTCTGAGACCTGCGAGACCTGTATGGATGATGCAGCTAAGAGAATGGATAAATTACATTCGAGCAGTCTATAACACTCGATGCTGTCTACACATTACAAAGTGCGAGAGGTCATGGTCTTTGTCGTAGATTAGGCGCACTAAAGCAACAGCTTCGTTGTCGGAACTTCCGTTAAAAATATGCATGCTTGTTGAAAAAAAAAAAATTAAAAAATTAAAATAAAAGCAAAAGAAAAAGAAAAAGAAAAAGAAAAAGGAAAAGAAAAAGAAAAAGAAAGAAGATAAAGACGGGTTTCCATCTTGAATTCCAGGGCTGTTGTCCAGACTCGGTTCCAAAAAGAGCATGAATGCGTGATACGATTGTTGAACCACAGCGTGTGATAAAGACTTCGGATGGTTGGCGTAGTTTGAAATGTGCTGGATCCAGACTTTTGCAGGAGGCCTAGATTAAGAATGTTACAGCATACTCGCTTCGGCCGTAGATGCCAAATACGACGTCGGAATGGCCTTAACGCATATTGAATCGCATGATAGATCCTCTGAGATTTCGGCGGAGTTAAATGCACAGATCATAAGTAATCTTTGAGTATAAGGGGCCAGGATGTTCTACCGCAAAGATGGGTCAGCTAATTCAATTTGTGAGAAGTCCAGACCCACCAGGCCTAGCACAGAAAAAGATTTGACAACCACAGGAGATCGGGTGAGCAGTCGTCTGATAACAGAATTATTTTCGTCTCCTTGGAGCGATCCTCTACCCAAATGAGAAGATCGTAGGAATCTACACTCGCCACAATCTAAAAAGGCACCAGTGCACAGATGATCTCATCACCATCGGCTGGAAAAATATGGAAGACGAGACACTCTGCCAGATTTCAGACTCAGGTACCATCTTGAGCACGCCCACTTTCACGTCTGCTGGCGTGTTCGAGAACGATAGACCTATCGGTGACCACCGGCCGCCTCGGTCTTCGTCAAGCACGCTAAGACCGACGGGAGACGGGAGAGACAGCATATCCGTAAGATTGTCCAATCACCAACTTCTGCAAGCGCCACCTTCGCAGAAGCTCAGTGGAGCCTGCGGCTGTCTTTCCAACAAGAACGGAGCCAAGACCCATGACGAAATTTGCACCCATCAATCTTTTGTGATGCGTAGAACTTCGCCCAACGTGCACCGGCTATACGGCACACGGTTCCCAAGCTATACGCAACGGGCCTCGGCCTAAGGAGAGTTTTACATACGACAGAATGATGGAAACCCACTAAAACCGTTCCGCAACCTCCTGAAAGCTCTTAGATTGGACCGTTCCTCGTAGATATGGAATACGGAAGAGCCTGCACCCACCATCCGACGCTGCTGCCCTGTGTAATGACGTTGCATTCGTCGTCCACCCTTCATTCATCGGACGGATTTTAGTCCTTCGATAAATTTTTTTCCTTTCTTATACTTCACTGATAATCATGCCATCTGCTGTTTCTTGATTTAAACGTAACCTTTCATCCTAGCGTGCATCACTACCCCGGTCGCCACGCGGAAGGTTTAAGCTCATTTTGCAGCCTTGTGGTTACGCCCATCTCAGCCTGGCTGAATCATCCACAGTATCCTAAACATCACATAGTGAATTCGCAGTTCAGCTTGGTATCACCATGTCTGAAAGCAAAAGTGCACCGAAGGATCTTGAATCCGGGGCTCGCACAGGCAAGCTATCGCATTGGTAAGTCTTGAAATCGAGGCCGTGCACAGGAGCCACACGAATGCTCACCAGGAGAAAAGGCGAATCCTCATCGATCAAAGCATCACCACACCCGAGATTGAAAGCCATGTGTATCCAGGATCTGGTACAGTGGAGGATCCATATCGGATAGATTGGCTTCCTAATGATCCGCGAAATCCAATGCAGTTCCCTACATGGTATAAATGGATGATTACGTTGTCCATGGCCGGTGCGGTTCTAGCAGTATCTCTGTGTTCTTCAGCGTTCTCTTCTGGCTTTACTTCGCTTCTACGAGATTTTGGTACCAGCCAGGAGGTTGCAACATTGTCGCTTAGTTTGTTCGTGCTAGGCTTCGCCATTGGCCCTTTGTAAGTGCATGCAGCAACCTTTTGGTCACTCATCGCTAACAGCTCGAAGGTTCTGGGCGCCCATGAGCGAGCTATACGGTCGACAGATCCTGTTCATCTTCACATTTGGCATTTTCACTTTCTTCAACGCCGGCGTCTGCGGTTCACAGAACATGCAAACCGTGATTATTCTCAGATTCTTTGCAGGCTCGTTTGGTTCGTCTCCACTGACGAACGCCGGAGGAGTAATTGCAGATATGTTTCCTGCACGACAGAGGGGCGTTGCTACCGCAATCTTTGCTGCAGCTCCATTCCTTGGCCCAGCCGTAGGACCAGTAAGTATCGTCTAATCGTGGCACGTGGGAGTTTTACCAACGCTTGAACAGGTCGTAGGTGGATTCCTCGCTGAATCTGCGGGCTGGCGCTGGCTTGCTGGCTTGCTGGCGGCGTTTTCGGGCCTCGTGTGGTTTATAGGAATAGCCTTGGCCCCAGAAACGTATGGCCCCGTTCTCCTCCGACGTCGAGCTGCCCGGCTCTCGAAGATCACCGGCAAAGTCTATCTTTCCAAAACCGATGCCCAACAAGGCACGATATCTGCTGGCGAGGCCTTCAAAACCGCCTTGAGCCGTCCATGGTTCTTGCTATTTAGGGAACCGATCGTCTTTTTCTTAAGCTTATACATGGCCATCATCTATGGCACTCTCTACATGCTCTTCAGCGCCTATCCTATTGTATATGAGCTTTCCCGTGGTTGGAGTGGTGGTATTGCCGGTCTAGCTTTTCTCGGTGTTTTGATTGGTATGTTGTTGGCCGTGGCCTACACCCTGTGGCCTGAAAATCCGCGATATCAGCGGGTCGTTGAAAAGCATGGAGGTATTGCCCCGCCAGAAGCGCGATTACCGTCTACCATGTTGGGTGGCGCATGCCTGCCCATCGGTTTGTTCTGGTTTTCTTGGACAAATTCTCCTTCCTTGCCTTGGGCAGCTTCGATGGCTGCCGGCATTCCTTTCGGCTTCGGCATGGTCCTGGTCTTCTTGGGTGTCATGAACTACCTCATCGACGCGTACACCATCTTTGCAGCTTCCGTCTTGGCAGCCAACTCTGTCATCCGGTCACTGTTTGGTGCCGCTTTCCCCCTCTTCACGACTTACATGTACCAAAACTTGGGTATTCACTGGGCGAGCTCAATTCCTGCATTCCTTGCACTGGCATGCGTGCCATTCCCTTTCCTCTTCTACTATTACGGAGAGAAAATTCGTATGAAGTCAAAGTACGCAGCCGAAGCGGACGCCTTCATGAAGAGGATCATTGCACAAAGGCGTGCAGAAGCGGAGGCTGCTGCTCGTGGAGACTCTGAAACCGAGGCTGACGCAGAAAAGGAGCTTGACAAAGAAGAATTGAAAGCAGAAGAAGAGGAAGAGGAGCGAATCGTTGCCGAGGCCGAAGCTGGCGCCGTAGATTATGATGGCGCACGTTTCGAGCGCATCAAGACCGCTCAGGACACTGAGCGTGTTGCACAATTGTCATACGAAGCAAGCCCTTTCGACATTGACCGCGTCAACACAAGAGAGAGCTTCAAGAGCCGAAGGAATAGCCAAAGTAGTAGACGGGGTGGGCGTTAAGCGCTTCTGATTATCTTGTAAATTGTATCAACATGATTTTGAGCGCGGCGTTGGATGATAGACGGCATAGACCATGATAAGTGAAGAATGTCTGGTCTCAAACGTAATACTAATTGTTGTCCCTCAATAAAGTTATGCTATGCTCCGGCCTGCATTGCGTTACTAACAGTGAACATGCTTACGTGCTTCGTTACTTCCACAGTTGGCCCTGCCAATTTGCATCAGGCGGCGACGGCTCCTGCTCACTTGGCCTGATACAACATCGTAGCAGCACGACGCGAATTCTCCAACGAACCTCGCACACAATTACTATTGTTCGGAGTCGTTCTTTATTGAGTCGTAAGTGAACTAAGGTCTCAATTTCGAATTTGATTAACATGTAAGGAAACGTCTGCAAGCTTGACCTACACTCAATCAGCAACAATGCCCTACAAAGTTCCCTTTTGTCTGAAGACTGATGAAGAGCGCGAGAAGAACATCGAGAAGAACCTAGACTTCATCCATAGGACGCACATGGAGGCGGTACTCGATCGAATGGCCCACTATTCTGTTTCACATTGACTGACACAGGTTGTAAGATCTTTTACACGTACCGTGAGGGAAAACTTGCACAAACTCGTGAGCTCTGTATTCGTGCCATGGATAGCCACCGTCTCCCTAGCTACTACCGCAAGGTGTATCAGGGACTTGTAAGGACCATCGACGGAGACGTGGACCTAGCAGCGGAGAGCCCTAAGATGTCCCAAGCTCTTGTAGCAGTCAAAGGCGACCAAGCAGACACTGTGGAGGAGCGTACCACTACCATGCTACATGCGCCAGCCGTTTGCAAAGAAAAAGATATCATTGGAGATAAAAGCAAAGTCCATAGCCCAATGGCTATCATTGACAGCGCAAACGCGTTTGGAGGCGGTAGCGATGAGACCGAAAATGCTAACCTGTTCGAAGAGCTGGTTCGTCTCGCAAACAAATGCAAGAAGGATGGAAAGGACATGAACACCAATGGCACGAGCATTCGGCGCCCATCTTCCAATTAGTGAGGCCTCTTTACAGGTCTTATCTACTCGATGACCAGAGTATCACGGAATAGTTGCACGTGGAGATCATTTGCTACACGACTAAGATCTCTATCTCACGGTGATCAAACCTTCGAGGTCTCAATCTTGAAAAAACATGTCCTGCAATGACATGATTCGTCTATGCGACGAGAACCTTTTTGGTAGTCTGAAGGGAGGTAGCTTTCAAAGGCGTCACCTTATGAGGCTTGGGAAGGTGGAAGACAACGTTATACAAGAAGTAAATTCCTTAAGTTCGTTCCCGCGGCCGCTAGTCGGGATCAGACAACGACAACGTTGGAGTCCATCTCCTTAGCATAGTACAGACCACGTAATCCAGAAGACTTTGTGCTTGCTGTTGCTATTTCCAGAAGCTTAATTCGTGAGGCAGTTCCATGACAACATGACAGAGAGAAGGAGGTTATGTTACGCCGGTAGGTCTATAATGTCGTTCGATCGAATGCGAGATCCAGCAATCATAAGATTTGAGCAGTGATTTCGCATCACGGTGACTCCTGCAAGGCTCTCGAATTCTATCGTCTTGAAGAAATTCACCGTGGCGGTGGTGGGTGAGCACTCTTTTAATGAAAAGGTTGCCATAACAAATCTGTGGACAACCTCTTTTCACTTCATAGGATCAAGTCTGTGAACGCAACTGTTTGACCCGCAGCCCGAGACCATAGAACGATATCGTGCTTATTCAACTGATAGCGTTCTTCCCAGATAATGCAACCAGATATAGTCATGTCGCTACTCGGTCTGCCAGCAGAGATGATTTTGGCAATCTGTCGTCAGGCTCCTCTCGAGACGGTCGCCAACCTTCGCTTGACCTGCAGAACTCTGAATGACAGGATCGCTCAGAGCTTCTTCGCGGCAAACTTTGCGACAATTGACATTATTGCGGACGACCAAAGTGCAAGCGTAGATGCCATAGGAAGAATTGTCACCAATGAAGCAACAGCACAGCGAGTCCGCCATGTGCGCGTACACATGAATTTTTTATTCCACGCAGTATGTCTCATCGTGCACTTCTGTTCGTCATCTTGATTCGCAAACCGCGATCACAGCTGCATTCTAATTGAACAACAGAAGGCTAATCAAAGACATAGATAGCACAAGCAGAACCCCTTGAGCACAGAGTAGTTGACAAGTGCACGAAGGCGGTCAGAAGAGTCGGTGCTCAACTCATCAAAGCGCTCCCACAGCTGAAAAATTGCGACACCATCGAACTGGTTGATAGTTTTCCTGTATGCTTGCATCACAGATACCCGCATTTCCACGGTCGCAAAACATATATCCGCCTCGTGAATGACGGCAGTCATTCAGAAGTATGGGTTGGGCGTCGACCTCTGCCACACCAACTTACTTCTGCTTTGGTGTTTGGTATCCTTACTGTGGTCAACAGACGGATGAGATGTCTGCGTAGAATCAAGATCGAGCCCCGCCTAGCTCTTCAAGATCTTAAAGCAAATCTCTCAAGCAGACTCTGCAAATGGCTAGCATTCCATGGTGTGCACTCCCTGAAGCTGAAGCTTATTGACTGTTCGAACGAACACTATAGAATCAACTTCTCGCAAAGGCAAGCGCACACAACGGGTGTATGGACAACCGGCAGTACATTCGAGGGTCAAGATAGGATGGGTTATGAAAATGAGCGCAAATTAACCACAATCAGTGATTCAGCATCACAGTGGGAGAAGCAAAGTTCGCGGCATGCGATGCTTCGGGTCTTCCTTAAGCATTTTCCACATCTGAGAGACTTGGTCTTAGACATTGAGGCGGATCAACAGAAGACCGGCTTGCCGGAGGACATGATGCCAGCTTTCCTGTCCAGCAGCTCTTTGAAGACTCTGAAACTTTCAGTCTCCATCGGAGATGGAGTGACACTGACCAAGTATGTACTTTATAAGTTGTGCAGCATGACTCGTATTCACATGAGTTTATAAACACAAGCTGCCACTTTGAATATTTGGTAGACTTATGCTGACCGTCGACAGGGCAGTAGAAGGCCTGAGCTCCCTTGAGACCATTGCTTTGGAGGAATGCGATTTCAGAGATCTGAATGCCTTCAGACAAACCAGCCAATGCTTTCTTCGCCAAGCCCACTTCTCATTGAAGGAAATCCGGCTATACAAGCCTTGGACTTGGAACAACGAGGGTATTCAGACTATGATTTGTCCCGGAGAAGCATGTGAGCCGTATGTCTGCCGGTATTGGGGTCTTGGAGGCCTTGCTCAGCAGACCATGCACGTCTCGCTGAACGTGCTTGAAGATATGCCCAATTGGTGCAAGAAGTGCCATGTCAGGTCAATTGCACTGACGATGGACCAACTCGATCTGGCAGAGTCATTTAAGAGAATGTTTCATCAGCAAAGCGCACGCGAAAGGCCACCGCCGAGGTGCACGGCACCGAATATGGAGCGCCAAGGTTAAGACTTGAATCGAAGATCGAGATTCGGCAGATGAGCCTCTCTGTGTCGGTCATAGACGCTCGAGCACTGTCCCCTTGCATATCTCTTCGAACACCCTGATTCCTTTGCGACCCAGGGCCGTCCCAACCCCAACAGCAGCAGCTCCAACGCTTTTCATTCGAAGGTATCCCGAAGCATCGCTCACTCCACCAATGCCGATAATCTGTATGCTTTCCAAGCTCTTATGCGTGTCTAGCATTTGCCTTAACATTTTCACATTTCCTAACGCCAGCGGATGCAGCGCAGCCCCAGCCATTCCACCTATACCAAGCCCACTGCTTGAGTTCAAAGCCGGCGTTTTGTCATCCAAGACCAGAGAACAACCAAGAGTATTGGTGGCCGTGATGAAAGCTATTGGACGCTCACTGCCCGCACAGCTCAGCAGAGCACGTTCAAGCATTTTGAAATTTTCCGGGTTCGAGTATGGTGGAGTTTTAACGCCAATGGGTACCTTCAATCTTTCCCCCACAGCAGCTTGAGCAGCCTTCAGCGCTCCCAAATACTCTTTCAGAGCATCTTCATCATATGACGGTGGAGGCTTGCCACTTATATTTGGACATGACAGATTGACTTCCATGTACAGCGGTGTATTTGGGATTTCGTCCTGCAGGTCTGCTATCATGCCGTAACATGTCTGCAGCTCCTCCGGTGTACCAGTCACCGACAATATGAATGCTTTTGTCCCCCTTTTCTCGCATGTTTGTCCTACTACAGCTTTTACGTTCTTTATTGTCTCCGCCAGTGGTAATGGCGAATATCCTAACGTATTGAGACTGGAGCTCGACCTCTCACAGTGTCCCTCACGTTGTATGCAGCACATGTTGTGCGCGTCGAAGAAGCAGTATTGATGTATTTCATCATTGTGTGGAAAGCCGCTTAGCGTGTTAGTACGAGTGGTGACGGCACCTGTGTATGGACAGTCGTAGAGGGCTTGCAGATCTTCGAAAGTTGTCGCCCAAGGGTTAGCGGAGTTGAGGATTGGTGGGTTAAACATGATTGCTAACTGTCACAACTAAATGCGGACGTTACAAAGAACTCATCGAGATGACGCAGGCTCTGCTTTGATTTGTCTAGCAACACCTGTGAGGTCGAAGTATAGCTATCAGCTTGAGAGAGCTACAGAGTTGACGTCGTTGCTTTTCTGGACTGAAGCCATTGTACGGAACGGCAAGTGCTACTCCACTCATAGCAGAACGAGAAGGTTATTGACAGCCATCTTTTGAACGACAAGGATAACACAGGTAATCCATCCACTTTGGTTCCTTGGCTCAGTATGCAGCGTAGAATTTCTTACGCCACTATTCCTACGTCTTACGTTTAGATTTGCTGCCTTCATTGCTTATTACGCCCGATCAATCCAGCCCCAGTACGATGGAGCTTCGATCAACATTAGACTGCTTTTATTCCAGTTCCTGAGTCTGCTCAACCACAGCGCGTCTCCTCATCAACAGATACAAGAGATGCAGCCTCATCGACGAGGCGCTCATATCAGCATCTCCTGCCCAAAGAGAGTATTCCACAAAAATTTTACGGTAACGAGTTCTACTTGTCTCCGGACGGGATCTGGAACAGGCGACGGCCGAATTTTGGGCGAGCTGTATAAATCAACACAACTGCACGGCATGTTCTAAATCTTCCATCGCCATCTTCTGAATGATAGCAATAGGCACGGCACAAGTCTAGAATGTGATCTACCAAGTAGTGCTTCTACAAATCGAGAAACTGAAGACCTTGCAACGTCTAGGTCCCGGAAGTCTTCTAGAACCTGTGCTTCAATCCACGCAGAGGCCCGGGGAGTCAGAACACAAGATTGGATTGCTGTCAAACCCGCGTGTCCGGCAGAACGAAGACTACGAACCGTCGCTTGAGCCGGAGCCTATCCTGCGCTGACCTCGGCCCAGAATGGTGCAGTCTATCAGAAGGGATAAATGAGTTGATACACTACGTTCAGTAGGGCATGCCCACCCAGAAGATGTGAACGCAAAGACACCGTTTATAGCCGCAAAGAAGGAAGTGCATCCACTAAGACGACAAAAAAGCGTACCTTGATGCGACCAATACCCGCTATAACACAGAGCAGTGGACACGCCATGAAGAAGGTCCAACAGCCGATGAGATAACCTAAAGCTCCTGTCCGGCATAAGAACGCTGCTATGAATGTTTGCTGAACGTTATGCTGGCTACAGAAAAGTGCTGCCTGGATCCATCCAGTCAACTATGATTCATCATTTAGTATCCCCCTAAATTATAAAAAAAATTAGCCCAACAAAGACCAACAAGCTTCTTAGAACGAAATGTTCACCCATGTCTGCAAATTCATGCCTCAAGTGGTTTCGGGGCTTACTTTCCATGTCTGCCTACCGCTATATGTTCGTTCTCTTTCCAGTCGGCCCCACAAAAGTCGATCTTCGAAAACGTGCATGCCTTTATGATTTCCCCTTCCACGTTTCTATAAGCGATAGCTCTGGCAGAATGAATTTCTCAATCCTTTAATCGTTGAAGACCGCCTCGATACTTGTCGATTCTTGAAGACGTTTGTGAGTATGCCGAAGATCATAAATGCTGTCTTCGTGACAGAACTCCCTACTATCACCAATCCGTAGGGGATTGGCTAAAGGTCGACTTGGTACAATTAGGGAGCATGCTGATCAGAGAGTCTCCGCAAAACACGTCGCTGGCTTTTGCAGTTCCCAGCTGCCCGTCAAGGGCATTGCCTTGACCGCGTAAAAACGATGTCAAACCCAGTTGAGCATCCTATAGGTCTTTTGATGCAAGCGAATCAAATTTCAGAAAGATTTAAACTGGGCATTCCACCGCCTTTCCTTCGCCATCTTTTGAAGTGTTCAGGATACGCCACTGAAAAAGATGGACTTTGACATTTATCCTGTGCTAGTAGCATCGCAAGCTACGATATCTCAATTAGAATAGCCAAAGATTAAACGTCCCAAGAGTAGAAGCCTCCCCGGGTGAATGGCGGGTAGCACGGGTCAATTTCAAACCCGAGCACCTTTTCACTAACTTGTTAGATCTGTAGGCTATTCCTATGCTTGACATTCTTTCATAACAGTGCCAAGACTTGGAAGACGGATTCAGAGCTCGAATTAGACACCTGAGCTTCCTCGTCTCGCCAATAGAAACATGCGTTTCTGCCGTAATACCATGCTGTTCAAAGAGTAGCACTTGCATGTATGTAACTCGTACGCCCTGTGGCAAGGGTATCAGTACATGGCAGTGTACATCAGCAGCTTAGGATCCAGGACACAGTGGAGCTGAAAGATATCCACGCCCTCCGTAAGGAAGTAAACTTCCTACGGGAAGCAAGCACGTAGGCCAGCGGGAATAGCTCGTTTGGCAAATGGCCGAGTGGGAGATATGGTCAACTGAGACAACAGGGAGGCCAAACAGTCAAGGGAGATTCATTTCAAACGGGAAACTTAAGTCGAGTATGGCAATTTCAAGCCGAGAAAGGTGAGGAAGAGATTCGCATGCCATGGGACGCGGGAATAAGGGATCCGCAGCCAAGGATGAGTGAAACCGCAGATACGGTAAGACAGCTAGAATAGGAGAAGCGGTCATACTTGTGCAGACGGGTAGGGAGTAGCGTACCACGTTTTTGGGGAACGGGGGGAGAGAATGCGTCCGAACGTCGACGAGAACAAACCACTGTTCAAAAGAAAGGACGCCAAGTAGCAACGGATGACCACGTACGGAATCGACGTTGGGTCGAATCTGACATCGGCATGGGCGAGGTGGACCGGCTCATCGACCGTGCGAGCATCTTTGCTGGGTCGGTAGCAGGGTGTGTCCACAAGGTCGAGCAGCCAGTGAAGTGACGACGGTGGCAGTTTTTGGGGCAGCAGAGATGACGACCGCGTTGGCCTTCGAACGTGCCCGTCGAGCAAAATGCGGTGGGCGAACAAAAAGAGGCTATGCCTACTAGCGCTTGCGACGGAGTCAGCACATCATGGCGACCCCGACGGGAAGGAGACCATGGATCCTGTTTGTGACGGACGACGGGTGTACGGTTGATCAACTGCGAGCGGTGGTGACGAGAAGCGACTTGAGATCCTTGATACGAGCTGATGATAGTTTGCTGTGCACACGGCCTCACGTGTGCGATACGGTGATTTACACCCTTGTCGTTGGAGTGGATAACTAATCTATACATATCCACAATGGCAGCCTGCTGCGGTACCAATGCGTAGATGGTTGCCGACTTCGAGATGATACCGAAAAGAGGAAGCATGAATTTCCAAATTGGGCATCTGTGTGAGAACACTACGTTTCTAGGCCTCGAAGATGTTTTGCTCGGTGACATTCGGTTGTCCGATCTTCCACGATTAGAACTACACACGTACCAAAATGGCATTTTCTTTAATGGGCGTCTCTGAGTAGACGAGAGCATATTTTATTTCTGGGAAGGTAATTTCGGTCTTGGTTCGTGGCGCGCCATGATTCAAGCCCCAATCTTAACGTTCGTCGCCACCGCGGCAGCAAGAGCGTCGGCTTCGCCCTCCTCATCTTCCTCGCCCGCCTTGCCAGCCAATCCTCTCTCCCACAGCTGTCGCCCAGTCAATCTGACTTCCTCCTTGACACCTTTCCGCTTCTTCAGCTCCTCAGCCTCAAGCTCCTCCCTGCGCCGTCTCTCTTCCTCCGCCATTTCCTGCTTGAACTTAGCACGCCACGCAAGGAAAGTTTCCCTTGTGACCGGAGTGCCGTGGAACTTGCGGTTCTCTTCCTCCTCGGCCTTGGCCGCCTCGGCCTCCTTTAATGTCCTCGCAGCCTTTTGCCGCTCTGAGATGAGGAGTTCTGCTGCGTCTTTGAGCGAGGAGACGAGGGTGAAGACCATAGCCATGCCCATGTTTTCTTCGATGGTTGGCTCTAGGGACGACAGGAGCTTGGCCTTGTCCTCCTGGACGTCAAAATACTGGTGCTTTGGCGCATTAGGCGGAGCGAGGATGTCCAGTCGTGGTGCCTCATCAGGATAGTCCGGTGGATATTCAACTTTGAGCAGTAACGTGGCTGTGAAGAGAAACAGAGTGAGTCACACGGTTCGCCACGCACAGGATTTGAGGCCAGAATATTACAAATCGACAAAGTCGGGGATAGAGATAGAGACGAGTGACGTACGGCCTTCTATATTTTCGCCATACTCACTGGCGACGTCAAGCTGTATCGATACGCGGAATTCAGTTTCGGAGATGTCTAGCCCAGCAAGTTACTCAAGCATGTTCTCGTAATCAAATGCACCGGCGCGCTAAGCGTGGTCTGGAAGGTGCATGGAAGACCGGCGGCCCATGGGGTTGCGAACGATGCAAGTCTCGTAATCAGACCTGAGGTCTGCACTCAGGTTCGGGATGCCGAGAAATGGTTGACATCCTATTTTCGCGCTGAAAAGGTGGACCGGCAGATGTCTGCACAAGCCATTGGGTCGGTCATGCTTCTGCTCGTCCAAAGGAAAAGAACAATAAAAAGAGGAAAAATCAACTTGCGCGTCGGGCATGGGGCGCACACACCTGTGATTTCGTCGGGAAATATCGACTCCAGCACCTCGCGCTCCTCCTTCTGCTCGTCGAGCCCCATGGCTGAACGGATAGGTTAGCGTCTGCAGGCCGGGAAAACAGGCGTTCTGGCTGGGCAGCCAGGTGGAAGTTCGATGGGCAGGTCCTGGCAATTTTGGACGTTTGTGGTGGCGGGGCGCGATATAGGCGGATTGGAGAAGACGTGCCAGGGCGTACAGCACGGCCGGGCAGCAGAGCAGTGGAATAGCAAGCTTCGCGATGCAGCAGCGCGAGGACGCGTAGGTGTCCGGGTACAGTCCTAGGCAAGCTTTGACGCAGGAGGGTGAGGAGTGCAAAATGGGAAGCATTAGCGGGCAAACGCTGTGCGGGCGCTGCGGTGGGCGAGGAGTGCTCGGCAGCGCGGCGCGAAACGTGCAGCAGAACGAACTCGCTCGACTGAGGCACGCACACAAGCTCCGTGCAGCGGTTTGGCGCTTCAGCCCTACCAGCGTTGGGGCCACTCGCCAGGCCCCGTCCCTCCTTCCCTCCTTCTTTCGTTGCCTCCTTCCCCCCACCCGCCCGTCGCGCTTGCCCAGCCCGCGCGTTGGCGTTGGCCCTGCGGGTGGGGCGCTCTCTCCCCATGTGCTCCGTCTGCAGCCTGCCACCGCGACTTCCCACAGTACGTGACCTCTCCAGCCACGGTTCAGCAGGAGCTGACCAGTCTGCGCTGCGTCCACGATCACTCTGGCTGCTGCCCGCCTCGAGTAATATTGTATGCCCATCACGGCCCGCTGCTCGGCAAGTCCGCAAAGGCCCAGCACGACAAGCAAAAGCGCCCCAAGCCATGCGCAAGCCGCGTCTCCGCACACTGCGCTGCTCGTCGATGCAACCCTTCGTCTCGCCGTCATTCTCTCTAGTCGCTGCCGTCAACAGCGGGTGCTGCTGCCCTTCGTTTCCCTGCAGCTCGCGCTGCGGACTTTAGGCTGGACTTTACGTTCTCCGAGCCCGCAAGCACGCAAAGCACGCAAAAGGGCCCCAAACGGCTACACCGCGTCGTTTGTGTGTTTCCGCCTGGCCAGGACCATTCAGAGCCGCAAATTCGTGCGTCGGACTCGGTCTGCTTTTTCTTTTCTTCCGCGCTGCATCTGTCACAAGGCACCCATCGCGTCGTCCGAAGCCCCGACGCTCTGGCACGCGGGATTTACCTTTGACTATCTGCTCGACGAATGGTCGGTGGAGCGAAAGAGAAGGAACACGCAATTGGGGAGCTGAAAAATGTGGATCGTCCTTCTCGAATCGGACGCAGGAGCTCGTATTCTATGATTTGCCTATGGACAACGCACCACAAGCTCACCCCAGTCTATTCCGAGCTGTTCAGAGAGGAACCAACACCTGCCCGCCATCCAAGGCAAATGCTGCCCAACTGGCCAGCGAACCAGAAGGATCTGTGGTGATCTGACGCAATCCTCTCTCTAGGCCGTGAGACGCTATCTGAAATATACAAAGAAAGTTTCACGATCTTCCAGCCCTCCAATCAGGTGATCCGGCTCATTGCGGAACGCGACACGGGGCGCGTGTTCCTCCGCACGTTAAACACCCCCCCCAAAAAAAATGAACTCCAGGCTCGAGAAAAGTAAAAAGCCAACCCTTGCCCATTCAGCTCGTTATTCTCGGTCAAAATGGCTGTGTCTCGACCGCCGAATCGTCCGATTCCGCGTGAGAGAAAATTTCCCGTTGCCCAGATTGTTTTCGCCCTGACATCGTGGTCAAGCGATTTGCCCTTTCGTCCTGCTCTCGCCTTCGGCCAAAAAAAAGTAGCGAGAGGGGAGCATGTTTCGTTTCGTTACGCTTCGCTATGCCAAAAAAACGATTGGTGTTGAGATATAAGTAGAATAAAATGATAGTCATCAAATGAAGGACTATGGACAAGAAGCTGGAGCACAGGGGCGGAGAGGCGAAACATCCGACAGCTTCCTTGAACTAGACAAGTTGTACGTCGTCCAGTCCAGGGCCTTCCTGGAGCCGTCCCACTCCGGTTGGTTCGGCCTGTACCTTGTTGATGTTATAGGATGGTCGAGAAGGGAGGGGTGGTGGGCATTGAAAGCTCAGGCGGCGAGCCTGCGACTGATTGCTCAAAGCAGTCTGATAGTGGCGGTGTCTGAAGCCAAAGTGTGTCAGTCGCTGCGGCAAGCAAACCACGAGGTCATGTAACAGACGCTACTTGCGAGAGTTGGTCTTTTGTATGTGTGCGAAAACATTGGACTGGGAGATGCATGTGTGTTGTGCGAAGAAAAGAGACTATGTCGCGTACGCGTATGAAATAGGGTCTCCTACATGAGGATTTGACTCTGAGTAAGACTGCGAGGTGGACACGTCGAGACCAGCTATTGATCCGTAGCCAAAGTTGAACGGCGCCAAGTCGCTCGCATAGAAGGCATCCTGTTTCGCCGGATAGTCTACGGACGACACTGTTGGCGGTATTGCATGTATCGAGGCTGAGAGCGGAGGCAGCTCTGGTGGAAAGATTGGGATGTCCGTGCTTGACGAGATGGGTGGATACATCTCTGTTGAGTACGCTGGATAGCTCATCGTCTCTGTCGGGTAGCTCGAGTAGACAAATGGAGGAGGCGATGTCGAGAGCTGGCGTGTGTACTGCTGCGAGAACATGTTGCGGTCATCGAAAGTCATGAAATGCACAGAAGATGCTTGCGAGGCCTGCCTGTCATAGGAGAACCCCTGAGACTCGCGGGAATCAGAAGACCGGCCGGCGTTTTTCTGTGCTTTTGGTCTATCCAGCTCCGCTGGTTTCTGCTCGGGCGATTCCGAATTGGATGCAGCTCTCTTCTCGAGATCTTCAAGTCGCTTCTTAAGCTTCTTGCCTGGAGGGTTGGTATTAGCACAAGCAAGCTTCTAGACAAGCAGTCACCGAGAGGGGAGAAACGCACGATAATTGCGTTGAGCTATTCTGTTTTGTATTCTCCTCCTTTCGGCGAGGTCTGTGATCTTGGTCCAGTCTTCATTGGGATTTGCGCTGGCGCTGAAGGCACTGCTCGTGCTGGGGTAGCGGTGCGTTGGGGCCGTCTGGAATGGCTGGGAATAATGCTGCTGTCTGTTCATTGTGACGAAGTCCAAGAAGAGAAGATTCACAAGAAGACAACGTTCTTAGGCAGACCAAAACTGAGCAGGTAGTGAAATAACCATAGGGCAGACGATGTGGATATATAGTCGGGGCCGTTTACAAACTCGGCTTCATGCCGCGGGCTTCGGTGCTCAGTTAACTCGAGCAGGGCTCTGAACCTTGCTACGCAGGGCCCAGTCAAAGCCACCTTTTCGAGGGACATCGCTGGGAACAAAACGGTCTGGTTTGGGATAAGGCTGGTAGGACCGCTATGCGAGATGCCGGCCCCTGCGAAGCCGCAGCCTTGCGAGCATTTCGGCTAAAATTGGTTGGAACAGATTCCTAAGCTCCGACTATTTGATCATGTCGACCAGGGTTTGAACCAAAGCCAAATGCTCGGTTTAACGGTCAAATCACCATTACCCCGATTCCTGTTCGGGCGGGCGGTGAAGGTGAAGAACACAGCTGCTCCATGAGGGCATCTTTCAGGAGTTGATCGGCAGCGAACAGGTCTCCCAGCTGCTTGTACCGTGGAAGACTGTTCAAATCTCCGCGCGATCAGCGTCACACACGTTGCGAAGTCCTTTGGAAAAAGGGAAAAAAAAATAAAATAAAAAAACCAAGCATGCTGTCACTGCCAAGACGATGCTGCGAACACGCCTAGCTGGAACTGTGCGCTGGCGACACGCCCAATGCGGATGGCTCCATGTACATCCAAAGAATACATAGAAACAAAAGCTGATGGTAGTCGACTACTTGCCCAAAATCAAAAAGATGATTTACCGAACGAAGACTGATCTTCGGCTGGGCCTGCCAGCCTGCCTGCCTGCTTGCTTGCTTGCTCCTGAATGGCTTGCTCGGACTCGACCTTTTGATTGCAGTCGGGACATTTGGCTGCCGGTTGAGCAGGCGGTGGCTCCCAATGAGGCGAACTGATGGCGGCTGTCATTTCCATCCACAAAGGGTTCGACGATCGCGGCGGCTCCGTAGCTTGGAAATCAAAGCCCAGCGCCGTCACCGTATGTCTGTGTTGCGGGAAGCACGAGGAATGCATGGAAGCTCGACAGCAGCACGGTGAAGAACTGACGCTATCTAGGGCCCCGGAGCCTTGAATCCGGGTTGGACCTCGCATTGCACGAATCACGGGCGGCGATGGCTGGCAGACAGGGTTGTTTGTAACACCAACTAAACTTAGCACTGCATTGTTCAGCAAAATGTCACCGACTTCTTCGAGCAAACCGCTATTTTGCTCCATCATTTCCACCACGGACTGCTGTACTTCCCCATACTTGGTCCCCTCGTCCTCCCCGACGACCTGCCGGATGCTACCACACAACGTGACAATCTACTCAGCCTTGCGAACGAACCAAGTGCTCTGAACCATGCCCTCGCTGTTGGCCCAGCCCTATATCCGCACCTTTGGTAGTGTCAGCACCTTATTGCGAAACATCGCAGGTGGAACGATTTGCCATGAGTCTAGAACCACGAGGTACCTTCGCTGACCGTAAAGGCAAATGGCTCTCCTGTATTTTCCTGTTCCTTCACTGTTCGCCACATACATTCCAAAGCACTGCGCATTTTCGAACTCCTGCAGGCAGCAGTGGTACGACAGGACTAAACATGTGTATTGAACCTTTTTTTTTCCACTAGCGGTAGCCTTTCGCAGATGATGAGCTAGCTCATTATTGAACAACCTTGAACTACCACAGGAACCAAACTCGGCTGGCCAGCGAGACGTTACACGAAACGTTTAGCGGGTCCTGTCATTGAATCTCCAGTCCTGGGGGCATCCAGGCTGTGCGTTGTCGACAAAAGACACCGTGCGGTCAAATCTCTGCCCCCACACCCTCCCCCCCAATAATGGGAGCTGGTGCGCACATACAAATGTCGAATTCGCCTCCTTGAGCTTATGTTACCAACAGTACAGTTGCGCAAGTCGAAACGACTACCTGATCTCGAGCGCATGTGTTAGCTTCGTCTTGATCCTCGCTTCCAACAGTCAGCATGGAATTCATCTGTGTTTGGGAGAGAAAAACCCAGTGTCTTCTTCCGTACCCTATGTTCGCATCGGCTGTATCGATCCGGTGCTTCCAAATACGCGTGTGGAGGCCACTTCCTGCGTTCTGTGATTCGTTAGGCCGCTCCTGACTCGGAGCTCCAATAATAAGCAAGCCCTTAAGCCCGTCCATCCAGCCACTTCTACGAGCGATGAATTGCACAGTGAATGTCCTTCCATGCCATCGCTGCACAACGCAAGCTGTTTGAAAACAAATCGTACGCTGACATCTGTTTCGAGCTGTTGATGCGGAGGTCTTTGGCATAACGGAAAAGGTCATGTAACTAATCTTCATTCGCCGGACGAGACTCCCACGTCGTAGATACGGCCCCCAATCCTCTGGACCAGTTTGTGCAATGATGAATCATCCATCGCCTGCCAAACGTTCAATTTGATGAGCTCAGGGCAGGCCAGCAAACGTCCGATCCAATTCTTGCGAAGGAGATCCTTTCTAGCTTCCTCCACGTGGAGGTTTAGTCTACAGCACGATACCATTAGACTCCCGCCTTGACCGTTCGCCAACGTGGTCACTGAACGGCCACTGTAAGGTCCGTGTCCAGCACGCGGCAAACCCACCATCATGGCTAGATCGTGAAACATTCCATGCGTGGAACGGGTTCAAACGGGAATAAACAGTCTGCATTTTTGTCGAGCAAGGCGTGCAGCATCCTCATCCATGCAAGGGAAAGATCCAGTTGACTTTTACACACACCGATTCGCTGACTCAAAAGGTCAACTCGTCACGCCATTTCGTGGGAGATCTCACCTAACTGGAAGTCTTCTATGAGCACGGATGCGCGGTATCTACGCGGCGGGTCGGCTCCAAAGGGCATCTTCACGGCCGAAACCATACAGCTCGACTTCTCGTAAAGCTAGGCGCCGGCATCATTGCGACCGCCGCAAAAAAAAATCATGCGATGCTCGCTGGTTTAAGATATTGGATATTTGCTGCCACCCCTTAATGCATAGCAATCATGGTTAATGTCGCAATAGCTGGCCCCATCTAGGCCGTATCCTGGACAGACTCAAGCATGCAACACGTGACTATTGGCCGATGGTTCTGCTTCGCCGTTGGGTCTGTTTCCTAGTAATGCGGGGTTCTTGCAGCAAACGATGCAGTGTTGAGAGGAACTAGTCGCCATTGCCTCCATGCAAAGGATGTGTTGCCTTCTCTCTCTGGATAGTCTCACACTTGTTCATGTCACATTGTCACGCAATGCAACCTCTGGGCACCGTCCTGGACGGTCGGAGAAACTACTGTGTTGACGCTGGACACGGGACTGGTAGGGCTTGCATTTCCGCCCCGGAGGGCGCTAGAATCTGCAGGGAACAACACCCACAGGCAGATTGTACGCGCCCTTGCAGCCATGAAGGCACAGGCAAAAGAAGCGAGCCAAGCCCGGCGCGGGTGAAAGGAGCGTGTTTTCGTTCTTCGCCTACGAGGTACTCCATCTCGCATCAATATTGTCCGTCAATCAATGGCAGTATCAATCAAGTCAAGGTGGCAGCGGCCCTCAAGGGTTCAGAGGATTCCCGTCACCCTTAACCAGGCCTTTCAAGCATGCGCGGCGGAGTTAGCACGTCGCAGGCTGGCCCATGCCGGCCCTGCGTGTGTTATTTTGATGGACATCCAGTCCAGCGACGTGTTCAATGCCTGTCTGAAGACGCGAGGCACGTGACGGCGCCAGAAGCTTTCTCGAACCCTGGTTGCACCAGACTCGAAAAAGGGGAGACGCTGCACATGCGGGCATCCCGTTGGCGACAACGGTATCCGCGTCAGCCTTGCCTGTTTGGCCACGGAAAGATGCCGGTGGCAGATTGAACTTCATATGTGCCGGCTCAGGTTCCAGCTTCGCTTGCATTTTAAGCAACTCTCTCACAGCCCACGATCTGTTCTTGCTCTTGAAACACATTGTCCGACAATAGCTTAAATCCCCTTTTTAGACTCACCAACTGGTCAAGCGTACATGTGTACAAGCGAAAGCTCTGTAAGGCTGTGCTCAAGCTGGAGGTACGGGCAAGGGGGCCTTGTCAGCGCATGTACCCATTGAAATCTACGATGAGAAGGGAGATACGAAGGCAACGCGTCCACAAGCCATCAATCACTGTTGTCTCAAGTGCTTTCCCAACCAATTCTGTCAACGTGGCGTCGCGGCCCGAGAGACGAATTCAAGCGCAAAGGAGTTGAAGCTTCGATTCGGCATTGCTCTCCATTTCTTAATTTCTTCATTTGGGAGAGTGCCTTTCATGACCGCTGTCAAAGCGAATCGGCTGCATCGCACGCTGCAACCCGTCAGCTCTCATCTGCTTCAAGGGGACTAAGTTTACCATTGCCTTTGATGGATAAACACCATCTCAGCCCTATCTTACAGCCGAATGCGAGAATTACTCATCTTGCTTTCTTCTGACAAAAACGGCTCTCGCCAGGCTCGAGTTCTGAGCCTTGGAACCCAAACATCTGTCGAAACGGTCGATACCCTTGTTGAAGATCAGAAACCACGGATCCAGACACCTCGCACCCATGCAATCAATTCGTTTAGTAGCTTCTTTAAAAATGCACTCATGCGGCTACCTACTTCCGACAAAGCAATGCGTGTTAACTTCGCTCCGCATTGACCCCAGACCGAGAGAGTTTATAAGCGACATCATTGTAAGGCGCAGTAAATTTTAAATACCCTACGATATTGAAGGCTTCTAAGTTTGCTTGCAGGCACCGGGGCTGAGTACGCACAGAAAAGCATATACATAGGCGCTGGAGCTCATCCACCCTGTCCTTGGTAATGACGGATGATGATTTGTTTCGCACATCGCAATATCCAAACAAGGGGAAGCGTTAGGTATGGAATATGCGCGGTGTTGTACGGCTCCTGGGTTCTTGGCTCGAACTAGTCACAATCCCGAGGTGCATCGTGCCTAACATTTTGGACTCCCAGAGGAGCATTTTCAATATGCCTAGCAACTTCTGAAAGTTCCTGCGTTTGCATTCACTCTTGCTGCTTCGAGCGGAGGTTGTTTATTTGTCTCTGCTGGCTCACTGCGATGATTATCATGATGTTCTGCAATGTGCAACTAAGCAAATTTGGGTCCAGTTGATCCTTCTAGCAAACTTGAAACTCTCCTGGAAATCCTACTACAAACCCTGTGCAGGTCAGTGATGACCACCGACCGATGTCAAAAACTTAGAATGTCAATGAAATAGACCCGAGCAGGCTTTCTATGCCCAAGTAACAGTGTTTCTCTTTAGCGGCGTCTAGAAATGGTCGAACACTGCGTAGCAGATGGACGGGCGTGTTTAGGTAGCTCATCTCAATACATTAATTGAAAGTTCTCCACTTGGCACGTCCATTTGTAGAACATCTCGCGGGGAGAATTGAGCTAACAAAGCCTCTAACCAAAAAAAAATTACTAGTCTCAAGGTATTCTGAGTCGAAACACGTCCTTTACCAGTAGTTGCAAGCTAGCAACTCAAGCGTAAACGCCAAGTGCCTCGCTGCTATTGAAAGCCGTCAAAGGGATGAACTGTGCACATTCCTAATGACGCAACCAGCGTATGTTGATTGTTGTGAATTCGAGTCGAAATGTACCTCCAAACCCCCGTTTGTAGACAAACTTACGAGGGCGACACGTCAATGTGCATGTCGTTTTGTCTCAGGCTGCTAGCACCGTTTCTGCAAGTGTGAGTTCGAACATGATGAGTGTTTGGCAGTCTCATTCCAAATACTTTCTTGTCTGGGACCGATCGCAACCTGGCAGAATTCCACCTCGTGTTCCGTAAGACTTCAAGCGTCTTCGACAATGCCACTTGCTCTGCATTATGTGGCTGAAGTCTAAGTTATAGATGTAACCAAGTGCTGGTAGAATCGCACTTTGCCGTCTAGCTCATTCCCTGCGACTCTCGTTCACGGCTCCGTCGTTGCGCATGAGGTTTGAGTGCAACGGGGATCGGAGGTTCATTACGCCGAGTAGGAAGTAAGAAAGAGGAGGAAAATTGCACCGGAATGGGCTCCCTAAGCATGCTATTTTTTGGTTGCACGTTTACAATCCAATATCTGGTCATGTGCATTTTGAAACCGAACTTTAATCGCCTGTTTTTGTCGCAACAGAGCGATGCCGCTTCTTCGGTACTGATACACGGAGTTCTCCAAGCAGGGTGGGTTACATGGGAGGCGCTCATAACTGGAGTTTGATTTAACTGGTCAAAAAGCAAGAAAAGCTCGTACGGACCAACGAATCCAAACTCCTCAATGCGTTGAATTCGATCATCTAAAGTCAGAATGTGTCGATCCTATGGCCTTACGACAAGCTCTGTCCACGAGTAGGACAACCTCGGCAGCCGTTAGCAAGCGGGCAACAGGTGCTAGGCTGTATGCTGAACAGGTCCAGAGTAACAAGCCATTTGCCGCTAAAAGGAGACATTTGAGGCAAATCGCACTGTGTCCCGGAGACATGATCACTTGGGAAAAAGCTCAAAGGGCCGACTTTCTGCGTGGCTTGCTTCTGTGACAACGCTCGTTTAGACTTGCCCACGCAGGCCCAAGAATGGCAAACGCTCTTCGTTCGAACTAGTCGGTGGGGGCAGGAGACATGTCGAATCATGTCGTCAGGTTCTGCCGACCGATGCCAGGTGCTACAATGCCGACGTGAAAGTGCAAGCGAGACAAGGAACAATAGCCCCATCATTCGGCGCGGCTGGTACGGTTAAGGCTGAGCCATGCTCCTGCCAAGACATGACTGTGCAACTGCGAGGACGACCGCAGACCCACACGCATTGACGCATGCTTGCGTGTGAATGCTCGATGCGCTGCTGGTCGAAGAGCCCCGCGATGCTTTGTAAAGCCTGCTTTCTGGTATTTCCCATATGCTGCCGTAGAAATGGCATTTTGGGCCTCGGGGCTGGCATTTCGTTCGACCTCCATCCCGACTCCACCCTCAACTGTGCTCACCTCGGCTTGCAGAAGACGGAGTTGCTGGGCTGTCAGGCTTCTCTGCCACGCACACCTCTGTGGCACGGATGGTCGCGCTTGGCTTAGATGATGAACGTTCAAGGACGTCTTCGCTCTTCGGTGTGATGGTCCCCGACTTCAGGCGCCCGCGATCTAAATTTGTGTTCTTCCATTCAGCCTTGGTGGCGAGGTACTTACCACAAGAGTAGGCTTAAAACACGCTACACATCATCAAGCAAGTGGGGACACTTTGATAGGATGCTATTCTTGAAATCCGATACCCACTTAGCTGGGCGAGTCTGTAGATGTGTTGATCTCAAGCTTTCCTCCAGTTTGTCAGACCCAAAGAGCAGCACCTCGGCGTAGGAAGGAAACTTCTTAAAGTCACTCGATTTCCGTATGCTTAAGCCTGGGTCGTTAATATGATTGCCAAAGACACATTTAGGGCGGTTCGATCATCTACGCGAGCTGATGGATACAAGGAAGTAGTATGAGCCTGATTCCCTGACCTAGTCCGCAAAACAGAATATGGGGTTCTGTCGGAAAAGCAACGGTCATTAGGTCAACTGCTATTCTTGCTATCACGAGCGAACAAGTTTTGCATTTGACAAGTTATGGTTTCGAAGGACAAGTCTTTGTTCCAGTACCTGGCCGCGAATGGTTCGAATTCATTCATGTCTGCGGAGTACAGCAAACCCCCTTAAGCACCCTAGCAGTGCCTGACAGGGCAAGCACGCATACAGCTACGATAGTTCAGGGGATTCGACGCATACATAGCCGCCATCAGAGTCAGCTAGCTTCATTTACAATATCACCCATTCAGGAAAAAGGCACGAGCGTCGGCACAATACTCCTTTCAATCCACTATGTAGGCTCCAGTTTCACACTCTTCCAGTACCTTCGTCCAGCTGGATCTCGGATCGCATCTCGAAGTCTCCGCACGGGCGGTTCGCAACTGGCATGCCTCATCTGCCCTTCTTTCCCCTACAATGTGGACCCAATCCTTCATAATTTAGCTCATATCTTCCCACGATCCTCATACAGATCATCAAAACCTCATTCCGAAATATTTTGGGCGAATAGGAATCATCGCCGTTGCCACTCTCTTAGCTCGAACAGCGCCATCAAATATCACTTCGAGCTGCCATGTCTTGGCCCCCAACGCTTGATAACATAACTTGACCTTCGCTGCAGTTCTAGCGGAATCTAGAATCTGTCTCCCCTACTTACAGCGTCCGGTCTAATCTCAATTCGAACTCCTGCGTTTGTGCTGCATGCTCTGCGATCCTTAAAGTCTCAAGCCGTTTTGACTTTTAATCCTAGTCCGGCATGATGGCGCCCGCCGCAGTGTTAGTGTGCAATCGATCGTGAAACCAGAAGCAAGGATCAAAATGCTTGTGTGATGCACCACGGGAATTGACCGGGAATTAGTAGCCTAAGAAAACAGATCTTCTTTCATGGCATGGTGACACGTTCATGATGACTTGCGGTGGATCGGAAAGAGAGCGCTCATAGCAAAGTTTTCGAAGATGGAGAAGCTGCACGGAGCGTCACTCTGCACTTCGAGTGCCATTTCATCATCACTTAGCAGCTTTCGTGATGATTGGACGTTGTCTTGCACGTTAGCTAATGTATGATTCTTAACGAAGTGCGCGATTTTTAAAGCCTGCCACACCCTACAACACATTAGAGGCGCAGAATTCACGCTATCAGAGTTGAGAAAGTTGCTGTGTGAAAAGGGGGTAGACTGTCTCAGGGACAAAATATAGCCTCGTATCAAGTGGAACTCGGATGCACTGAAATTTGACGCAAGCATTGGGAAGACAAAGTATTCAGGGCAAGCTAAGTGAAGTGCTGCGCTTTATAAGCTCGATCGTCCCCTAGTCGCTCCATTGATTATAGGCTCAGGCTGTTAAAGGCTTGACGAACAAAAGATAGAGCGGGCGTCAGAGGAGACGGCTCAAGAGGCAAGAAATCGGAATGGGTAATGTAATGATTCGGGCACGGTTGAGATCTTGCTTTCATCCAAAGAGCAGTAAATGACTGCGAATTGCAAAAATATTGTTGCGAAAATAATTGACGCCACGTAATGGAAGACTTCTTAGGATCCAAGGCCCAACTCTTTGACCTTCACGACCAGTGCTGCCTTCTCGTCTTCGCTTAGCTGCACGTCCTTTAACAGGCACTGCGTCAAGATATCTCTCATCTCTTGATTTTGCGTCGTAAGCATGAGCATCGCAGCTCTTCCCGCAACTGTCCCCTCCCCATTTCTTGCCGGACCACTTGCCCACTCCGTCACCCAGCGCTTCATATCTACTTCAGCACTGTTCGCAAGCGTTCTAATCAAGTAGCAGAGCCGATATTGCTCATCCTCGCCGACCGGTTCAGCAAGTTCAACATCTTCAACAGGTGGATCGATAATACGCGTTGCCATGGCTTTAGACTTCTCGTTCCGGATGAATGCGCGGGATACAGTCTCGGAAGCTTCGGTCATCATACACAATGAACCAAGCGCAGCCAGCCTCGTTCCCTTTTCAGCGGCTGTAACAAGCGCAAGAACAATATCTAGGCGCTGCTTTGCTCGCATATCAGTTGAAAACATGGACAAAACCGTAGGCGTGTAAGACAAGTTCGTCAGAAGCTCCATGGCCCGCATGCGTATATTATGGTTTGAACTCAGTAAGAGGTCCTCTATTTTCACAAAACTGTCCTTTGCGATAGCTTCTTTGAAGGCCATGTCTTCCAAGCTTGCAAGATTTGTTAGTGCGAGGAGAGCCTCGAACGTGGGTAACCAGTTCCGCGGGCCGTCATCGTCTGGTTCATGTGAGATTAGCTGCTGGAGCATCTTCGCACATGTTGGCAAGATCTGCTCTTTCCTTGCTTCGCCTGTAAAATATACCGTCGGGTCAGTGGAAATGAGTATACGAGCTACAGCATTGCATGCCGGTATTTGAGTGGAAATCGACTCTTTTTGGTCCGCATATTGCTTTGCCGCCTCCCATAACTTGGCCAAAATCCTTACTGCGCCTTGCTGAGCCAACATTCCTCTATGCTTTTTGTCAAAGGAGAGCGAGTTGATGATTTGCACAGCCAGCGAAGCACTAAGATGTGTCGCTCTAGGCGCAGCTTTTACAATATGAGACACCACCTTCGCTTCCACAATCTTTCTGCATCGCTTTGTGACGTGGTCGTCGTCATCGAGCGGATTTGGCGGGGGAACTTGAGAGTTCGCAGCATACGCTTGTAATTGCTGCATCTTCTTTTGTTCATCTGACATGCGGGGACGATATGCACTCGCGTACGCCAGCACCTGCAAGGCGCTGAACATGTACTTTTGCACTTCGATTGCCGCTGCGAGAGCAGCCAAGAGCGATATATCATTGCCGCATTCGTCCCGCACCTTTGCGGACTTGAGCATGCACATTGCAAGTCCCTCCAGTGCATCCTTCATCTCCTGTTCAGACTCCGGGCTCGCCATGTTCCCTTCCTTGTGTGCCTTGACGATCAATCGCGAAATACTGCTTGCTTGTTGGTCCCAATCTATACGCAATGGAGTCAGCGGTGGCTGTAGCGCCACCAGATGTGTCAAGAAATCCACGTACCCTCTTTCGAGTCGCTTTTCAGTTTCATCAGAATCTTTCGTGCCTGCATGCTCTTCTTTTGGTCTTTCAGATTCTCCGCAAATTCTTGGATCCAATCATAGCAGTGTTCTCGAATACCGTCACGAGCAGGCTTGGTCATGCATGCGATATCAAGCAGATTGAGTGCAGCCTGCTCCAGACGTGCAGACTTCCATTTCTGGACCAGTCGGATGAAGGACGTAAGAAATCCTTCCTGGAGAAAAAGCTTCTCCGCCGCCGAAGGAGCCATGGGGAAGACTGCAGCAGCCGCTGAAAGAGAAACGATGAGCGAATCTGCAGTCGGTTTCTTTATCCTGTTGACCACGAATTGAGAAATGAGTGTCTCGGCACTCTCCGGGGCCAATTCGAATAATTTTGAAGTAGCAATCGTAGCTTCTCTCCGCAGAGATTCTGGTAACCGAATGTCTAGATGTACCAGGATGATATCGAAGCCATCAGCATCAATGAGGCCTTTTAAATGAGACGATTCCACGGAAAGCATTCTCGAGATGCTCCTCATCGCCCTCTCTGGGTGGTCTTCGCCCGCCCGCATCATCTGTGCCAACGCGAGCTGGAAAACGTCCCGCTCCGCCGCAATGCGGTCTTTTTCCGAGTCCCACACATTTGGATCCAGCAAGATTGCGTTGAGGGCATTGATGCTATCATCGCCCCAGTCATAAACGTTTCTATACGTCACAGTAGGCGCGTCAACCATCTGCTTGGCAAGATACTTTTGAGCCCCTCGCAACTTGAGCAGCGCACTCGTGATCTGGTCCGCCATGTCCAAGTCGCCTTGGTATCGCATCATCACTGCCATAGCTTGTGATGAAAATTCGTCGCTGATGCTGTGTGAGTGCAGATAGTCTAGCGCTCTTTCGCCGTCATCGTCATCCTTGGTGTGCAGCCACTTCTCGCACAGGGCGACGATGGGCTTACCATTTTCAGCATCCTTCAAGTCTGCAAATGCCTGCTGTATCCTTGGGTTATTTCGATCAAGCGAGTTAGCTTCCCTTAATGTATTGTGTGCTTCCAGCAGGGAACCAGCTTTTGTAAGTTTCGTTGCCTGCTCAAGGAGCTTTTCTATCCTTTCAGCTTGTGCTCCATTGGTCTGTTCGGTCATTTTTTAACTCGTCTAACGTGCGTGTAGAATTTTTAAGCGAATTTGTCTACAAGATCAGAAGAGCGCACATTTTGCTTTCGAGATGGCGATACTTTTCTGGCGTGGGGAATATCAGGAAGTCACATGGGCTGTCCCACATGTGCGTCCGGATCAGGCAATGCCAGCATGTCCGTGCAACCAGTTTCGATATGAGCGAATTTGTGGGCAGGTTGAAATCCTCTTGCGTAATCGATAGTCATTATCTATCACTCGTCCCAAAGGCTTGGTTGACGAGAGACAAAGTAGAAATAAAAAGCCGTGGGAACATGTCTGATTCATATCTGGGCGTGCTGCCGAAGGGACAACGATGATCAAAGACGCAACTCAGCCCACCTTGCAGATATGCCGAAGCTATGAGCTGCTCCACGGATTCAGATGCTCATTTTGGCTGCATTCAGTCAGGTATAATGGAAAAAAGAATGCTTTGAATGTAGCTCTACGCATTTGACATAAAAGCCAACTCCAAGGGTATCCAGTTTGTCAGTCTCAGTACTAGCTCTTCAAAGCTTCGAGTCTTCCGCGCATCTGTGCCAACATCTCTTCCTGATCTTCCTCCAGCTCCTCGGCCGGAACGCTTGGTACAATGTCCTCGTCCACTTTCTGGTCGGTGGTTGGAAGCTTATCCTTCAGCACCTCGCTCAGTACCTTGTCTACCTCAGCCTCAGCCTCCTCGTCTTCACCTTCAAGCAGTTCACTGTCTGGTAGGATATCGCCCACCATCTCTTCGATGATGCCTGCTTTGACCAACTCTTGTGACAGTTCACGCATGGTACCGGTGAGTTCGGGTAGCCGCACCAATGCATTCACGTTTTTCATGATGCCAGTTGATGCTTTGATCGAGCCTTCTATCTTGCGGATGGAAAAGGCTTCGTTGATTTGCATAGAGACGGATTGCAGTTGCGCCTTGCTTGTGTGGAGGCGGTTGGATTGTTTGCGTATTCTTATGAGCTCGCGCGCAAAAACGCGTGTCTCTGCTGCCGCCTGTTTGGCTTGCGAGGGGTTACGCTGTGCTCTTTTTGAGGCTTGTAGTATGAGGTTTCTCCTGTCGCATATTCAGCGCTCTGTGATCTGCTGCACGAAGGCTGGTGGCGCCCACGTCTTGGTTTCAAGCGCCTTGAGGTTCTGTATGTCGCGGTCCAAAAGCCGTGTGTTTTTCCGTATGAGGGCGCTGCACTTTCGTTTCTGCGCGCACGCATTAGCCAGTGAACAGCGTCACCGCCCCAGACCGCATACCTGCTCCTCGGGCGTTGGCCCGAACATATAGGATCTGATAGCCTGCATAGTCGGTTTCCTGGCGCTCGGCAAGACCAGAAGGAAGGCACTCGAAGGCGGACGCAACCAGATGATCGCCGTTGCGAGCGTGACTTGGGATGGGCGTGGGCCGCGATCCAATGTACTAGGTGTGCTGGGTTGAGGTGCCCCCAAGTCTAAGCCAGCTGTGACGTCCTTGACGCCTCCGACGTTCGCCCTCGACAGGAACACAGCTAATGGCGGGGCAGCGTTAATTGAAGCCCATCCCACCGAGACTGCATTCACCAGTTTGGAGCCCAGCACATGAAAATTTTTCCCAGATCAAACTATAACAAGTAGGGCATTGGCTGTAGGAGGCTCGGCCTGGTCGCTGTGGAGCGCAAGCAGAGAGATTTGATCTTGTTTGTGACGTGCCTCAAACGGCCCCCCGATTTCGACGAGGCTCTACACGCTTCTTTACCCCAGCCTCGCCGGCACAAACACCTGTAAAACTCCGCGTTCGCAGCAGCCTGTCCATCTAACACCATTTTCGCACAGCTGTCAACAACTCCTTTACACCACACTTGTACGGCCTTTCGCTGCCAGAAGCTCACGCTTGACGACCGCACACGAAGCCACACTTCCCCGCTTGCAAACATGTCCGACACCGTGCATCCTGAAGGTGCGTCCAGGCTACCTCAGATCAGATAAATGCTGTACTTCTTGGGCGTCGCGCAAGAGCAATTGTCGGCTCTCGGCTTCCTCAAGTGTGACCTAGTCTTTCAACGCATTCTGCACACAATACGTCGCCATGATCTTGTACTAACGCAACGCTGAATCCAGTGCTATGGGCGCAACGCTCCAGCGACAGCGATCCCGACAAGAACTACATCTACCTCACGATCACCATGCCCGATGTGCCTGCCGACTCGCTGAAGCTGGACATACAGCCCACATACGTCGAGGCGTCAGGCCACTCAACGACGAAGAACCTCAACTACAAGACCAAGTTAGAACTGTTCGCTGAGATCGACCCGGCGAAGACCAAGAAGAATCACACCGACCGCGACCTCGAGCTCGTGCTGTACAAGAAGGAGCTAAAACAAGAGTATTGGCCACGGCTGCTGAAGGAGAAAGGGAAGGTGCACTTTTTGAGAACGGACTTTGACAAGGTGAGCGTGATCGCGAGGCGTCCTCTGAAAGAGCGTTAGTAGCTAACTACTGGTGCAGTGGGTCGATGAGGATGAGCAGGATGGAAACGCTGACGATGATGACTTCATGAGCAAGATGGGCGGAATGGGTGGTGGACCTGGTGGTTTTGAGGACATTGACTTCTCCAAACTCGGGGCCGGGCCTGATGCTACGGGGGACGATGAGGATGGGGATGAGAGCGACGATGAAGAGATGCCAGATCTTGAAGGTCAAGAAAAGGAAGTTGTACCTTCAGAGGAAGCAAGCAAGGAGAAGACCGAGGAAGCTGCGTAGATGGTCCTTTGACCTCTAATATCTTTGCGATGCAAACCGATCTTCAACTCTCGTAATGGGTTGCAAAGTCCCGTGTCTCGAGTTTTCCAAGGCGCTGCCTCAGCATCGGACTGTAGATGTGGATTGCTCGCTATGACAGCGTTTGATTCAAATGTCCTTACCTCGACTCATCACACTAAATACGGAATCAACACATAAATGAACATTAGAATACTTCCGCAGATCACACGTAGGGAGATCGCACATGTGAAGACGTTGCTAGTTTGATCTAAACGTCCATATTGACACATTTGCCAGTACAGAGATGATCTCATGTGCCTTAATCACAATGTGCTCGCGCCAGCCGTAGTTTGTATGCCAAACCATTCGTAGTCAAAGTCTTCAAGACTGTTTAACAACACCGCCCATCCATCATCCAATTCACCTGGTCTGCCCTTAATCCGCGCATGTAATCTCTTCTCCTTCCCCTCCACATCGTCCTGCACGTTTTCGACCACATTCGCACCTGCATCCTCCTCATCCTTGTGCTCACCGGTCAACCCTGCAAGAACTTCTTTCTCTCGCCCCTTGTATTCATTAAGTAGCCCTGGGTGAGGACACCACACTACCTGCATCCCCGCGCGTCGTCCTGCTTCAACGCCGGGCACTGAGTCCTCAAACACGAGGCACTCTTCCGGGTGAATCTCCCGCTCCCCAGCAGATCGCAACCGGGCATTAATGGTCTCCAATGCAAGCAGGTAGATGTCAGGCGCCGGCTTACCACGCCCAGCGCCGATGCGGGGATCGTCCCCAAGGATTCGGTGTTCTTCGTCGAAGACAGAGAACAGATCCGCGAGATGCGCAGACTTGATCTCAAAATTGCGTTTGTGGGACGATGTTGCGAGAGCGAGGTGCACTTTGGGGTTTGTGGCCTTGGAAAGTGTGGAAAGAAGTTGAGGGACGCCAGGAAGTGCTTTGGTCTTTGGGAAGTGCTCTACCTGTAAGGCCGAGATTTTGGCATACATCTCTTCTTGAGAGATAGGCAGTTGGGCCCATTCGCGCAATATCCTGCCTGCCTGTATAGATGGTCAGTATCAAGTACCAAGTGAAGTCCTGGAGAGACTAACCTCGGGTCCTGGACGACCCTGTAATTGCGCTTTAATGTTCCATGGTAAGTCTGGCTTCCCATATTCGTTAAGCACTTTGTTCGTGCATAGAGTGTATATGTCTTCAGAGTCTATGAGAAGACCATCCATGTCGAACAAACATGCCCGCACTGCGGGCAGTCCAGATTTTGCCATGCTCTTTGTTTTCTTTTTTCTCCTTTTTCCTCCGATATATGGTACCTTTCTACAACAGCTAAAGGCTGAGATCGACAACGTAATCGAGTTCTTCCGAGTGAAACTAACCTTAATTTTCAACAGTAGCCGAGAAGCCCGCTACTGAATAACTCGAATGTAAGTTGCAGCGTGTGACTCTTGACTTATGCACAGTTTAGTGTTGCTAGTGTAGTACTGCTATTTGAACCAATCAGAAGTCCGCGGTCGGCTTCCTTTTAGGATTTTATGCCGTTTCTAGAAACCTATCCTACATTCCCATAAGCTCATTCCTGGGACACTCGACACCCGAACATGGCCCCCGATGATAATGATAAAGCAAACACGTTGCAATCCCGGCTCCCCTTTGAGAAAGAATCACAGCTCCTCAAAGAGGCGAACCAACTCAAATCGACCGCCAACACACTCTTCTCAACTTCACAATACACGGAGGCAATAGACGGCTACAGTCGGGCTTACGACAAGTTACCAACGTATCTTGACTACGATCTAGCCGTGCTAAAATCGAACATCTCAGCATGTTATCTGAAACTCTCAGAGTGGAAGAATGCAGTTGAGGCGGCAACAGCGGCGCTGGAAAAGCTGGACTTGGTCGATCCTCTGCCACAAAGGCAGAAAGACGGGGAGAACAAGAACAGTGCAGATGCCGGTAAGACGCAGGATGCCGGCATAGTCGAAATCGACGAAACAACTTCTGAGCGACAAGAAATTCTTGCCGATGTGTCTAAGAAAACTCTCGCCGACGTCGAGAAACTGCGCATCAAGACCCTGCTGCGGCGCGCGAAAGGTCGCTCAGAAGAAGGTGGCTGGTCTAATCTTCAGGGTGCTTTGGAGGACTATCAACTGCTTTCGACGTTTTCAAACCTTTCGGGAATAGACAAGGCGACAGTGGACAAGGCCCTGAAGGGCTTGCCTCCCAAACTGGAAGTGGCAAAGAACAAGGAGATGGCGGAGATGATGGACAAGTTGAAGACTTTGGGTAACGGCATACTCAAGCCCTTTGGTCTGTCGACGGACAATTTCCAGTTTGTAAAGGACGAGAAGACTGGAGGTTATAGCATGAATTTTAGGCAGAATCCGAAGTCGTGAGACCTGGTGTGATTGTTTGGTGCAAATCAGGCCTGAGCTCGCTGAACTCGCGGGCTTGTTTCCATATGTTTGGATACATTATACTTTTCTACGACGGCAATCGAGTGATCATTTTAAGCATCAACAGGACACAGGGCCAAAGACTCGCTTAGCACATCATTTTTTAGTAGACAAGACCAGTAAAAAATAAGATAAAAAGACTCTTCCTGAGCCCCGTGTAAATGCTTAAGACGACAAGTGGTTTAACTCCCACGTCTACATTGCTTTAAACATGTTTCATTACAGATAATGATACCCCTTAGCACGTGGTCCCCAGTGGTACTTAGTTCACAACATGGCATTCTGGCATACTGAATAAACAACGTGTTTTTGAAGCATCGCGGGGATTCAGCGCTTTTTGATCTTCTGCGTGTACTACTAACATCTGTCGGTCATCACTCGAAAGCTATGCTATTGTTGTCCACAGCTCATTGCGCTCGCTGAAGATGTACACTCTTACTCCGCTGTCATCACGTCTAGCATATTCTCACACCATCTTCTTTCAATGACAGGACTGCATCTGAAAATGTAGACTGCACGACAAAATCCTGAATTCGTAGGGAGTCCCGTCGGTGCTCGCCGATGTAAGCATCTGATGGGGCGAAAGCTACTACGCGCAGCCTCTACATGTTTGTCCCAAACATAGGTGCAGCTTGGAAGCGTGAAGACTCTATCGAGAGACGTCTTTGACTTCCCCTCAAGTTCGCTGAAACCGAGCTGGTCTGTCAGAAGTGCGTAAAGGTTTTTCACTTCGCTGCCGTCGATTGAAAAATCTAAACGAAGAAATGTGTACGCAGACATCTGAGCTTGGATTGAAAAGTGGAACCAGTCTTGATTGCTCAACGATACATGTACATAACTATATATGACTCCCTTCCCAGTGGTCTCGATTAACAAATAGCGTGTCGTGATCCATAGAAACTGCCATAGCTCGTGGATATCATGCCAAGATGCCGCCGCCTGATCTTACACATGGGGAATCACATTCTGTTCTCGATATAGCCAGCTTGGCAGTGAGCTTCTTCTCCTCTCTCCGCTCTGTCCTCGAGATTTTTTCGACTGAGGCGAACCCATGTCTTTGGCACCCTCTGAGCCTAAGCTGCTCTGGCTGTAGCGTTTTGAGTTCGAGCGGTTCTGAGCGTCGTCCTTGTTCTTAGAGCAAAATCCGAAGCAGCCCATGGCGACGTTTTGATGATGTCTGTAGTATGTTTTGGTTCGAATACGGATCTTTGATGGTTGAGTCCTGACGAAATAAAGGTATTTGGTTTTCTGGTGGTGGGTAGATTGAAGATAGTGTGATAAATATACTAAACTGCACTTTGGCAAGAGCGCGGGGCAAGCAAATTTATACGGTTTTGCAGATCAAAATCGACAGTACACATTGGAGCTTGCCATCATGATAATCACCCTATTACATCAATCGAGTCGGGACATGTGATTGAAAGCATGGGGTCTGCGTTCTCGTAAGTGGCTCGCTCGGCGTTACCCGACCCATTACACGGTCTCCGCATCCAGGATGTTGGGGAAGAGTCAACGACGTTTCGAAGTGTGATTGGTCGACATATGCAGAGTAGATCTCGTGGTTAAGGTGTCACTAGTTTTGATTCAAATTTTACGATTGGCGAAACCTCTGCTCACGACCGTGGGCTGATTTCGCAAACCTGACGTAAAGTCACGAGATGTGCAAGCAATGGGTGGCAAGGCGCAGATGGCAAAGATAGGCTAGATTGCTGCCAAAAATCTGCTTGAACCAGGCGGGTAAAGAACGTCCCGTCGTTCCCAGAGTGTGATCCAGCATTATTACAGTACTCAAGAGGAGCAGCAGTGATCGCCGTGCTCGCACGTGCAGAGTCTCATTCTACTGGATCTGCCTGACTATTCTAAGCATCAGGTTCAAGTTTGACAGAATGGACGACACGCTCCTAAGTGGAACTTGCCGAATTCAACTTACTTTTTCCATTTCCCACTGTTCGCCTCACACAAATGAGAGAGCGTATGGAATCTCGTAACCTTTTTCTCCTCTGGTCTGGCTTGTTCTGCTCTGTTCTTCCCCATTCCGTGCGTTTCGCTTGCGAGGCTGTAGGGACGCATGATGCAAGCAAGGGTCTGGGGTGCAGGGCAGGACCTTGTTGTTAGCGGCAAAGAAAGCTTCTTTCCTTCAGCCAATCATCTGAAGTCAGGACTCTTAGTTGACACCAAAGAACAGCTTTGCCATGAGAGGTGTGGCCAATTACAAGGAACACAGTGAAACTCGTTGGCCTCGTGCATCTGTAGCTCAGCTAGTACTGCACAGTTTGTCCAATGTTTGCATCCCTTGACGGCATCACTTTTTGCGGATGTCCAAGGTCAGAACGCCAACTCAAGGCCAGGGAACCAGAGCGGCGATGAGTCTTGACTGTCTATGCGGTTTTCATTCTGCCATGGAATGCAGCATGATCTCTTGAATGGCAGCGAACAGCCGCTTGCCACATCCTTAATATGTTACAAAGTCATCGAATGTGAAAACGGCGAGATACCAATATGAGCGGCTTAAGGTCGGCCAGCGGGATAGGATAGAGACAACAATCATGTTCCTGTTGGCTGGATAAGAAAAACGGACGAAGGCCCTGTCATCTGGAGCTTTGAGTATGTTCCAAGCACAATTTCTATGATCAGCATCGTGCATTACAAATTGCACGACATTTGTAGCTCTTGGAATCAGGGCCTGTATGATTTTCAAACCAATAAGCTTTACTTCAACTTTGCTTCATCAAGTATGGAGTCATCGCGCTGTTCGCCATTTCCCTCCTGACAAATTCGACAAGTCCTGTGGTGACACTTCTACCGTCGTCCAGCAAAACACGCCTGGTCGTTGTCCTTGTCCTAGACGGTATCGCTTCGCTGATACTCAAGCTCTTAGCATGAGGCTGCCCGCATGACCTTTTTTTAAACCCTGCAATGTAGGATCATGCACACCTCAGCCGAAGTCGAAGTCCAGGAAAAGTGGCTTAGTCAAGTTGAAAGGTCAAAATAACCTTCCCTAATCTAAAAATGCAGGAAAACATAAGCCGCCTTACGCTATGCCAACAAAGTTCGCAAACTGAGGGGCTAGTGCTCATTCCAACAACCGCAAAAAGTCATATCGAGGCGCTCTTTTCCCATTGGGAACGAAATTTCCTTTCGGTGCATCATAACCTGTCGACACCCTTTCTGGGCCCAAATGTACCCTTATTCCAGGCATATAAATCCCCAGCGACCAGCTCGAGCCGCTTCATATTTGCTTTAAGCCTGCTTTTTCTTTGCTCTCCGCTCTCTTCTGGTGACGACTGAGGGGAAAGGTTCTGCCAGTGAAGCCATGGTCGATCTGCTGCATCTTCACCCGACTTGGGCTGAAGATGTTCAACATCGTCACTCGGCGGCTGGTGGAAAGTATCAAGGTTCTTATCATTCTCCGGTGGGGTAACACGTCTCCGTTTTGGAGAGGGCTGGCCTAATCGTGGAGTGGATGGATTGGAGTGGACGATGGGTTTGAAAATGGGCGTGCGTGGGACAAGTGCTGCTGATGAAGAGGCTGAGGGCTGAGACGTCGGATTCGACACGTCGTCTTGACTAGACTTTTTCTTCCGTCGCACAGCAACAGGAGCTTGCGTGGGTGTCTCTAGGATACTCGAATTCAAGCTGGACTCGGGCATGACATCAATCCCCAGCCCTTTGCAGACTGGAGCAGGGGCAGGCATATTCACAGCAGCTTTTCCACTCTGTTTCGGCGGTGTAGTCTTCACGGAGTCCTCTCTCACAAACACGTCTTCGCCTTCCGGCTTCTTCTCCCTCTCCCTCCTCTTCCGCAACATCTGTTTGCTGCTGCCAGCCGGCTCATTTCCCTGATCTTCACCTCGTCTTCTCGCCTCCTCGACAGCAGCCCGCAATGCTGCCGGGATAGGTGCATGCATGCGAGCCCACAATCCAGCCTTTCGCTCAAATTCACTAAACTCAGTCTCTACCAATCGTCCTGCTTCTGCATTCAGTGCACTTGCCGGATTCGGGTAGACCAAAAGACATGATATCGTGAGCAGAACGTCCCTAAGCGTGAGTTCGGGCTTCCAATCTCGTTTGAGCGTCTCGACACATACTGCACCCGTTGACGGGTCAACGTTTGGGTGGAATATGCGAGTGCGAAAATGAGCTGTGGGAGCGGCTTGAGGGTACGTGGGAGGGATCTTGAGCTCCAAAGTATATAGTCCCGAGGCGAAAGCTGTACCTTCGGGGCCAGCAAGGAGAATGGTTAGAGAGCTCAGGTCGGCTAGGGCGTCTTCGTCTTTTCCAGGCGGGAAGAGGTAATTTGGAGGAAGGCCTTTGGTGTGGAGAGAAGCATGGTCGGAGGCAAGACGGCGGAGGGATTTACTTGTCTTCAGAAGTCGGAATGTCAGTGGCGCTGGAGTCTGTATTACGCAGAGTGGAGCTGGGTTACCATAGGTACGTATATCGACGTCTCGTAAACAGTCGAACTTAGGTGGTATGCTCCAAATTTCAATGCTGGAATGGAAGAATAGTGCTTCAAAAGAAGAGTTTCGTGGTTCTCCGACTGCTCACAGGCTTGATTGTGCGTTGTAGCATTGCAAAACGACTGCAAACGGACTTTTCGGCCACCGAAGTTTTGGTTGTGGTTGTGGTCGGCAACAGCAACGGGGGCGATCGCGTTTGAGTCGCGTGGGTGACACGAAGTGCACGAGCTAAGCCCCCCAGCACAGGGCGCCCCCGCTTTCAGCGCGACACATGCCGTACATTTCATCACGACCTCCGCGAGACATGCGTATATCGTGGCAGGGGCTGCGGACGTGTTTTGTCCGAACCTGACACGTCGAGCTCTTCAAGCGATGGCTGCAAATGTGCACTTTCGTGCAGAGGTCGTAGCATACGCTTCGGCGGCAGATTAATCCAGCAGTTGCGCAACCTGAAAGCAGTCTTGGCCTGGGATTAGGCGACGCAGCAGCCGAGCCCGCCGACCGGGCGCTCCCCACGAGGCCCTCCCCCCTCTCTCCCCCGCTGAAGACAGGGCATGCGCCAGCGAATGGCAGGCTCCAGCCAGCCCCAGCTCTCTCTCCCTCCCCCCCGTCGTCGTTGTAACCCAACCCGGCCTGTACAATGACCTCAACCCCCAACGCCCGTTCCTCGCCTGATTCTCCCTCCACTTTCTTGCAGTTCATTTACAAGATCATTTTCGCACCGTGCGCCCGCTGCAGTCCTTGATGTAAAGCGGCACCCATCTCTCTTTTTGATACACATGCTTGCCCTGCTGCACGCACATAATTATCCGGTGGAATGCTTCGCAAGCAGCGGAAGCGCATCTCCTATGGTACGTCAAAAAGTCCCCTTGACCAATACAAGCTATCTGCCGTGAGAAATAGCCGAAGCTTGGTTGAATCTTTCTCTGATCATGTCTGCCTTCTAGTCCTTCCGCTCGCGAACGATGCCGGCGGCCACAGATTAGGCGTCAATGGCCTGGCTGTAGATCCTCAAAATTCTATCTTGTACGCTGCTGCTCCTCCCTTAGCTCGCTGCCAGAGCCTAGTTCGGAAGCTTACTCTCTGTGCGCGTGCAGATATTCCGGCGGTCGCGACGGTGCAATATGCGCATGGGATCTCAACCTCGACCTCACTCCGTTGTCCGAAGGCCAGACAGCCTTTGCCAACGGTGAGGCGAATGGCGCTAAAGTCCAGACGCCGCCGCCGCCTACTCGCTTCCGTCAGCAAGTGCAAGCGCACACCCACTGGATAAATGACATTGTGCTCGCGCAGAACAACCAAGCCCTCGTGTCTGCGAGTTCGGATATCACGGTCAAGGTATGGCGACCGCATGCGCACGGCGTCTCGCGCCCACAAACCATAGGCCTACACGAGGACTACGTTAAGACGCTGGCAAGCCCTGGAAGCGGCGCAGATTGGGTGGCGTCGGGCGGGTTGGATAGAAAGATCTATCTATGGGATCTGAATGGTGCGGGCCAAAAGCTAAGAATTAACGTCGGGGAGGAAGAGAAGGCGGAGAAAGGTTCTGTCTATGCACTTGCATGCACGCCTACCCTCGTTGCTGGAGGCGGGCCTGAGAGCATAGTTCGCGTGTGGGATCCCCGTTCAGGGCGACGAATCACCAAGTTCGTTGGACACACGGACAATATTCGAGACATTCTCATATCGCAGGATGGCGACATGGTTATGACCGCAAGTTCAGACCAAACAGTCAAAGTATGGTCCATGACGGCGGGCCGGTGCATGAACACGCTTACCATGCACAATGACAGTGTGTGGTCGTTGCATTCAGATCACCCGCGCCTGGCTGTCTTCTACTCCAGTGACCGATCGGGTCTCGTTGCGAAGACAGATACGAGGGGTTGTGAGGAGATTGACGAAGGCGTGTCAGTCGCTGTGTGCCAGGAACACGAAGGCATTAATAAGATCATTCATGCAGGAGACTACATATGGACTGCTACGTCAAGATCGAGCATTCATCGATGGCGGGACGTCGATACAGAGGCCGATTTGCAGGTGCCCGACGCGTACTCGATGCACAGAGCCAGCGTTGCAACCAGCAAATCACGGCTACCTTCATCGCCTACGGCACCGACGCCACCGCCTCCACCATCTAGTAGTTCGTCAAGCCAGATTCCGTTCCAAGCTTTGCTCCGACTTTCGAATGCGGCACCATTCTACCTCCGCAGAGGAGATTCGGTTTCTGCCGCACCGAGCATACGAAAACCGTCTGAGCAGCTTCTCGATTCCGAAGCTGGTGGAGTCGTTCCCGTACGCAGTCTCCCAGATAACACCATTGAAGGCCAACATGGCCTGATCAAACACATGACGCTCAACGACCGGCGACGCGTCCTCACACTGGACACGAACAGTGAAGTCGTCCTTTGGGATCTCATACGATGTGCACCAATCAAATCTTTCGGCAAACGTGACATCGAGGATGTCTTCAGGGAGATTAATCCCACAGAGGCAGTTCCACATTGGTGTGCTGTCGACACACGGACAGGCAGTTTGACTTGCGTGCTCGAGGAGAACACGTGCTTCGATGCGGAGATGTATGCTGATGAGCTGAAGGAAGCGAAGCACATAGACTTTAGAGAGGATCAGCGGATCAATCTTGGGAAGTGGGTGCTACGGTACTTGTTTGACAATTTAATCGATGAGGAGATCAAACGAGATGAAGCCTTCAGGTCTTCTTTGCTTGCTTCGAGAGCAAGTGACGCGGGTAAGCCCAGCGCTCCAGGTAAGATCACTATACCGCAGTCACAAATGACAAGCTGGTACGATGGCGCTGGCCCCCACTCTCTTGAGACACCAAGGCCAACTAATGGACACCATCTGGCCTCGGCAACGCCAGGTCTTGCGATCGGTGTAGCTACACCAGCACCTATATCACTTCCACCTTTTGCCCCGGCAAGTGCTCAAGCGCCGTCTTTAGCCACCACAAACGAAGAAGGAGACTCTCTCAATAGGACAAGCGCAAATCCCACAGATGCGCGATCACCGGGCGTAAGCAGCCCAGCAGGCAACGACTACTTCTCTCAGCAGCCAAATACAAGCTCGGCACCAGGCGTCACTCCTGGTGGCATGAACACAGCAGACGGGTCCGACGTGCCACTTGGTTCGCCGGGAGTCGAGCCTACCACACCGGGCGAAAAGGCAAGCATGTTTGGAAAGAAGATGTGGAAATCTTTCGGCATGAAAGGCCTGAAGAAGACCACAACGAACGACGTCGCCAAACCCGCCACTGTCATAGAAGAATCCTCCTCCAAATCGGAAGATTCAGAATCGCGGTCTAGCAAGGCCGAGGACGAACGTGTGATCGAAGATAATTTTTACGGGCTACTGCAGCGAATGCGCTTGGATTATGAGGCTCAGGTACAGGCGTACGAGAAGCGAGAAGTCGAGCCTGGGACGGAGAAGCCACCGCTAAAGCTGGAGAGTCACATCACTCCCAGCTTGCCCAACGATACACCCGTCCTCAAGATACCACCAAACACCATCATACTTATTCAAGAGGACCGCGTCGATTCCGGTGGTGTTGCGGATCTCTTCGAGGGTACTGTAGGCTCACTTGCGGCGTCGGCGGACCTTATTGAGAAGGTGGCCCCGACGTGGCTGGCAGACGTTTTGCTTAAGAACACCATCCCCCTCAAGGAGATCGTCAAAGTCTCGTTCGTGTTAGAGCCGTGGCAAAACTCGCTGCCCCAGGTCTCAGCCGAGGGCCAGACACGGCTGAATGCAAATCGGATGCTCAGGGCGAGGAAAATCCTTTCTTACGTGGCTGAGAGGATCGAGCCCGGTCCCACACCCACGGAGGCAGCCGATCCAAATAGACTGAAACCAGAGGATTATCTGGAGTTGTATTGTCAAGATAAGGTAGGTTTGAAAACGCATCCTTTGTCTCGACCAAGAGGCGCCTTGCCTGTTCGAAAATTGCTAATACGCTCGGATAGGTAATCTCGCCCACGATGACGTTGGCTACGGTGCGGGCCCATGTCTGGCGCGGAGGCGGGGACGTTATGTTGTACTACAAAGCGAACGGCCGAAAGGAGATACGACATGCGCAATCCACTTCCTCGCAGTTTACTGCCCCCGTTGGCAGCCCTGGATCACCTAGGCCGCGGGAACCTGCCCTGCCTACTCCACCAGCATTACCGGCCAGTGTGCAAGCACAGCTTGCCGGCCAAACGCAAGAGCGAGACAAGTTGCCGACGGATGCGCGGACGCCAAGCATGAATGGAAGCCACCGGAGCCAGAAGAGTGCAGGTAGCAATGAATTTGTACCGTCGCGGCCTAGTGTTGGCAGCAGGTACAGCGAGGATACGAGGAGGCCACTTACAAGTGGAAGCGGTGGTGTCAAGAAGCCAGAGGGCAATTGGACATAATTTCCACCTTTTTCCAGAGGTTTCCGAGAATCATTCTTTCTCTCTTTCTCTAACTCTCTCCAAGGGTAGATTTTGACAATGATGCAATATTCTGTGTACATAGACGTTGAATGTCGAGGATCTTGTGAGGTGATGATACAGTAATGCTACAAGTGGGCAGAAAGTGTACTACCCTGTCTAAATTCTAATCCCCATGCTTCCCAAAGAACAAAGCCGGAATGCAAATGATCATGTTTCGCCCTTCTCTCCGCCGAGCTGATTTATGACCCACTGGTAGCTGCCCAAGAACACGGCTCCGCCAATCGATATCCACATGACTCTAGGACCTATGCCCGAGAAGAAGGCCGCGGGGCCGGACTCTCGCAAAATGGTGGCCAGCATCTGCGTGGCGGGCACCTTTTCCCTCGCAAGCATCAGCCTCGTCTTCAGCACGTCCAGCGGCGTGGTGATGCCCGCTGCGACGGCGCCCGCAACAGATCCGAACAGGGCGCTCTCGCCGGCCGAGACCTGCGTCCTGCCCGTGCCGGAGCGGGCCAGCGCCCAGGCCTTGAGGCCCTCCCACAGCGGGAATTGGATCACGGTGAAGGGGACCTCGCGCATGATGGTTATGCTCCAGCCCCGGTACAGCTCGCGCCACACACCCACCAGGCCGACGGTCCTCCTTTGGCCCAGGATGCCCATCAGCGCCGCCGCGCTGCTGGGATACTGCACGGCCTGGGCACGCTGCTTGACGACCTCGGTGGGGACCCTGACGGCGCAGGCGGCGACCTCGCCGGCGCTGGCGGCGGCCATGTGCGAGACGGCGCCACCGTCGGCGCCCTTTACCACGTACTCGTGCCCGGCGGCGTTGCGGGCCGTGCTGGTTCTGGCGGCGAGGGCGCGCTTGACGCCGTCGTACGTGACGAAGAAGAGGGCGGCGCCGGGCGCGGAGCCGACGACGGCGCTGCCGACGCCGCGGTAGACGCCGCGGAAGCCGCCCGAGGCGAGGAAGCCGCGCGAGGACTGCAGCCGCGTCTTGAGCGTGTCGATCGGGTACAGCGAGAGGTCGACCGTCGTGCCGGCCACGGCTCCTGCCTGTTCATGCCCAAACACGGCGTCAGTCTGGGGTCAAGCGATGCGCCCCACGCTCGGTCGCGACGTGGCAGATGTCGAGGGAACGCGACACATGGGGGAGGGGAGGAGGAGGAGGAGGAGGAGGGAGGAGGAGAAGGAGGTTACGCACGAGCAAGGAGCGTATGTACGGCGAATCAGTCCATGGCGAGGACATTTGAGACTGGGGGGGGAGGGAGTCGTCCGCTTCTACGCTCTCCGCACACGCTTTTGACGGTCGAGTGGTTGGTACGGGAATCGATGGCCGGCTCGTACGGCGTTGTCGTCCGTTGAGTTTCGACTTTTCCCTTTTTTTTTTTCTTTTTTTTCGTCAAAGCACCCCCGGACGCGATCTGTGGCCGCGAGCTCGGAGTTCGTGCTGGAGGTTCGCGGTTCGCGGAGCTAAACTACAATAGGTCGATGCAAGGCTGATTTGAACCACCGTTCTGAGAACGGTCAAAAAAAGGATCGAAGAACATCATGGGTGTGACACTGCTCGACTTGCTCGTCGCACAGTTTGTTTTAACCTCCTCTCGGGCCCTTTGGCAAATACTTCGAGGGGGAGCCTACGCAGTCGTGTTCGAAATGTCGGGCCCAGGCGTCTCCAGCGTTTTCAGCGGCAAACTGCCCACTACGAAGCGCAACTCTCTCAAATTTTTTGAAACTTTCATGGCGGACAAACACAATAGTAAGATGCGAAGGGAGCAAGCAATCAAAGCTTTGAAACCGTAAGGTTAATGGCACGGCAAAGCTGGGGAGTCTTATCAAAGGTCGTGGAAGGCCTCCCGATTTCCAAGGCCGTTGAAATCGCGAAGTAGTGGCTGTGCGATTGGTCACAATTGTGCCAGTCACTTTTTCGCCCATTCCATGAAATCAGTTCGACCGTTCGCCTGCACCAAATTTAGCATCCAATAGCATGTTGAGAACGACAAACATTTCATGCTACCCTAAGAGGTGGGGAACAGCTACAAAATGTCCACATGGCCAGCGCTTAGGGCATTATCGTCGATCTTGCCCGAATTGTCGCGTCGCGAGCATGTCACACTGCCGCGTTCGTTGTTCAGCAGGAAGAACTAGTGTCCAGGGCTAGAAACGTAGGACAAGAGCTGCATCTGGAAGACAGCCATGCATCTTTATCACCATGTTCTGTTGTGTGACTGTGACACCAAGCCTTGACACGCGCCACAGGACAGCCATGCTCGTGGAGGGCATCCACGCAAATCCTACACGTACGTCTGGTTTCACGAAACATGTGAGCCACGAACCTGTTTGCACATAGCTTTGCCTCTTTTCTGATCTAACTCCTTTTGCGAAAATAGACTGGAATAAGCTAGTCATCCTCCAGTATGTTCGATGACTCGTGGTGGTCTGGTAAAACCCGCTAATGGTACTGTCGCCTGACCTAGGTGGCTCATGAAATAGGACTGCCAAGGACCAAGAGAAGTGGTACCGCCATTTGGGACAAGTGCCTTCAACTTCTCTCGTCGTTAGCACGAGGGATCGACAGCTTTGAAAAGAAAAAAAATGAAAGCCTTAACATGGATGTGAATGTTCTGTTCCTAATTCTCAGAGATCTGAGACGAATATGCAAAAAGACGTACGTAGTGTTCCACATCTCTCAAACAACCTACGCAAGGTCCGTACAGCGATAAAACTTGCAGACAATTTTAACCAGCTGATCTTTGCATATGTATTGGATATGATGGCATTCGTAAATTGCTCTTGAATGAGGGAAGCATTTGTACACATTATTTTCACGAAGCCTATCTCAGAGGGTTGTTGATAAAGACCGACGTACTTTAAGAATACTTCTCTACGGAGAGATGTGCAAATGAAGCTCGCCCGTCCTGGCAGATATGCAGCTGGGATCAAGTACAAAAGTCGATCAGCCAAATCCTGTACGTCTTAAAAGTCAATCTACTCGGCTCTTAGCAACCCTCTGTTCCTCGTTCTTCGCGATCTTAGACGGTAATAGTATTTCGACTTGGTCCGCAACGCCGCGGGCGGGTCTCCATGACTTTGTTAAACTTGCAAGCCTGGACCGTCGATTGGCGAAATGCAGTCACGATGGAGTAAGGACGTCCCTTGTCATGGCAGCCGCTTCATTCCTCTTCCTCTTTGATCAGCTGTGATGAGGATATGCAGTCGATTGCACGCCACTGTCTCCTCACTTGCCGGAGAGGCGGCCGGAAGAAATACTTCGTTCTCCTACGAGTGGACGGAAGAGCTCGGCGCGCTGTTTCCTGGAGATCCGATGGTCGGCCGCCGTTGCCGTATCCTGTCCTAGACCGATCGTGATGTGGGACGTTAGTTTATGCGCTCATTATTGAGCTAAGATTAATGATGGGCACGTTCATTTCCCCCCTAACTTTCCGGTGTCACTATCGTTTTGCGCATCCTCAAAGCCTCAAAAGGTCCATCTGGCCATGATGAAGACTCCCGAAGGATTTGACTGCTCGCAATGATGACACAGGTCTACTTAGGTGTAGGAACCCGCGATTTCCGAATCTTCATAGTCCATTCTGACCTGCGTCGTTTTCATCTCATCTTGGGCGAGAGCAAAAGCCAGTGCAGGAAAATAAGCACAGCGCGAACATTACACTGTAAAAACCTGCATTTCAGCCGATGGTTCATCCAAATCCAGATCACGCTACAAGTTTGTCGACAAAGATGCTGAGCATAACCAACAGCCCTTTGCCCACACAAACGGCCATGTGCGCTAAAGTGCGCGGCAAGGTCCCTGCGCAACGGCTGGATTGTGTGTCGCACAGCAGCAAGGAAAGGATTCCGTCTCTGTGAGAAACTGATGGTTCTTCAAAAGAGAAAGCCAAAAAGATTTGCAATTTGCCGGTCTACCAGACGCCCCCGCAGGCTGTGTCTTTGAGTGGACAGGTCTTGTGAAATTCTGATTGGCCGACGCGAGCCTGTTTGAGATAGGACTAAGCGGAGTTCTGATCAGGCGGTGGCGGTCTACGCGATCATGTCGAACGATATTGATGATGCTTCCAATGTCTTATTTGGTACTTCTCAACGCGTCATCCTGAGCGTTTTAGCTAGAATCGGTCGAAAAACGAGCAAGCATGGATTCCCATCCGTAAATTATTCTAGATCTTTTTCCTCAACCAAACGCGTCGTGTTTCTTAGAACAAGCTTGCCAGGGTCTGCTGCCCACGGGGTCATCTGATGAATAGTTCCCCGTAACAGCTGGAACACAGAAGCTATTTCCGAGTCTTGCGTAATTGTCGACGTCGAGACGTGGTGCCGAGCCCGACTCTTCTACGCCATGCAAGGAGGAAGAGGAGGAGGAAGAGGAGGAGGAAGAGCAAAAGTAGTATTGCTTGCGCCGTGGCGCGGGGCAAAGTGGAAGGTCGTACAGAATGGCTTGCAGGATACGACGGTCCTCAGGCATCCAAAATAAAACCACGCGATGGGATCTGGGACGGGAGCGGTGGAATCGAAACGAAGGTGCACGTCCCCAGACGTTTTCAAACTTATTTTATTCCTACATATTATTATTGCGCCATCTCGCCTGATTGCCAACGGAGACCCGCGCATTTCCCGAGTAGTAAGGTAGGCACGATCAAAATGAAAGCTGACACGAGCGCCAGAACGTGCTTAGCGATCCAGGGCGGCTATTTTTTGATAATAAAGAGACGCATCCAGTCTAGAGAAGTACCAAACGTGGATAGAAAAACATGATCGCCACGTCAAATAGAGGCTTATGGCGACCAGTCGGAGCTCATCAAAGAGAGGAGAGTATTCCGGAGAGGCCCAGTAGTGACGTCGTACAAAACTTCCTCACATGGCAGACAAAGAAGAAAAAAAAAAAAAAAAAAAAGCGCGCGAGTGCAAAAAAAAAAAAACCTGAAAGAGAGAAGTGAGGGAAGCTCCTCTTGGTCGAGAAAGTAGAGACTCCAAGCAGCTGAATGTTGATCCAAGCAGCTGAATGTTGAATCAAGCAAACCGGTTCATAGCAATACGGCACGCTAGTAAGTGACGTTGGTGGTGGATCAATTTCGATAGCCGTCTTTTGCAAAATACTGGTTAGTGGTGGAGACTTCTTGGCTGATGTACCCTTGAACCCTCACTTGAGAAAGTCCAAGGCTCGGGCCGGGAGTTGCCCAAAACTAGAGAACGAGTGATCGGAGGGGACAATAGCTGGACAAACAGCTGAGACTGTTTCGTGAGGGTTCTGCGCACAAGGCATGGGCAGGGCGTAAGTCGTTTGTACAATGGCATGTTTCTCGCCCGTGGACAAGGAGTCCCCGTAAGGACTGTCTTTTCGCAGCGCCTGAAGGAATTTCGAACGGAAATGCGGGAGGCACGAGTCCACGAATCGAGCGAATGACAGATGACAACTGACTAGTGGGATGACTCAAAGCAGATCCTGCGGTTTCCCATTAGCTGAACCTGGTTTACGGAATCATCGTCCGGTTCGAGGACCACAAGCCCACGGCTGCCTTGTAGATCAGCTCGTGCAAACTCCGCTACCCAAAGGCCTGGCAGCGAATTGTAGACGCGAAAACCGTCGTTACGATGAGATAGCTTCGTCTTCTGATACATTACAGCCTCACCCTAGAACGGGGGTCCTCTGCGTCTTGATGCTCGGCCCGAATGACGAGCGGGCAACATCTAGGAGGCCGCAGAGGTGAGGGACAACATCTGGGTCCGCAGCGTGGCGAGCGAAGGAGAGTATTTGAGTTCCCATCTAACCGGGAACCGCTTAAGGCGCGAAAGCATGGGTGAGACACGGTTGTTCTTGTAGATTACTCTTTCCCGGCAGATCATCGAACGTTAAGGAAGAAGCGGAGCTGGAGAAGGCCCCGAGCAAGGATTCACGTCTACGGTTTTTGTGTAAAGAGTGGCAAAAACCGGGCAATAGATAGGTTTCGCAGCGAACGAACGACGTCTCAAATAGCACTATCAGCTTTGGTGAGAGCTGGCGAAGGTAGCGTAAGAGTCATTGAGCCGGGAGCGCTCTATGGGAAAGCCACAAGTCTTGCTGCAAGTCATGTCTTGTGAGTTCATCTGCAGCGGGCTACGGCAAGACCCCAGACTGGGTTCGACGAGCGACCGATCTTTTTTTACTGCTCGCGTAAGTCACTGGCCGTCCAGCCGGGCGCAGGAGAAAAACTGCATCTCGTAAGCGGATGATCCCGCGACAATTGGTTCGCTTGTTGCGATCCTGTCAGCGGCAGACGAAAGTTGACGGCGGGAGGAGGAATAAGTGGGTAGGGAGGGACGGAGAGAGCCAAAGCCGAAGAGAGGGAATCATCATGCGATGCCATGCGATGGCTATAGCCATTCCCCATTCGAGCAAGAGTAGTAAAAAAAACAAGCCAGCGCAGGCTTGGAGTTTCTTTGGCCTCTGGCCTACAGTACAGTCACGGAAGACGCCAGACCGGGTCAGTGACCCAGGTTGAAGTCGAGCTTGCACAAATCGAGATGCCATGCGAGGCTCAGCCTGTTTTGGGGTTATTTCTCCTAGCAGCATGCAAGGCCGGCGAAGCTCGGATGTAGCGCAGGAGAATAGACGAGCAGATGCATTTCGACAATCTCATGTGAGTAGCTGTGGTCGCAGTGGTCGCAGAACTGGTACGTAACCGTGGAAAAGTGCGCGGAAGGGCCAGAAGCTAGCGGAGACCGTCATCGACGGCGCGTTTTTTTTTCTGGGCCGGACGAGTTGCAAATCTGTCAGAAGATAATGCTAGATTGGCGCGATCGGCTTGTCGGCGATAGAGGGAATGGCAGCGGGGCGTTCAATCTGTCATTATCGGAAAGCTGTTGGCTTTGCACAAGAAGCTGACGCCCGATCGCGCGTGGATGACGCCGAGGGACGGAGAGGACTCGGACGGTAGCACACGACGAAAGACTGTCGTGCAGCGGCATAGCCAGCCTCCTTGCGGCGACGACGGCGGTCTTGCTCTTGCAACCACAAAGCACAGCATGAGGCTCTTCTGGGTGGGAGGGGAGGGTGAGTGGAAGACGCTCGTTGCTGGACGCGCGTGAATGGTTTGGGTGGCGTCGGCTGGAACTAGGCTGGACACGGCAGTAATGTTACGGGTCGACAGGGCACCGACCGGGCTGCGAAAACCCCCTACTCTTGCGCGGGTTTTGCACGCGCCGCTTTTCTCGTCCAACCCGGCCATGGCTCGTTTTCGATCGCAAACCATCGCGCCATCACCCTCGTATCTGTTTCTTGTATCTCTTGTCACTGCCGTTATTACCACGTTTCAACAGCGACGAGGAAGCCATCGTTGCGCCCTCTCTCCTTGCCGGTGTCCCGCTGCGCTCCCGTCTGGCGACATCAGCTGGCCGTGTGCGCCTGTGCAGCCCGCTCCGACAACAACGACGCCGGCCAACTTGGTGTCGCGAGCGCAGAACTCAAGTTCTGGGCTGTCCCCACGCGCGCTCGCCGCTTCAATCCTATCCTGCACCGGAAGCGGGCCCAGGCCTGGCGAGAACGGGCACAGGACAGGGAACGACAAAGAGCCATCGAGGCCGAACGCTCTCTCTGTGCAGTGAGCACATCTCGCAGCAGACCACAGACCTATCACACTCCCAAGGTGCGCACCCCTCATCCCAGCTCGCCCTGTGCTTTTGCCCACGACTGGACTGTTTGTTCTCTGGTGCATCGTTCCGTTCGTCTCGCTGCCTTCGTCGACCTTATCCCTCTGCGCTCTCTCCCCAATCACAGACTCCTGCCTCTTGTTGCGCTCTGCACAGCCCAAGCCATCCCGTCCGTACTCCAGAAGCACTCCCGCATATCCCATTTCCCCCTTCGCTCCGTACGCCGTTCTTTGATGCTCTCATTGTTCTTGTTGTTTTGCTGCTGCTGCTCCTCCCTCTTTGCGCGTCCTCTCTCTCCCGCCCCCGTCCGCCAATACACCTTGTCCTTAACCTCCCGTCGGTCTTCTCCCCACACCCGCCGAATCCGCGCACCGCTCCTCACGCACCACTCACGCTCTCTCTTTCTCTCTCCGTGGCTTCTTTGTCATTCGCCGCTCAGCCGTCTGCTCCCAAGCCGACTAGCCGCTGCTGTTGCTCGGTCGCTGACTCCAGCCTTTGCCAGCATCCACTCCTGTCTACCTTGCAGTCCGCCTGCATGTTCCAAATCTATAACCTGAATCTTTTTGCCACTGCACCTCGTCTTTTCCTGCATATAGCTCCCCGGCGACTTTTCTCTTCCACACGGCGCGAACGCGCTTCCTTGCTCCGAACTGCAGCCCGACACAGTGTATATGCGCACCACCCATCGTGCGGTGCAGCTAACCTACGACGCTTTCGGCTCGCTACTCGGCCAGTAGGCAGCGCCTGTCGTTGCTGAGCTTCGCCACGATCCCCGTGCGGCAGGATCTTGTCACCCTTCCGCACAGATCTTCCGCCTCTGTCCGGCTAGCAAGCAACGGCTGCTTGCAGCGCAAGCGCATCATCGCTCCAACACCACAACTCACCCCCCAACCAATCAATGTTGTCGCGACGCTGAGCGACCCATACGAATCTCATCTCACATACACCCATCTTGAACCCCCCCGACACCCACCTCACGCAACGCATTGTTGAAAGCTTGCTGCCGCCAGCGCGGCCATTATCCAAAGGCTGGCAAGGACGCCTTCTAGCATGTTCTCAATGTCGCATCACCCTCCACCTGTAAATGGCGGGCTTGGTGAGTATGTGGAGGGGTCTGGCACGATCAATCCTGCAGCTCTGGATGCTCCCGGTACGTTTCCCATTGACAACTCATCGACTAGGCGCGCCTCTGCGTCGGCACATACAAATGCCATTCGTGCCTCACGCAAAAATTTCCTTTCCCATCATCTCGTCACTTCAGCCCGCTCGCTGTCTCCAAACGGTAACACTTACTTACGGCGTTGGCCCATCAGCAGTGCTCCCACCCGCCTCATCAAGTCATACCGAACAGAGCCCGCGTGGCTTGAAACGCGGCCGATCTGAAGACGCGCACGAAGCACACGGCGTCGACGATGGTACGTAGCGTCGCCTCTCCTTTGCCCAAAGGTGCACAGCTCGACGCGCACACGTCGACGCGACAGCCGTCCGACGCAGCGATGCAACAGCTAACCTTGTCCTGCGCAAACAGATGATTCCAAGCCGCGAAAACGTGGACGACCTCCAAAGTCGAAAATCGCAGAGAGTCCGATCTCTACATCCCAGGCCCTCCCATCTTCGGGCGCTCACGCCGTGCAGACACCTCGCTCGGCATCGCAAGTTCCCCAAACATCGCCCCCACAGACATCGCCCACACGAGTGAGCTCGGGCAAAGGACCTGTGATAAAGGCGCTACCTACGGTGCGGGACCACACTACCGACCAGCTGAACCCCGAGGGCGACGAGTACATCCCAAGAGAATTTGACGAGGCGGGTGAGAAAAAGGTGCAGCCGAACGGCGCATTGTTGGACGGACGAGAGTATAAGTGTCGAACCTTCTGGGTACCCGGACGAAGCGACAAGCTGTTCATGCTGGCGACAGAGTGTGCGCGGGTTCTAGGCTACCGCGACTCATACTTGCTGTTCAACAAAAACCGCTCCCTGCACAAGATCATCGCCAATCAGGCGGAGAAAGATCACCTCATCGCTCAGGACATCCTTCCGTACTCGTACCGCTCCAGGCAGATCGCCATCGTGACTGCCCGGTCCATGTTTCGTCAGTTCGGCAGTCGCGTGATAGCCAACGGCAGGCGCGTGCGGGACGACTACTGGGAGGCGAAGGCCATCAAGCAAGGATTCACCGAAGAAGATCCGGCCGGCGAGAAGCGCCCAGGTGGCGCTCGCCAGCGCGCCGCCTTGGAGGCCGCGCAAGCCGAGACCGTTCGTGTGCCACAGCATCAAATCTACTATGAGAATAAGGCAGGCACGTCTAACGTTGTCTACACGTTTGACGCGAACAACCCGCTGAGGAACCTGGAACATCTCCATTATGGCGGCACTCAAGGAGCGCGATCCAACTACTCCGCCTTTCAAGACCGGGGCACGTCTACGAACAGCATTGATATGCATAGTCAAGCAGTCAGCGCGAGTGAGTTCAACCGTGGCTTGAGTCAGCAACGAGCAAATCGAAAACAGTACCTCGAAGAGATATGGCATCGTCCGCATGAGCCTCCACCTGCGGATCCGCAAGACGCTGTATCCAACCCCGCCGGATCAACGCAGGCCACCCAATCTCCACATGTTGCGACGGCAGGCGTTGCTCAGACAACTGTCTCAACGCAACCACAGCAAACATCGAACCCAATCATGACACAAGCGTACAGCCAGCAGCCAGGACCGAGTAACATGATGGCACAGACGCCCATACGGAGCATGCACGCCCCTATGAGCGGCGGCGTGATGAACCAGAGATCTCCCAGTTTGTCTGTGACTCCTCAGCAGCAGAACTACGGCTACCAACAGGCTGGCATGTGGCATCCTGGTCAACCACAGCCGACGCCGATGGCCCAACAACATCCGGGAATGCCATACAACCAGCACATGACCTCTCAAAGTCCAGTTCCTCCTTCGCCCATGCACCATCCTCCTCAACTGCAACATCAGAACAGCGGAGGCTCGGTCCACGCCGGCATGGGATACGCCGGCATGCAGAGTCCAGCGTTCGCAAACGTACAACAACGACAGCAGATGTACCAACCCAGCCCGAGCCCGCATCAGTTCATGCAGCCTGGCGCGCAGCCTGGTTGGCCCCAACAGCCTGGCCAGCAGGGTCAGCAGGGATGGCAACAGTTCTAAACTCTCCGTACTCTTCCTTGGGAAATTTTTCCTCTCACATTGCAGGCCGAAGTCATCCTTTCAATTTCCAGACACAACATTCCAGTTGTGGTTTCCACCCACCTTGTCCATCCTGTTTCACGTTCAGTATTCATTGCAAAGGCATAATACCCAGGTTGGGGATGCATCATTTGGGTGTGCGGCGTTGCGGAATCCTCTTCGCTGGGTTTCGAGAAATCTCTTCGCAAGAGTCTACTGCTAGTTTCCCATTCGCACGATGCAACATTTCGGGTGGTTGATATTCTGGTCCCTACATACCCCTGTATTTTATCGCGATTCTTCCCCTCATATCTGCCCACATAGCTTTATCTTCTTGGTACATAGTGATCATTTTTGTGGGGACTCAAACAACAGCAAACGTCGTTCTGTTCTACACCGCGGACGTCGTTGCGGAGTTAAGGGAGGTTATTGTTTGGCATGGCTTCTTCTAGCACGGGGCTATCTTCATTGGACGTGACACCGCCGTAATGTGGATGAATCAGCATGAGATCATGCCTTTTTTTTTGTTTGGCGGTCGCCGCAGAATCATAATATAATGTCATTTGTCTTTTCAAGACACGACCTGGTGAACCCTTCGTCTTTCAGAAGACGTCAACGAAATGCAACATGAGCTCGAGAATATGCAGATCAGATATGGCACGAGTTGACGAGATCGCGTCGTTGCTGTTTCTCGAATACCAGTCATTCATCGGTCGCTCTATAGCTTATCACATCAAACGCTGAACAGAATCTTTTGCCAACGAAAATGCCTGCATGCAGCACCTTGGTTCGCTTAGCGGGCCGCAAAGCCGGATCCGCATCCTCCTATCGTGGTGCTTCGACGGCGATTTTCCGAAGAGGCTGAGGCGCAAGCGAGGAGAATAAGAAAATACTGTACCCAGGATGCTTTCTTTTTCCCGCTTTCGCAGTGACAAAAAGCCTACGCGGGGGGCAAGGGGGTTTGCGGGCGGCTCGAATCACGAACGAAAGGCGTCGCCTCCGCGACTGGGCAAATCCCGTCCCCTTCCCCGCTGCCTTCTCGACTTTTCCATTGCATCCGTTCCGCGTCGGCGAGGCTATCACATGTAACCCGCTCCATCGGGAGTGTTGGATGGACTAGAGGCACGGTTGAGGCGAAAAGGCGGACCGCTATGCATGTACAAACCACTACACACACGGACAGACAACAATATACTCCAGCACAACTACACACATGATAAACACATTGGGGAAAAAAGAGGGTCTAAGAACTTTTGATTGGCGCTGCGGTAGGGACGGCCCTGCTCGCCCGGCCCGGAGGCCGCGCGTGGAAGGATCTCATCATCGTCAGTCAAAACCCTTTGAACTGCACGTCAAGAAAACCGTCGGGTGAGGCGTTGTCAGACTCGCCTCTCGCTCCGAACCGCCCTGGCCCTTCCACCTCGTACTCCGCTCCTGACGGCGAGGTCCACGACGAGGTAGAAGGGAAGGGCCAGGATGAGAAGAGGTGCGAGGAAGAAACCTTTACCAACGTAAGAAAACGCGATTGAGAAGCGGCTCCGGCCTGAGAAGGACGGATGCTAGTCTTCTCTCTCTGCCTTTGGAGGGAGAGGGGGAAAAAAAAAGTCCAACTTTCTCTTTCTCTTCGTGCAGCGCTCCGCGCCGCAGGCAAGCAACATTAGAAAACGGGGAATTGGGTCCTTTGGGAACAGCCATCTTCGAGGCACGATATAAGCCATGCATCCGCTTTCGGAAGCACAGCGCTCAGGTACGCTTCAGGTGGATCCAACATGACGCGGTTGATTCCGGGAGCGAGGCCTTGTTTCCAGCCATGCAACGACTGTGTTGGCAATGTCTATCAGTGGAGAGCCAGCGGGGGGTTTTTTTTTGCAGCCTCCCAGCTTTGCGGAAGGGGGGCGGAGGGCGATTTTCGCTTTGGGGCCTGGGGAAGTCGTCCCACTTTACTGCCTGACGTGTAGGATCCGGAGTGCGTGAGCGGTGGGCACCTACCGGTTCTTTAACGCGCTTTCGCCGCCCGCCAAAAAAAAGAGTGGGCGACAAACTGAGTGCCGCGGCGGTTCTTTTTTTTTTTCTTTTTTTTTTTTGGGCGAAGACAGCCTTGCGAGAAGGCTGATCAAAAGTAACAGGAGGGGGGTTGAAAATGGAACGAGTGAGAAGAAAGGGCACATTGCATTGCATTTTGAAGCTTCCGCCCACGTACTGTCATGATTCTGCGTGTCTAACGTATCTGACAACATCCGAGACGGGCCAGTAGTCCAGTCCTTTTTTTTTTCCTCCTCTCCTTTGCATTTCCGCAACGGAGACGCCAAAAAAATTTGGGGATATATTTCGAATCTTTTTCTACCTGATCTCCAAGTCTTCAAAGCCCCTCCAGCCAGTTGAATGGCGTGCAAGCACCCGGCCGGCGACCGTGGAGCCATTGTGTTCTTTTTTTTTTCCCTTTCTCGTCGCAGAATTGATGCAGCAGCCCACGCACGTACCAGAATACCAGACGGACCCGTACCGCTGGGTCCCCAGCAACTGCACGTTGGCCCAAAGGCTAAAGAAGCATCTCCAGAGCCTGGCTAGCAAATGAACAATCGGCGAGCCGGGGTGCGTCCCTTCTTTGTCGCTGGCTAAAGCGGTCAAAGGTGTGAAGGGGGAGGGGGGGGGAGGGGCGCACGCTGGTCGTTTCTTGTGCAAAGAAGGCAGACAGACCGCGTTCCAACTCCCGAACGCCAGACGATCGTTGGTGTGGTTTGTTGGTTGGATGAAGAGATATGAAGATAAGGACTGTGCTACATAAGACCATCTTCTCAGCCTTCCGGTTTGTGCATTGCCAGGCCGTGCTTTTTCGTGCCTGATAGTGCCCAGCACGACCTAAACGTACTCATTATTATATATTTCCACAAGGTCTTCTTGCCGACGCCTACTTTTCGTTTTTTTTTCTCTCCCCTTCCCGTCCGCTCCCCTCCCGCTTCTTAGTTTCTCGATGATGTGCGGCTCTACACTCTGACCGATTCTTCTGAGAAGCTTCCGTGTCGTCGTGCTCCAGGTGCCCCACTTGCACACCGTCGTCAATCGGAAAACAAACGTGCTTTGTTCGATATATTCGGATAAGACGCGGGGCGTGCTCGAACTGGGCAGACCGATAATCCAGATCGGCTCAGCGTTAGAACGTTCCCTTTTTTTTTCTTGCTTATTTTCAGTTTTCACGCCTTGCTTTGTTTTTTGAAAGGAAGACCCGGGTTCGAACCCATCACTTGTTTGGTAGAACGAAAGAAAGCAGAGCAAAAGATTTGAAAGACGAGGGAACAAGGCACGAACCTCCCCTTCGTCGACGCCTCTGCACCTCCCGTCCTGGTCACGTTTTTCAGCTGGATCATTGGCAGCGATGGTGATGGGGAAGCCAAAGGCGCTGCTACTCGGCGAGATTGAGCAGTAGGTTGCCCGCCATTTATTCGACGGGCGGCGGTCACCCCGTCCGTCCAAGATGAAGCATGCAAGAGTCTCACCGTGCTCACTCCAACCGACAGCGCGAAAGATTCATGGACGGCCTTGTCGAAGCTCGCCGACTTGGTGGAGCCCGAAGCCAAAACCCGCGACGAGTTTCTGGACGAGTGCAGGAGCGGCAAGTTTGACGGCGTGCTGGTCGTGTATCGGACGTTCAATAGCTATGATATAACTGGACGGTTTGACGAGGAGCTGGTACCGTTGCTACCGGACAGCGTGAAATTTATATGCCACAACGGTAGGGATCTCCTCCAAACCCACCCCCCCCCACCCTCCCCTTCTCTCTCTCTCTCTTTCTCTCTTTTTTCCTCTCTGCTCGCGCAGAGAGATCTTCGCGTACGCTGAACATGCTGATTGAAGAAACAAGGTGCTGGCTACGACCAGATTGATGTTGCCGAGTGCACGAAAAGGGGCATTCGAGTGTCGAATGTGCCGAAGATTGTGGACGACTGCACTGCGGACACCAACATCTTCCTCATCCTTGGGGCACTGAGGGGCTTCAACTCGTCGATGCAAGCATTACGGGATGGCAAATGGAGAGGGCATCCACCTCCACCGCTAGGGCATGATCCGGAAGGCAAGGTGCTTGGTATATTAGGTATGGGAGGCATAGGGCGAAATCTCAAGAGGAAGGCAGAGGCTTTCGGGATGAAGGTGCAGTACCACAACCGGTCGAAGCTGAGCGAGGAGATGTCGGGAGGTGCAAAGTACGTTAGTTTCGACGAGCTCCTCAGCACCAGCGACGTGCTGAGTCTGAACTTGCCACTCAATGTGAGTCGAGCACATTTATACGTTTCGTTTTTAAAATCACCCCTCCTCTCCCACCCCCCCGCAAGCATGAGTATCTCTCTTAACTAGGGCAAACATGAACAGCAACACACTCGACATATCATCTCGACCAAGGAATTTGAGAAAATGAAAACGGGCGTGGTCATCGTCAACACGGCCCGTGGTGCCGTGATAGATGAGACAGCCCTTGTCAAGGCGCTGGACAGCGGTAAAGTCTGGTCTTGCGGCCTCGACGTGTACGAGGCGGAACCGAAGATTGAACCGGGGCTTGTCGCAAATCCTCATGTTATGCTTTTGCCGCATATGGGAACCTGGACGGTCGAGGTGAGAGCCTCTTTCGGCTTGCACGCCCGATACAGAACGATGACTGATTCGTTTTCACAGACCCAGACCGCCATGGAAGAATGGAACATTGGCAACGTTCGTGCGGTGCTCGAGAAAGGCAGGCTCAACAACATCGTGCCTGAGCAGATGGACATGCTGTGAGGAGGGCAAACCGGGATTACAGGTAAGAAAAGGCAAATGACAATAAAACAAGACGATCCAAGTTGAGCAAAAATTTGGGAGGGGGAATCCAAAAGGAAAACTGGCACAGGCACGGCGCAGCAGGACCGACGAAAATGGTTGGCAATGGCAAGAATTTTTTTTATTTCTCTTGCATGGACACTGGTGGTTAGCTGCGACGCTTCGAAGCCTGTTGCATGGCGTTGTTTTTTTATTTTTCTCTATTTGCTCATTTTCCCCTGGCGTTTTGAGGTGTGGCGTTTTGGGCTGAGAGTTCTTTGGGCATTAGACAGATAGAGGATCCGGGCGAGAACAGACGACTGCGGGAAGGATACAAGCGGCAAAAGGCCTGACCCGGATGTCCAGGCAGGTAGAGAGCGATCTGTCTCGCCTGTTTCTTTTCATCATTTACCTATTTTCTTGCGGCTCAGTGAGACAAGGATGGCGCAGACGTAGACGATGATACAGACGGCGATGATCAAAGACAATTGCGAAGTGCAGGATTTTCGACAAGAGGGTATGACGTAGAATCAAAGCGGGTAGTGCAACGATGGCCTCTTATCAGACACAGACTTCTCTTGCTTTCTTGCACTCAAAAGCAGAGCTGCACGACGTGTGTGCGTGTGCGTGCATGGCGCTGATAGTGACTCGACTTGGACGCAAATGGATCACGTGGCAGGGAGCATCTCGATCCACGGGCCCAGAGACAGAAGTTGAACGCGGCGGAGCTTCAGTGCAGGAGCAAATTCTTCCGTGCGAAATGCCACGCAGGTCTTCGTCTGGAGGGCGGGTATGACTCGGGTCAGGTTGCGATCTTCGCAAAGACAGGACCGTAACGATGACACAAAAGCCGCACTGCGGCAAGCAAGAAGCTGTCAAAGACCAGCAGTCCAATTTCCCCCACACGGGGACCGTGGTGCCCTTGTGCGAGTAGACTCGCGAGGATCGACTGGCTTCTCTCGCTTAAGTTTTGGGTGCATGAACCGAAGCCGGGCTGACCATTCTTTCCGCATAGCCCGATCTCTCGGGTAAAGGTTTATAGTTTTCTTCTTTCCTGTGTGCGGTGCACGTCTGGCGTCGAGAGGGCCAGCGTGTAATCATCGGCCCCCTCGACAGGCCGGTGTCATTTCTGCATGTCAGTCGTCGGCAAAGGTCGGCCTGGGGAGCAGCGCGTGCGAACGGACGACGTCGCCGATGGTCGACTACACGAACGTGCAGGCAATCGAAGGCGTAAGCCGTGGGCGATTAGGCCCAGGCCTTCTGGAACGAGCCCGAGTTTGGGAAAGGCCGGTTGACAGGCGCCACACATGAACAGCGACCCGCGCATCGTTTTGGGTTGGAGGAGGGGAGAGGGACGAAGGGGGGGGGGGGCCACAAGAACCAGAGGGTCAGAGGGTCTGAGAGGGAGGAGGGGAGAGGGGGGCGTGAGGTGTCGGAGGATTGGCGTGTGGTTTGTGGGTTTTGTGGGCGGTTGGCTTTGGCCCGCTGGATGGCGGCAGCCGACTGGTGGCAGCAAAAGGCCGCCGCTTAGGGAAGGTCAGCAAGGACCCGTTCAGTTCCAGCTAAGCGGCCCAGGTACCAGGCCACAGGCATGGCTGGCCCAACTGCACACAGCGGTTGTTCCCTAGCGAACTCCCTCCTGCACCTTAACTCTTTCTCCCTTCCCCGTGCTTCTGATCTTGGTCGGTGAATGCTTCCCAGCACATGGTAAATTCAAGCCCCATCTACCATCACGCCGTTGCCGAAAGGGCTGCTGCTGACTTCCAAATGGGCCTCTCCAGCTCTGTGCCCTCCATTCATTCCTGATTCCAAGCCCGTCGCCGTGCACGGCTCGCACCGCTCGTCGCCAGCTCTCTTCCCTCTCAGTGCTGCCGAGGCCACTTGCAGCTGTCGCGCGTGGGCTGGGTGACCATCCCCATCACAAAAAAAAACCCTCCAAAACTCCTTCAGAGCACCATCATTCGGGCATTGCCCTACAAATCCGTGCCTGCGCCCTCGCTGACCACCCGACTCGACTCGAGGTATACTTCTTGAACGAGGGATCCCCACTGCACCTTTTCGCGACACCCTTCGTTCGCTTCCTTCCTCTTCACCTCGTGAGCAATCATTACGCGCACCGTCCGTCCCGTACGCAAGCGCGCCAGTCATTGTCGCGTTTGCAGGGGCGTCTACACTGTGCTCTGGAGTGCAGACCGGCAGCAGAGCTCATTTCCGTCGCGTAGCGGTCACGCCGTCGTCTCCCATCTCGCCGTCGCTGGATGCACCTTCGTTTCGGCGACGGGGGCGACGCCGGAATGGCCACTGAGCACAGCGCATCCCACATTCGAGCACGATCCGGTCCATACCCGTCTCCTCAGCCGTACCCATCGCCGCACATGCAGCCTTCGTACGCTTATCCTTCTCCCCATGGGAACCCCGCCGAGCCCTTTCGACATTCGCCCGCGTCCTCGAACGCGGCGTTGCCTTCGGTGAGCCTGCCGCCTCTGCGAAGCATCGACGGTCAGCATCTGCCTCCTCCACCGCACCAGCTCCTACCGCACACGGCTGGGCCACACATGGGACGCGGGATGCCGCCAATGGCTCACTATTACGGGCACCCGCCGCCAGGCATGCCTCACCCAGGCCACGCGATGCAGTACGCACGTTACGCACCCATTCCTCAAGGCACTGCAATACCCGGCAGCCGGGGTAAGAAGGAGATCAAGAGACGAACAAAAACCGGGTGCTTGACGTGTCGAAAACGTAGGATCAAGGTCAGTACATGCTCTTCACCATTGCGCATAGACTAGCGACGGGTGCGGCCGATTTTCTTCTGGTTTGGCTCGCTTCTGTTCGGTTGGCGCAGGCACAGAGACGATCGCGGAAGCGAGAGGGAGCGTGACTTCTGCACACCTCGCTCCACCTCCCAAAAAAAAACACCTCCCCCAGGAAACACTCCTCAACTTCTACAAATCTTCTTTCTTTCGCTTATTTTGTTTTGCTGTCGTGCACCGCGTGCTAACACCTCCGTCTGTGTACAGTGCGACGAACAACATCCCGTGTGTCGCAATTGCCAAAAGAGCAAGCGAGAGTGCCTAGGCTACGACCCGATATTCAAGCAGCAGAGTGGGCCTCAGGCGTTACAGCCTGCGCCTGGAGGCACGACGTCCTCGGCATCCCCCACCCCGTCAACCGCAACGTCAGGCGCTGCACCGTACTCGCCCGCACAAGCAACGTATCCCTCTCAACAGTCAAGCTCGACTTTCCCGCAGAACCCTCAAAACGTCTCCGCTCCATCACCCAAGCAACCGAATCCATTGCTCGAAGGCAGCCCAGCAATCGATCCGGCCTTGGCGAGCTCGCCTATCGCCGAGCGTAAACCTTACGACCAAAGTAATATATCCGCGCCGCCCACAATGGACGTCGCAAAATTGAAGCCAGGTACGGAAGATCGCGAAGCGTAATCCCTTGACACTGTTCATGGTGCCACCACGAGCGCGGGAGAAGGCAGTGATCAAAGGATGGCTTCAACATAGCCAAGATGGGTCTTGTTGGCCACTGATTCTCTCCCTTGTACGCTATCATGCCGACCTTCTTTCCATTACGCGTCGGACTGACAACGACCGACAGCGCGGCAACTGAGCATCTCGGACCTCTTCCAAGTTGGACAGTATGGCCCGTACGACATATCTAGCGACGGCTTGCTCGATGAGACCATGTTGGGCGAGGTGCAAAATTACTATCGCAAAGATCTGGCCCCTGGCTTCGATCGACTGCTCGAGACGGACTGGTTCTCGTCGTCTGGCCTAGCCAAACTACTTTCAATGCGATCGCTATGTGTGGAGATAGCAGAGCTGCTCCAACACTTCACCCGTCTCAGCGCTCAGAATGGCGCAGATGCGGAATATCGTTGCAGAGCAACGGAGGCAAGAGCTGTGTGGAACTTGCTCTGCCTGTGCAAACCAGATCATCCCGAACCTCAGATTGACTTGGAAACTCCCCATGGTCGCCTAGAGGTACTGGAGTGCCTTCTTACGAACCGGCTGGTTCCCGAGCAGAACCTGAAGCCAACGGTCTGGGAGCAGAGCTGGTCTCGCGAAAAGACGGAGGACCTGATGTTTTGGACCGCCTTGTCCAAGTTCCTGGCACGACGCAGCGACGTGCCCTCATCAGCATCCGAAATGGACAAGTTTCTGGTGCAATGCCGCAGCATGCTGAACGGTCGTGAGAACCGAGACGTCTTCTACTCCCTGATGGTCACAAGACACATTGGCTGGCGGGTCGCAGGGTTCCCGCACGCTATGCATCCGGAGCAAGGCGGTGAGAGCTCTTCCATCAACAAGGTGTACATCGCACACAAGTTCATCGCAGATGAGGCGGGTTACAGAGGCACCAATCATCCAATCCAGCGTATCTGTGACATGGCCATGCGCAGCTGGGCCATTGGCTGGTGATGCACTCGGTTCAATCCTCGGTGGTTGTTGCACATGGATGATGGGTAGAGGAGATGCTGTCGGGGGGCGGGCTTTCTCGGCAAAGTATGGCAGCTAACTCACAGCCGCAGGTTTTCTGCCACAACAATGTTCTCTCATGCTAGAGTGGGATAATTCTGTAGGACTAGCAGGCATGGCCAATCGTTTTTCATCTTCTTGTTTTCTACTTTTGGAGGGCAAGCTGGTCGTCTCTAGAGCGCGCGGATTCGCAAGTCGTAGGGTGAAGACGGAGGACTTTTATATCGAGAATCTTTCAACAACACAAGTTTCACTTTGTAGCGTACTCGTAACGGAACAGAAGCCACGGTCGTGCAAAACATATGGCGCTGGCTGTGAGGAATCACATACCCCAAATGCAATACTCTTTCAAGAAGACCTCGTCAACTGTAGCACCCAATCATCACACACACACACACACCAGATGTCGTAGTTTTACCCTACAGAACTCTAAATTAAACCTTGATCGCCCCCGAGACTCCCATGCCCGATGACATCTTGCAGCCCTCTCTCGATGCCCTAATACTCCGAACCCCAAAGATCCCAGTAGGCAAGAGACGAAAAATTGCCTGATCCAGCATTTACCCAACGGCAGAAGTGCCCGAAGCAGCAAGCGCAGGCTATGCCATCTGTCTCGGTCGTTGCCGAGCCCAGATCGGGACTCCGTCAGGCTGTTGCCGAGAGCGCCATGCTCTCAAGTCGCCAAATCCGTCACGAGAAGAGCCCAGCGGGCGTTGTCACCGGCCCAGTTTTCCAGGGGAGGGAAAAGGAGGACTGTGGTGGCCGAACCGACGCCCTTTTTTGTCGTCGACGAGCAACCCTCCCTTGGCTTGTGGGAGGAGGAAGAAAGGGGATGGGGTGGGGATGGTAGTGGGCTGGGGATTGTATCCCCTTCCCCAAGACCTGGGTTTCCGCGCTGATCAAACTCGACCGCCGCCAGGCTGTTTGACACCTTTGGGCCGGGTCGCAGGAAGAGAGGGAACCGGATGATGTCCACTTCGCCCCAGCCGGACGGGAGCCCGGGGCGTGACACGGGCATCGGGGCAGGTTTTTTTTATTGTTTACTCCCCCTCCTCCCCCTGGAGCTTTTGTTGGAGACGCTCAGCGGTGGCCTCCCCACCGCTTCGCAGCTGGGAAGTCGCATTTCTTCACAGCGGTCCAACGTTGAAACCCTCCCAAGGCACGTTGCGGCGGGGTTCGGGAGCGGACGTCTAAGGACTTGCGCGCTCCCTAGCTTTTTTTTTTTTTTTTTTTTTTTTTTGGATGGTGACGTTGGGGCTGGCTGCGCTCTTCTGTGACTCCTGCGCTCTCTCTTCCTGCGCGGACGGGGCCCAGGAACACGCTGGAGCTGGACGCGCGCGCCCGTCTTTGGTCAGCGCGGCCTAAGGCTCGGCTCGTTGTCTTGCGGACGGCTAGATCGCCACGCGTGCGTTGCGTCGTGCTGTTGATAAGGTGGCGGTGATGCCGATTCCCACCATTCTCGTTCCCCCTCTTCGTCTTCCTCGAGCCGCGTAGATTGCACGGGGTCTCTCGGGGCCAGTGTGTCGCCGCTGAGATTACCTGCTTGCGCACGACGCAGCCGCGCTGGTCAGATACTGTGCGCCAACATTATGATCGTTTTGTTCGTGGACCCCCACCGCGCTGCACGCCGGGAACTATCTGGGGATTTGGGGAGGAGAGGAGGGTGGAGGGTATGATGATAATGCCAAGGGAGTTAAATAAGAGAGTCGTTACCGTGTCTTCGACCGAGACCCAGCGCCGCCAGCCAATGCCCAAGAGATGACGACTTCGCTGCTTTGCGGTTCCGTCTGCGCTTCCGGAGCTCCTTGACGCCGACTGTTATCGAGACAGCTCCCAAGATGACGACACTGCTCATCGTGCTTTGATAGCCGAGTGCTCACGGCACTCTTCCTGACGTACGACAGGAACAAACCGTTCTCTGGGCACTGAACGCAGACGGAACGTCGTGAGGAGATTTATAACACAGAAAGCTTAGGATTGCGCCAAATCTAGCTTTTTATGGCGTCACCTGCTTAAGCGAACCGGCAGTATTACGGCATTGGGTGCTGGATTCGGGTCAAGGACTGGCAACGCTGAAATAATCCCCCGAGCCCCACGATTATGTGTGCTCCGGGCATTTCGAGCTTTCTCGCCAACGGTGAAGTGTTCAAACACCGACCCTGACCTGGGTTACGTTCGTTGCTTTGACAGTTAGAGTATGGGAGAGTTTCTCAGTTCCTTCCGCCACACGAGGATAGAGAACTTAAATTGCCAGACTGCTTGTGCATATTTGAATGCCATATATAGCTTGATTCACTTTCTTTTTCCTTTTCTTTTCTTTAAACAAAACGTACTTACGATACAGCTACGACGTAGAAAATATCAAGAGAGCAAGGCTGAGGCTGAGCACGTGATCCAGATTGCGGATCCAGACGCGCGACTTCCATTCTTGGTTTAGCGCAGAACGATTCTCCAACCTTTAAACTTCGAGATTCTCAGTCTGGCATCCTCGTCAAAGTTTACAAGACGCATCATCGCCACCATGCCTGCGAGCGCTGCGATATGGACCAACGTCGAGGACGCCATCCTGACCGCGAGCATCAGCAAGTATGGCCTCAACCAATGGGCTCGTGTGTCATCTCTCCTCGCCAGAAAGTCTGCGAAGCAGTGCAAGTCCAGGTGGGAGAACTATCTATCCCCCGATGTCAAGAAGACGGAGTGGTCCAAGGATGAAGACGAGAAGCTGTTGCATCTCGTCAAGGTTCTTCCTAGCAGCTTCAGGACCATCTCGAGCATCATCGGTCGCTCAGCTCAACAGTGCATCGCGAGGTACCAACAGCTTCTCGATGAGGCCGAAAAACGCGAGGAGGGTGAACTGGGACTCACCGGCGACGTATCCGGCGATGCTTCTGCGCCGAAGGAAGATCCGAGCAGGCTGCCCACAGAACTGTATCCAGAATTTGCAGCGCCGAAGTTGGATGCGGTAGACATGGACGAGGAGGAGAAGGAGATGCTCAGCGAGGCAAGAGCACGCCTGGCCAACACGCAGGGCAAGAAAGCAAAGCGCAAAGCGCGTGAACGAATGCTTGAAGAGTCGCGACGGGTTGCGCAGCTCCAGAAGCGCCGTGAGCTCAAGATGTCTGGCATCAACATCAAGATTCGAACGACGAAGAAAGGCGAGATGGATTACAATGCCGATGTGCCATTCCAGCATAATGTACCACGTGGGTTTTATGATGTGACTGAAGAGGACGAACGCAACGAACGAGAAAGGGCAACCTTTGATCCTAAAAAGCAGCAGTTGGCGAACAAGCGAAAAGGCGACCAACAGGACGAAGGAGATGACAGAAAGCGGAAGAAAATGCAGAAGAATGATGGTCCGTCAATTTCTACCGCAGCCATGAACGCGGCAAAGGCGCAGAAACTCAGGGAAGCGGAGCGCAGCAGCATGAGGAGGCCGTTAAACTTACCTGCTCCTCAAATCAGCGAGGGTGAGCTCGAAGAGGTTGTGAAGATGGGCATGACCGGCGATCGAGCGAACCGTGTTGCCACGATGGGAGACAACGAAGCAACGAAGGGATTGGTTGGCAATTACAGTACCATGCCCGCGGCGACACCCATCCGAACGCCGATGGCCGCCCCAGAAGAGGATAAAATTGCCAACGAGATCCGTAATATTCGAGCGCTAAGAGACGCCCAGTCGGCTATTCTTGGTGGTGAGGTGCCGGAGTCGACAACGATGGGTGGAGCAGTGCAGCAGCCAATTGTTACACCCAATCCGATGGCTACACCTTTGCGACAAGCGAATGGTGTTGGCGCCACTCCAGCCAGGGCACCTGGTGCGACGCCCCTACGGACTCCTAGAGACACCTTTAGTCTGAATAAGCAGAGCGGAGTGGTTGCAATACCCCAAACCCCCAAGGAGGCCCGGCAGCAGCAGCAGAACATGCGCAACAGTCTTCTTGCGAAACTTGCTGCCCTGCCGAAGCCCAAAGCCATAGAATACGAGCTGGAAATGCCTGAAGAGCGACTCGAAGAGGGCAAAGTTCAGTCAGATCTGAGCGAAGATGCTTCTGTTCGTGACGCGCGCAACAAGCTATTACGCGATGCAGCTGAGCTTGCAGAGTTCAAGCGACAGACTCAAGTCGTTCAGCGGAGACTTCCTCGTCCTATAGCTATTGATATAGACGCGCTCATCAGGGGTGCCGAGAGTATATCTGACGTTGTCGAGAGAGAAGTCGCAATGGAGTCCGCCCTGCTAATTGCGAATGATGCCGCCAAATTCGGCGGTTCGCGTGTTACGGGAGCTTTACGACCTCTTCGTGTGTACGAAGACGAGGACATGCGTAGGGCTCGCGAGCTAGTCGCTCTCGAACTTTCCTCGCACGACGCGCATAGAGAGAAGGAAGCTTTCACGTCAGCGTGGACAGAGCTGCATGAAGCACGCAAAGTTCCGGGTCTAGACGGCTATTACGAAGATGAGATTGACGAGCATCAAATGATGATTGAGACGTTCGATAAGCTTGAAGATGCCATCACGACGACCGCAGAAAAGGGTAACGAGCTGGAGAAGAAGCTGGCCAAAGTGCAGGGCGGCTATCAAAACCGGGCCAAAATGCTGCGGAACAAGATCGCCGAGACGGCAGAGGCGCTTGAAAAGACGAGGATCAGCCTTAACACTTCGCTGAATGCACAGATTGCGGAAGATGCCGCCGTACCGAAGCGGTTGGAAAGGTTGAGAGACGAGGTCAACTTTGTGAGCAGGAGGGAGAGGGAAGCACAGGATGAGTATCGGAAGGTCAAGGACGAACTGGACGGGCTGCCGGAGATGAATGGGTATCACTAAGCCCAGAAGCCATCGTAGCTCTAACATAAAGCACGAGGCAAAAATTGTGTGTGAACATTTTGTGTCAGATTAGACCAAGGGAATCAGGCCCATCTTCGGCCGCAAGCATGTTAGGCATTGAATCACATCTGATCCGTTTTCGGTTTTTCCATCCTGCACTGTTTCTTGCTCCACACATTCGCGTTCGTGATGATAACATTTGTGGGGTCATTTGCGATGCTGAAGCGTGCTATCGTCTCCGCTTACACTTGTCCGTCCTTCCTCAACGTGTTAACGCCACAGATATATCCACTGGTCGCCAAACTAAATATTTAAGCGTTGAATGAAAGCAGCAATTTGTGTACGAACCCGATAGCAAACTTGGACATGGCTCTTCATATTCTAGTTTGATATCTTGGACCCAAGGAGCTTGATAACTTGAACCAGAGCAAGTAGAAACAAGGATGAGAAAATATGATGAACAATGTGGGAGGTGCGTCGGTAATGAAACACTAAATTATACTAGGTGGAGCGATGTGCTACCGAAAATGTAAAAAGGAAGGGGGGTATCTTTGTTCGTATACTTTTGCATGCTCTGACATGCCCAAGTTACACGGAAAAGTGATAGACTACATGCTACTCCCACATTTACTCCCACACATGCAATAGACACGCTGACACGGACCCGAACCGGTTCATCCGATATGCAATAATCGTCAACAGCAGGGGTATCTCTTCCAAGTCCAAAACAAAGAACGCTCTCGTCAGCGATCGCTCAAGTGATTAGCAGCTAAAAGCGCGAGAGCCTTTGTGCACACTCCAGTTCATATTCCTCAGTCAACATACTCCAAAAATATTTCCTTCTTTTTTTTAAAAGCCAAACGAGTTTCTAGAACAGACTGTTGATAGGAAGCTTCTTCAGCCAGCTCTGGCGTTTGGGAGCTTGCGGCCGCTCAAGGACGTCATACTCCGGGTATGGTTGGTTGTTAGGATCTGGATAGTAGGTGCTTCTACGTCGCCTCTCTTTATCATTTCCAGGATCTGATGTCCTCTCGCGATGCTCGGCTCGATCACGGCGCTTGCGCTCACGACGACGTTCCTCGCGATCACGATCCTCACGAAGTTCTCCAGAGTCTCGGTAAGAGGAGTCTCGATCGCGGCGCTTCTCGCGGCGTCCATGCATGCGGCGACGCACCTCTTCTTCGGTTTCAACACCATGCTCAGCTTCGTCCGCCTCTGGAGGAGGTTCAATCACGGTGGCAGTGTCCTCCGGAGCCAAAGGAGCTGGTGGCTCCCTATTGACACTGTCTACCCACGATGAAGTCTTATCGCCACCAGAACCGAGGTAAGGGGTTGTGGCATGGTAATCTCCGTTTCGCGAATCAAAATAATCTTCTATGGGAGAGATCTTTGACAACCGGCGCGATTCACGCCGGGAAGAGCGCCTTACGTCTTCAGCACCATCTTTGTAAGAAGACCTGCGTCTTTCTCCACGTGGGCGATCAACATCTGTGTCTCTCATCTCTCGTTCCTTCTCGCGCTCTGCACGACGACGAGCCCTTCTCTCCTCCCTTGCAGCCCTTGCTTCTTCCTCAGCCCGACTCTGCTCGAGGCGTTCATTCATTGCTTTACGAGCTGCGCGACGCTCTTCTTTCTCAGCACGACGCCGCTTCTCGACTTCTTCTTGGATGCGTGCCTCTTCACGCTCACGGCGTGCTGCTCTTCGAGCCTCTTTTGCGGCATCCCGCTCACGTCGTCGAGCCTCTCGTTCTTCAGAGACACGAGCTTCGTCCGCAAGGCGTTCTCTTTCTGCGCGACGAGCAGCACGACGCTCAGCACGACGTCGTTCAGCTTCTTCGTAGTCTGTTTGGACGCCGGGGGCGTCCGTAGTGAAGCCTTCGTCGGCTTCTCTTCGCGATTTGCGCCTCTCTCTACGAATGCGACGTGCGTTCTCGTCGTCGTGATCATCGGCAGATCGTTTGCTCGAACGGCGGTAGCCTGCGTCAGTCTCGTATCCATCCCTCTTTGATCTGCCGCCGACGAAGCTGGGATCCGAGTTTCTTGGGGTGTCCTTGGTGGTATTACTACGTCGCAAGCCGAAAAGACCCATTATGCCGCCAACTTCTGGTTTTCGAGGTACTGATCGCGATACTGAATGCCTGTTTGTTGGCGATTGTCTCCGTGAAGTGGGAGGCTGGTCTGGACGATCAGCCCCCAAGGCACGTGCGCCATCAAGGCTGTGCTCCGCATTTGCTGCTGGCTCATCATCTTTCGCCGAGGCTGAAACATCAGCTGCGCTGCGTCGTTTCGACCTTCGATGACCTGCAGGAGCGGCAGGCGCGTCAACGGCATAGATGTCAACTCCGTTATCGTGCATCACCTCATCGTCATCGCTGCCGAGATCATAGGGATCTCTAGGTCCTGTTCGTTGCTGCGTGTCAACTTTTAGATCTTGCGGGGATGGGGGTGGTCTAGCCACATGTGGCATAGTCCAATGAGTCTTACCCTTTGATTTGGCAGATGCATGTCGGCTGGCGGATGCGCCACCGCTGGGGTTCATTCCCATCAATTTCGCGGCTTTCGAAGAAACTCGTGGAATCTCATCGTTTTCGTCATCGTTGTTGACACCTGTCAGCTCTGGTGATGCGCGTCGTGACACGGAATGTGGCCTTGACGACGGCCTCGAAGATGACTTTGTCGTTCGTGTAGAATGGCGACGGGGTGGAGCAGGGCCAAAGATAGAGAACGTCGAGGCCCGTTTAGGGGTAGGCTTGGATGGCACATTCCTTTCGGTTTCCGACTTTTCAGGATCAGCGGCAGTAGACCTGCGTGCTGTTCGTGGCCGAACCATCATCGGTGAAGACGTGCTCTTGTGGGATGCTGAGGTGCCATCTTTGGCCTTTTGTCGAGCGTCCTTTGGTGTAGCCGTTGCCCAGAAGCCCCATGCTGAGCCGGTTGAGCCCCGTACGACTTTTGGTCGCTCCTTTCGTGCTGTCGGCGACGCTGCCTTACGCTTCTCGGGCTCAGGTGGTGGCGTTGGAAGCTTGCCGTCAATCGGCTGTTGATCATCGACGGCAGTGGTGCTACCTGAACCTTGCGTAACCGCCTTGTCATTCTCCTCGGGCTCTGCTTGTGTCTCGGAATCGGAGTTCACCTTCTGAACAGGTTTCGATTTTGAGGATTTGGTAGCAGATTTGGATGACCTGGAAGTGCCCTTAGAGCTCACCTTCTTGGAGGATTTTGGAACAGCTCGGGCACCCATCTCGGGTTCTGGCGGTGGTGTGGGAGGTTTCGTTTCGTCAAGATCAATCAATAAATCGTCGTCCGAGTCCGGGAATCCACCTGGCGCTCTTTTCGTAACTGGCTCAGGAACTGGCTCAGGCACTGGTTCCGGTTCTGGTTCCGGTTCTTTCTTGGTTACAGTCTTAGCGGATTTGCTGGAAGATGAAACTTTCTTGGATTTTTTGGAAGAAGTTTCTGGGACCGGGTCTATAGCTTCCTCCTGCGGAACAGTTGGAGGTGGCGGCGGAACAGGTGGCGCTAGTGCATCTTCGTCCTTTAACTTTGTCTCACCCTGAAGCGCCTTGATTCTCTCCGCAACAGAACCAGTCTTTAGCTTTGACGACGACTTTATAGCCGTCTTTGACGAGGACGTCGCCGCAGACGACTTCGTATTGACAACAGGCAGGACTTCGTCTCCGGCTGCTTCTAGGGCCTTCTTGGCGTTTGACTCAAGCGACGACTTTTCATTGGTCGCTTTGACAGCCTTGCGCTTCACACCCCAGACAGCGAACGGATCCGTTGACTCATCCAGTTCGGCCATCGCCTCTTCGATCTGAACTGGCGGAGGCGGTGGCGGAGGCGGAAGAGGTTCTTCCGTCTTAACTTTTCCCGCCGTCTTCTTCCCCTTTTTACTCAACTTGCGGCTCTTCTCCGCCTCTTGTGCTTCCTCAAGCGCCTTCTCACGTTCTTCATTTTCCAGACGCTCCTTCTCGGCTTGCTCGGCTTCAACACGCTCGCGTTCAAGGCGTTCCTGTTCCTCACGATCTTGTTGCTCCTTGCTTTCTCTCTCTTCCTTGTCTTTCTTTTCGCGCTCCTCACGCTCTTTGCGAAGTTGAGACAAGGTGGGAGTTTTGGAAGACGAAGCACGACCAAAGATGCCCCCCCACATGCTGCTTGCTTTAGGCTTCTCTTCCTTCTTTTTGTCAAGCTTAGCGATAGGCTCTTTATATATGGAGGCCGAGTCATCTGGAGCAAGCTCGTCGTCATCAACCCCTGCCCCTTCTGGAAGGGCTTCCACGGCTTCAGGTTGTTCTTCTGGGGGAGAAGGCGCTCGTGCGACATCTTCAATTGCCTTTGTAGCCGCTCGTTTGCCAGCCTTTTCGGCAGCCTTCTTCGCCTTGACTCTGTTAGAAGCAAAGGCCCAATCAGAATCCTCCTGTGATGACTTCTGCTCTTCAACTGCTTCAGCTTTCTGCAATGGCGTGCTGAAGTCGTCGACGGCTTCTACAAGGCCCTTCTTCTTCGCTGTCTTCTTATCTCGCTTGTTCGTGAACGCGAACCCGAGAGTTTCGTCCTTTTTGTCCGCATCAGGCTCATCAATGCCTTCGGCTTCCATCACCTGTGGATCAATCTTCTTCTTCTTTTCCTTTTTAGAGCTCCCAGTCCAGTCATCCCAGTCGTCTTCCCTGGAGGCCTTAGATGACTTTGTGTTAACACGAGTGAGCGCTTTTTCGTCCGCATTCGACTCCGCGACGGAGTCACGCTTCTTCTTGCTGTCTTTTTTGCTCAGCGAATCAGCCCATGGGTCACCCCAAGCGTCGTCAGGATTGTCAATCGAATCAATCAAATCTCTGGCCGGGTCTTTTTCTTCTGCGGTAGGTTTCTCCGGAATGACAACTTCAACTCTTGCTCGAGGGACAATCTTGTCTTTTGCCCAGACTTTGCCCTCAGCATCACACTTGCCCTTGTTTTTAACAATAAGCTTCAACTTATCGACACCATCAACAAGTTTTCCGATCACTTGACCGTTGTCGTCTAATATGTCGCCGTTATCCTGAATTAAACGGCCGTCGAGCGATGCTAGAGTAGGTAATTCGGAGCTGGCTTCTGGCTTGGCTTCCGGCTCGACTACTGGCTCCGCTTCTGGCTCCGCTTCTGCTTTGACAGGGTCTTCTGCCGCTGGTGCTGCTGGTGTCGCGGGAGGCTTGGGCTGAACCACCTCGACGTTGACTTTGGGCACCTTCTTCCCCTTGGCCCAAACATTACCCTTCGCGTCACACGTAGCATTTGCGCTGAGAATTGCCTTAAGCTTTTTAGTTTCACCAGCGAGCTTGCCTATGATCACGCCAGAATCATCAAGCACATTTCCTTCTCCATCGAAGCCACGCCCATCGAGATCGGCTAGAGTGATCTCTTTTGCTTCAGCTGTCTGGGGTGAAGCTGACACAGCTTCGTCGACCTCTGGCTCAACCGGTTTGTCTGGCTCAGCCGGTTTGTCTGGCTCAGCCGGTTTTTCTTGCTCGACGAGTTCTACTCTTGCGCCTGGAACAAGTTTTTTCTTTGCCCAGACTTGGCCTTGAGCGTCGCATGTAGCTGCTTGTCTTGCAAGCTTCTTCGCATCTCCCTCGACAAGTCTCGCAATCACATTCATATTATTGTCCAAGATATCGCCGGATGGCTCGATGAATCTTCCCTCTAAGATTGCCATTGAAGGTGCCTCAGGCACAGCCTCAGGTGAGGCTTCAGGCTCTGGCGCTGGCTCCAACTTCTCTTCAGCTCCTGTTTCAGGTGTAGGATCAGCTGGCTTCTCGGATTGAATAACTTCAACACGAGCATTCTTAACCACCTTGCCGCCGGCCATGACCTTTCCATCAGCGGTGCAGACAGCAAACTTGGTGTAGAGCTTGGTGGCGGAACCTTCAACAAGCTTCCCAACCAGGTTACCGTAATTGTCGAAGATGTCTCCAGAAATATCAATGGCAAGCCCTTCCAGGCTGGCTAGTGTTCGTTCTTCAGGTTCAGCCGCCTTTTCATGTTCAGGTGAAGCGATCTCATCCGCGATTTCTTCCGTTGGCTCAGCGGGTGGCTCAGGTATTGTATCTTCAAAAACAACAAGCTCGAGTCTCGCGTTCTTTTGCTTTTTACCATTGACTATGACATTGCCGTCGGCGTCACAGCAAGCCCCTTTCTTGAATAAAGTTCCCGCGCTCCCTTCGACAAGTCGAGCAACAAGAACGTTGTTGTCATCGTATATCTCGCCGAATTTGTCTAGCATCTTACCCGCGACACTACTGAAAGTCGGCTTTGCTGATTCCATGGCTGCAGGCTCTTCCGGTGTAGGCTCTTCGGCTGCAGGCTCTTCCGGGGCAACCTCTTCATGCTTGGTTTCTTCAGCGGCAGGTTCATCCTGCTTTTCCGATTCAACTAGCTTCAGTGTAGCGTCTTTCACCTCTCTGCCCTTCGCCCAAATCTTGCCGTTCGCATCGCAGGTGGCTCCAGACTTATACAGTTTTGAAAGACCGCTGCTGGTTACAGTTGCGAGAACATTGCCATCATCATCGAGAATGTCGCCGTTCCTCTCCATCTTCCGGCCATCAAGCCTCGCGTATGGCGACACCTCCTGGACTGGAGGCTCTTCTATCGGATGTTCTTCGACTTGAGCATTGTCTGTAGGTGGAGGCTCTTCACCTGCTGGATCTTGATCCTCTTTCTTGACCTCAACAAGCTCTACTTTAGCATCCTTGACCTCTTTACCCTTTGACCAAACTTTACCCTCTGCATCACAAGTAGCACCAGCTTTGAATAACTTCGATGCACTACCGCTAACCAAAAGCGCAACAAGGTGACCATCCGCATCAAAAATATCACCATTCCTTTCAATTTTCAAGCCATTAAGTTTGGCCATTGGATTGGGTTCCTCTGCTGGCGGCTCGGGCTCTGGAGCTTCTTCAGTCACAGGAGGTTCGACTGCTTCTGGTTTCTCAGGAAGAACAAGCGTTACGGCCGCATCCTTCTGGACCTTGTTTTTCATGATTACATTACCCTCAGCATCACATTTGGCGCTGCCTTTATGCAGCTTCAGCGCGTTTCCAGAGACCAAGCGGCCAATGACTTGGCCGTCGTCGCCCAGAATGTCGCCGTTCTTCTCAATGTGCCTGCCTTCAAGAATAGCTAAGGTTGGCTGCTCTTCTTCCTGAGCTGGTTGCGGCTGCGGAGGAGAGGCTTCGTTTTCTGGTTCTGCTGCTGCTTCTGCCAACCCGCCCTCCTCCGTCTTTTCAGGCAGAACTAGCTGAACGGTACCCATGGTTGTGAAACCAAAGACTACGTTGCCGTTTGCATCACAAGTGGCTTTCTTCTTGGCCATTAGTTTGGGTTTCCCATCCACAACGCGAGCGATGACGTTTCCATTATCGTCAAGGACATCACCGTTAGTCTCCACAAAGCGTCCTTCAAGTGATGCGAGAGTAGGCAGATTTGTTGTCTCACTCTTTTCTTCAGCAGGCGTCTCGTCCTGGGCTGGGTGCTCCGGCTCCGTTGTCTCAGCCGGCTCAGCAGTCTCAGCAGGTTCTTCAGAAATCTGAGGAGCCAAGAGCTCAACTTTGCCAAGGGTTTTTTTACCAAGTACGACGTTCCCCTCAGCATCGCATATCGCTCCCTTTTTAGCCATCTGTTTCGCGTTGCCATCAACAACCTTGGCAATGACGTTGAGATTATCATCTAAAACATCCCCGTTGGTCTCAATCTTGCGACCCATCAAATCCACAAGGGTAGCATGGGGTTTGGCATCATCCTCTGGAGGAGATGTTTCCTCAGCAGGTCCTTCCGATGGCAACTCAGCTGCCGGGACGGGCTGCGGAGCTAGAGTTCTGCATTTACCAACGGCCTTTTTTTTAGAATTGAGGATGTTGCCTTTGTCATCGCACTTGGCGGCAATAGAGACAAATCGCTCAGGATCTCCTTCAGTGACTTCGCCAATAACATCTCCGTCTGGGCTGAGGATAGTGCCATCGGACTCGATGGTCCTGCCCTTCAAAATGGACAATGGCGGTGGCTCTATGGTAGCAGTGTCTTCCTTGACCTCCTCCGGGGAAGGCACGTCCGCGGCCGGCGCTTCTGTTGCATGCTCTTCTTCCTCCTCCTCCTTCTTCTTCTCCACGGGCAGCGTGACACATTTACCTATAACTTTGCCAAGCCGACTCACGACTTCGCCTTTGTCATTGATTTTGTACTTGCGACGTGCAATCAACGCGACTTCTCCTTCTATGCATTCTCCGATCGCCACGTTGTCATCGTCGTAGACTTTGCCGTCCGCGTCGACAGTCTTATCTTCAAGAACAGACAATGGGGGCAACTCAGAGTCAGTTGACCCTGCAGGCTTCTCCTCTTCCTTCTCCTTGTCTTTCGAGCTCCAGGATCCCCAAGCGTCGTCATTTTTCTCGTCGTCTTTCTTGACTGCTTTGGCGGAGCCTTTAGGAGGGGGGGGAACCTTGGAAGATTTCGAAGCCATCCCCCAGCTCCATATGCCACTGTCTTGAGTCTCATTGTTTGACTTTTGCGATCCAACGGTTCTACATTTTCCCACCGACTTGTTCTTATAGTCGAGAATATTGCCATTGCCATCACAAAAGTACATCTTAGAACAGAATTCCGCAGCATCGCCCTCGATGACTTGACCGACGAGTTTACCGCTAAAGTCCTTGATGGTCCCATCGCGATCACAGCACAGCCCTTCGAGAGCTGACAGCGGCGGAGCATCCGCATCATCTGTGCCTGCTGAGATGTTGTTCGTGGTAGCTTCTTTCGTAGGATCCGCCTTTGGAATAAGACGAGCTTTGCCAACGACTTTGAATTTCTTGTCCTTGAATTCACCCTTTTCCGAACAGAGGTACAGCCGCCTAGAGATCATAGTAGCATCACCTTCGTAGAGTTCTCCGATGGGATTGCCATCAGTGTCCAGAATTTTGCCGTCTTTCCCGCAGGTGAGACCTTTGAGAACAGAAAGATCCTCATCTTTGACTTCTTCGACGGGGAGTTTGGCGTCAGTTTTCTTGGAGCCTGACTCGAAGCCGCTCCAGACGTTGTCGTCAGGCTTCTTCTCTTTAGCTTTGCTACCCCACATGCCCCAGGAATCATCGGCTTTTTTGTCATCTTTCATAGTCGGTAAGGCGGTCGTGTCGTCTTCTTCCTCCATAAGGTCGGCCCATGAAGCGTCCGCTTTCTTCTTGGTATCCTTTTTGCCGGAGGTCGCAGCAGTGCTACTGCCCCAGCCAGACCAAGAGTCGTGCGAGGCGTCCTTCTTCGTATTTTTCTTGCTCCAGCCTCCCCAGGTGTCATCTTCCTTCTTGGCCTCTGCAGGCGGATCATCAACCTCTTCAATTCCGCCAAATTTCGGCTTCTTTTCGGTTGTCTTCTTCGTGGTTGCGCCACCCCAAGCGGGGAGAAAATCATCCTCATCATCAGCTGGTTTCTTTGAGTCCCCTATGTCGAACGACTTTCCATCAGTACTTGCACCGAAACCGAAGTTGAAGTCGCCGAGACTAGATTTGCTCCAGAAGCCGCCGGAACCGGGACTCTTCTCACCGTTCTTGTCTTTGTCCTCTTCCTTCTTGCCACCAAGGCCGCCAAAACTCCAACTCGAACCCCATCCCCCAAAGCCGAAACCACCTGAGCCAGCAGACTCTTCTTTCTTAGCCGTAGTGGGTTCATCGAAGCTAAGACTGATCTTCGGAGCACCAAGATCCAGCTCGTCGTCCAATTTTATCTCGTGGAAACTCTCTTCGGCGGGTTTGCTCGGTTCTTCGGCCTGCTTCTTCTTGTTCTTCTTCTTTTTCGAACCAGAAGTGAAGCCAGCCCAATCTTCGTCTTCTCCCCCGCCAGTAGTGTCTGCCCATGCATTCGTGCTCGCTGCGGGATCTTCGTCGACCTTTTTATCGTTCTTCTTATTCTTCGCGGTTGACCATGAGTTCCACTCATCCTCGCCGCCAACGCCCGCCCAGGCATCCTTTTCTTCTTTCGGCTTTTCCTCTTCTTCTTCATCGTCTTGTTTCTTCTTCTTCTTGTTCTTCTTGTTCTTAGTTCCGCTCCAATCATCCCACCCGTCTTCGCCCCTGTCGCCTCCATTTCCATCGTCACCACCTGTGCCACCTCCACCACCACTTTGCCCACCTGGTGCATCGCCCGCGCCACCGTCCGCATTTCCATCTGCAGCGCCTTCTTCATTCTTTTCATTGCTGTTGGAGGTGAAGGCAGCAGGCTGGCCTTTCTTTTTATTCTTCTTGGCATGGGAACGGACAGCGTCCACCGAGGAGAAGTCGATGTCAGGCAATTGCGAAGGAAATGGATCGGACGTGTTGAATGCTCCGGAACTTTTCTGTGGAGAGCCAGCAGGTGCTTCCGAGGGCAACGAGAGCGGGCGTTGTGCAAGCGATTCTGAGCAAGCGTGTTCAAAGCGTGGATCGCAATTCAAATCTTCGTCCGACGTTGATCGGGGGGTGATTGACGGGGCTGTGGGTGATTTTAAGTCTTTGAACTTGCGCGTTGGCTGCAACGGTGAGACAACGTTGTCGGCAGTCTGTACAACACGTTAGACGGCCAAGTTTACAACGGAGCTACGAGACATGTCTCGATTCCAGGTGCTGCGCAATTCTACATGTCGCCCGGAGACAGAACTCGAGGTACGTACGTCTGTGATTGAGCTCGACTTGCAAGTCTCAGCCAGAACTGTCAAGATGGTCTGCTGCAAGTATATACAGGCAATCCCGAAGTCAAGATCGGAACGTGCAGATGCAGTCCAGTTGGTCTGCCACTCATCCCACCCAGTCCTCGATTGCGGGGTCTTTAGTCTCCGCAATCCGCAGTCGTGTCGCCTTGCGACGGGATATGCGACGATAGCAGCCATGACGGTTGTCGTATTCGGAACACGAAGCACACTGAGTCGTGGAGGTCGAGCGCATTGGAATGTAGATCGAGAGCGAGTGACAAGCTTGCGATGCGATTGCTACGAATGCAGGTGCAGAGGCGGCGAATTGCTTTGCTCTGCAGTTGCACGAGTGAGAAAGAGATCGGGTCTTTCGCCTAGCAATTCACACGGGAGGAGGGAGTGAAAAGAAAACGGCGTTGTCGCCTTCCGAGCAACAACAGCGAGGTAAGCTTTTCCGGATCAGAGTTCGCTCCAGCGGTGGAACCAAGGAGCACGGGGTAGACGGTGACTTGGGAGACTTTTGTGCTATACGACGAAGGGGGTGGAGGGATGAGGCGATCACGAGTCGGCTTTTTTGTCTCAGCCGTGGAAAGCAAGTTTGTGCCAGCCTCTCACAATCTCCAACGACCCCTGCAATCGATACCGGCGTCGCCTATCGAGGGAACGGGCCACCACCACAAAGGAGGCGCGAAATTAGAGAAAATCCAGAGCCGTGTACAAGCACCGCTCGCACGAGGAAAAAGGTGAAGCTCTCTGTGTTGTGGTGGAGGAGAAAATGACTGCCATTAATCGGCAGGATGAGGAAGACGCACGCCTCATGCGCGCCCGGGAGGCCAGGGCAGAGCTTGAGCACACAGCTTCCGGGAAACGCCCTAACCTTCACGCGATGCTGCAGCGTAAGTGGAGAACGTAGGGCCTTGTCGGGCTCCCATTCGTCTCATTCGATCGTGACCTCGCTCACCGCAACTGCTGGCGTGAAACTCGATCGCTCTCGGGGCACCAGTCAGGGCTCGAACTTGGTCGCTGGAGCCAATGGAGCGCTGCCACTTCTGAGTGACGACGGAGTTTGCGTTGTTTTGAATGGAGCCCGTGTTGCTGTCGAGAGCAGCCTTTCCAAGGAGCCTGCAAGTCAGTGGCCATCCTTATTTCCTTCGACGCGTTCATGACGCGGGTCTCGTCGTAATTATGCAGTGAAGAATTTGCTCCGCTGTGCATGGACGCCTGCTGCCGCCGAAATAAATGGACTATGCGTAGCACACATGCATCTCAGCATGCTATAGCGAGTTGGGAACAGCGCCCGCACCCAGACTTCCGCTCGAGCGGCCTCACGGGCGCGACCGTGGATGTGTCTGTTGATCCAGAGGGCTTTTCGTGTCGGTATAAAGTGCGAGAATGGTGATGTCGAAGTGAATTCCCCAACCGACTTCGGCATGAAACCTGCAAGTGAGTTAAGGAAACGGGTCCTCCCAAGGCTGAGATGCAACGATGACGACGGACGAACCGTTCTTTCCTCGTAGCCGAGGGTCTCATGCACGATTCCGAAAACACGCAGAGGATTGGGGAAAAGTGTTAGCGGAAGAATTAAAAAAAGGTCAGAGAGAATATGAAGGAAAAAATTTTCTCGGCATCGCAGCGGCTGACACCCAAGTTCGGGCTGCAACAAGATTTTGCGGGCATCAGTCTCACGTTGGGGATGAGAAAGGCACAGAGCGAGTGAGAGAGGCAACAAACGCCGAATCTCGTTAACTTGGATCTCTGCGTGAAGGGGAATCATACAGTGGCTGCTGAAGCAGCACTTGGTCAATGTTTGTTTTTCAAAGCTTTGGAGGCTCTCTCCTCGTCGTTTCGAGACTCACTCCTCCACCATCGCTCCCTCCCGATGTCAAGCTCCCATTCCCGCTCGTTCCACCATTGCCGCCGAGCCTAGTCATCGACAGCAGATGGTTTATTTGAGAACGCAGCGCCGTGATCGTACCGTTGACCGTGTAAAACCGCTGGCCGTTCTGCTGAACGTAATTCATCATTTCCATGTGCAACCGAGCAGCTTCACTAGTCGCGTTGTCGAGACGCGTGTTGTAATCTGCAGTCAAGTCATTCAGTCTGGCATGAAGCTCGTCAATGCGGTTCGCCGAGACGGCGGACGTCTCAGTATTCATAGAACGGTGCCGCTCCTTCTTGATGCTCTCTGCGAGCTTCGTATATTTGCCTTCGAGAGCCTCAAGTTTGGCGTTTAGAGAGTCAACCTGGCAACGCAGCCGTTTGTTCTCTTCTTGAAGCGTTTGCTGTCTCTCGTTCATCTCCGCAAAGTACGACGACATGGTCGCCATCGGACATGACGCGATGTGTTCGTCCATCACCATTCTTCGATCCTCAAACTTGCATCCAACTACGTGCCCAACGCATTTGATCGTCGTCATCGGGCAGTCCACCTCTAAATGGGTCTTCACTCGCCCACGTCGCAGCTGGGCGTGACAGCAGTCGCAGTTGACTAGTGCGGCGGGGCACTTGTTTTCTTCATGATCCTACAATTTTTCGTCAGATCTAACTATTACCCCACAATTTTTGACAGAAGGTCTCACCGCAATGTCTTTTTCCATGACAAGGTCGCTGCACACGTCACACTCTATATGCGTGTGGAGACAGCCCTTGTCGTAAAAGCGCCGTTGAATGCTGCCCCCACAATTCGACTTGGGGCATCGAAGTTCCTCATACTCGCAATACTTGCTGACATGATCATTCACTGTATATCGCTTGAGCCGTTGTAGACAGCCTTCGTATCTGTTTGGGCACTCGACCTCGAGCTCGTCCAGAAGCTGGTTTAGAAGCCTTGGGACCGGCTTCAGAGTTTCCACGGGTTGTCGGCATTTCGGACATAACGAAGCGTTTGGTATACCACAGGAAAGGTGTCCGTATATACAATCTTCACAGAAAGTATGCTCGCATCCGAGCTCCATGGGCTTGACGAACGGAGCAGCACATATGGTACACACCAGCGATTCGTTCGGCGGCTCCACAAAGTCCAGATCTCGTAAATCGACTTCTAGAGAGATAGATTCGCGAGCGGCTATCCTTTTCATCTCGTACCTGGTCATGAAGCATGATGCTGATATGGGCGCATTGACGGGTGTGCTGCTTGCACTGCTATGTGCTTCCTCAGGAATATTGAGTTCGTGCATGATCGAGGTGTATGTTTGGGCCGGCCAGTCGAACTCTTCCGACTGGAAAGTCTCGTGCTCCGTAGTTTCCTCACTCATGTTGGCGAGCGGTCCATACAGACTATGTGCAAAGCTGATGGCCTGTCGCACTACCAATCCTCGGCCTTGCGGAAGCGGGTCGCGCACCTTTGCTGGAATACCGCGCAAACTAGACCTGGACAAGGCCTTGAAAGAGTCTAGATTGAAGGGTAGAAAGGATGGGTTTGATTATGAAAGAACTAGCCTTCGACCGGTGGCAACTTGAGGTTGAGGGAGTTTCGATAGACATATGGCATGCCACATGCCCGCCATCCCCCACCCCCGGAAATGTGATGCCTTGTTGCCCAGCGCGTCTCGGATGCCGAACCGGTGGCATCGCCAACGTTTGATACTCCGACAGCGCTCCAGGCGGCAACAATCTGGCCTTGACTGTCGAAAATATCCGTATTCTCAGCAGTTGCGTCGTCCAAGTCTGTCCCTCACTCCGGAGACCCTGTCGAGCCGGATCGCATAACATTTGTTGCTGGCTATGGCTGCCTCCAACCCTTCACAGCTCTTCCTTCTGGCAGACCATATCAAGCTGTCGCTTTTAGAAAGGCAGAGGGCCATATCCTTGAACCTAGCTCCAAACACACAGGACGCGCAGATATCGAGGAGTCTAGATCAATTACAGTCCGGAATCGCTGCGCTGGAATCGCAGGCCTCCGGCTGGGACGACCCTCTGAATCCGACCTCAGAGCAACAGGAGTAGGTCTCACTGTGTTGAATAAGCAGACTAGTAGACGTATTGTCTGACCTGCATATCAGATTCTCTGAACAAGTCAAGCGGCTCAAGTCCCAATACTCCGACCTCTCCTTACAGTTCCGCGGCTCCCAGCCAAATGACCCTTCAACCTTAACCTCGCCCAACGATCCTGCCTTGAGCGCGGACTTCTCTGCTGCGAGCTCGAGGAAACCTTCCAAATCGGTCAGATTTACAGACAACCCCTCGGCTTCGGCGGCCGGTCCGACTCAGAACAAGTATGCGCCGTACCGTGACGACCCATCCGACGAGGAACCGCCAGATCACTCGCAACTGTCGAACCAACAGATTCACGAGTACCACCAGGAAGTGCTACGCGAACAAGATGAGCAGCTAGACAGACTCGGTGAAAGTATAGGCCGGCAACGGGATCTGTCCATCCAGATTGGCAACGAGTTGGATGATCATGCCATGCTTCTCGACGAAGTCGACGAGCGAGTGGATCGGCACCAAGGCCAATTGGATCGAGCAAACAAAGGATTGAACACATTCGCAAGAAAGGCGAAAGAGAATTGGAGCTTGACCGTCATTATACTTCTTATAATCATCTTAGTTCTTCTAATCATAATCACCAAATGAAAGCTGATGGCGGTGGTAGGAGTTTATTAGGTACTTTGGCTCTCGTCTTCGCTTCCGTCGGTGTATATCATAGGCAATGGGGTTTTTTTTATATAGACTATAAGGCGCAGGGCTCGATCGAGCGTACTAAGTACAGTGCAGCGCCAAAGTCATAACATATCAATCTGCCTTGTTCATACATTATGATGGTCGCATGCTAGCTTTTTCCCATGTCCATTCTGAACGTTTGCTTATGGTCAAGACTAGAACCTCAGATTGCCCACCGAATTTGATCAGACATTTAAGCCATTTGATACACAAATTCCCAATCTAGAATCTTTAACGTTTCGCGATTATACCTTTTGCTTCGCAGCTTTTGCAGATTCTTCTTGAAGCTTCTGAATCGTCTCTGAGGAAGCATCTATCTCTCCACGCTCAGCCTTGATCTGTCCATAACGTTAGCGTATACGATGTATGCACTTGTACTCCTGACGACTTTGCTCATGGGATGTGGACAGGTCGCTTGAATGCTTCCACGACCGAGACAACTACTGATTCCAACTACTCAAGCAAGGATTTCAGATGAGTTTAAGAGGGATCATGACGTACAATTGATTCGCTGTTGCTGGCGAGCTCATCTTGCCAATGTTGCTTCCCCTCTTTTTTCTTCTTCAGCTGATCTTGCTTGTGGGTTTCAATCTCCTCGCCACGGCCCTCGGTATCTGGTCACCTTTGTTAGCCTCAGGTGACATCGTAAACATGATACTGCATCTTCGGCGATTCCTGATCTTCCTCCGCAGCCCTTGAAAACTCTGAAAGGCCGCATAATTGAAGCTAGCAGCAAGATCCAGGATGAATACGTACGCAACTTGTCTTCCTTCACTGCCGCCAGGCGCGCAGACGTCGAGAACGTAGCTCGTGGAACGTTGAAGGTTGAGAATCGGAAATAACTCCGCTGTACCGACTGTCGAAGGGCGGCCATCTTACTTGCAGTTGGCAAAGCTCATCAAAGAGTTGGCGATTTCAGACGAAGGATTAGAGATGGATCAGATCTTTCGAGCTCTCGAGCTGGTCAAGGGATCTTTTCAAGGGTTCAGAGCACGAGAATGATGAACCTCGTCGGACAATGAACCTTGCAATAGCCGAGAGGTGGAATGATGTCACAACATAGTCATTGCACCATGGCTTCTGTCAGGGGTCTTTGTCTTCTTAGGAAAGGATCCATCCTCTTTGCTATCTTAATGTGATGGAAAGTTTCTCATTCGCAGCATGTAGACATCGCAGAGCTTAGGCGTAGAGGAACGAGAGCGATCCCCTAAGAAGAGTGAAAGAGTATACACCACACTCTGTTCTGATTTAGACAATAAGCTCTTCATGTTCATGGCTGTTCGATGTAAACAATAGCAAAATAAGAAGAAATATATACGTCACTCTTTTTCCATCTACGCCTTACACTAAACCTCTCGTAGACCGATCAAATGTTCAGAAATAGATTGGAGATCGCCTTCGTAAGCTGAGGCAAATCGTTCAAGCGGCTTAGCCTTTTCACATCTTGCTCATGGTTTCGGATTCGATAAGGGGAAAGAGTCATGCAGTCCACAACACAGAGTATAAGGAGATCGTATTGATCCAGAATATGTATGCTAGAGTAAGAAAACAAATCGCATGCCAACTCATTCGTCCCACTTATGCGCAAACCGCCAGCGCAAAAGCCTTGATAGTAGAAACCATGTACAAACGAAAGTTGAGAACAAATATGCCAACGCCGCTTCCTCCCCTTCTTCAACAAAATCAGTTGCTAGTATTCTGTACATTCGAAGAGGCCTCCTTCAGTATATTTTGCGCCATCATCCCATCTTCATACAGTCTTTGACAACAGCAGACGTTGGTATATCCATCCCACACACGCAGCCCAACAGCAGAACACCGACGCTTGTTTTAGTAAGTGTAGAGATATGTATATCGTGAATCCCAGACCCGATCCCAGAATAGGTATGCTAAGCAAAAGTAAGCCAGCAGGGCGCCCACATGAGCGACTTGTCATAGTCGCTAATTTTTCCGTGACGTGAATGGTCTTTTTCTCTTCGAACCCACCAATAAATGACAAGACAACACCGAGCATATGCAGCAGTTAAAGAAACTAACATCAAAAGACAGGCCGTAAGCTGAGACTGGGCCGTCCAAATACAAGGCAAAAACGCTTCTCTAGGAATGCACGTTCAAGAAGGCTAAACAAGTATGCTGCAACGCCGTCTGCCCAGGTACAACAGAAATAGTATCACCGTTTGTTTAAGTAGAAGAGCGTAAAGAGGTCTTCGTAGAGTTAGCTTTATACAAAGAAGTCGTTTTGTTGACGTTCAAAGGGGTTGGTTCATCGTCTCGTGTGGGGGGTATCCAGGGGGTATCGCATCGAGGACGAGATGATGATTATAAGTAAAGGTATATCCGTTCAAGAGACTTGTCAGAACACAAACGGTGAAGATTCCATCCGCCTACCTGGCCAACGAAGAACGCTGCAAACACTATTATGGCCCACACTGTGGAAGAAGCGAGCTGCCAAGACTGGTCGGCGACAGTCCTAGGACAACCGCCCTACCATCGACGGCTGTTCATCGCCTGCTGCATCATCCTGGCTGGAGATACGGATGGTGGTGGCGAGGCTACTGCACGGGTCGACGGGTCCACGATTGGGATGGCATTGCGGGTTCGCTGAGCTAGGGGAGCATGGATCTTCGTTTGCGCGGCAGCGGACGAGGACTGGCTGCTGTAGGTAGCGGAATTGAAATTGCCGGATGACGGCGGCAACAAGAAGTTCGAGGATGGTTGTATTTGGTGCTGGAGCGGAGAATGCTCGGGAGAGCCGCTCGAGAGCGACGATCGGTCTGAGCCAGTCGAGTGGATAGATTGCAGCTGCGAAAGGAGTCAGCCGTGTACAGATGAAGCAAGGGACGGTGTCATGTACACCTGGAGCTAGGACCAGGCTGAGGGGAGGGTGCAAACTTACGTCGTCCTCAGTGAGCAAGTGGAAGGGGCAGAACAGCTCGTCGTCCTCGATGTCGAAGGAACGCGCAGCCTCGAACTCGCGGCGGAAGCTCAGTTCCATTGCAGACTCTATGGCAGCCTCCTTTTTGAGCTGCAGAGCCCGTATCTGCTTCTGCTCGTTTCGGTGATGGTAGCCCGTGGTCCGGGTGGATCGCCTCGACCGACCGGCGTGATGTTGGTGTGAAGAATGCATGTTCGAGTGTCCTGAATGCTGCTGTGCACCGTAGTAGAAGTTCGACATGTTCGCTGAGGGACCTTCACGGAGGAGTCTGAGAAGTGGTCGTTCTGAAAAGCTGGTCGAGGGGTTGAGATTGCGATGTGTCAGGCGCTTAGAGCAGACAACAAGGACCGGAGGCGCGGGCGAGGGGATACTGTGGCAAGGACGAGAGTTCAAGACGAGAGATCAGAACGTGCGAGCGGGATTGTCGAATAATGCCTTTGAAGAAGCCGAAGCTGGAGAGTGGGCTGGATGATGTACAGACTGGATGTTGGGTGGATGGAGGCGGAGCAGCTGTGTGGAAGAGACGAGAGGGCTGTGAGGGAAAGCGACAGCGGTTGTTTTGGGGGACTGGGAGCAGGCAGGTGCAGAGTGGGCCCCGGCGCGCGCATTGGCCACCTCTGGATCCCAGCTGCGACCGCCCATGCTGCTTCTGGCCTAGCGCGGACGCAGGCCCCGTCCACCGCAATCGCATGACCAATGGCTGGCGCTTGCGCACTCGCCACCTCGCCCGTTCAGCGAAGATCGCTCAGTCTCGACGGCCTTCGGGCGATGGCCCTTCGTTGTGCCAACCAGCAGCGGGCCTGGGATGTCACTCCAAGGGCTGGCACGCAATTCCACCATCTGCTCATTTCCTTCAAGACCGGGCAGGGTTTTGCCAGCAGTCAGGGACCCGTTCACTAATGGCGCTGCTCTTGCAGCGATACGCTCCTGTGCCACCTCTGAGAGGCTCCCTTTCCCTCTCTTCTCCAGGTGGGCGAGATGGCCTGGAAGAACGGGCGTCAGTAGCACCAGCCAGACACGAAAATGCGCCCGACGGCTGGCATACCGGGCTCACACCGCTTGCAGCGCAGAGCTGCAAATCGCCAGCCATACCGTGCAAACAGAGTTTTCACACCACACAGCGTGACACCCTCCCGACATGGCCTGCCTCCGCCGCCATCCACCCCCATCCTTCCTTCCTACGCTGAAATGGCAGTCTCATCATGATCAGAGTCTTGCCCATGGTTGTTGGCCGCTCAATAATGCAGATGCCATCTTCCACTGTGCTGCTCCTCAGTGCGTGGTTGGTTGGTGCACAACCGTCAGCCCTACTCTGCAGGTTCTGCTTCCGTCCCTCCCTCAGGATGCTTGCTGTTTGGGTTTCAGCCGAGCCCATTATTTTATGCGATTACCACAGTATCGATTTTGTCTTGGCTGTCCCCACGAACGTCGCTCGCTTCTTTGACTCGCCGCCCACTGATTCGGCAAACGCGGAGCTTTTTGCACGAGTCTTACGCAGGCCCCTGCTGCCAAATTGACATCATTAGCTTCCGCTGTTTGGGCGAGAAAGGAACCTTGCTAAGATCCCCCCAACAGTTGCATGTTGACCAGATGAATCGACCCGGTACGGTTGCGCTCATGTCAGATCGTTGAGTGCCATTTTTTAAATGGTGTATCACTGCTTCTGGGCAACACGTGCGCGTTGCCCGGAGTATGCCACTTTGATTGAAGAAAGATCTGGGTTGAGGCTTACGACTCAACCATTTCTTACTTTGCGAGATCCTGCCTTGTACCACTTTGACTCAAAAATTCGATGCCAAATTGTGAAGCCCTCGGCCCGCCACTGTGACACAGCGGTGTAGCTGTAGACCGGGCTCGATGGCGTAGGGTGGAAGTTGTCTCGTTCGTCGTTCATTTATCAAGACCGCGTGCCTTGACAAACCTCGTCACAGCCTCCTTGCAGGCTTTGTCGTTGAACGATTCCCATATTTCATATAATGAGATGAGTTCTTGCGTGCAGTCGACTATTGCCTCAATGCTCACAGAGCTCTCTGCAAGCCACGTCATGAGCTTTTGGATGCGGTTTTGCTGTCCACCCGTGGATCCGGTCTGCGCGGAGAGCGCATGCTGCATTGCCGCTTGTATGTTCTGTGCTTGTAGCTGCCCTCCTTGACCTGGCTTGAGAACTACGGCAAGAAATGCTGCCGTGATGGCGATAACGTGGGGTGGGTGGAGTAACGGCAGATCTGTAAGATAATGATCATTGAGAATAGACCACGCCAGAGATACCTCTTCCTGGGTAAGTCCTAGGCTCGTTTGTAGCTCCGTAAGGTCACGGTACGGATGGTGTATTATCAACTGCGAGTTCATCTCTGATATGAGCTGAAACTCGCATTCACCTAGCTTGGAAGTGTCTGAAGTAACGCAATCTGTGGTCAAGTAAGAAGTACGTAACAGTCGTCTGCGGTGTTGGGAAACTTACCAGACCAGAACTGCCGCGCTTCTCCAACGACTACACGAATGTGTTGTGGAGCCTCTTCCATCTTACACGCAAGATAGAATGCCGTACACAGCACAAGATATGGATTCGTGGTCCTTATCTCTCGCTTCAAGTAGAATCGGCGCATGTACACTTGGGCGGTTGCTAGAACTTGCTGCCTCGCGTTCATGCGTCGTCCCAGCTTGCCGAGTTCTCCTAGCGACGTTGTTAACTGGCTGTGCGGAACCTGTTGCGCTGAGTGCCTACGGTAAGAAAGGTAGATGTTGAGAAGGCGTCGGTCTGGCAAAGGATACTGTGAAACAAGCTGCTGATTCTCTTGCTCCATAGCCTTTCGCATCTCCGAAAGCTCTTTCTTCGTAAAAGTCCAGTACTTCCTTTGGGATGACTCCCAGTAGTTGGCTGCCATGTTTGAAGGTCCACGACACAAATCCAAGTCAAAGTATGTGATATTTCTCTGCGAAAGTTTTCTCACCGGCCTTTCACTGCTCTAAATCAGAACTGCGTACGCAGTTAGACGAGGGTGCGCACTCGGAACACCAATTTCGATTGTAGGAGTTTCCAAAAATACAAAAGTGTGCGTTGAGAAGGTGGATCTAAGCCGCGGACGAAGGTGTGGGACGATGACACTCTCGTACCGAATTTGGCAAGCGCCACAAAGCAGCCTCGCCATCAGCCTTGCCTGTTCCGCCCCGTTTGTGAGCAGGAACGTAGGTAGAGACAATGTTCTATCTACCTATTTTATTGCAGACTCGAATTTTTTTTTAAAAAAAATTCTCCAATCAATTTGTCAAGACATGGCAGCAAAAAGCGGACATAGGCCAAAGATAAAATAGCATTTTCAGCAAAACGCCATCCTATGCTCTAACCAGAGCTTCCTAATAGTACAGAATGTCTGATCTTGAGTGGAAAGACCTCCAATGCACGCAGAGGGCTCAGGGGCTATATACGACAACAGATTACCATGATACATCTTCCTCAGCTTCCCTCTTATGCGCGTTAACAAGCGCAAGACCGCGTTCGACATCAGCTTCATCGAGATAGAATCGTCGCATTCGGCCTGCAATTCTCGGATCTAGCACCATATCATCGTTCCACACACTCTCCTTGTTCGGATCGCGGTCCTTGCGAACTGACTTGTGCCAATCGAGTTCCTCCTTCTTGAGCAGGCTCTCCTGCTCCCAGACGTCACGATCGCCTGGTTCCGAGGATTTGTCTTCCTGATGTGGAGCTGCGGTGGGTGAAGCCGAATCTTCCACGAATGGACTTGTAGCCATTGACCCGCTGGAGTGCTCAAAAGGTCTGTAACGCGCGAAGCATGCAGCTGCTACTTCGCGACCAATTTCATCTGCAAGCTTACGCTTATTGAGGTACCTGTATATGCGTATGGGAGTATTAAAGAAGCCTAGTAGATGTGGAAAGACGATGACAGCGGACGGGCCGAGTTCTGAGGGTAACGATGGAGGTAATGGAGCAGATGAATACGCAGATGTTGATATGAACGGCGGCGGTTGCTTGGGCTTTTTGGGCTTTTCATCCTCTTTGGGTTTCTCTTCTGCCTTCTTTTCATCGATCGACCTCATCTGTTCGCTATCATGAACGACTGTGCTTTCCTCGGCAGGTAAAGTGTCTTCTGTTTTCGCTGACGATGAGGGATCTCCCATCTTCTGTTCATCAGGTTTGCCGTCCGGCCTTGATTGCTCCTCCAAAGCCTTTTCGACCTCTTCAGGCATGTCTACCGGGCCCAGCCATCCTTCATGCAGACCCCGAACATACTCTTTCCATGTGTTTCTACCAATGACGATATCTCCAGCTGGACCATCCCACTCTTTCACCCCGAGCTTGTTCCGCATGTCCTCGATCATGACTTCCAGCTCAGTGTCCGGTACGGTATTCTTCGTAGCTTCACCAGCCATCTTCCGCCTCTTTCTGAGCCATTCCGCAAATGCAGCTCTCACATCACCTTCGCGACGACCCTCGATAGCGTCCCAGTCAAGACCGGCGGACACAAGGATCGGGCGAACATATTCATGGAAATGCTCGCGGGCATTCAGCAACCCATCGGCAGGAGGCGCGGCCAAGAAGATTGTGAGCTTTCGTTGCATTTGATTCGATGGCAAAGGTTCCCGAGCGAGATGCGCAACTGCGTCGGCCCACTTCTTCTGGATGCGTTTCTTTTCCCTTCGATCGTAGTAAACGGCCGCTGACCACGATCCCACAATGGTCCAAAAGATCATCCAGTTTCGCGACGGTAATTTGAAGCGAAAGTTTGGCATCCCTGTGAAATGCTGATCAGAAAACATTGGAAGATGGGTAGAATCGCATTCGGGTACGCACCCATCATCTTAAAAAAAGGATTCTGCTTCGGTGCAGCCTTTGGAGCGCCATCAGTTTTAGGAGCGACAGGAGGCTCTGAACCTCCCGCCGATGCTGGCTTTTCGTCCGCCATGGTGGATGGGCGGATATGTGCTCAAGAGATGGCCTCTCGTTGGCATCAAAAAAGTTGAGGACCCTTGTCCCGATATACGGACATTTCGCCCTTGGCACGCTTCTTGCCTATTCGGGCGAAAAAAGAGGCGCGCACCGCGTCGAGGTGAATCATTTTCGACTTGCAGTCGATCATGATCCATTGCTTCTCGATATGTATACCGCTCAAACAAATCAAACCAGCACTCGTCAGTTGTTATCTTGCACTGTATGTGTTGTACCAGCCTCCCAAGACAGCTTGCGTGCTTGGTACGCGACTTGCAGATACTTTTAAAAACATTCTACAATTATAATGATACAACTGTCCGAATTCGAAAAGACTTTGCCACGGTTTGCCAAAGAATGACCACAAAAGTGCTACACGGATTCAATATCTTCACAAATATGGTTAATAGCGCCTGTTTGCCTTTATCCTTACACAAAGCCAATCTCCAGTATGCTCTAGAGCGATGTTCGCCAAATGCCAGATGCTTAACCAATAGGTTGAATGCTGCTTCCCACGTATGACAATGCAGGCGTTTTATACATCGGCTCAGAATCGAAGGCAGGACCGTGAGTGTCGCGCCCAAGCTGTGTTCGAGCTCAGCAGCACCGGCTTTTGATATGAGGTCGTCTCAACGGACTGTATTTTTTCACCTTTGCGCCCTTCCCCAAACCTTGTATTTCAATACAGGGCTTGTCCCGTGTAATCATGGCTTGTTCAAGAGTCCACGCAAAGTCGCTGGCAACGGAACTCCATTGTCCTTGTGTTCGGATATCATCGAGCATCGAAGTCCAGTACTTCATCGTCATGATTCCGTCCGTTCACTGTTGTGCGTGTGCGCACAGAGTCCTTCCTTGAGGGCACAGGATCTGGCGGCAATGGCTTCATGCCTCTCAGATACTGGGCGTAGAGCTTCGCCGACGCTTGACTTTCGTTCAGTGTAGTCGCGTGTTCGGCCTTCTGAGACCCATTACGCGAAACTGGATGGTGCGGCGGACGAGCTTGCTGGTGGGCATTCAGCGATCCTGTGATCTCCTCTTTTTCAACAAGAACTGCAACAAGAGTTAGACAAGCGTCGTGTGAGTTTCTCATTGGAGCATACCAATCATCCATACTCCGATGCGGCAATCTGACCCGAGCAGAGGAGTACAATGCATCCACCGCGGCTTTCCATGTGGCCCGTTCACATTATCTGTGGATGGGCTTGGTAGCCACGAAACTTTGGCAGTAACGCCAACACCTTGCTGAAATGCCTCTAAAATACCTTCACGAACGTGTTCCGGGCCACCAATTCGCGTCATCAGTCTTGATTGCACCAGGCCTGGAATGCGCAGCGAAGGTGAAGTGAACGTGATTCGTAATGAAGGAAAAGGTCGTACCAGCAAGTAGTTCTGATACACGCCCGGCAACGACGGGCCTAAATGGCGTAAAGGCCACAGGTTCTTCTCTTCCAGATGCTCCATGCCAAAGTGCCGTCTCGCCGCGCCCTGCTTCGCCCGTCCGGATGGCGACGGTGGCTCGCTGCTGTTTTCTGCCATGCTTGACTTGAGCAAGTCAATTTCTTCAGCGTTAAGCATGTGACCAAGTTCACCAAGCGCAAGGCTGCTCTTCTTCTTGACAACATCTCCAAATCTTCTCTCAGCATGCTCTTTAGCAAGCAGTCTTTGGAACGAGTCTATTCCTCGACCCTCGTCGATCAGATTCGTGACGTCAATCTGGCAGCCTATGAAGTACCGTATTCGGCCTTTGTTGTCATGCAATGGCGAAATCATCAAGAGATTGAGGAATGGGCTTCCATCTCTTCTGTAGTTCAAAATGATCTCGCACAGCTCGCTACCGTGGGCGATGCCATCGGCAACCCTCTTTCGAAACGCGGCTAGTGTGTCCGGACCGTTCAAAAACCTACAGTTGCGTCCAATGACGTACTCCATACCGTACTGTGTTGTACGATAGAATTCTTCAGAGGCGTAGATGATCGGATTGTCGGGCTGAGACGGATCGGTCAGGCAATACACCTCTGCAATGTTCCGCACCATGTCTTGCATAAGCGGTATGTTCTGGCCGGTGATCTCCTTTACAAGACATTCAGTCACCATGTTTACCAGACGGTATGTGATGAATGCTGGCAACGCGTGTTCAACCAGAAGGTTCTCTGCGCTCGATGAGCGCGATTGGAACGTCTCATTGAACATGGCTGCTGGCGTCAAGTTGCCTCCGACTGAATCTCGGCTAAGATATGGTAAGCCTTGTGCTATCGCGTTGGCGTAGTCCACGGCCGCCTTTGCTTTTTGCGTGGCTTGGTAACGAGCAAGAATGGGGAAATATTCTGGCTTGTACTTTTGCAAAAAGCTCGCGAAGCGAGCATAGAAAGCACGGTCTAGCAGTATGAGTTGCAGGTGCTCTGCTGAAAACAGCTTCTTGCTAATGGCAGCGGCATCGATGTGGTTCACCACGCGAGGAGGCTGTAAATCAAAATTACGCCCATCTTCGCGAGGACTTCCGCCGTCGCTTGAGGCGACCCGCGTATCTTTGAGTTGTTCGACTATGATCTCGTGGGTCGAGGGAATTGGCGACGCAGTATTGGTGGATGATTGCAACGATTGATGCGCCGCTTGCTGAACAAAATGTGGTATGTCCTTGGGCAGTAGTCTATCTGGATTGAAAGTGTTTTGACTACTTGACAGAGACGCGGAGCTACCTATCCGACGAATGCTTCGATCACTGGGCTCTTCTATTGGTAAGGACGGTGCGGCCTCTGCCATGGCGAGTGCGGAGATCGCCAGCAATGCAAGTCGGAGACCAAGTCGGTACTATTGGTCAAAGATTCTGACGAAGTAAGACATTGAGTTCATAAGGATATAAAAACAGAAAAAAAATTTTTACATTAGAGACGGAAGACTAGGAGACCCCGAAACAGCGAATGGCAAGGAATACAGACATAATGTACTCTGGAATCAATGGCTGCACGCGCGCGGGGGTTCGACGAACGAGACCCAAAACGCAAAAGGTCGTCTGAATCATGGTCGCGATCTTTGCACGTAAGGTGATCCGAATACCGCTGACAATGATACGCATGCTTGGAACTGCAGATAGGCTCGAGTAGCGGCGATTTCAACGCTGGAGAGCCCTCAAGTAGCGAACGAAGAGCAAGGGGGTACACATCGGCCTGAGCTAGGCTTGCACATGGATATCCCGTCATGCTTGAGCCGTGATCGCAACACGCTCTGGGGCGCAGTGATGCCGAAGTCAGCTTCTGCGCCGTCATTCTGCGATACATTCCCTGCGTTGCGCGCGGATGGCGGATTCTAGAGCGCTGAGAGGATGCCAGGCACTGTTTCCGATCCTCAAGACCTGAGCATGCCACAAAGCATCGAGACAGGGGCACAGTCGAACCAGTCCGTACCTGCGCAAAGAAAGACTACGTCAGATACAAGGGATGGCGGACGGGGCGTGGGAAAGAAAAGAGTGGACGTCGCGCCGCGCCCAGCAGGAGAGGCAAAAGCATAGGTCCGAGTTGAACGTGAAAGCAGTACGCACGGCAACTTGTGCCAGCCCACTGTCGCCTTGTCCGTCCTGCTTTTGTGGGCAAAGCGTGCCGATGCAAAGACGACATTGGCATGACGTACCTGAAGACTCCGACCAACTCCCTCGTGGTTGGCCCGCCTCTGTAAACGAGTTGCGGGCTACGGATCGGCAGGCGGTGGCCTTTCGCGAAATGCGCACTGGCTCGCACACTTGGTGTCGCACTGTCGCGGCGCGGAACTCACTGCACGGCGCGAGCACGGTGGGTGTGCAGACTGACGAGATGCCCTGCCAGACGGTGCGAAACGTGCGATGAGAGCGTCCAGACGTTCGCAGGCCACGCCCCCAGCTGCGCCCGCGACGTACGTTGATCGGCAGACCATGCGGACGGCTCTTTTCGATGCGCTCGGGGTGGTGGTGGTGGTGGTGATCACAAAAGACGGACAACGTGGCTGCTCCTCAGCTCGTCACACCAGCAACCCTTCACCCCTTAAGCAAGAAATTTGCGCGTCCAAGATGAGGTTCTCGGAGAAGGGAAAATCGTTGAGACGGGACTTGGGCGGCATGCCTGACTGGACAATCTTTTCCTAAACGACGCCAGTGCTTGGTTTCATTTGATTGCTTGATGCAACCAGGTCCGGGGAGCCACAGGCTTGGACCGTATATTTTGGCAGCGTCAATGAGAACCTCACTTCGTCTCCGCCGTTGCAGTCGGGCAGTGCAGCGCAAGTGTTCCTGTCACGACGCCGGCTCGGGCACCAGACACAGGAGTCAAGCGTCGCCGGCAGACTGTGCTCTCTTCGTAGCGCGCCGTGGTTCGAACGCCGTTCGCCTTTGTAGCAAGACCGAGAGACAGACGTGGACTACGCAAACCCGGAGCACACACGACGCTCACCGTACGGCGAGCCCGACAAGGTGGACGTCGAGGGCAAGTCGAGACACGCACAGCGCTGCCTTTGTGTGGTGAGGCGAGCGTGTGCATGTCGCGCAAGCGCAGACGGGCCAGGAGCCAAAGCCACCGCGCGGCAGCGGTCGCGCCGCCGACACAACGACAAGACACAAGTCTAAGTAGCATGCACATGGCGCGAACAACAGGCGCGAGCAAGCAAGAAGGCCGGCACGAAATCGCAACAGCGATGATGGCTGCGGCGCGAGACAGCGCGCGCTGGCCGGGGCGAGTGCCCGTCGCCGCCCAGACACGCTAGGTCGCTCCCGTCACGTCCAGGCCTGGCGCGGGCTCCCCTTAGGCGCTGGGGCGCTCGAGTCTCGCACGACGTGAGCAAAGCCGACTGAACGTCGCGACCGCCAGTATTTTTCTCTCTCTCTGTGTGCGCCAGACTGTCTGTCCATCTGCTGGGGCTCTGGACTGTGCCGTTCGCCCAATCTCTCCTCACGCCCGTTCAGTCGCCTCGAATCTTCTCCCGAGGTCGGGTCCAGGAGATTTTTCGTCTTCCCTGCTGCAGATCCTCTTCATCCAGCGCGCCAACGAAAGTGCTGCGCATGTTTAAAGGCCCCTACGCTCCCGTCCTCGCGTTGGGCGCGCACGCAGCGAGATGGCGAGGACGTCCGCCGATGTTCATGCGCTCCTGAACCCGCCTTCTCCTGCGCTCACGAACCCAGACCTGATCCTGCCCTTCGACGGGGTCTTGGGAGTGACCATTTCCCCGCCGCGCAAGCAGCCCCCGTCGCCGCCAGACAGCGACCAGACGACCGGCCGATGGAACAATGGCGCGCAGCAGAACTTCAGCATGCCGCTTCGCAGCAGCCCCTCGCGCAGTGCCACGGCTTCGACACTGGCCATCATCGAGGAGATGGGCAACACGGCCAAGAACCCCGTCTATGCGCAGGCTGGGAGTGCCGTCGGATCCTCTCCAACTCTCAAAACGTCTACCACGCCGCAGTTGAAGCCAAGCTGGGAAGCAACGGATGAAAGGCGGTGGAGCAGTGGGTCTGGCTCGGTCCACAGCGAGGACATCGAGAATATGCACTGGCCGGATTTCGAGGGTCCGTCAGAGGTAGATGAAGAGAGCGTTGCGTTGGAAGACGATGAAGAGCAACTAGGCGACTTGCCCCAAATCGCAGACGGAGAGGACCCTGGAAGTGATGAACAGTATTTGAGCGCCCAGGTGGACGGTCTGGATGAAGATCCTCTGAGCCGAAGAGCAGACATCATACTGGCCAATGCGAAAAAGCGATTGCACGTGAGTATCGTGTGCTACGGTGTACGACTGCAAGTGGGACACGGCTAATCTTTTTGTGGCAGGCTATGGAGGGAAAGTTAAGAGGCGCCCGCAATTCTCTGCTCATATCCGCCCCATCAAGCCCAAGTTCGACGTACTTTGCTCCGTCTGTGGACAGAGAGCGGCCACGGTATCCGACCGCGACGGGTATCTATGGGCTGCACAACAAGCCCCGCACAGCACATGTTTCTAGTTCAATCACGTCCAATTTCGGTCACAGTCGCATGCTGAGCGAGGCGTCCTCCATTCATGAGATTCAAACAGCGAGGACGTTAGCAATACCAAAACGGTCATCCAGCGCACTGGGCTCCTTTGCGAGAGGCCTCAGTTCGCTTGAGAAATCAGCGTCCTTGCGTGGTGTCAGGAGTCAGCAAGACATGCGTGAGAGACGTCTGCAAAGTTGGATAGAAGAAAGCTCTCTGCCGAACGAGCCACCAAGACCAATCAGCCAGCAAGCAGAGTTGCCACACTGTAGATCTCCTTCTATGGAAAACTTCCATCGTCCTGGATCTGCCGCGAGCAGCTTGCGATCCCAAATGGACGAGCTGAAAGGCCGGATCAACAACTTGAAAGCTCGAGCCCAGGAGGATCGCATCAAGAGGTTGAGTTCAGTTGGAAACAGAACTCCAAGTCCATTCGTAAACGCGAGCACTGACTCGGAACCGGCCAAAGGCTCGTCTCTTCGTGCAGACTCGAACCTAGGTTTCGGAACGAGCTATTCTTCGAGATTTCCAGTTATACCTTCGAAACTCTCCAGTAGTAACTCGGACGAAGACTCCAGATCGTCGAGATCAAGAAGTACCGTTGTGGAACGAGCTCCGGTTATCTACGCAGAGAGCATGTACGAAGATGCAGAGGAGGCCTTGGACAACATCAAGGAGGAGCCTGAGGACAGTGATGAGCCTAGCACGCCATCTACTATGGTGCCACCAAATGAGCAAAAGGTTCTAATGGGCCCCCAGGATCCTACCGCCGAGGAATTAGGCTACGGACCAGATGACATGGATGGTGACGAATTCGAGGACGCGTTGACCAACAGATATAACCACGCAACGAGTCCTGACGCTATAAGTCTCGATGGTCAAAGCGAGTACTTTGACTCCGTTCCCGTCATGGCTGAACGACACGAAGATCGCGCCGACGCCTTCGATTATGAGCACTTCTTCCTGCATTCTGCGATGGGCACCTATACTCGCGATCGACGAGACAGTGTCAGTTCTCAGGATTCCGTAGAAACTACCCGGCCTGCATCGCCAAAACGAACGTCGGCGGCGATTCACGTCGAGGCATCATCGCCTCCGACAAAAGTCACATCTGGATACGGAACGCTGGTCGAGTCTTCTCCCGGTCTACACAGACGAAGCCAAAGTGTGGAGTCCATTTCGACGGTCGCAACGTTCCAGACAGCAACTGAAGGCGAGGATGATTCCGATGGCAGTGACGACCCGCTAGATGCGGTGACACAGCGCATTCTCTCCCCTGCGATCACGTCGCCCGTGCCACCATCACCGAAACGCATGGTTGACTCTGCTGTTCACATGCCGCAGAGAAACACGTTATCCGAGCAAACTGCGGAGATGGAGCAGCACGAGCTGGCCGCAGCCCTAGTCTCATCGTTATTTGGCATCGAGACGAAGGGTTCTAAGGCTGTTCCTGCTCAGGATGTCGCGCTGGTCGAAGGCATCCTCTCAAGTCTGCAGGACGTAGTTAGCAAGTTGCAAGCACAACCTGACGACTACAGTCGACAAGAATGGAGGAAACGTCTCGACGCGGCAAGAAAAGCCCTCGATGACGTGAAAGACTAGTCGTGCATGCCTTTCCGCATCTGTTCCGATACCTTTTGTCTTCTTTTAGCAAGTGTTTTATTACATGTCCTCACTGGATTAGCGTTCAGCATGGCGTTTCATGTCCTAAGACGTTGATTTGGCGCCGAGGAGTGCAACTGACGAGGCCTTGGAATTGCGCCGCCCATACCCACCAAAACATACCGCGAGGACACATAATATACATTCGTATATTTTCTTAATGTATTTAGAAGCATGTGAGGATGCTCGGTTTGACCTGATGAAGTGACGCTGCGGGGAGGCGCATGCAGAGGCATCCATCTTGACATATACCATATACCACTGACTGTTGAGACCTTTTCTAATCAACGAGCTAGATGGCTAGAGCCTTGGTCCGCGTGTCTATCCCGTTTCCCCGTGATCTGTTCAGATTGCTTCTCGACATCATCGCGCCGATAGCTTACAGCGAAAACGTATTGCAGCCTTGTGTTTGATTTTTTTTTTCTTCAGCTTCGCGAGCGAGATAGTTGAGCGGACCGAGCCATAAATTATCATGTATAAAAGACGAGGAGTGTACCGTATCACGTCACGGTTGTGACCGCGACAATAGTAATGACTGGGACTGGATATGACCAACCTGCAAACGATTATCAAGTCATTTGCTACAGAGTTCTTGACACTTCCTTGGCTTTACATTGATATGTAAATTGCTCCCTTCACCGGGTTCATATCTAGCCCTCTTGCGCACCACACACACACACACACACACACACCCCAATGCTTTCGCTACAAATAATCACGCTCTGGACAGAAATTCCAGAGGGCTTCTTTAGTACCAAGAAAAGAATAACAATAACTTCATCCTTGCCCTATGAAGTAACGGCTGTGAACGCGGCAGCTCCGACAGTCGATCACGACGTTTGACAACACTGATTAGACAGACGGGCTAGCAGTTCCACAGGTACTGACCCCGAGCTTCTTGATGCACGCCCGCCGTCGGTTCCAGTCTGCCCGTTTCATCGCGTCGAGCCGACTCCGAGATCTGACACGAACGTCGTTGCTTTCCTCACGTCAGCGTCTGACGTGATGAGGGCTTTGAAACGATGGAGCCGTGAAGAGCGTCATCCCAAAGCACAAGAGCAGCTGTGCGGATTCGATCGAAGGCCTTGAGCCAATTCTGGCGGAGGAAGTGAGCCCATTGCGGTTCCCGACATCTTTTCCCAGTCTTCTTTGAGATTGATTGATTCACGAACGTCAGGTGCTTGACTATGAGATTGGGACGGGCTTGTTTCGACAAAGATTGAGGACTAACAAAAGTCTGTTGGGCAATGTAATAAGAATTATTTTTTCATTTGATGTCCGATTTTTTTTTTAATTTTATTTTTGAACCTGCATCAACACGGGTGGGATTTCACCCACATTATCCACGCTTTCAAAAGATTGAAGAGCGAGATGATCAATCAGATCGAGGACGTGATGACACATCTTGTTCAGGTATTTTCTTATGAAACCCTTACCAAGTAGACTCAAGGAATATATATACATATTGGCGCAAATCTCAGCAGAGACGTGAAATAAATTGAACACCTCAATCTGAATACGCATCGGTCGGATACAACAAATATATCGACTTTCCAGCACGACTCACACCATCTCGTCGGGCCTAACATACCTTCCTCCTGGTGTCAGTGTACATCCCAGACCCTTATGCACCTCGACTTGAAACGGTTTGAATGGATACTTCTCGCCGTCGACACTGATGACGCCTTCTTTCTGCTTAGGAATCACCCTGAAGCCGCTGACTTTCCTATATGTCACGTCTTGGTGCTGCCAAAGTTTGCCTTCTCCCACAGCCAACAACAAAGCGACACTTCTATGCACGGGAATGTCACCGCGTACGTTCACGAGGTCCAGAAGGCCTTCGTTGATCCGTGCAAAGGTGAAAAAATTGGCGTCAGCAGCCATGTACGGCATGTTTCCGGAATAAAAGTTTCCAAGGTTGGGAAAAGGCGTCATGGTCCAATTCGAAGGAAGCTCCGAATTGACTGTGCCATAACGCAGAGGCGGAAGGCCCTCCTCCGCGAATGGGTCTTCCTCCAGATCTCTGACTTCCGCAGCCGGCAGGGCGTACGTCGAGGGATGCTCGAAAGACTGTCTGTAATCTCGCTGTATGTCGTTCTTGTCCGCGATCTCGACGCCGACGGCGATATCGCAAGGCCAAACCTTCTTACGGAACAATCTCTGGAAGAAGCCGACGGTAAGTCTGGCATCGCCTAGCCAACGCATGTGCTCAGTATCCAGATCACACTCAGCTACAATTCCTAAGGCCAAGGACAGGAAAGACAGCGTCCTCTTCTCTCCCTGTGTTACACTCGCAAGATCGATCCGCGTGGGAATACCTTTAACGACGGATAGTGCCGCTCGACTGGGACTGGACGTGCCGTTGCAGTTGACGCTCAATGCATTGCCGGTACCGCACGGCAACTGGACCACAGCAACCTTTGCCAATGCCGCTCGAGCATTTTTCTTGCGTCCAAGTCCATTCCAGACTTCGTACGGCACACCATCACCAGAGCAACAAGCCACCACATCAACAGTGTCAATGTCCAGCTCTTCCGCAATCTGTTCTGCATGTGCGCTGTGTGTTGTGTTCACCACCTCAACCTCACACCGAGCCGCTGTGAAGATTGGCTCAATGTCGTTCTTCCAGTTCTTCGAGGCCTTTCCTTTCCCGCCGAAGGGGTTGATGATGACCTTGATACGCTTTTTCTGCTGCGCTTGACCATACGCACGCAGCTGAACGCGTTGCGCAAAAGCTTGCGCGTGCTTGGCCTCGTTCTCAGATACCGGAAAACTCTGTACGACGGGGCGTATCTTGCGCTTGTTGACCTCCTCGACGAACGTGAAGTTGATCGCATTGGTCGATGACTCCACCCAGAGAACATCTCTGAACTTGATTGTGCGGTCGCTGAAAGCAGGCTTTGACCTTGGTATGGCTAGAGGTATAAAAGAGCAGCATCTGTAGATATCCTTGTCTTTTTTTACATGCGCTTTATTCAACGTTAATGGGCGCCAATGATCTCGCGCGGGTTGTAATGCGTACATCGGATCACCACGCCTTCTTCCCCGAGCCTCAAGCTCGTTCCGTCAGAGCACAGAACGAAGTCGTCTGTATCGTCTGCCACCGCTTCCGAGCTTCCTGCGCCACCAGGCGGTTCGCGTAGTCTCCTATCCGTCCCTTCCGCCATGTCTGGAGGTGTGACTGCGGACTGGGTTTTCTCAGGATGGGCAAAGACTAGAAAAGAGGCATGGCAACGGCATGGAAAGAACAACGCGAAGAACAAATCAACGGTTAGACTATGGGGCTGCCTTGTATATATAAAGATTACTCCATTTCCGAGAGCGTATTAACCTCCGACGGACGGACAGCGATTATGGCTCCCGTTTATGTTACAACCTAGGAACAGCGCGTGCCAACGCGACGCCACCCGGTCATGAGCCAAAGCTGCCATTGGCTCTGTTCCAAGAGCTGCGCCGGTACGGTCAACTGGTGTACAGAGAGTCATGTTCCACAGCACAGTAAGAAATTACTGTATGTCTGTGTCATCTTTTTGAGCGGCGGATACGTTTCTTGGGTACTGCTGATGATTTTGTTCTGTATGTTTTCTGCTTTACATTGTATGTAAGGAGAAGGACCCCCCGTGAAAACCCATTCCTCAACTGTAACTCTTTGAAAGGCATTGCGTCTCCGTACTACAACGCGATCGAGTAACCTGACTCCATGCTGCCCAGTCTTTTTTGGGTAATTTGAAGATACTTTATTGTGTGATAAGACATGCATTGTAACGAAAGTGCAAACGTCGTGTCCCTCGCCTCAGCACATTACACTTGAAATAACCTCGAGCAAAGTCACCATCAAGATCCGCAAACCTAGAATCTGTATACCCTTGGCGTTCATGCGACGACGTCTTCTTCCATGCCCGTATCGCCATTGGCAGCGGGCTGAACAGCACCACCATTGGCCATCGCGGCATCGCTCTCAGCGTTAGCACCGCCACCCCAGTAATCAGCCATCTCTGCATCCAGCTCTTCTGCTGTTTTTGGCTTGGGGCGACCTGCGCCTGCCTTACCCTTTGCAGCGCGAGCACGACGACGGCCAGGCTTACCGGCCTTGTCACTTGTGGCAGCCTTCGGTGTCGCTGTTGCCGGTTTTGGCTTAGCCTTCTCAGCAGGCTTCTGAATACGATCGCTGAGTGGCTTTGGCGCGGGTGCAGCAGGGGCCTCTTCAGCGCCGAGGATTACTTCGATCTTTCGCTTGTAAGTTGCGGTGTTCCGTAATGTGAGAGATATCGCCAACATACCTTCATTGGGCGTCCGTCTACCTTTAATCCGTTAAGCTCTTTAGCAGCTTTCGCAGCACCATCTGATTTCGCAAAGATGATGGTAGCAACACCGCGAGATTCGCCATTCGGGCCATAGGAGAGGAGAACCTTCTTGATAGCACCTACGGTAGTAGTGAAGTACTCCTAATAAGAAAATGTCGTATTAGTTTCGACGATTGACAGCGTGAACGGAAGCAAAGCGGTCGAATGAAAGACGACGAGCGCACGGAGAAACGCCAGGTATCTCCTAATTTCCGGTAGGATCCGTCCATAGTCCATGGTAACCAGTGGAGCGCGAGTAGTCCAGCGAGCGAGCATATGAGCAGCGTCTCATCTGTATCGCATCAAACGTGCAATTGCAGGCGTAACAGTACAACATTCTTGAATGTTCAAGACCACCTTTTGACAACTCCGGAGATACCATCCAAGAGTGGGCATGTCTCAGCAACCACTCATTAGACTGTCCTAAGATGGCCGCATCATGATCTGTCTCGTAATGTGAAAAGCACCAATCGCAGACCATAAGCGTCTCAAGCAAAGCTTCTTGTTGCCCCACGGAAGTGCCCTCCCACCGCTCCTATACATGTGCGTCAAGGAGATCCGCCAGTCGTGGGCCATAGAAACAGGTTAAAAGCCTGACGAGCTCCACTTCGGAGAGAGGTAGGTCATAATTGAGGTTGCCAGTTGCTCGCTCGCTGAACTAGTAGCTGAACACTTTCTCGGAAACCGTGTTCCAGGTTAACGGAGGAAAGACTCCCGCATCACTTAGTCAACTGCACCGAGTGTCACTGGTTGCCAGCCATTGACACGTGCGGCCTAATGCAGGACTTCCAGATACGGTGTATGCACTTGACTCAGCTCAAGCTTTTTCACAGCGAGCGAGGGTGCGAACACGCATCTTCGAGTGAGCAAAGATGCCCTAAGGCAATGAAATGCGACCAATATTATGGAACGCATTGATGAATCCGGACTCGAAATGCAATCGTCTTCACATGACGGCAATGAAGTCCATTAGGAATGCGGTTCGACGCATTAACATACCTTGATCTGAACCTCGGTCACATCGCGTGGCTGCTGGTGTTAGTCAGCCGTTTTATTAAGGTTTGAGTTTCTTCGGACATACGAGGTTTGAGACTTGGACCTTGCTTTCTTTGTTGGACGGTCCAGTAGGTACTGCCTTAACCGGCTTTTTCTCAGCTGGCTTAGTCTTCTTCGTGACGCCACCTGCTGGCGCAGTCGTAGCCTTGGCACCAGGTCGTGCGCGACGACTACGAGTCGACTTGCGACGGTCGCTCATGATCTGATCGAGAGACTGACTAAGCTTGTCCGGCATTATGATGTTTGTCGCTTATTGTTTTGATAAGCGAAGGCTGTGGGAGTGACGGCAGCGCGTGCAGAGATGAAGAATCGCGCGAGACAATGTGTGTGGATAGAAGTGGCAATAACAGAGTCGCTGGAAAAGTTTTTCGACTTGTTGGAGGTGATTCGAGGCGACAGCAGACGGTGAAAGGAGAGCGCGTCTGCCTGCTGAAAAGGCGTTGAGGAAGGGGCTTAAGATCGCTCCTCGAAAATAAATTACAAAATGCCCGAAAGCCCGTGCGAATCGCTGATGCAAGTCACACGAAGAAGAAGAGACGGTGGTTGAGGTGTTGGGTGCAAGATGGTTGTTGATGAAAAGAAGGAGGGAGTGCAGTCAATGACACGAAAGGGTCATGGAATGGGCTCGACTTGGACGCGGGTGCATCGTAAAGAGGCGCAGCAACGTCATCACGTGACTTCGAGATGTGGCTGAGGTAGCCAGCCAGCGCTGGCAAACGATCGGCCAACCACCAAGGAGTTGGGGAGATTGCTTACCAGCCAGGTTGCTGTCCCACGACCCATCGGATACATCTCGTACGATTTGCTTCTATTGCTGAAGATGGCATGAAGGTTTAGAAGCTATGGCTTTGACATCGGTACGTGCCTGCTGGAAGGACGCCCTCAATCACAGCCGCTAATATACACCCAAGTGGAAGGCTTTCCGCTTCTTCGACGTCAGTCAGGTGAACTTAGCGGAAGAGGAAAGCAAGCTGCTATCAGAGGTATGGTTTGAATACATCGAAGCGTGTTCCGTACTAAAGAGATAGCCTGGAAATGCAACATGTGTAGCAACTGGATCCGACAACGTATTCATCGGCGGTGCTGACGGCACCGTTCGCATTCTTTCGCAGAGCTTCAAAGTTGTGCGGTCCTTCAAAGCTCACGATGTGGGCTCCATCACTCATATGAAGCAAGTCCAGGGGACAGCGCTTCTGGTTACAGTCGCCGAGGATCTACCGAACGAACCCGTGCTGAAGGTGTGGGCTCTTGACAAGGTCGAGAAGAAAACTGGCATGCCACGATGCCAGAGCACGCTGTCCATCGCCAACGGACGAAAGCCATTTCCTATATCCGCCTTTGCTGCCCTTGAAGATCTGTCCCAGCTCGCTATAGGCTTTGGCAATGGCTCAGTGACCGTCGTGAGAGGTGATTTGATCCATGACCGCGGTGCTCGACAGCGGACGGTCTTCGAGTCGGACGAACCAATCACAGGTATCGGATTTCGTGAAGGCAACATAACCACTTTGTACATTGCCACTACGGGTCGTATATCTACCCTCGTAATCTCTGGACGCGGCCAAGGCCAGCCAGCCAGGACTTTGGAGGAGACCGGCTGCGGCGTTGGTTGCATGACCGTCGACAAGGCGACTCGTGATGTTGTGGTTGCCCGAGATGATGGTATATATTACTACGGACTCTACGGTCGTGGTCCCGCGTACGCATACGACAGTCCTAAACGTTCCCTTTCTATCTATAAAGATTACATTGCCATAGTTTCGCCCGCATCAGCCAGCAGTGCAACCAAGAATCCTTCCTTGCGCGCCTTTGGGGGCAGTCAAGCAGACAGTCCATTTAACACCTCCAGCTTCACCATACTACACACTGACCTTAAATTCATCGCACACCAAGAAGTCATGACTGCCGAACCAAAGTACGTCTTCATGGAGTGGGGGGATCTATTCGTCCTAACACTAGATGGCAAGGTAAGCCTCATGTTGTTTTATCCTTCGGCTCAGCTAACCACTGCAGATCTTTCGATACCATGAAAAGACATTTCAGCAAAAGCTTGAGCTTCTGTATCAACGCAATCTTTACGTCCTGGCGATCAATCTGGCACAGAGGCTAGGTGTTGATCCTTCTCAGCAAAACGTCATTTATCGCAAATACGGTGACTATTTGTATCAGAAACAAGACTACGACACTGCCATGCAGCAGTATTTAAAGGCTATCGACAATACAGAGCCATCTCAAGTCATCCGAAAAGTACGCAACCGAATCTATTAATTTGCAGATATTCGCTCACAAGTTTAGTTTCTTGACACGCAGCGAATACACAATCTTATCGATTATCTGGAAGAGCTACATGAGCACGAGAGGGCGTCTCCAGATCACACTACGTTGCTGCTGAACTGCTACGCAAAACTGAAAGATGTCAAAAAACTTGAAGAATTCATCCGCTCACCGGGCGATCTAAAGTTCGACCTTGACACCGCCATTTCCATGTGTCGACAGGGTGGTTATTTCGACCAAGCTGCATTCTTGGCCCGAAAACACGAGCAGCATGAGCTAGTAGTTGACATTCTTGTCGAGGATTCGAAGAAGTACGAGGAAGCTCTGGCATATATCTGGAGACTTGAACCACCATCAGCCTTTGAGAATCTCAAAAAGTACGCTACTGTGCTTCTTGAGCATTGCCCGAAGGATACGACTCAGCTTTTCATTGATTACTACACCGGTGTCTTCCGCCCGAAAAAGGATGCAATCGTTGTTGTGCAGGCTCCTGTCAATCAACCTGGCGCTATGGCGAGGACGGCCACCGCAGTGCAAAGCCTAGCCTCGATGATACCTTTACCATACATGAGCATGGGAAATTCTGGTCCAGTCGACGGGGTTAACGGTGTTCCAAAAGATACCATCACTCAAGTCGTGGAAACGACATCAGATGAGCCCCCTCCACAATATGAAATTCCAAAGCCACGAACCGCTTTCTCTGCATTCGTTGATCATGCTGCGGAATTTATCGCGTTCCTGGAAGCCTGCGTCGATGCCGAGAAACTTCATGAGACAGATAAAACAGACTTGTACTCAACATTATTTGAGATGTATCTGCACAGCGCAAGTGAGAAGAAGGGGGAAGAGCGCCAGGCTTGGGAAGACAAAGCAAAAGCTCTCATTGAGACAAAGAAGGTGTCACTGGAAACTTCCGGCGTACTACTATTATCTCACCTAAAGAACTTCAAAGACGGCACAATTCTCGTGCGCGAGAAGCAAGGTCTCCATTTTGACATTTTCCGCTCCTATACCTCCGCGAAAGATACTGCTGGCGCCATCAAAGCTCTTCACAAGTATGGTCCAGAAGAACCTCAATTGTATCCAGCAGCACTCGCATACTTCACTTCCAGTCCTCAGATTCTAGAGGAAGCTGGCGACGAGCTCAACAACGTGCTGAGACGTATCGACGAAGATGGTCTCATGGCGCCACTTCAGGTTATACAAACTGTAAGCTCAAATGGTGTCGCAACAATGGGGCTGGTCAAGACGTATCTTGGCAACACAATAAAACGCGAAAGACAGGAGATTGCACAGAATCGCCGACTTATTGACAATTACCGTAGTGACACGCAGAAGCAGAAGGACGAGATCGAGCGTCTTGCAACGAAACCGGAGACATTCAATGCAACACGTTGCTCCGCCTGTACGGGACAATTGGACCTACCTATTGTGCACTTTTTATGCAAACACAGCTTCCATCAACGATGTCTGAATACTCCCATTGTTGGCAGCGAGGATGACGTAGAGTGCCCATTATGCGTTGGCAATAATGAGATGGTCAAGAGCATACGGAGAGCACAGGTGGAGAGTGCGGATAAACATGACATGTTCCTTGACGCGCTGAATCGTAGCAAGGATAAGTTCGGGACGATTAGTGAGTGGTTTGGTAGAGGAGTTATGAGCGCTGGGCAAAATTAATAGAAATCTTCCCCCTGATTGATATGCATAAATCGAAATCGATATCACGCCATAGGCTCTTCATTCTAATCAGTTATACCATCCTATGTTCAATGCTTGGTGAGGCCGCCCAGCAACAAGCACTGATTGAGCAAGGTCCGCGACCCAGGTTGGACCCCATTCGAGCGCACAGAGCTGGACCCCACTACGCTTCCCGCGTACCAGTTGTTTGTGCTGTGACTCCCAAAATTCCAAAAGTCTCACAACACTACGGATTTTCGAAAGCGATCTGCCACAAATTAGCCATGATTGATATCCAAGACTTTATAACCGAGAGAGGAGGCGACCCTGAGAAGATCAGGCAAAGCCAGAAACTCAGGTACGCCGATGTTGACTTGGTCGACAAAATCATAGCCAGCTTCGTGAGTCTTGCGCTTTGTGTGCTGCAGAATAAGATTATGGAGAAAATCTTGCTAATACAGATGCCCTGTACAAAAGGAAGACCACAGAAAGACGCAGTATGCCGCGACGCAGATCGGTACATGAACGCAACAAACGCTTCAAGTGAGATGTTTCGGGCTAACGGTAACAACACGTAGGCTCCGAGATAAACGCGACCCAAAAGGCAATCGGACAGTTAAAAAAGAACAAGCAAGACGCCACGGAATTACTGCAGAAGAAGACAGAACTCGAAAAGCAAAAGGCAGCACAAGAGGAGCTGGCAAAGAGCAAGTTGATCGCCCTTCAAGCGCTGGCGAAAACTGTCGGCAACTACGTGCATCCTTCTGTTCCAGTCTCAAACAATGAGGATGACAATGAGGAGGTGAAGGTATGGGCTCCGGAGGGGGTGGATGTCAAGAAACTGTGAGTCCTCTCCTGTGCCCTTAAGCCATAGGCTGGGGTCATTTAGCTGATGACTGGCCAGGGAAGGCAAACTTTCACATCACGAGGTTGGTTTTTATTTTACTCTTAGAACTACTTGGCGAACATGCTGAAAATTTTCTAGGTATTATGGAGGTCTGTTATTTAAGCCTCCAAAGCATATCTGATCCTGACGGTACAGCAGATTGGGTGGATATGACCCGGAGAGAGGAACCAAGGTATATCAATCCTCTAATCTGTCTCTAGAAATCTAACTTCATTTAGCTCGTTGGTCATAGAGGATACTGCCTAATTGGCATGGGGCTCTTCCTCAATATGGCTCTTATTCAATACGGCTTGCACTTTCTTTACAGCAAAGGCTACACTCCTAATCAACCTCCCTTTATGCTCAACAAGGCTGAAATGGCCAAGACGGCTCAGCTCTCTGATTTTGACGGTATGACCCAGGACAAGTTTTGCACTCTTGCCAATCTGATAAAGCACAGAATCGTTGTACAAAGTCGTTGAAGATGAGAAGGACTCTTCTACGGATAAGTACCTTATCGCGACCTCTGAGCAGGTAACTCGTAATTGTGTCTCTCAAAAATACTTTCCGAGCTGACTTAATGAAGCCTATCAGCTGCATGCATGCTAACGAATGGCTGTATGTACACTGTCCTCTTCTCGTACATATTCTCTCCGGCGTAAACTAAAATGCTAACCTTCACGTAGGCAACCGGGTGAATTACCTATCAAATATGCTGGTTATTCAACAAATTTTCGCAAAGAGGCCGGCTCACACGGAAAGGATGCCTGGGTATGTTATTTGTATAAAAATCATCTTTGCTTTCCTGCTAACCCATACACTAGTGCGTATGGTGTTTAAACACATAATGCAATAAATAGGCCTTTGAAAATTGTTGCTAATTCGCAAAGGGGCTTGTTCCGAGTGCATCAATTCGAGAAGATTGAACAGTTTGTGGTATGTGAAGATTTTTGTCCAGCAAACTTCCGTACTGTTCTATACTGCAATAACAATGTCACTGCATATCACCGAAGTTATGCTGACTTTGACTGCCAGTTTTGCAAACCGGAAGAGTCTTGGAATGAGCTTGAAAATATGCTTTCTACCGCAGAGGAATTTTACCAGTCATTAAAGCTTCCTTACCATGTTGTTGCCATTGTATCCGGTGCTTTGAACAATGCCGCGGCTAAGAAGTACGACCTGGAAGCTTGGTTTCCATTCCAAAAAGAGTGTGGGTAAAAGACTTAAGGGAAAGTGCTCACTTAAATTAACTTCGATTTTCAGATAAGGAACTCGTGTCCGCATCGAATTGCACGGATTACCAAACTCGAGAGGTAAGGTAAATCTTCCATATCATTCGCTTGTGTCTGACGTGATGTCTTAGCTTGAAATCCGATACGGCGTTAAGAAGGCTAAAGAGGCGCCTGGCGGTACTAGAAAGGAGTATGTCCACGCTCTGAATGCCACATTGTGTGTAAGTTAATAGAAACTGCATGACAACTTCGAAGGATTGTCCGATAGACTAAAGGGCTGTAGGCTACTGAGCGAACACTCTGTTGTGTGCTAGAGAACTACCAACGTGAGGATGGAGTTGAGGTTCCTGAAGTGCTGCGAAAGTTCATTCCGGGCAACCCTGAATTCTTGCGTAAGCCACTGTGACTACTTGGTTTTGTCTTATTCTTGTGACTAACTAATTATCGTAGCGTATGTGCGGGAATTACCTAAGGACAGCACTTCTACCAAAGCGGCAAAGAAATGAGTTAAGATAGGAGAGTGGACGAGGTAGGCCAATTCATCAATTTAGTGATATCGTTGAGGACCACCACAACGTTCAAGGTTTGGGGAGTAGAAATACAATGCCACGCGTACCGTGCGGTAAGATTTCGCGACGATGCTAGCATTGTGTTGCATGAAATAAAAGATATGAAAGACTTAGACATGCATAGCCTCAACTTCTCCAAAATTTTCCACAGCCGAACATGATGTGATTCTCCCGTGTATATCCCAAATGAGAAGCGTTTATGGATGATTTATGATGAAGAGTACAACATGCAAAGCAATAAGCACATTAGGGAAACAGGAAGAAAAATAATGACACTGGGAAACCATTGGAGTTTATGAGCGCAGCTCTGCCGTCTAGCCAGCAAGTCTAGTTCCAATAGAAATTGGAAACCTTGTATCCGCCCAACGCATTGATGAGAAATGTAAGAGAAATCGGCCGTACCAAGAAGGAAGGGCCATGTGAGGATTGAAGAATTTTAAGCCGCATATGCCAACCGTCAAAGCCTACGCAGCTGCGGATCGACTTTTCGTCTAGCCGAAGACCAAAATTAAACTGGACTGTCTTGTCTCTCAAACCGAAGAGGAAAAGGCGGTATTTCGAAAGAAGATCTCCGCTACGTCCGATGATAGGTGTGGCTGCCAAGAGGAAGTTAGAGAGGGCCCTTATCGGGTGCATGAACAGGCCGAGTTGAACGGGAGATGCAACAATAAAACTTGTTAAACTCTCGTGAATAGGCCGACATGGCGAATGCGTCTTAGGAGTACTGTCCATTAGTCTCGCCGGCTGTGGAAGATGTATTACGGTACAATGCGGAACATGCTTCACATTCAGTGTCGATCCAGAGACCTCTGTCGACCCTCCTTAAAGGAGCGAACTTCCGCCTGGTCGGATGACGCTCTCTGCCATAGTAACTGTAGTTCCCTAAACACCGTGCAAATGCTTCAGAGCTGCGGCATGACCTGCTATGGTCCCTCTCCGTACCACATCTTCTGTCCTTCCACAAATAAAATGTTCCGAAGAGTCTAACCACGTCATCACCAGTCTTTTAGCAGCCGATTGCCTTGCCACTCGTACCCGACCTCTTTCTGACCATGACATAGTCATTGCTTGACCTTACCCTTTGCCGTGCCTGCAGGTATCGCATCGCTCTTGCGCTCATCCGAGATCTCATCTTTCGCGTTGATCTCGAGCCAGTGATAGAGCACAATCAGAAGCATGCTGGCAGAGCCAAGGAAGAGGGCAAGCGTGTACAGCTGATTGTCCGATATCATCGTGGAAGTGATATGATATGAACGGCGCGAAAAAGAGGAGGCGTATGTGTAGGAGGGACGCTCCGTTTTGTGAGGTATCGCGTTCGGCTTAGATCTAAGGCATTGGTAAGCATTGGGCTAAAAATTGAGGACAGCAACGGCTCACTCGGTTGGTTCGCGATTGGGATGGGCTTAATGCGAGCAATTCCGGTTCAACACTCCTCAAATATCAAAAAGTTAGGCGTTGTAGGAGTTGCGGTTGGTGCCGCGTATGCAAGCATGTGGACTTTCTCAAGGCCAGCTTTCCATCTTCAGCCTTACCCTCTGCACTAGGCTAAGACGTATGAGGTCTAGCGCATTAGAGTCCCCTCCATCAAATGACATCGCTTTGTGAAAGCAATGCATTTTCAGGTACACACCAAGTCACCAGCAAGACGACCAACCATTTGTCGTATTCCTGCATTGCCTACCGCCTGGTGTTTTAATATAACCGAAGTTTTGGGTATTTACCTTTTCGTTCATCCTGGGATCTGCGTACTCACATTCTTGCTGCAGGCTCGTGGCTTAAACCGCCTCACGCACACTTAGTTCTACACATCAAACCGCTTCTACATATTCAACACCAACCACAACAACCACCATGCCGCCAAAAAAAGGAGACCAGCCTAAGGCGCCCAAAGTCGTCATCGACAAGACTTTTGGTATGAAGAACAAAAAGGGGGGTGCCGCTCAGAAACAGATCAAGCAGATCCAGGCCTCCGCTGCTGCCAACAAATCCGCGGAGCAGAAGAAGAAGGAAGCCGCCAGAGAGGCACGGGAGAAGGAAAAGGCGGCTGCAGAACAAGCGAGAAAAGAAGCAGCCGAGCTTTTTAAGCCCGTGCAAGTCCAGAAAGTGCCATTTGGCGTGGATCCTAAAACGGTTGTCTGTCAGTTCTACAAGAAGGGGGTATGCGAGAAAGGCAAGAAATGCAAGTTCTCTCATAACCTGGATGTGGAGCGCAAGACAGAGAAGAAGAATCTGTACGAAGATACACGGGAAAAGGAAAGAGAGGAGAAGGAAAAGGACGCCATGGAAGAGTGGGATGAGGAGAAGCTGCGAAAAGTCATTTTAAGTAAACATGGAAACCCTAGGACTACGACAGATAAGGTGTGCAAGTACTTTATTGAAGCGATTGAGGATTGCAAGTACGGCTGGTTCTGGACGTGTCCGAATGGAGGAGATAAATGCATGTACAAGCACAGCTTGCCGCCCGGGTATGTGACGTCTTCCAGTCTCCCGCTCCCTCTCCTTTTGGTGAAGCAATGATCTAAATAACAATCTGGACAGATTTGTCGTCAAAACCAAGGAACAGCGTGCCGCCGAAAAGGCCCTCAAGGACAAGTCACCCCTTAACACGTTGACGCTCGAAGACTTCCTGGAATCCGAACGGCACAAGCTTACCGGAAATCTCACCCCCGTGACGCCGGAGACATTCGCGATATGGAAGAAGAATCGCCTTGACAAGAAGCTAGCTGAGGAACAGGCTAAAGCGGCCAAAGAGGCTACGGGCCGTATGCTGTTTGAGAAGGGAGACTGGCAGAGGGATAGCGACGACGATAGTGAGGACGACGATCCCGGCGCGTGGAACCTGGAGGCCTTGAGACGGGAGACAGAAGCGGCGAGGGCCAAGAAGGAGGAGGAACGGCTAGCGGCTCTGGCGGGAGGGCCTGTTGGGGATATTATTCCTGCAACTGCATCCATGTCGCTGGATGAGAGCTCTAACGGAAATTCTTGAGCACGCCAGCGTATGTGCAGAAGTAAAGGGACGCATAGAGACCGAGAGCCGGAGGTCCAACGGCCTTCTCGGCCGGAGTTGTTGCCGGTGGGAGGATTTACACTCGCTGTTTTACGGAAGGTGAGCCAGTCTGGCGGCTTTGGCTCGACCACTCTCTGCATGAAATCTACGTCAGCGGCATTTTCATGAAGGGCAAGGCGAGCAACACGGAACGGATCAAGGGCTGATCTTTTCGTCTGCGACCTCTCCCTTCTCCGGAGTACTATCCCAGCACATAATGGAAGGGGGGTTTTTGGTGACGGTAGAAAATAGGCGTTTACGGATCGTGATACTGCTGCACAAATTGTATCCAACGAAGTCGCTTCTATTTCAAAGTTTGGCCCACGCTCTTGCGAGGAAATGCCTTCGCTCGTTATCTTTTATTTTTTTTCCACCTTGAGACTGGCAGCGACAATCCGTTACCCGTGTTTCATTCCTCGTTCCCTTGATCGTATGTTTTTAAGATTCTGTAGACTATTTAGCATTGCACGCGACTTGGACGGCTGCAAACCAATCGGCAGCTCCCAGATCTTACGAAAAGATGACGACGTCCCCTGTGGAGTGACGGCGAGCCTTTTTATTTTAGATGGAACGCGAAGCTATGACTGGGGAGGAAATCTGAGAAAAATGAGGTGAAACAGCTATGCATTAAGTCGGTCTTCCACATTTTCTCCCTGCCTAAGCATTAGGTTTCTACGCCAGTCTTGCCCTCTAAAGCTCCCCAAAATGCGACCTATAATCCCGCTGCCGCACATGTTCCACTGTTGGGAGTAGAAAGCACCGCTGACCAAATAAAAAGTAGAGCTTAGCAGTGCTGGGTATCTTTGACCAACTTGTCGAAAAGAAATGCAGGAACGAAGAAGGAACCCCTTTCCTAGGCTATGTACAAATGTCACAACGGGTAGCTGCATTGTCCTCAGCCGTGGCATGCAACGCCAAAACATGTAAAAATCAGAAAAAGGCGCCGCCGCTATGCACCGCAAAACCAAAAGGCCAAATCCCTTTGTGGATAAGCACAGACCGTAACACCATGCATCCGTTCATCTTGTTCATGGCATGATGAGCGCATTACCACTGGATCAGATCATGCATTCCCCTCGGTCCATTTCCCGGCGGCGTGATTGTTCGTTTCCGTTCCTCTGGGCTCTCTTTTGCCTTAATGGGTGTCCTTAAACTCGTGTCCACGCTCAATTCTGCCCCATAAGCTTTCCTGCTCCCTTTGCATGTGGGCTGTTTTTGGGGGAGCGTAATCAGGGGTGCCGAATAAGGCGGGCTCCCGTTATTGCGCGCAGATGACGGTGACAGCGGCTGCATCACATCAATGACAGGCTCGGGAATGATAGCAAAGACTTCCTTGCGTTCTGCGCCATTTTCAGAGGGCGAGAGCGACTGTTGTTTTACGTCGGGCTTGATGGGAATAGATGACAGGTGAGGTTTCTTCAATGTAAAGCTGATCTTTGCGTTCGGACCTGTCGACTTCTTCTCCGTGGGTTGCCTGGACCCGTTCTTCGACTTCGCGGATGTCTTCTTCGTGGCAGGTGTCTTCTTTGTCGTCGCCTTTTTGGTATCACCAGCTTTCCGCTTGGGGCCCATGAGGGTGGCCTGCTTCTTGTTCGTAGCCTTCGCTCCGTCCGCAGGCTGACCCGCATTCGTTCTCTGCGGCTTCGGGCTGGGCGCAGGCGTAATTACACCTTGCAGACTCTCCACAGAATCTTTCACGCTCTTTCTCTCCGGACTGACAATGACGACTTCTGGCATGCCATTATCGCGCTTGAGCTTCTCAACATGATCCTCGCTCACGAGTTGAAGCTCTGGCTCAGGCTGATCCCACCGACGTAGAGCTGCATGCGCAGCGACAAGATCGCAAGGACCTTGAACGATGAGGTCCCACTCGTAGTCCTTCAACGCCGGGGGTGGATCGTTGTTGATCCAGATAGTCACGCCATCTTTGCGGTCGCGCACGATGCCGCACATCTCCTTGACTATGCGCCTGACGCCAGGCACCTTGAGTGTGGTTCCCACAACGATCAACGCATCAGGACGCGTACGCAAATCTGCTTTCACGACGGAGCCTATTGCCTCGTCGTCTGGGTTGTGTTCATTATATAGCACCATGCGGGGACGCAGTACTCCAATGCCGTGGCTGCGCTTTCCCGCATGTTGGGTGCGGATGCCGTCTGTTTCTTCGCAGTTGCCGCACGGTGGTGGGGACGGGCCCTCGAAGAGCTCTGGCTTGAATTCGGAAATGCGGTGACACTTCGTGCATGTCATGTGCTCCAGCGTGCCGTGCAATTGGATTGTTTTGGGCCAAGGAGCCTTCTTTGGGAGTGGCACCTGCGTTTCCAGTGGCTTCAGCGACGTGTCGATGCCATCGACATTCTGTGAGTAGAGACGCAGCAGGCGACCCTCTTGCGCGAGAGTTGCGAGCAGGTGGTGAAATGGGGTAGGTTGCGCGTCTTTTGTCGCTGTGGCTAGATTGCGTATCATCGCGTGGAACGAGGTAGTTGAGTTGCCGTCTTTGTACACCGAGGCATCGAACAAATCTTTGCCGGATGACTTGAGATTGTGCTCGCGTTTCAATGTCTTGAACAGACCTGTCGATGAGCGGAAGTCTGGTATGCCCGCTGAGACTGATATACCCGCGCCTGCGACAACGACTAAACGACGCGTTAGCCAAATAAACATGAACCGGTTCTCCGTGGCTCCAAGGCTCGCCAACAAGGGCAAGCATGATTTTTCAAGGGCTTAAACATACCAATTTTTCGTCGCTTATGCAGCACTTTCAACAGCTTGGCCAGCTGCTCGCGCTCGTCCTCCTTGACCTCGTGGCCCAAAAGGTTCAAGTAGGCTGGATTCCTTTCTCTGTCCGCATTGAGACGTCTCCGTTTCTTGGGCGGCGTCAACAACGCGGACGACGAATCGTCTTCTGACTGCGTCGAAGGCGGTGTGTGCATCGAGGCCATGGTTGCGTTGTTGACGTGGTGGTGCTCAGGACTTGGGGTGCTGTGTAGTGACGAAAGTTCCGAGGACGAGCCAGTTGACGGACAGTCGAAGAGAAACCCAGGCGGCGGCGGCGACGGTGAGAACGACAGCTCGGACAGCGGCGAGCTGCTGCCCGGGGACGTGGTGGAAGGTGCATCCATTGTGCAGGGCGAGGGTGGATCGGGCAAGGACGACGGGTGCCGACAAAGTCGTTCGCGACTGCACGTTCGCCTCGCACGATTCCCTTCGCGCTTTCCCCTGCACTCTTTCCAAAGGGCGGAAGGTGCGAGAGGGAGACCTTGCCGTGTTGTTCTGAGGAAAGCACGCGCTCGAGAGGCGCGCGGTGCGGGGGGTTGTTCAGCAGTGATTGTGAGGTTTGGGGCGAGGGGAGGTTGGGGGGAGAACGAAGAAGTTAAGTGGGCGAGAGGTGAGCTCGTGGTGAGGTAAGTAAAGTTTGTGGTGAGGAGCCAGCTGGGGGGGACCAGGCGCTGGCGGTGCGAGGGAGAGGTAAATGCAGGCGGTCGGCACTGTGCTGGCCTCGGGGCGGTTCCACCCCAATGTTTACGCTTTGTTTACCCCAGCACCCTGGCCAAGACTCGCTCGCTCTGGCTTTGTTGTGAGCGGAGTAGCGCCTGTTTCGAGATGGCAACTCTTTTCGGGATGGACGGAGACGGGACAGTTCTGGACGGGCAGGTTGTGTAGAGTTCTGCAGCTGCTTGGTGTTTTCAGGTGGATGGCCCGAAGGGAAAAAAACTCCGTCGCCTGGACTGTGGGTGTGCGCTGCAGTGCGCCCATCCACACGACCGCTTGCCCACAACGCTGCGTGCAAACGGGCAGGCTTTGGACCGACTGCGCTTGCTGCCGCGAGAAACAGGCACACGGCCGCAAGCAAGGGCAAAGAAGGACTGTTGTGCACGGCGGCACGACGCACGCGCGATGCCTGGTGTTTGCCCGTCTCGCCGCCTGGTCTCACACCACCGCCCGGCCGCGCATCGCGCCCAAGAAACGCCAGAGCACACGGCGAGGGCGAGCATCTTGTTCCCGATTCGGCCTAGCGCTCTCCGTGGCAGACAGGCACACGCCAAATGCAGACGGACCCGAACAGTTCACTTGCCGACGTCCTCCCTCTACTCTCTCGCTTTCCGTACGCTTGCAGCGGACTTGCCCCGGGTCCTGCGCGCTTAGTTCTATGCAGCAGAACGGAGCCCGAATTGGATCCGCTCGAGCAACAGCCTGCCCCAGTCTCGCCTCGATGCAGCGATGAGCCAGAACTCTCCCGTGAAAGGCCAACACCATGGACGTGGAAGACCAGTACATGAAAGATCTCTTCGGAGAGGCTGAACACGTGCCGAGCATCACAACATCGGCCCCCGCCGCCAAAGGGCTCGCCCAGAGACTCGATGCGCTTGCCTCAAGCAATTGCTGCAGGTTTGTTCTCTCACGCTTGTCTGTCCCACCCGGTCCCTGTGCCTGATGAGATGGAACCGTAGTAAGATCGCCTGGTCGCGCTTCGGATGCATAGCTAGCGTCGCCGAGGATGCCAGGCACATCAACTTGCGCGTGCTCATGCGAAATCCAAAATCTGGCGAGTGGACATTACCCAAGCCCACCGAGGTATGTCGTCGAGAGCCTGTTCGGTGTGCCGGCCCATCATTTGGACATCGGGTACTGACCAAAGACTTCCGAAGATATGGCCGTCCATGCCAGACAGCCACGAGATTGTGCACCTGGCCTACAGTGCCATGGGAAACGATCTCGCCGTCGTGGACTCGGGAGGACGGATTATGCTATACACCACAGGTCTCACACTGGGTTCCATGATACCGGTGCACGTCGCTCTCAACGACAGCTCGGACGAGATGAACACAATAGTTGGTATGCACTGGCTTCCTGTCTTTCTGCACAACTCAAAGGTATTTTCGTTTTTCTTCAGGTCTGCTAGCCGAAACAGCGACACCTGGACTGCGAAAATTCAACAGTATCACACACCTGGACCGCATAACCCGCTCGAAGGCAAATCCGCTCTCGTTTGTCTGACACGAAAGGGCACGCTGCGGCTGCTGTGGCAGGCGCGAAACAACCAGTGGTCCGAGACGACCGTCGAGCTTGAAGACGCGTCTTTGGCAACAAGCTGCTCATTCACACACGCATCCTTCTCTCCGGAAAATGGTACGCAGAATCTATTTTCTCTGGCCTTTGCAGGCCTTCGCCATAACTTATAGCGGTGATGCTAATGGGATGACAAGATGGTCTCCTTCTTATCGCACACCAGCTCTGCAGAGCGACGCGCTTATACCAACTAAGGATTAACTGGAATATGCCACCTAAGCAAGAAAATGACTCGCAAAATTTAACAGCTCTTCCGAATCCCGTGTTAGACGTTAGGTCTCTTCTCGAAGAGCACTTCATGTCCCCTCAGAACTTGCCCAACCACTCTCAAGACGACACCCTTGCCACGACAAACGGCAACAACGTTGATTCAATGTACGAATTTCATCTGGCCAAGTTGCTATTTGTGCCACCTGCCCCAGACCAAGGTACGAAAGAACCGACGCTCCAGACCATCCTGGCCGTTTTTACTATCGTTCCTCCATCTCATGAAGGAATGATGGTGGATCCTTCGCAGCGTTGGGGCCTGGCAAGCACGATCATTTCTCGTTGGGAAGTGCAAAGAGACGTGGGAGACAATCTCTCAACGTGCTTTGATCAGCTCAGCGTGAAAAAAAAGGCTGCTGCTGGGGTGCCGCTTAAAGTAAGTTCTACGCGTGTGCACCTAAAATATGCTTTTGAGTCAAGCGTTCTCTAACGGAGGATGAAATGTAGCATGGTACGAGACTGAAGAGGCTAGACGATGTTGTTGTATCGCCTGCGGTGTTGATGATCACACCTGTAAGGAATAACACGATGTTTGCATTGACTCTAAGCGACGGCAGCGTCCAGTTCAGATATCGCAACACCATGGACGTCGTTCTCCCGGACGAGAGCCCTGATGAAGTACAGAGCTTGACCCAGAGCGGCTTCTCATTTCACCACATCGATCCATGTTTGCACACCGCGTTCTCGCCAAGCGCCTGTGTTTTGGCAACCCTGACTGCTGAGGGTCAGGTCAAACTGGAGAAAATGCAGTATACGAACAGCTCACTGAACGATATTGATGAAAACGATTGTATGTTCCCTTACGCTAACTTTCCGCTGTACTTCCACAACTAAAGGCAATATCTGCAGCGAAACATGATGCAATTGCAGCGATCATCGCATTGCAGTATAGCTCGGCGTGCATGCAGTATAAGGTTACGGACGATATCCTTGCGATCTTACCTGCAAATCTTGGCACTTGTACGTCTTCATACTGGACTTTGGCTCCGAAATGTGAGAACTATGCTTGCTAATGAATCCAAAAGCACTCACGCGCATGATTGTTGCGTTATGCATGAGGTTTTTGAACGTAGAATTCGATGTGATCTCCGGCGACTATCAGCAACAGATTTTACCCTTGTTCCGCAACCATCTATCTTTCAGGTGCTTCAGCTTGCAAAACGCCCTAGGAGCAGCGGACAAGACGGGCCCAAGAAAGTTGTCCGCAAGGCTTGCTTGGATAACGCTCAATCTGCGACATGTATCACAGAGTATTTTCTTTCACTTGAGGTCGGACCAAGCCCTGAAATATGGTAGGTTTTCTTACGTTTTTTTGCAGTCGTGGTACAGGAACGTGCGTTGATTGAGTATTTAGATTCGGCGATCAGTTTTGTCGGTCTTTTCAAGTGGTATCTCGACCTTTGCTGCTATTTGCTGCAAGAACTCAACAGTTTGCACTACGCCATCAAGCATGAAGCGCATCTAGGTCGGCCTGGGCGAGAAAAGGACCGAGACTGGATACAGGAGCAGATCCAAAAGCGTCACAGTCCGGCAATGATCCTTCTTCTCTCAAGCATGCCTCGCGTCTTCCTGCGCATGACATTTCGCCCATTGCGCCACGGATACATGCACGCCTCGAATGGTTTTAGATCATCCACAGCAATGGAGCAAAAAAACGCGTTTCACAAGCTCTTGAACACATTCCATAACTCGCCTGTGAATCAGCAATCCTTCGGTGCCCTGGAAGACTTTATAAACGAGATTGACATCAGCATCAAGAATGCCTATAAAACTGCATCTCTTTCCGTACAGGATCGTTCCGCTATCGAAAAAGATATGTTGCTAACGCTGAGGATACCGCCTGTTCTTATGCCCACTGTCACGGCGATCCTGACCGTCTCCCTCGATGGTTTGATGTCCAAGGTTGACCCGGGCAAGGTACACATCCATGACATAAGCTGGCTAGGTTTGACGGATGACCATCGAACCAAGAAATTTAATGAGAGCCGCACCATCGATGTTATACGGAAGGTGCCACTTGTGAGTACCGTCAAGTTGAGAGTTTGTCCTAGATGCGGTAGCGTGATGGAGGATCTGGCCCACGGGGTGGGACATCACCAGCCTTGGGTTTTGCAAAGTCATAAGATTTGTGTATGTTTAAGTAGTTGGGCTAATCCTGATGGAAACTAGGGGAAGGATGGCATGAGAGCTTTGTTCGCTATGGACTCAAGATTTTGGATGAACACATTATTGCTGCGAATCTTAAAATCTCTGATCAGTTTGAAGTATCGCCTTTCTGGCGCTGCACTCAACATTCGCACAAATAATAAAAACACAGAGCAGTATCTAAAATGGTATCCTTAAGACATCATTTCTATTTGACGAACAGGCCGAATGTGTCTTCCATCCTCAGATGCCGACTTCCACTTGCTACCCCCACCCCGTTCCAGGCAATGGATCTTGCTAATGGAGGCAGAGAGCAAAGATAACTGTGAACTTTGGCCTCGGAGACTTGCATGAAAATCTGACATGGATTGTAGAACGTGCTAAATCAATCCTGGGCCCCTCGGTCGGTGGCGATGCACACGATTGAGCCCTGGCGCCCCCCAGGCGTCGATGCCATCGTTGCGCAGACCGCTCTGGTTCGCGAATCGGGCCTGCGGTGTTCGCTCGCGGTGAAGCGCAGCGTTGGCTCCTGTTTACGCAAGTCAGATGTGCAGAAGAAGGATCGATTGCTGTCGAGAAGAGGCAGGCGTTCCAACTTTCGTTCCATGAAGGCTCAAAGAGGGGCGGACTTACTTTGCATCCGAATATCCAACTGCAACCTCGTCCGTTCGAGGCGTCGCTGTACTATCTGCGCGTTTGCTTGCAGCCTTGGTGTTCTCGATGGTCTTGGATCGTTGAGCTCTACTCCACTATCTATACTAAGATGTTGCGCTCGACGGGTGCTCTGAGGTTGTCGGGAACGACCGCTGGCTATGGCACCCGCAACATGTCGAGGGATAACTGTGACAAGGCCAGGCTCGGTGGTCAAGTGCCGGAGCTGGTTCGAGAGCTGTGGATGAATAGACCGATTTCTCGCAGCACTTGGAGCAAAACCAGGAGAAACGCCGTCCACGAGTCCTGCACCGGCGCTGGAAGTTTGGCCTTTTTGTCTTGCGGGCCCGCCAGCGCGACGTCTACGCTGTCTGGAAGCTCCAGCAGCTACAATGCCTCTAGCGCCACCGAGGTTGAAGGCACTCATTTGCGCAGTGATATCGGCCATGGTATCCGAGTCAGCGCCGTGAACTTCCATCCCCGGATGCCAGTCTTCGCCGACGAGAAAGAACCGCTCTTTCGCTCTCCGCATCTCGTCGTCCTTCTTCACGTTCTCGCTGAACTCTCTGACTTTCAGGTCTTCTTCTCGGACGCCGGGGTTTTCTTGCATGACCTTGGCAATAGCCTGCTTCTCCGCTTCCCTGCGCTCCGTCGCCTCCCTTTCTTCTGTTGACTCGAACAGCCTGCATGTGCCTTGCATCCAGTGGTCGTGCTGGACGTGCTCCGCGCCGCACGCATAGCACGACACGTTTCTTCCGCAGATGCAGCGCATCTGATTGCAGCCGCTTTCCTTCACGAAACTCATACCGCAGTCTGAGCACTTGCGAATGAGTGCCTCGCTTATGTACTCTTCAACCTTACGGCGTAGGTCGTCCCTCGCGCCTCCGTGGCCAAGCTCTCCTCTCGCAGCCGCGTCTTTCTTTGCGTCTTGCGCTTCTCCACAAGTCCTGCCAAAGTGCGGTTCCTCCTTGCACTTGAGGCAGAAGCTCTTCATGCAAGACGGATTTCTACAATCGAACACCTCCACCCCGTCGTCGATGAACATGGCGAAGTCACAAGACAGACAAGCGGTCATACCCTCAACGTTTCTCAGCTCAGTCCGCAGCTCCAGACGGTCACGCATGTCGATCGCGTCCTGGCCAAGAATGCGCTCGTAGTCAACCCGTTTGTAGAATGCCACGCAACCATCGCCCAAACAACGCATCCATGGAGAAGCTTTCTCAAAGATCTGTTCGCGCAGGTGTCGTCGCACGCACACCTCGCAGTAAGAATGCCTGTCAAGGCGGTTATCGCACTCAACAAACCGGTGCGGGGCGCGTGGCTCGCAGCAGATCTCACTATTCGCGGTGATGGGTCAGTGGATTACGACGGTCTGCCTGCATTTTAGACTCCTGAGCTTACCAGTCCTCACACATAGCATTGCGCTTCTCGGATTCCAGGAGTGTCTCGTATTCTCTTTCTCCTCGCTCTTGCTGCATCTTTTCGTTTGCTGCATGCTTTCCCTTCTCCTTCTCTAGCGCAGCAAGAGTGCGCTGCATTCGGGCTTGAGCATTCTGTTTCTGCATTTCGCTACCTACCAATAAGTTTGTGTGTTTTAAAGATTTCGTTTTCCGAGCCTGTCAACTATTATGAAAGAATGTGAGCCAGCAACTTTACAAGGTCGAACATATAAGTAGAAACAAAGCGAACAGTAATATCCATGTCATGTGAACTGACCGTTTCTTGAAAATGCACTCTAGGTTGGTCATTGACGACACAAAACAAGAATCCGCTTGAGAGTTGATATAAGATCCAGGTTGTGATTTCAGATGTTGAGAAGTCTGTAATTTGGCCTTTAATCGGTAGGTTCGGGAGTATTCAACACAGTCTGCCACAATGCTAATGGTTGGTTAAAGTAAATACACCATGACCGCCCCGACTCGAAGACCACGCTATGCACTTTCTGGTCTATTGTGTCCTAATTTCACTCATCGTTCTGTACAGAGTATGGTGATATTGCCTTTCTGCTTGTAATTTAACCCATATCGATACGATTTCGTATCCTTCCCTCCTAGGCATATGATCTCAGCTTCTCCTGTTCGACTGGGGTAAGTGCGTTGAACACCTCCTGGAACTCTGGCTTCGTTGCCGCATTGTGGAAAAATTGAATGAGATAGCCTTGTGTCTCGTCATCGCGTTGGCGATTGTTGTACGGCTTCTCTTCAGCGTACGCCATGAGTTCGGCCTTTACGGAACCTTGGCCAAGATCAAAGGTCTCGGGATCGTCCTCCCAATCACCATCATCGCTAGCGGCTTCTTCGAGCTTTTCAATCTCCGTCGGCGACAATTGTGTTGCTCCGCCAGCGGCTTGCAGCTCTTCGATCAGAACTTTGATGATTTTGAGGTTTGCCGGTACAACAGTATATTGGTCGGGGTCTAAGGATTGTCAGTCGGATTAGGGACGATTCTCTGCTTCATCACCTACTTTGTCGTGCACGCGAGCGTGTCATGATTCGGCCAGTATTGTTCTGGTTCACAATCAGATCTCCCTTGACCTGAATGTGACTCAGTCGCTCGTCTTGCAGCTCGTACAGTTTCGACAATGCGATAACACTGACAAATGTTAGCAAGCAATATATGGGGGTTATCTCAAACGCTTTTCGACTCACTTTTGTCGAATTTCGTCATAGCCGACAAAGTTGACTGAATTCTCAAGCCACTTGGCCATGACGACTTGCAGCCCGTTTTCCGTGCCGACCTGCACCTGTGCTAAGAAATCAACCACCTCCTTTGCACTGATCAACGATAGGCGTGCGAAGACAAGGATCAAGCTCTGAATGAATTGTGCCTGCGTAGCACTTCCCAGACGGATTGCAACAGCTCTGAGAAGCTGCATTAGATATGGTCCCAGCCGTTCAGAACCAGCTTTTTCGACAACCTCTGCAGCAAGACCACCGACTTCCGATGCGCCGTGATCATCGACAGTGTTTCCAAGCAAGCGGTCTATGATGACAAGGACGACTTCGAGACCGCCTTTACCATTCTCATCATTCCATTCAAAGAGCTGCTTATAGTCATGAATGAGGATATTCTTGACGGCCTGTGTAGCTGACTGCAACAGCTCACCGTCTGTGGAGTTTAGCAGAATCTTACTCAATTTTGGCATAGCGGTGTTTACAAATCCAAGAGGGAGCGGTTCACGACCATGACGAGTGAGGATGGCTAGGAGTTCGGAAGCTAAGTTGGTGAGCGCGTTCTCCTCGGTAATGGTGCCCATGTCGAAGACGCCAGTGAGTGACGGTAGCACTTTGGCGCAAAGCTGAGAGTATGCTTCTGGGCCGGTGGCAGACAATGTGCCAGCAACCTCTTCGAAAGTTTCGTTGACGAGGGATGAGATATTGAAATTACTCGAACTATGGCTAGCAACCGTGAAAAGTAGGTCCAGGCCAGATCCATGCAAGCATACCGTAGTGTCAAGCAAGATAGCGTCACGAAGTGTTTCAACGAGGGTGACAAGCAAGTCGTCCGACTCTGTGAGCTCGTTGATATCCTGGCTGTGGAGGTAGTTTGATAGTGCAGTAATAATATTGGCCTGTAGCGGCTTTGCAATCTCCGGTGATACGGATTGGAAGTAGTACTGCATGGCACGTATGCATGCCACCTTAACCACTTCAGACTCGTCGTGGTTGATCGCTTGCATCGTAAGATCCATGAACTGCGGCACGACTGGTCCGAGTGCGTCTCCTGACGTACGCGTCAAGCTGCCCGCTACGAGGAAGCCCCGAGCACGTAGGAACTCATCCCGCTGCTCTACAGCATGCTTGATGAAGTCAACAAAGCCATTTGCCGCTTCGGGCGAGATTCTTCGGTCCATGTCCACGAAATCACCGAGCAACTGGTTCAATATGTACAGTACGGCCTCCTTTGCTTTCCAATCTTGAGTTGACGCATAAAGTGTTCGTGTGTAAGCGAGAAGGCCATCAACAGTGGCTGCTGCCATGGTTTCACCTAGCTTGATGACTAGATCACCGCATGCGGTCCTAGGGGTATAGTTTGCCGTGACACTCGTTTCTTCTGATAAGAATATGTTCACATCGATGTTCCACAAAGCCTCCTCTTCGGACGTGATCTGTGCGTATCCAGCTGCGAGCTTCATCATTTCAAATACCCAACTTCCCTCAGGCCCAGACTTTTGCAAAGATGCCTCGAGCTCCTTCCTAACAGGTGTGGCGCGCAGACACGCTTGCATGAAATCCAAGTCCTCGAGCACCAGGAAGTCCATGGTGTACGGAAGATTGTCGTCATCCTCCAATCGACTCTGTCGCGATTCCTCAATGAAAAGTTTGTGATATGTCGACTGCAGGCTCGATAGCTCTTCCCACATCGACTGGAATAACATCGGGCTTTGAGGAGATAGGTTCGAGGGGAAAACACTCCGTATTCTCATCAGCACCTTTACAACTTGCAACTTGAGTGCAACCAGCCCGCGGTATAACTCGGCATTATCCGATCTCCGATCCTCCTCCTCCTCCGTAGGCGGATCCGGTAGCTTTGACTTGAGAACATCCATAAAGAACGGCTTCCACGCTTCCAATGCCTCGTCCGCGAATCCCTTGACTGCTGCCTTGTGATCCTCCATGACCATTTCCAGAATGTCGAAGCAGGCCCGGAAGACATCGACGGCAAGAGCTCGCAGTATGGGACGTTTGCCCTCGTTAATGGCGATTTCATAGACAGCCTTGACCAAGTCCCTCGCGACACTGAAAAACTGCGTGTCATTGAAGCATTCGTCCACCAAATCACGCAAGACCTTCAGTGCACCGTGTAGCTGATCGTCGGTCCCCGTGCTCACCACTTGGAGAACGGTGGGAAGCAATTCTGGCCATTCCTCAGGGAAGTCAGCGCTGGCGATTTTGCTCACGGCGTAGCTGGCCGCGCTTTTAACCTTCCTGTCCTGACCGCCGCCGAGCGCAATCTCCAGCAGCGTGTGCCGCAGGCGGGCCTTGTCCTCGTCGCTGATCAGCACCTCACCCTTGAATTCGTCAAACTGGGGGCTCCAAGAGGACTGCACAAAGTTCTTGAGATAGAGCAGAGCCGCCTGCCGGATATTGAGGGGAACAGAGTCATGCGAGGCGACGGAGACCAAACTGAGCCCAAAGCCCGGGTTGGTTGACAGCTGACGCAGTTGCAGCTCCGCTTGTTTGAGGACCGACTCTTGTGGCGCCTGCGTCTCCGCAAGCAGGCGTACGATTTGTTCCTCCATGATTTTTTTTAAGCTCGTAGTCTGAAGGCGATCGCACTTTTTTTCACGACATCCAATTTCCAGGCGGAAAGACGTAATGCGCGTATGCGAGACGACGCCGGGGTATGGTAGCCGTAGCTCTATGTCTTATGTGTGAAGGATGGGCAACGAGAAAGATATGGGGGTGCCGCGTGTGGACTTGTGATTCCGAGGGGTGACGGACGACGAGGAGGGTCAGCACCGCCAAATTGAGTCTTCACGCGTCGAACACGGCGGTGTGGACGGAGAGACTGGACAGTCGAACAGCCAGAGCGGCAGATGTGCGAGCGCAATGCTAGAGACTGAATTTGGACGTGTGATGTGTTTACGCCCAAGAGCGTTAGCTTTGTCCAACGGCTAAAAAGTTCTGGGTGGAATGGAATGGTGGGGAAGCTGGTCGATCGGAGAAAAACACCACGTTTTTGCCCGTCCTGTCACATCCCGTAGGTCACAGCTGCCAGGCCGCAGTTACGCGACTGCGACGTGCCACCCGCTCCGACTCGGCGGGACAAGGCCGTCACGCCTCGACATGATAGATCGCTGAACCTGCACCATGTCATTCGACAACACGTACGCCGCCTTGGTGTCGAACTGGGGCGACTTTCTCACCGTCGCCATCCACACCATCCTATACGAGAGGCACATCTACCCCCTCGAGACTTTCATCACGGTCAAGAAATGGAACTACCCTGTCCGGCAGTCCAGACACCCAAAGGTGTGCAAGTGGATCAACGATGCCGTGGCTGCCGTGCTGGAGGAGCTTCTCAAGTGTACTGTCGACAGGGTCGCCGTCGTCATCTACTCGCAACAGGCTCAACCACTCGAACGATTCATGTTCGACCTTAGCAGATTCCCCATCGTGTCCAAGGAAGACCTTCACACACCTATCCAACGTCTCACCCCCAGTGGACAGCAGCAGAGCCCCACGCCAGCCAACCCGGCCTCTGTCGACCTGCAGGAACAGTTCCGCGCCGTTATGACGAAACTCACGGTCTGTGGCTCCATGCTGAAGCCCATTCCGCCCGGATGCACATTCACCGTGGCCATCGAACTCAAGGACGCAGCAGATCCACCCATCGGCCATCCTCAGCCTTGGATTCCGGTTCAGCCGTCACTGCAGAGAGAAGTTCCGCGAGCCGACTCTGAAAGTACATCCGTCAAGTCAGGCAGCGATCTTGGCGGAGTATATACAACGCCCATCAGATCTGTTGCTTCTGGCGAAATGGTCTTTGAGATGTGGATTGAGGAGGGCCAGGCGAAAGAGAATGAGCTTCAGAGCTCCCCGGACGCCGCAAAGCAATGATTAACGTTTTCGCTGTTTTCGGCTGTCACAGTATTGTCTGGGTAGACTATGTCTTTGGCTTCAGCCTCAACTGCGTGGAAAATTCTACGCTGTCGAGGCAAAACTCAGAAGCAAACCTGTTGCCAATGGTGCACCGGCTTGTAGGTTATCACGTTGAGCTTCTTGCCGGAACTACTCAGATTGTATCTCGAATAGACATAGCAAAAGTGAAAACTGAGCATAGACATTCTTGCAAGGAAGAAATGACAAGAAATTTTCTTTTTCTAAACATCAAGGTAACTGGCCTGTAATACAGTATACCATGTTCGGCGTTTCTCCAGGTCAAACCCCGCATATACGATGGAGTGCCAGCAGAATCGAAACTCGTCTGACTCATCCACGCCACTGCATTATTTGAACGAGGAGGGGCCGGTAGACGAAGTCTTGCAAACCAAATTATATTTTTCTTAATTGGACGTTTGCATCATTGTATCTTAGCCTCCGTCCGAGGAGGACGACGTTCAGGGGACTTCCTACCTCGCAGAGTACAACTGTACATCTGGATGAGTTGCGGATGGACGGCAACACGCAGGTATATCGCAACGATGCCGGCTACATTTGGAGGTACCGTCGATGATTGTGAGGGGAAAGACTCAGGCCGGGAGACTCGTTGGACGGGGACGAACAAACCGGTCGTGGAACACGCACCAAAGATCAGTGTCGTAGTGTCTGATGCGACATCCGCAACGGACATGCGCGCAAAGACAGAAAGGAGAAGTTGCAAGAGCATAACGTGCACAGGCTTGCTTCTGTCAGCTCCAAGATCTATGTACTGAATGGCTTCGAGACGATTACGGCTATTAACGGCGGCACGAGCTCTCATTTATGGTCTAGGATAGTGTCAAAGCGGGTCTACACGTCAAGTGGATTGTTCATACATCATGCAAGGGACAACCCAGCGTATCCTCACCCAATGCTAAGACCTATTTTGGTGTTCAGAATGTTTCCGAGCCGGCTTTGGTACATGCAGACACCAGCATCGTGGCGCGACCTGGTCTGCAGACTTCAGGTGAATGGAAATGCATCCGTCAAATACATCCTCCTGTAGGATCTTGGGCCTACAGAAAGACTGGTTACCTGTTTATAAGTCGGTTTATATCTGTTCCACAGTACGACAGCCGATCTGGGAGCAAATGTAGATGTTCAAAATCTGGAATGTGGGAATGAATAAGTTGACCTTTGGTGTTCCTGCCTGCCTTGCACAACGAGATGGATGCATCCCGTAAAGGTATCCTCTCCAAAACTCTGACTCTTCTGCGAAGGCGTTGATAACTTTGGAAGGGTAAAGCAAGGTCTGCAAATAGCAGCTTTTACAGAAGAAGTCGATGCCATTTTAAGTAGCACCTGCGTTAAGAACAAGATCCACAAGTTTTCATTACAAAGCTATGAATCCAACGATGTCTTCCGACGAGCAGAAACCGTCGATACGCAGAAGAGTTGAGGTCAAGCCTGAAGCATTTGCCAAAGAGTGCGGCAAGAGAATGCTTATGACGTATCAACAAGCAGCAGCCTCAGCTACCAAAGCATAGAGCTGGCAGCGCAGACCCAGACGTGACGCTCTTCCGGCCGAGCAATTCCATTTGTGTAACATATATCCGGCCTTTGATCGCAGGGCAGCATTGGGCAAACTCGTCAAGAATAGGCCATGCTTGCCAACGTCGAGATCGGTGCTACATGGACAGATGGCCGAAGTCAAAATATAATGTTCGGAAATACGTGAAAAGGACGTCGGGCTTGCTACGTCAACATATTTGCGGCTCAACCGTTCGACCTATGTAGGAACGGGGATCTGGCGCGTCTTCGATTATTTGACCTTTATGGATCTTTTTCTGGGTGCCTTTCGGTCCGGAGAGTTGTCTGAAGGTTTGATGAGAGAAGTTGACAAATCTACTGAGCAGAAGGCTGAAAAGGCTGAAGCATGGATATCTGGCGGACCATGGTGGAGACGGCATGAAAACGACGCCTGCTTGGAGAAAATAGGGTGTTATGTCAACTGGAGAAATGCCATGGTTGATATTACATTTCCTAACAAAAAAAAAACAAAAAAAAGGGTCTGGTCAAAAGAGACATAAAGAGGAGAACAGACAAGAATTTGCGCTCTCATAACTTATGCCGTTTCTAGCTGTCGAAAGCGTCTAGACCCAGCCAGGCACTGTTTAACATATTCCCAAATTGACCACCCATCAGAGCGCATATTAGTAGGAGAGCAGGATCGACTCACGGCTCCCGATTTTCTAGATCTGTATCCAAGGCCTGCCTAGAGTCCTTCATCCTCCCTCCAAGGCTCGAAGACAAGGCGGACGAAGTAGAATGCAGCCGTTACAAGATTCAGTACGGTGTCGTCTCGGGGATAAAACCATTTCACCTTCTGAAAAGAGAGAAGAAAAAAAAAAAAAAAACCGACGTGACGATGCAACAAGACAGACGCCATTTCTTGGACAGATCTACATGCCCAGGGCAGTCCTCCCGTCTTTGAGTTTACTCGTTTGGCAGAGCCCCTTCGCCGTCAGCGGTCGCATGAAAATGGTCACACGAGATAGAACGTCCACTGCTTCTGTTCCAAGTGTGCAAGATGGTGGGTGTGACAGCGAGTTTTCGCCCGCGGGTTGTACAACCGTCCGAAGTCACAAGAATTCCAGGCACGCATCGGTGATCCCGTAATCATGACCACGGCATTCACGCCTTGCCTGGGCAGGGTAGTCAAACGAAGCAAGGCCTGACGATGTTGCGGCGGTAGGTCCGGACACCTCGTGATTTGTGGTACATGGCCGTCAGGTATCATATTGTACGCATCGTGACCTTTCGAAAAACCAGACGAGGTTAGGCGGTACGGCCTGCGAGACCGACGTGACAACGGTCGCAAGGGCGAGGATTGCACCAACAGCATCACCACGCGCCATAGATGCCCTGCGCGCCCGTGTGCCGTTCTCTAGCAGATTTATTCCATGACTTAGGTGATGTGAGTACATTTCGAGGTAGTTCGCGCCAAAGAGAAGCGCTGTCATCAGCCAGGGGAGCATCCAAAAAACATAGAATGGCAATTAGCGTACAACGATGCCTCTCGAAGCCCCGCTCTTGTATCCTATTGTTCAAGCCACCGTTGTGCCTGATCATGAACATTCCATCCGCTGCGCTCCTATCTTTCAGCAAGTTGAAACTCGAGCCATCAGCTGTTTTTGACCATGGGAGCTACCGAGTATGGCTATGATTGCGCATCATGCATGGAGCACCTCTTAGCACTAACTACGTGCTGGATGCCGAGTCATAAGGGATTGGGTTTGTGGACGAATAGGGTCATTCGGAGGAGAATGAAGCCGCAACAAAGAACGTGCTCTCGACACAAATCAAGATGTCATCGCAGCAAGCATGAATCATAACCGTACCGCTCCAAGGCCGGCAACAAAAGGTATCAGTCCAGCCTGAACAGGCAAGTCGTCGTCGTCGTAAGTGGACCCCCCCTTCGGTTTAATCCTAATTGGGAGGGGCGCCACGTTTGTCATTGTGCATCGTCGGAAACACCCAATCCTACCAACGAACCACATTTCAGCAAGGCTTTGCATGCGCCTGCGAACTCCTACAAGTACTCGCGCCCAGTTCTTTGAGTGGGATCGAAACACACGGTCCACGTGGGGTTAGACGCAATGATCTGCCCGCCCAGAGCTAATGTGCGCTCCCGCCCGATGCTGTGCAGGACGAGAGCGCCCGTATTGGACAAAAAGCAAAGAAAAAGAGGCAAAAGCAAAAACTGCAAATGAAAGAAAAAGAAAAACTGGAACAGAAGATGGGAGGGATGGGGGAGGGCACAAGCGGTTATCCCGCGTAAAAGCAGTTACGCGCAGGCCCTTTTCTTCGGGGGTTACGAGAAGAAGCCGGGCTTGCAGCAATGACTACGCGAAGAAAAAAGATGGTGTACCAGAGTCATGCCTAGAGTCATGCAACCATCATTACCCCCCTTTTCACGTCGGGGGCTGACCAATAGCGACAGATTTATTTTCTGATTCGTAGCGGGCCAGATCTTTTGTGAGCGCGGAGCAGGCGGGCACACGGAGCGTCGCGTAAAAGACTATCCTCTTTTCCCTACCGCGCCAACAAGGATTGGGGAGTTCGGTTTCGCTGCAACAGTCGGCGCTTGGAGGATCCAGAACGGAGGGGTCCGTCCTGTGCGACCTGCAGTGTGCAACCTGCAGCAACAAGCCTAGTCGCGCAAGGATGGCAACAGTGCCGAGGAAGTGTGGAAAGATGTATCGAACGCTCTAAGGAGGGATTGGATTGTGCGCACGAACGCCGATGCGTCGCCATGGGCACAGAGAATTGCCGTGAACGCAGAGAGATAGATGGGGTGGAAAACAATGCACGCAGTAGTAAGAATGAACCCACGTGGAGGGAAGAATATGACGTAAGCATTGATCAGTGCAGCTCTGAGGCCATAGAGTGTGTGCGTGTGTGTGGCAGGACGTCGAAACCGCGCAGCATGCCTTGGTTGCGCAATGTTTCACACGCTTCAGCCAATAGACAAAGGGACAATCCTCCGAAGCCAAAGACAATCAAGCTGGCATCAACAGCCTCGTGGTCTTGAGATGCATGTATCACTACCCCTCAGCAGGGCGACACGAGAGACCAGAAGGAAAGAACGGCGAACGCCATTCGTGCGCTTGGCCCATTCGGATATGCGTCAAGACGAGGGTTGGAGCGCTGCGGGCAAAGGCATTTTTGCATTGACAGACGTGAATCGGACGGCCGATCGATGAAGTGATGGACAGTGTATGTCCGCATCTGCACATTTAGTTGGCGAGGGGAAGCTCTGAGCTTTGAATATATGTGTGCACGCGGTGCGACATCGACGCGGCCGGGTCGCCGTCGAGAATAAAGGCGGGTGCACGTTTGCTGCACGGCCAGCCTGCAGCAGAGACAAAGAACGCGACGTCGTCTCCCGTTGGCAGCAAACGTCAAGCCTGTCGTGCGACGACGGAGCCGGAGGTGAGGAAACGAAGCAAGACAAGGCCCCTCCCCCCCAGCCCCTTCGCCCATCGAAAGCGAGCGTGCCAGCAAAGACCTACACTTCAAGGCCATACAACACCACGTCGCTGGCGCCGTGGAACTTTCGAGCTCCCAATCCTCTCCCCTCTCCAACAATAGAATCAAGCAGAAAACAGCCAACGGCATCCCCGTCTGTCGCAAGGCTGCCGAGCGCTGGTGGTCCGCGCTGGCGGAACCGCCGTCCATAAAAAGCGTGACGTCTCCAGTGGCAGCGCGAATGAGAGCAGGCGCTTGGGGCGTGTGTGCGGGCGCGACGATCGAGGCCGCCGCGCGTGACTGCCGGACCGATCTGAGCGAGTTTGACTCCGGCGCGTCGTGGAAGGTAAGGGGCGTTGGGGGCCGGAGTAAGGGAAGTGAGAAGCGATGCTCGTTAGGTCTGCGTGACTGGTGCGAACAGAGAATCAGGCAAGGAGAGGTGTGTGTGTGTGTGTATGTGTGTTGAGCAGGGAAGAAGCCTGCTCAGGCGCGTAGCCGCCGCGACGGGCGACTCCTGGATGAGTGTGCGTGCGTATGTATGTCTTGCGCGACACGGCCGAGGATCGATTACATCTTTCCGCGCTCTTTGCGACACGTCGCCGCCGACGGCCGGAAATCTGGGAGACGCGTCTCCGCAGCGTCCTCTCACCTAACCCCTCCTTGGATCCTCGCTAGAGAAGGTACAACAAGCGTTTTTAGGTTGTTCTCGGACGGGGTGGGAGGAGGGCCATCTCCGCGCGGTAGCGAGGACGAGATGATCGCGATGGCTGCGAAAACTGCCGATGGGGGGTTTAGCAACGACGAAGGATACTTACGAAACGGCCGGACAGCCTAACAAAGTACGGATAGATGGGAGCGAGAAGAGAGAGTTGCCCGAGGATGGGGAGAAACATGTCTAAGACACCACGAGGGCAGACTCAACGTGGAAGGTGGATCAGTAACAGAATAAGACACGAGTACAACGACAAAAAAAAATTCTTTTCTTTTTTTTAAAAAAAAAGAAAATTAAATACCGGCCCAAAATTTGATATGTAAAGGTGTATGATACATTAAAGAGAAAACTAATTTGCTCGCGCAATACCACGCCAGCATATGTAGTCTCTATGAATTGTAGAAAGATCAAAAGGAATTTATCTGCTGAACCTGCCATTTTGAGAAAAAGATGCCCAAGAACTGAAAAAGCGCTGTGTAGGGGTATATCGATCGGAATGGTTGTACAAACTTTTTGGTGACCGCCCACGTAAGGAAAGCCATGGAAATTGCTTGAACGTAAGATCGTACCCGCTAGAAATTGTGCTGTGCGCCTTCTCCCGTTGCCAGAGTGTGTGCTGTGCATGAAAGAAAGCCGAGAAAAACAGAAGACAAACACCAATGCAAATTGCTTTTCCTCCTCTTCCAAGTTGTTTTTTTTGTGCCCTTCGTCATCGTGAAAACAAATTCCCTGCTAACCCTGGTGCTACTTTTACAGTTCCATCGCTGTGTGCAGAGAAAAGAGGAAGGAAAATGCGATAAACAAAGTGAGATTCGATCACCAAAAGAGTTTTCCATGTAAATGCAATGCAAGTGGAATTGCAGCAGTATTGGTGACACGGGGTATCATCGCGAGAGGAAGAAAGTCGAGAAAATGACGTCTCCGATTAACTCCGATTGAGGAAATGGAAAATTCACCGCGGTTGTGTAATGTGGCTGTGCGAACGTGAGCGTAATTAAAAAAACGCTCAAGAGTCAACGAATGACTCATCGCTGTTGTGTCGACTCCGGTCGAAGACTGGCCATCGTAGAACGTGGATGTTGCGTTGGAAGTCTCTGGGAGCCAGCTCCAAGAAAGAAATGAGGTGAGGCAAATCGACGATCGGACAAGAGCGCAGGCAGCAGTCCCAGGAGGAAGACGTGTCGTTGGATGGTGCTGGACGTTATGATGAGTGGTGGGAGGCGAGTCCTACAAGGTTGGGTTGCGCAGGATCTCGTCGCAGTTTGCGTCAAAACGCATGCTCCACAGACGGATGGCAGACATAAGTTTCTCAGTCTTGTCAAGCTCTCTGTCGCGACCAAAGATGGAGTCGACGAACTCGCAGCCGCTGTTCTTGCCCATGGTTACGGGCTTCTTGCCGCCGTTGTCGTCCTTGGCGGCCTGCCACATGTATTCTTCGCAGATCTTGAGCAATTTCTTGAGGCGCACCCACAGGCGCTCTCCGGACTCTAGGAAGTCCTCGACCAGCTCCCGGTTCTCCTCCTGGCGAACCTTGTCGATGGTCTCGTCGGCACGCTTGATCTTGCCTGCGAGTTGGATGAGCAGGAGCCAAAGGTCACCTGCCATGTCCGAAAGTGGCGTGGCTGGACCGTGCGAGTACACAGTCCAGTCATAGATCCATTTGCCCAAAGAATTTGCGTCAAAGACGCTGCCGAGGAGCGTGATTGGCTCCTCGCTGGGGTCCCAATTCTTGTAGGAATAGCCGGCGGGGATGCCTGCGCGCGCCGCGTCCTCGGCGGTTGCCTTGCGTACAGTCTTCTCGGTCTTGACCGGCTTTTTCGGCGGGGTTGGCGACGGACGGGTCGCCTGCGAGGCGCGGCGAGGTCGCGACTGGTTTGCTTTGAGAGGCGTCGGCTCTGCTTGGACTGGCTCGTACGCGGGGGCCTGACCGTAGTAATAGTCGTGATCAGTGCCTCCGTACCCATCAAAGAATTCGTAGGTCGTGGTGTAGGGCGGCGGAGCGTCGCGGTAGTCGTAGCCGTCATCGACAAAGACATAGTGCCAGTGCGAGTAACGACGTCGAGGGTCTACCTTCTCGCGTTGCGCATATTTTGTGGAAGAGGAGCGGTGGTGTTGTGTGCCATATGCGGGTGCTCGATAACTTCGAGTCGGACCCCGAGTAGAATTGAAAGCACTTACATATTCTTCCCTGCGCGAGGTGCCGGGCACAAAGGTAGTCTGGCGGCGGTCGCGGGGCGACGGCGTTGCGTAGTGATATTCTGGATAAAGATTTGGCGGCACTCTGCTGGCCGAGCCAAAGCCCGGTGGTGCATGGCTGGCCCGTCGAGCGTGGTTAATCTTGGCCGAACCGCGTGGGCTCGGGGTTCCTGCAGAAGCGTACATGGAGTATCGCGGCGATGATGGGTTATATGGAGGAGCGCGGTCGTAGGGTGGCGCATAAGCTGTTTGCGCCGAAGGATAGTGTGCGTACGAAGCCATTGAGTATGTGAATGGGGCTGGTGTCAGATGGCCGATGACACCGGAAGGGCGGGTTAGGTGAGAGGGTTAGGAGGAGGGGAGAGAAAGAGGAGTCGGAGAGCCGCGTGGAGGCGTCAAGGCGGCGGCTGCAGTTCGTTTCGTGGGTCTGGTCTGCGTTGTTGTGTGAAGGTCGAAGAGGAGGAAGAGGTGCGGAAGCTTTGGACCTTGAATGCACACATTGATGGACGTTAGACTGTCGGGTAGCAGTAATTGATCAGAGCTGGAGCAGCGAGGCTTTACGGCGACGGTCGAGACAGCGTGGAAGACCGACGAAGATTCGAGCGGAGGCGAGGCTGTTCTTTGTTGCGGACGCTATCGTTCGCGACAAAAAAGAGAAGAGGGAGGGGATTGGAGGGAAGAAAAAAATAATGTATACGAGGATAGGGTTTGTAAGCGAGGCAAAACAGTTTTGAGGCTGCTCAGAGACAAGACGAGCGAGGAAAGGGAGGGCTCGGCTGAACGTCGCGGCCCAGCGCTCGTTATATTCGCCCGGGCGCTGCGGCACTAGGGGGTACAAGGGGATTACGAGGGAATTGCTGGGGGACTTCTAGGGAGGTTTCCCGACACACGCGGACTTCAGCCCCCTGACCCTGGCCGCTGCCGAACCCCCCTATTGTCCGTCCGGCCTAAAGGGGCTGACTTCCGGCAGCAGCGGCCCAGCCAGCGCGGGAGTGTGTGCGAGCCACTGCGCCGGGTCCCTTGATGATGCTGAATGATTCCACACACGCACGCCCGGCGCGAAATTGCATAGAATTCTTCCCCTCCTCGTCATAATCATGCTCGGGCTTGCTAGTGATGACTGCTTTCCGTTGCTGCCAAATACGGGCGGTGCAATGCCCGCGAGCCTGCCATTTGCTCGTTTCCCACGGTTACTTCGTCGTCGGGTCGAGTGCTCTGCCGTCGCTCGCCCTCTGACTCTTTGTCCCGCCACGGCCAGGCAGACATCAATGCTAGCAGTCGGGAGGCGGAGACTTGCCCTTCGCCAGCCAAAGAAGAATGAAAAGGGAGGCCGAGCAACGCTCGAATGACTGCTGCCCTCTGTATGCTCTTGCCCGCACACATGAAAGTCGCACACGTATTTTCTTGCCTTTCGCCTCCACTCTACCGTGCTTTATGACGAATGCCTTGTCCGTCCCACCTGCGCTCGACTCGGCCTCTTAGTGTCATACTTAGGATGGACACGCATACAACACCTACGTGAACCTTGCCCGGCGTGACTCGTCCGTCCAACAATTCTTATTATTATTTTACTCTTCATCCATTCGCCCACACATGGACCGGGGGTGGGAAGAGCGTTCGAAAGGGCTGTGGGCTGCCGAGAACAACTTTTAGTGGGCGCAAGAGCCTTGTTTCCGTCGCACAGGCCGAAGTAGGAGTCCTGTAGGTTGTGAAAGTCGAGCCGCTGGGCCTTTTTTCTTCCAGTGTGTTCGTGTTGGTCATTGATGGAGCTGGATTGGTCGGATGGGTCCTGCACCACGGGCCGCTTCGCTACACGTACCCCTAGTCTCCTCTCCCGTCCCAGTTTTATCTGAGCAGCCGCTAAAGTAACTCGGTACATTACCCACTACGGTATATACGTACTCTCTTTGAGTACTCCACGGTACGTAGCCTTGTTCGCTGCCAACGATTCCCCAGTAGGAATACTTGCTGTGAGTACAGTACATGATGGTTGACACTGTGGACAGCAGTGGCAGCGAAAGAAGCTGGCTGTGGCGGTACAAGTGTGAACACAAGCAATTTTTGCGAACACCACTCGTCGTCTTCACACTCGCTCGACATCCCCAAGCCTCCCTAACGATGAGCTGGCAACAGCATAGCCCTATGCACCTGCGTGCTTCTACCGCAAGCAAACGTCGTTACAGCAACGTAGGCTTCCACTATTTTTCCCGCTAGATTCCGCTGCGCGGTATGATGATGTCGTCTGCAGCAACGAGAATATTTTGTTCCTTCGTCGCTGCCAACATGTGTATAATTTGTCCGCGCCCTCCATTTTTTCTGACGGGGCCTATCCCTCCATCCCCGTTACCCGCACGCGAGCCTCGTGTGAAGGGATGTCCCTCCCTCAGCCCAGCCTCCCCAGTGCGCCCTTGGCCGTTATAGCGACCGTGCAGAAGGCACAGTAATTTCAAAAGATTTTTTCTTCCTCCTCACATCATTTTCTGAATTAAGCCGTGCAATCAGTGTGTGAGTGAGTGTGTGTGTGTTGTGCCCACACACACACACACACACACTCACCGATCGAAGATGTCAAACAAGGAGAAGCGGGATCAGCGAGACGATGCACGTTCGGGAGCCAGATAAAGCCCACGATGAGCGAAACAGCCTCGTCTAGATGTAGAGTGTTGGAATCTGCGTTGTGTGCTGATTCGTGAAACCAAAAAAAAATACCAAGCCCTCGAAAAAAACCCAAAAACTTGTTACCGCTCCCACAGACTGGGACGTTGACAACGCACTTTACAGGGGCGGAAGATTCTTCCACTTCTATCGTGTGGGAAGTTAGGACGTCTCGTTGATGCCCACTACTTCTCTGACCTCTGCTGTCGCCCTCCTGCATATGCATCTCGCCTGTGGGACGTTTCCCTCCCGCTAGTCTTTCTCGTCCCATCTTCCCGTCTTCCTTGTCTCTCTCCAGCTCCTCCTCCTTCCACCCCTCTCAATGACCAGCATTGGTCGACGATCCGGCGTGTCTGGTCAGTGGGCAGAAAAGCCTATCAACACTAGCGTTGAAGGAGTCCCACCTTGTGAGGGCGACGATGGGAAATTAGCAAGCGCAAACCGTCGCCGCGGATTCAGGTGGCTCCTTCGAGAAGATGTGGCGGTGGCTTTCGACTCGCCTTCGGAGCCCGCAAGTCCGTTCCCCGGCCGGGTACGCGCAAACTAACGAAGTCCACAAGACACGCGCACCAAGCAATCGCACCCAGCTACCACGCTTTCCACACAGACCGAGTCGTCCTGTGTGCTGTGTACATACCTGACTCTGACTAGTCCTATGCATCTTTACCGCCTCTGTGTTCGGCTAGCATCCGCCGTGCCGTCCCACCAGCGCTCTCCTCGTTGTCCACATCCAAAATGCCAGCACAGCAAAACAGATCGATCCTCTGAACTTGCCCATGGAATCGTGCCCTGTGAGCCAGTCGAATTGACGCCCTCTACACGATGTACTGACCCCATGTACTTTTTTTCCCACGTCCTAGGATTCCCCCCGTTCCATTTGGCCGTCACCAGAAATTTCCTCACTGCACGTCGCGAAATCTTGGCACGACACACGAACCAGTTGGAAAAAAAAATATCTAACCACACGGCGCACACTCGAAACAAGGCACACGCACGCACGAGCGGAGAGGGGGGGGGGGGGGGGGGGGGGGGGGGAAGAAATTAGTTCGTGGCCTTAATAAGTCGATCCTTCTCTCGTGCTCACAACGGCTCTATTATTGTGTTCGCTGACAGGGCAGTGCTCCCGCTCATCAAGGCTCAACCACACGGCCGTAGCCTTGCTTTGGGCCACCGCTATTGTCGGTGAAAGGATAGGTAGAGAAGCGACGAAGAAAATTTTTTTCTAAGGGATAAACATCGAAACGCGGTCCTGTCCCTATTCGTCCGCAACGCCGCACGCCCATACACCCACACACATACACAGAGAAAGGGTAGAGAGGGAGACGGGAGGGGGAGGCCTGTGGAATTTTGTGTCGTGTCCGTGTGTTTGTGTGGTTGGACAGATCCCGAGGCTCGTAATAACAACGGGCGTTTGCCCGCGCGCACGACTCACGGAGCAGACGAATTAAAGTTTGTAACGAAACGCGAGCTGCTACACACCGCACACTTTTGCGATAGACGCACGCGCCTCAAGGCGCAAGAAGAAAAAAAAATTGTAGAACAACTAGGGCTCGCAATCATCGTCGGGGCGCCCAGCATCCGCTGCAGCTGTGGTTCTATTTTTTTTTCCACGCTCCCTCGACGCAGCATGCAGCCTTGGAATTCGCCAGCGGTACTGTGCTGCGCTGTGCTGAGGTGAGTCACAGCCTTCCTCTCTCGCCCACTCATCCACCTGGGAATCAGCTCTGTGGGTTCTTATTACTTGCGGCTGCTCGTCGTGGGCGGCGACGCTCGAGCGCTCCGATTGGGAGCAGCGGGATCGTGCGTCCGCGGTGCAGGGGTGCCGCTGGCTGGACTTTGCGCGCCTTGGGACCAAGCAGAAGTGCAGCATGCGAGGTAGACGCACTCCCAGCGTCCTCGCCGGTCCGGCTGAGGCAGCAGTGCGTTGCTGAAGCCATATGTATGCACCTGCTGGTCATCGTCATGCTGCCCTTTCGCCTTGCTGCCAACCACAAGCCAATTGTGCTGGCCAGCATAGCGCTGTGGGGCCTGATACGCCCGTCCGGCTTTCACCAGTCATCCAGCGACATGGCCGGAGTTGCTATGCTATGGACAGGAGCCTGGTGAGAATCGCCCTCAAGGGGGAAGCGAGGGGAAACGAAAGCAATAAAAAAAGGAAACGTAAACACGAAGAAACACGGAGGTGCGAGTTGCGAAGATCTGATCGTTGAATGGCGCGTCGAATTTCTGGTGCTAGCTGATTTTGGACTCTGTTTCTCAGAAGAGTTACGAGGCCGCCGGAAGCGGATCGAGAATCGTCACTGCTCGAACGTATGCACGATGCTATTCGCCCAAGCAAGGCCTGCCTGCAGCTTGCATGTGAACATCGCCGCAAGCAGGAAAAGAACTGAGATAGTCCTCCTGGCAAAAACCGCCTAACCACAGACACACACACACACACACACACCCAAAAAAAAGAAAAGGATCCAAATAAAACAGTGTCTTACGGAATAGGACCTGGCTGCGAATGCCTTTGCGGCAGAGAGCCTGTCTCGTCCCCAGTAAATATCACCAGGAAAACGTGACAGGCCGCGTCTTCCCTTTCCATTTGTATACTATGACTGTCTCAAGTGTGCCAATGACTCTTTGTTTACGGGGGCCGCTTGGAAAGGACGCCCTGCGACCGTCTCGCAAGTGATCGTCCTCGACGAGTCACCGCCTCGAGCCTCACCGCCAAAGATCTCTGCAAACCTCCCCCCCTTCTTCTTTTAGGAGAGCGAAAGGCGCCCTATATTCTTGACATGCTGTGCTTTCGTGTAGCAGAATTAATACCGCATGAGGCGGCGCCACGGAGGGGCCCTCCGCTATGACTTCCGTCGAAGGCGCATGCTGCCTGAACGTCGAAAAAGACACCGCTGTCGGCTGTTAGGAACTGCCACGCGACATCGACATCCCCGAAAAGTTCCCGCCGCAAGGCTTCCACGGGTGGCTGAGCAGGGTCTCAGCGGATGGAACAGTGATTAAATAGCGAACACAAAGGGAGGGGTGAGAAGAGGAGGAGGAGGGAAGAGGGAAGGTGGGGAGGTTTGTAGTGGAGCACTATATTTTGGAAAAAGGTGAAAAGGTGCACGTTGAATTTTGTTGTGTTTGTGCGTGAATACATGTGGGCTCGAGGCATGAGCCAGTACGCTTAGAGTTTGATACTTTTGACGAGGCCAGTCTTGATGCCGCTCAACTCGCCGCCGTAGCCTCCTCGGCCTTCGCCGCCCTTGTACACCTGCCTCGTGCTTCCCAGCTTCTTCAGCTTCGACGCGTACTTCAACTTCTTCTTGACTCTCGGATCTGCAAGGCTCGGTTAGCTTGCTGCGTGTGTTTGCACAACTACGGTTGAGTATGGGATACGTACTTCGCACTTCTTTCTTGCGATGTGGCGTCAGGCCTTTGTTCTTCTCGATCTGGTAGCTGATCTTGCGTTTTCCGTCTGGGCCTACTTCCTCCACTTCATATACCTGCGCATTCTGCCTTTGCGCTTCGGCGTAAGCTTCCGCTGCGGCCTTCTTGTCCGCCTTCTTCTGCTTCGCCCGTGCCGCGACCATGTCGTAGTAATCTTCCTCGTCCGACGGAACTTGCTTTTTACCATTTGCAGCCGTTTCCTCACCGCTGCTCTCGCCCCCGAGCTCCTCGCCTGGCTTTGGCGCCTGTCGTCCTCTGCGTTCGGCAGCAGCGTTGAGCCTGGCCTCTCGGTCCTTGAGCCGCTCACGATACGGAACGTCAATGTCGCCACCGTAATCTTTGCTTCGAGAACCCTGCTTGTTGGCCTTCTGGACAATCTGGCTGGTGTAGAACTTCAAGCTCTTCTTCCGAGCTGCTTTGGCCGCAAGTTCCTGCGCCGTGAGTGTGCTCTCGTCACCAAGATCAGACGAGTCATCGTCGACGATAATGAGTTTTCCTGAAGGCGCAGTTCTGATCTTGGACGCCTTTTGACTCGATCTCTTGACAGCCAGCTCAGAGAGATCTGCGAGACCTTCCTCGACTTGGCGCATGCGTTCCGCACGTCGAGCTTCAGATGCTGCTCGCAACGCCTCCGCCTCGAGATCTTCTTTGGCCTTTGCCGTCTTTGATTTCTTAACCTTCGGTTTGGCCACACTCTCGTCTCGTCTTTCTTCTGCAGCCGTTGAGGCTGCTAAATCAGTCCTTTGAGCTCCTTTGGCTGCGTTTGCTGCTTGTTCTTCCAAATCTGCTAGCTCTGCAGCGGTATCAACTCTAGGATGACGACACACTTCTTCCCACATCTGGCGCGACTCAAGCACGTTCTGAATGACTGGGTGTTCGCGCAGCGTCCGCGGTGCCAGCGCCAGCACACCCGAAGTCCCGTTTGCAGTAGAAGTTAGGACCGCAAAGTACATGGCACATGCGGCCAGATATGCGGAGAGTGCTGTGTATCTGATGGTAGCGATGTGAGATTCCGCACCTTCTGAAAGGTTAAGGGCGGATCGAAGTTCGAGGATTTTTGGCACGTAGCTTGCGTCTCGTTCGATTTCGTCACGCAGTCTGTGCAACTGAAGCCAATCGTTCGCGATTGCCTCCAGTTCTGGGTATCGTGTCTTGAGTAGCTTCAGTCTTTCCTCATCCCCCAGGTTCTCTGGAATCTCCAGTTCTGGCAGCTGCTCTGTGACAATCTCGTCTTCGTCATCTGAGCTCTCAGCATCATCTTCTGGGGCGCTCGCCCCTCCCAGACTGAACAGCATGTCTGCTCCGGCCAGAGACTCAAGGCGTTTTTGCTGTATTCGCTTTGCTTCTGCTTCTTCGTCGAGAGCAGCCTGCTCTGTATCTATCTCGTCCGCACCATAGTAGTCCTGCTTCGAATCGCCCCACCCTTCGTCGTCATCTTCCTCTTCTAGATCCTGCCCGTGTTTCCCGGACTTCACTTTTACCCCTCCAGACACGATGTTTATACCATCTTCCGATTCTTGCTCGGGCTGATTCTCTTCGATATTATCTTGTTCTCCTTCACGGTCTTCATCGTCGTCCTCGTAGTAGTCCTCATCTTCTGATTCAGGAAGCGCCAAAACTTCTTCATCAGAGAGATCTAGCAATTCGTCTACGCATTGTTACTCTCAGCCACTCAATATTATTCGCAAGTAATTCAAACCTTCTTCTTGGAGCTTGCGCTGCTTCTTCGCCAGCGGGCCTTCATCCAGAAGGATCCTGTCTCGGTTGTCCAAGAACTCGTCCTCGGAATCAGCGACGTCTTCATACGAGTTGATGAGCAACTTCGAGGACTCCGGTTTCGTAGGCCGATCAGGATTGTTGTACGCTTGGCTTGAGGCCTTCCTCTTTTTCCCCATGGTTGCGATTGTTCTCGCTCTCGAGTGGATAGTTTCGCGCGTTTTTGCGCTTGCACTCCAAAAACTTTCTTGAGGTCGAGAGCAGGGGTCCTCGTTTTAGCTTAGTGTCGTGTAAAACTTCCTCGCACCTTGAGAATTTCGTCTAAACTTGCATATTTTGATCTGAACCATCTTGTAAGACGATCCTTTCAGCTGCTCTGATTTCGGCAACATATGGATTTGACAATGATAACGTAAGAGTCTCTATCAAAATGGTTTAATATCATTCGTTACAAGCTATTTCATAGCTTTCTTTCCTGAAAAGGGTCTCTTCGGACACTGCATCTTGGATCATCAGTATCCTTCTGTTTCACTGCACATCTCGTTCGTCATTACAGTACCAAGATTCTTCCACCTTGCCGCGTGATTTCCTGAGATACGTGCTACCCAGAAGCCGCGGACAGTTTTGCGTGAGTACGTATCAAACTTTTGCTATCGTTCCTCATGATCCTGTTTCTGCACTATTCCGCGTCCAGAAAGGTAACTCCTTCATACGCAAGACTGGTGAATCGGGGGTACAAACATGACAATGTTTCTGCGTCTACACATAGTCATAGAGGCGTGAAGACTTTAAAAGACAGTCGAAAAGCTCAACAGTTGGAAAGTAAGCTCACCGTTTCGAACATATTTCCGTATCAGTAGCTAGCATTACTAAGTCATTCGGAGTACAGACAATGAAGATTAAGAGATTGTCCCTGCCAGACAGCTGGGCATGCCTTTTGCCCACGGAAGTATAAATCCACCCTCTTTGCTTTCGATGCCATAGTCCATGGCTAGAAGTAGACAGCCCTTTGTCCAATGAAATGGCACGACCAAATTATCACTCCTTCGTGTCTAACGACAAGGAACGTGCTAGTTCCTTATGCAAAATAGAAAAACCTTCTCTCTTGCTCATTTTGCTGAACAGACTTCTGATGCCGATGAAAAAAATTCTGCCTGTCATGATTCTGTAGAGAACGGTACGGATAAACCCGAAATACAGTCTAATCATGATTTCGGCGTCCTATCAATTGCAACGATTGATTTGTTTGTGCTTTCGTCTCTGTTTGACAACATTTGAAACTGCACGTTTGCTTGCTAAATCTGCTCAACTGCCAAGGTGATACGCGGGTGACTCCGCGGTGCACCAAAAGACCTCAGAGAGGGACAAGTCAAGGAGTAGTTCTAATTGTTAAAATCTTGGTACCAAAAGCATCGGGTTGCGTTCGAAAAGCAGTACTCGTCATTCAACGTCGTATGCCCCACGAGAGTAGTGCTCACCAAGGCAGCGTTTATGATCGCATGCTCCAAGTAGATGTGCGTCTGGGGATGCACAGCCTAGATTCCAAACAAAAAAAAGCGCTGAGGTGTTCTCGAAGATGTTCTTCCCAGTTCGATCTGTAACAAAGAATTTTAATCAGTAAAACTCATTGGATATATCAATTTAAAGAGAACACAAGGCAAGCTGAATCCGGCGACCGGATTCTGTTCCCGAATAGTAGTCTGGTACCTTCAAACGAACGTGAGGTTCGCCAGGGCGATAATCTTGCTGAAGAAAGAGTGTGGATGTTCACTAGTTCTAGAGTCCCGCAGCTTTGGATTTCTTGAGACACCACATGCGACTGGCACCAGGCCTTGTCAAGTTCAGCACGCCCAGGCAGCTGTGAGGGTGTAACGCCCGCTTGACCAATAAAAATACCAAAGCACGGGCATTGTGGTCGCGGCTCTGAGATTGCAAGCTCAAGCCAGGACGAGACGCTGGCAAATGTCCCGGCTCTTAGAACTAGTGCGACGCGTTTCAGAATGAGATTCAGTCGGCCAAACACGTCAAACGGCACGGTCGGGCGCATGCATGCGTCTTTTAAAAGAACCGCGGAGCTGCGACGGGCTTGCGCGCTTTGCTCATTTTCGTCCACGGCCAAATTTTTTCCTCGAGCAGAGTGACGAGGACGGGAAATGGGCGCCGTCAGCTTGCCGCCGCCTGTGGCTCCAGCGCCGCCAAACGACGTCATAGTACACAATTAGATCTGCTCGACCAAGACTTGTTGCCAGGGGTGTCAATCCAACAATTGTTCCAATTGCGCGTCTGGCACGCTTCACCACCCTTCGTTCCTTGCTTTCTGGCGAACTGACAGCTCGCTTCGAGCAGCTGCCGCACTCGTTGAACCTGTGCTGCAGCCGATCAATGAACAGTGGCTCAGACTGCTCCGCAGCCGCCACAAACGTCAAAAGGCATTCTTCGTGGCTGCATGCAGGTCTGCAACCGCGTGGCAGGAGCACGTCTTGATAATCTTCTTACCTACAAGCTAGACAGTCTTTCTCCACTTCCGCACCTGCAAACTTCTACCCTACGCCCTACGCTATACAGTGTCCATCTTGTGCGAAGGTTCTTGGATGCATCGTTCATCTGGGTGAGCGTGCAACCGCTTCAGGATGTCTAATCTCTTCAACACCAGTGCAGGCGCTGGCACCGCCCAGGACAAGCAAGGGCAGACAGTAGGCACGTTCCTTGCTTCGTTGGCTGGTTCGGCTGCTGCTTTTGCTGCCCAGATCTTGGTCTTTTACGTGCTGAAGAACAGGTTCACAAGAATTTAGTACGCATGCATTAAGACTTTATGTGTATGTTCATTGCTGACAACTACGTAGTCGACCAAAGACATATCTTGTACCCGAGAAGGATCGCACCAAACCTCCTCCCGCTGGAGCCTTTCGATGGCTAATACCAGTCTTCACTACCTCGAACTCCGAACTCATTGCAAAATGCGGACTAGATGCATACTTCTTCCTGCGCTACCTTCGCATGCTTCTCAAGATATTTGTGCCTTCAGCGGTTCTGATCCTCGCCATACTACTGCCCATCAACAGCCAGGCCAGTAATCCCGGCGTTTCAGGTCTTGACAAACTCGGATGGACGAATTACGACCGAAGCCGTACCGACAGATTTTGGGCGCACTTGCTGTTGGCTGTCAGCTTCTTACTTTGGATCGGTTATGTTATTTATGGAGAGTTGAGGAGTTACATTAGGGTCCGACAAGCGTATCTAACATCACCGCAACACAGACTGCGAGCATCGGCCACCACAGTCTTGCTTCGAAGTGTGCCGAGAAAATGGCTCACTGTCGAAGCTCTAGACGGTCTTTTTGACGTATTTCCGGGTGGTGTAAGAAACATCTGGATCAACAGAGACTTCCAAGAGCTCAGCGACAAAGTCAAATTACGGGATAGTCTCGCCGAGAAGCTAGAGGCAGCGGAGACAGCGCTCATTCGAAATGCAAAGAAGAAGCAGATGGAAATGCAGAAGAAAGAGGAAAAGCTGCACGGCAAGAAACAAAAGATGTCGAGAGCTGAGAGGAAAAGGAAAAATGCCGAAGACGATGCTGCAGCTCTCGAAATGGCCGACCAGGAGGGTATCAGTTCCGGTGACCCTCATCAAGCACACACTGTAGACGAAACTCTAGGCGAAGCGTTTCGAGATGGTGGTCCTCAAAATCATGACAACCATGGCCTTCCTGTTCCTGTGCTCGGACAAGGTCTCCATGCTGTGAAGGGCGGGCTTGGTTTGGTTACAGGACTTGGAAAGAAGATCGTTACTGACGTTCGAAGCGTGCCGCGCAGACTGGACGATACTGTAGAACAAGTATATGAGGGAGCGGGTTTCTCTTTCGATGGTCAGACAGAATCTCCAGCCGGCTTAGCAGAACAAGATCATGGCCGCATGTTTCATCCAGAATCTGCAACCGCCACAAGTACCTTTCCTGACGTGCAGTCGCCGGCGCAATCACCTCGGACTATGACGACTGGAAGATCTAGTGCAGAGCAGCCCCTGACGTCTACCGTGGTACAAAGAGACTATGCTTTGCGAGGACAGCTAGCACCTGCGACACCAAACTCCCACGTGGAGCCTATGAGAGGATTAAAAAGTGAAGACAGTGCTCGCACTGCCGTAGATGCTTTGAATGACGGTACCCGACTAACTGCTACTGCATCTAGCTCCAAGAAGGTTCCGCCTAGCAAGCTCGAGTTTAATAGTATGGGATTTCTCGAGCCAAAGAAGAAGGGCTGGAGGTACTGGATAGGCAGCCACGATATTGCGCTTCCTAGTCCGGATCCCCACACAGGCAATGAAAGAGAGCTAGGTATAGAAGCGAGGTCTTTCCCAAGTTTGCATGGGAATATCGGCACGGAGCCTTCATTGACAGCCAAGATCATTGCTTTTCTTACGGGAAAGAAGGCGAAAGAAAATAACGACAGGGCTAGCATCCGCGATCAGTATCCCGACCCATACAACAAGGCGTTCATGGACGACGGTGGCATGGATCGTGAACCAGAGTGGAAGAAATATCTGAAACCTGGAGATCGCGATACGATGCGTCTTCCATTGTTTGGACTGTCTTTCATGCCTTTCATGCCCTCATGGACTTTAATTGGCGAGAAAGTAGACACCATCTATTACTGTCGCAAGGAAATCGCCCGTCTCAACGTCGAGATCGAAACTGACCAGAAGGAACCTGAGAAGTTTCCGCTGATGAACTCTGCATTCATTCAATTCAACAATCAAGTTGCGGCTCACATGGCTTGCCAGAGCGTTGCTCACCACTTTCCCGCCACCATGGCCCCACGAATTGTCGAGATTGCGCCTGGAGATGTGATTTGGGATAACATGAATATTGGCTACAAGCAACGAATGATCCGCATGGCTATTGTTATTGTCATCATCAGTGCGATGATCATTCTCTGGGCCGTTCCCGTTTCATTTGCCTCGGCATTCTCAAACCTACGCAACGTGCAAGAAACGTGGAAGGCTTTCCACTTTATCGCAAGCTTCCCCAACTGGCTCGTCAGCATCTTACAGGGTATTGTGCCCCCTGTGCTTGTCATTGTTCTTCTCGCTCTCCTCCCAATAATACTCCGTCTCCTCACCAACTTCCAAGGTGTTCCCACCGGAATGAGCGTTGAGCTTGACGTGCAAGGCTATTACTTTGCCTTCCTCTTCGTACAACTATTTCTGGTCATAACGGTCGCAAGCTCGATAATCAACGTTGCACAGGAGATATCGCAGAATCCTAGTCAAATTGCATACATTCTCGCTACGAATATTCCCCGAGCGGCAAATTACTTCTTCTCGTACCTAATTCTTCAAGCTCTGTCTGTATCTGCCGGTGCCCTCGCACAAATCTCACAGATCGCGATCTGGTTTCTGCTACGTCCAATCTTGGACAATACAGCGCGACAAAAGTTCAATCGCCAGATCAATCTCCAGAGTGTCCAATGGGGCACTTTTTTCCCAGTTTACACCAACTTGGCTTGTATTGGTCTAATATACTCAATCATCTCGCCTTTGGTCATGATTTTCAACATCATCACATTTGGCTTATTCTGGGTCACTTATCGGTATCAAACACTCTATGTGAACAAGTTCCGATTTGACACTGGTGGTCTGTTATTTCCTAAGGCTGTCAACCAACTTTTCACGGGAATCTACGTCATGGAACTCGCGCTTATTGGCCTGTTCCTACTTGTGCAGGATGAGCAAGGGAGCAAGGGCACTGTGTGTCTGCCGCAAGCTATAGTTATGGTGGTCATGCTGGTGTTCACGATCATTTTCCACATCCTGCTCAACGTGAATTTCTCGCCACTATTTAGATACATTCCCATCACTCTTGAAGATGATGCAGTGGCACGCGACGAAGAGTTTGCGTTAATGCAAGCTAGGAAATGGGCACAGGAAGATGGTCAAGAATTCAGTAATAACGAAAGCGATCCTAAGGAAAAGCTCGGAGAGACCAAGCTTGGTGAAGATATTGAAAGTAGACTAGAGCATCAAGAAGAACTTGAAGAGGACGAGGAGAAAGGCCTGGAGACTATTGAGATGGATGAGATAAATAGGCGTCGCTCTGGCCATGTCGCATCCCTTGGCAATAAAGTGTCTCGAATGGGTACACATCTTAAGCCATCTTCTAAGATTGGAAGCTGGGCAGATCGATCAAGATATCGGAGGAGCTCTCATATCGACCATGGCAGCCCCAATCCTAATACTATCGAGGAGATTGAGCGGCACCACAAGCATCGTCACGCCTCGAACGACCGCCGACACTCGAAGCTGCCGCTTGAGTTCTCCACAACATCAGATCAAGCAGAATGTGGCGGTCAAACCGGGCTTTCGTCGTCTGCCGCAGGTCAAAAAGTAGATCGCACTATTGCAGTCGGGGATGCATTGTTTGGGAATATCTCCGACGAGATTGAGGACCTGACAGCGGAAGAAAGAGATCGACTCGTCCAGCGTGCATTCCAGCATAGCGCTCTTCGTGCAAGAAGGCCTGTTATCTGGCTGCCTAGAGATGATTTGGGTGTTTCGGACGATGAAATCCTGAGAACGAAGGCGTTCGCAGGCGAAAACATCTGGATCAGCAATGAGGGAACGGGCTTGGACCGCAAAGCCAGAGTTCTCTTCCGCCGAGCACCTCCTGACTTCAATGAGGTAGACCTGATTGAGCTGTAAGATCAGATGTCACGATACGATGATTGGTTGCATTTCATGATAGCGTTCCCTCGTATTTTCATTACAATAGATATACCCTTATGGAAATCTCTCGGAGAGTCAGGATGAAACTTTTAGCTCTTTAAGCTGTATATTTAACTCAAACGTGCAATGTCATTGATACAAATATGGTGCTACCATCGGGCTTTTATGAAAGCTGGAGTAGTATTGGTGTATCGTTTTGAAACTGCAAGGGAGCATTATATCGAGATATTCCTGTGGTCGTTGTCCTTCTCCCTGAGTTTGATCCTACCGATGTTCCAAGACGATTCTTTACCCGTTACCACAGACCACTATATCCAGGTGGAGGGAGCTGAAACAGAGAAAACTTCGGCACCGTCCCGAAGAGAATGTGCTGTTGAACTCTCTCGCAGTCCAGGTGATTGCAACACAGAGAGCTCCTTTGCTATCTGCATGAGACATGGATAAGATAACGAGGTTGCACCCGTATCTGCGTAGCAAGCCAGTCTGGCCACAGATGATGGCACAGACGTGCTTGCTCGTTGCCCAGAGAGGTGATGTATTCCCAAGAGTAATCTTTGTCCCGATCAAGCATAGCGCGCCCAGCCAACTCGATGCAGGTTAGTGCTGTACAGCCGCAAGCTAAAATACCACTAGCACCACCACTTCATGCTTGCCCACAAGAACCTCGACCGCCGAGACATTGGCAAGCCAGGACGGTCAAGTCTTGGACTGCAAGGGGAGCACGCAGCTCCTATCAGCAGGCGTTGTCGACGGCGCCGATCTCGCCAGCTTCGCATTGTCTCCATTTCGACGTCGTTTGATCTCGTAGGCGACCCGCAGCGGGAATATGTTCCAAGCCGCCTGGGCTCCTTTCCAAGAGATGCGATGCTTTGTACTACGAGCATGGCAATTGGTTCTCTCGGTGTCAGAGTGCCGCTGAGCGGCCTCTGGATTACCGCAATGCCTTGATCGCGCCTCTGCCGCCCCGCATCGTCTACATCGCGTGCACTTCGTACGAGATGCCTATCTATACCCTGCAGGACATGGCCAAGGCCGGACGGAGCTCCAACACCTTGATTCAGGACCTTTCTTCGCGGTAGTTTTTCTTTTTCCTGGAATAGCTTCCATGAAGTAGCGCGATTTAACGTAGCAATGGAGTCGCGGGTCGCTCATCATTCCCTGGGATGGAACCCAGTCGCATGGCAGCTTAAATAAAACGGGCCTCCCTTTTATTTTTTTATCCAGAAGTTTTGGATCGCAGCGTGAACCAGCTCGGCCTGGTGTGAATCACGCAATTTTCTCTCCTAATCCAACCTTCTGATGTATTTGCTTGCTTCTATGCTTTGCTCTCCACTCATTTACAATGCCCTCCACTAGTGTCGATATTGTTGAAAGCAACGAGAAGTATGAAGATATGGAGAAGATCGCATCGTATTCGAAAACAGGCGGGCATGACAGTCTTGGTCGTCGAGTGAGCACCGCGAACACGTCGTATGATAGCACGCATCGCAAGTTGAAGCCGCGCCACATCCAGCTCATTGGCATTGGGTATGCTTCATTCAGGCTTTCGGTGCGACATTTTAGTCTAACCATTTCTTCAGTGGAACTATTGGCACGGCTCTCTATGTGCAAATCGGTCGTGGTCTCATCAATGGCGGTCCTGCCTCGTTGTTCCTGGCTTTCACGATCTGGTGCTCCTTTATCCTTGCAGTCACGCTCTGTATGGCTGAGATGGTCACGTACTTGCCGATCTCCTCTCCGTTTATCCGCTTTGCCGGGCGCTATGTCGATGAGGCTTTTGGTGTCGCCGCGGGATGGAACTTCTTCATATTCGAAGCAGCATTGGTGCCGTTCGAGGTCGTCGCGTGCAACGTCGTCATCCATTTTTGGAGCGACATCGTTCCAGCTGGCGGCATTATCGCAATTGTTCTTGTCCTGTATCTGCTTATCAATGTCCTCGCTGTGAAGTGGTATGGGGAATCCGAATTTTGGGCGGCCCTCGGAAAAGTTTTGCTCATCATTGGCCTGATTATTTACACATTCATCGTTATGTTGGGCGGCAATCCGAAAGGCGACCGATTCGGGTTCAGATACTGGAAGACACCCGGCTCTTTCGCGGAGTTGTATAGAACAGGCGACCTTGGCCGCTTTCTAGGTTTCTTGCAGTGCCTCATTCAGGCCTCATTCACGATTGCTGGTCCTGATTACGTGTCCATGGCAGCGGGAGAGGCCGAAAATCCACGGAAAGTCATGCCTCGTGCGTATAACGCTGTCTTCTACCGTCTGACCGCGTTCTTTGTGCTCGGATCTCTGGCGGTCGGAATTCTTGTTCCATACGATGATCCTGAACTTAATGCAGCGTTTAAAGAGGGCAGACCGGGTGCCGCGGCCTCACCATACGTTGTTTCGATGAACAGACTTAACATTCCCATCCTTCCGCATATAGTCAACGCTGGAGTTCTTGCCTCAGCCTTCTCCGCCGGAAATAGTTACGTTTATTGTGCTTCACGGTCGCTGTACGGCCTCGCTTTAGAAGGGAAGGCCCCTCGGTTTCTGACGAAGACGACACGCAATGGCGTGCCTATCTATACGGTTATTGTTGTGCTGCTGATTGCATTACTCTCGTTTCTGCAAGTTTCCAACAACGCGGCCGTTGTGCTCAACTGGTTCGTCAGCCTGGTCACCGCTTCGCAGCTTATCAACTTCTCAGTTATGTGCTTCACATTCCTGCGCTTCTACAAGGCATGCAAGGTGCAGGGTCTGAGCAGAGATAGCCTGCCTTACAAAGGCTTTTGGCAGCCATTTGCGGCATACTACGGACTCATCGGGACCTTTATCATGACATTTGTTGGTGGATATACTGTGTTCTTAGATGACAACTGGGATGTGCCTACTTTCCTTTTCTCGTAGGTTGTCCCTTTCCCAAATCATTGATAATCTAGTTATAAAGAGGGTTATGCTAACAAAATTATAACAGATACATGATGATCTTTGTCTTCCCAGTTCTTTTCATAGGCTGGAAGGTGATCAAGCGAACAAAATTTATTCCCGCTGAGGAGATTGACCTATACCAAGATCTTGAGGAGATCGAAGAATATACACGTAACTTTGTAGAAATACCGCCAAAAAATGCGGTGGAAAAGTGGTTCAACAAGTTGTTTGAATAAAACGAGAATATTCAGCCAGTATATGTTGATTCATGGCGTATCACATGGTGTCTTCCCTGAAGTTTCGAGGACGAAACTTAGATTGCTGCAAAGGTAGGGGGCGTTGAGGAAGATACATAGTACGCATATACCCAAACTATGAAGTTTCATGATCAGTACAATTCATAATCTTTGAATGTGAACAATGTATTTTTTGTATTTGTATATCAACTGGCCAGAAATAGCGTTGGTCTACAACGCGAACAATATTTCCTCCACACGCTCTCTGACCTGCCTACACGCTAGCCTTGCGTGCTCGTCTGCACGAGTCATGCCTCTAATCAGCTCAAACATTGCCCTTCCATGTTCGCCGTACCGAAGTGTTAGAACAGTATCGTCAAACGTCTCGTTCCGAATTTCCTGTAATCTCTGATGCCTCTCCATTCGTGTTCCAAAAGGGATGAGCAATTCTGCCGTGATTATACCCATCGCATAGACGTCCAACTTCTCTGTGAACCTTGACACTGCACGTATGGGGCGATACAGTTCGGTGCCCACCACCTTTGCGGTCGTCGCAGCATGAGGATCGGAGGACGAGGCGCGAGCAATCCCTGTGACGAGTCCAAAGTCACCGATTCGCGCCCCGAGAAAGCCACTGCGTCTGCGGCCTTCTAAACGACATTGTATACACTTTGAAAGATCGATGGACGAAGGTGTTCGTGATGGATTTAGTGTGAGGAACACGTTCGAGGGTTTAAGATCTCGGTGCACGACGCCGCTCTCGTGTAGGTATTCGACACCGTCTAAGATAGCAAGCAAAATCTGAAGTGAAATTTCAAGGTGGAAGCAGTGCCTTGTGTGACGAGCTCCTGGCGATGAAGGTGGTGATGGTGATGATTTCCTGGCCGTGTTGGAGAACAGGCTGGTGGAGAGGTAGTCTGATAGCGACAGAGGATGCAGTGACATTTGTATGTGCAGCGTGAGCAGAGAATCTGGCTCAGGCTTACGTCCAAAGTCAGGATAATCACTTGTCGACGCAACGCCTGAGTTGCTGGAGTCGGTTGTACGCAGAATTTGTAGTGCTGAGCTACTTCCTGCGTCTCCAGCAATCGCTTCAGAATTTCCATCATCTTCTAATCCAATGCTATGCACAGAGCTCAGCTTCGACTTTACAGACGCGGTCGTGCTAGTGCTACCGGCTCTCTTTTTATCAATTTTGATCTGGGGCTGAAGCTCCGCAACGAGATCGTCCTGCTCGTCCATTTCATCCAGGTCACCCAAAATCTCGCCTCCGCTACGCTCAAACAAAATATCGACGCTAGATTTGCGTGAATGGTGGCGTGATATGTTGTTTGGATCTCGAAAATTAATGAATTGGCCATGTCCATAATCCTTACGTTCAGCATTGACATTTGCATCTTCCAATAAGGTCGGTGGAGCCTCAATCATGAGCTTGCTGTTTGGCGCAAGTGAGGGAAATGAGGTGGTTGACGTCATGTATTCGAGCCAGCCCCCGTAGTATCGTACGATATTTGGGTGGTCGAATCTGGCAAGCATGCGCAGCTCATTGAGGAGGGTGTCAAGTTCTTCTTGTCCTCGTTCCTGGATGCGCTTCAAGCGGTGGACATTAAGATTGATCTTTTTCACTGCGTAGGCTGAGCCATCCAGGCGGTGCTGCACATGGTACACCTTGCCATAACCACCTTTCCCGATCATGCCCACCTCAACAAAGTCGCGAGTATACCGAGACAGCTCGAACATGGGATGATCCACGAGAGGCCTTAGAAGTGGTGGTAGAGACATGATGGCATCCATACTCTGATTCATAGCTTCTTGCTTGTAAAAGTGGGCACTGGCTGACATGGGCCGATTTGGACTGCTCGTTTCCGCGACCACAAGATCTCGAATTCCGGAATGAACGCTAAGGAGACTTGCGTCGCGATGCATGATACCTGGACGTCCAGGCGTAGGGCTCTTGCTAGATAGTGCGTCAAGACCATCGCGGGCTTGTTGCTTGATCAATTGAGTAGCTGAGTCGTGTCGTTCGGGGGGCAGAACGTTGAGCTGTCCAAGTGTTGTGGTCATGTATTCGTATTTTGCGTGAGCGAGTGCTTGCACATCCGGATGGTCCTTTGAGTACTGCTCAGCTGAGGTGTTGCGTTGCTGGAACTCGGACAACGCATCGTTCAGACATTTTTCCTCCAGAAGCGCACGCATGAGCCACTCTTTGGTGTCTTGGTTGCCGTTGGCATTGTCACGCGTGATCTGCCTCGACAAAGCTGTCGTTGAAGCAGATGCAGCGGAGTCCAAGGTCTCAATCTTACGCAAGTTTCTCGCTTTAGACGCTTTCACGGGAGAGCTCTGCGGCTCATTGTCATTGGTCGTCTCCTCGTCGTCATTCACTCTGCTCGACTCCTCGTTGTTACATGTCTGGTCTTCTGATTCAGTGACATCATTTGGATTGCGGAAGAACGACATGAATCGGAGACGGAAAATACGGCTTGTCAATGTTCAAAAAGCTAGACTGTACATCACAAGTGAGGTGGCATAATTGAGAGCCTAAAGAGGCGATATATGTGGTCAAGGTTCTGAGGAGATATTATATAATAGAAACACAGTTAAGAAGAAGGTGAAGGATGATGGTCGAAAGTCAAGGGGATGGGGCCTTCTAGGCAGTAGAGCGGAATAGGACAAGGTAGATAGGGCGCGAAAGGATACAAAAATGGACAGAAGTTGGGAAGCTATGAGCCGCTAGCTACGCCCTTTGAAGTCAGTTGCCAAGGTTAGAGCAAGAAGAGGACGTGGAAGACGAGGAGGATGAAGATGACGGGAACAATGACCTTGGTCGTCCTCGTCTTTGCTCTTTGCTGAAGGCAGAACAAGACAGGTGGAAGCTGACGGACGAAATACCGTAATATATTCCGTTTAAGGATAAGCGCAAAAGTGTAATATTCAGTCCCGCAGGGGCAGTCTTTGCCTAGCATCGCGCATCCGCCGTGCTTGGACCCATCCCAAGGACGCGAAAACACTACAGTGATCACCACCACAAGCCTCATCTGCTCCATCCACCGGAATTGACATCCCGCGTTGTGCGTCGATGATACTCGCCGGCCTGCTCAGTTCCCATAGACAAGTCTCGACCTTCTGCGACCGCTGTTCCTTCTCTGTCTTTTGCGCATTCATCGTCTTATAAATCGGCGACACGGGTCGCTCTCCAGCAGAGCGCGATGGCTCCCGTTGCGATGCTCCAGAGTAGGGCCAATCCACCCCAGGCGTTCTTGTCCAGCTATGCTCCTCGATTGCGCTCCTATGGCAATGCTTTGTTAGCGCCCATTATACCTCAGACGTCGTCGCTACCAATGCCACGTACCACGAAGAGAGGCACGACGGCAATTAACTACGCTGAGGATGGCTACGATGACGACGACTTTGACAGCGAGGGGCCGCGCCGACCTACAGGCTTGAGGAGTTTACGCAGGGAAGACACACAGGCGGAGGCGGAGAAGGCGAGCGAGCGGGGCAGAGAAATCTTTGCGCCCGTCGATGTGCAGCCCATTTGGCGAGAGTACATGGGTAAAGCACGAAGGACGATGTAAGTGTTCCGATACGGACCTAGTACCATCATGATACGTAAACATGTGCTAAGTAGAACACTTTTCAAAAGGACCGAGAAACAGGTCCAGACACAGGCACACCTTCCATTAGTGCTTATACCCATCAAAATCGACATCGACATTCAGCCCTGGCGGCCAGAAGCTCCCTTGCCCTTGCCACACAATGCGCGCGAAATGGGTATTGACGAGACGCACCCGGCTTATAAGACTCCAGAAGTCACACCCGCCTTTAGACTGAAGGACGCATTCCTGTGGAACTTGCATGAGGCTCTTACAACTCCGGATGTGTTCGCAAAGACGCTGGTGGACGAGCTGGACCTGCCAGCAGACAGAAAGGTGGCGCTTATCATGCAAATAAGCCAGCAGATACGTTCGCAGCTGGAGGAGTACTCGCAGGCAGCGCTACATCCCCTCTTCAACCCCACGACCACTCCTCAACCTGCAAAACCTACCAATCCACAGGTCGCGTCACTTAGTCAGCCCGCTGCTGCAACATCAACTCCACGAGACCGATCTCACGCTTCCACGCCCGCTCCTTCCACCAGCATGGCCGCAACGCCTCTCCCAAATGGCACTGCTGACGGCGATGCCGCCGACTCTAAAGCCGACGCGTCCCTCGAGCAACAAGCAGCCGCTGCAGATGTGTCCGCGACTGCCGTTGCTGTTCCATCTGAAAACGATGTGCACAATCCAGACGATACATATCGTTGTATCATTGAGCTGCGCATCAACCTGATGAACAAGCTATATAGCGATAAATTTGAGTGGTCGTTGCTGCATCCCCCAGGGTTTGCGGAGTCCTTCGCGCGCCAGACCTGTGCGGACCTTGGCTTGAACGCAGAGTGGGTCTCGGCAATGGCGCATGCCATCTACGAAGCCGTTTACCGACTTCGCAAGGAGAGCCTTGAGAACGGGTTGCCAGGTGCGTGGGATCTGGACACTGATGCGGCCGAGGGTGTGGAGGCTGGATGGCGGTATGAGCCGGAGCGCCTAGCGCAGGATTGGGCGCCCATCATCGAGACACTGTCCAAGGAGGAGATCGAAAACCGCGAAAAGGAGAGGGAGCGCAACATGCGCCGCATGCGCAGGGAGACGAACCGATATGTCGCGCCGGCTGCGTCGCAGCCAAGCAACTACTTCGCTGACCCGACGGCGGACGACACGCCCATGGGGCGCGGTGAACGGAGCAAGAAGAAGAGAAGATTCCGGTCTCTTTCGCCGCTGGGGAGGGATACGCCAGACACTGCGGGCGCCTACGGCGGCGGCACGAGCTTGACAGAAGCGTACGTCTTATGTAATTCATGCTGCATACTTCTGAACAACTGCTGACGATACAAATCACAGTGAAAGGCAGTTCTGGCGCTGCGAGCATTGCCGCGTATGGGGCTCAGCCGTTTGGGCTGTCCGCGAAGGACCCAACGGTCCACGCACGCTGTGTAATAATTGCGGGTTGCTGTATGAGCGGAACGGCAAGTTGCCGCCTTGGAACAAGGACCTTTTCGCTTCAGAGAGGCCGGTCGGTTCTACGCGTTAGGACGGACAACAGTAATTGCAAAATCTTCGTATTCTGTGGCTAGTCGAAGATTTGGTCGGTCAAACTTATCATGCATAACAGCGTTGGCGCTATGTGGGTTTAAGGACTTGAGTTTTGTTTTCAAGATCGGTCGGGATGGGCTGTCTGTAACATTATGGCACCGGACGGAATTGCGCTTCCATGACTATGTATCCCAATTGGCAGACGATGGCACTAAAGAAAGGGCTTAGGAGCAGAGAAGGAAATCAAAGAAGATAATCTTTGATTCGTGTTTTCTATAGTTTAGCTATGTATCGATGCATATTTATGTTAGGACTACATGAGCAGCTGTTAGAACCTGTATCTATGCCTTGGAATATCAGCTTGTTGTGTTAGCGCTGGTCATCTTAGACTGATAATCCCAGCATTCGAACGCCCAAAAGATGCCACATGAGCAATTGACATGGCAGTAGGATCTGCTCGATAGGTCGATTGCTAAGATATCGCCAAGCTGATGAAGTGCACGAGAATATATTGTTACTCGTCGCTACTGAAATTAGTAGGCAACGATACCCAGACTCTCATTTGCTATTGCCTGTTATCTTCGCTGGAGCCATAAACTTCGCCTTCACTTTTCTTGGGACTAACCAAGGAGTTGTAGTTTCTCCTTCTTCCACTTCCTGACTTCGACATCTTCTCGTGCCCTCGCTGCGCCCAGCTTGCTACGCCACCCATCCTTCCATCGTCTCTTCTCTTCAGGGCTCATGTGCTTCGGATCTGGGCTTTCAGCACGGGAGATATCGCCATTGCGTTCACTGCCTCCACAGTGACCACCGCGATCAAGAAAATCGCCGACCTTGTCCTTTATTTGCTGCATGCGGTGGCGTGGGGATGTGATTTTCTTTGGAGTTGTGTTGTTGGACTTGGACGGCGATACAGATGGGGTGGTTACCGCAGGATTAGCCATCTTGGACGACGCTCCTGTACGCGGCGTACAAACTGCCTCTTGTTGGTCTGTCTTACGTGACACACTAGATGTGCAACACTCCATTGGCAGATGCACATTTGATGGACGCGCCGTCTTCATGTCGCTGAGTTCGTCCACGGCACCGTCAAACTGAGAACCTCTGCTGGCCGAAGCGCTGATAGAATTTTGATTTTCGTGCAGTTGGAAGCGTGAAGTTGCTGTTTTGCTTGCCTCAATGGTTGTAGTGGCGACAAGGTACTTCTCGTCCCCAAAGACAGAGTGCTGAGGCATGCTTCCAACGCGAGCACTCGGTTGGTTTCCAGAGTAGCCAGCAAGAGGCGGTTGTGACGAATTCGACGTGCTTACCACACGATTACAACGACGCGCGGCGGCGCAGGTCGAAGACGACACTGCTGTAAGCGAATGTGACGCTGGAATGTCAGAACAGACTGTTTTTGGCTGTTGTGGTGGTAGATTCCAAGGTCCGCTCGAAGGAAGGAAGAATCCTTTTGGCCGAGAAGCATTAGAACCTGAGCTTTCCTCCGACCGCGAAAGCGGAAGGTGCGTCGGACCTTGAAAGTCATGGCAAGGAAGGTGCGGTGCCTTCGTGTTGTCTATTTGATAGGGCGTGCGTTGTGCTTGACACTCGCTACCATTGGCTTGCGCGTCATTGCAAGTATGCCTGCTAACAGATGAAGGAGAGTTGAAGTTGAGCGACTGGGTCAGCCGAAGGTTTTCGCTGCGATTTGGTTGCGATCCAGCTAGATCGGCAATCAATGAACAGTTATCCGTTGTGTTCGGCGGAGTGCGCGACATGGTAATCATCTGCGACTTGAGGCTAATAGTGCTAGACTCTCGGGTCAAATTCGTACCACCGAGACACATCTTTGAGAGTCCGTCGATATAGCCAGAACAGTATTCTTGATTTTTTGGATCGCTTGGAGCGTGTCCGGACGAACCGGCTAAGTAACCTTCGAGATAGGATTTGGATTTGCCGTGGAACTCAGCTCTGGTTTCTGCTTTTACTGGGGACTGAATTTTGTTTAGCAGTCATCTTCAGACGTGTGGTAATTTATCTTGAGGCGATAGACAATATATGATGATAGTGTCAATGCTCACATGTTGAGGGATGTGTTCCTCATTCTGCTGGACAGTGGAACAGCTAGTGTCACCCAGGAAGCTTGTCGTGCGCAGATCATCTGGAGAATTTGCAAGGAGATGAGATGGGAAGCCGTAGTGACTTGCAGGTGACACTGGAGGCACAGGTAGATGGTGACCATCGGTCATTGGACTGGTTCCGCCGCTGTGTTGATCTCGCATGGGGGTGCACGGGTTCGTCTCCATAGAAAAACGAGCAGCCGCACTTGTCTTTCGAGACATATACTTGTTGAAGGAGTGTTCATGCGTGTTGACAGGAAAAAAGTCGGTCGTTGTGACGCTAGAACGGCTGGTTTGGTGCTGCGAGGAGTGTTCGACGTTGTCTTCATTACTTGATGGATTGACCTGTGAATGGGATGCAGTTAGCATCCGTGAAGCGCCCACTGGAAGACTCATGATCAAAGTGGCCGCATTCCTGTGCTTCATAACCAATGTCATAAAGTAGATTCCTGATCTCATCTTTGTCCGCAAAGTGTCGCGGATCGTCAGCTTAGCCGGGCTTTTGGCGATTTGTATTGACTGAGCTTGCTCATCATTGCTAATCAATAGTATGTACTCTGGTCGTCAAATAGACACGATTGAGCTCCTTCTTTAAGTTCTAATAGGTTGTATGGCTTTGCGCTCCTAGCTTATGGCCTTTTTTTGGGGTGGAGGTGGGAAGACAGGGGAAGCCTAAACGTAGTACTCACCTCTACATAATCATGATCTTGGATACGGGTTTGAATGTGCTGTGTTGACTCAGAAGTCGCTATACCGTCCTCTTTTTGGTCACCAGCCGTACTTATTTGTCTATTTTCTTCAATCTGTTGTGTGGATTGAATCTGCTGGGAGAAAACCCAATGCTTAGCCAGTTCTGCTGGCGGAGGATTTGGCGTCTCAATTGGGGTCGGAGCAGGCACCACGAAGGGTGGTGGACTGCCTTCCGTCAGAGGATAAGGCTTTCCTGGTTCGTAACTCGGACTTGCTGGATTTAGATTAGATGGATGATGCTCACCAGAGACGCTAAGGGATTCTTTCTTCAAAGCATCCCCGTGACCGATTCCGTTTGGGTTACGGATCTGGACTGCGTGCGAGCGACGTGGCTGTGCACGAGAAGATGGACTGGGCTCAGATGTGGGAGACTCGATGGCATTCTCGGGCTGTAGCTGTTGTTTGACCTTTGAATGGCCAGGCGGATGGTCACTGGACGCTGCTATAGGTGAAGGGTAGGTGTTCCATAGCACATTGCCATAACTAGTGCCAGGAAAGCTTCTAGTAAAGGCATGAGGCTGTATTTGCCACTTCTGAACAGTAGGAACTCCGTCCACGTCATCTGTCCCTCCTATGTTGTGTAATGGAACAGATAAACCGGAGATACCATTGATGCCGTTGGTACTTTTGCTAGATAATTCACCATTAGACAATGAGCTGGAGCATTTAAAATTCTTGATGCTCTCGAGCTCCTTAATTTTTTTCCGAATAGTGTCAAGCATCAGAACATATTTGCGCTTTTCGTTAACTATCTGAGCACGCTCGGCAGCAGATAAGTGGTCCGAAGACTTGACTTCATGGCGCTCTAGCTCGATTTTCTCTTGACGGATGCGCTCATATTCGGCCTTATTTACCGAGATCTGGCCCTCGATGTCGTCCGGTGCAGCGCTTAAAACCGAAGCATGGAGATTGACTGGCTGCTGCGTGAAATACAAACCGCCGACATTCTAATAGTATCAGTACTTATCCATCAGCAAGATTCATTGAGTCTGCTTTACCGCTTGAGGAATAGTGTAGCCAAAGGCCGCATTTGCGGAAGGAAATGGGATGTTAGGAGGGGAGATATGGAAAACTGGCTGGCCATATGCATCGATATTTACATCGTGCCAATATCCGTTGAACCATTGAATAAGCTTTCCGTATACATTGTAAGCGAGGAATCCATTGGGGAGTCGAGACGAGTATGCCGGTCCACTTGGGATAGCACTCTGTTGGAAGCGACTTGGACCACGAGAGTTGTAAATTGGCGCGAAGGGAACACGAGGACTGCCGAGTTGCGGAAGGTCGTTCGGCACGATTCGACCTCCAGCAGTAACACGAACATGTGGAGGAGAGCCATGCTGCTTGAGGAGCTGCTCAGCCTTACTGCGCTTGACTGATGGTGTTGGAGAAGGACGCTTCGTAGAATCTGAACCAGTGGGGATGTTAAACGACTGTCGCAGTCGAAAGCTCGAATCCATTGTACCGTTGTTGCCGACCGGAGCAGGAAGCGCGATCGAGGGATGAACGTTCTCGACAGTCGTAACATAGTTGCCTGAAGGGGCTTTTTTGATCACATGCTCTGCATTAGGCGGATTAGCAACTGTTAGGCGGCCAAAAGCCTTCGCCATGCCGGCCTTTTTAAGATACTCGTTGACGGTCTAACAGAGGTTCATCCCTTGCGTGTAATTCTCTTCAGAATCTGCTAGAGGACCTCTAAAAGGCTATGGAATCAAGCCAAACATTTTCTCTTTTTGAAATTCGGGGCTTAGATCCAGTGTTTGTGTGTTCACAAGGAACATGATTTAGAGAATTTGTGACTCTGTGGAAAGTCATATGAGGAATGGATGAGTATTAGGTGGTCCCAGGCAACAGGGTCAACAATGAAGGAGGTAATCGTAATGGAGATACGTCAAACGCAATTCTTAAGCAGAATAAATGAATGGAACACACCTTTGATTACTTCTTCGTCAGGAAATTTGTCCAAACTAACTCGAGACTCGGATGCTGAGCCTCGGAGAGCCAGCAACTCTTCTGGCTTATATGCAAGCCTCGTAGCAGAATTATTGGGGGACATGACGAGATCCACGACTGAGTTCGAAGCTAGAGGCAAAGTGTGGTTTTAATGTTCGATATCTGTGATGGGGCGGGGTGACAAAGTGGCAGATGGACTGAAGGTGCGTGGACTTGCACACAAGAAATGGTGTCTCGACGTATAATTAGCTTCCATTACTCGCTAGATCGGGTCGATACACCAAGAATTGGTGATTTGGGCTCATGGAGGCATAACACACCTTTGAGATGAATGGAGCAGCGCTCAAGGTACGAATGAGCAAGCCACTATGGAACGTGTGCGTATCCAAACGAGTGTGGCAACGGTTAGGGGCAATTTGAGAGCAAAGAGTGACAATGAAAGTGGTTTTAGAAAATCCAAGAAGTAAGCGGCAGGCCAGATTGGCAAAAGACAGCAATGAGTGGGACGGAGTGTGGATGGTCGGTTGTTTGTTTGTTGATGATTAGGAGGAGACCCCAGAACCACGAAGGAGATAAATAAGATAAAGCACGGCTCCCTAACGAGCAGCTTGAAGGCAGGCGTATCCGGCATTATATATTCCAAATACCTAGGGCGCAGGAAAGAGCCAACCGGGGAAGATTGGTCAGGCTGAAGCCTCGTCCCCTGAGGAGAAGAAATCGTTTAGCTCTTTGTTGCTTTAGAGACCAAAGTTTCTTCAAATTCAATACAGGGCTTACATGTTTTGGTTTCTCTCACCTATGATATGCTCTTATTATTTTTGTCGGGTGTATAGCCATGTAAGTATATCAGCCAAGCCAGTCACGTGAATCTATCAAGCCACTGAGGTTCAATTATATGGCTCTTTTTTAAAGGAAAAAACACCAGATCGCTATGCCCTTCCATCACGACATTAATCCTCCTTGAACCATTGGAGTATGTTTTGAACAGTACGGTAGCGAAAAATTTCCCTCATTGATCATCGTCGCCTTTTTCGCATCTCCTGTGTCGGCTCGAAGGCGTCATCATCATCCGAGATCTCATCATCACTCTGGTCACTCATAAGTCAACTGGCAAATAACTAAGCAGCGTCAGCCAGAAAACTTACAATCTCAACCGGTTTGGATCGCGCAACGCTCCTGCCTTTTGTAGTCCGTGAAGTAGACTGTGAAAAATTCAACGTGCTTTGCTTCGTCTTTGCCGATGTTTTCTTTGCAGGCGCCGCCCTCCCAGTATTTCTTGTAACGGAAGCCGATCCAGTCTTCTTAATGACTGGAGATTGTCGAACAAACATGTCTTCATCTTCCTCTGATATAGCGAGAACCATCTGTACATCGGACTCTTCGTCGTCATCTTCCTCTTCAACAATTGGTTTTTTTGCTCGATTACCTCGGGTACTGGCAGTTGATTTTTTCGATGCTGAAGCAGTCTTTCTCGTTGATGCCATAGCAGTATCTCGAGAGCCTCGTCCTTGACCTCGAGCTGTGCCCCTTCCACGATTGGAATTTTTAGTTGCAGACATCACAGAAAGGGCATCTTCATCATTGTCATTGTTATCTTCACTCTCCGAATGATGGATTGCTGCTGGTTGATCCTCCCATGACCCGTTAAGGTCTGAATCCCAGTCTACAGGCTTCGGATTCAGCCTTGTTGTACGCTTTTTAGCTCGATATTGGCCTCTCGCGAACAAGTCGTCCAATTTTGCCCGAAAATTCCCCATGGCTTCTGTCACATCATCATCATCGTCACCCTGGTATTCAAATAAATGTTTAGTGTGCTCTTCGAGAGCTTCCGCAACAAAGTCATGCATGACATGCTTGTCGCCTTTGTCCACAAATTGACTGACAACATCTCCGAAGCGATTCTGAGGGAGGATTTGAAGATTCTGAGCCGCCAGATACTCTTTGATAAGCTTCTCAACTTTGACCGAATCTAATGTGAGCTCTGAAAGACGTTCTTCGTCCGGCATATCAGGTTCGTTCTTGTCTTTTCGTCGTGTGGCGGTTTTCTTGCGATAAAACTGGACAACGTCTGACGAATTAGCGACATGATCTATAAAGCGATTCGAAAACCGCTGTGGATTTTCGCAGTCGAAGCGTCCACCGTCCGGCGCAGTGTATTCAACCCGTAAACGAATCAATGGTAATGGTACCTCGATGTCTTCAATATCCCCTTCTTGAGCTTCTATATACTCTTGCTTTGCTTGTTCAATCATCTCTTCGACGATACGCTGCAAATGTCTTGTGACCTCGGCACGATTATTGTCCTTTTTCCATACGTTTTTCAAAGCACGTTCTTCCGCCAGCACAATCTCGCGCATTACAAATGGTCTCACTGTTTTCAGCCGTATCGGCTCAACCTTGAACTCTTTACCAGTAATCTTAAGAAGAGCAACTTTTTTGGGTACTGCTTCACCAGGCATCAAAGAAGTAGCCACGGAAGAACCAGGTTGAATGACATGAAAATTCATTTCTGGATTGTAACGAGGTTCAATTATGCACTCGTGCTCGTGGCCCCAAACGACAAGATCAAGGAAGTCGGGCAGAAAGTTTTCTGGGAGATACCCGGTCGTAGTATGCGCATGATGATTTTGATGTACAGCCATGAGGTTGAACCAATCATTCTTCTGCGTGCTAGGCTGATAGAATTTCACTTTGCCGTCACGAAATGTTCGGAACAAACGCTCATCGCGAACATTGCTCATACCATATAGAGCAAGTTTGGTGCGTCCCTTTTGAAGAAGTATGGGCTTGAGTGTGATATTATCTGCTTGTGGAGTCTTGCCAAAGTAGTTCACGAGACCAGACATTTGGAGCAGATCTAGAGCCGCAAAGTTTCCCTCCTCAGTAGGGTCATCATGATTACCGTGAATCGAGAAGACAGGAATGGCCACATTAATATTTTCGTCTTCGTAGTTGACATGATCGAAAAGCCTGATAAGTGTCAACATACCGCAGCAATTCATAGAGATGAAAAGGCCTACCCTCCAAAGTTTTCGCTAGCATCACTCAGCATCTCCAGTTGACAAGGACGATCGCCTAAACAGTTCAGTCTTAAGCTCCGCATGACTTGGAACATGCTCTTGCGGGATGGCTTGTTATCGTGGAACAGGTCGCCAGCCAGCAGAACCATATCAACATCACGAGACCTCGCAAGCTCCATAATCTCGTGGAAGGTCCTCCAAGAATCATCCTTTCGGACTTGATCGCGTTCATTGTATCCGACATGATTATCTGTTGCCACCAAGATTGTGATTTCATCGGCTTCGGTCATGCACGCGTCATCCTGTGGCGTATTTCGTTGGCGCGGCATATTCGATTGACACTCATCGATGTTCACGAAGGGGTGCAAAGGTAGATGCAAAAGAAGAAAGGTGGATGTACATATATAAACTTTTTCATCCACAAAGCACGAATATTCTTTGTGCCTTTGGATATCGAAACTTCTCTCTCCCCTGAGATACAGTTTTGAAGCAAAGGCAAATCTCTGGAATAGGCATCATCGCGTGCTTGACCCGCTGTCACGTGGGCGCTGCCTTGGGCTAGTTCTAAGTTAGCGAGCTGTCTTGAAAGATTTCACTCCCTGCAACTGCAGTGCCCGCCTAACGATTCTTATGATTGCAGAAATGGCAGAAGAGGACGAGGACAACCTTCGAGGGCCATCCTTGACAGAAGATCACGACCCAGAAGAGGAAATTCAAGACTTTAGATTTCTTCTCGCTCAATCGCAAAAGTTGCCCTCCAGAGGTGTAAAAGATTTTGAGCCTCATGGCACAAACCTCCAGCAGTCGACTCTCGAAGCAAGTCGAGAGGCTATGCACATTGCTCTATCACATAAACGGTTCCACGGACCTGACAAATCAAGAGCAGTCTACGATCCTGACGGCAATGGTGCATGGGTTTTTAATCCCATGGGCGTATGGACGAAGAGCGTAGGAAGAATGATACCCGTGCCAGGCAGAGTGACAAATTTACCGCCAGACGCAGAAGGCAAAATAAGAGAGCAGAAGCTCATGAGGATGTGGTTGCTTCCCGAAGAGGCACTGTGGCTCGTCGAGAGAGGATCATTGGACATGAGGTACCCTGCCGAGGCAGGGCAAGAGGAGGATGAGGGCTTACCTATGAGCTTACAAGGTGCTTATGCGGCTTTCATTGGGAAGGAAAGTGAGGGTGGATTGACGTTGGAGCAATTCATTGTCTATCAATATTTGAAGAGATGCGGATACAATGTGTATCGGGCACGGTACAACCTGCATAATATTCCAAGGCCTGCGAGCAGTGCCATGACGGCACAAGGCATGACGCCAAGTAATTCGACTACCTGTGGATTCTGGCAGTGGCTAACTGGTACATCAACATCAAGTGGAAATAACGGAGCGAAACTTGGGCCACTTGTCAAACCGGGCCTCTATAGGAGCTACAACGACATCTTCCAACAGCTCTCTCTCATTCCATTCCATGATCCAAAATTGCAGGCAGCCGCCCAGCCGCCCGATACAGAGCGTTCGGATCTTGCAATTACATGGCACGTCTACAAGACCGATCCGAAGTTCAAAAAGTCCGCACCAGGTCCACCTGACTTCTATATCATAGTTCTTCCTGCACGAGATACATTCGTTCCCACGGATGCAGAGCTCGACGCTCTGCTTCTTCAGTCCCCGTACCATCCCCCCCAGCCGCAAGATGGATTGAACATGAAGTTGAAGAGAGGCTATAGAAATGTTATTATCGCGATTGTGGATTCTGGGGTGCTTAGCTTTATCGATGTAAGCGACGCGGGCTTTGGCTGCGAGAAGCTATGGGATCGTGAGCCAACGAAAGGTGGAAAGAGTGGCGGCTCCGGGAAACGAGGCCGTGGACGTCACCGAGGTGCTAAGACTTGAATAATTGTGATACCCCAAGAGCATGACACGTGCTTCTAATGATACATTCTACTACCACGTAGTTGATACCAATACGTGTACATGCCATTCCTGTTAGTGTTCCGTTCTATATCATGCATAACGTCCATCTCTCTTGTTTTCGGACCGGAGACATTGCTGCGAGAACTTTTCTCTTTGAGTTCACTTGTATGGATTCTACAGATGATCTCGTGCCGCTTTATTCTAGGCTTTTGAGTTACTGCGCCCTCCTCAACCATACGCTTCTCCTAGGACAATCAAGAAACTCCACCGTAATGCAGCAATATCGGGCATTAGCATCTTCCGCTCACTTATTCTTCGTCTTCGTGTAGCTAAATCGTTTTCTCGTGGGCGAAAACTCGCCGAGTTTGTGTCCGACCATGTCTTCCGTCACTGTAAACTCGTGGTAGATCTTTCCATTGTGCACTTGAAACTTGAGGCCGACGAAGTTTGGCAGAATTGTTGCGGAGCGAGCGTGTGTTTTAACTGGAGGTGCGGTGGCCTGGCCCGGTCCCGTTCGCACGATCGGGAGACTGGAAAGGATTAGTATTTGCGATTCGATGATAATGCTGATGACGGGTATTTGGCATGTAGCGAACGTACGGGACAATGTTAGGACCTGCGCGTGAAATGTTAGCATAATGCTTCGACATAGACATGACCGTAGATGGACACAAACCTTTCCACACTGATCGCTTCAGGAGAACCCGCGTAGGAAACATTGGTGAATGAATGAACTATCTAGACGCAGGTCGGACATATGAGAGTTTGACTGAGGATGTGGTTCTGGTCAACCAGTTCTACCAACTTTGTTCGTAACCCAAATAAGTCTAGTTTGCGGCGGCACACACCAATTCCATTCCCTTCAAAGCAAAGCCTCGCATAATATCGTATTTCCATTCGACGTCACTTGACTCTGCATACGGCTTGATGGTTGCATAAATGGCCTCTGAAGTGTTGGCTTAAATTGTATCTGACGCGCTCGTCGCTTTGATGCCGCCGTTGTTCATTATCTTACCACGAGGTCCAATGGGGTTAAAATACCTTGTCCAGGAAGTCAGATACGAAATTTCCACACCATCGACGAACTGGGGCATACAATTTATTCATGTAAATCAAATTCACTCAGTTCTATTTTGCCGTGAAGTTTCATTTCTTACTCCTGTTCTTGGGTGCTGCTCTGCTCATAAAAGAACCAACCGATCGCATGTGCATTAACTTTATAGTGGCTGAACTAACTACGATGTCGATGTAAGCGTCGAGTCTTTAATGAAGATAACTCGAGAGTATTTCGATGATCTGCTGTGTGAGAACTATTTTGTGTCTGGAAAATACTTCAGGTAAAAGCTAGTGTCAAAGAAAGACTTGTCATAACAGCGAGTAACTGCAACAACCGCGAGCGTTGCCTGACGGTAGTGTCAGTATAAGTGCATAGTATACAGTTTTCTTCATGCTTGTGACGTCTTAATAGACGCTCTACGCAACAGCAGAGAATAAGCACAAATTTAAGAGCTTAGAAAATTGATGACATAACATTGTTCTCCATATGTTGGAGAATCTGAACATATCGCATTGACTCTAGGGTTTAACTGTTCGTGCGATTCATCCTTGCGAAGATACTGATGCTAAAACAGCAGCGTTGTGTTAAAAATTTTTTTTTTTTTTTTTTTCGAATCTACTTTTAAGCAAATTCAACAAAGTAGGAGGAATTCACAACAACAACAACAACAACAACATGAAAATGTTTTACAAGCGTCGCATTCTTGCTGAATGTGAATTGGTTAAGTATCGCTGAAGTTGCTTGTCGAGTTAGGCGCCTTGAAACCTTCAAAGTACTATATTGTTCTAGTTAGGTATGGATCATGATCAAACGCAAAGTCGTGTGAGACATACCTTCTTCCTGAATTTATTCAGCTCGTCGGCGCTGCCATGAATTTCCTTTTTTGTACGAGGGAAAACCTCTCCAACGAGGGAGTCTGGAAGCCTCGAGTAGGTGATCAGTCGCCTTGACCCTGGAAGACGTTAATAGACAGATAATAGAAACCATGAAGTGAAGCCTACATTTGTTAAAAGATTGGATGCAAACAGACACAAGACTGAAATACGGATTCTGCGGTATTGCAATCTCGATGTCTTCGTCATTCGCGGTTGGTATCCACATGGACAGTCTCCCCCCGTCTACTAATGTTGCTGCAGCAAAGTAAAGCAGATCATCGATCATTGCATCAAAGCTGTATGCTTTCTTGGGAGCAATAAATCCAGGACGGCTGTTTAACTGTCAGTACAGCAAAAGATAAAATAAGGGTAAAAACCAACTAATGCGCCGGGACTCCGTCGATAATCAGTTCCTCGCTAGGTAGTCCATCTCTTCGACCAAGCACCTTGACTCCTTCCCGTATCCCATATGGTGGATCACATACGATTCCGTCCAGCCAACGTGCAGTTCGCAGAGGCGTGTTCGTTAAGTCAGACGCAAAGCCATCTAACCATAGCGATCGCAAGCCATATTGCTGGAAGCTTGTGCAGATATTATTATTCGGCTTACCCCTCACCACTCTACCATCGATGTCGCTACCCATGGACACAGCCCCAAAATGTGAGCACGCAATAGGGAAACTGGCAGTTCCAACGAACGGATCGTAGAACAGCTTTCCGGCACTGGCTTGAGCCAAATTCGCAGTTATCAGTGCCAACTCTGAATCCATAGAAGTAGTGTTGATATATTTTCTTTTCTTCAAGTCGTATCGCACGATCGCCGATCTTCCCCCCGTTCCAAGGAATCGACCAAGAAACAGTCTCTTGGGATTCTTAGAGAATTCTCTCGGCCTCTCGCTTATGAGCTCGTACTCTTCGAAGACGTCAAACTCATGCTCTGCATTCTTCATTCGTATGGGTCCTTGGAAATCGAGATAAGAGAACGACTCGATTATGTCTCGATGCTCACTGGACGAACGTTTCCCTTGGAATCCATGGACCTTGAACCTGAACGAGTCATGCTTGTAAAGATCCCACAGCTGATGCGATCGGCGACGAACATCTGCGTGAAGATCTTCGTAATTGTCCGCGGTTCCCCAGAGCTCATATATAGCATCAGCGAGGATCGATCTCGAGATTAAGCGTCGAGCATCGGCCTCACATGGAAGTCGTACTATGCAAAATGGCGACTATGGTGTGTCAGATACATATGGGTTTTATCGAAGGTGCACGCCGCAAATTCAGTCAGGACACGTTACGGTGGATTGGTCCATTGCTCACATCAGTCAAGTAGCTCAAAAATTCTACATTGATTTGAGCAAGCTCAGCTAAAGCCTCGATCTCTGGTTTGCGGAACGTCTCGTGCATTTGCACGAAACGGATAAGATATTCCATACCGGGCTAGACGACCTTGACCATCCAGACAGACGGTTTGTATTGACAAATTAAAGACGCAAAGCCATATTACATTCTCGTGACTCCCACCGCGCGAAAATGCAAAGTTTGGTCTGAAAAGGGTTTAGCTTCTGCCAAAAGCGGAGTTTCACCTACTCCTGAGTGCTCTTTCAAGACACCGCAAGACCTCGTGTCTGCTTGACTTTCGGCGCTACAAGATGCACGGTCATCGAGAAATTAACTTTGCCCAATTGCTGCTCAACAGGTGCCTGAGAAATGCTTGTCTGTGACTTGTCCCGCGTGCAGTGACTCAAACAATACAGCTTCTCAGCCACAGTCAGTTTCTCTGAGGCTGAACTGGTAGAGTTCATAATGGCGGTGATACCGGCTTCACTTCACTGCCCATAACTTCATTCAGAATTTTCTTCTTGACTCCGATCAACTCTAATTATCAAACTGGATTCCTCTCGCTGCCATTTGATATCTTCAACGACTCAACATGGTGGAGGCCGAAAGTGAAGTGGTAATTGACTGGGGATATCTTGATCCTCTGATCCAGGATTATCTACCTAACGGCACCTCGATCGAAAGGATGGACTTTGAAAAAATCGCCTCTACCGAAGCTCAGATCGACCACATGAAGGAGAGACTTATGTGCGCGCATCTGAAAGCGTCGAAGTATAGCTCACTCCAGTTCTTTTTAAAATGTGCTAACTCTAGCTAAGGAAGTCGAAGATCGAGTATCAATTGGGTGAACTAGAAGCGAAACTTGCGAAACTCAAGGACGGGCACGAAAAGGTTGCCAGGGTTCTGCGACAGAAAGCCATTTCCCTTAAGGCAATGCCCATTGAGCTGCGAGAGGCTATTTTCGAGCACATATACGTGCAATCCGAACCTATAGAGGTCTTTTGGTCGAGAATAGGCAACAAGATCGTGTACAAGATGCCGATGGATACGGCTCTGTACATGAGCTCGTTCCATGTCGGACCCGACCTAGCACACGAAGCAGCGCGGGTGTTTTACAAGAAGAATACCTTCGCGTTTGTTCGCGTTCGGACAGGCCATCCGTGTCACTATGGCGGAGGGTTCTCCTATTGGAACCAAGACCACATTGACGGCTGGTTTCAGCATGACCACTACGGCTCTGGTGTTGCCCCGAAGGAATTTGTGCGCAGCGTAGAGCTTCGACTGGATCGCCCCGCTCGTTGTTTCGAGAGCTGCATCATTTACGGCTGGACAGTTCCAGAATATATCAGACTCTGCAACCATTTCGATTTCGAGACGATAAGCGGCAGCATAACCTTAAGTTCGCAGAACGATCGCGTGCGGATCAGGTGTTTGCTTCGATACAAGACCATCCGACGCATTTGCTTCACCCTTCCTTGGCCGGAACTTTGGCTCGATACTTTGGTTCGTACTATCAATCCCTGCATTCACGAGTTGAAAGCCGCGGGCGTGGAAGTCTCGCTCGTGAAACCAGGTTCCTCGCACGGAGTGCCAGATCGAGATCTAACCAGCATCTTCGACACGCCAACAAAAAGCGACTGCGCGCTGTATTATCAATTCACGAAACGAAGTTCTGTCTTCGAAGACGACAAGAAGCGTGACCTCTTTGAAACGTGGAAGGCCATTGAAGCAGGACGCCATGCAGTTGATGAGCGAGGTGGAGAGATCTTAGAGGCATATAGCATCGAAGCCGAGAAATTGGGTGTCATTAGGGTGTGGTTATCTGAACATTGCGCGGTACATGAATTCCTCAAGAGAGAGGGCGATGCGTACAAGGCCGTCGACGACATGATCAGAGAATTCAAGAACCTCTCACCAGAGGCCAGAGATCTGAGACGGAGGTTCTTTCCAGCAATCATGAATCACATTCAGTAAACATATACAAGTAAAACAAGAAAGAGTTTTTTTTTTTTCGCCTGAGGAAAGCTCTGCTTTCAAGCAGATCACCTCCAAATCAAATCAAAACCTTGGCTGTGTTTCTCAATTGGTTTTGCGCACCATCCTTGAGCGATTGTTTTCGAAGAGGGATGGCTAAAATGTAGAGCCTCGGCTTGTCTACTCCTGCACTCAAATGCGGAGAGCCATCGCCATTCGCCGCGACACACTATTTGGTCCTCAATCAAACGTCCGAAATATCTAGTCAACAAAAACTCAACTGTTCCTTCTTCTGTCCGCGGGCCCATCCTTGAGGAATTTCCATCTCCTGTTCCCAAAGCTCCACACCTCTCCATCTGGACACTCCGAGTCGGCCAGCCCTGACTCGCAGTTACCCACACGCGCCAAACATGGCCTTTGGACTTTGGACCTCCAAGCTGTCGGCGGAAAAGTCAGCAGAGGTGGCGAATCAGTTCTTCAACGCCATCGAGTCCGGCGACTTCGCCAAAGTCGCGGACATATTCGCTGCCGACGCGGAGATCTGGCACAATCCGGACGAGGTCGTCGTCCCACCGACGACAACGCTACGGACACTCAAGGCCATGCACAAGTACATAGCCAACATCAAGTACGAGAACAAGCAGGTGCGGTCATGGCCTGGGGGGTTTGTGGAGCAGCACGTCCTCTCGGGCGTGAGGAAGGTGGACGGAGGAAAAGTTCGCCTGCCTGCATGTATAGTGTGTGAGGTGAACGCGGAAGGCAAAATCACCAGGCTGGATGAATACTTTGATTCTGCTGCCCAGAACCTGTTTTCGAGACCTCCTGCAAAAGCAAAGATGTGACGGGCGCGAGACGGGTAACTCTTGTTATGGGGTTTAAGGAGGCTGGAGCCCGGTGTCTAGCAAATTTTTACTCGATTTACTTTTTACCAAAAAAGAGGCAAAGCATGCGGTTAACCTTTGATGCAGCTTGAATAAACTTGAAGATCAAGCAAAAGCCAACTGAACTTATTCTCCCGATGGCTGGGCGAGTTTCTTGCTAGGCTTTGGACGGACGCTCCCACGCTCTTTCCGAATGCCCTTCCAGCTCAGGATGTCACCGCTGAGTATCTGAGCTGGGCGACTCCCAAAACTCTAAAACGAGAAGCAGAATCGTCATAGTGATATAGAGATGATGCAACATGCCAAGTGACTTGAGCACATGCGGGACCTTGTTGACCCGGATGCCTCTTCACGTCAAGCAGAGGCTGGCGATGCCAAAACGACTGGCGAGACGCCTCACGAGGGATCAGCCTTTGTCGTACGAAGCGAGAAGGTGACACAGAGGAAAAAGTCAACAGTCACGATTCTAGCCTGACAATTTCTCGAAGCAAAGCACAACTGAAGGTCGAGGGCTCCACCTCCTGCCTTCGCCACATGAGTCGATGGCTTCATCATCAAACGGTCACTTGATCCTATCGAAGCAGTCTCTATCCTAACCTAGAGCTCCCAAGGATTGACTCGTGAATGTACAGTAAGGAAAAACGTCTTGGCGATTCGAGCGACAGCCCTCCATCGTCCGATCCGGAACAAACAGCAGGGATAAACACGTCAAGAAAAAGGTGAAAAAAAAAGGGAAGGACAGAAAGAGAAGAGCAGTCCATACTCGACACGATGTCGACAGACGCCTCAAGGGGTTGTTGTGTGTCGTACCGGAAGGGCCAAAATTCTTCACGTCAGCCTTAGCTCCCAGCCTCGCGTACGCTTATTTTTGGGAGACGTGGAGCAAGCCGCCTGCACAGAGGCGACCCCCAGGACGACGAAACGGGCCGACGGGGCTCTCCCAGAAAGAAAAAAAAATGAAGGGGCGAACACTAACAAAAAGCCAAAAGGAGTTAAAAACAAAAAGCGGGCGCAGGAAATCAGCGGCACAGGGTAGATAGAGTTTACGCTTGGAAGCGCTATGCGGGCTACGCGGAGATGCAACGCCGACAGCGGGTACCATGACAGCCGTGACAAGACCCCTTCAGTGCTAGTGACGGACGTGGGCCGGACCTTACACGACGGACGAAGCAGAGCCCGTCTTTTGTGCGACAACCACGCTGCAGCGCACTTCGAAATAAGAGGAGGAAGAGGAGAGTGAAGGGTTTGAGGAAAGGAGGGGGGAAGGGGGAGGTTGGGCTGAGAGGAGGAGGGGTCGGTCTCGCCCTGCATTCTGCATGCGCACGCAAGGTGGCGATACGGGCGGCGGCGGAAGCAGCTGGATTGCATGATCTTAAAAAAAAGTAAAACAAAGAATCAGCGAGACGACGAGCTGACGATTCCAGAACAATAATGTGGAGCTGCGGCGCGCTGTAGGTACGGTGGCGCGAACGTGTACGATGCAGCATTGCAGGGCAGACGAGGTGGCAGTCTGCGCAAGCGCGTCCGGCAGTGCAGCTGCACTTTCAGCTTTCGGTCGCGCCGCTTTTACTCTTGTCGGATGCGGACTGCGAAAAAAAAAAAACGAGCGCTGAGATCTTCCTCGCTTTGTAGCTGCGGGTGAGAGAGAGAGAGATCGCGATAAAGCGAGAGGTGTGCGTGTGCGTGTGCGTGTGCGTGTGCGTGTGCGTGTGCGTGTATGGGTGGTTCGAGAAGGCGCGTCAAAAGCTGGTTTCTCACACACGCAACTAGCAATATCAAATCAGGTTTTCGTCCCCAGTTAGATCGCGCGACCAAGAGCGACGGTCCCAAAGATGTCAACACACACGCATCCACACCCACCCACACACACACACACACAGAGACACTCACTCACACCCACACGCACACACGCACATACATACGTACGCACACACCGCCTACTCCCTTTTCTATCCCTCTATCTCCTCGGGGTGCACGTACCAACCTCCTCTTGGGAGTGTTTGGTGCGTGAGATACGGAGAGCGTACGGATAGAATACGAAGAATGCACGGAAAGAGACGCAGCCGGTGCGACGGGCGAGTGAGGACGCCCGACAGACTGAAGAGCTGAGTATGACGAGTGCACGAGGCTCTGGAGTAGTCGTGACTTCGATTCTCGCACAGAAAAGTATAATCGCTTGGACCTGCGCGGCCGCTGACCTGCCACATCGTCACGACGTGCGGCGCGAGGCGGGGCGTCTTCATCTCTTTCTTTTTGTTTTTCCTAGCTTTTTATTTTTCTTTTCTCCCCAGGATGGCAAAGGCAAAAAAAAAAATGGGCTCAAAACGTCCATGTTGACGAGTTCCATTTCCGGACATGCATGGCTGCGAGGGCTCCCAAGAACAGCATGTCTCTTGTTCTTTTTCCAACTGCGTAACGTTTGTTGTAATGTGACAGCTCGCAAATAATAGGCCACAAGGGGAGTGCATTGGGAATGTAGCTGCGCTACTCCGTACACGCTACCACACTCTACGACACTACACTGATCGATCAAGTCCGCGACTGGCAGAGAACAATAATGGGGACACCGTTGTCTTCAGCATCTTGGTTGAGCCTAAGTCGATATTGCTAATAATAGTCACGCGGAACCGTCACATGAAAGTATTTTTTATTTTTTGACAAGCAAATGGCGGCTTCTGTCAAACGTTCGACGCCTAGAGTTGGCCCACACCTGTTGCGCATAGACGGAGCACGCGCGCGATGACAGTCGATTGGATCAGAGCAAAACGTCTGTACGGATGGCTATTCTGCTTTCCATTCAAATATTCGCGTTCGCGCAAGAAGACCTCCATGCGCGCGTCCATATCTACACACATTTCCCTCCCTCCGCCGCCTCGTACAGCAGTCAGGCTGATACCGCGTTGGTCGACCGTCCAATCAGGGCTGCCAGACCCCCCCAATCATTGTGCGCAGCGTTGAAGACGAGAGCGAGCTACCCCGCAGCGGCGCGCTGCGTGAACGCCACAGGCCTCCTTGCTAGCGTCCACGATTTATCTGACGACATCCCGGCCCCGCAGTCATCCACGTGCGATACCTTTTCCTGCTCCAGTCTGGGTGGCGCATCTTCCTGCCCAGCTAGCCAGTCTAGGTGTACCGTATCTTACTAGTGAGCAAGCTTCCTCATTCGCGGACTCCCGCCCGGAGAACTGCGGCCGTCTGAAGCAGAAGGAGAGCGTGGGTACGGAGCAGTGTAAGTGTGTATGTGTGGCGTGCATCACACCTTACGAGATCGCAGCGTCATCAGAATCGATCGTGCTCGCCATTGTATAGTTGGTGGGTGCGAATACGAGACTGAGTAAGAGAACACGCGTTGTTTTTCTCGAGCTCCGCTGATTACTTTGATTACTTTCTTTTCCGTCGCATCCGTGCCGAATCGCGAACGCTGATGCAGAGACATAAAACAGCGGCTCTTACGGAGAGGACGGCAAGAGTGCCGCTCTGTAGGACTCGGACGGAACACGGATCCTTCGTCGATCTACAAACCAGGACCAGAATTCCAGCTGCTTGGGCGGATTTGTGTGACGGGCATATTGTACGCTTAGCGTGCAATGGCTGCTAGCTTTTCCAAGGTAGGTGCGTGGCGTTGCTAGAGAGCAGATTTTGCGCACGATCCACGATGCATAAACTTACGGCAGTCTGGACTTATGAGAGGATTGTCGACGATGATGAGACTAGATTGGAAGACGTTCGGAAGAGACAAATGGTTGTGCAATACCGCCCACCTCCTCCTTCCAAGATTGGCGGAAGACCATGGACATGTCTGTAACTATGGCAGGTTCTTTCAAACAAAGATGTCCATTTTTCGCGTACTGCGGCTAGGAATAAACGTTGTGGTCGCGACTCGGCCCGCTGAGCCTTGTACCTCCGCGACGACGAAAGCTTGGTAGCGAAGTGAGAAATGGGGAATGCCTTGACTTGACGGCATGATTTGGTATACCCATACAAAAAGATTGGGACCGTGAATCGCATCGTGTGGCTCGCGTACGTGGCCAATAACGTCAAGCGACAGCCTAGCTCCTCATCCACGCGGCGACACGATTGCCTCCGACTTGCGCTGCAAATCGGAGGCCTGTCGATCCCATGGGAAAATATGAGACTAGGTACCAAATGAGGGCAACGGTCTGGACAATAGCTGCGATAAGAGTGAGGAAAGTGGAATGAAGCTGAACAAAGGTCACGTCACGCGGACGTGGTACAACATTAGCCTGAGATCTTTTGGGCGGAGAGGTTAAGGAATCGCGCATGCAGCGGAGTATGAGACCATGATTGCACGGCTTTGGGGTTGTTGCCGGGGGGTGTGGGGTAGGCTTGAGATTTCCCTGTCGAGTAGACACGCTTGCGAGGGTCTTGATATATTTGACAGGGATCGTGGATTATACGCAAAGGCGAGATTGGACTTACCCCAACTGAGAAGTAGAGCGTTAGTGCTATCGATCCAAAGTACGCTGCTGTAAAGGGAAGACGAGGCCCCGATAGCAGATGCTGCACTACGGGCATATTAGCAGGTCGTTGCCGCATCGGGGTGCGCATGCAAGGATCAGGAGGTCATACCGTACGCTATAGGTCCCATCATTACGGCGAAGGAAGCAAGGAATAGCACAGATCCCATTGTCCACCTGAGAAAGGCACACACCATGGTCAGCATCAATAACATTTCATTGTCGATTTAGTTCGAAGAAAGACGTCATGAAAACAGGCGGAGGTTAGAGCAATGGCTGCTTCGCGCTAGCAACAAGATTTCGTCCATACAGGCTGCCAGGGCAAGACATGAGGAAATGGCTCATGATCGCAGTGGGCCTGCAGAATGTCTTGGACGGAACATGGCTGCGCCGTGCACTGACACTACCGTCCAAAAAGCAGGAGTTGCGCTCAGTCCCGTGTGCGAGAGCTCGCCTGTGAGAAGATAGCACTTACAGAACGACAAATTTGCGTGGCTTCAAGATGAAGACGGGCGTGAACATCAGTCCAAAGGCAACAACGAACATGACCAATGCGGCGAGGACGAGGCCGCCGAAGAGGAGCAATCGATCCCATCGACTCACTAAGCCACAGCGACGCGGGTCAGTTTTCCGGCCAAAATAATGATTTGCGTCGGATGAGCCTCTCGGACTCCAGGCAGGAGGCTCATGCGTGATTCAGCGTGGGATGCAGGAACTCGTGTCTAAGGCCATGGTGCAGATGACACCCATTTCTACCGTGCAGCTGATGCCGGTGACTACATAGAGTGGTAGATGGGGAAAGTTTGACAATGAGCAGAAAGTAGAGTGGGAAAAAGCAGGGCGAAGGTGGAGATTCCATTGGGGGTGTACGTACGAGCAAACCAACCCTCCTCTTCCTCTCGCCGCGTGGGAGCTGGGAGAGGGGCTCCAGGATTCGTCTCAGTCGTAGGCAAGCGGACATAGCCACCCTGTCCAAACGGGTTCAACGATTGAAGCCTGCCCAGTATTGGCGTGGCCGAGGACGTGTTGACGGGCTCGTCTCGTCTGCTCCATCCCAGCGTGCCCAGCGAGTCTCTGAAATTTGCTGACGCCATGGTTTCGTGAACCGGATTCCTTTTTGAAAAAGGAGAGACGGATTTTTTTTGGGGCGGGGCGGCGCGTTGGAGAGGCGTGTGCAATCGAGAGCGTCGTGGTAGTGTTATTAGCACAGTAGCTATGCTGTCGCCTTCGCAGGCCTCGCAGGCTTCGTAGGCAACTGGACCAGGCGTGGATCAAGGAAAGGACGCTATGCTAGGTTGAACCCAGTAGGAAACGGGTTCCGGTGTAGCCTGGACGGACCGGATGCGGCCGAAATGCTGAGGCAAGGGCGATGGAAGAGGCAGGCCAGGTAGGAGGGTTGGACGGTGGGAGGGTAGGAGGTTACGAGGGTAGGAGGGTAGGCAGCTAGGGGATAGGAGGACAGGACGGTGGGGGAGAGAGCGCGAGATGGAGATGGAGATCGCGAGAGTGAGAAAGGATGGCAGACTCGACGGCGGAGGCAGGCGTGCTTGCTGCGGACGCGTATAGGGCGGTCCGGATCTGATGATGGTGTGGTCTCAGTCTGGGGAGTGCAGCATGCACGGCGGCTGCTTGCAGATGATCTACGAAGTCTCAGAGGACAAATGGCGCCCAGCTGAGGGTCTAAGACAAACGGCTGAGGTTGGAAGTGGCTTGTGATTCGAGATGGAGGGCCAGGAACATGGGCGAGCAATGGAAGGAGAGGCTGTTGCGACGCTCGGAGACGGGATGCGCAATGCCGCCAGAGGAGAGAATCGAGGCCACGATCGGCGGGAGACGATGCTTTGATCCCGGCGCGACGGCAGAGAGACACGCCGCGCGCGCAGCGACAAGTATGAGGTCAAGAGGCGGCGGGACGACTCTTTTTTTGTGGGACAGGAAAAGGCAAAGGGACGGCGCTGTGGTTGTGGATGTGGCTGATTGTCGATTGCATGTTGCGCGCTGCAGGCGGCCTTTTCGCATGACGGACGGGAGCCCGGGCAGGGATGGCGCGGTAGGGAAAGACCCTGCCCAATGGTTGCACAGGAGAAGCAGCGAGGAGGAAGAGAGGAGGAGGCGAGACAGAGGGACACTCCGGCGCCACGCGCTGAGGGCCGGCCGTCGTCGTCTGGCTCGTCCACGGCGCGTTCGTCAGTCATTCCGTCGTCTCGCAGTCACGGCTCAGCAGGTCACCCAGCCCGCACAGGCAGTCGTGGGGAGCGCAGCCGTTGGCTGAGCTGTTGGCTTCTGTAGGACGGCCGTGGTGGGAGCTGATGCCCGCTGCCCCATCTCGCTGGCCCCGTCTCGATTTCCACTCCACCCCTCCACCCGTCGCCCACCACCCCCCGTCGCCGAGGAGGTGAAGAGGCGATGGTTCGGATATGGCTGGGCCGTGCAAAAATAACGGAACTTCCTTGAGTCAGAGAGGCGAGACACTGTGCGACTGGAGACAGCCCCGAGATGTGCGTGTGCCGTGCAACCCACACCCACCCCTCCCCTCCTCCCCCCCCCCCGTCTCAGAGAGATGACCTCAACCATCACCGCCAGCCAGGAAAAGCATTCTTTGGAGGGAGAGGCGTACGGTGTAGTCAGCCTGGCAGCGTACATAAGAAAGTCAGAAGCCCAGCCCAAAGCGAAGCGCCTAGTGTACTTCCTCCTTACCTCAGTTCTCACACGCAGCCCTCCATTCCTGGCGCTGCCCTCATCCGGCCCCTGCTGCTTTTGCGCCGCGCATTGCTGCGTACGGTATTTTCAGTCTTTGCCGCCACATCCCATACCGAAAAGTCACGGTCGGCCCTGCAAGCTCGAGTGGTGCATCGCTTCGTGTGGCCGCCTTTCAGCACAACCCTCCTCGTCCGTCAGCGGCTGGTCGCCCACACCCACTGCCGTTCCGTGCTGGTCCCGACCGACTTGAACTGACCAAGTCGACCGGCCTGCTGTCGCGCGGAGACATCGGCTTGTTCTGCATCGCCGCGTCCTGGAGCGGCCCAGACTGCGTGCCCAGCTGTCGCCGTATGTACGCGGCCTCGTCCGCTCTACCTCGCTCAGCATTGCCGTGCTCCAGCTTCTCTGCGCTCCAGACCGCCCGCTCGCGCCGCCGCTGCTCGCACACGCGTCCGCGCACTCATCACACCGACCCGCCGTCCGCCGGCTGCTGTTCGCGGCCAGACTGCGCTAAAGTCTGCCTTCTCCGGCCGACTGCCCGCCAGGCCTTTGGAGCTTGGTCGCTTTAGGAAGCCCACGATCCTGCTGCTCGGCCGCTGTGATTGGCGAGCCTCGTTCTGCTGTCCGCGTCGGGTCCACCGCCTGGACGTCTTGCTTCCCCTTGGCCAGGCCTCTCGTCGCTGCTGCTCCTTCCTCTCTGACTCCTTCATCCTCGCCCGCCGTCCTCTCGTCTCCTCCAGCGACGCAAGCGCCGTCTTCGAGCGACTTCCGATCCTCCGGCCCTAACCTGGCTGCTGTCCCGAGCCTTGCGCCGCGCCGCACAGCCAGTCCCTGCGCTAGGATCGACATCGCTGCCACTCGCTGTTAGCGGGTAAAATTTGTGTGAACAGCACAAGTTACACAGAATCAACCCCGCGCTCCAAACCTCCAACAACCTCCTTAACCGCCGAACACAATCGCAACGCTCGTCGCCGCCCGCTTCCATCCTCGCGTCCGCACGTTGCGACTTGTCTACTTTCCAGCTCGACGACATTGCTGCCGCACACGTCCGCCCATCTGGCCTGTCCGAACTCGCAGTGTCCCCCCCTCCGCCCCTCCGTGGTTCCCTTAACCCCCTTCAGAAGCGTTTGTCCATTGCCGCGAACAGGCTCAACGCAAACACCCGTGCTTAGAAGTGTCGAATCCAATCAAACAACGTCGTCAACGAATTCGGCGTCCCTCGCCTGGCCTCTTTTCTCTGTTGACCTTCAAGGTGAGTATCTTTTCTTACGTTCTTAGCACCCGGCCCTATCGTCCTCGCACAGACAAGACTTGATCTGCCACACCCACTCTCACACATCGGTTTTCTTACGATACCTTGGCGAGGCTGCGCGCAGATGTGCACAGGCAGAGAAAGGCGCTCGCTTCAATTTGCAGCGCACAAATGCCTTGTTCGCCGTCGGGCAAATGCTTAATTGGTTCTGCGACTTCGTCGGACTCGCCGGCGGCTGCTGCGCCCTCGTTGGCAAACTAGCTCGTCCTGCGAATGGACGTCCGACACCTTCCACCCCACAATATTGAAGAACACAGTCTGTGCAGAAACACCTACTGACAATAGAATTGTAGTCTACGAGCATCTTGCCGCAGATTTTTTTTTTTCGCTGAGCCATCAATCCTTCTCCTCGAACATTTCGCTGAGCGCCACCTTGTTCTTCACGGCCAAGATCACCCACAGAGCAAAAATAGCGTATCAGAGGCAGATTTGCTATCGGACACGCGTGCTTTCACCGGCGTATATCGCGAAGGCTTGGCACCCTTTATCTCGAGATTTATACTTCGCTTGTCGTGCAAGTGCTGCACAAACTTGGTAGGTGACCAATTTTCCACATGTCTCATGCGCAACCCCAGCATGGTAGCTGTTACGGTGTTACCCAGCGACTTCTTGGAGCACACAATCTATTGCCTCGTCCTTGCAATATCTGCAGACTCCTCTCACTAAGGTGATGCATGGCAATAACTATGTTCTTTGACAAAGTTTAAGGCCAGCAACACCAGTCTCTTCAAAGACTTACCTACGTCTCCCGTACATCGCTATGCCCACTTGTAATCTATCCGATATGAATTTGCCTTCCTAACTAGACGACCAGCTGACAGACCAGGTAAAGCCTCAGGTTGCAGAGGGACTTGCTCAGTACATGTCACAATTGCCAAACAACCGTCATTCGCAATACAAAAGGCCAACGTAGCCTTTGTCTGGAATACCCATCCAAATTGTAAGCGCAAAAAACGTGGGACTTCTCTTCGCCACCGATGTGGCTGATCTTTTTGCAGATCTGCAGTCACAACGGGGACTGACCTTTCGAGTCCTCCTTGTTTGGCTCTTGTCGTTCTCCAAGATAGGTGAGCCGCAACGGACGAAAAATCTCTTTGAATATCGATCAGTCCTAAATCCTAGCTCGTGTTGTTGTAAGTTTCTCGGTCTTCTTTGTTACTAGTCGCTTTCCGGTTGTAGCCGCCGCATGTCATGGGCTCTTTGTCTACTTAAGTACCAACGTCATGGTTTCAGGTTGATCATCTCTTTCAACGTTGCTGCAGTGTCAGTCCGCAATCAAAAACACCGTGTTAACTTGTCATACAGGCCGTGAACCATCACATCGTGATGACGGGATCACCATCCACCTACATTAAGGAGGAGAATGATGAATTTTCATTCAACCCTCACCAATATTCCGCCGCCAATAATGGCAGATTCTTGAATCAACAATACAATCAGTTCACGACATCTGCCGGGGACATGTCTGGAGTAAACCCGACGGAGCTCACCATGAGCAACATGAACAATTTCGGCCAGATGTCAAACAGCTTCATGGGAGGCGGTAATTCAGGAATCGATGATGAGGACTTGCTCGCCCTCGGAAATCTGGATGATCAGAAGCATTTTCAAATGAATGGTTACAACCAAGGACAGCAGAGCCAGAATTTTTTCCCTAATGCACAAGGGTATACGCCTGACAACAACCCAATCGCAAGCCCGTTTTTAAACCAGCAAGGCGACTTCTTCAGCCAGTATTCGAATTCTCATGGCCAACAATTTGGCGGCATGCAGCGAAGGCCAATGGGCTCAATGGATCGACACCCGTCTGATTCTGCTCGAAGCCCAATGACACCGAGCGCAAGCATGAGAATAGGCAGCATCGGCACTCCGGACTCCAATCATTTGCAATACCAGGTTCCACTCAACCAACATCTAAACCAGCACGCAAAGATGCAATCGGCCTCGTGGAATCCCAATGGCAACTCAGGCAGCGCGGGCTCAGGGTGGGGCGAGTCGCCAATTTCTTCCCCACTTGCTGATCACTTTCACACCAACATGAATGAGGTCCTAGCAGGCAGAGCTGGTGCTTCTCTTCCCACAAAGGTTGAGAATGGGATGCACAGCAACTACCAAACCCAGGAGGCCAAAAAGAAGCGGAGGCGTGAGTCGCACAACGCTGTTGAAAGGCGTCGCCGGGACAATATCAACGAGCGCATACACGATCTTTCAAGACTGGTCCCTTCTCATCGCCTAGAAGATGAGAAAATCCGAAAGCACCTCAGCAATAATGGCCCCTTGTCGCCAACCCTCGGCGCATCTGGCATTTCCCCCCCTGCTGCTACATCACTACTGGCAGGCGGTTCGGGGCGACGCGCTGCAGGTAACATCACCCAAGGACTCCCTCTCGAGGAGAAAGACAAAGGACCAAATAAAGGCGACATACTGAACGGTGCCGTCAGCTGGACGCGCGACATGATGTGGCAGCTCTACCAAAATTACAAGAATGAAGAGAAACTACGTGCCCATCTGGAATCGCATGGGCTGCAATGGCCTCTGACTGAGACGGAAGAACAGAAACGAATGAAGACTGAGCTAATTGCTGCTGTCGAGAAGAACGGTGTTGACAATTTCTCTTATTCACGTGGACCAGGCAGCGGTCTTCGCGTCCCAGGTCATACCACCATTGACGGCCAGCCCCTCAACGGCACCAACGGTACCAACGGCCAGCAATCAAGCGTGAGCCCTGCTAGCGCCAATGGCCAGAATTTCAATTGGGTCAACGACTCTAATCAGCGAGATTCCTTTAGCCTCAAGGAAGAAGATGAGTCTGGCTTTGGCATGGAGATGGGTTGAGTTAATCTTCCTTTCTGCTCACGAAATTTGCCTCACGACTCGCGGCTAGTAATTTGATACCCACACGCTTTCCTTCCCAGCACAACATAACAGCTCTAGAGTAGACCAGATTCTTCTTTTTTCCCTACACCAAATCAGGATCTGCTGATACCTAAGAGCTCGTAAGCCTGCACAATCTCCACTTTTTTTTTGAGATCACAGATGGCATTTCTCAGTATCGATACCATTGGCTGGAGTTTTTCTTTTAGGGACACGAGGGGTTTCGGGATGTTGTTGGGTCGGCGTCTTAATATTCCCCTACACTATTCCGTTCATTTGATTGCCATTATTACATCTTCAGGGAGTTTTCCACCGGGCATGCACTTGTTCTTCTTTGTGTTTTTGGCACCACTTACATCATCTTGCACGCCGAAGAGGGGAGAATGTGGGCATGCATTTGGAAGCAATGGGCGCCTGATCATTTTGGACACAGCAATATTGATTTACCACCACGATAACGATGATGACCACGAGAATGACCAGAGACGGCCCATGGAAAGATAGCGGACTCGGATGTGCATGTTGCTTCGATGTAGTCTTTTCTTTTTTTTTTTTGTCACTTGCACACTCATATTTAAACCCCTCTATATTTAGGCTGTCATGACAGGATGATGCGATCATATAGTCTCGTCGCTTCGACAGACGATGCTTAGTTATGATCATGACAGCCAGGATGGCAATCAATATACTTCCTTCATACAATCACAACTCCTGAAATTGACATTTCTATCTTGTGACCGACGTAGGACGTTGAAGAGGCCGTACCGCTGCTGTCGACTTTGGGTACAGCTCAGTCTTCAGATTCTGGCTGATGGCTGGCGAGAACCGCATGCCGTACCCAAATACAAGGTGCCGTCTCGCTGGCCATACAGCACCAAGTTTGCAGTATATCTCATCTCTTATCTGCCCCGTCCTGGCCATTGATGTTGCCTGCCAAACTCTTCTCTTCTGCAAAACCCAGGTTCTTCATCTCGTCCGGCGCCATCAGGTTCCTAAACCAAGGGGCGAGACAAGGTTAGCAAATGTGGACAAAACTGCCGTACGGCGAATCGACGCCTTGCCATCCCTTCTTTTTGGCAACTTGGACCGGATCAATGGCCCCGGGAGGGGGGGAAGGCTCACCTGTCCATCCGGCATTGAAGGTAGGCCTTCGCCTGCTGTCGACATTCGGGGCTGTTGGTCCCCCGGTACGAGCGCAGACAGCGGAGGTACAGCGTCATCACGTCCTTGCATTCACCTGCGGCAAAACCAAAAAGAAAAAAGATCAGCTCGGGCGTGCCCTCTCCAAAGCGGTCGGCGCGGCTCGCGCGGAAGAAGCGGAAACGAGCCCCCCAGGCGTCGCCATGCGCGCGCGCTGCCTTTCGACCGCCGTGACGTGAGCGTACGTACCGTCGTGGTCGAGCGGGAACGATCCTCGCTCCGGTCTGCGTGCGCGCGGCGCGACGCGCCCTCCCACGTTAGCAATCTCCTCGTGCACACTACGCATGGCCGTTCCGGCTGGGGCGGGCGGGCGTACGGAATGGGCTTCTGGATCTTCTGCTGCCCGCCAGGGCTGCCGAATGTACTCATCGTGTCTTTCCCCGACGGCGGGTGTTTGATCTTTGCCGATGGCGACACCCAGATCGAAAGTTGAGGTTGAGTAACAAAACGCAGAAAAAAGCCGAGTGGCGCCACCCGAGCACAGCAGGGGTCACCTTCCCCTTGGGCGGTGGGAAAGTACTTCACCAGGTCGAAGTAGATGCGTGAGAAAAAGAAAATAAAATAAAATAAGAAATTAAGAAGCAAAGCACATGAATTTCCAGAACATGTGAGCTGAAAGTCTTCAGGAAACGATCCTGTTCAGTGTCACGAATCTACGAGACAACAGAAATCCAGCTCACGGCGCTCTGCTTTGTGCACTCACTGCTCGTTCTCAGACACGGATCACCCTCCCGTGACTCGACGGCAAGATCTGGGTCGGACGTGGAGAGTTCAAACAAAAGAAAGAAAAAGAAAGAGAGAGAAAAAAAAAAACAAAAAGAAAAAGAAAAGAAAAGAAATGTCAAAAATGGCTCTCCTCCCCTTGTTCTTGGAAGGCGGAGCGAGCCGTTGCAGAAGCATCGTCACCTGCTCGTTCACGCTTATTTCACCCTTGCGCAAACCACTCTTTGTACTTCTCACAAAGACGACGTCGTTCATGTGCCAGATTTGTCAAAGGACGCATGTCTCACAGTGTTGATGCATGATCTGTGCTCACATTGACAGAAGATCCCACGGTCGGAGAATTAATGGTTCGATATGTTGTACTAGGGCTGATCATATGCTGTGCGGTGGTCGCACGGTGCGTACCTCTAATGGGACGACACATCATTGTCTAGACTGTTCGATGGTAGACTTTGTTAAGGATATCTTGCTTTTAGTATCGACTTGAGTGTCTACAAACAGGACCTCGTAACCTTGCGAGACCTTCATTTATCGTCGTACTCTAGAGCAGCGCATTCAAACATTTGCGATCCCTCAGATTCAACTACTTCCCTTGAACTGCATCTGCGATAGATAGAAAGGGAGCATTGAAGCGAGGACGAGCGCGTAATACATATAGAACTAACACAATGCTTTAATTTTTGGCTGCGCCGGCCTTGAAGAGCATGATGTCGCCGTCTTCCACAATATAGTCCTTGCCTTTGGTCATGACCTTGCCTTTAGCTCTCACCGCCGCTTCGTCACCCTCCTCCTTCAGGACGTTGAAGTTGTACACAATAGCCTGGATGAATGTCTTTTCGAAGTCTAAAAGTCCCAAATCAGTTTGGTTCAAAGAGTGAGGATTGAAACACGCTTACCTCCGTGAATCACACCTGCGGCTTGAGGCGCCTTGGTGTTTGCTCTAATAGTCCATTGCCGCACTTCGTCCGAGCCAGTGGTAAAAAAGCTTATCAGATTAAGCGCTTTGCGCATGGTCACAATGACCTTAGGTAGTGCAGATGTCGCACCGACCTTCTTGCACTCCTCTTCAACCTCAGCTTCAGTTGCGAACCTTGTCAGCCGCTCTTCAAAGGAAACCGAGATCGGGATGACAGGATCATTCGGTGCATGTGTCTTGATCCATTCGACGACCTTTGGAAGATGCTTGTTCTTTTTCCGGATGTAGTCCTTCTCACTCAAGTTGATGAGGAATACGACCGGCTTTGCTGTGAGAAGGAAAAGTGGATTGATTGCTTCCACCTGGCTTCCATCAGTATCCTGTTGCAAACTCATTTGAAAAGTAGCATAGCAGAACAGATGTAGAACATTCAGACAGGGACATCTTCTCATTATTGCCTCTAGCGTTGAATTTAGACGAGGCATTCGAAGAGCTGGGATTATTCGAGCAATAGCTCTTTGTCATCATTTTGGGTAAATGCATTGGGTAGAACAGAAGAAAATGCTCACCTCCTTAGGCGACCAGTCGCCGTTCCGCACGTCCTTGCCATCCTTCAACCATTGCAACACTTTTTCAATGGTTGCTTGCTCTTCCCTGAGCTTTTTCATTTCAAGAGACTGGCCACCACGTTTGGTCTGCTTCGCAAGGTTCTCATATGCCTTTTCTACGAATTCAATGTCCTTGATGCGTAGCTCTTCGCTGATGATGTCCAGATCTCTAACTGGGTCAACATCACCTTCTACGTGAATAATCTCGGCGTCGTCAAAGCATCGAACAACCTGAAAGATGGCATCTACGGCACGAATGTGGGATAAGAAAGCATTGCCCAGGCCAGCACCGGTCGAGGCTCCGCGCGTCAGCCCGGCGATATCATACACGGTTAGGTTGGCTGGTACTTCAGACTTCGGTTTATAATGATTGCAAAGCCAGTCGTACCGCTCGTCTGGAACAATGACGCGTGCCTCTTCAGGGTCAATCGTGGCGTACGGGAAATTCTGAAGGTAGTTAGAACTTGATCTGTGAATGCGCAGAGAACTTACAGCCGGGTTGCCGAGCGTAGACTTAGTTATAGCCTGGAAGAGTGTTGATTTGCCTACGTTTGCAAGGCCGACCTTGAATGACAGATTAGCGCCGAGTTCATGGCTATACACATGGTTTCACAGGCTGCCTACTCACGATACCACTCTTCAAGTTATTACCTGGTCTTCCGAGAAGTACCTTCTCTTGCTTTACCTCCTTCTTTGGCGGCATCTTCCTCTTGCTTTTCGCGTAGAACCTTACGGATGATATGCAGTAGAGTGGGGTGAAAAGGCTGCTGCAGTGAGCAGACGCAGACACGAGGACAAATGCAGAGCCTGCTGCGACTGGGCGAAACTTGGGTATCGATGAAGAGAAGAGAGGAATGGCTGGTCGCAGAGGCGGAATGGTTAAGAAGTAGTCGAAAGAGGCGACAAGGAATGTGCCGCCTCCAATGAGCTAATTTAAAAGGCAAAAAAGATTGAAAGTGGGATAACTTAGCTGTAAGCTTGACCCTTCAGCGCAGGAATTTTTCTGAGGTGTAGCGGCACGTGACTTGCACAGGCCTCTGAGAAACAACGGCAGCCAGACAGCGAAAGGCGTCCCCGGTTCTGACATCCAGTAGGAGACGCAAACAGATATCTGTTTGCGTCCTCTACACTCTCTGGCCGGTGCTAAACAGTATCGAATGGCTTTGTCTCATTGGCGAACGCCCGCACCCTGGAGATTCTTTTTGACCTAGCCAGTCGAACGCCAGGTCTCACAAAGCCCCTTTGCTCAAGGCGCCCACTGATTGTCTTCTCCATGGATTTCGGCACACTACATCCCCTGCCATGTAGACTGGCATGACTTCGTTCCTACTGCTATCCTTTATAAGGAGCACGGGATGACCTATCTTTGAAGTACTCTTCGCATATTTTGCCTCCCCTTTTACTTGTCAGACCCCATTCCGTCACTTGGGTTGGAAACAGCTTTCGACAACTATTCGTCGACGCTCACACGAAACTTCGCCATCTTCCGGCAATACCAGTCACTTGTGTACGAAAGCAGTAAATAGTTCTGCAGCTCCTTATCACTGTGAACAGCCGTACACTCGTATTCACTAGCAGCTCCGCTTGTCTGTATATGCTGTGTTTCGTCTGTATAGAATATATAAAATTGCAATTATGCACTTCGTCAAACTCTATAAACACGAAATCTTAACTTTCGATGCCCCATCACATCGTCATAACCATTTGAATTTAGTGGACTCGCACAAATTGATTACCACAACTGGAACCCAATTGTACAGCGGCCAATATTACGAAATTCATTTTCTTTTATTCTATTCTCTCCCTGTTAGTTATAATTGCTTCATTTTCGATGCAAAAACGACGACAGTCAAGTAATATGGTCAAGCGGCACGGCAAGAAGTATCACTCAGACGATACCATCATGCTAAGTATTGACTCCAGCCTTCCACGCCGCCCAAGTTCACAAAAGACCAGAGATACTGTGCAAGACAGCGGCCACGCCACCATCATGATTGGAAATGATCCAAGCTTTGATTCCGGACCTCCATTAAATGCTCCCTCGAAGACTAGAACAGTCCGGAACTCCTCTAGCACTAGAACGAGTGTATATGATCGATTTAAATCTCACGGGCTTGCAAGAAAACGGCTGGGTGGCCAATCCAACCACTTCTCCGACGCCAACAAGAGCCTCACAAATCTGGCTGTAGTCAATAGATCAAGTTATATCTGGAAGAGGAATACCAATGACTTCCACGAGCAAGCAAATGCTCGCAGACGCTCAAAAATCACAAACACGAAGTTCACTGACCGAGATTTAGAGAAATTTTTCCTCCATCTCCCTGCAGATAGGAGGTTGAGAAAGAAGATTCATCACGCAAGTCATCAGGCAGCGGTTCAGGGTTTTGAATCCAAGTCAACAAGTAAACCATTATCTTCCATTCTCTCCTTCAACCCAACTGCAGTTAGTCCGGTGGATAGCAATACTCCCAGAAGTCTCAATGTTCATAATTCTTCTCAGCTTATGGAAATTGACCCTGAAGATGTGCTGATGGAAGATTCTGAAAAATTGTGTACATCATCAATGGTTGAAAATGATAATTTAATCCAAACCATCGACTCTAGACTCCCTTCAACAGAATTACGCCTTCAGAAAAAGTCGTTCTTCCAACCACTCGATAAGGAGATAGACAAAGAACCAGCTTTCACGCTTGTGACCATGGGCTCAGTTGCTGAGAGAAGCGAGGATGGCCCACAACTTGATAGATTGAACCCTTTTCTGCAAAACGATGATCATGATGAGGAAGAAAGATCAAACTCTCTAGAAGCAGTTCGAGATCTTTTACGCGACCTAAAGTCAAAATATGACATTAAGGTTGATCCTAGTGGAAATCTCTCTCGGCTTCGCAGCTATACAAAGAAGAGCATGCGGCTTGAAGATCAGTGCAAGATCATGCACATGGAAGCCCAAAGGCTTGGAGACGAGCTCTCTATTTCCAAATATCTTCTTTATTCTGAGCAAGACAAAACTAAGACCCTCAGCTCTAGGATTGAGACCCTGGTTACTGCTTTAGACCAGCTCCGGGAAGAGAATTTAAAATTAAAGTTGCAGAATGTCGAATTAGAGGCTTTATATTTGGCAAAGAGTGAGGAAAACGAAGGATTTTGGAATGACTTAGTTGACTGCACTGCAGAGCTGGAGAGCCTTTACGACAAAGAAACTCGTAACCTGAAAGCTCGGATCAAAGAGCTGGAAACGAATGCGGTGGGCACCAGTTTTTTAATTAAAGCTTCATCAAGCGCCATGCTTCCTACTACTCAAGGCCAAAAGGAGCGTAATGATGCTGTGTTTAAGAGCACTGTCCAAGACCGAAAAGTCTCTCTTTCCAGCTCTGTTGCCATGAACACAGAGTTCAGAGATGGACACACATCATCTGGCCCTGATTCTCGACTTCTTTTCAGTGATTCTCCTGGTTCCAACGCCTCATTATCGCCAAAAAGCTTAATATCTGACCACAATGACAATTTTGGTACTATTCAGGAAAATGACCAAGCGAAAGAGACAAAAATAGCGTGCAAATACGCCAAAGCTAACGTTTGTTACCCCAATCACGTTATCATCAGACAAAAGAATGTTACCACGACTCAAGAATCTGAAAGAAATAAAACTAACTTGCTTGAATCATTGGCGTCAGACACGTCCTCAGAGCCTCGGAAAGGAGATCTTGTCCACCCCTCCCAAGCACATCCTACAACATCGCCACAGGTCGCCAGCAAGTACATCAACTATTTCAGGAATTCGACATCTTCAATAGAAATCCCACCGATGGAATCTATTTTCAATCCTCAGTCTTCACTCTCTTCGGCGAGCCTCTCGACATCTCATATCCCTTTCGTGGCACCGTCATTAAAGAAGCGAAAAGTTTGTAATGAAGACAAGTTCGACGTCAAACGAGCTCGCGTCTATGAAAGTGATACTCGAAGCATTTCCAAACCCCATGTCCAATTTGAAACCACTCTGATACTACATAAACCCTTGAAAGCAAGTAAGATGGTTCGATCGCGACGGCAGGCTCTATCGAGGCCGGAAAAACTGAAATCACCCAGAGTTATTCCAGAATTTGGTGAGCTGCTTGCACTTCCTCAAAGCTTGAATGAAGGCCACCTGGTGGCTGATAACAGCTCCAATGAAGAACTCAATATGAAAAAGTCACAGCTAAATACGAAACCCGTGACAAATCGCAAGTTGTCTGTAGAACAAGCCTTTAATACTGATACTCGGAATCAAAATGGGCTACTGTATCAAGTAAGCGTTTCTTCGTTCGAAAGGAGCCAGAGAGACATAAATCTTGAATATTTGAAAGAGGCAGCGAGTCCTTCAAACCGACAAAGCAGACTCGAGGTTATGCTAATCGTCCTAAGGGCAATGGCAGCCCTAATGCAACGAATACTGAATAGGTTTGCAGGTCGATTTGGCGAGATTTCTAAAAGCCTTGTGGTTCCATTTCATAAAATCGCCCCAAAGGCTCGGTAATTTTAGTATCAGCTGCCAACTGTTGCTGCCGACCAGCCCAGACTTTCTCCGAGGTGAACAAAGAGATCATTGGTAGACAGAATCAGAAAGCCTCCCAACTTAGAGCATAGCGTCGCAAGCTGCACTATTACTGCAACATCCCACGAAACAAAAGTGGCAACTTGAGGATGCTGTCGAGACATAGCGTCGGTGCCTACTACTGGGGAGAAAAAGAAGAACTTTGGTTGGTAGTATGTCTCACGACTGTTCGACCAATTAGTTCATTTCTAATTGATACCGAGGTTTTACAATAGTAGATCCAGTCGAAGACATCGTCCAACGACCAAAGAACAGTTGGTTGCTGGACAAAGACCAGAACCAGACAGATAGGTAGTGGGATATCTTCGCTAATGATCATGCTATTCAATAAGACACGTCCCAATGAAGCCCAAACACTCAGACCAAGATGTTGCATTGAACGAGCTCAACCGCATGATACAAAATAGCTATTAAATGTTGCAAAGGATCATGAAATTAAGCCTGAGACGAAATCTGACCCATACAGACGTATTTAACATTGAAATCTCGACAAAACTTTTGGGCAATTGTGGTTCAGACTTTTCATCTTGAGGTATAGGCTAATACCCCGCATGAACGCTTGCTAGCTCGAAATGGTAACTATTTCCTTCAGTACTTATCAACCTTTCTACATCCTCAAACCTCAGCTGAAACTCGTAAAATATGCGATCTTTGTCTGTCTCTCAGTATCAATGAGAAAAATTCGAGTTGAAGCATGGTGCCTAATATATCTACCATTGCGGCCATTGGAATTCTGTGTGTTTTTATTTTTAAATTCCTCATCTTACCATTGTTTTTATGTCCTTTAAGTCGCATTCCTGGTCCGAAGATATACGCGCTTACAAAGTGGCGTCTTGCGTACGAGGACTGGAAGGGCACACGAACTCGTACGATTTTGAGACTGCATCAAAAACATGGGCCAGTTGTCCGAGTTGGTCCGCAAGAAGTATCGTTCAGTAGTCTTTCTGCTTTGCGTACCATATATGGCGCTGGGAGCGGCTTTGAGCGGACATCTTTCTACGATATGTTCGACGTCTACGGCACGAAAAATTTGTTTACATTTCACTCCGTCAAACAGCATGCAGACAGAAAAAAGCTTCTGGCTTATGCGTATTCCAAATCAGTCATGGTGAAGGGACGGAATGCCTCCATTGTGCAGAGCAAGGTACGAGATTATTTGAACTTCATTGAGACTGATCGAGCCCGTGCAGAAGAGATTTTCTCAGGTCTGCATTATTTCTCCATAGATACCATCACAGAGTTTCTTTACGGAGACTTTGGAAAGACTGAATGTATGAGAGGAAATGAGATACACAGAGCTCTCTTGAACGACATCATGGACTTGTCCCGAAGGAAACTTTCATGGTATGCGGTGCACCTGCCCACTTATACAAGGTGGCTGTATTCTCGTACAGGAATACCGCAAAGCTTAGCTCGATGCCTGTACCCCATGGCAAAGCCGACTACCTATACGGGCATTCGAGAACATGCCTTAAACGCTTGGAGATGCTTCAGAGCAGCACCAGAGGCAACAAAAATAAAGCAAGATACAATCATCAGCAAGTTGTGGCTGCATCACAAAAGTCAGAAAGCAGAAGGCTTGAGTGATCTCGATATTGCATCAGAATGTGCGGATCACTTATTGGCAGGTATCGACACAACCGCAGACGCGCTTATGTTCCTGATCTGGGCACTTTCCCGCCCACAAAACCAAGAGTTTCAACGTAAGCTACAGGAGGAGGTTCGGAGAGTGAGAGATTCTAAAAATGAAATGCTCGATGTTCACGAATGTGACAAACTTCCTTACCTGAATGCGGTGATTATGGAAACTTTGAGGCTATATGCACCGTTGCCTGCTTCTGAGCCACGGTCTCACCCTCAGGATGTTACAATTGATGGTTTCAGGATACCAAGATCAACAGTCGTCAGTGTTGCACCTTTCACCTTGCACAGAAATCCAGAGGTGTTCGTTAATCCTCTGATATTTGATCCAACACGCTGGCTTGGCCAAAAAGGAAACTTGCAAGAACTGAAGAAATGGTTTTGGGCCTTCTCAAGTGGGGGGAGGATGTGCATTGGAATGCAGTGAGTTCGTATCGAATGCTTTGTTGCGCTACTAATGAACCTGTTTGAAGTCTCGCAATGGCAGAGATGAGCACGCTCGTTGCTGCGATTTATGCTAGATACTCAACTACATTAAGAAAAAGCATGTTCAACGTTGCCCCGGGTGTGACCAGTCGCTTCGAAGTCTTTCATGACGACTTAATGGAAAGGATCTCTGTACGTTCAATAAAGTATTCATGCAAGGACCGCCTGACAGTGTACTCGTAGGAACATGAATGTCACATTCATTTCAGGAAGCTTTGAGGTGACTGCTTCATAACCTTCGACTGGCCTTTTATCAAGAAATAAATAGTTTTCAGCAGTTCATCCACCATCGAACGCCATGCAATGCACTATAGCAACGTCATCATATCATTTTCTTCTTGCATTGTTGCCGTCCCAAAACTTCATTGATATCCCATCATGCCCACAGCAATTCCAACGCCTAGTTTTGCTGCATAGCCCAGCCCCGTACATCTTGCGGCAACTGCTCCGTTAACTGTTGCAGTCGCAGTGCCGAAGTTTCCACACGCTTCCACAACAAGCCCATAGCAAGCGGTCGCGCTCAGACTCGCGCAAACGCTACTAGCAAAATCTGGAGCATACGTCGTCGACGCCACACTGGCGGTAATCGTTGTCCCTCCGCCACCGGAAACGCTCACAGTCACGCCATGAGCACCAGCAGCGCCAACAAGGTAAGAAGAGCAAGAAGAGAAGTCGGCGTGGCAGGTTGTATACGCAGAAGAACAGGCGGCTGCGTTGGCGTAAGTTGTAGGTATGTATGGGTACGGGTAATAAGGGTTGCTCACATATGAGCGGGAGCTATCCGACGATTGCTGCGAGCCCGTCGATGCCGTTCCTGAGGGACCAACAAATACAATGCCGCCGCTCGTCGTACTCGTCAGGCCATTTTCACTTGGTGACGCTGTTACAATCGTACTTTCGCTCACTGTGATCGTGGCGCCTGTTCCCGTGGTTGTAGCTCCAACTACCACTCCCCCACCAGTGCTTGTTACCGGCTTTATTGTGCCAGTGCAAGCTGCCTGAGTTGGACAACATGCCACATTCCCATTGCTGTCCTGTTGGCAAACCTGGCTTGTCTTGCAGCAAAGACCAGCCGCGCCGAGTGTAGCGCAATTCGAGTAGCCCGTTGCGCAACCACTGCCTTGGCGTTTGGCAAATCTAAGCTCGAAATCAGGGGAAATTGTAGTGTTGTCAAAGTGATATTGCTCTTCCAGCAAAGGCGGGGAAAACGGTAAAACTGCTATGTTAGCATGAGCAGCGAGCGCGGATCTTGAGAGCAGGAATAGTGGGAGGAGAAGCGCGTTCCACATTATTGATGATCTGGCTAGGTTCGTGAGTGGTGATGGATGAGGTGAAAGCTTCAATTGATAAGGAAGGAGAATCTAAACGCCCATCAAATCATGCTCAGAGAATCATGTCATGAGATACAAAAAGATCATGAGATCAAGTCAATGAAAAATCTCAATTGTGTTGTTCGGTCGAGCATCGAATGTTGAACATCACGATGCGTCTGTGCGCATTGCGGAGGGCAACGAACGCCACAACGTCCCAGCCGCATCCTAAACAAGCCGCATCAGGCTGAGTACTCGGCGTCCTGCAGGTCCAAGGTTGAGAGAAGAAAAAAAGGCGCCATACGATTGCTTTGCATCGCCCTCGCAGGTTTTGTTCACAGGCGACACAAACATGGTGAAGATCCACCCCTACTCCGCGCCTTCACTATCAGCAAGATGTTCGGTGCCGCGATTACAATTAACCATGATTTACAATAAGCCTTGCAGATCCGACCATCTACAGCTAGCTTTCTCGTTGATTTGCAAAGCAGAAGCAAACAAAAATGCCTTACAGATATAGAACTGTGCAGAAAGCGGCTTCTCATTTGGGGCGACCTAAGTCCTAAACAAAAGTCTGAGATGGGATTAACTGTACAACGACGGGGTGCATCTAATTTTGGTCAAAGCATGTATGTTATTGCGCAGATGTAACTTTCAAATCATTCCAGTAATCAGTCAACCTGAGCTGCCGACCGCGGCTAAGATGCACATTAGCATGGACGTCATAGATTTCGGCGACAAATTTGGTTGAAAAAAAAAGAGGGCTAAGATATAGCAGAGCGCTGAAGTTGAAAATGAATCCAATGCTGAAGAGCGATTGGGGAATCATCTCCGGCTCCAATTGTTGTTTTCAAGTGCTCAAGAACAGAGGCAAGCTTTGCCTTGCGCGTCGTGAGTTGAAATGTTGAATCATAGGTCAAAAAAAAATTAACGGATTGTCCTAGATAACGGCATGCTCTCAAAGCACCAATTTCCGATGAACAACATATCGCAAATCAGGCACAAAAATTTCCAAGTCTTCCCTCTCAAGAAAAATTATATGCTTATGTTCACTTTTTCAAACCAGAAAAGTGGGTATTTCATCGGCATTTACGGACGCCTTCCTGTTAGGCTCCTTTTCATCTCCCTTCACGTTTGAGCCCACTTGTGCAACTATCTTTGGGTTTGAAGAAAGCCGATCTCGTCTCGGGAGTATGTTATATATCTCGTCACGGGAAGATTTCTCACTGTCATTCAAGGTAGAGGAATGAGTACTGGAAATCTGAGCATGGGACACCTTTCTTGTTTGATTACTGGTGCGCGCTTTGATGTTCTGCATTTTCAGCTCCGCGAGATTTTCAGGAGAGCTTACTCCATGCATATCCGGTCCACGAAATGAAGATGCATCGATATCGTCGTTGTCGTACTCGGAAGAAATATTGTCCTGGGTCTTGATTTGGCTCTCCTCGCATTGTGAACTACGCAAAGATGTACGTGAACGAATCTTCATTGGCGATAGTTTGCCCTGGGTAAGTCCTTTAGCTGCGCGCGAAGTTGATCTTGCACAAAGTATCTTTTTGGGCGCTGCTGATCTGTCTTTTTGACTCATAAGTCTAGCAAGTCTCGGATCTCGAAGCCATGGGTCGTCTTCATCGTCGGAGACTTCTATAGTAGTTCGACCCTTAGCTCGATCTGAATTATGAACTAACCTCTTCGTGCTTTCAAAATTTGACCAAGTCCTTCCGGCCTCTGGTTGGATGATAGTCTGTACAGTGCTTTCATTCCTATATCGTGCAAGCTGCTTCTGTCGTTGGTATTCTGCGTGGTGTAGATGTCTTGTGAACAAAATAGCGGAACTCCAGAGCTCATCTTCAACTAGTCTCCATCCGTCGTCAGCGTCGGCACCATCTATCATAAACTCCTCCTCTGGCGGTGCGGGAGGAGGTGAGCTCGAATCATTGCTATCTGATGTTGAAGTATTAGCTGACACAGTCTAATCGCGCGAAGCTCTGTTCAGGATATACCTATTGTCCTCCTCGCAATCTTCGCTGTTCGGATTATCTCAGTATCCAAGATAGCCTTTTGATCTGATATGGCTCGGCGTCCCCGCTTCTTAGGTATCGCATTTTCACTGCCCTCTTTAGCTGGTTTTGATGCGCCAGCTAGCCATGGAAGGCCACGCGGCATTGCGAAATGGAGTCATATTGGCTGGTTCTACTGGTTTCGAAGGTGATTTTCCGAGGCGGGACTAGCGGGGATGACTCGTGAAACTACCAGGTCAGTTCTCCGCATCATATTTCTCGATTTACAACGTAAGATCCCAGTGGAAAGTATTTGCACTCTGGGCAGTGATTCAGTCATCGGAGGCTGATGTTCCTTCGTAGAAAGGCTCTTCGACTTTAACAGGAAAAATTCAGTCTTCTAACGGCTTGACCAGTGCACTTTGCTTTGTTCTCATCATGGTTGGCATCTCGCTTTGTCTTACTCTAGGTACCTAAGATCTCTTTCCTGGTCTCTATTATGAAGCACAACTTACAGGTGGGTCTTATTCTGACTTGCCACTTGAAGGTTACGTGCGCGATGGCTGAGATCTATGATGTTTCCGAGAATGTTTCAAACTGCGCCACTACGCCATTCGCCACCTGTATTGAGCTCAAGCATGATAATAACGATTACATTGTCAGTCTAGCGTCTGGTAATCTGCAGAGATGGCACGAAGCGATCTTTTTAGAAGGAAGACCTTGGTCAGAAGCTAAAAACCAACGTATGTGTCTCGATATGCGAAGACTACTCTGCAGCGTAGGAAAAGCAAAGCGAACGCTCCACTGCTTGCCTTTTGGTGAACAAATGAGATAAAATTGCTTTCCTCAAAAACTGATGAGCTGTGCCTCGCTCTGTTTCGCGTGCTTGCGGCTCTGCAGAGCACACGTTCTATGACACACCTGTTTCACCGAAATGATTGGCTGTGAGTCCTCGCATCCAAGACAACGTTCGCGACACTTGAAACTTCACAAGACTACAGGCAAACCTAAGTAATAGGTGCCCAGCTAATCACATAGCCACATGCTTAGAAACCCCTTACAACCTGAAGTCATCATATTGAAGTGGTCAGAGACACTCAAGCGCGGTCTCTCCACGACCAGGGACGATGGTTATCCGGGCGGTCATCGCCACTTCTCAACCACTGCCTCTCCTTTTTCACATGGAGACAGAATTTTTTTTTCTTCCGGATGTTCGCCACTAGTGTCGCAGGAATAGTGATGCCGAGCCGTTGACATCTTATTGTTGAGCTGGGGTTGCATTATGCTGTTGCCTTACCCCTAGCTATAAGGTTTTGTCCAAACGATATTGACTATCTCGATTTTGAGCCTGTGACTGCCGCTTGTGTCGAAGTACTTATTGAAGGAGCGTAGGCAGTTGTTAACATAGATTTTCAATTGCATTCCATTCTTCTATTGTCCAGGTGAATGAGTTTACTTCTTGAAGTCTCGGAACATCTTGAAAGTGACAGCATTCGTCTTCTTTTCACTCCCTAGCTTCGTGACTACATTCTTTGACGAACTATTTATACTATTTGAGAAGCTGGGCTTCTTCAATTCTATCATTAAGAACTAGAGCATCAAACCATTCGACAGCTAGCCGCGATCGCATTGCGCATTATCAAACTACAAAGTGTCGAATTCAGAAATCATCATGAAAACATTCAACCACTTACCAGTCATTGCAGTTCTCGTTACGTCTGCATCCGCACATATCAGTATGAGTCAACCGGTACCATACGACAGCAATAAAAGCCCTCCAACCACGAGTCCCCTCGACGCTAGTGGTGCAAATTATCCATGCCAAGGAACTCAAGGGAGCTTCTCCGCTACATCTTCAAATACTGCAGCGGTGGGATCCACATTTAAGATGTCTTTCTCAGGGACTGCTGTGCACAATGGAGGCTCATGTCAAGTCTCGCTTACGACAGATGGAGCATCAGCCCTTAATCCAAACACGAAGTTCAAAGTCATATATTCCATGCTAGGCGGGTGTCCCGGTTTGAATGGCGCAACAGTGTCCTACGACGTTCCTGTTCCATCAGAAGTTCCTGCTGGTGACTATACTCTGGCTTGGACATGGTTCAATAACATCGGCAATCGTGAGATGTACATGAACTGTGCTCCAATGACCATCACCGGTGGTAGTGGTACAAACGAAACTTTTGATGCTCTCCCCGACATGGCTGTGTACAACATTGCATCCAAAAACAGTTGCAAAACTGTTGAGACTTTTGATGTCGATTTCCCTAACCCCGGAAAATACACAACTAAGGGTGCGAGCTTCAAACCTCAGGCTCCGACTTGTGACGGTACGGACCTTGGAACAGGCTCAGGCGGATCTGGATCTAGTAATACTACCTCAGGAACGACTGGCGGTTCGAGCGGCTCAAATGGCAGTGCTACTTCATCTGCAAATAATGGTCAGTACACTGGCATCGGTGCAGGAGGCTCGCAGGGAAGTGCTACGTCTTCGGCGACGCCGTCTGCAAGCAGCGGTCCAAACTCAGGGAGCTCCCCACAAGTACAGGCACCTGGTGCAGCATCGTCATCTGCAACTACTACCGCATCTGTCGTTCAGTCTTCCGCGGCCGCAGCAACCACGGCCGCAGGTGGCACGAACGGCACATTCAGTTCTCCATCTCCATCTACAGGCTCCAGTACTTCTTCTGGCACAGCTTGTTCGCAAGATGGGGTGATGATTTGCTCGGCTGATGGCTCACAATTTGGTCTGTGCAATCATGGTTCAGCCATCATGATGCCAGTTGCTGCTGGCACCAAGTGTGTAAATGGCGCAATCCAAAAAAGGAGGCGGGATATCCCTGTTAAGATTCCATTCCCATTCAAAGGCTGATAGACTTCTGCTGTGATTTAAGCGACTGCTCTCTCTTACGATGATAAAATCACAAAGCAGAACTTTGGGTCATAGGATAAATGAAGTCCCTTATGTATTCTCTCAAAAAATAAACTGGCAAGCATAAGTGGCGTTTCAGGTAGCATATACACGTCGAAGCCGCTATAGCATTGGCTCGAGGGGATTTCCAGAGACAGGTTCTGAAGGCAGTTTACCGAAAGAATACGATATCAAACTCAAAATCTTGCTGCATTTACGTAGCTCTTGCTTTCTGTTCTTCGTTCAATCTTGCCTCAAAGCGATTTAGTTCATTGTTCGCCTCTATTATGGCTTGGCGCGCACCTTCCCATTTCTTCCTGCTACCGGGTCGTCCGTCAAAAAGCCTCGCTGTGTGTATGCTATCAACTCCTGTCATGAGTAGATTGCAGAATTCTCTATCTTTCCACCAAAATTTCCATCCAGCCAAGCCGTAACCAAGCTTTTCGCTTACTTGCGTACCAGCAGCTTTATGTAGGAATCCAATGAAGGGGCCCCTATCGAGACATTGTGCAGCAGCCTGCAATGAAATTGGTTGAGGTGCTCGAGTGGCCAAACCGTTAACGAAATTGTGCGACTGTGCTATTTGATGATTCATGGTAGCAAGGTCCGGTAATTGATAACGGCCAGCGAATACTTGCGCTATGCCCATAGATGCCAGATCACCAAGCTCACATATTCCTGCGACAGTATGCCAGAATGACAGATATGCTAAAGAGTCTGGATATTCCGGATGATAGATCTTGTGATACAAAGACGGGAGTTCCAGCTTCCCTCGACGCTCAACAGGTCTCGTTAAGGCTGAGTCGATGTTGTAACCTGTACAATATATAATTATGTCGACTCGGACTCTTTGACCATCTTGCAGCTCGATCATACCATCTTCAAGCACGCGTTGTATACCAGGCACAAATTTGACAGCATCAGCTTCTAGCAATGGTATAATACTATCAGAAACCATTGGAGGCGTGAAATAGATGGATGGAGCTGTTTCAGGGTTTAATCCCCACTCTGGTCTAAGTCGGTCCTTCCAAGCACTGGAAACCATTTTTTTCATGAGACGTTCGGATATAGAGGCCATGTATGCAGGTGCAAGTGAATTTGCAGCACGCATTATAGTATCTATGCGCCTGGTCATCATAACATCGATTGGCCTATTTTGGTAGATCCTCGGCACAACTGTAACGCCTCTACGGTGTGACAACAACACACTTTTTGCCGTGCCAGCCAGCTCGGATGCGATATCTCCGGCGGAATTGGACGATCCTACAATGAGCACAGCTTGGCCTCTGAAGGATTCCTTACTATGACGAATTAAAAGAAATATAAAAGATAGCCGGCGTTCACTAACCTTTTGAATTCAGAGGCATGTAAGGTCTTCCCCGTAAAGCTTTCTGTCCCTTCTATTTGTGGCACGAGAGGACTATGATGCTGGCCTGTTGCAATGATAATTTTGTCGTAAAGTTCAGTACGTGACTCGCCAAGTCGTGGGCAGAGCGTGTTAAGAATCCACTTCTGGTTTTCCCCATCGCGTTGCAACTGCGTTACTTTCCAGCCAAAGCGTACGTACTTGAGTAGGCCAAAATGTTGCGCATACTGCTCCAGGTAGAAAGCGGTCTCCTCCTGGTTTAAAAACATTGGTATGTCACCCTCACGACCACCTCGCTTCCAAGCATCCGAAACAGGAAAATCGCTATAATGGTTTCGAATCCTGCTAGTGTTCTGCGCAGTGTTGGGAAGAGCGGTGATTTCGCTCTTGTCTTCTGTGTACGCCCACTTCCCTCCAATGCAATTTCTGGTCTCTAAAAGCTCGACGTCAAAGAGCTGTTCATCTGGACCATTTAGCTCAAGAAGATTCTTCAACGCGGCCAGACCTTGAGGTCCACCACCAACCACGCAAACACGAAATGGCTTTAACATGATACCAAAGTAAAGGCTTCTTTTTAATCCTCGCTCAATAGGAACTCGAGGCCAGTGTCAAAATAGCAAGCATTGGGAGGCGCTCAGCGAAGGTGTGAAGTACGAACTGTCCCAGTGGCGGAGCATGTAGAATATCAAATCCTCACGAGAACGAATTGAGAGAGGAAAATGTCCTTAGATATTCTGCAATTGCTTGTCGCAAGTGTCAGTACCCCGTCATTACACAGACCAGCTGCATGTAAGATGGGTGGCGTTACCTTTAAACGAAGCTGACAAGACGCTGCCGGAATAGGTCTAGCCCCAACCAGCAATTGGAAATTTTCTCCTCTTGTTACTCCGTGATCTACCTTCCTCTCTGACTTGCGTTAGAGCATTCAAGCTTGTTGCAGCGCCTCGGTCTACGGTGCTGCAGGCATCCATGACAGAGCGAAAGATGGTCTTTGACCCTTGATTGACTTGAATGTTATGTGCTGCAACCTTAACGTTGATCACAGAAGTAGGGACGAGCATTTCTTGCAAACGTGGTGATGCTCTCTTCAATAGATCCAACGCTTCGGTAGGTATCTATCAATTCTCGCCATTCTTTTCAAATAGCCAATGATGAACGACCGTTCTGATTCTGCAATGCGGCAGGTTTCTTCCCTACGGTAGAAGCCGACGACGACCAAAATCTACACTTGATCTGAAATGATCCTCATTTTTGCACTCCAATTCTGATTTGATTCCTAACACTTAGCTGACTTCTTCAGTAGACGAATTCTGCTTTCTTCTCTTTGACGAGAAAAAAAAATCATATTCGCTACAATTTCGCTAAACACGTAATATTTCTCTCGCTCTAACTACCCAAGCAATGAGATTCACTATGCAGGACACAGCACTCAAATCATTTATTTAACCTGTCGCTTGGTGCACTAGGCGAGCTTCAAGTCCCTGACTGGGTTCTGCGAATGTAAAATCGAATTCAAACGACCTACTCGGTCTGCGCCAGACCATTGTGATTTTGTCTTCCCGCTCAACTATTTTCTTTTCGGTATCGGCCATTTCATACTCTTTTATGTCACTCCACCGCGATGCAAGGTCTCATAATTTAGTCAAGAAATTCTCGTAAAGGTCTTCATGGGGAGTTCTGTCCATCTCAACGGCTGCATTTTCCTGTTCACCGAAACTCATTGTTTTTCTCGTTCCGGCTTAACACTCTGATATTCCCTTCTGCCTTTCTAAGATGTATATCATAGAACAGAAGCTTCGTACATCAGCGTGCACAACTCCGCCACAAGAATGGGCATGTTCTAAATTCTGTATAGACCGGCCGTAGTTCTTGATTGATATCCCTGACGGGTTGCTTTCATAACTGTTTCCTAATGATTGTATGACTTGTCAAATTTAAAGCTTATTACAGTGGAAGATTCGTGAAATGTATATTTTTCTGAAATTTCGGGGGCTCGCGCATGACAGGTGTTGTTCGACCGAAGAGATTGAATACAAAAGCGGTGCTAATACTTTTCAGAACTCCAATCTATTTGGACCTTCCTAATCTACCATGCCCAGGCAATGTGAATTTTTAGTATCTTCACCGGATATGATCAAGTGCGTGACTTACAATATATATTAAATTCGGATGGATTTCCATACTGTGTCGTTGCTTCTGGGGGTTTTGTGGCCTTCGTGCTAGACCAAAAATAGCAGAGTCCCAGTAGCCGAGAGTTGTGAACTCCTCACGGCTGTTAACCGATAATTTATGATTAAAGGCCAACCACTGAATCGAAAATGCTGGCGTCTTTCGAAGTGCAAATTCATAATCCACCGTCTTCGCTAGCCGGATTGTCCACAGCGGAATTGTTAAGCTTTCGATTTCATCATAGATGTCTTTATCCCATTGAAACAGTAAGCAAGCACGGTTAACTTGCACTTTAAGATGTCTTCGTTCAAAGTCTGCGTTCCTGACGCCGCAATTGAAAGCCTGCGCAAAAAACTTGAGGCTGCAACATTTCCTGACGAGCTTGACGCAGTTGAACAATGGACATATGGCGCACCTCTGAATGATATCAAGCGGCTTGCGGAAGCCTGGAAAACCTTCGATTGGAGGAGAGCAGAAGCAAAACTTAACGAGTTTCCACAGTTCATGGCAAGCATACATGTAGATGGCTTCTCTAGTCTCGATATACACTACATTTTCCAACAAAGCGCTGCTAAAATTGCGATTCCATTGTTATTTTGTCACGGATGTATGTGCTTTTGCTCCTTCTCTTCTGATAAGACTTCACACTGATGTCACCCAGGGCCTGGTTCCTTTCTAGAAGTCACCAAATTGCTTCCATTATTAACGTCTGGTAGCGGAGGCGGTCCAGCATTCCACGTGGTTGCTCCTTCACTACCGAACTTTGGGTTTTCTGGTGTCGTTCGCAAGCCTGGCTTCGGCATTGAGGTAAGTTTAAAACTTTTGGACATAGCATATCCTTTGAATTATTGACAAATGATTAGAAATATGCTGAAGTATGCCATAAGCTCATGCTTCATCTTGGTTTCACTGAATATGTAACTCAAGGTGGCGATTGGGGTTTCTACATTACTCGAGCTATGGGTCTCTTATACCCGAATAGCGTGAAAGCTTCTCATATCAACCTCATTTTAGCTTATCCACCCAGGTGGACCAAGAACCCCTGGCAGGCATTGCAGCACGCTATTAGGCCGTACACAGAAAAGGAAAAGCAGGGCTTTGATCGGGGCCGATGGTTTACAGCTAAAGGTAACGGCTACCATGTCGAGCAAAGAACAAAGCCGCAGACAATCGGCTATGCACTTGCGGACAGTCCTGTGGCTCTTTTAGCCTGGATCTACGAAAAGCTCCATGATTGGACAGACGGCTACCCTTGGAGTGACGATGAAATTTTGACATGGATTTCAATTTACCAATTCTCGACCGCGGGTGCACATGCAAGCGTACGAATATACTACGAGGCATTCAACTCTTCGCACAGACTTCTTCGAGCTCGTGAAGGTGTCACTGGATGGATACCAAATGTTAGATTGGGCCTGGCATATTTCCCAAAGGAACTATCTGTTTTACCGAAGACTTGGTGCAGAACGCTTGGTCCTGTCGTTTACGAAAGTGAAAATGAGGCTGGTGGCCATTTTGCCGCATGGGAGAAGCCTGAAGCCATTGCGAGGGACTTACAAGCAATGTTTTCAAGAGAGGGTCCTTGCTACGGACTCATTAATGGACGAACAGGATATATGGACAAGTCTAAATTGTGACGTGATATAGTAAAATATCGTTCTAATTTTTTTACTTTGAAATTTGCGCTTATATGCTCTTCAAAGAGCTATAAGTTCTATTTTAAAAGTCTGATTCCAGGTTTAACTGTAGGGGTGTCCATTATAAGATATTGTTCTGAAAATATCTGCATAAGTCCTTATTAAATAATTCTCAATTTCTCAGTTCTTACACCAGCTTTGTCCCGATTAAGTTCTAAACTTCCGCGAAATCGCAACTTTCGTGCTCATTAAACGGTTACAGTCAGATTTTGCTCATAACATTCCCCGTTGGCTGTTCTAAACTTTCGCACGATAGGAATTGAAGTCGTAGACATGTAGCAAGATAAAAATGTCGTACCAAGCATTAATATTCGGTCTGAGGTGATACCACGACAACATAGGATGTTGTCTAAGGTTAACATAGTAAATCTTTTCATGACAGAACATTTTCCGTAGTTGGAGCGTTGAAGCTAGAAACCAGGACAGTTTGAGACAGGAGTAAACACGTGGCGCCAATTATCAAATCGTAGTTTTTTGGGTATAAGAAGGGTCTTTTTTTGGTGTGAATCGGTGTTCTTTTTATCTGGAACGCCCAATAGAACAAGGTCGTGAATCAACGTTGTTCTCAAACGTTATCCGGATTTACCCATGTGCGCAAACTTACGTATCAGTCTAAGACTGGAAATACTCAGGGGCCTTTCATTTTTCTGATTGCCAGAGCCCACCAAATATACTGTCCATTTTTTTTTTTTGAAGTGCTGTAGGTTGATGAGTCAAAATGAGCTTATCTCGGTCATTTCAGATATCAATCCAACTCTACATTGAGTTAGAAAACATTGCGTCATGTTAGGGGAGAGCAAATTCGTCACAAGTACGATACGCAGATGTTTTTTTATTGCAGAAAGACGACAATCGCTTCATTCAACATGGATATTCACAAAGGACACCCGCAAATAAGGTGTCTCGTGAACGATTTGTGATTCAATGTTAGAAATTTCTACAAGCCTTGCTAGGAACGACCTAGGCACATCGGCTATCTGCATGGGATCATCGAGTTGTAGAAATGAACGTTAACGAGAATAAATTGTTTTGGTTGAAGCATGCTGTTGTCAGTAAGAAGGATTTCAGTGCGGGTAAGTTCTCTGAGAATGTGAATGAGAGGACTCGAGGAATTGGCTTCGAAATTTTGCATTGTACCGCATTGTGCTCTATTTTATGTACGTGCTCACATTATATGATACTGCTGCTCTTCAAATTCAATGCTCAGCAGCAATACTCTCGAGATATGCCACTATTCTTTTCTTGATAACTACACCAACAAGCTTGCTTGTTCCCTCCTCAAGTATGCAAATATGCCTCAGTCCAAGTTTTCCAAACATCTCCACTGCATATTCCATGGGCGCATTTTCACATATGGTGACAGGGGTACGATCCACAAACATACTTAAGTCGAAGTCGCCTTCGTCTGGATCGCCCAGGAGTCTGACATCCGCATCATCGGGGTAAATTTTACCAATTTCATTCAGGCCAAACTCCAGCTCGCCTTCTGCTATGTAACCTTGCAGTATACCACCATTTTGAACGAGAACGAGGCCCGCATCCATAAGACCACGACGATGAAGCTGTGCGAGCTTTTTTTCTAATAGCTTGCGTGGAACCTTGTTGCTCGGTGGAATCGAAACTGTGATTTCTGCCATTGTCTGTGCTGGGGGGATAAGCTCGGCGGCAAGCGCTTTACGTCGTCGAACTGATTGCATAGCATGATCAACATCGAGAAAAGGGTGTCCGAGAACAGTTTGCGCTAAGTCATAGACGCCTTCTTTGCTTAGCGCGTCTGCAACCCATTTTGCAGTGAGGATAGCAATCATGTGTGGAACGATATATTCAATTTCGCCTGTGAGCTGCTTCAAGTCAGGAAGTTGGCATGCTAAGTGAATTCATGCTGACCTCAAACATTATGACACAAAGCGAAATGGTCATCCGTGAAACTCCACCAAGGAAGGCCCCAGCACCAACCATGGCAAATATTCCAGGAGAGATGCCAGGAATCGCTTGTCCAATGATTCGCCCAAACAGAGCGCCGGCATCTAGTGCTGGAATGATAACACCACTGGGAACTTTAATGCCAAACGTGATTATGGTAAGGAGGAGTTTTGCAACGCAACCATAGATCAGCCATCCAATATACGGCCCTTTATCATCCATGGCTTCCTGTTGACAAACCCAATTATCCAGCTCTTCACCCTTGCAATCTACCAATAACATCTTGATGGTCGTGTCTCCAGGATCGCGGATGAGAATGTTGGGGAATTGGACTAGCGCGGTGACTAGTACGATGATGGCGACCTCGAATACTGGGTAAGCTTTGATAATATGATATTTTCGGAACCACTTTGACCAGAGAAAGTTGACTTTACAGAAAATCCCTCCAAATATACCTCCCACTATCCCAAGGAGAATGAAAATTAGATAGTGTATTGCCTGGTATGAGGTACCGTAGTCAGTTTCGAATAACACTAGCTTTCCAGTCCCAGTCGGATTGAGCGCTTTAAGAACCACTGCGGCGAAGAGGGAGCAGAGAAACGCATGCCACAGCACGGGTCGTGGAAAATATGTACTGATTTCTTCATAGCTGAATAGTACCCCCCCAATTGGCGCCCCAAAAGCAACGCTGAGGCCAGCAGCGCATGCAGCTGTAAGCATTTCACGCAATTTCCTGCCATTATTCCTATATTTCGGAAACTGTTTTGCGACGAGATAGCCGACACAAGTCGATATGTGGACGAAGGGTCCTTCTTTGCCTAGGCACATGCCAGTGGCAACGGCGAAGACTGCGCCAAAACCTTTAACTGCCAGGACTTTAAAGTCGAGGAAATTTGGAATTACGAATCCTGAAAGGATCGTTTTTATTTCAGGAATTCCAGAGCCTGCCGCCATATACATCGTTTTACCAACTGCTTTTTTGGATGAACTCCGGTCGATGTCATTCGTATTGTCTTCCACGCTGACGGTCACAGCGGGCAACGATGCCTTGGTCAGCATAGTCGCACTCGAGCTAATGATGCCAAACACTAGTGCGAATGCCACGTACACGGCATATTTTTTCGAATAGTTTCCTGTCCATTCAACAAAGTATCCATTGCACTCAGCGAGGTTTGATGCGAAGCTACAGCAATTCTCCCTACTAAGAAGGGGATTTCTGGCACAGTATCCCAATTTCCAGTCAGAGACTGTCGCCACGGCAACATCAACAATCCAAGCTACTATCGCTGTGCATATGCCCATTATTGCTACAGCTATCCAGCTCGAGCACGAATCGAACGTGGAATACATCGAGGCTCGGAGTCCTTTTCGCAAATGGATTGTGCGCCATCTGTAGGAGTCTTTGACCTTTCTGGAGTTAGACCCGACGTTCTATCAACGCTTAGACTCCTCACCAAATCGTGCAACCAGTCAATGGTGGTATAGTCATTATATGGTAAGCGCTCGCCCACGGTGCTACCGGCCAAAGCTGCCTCTTCTTTCGAAACATGGGAAATCTTTATAGAATGCGCCTCTTCATCATGTATAGAATCCAGATTTCCGTCAAAAAGTCTCCCTTGTAAGAGGTGAGTGCGTTCACTGGCTGATATGTCGTCAGCCATGATTGGAATCAGAAAACCCGAAGGTATTGATCAGAATTTCATATGAATGAAGCACAGCTTCAAGTTCAACGGTTATCACCATTATATGACGGCAAAAATTGTAGATCATGTCGCTCAATGGAAACCAGACTCGCTAAATCAGGCAAGCAATCCTTATCGGAAGCGCGTGTAGTAGTGGTCTGGCCAAGGCATGACTGATAAGGAAACATAGGAAGCATTCGAGTTCTGTCAACGCATGATTTCTACTTCATAAGTCCTCAAGCGCACCCTAAATCATTTCCATGCTGCTGAATTCTTCATCGCAAATGTTGGCAGCTTGGTAAAGAAGTAACTCTGCAACATTGTGTCGTGATGATGAACAAAGCACATTTATCACGTGCCAGGGGGGATTTGAGGGTCAGAACAAGCGTCGGCATTCTCCATGTGCAAGAGCCGACGTGAAATTTCAACAACATCACCGGAGAAGCACGAGACCAGTTTCTGAAAGTGAACTGCGGCATTTTCTACCCCCTAACTCCGCACCTCTGCCCCCAGAAAGATCGTAACATATTCTTTTTCATAGTGTCGATACCTCTTCTGTGCGCCACAGAGCTTTCTTTAGGGCTCAACCATCCTGTGAACCCTTGCAAAGTCCTTGCGAGACGTGCGTTACATCATATTCTGAGCCGTAAAATAGCGGTGTGATCACAAGTTTTCAGAGGCCAGTTTCAGGACCATGGCAAAAACTCTGAAGCACATTGACTTGTACTACGACAGCGCAGACTCGCATGCATCTGCACTGGCGTTGATCCTGGCACTCCGACCCGAGTGGCAGGCTACAAAAGACACCATCGACTTTGTGCGCTTCAAGGACGGGATTACGAACACGGTATAGGTTACTGCTTCCACTATTTTCACAGGTCAGTGCTGAGCAGTATACAGCTATTCAAGGCAGTGAATCGCCTTCCCGGTTTGTCCGAAAGTGAGGTCGACCGGAACGCGATCCTACTCCGCGCTTACGGCAGGGGAACACAGGTCCTTATTGATCGCGATAGTGAGTAATATGATTTCAACTGCTCGTTACGGGTTCTAATAAAGCAAAATTTAGGGGAAGCCGCATCGCACTCACTACTAGCGGAACACAACCTCGCACCGTCATTACTCGCGAGGTTCAACAACGGGTTGCTATATGAGTACATCGAGGGCAAAGTCTGCTCTCCAGAAGACCTTCGAAGGCCCGAGATCTACAGAGGAGTAGCTAGGCGTATTGCAGAATGGCATGCCACATTAAAGATATCTGCAGTAGCTCAAGAGCCAGAGGTCGATGTCAACGGCACGAAGAGGACGAGGAGGCCTAGCATAGATGATAGGAGTGAACGGCTCACACCGGACAAACCGGTGCCAAATGTGTGGACAGTTATGCAGAAATGGATCTACGCACTCCCAACAGACACGGAAGAAAAGAAGAAGAGACAAGTCCAATTACAAACCGAGCTTGAATGGATGCTCAAGAAATTGGGTAACACGCCAGGCCTAGCTGGCCATCAGCTTGTGTTTGGTCATTGTGATCTTCTCTCCGGCAACATCATAATTCTGCCCAACTCAGACCTCTCTTCCCAGAGTTCGAAAACGAGCTCGCCAGCTCTGAGTGCCACGTCGGTAGACTCACCATATACGCCCGTAGGCTTTATCGACTACGAGTATGCAACCCCTTCGCCTGCCGCCTTCGACATCGCCAATCACTTTGCAGAATGGGGAGGATTCGACTGTGACTTCTCCAAGATGCCAACTCGAGCTCAAAGGCGAGATTTTCTTCTTACGTATATTCATACCTTCAATGGCCTTCTCGGTCGCGACTTCAAACAAGCGGATCTAGACCAGCTGTTTGATGAAGTTGACACCTTCAGAGGTGCGCCTGGCTTCTACTGGGGCATCTGGGCGCTCATCCAGGCCACTATTAGCCAGATCGACTTCGACTATGCGAGCTACGCGGAAGTGCGACTTGGTGAATATTGGGCCTGGAAGGATACGCTGTCGAATGGAATCTCAGCGGACGCTCCACTGCGAGAGAGGCGATGGCATGCAGAGGAGTAATGCTATGCGACTGACATGTAGATCTGGGGCTGGGAGTCCACGCTTGACTCATGCGAGGAGGCAAATTCAAGCGGCTTGCTAGCGTGCTGCTAGCTGGCTATGGCGGGGTATTGTTGCGGGGCTCCTCCAAAAAGAAAATTCGTTTCGACTGTGCGGTGGGGCTGGGAGGGGGCAACGGGGAATTCGAAAAACCCTGCCTCGTTCTGGGGAGGATTCGACCGGTTTTGGGGCTGGATCTTGGGGGGGTTCTGCTTTTTTTTTTTTTTTTGACGAAGACACCGACGATGACCGGACTTTCTCGGTGTTTGTGGCCTCTGGTGTGATCTGCCTTTGACCGCTGGCGAACGCTCAAAACCGAAGCAGCGTGCCAGTGGATCATATGACGGCGCCATTTCAGCAAGACAAAATGGCTTCGCGTCACAAGGCTCGACAATCCGCCTAGCGCGACGGTTTCTGCGGAGGCTATCTTTTTGTTGGTTTGCTGGCTTTTGTTTTTTTCTTTTTGCACTACACTACTTTGCGGCTCATGCATCAACTACGGTGGCTGCGGTTCAGCTCATATTCTCGTTGTCTTCAACGACGATACCCAATCAATGTCATAGAATGTAGTCTCAGCACGTTTCATTTGAAAATTCGGGCATCATGGAAAACTAATATTATTCTGCTCTTGACTGAACGTTGGTGTATCTCGCGAGCGTTCGTTCCCATTTCTATACTCTTTGACGCCACAGCCCCAATCCAAATAAAGATCCAACATAACTGTCACTTTTGTATGTTCCCTCGTAGCGCCGTGTGAGAAAAATACCAGTTTCCAGCCGTTAAATTAATCGTGACATGTATCATAGCCCCCGCCCACCAACGCCGACGGTAACCGTTTACGCAGCAATGGCAATCGCCGGAATCTTGGCGTCGTCGTTCTTCCGCTCCATGTCGCCGGCGTCATTCTTCGTGTTCAACCAATTCATATCCATCTTGAAACCATCGTCAAAGTTCCAATTTGTGTCCTCTCCAGCGGCCATGGCGTCAAAATTCAAGAGCGTGTCAAAATCGTCTTGGTTGAAATCTGGAATCATGGTTGTAGAATTGAACGAGAAATCCTCTGTGTTATTCATAAGTGCAGCCGTCGTCGTTCCCATGTTGTTGTCCATGTTTTCAATCACGGAAGCAGCATCGTCCATGTGCGAGTGCGAGGAGGAGTGGTCGGACTCAGGCGGCGTGCTCGCGAGGAAGATTTCCAATCGGCGAGCGACTTCTTCATCCGCAATGGTGTTATCCCGAGCGAGCGGGGCAGGTTTCTCCTTGGAGTTGTCAGGTGGAGGCGTAAGTGCACGCGCCGGCGGTGGCATCGAAGCCATGTCCATGCGACGTCCAGCATCTACAAGATCCTCCACCGATGAGACCGGTGACGACTTGCTTGCGGCCTGGCGATCTTGGTTTGCGTTTCCAACACCATTTCCTACTGGGAACGGCGCTATGTGAATACCAGCCTTGCGAATAGCGGCTTCGAGGAAAGCTGTGCTGTAGTCTGCTGCAGCATAAAGGTCCCGAAGTTTGCCCATGACTTGCATGCACTGGCAAAAGCCGCGCAGGGATGCTCGACGCGTTGTCTCCTCTGGTGACTTGATGTCGAGCAGGTGAATAATGATAGCAGGGAGAAGGACCGTCACACCAGTCGTGGGCAGATACTTCACTAGATCGGCCTGGTCAAGGGTCTGGGCGAGGGAAGTAATCTCCGTGGCCGCTCGTCGAACGTTTCTGCGGGAGCGCTCGAGCAATTCGATCGCGGATGGCGTTGTAGGAGCAGCCGCTGGGGCAGACGGTAGTACTTGAGGCCTGTGTAATGCGGAAAGGGTAGTGAAGAACACCATGTGCAACAAAGATCGGTTGAGATCGATGGAATTATCACCGGTCAACGCGTCACGGTACTTGGCTTCCTCAGGCAAGTTCTGCACCCATTCTTCAAGCTCATCGTCACAAACTTGGACTTCACACGTCTCTGGGTCGAGTTTTTTGGGCAGAAGCATCATTGTTGTCCGATCGTTGACCATCCCCTGATTGTTGTTGAGGACACAGTACTGCTTCGACAAGACGTGGCTGATGCAAAGGCACAGCTTGGCCTTCTGGATGCACATGATAGCTAGAGTACGCTGTTTGCTAACATCTCTGGCAACGAGGCAGTCCGCTGGCACGCATGTCACGGACTCCGGGATAGCTCGAATGTCGAAATCCTCTAGGGTGAGCATGGGAACGTCGTAATCCTCCGTCTTTATCCTGGTCGGTCGTCTCATGCCCAGGGCAATGAGCCTATCTCGCATGTACGTGGACCACCAGATTCGCTTCCACAATTTTGTTTTCTTCGGCGACATATTCGAACGTTCTGCGTTACGGTGCAAGCCAATAGTGTGCGCCACTGAAGTGGCGACACCCATCCAGTGCCATGTATCCTTCTGATCGTCTGGTGTTTCGTAATAATATGTCAACAGGAGGAGAGCCTGGACAAGCGATACGCGATCGGACTCATAGTCAAAGTCATACAAAAGCTAAATCAGGGTCAGCAACGCCGAGATCGTCGAGTCGATGTGCTTACCCTTGTTTTCTGGAAAAAATCTTTACGGGCCTCTTTCCTTGAGACGTAGCCAGCGTTGTGAAGATGCGACATGTCCACGAAGGCTGAGCCTGCAAACATCACAGCTTGATACAAAATCAAGCTGATCTGCCCAAGACTGGCATTTCCACTCTCTATGATCATAACAAAATCATAGAGATCAAGAAGCGGCATGTACGGATGCACAAACTCAATGTAGGCCTTGAGAAGCTCGTTGCGTAGGCCTTGGCTTGGAACGGATAGGGCACCCTTCTTGTCAAGGTACTCGATTTCATCTGCGCCAATTCGTGGCGGCAGTGGCTTGATAAAGAACGGCAAGTTGTCCGCAGCGGTAGTCCTTGGGCCAAACAACCCATGCATGGAATCAATGGACATTGGACTGTGATGCATCATGGGGTATGGTGAAGTCGCCGACATGCTTCCAAAGGACGTCCGTCGGTTCAGGTTCTGCATATTCAACTTCTGACCCGTACTCCGGTCTTTATCGAGTCAGTCATCTTCGTGTATGAAACGAATTTTCGCTCGCGGATCGCCACTTACAGATGGCATGAGGCACATGGTCTCCCAGCGAGGAAAAGTCATGTGATCTACGGATGTCATTCTGGCTGGCGAGCCCCTCGAGTGACCCGCGTGAAGCCAATTTGCGATTATTTCCTTTTGAGGCCGCATCAGGCTCCTGCTGAGTTTCTCCCTCTTTGTTGAACTTCCTAGAACGAAAGTTAGCAATCATCCGACGGTTGGGGGTGGAATGGATCGCATATGTGGAGCGCGAGATCGGACGGACGGAGGCGGGCGAGTCGGCCAAGAGGCGCGGACAGCTTTGATTGTCCGTTCGAAAGGGCAGAGCAAGAGATGAGATGACTGACTTTTTCCTGCGGCTTTCAGAAACAATACACTCGACTTCATCCAACCTGCAGTTTGTGCACGGCGCGCCATGCTCAGTGACATTGCATCTCACTTTGCGGGCGCGACAGCACTGGCAAGCCTTGGAAGCTCGTCGCTTCACGGCGCGAGGCTGGGTAACCCCGTCCAGCCCAGCTTGAGCAGCTTTTCGCTTTTGCGCATTTGGGGCGTCGTGATTCTCCGCAACGGAGATTGAGTCGTCGGACATCTTGAAGAATGTCTTGCTAGGAGTGATGCGTGAGAAACGGCATGGAATATCGTCGTCGGGGCAAATATGGACGGAGGGAAGGCCAGGAAGAGACCACGCGCATGAGCAGGGGATGACGAGATATTTGTATACGGCCCTTCACGATGAACCGCCGTGGGGCACGGAAGACGAGTCGAGTCCGTTGCTGGCTAATTGGGCCCACCACACGATCGCCAGAAAAAAAATTGGCCACGGAGGGCGCCTCACAAAGACGACATCAAGCCGCCGACAATCCGGGGACAGGGCAGCGGCCGGGGAGGAAACCCCACAGCAGAGGCTGGCCGGAGCGTGGGCGGCCAGCATTCAGGCTTGGCGTCGCAAAAGCCTCGTAATCGCTGTTTCTCGGCTACCTCGGAGGAAAACCACTTCCGGCAAACGGTCTCGCCGGCGCTCCAGAACTCACCGAGTCTGGGAGGGCACCGGGTGATCGCTCTTCTGACTTGGTTCGCGATAGCCACAGGGCTCGGCAGCGCGAGCTCGACTCCCCAAAGGTTGGCCTGCAACGACGCTCGCTGGTGTCGCGACATGATGGACAACGCGCCCAGAAGAACGCGGGAGTCTTCCGCAACGGCACGAGACTTCCCGAGGCGCCGTGCTGCTTCTGAGGGAGGCGTTCCCGTGCTCAGAGCGTGTGCGCGGCGAGGCAGATTATCTAAGCTCAGCCAAAGGAGCCCGCCGTGCAGCAGGCGGTCCTTTTGTTGACGGATGGTTGCTGCCGCAATGACGGCGTTTGAGAAGCTACCCTTTTGGACAATCTGCTCCATCATTGTTGGACCCTAGCACGCGCATGTGGCCGTGGATCGTGCAAACCACGCTTGGCTCGTTCTCGAGCGTGGTGGTGGGAGATGAGCGCCGGATGTTCTGTGCCGCTAGATGCCCACTATCCTTGCTTCAGCGATGACCTGCGTCCTGGATGCGGATCATGCTGAGTCGCCATCAACAGCCCTTTTCCAGACCTGATTCCGGGGATCTTCAAGCAGTCCCAGGCCGTGTTGCTGTGCTGTGGTACAATGCCTCGAAACTGCGCCTCCCTTTGGCCGCACACCTTCCTCTCGGTGCGGCGTGCGTGCGTGGCATGGACGGCAAGCAGTTGCGAGTCGTGCCGCATGCGACAACAATGCAACAAAAATAAGCTCATCCAACGCGCTTGTCATGTGGTTGAAGCTTGAGCCGCTGCGCTCTGCTAGGACCGCTTTTTAGCGGGCCGGAGTACGTTCGGGGCAAACCCCTTGGATTACTGGTGAGCTGCAGAGGCGAAACGGACGCGCGATTTGCCCCGTCGTCAGCTCAGCTGCGGGGCCTCCTTCTCCGCGTGTCCCCGCCAATTCTCTCCTCCGCCCCCCGTACGTCTTGTCGGTTTGTCGTGGCCATCATTTCATTTCGTATCTGGATAGCGCATCGCCATCTCCGTCCACAAGCCAGACGGAGCTGGCTCGTAACAGCAATGCCCTTCGCTTTCGTCGGGTTCGCGGTTTGGCTTGTCTCTCCGTTGGATGTGCTGCAGCGTTCTGCGTGCCTGAAACAGAGAGAGCTTGCAGCCGCGGATCCACACCGTTGGAGCTTCGCATCCTGTGCTCTCGCTGGCGGTAACGGCGCATTGCCGAGTTCGCATAAGCTTCGTGTTGTCTTAGTGGAGAGCAACGCCATGTCGGCTACAAATGGAAGCACTCCATATTTCCCCACAATCCTTGCGCAGGAACGATGCTGCGCTCGTTGAACCTACAGAGTGACACAGACACCACACGTCACGACAGCAGCGAGAACAGCCTGCTGATGGACTCTCATCTCCCTCCATGCAAATTGAGAACGAGAGAAATCGAGTGTAGGGACTCCCAACAAGTCAAACAACATCTACGTCACGAGAATTCGAGTAAGCCAAAGAAAAGAAGGGTGAAAAGTAGATACGACTGCTTCTCTGGGGTCTGAATGCCAGAATTGTTGTCCTGCGCGAAAGCCAATCATTGACCTCTCCCGACTGTCGAAAAGTCAAGTGCAGGGTAGAGTCACATCCAGAAACATCAAAACGCCACGCATGCTGAATATATTCAAGATTCTTTAGCTCAGCTTATGATCCAGGACTACGATCCTGGTAAAATACAATGCATTCACTTTGCGTGGCTTGTCCACGTTATGGTGTATTCATCCACGTAACTTCCAGAATGTCGTGAGATGTGCAGCTCTTGGTAAATCACAGCCTCGGAGCTGCTCACGTTCAGGCCAACCGTTGATATGATGTCCGCTACTCGGGGAGATTAACGTCCCTTTGACGTCCCTATGATCGACAGCTAACCTCGCCTAAGGAATGTTCTGCGTTGCTTCTGGATAGCCTGCCGAATTGGGAAAAACCGAGGCACTTTTCTCATTGTTTCGCTATTAGAGAGGTTGATATGTTGGATACGACCTTCGGATCTGTCGATCCTCAAGGCTGCTAGGAGCGAGTCGCTTTGGCGACGTCGCTCGCAATATGCCGTTTCTGAGACTTGGCTATCAATGAGGGGCTTACTGTTATTGAAGCATTCGAGTTGGATAGTCGCAACCTTTGTTACCGCCAAAGTCGGTAAAGAATTTAGAGAACATACCAGCGCGCCTTGGAAGGCAGGACACAAGAAATCCGTCGCCCGGTTTTCGTACACAGAATGATAGAGCTTTGTTGCGCCGCCGAAAAAGGACGACGTCGTTGTGACCAACCGCCTTGCCAACGAGGCCAATGTCATCAAACAACAGAATACAGAGCGAAAGTGATGTGCACATGGGTCAAGTGTACGCAGCCCTCCTTAGTGACTAGCTCGCGTGTGGTTCATCGGTATCAGCAAACTAAGGCTCGGGCCGGGTCATTGCTAGGTACGTTCGCTGGAATACCCTACCCCATGTACGATATCATCAAAAGGATAACAGGATTTCTCATGGTTGCAGCCGGGCAAAGCGCTCGTGTAGTGAGATATCAATCCAATTCCCCGAAAACATTTTTCATTTCTTGGTCCACCTAGAAACAGCCCATCTGGTCATTTGTCCGATAGAAATACCATCCGGCCCGGACCAAGGCTTTGTCACATGTCGGCCTTTTCACATGTGCAAAGAACAAAGCACAGAACAGAAAGACGTCATAGCTCCAAGCTTGTGAATTTAGAATTTCTTTTGTCTAAACGTCATGCTAAAAGACACACATACTATGCTACAAAGACAAGTAGGATTGGTACAGAAGTTTACAGACGTGAGGAGCCCTCCAGCGCCTTTGAGGCCCTTTGGTAGTTCTTAACGAGCTGTCTCACAGCCAAATCCAGCATGACATCTTCTGAACCACCAGGGATTCGCACACCCATTACTTCGCGGTATATCCCTAGTACGGCCGTTAGCGTCAGGTTTTGCAAATCAAAATTTCTCGGGAAGGGGGTCAAAACTCACTCTCGATACGCTCGCCTTGGCCACTCTTCGTGTATCCGTTGCCGCCAAAGAGCAATGTAGCACATTCAGCGCAAGCTGCGATGACCATACCACCATTTGCCTTTGCCAATGCAGTAAGCCCACCAAGCTTCGTGTCAGCCTCAGCCTTTGTAAGCTTTGTCATAGCGTATGCAAATTGTTCGATCCATGCCTGTTGTGACTCGAGCAAAGCACCGCACTTGGCAAGTCTGTGCCGCACAACTGGTTGTTCGATAAGCTTCTTATTGAAGGCCTCGCGCTTCATAACGTATTCCATGGCAGCGGAAAGCGCGACGCGAGCTTGTCGGGTAGCACCGATGGCAATCGACAGACGTTCGTGGTTAAAGTTCGTCTGTTGTATACCTAGTCAACTCCATCCTTGTATCTTACTTTTCATGAGCATCTTACCATGATGTACTTCATGCCCATGCCCTCTTCTCCAATCAAGTTCTCAACGGGAACCTTCACATCGTCGAGTTCGATGAACGTCGTTCCGGCACTGACCTGCCCGCCAACTTTCAATCTCTTCATAGTCACACCCGGATAGTCCTTCAACGGAACAACTAGCATGCTCAGGCCTGCAGCTCCCGGTCCGCCTGTTCTTACGGCCATGGAGCCATACTGGGCCCAGATACCGTTCGTGATCCACTTCTTGGTACCATTAACGATATAGTACTTGCCGTCGGGCGTCTTCTCCGCCGTTGTAGTCACGTTTGCGACATCAGAACCAGCATCTGGCTCGGTAATGGCAATGCAGAAACGTGTCTTGCCCGTCAGCGCATCCGGAAGGAACCTTTCTTGGAGTTGACGGTTGCCGAACTTGAGTAGAGGGGGAACACCGAAGGACATGCCCGTCGTAAGACTACCAGATGGACCTGCCAACCCAGTTCTGGCCAGTTCCTCGGTGTAGATCATGAAGTGCAGATAATCAAATTGCTCAACAGGCAGTCCCAGAATATCTCGGATGCCGACTTTGTGCAGCCATTCGACTGGTAGTGGGGCGGGTAAGGAGGGAATCAGCATGTTGTGCTTCGCAAACGTCTCAAAGACGTGTGGCGGAACAGTTTCGATGGTATCCCATTCAAGCGCCTGAGGGAGCAAATGCTCCTCCATGAAGGCGCGTACCTTCTTCTGCCACGCCCTGTGGCCATCGCTGAAGTATGGCGACGGGATGCCAGACAGCCATGCGGGGTCGGAGAACGGAATTTGTGCCATTGTGTTCACAAAGGATCTGACAATCACAGGCTACGTGAGCAGAGGGTAGGGATGTGTGAAGGTGACTGCTGGATTGGGTACGCTTGTTGCACGTATTGCACGTCTACTTTTGAGCCTCTTTAAGACAGTCGTCAGCCACTTGGAGCCCGCGGCTGTTGGTGGTGATATGCCGAGGGGAAATATTGAGGTAAATGGAACTAGCTGACGATGCCCTGTCGAGTCAATTGGTTCGCGCGTCTCGCCAACTCCAAATCCGACATGAGGGGTAGATCCGGCAATTGGCGGCGTTTTGCTGAAATAATCAACGGCGCAGTGTTGGATAAATTCTGACTACTGAATAAAACATCCTTAGGAGCACAGTTTGGTTAGCTGCATTTAGATTCGTAGTCAAACGCGGAGAGCATGACGCTAGTTGGCGTGGCAGCCACCGAAAGAAGGGGATCTTTCTGGATCAACGGACCGGAAGTCTTCTTTGACCACGTGTGAAGAAAGACATTTTGACACGAGTGCAGCTAAGGACGATCGGCAATGCAATATGAAACCTGAAGCGAACGAGCGCTGTCTAGCATTTCAGGCAAGGCTGATCTTGCAGGACAGAGAGTCCAAGTTTAGAGCACGGTGTTAGGCACAAGGCTATTACTAAGTCACATGATTTTCAATTGCTTTCCATTGAGAAAAAAAGAAACACGGATCTGAATAAGGCTTCAACATATTGTCGTTCAGCGGTACCGGAATGATATAGAGGAGAAGGAAAGCATCGTGACTTAGTCCGCAGAGCATGTCCGTACTCGATGCAATCATGTGTTGGATGCAGATAAGCAAGAATCGGTCTTCTGTAGACCATGTGGTGAATGAGTACGGGATGTCGAAAGGCAAAACAGCAACGAGCACACGAATCGGGACCGCTCGCAAGCCATTCAGGCGCGATGAATACTGCGAGAAAGGACTGGTCACCGCTGTTCCTCCTACAGTCCTGGCTTTGCGTAGTGACCACGTCGCGTGACGAGTTGCCGGATGTGGACCAACGCAGCAGAGAGGGGTATTCTTCCTTCTCGCGGTCTTCTCCAACTCACCGCTGGCTTCCTATCAGTCCTTCTTATCAGTCAGCAGTCTACTAGGCCTGTCAAGGCGGTTGCTCTGGACTTGGTGCATGCCCACACGCGCGAAACGACACAGGCGGCCAGGACCGTGTAGCTGATCACCACGTCAATCATCCTCCACGATTGGCAGCCCGTAGGAATCGTGGAGGACAAGGCCAGCGCTGCAGCACATGTCAGCGACGTCTGGGCGCACACAGCAGTGAACGCGAGCGATAATCTTTGCAGCACCATCCAGCCCAACGAGCAGGCTCTGATCCACGGCCGCTTCCAGGGTGACGAAGCCAAACCCCACAAACCCCCTTCTGATGGCGCCCTCACATGCCACCTGCGTCGCGAGGCTAGCTGAGAGAATTCTGCTTGATCACGGCCTCTGGAGAAATGCTCACCAGGCAACGCTACATTCGCCGTGTTGGCTGAGCGTCCGGCCGGGGCGGCGTCACGAGCTCGTTGGCGAGTAGGTTCCGCCGCAGTGCCTGGCATTTTCATTTGATCGCTGTCGTCGTGGCAAGTACCACACTGCGCCGCATGTCTGAGCTTCCGAAACTCCTGCCAGTCCACGACACCGACATTCTCCCAACCATCAATGCAACGCAACTAACACGGTGTCGAAAATGCAGGAGACGCAATCGATGGCTGCTTGCACGCTACTTTATTCCTTCCTCATGTCAACCCTTCTTTTGACCCTGCCACTTCCGTAGAATCTGACGGGCCAACGAGATTTTAGCATCTTTGCACGTTCAGCATCCTCCAGACGACGAAGACCACCCTTGAAGCCGCACCTGGGCTCTTTGCTCGGCAAGCTACCCGATCACTCATCTCCGTTGGACTCATGGCGATTAGTTCTGCTGTCGCAGTCACTCACAAGTGCTGCCCCTTCTGGCTGCGGGCGCACCGAGCGTGCAACTGACTTCGCATCTAGCCACTGATCGTTCCCTCCGACTTTTGCGCTGTTTGGTTGCGAGCCTCCGCATATTGCCATCATGAAATTTGGTCACAATCTACCACGAAATCAGGTGCCGGAATGGGCATCTGCCTACATCGACTACAAAGGCTTGAAAAAGCTTATCAAAGCCGCTTCCATCACAGTCAAAGAGGGCAAAGATGCCGACCTTGCAGGTGGGCGGCGCACCTAGTTTCCCCCCGTAATTGATCAAAGTTTGCAGGGCTCTGACTGGCACAAAAGAATTCTTTTATTATCTAGACCGCAACCTCGAAGACGTCGACGCATTCTACGGCAAGAAATACGCAGAGTCCGCGCGACGGATACGTTTGCTTCAAGACCGCTATGGCAGAAATGCTAGCAGCCTTGAAGGCATCGATCGGGATGAGAGAGATGATCTCATGGGAGCTCTGCTGGAGCTTCGCGGGCAACTAAGAAATCTACAATGGTATGGTGAAGTCAACAGACGAGGTTTTATCAAGATCCTCAAGAAATTGGATAAAAAAGTCCCACATACGTCCACACAGCAAAGGTACCTTGCAAACAAGGTTGATCCGAAGCAGTTCGCTACAAATTTCCGTCTGTCACAGGATCTACGTGCTATAAACGACTGGCTCTCGACTCTGGGTGACGCTAGAATTGTGGATGATGCAAGTTCTGTACACTCGGCCACGTCTTTTCGCACTGTGTCATCACGCGCAATGCTCAGTTTGCCATCTGGACTACTCGATACAGTTGAGCAAGTCATTCGAAACGACGATGCTTCCGTCCTTTCCGAAGTCTTATTAGAAGCAAACGTGTCAGACGATCCGAAAGGCGCAGCTTATCAGAAGCTACTCTTAAATTTCCTTCAACGCTCGATAACCTGCAGAGCAAAGCATTGTATTGAGGCGCTTCTTCCACAGATCTCAAGCCTCGACGAAGAAGACGATCTCCATCGGCGCAACGTCCTTCATCGCTTGGTCATACACATCAGCCGTGCGAAGAGAAATGAGATCAAAGGTTCCAATCAGAATTCCGACATCTCTTCTAGCAATGCACAGTTCATCGTGCCAGCGGAGATGCCAATCAACGCGCCACCCCCATGTGAGACCACAGAGAACGAGCACAGTAACCTTTTGAGTGAAACGGATGAGGCTGTGCAATTTTTGAAATACCTGTTGGACACATTGGAACCGTGTCAACGATCAGCACTTCAAGCAAGAGATAGCTATGACCGTCTACCCTTGCATTATGCAGCACAATATGGCTTCGTCGTCATATGTCAAATCATAATCAAGTATATGCAAGACTGGAATATGTTCGATGTTAGCAAAGGCATCGATTCTCCGGAGTGGCAAGACAGCGAGGGTCTTGCGCCATTGCATCTAAGCGTAATTAACCAACACCCTCTAACTACCAAGGCACTTCTCGATGCCGAGAAGTGGCGTGGAGCGACTGACGCCCAGCTCGAGTCAAGGAAGGAGATCACCAAGTCTGGTGCTGTTTTGGCACTGGCAACCAAGGCAAACAATGTCGCAATTGTGCAGCTCCTCGTGGAAGCTGGAGTAGACGTCAACTACCAAGACGAGCAAGGAGAATGTGCATTACATGTGGCGGCTCGATTCGGTCACACGGAATGTGCGAAAGTTCTCATACAAGGCTCGTCAACAGAAAAAGCTGACCTGAATTTACCGGAGAAGATATTCGCATGGACGCCGCTGTTCATAGCATGTGTCGACGGGCATTTACCAATCGTCGAGCTGTTGATTGCCAGTGGCGCCGATCTGGAACGTGTGGACTCCTCAGGGTGGACCGCTAAAGAACATGCTGCACTGCGTGGGCACATGGATATCGCTGAGAAACTTGCTCCTCTGACGAAGGGTCGAGTTACGCAGACTGAATCCTTGTCAACTCCGGCTTTTTCCAGCTCTCCACCAAACGCTCTTTCGTTAGAGGACCGCAGGTCAAACACAGTATCCAAAGAGAACCAGTTACGTGCACCCGAACCTGTGAAAACATTCGGCCACCGTTATTTGCAAGGGGAGTCTTTGGTGCTTGTCAGCTTGGGGAGCATGGATACCAGGAAGGTTGTGGATGCAGTCAAACTAGATGCTATTCCTTTAGCTGATGCGCACGCAACGCAGCTTGACACAGCACTATCCATAGTGGTTTCCGCGTCTGGTGCGACGGGTGAACCTACAGTCATCGATTTACCCATCCAAGAGAATATCAGCACAGACCCAATCAGTTTTCGCACTTCAGATGCATCTAAAGTGAAACTCCTGTTTGACATTGTGCCTACGTATGCAGGTTCGAATGATAGAATCGTCGGAAGAGCTGTAGCATTGCTTTCCAGCATAAAACCGGCTATAGGCTCAAAACGCATGTCATTGCAAGGCGACGTTAGCGTACCGATCATGTCTGCGAGTACTCTCGAGGTTATTGGCGTAGTCAACTTCAACTTCTTGGTCATCCACCCATTTTCGCACCCGAATATGGAAATCTCAGAGCAACGTACATACTGGAAGAAAATGGCTGGGGTTCCACAAATTATTGGTCACCGTGGCTTAGGAAAGAACATGGCTGGTCGGCGGTCATTGCAGCTCGGTGAAAACACAATCCAATCTTTTATCGCCGCTGCGAACTTGGGCGCAACCTATGTTGAGTTTGACGTACAACTTACCAAGGATCACGTACCAGTCATTTACCACGATTTCCTCGTCAGCGAGACTGGAATTGATGCACCAGTGCACACCCTTACACTCGAGCAATTTCTTCATGTTAGCCAAGCACAGACACCGAAGCCGTCACGGGCATCATCTCCAAAGCCAAGCGAGCCCGCTGTTGCAGGGAAGTCGGCTCCCAGACGGCCACGAGCGCAATCTGTCAGCAGCTTCGACGATAAAGATCGCGTAAATATAGATATGAACGATCGTATGAAGCATACGCGAGATTTTAAGAAGAAAGGTTTCAAGGGCAATCTTCGCAATCACTCCATCCAAGAATCTTTTACAACTTTGGAAGAGATGTTCAAGAAAATTCCTGAGTCGACAGGATTCAATATTGAGATGAAGTACCCGATGCTATTCGAGTCAGAGGAACAAGAAATGGACACGTATGCGGTGGAGCTCAACTCGTTTGTTGACACAGTCCTCAAGATGGTTTACGATTATGGAAAGAAGCGAAACATCATATTTTCGTCGTTCAACCCAGACATATGCTTACTACTCTCGTTCAAACAGCCGTCAATACCGATCTTGTTTCTGACTGACGCGGGCACTTCTTTTGCCGGCGATATCAGAGCTACAAGCTTGCAAGAGGCAATTCGCTTCGCTTCAAGATGGAATCTGCTAGGAGTTGTGACAGCAGCAGAACCGCTAGTGCTCTGTCCTCGCCTTGTGCGCGTGGTCAAAGAGAGCGGTCTAGTATGCGTGAGCTACGGTGTGCTCAATAATGAACCAGATAACGTTCAGGTATGACTGCAATCCGTTATTTTTGGCTTGCTTGCTAAGAAGAATTTTAGTTGCAATTCAATGAAGGCATCGATGCAGTTATCGTCGACAATGTCCTTGCTGTCAGAAAGGGTCTCACAAGCAAAGCAAAACCATCTTCAGCTGCCTCCCCAAGTTCGGAGCCTGCCAATCCCGTCATTGGAAAAGGCAATGATACCGTTGAATCGCAAAATGATGGGACTCTCAAGAATACTGTAGCAGCGACCATGAATGAGTCACCAGTTTGCTCCAATGAGACGGCGGAGGCTATTCGGTCAGCCATTCGCTCCCAACAGTAGGCAATTTGAAGCAGGTGGTCAGTACAAGCCGTATATAGAACAATAGACTGTGAGATCTCGCTTCAACATGCGAATCATCTGTGGGAATAAAATTCATGTACATAATGGTACCGTGTCCAATGGAAAGAAATTCAAAAAGTGGCCGATGTCATTTGTGACTTTGGCTTTGGGTGCCCCCACATACAGTTCATTGCGAATGTCAATCAGACCTATCGTGAAGTCAAACACAGTCTCCGTTCATACCGCAGGGTTTTCTCTCGTTCTTCTAACTCGTCATCGTATTATCGATTTTGAGTTACCACGAACTTCCGTTACGACCTAAGCACGGCACTTTTCATGGTCGTCATTGCATATCGCTCTTTAAGCCCTTTGTATGTCCCACTTGACACCGGTTATGCTGACTTCCTCGCCTGCCTTCTCGTCATACTCAAACCACTCGCTCTCGCTTAGATCAACAGCCGTGAACTTTGTTCCGCTCTCAACGCCTTCACATAACCATTCACCATCGGCTTTGAACTCCACAAATTCAAGCCCTCGGCAGTCAAGTTGAAGGATATTCATCTCTTTTGGAGCAGACTCGGCTTCGTATGCAGATGGTGCTTCCACGATATTGGCTGAATGTTGTCTCTGAATTTTGTATTAGCAAACCCGCGTCGAGGTAGCAACACTGCGATGTGGCAACGAAAGTACCTTACAATTCTGACATCTCCATACGAAATTAGCATCTCCCCGCGAGCCTTGTTGCTCATGCTGCTCGAATCTATTGAAAGAAATCCAGTTTGGGTGAGTCTCGCGGCAGGAGGTACATTGCACCTTGAACGTGTAATTATATGGATCTTCTGCTGTATCAAGTGGGCGGAGGTTTGTCACGCTGTGGCCGATCTTAGCACGGATCACAGGCTTGAGGGCGAATCGGTATGTACCCGTTAAGCTCGGCAGATAACGTTAGAGCCAACACCATGATTGCAGGCTGTGAAAAGGAACGATTTGTATTTGATTTGAGAGTTCAGGTGGGGGAGAGGGGTGGAATTTCCACCCCAGAAAGTCGTCAGGACGAGAATTTGGTGGCCTGAGCTTTCCGTTCAGGACGAGCCGAAGGAAAACAGCATCGACCATTCCTCTCTGAACTTCTATAATTTCCCTTCATCACGCTCCTCCAGGTCTTGATAGGTATGGAACTAGGATACCATTCTCAATAATGGGCGTCTTTCCGGCACACCATACTCGGATTTCGTACGATCCTTTCGACGAACTGCTAGGGTATTGTGGCACCATTGCCCGTCCAAGAGCATGCGGAATTTGTGGTTGAGAATCAGGCCATTTGGCTGTTGTTGCCATTGCTATTCATGTATTGAGAACCGACATGTTCAGGTCCGGAGACTATCAGTCGCCATCGCGCGATTCAGATGTGGTCGAGGTTTTCCGCCACTTTTGAACGACAGCTTCTGGACCTCATCTCGCGAAACACTGGTTATGAGACAGCGACAGCGTTTCCAGTCTGGGGGGGCAGTGAAAAAAGAGAAATGTCATGATCAAGAGCAGGTGTTCGAAAATAAAGAGCCATTATTTCAAGCAGGATCAGGGAACGGCTTGCCTACATCTGTTTCATCAAAAGCAGCGGATCACATTCGGAGAGAAGAAGGGGGCCAATCGGATACCGAAAAAAGAGAAAAGAAGTTAAAAGAGGCTGCCAATGACCTGCGCTCGCTATCTATTGACCACTGGTCTCTCGAAGACGTTGTCACCTACGAACCCATGCCTGGAGGAGCGACTCCACCAACCGTCCCCTCTACGACAAAAGCGGATCCGAAGTACATGATGCCACAATCGCCATGGGCGCCAGATCATCTCAAAAGACAAAACTACGCAAGAGTATGGACGCGGAAGAAGATAGCGAAGATGGAGACGGCAATTGCGCTCTTCACGGTCAGAGTTTGCCGCCTTCTGGAGCTGAACTCGCAGCGCCCATCCAACCTGATTGTTCTGCCAGAAGCTATCCGACCTTTCGCCAGGCTACCCGCAGAAGATCATGAATATATGGAGCAGGCGCTCAAACGTCACCTTGGGATTCTACGAAATAAACTCGGCTTCGTCGCTCCCCACGATCCTCCCCATGCCCCGGAAGAGATCGATGTTTTCATACCTAAGTACGAGCATTTTGAGGACGGCCTTCATCACGAACTTTTGCGAGACCTTAATGCATCCCTTGTCGAGCTTTTTGAAGGTTATAAATACCTACATCTTGATTTTCGAACTCTGATGGTCAAGATATGTCACAATCTATTGGTTTCCTCAGCACCACCAAACGTTCAAACCATGAATATTCTGCTCCTGGGATTCTATTCTTGTGATAGATACTTGACTCTCTCCACTTCGCACGTGCGTCACCTCGTCCTAGATTGGCTTATCGACATCTGTCGGACTGTCATGATCCGACCAAACGAAATCACCTGCTCCACTATCCTTGCCACCTATCGTAAGCGTGGCATGCGCGACGCTTTTGTGGACTTTATATTTCTCATGCGTGGCATGGGCGGCGACCGCGCGCTCATGTACACAAAGGACCTGACCATCACCCGGGAAAGCGCCCCTCGTTTATCACCCACTAAGACAAGCCCCACAGTATTTAAGCAAGCCGTCTACCCTTCACCCATGATTTTCGCAGAAGTAATCAAAGGAGTGGCTAAATTCTACACTCTGGAGGATGCCGTGGCAGTTTGCAAGGAATTCACGGCAAAGGAATGGGGCTACGACTGGAGGTGCTTGCATTATCTTCTAAATGCGTGCATCATCGCCAAGGATTGGCAGAGTGGTCTCTGGGTGTGGGATGAGATCAAAGCGTTTCGAGCTGCTGGATATGAGGAGCCTGTACGCATATTAGCTGCCATGCTCGCCCTCTGTGTTCAATGTGAACAGGAGCAGATGTTCAATGACGTCCTTGAGTACTCTGCAAAGCAACTCCGCAACATTTCTAAGGCAGCTTTCGTTGATATAGCGACGGAAATACTGGAGCGCGCTGTCGACAAAATGAACGATGATGAGCTTGCTGCGTTGGAGTCCAGATTCACGAAAGGTAAATCTGTCGAAAGATTGCACGAACAACGCGCATTCGAAGCTAGCATCCGCAGAAGGCTGAAAGACGACCCCGTATTCAAGCGTGCCGTCTTTGGATTTGGTTATGATGTATTAAGTGAAGAGCACAGAAGGAAAAAACCTCAGCGAGAGTCTGAGCACAATCCACAGGGTATCGGCCGAAAATTAGACGAACAGCAGAAGATCGTAGACGTAGAGGACATGAATGAGGTGCTTCTGGCCGAAGAAGAGAATGATGTAACACGTCCTGGTAAAGATACCAAACATAACCTGTTGCAGGATGCCGAAGGAGGCATTGACGTTGATGAAGACAATACGAATTCTCCTTCTAGTCCTGACAGGGGGAAAGGACATGAACAGTAAGGATGCGACATACTACGACTATTGAGCGTATCGAACGTGCAGGTAATGAAAGATAGATAAAAGTGGCCGGCTAGGGATCAAGTTCGATTAGACCCTCCGCTGTTTGTAATATCATACTGATGTATTTTAGAAAACAGATTTGGATAATTGGAAAATTGGAAAATTAGAACGTTAAAACAGTCGAGACTAAGCTGAAAGTGACAAAGATTTGTGTAGACTGAGTAAGCGATCAAGTTCATTCACTTACCTCACCACGTGCCGTCGCTGACAGGCTGAGCAAGTTTAATGTTTGACTAGGCTACACCAGCCTTTGATAGCTCAAATGCACATTAGCCTTCGACTCCAATAGGAATATCCCCCCAGGATTTATTCAGTTCAGCAATTGTTGCAATGGTATCGTCGTTTCTCTCTCTACCACGCGAAATTCGCGATAAGATTTACTACGAGACGCTCTTTGCAAACAACGTATCGCGCATAGGTGCTCGAGCCGTGAAGAACTTAAACACGTGGTTCGCAGGCCGAGAGCATCTACCAGGCTATTATCGACCGCTTCTCCACTTCCACAAAGCCGGCGAGCCAAGGTGTCCCAGTTCTGGACTCATCTTCAACTGGAGCCACGAAACCCGCGTCGCAAGTGTGCCTGCCATCTTTCAAGTTGGCGGGATGGTAGCCGAGGAGGCCAGGGAGCTGTATTTGAGAAGCCATATGTTGTTGTTTGAGGCGAAAATTTTGGATGATGCTGATGCAGCGCTCACTCGGTGGTCGAATTGTCTGCGGCAGAATGACCTGGCTTTAATTCAGAGGTTGCACCTTTACGTGCATGTCAGCCTTGTTTTCAACGTCCCTGAGGACCACTCGCTGGCTAAAAAGCTACGAGAAGCAGGCGAATTTTCACTGGATCTCGTGGATCCAGTCTTCCGTATTGAGCTTCAGAACGGTGGCGATGATCTCGCAATCGTCAGCATTGCGCGGTTTAACAGCGACTTTAAGGCTGTTGTCATTTCGAGTATGAAGAAGATTTTCGGCACAAGGATGCGCTCGAATCTGGCTGGTTCATTCACAGGCGAAGACCTTCTGCTTGCAACAAGGGCAATGCTCGACGCCTGCGGGAGCTGCCGAAAAGCCGCAGAAAATATTGTTGGACAGTTAGACATCGAAGACGTCGCATGCATTTATGATTATGCCGACAAGGACGACAGCGATTCTCGCACTTATGGAAAGGTAGTCAGATTACGTGACAGATGGTTAAATGCTGTATTCAAGTATAGCAAACAACACAATCTTTGAAACTCCCAAATTAAGGGCTTATAGGAAGGTTTAGATGTCTTACAGTTTGCGCGACGAGCGAATGCCTATGTCCATCTATGAGCAAGCCAGCCATAGCCGTTTCTCAGTCCATAGAGGGTTCAATAGCGCAGTTCGAGTATTTGTTACCATGGATGCTCAAAGTTTTGCTACTATCACCATTGGAGAATCAATTATCTCAGACCACATCCTTAACGTGAAGCATAGAGACCGTGGCTCCATTCATCGATAGATAATACATCAATGACCGATTTCAAGCCAACGTATCGAACTTGGCAGACGATTTCATGCTTGACCTGAGCAACTGATTCAAACACCAAACAGATGTCTTGCTCCTTAAGAACGAGGTCCCGATACTTTTGGTCGGCAAACCGTTCATAGAACTTAGCAGGCTTATTGGGAAGCGACATGTCTATTTAGTCGACTAAAGATGATATGCACACGTAAGGCTGTTAAATATATGTCGCAACAACTCCCTTTCAAGAGATAAGCAATTGACTAGTTTATGTTTTGTTCTGATCATGTCCTCACGTCAATTAGACAGTCGGCGAGAGTATTAGCTATGCGTCCTTCGTGTACCTTGTCACGAAGAAACGTCTCGAAACGCCATCAAATCAGCTTTTTGGGCTCGGAATCGCAATTAATTTTAAATGTGCACCTCCAAAGCTCTGTCCAGAGCATTTAAGCAAAGAGGTGACAAACTCTGACTGCTGTAACAATTTCTCGTGATAACTCGAACGCTGACAGTTTACTGGTCTACTCGTCTCTATAAGACTTATTTTGGTATTTTGAACGAATTGAAAACCTTACGATTCGTTTCCACCAGGTATCAAAAGTGCACTGAAGCATACAGCGCTGAATGTGGCGCATTGTGTCACAGGATGTTAAACACGGAATTACGCTCATCCGATCCCACAGCGAGAATCCTTGATACATCCGTTTCAGTCAACGCAATTCCTTTTCACAATGCGAATTTCAAACATTTTATGCGAACCCAGGCTACGTAGTTTTCGGCGAAATTAGGGCAGATCTTACCAAGGACACAGGAAGATCTGAAGAGACTTTGAAAATGGCAAGCAGTGTTGGAAGGCTGGGTAGAAGAAGAAGATTAGGGAAAGGGAAGGTCACATCAAGCCCGGAGTCCAGAGAAGAGCGCCTCTCGCTGCCTGCAAATATCGATGGATGTTGGATATCTAGCCATTAACAATAACATGCCTTTATACACAGGTCGCATGCTTTTCATCTTCGCTCAAATGCATTCCACGGCATAAGCTCTCGTGGTTGAAGAGAAATCAAAAGAAGCTTTGGCCATTTTCTCTGGACTCCGTTGCGAGCGAGCGGTCGGTCAAAAATAATCGTTGTCGAGGTACTCGTATTCATCGCTGAAGCTGAATATCTCCTTTACAATCCCGCAAACTTTCGGTTTTTCCCTCGCCGCTCATCAACGCTGCAACGTGCCAAGGCCCAGATGCTGTGACGAAAAGGAAAAATACTCGATTCATTTAACTAGACAGGATGACAGACGGCCTAGTCTTTTCGTTAGCAGTTTGAAGTAAATAATTGGAGTTAGCCAAGACGTACCCAGCAAGAACTTCGGAATCAGCAATGCTCTGACTCTTCGTGACCATCATGTAAACCTCTCCAGTCAGGTTGGCCGGAACTGTGCAGGAACCACCGGAGATCTGGGAATACTGGGTCTGGCTGACATCGACGAAGGCGCAGAAGCTGGCACCTGCGGGTTGGGAGGGATCAGCGAGAACAAGGCTCTGGCCACCAGTGATTCCGGCTCCACCACCGGCAAGTGCAATGGATGGGAATGCTTGGATAGCAAGATTGCTACCTGTTGGGCAGGAGGAGATGAATGGTGCCGCAAGGGTGAAAACAGCTCTTGGGCCAAGCGCCGAGTCAAAAGCATTTGGAACGGGTACATCGCCACCTGCAGAGCGGATGAAAGTCTGGTGACGAGCCTCGATTGTGACGATTGAGGCGGCAGCACCCAGGACTGCCTTGCTAGACACAAGAGGGGCAGCACCAAGATAAGCGGAAATACCGACAGCCTCCAGGACGCGAGCGGTTGCAACCATCGACTTTGCGTCAGTGAAACCAAAGTTGTACTGGCATGGCTGCACCGGTTGAGAGCCCGCAGCAGAGATGGCAGCCTGTAGCTGGGTAACGTGGGTGGCTTCAGTGCCACCGACGGTCTTCAGAGCGCTGACCTGAGCAGAAGTAAGGCCCAGAGCCATGAAATCGCTGTCCGGGAACTTGGCGAAGCCCTGCGAATAGAAAGTAGACTCAAGATGCTCAAGCGTCAGGGCACTGTTGGCAAGTCAGCTTCGAAGAACTCGCATCAGCTCGAAAAAACGTACAACTGGAGAATGTCGATGTCGGTCAGGTTCTGGGAGGAAGAAGACGAAGCCGAGGAAGTGGCAGAAGAAGTAGCCGAAGCAGCGGCCGACGTAGTTGTCGTAGCAGAGGCCTGCCTTGCGAAAATGGGCTTCGGGGCCCTGATCTCAATCGTTCGTGGGCGGGCGTTGTTGAATTTTGGCACAGCCTCGACTACCACTGAGCCCAAAGCCAGGGCGAGCGTGCATAACTGGGCAATTCCAGGCATGGCGACTAGAAGGCAAAAAATTTTTTTTTTAAAAAAAAAACTTTAGCGTTGAATGATCGACTGTAATAAACTGTAAAACCGATGGAAGTCCAACCAGGGACGGTGATCAGGTTAGCCAGCTAAGGAGTGAAGGCAAAGGAATATGTAGTATAGAGAAGGAAAGGGTATCCGCCAGCGATGAAGAAACAACCTTTGAGCGATGACAACGAAACTACATCTCGAAGGGGACAGAGGGTGCTTATATTCCACGTCGATGAGAGATCTGAGACATCCAAGTCTCGTAAGTCGTCGAAGGCAAGTGTACATGCCGAAGCCCCTGTTTGGGCGCAATTGTTTCCACACAAGACCATGGACGCCATCTTTGCCAGCTTCCCGTGCCGGAGAGTGGTGAGCCCGCACTGGAAGTCCAGCACAAAAACGTTGGTGTAAATGGGACCAGGACCTTTTGGCAGTGGTTGGTACTGTGGCCGGTCGCGGAACAGGGGACTTGAGACGCCGTGCTGAGCGACTCTGAAACGAGCGCGGTCTGAGGTGACCTGAAAACCAAGCTTCGGAGTCTAGAGCATCCGTCCGGGTCTGCGAGGTGGCCGATCATGCTAATCGTGGGCTTAAGCATTCGCGCTTGTTAAAAATTAGGAACTGCTATGCGGCTCTGTGCGTCCACGAGGGATGATGAAGTTGCGGGTCCAAAGCCGCCCTCTACGCGAACAAAAGGAGAGCACTGCAAGGCTCGCAGCCCGGGCACACGTAAGAACAGCAGGTTTGGAGCAAGAGGCCAGCTGCTGTGCAGACTCGCGTCGTTCATCCGCACGCACTCGTCGTCAGCATGGTCGACAGGACGCACAAGAAGGCGCCGCGAACGCCGGGCAGACACACGCCCGGCGAAGTCCAGGAAGAGTCCAGCGCCGTGACCGACCCCTCAGAAGCTTGTCGCGCTTGTGCGGAGCTTGTCTCTCTCCCCAGGGGCCCCTAACCGCCCGTAGCCCTGGCCAATGAGCTACTCCCCGCCTCACACAAACACCAAACGTTCAACGCGGAGGAGTCGCTCTCCGGAAACATCGTGTAAAACAGCCATCCGTCCTTTGGGAAAATGAAGTACAACTCCCCCTCCCCCCTTCCAGCACGGCTGTTCATCTACAGTGTCAACCCCGAAGAAAGCGCCCCTCTACCTTTCGTGGCCGTTTTGTCTTGCCCACATGGATCTAGCCATGCCGAAACATTCTCTCTTGCCACCGTCCAACGAAGGCCGCTGTGTTGAAACTTCGTTTTCAAGTGCATTTACGGGAAGTGGCATTGGAGATGAGGGAATAGGGTACAAGGCAGATCCGGCCCTGCACATCCAAAGCAACCGTGGCGGCCTTTGGAGGCTTCGCTTGCGTATGCTATGCGATAGCAAGCCAGATTCCGCGCCACCAAACGGGGAGAAACGTCCACGAAGGACTTCCTCATTTCTGGTAGGGTCTACGAGGTGTCTCTAAGAAACACGTCAAAGCATGCCGATCTTATCGTTCCTCTTTCTTGGTCATGAGCTTAGCCATGTGCATTTGGGGCCAATCTCGCTATGCAAGCTTCCGTCAGTGATTATCGTACTCTTCGCAGGAGGTGTCTCATTCGGGTGCCCGAGAACGTGAGCAGCGTCGGTGACAAAAGGCACCGAGATAATCTTTGCTATGAAAATTCTCTCAATCTGATTTTTTTTGGCTTCACTCGCTACGGCCTACAATGACTAAACACTACCTTCCAAAGCACTGAGAGGGAATTTACTACAGTGCCTAAACCATGTACAGCCACAGTGACACGATATATGATGCCATCGTTGCTTGGCGTGCTTGACCAGCTCATTCTGAAATAATTGATCCCTCCCACTTCTGCGCGTGTCAGTTGATTATGCCACAAAACATCCATCATTCGAGCGGCGTTCCAGCCATCTCGATGACACGGGATTGCAGTCTATTTTGAATTCACACGCCATACCTGTCCTATTGAAGATACCGTCGTCTGGAATCCAGTGCGCGTGTATGTAAAGGAGCGACTAGGGGACTGTTCCTCATAAACACAAGACGGAATGAAATTTGAGCTTTTAGTCAGCGGCAGGCTCTCTCACGGAAGAGCACGCTTGCGGATAAAAGTGTATGAAATCGCACATCGATGTTCACGGACTTCGCCATGACGCATCTACAAGGCAAAAGGATTGACAGAGCGAATAGTCAAGCATCTGAAAATATGTGTTAGTTTGGTGACTACGATACGATGGTGACAGGTTACATACGGTGGGCTCTTGGACAGATCCGTCTTCAGAATGATGGGTACCCTAGTCATCTCGCGAACCTCCTGAATGTACTCGCCGCCCTCTTCGCGAAGAGTGAACATGCTGAGGTATTTTTCCTTGTTGCTAAGCTTGCTCTCTGGAGCATCGGCGGCGCTCTGCTTGAGTTGCGAATCAGAGCTGGTGCGATGTGGCGTCTGGGACGCTTCATTGCGAGTTGGGGAAGGAGGCATGCTCTGCGTAGGTCGGTCGGCAGACACGCCAGCGGTCAGAGAAACACCAGAGGTCATCTCAGCCAAGTCAGTAACGGATTCATCATCGTCTTCAAACAATGCATCAACTTCGTCGGCATTCATTGATCCGGTGTCCATATTGCGGCGCTTAGCCTCTTCAGCCTCCTTAGCCTGCTGTTGCTTGACCTCAGCGTCGCGAGCGGCGGCAGCTGCAGCGCCACGGCCCTGGCCAGCTTTTGGTCGCTCGTCCTCCGGTACATAAGCTGAGGACGGCACGCCCTTTTCCCAGAAAAGCTCAAGTAGTCGCTTGCTCTTGTCGAATTCGGCCTTCTTGAGTGGCAACTGGTCACAGTGGACTCGCTTTTCAAAGCCCCACTCGGGAATGAGGACATCGAACGCAGATTCGTAGACGCAGAGGACGATACCATCGCTGATCAAGTCACCACCGATCTCTTTCGCCCTCTTGTCCATCTTCCGGCAAGCCTCAATGTGGACGCTTTGTTCCTGTGCCGCACGGGCAGAGTCCTTCTTCACGTTGCACATATCAGCCGTCTTTCCAAGGGACTCTGCATCTTCGGTGAACTCAATCGTGCCATTGGAGAGTACAGCCTCAAGTTGCCTGTGAACGACAATATCGGCATACCGGCGGGACGGATTCGTGAAGTGCGTGTAGAGCGGCAGGTTAAGTGCCCAGTGAGTGCAATCCTCCTGGCGTCCGTACACGCAGTATTGTGCACGTCGCATGGATTTGACAAGCAAAGTTTCCATTCCCTTGCGTACGTCATCATCTTTGACATCGAAGAGACTGCTTTGGAGAGTGGCGCTGCTTTCTGTGTCAATCTCGAAGCCGATGTGACTCATCCTTTCCGTGAACGTCTGCAGCCGTCGAATGCTGGGAGGCTGGTGTCGCCGAACAAGAGCCTTCTCAGGCATGCTTTCCACAAGCTTCTTGGCGACAAATGCATTCGCCTTGTGGCTGAGCTCCTCGATCAGTTCATGAGCCGCAGAAGAGTCAAAGATGTTGGCCTCGACTGGCACATTCTCGTCATCCATAAGGTACAGTAGTCGCAGAGGTGGGATGCGATCAGGATAACCCTTGAACCGCTGCTGGCGGAACAAAGTTGTGATATGCTGTGGCACGTCAGTATAGACAAATATTAAACCACATCATAATAGGCTTACATGAAGCATCTTGATGTCATTTACTCTAGCTTCATCGAGATCATGGGTGCCTTTGCCAGAGATGACGGCATCGACGTCGTCGTAGGTCAGTTTACCAGAGCTCTTTATCACTCCTTTTCCAATCCAAGTCTCGCTTTCATTGATGACACCAGTCTGTGGGTCAACCCTGAAGACAATACTCATCGTGTAACGCTCCTGCCCAGGGCTAAGGCAGCATAGCTCGTGCGAAAGACGTGGCGGAAGCATGTTGACCGTACGCGTCATGAGATAGACCGCAGTACCGCGCTTTTTAGCTTCACGATCAACAAGTGAATTGGGCTTGATGAAGTGAGATACATCAGCAACGTGGATACCAATCTCAACTTTGCCATCAGGCAGTGTCTTGAAGTGAATGGCATCATCGAGCTCATCGGAGCCATTGGGATCAATTGTAAAGGTTTTCTCACCACGGAAATCACGACGCGATTCAAGAGCAGCCTCACCGTCTTTCGCCACTGACCAGTCCTCGAAACCAACGTTCTTCAGAACAGCATCTGTGAAGTCGTCGGGTCCGAAGTTATTATCTCGCAGCAAGGCATCAGTTTCAACCTTGAGGTCACCCATCTCACCCAGGGCTTCGACAAGAGTGCCAAACGGGTGAAGAGAAGTGATGGGCCAGCGCTTGATGCAGGCAACAAAGATCTTGTTGGCGTAGTCCTGATGACGCTCAACGAAATCACGTGGTGCTTGCTCAGTAGGGATGGCAATAAGTGGGACACGCTTGTCCGTGGGCTTGAACCAGACGATCTTGGGCTTTTCTTGGGTTCGCTGTGGCTCCCTGGGGTTTCCCCCATCACGGGCAGCGCGCTCTGCTTCTTGCTTCTCCTTTGTGGCTTGGCTGGATGGGCGAAGCAGACCAAGGGTACCAGAGAACATTTGCCCGGCGATGCGTTCAATGACAGCGACGACGTGGCCGGCGTAAAGAGGTTTCTGTTCATCGTTGATTTCTTCCTCCTCAATAAGAAGTAAGCTTTGACCTTCAACTTCGACATCGTCATTCTTCTTTTGCATGGGTCTTTGTCGAAGGCTACCACGTCGACGAATAGATCCATCACCGGCAGGTTCTGCTTGGGTTGTAGCATCGTTGATGCTGCTAGTTCGCGTGTCGGTGTTGTCCTTGCGCTTTTTCTTTTCTTCCTTCTCGCGCTTCTGGGACCAGACTTCGTCGACATCGAGAAGCTCAACAGCGACAAGATCGCCCTCAAGGGCTCGATTACGGTCTTTGCTGCCACAAATGAAGATATCGGCGTCAAGATCGGATGTTGTCACGTAGGCATCACTACGATTCTTCTTATTGACCCGGAGTATACCTGCAACGAGCTGGCCATTGCCTAACAAAGCCGGTAGCGTAGCTTGAGGGAGGTACGGTGTAAAAAGGGTCTTTCTCTGCTGCTGGTTCCCACCGACAGATAACTGTGGCGCGTGTTGACTGGCTTGGAGGCCCATGCCATTCATCTGCTGTAGTGCCTGAAGCTGAGCGAACTGCATCGGGTTCAAGCCTTGGGCTGCAAGCAAATTCGGCTGAAGCATCATTTGTTGGTTGAACCCCATCATCTGCGGCTGACCACCATACTGGAAGTTCCCGATACTACTGATAGACTGTTGGTTGACCGAACCGCGAGCACGGTGGCCCGGTTGGAATGGAGGTGCCGCCGCATTCTGTCCCAGGCTAAAGTTGCCCATGGTCCCCTGCGATTGATCCTGCGACTGCACTTGGTTGTTGTTCGGTTGTCTCCAGTTGCCCTCGAAATTACGAGAGCTAGAGCGTCCGTGTCCCTGACTGCCTCTTCGTACAAAGTCTGACCCACCCTGCTGCTGGCCAGCATCGTTTGTTGCTTGCGGGGGGGGAAACTGGAAACCACGGCCAGCCTGACCACCGCCACGGCCAACAGCCATACTCTGGCTTCGTCCATGGCCTCCACCACGTCCCCGCGTAGAAGAGGTCCCGGCTTGTGCTGGTTGTGCGGTACCTGTTGAAGGAGAAGACGCTTCATTAGCATTAGGAGTTTCGGCGTTTGTGGTGCTAGGTGAAGGAAATTGGAAGGCATTCGTTTTTCGTTTCTGTTCTGCCAGCTCGGCGGCTTTCTTGGCTTCGGGCAAGGCAAGAGAATGGCGTCGAGTATGTCCTCCACCTGCCGCGCCACCACCACGACCGCGTGGAGCAACGTTCTCACGACCTTGACCAGCTTGAGCATATGTAACCTGAGACCTGCGAAAGGAGATATCTGCAATAGACTTACCTTGAGTATTGCTGTTATTATTCCCGTTGTTTGGCACCGGCGGAGGGCCCATCGAACCAACGCCAGGCAAAGCCGACTGGTTCCGGCGATGTGAAGCTGGTGCAGCAGGGGGGTTCATTGGCACATTCAGGTGCTGAGCGCCAGCCATCTGGCCAGCAAACTGAAACTGGTTGCCATGTGGCGAGATATTCATCTGGCCGGCTGGTATTTGAAAGTTGGGCATCTGGCCCTGAGGTAGCATGCCCATATTGACGTATTGTTGATGTGTGGCGGCCAATTGGTTCTGCTGTGCTTGTAGTAATTCAATTTGCTGGGCGAGGGCAAGTTGTTCCACTAGAGGGGACACGTGGATCAGCCGCTGTTAGGAAGAAGCAGTTGGAAAAGGAACATGGTTGACTTACTCATCAGAGGAGTCAGCTCTGAAGGGCTTCGTCGATGAGCAATGTGCAGCCGGCGTCCAGCGGGGCCCATGGGTGCCGGATTGGCGCCTTGACCTTGTTGATCCATGACGATGTGCTGAAGCGAGGAGAGAACAGGGTTACACACTCAAAACGATGCAGACGTAATGGAGATTGCAGGCGTGTGCGTGTGCGTTGGTGCGGGTGTGGATGGCGAACGCAATAAGAGCCGTAAGTGAGTCGTAATAGCTTGTTGCTTATGTGGTTAAACAAGTAGGGTAGCTGAAGCTGTTGCTGCTAGATGGTACGATGGTTGTGGATCTGGGTGTTGGATAAGCAGTTGAAGACGGTGAAGTCAACAGAGACGGTGGCTCGTCTAAGGGAGCGGACAGAAGCTGAGCGAGAGGCACTGGGGGCCGAGGGCGAGTCTGAACCGAAGCAGGAGGGCGCGGGCGGTAGGGTTTTTGGGATTGTTTACGAGTGGGTGATGAGAGGAAGGACTGGAGGGTGCACTCTCTGATGGTTGAGATGCCTGAGGGAGGGTGACGTTGCTATCCCAGCGCAGTGCGGGAAGTAACACAACAGAGATAGACGGAGAGCTGGGGTTGGAACGCGGCAGCCACGCAGCAGACCTGGCGAGCACGGCGACAGCGACGCAAAGGAAGGAGAGGGAAAGGAAAGACGGAAGGAGGAGTGGTGCGAGAGATGGGAGCGACGGTGGCAATAAGAAAAAGGATGGGAGCACAGATGGCAGAAGGAGAGAAGAATGATCGAGCGAAGGCGGCGAACGAGTCGAAAGCTACTTGAGCTTTGTGATGGAGAAAGAGGGCGTGTGTGCGCGAGAGTGGGTGGGCGTGCGCGTGCGTTGGAGCTTTGGTGGGCAGAGAGCAGTTGAGGTGGGAGCGATCGGCGGGCTGCTCCCTCTCTCTCGGGCGGCGGGCGGGCGCCCCCTCCTCCTGGCCCAGCAACCGCGACGCACATGCCCCAGCCAATCTGGACTCGGCCCAGCAGCCTTAGTGCCCAGTAGTGGCCGCCGGAAACACAGCACTGGCCGCGCGCCGTTGGCTGGGCCTTGACGACAGCTTGCGTCGCCGGACCGTCCACTCGCTCCGCCAGCACCATCCGCGCAGGGCCCGCTAAGTTTTCACAGCCCACACTTCGAAAAGTAAATGGCTTACCACAGGACGCAAGGAGTCACGGGCAACGGGTACGGAGAAGCAGACGGAAGGACAATGCTTGCGTCATCCATCTCTTGACGAGCGCGTGTTCGCCAACTGTGCGTCGAGACCGCACGCTTGCGGTTCCGCTCGACACTCGCCCGCCTTCGGGATCGCACGTCATGTTGCGGGCACGCTGCCCTTCATTTTGGACAACGGAGCATTCTGCAGCCGCCGCGGAGCGAGCTTGCTGACCACCATTCTGTGCACTTGACGTCGAGATACGGGCGCGGATTCAACACGTACGGTACGGATTCGCCACTTGTGGTCCTTGAACGCGTTTCTTTGGTCGCGCACTGATCCGCTCATGAATGGCCACCGCATCCTATTGTACCATTACATCGTTTTTTCATAATCTTGAACAGACGTTGAATTTGACTGGGCCACACATTAAAATCCGCCCAATCGCCGATGGACGTCTCCCTCTGCAAGTCTACCCTGTTTGTTCTCGAGATGCAGCCCACCCCGAGGAACGTGGGAGGGTCTCGTCTTGAGGAAGTCAAAGGCTTCAGCTATCTTGCCTTTATCACGATAACCCAGTAATTCAGCCTCATTTTAAAGACGAGGAAGCAGCCAAATTGCCGAGATGCTTCATCGTTGCACACATTTAGAACGACTCCTGATATTACAAGCATCCTACGAACAGTCTGGCGTATCTGCCTATCCCGCAACATGGCCATGTCGCCGCCCTGGGAGAAACCAAGCTGGACATCCTTCCTTGAGCCCAGACGCACCAGATCAAACCTTGTGACGCCACAGTATCGAGTGTTCGCAAACTGCTCTTGAGGTGTGTAGATTTGCGATTCAAAGAAATAATAGAAAAAGCTTTTCGACGTCACAGCAAAACCAAAGACGATCCTATACAGCGGCTAACCCCACACAATTTCCCATGTGACACCATTCTCATACGGGCTGACTTAGCCAACTTGTTCGACCCAGGAACCTTGATCCGACACGTGATGTTCGCTCCACCCCCCCTGTCACTGGTCGCACGCAAAGTGAAGAGAAACGCGTCAAGCTAACTTCCTGAATACACCGGTCCATCCGGCTTTGCTCACACCACTCTCGCTGATTTTACTTTCTCTTTCCATTTTGTTTTCACAAAATACAAACATCAGCGGTCTGTCATGTCGAGGGAGAGTCCCATACATGGGCACGACAGTCCTCGGCGAAGTGTAATTCGCGGCAGCCGTCGTAACTCCAACGATGAATTTGCCGAGTCCTTCTCTCGTATGCTCATTCAGCGCGATCAGGAGTTCAACGCACAGCAGGATAAAGATGCCGAGGAGTTGCAGTTACAGCTCGCTCAAGACCTCGAAGAATCGATCCAGAGGCACGAAGCTGTGCGCATATATGCCATTCGAACCTTGGAGCAAAGCAAACAGGAATTGAAGAGACTGGAACAGGAGCGACTCGCGCAGGCTCAGCTGCAGCAGTCCCAAGAGGCTCAGCGCGCGAGAGAGCGAGAAGCTGAACTTAGGCGTCAACAGCTTGAAGCGGCTGAGCTGGCGCAGCAGGAAGAACGGAGGAAGCTGGAAGACGCAGAGAAACTCCGCAAGACCAAGGAGGTAACAGAGGCGTTGAGGAAGCAGCGCGAGGAGGCTGAGGCTGCTGCGCTCCAGAGTCAGCAGGCAGCTGCCACTGCCACGGCTGCTGCTGCTTCTACACCAACTCCGACGGTTTCTTGTCAGCAAAATGGCACATCGCCTCACCCCCCGGGGACCAACGCTGGGCAAGCACCCGCAAAAGTGACGCAACAGCTACAGGCGAACGTTTCAGCTCCCCCAACAACTTCTACTGGTCTCACTTCGACTGTTGAAGAGAGAGATGCTCTACACCAGAAATATTTGGCATTGCACAAGCGTTTGAAAAATATGCGTACTCTGGTAAAGACCTCTGGCCAGAGCATACCTCGTGAATGGAAGGAAAAGCGCCTGCAGATCAAGAAATTTCTAGGTCAGCTGGCCAATGAAAATGGGGACGGCATGGCCCAGACAGAGAAACAAGCAGTCCGAGCGGCGAACCTACAGCGCCGCAAGGATATTTTGGCAATACTACAAGGAGCTCAGTACGCACCAGGCCCAACTGTCGATGCCAGAGAATACATCATCAACCCTCAGTCGAACCTCTCCAGCCTCGAGCCGGCCTCCGCGCAGGTGCCACTTGTATTCATCTACCTCCTCAACATGTGCGCCAAGGCGGCTATAAATACGATTAAAAAAAGCGCAGTTGCCGTTACGGAGAGCGTTGGAATCACAGTTGCATTTGTATTTGGCTCCGTTGACCTCCGCTTTTACGGTGAATCGTTCATCGACATCCTCCTTGCCAAATATCATTTTGTCTCCCCGCTTTTGTTTGGCATATACGGCCCAATGAACACGGAGCGAGGCAGATTACGACTCGGTTGGCCTTATGGAGTTAATGAGGAGGGCAAGCGCGAATGGATAAGTGAGAAAGAATACTTTGAAGAGCAACAATTTTTAGCAGTTGGTTGGGCTGCACTTACGCTACGAGATTTCAAAAAGGCGAAGACGAGTAATAACGCATGTCCTCCGTGGAATTACTGGAGGAGTGTTGCCAATATCATCAACACCCCCCCGGAGCAAGTCACCAGAGCACATTTTGTGGTGTTAAAGAACCTCCTGGAGAATCATGCTGATAAATTCATCAAGTTCTACGGACAAGCCGCAACGGTTGCTCTGCGGACCGCAATTCTCGCCTTCCCCAATAAGCACGGCGAGAAGCAGTCGACGGAGAGGAATGGCTTGGTATTCTTGAAAGACGGCTTGCAAAGGCGATTTGGCATAGTGTTATAGTAGCTGCCCGTCTTAGGCGAGCACTCTTTTAAACACATGTATCAGAATGAATTTGATCTGGTAGCATACCAGACCATCCGAAGAAAAAATACAACAAGCGCGTGCCATCTTGGGTCCGCTGAGTCTTTTTACCGTACATCAGCCTGGTCCCCACAGCCTTGAAATTACCCCACCCCTTAAAGTGGACACGACATCAGATGAAATTCTGAATAAGGTGCGCCAAAAATTCAGCTGCAAGTTTAGTGGCACAACCTCCGTCTGAGTCTGTCCTCGACCATAGCCGAACGCATCTTGGTACGTTCGAAATGCCGCCGCGATATTCTCTTTGGCTTCTTCCGCCTCCAGGTGCCACAGACATCAACAACAAGCTTTCTGACCTAATCTCCACAAAGATTCCCAGCCTGTTCCCTGACACAAAGCTACCGAATTTTGCTCCGCATATCACTTTAGCAACTGGTATCGACGAGTCACTTCTTGGCGCGAAAGCCGTCGATGGATGGCCAGCATGGCTCAACTCCCTTGACTTGCGATCGGCCGCGGGGGTTGACGAGCCTCAGATCATCTTCGATGGCATAGGTGTGGGGGACACATATACAAAAAAATGCTACCTTCACGTTCAAAGAACGAGGGGGCTTGAAATGCTCGCTAAACGGCTGCAAATGCAAGTTTTTGGGAGCGGCGAGGACCGTGCTGCTGACTGGGTGCTAAACGGATGGGATCCTCACTTGAGCTTGTTGTAGTATGTCGTACTTTTCTGTTCTTGAGAATCAATATTCGACTGGGATTTTGCTGAGATGTATCTCGCAGCTGGGATGGGATAATCACCGCTACCAAACTGGAGGAAGTCAAATCGCTTTTCATTGACGGAGAATTGAACGCCATTGGTATTAGCGGTGGGAAATGTACGGCGTGGACAGGTGGGAATCTGCAGCTGGTGAACACTTCTCAGCCTGTGGAGCAATGGTCGGTACTTGCGCAAAGGAGGCTTCAAGGGTAAGCTTCTTATGAAGTAAAGATGTAAAAGTTCTATTCAAGCTTAGGAGACACTGAATTTGGGTAAACACAACGGGTGTATCCTACGTTCTGCCAAGCCAGATCGACAGTCGGAAAACGATAGAGAAAAGGATGAAGTGTGGCGAATAACCGTTACCACCACCACCACCAGCAACAATGACAACATAAGGAGAGCAAAGAATCCACCAATCCGTTCACAAGCACGCCAAAAATATTCTTTCCTCCATAGTCCTTTGTTAATCATTTCGAGCCAGACATAATGACCTATGACATGGGCTAAGCGTCCTCAGAAGAGATTCAGACCAACGCGAATGGGACTCTTATCTCGATTCTTCCTCGCCGGACTCTTGCTTGGCGCTCGCTTCCTCACAAATGCGTAGTGGTGATCGCGTCCTCGCCCACGATCCTCGATCAGAAGCGTGCTCGAACCCCGACGCAGCTTACGAGTATGTTCAAACAGCATTTGAGTCTCCTCCTCGCTGATCTCCTCGAGAATGATGATGTATCTGGGGTCGCTCTGTTTCTTATTAGCCAACAGTCTCAGGTAAGTTAGCGAGATCCAAGCCCTTACCGAGTCGATTTCGTAGCGCAAGTTATAGTATTTCAATGTCTCGATGTCAAGATGGTCCCGAGACACTTTAATATACGTCGGCGTCGCTACAGGAGTCCATCCAATAGCTGGCCGTGCCGGTCGTGGATGCAAGGGTGAGTAGCCTGCAGGTAGGTCGGCTGCCTTCTTGGGATTCAAAACCGCCTGGATTTGATTCTCCTGAAAGCCAAACACGGCCAACTTCTTGTGCATCTCCTCCTCGATCTCTTTCTCACGTTGCTTCTTCTTCTCCTTTTCCTTCTCCTCCTTCATCGCGAGCTTAAGTCTCCACTCCTCTTCCTCTTCCTTCTCCTTGCGCTTCTTCTCCTCTTCCTCAGCTTTGAATTTGGCGCGCAATTCGTCTTGCTTCTTTTTCTCCTCGGCTTGTCTCTGCTGATATCGGGCGATAGCAGCCTTCTCCTCTTCCTCGGCCTGTTGTTTCTTTTTGGCTGCTTTAGCTTCAGCTTCCGCGATGATACGCTTCTGCTCTTTTTCCTCCTCTTCTTCCTTGAGCTTGATCTCGGCAAGCAACTTTTCGCGTTCGGCTTTCGCTTTGGCGATGGCGCGCTCATGTTCAAGCAATATTCGTTCTTTGTCTTCCTTCCTCTTCACTTCGTCTTGTTGGCGTTTAAGCTCGTCCTCCATCTCCTTGAGCTTGAGTCTAGTTTTGATAGCCTTCTCACGGTCCTCCCATTTGTTTTCCTCAGCATCTGCACGTGCTTTCTCGCGCAGTCTCTCAAGCTCTAATCTCTTACGTATGAGCTCCTCCTCACGCTGGCGATCGACATATTCATGCTGGTATCTGCGGTCGGCCTCTAAACGAGCAATTTGCGCATCGGCTTCTCGAAGACGGACATACTCGTCGTAAGCCATTTGCTGCTGCCAGGGAGAAGGAGATGGAGCGCGGGCTTCAGCGCCTCTTGACCTCGATATTCGGCGCAAATCGTGGTCGATATCGCTGAGTCTATCGATAATATCTGCCGTGCGGTCTACGCCTCGTCCTCGAGCAGGCGATGCCTCACGTTCGCTTACGTCTGTGCGGTTATACACGTAGATGTTTGGTGCCGGTGAGTGGCCCGTGGAACGAGACCTCCGAAGGGTAGTTCCTCCGTAATCGTTCACGTTTAGAAGATCACCGCTTCGTCGTGGTGGAGCACGTGGTGGTGGTGGTGGCGGCTGAACATAACCGTAGCCGCGATGGTAATCGCGCTCGTGCCACTCGTCCTCTTCTTCGTAGTATCCTCCAGGCATTCTTGACATGCACTGGTCGTAGCTGCTAGGCAGAAGAGCTGAGAGTGGGATCGCCGCGTGTAAACGGCCGCTTGCCGTGAGTTTTGGGGGCTAACAGCGGGGTAGAGTCAACTTTCGACCCTGACGTCGTATAACGACCCAAGGCTGAGCTAGAAAGAAAAGTATTCTGTTCGAGAGTGGAGAAGGAGAAAGAAAAAAAAAAGTTCGGGGAGACTTTGTGACAAAGGAGGAGCAAAGAGGATTTGAGTCAGCAGTCATGTGTACCAGAAGAGGCCGGTGAGTGCTTTGCAGGTGCGCGCACCGCTAGTATTAGCAGCTTGAACCAAAGAGGTCGATGCTGGACGTAAGACACTGCATGAACAGAAGGCAGACCAGGACGTCAAGAGTGACTATGAGACACACGACTTTGAAACAAGACAATGTGACCCGCCAGCTACTATACAGAGGCTGGCACATTCGATTTATAAATACAGGCGGATGTATGACAATGCGAAGCATCGGCCTCGTGCGGTCTCGTGCGATCTCGCTGCCGCTACTCACACGGCGGGATGGATTTACTAGGGTGTCATGCGGCGCATGGGTCGCCTCCAGCCTCCGTAGATGGGCAGACGGGATGCTCCGCCCAAAGACACCAGCGAGAGAATAGGCATCGCGGACACAAGCAGTCGGTTGACGCAATCCAAATCGCACTTCTGCACACACCCGAGCGTTCTTCTCTCTACCGAGCGTTAGCTAGGCAATGGGTTTCCAAGCTGCAATGTTCTAGTCAGACGGCCCAGAGAACAAATGCGCTCTTGCGATCAAACGCTATTGGTAATCTATTCTTGGTGCGCTCGAACATCTGTTGCAGAACAGGCCAAGACTAAGGCTAGCGGCTCTTCAAGGAATGAGAAGCCCACAGACATCGCCCTCACTCTATCCTGGAAACACACCTCTGGGCAATGTCCATTTCTCCAGATCGTGATACGTGGGAGAGTGCCGCAGTAGCCATCGACGACATCCCGACTTGGCGAATGGGGGTGACGTTGGCACAGCCTTCCTGCCTCTCCTGCGACGAGTGTGTGCATCGAGTACAATGAACACAGCACCCGCTATGGTGCGCTACACAATTTCAGCCCCCAACGGTGGCTTGGGCCTAGTCCTTGCTTCATGCAGATTGTATCCCGGTTGGCCTTCAGCAGTCCCGTTGGACGGGAAAAATTCTACGAGGATGAGCTGAAGCTGGAGCAAGAGCAAGCTTGGAAGAAGCACAATGTATTTTAATTTAAGGACGAAGTCTTGTCTTTACGACGCCAAATTTGAGTTATATCCCAACACAATCTCCATCACCTCTGAAGTTTCTTGTGTCATGGCCCTTTGAATCCCGTTTGTTCTCAAGTTGCCACAACTCGTGTTACTTGGAGAAGATGCTGGCCATCCCAGCGCAAGCACGAGTCATCTTTGGCTAAAGTCAGTGCGATTCAGACCTTAAACCAGGCCAGCCTCTTTTCTTCGAAGATGTTTGCGCAAGTCGGCGCTACAGCCCAAGCGCTTGTCGCGTTACGCTCTAGTCAACACGTGCAAGCGCGGCTACGCTAGGCTGAGCTTGATGGTCCTCTTACCAGTCGACTCCTCCAACTCGTCACTGATTCGAACTCTGACCTTCTGGAATAACTCAACCTGTCCGTTCTTTGAACCACGGTACCTCAACACGTAATTCTCAGCGTCAAGATCTCCTTCGGGTTCAGGCAATGCCAGATCTCTGAGTCGAATGAGGCGTTCAATTCCAAATCTAGGAACAATTACCGTGAAACCGTTGTTAAAGACTCGCATGACGAAGCCGTCTTCATCTAGCGTTCGACCCTTTAGCGCTTGGCCCACGTAGTAGTCCACGCTAGCACGGCCGGCGAGTTGAGCGTTACGATGTCGAACATTGATATTCTTGCAAACGGCTTCAAGTTTGGATTTATTGTTCAGGCTAGGGTCCAACGCCTCGTATTCAATGGCTGCTGCGAGCTGTCGATGCACCTCTAGATCTGCATAACGGCGGATAGGCGATGTAAAATGCGTGTATATCTCACTTGCTAGCCCATAATGTCTGTACTCCGAATAACCTTGTGTACCAGCGCAGAAATATTCCGCTGACATCATGCATCGTGTAGCTAGAATACGTATCATTGTATTGAAGAACGGCTCGCTCGGGTCAACACATTGATCAAGTGAATCTGCGAGTGCTCGTGATGTCTCGCAGCGAAGCTCTATGCCTTTCTTGACTTTGAGCTGGTTGGCCAGTTCCTCGAAATTTGTCTTTGGCGGAGCTGCATGGCGTCGGAGAAGAGCTGTCTGAGGGAACGCGCGATATATTCGAGCAGCAACAGAGACGTTAGCGAGCAACATGAATTCTTCAACAAGCGAGTTCGTTGCGAGTAGCTGCTTTGTCTTGACATCGATTGGATCAGACGTTTCGCTCTCGGTCTCCACTCTGACTTCAGGCGACGCGAGGTTCAAAGCACCAGCATCCATACGCTTTTGCTTAAGCTTCTTCGATAGCATCAGCAATATGCGCATCCCATTCGTGAGATCGTCTTTTTGAGATTTGTCATCTATCCTGAGTTGAGCTTGCTCGTAGCTGAACGCTTCTTTCGATTGGATCACAGACTTCGTGTACCGTGCTGAGACAACATCGGCGTCTGGTGTCAGTTCCCATATTACGCTAAATGCGTAGCGTTCGACATATGGTTTCAGTGAACAAAGGTCTGTACCCAGTAACATGGGTAGCATATCGATTCGCTTGTCTACAAGATACACCGTTGTACCTCGTATACTTGCTTCCTTATCCATAGCCGTATTCGGCTTTACAAAGTGCGATACGTCTGCAATGTGTACCCCAACTTCATAGTTACCATTCGGCAACTTGCGTGCGTGCAGCGCATCGTCGATATCAACACAGCCCGGCGGGTCGATACTGCAAACAAGCAGATCACGAAAGTCCTCACGACCCTTCCATCCTGGATCCCCGATGGCAGGAACACGCCAGTCATGCCCTTCAGGAGGTAAGCAATCTAGCACAGTCTTTGGGAATGGGCGATATTGCACATCGAATTCGAGCAATAAAGCTTCTGTCTCAGCTCCCTTGTTTTCTAGTTCGCCAAGATTCCGCACGAAATGACCAATGGGGTACCGTGATTCTCTTTCCCACGAATCGATCGTGATGAGTACCCGCTTACCGACAAGCTCTCCAGCTTGGCGCGTCCGTACTCGAACCTTTGGAATACGCTTGTCCATAGGAATGACAAAGACTGTCTGCTGGGTCCGGCTTTGCTTGTTCCACGATCGAACAGAGTCTCTATCCACGTGACCAACATATTGTCGCCAATTCCGTTTGATAACTCCTACAACACGAGCAGTCGGCTGGGCACGACCTTCCATATTCTTACTGTGAGCTCTCTTAACCTCTTCCTGTAGTGCACGGCGCTCACGTTCCGTGACGATCGTTTCATTCTCACCTGCTTCGGCGTTATCGTTCTTATTTAATGCTTCTTCTTCGATGACTTGGTTTGAAGGAGCCTTCCACTGGTCTTGCGGGAGGACTTCAACAACGACAGTATCCCCTGAAATTGCACGGTTACTGTTTTCTCGACCCAAAATGATGAGAGGTTTTTCGAATGCTGGCACAAAGACCGAACCTTCAAGATAGTTGTACGGTGACACATTAAAGGTTCCTTGATGAAGCGTGCCAGCCTTGATACCAGTAAGCATTTTTGCCATTGAGAAGTACTGTCACCAGTCAGCCTCAAGTTCGAACCACCAGGGCTATTCCTGACCTCTGGGTAGATCATTTCGGGTCGCTTGTCTGCCGCTTGTGTTGTCTTGCTCGTTGCGACCATATCGATGAGATCGTCGGCATTTGGCAAGCCTGAGATGTAGTCACGTAGCGATAATGCGTCGATTCCTTCTTTTTTGCTCGCTTCCAGGCAAGTTCGGTCATCGCTAATCATTACGATGGCTGGAATGTGCGAAGCCTTTACCCCAACAGCTTGCTTTAGATGCTCTATGTACCATGCAGTAGACTGTCGCACAGCCCGATCATTACGATCATTAATCGACTCTCCTTGATTCCGCTCGACATGAGTTTCCTTTCTGAATTCATTGAAAAAGACATAAAAACGCTTGTCTTCATTATTGGTAAGATTGACCAGTCGATGATAGAGTGGAAGAGATCGGTTCTTTACTTCTTCAAGGACGGTTTGTAGAACGATGACATCTTTGAAAGCGTTATCGACTTCAAATACGTCCATGCCATTGATGAAAGCATTTGTATCGGGAATTAGGTAATGGCCATGTGGAAAGGCTTTGGTGCCTATTGGACTTTCAGAGAGAACGAAAGTTTGGGCTGCACGAGTCAATAGGAACTACATTAATGATTTAGTTACGCACATACCTTCGTGACCATGGCTTCTTGGGGCGATGGAAGGACAGATTGTACATAGCTTTGATGAGCACGGGATATCCTGCCGAAGGTAGACTTCGCGGACGATCTTTTGAACCTGGCCCTTTCTCGTCGTTCGCACGTACACTTTACTTGACAAGTTCGAATCTGGTCCATCAGCCGTGAGATATCTTTTGAGGCTTGTCATCGTTGGAGTTGCGCCTGAACGAGACTGAAATCTCTCCTTTGTGCACATGTAGACATACCTTTCACTTTGATATTTCTTTACGCTTACTAGAAAAGGACTAGTGCAGCGTGAAAGCGACATTGTGTCTGAGCTCAAGCTACCGAAGCAAGAGGCAGGAACTGGCTCATCTGTGAGACATTCGACATTGGTGATAAGGTGACATCCCGTAGCTTAAACTCCAATTCCCACCTGCCAGCTCTACCATCCTTCTCTCCCATGCGAACTGGTTTTCCCCTCTTAAGGACTCTGCCTGAGGATGACATTCGATCCCCCGCAATACATTGTCTCGCTCCAGAACAACATCAGGTCACGGCCCATATCATGGGAAGGCGCAGTTCGAGCCAAAACTATCACCGAGGCAGACCTGAAGAAAATCAAGTCCATAGATAAGATTCGCAAAGAACAGCGAAAGCAGGTGATTGAGGCATCACCTGCTGACTATGTGGACCTGTTCTTGGGTTCTGATAATGAGGCGAGCATATTCCAGGCGGCTGTAAAGAGAACAGACATAATCCATTACATGCTCGTCCTGCTCGGAGACATTCTTGAAGGTCTGTTTGCGATCATGACTTTCGCTATTATAGTGCAACACTAAGTTCTTCCAGACATCCCAAGCTTTGCCCCGGAGCTCCTTAAGCACCCGAGCCCGTTCAAGTCGTTTCTTCCGATGCTTAAGCCATCCTCAAACCCAGACGAGCCAACAGCTCTCTTCACATCCATTGTTCTCTCTACAATGTTGTCACATGCGCTTAGAGCGTCAGCGAAGCCTTCTCTACAGATCGAAGAAGCGCTGCCCCAGCTGTACTCGTGTCTATCAGCCTTGACCAGGTCTTCTGACGCTGGTCTGCAGGATATAGCTATGCAAGAGTATTCGGCGGTATTGCGTTCGAAACGTTCTCGAGAACTGTTCTGGGAACACAGAAAAGAGACGCTGGTTCCGTTGTTTGGTATTCTTCGCGCTGCTGCTGGATCAGGCAGGGAGACAGATTCTACTCAATGGAGTGGAACAGGCAGCATGCGTACAGTAGATTCGGGACTCGCTGGCGGAGTTGGCATACAACTGCTGTACCATGTCCTCTTAGTTATATGGCAGTTGAGCTTTGAGGGCAGCCTTGTTGGAGATGGCCTTCAAGAGTACGGATCATTCACAGCGCTTCTCGAATAATGGCTAATTTTACACAGCGAGCACGATATATTGATACTCTACATCCAGCTGCTACGCCTATCACCAAAGGAGAAAACAACTAGGCTGCTATTGTCTACCCTCAACAACCTGTTAAAATCAAATCAGTCAACACTGTTACCTGCTGCCATCCTGGCTCGCCTTCCAACGCTGCTTCAGACTCTCAAGTCTCGGCATTTATCAGACCCAGATCTCCTCGAAGACTTGGACGAGCTCATCGAGCTAACCGATGAATACACAAAAACCCAGACGACCTTTGATGAATACGCTGCAGAGGTCAACAGTGGCCACCTTCGCTGGTCACCGCCTCATCGCAGCCAGGTCTTTTGGAGCGAAAACGCTCGCAAGATATTGGAAGACAACAAAGGCGCTCTACCGAAGAAGCTTGCTGAGATCATGGCGAAGCCTTGGGACAATGACAAACAGGTTCTTGCAATTGCTTGTAATGACGTCGCGGCTCTGGTCAAAGAAGTTCCAGAAAAAAGAGCGTGGTTGGAGAAGCTCGGGTTGAAGAGCAGATGCTTGGAGCTGATGAGTGATTCAGAAGAAAGTGTGCGATGGGAAAGCTTGCGGGCTGTTGGCGAGTGGTTGAGGTACAGCTTCGACTCCTGATCTGGTTCCTGGCTCTGGACGGTTAATGTTAGGGTTCTGATGTTAATGTACTTTAGATCGGCCAGGTGGTGGTTTGGCACATATACGGCATAACATTTCTAGCTTCTGGATTGATAGTACCTAGCGAAGACATCTCACACAGTTTTACTATTCCGGGTCTACTTTGAGAACTGGAGATGGATTGCGTTCTTTTGTAAACATTCACGTGAAATAAACTGGTACCATATGAGGACAACGACATACAAACCAAGGCGGGGGACCTGCGTGTCACCTGTGCCCAGATTACAGAGTTTTTATGTTTTTAATATACTCTCCAGCTTGCTTGACTCCTCTATTATTATGAGTTTTGTAAAGGTTCTACGTTGACCGCCACTTCAAAGCTAGGACACTCGATGTCAAGGCCGCCCTGGGGTAGGAAAAGGAGGGAGAAGAGTTCTCAATGGTGAACTTGTTGTTAGGAATATCTTCCCAATGTTACGAGGTAACATGGTGATCACGTGAAGGGAGAGCGATCATGTTGATCATTCATGATCGAGGTGATCAGTCTGCATAAGCGAAAGGTTGTGATTCGCTCAGAAGGATTGAACGAATCAGGAATGCAGTTAGTGATCAGTCTGATCATTCATGATCAGAATGATCGCTGAGAATCAGGCAACAAGGATACTGG